CGTTACGGACCGGAACCTCTGGTTTTCTTTCCTCTTCTCTTATCATGCAGCAGATATGAAGATCGTCTGAGGGATTTTCGGTGGTGGGTCGGTTTGTCGATCATGTGACCGTATCAGCTGCTTGTTCGTTGGTTCTTGGTCACGTGGCCGCCCTGTTTTTCCACATAATATTCCCATATTATTTGTTCCTGTATCAGACCCGAGACCCTTCAGGTACAGGCACACGCGTCAAACTAGCTTATCAGATCTACACCGTTACAGGGTGGGCCATTGAAAAGCTGAAATGGGTTGGGGTGGGCTAACCTCAAGAGCCTACTGTACTTGGGAGTACTCACACGCCTTGTACACTGTACTCTCCCAGATTCGTATAGGCCGTTTCATCTTCAAGTTTATCATGTAACATGTGGTAGAGCAACTTACATTGACCGCTGCAATAAAGCAGTATTGCAAAGCAGCTGGAACAGTTCAGAATGCAGCTTGGTGTTTTTTTCTTGCGCATTTGCTTTTAGCGTGGTGAGAATTTCTTTTTCGGCCCTTGCTCTGGTGTCTTATATTAGCTATCTTGTGCGCACACCTTGCTCTGGCATGCCATGTCTTGTAGATGAAACGTGCTACAAGTAGTGATTGAGAGAAAAGAAATGACCAAAAAGAAACGACAGAGTGTGAGAGAATTCGAATATCCCGGTCCACCCTGTACTTGTACGGTACCAGTACTTTTACTTGTAGACGGGGCTGTGGAGCATCGAGACACTCTCACGGACCCCCACAATCCATGCTCTCCATTAGCAGCACGTAGCCGTGGAGAGAGTTTGTGACTGTAAACCTGATTGGGCTTTCCAGGGGTTTGTACCGATATTAAGGGCTCTGAGACAATGTTCGGGTTGGTGGGTTCGGTTGACCTACTTGTAGCATAGACAGGTGCACCGAATCTGTAAACAGCTGCGTATCCGGAAACTGGCACCTGAGCGGCTCGCAGAGAGAGACACCGGTCTACACTGAAAGAGAAAGGGAATACGCTCACACTTATTGGTTGTAGAGTTTCCCCATCACGTGGTAATACAGCCTACAAAGGACATCATGCTGAGGTGGGTTTCAGGAGGTCCTTGGACTGTTGAGTTGAGATAGTTGAGACGGTTGGGGGTCCAGTTTCAGACTCCCGGAATCATGGGGCTGTTCAACAGGCTACGCCAAGCAAGCAGCACCAGTCGTTGTCTCTCAAACATTCCTGCTACTCATTCTACTAGTAGCCATGTTGCCGACAGTGAACCCAGCGAGGCTACTGTTGTGGCTGTAAACATATTACGGCTGGTCCCAGATGAACGCAGTGGCTTCATCGGTCTTGCAGCTCCCGGTACAAGTAGAACGTGCACATCTCCCGCATCAACAAAACAGCCACTGTAGCAGGTGTCTGCAGTATGGGAACTTCGAAGCTTCGTAAAGCCACCGGTAAATCATATGGGGGTCTTAAAACTGGAGTATATATCCACTCTCCGTGATAAATGTATATAATGGTACCAATATCGCCATAGTCACGGGTTCCCCTTCGGCTCTGGGACCAACATGGAAGATGTTCTCGGGTTTTTTGTTTAGCTTAGTGTTTGGAGCTTGAAATGTCAGTTAACACCCATTAGGCCTATGGGAGGATGGTCGGGAGGAGTCCAATTGTCTTGATCCGTTTCCGGTTCCATGTCTCTCGGCTGTTCGCTGTTTGAAACAGGGCTGTCTGAATAGTTTCGAAAAGAGGTCCGTCTGGAAGAGGCTGAGAAAGTGCTGAAACTAGGCCAACAGTCCTGTTTCTGACTCTTTACTCCTCCTGTGACCAATCTGCTTCTTCAGAAACTCCGTGTCGTGCCATACATAACACCCGCTCCTTGTTCACCTGTGACCCCCCACTGATAGTGACACAGCACTGACAAACATACATTCAACCAAAGGCCGAATGACTAGGCCCATGCGGATACTCTGCATCTCCTCGGGCTAGGGCTTCTGGAAATGGCAGCTCTCCCTGCTTGTAGGTTGCTACTAAGATCGACATGAAGCCTAACGGTAAACCGATCGGTTAGCGGTGGGGGAGAAGGAAACGGGATCCAAACCTCCAAACGGGCTACAATTGTAGAAAGTAAGCAAAACTTTGGCAGAAAGAAACCGGGCCCAAATCACGGGTCCCTGATCTACGCAGAGGCCAGAAAAAAATCGGACCCTCATCTGGAGCTGTTCTGATCGAGAGTTGAGGATCAAGAAGTAAAACCTCCATGGAAACAGATGCTGCAGCACCAGATTAAGACCACAAACGGCTCGTAAAAGTTGAATCGCATGTGCTCGTTGCCACGGAAACGATCGACGGACTCCTCCAGCAACTTGTTCTTAGCCGAACCTTGGTCTGTGGCTGTCTTAGGTCTACTCATGGTTGTAGCCTATGTACTGTAGGTAGCCGGTCACCACGGGCTATAGTAGGAGTAGAGACATGGTAAATGGGGTGTTCGATAGCTGATATTTGTGCGAACTGAATTATCACTTTCAATCAATGATTGAACTACCATCACCCTCCCAAAACCCCACAGTAATCCGAAACTGACACGGATTCGGTACAATGCCAAACTCTAAATTTTAGCCCTCTGCATTATGCGAGAAAAAAAAAGCTTGAGGGATGCTAAACTGCAGCCCAACGAGTCAGCGTTTTGCAACCGATGCACAGCAGATTAGCAACATCGTAAGCAAGAAAGAGGGGGGGATGCGCACGTCACGTGACTGGCAAGTCGTTGATAAGCTTTTCATTGTAGAGGCAGGGAAAAGTCTGCCAGTTGCGACCGAAATCAGGCCATACTCTCGAGGTGTAGCTGAGCTACTCGTACAAGAATGAAACAGCTGTACAAACGTTTCAGGAGAGAGAGGGAAAAAAGCACATTAAGACATGTTCGGGAACCTGTTCCTTTGTGAGTTTGCGGGAGTAAATTGATGATTATGTAATTGTGTGTAAATGGGATTCTAGGTGATAAAACAGCTGTGTCCATCAGGAGGACCAGACCCTGTAATTATGGCTGTATGCTGTCGGTTAATTACTGTCATGTAAGGGCGCGTCTAGACGAGAAAATCTATGTTAATTAAAGTTCTAGTAACCTCGATTTATGACTCTCTCGATGAGTCTTCACTGAATATCAAGTTCCCAGCTCGCTTTGAACTGAGAGCTTGGCATTCGGAGTGAAGACTCATTGAGAGTACAAGTATTTATACGAGTACAGGATTCGTCTTGCCCATTTCCAGATCTTCCCCGCTCTTAAGAAGCGATTTACATACCCAATTATACATGTTCATATAAGCGGAACTCAAAATTAGACAGCTGTAGCAATGTTATAAAATGTTCAATTCCGGGGCCAGGTGGAGCGTCTTGTTGTGAGATGAATTTGTTAGCCGGGAGGATATACGATCGTGGTCAGTTCTGCTCACAAAACTCTCTAGACTCCCTACTCCACCGAGCTGCTCGCACAGCCCTCCACCCAGGCAAAAGTTACCGGCTTTAACCTCCCTGCTGGCACCGATTAGAATACGATCGCAAAGAATACGAAAACCAAAATTCAATTGGAAAATTCCACAGTCCATTTTCATCCAAAGCTTGTGCGACGCGGTTATTTTGGTGTTATTTAATTCCCATTAAATTTTTTATATTACAGGGAAATACAGCAATGTTGATTTCCGGAGATCGACACACCCACAGGTGAGCGTTGGGAATGTGAGTGCCAAAGAAGAAAGGTCACGTGAGCGGACAGGAGGAGCTGGGGTCACGTGGATAGTTGACTGCCGGCGGGTTTGCAATGGTCACATGACTCTGACTGTAAACCCGAACAATAGAAGTGTTTACAAAGCCTAACCAAGAGTTTAAGTAAAGTTGATAAGAGTGGGGGGGGGGGGGGGGTAGTGGCTGGAATGGATGATAGCAGGGTAGCTGATGTGGAGACTAAATTGTTGTATTTCTTGTGGTCTGGGGAGTACTGTTATGTTTTTATAATTCCAGTATGGCCTTTTTTGAAGGAGTTAGAGGCGGCCGTTTACCATCCATACAGTTAGCATTCCTCAGCCGTAGTTGAGGTATTTGTTGAATTGTGGAGACGGACCAAAGAGGCAATGACTCTGCGATATGCACTATTAGCGTGATGAGATCATGTGCCCGAGCTGAGCCTTGGCCATCTGACGTTTGATCTCGAGTTCTCATCTGAACGTGATATTGGGGGTGAGAGCATGACGTGTGAGGCTCAGCCGAGGTGCTAGAGTTGGGGAGGAGTTGATGACGAGGATTGACTGGCGGGAGGCGTTATATTGGACCTATTAGTGAAGTTCTAATTGCACCTAAAAGTTCTTACTAAGCCAGGTCCACTGCCCCAGCCAACAGGTATCATCTTCACATGTTGTAACCACTGTATTGTAGACCTTAATCACCCAAGTTCCAGATAGATGGCCATGTCTACCTCAGCCTCTTCACCGAATAACATGGCTTTACATCACATTATATCCTCTTCCTTCCGAATATGATCTGGAGTTGCAACAAACTGAAACCCGATTTACTCCATCCGAGCTCTTCGGCAGTTAAAAAGCGCGTATCTCCGCCTTGGTTATCCTCTCTAATCTTACTCAAGCATGCATTCCCGTAATGGAAGTCTCAAACAGTCCCCTTTTGTCTCTGATTCTTTTGAGCGCAGTTATTTCCTGGGGATACCTAATTCATCAATGCAGACAGAGCCATGGTGCCTTGGAGAAATTGCTTCATTGTCGATATCATGGGACATATCTGAACAAGGAGAGTTCTTGTACTCTAGTCTCCTGATTTGTTCACTCATCTCATGAGACCAATGGCCCCGTTGACGTGCATCTACCACGCAACTGTCTAGATTACAGTGGCTTCAACCCATAATCAACCACCTTCCATTACTATACATATTTTCATGCTACTATCATCGAGCATCATTTGATCATCATCCACCTCCAATGTCTCTCTTCCCTTCCCCAGCTTAGAGCATGTCGTCCAGGGACTTCTCAGAGTCCATCTTGATGAGCTCAAACATACCCTTGGGCATGATGGGCTTTCCCTCGGCGTCAGTGACGTATCGGAAGGGCATCTCAGTGCTCTCGTACTTGGAGAACTTGAGTTCCGGGTAGTCCACGTAAGGGATCTTGTCAATGGGGATCTTGTCGTCCACCACCTTCTTGGTCACCCGCACAGCGGTGTCTGTGGTCATTTGGAACTTGTCCAGGTTTCGGCCGGCAAATCCGTACTTTCGAAGCTCGCCAGTCCGATCTCGAGGAGGATGGTCACCGAGAATACCTCCAAACAGGAAGATGTCGAACTTGTCTCCGTCCTCAGGAGAAAGAGTCTCTTCAGCCGAGGGATCAAGAAGACAGACCCGGGACTTGTCAAAGCTGGGGATGACAGTCTCGAATTTGGTGATCTCAGTCTCGGTGCCCTGGACTTCGGCCTTGATCAGGATCTCGGGAAGCTCTGTGCCCTTGGGCAGAGAAGAGAGGTAGAACTTGTCGGAGCCGACATCGGAGGCGATGGCGGCGTACTCGAGCTTGACCCAGTCGGAGAAGCCCTCCTCCATATGTTCGATGACAAAAGTGGACATGGTTAGTGTGTTTTAGGGGTGTTGTGGGGGGGACGAGTTGGTGAAAAATAAATCAGAGATAAGATGCACCCAGAAAGTTTATTTGGAGAGTAGTGGAGGAGGCGAGGTGTCGACCTACAAGTAGGAAGATGAAGAGGAGGGAGTTGGAACGGTGGAACGAATTAATAGAATATGAACATATATCTTGTTCAAGTTCCACTGCAATCTGTTTCGTTCTCAGCAAGTTAGAATGTGCAGTGTGGGCACACTGGATTGACTAAAAGTGGACATGACGAGCATGAGAAGTGATGTGGAATACAAGTGTTCATTGAGGCAGAGGTATGACCATTGATGTATCAGGTTTCCAGAGTTCCTATACAGCTTTTTTATATAGTTATATATATATATCTGGCTTGTACGAACTTTTGATCGTCAGGCTCAATACTAGATGTTTAGTTAAGGTCTTTGGCTATCATAACATTTCAGTTGGCATTTAGTTGGCTTTGGTTGTTTTTTTGCAGTTGAAAAAATTGGGAACAACTTACTATACACACTGTAGGAATACCACTGCAGCTGCCGCTCAAAACACACACAGATAATGTCCACACTCCTTTTAAACCCTCCAAGCTCACCTTCTACATGTAGTCTTATCCCACCTCACTGCCCTTCGAACTCACCACACTCATCTCAACTACATTGTCCTGTCACACTTGCATAACCCTAACCCACTGCATTGGCCCGCCTATAGCTAACCACCAAACAGCTGCTACTTCTACATCACAAACTACGATACATCTTTTCCCATGGTTCTGGAAATTGACAACAGCTACCATGCGGCGCACATTCCCACTTACCCGTCCCCTGAGGAGAAGCCTCTGATTCCAGATCAACTGTGGAACCTCTTAATCCAGGGCTGGATCCGAGTAGCGGAGCAACACCTGATCCGGGTCTCAGACGATAACCAGCGGGTGGAGAACGCCGACATTCTGGAGATCTCGACCTGGATCGACTCATATTTGAAGAATACGGAGGAAGATCAAGACGCAGACCCCAAACTCAACTATCTGGTGTATCAGCTGTGCTTGACATGTCCATTTGGAGTTGTTCTGAAACCTCAGAGCGCCTGGCGGTTTGTGCTACGATACTACGCCAAGAACAGTCGGCCAGTTCTGAATCTGCTTGGAGGAAACCCCGATCTGGCCGAGATCGCAGCTATGGGTCTATTGGAGCACGCTAGAGCATTCCCTCAGCAATACACACAGTACTATGACTCTGACGGAGTCAGCAATCTGGTAGTGCTTCGATCTCTACTTGACACCGGCAACAAGGACAAGTTGGAGCCTCTCAGTCAACTGTTTGTGGGACAAAAGTGGCTGGTTAACACTTTAGCAGCATTCCCTACGGAAACCAACTACTCTCAATTGACACAAAAACAGAAGGATCTGGCCAGGGCATTGCTGTATATTGTTTCTACATGTCTGCTTTCGATTCCCTATATTTCATATTTCGAGAAACTGATGCGATCTGCTCTGTTTCTGGATCTCAAGAAGAAGTACCATCTGGCCGCAGTCCTCCTATGTGCCACCAACTTTGTGGATTTGATCCAGGTCAAGTTTTCAAAAGCCGCTGGTTTTCAAGGTGTGATCTCCGTGCTCAACATTGAGAGAGATCGACTGAGTGAAAAGCCTCAGCTGAGATTCCCCGTCACCAAGACAAAGAATGACTACAACGACTTCTCTGTCGTTGAAGATGCAGTCGCTTCGTCGTCAGCAGCAGAGCCATCCGACGCGGATGCCCATACCATCATGGATATGTTCCCTCAGTTTAACTTGGGCCAGGCTAAGACTCTTATTCAGCATCATGTCACCACAGAGGGAGCCATGGAGTATATTCTCAGCAACCCCGATGTAATGGAAAACCCCAGTTCGATTCCTGAATGGAGCAGTCGTGCCACAGAGGGTGCCCCTGCGGTTGAAATCTCAATGGACGAGTATGCACCCATGCCAGTTCATGCCGCCAAGTCTACTCCCAAGTATATCTTTGGAAAGAAGGAGATCTCCACGTCTCTCAACCCCGACGAAGATGCTAAATCTGCCAATCTTCAGCATGCTTTGCGTATGATCTACGAGAGTGATGAAGATGAGAGAGACGACACTTACGAGGGCATGGAGGGAGGCACCGAGGAGGACTCTCAGGCGAACGCCAAGCTCGACAAGATTCAGCAGTACCTGTTCCAGCTGTACTCTTCCAACAAGCAGGTGTTTGATAAGCTTGATCGTAAGAGCAAGGCTCGAGCTGAGCTCAAGAAGACGACTGAGTGGTCCGACGAGCAGATCGAGGGCTGGGCAAGGATGCTGGAGCGAAACCCCCGACAGTTCAAGATGCTCGAGAGCAAGCAGCTGGAGATGGGCGTGTCTAAGAACGATCAGCCCGTGGCAGAGGAAAAGAAGGACAAGGAGAAGGGCAAGGGAAAGGGCAAGGAGATGGAGAGAGAAATGACCCCCGAACAGGCTGCTGCTAGACAGAAACAGAAGCAGGCCCGAGATAGACGGCACAAGACGCAGAACAAGAGCTCGACACATCATAGAAAGAGCGGACATGACCGGAAGATGGGTAAGGCAAACTTTGAGTAAATAAAACCACCGAAACCAGCTTTTTTGAGAGATTTGGCCTACTGTATGTAATCATAACTATTTAATCTAGACTAAAGACCAAGTAGCTGCTTGATTGGGTGATTACACTACGTTTCTTTGTAAGAAAAAGGCCTCGTTGAGTGTGCAAGTAGTACTTGCTCCCCTGCTTGGTTGTGTTCAGCTTCATCGGATTGCTCTTCTGCGTCTAAGTCGTCTCTGTGGTTATTCATCCAGTGATATATGCAACGAAAAGAGCAGCCAAGATTACAAACCGGTTTCTGGGCACCGTATTTGCTGCAATACAAGGACCTCCTCAATAACTTTTCATGTTTCAGTCTGTAAAGAGTATGTCCAGTGTAGCACAGCACGCCTTTGCGGTTGGCCTTTTTTGCGAACATTTTGCAAACAGCAAATCAGCTCCTTGTAAAGTGATGATGACTCGTTCAAATTATTTTATCATACCTCCAAAACAGCCACCTCAAACTCATCCAGAGGAGTATCTCTCTTGTTGTACATGGCTTCAATAGAGTTGACGGGTAGTTACAGTAACGTGCAGCCATAAAGCGAGCCAACGTTATCAGCCCAGTGCCTGAGCTAACCTTGCCGTTACTTGTAGCAACAGCATACACCCGCCACCTCAACCACCAGTTCAAAAAATGCCCGAAAAATCCACCACTACTAGCGAGATTCGATCGGAGATCTCGTCCGCCTCCAAAGACATCTCCTCCAACGCCCCAATTGCCCTCAAGGCCTCGGGAGTCTTCTTTTCTGGACTGGCAGCTGGAGGAACCCTCATCACCACTCTGTACCTAAGACCCATCTTCAGCCAGATGACCACCAACGCCGCGTATACGGTTTTTAATTTCGTCTACGGCGTCGGCAAGGTGGCCTTCCCTCTGTTTGCCGGTCTGGGAGCTGCTTCTTTCGGAGGAGCCGCCTACATCGAGTCTCAGAGAACACGCAAGGACGTGACACCTCGAAAATGGTACAACCCCTCGTCAAGCACACTTCTGGCCTACTCCGCAGCTTCCCTGGTGGCCATTGTTCCCTACACTCTAATTGTCATGAAGCCCTGTCTCACCATGCTGTTTGACCGACGAGGAGAGGTGGTCAAGGGTGAGGATATTATGGATTTGTTGAACCTCTGGGCAACTCACCATCTCGCCAGAGTTGTCCTCACCTCTGCAGGCTTCCTGGGTGGTATTGTTTCGTTGCTGAAGTGAGCAATGATGTGACTAACGTCTTCGCTAGCTTCTCAACAATACACCGCCCTTGGCTTCCCGGCCAACTACAATTCCCCGTATATATTAAATCAATTATTCCCTACTGATTCCTCAAAATCACGGCTTGTATTTAGGGAGCACTCTGGCATTCCATCCAAAACATTACTGATGCTTAAGAAGGAACTCTCTGGTAAAAGTACTGCTACTTGTAGAGAACGGCAGAACCGGCTTCACTACAGCAGCTCAATTGTTGTATCTAGAATGTATTTTTTCTAGCCTGTATATTAATATATGCGCTCCAGTGATCGAGTGACTGGGCACAAGCTCTGTACCCTGCAGTGCGTTCATCTATGTACCATGAACCCCGTCTAGCAAACGCTGCTCATTCTGAGACTCACACGTTCACAGCAATTTCTTGCATGCGCGTTCGTTATCTGGCAATGTTCTCCACCACAGCCTGCTCTTGGGGTGTCAATCTCTGCCAAATCTCATAGAACCCTCCCACATTGTTAGCGGCTACGGTCTGGAAAAACTGTTTCAGGACACTCATGGTCTCCTTGTTATCAACCAAATCCGCCTTGGCATCATTCTGAGCCCAGTGAACTAACTCATCCAGTCCATCGAGTTCCTCCCACTCGTCGTCTCCCTCGTCCACCTCTTCCACTGGCACCGCATGCCCGCCTGCGTTTGACTCCTGCTCCTGTCGATTAATGTCGTTTTCGCACGATTTGAGATCCTCAATCAGCATCTCTATGATCTTCTGCTGTGCCGAAATCTGCTCGTAGGTCTGCATTCGCTTGGCCATGGACCGAGTGACAACCACGCCGGCCTCCACAGGAAGAGGACGGCCATCAACAATCATCTCCATGATTCGGGGGTCTTGCAGCTTGAACAGAGAACCAAGAGCAGTCACAGAAGGGAGAGAAGAAGTTGACGAGTAAATGAACTTCTCAAACCAGTTCTTCAACAGAGCCTCCAGACCGGTCTGGACACCCTTGGGAGTCTCAAGCTTCATATCGGCAAGCAGATTCACCACACTCTCGGGCGACTCTTCGATGAAATGACAGAAGACGAGAATCAAGTTTGTGACTTGCAGAGGCTTGTCGGCAGTTCCCAGTCGTCTGGCAGTAGCATCCAGAATCTCTGTGCTGATAGCACCCAGCTCATTGTGGTATTTGTCGATAACAGTCGTGATGAGCTTGCCAATGAAAATAGGAGCATTATCTCCCAGGGCAGGGTTGAGCAAGTGTGCAATATACTGCACAACAACTTGTCCTCCTGACTCGTTACCGACCTTGTACGCAGCGATTTCAGCCGAAGCTCGCTCAACCAGAACCTGAAGAACTGTGGTAGTTGATTGAAGCACATCAGCGTCGCCAGAACGCAAAAAGGGAATCAGAGCAGGGAAAAAGAGGTTCACAAACCCATGGGGAAGAACCTCGGTAGGGGAGTTGTTCATAAGATTGGTCAGAACGTCCATGGCAGTCTCAGATGCAGAAGTATAGCCTCCCTCCGCCTGGTTGAGGAACTTTGTGATATAGGGGGCACATTGTTCGGCGATAGAGAGGTAGTCCTGTTCAGAAACGTCACGGGACATGTGGTCAATGGCCGAAGTCACCTGTTCTCCAGTCTGCACGTTACCCACGTCGTCTTCAACGATATCGAACAGCAGGGGGATCACATTGGGCACATTGGGCTGCTTTCTGACTGCCACTACCAGAGCTTCACAAAGAACTGCTGGAGTATCGTCATCAGCGTCAGGAGCAAGTCTAGCCACTGTTTGGACAATAGTAGGGGCACTCACATCAGGAGTAGAGTCCTTGATGAGCGCCAATAGAGATGCACAGGCGGCCAGATCGCTTGGATCATCAGGTTGGCAAGTGTAAGGATCACACAGGTAAGCTCTAGCTCTCAGAATAGGTTCATTAGAAGTAGCACTTTGAGCAACGAGGTCAGGAAGGCCTGCCTTTCCGTTACAGAGATACAACCAGGACTCCACGTCCAGCCAGTTATTATGGGGCACGTTCCAGTTAATGTTGATGTACTCACACCAGGTCTCAATCACCTGCAGAGCGTTGTATCTGAGCGAGGTACCGAGAAACAGGTCCGATTCTTCCGTCACAAACACGTTAAAGTCCTCCCAGGACTCGATCTTGGGGCCTGACAGAGTAGCACACTTGTGAATGGCGTGTGTCCATTCCTCCATGTACGACGACTTGATGTTGGTGGCCACAGCAGTTTGGGAAGATGCAATGTCAATAAACAGCAGCAATTGGGCCAGAAATGCGACCAGCTCGTCGTCCGGATTCTCCAGAGTCTGTCTGTAGACGTTGGCTGCCTTTTGAAGGGTTTCCAAGCATGCCTGGAATACTGGCAAGATGCATTCGGCGAAAGGCTTCGGGGCAAAGTTCCGGAAGTCCTGCAGAGCCAGCACGATTTCTTTGTTGAGAGAGTACGCGTCTTTGTTGATATCTTGCTGCAAGATAGGCACGAAGAGCTGGCACCAGCCCTGAATGGCGTGGTACACAGTTTCGTTGTTAGTGTCTGTCATGGCGAAGAAGTTCGTAGACACTCGCAGAACAGCGACAGCTTCGCACTTGACGTCGTTTCGAGGGTACGAAGCGACCACCTTGTGTAGCATGGTCATAATCTGGTTAGCAATGCCGAAAAACTGGATCTCCGACAGTGTGTCTGCAAATAGTTCTTTCAGTAGTTGCAGTCCGCCCATGGGTGCGGTTCCGGACTCGATCAATTGGACCACCTGGTCAATAAGAGTGGGCCATTCGTCTGGGAACTCGCAGAAGGCGATTTTGGCCAGGCACTGGGCCGCCAGGTTCTGGGTGTCGTGGTCGGCCAACAGAGGGCCAATGAGTGCAGTTTTCACCCGGCTCTTGACATCTTCGGGAAGCGGGTAGCCTCCAAACTCCTCGTACGCAATCGACCAGGTCTTCAAGATGACTCGTCGTAGCAGCTGCAGGGCCAGTTGTCGTGTTCCCGAGGGGTTGGACCCGTCGTCTGATTCAGAGATGAGAGCTAGAGCAAAGTTGGCGGCGTGTTCAGGTGAGGTCAATGAGTCGAGTTGGGCCTCGGCGGCCTTGATCCGCGCGTTATCCGGTGCCTGGATGTCCAATAGAAGCTGTTTGATGGACGTCATGGCGTTGTACTGGTAGTAATTAGCTTAGGGGTAAATTTACGTGATATCATGCATACTAAAATATCTGGCGGATAGGGTTTCGCGTTAGGGCAGCAGCAAGTCACTTGGAGAGGTGGAATAAGAGACTGGGGAAGGCTGAGAAGAGTTTGAGGAGATATGATACGAACTGGGGTCAAGGATCTGATGACTAATGCAGAGTAAAAGGGTGTAAATTTGCAAGCCGTGATTCTATTGATTTTTTGACAGTAGATTTGGATTTAGGAGACAGTTACGTATCTTTCTTTTGATACCATTATACATACTCATACATACTGTACATGACTTCGTATGTTGACGCGGGTTTTTCTGTGGACAGTTTAACTAAAATGCAAACTAATTAAAACGAGGTCAACTAATCTTCTTTCTTCTGTATATCCCCCATAAAAGTCGCTGTATTTTGCGGAATGGAATCAAACAAAAACTAATGATATATCAATGACCTAATTGATCTAATCCGCTTACTAATTTCATCCACACTCCTCCACACCCCCTCGTACTAGTCCACTGATACGATGCACTGATAACGGTTATTTATCTCCGAACGGTGATATATTTTTTCGTGTCTCACACAAGGCATTGGTTTTGATATCGCTGGAGTCTCCAGGGTTAAAGGAGTTGATTCAGGTGTATATCTTTTGAAAATCCACAGCAAACCCCGAGAAACGATGTCCAACGACTTTCTTCTTTGTGCGAACAAGTACATGCGACGGATTGTACTGACGGTAGAGGATTCACATCACAGCAATGAACGGTGCTTCTACGCCATGTACTTGTACACTGTACTTGTACTTGTAGGAGTTTGTAGGTACTGTACCTGCAGAACCGGTATCATATTTCACACCAATTGTCTGGAATCATGGCCCCTATATTTCGTCAGTGCCTAAAATCGGCGTATCTGAGCCACTTGTACGTACTGTAGCGGCCCATAATATCACTGGACAACCTCCACTCCACCTTCCTCTCAGCATGCAGCCACCCATGCACCAATTGTCCTATCATTGTGTGCGATTGTGCAGCAGTTTGAGTGTCAATTGTCAGTGCCGAGCATCAGATCTCAAGTAGTTTCATATAAAATACTTGCTGAAGTCCGTCTTCTCGTTCTCACCTATTAGCAGCCCAATTCACCACCTGTCTCTCTTTTATAACCACTTTTATTGTAGCCCTCCATCTTCTCCAAGAACACTCCAACAAGTCCGATAAAGTTCTATATGACCGCGCCTCCTTGGATGTAGACCAGGAGCTCTAGAACGGTGTAGGAAAGGGGTAGATGGGGTGGGTTTTTTTTATTCTGGCCAATTACAGAAGCCTTTCTGACTCACTGAACAAATGCCCGTCTCTCTGAGCTCATTATAAAATCCCGAAATCCAGACACCCCAAACACCTAACCCTATTGACACCTCATTAATAACGCTCAAGGGCTTAGACGCAGCATACCGTAACTACGACACTCAGTACAACATGTCTTCAGACGGAGCCTCCCCCTCGGAAATCCTGCTGGACGCGGCCCGCCGAAACAACGTTGAGCAGCTCGAGAGCGTGCTCTCTGGAGGCGCGGCTCTCATCAACGAGTCGCGTGACCCTCTGGGCAACACGGCTCTTCATCTTGCTGCTGCCAATGGCGCCTACGACACCCTGGACCTGCTGCTGGACCAGGAGGGCGTCGAGGTCGACCCCGTGAACCGAATCAACGGCGACACTCCACTACATCTGGCTGCCCGGGCCATCGCCAAGGCTCCTGAGGTGTCGGTGGCCATTATCGACATGCTGGTTGATGCAGGCTCGGACGTGAAACACGAAAACAAGGAGGGGCTCAAGCCCATCGATCTGGTGTCAGAAGAAGACACACAGCACGGAGAAAGTTTACGAGCAGCCGAGATGGCGTTGCTGATGGGAGATGGTGGTGAGTACAAACGGGCACTACCGCGCCAAGCGGTGAAGTGTGAGAGAGCGCTGGGTACACCTAGCGAAGCGAAGACGGACTATCCCACAGCTTGCCAGACTAAATCTGCACGGATCACCATGACTCAGTCAGAGACGCAAAATCATGGCGATTTCATACACCCTGCAACAAGGCAGATTGTGGTTGCTGTCTGCGTCAATGCTGTTCCTTGTAGATCTATCTGTGTTGCCTGTGTCATGTATGCTTAGACAACGCGTGGAGTGTGGAGTTGGGGAAGGCTATATTGTGTGGTGGCTGAGAATTGGTTGACGGAGCCTGAGGAGTGCTACGGTCAGTTGTCTTAAAGGGAAGCAGGTGGCGCAATTGAAACTATTAGACGGGTAGATCGCTATCAGCTCTTTTTCTAAATCAATTGCTTTCTTGTAAAAGCTGTTTTTTACTACCCCATCTGATACCCCGAGCCTTGGAAGCCATACATCATTCCAGCATTCCAGCTAAATGATGTGCGCATTGGAATGTGTTTTACTCAATTCACATTATCTCAGCTTGATGGTGCCTCTATGGCTGTGATGTTACTACGGCCTTGTCCCTCACGGCGCGTTGCGGTGGCCATAGCTACTCTACTCGCCAAACCCGATACTACAAGTCACTCGCTCACAAGATTCTTCGCTGCACTCTGAATGACACACCCTTCATTCGATACTAACACAGACGACGCTGGATTCATTGGCGAAGAAGACGACGGAGGCGAGTCGGAATAGACTGCCCGGTACAATACAATTTTGTAGAAGTAGATGCATATATGAGCAACAAAACAGAGGCCGAGTGATTTGCTATGTAAATGTAGGATGGTTGTTAGTTCAGGTCACTTGTGGCTATTCTATCTGCTTGTGTGTGGCTACTGCATGAAGAGGTGGCTTCATGGTCCACAATGGATAACCGTTCAATACTATAGTATGTACTTGTATCGAGCTATCGAACTAGACTAGATCATCATCTGTGTGTGAATCAATGCATTATAATGTTCTATTTGTTCTCCAATGTCCAGCAATAAGACTGCGCTCGAGTGAAGCCCCTTCGTTCAGTTTGTGATTCAAGTATCTTAGTTGACCCCACCGAGTAACCAACAATTAGTTGAGAATCCCCGGCTGAATATCGCCAGTCTCCTTCTCATTGTCACCACTCAAGCGAAAATTATCTTTGCAAGTGCAATGCCAGGCGTGAAGAGCTGTATGGCCCATCTGGATTTTCTCTGTACGGCCGACACAGCATTTGGCGCTGTAGTAATCATCGAACTGCGAATCTTTCAACAACGGTTTAGTCGCCATCCAAATGGCCTGTCTGGATACCTTTGATGCGCTTTGTGGATTCATGTTTGTCGGTTTATGGCCCATTTTGACACCATTCAAAACCACCTCATTCCCTGTATTGATTGTCCAGATGATACTACTGGCCGAGGGTTTCCTTCCGGGCTCCTGAGAGTATGCAAATGTAGTATCCGTGGTGATTGTGTCAAAGTACCGAGGCTTTGGCGCTGTGCTCTCCACTTCCTCTCCGTCCAAAGTCCGCTTTATGCCCTGTTCCAGTCTGTCTCTGAACGCTCTTTTGATTCCAATATCATTACCAGCTGGAACCACCAATTCATCGAGATACACCTGCTCGAAAACACGCTCTACCACTCCCATTACCACCCCAGTATACTGCTTCATGGCCAGCTTGTCGCTGCAGCTTTTAGACAGAGTCATAGGTGAGTCCCTTCTGCCTGGTTTGGTGCGCACTCTTCCAGTTGTGGTGTAGTATTCTCTTCCACGAAGCACACAGTCTTGAGGAGCAGCTCCCCAGTCATCATCCGCGTTGTCCTGTATGCATTCCATGCTTGAATCGCCACAGGGAAGCTCACTGATCCATAAACTGACCTTGAAATGTGGCTTCAGTCTCCTTTTCCCGCTCTCGAGAGTCTCGACGTACTCAGATTCGGCCTTCTTGCCCTCCTCAATTAGAAACACGTTGAATGCCCGTAAAACGAGAATCTCAGCATGCATATCGTGCAGTAGAAAGCCATTACTACACGATAACTTTTCGTCTGGGGTGGCCTTGACACCTGTGCAAAGACATACACAGGTGGACGAGTCATCCATGGTGCTAGTCAGCACTAGTCCTGCTAGAGTCGTCCATTCGGGCACGTTGTTGGTGCGAACCAGCGGCTTCCCCTTCTTGGGTAGAGAGTTGAACTTGTCTATCACAACCTGGGGTATCATGCAACTGTGGAGGGTATATGGAGATTGATCTGGAAGGTCGGTCGTATAACAATCACGTACTGTATAAGAAGCACGGCTGTCTGGTCTGTTTCCTGATGCAGTAGCTCAGAAGAGGTATATATTGAAGTGTCGTTCTGTTGTGTATAAAAGAATCGACATGAAAAAAGTTTCTTGTTGGAACTTCTACATACAGTACAGATGGGGTTGTGAGCAGAAAATGGAATATTTCAGTATCTAAAATGATGAGTTTCAATGGTTTAAATTATGAGTTTCAATTATTTTATTTATCATTTCGAAAATATCTCTCAATATCTTGATTTTGCAGAGATCTAAAACGTGATCTTCAATATATATCCACTTACAGTGCACCCATTTACCATGTCTCCTCAAAGTGGGTCAAAAATGAGCCAATTAAAACGGGAGAAAAGAAAATATACAACATTAGACTCCTTTATGTTTATTCTATAGACAAAAATCGTCATTCATCTGCTTTTTTCTTTTCAAAAATCTCTACTTTTCAAGCCGTCTCCATAAGCTCCAACTCTAAAATCAATTTCCACTCACTGTACGTGACGCGTCTCATGATCTAGTACAAGCACTCATCAACACCACACTACACCACACGACTATGGACGCCAAAGAGTACCTGACGGTGGCGATTTCCGGCGAACAGCTTTCGGTCAGCTATGCGATGCTAAGCCGCAAATTCGACATTGCACCGAAACAGGCTCGCGAAGTACTCACCGAGTACGTGGAGTCCAACAAGAGCGACAACTCGCTGCACGTCACATACTGCCTGCGAGGCGTCAAGAGGCACGGTGTCTCGACGATTGAGCTGTGTGACGGCTCTGAGATCGCCACAAAACGATCCGAGTTCAACGAGCCTGTTTCGCAGCTCATTTACTCGGTGTCGGCCTCTCCAACCACCACGACCATTCTCTATAACATGGCTCTTGAGGCGTCGTCTATGGGTCCTAACAAGTTTGCCATTGTGAGTGAGCTTGTTGAAGGCGTTGATTTGACTCCCACCAAGCCCGTCATAAAGGATGATTCGCCTCCTGTGGCAGCAGCTGCTTCTAAGCCCCTTATTACGACTGCTCCTGCCAAGAAGCCTGCTGCTAAACAGAAGCCCAAGCTGGATTTCTTTGGTGGTAAGAAGAAGGAGGCCAAGGAAACGACGCCTGCGAAGCACGAGAAGAAGGATGATCACAAGGAGGCTGTGAAGGACGTCAAGAAGGAGACTACACCCATCAAGGAAGAGAAGGCGGCACCCGTCAAGGAGGAAAGGAAGGAAACCAAGGCACCCAAGGGCAAATCCGTCCTAGACGCAGTCAAGGAGGGCAAGAAGAACGAACCCAAGCCCAAGGAGCCCGCGCCTAAGTCAAAGAAACAGCTGGAGGCTGAAGAGGCCGAGAAGAAACGACAGAGGGAGCTGGAGGAGGCATTGTTTGCAGACGAGGATGAAGATTTTGATATTCCCGTGAAGCAACCTGTGAAGAAGGAGGAGCCTGAAAAGGAGACCATCAAGGAGGAGCTCCAGGAGGATCTGGAGAAGGCCGAGAAGGATACATTGACGGATGCCCAGATGATTGCTGGTGGGGAACTCGACGTTACCACTGAAGACGTTGAGATGGGCGACGATGACAATGGTAACAAGGAGGACGTTGAAATGACCGACGTCCACATGACTAACGACGGAGAGGATGTTCATACCACAACCACCACTGCCAAGAGAGGAAAGAAGAAGGTGATAAAGAAGGTGCAGGAGCTGGACGAGGACGGATACGTGACTTACAAAAAGGTTGAAACGTGGGAGTCATGCGATGAGGATGAAGACGAAAGTGGCCTCAAGGAGGAGGTCAAGAGGGACGTGAAGAAGGAGGTTAAGAAGGAAGTCAAGAAAGAGTCGCCTGAGCCAGCAGCAGGAGCCAAGAAGAGCAAGAAGGCGAATAAGCAGAGCTCTCTGATGAGCTTCTTCAAAAAGTAAATGTACCACCGAGTATTAATGCATGTCATAGATAGTGGAATGGTTGAGTGGCGCAAGTTTGAGGGGGAGATTACTGTAGGTGCGAATGGCTGTGTCTCTACCTGCTGCTTGACTCAAGGAGGTGCACCTGAAGTTCAGCGTCAATATATCTGCATGAAGTGTTCGATATCCGTTCAAGCGAGATAAACAAGTAACAAGTACTTGCAGTTCTTCGTTTCCCTATAGTGATCTATTTCTTTAGTTCGTGCTCGTATTAGTCGTACCATGAATTATCATAATTTGTCGGATCTATACCTCTCTAATATGGGTGGCCTATACCTCGTGACAGAAGCAAATAGTTCGTAGTTATCATCCACACGATCTCTTTCATCTGATGTTGTGCCCTCTACACCCTAATCTCGGTCGCACTTCTGATCTGATAACTTTTATCAGATTACGCGTGACGTCATATAGCACCATCTACAAGTAGCGCTGCTGGGTGTAACTCACAGACCTGTACAACTGATACCATCTCCTCTCTATGAGCAGCTAATTAGTCCAGGTAAGACACTAGAGACCCACGCACGTGACGGCAGTTACCCGGTCCAGTCAGACTATCTAATCAAACTGAGATTGAGGAGAAAGTGAACACCAAAGCGTAGGCGAGTACGACGAGGTACCTCTATAGGGTAGATTTGGGGGCTTGAGCGAGTTGATTGGGACCGAGTGACAGCAGCGATCTCTCGCTCAGCTCATTCTTGCTCTTGACGGCTCTTCTTTGTTCCTGCCATCCCATATGTTTACCCCATTCAGCATTCATAGGGAAGCTACAGCTATACAAGTACCGGAAAACAGCAGACTAATTACAACCCAAACCGGAAGTGTGATTGCCATTGAGATGAAAGCAAGGCAAAAAATAATGGCAGAAATTAATCAACCCGGCCGAAATTGATAATATCGATGAATCTGGCGCGCCTAACGAGAATACCTGCACATCTGATAACCGAACACCACCACAGCCCAGTAGAACTACACAACCACCGACTCTCGACCACTTCCAACCCCCCTTCTACACTCTTCTCTGCGACAACACACAATCACCTGGCATGCGTCCACGCTGCAAAACACGCCGCCACCAGGAATGCGCGCTTTACGTGTTTAATGAGCTACGCGTAAAGTATAGAGTTGGAGATAACGATACCTCTAAAGCGAGATTGAGAAGGCGTGTGGGGAAATGGAAACATGATCCAGAATCAGCCAGCTCACATGACCACATATGTATAATATTTTCCCACCAAAAAAAGCCACACCCCACTTCTCCACCACTGATCCCTTCCTCCCTCTCGACCCTACCTCTTCACCCGCCTCAACTCTAACCTTGCACTCGCTTGGGTCGTATCCCATCTGATTAAAATTATCAGATCCACATGCATCCTACGTGCATCATCTTAAAATGCCAGGTGGCACCTGGTAGGTCGCAACTATCTCGCGAGCGCGAAACCACACTGGAAAAAAACCACCCTCAATGGATTCGCCTCACTCGTGGCTACACAGCACTCAGTTTGTTTGTTATATTCCCGTTCGGGACAGCCGAAATTGGGCGAAGTAATTAAACTCTATTGCTGGCGTAGATATCTGGGTGTGGAGGGACGCAGTGGAATCTGTCGAGAGTTCCGAGACTTTAGCTGGATTCCTCGCGTCTAGGCGGTCGAGTCAACACCCTTAAAGTCCAATTCGGAACACTATTTCCAAAATTAGACCCCCACCTAGTGTTTCTGATTGTTTAGATAACGGACCTTTGAGACATCCAGATGGAGTATACTACAAGTTCGTTATATCAAAAGTATGCCTCTGGTACAAATAATCCACTGGTCTTGCTCTCATCTGCTCACCTCTCCTATATCGTTCACAATACTCCAAAGTAGCGGAATCTCGCATACCGTCATACAACTTAAACAGAAGCACCCGTTGGGTGCATCTGCGACGCTAATCAAACCGAAACTTGCGCCCATGTCCATGTGTCGCATTCTATGGCATTGTATGTTTATGGTACCTCATGTAGCGTATTTGGGTTTATGGCTGTGTATGGGTGTGATTTGAGGTGTAGTTATTGAGAGCAGTGGGCATCTGATTAGAAAAATGAGTGCATTAATCAACTCTGCTTGGTTTCAGCTCTCGAATCATATATTCAGATCGCAAAACTGTTGAGCAGTAATCCTACAAATCCCTACCCCCTTTCCTACAATCATAATTCTCCATCTGAACGTTAATGGTTTGTAAACAAGACGGCAATATGGCTGTGAAGACGGATTTCGGGGGAAATTTGCAGTTATCTTACCAAACTAGACGTTCTTATTCTATATTTCATATCAGTTTCTCTTCAGCTCTTTCTGGCGACTTTTCCAGCCACTATTTCCGCCTCTCAGCCCACATTCAAGCCACCAAAAGCTAGGTTGGCGCACTGCATGACCTTGCCTTAGTCTGCAGCCACTTTGATCGGCTAACTTTTGGAGATGTGTATAACACAAGTATATAAGAGGGGGCGTTTGTCCCGGGGTGTTAGCTCTGCAGTCTTCCCACTCCTCTCTTCACCGTCTTTCACACACTCTTCGCCCGTCTTCTGACCACGCCCGTCTTCTGACCACACCCGTCTTTCACACGTCTTTCACACGTCTTCACAGCCCTCCACGCAATGCTCCGAATCGCCTCTCGACCTCTTGTCAACACTGCTCGATCTGCCCGGGTGGCTCAGACAATGCGAAACCACTCCACACACACTACCCAATCGTCCAGCACCCTGCTGCTGAGCTATATCGGCCTTGCCTTTGCCGGCGCCTTTGTCTGGCCCCTCAAGGAGTCTCTCCGACACTAACCATCAACCACATTGCCTCATCCTCTCATTTATCATGCCATAATTTATCTATTTTATTCTCATTCAAAGCGGTGCCACCCACAAGGTTGTTCCGTGGGATGTCCGTACTGTAGGAGGGAGGAGGAGAAGAGATTGCAGCAAAAGTGAACTTCAATCCAAGGTCGTATCTGTTATCGCCCACACGCCCACACTCCCACACTTGACCCTGATAGCGCTGTACCAGCGTCTGATAGGGTGTCGTTAAAGCCAGGACGGGCCCGACGATGAAAAGCCGTTGAATTGAAACAACCCCTACATTTAATTTCCAATAATAATAACCCACCAGAACCACGTCACTCCTGATAGTTGCATCAGCTGTAGCTAACGCAATAATTTCTGTCATTACCCAACACTGTACCTGATTGTCCACATGATGTCAACATAAAGTTCCAAACATAACCTTGACGGCGGGGAGGGGGAGAATGGAGAGGGGATTAGGGCCTGTTTTCGTGTGACAATGTACTGATTTTTTTGGATATTATTGTTCTACGTACACATTTACCTGGATTTGGAACTTCTGTAGATCTTCACGGCCATTATTTAGCCCTCCAGAGACACCCCCCAACGCCCTCTGAATCACCCCATTTCCTTGTCTCACTTACAATCCCCAAGGTTATCACGTCATTTTTACGCATCACACGCGGGGATCGAACTGGGGATGTTGACTAGTGTTAGAGTATATAGTATAGTATGAAGGTTGGTTTAGTTAAAGAAATAGTTAAAAAATTACAAGACGTGATACGTGAAAAAATACCTCTCTTAGACCCGAGACACCAGCCACACCAATATGATACCAAATATGTACTCTTCCATTACACTTAAACCCGTTGGACATTCATATATCCATCCTCTGCTCAAACTAACTTCACCTAACCCAATGCTTGCTACTGAGGTAGGCCAGATCAAGGCACCATCAGGTCCTGATGAAATACTGTCCAACTTCTCCAAAGACAAGATAAACACCACAACTGTATTCCTCTCGCTGCAACAAATCCATTGCTTTTTTCCAAATCCCCGCACCTCTAAAACTCGCTAAACTATCTTCAAAAAACACCTAAATAGCCTCCCCACTCCACCATCTCACGCCTGCAAACTCTCAGTGTCATTTTCCACACCCCCAAACCCCATCATGAGCCCGCAAATGACCACCGAGCAGGCCGCTGCTCTGGAGAAGAAGGAAATCCGTGAGGACAAGACCCCCAAGGAGCGCAATGGCGTCCCTCTGGATGACGTAGCTCTGCAACAAGAAGGCAAACCCCAGGCTGCTGAGGCCCCGGGAAACCTCGCCAACTACGACATGGTTGAGCCCGAGGAGGACGTTCCCATGCCCAAGAATGTGCCTCTTGATGATGTGGCTCTCAAGGAACACGGAGACGTCAAGGCTGCGATGGCCCCTGGAGATGACTAGAGTGGAATCAGCATGGATCACAACAGGAGATTATCGTGCTTGATCTTATAGCATATATGATCAAGCACTATTGGCATTGTATACTACGACTAAGAGATGAGTTATGATTGAGTGTTGGGAGTCAGTAGATTGCGAGTTGCTGTAGCTACAGTTGATATACCAAAGGGTCGAGATAAATGTGAGGTCTATTGAGTCGATCACGATCGATATGATATTGATGGAAATGACTAAAAGTGAATCAGACAGTCAGTTTGTTGGTATCAACATTGTTGAGAGTATTTCCAGCTACTGTGTGTATTATAATAGATCCCTCTCGTTTCTCTTTCAATTCTTTATTAATATAGTTAGTAAACAGATGGGCTCCACCGTCTTCTCGTCTAGGATTTCACCTCAGGAAGACCAAGAAGACCTCGAATGGCGTTTCGGGAGTACAGAATGGTATCTCGGACGTTTTCAATAGTAGGGAAGCCGGCCGCCAGTTGCTGACTAACGCTCTTGAGAGTGTTTTGGAGGTTCTTAAGGTCAGCAGCCCAGCTCTGAGCAGACCAGTCGGAGTTCAAAATGGAGTCGGTGAGCTGCAAGATGGCCAGACCGGCGGTGGTAATAAAGCTCTTGAGTCCAGATTTGATGAAAATGTCGGCAAAGATCTTGGTGAATCCTCCAAGACCGTTGTAGCTTTGCAACCAAGAGACGAAGTCGTTGAGGAAGCCCTGGGCCTGGAGAAGGAAGGTGGTGATGGACTGGCTGAGGGTCTTCTTGTCTCCGTTCCAGAAGGCTGTAAAGCTCTGGGTGAAGAACTTAATACCCTTGGTGGTGATATCTCCAAACAGGTCGATGAGAGTCAGCACGTCAGAGATGGCTCGCTCCTGGACGGCAACGGCGTGGAAGTCGTCAATGAACCGCTTAGTGATCTCCTTCTGATCCTCGGAGGGGAACTGAGCAAGATGACGAGAAGTCAGAAGATGCAGTCGGCTGAGAGTGTCCTCAGCAGCAGGAGCTGCCGAAACGACGGAAAGGCAGGCAACAGTAGCGAGTTTGGAGATACGGACCATGGTAGAGATGTATGGGAAGCAAACGGAAAAGTCTCTGCGTCTATATATACCCGGTTTACCGATTTCTGAACATTTATAATGTCTTGTTGAGGACTCTCCAGGTTAGTAGCACCACTAGCTAGACTAACAGGGGTATGGTGGGGTTATTGTGATAATGGGGGGGGGGAACGTGGTGGCAAAGGGGGAGACTGGAGGGAGAGAAGCATTGCCCTCCTCTTACCGGTATCTTGCAAACTGGAGATGTATGGTGTTTGAGGGTGACATATGTCATACCTCATGTTCAACAACTCTTCCTCGCTGGCATATCAAACAGGCTGTCTCGGGTACTTACAATAAAAGTACAGTACGACAATGATACAACCAATTCATTGTTCTTTTTTTAGTCTGAGTTTTCCAAAAGTCGACTTCATCACTGCCTACAAGTACCTGGCTGGTATTGATAGCAGGGCAATTATACCCCAGTATCAGAATAGCTCATGTACTATTTTAGTCTGAAGTGAGGTTTTGAGTGGCTAACCGAGGGTAGGAGATTTTCACCACCCCAGTTTGATTCCTTCTTCTACCTTCCAGGTTGTCCTGGTTATATGTCATGTCTATACGAATCAGTATGTTGCCATCTGTCTCGTATTTCGTTCGTATTTCGCTCGTATCAGCAACTCAAACATACTTAACTGTGAAAATCAACAGCCTGTACAAACAAATTTCTAGCTAATGACGAACTAACGGTTTCACCAACTTAGCCCAACTTGCAGGGGTCCCCCGTTAGCTCCTGCTAGTGTTTTACCATAACTACTTGCCTGGAATATCCGTACAATTGGCGTTCTTTATGACACTCTCAACTGACACTTAACGTCACATCTGGCCTACGATTGTCTCATAACAGTACCCCATGTACTTCCCACTGGTTTCACCAATGCACTTGGTTGCTGGCCGTTAAAACGAACAGTTGAGGTGGTTATGGGGAGCCAGAAAAGATTGGAAGTTGACATTAATAATTCTCTCGGCATGATGAACAATATGTGTCACTCTCAAGTATCTTGTAGCAGCAAAACTGACCAAAATAAGTCCCTGACATCTCCATCTCGCATGTGTCATGCTGCACACCCCACACGCGCTAAAGTCGCTTTGGAGCTGCCCTTTTGGGAACAATATAGTGGCCTAGATCTGAAGCCACCATCAAGTCGCTCGCTTTTGTTACTCAACCTGGGTTCTTAATCGGCGCTAAGAAGGACTAGTGGGTGCTCCTTTCTGTTAGTCAATAGGTGGGGTCGGTTATTGTTGCCTCCGTGAGAGAGGTAGTTTGCGGCTTTTGAGTGTGATGCTGGTACTACAAGATAACGAGATCCACTGTTCCCTGATGTAGTTCCATATCAATTGACCCCTACAGTGCATGTAGAGTATGTACTGTAGAGATCATGTACTGAAGACAGGTCTCTGTCTGATCTGGGCGTCCCATGGATATGAGACAATTCCCAGTGGTTAGGAGTGGTTAGGGAGGTTGGTGTTTCAAATTTGGCCGTCTGATCTCTTCATTGATCTTTGCAAAACACAACTAATCTCATTTCATTTCATTAATCTTTGTCACCAACACCAGACTCTTTACACATTGAGTCAACTTTTTTCGAAGCCGAATTCTCCAGCTCACGGAAAATCTTCTGATATAATCATACCTTCGTGTCTCTATACTTGTTAGCTCACTATGACCTCTTGCTAACTCATGCTCAGGCATCTCTATATCAGCGAGGTCGGCAATTCCAGCTGGATTCGAAGATGCTCCAGCAATACCTAGTTGATACTTGACTTTGATACTCGAACACTACCACTGTATGTTCTCCATGACCGTCCAAGTCGATTTTCCCTTGTACAGTATGTACATACCTGTCTGTTGATGATGGCTCTGTTGATGACGGTAGCTCCGTTACTGCTAACGAGGGGTGGTGTATCATTTCTGTGACTTGTTTTGTTGGTTAAATCTGGAATGCCGCTCTGGAAAAATCCCTAGAATGACTTCACTTGTTCACTTGTCTCTCCCCAATCTCACTTTGCTACAGTCCCTTGTTCTACAGAATGGAGATCGAGATGACCCCTGAGCCTACCATTGGTCTTTTGACAATTGAATACATGTACCCGTCCGCGAGCAACGACGGTTCCGACTGAACCCCAACCAGTGCGACTGTGCCTTCAGTCTATCCAACCTGAAAACCGGGCGTACTGTACACAGTAGTACGTACAATACTACAACCCTTGATCGCAAACACTTCATTGTATCTATAGATTCATGTAGACAAAGAAACCACCCGATATCCAGACCACCAGATATCAGACCACCAGATATCCAGACCACCAGGAATCACCACAGGACTCTCATCCTCTCTACAAACAGCCCCCCATGTGGCCCTGTCTATTTCGAGTTTTTCCGAAACTTTCTAATCGAGCGCCGGTTACTGGTCGATCACTATTTATAGTTATGGAGCAAGTGTTAAGCGAGGTTTCTAGGGTGTCTTCTGTGGGCTATTTATTGGGCGAAAATGAAAACCAACACAATAATTGTGCTCTATGAGCTACTCCGAATCGATTGACATAGCTCATTACCCGCCTACTGTTCTCCTTCGCTATCCACGGGTCACCCCCTGATGAACCTTGACGATGGGCGGACGTGGCTGAGCAGGAGCTTCCTAAACTGTATGTAGCCCGATCCAGTGAGCCTGTGGAGGTCTGGAGAGCCGGTGGCTGGATGTGTGTTGGAAGAGGCATGGATTACTGGTTTGGGACACGTGATCTTCGGATTTGCACTCCTCCAAGTCCTGTTTGGCCCCACATTTGAAACGTCAATGCAACCTACCTACATACAGTATCGTTCAACTTACATGTACCTTGGGCAGGAACAATACAAGGGGTTTATTGGGGGGATTGTAGAATGACTAGGGGGAGAGATTTTCGGGGTTTAAAAGTTGGAGAATGTCCAGAAAAGGCCCACAAATCCATTGTCGCTTTCGGATCAGAAATCCGTCCACTCCTCGACCCACCGTCGTCTCCATTTCCACGGCGTCCGCCCACATGAGCCTGCATGAACACGTCGCACTAACTTAGCTGTGTATGGAATAGTTAAAGTGCAGTGTACGCGTCAACTCCCCTTTTTCTCCACACCACAGACACCACACAACAACACACAACATGTCGCTTATCCAACTCCAATGCGGAGCACAAACATACGACTGGGGCAAGCTCGGATCCAGCTCGGCCGTGGCGCGGTTTGCCGCCAAGTCGGACCCTTCTCTCACCATTTCGGAGGAGACGCCGTACGCGGAGCTGTGGATGGGCACCCATCCTTCGGTGCCGTCCAAGGTGCTGGGCGACACAAACAGCACGACTCTGCGTCAGTTGATTTCTGCGTCACCCGACAAGCTGCTGACTCCCGCCGTGGAGCACAAGTTTGGCCCCGAGCTGCCGTTTCTGTTCAAGGTGCTGTCGATCCGAAAAGCCCTGAGTATCCAGGCCCATCCCGACAAGGAGCTCGGAGCCCAGCTGCACGCGTCCGACCCCGCCCACTATCCCGACGCCAACCACAAGCCCGAAATGGCTATTGCTCTTACCGACTTTGAGGGTTTCTGTGGCTTCCGACCTCTGTCTGAGATTGAGCACTTTCTCGAGACCGTGCCCGAGTTCCGGGAGCTTGTGGGCGACGAGTCTGCGAAGCAGTTTGCTTCCGAGCGATCTGCCGACCCCAAGAAGGCTCTCCAGGCTCTGTTTGGCCGTCTGATGCGGTCTTCAGACGACCTCGTGGCCTCCAAGGCCGCTGATCTCGTCAAGCGAGCCGAGTCTGAGGGCCCCAAGTTCGCAGGTGGCGCTCCCATTGGCGGCACCGATCTCGCCAACCTGCTGGTGCGACTCAACGGCCAGTTCCCCAACGACATTGGCCTCTTCTGCGGCGGCCTGATGCTCAACTTTGTGCGTCTCAACAAGGGTGAGGCCATGTTCCTGCGGGCCAAGGACCCTCACGCCTACATTTCTGGCGACATCATTGAGTGCATGGCTGCTTCGGATAATGTGGTTCGAGCAGGCTTCACCCCCAAATTCAAGGACGTGGACAACCTCGTGGACATGCTCACCTACTCCACTGCCCCCGTGTCCGAGCAGAAGATGGTGGCTCAGTCGTTTCCCCGGGCCCATGGCGCTACGGCTAAGCTGTTTGACCCCCCGATCAACGAGTTTTCCGTGCTGGAGAGCGTTGTGCCCTCAGGAGAGACCCAAACTGTGGACGGAATCGAGGGTCCCTCTGTGGTGATAATTTCGCAGGGTGCAGGCGAGATCACCGTGGCTGGCGAGTCCAAGAAGCTTGAGGAGGGCTACGTCTTCTTCATTGGCCCCAACGAGAAGGTCGAGGTCAAGAGCAGTGGGAAGGAGGACTTGACTCTGTATAGAGCTTTCTGTGAGGTCAACTAAGATGTGGGCTGAACCGCAACTGAAGTTGGGCTGACTGGTTGGATCATGTATTCCACCAGAACAGTGAGCTGGACACTAACACTCTACATATATAGTATAGCTAGTAATAGATGGGATTTGGATTAGAGGAATGTATAGGTACAGCGTACACTGTTATGACGCCAGGTAGTGTATGTACATGTGTAGAAATACTTGTAGTACACACCAATGGCATAACTAGTTGACTTTTTATCCATGTTTAATGACTGCTTCCATATTCCCGTTTCAGGTTTGGTTGGCACGATTCACGCGATTCGCGTTTTCTACGCGTCTTAGTATCTCTGTACGTGTATCATCTACTACGATGCTACAACAGAAGAGATCAAGCAAGAGGATGAAGGCGTGACTGAGGAAAGTCTAGAGAGAGAGGGTAGAAGATAATTGGTGAGATAGAAGACGGTGTCAAAAAGGTTGGATGTTGCTGTCTTGCTCTGATTCAAGAGTTCGAGAACGCCTTCAGGAGAACGCCTTCTAGTCTGCAAATCGGTTCGAGAACATATATTTCACACGGATGATTACATTCCCCTTGGAAAGCAGCTTGCCTAGAACCAAGCTTGTGTGTAATGTTCAGATAATCGAATATTGACGCTTCTACAGATATGTCTGCCGAGATCACAGCCTATCTTCTCCGAGTGAGATCCAAGTACCATCAGTGCGAGTCTACACTTGAATCGAACGAAGGGGCTAAACGGCAATGTCAGCTTAGACTGTCTGTGCCATTGTTAGTATGAGACGTCTGTCAGGAGGGAATTGGACTTCGTCCAGCTGGAGGATCTTGAGATCAAGTCCATAAGCACCCCAGCGTACTGTACCAGGTTCGACAATTTTGAAGTGGATAGAGCAGACGCGTAAATCTGATAACTTATCGTTTGATATCTGGAGATGTAAATGAAGGACGGCATGATGTTGCAGCTATAGTACAGACTCGTACTCTCATTCCCTGTTGGCCAGCTACTGGCGTCAGGTGGATAAAAGCACCGACATATAACGATCTTGAGGTCTACCGGCGTATCACGATCAAAGGGATGAACAGGAGCGGCTGAAAATTTCAACCAAACACGAGCCCAGCATCTTTCTAACAAGCCATTTCCACCCACAGGCTGTTCGGGTGGTAGATGTTGTAGACAAAAGGGAACGGAGAGCTTGGATGGCTAAAAATGAAACATTTAAACGATTTTATCGTATGGCTTACTACATCAGTTTGTCTATTTCTTAGTCTGTCAATAACAAATGCCACCATACCAGTTCCTACTGTACATATAATGTCGGCCAGACTTCACGGTACAGAACATCTATACATACTGTATGAAGTTACAAGTCGGTATAGATATGATAAGAGCATGTGTAGATAAGACAAGTTTGTTACCATCTACCTGTACTACCCTCTGTAGCGACCTTGGAGCCTCTAATAACCCCCATTCCTACTCGACTTAACCCTTCATCCCAAATCATCTCAATATGTTAACCATCTATAAATTTTGTTACTAGCACTGTACCGTATTTACAACTTTACTGATTTCGCTTGTTGCCCTGTTTCCACTTTTTGATTCGTCGCTTGAGATCGCCCCGGCTCTGCTGGTAGATGTTGAGCTCCTTGTCCCAGAACATGCCGTCGATATCGTCTCCATGCTTGTTGATGAGCTGCTCGATCCACGACTGCTCTCGGTCGGACTGAACGTGGGGGTTAGATGCAGCCCGCTTTGCTCGCTCCTGCAAAATCTTGATGGTCTCGGTCTCCTCCTCCTCAGGCTTGTCTTCAAACCCCGTCCATTCCTCCTCGTCCTCCTCATCACTGCCAGTCTGGTGATCCTTGCCGTAGATGACCTCCACGACCTCTCCCTTGTCGTCTCGCACAATAAACGCCTCGCCAGCACCCAGCTTGGGGATCTTTCGCTCGTTGACCACCAGGTTGCTCTTCTCCAGCTCCTCCTGCTCCTGCTGCTCCATCAGGTCCCGCAGCTCCTGGTCATGTGGATTCTTGCCTTGCTGAATTGTGAGCCGCAGAGACTTCTCTCTCAAATCCTCCTCCAGACCCCGGATCTTTCGGGAGCCGGTCTTGGTGGCAAGACCGAGCTTTTTGTAGTTCTGAGCCATGGACAGATTCTTGTCCCACCGCTGTCGAATAATGTCGGATCCCGTCACGACGATCCGCTTGTGGTTGTCCTTGTCTTTCCGGGTCACCTTGGTGATAGATGACCGGTTCATCTTTCGTCTTCGCACTCCAGAAGGCATTTTTGCTTGCTGTGTATGTTGTAGTGTGTGGTAGAGATAGATTGGACCTTGAACCTTTCTGCATAGAAATATTTTTTTAAGCTTCCCCATGTACTCTGCATGTACAACCCGAATCTTATCTCCTAGACGAGGAGGCAGATATCAAGAGGTAATAGCCTCTATAATAAAAATCAGATGCTCTCATTGTGGTATTGGAATCTGTGGTTCCATTTCAACACCTTTTCTGTCAGAATCTGGCCACTTTACAAAATAAACCCTAATTCTGCTACTCCTTCAAACCCCAACAACTTCCTGAATATTTTTCTAAATCCAAATCGGAGCTCATATCCATTCTCCCCTCACTCGTACCTTTCGTTTCGTACCAATATCGCCCATCTTGAAACTTGCACCCCAGTCATCGTGTTTTTGAAAAAATAAATTTTCACTACTCCACATGAACATCGCCAAAATGACGTTTGAGGTTGCCAAAACAGTCGCTAGTGGCTCCGCCGCACGAACAGCTACGCTCAACCTTTCCAACGGCAATTCTATTGCTACTCCAGCTTTCATCACCACTTCTAGCCGGGGTTGTGTGCCCAACCTGACCCCCGACAATGTCAATGTGGACAAGCATGTGCCTGGAGCCGTGGCGGTGGGACTTGAAGACTTTGTGGAGCGTCCCCAGGCCCCGTTGCTTCTGAAAGATGTCGGAGATGAGCCCTCCCGAACCCGTTTTTCACTCCCTGAGGAAGTCAACATCTTCCTGCAAACCCGACGACCTTCCAACGTGCTTCCCAACAAGCCCAATGGCCGAAACATGCTGTCCATGTACTCGTCTGTTGGTGTGGTTGACATTGATATTGACCAGTTTCCTCTCATGGCCAACGCTGTTGCTCCTGAAGTGTTTGTAGCTCCGGCCGATGCATCTGGTCTCAGTCCCTCGGGAGCCTGTCCTGGATCCAATAAGGTCAAGAAGATGGTGATGCGGTCTCAGCGGTGGCTGGAAAAGTGCGTGGCCGACGTCAAGGTCCCTATTTACGCCTCGATTCTGCCTACTCTTCCCGTTTTGCACCAGAAGGAGTATCTTAAGACAGTGGTAGAGAACCAGGATAAGATCAACGGTCTGGTATTCCACACTCGAGCCGAGCACTCTGAGTACCCCGATCAGACCATTGATCTCAGTCGATTCGACTCCACCCGAAAACCCACAGATGCCGCTGCTGCCGAAAGTGCAGCTCGTAAGGCTGCCGCTCAGGGACCCACTGACGGTAATGGAAACCCTCTGGATGTCAAGACTGAGCATCTGACGGGCCCCAAGCCTGTTTTGGACGAGCTCAAGAACCTCGGAATGGGCAAGACGATGCCTCTCTACCACTCTGGACAGTGTGACACTCCCCAGCAGATGCTTCTGCTCATCCAGCAGGGCTTTGATCTGCTGAGCGGATATTCTGTCGAGACCTTTTCGGACGCTGGAGTCGCTCTTGATTTCACCTTTCCTGCCACTCCGGGTGCTGTGTTTGGACACAATCTGTGGGACCCCAAGTTCAAGAACGACTTTTCTCCTCTGGCCGACTCCAACCAGGCCCTCAGTGCACCACATCACCGAGCATACTTGTACCATCTGTTGGACGCGCACGAGATGTTGGGTCACGTGATTCTCGAACAGCATAACCTCGAGATTTACAATCGGTTCCTGGCTGGAGTAAGACGGAGCATTGAGGCCGGCACGTTTGACGCCGATGTCAAGGATTTTTTTGAGGTCTACGGAGATTCAAAGCTGGTGTTGAAGCTGGTTGAGATGGGAGAAAAGTTGCAAGGTAGCCATGGAGCTGATAAGGATCGATTCTGAACGAAGCAGTACGCTTCTGGGCAGAGTGGAGGCTTCCGAATCAAGTGTATCTTCCGGCTCGGACAAGCAAAAAGGACAGATGAAGAGTCGCGGGAATATATAGACGTCTGACAACTGAATCTCAGACGGTGTGTATGTATTCATATGTATTTTTAAGCATTGGTGTAGTATTCGTATTCATACTGGAGACCTATTCAGTCCATTTGCTTGCTCCTGTGTATTACATGCGGACGACCTCATTTCATCTCATACATCTCATTAAATAAGTTACATTTAGGCAATGACCTGACCACCGTTGACCTTCTTGCCGGTCTTGGCGATGGTGGCGAGAACGTCGTCGTAGGAGACGGCGTCGTCTGTCTTGACGAGCACAGACTGCTTCTCAAGGTCGATGTCGACAGAGGTGACACCCTCCTTCTTCTGAAGGACTCGGTTCACAGCGTTGGAGCATCCTGAGTTAGCCAAGAATGGGTTGACTGAGTACAAGTAGTAGACTGGCAGGTCATAGTGGCGTCAGACCAGTAAGATCAATCACCAGTACCAGAACTTTTTTGAAAACAGCATTAAGGGCGTGGTCATGAGCCGTGATGAAGTGCAACCACGTAATCAAATCCACAGGGAATAGATTCATGGACATGAACAGCATTGATCCCGAAGTTTTCGGTTGATTCGGTGGTCGAGCATCATGATTCCTGATCTGTCTTAACACTCATTGAGCAAAAACAGGACTGATAACAGCATTATGACATGGACATTATCACCGAACTTCATACCATGACCCATCTCCATCTTTTGAGAGCTTCTTCGTCATCGTCGTCGTCATCAACTGCTAACTTCCACCACTACCAACTCCACCACTACCAACTCCACTACTACCAACTCCACCACTACCAACTCCACCACCTCCAATCCTACTCACCGGAACAGGACATGGCAACGTCGTACTTGTATTCGTGGGCCATTTTGTGATTGTGTGTTGACAAAGTTGGTGGGACAAGTTGAGATCGACTCTCTGTTAATATAGTCTGCAGCGAAAAGAGCTCAGCGGAATTTAACCTTGGGGAGGACATGACGCTGCATAGACGAGCATTTTTGGTGGAGTGATTTCACGTGACACCAACAGAGCCGTGCTGGAAATACTTGGTCGAGTGGGCATATAATCATGTCTCGTGAGCTATTTAGTTGCGTAAGAACCCGAAATTGTGACATCTCCTACTTTTACTGCAGATCTGATAAATGTCAGTCCAATCTCCTGGGCATTGGCCGAAGATACTGCAACTCTAGGTGCCACAAGTCTGAAATGAAAGTCTGAAATGAAAGGCTGAAAGTCTTGGAGCCAAGCGACAAGTGGTGGTGGAGAGCGACTCGTGGGGCACGGAAGCCTTGTTTGAATGACAGGGCTGACGGTATATTTCACTACAAACCGGGTCTTTCAACAAACAACTTTAGTCTGGCAACTAGAAATCCACGTGGGAGACCCAAACCTCCTCGTCCAACCGCATAAACAGCTCATGAGAGCCGCAGCAAGTGTTTCGGGTGGCACAGGTTGTACTGAGGATAGTTACATCAAATTACCGTTGATGGATACGGTACGGCACGAGTACGGTACTACAAGTAGTAGTATGGTACATGTTGTAGCCAACTCAGGGAGTAACTCAGAGGCAGTATGTATTGTAGTAGACTACATACTGTACATGACTCGTAGAGTCAGCTAAGCAGGAGTCGACTCAGCAAGGCTCGGTAAGACTACTGTAAGTCAGCTCAATTCTAGCCATGGAAGTCCGAGGAGGCTCTGTGTACGAAACTGAGACTGTTCTATGTCGTGATCGTAGATGAGCGGGGAGTATTTACAGTATATATATAACGTCGCACTTGAATAGTATATACAGTAGTACTGTAGTATGTACTGTACATTCGAGTATGTACTGTACATTCGAGTATGTACTTGAATGGTATAGTATAATACTTGAAGGTACAGTATATACCGTACATATTGTACTTAAATGGTACTCGTACAGATTGTGCTAGTAGATTGTCTCTCAGAACAGGTAGCTATAGTATGTACACCACCTACTTACATACTCGTACATACGTACAGTAGCTGATGATATCTGTAGATCTTCCAGTTTTGACAGTTTCAACAGTTTGACAACCTCAAAAGAACCTCCACGATAAGCCGTATTTGAAACTTTGGAACGCAATCTAAGATATCGGACTTCTCCTGTCAGACCATCTCAGCCGCCCACAGGTGCATGAGGAGATGAGGTCAGAGGAGAGGACTGTCGTTTGTTTCGGTGAACGATGACCGCGATCTGTGTGAAGATGAGCTTTGTGTAATGATCATGAGCTCTCTGATATTGATAGTTGTCAGTTTTCAGGGCTCTGTCACTGGCAGCTTTCATCGTGTTCTGACCATCATCAGTGTATGCCACTGCTGTAAAACCCATTCCTTGAACCCCTCACGCAGTCTCCACTGTCTTCAGATTACGAGTGTACGCGCGTCTAGACCAGCTCATTATCATACTTACCTGGTCATACGCCCTCCTTGCTCCTCGTGTATGCAAGTCCAGGTGGTTGTTTTTTGTTGTTTTTTTATTGTTTTTTTATTTTTTGTTTGTCTTTCTTTCTTACTTTCTTTCTTCTTTCTTTATTGTTGCGGTCCAGACTGCGGGTGCCGGAATCGAACCCGGGTTGCTTGTTTTTTGGTGGGGTGACCGAAAGGGAAGGGCGCCATGAAAAGCGCAAAAAACGAGAAGTGGAGCCTTTGAGAACTACAAGTACTGTACATACTGCGAGACTGGGTAGACGACAACGGCCAATTCCAGAATATGAAAATCAGCAGGTGCCGGATGTTGAGGGTGTGGTCGAGGACATCGAAGGTCTGGTGGAGGATGTCGCGGTCGAGAAGCTGTCGAGGAGCTTGTGGGAGCTGATCAAGGAGTTGATCAGAACTGATTCCTGACTGAGTTCGCTCAAGCCTTCCCATCTCGGCAGACGACGTCCTCTTCGTCGTGCTTGACGCATAGATGACCACGTATTGCTCAAACGCCGTACAGACTGGACGCCGACAGAATGCCACAGAATGCCACAGAATGTACCGTATCACGGAGGCAGTCACCTTAGCCGCTCCAATATCGTTCTATATCGTCGTCGCTCACTTGCTCTTGCATGTCCGAGGGCTGTCATTCTGCTGTCAAAGCACTGGTCTTGGTCCAAATCTCCCGCCATGGTTCGTTTTGGCAGCCATAGACCGGACTTATACGGAAGCGTCGGTCTAATCACGTCTATTGAAAGGCGCTATAATTCCGAGATCCAGCAGACGCCACTCGGATACCAGCTCTCTGAACGTCGAGGTCGCCACAGTGCGAGTCTCGACAATTGCACACATCCTTCATCGGAGTTGGGACAAGCACCATCTTCGTATCATCACAACCCAACCCATCACTTCTGTTCATCTCTCTCTCTCTCTCTCTCTCTCTCTCTCTCTCTCTCTCTCTCTCTCTCTCTCTCGTTCTCTTTCTCTCTCCTGTCAGTCTTTGTGTATTTAGCACCGCACCAAAACGACACTTGTCTTTGTCAGGACTAGCACGCTACTAACTGACGGCGCTAGCAGCAGGTATTTGTCCGACATCCATTCGGCTAGCTCTCCATTTTGTGCAAAGACTGCCGAAACGAAAAACCGAGCGGCGAAAAGAAAAAAGGGCCAAATCAACCAAGTGGGTCCCCCCACCTCCGCCGCCCCTACAGGTTGCTGCCAAACGGGGCTGTGCCAAATGGAGAAGGGGCCGGCGGCGGGTTGCCTTCAAACACAAAGCCGGGCAAGCTGGCCGTCTGGCAAACCCGACACACGCCGGCGACCAATATCCCACGCTCTCTTCCGAAACATCTACATCTCATCACCGTTGCAAACTCACTCCAGCCGGTACTCTAAACCAAAACTTTTTGCTCATCAAGAATTTCAGAGTTGGAGCCAAATTAAAAAGAGTGTAATTATGGTTATCCAGGCAACGGGGGACCGAAAGGGCCATATTGGGGCCTCGTTCGAAGACGTAAATGAGGTATTTGTGGGAATCTAAAGATATTTACTTATTCCCGTCAGTCCCATTGTTGCCGTGTCAAAATTTCAGCGCAATCGAACCATCCAAACCCACTTTGGGAGCAATTGTACACATTACACCTTCTGACAAAAATACTCCATGAACTATTTACTCCCAAAAACAAGAACAAAACACGAACACTATGACAACAAAACACGAAAAAACAGTCACAAGTGGCACGTGAGGTTGGTCTTTTTCGTCTCACGTGATGGCCACAAAAACACTGGTCGCTTTGCAGTCTCCCTTTGGCTCCCTCTGCTCCAGAGCTCATCTCTCTCCACGACTTGTCTGAACTCTGCCCTGAAACTCAACTCTATGAAATTCAAACTATATGCCAGTCCAACTGTATTCCCAACTGTATGCCAACTATAACTGTTTAGTTTGATTAGCTTAGGTTTGGAAGGTGATACGGGGACCCATATTGCCGGAGGTACAGGATAAAATGACGGATTCTGAGTTGATAAAATGATTCAGCAGACGTGTTTGTATCCAGATACTCATTTTTACACGTCCAATCCCTCAATTGCGCCAAAAAACTCGGGCCAAAACCAACCCCGTAGCAAAACTAACATCTGCATCACAACAACGAAACTCCAACCGAAAATAAGTTGGAGTTTTTTTCCAATGTGGGGAGCGGTCTGACTTAGAGCTTAGACAAGACATACAAGAGGTAGATTGGATCAGAGTGCGGTGTCGACGGTGGTAGCAGGTCCTGTCGACACCGGTGTGCTTTTTGCCATGTACTTTGACATGCTGCATACGAGTTTCGTACTGAGCTGACCTTGGGTGTGGAAGTCCAATAAGTGGAAATGGTGCTCCAATGTCGAAAAAAGGCGTCTTTACGGGAAATTTGAACTTCACGGGAGAATTGGAGCAAGAGATATTGTTAGCCAGCAGCCACTTCGATTCCAACTTGAACAATGATTGTATCAAGTTCAAGATTGTGTAACAGAGACGAGAATTCAGGATGATAGTAACATCAGTATCGGATGTCATAGATCTCCCATAGATGGATCGCCAATCTTGGACATTGTTATATTGTATGTGCTGTAGTTGTCTATATCACTCCGCATCACTCAACGTCACTCAACGTCGCTCTACGCTCTATACTACCCGTCTATCATCTTATGACCAAAAGCGCCCAAAAACATCAAAAAATAACATCAAAAAAAAAACATCTGAACAACCCCTGAACTCCAGAGATTCCGCCATCTGGAAACTGGCACATTTCACATTCAAGACCATGGTGTCTTGTTACACCACTCGTGACAAACCCCCTTCTGAATACTCCGGTTGGTTCTACAAATACTCTCTACCGCCTACATCTACGCTACACTCAGTTGTCAAAAACACCATCCGTTACTAATACAATCTATAATAAAAAAAGCCGGCATTGACCCAGCACTCGTTACTCCACCGCAGTGGTTTTCGCTCTTTGAGCATGTGCAAAGCACGGACTCAGCAACGCTAGAAACGCGAAGAAACGCGAGGAAACGCTCCGAGACACGCTACTCAACCACTTACCACGAAGGGTTGCTGTAGTTGCCGCCGTAGCCTCTCTGGCCAGCGGCAAGAGGGCCGTGAGGAGCAGGCGCCTGTGTGGGGGTGGAGCCCGCGGGAGTGGAGCTCTGGGAAGCACCGCCCTCGGGCAGCTTTCGGGGGTCCATGGCCGAGTAGTTGGAGGGAGCTCCACTGCTGTACTCACCACCGAGAGGAGGTAGCGAGGGAGAAGCACCCTGGCCAGCACCGCCCTGGGAAGACTGGGCGTGTGCGGAGGAGGCACCATTGGCGGCTCCCTGCTCGGGGTGACCAGGGGCTCCCTGGTTGTAGTAGTAGCCGTGATGGGGCTGCTCAGCACCGCCAGCGGAGGCGTGGGCGGCTCCGGCGGCTCCTCCTGCGGCACCAGTGGGGGCGTTGGAGCCCGAGATACCGGGAAGAGCGGTGGTGAAGGGTCGGTAGCCGCTCACGTAGCCACGCTGGTCACCAGAGGCGGCGGCAGGGTCGTAGTCGGCGGGGTAACTCTGGGGGTACTGTCCAGGGGCCGATTGCGAGCCCTGGGGGTGCGAAGGGTATCCCTGGGGTCGGCCAATGGGAGGGGGCATCTGTGGCTGGAACTGCTGGTTGTAGTAGGAGCCCTGGCCATAGTAGGGCATCTGCTGGGGCTGGGGGGGAGCAGAAGGGGTGTTGGAGGCGGTGGTGGCGCCAGCTCCGGAGTTGGAAGCGGCACCACCGGCAGCTCCTCCGGCTCCAGACGCTCCTCCGGCGTACATGCCTCCGTTGTGGGAGTAAGACTGGCCGGGGGTGGTGTTGAGAGAGTCCGGGGGGATTCGGAAGTTTTGTCGCTTGATGAGCTCCTCGGTGATGGGCAGTTCTCGAATGCCCTCCGTCTCGGAGGGGGTCATGAACTTGCCGTTGAGCACATCGTCGGGCTTGTAGTAGGAGACCATGTGGTGGTGGATTCCGGACACGACAATGGAGATGGTCTTTTTGATGAGACCGTTCTCCTTGAAGCCGTACGAGTCGACGAGCGAGCCGACCAGAGATCGCTCCGACGAGGGGCTGGGGCCTGTGGACGCTCCTCCTGCGGGGGCGCCGGAGCCGTCATAGTTGTAGTCGTTGTAGCCGCCGGCGTTTGTGTTCTGTCCGGGGTAGGGGTTGTAACGGGTCTGTCCGGGGGCTCCAGGGGCTCCAGCGCCTCCGGCAGCTCCTCCATTGCCGCCTCGGGCTCCTCCGGGCGACGGCAGGGTGGGGCTGGAGTCTTCAATCTTGGTTTTTTTGGCGGCCCGTTTCTTCTCGCCAGGTCCAAACGGCTTTTCCAGCTGTCGGTAGACAAGAAAGTTGCCGAGAATTCGCGACGGCGACCACGAGATTCCGTCGGTCCATCGCTTGATGCCAGCGCCTTGCTCGGAGAAGATGAAAACAGCTCCGGACTTGATGATGCCGGCTCGCTCTCTGTCGTGCGGTCGTCGCGACACTGGCATGAGCAGGCCGTTGATGGTGGCCTGGAACAGCAGCAGGGCGTCGTGGATGGTGCCCACGTAGCCGTTGAAGGTGGGTTGGATGGACATTGTGTGTCTGAGGAGAAGGGTTCGAGAGGGTTGTGTTCTGGTACGGTGTGTTCAATCGAAGTGGACTCGCGCTCTCGGGTTTGAGTTTATGGGTCACGCTGGGTTTAAGTATGGTGGATAAAGGGTTTGGGTAAGGTTAGAGTTTTGGAGGAATGAAAGTGTGTTCGGAGGGGCGAGTCTGGTGGGGGGGTTTGGGGGCAAAAGGTATGGCATAAAATGACACAGAAGTGGTCAGCCCAACGCGGCCTGCAAAATGCGACTTATTTTGTGGCTGTGGAGATAGTATTCCACCTGCTACAGGCCCGTCTGGCCGGCGATGAACCCAATATTGCGCACTTAAAACCGTGCAACTCAAACCGCAAACTGACTTCAAAAAGTGGCAAAATCCGCAAAGTTCAAACATACAAAGCCCGCACGCTAGACGCACCCAAAAGATGCATCAAGATGCATGCGTGCAGACAAGGAGAGTCTGACAAATGGTTAGAGTGGAAAAATGGGTGGTGCAACAAGGTGGACCAAAGAGACGGGGCAGAAAAAAACACCAGACGAGTTGACGACGACGCAAAAAAATAGAAACTGAGATTATGACAACAAAATCGGTGCAGCAGTCATTTTGTTCGCGTCGCTCGGCTACACAAAATTCCCCCTCGATTTTCCCGTTTGTAAATCCCGCAAAGAATGACAAACTCGGAAGACAGAAGCAAACCAGCGACCCTTTGTTGTCAGGTGGCAGCTTAGACCAACTGGCAGGGGCGGCTGGACGAAATGAAAAGTGAGCAAGTGGTGAGTACTCAGTAGTGAATGGGTGGTGATTGATGGTGAGTAAGTCGAGAAGACTGCGAGCGAGTGGTGACCCAGCCAATAATCTCTTTGGCCAGTTTTTTGGTTCCAATCTTTGTTTCATATACAATATAGTAGTTGTACGATTATCTCCCACCTCACCCTGAGTTGAACACTGTGACCCTGTCCAGTTCACCAGTTCAACTCATAACCTCACCGGAAACCGCAGAGACCAGACTATCAACAAGCACAAATTGACAATTCCCCAAACTCGGACATTTTCACACCCTCTTGAGTCCTCTCGGACCCCTCACACCCTCCTCACACCCACCCATCCCCCCGAAACCACCTCAACGCTCACATTCACACCAAATCCACCATTTTCGGCCCTCCGCGAAATATCCAGTACAAACCCAATCTCCAAAATCAACCACCCTCCAAACCACACGCCCTCAAAGTTGCTCATCTACCTCGCTCGTACAGGTTAGTTCTAACCTCCGCCAAAATCAAAAATTAAAATCAAACACAAAAAAAAATTCAAATTCAAAACCAAATTCAAAATATAAAATAAAATCAAACAAAAACCACAATCAAAATCAAAATCAAATATACTTGGATAACGACTTGTACCGTCTCATCTTCACACTCGGTTATAAAGAGCTTGAGTTTATTTTAACAGCGATTTTTTGCCAAAAACAAATGCAAAAATAATTGCGAAAAATACACAAATTTTTGAACATTCACAATAAAAACGAAGTCACATGACCACAGAAATAAAAATGACAAGAAAATACAGAAACTTCTCATAAAAAAAAGACAGACTTTTGTATATTTTCCTTCCACTTCCCAAACCAATACCCTAGCCCTAATTCTCGTTAGGGAAACCCCTAGCCCTATTTTATTTGCCCCCATACTGTACCCAGAATGCCCAAACTACCACCAAAACAATGCCCCAGTTTTTCTCATTCCATTAATATCCCCAAATCCATTCAATATCCACTTTTTACCACCCAAATCAACATCTATACCTTCAGCTATCACACCCCTAGCCCTATTTCAAAACGAAAAACTAAATCGGATTTTTTGGATTTTGGGGGAAATATCCCAGTTCCGCCCTAACCCTGGCAAAACTAACCGAAAGGGAAAAAAAAGTAAAAGTTGGAGAAAAATCTTAACCCTGTTTTCATTGGCCACTGATAACAACCCTTCAAGCGTGACACATACATACAAGCCACTTTTTTCGGCCGAATTTTTTTGAAAGGAATTTTTTTTGCTCTCCAAAAAAATACAACAAGTCGCCTAAAAAAACCCTTCCATATGCTCACATGATCACAGGAATATTCCCTGTCACGTGAAAACCAAATCCACTTAGACTCGTGTCGAATAATTAAGCTGGGTTTAAACTGAAAAATAAATTTCCATTTGGCACATGCGAGATTGGGTTCGGTCACGTGATGTTGGTGGAGCGTGGGAGTGGGTGGCTGGATGGGAGTGGGTGGTTAGGGGGTCACGTGGGTGGCTGGGTAGTCACCTGCTGTTTTCGGAATTGTAATGTGATTTGTGGATCTGGAGATATGGCTACTGTTGGGCTTGAATGGGCGATACTTGACATGTGAGTGAGACAGTTGGTGTGGAGGCTAATTGGGGTGTTGGGAGTATAAGGAGGGTATTTCTGGCTGATTGGTCACGTGTTTGGAATGGAGGGAGAAGGCAGGCGTTATTGCCTTGCGTCTGAGTGTGTGTATGGATTAGATTGGATCTGAGTTGATATAACTGTTTCTGAGATCGAGAGGAATCCGGTGATGTGTCGTTTGCGGTGTTTTGGCCAACCAAGCCTGCTACACATACTCCATTATGCATGTAAAATGGATGTTACATGTGGAACCTAAGCAAGTTGTTCATGTGGAACCTAAGAAGAGTATCGTCACGTGACATGGTGGCTCCAACCAGTTCATTCTGACCAATCGCGCGTGATGGATTGATTCCAACTGTCCCCTTCTCCCTACCTCCTCTCGTCATCATTCTATGGCTACATTCCCTCGACCCCCCCCCCCCACATACACGTGACAGAACCCCACAAGCCGTCTCTGGCCAACCTAGACGTTCTTTAGAACCACTATCTAGCATTTCAAACTCAAACAAAAGGCTGAGGTAATTAATTCGCTGCCTAGAGCGAGTCAAAGCGGGTGTAGCTCGCCGAGCGTATTTTAGCGAGTTGATGAGCTTGTATGTTTGAATCCACGTGATTGGTGAGGTGTTTCCCTGGGAGTGTAACGGCCAAGTGAATACGATAAAAAGTACACAGTTGGACTCCCCTCGGTGAGAGGAACCAAATGGTATAATTTGTGTTTCAATTGGGCCAATATTCATCATCATAGCTACTCCCATATCTCTCAATTAACTCAGAGGTCAGAAACTTACCCGCAGACAATGATTTTGCGATTTGTGGAGAAAGAAATATCACCTTTTGCATGATTGACTGAGATTGGATATGATAGATGGGCCCACCGTGGTACTGGTCCCTGAATTCACGGCCACTGTACTTATTATACTGGTATTGGTACGAGTACTGGTGCTGGTACTGGTAACAGCACTCGCACTGGTAGTCGCGCTCGCAGTCTCGAGACAAGGACCAACAGCTCTGACTGCCCAAGGTTGTTGCCAATGTGTTTATTTTGCCCACAAACCCTGCCGATCGCAAAGTGAGTTGGGGTCGTATTCGATCCGGGCGCGGAATCTGGACGGGTCCAACTGCTCTTGAGCTGACAGAACCCGACCTGGGGTCTGGTTAGCGCACCGTCGAAGCTCCCCTGCATCGGACGATGGAGTTATCGGATCTATAGCCCCAATCTCTTCGGGATCCGGTCTAAAAAGCCACTAGATAGCTTTCAATTTGCCTTTGCGCGCCGGATGGAACGTTACCTGCAACCATGGAAAACAGGAGCCCTACAAGGACGGTCTGAGCCGTGTCTGAGAACAGGCTGGGCGCTGAAAGGTGGGATTTCGGGTAATTAGAGGCCACCGAAAACAAACAGTGTGCTCTTTTCTCCGAAAAAACTGCCTCCTCGTCGACCTGGTCACCCATCTAAATCTACCCCTCAATCCTCCGACCAAGTCTTGTCTCTGCTCGCTCACTTACATAAGGAACCCAAATGGGGCAGGTGGGGTACCTGTAATCGTCGGTAATTGGGTTGCACTAATTACTTTTGCCCGAGCTGTTTGTGTAACTGCAAAGCCATTTTTCTGCCGTTCATTTTTGTGAACCCTGTCGCCGGGCCAAACGCAAACCCAGTCTGACTTTGGGCTGCGACTGAGTGTTATTTGTGTCGGTCCCCAAAAGACGGGGATCCGGGAGATTGCGCTGGAAATTTGTTTGGGAGCTCTCGTCGACGTTTACTTTTGATTTCCGAAATCTGAGGGCAATCGGACTATTCCCATCACGGTTTGCACACCCCATTCCGCCAAGTGCCCAGTTATACCTCAAACCTACAAGCCCAATCCTGAGGGGTTTAAAAGTACATGGGGTAGTGCGGCTTTTGTTGCGAAGGGAGTGTGGAATGGTCCCATGTGCTTACGGCGTATTTAGGGCGGATTTCCAGCGTCTCATTGGCGTGGATATACGGCAGAGACAAGATGTTCCTGACTAAAAAAGAACAAAAAGAGAGCAACGCCTTATCATAGATGATTGAACGGGGGGAGAACCAAAGGTCATGGTCGACTCTGGAACTGCTTCTCTCAACGTTCAAGTCGCGCGAACTTATTCCCTTATTGCCACTTTGTGCGCCAAGTCTTCCATACACACTCTGTATAAGCTTACAGTAGGACAGACAAGATCTATGGCCGGAGAATAGGTTGAGTAGGGTACAACTACAAGGTGAGCAAGGTGTGCGAGGTGTATACAAGGTGTACAAGAAGGTGGCAGTCTTGTTGAGCATTGGATTCGTCTTGCTTGTTCTCCATCTGGAGGTGTTACCGGGCTCCCTGTCGATCTGTTCAATGTGGGCATTTGTCACGATCCGCGGACGCCACGGACCTGGGGACTAGACCAGTGGATTGCGGACACCCGCAAACCCCCAGAAATCAACTGCTGGGGCTTCTTCTCCGTTCCCTTTTCTCATTTTCAAGCCCAGCATGAACTCTGTTGACGAAGCAACATAGCCCAGATATGCAAGCGGTTTAAGTTGCGGTTAGGGCGGCCAGTAGATACTCGGGTCCAGCGCACCGAGCTGGTCCGGAATGGAGGCGGCTGGGGCGTTTGCCGGCAGGGTTTCCAGCTCTTTAATGTCGTTTGGGCGGCTTCCAGATGTAGTAATACTCGTCGCGCTTGTATGCGGTCATTAGCTCCTGCAATACTAGTCTAAAAAACACGAGATTTGACAGGTGTGATCCCATGCCCTCTTGCACACTTTGTCGGACTTCAACTTTGCGAAAAACAGCGTTTCGCTAAGCCCTGGTGCCGCATGCTTAAAGGTGGGCGGGTTTTACGGTGGAGGCAATATTGGCCCGGAATGAAGACATGTGCGCGACCCTGGAGAATACGAGTACAGGGGACATGTTTGTGGAGACGCAGGGAGGGTGCTGATAAGCGAGGACAACCCACAGCTTGACCAGAGCGTGCCCAACAGGCCCCGATGAAAAGCCCTTCATACAAACCTCCGAACAAATCATAACCTACGACCGGGCATTATCTAATACTGTTTGCATGTGTACAGACAACCCTATCTTTGTATGTCACTGTCAACGAGCTTCCAAGGAGTTGTAGAGGAAGTCTATCGTGAGAAGCGGCTGACAAGAAGACGGGTGGAGGGGAGCCGGGAGTTTGTGGGGGATTTGTGTGACAAAAGAAGAAGTTGAGAAGACATAAATTCTCTCTGAAACACCAGGAATCCATTCATATACTCAGCTTGTCTGTCCCAGCTCCACGAAGGGAATTGTAGACAGCTCCCCTACTCCGCCTCTATAAGCATTTACTTAAGAACGTTAAGTAAAAGTTAACTTATGGTGAGCTTATCCAAGTAAGTTGGAGGGTTGTTGTCAACAAAGACTCCAGGGTCCAATTCTAATCCTTCACAGCAGAATTTGCGGCGTCATGGTCTGAATTTGCACTGACGTGTGTCGAGTAGTCTGACTTGGAACTGGAGAGAGGTAGTAGACCTGTAGTTAGCACCGTTAACACAGTGACAGTTATGTGTTCCACCAGAAGCGGATGCTACAAGAAGTCGTACAGTACGAGTACCTTCCCCCGACGTCTCTTTTCGATGCCAGAATCAACCTGTCAAAGTTGCAACTGTCTAGTTCAAGTATAGATAGTTTTCTATTAGAAATATCAATCTCAGAACAACTCTTGCAATGGGGTATTTCTTCTGCAGATTTTTGCTGGAATGGATAGAACCGACTAAGGAGATCACATTGGCTGTCTCTATCACCTTCCAAGTCATCTCTATCTGACATTGGACGACAAGCGATGCAGTAGGTAGTGTACAATTCAACAGGAAAGTAGTTAGTGACTCCAATTGACCCAAAATTACAAGAATGTTCTCCAAAGTAGATCCGTTATACCCAGAATCGTCTTCTGATCAGTTTTATATACCGTCAGAACCCACAAGTTGTTTAAATCTTGCTCAATTGATGATTCTTTCTAGGTAGCACAGCTGATGTATATACTGACTAATCACTCAGATTGAGTTGAAATATCCACCAATTATGACGAGTATGGCACGAGTGTACAAGTATGTACCGATAAAATTACTGTACCAATGCAACTACCAACGAGTGCTTGTCTCCAACAAACATTCTGACACCATCTCTGGTCCATGGCTGCTCACCGTTGGACAAAAACAAATTCTGCCGCTTCTAGACAACGAAGATTCGGTCCGAAATCTTCTCCTCAGAAGAGACACCCGAATTCAGATTTCAGCTGTCTGTCTCGATGCCAAATTCTACTGTTGATAACCTCGCTCATGGGGTAAACCTTTTCAGACCACCGCCGATATAGGTATCAAGGGAGGAGCTTGCGATGAGCCGCTCCAGACGGTAGTATTCTTGAGTCTGTAGCGTTGCTTATCGCATGGATAATTACAAAACCGTTGGGTTGTGAATTAGTCTATAGTCGTGATATCAGACAGATGGAGAAAATTAAAGAAAAATAAATAAAAGAAAAATAAATAAATAACTAAACTAATAGAAATTACCTACTTGTATTTGTTTCACCAATGCAATCTCCTTTCAAAAATGTTCAATAAATAAATACTTTCTATATCGACAAATGCAAACACCAGACATACGAAGTCTGCGAAAGACCAGGGCAAGACCAGGGCAAGACCAAGGCAAGACCAGGGCAAAACCAGGGCAAGACCAGGGCAAGACCAGGGTAAGACTAGGGCACGACAAACGACCATAATCACAACTCTCTCCTCAAACCACCATTGTGCTCACTGCGCCACGTGCGCTGCTCCTTCACTGTCTTCACTCTATAGTTGAAGTCGCCAAACCGCTGCTCCCGTGCATCATAGTAAAGATCATCGTCATCATACAACTCCTGCTCAGACACAGGCTCAACAATGTGGGTGGCGAGATCGGTGGCGCCGTAGTCACGTGCCTTAGAAGAGTCGTCCTCGTTTCGCCACTGGTCGAACGAGTCGTCGATTTCGGCGATCGACGCAATCTGAAGCAGCTGATCTGAAGCAGCGACATGCGACTGCTGACCCGCAAGCAGCCCGCTGTGTTCTGTGGCGTCACGTGACGACGACGACGAGTCGCCGCTGCCCTCGTGGTCATCGCGTGACTCGTCCGACAGCCAGTATTTACCTCTTCCTCCATCCGTGTATCTGAGGCCACTCATGATCTTTCTGACTCGACTGTCTGCATCTGGGTGGTCCACAATGACACTTTCCACACTGTCAAAGTTCCTGTAGGTGTACCCTTTTCCCCAGAAGGTGCTCTTGAAGTCATACATGAGGTCTCCGATCCCCAGCACGTCTCTGAGAGCCAGCCAGACAGGTAATCGGGCAAATCCACAGTCTCTTTGGCAGTATTCGTCGTGAGGAAAAGCCCACATGTGCAAAAGAGCAAAGGGAGTCATTTCCAGACACATGAACCAGTCCTGGAGGGGTGCGGAGGACTCCGGCTGAATAATGCCCATCAACTGAGCCAGTGCCAACACCACCCCTTGCCAGTATGAGAAGAAGATGATGAGTTTGATGCACAGAAACTTGGGCCAGGGATTGTAGGGTTGCAGATCTGTATGGAGACACATCCAGAAGATTCCCAAGGCGTACAGACTGAGTGAGACACTAACGTTATAGACAATACCGATCCATGTGTATCCACTAGTCAGGCTGATTTCCCCTTGTTTGTAGACTCCCAGAATCTTGCAGATAAAGATGGCCACAGAAATCACTGGTTTGATCCACACGTACTGCAGTACCGCTCGTTTGACGGTCAGAAATTCGTGAGGGTCGGAAATGTTGACCTTTCCAAACAGAGTGTGGAGAGGAGCTCGTCCCTGGGTGGTGAAAATGATGTTTCGTTCGCCGCCGAGCAGATTGGTAAGCAGCGAAAAGAAGGTGTAGAGGGTGAAGGCTTCGTAGATTTCTTTGAGAGCTGATAGCACAATGTTGAAGCGGGCCAGAGGTCTGGAAATCTGGTCCTGGGTCTCCAGAAGAGACAGCCATGACGAGAGCGCAAATAGAGGAACCAGAAACAGAATCCGAATCACCAACCGCTGGTCAGCGGGACGGGTGTATGTGTAGAGTTGTAGGAGAATGGATATTGTCGAGATGAAAATGGCGATAAACGTCGACCATGTCGCCACGTTGATGAGATATTGCGGTAACATTGCGTCACTAGTGTTATGTCACTGTTGTTGTGAGTCCGCTGGATGGGTTGCTGTGATGACTAATACCGTGTTGTAATTGCTGTTGTCTGTGTCGGCGCTGCGTTGCCGTGGTTACCTTTGAATGGGAGGGGGGCGTGTTTTTAACCGGGCTCGGCCGTAACGTCGTGGGGCGGCGTCTGACTACGCCTAGTCTGATCCCGTGATGGTGTAGTGCAGAAGTGTACTTTTTTCTACTGCTGGATAATATAGGGGTTGAGTTTGGGAGTTGGGGGAGGGTGGCGACAAAGTGGAAAAGTAACAATTTGGGGGAGATTTTGATATCATCAGAATCAGAGGAATGGGAAGAGTTTTCAGATATAATTGGATTTTCTATTGGACTATTATTGGGTGTTTTATATGGAGGTTGTGGGGAGAGGGATGGGACTGTAGTTGGGGACCAATAGAGTTACTCACTATTACTTGGAAAATTACTTAAACATTGGGCGCGTGGAATAGTGCTATTAGATAGACGTTCAACAATTGGAAATGTAGCCAAAAAGTGTTGTATATATAACTTCAAATATGAATATCATAGGGCTATCTCTTCAATTCACCCACTGAGTCATGTTCGGTTGCTTTGGGTGGCGAAAACAGCAGAAACAGCAAGTCTAGAAGAAAGAGAGGGAGAGGAAACTGGAACAATCGGACACACTTCAGAGAAGATGTCAACAGCAATGATACCGTCTGTAGCCTCATTTTCTCCTCTTCCACCAATGATTTTGACGTCAGTACCTTATCAGAAATTTTCTGTTGATAATAGCTTCACTGCATGAGAGTCAGGTCCGTCACAACTGGGTATATTTGTATGGGATCAGGTGCTAAAATTCTTACTGTAGCATTACAGTCACTCTAAGAAGATAATGGGCCAAAAATCACTCAAATAGCTCCATTATTGGCTACATTAGATCCACCCCTGTTTTCCCCCTATGTAACTCAAATGCATTTTAGCTGCAGCAAAAAAACCAACCTCCAAAAAATCATCACCACTTTCCAAAACAACCAAAACAGCAAATTCTGATCCGAACCTCAGAAAGCACAAACACGTGACGGACTCGGCGATACCTAAATCACGTGAAACACCATAAGGGAGCCGATCGAAACCCCTGACGCGACACGAAACTCCAACTGCATTTATCGACCATCACATCACATCCACAACGCCACCACCTGGATATTGATCGAAGAGAAAAAGGGGCGCCAGATACCACCTGAAACCTTACTAAGCATCATCAGACACCGCACAAAATGGTGAAAATCCGCACTTCACGATCGAAAGCGCCTCCAGCTGGATTTGACGACATCTCCGATATTCTGCAGGAGTTTGGAGACAAGCTAAAAGACGCCCAAAACGCTCCAACCGAGGGAAAGAAAAAGAACCAGTTGTTATGGGACATTTATCGCATCCATCACCAGCGGTCTCGATATGTCTATGAGTTGTATTACAAGAAGGAGGCCATCACCAAAGAGCTGTATGCATATCTTCTGAAGAAGGGGTATGCCGATCAGAATCTCATTGCCAAGTGGCGAAAGCAGGGATACGAGAATCTCTGCTGTTTGAGGTGCATTCAAGGAAAGGAGAACATTCACGAAGGAACTTGTATCTGTCGGGTTCCTCGAAAGGATATCAAGGATGACAAGCCGGTGGAGTGTGTGACTTGTGGGTGTCGGGGTTGTGCTTCGAGTGATTAATCGACGAGTGAATGAGCAGTGAATCACAGCCACTAGTCGCAGCCTCGAGTCACAGCCATGAGTGAATCAACGAGAGTCCCAAGACTGGGATACAGCATTATCAGGTTTGGCAGCTGCACAACAGCTACCATTGTCTGACTATTGGTACAGGGCTTAGTTACTGAGTATCATGATACAGTCTGTCAAAGTTTGTGCCAGTATCTTTCGCAGCTGGAGGATACGACAGCCAAGTACCACCGACCAACCGACAGACGGATCTCCTTGGGCTCATACCGTCCCGGAGACAATGGGTGAACTCCAAGAGAAGGAAAAAGGATACCGTTAAGACTTTGTAATATAACTTATGGACTGGGGATGATTCCAGTAGAGAACGTATAGGCCCTGGAATATGATGTAGACGACTGTGATGGGAAACATGATCTTTGCCGAGTTTCAATGTTTCAATGTTTCAATGTTTCAATGTTTCAATGTTTCAATGTCTCCACCTGCCCACCTGATTTGCAAGGTGCCATCTCCGACACCCTCAGGACAGGAGTAGAGTACTGTACTCCAGCTCTGCGGATTCAGCTGAAACCAGAGATACTCGCGGGAGAGACCCTGCTTCAACCCAAGCAGGACCTAGCTCAAGCTTGCCCTGCAGGGTTCAGATGTCCAGAGGTGTAATTTTCTTGCCCTACAGAGTTCGGAGTTAACATTCCAAACTCAGCCTTAACGCCGATTAGCTAAGTTGCTCTCCTTTAACCTCACACGACATTGCAGTGTGGGACGAAATACCCTTCCCTTGTCTTTACAGTTGGTTTTGTGTCTCTGCTGTTTGTGTCTAACGTCCGACTCGTTTCGCTTGAGTTTTCCGCCGGTCATGTGACCGTTGGAGCTTACCTGGGTGGGACGTTGCCATGTTGGGGTAATGGACCTGGGGTTTGGCAATTTTTATTCCAGCGGGGGATAATTTGGGGGTACCTGAATGGCCCAGACCAGACTGCTTCCCCATCGGTCGCCTCATTCCGGGGTTGTAGTCGAGATCAGAACCCAGGACCAAAAAACAACAGTCAGAACCCAATAGCTTAAAAATGTGGACCGAACAGGACGTCGGAGATAAGCAAGATGGCCACAATATTGATCTCGGACAGACAAGAAATTAACGCCGTTAGCTTTGGAAGACACTGTTTACTCAATACCTGAATTTTTGGACCCTTCTGGCCCGTTTCAAAGGGACCTACGCCCTGCAGAACAGTCTACAGTGGTGCCAATGCTAAACGAGCTCTACTACGATTGGAGGAAGCAGGAACCGGGGAGTAAGACATTTTTCGCCCAGATTCCGCACCATTTGATTGCTTTGATTTGGTCAAGTCCAATTCTGCATTCCGTCAAAGTGGGGTGTAGATATATGTGGGGAAGTCATCACCCATACAGAAGAGCTTCTAGATCTCAGGTATTTGTGGTTCCAGACTAGAAAATCGTGGCTATACTCGAGATTCAATTTTTTAAGACTCGCCAACCTCTATCGCCTCACTTACCACTATACCCACCTAGCTCAAGCCAATCTTACCCACTGATAGGCCTGTGTTCAACTTTACCACGTCCCGATCGGGGTGTGTTTCAAAGACAATTGGTGTATTATTTCCCACTAAATGGGTCTTTTTCACCGATTGTCGATCTGCCGCTCATTCCGAAAGCGCGGCGTCCAAAAATAGCCCGATGTTTGAACATGAACAGAATGCATCGAATCATGGGCAAGAAGCGATGCCGTTTGATACACTCATTAAATCGCTCTAAGACTTGTCTACATTCCCACACAAATGCCCCACAGTATTACACCAGAATGCTAGCGGAGAGATCGACGCTACTTGTAGCTCCTGATCTAAGCTCCGGACCAGATCAATGGTTTTTTTCTTCTTTTTTTTTTTTTTTTTTTTTGGTATCAGACTGCGACTACAAGCGCAATACCACAAGAGAACTCTCCCTTCTTTACATTCTTTCTTGTCCTTGTAATTCCACATTCTCACTCTCATACCGTCCCTGAACACACTTCCAGTGCATCTCGACAAGATTAGTGGGTGAACAAGTTCAAAAAGATGGATGACTATGCCATAAAACCGGCCCTATGCAACAAAACCGATCTTATGCAATAAAACCGATCTTATGCAATAAACATGCCTATTATTCAGCTCAACTCCACTCACTTATTACCGACGAGACGACCATGTCCCAGAAGCGAACCCATCCACAGATGAGACAAGAACTCAGCCAAATAGCTGCAGTACTTACTTAGACACCCCTCTCCATGATCACCCTCATAATTGTAAACACAATAGAAGACTGAGAAGCAGTATCCAGTGTCTACCTCGAAAAAATATGGGCTAAACTGGTCTTATTCCTTCTTGGGAGGTACTTGGGAAGTTCTCGACCAAGTCTTGTACATTCCAATAATGAAATGGTTCGGATATGATGCCTGGTTATTCAAAATCTTGCGACGGCTCAAGTCTCGCATCTGTACATATAACCCAGGAAGTTCCCTTCTTTCTTCCCCAGAAACAACAAGTTCATACACTCACCAAAGTCTTTCCATATGAAGTTCTCTGCCTTCGCTTTCGCCTTGTTGGTCCCCATGGCTATGGCCCTCGTCACCGACGACCCCGAAGCCCTCAAACAGCTCACCTACCCAACTGTCTTCGGAGGCGCTCCCGATTTCTATTCCAGCCCGGAAATTGCAGCCTCGAACATTGTGTCGTCGTTCAATACTTGGCCTCAGTCCAATATGGCTGGTGCAAAGATTCCTGCTGCCGCTGACCTCGCTCTCAAACCCGACAACGAACATCTTGTGGAGGCCCTCAAGCTTCAGCAGGAGTATGTCGCTGCAACTAACAAGCCCGATTGGAGAGTCGCTGTTCAACCTCTTGATCCTAACATCCGAGAAGTTTCTCAGTGGTTGATTAATCAAGGAACCCAACCCCCCACCGGCTCAGACTACGAGCACGCGGCTCGTAATGTCTATCTCATGTACGAGGCCCAGATCGCAGCTGCCTACACCGAGCAGCTGGGTCTTGCCCAGATCATTGTCGACTCTCTGCCTGTCAAGCCTGTGAATCCTGAGGATCCTACCAACCCGGACGAGAAGCCTGTGAATCCTGACGAGAAGCCTGTTAATCCTGATGAGAAGCCTGTGAATCCTGATGAAAAGCCTGTGAACCCTGACGAGAAGCCTGTGAACCCTGACGAGAAGCCTGTCAACCCCAATGACAAGCCCGCCAACCCGGACGACAAGCCCACCAACCTTGACCCTTCCGTCATTGAAGATCTTGAGAAGGAGCTCAAATACATCGAGGATGTCCAAAAGGAAATCGAAGATAAACTGAAAGAAGCAGCAACCACCGATTCTGAATTGAAGGGGAAGATTGATGATTTGAACAAGCAGATTGAAGATCTTAAAAAGTTGATTAATGACCTCTCCTCTCCTTCCAAGACCGTAATCGACTCCAACAGCAGCATTGCTGACCAGACCTACGCTCTGTGGCAGTTGGTGCAGGAGTTGGCCGACAAGGTGGCAAAGGAGGCTGGTGATAGCCACTCCGAAGAGCTCCAGAAGCTCGCCGAAAAGCTTCAGACTCATGCTGATTCTCTCCATGTCCTATGGCTCCAGCTCCTGGGTGGCAACGCCGATAGCAAGGAGGACTCCCCAGTCGACAAGCATGAGGATGACTCCGATTCAGGATCCATCCATGATGATGGTGATAAGGACGAGGAGACTGCAAATGCCAATACCAACAGCAACAGCAACAGTAACAGCAACACTAACTCGAACGTCAACGTGATAGTGATTGGCGGTGATGGTATCCGTGGTGGCTTCTCCAACGGCACTGTCACTACCGTGCATGTCACCGATGTGGCTGTCACATCTGTTGACGCCGAGGGAGTCACCCACACCGGAGTGACCCAGTCCACTGTGACAGTCACGGTTTGCAACAAGTGCACTGAGATTGCTGGTGGTGTTGACCGAGTCACCACATATGTAACTGACTGTCCTGTTAGTATTGTTGATGCTCAGGGTGCCACTCAAGCTGGAAACACCAAGAGCACCGTCACTTCTACCATCTGCACGAAGTGTGACCATCCTGTTGAGACTGCCAAGGCATCCGCCGGAAATAAGGCATCTACTGGTGAGAAGACCACCACTGGTGAGAAGACCCCCGCTGGTGAGAACGCTTCTACCGGTACCGACGAGAAGACCTCCACCGGCGAGAAGATTCCCGCCGCTGCCCCCGCTGTTGGACCGGTTGCTGGCCCAATTGCCGCAGGATCCGAGGGTGACACCACTCTTCTCCTGACCCAGACCCTGACCCAGACCATTGGAATTTCCACCGTCAGGCCTGCCCAGGCCACCGCTCAGATCAACCCTCCAGCCCAGGCCAACGGGGCTGGCAAGCTTGTCACCGCTACCTTTGTTCTTCCCCTGATTATTGCTCTTCTTTAGCCGATGTAACTTTTTGTTTGATTAATTGATACCGATTCAGTAAGTTGATCTAATCTCAAATATGCTGGGTGTACTGTATATACAGTACCATCAAAATCATAACAGTAACAATAAGATTACTTAACAATTAATTATACCTCATATCGTATCACAATCCTAAAACCACTATCCTACTACATACTGTACTGTATCCAACACACACAACACACACACAACACAACAGAGTCGTCAAGATGCCAACACGAGAGATACATACAAGCAACACAAGATATCACTACAAACCGTTTTCACACCACCGCCCCACCTGAAATCAAGGCCCCTTGCCGCGCACACAACGTTTCATCACCGTCTGGAACCCATAGTATCATCGATCTAGGGTGCGAGAGGGATGGTGTGATAGCGTGAGAGTTGTGATACTTGGATTGCTACTTCCGCGAGATACAGTAATACACACTTACCGAGCCCATGGCTTATACGACCCAACTGATACCATAAGTCCCGAAAATCTGTGATACCACCTACACAGAACCCGACAGTCTCACAACACCTACGAGTATATGCTGTATGTACCGTGCGAGTATGTACTGTACAGTATGTGCTACACTTGTACGAGTGCTTGTACACCCACAGATGCACACAGATGCATGCCACACTCTCCCCCTTCACCAGGCCGATCTATAGTGTCACTTCCTTTTGCTGCTACGGCTTTTACCACTTCTACAGAACGCGCAACTTCCAACAATACTTGTGTCAACTCACACCATTACTGCGCACGTTTTACTAAGATATGATAATTTATATTATGATTAGTGTAACAAAATGGTTCTCACACTTACAGAAGAGCAGCGAGAATGGGGAGAGCTGCCAGAGCTCCAGCAACGAGCTGAGAGGCTCCGTTGGCCTGGGCAGGGTGGTCAGCAGGGGCGGTAGCCTGGGGAGACTGGGGGACGGCGGAAGATCCACCGGTGCTGTCAACTCGGAGAGTAGACTGGGGCTGAACATCGGAACCATCGCCAGACTGGGAGTTGTTGTCGTTGCCATCAGATCCGTTGGAACCGTTGTCGTTGCCATCAGATCCGTTGCCGTTTCCAGAGTTGGAACCGTTGGAACCGTTTCCATTGCCATCGGATCCGTTGCCGTTGCCATCAGATCCGTTGCCGTTTCCGCCATCAGAACCGTTGCCGTTTCCGCCATCAGAACCGTTGCCGTTTCCGCCATCAGAACCTCCAGTAGAAGTTGCAGTAGGTGCAGTATTAGTGACAGACTGAGAACCCTTGCTGCCGCCAGTGGTAGAAGTAGAGGTCTCATCGGTGGTGGAAGAGGAAGAATCAGCTCCACCAGTGGAAGAGGCAGGGGCACCGCCAGTGGAGGAAGCATCAGCTCCACCAGTGGTAGAGGCAGCACCGTCGTCAGTGGTAGAGGCAGCACCGTCAGTGGAGGAAGCATCAGCTCCACCAGTGGAAGAGGCAGGGGCACCATCAGTGGTAGAGGCAGCACCGCCATCAGTGGTAGAAGTAGAGGTCTCATCGGTGGTGGAAGAGGAAGAATCAGCTCCACCAGTGGAAGAGGCAGGGGCACCATCAGTGGTAGAGGCAGCACCGCCATCAGTGGTAGAAGCAGCACCATCAGTGGAGGAAGCATCAGCTCCACCAGTGGTAGAGGCAGCACCGCCATCAGTGGTAGAGGCAGCTCCGTCAGTGGAGGAAGCATCAGCTCCACCAGTGGAAGAGGCAGGGGCACCATCAGTGGTAGAGGCAGCACCGCCATCAGTGGTAGAGGCAGCACCATCAGTGGAGGAAGCATCAGCTCCACCAGTGGTAGAGGCAGCACCGCCATCAGTGGTAGAAGCAGCTCCGTCATCAGTGGTAGAAGCAGCACCATCAGTGGAAGAGACGGGGGCATCAGTGGTAGAGGCAGCACCGCCATCAGTGGTAGAAGCAGCACCATCAGTGGAGGAAGCATCAGCTCCACCAGTGGTAGAGGCAGCACCGCCATCAGTGGTAGAAGCAGCTCCGTCATCAGTGGTAGAAGCAGCACCATCAGTGGAAGAGACGGGGGCATCAGTGGTAGAAGCAGCACCACCATCGGTGGTAGAGGCAGGGGCACCATCAGTGGTAGAGGCAGCACCGCCATCGGTGGTAGAAGCAGCACCATCAGTGGAGGAGGCAGGGGCACCGTCAGTGGAAGAGACGGGGGTATCAGTGGTAGAAGCAGCACCGTCATCAGTAGTAGACGAAGGAGTATCCTGAGTGGAGGATGCAGGAGCAGGAGCAGAAGTCTCACTCTGATTGTCCTGGTTAGTGGAAGTGACGGGAATCTCGGAGGTAGCCTCAGAGGAGGCGGGGATAGTGGAGGAAGGGTCGGGACCAATAGAGACAGTGACAGTGACATCGGGGTCGTTCACAACGATCTTGGCATCGAGAGCATTCTCGGCATGGCTAGCAATGGTTTGAGCCATGTACATGTTGAAGACAGCTCGTCGGGAAACCTTCAAGTCTTCAGCGGTGTAGGGCTGGGGGGCCTTGCCAACAACCCACTTGATGGCATAGATGGGAAGGGTGGGGTTGACAGCATCAGTCCAGTCTCTCCCGCTCTCAGCGGAGTACTTGAGAACCTGCCGAAGGCCCTCAACGAGCTCTTCATGTGTGGGGGGATGAGAAAGATCCTGGCTGTTGACGAAAGGGATATCAAGGCCCATCTTGAGAGCGAGGGCACCGGCATCGGTGACAATGTTAGCGGCGGCCAGACTAGGGATAATCTTGGCGTAAGCAGCAAAGATGTGATTAGTCTCAGGGGTCTCCAGGTATGCGAGCTGAGTGGGATCGTCAGTTACGACTAGACCAAGCGCCAAGCCAAGCATGGCGGCGAGAGTGAGGACTGAGAACTTCATAACGAGAGACTGTGGTGGGTGGGGAAGCTTTTGATTCTAACCTCCAAACAAGCAGATGTGAGCGGTTATATAGACTGCCATCTCGAGCTGGCACCTTGCAGAAGTTGCCCTTCCCAACTGGTCCATTCCCGGAATGTACGAAGGTTGATGGGAAATTTCGCAAGCCGGAAGCGGCTGCAGTTTACCTACTGTACTGTAAGGTACAGCGGCTTTGTCTTCGTGAACATTGACAAACTGCGACGCGCTTGTCAAGCATTTTGAAGCGGTCGAGAGATATATCGAGTGTCATTTGATATGGTATATTATCTATCAAAGCTGGGTCCGGGTCCATTGGATCGTCAAGTTGTCCAACTCTCTGCATAGCATTCGCGGATAGTCTTGAAGATGTTGCTGTCCATGTTCGCCAATCTCACAGTCACTTTGCTCTGGTTTGGATATTGTGCAGGGCCGTATTGTTGAGAAAACCAAATTTGCAACAGTGTATTGAGCAAATGCGCGGCACGCGGAATACGGGATCTCAATGCCGGCTTTGTACATGTACAAGTACAGTACGATACAAGAAACCACAGGGGTTGTTGGTGGGGTAATCAAGGGTACGGTTGGATGCCCAACAGTGGGTATTTCCATGTGTCCTCTGGAAATCTGCTAATCTATGTGGTTGGGTGGACTTTTCAGTGCTGATCTATGTAGAGATATTAGCACAAGGATGCCAGGACATTTTGGACAAGTCCTTCCACCCAACGAGCGGAAGCTCCCGCAGTAGTAGATAGCCTGCATACGGGCTGCAGGTGTACAAAAAGCCCTGCAGAGTGTATACGGGAGCATTTACGATCTGTAAAACAGATATGCGTCACGATGCATGGGATTTCCAGATGCGGTTCAGCATTTCCGGGAGTAGATAGTTTCTCGTGATGGGGAGAGTGTCAGCAACAGGTTTTCGGCCCTTGGAGATGGAGTGGAGACACAAATCGACCTTTCCAAGGGCTGAAATAGCTATTCTCAAGGTGAAAAATGAAAATAAAAAATGAAAATAAAATAAAAACAAATTTTGAGGTTGTCATTAGGGTTATAAATGCAGGTGGCCAATAGTGCGGAATATACTTCAGGGTCCAAGGCCCGGACCCCCACAACGGCCGCATTCGGACAAGTACATGGAGGTACCCGCGATCGACCAGCCTGCTGGAAGGAAGATCCGGGGAAACGGACGCGCCTGTGCCACTGCGTTTATTTCCGCAGCAAGCAGCTCAAAAATGTAGCCGTTTGGGCCGTCATCTCGGCCTACTTGTAGCATTGTGAAGATCAGATGGTCGGGAGATTTTAAGATTGTCTAGCGAATTTTCCAGCGAACCGCCGGGACTTAGGGAAACAGTCGTGTGCTTTTATATTGGCTACGGGAAACAGTCGGGTCCCTTTTTTTTGGCTACGAGAAACAGTTATGTCCCTTTCTCCCCCGTTTGGCTCCGGTTCAGGGGTTGCAGGTTTTTTTGCTCGTGTGAACTTAACGCACTCAAGCGGTTGCAGCCACAGCCAATACGAGCACAGCACCCTGCGATTGAGATCCCAGAATGCATCCCTGGAGTTGCTAATCTAATTGCTTTCACTTGTACTTGTTTAGTATGCACACTTTTTTCCCCCTTGCTGCTCTGCATATTTCAGTCACAGCTCTTCGTATTTCCAGCAGGGTAGTCCGTAGACATAAACATGGTATCGTAGTGCAACCCGACAGCTCTTGAATGGCGTTGCAAGTGGTTTCAAAAGTAGCCTCCATTCACTACCTTAGGTCGACGCTAAGGAAGACCCTAAAGGTTCATTCGAACAGCCCTACTTATAGCTCTAGTAGCCGTTGACATGGCTGTACCTTTGAGATCTCGCATGAAAAAAATAGTCGATCGTTGCAGCTCCAAGCATGCCCTCGCAGCCGCAGATCTGCTTTGGGCTTGTTATAACCCCTGTAAACAGCTTTGCAGCGCAAAAGTGCTCAATTTTGCTGCATGGTTTGTCAACAGTTGGTGCAGGGCAAAAACAGGAAGCGCAGGGGGCCTTTGTTGTTTCCAAGACATAATCGGTTTTGAGAAAGAAATTGCCTCTTTGGGAACAGCCTGCATACAAGGGTGGCCGCGATGACCGTGGCTCGTAAACAGCCCTTCATGGCTTCTCCAAAATATCACCAATATCAACTACTCTCAACATGAGAACCAAAACCAATAAAATACATTAACCGTTACTTGTACATTAGAACCATCGCTTCCACCAAGAAACGCCCCTTCTGTCCCGATGACCTGCAATCTGACGCTCCTTCAACCGACCCTGCCGGCAATAGACAACCGCAACAATCATGTCCCGCAGACGAGCCTCGGAAACAAGGGGGAAACACGTTCTGATTGAAGGAGGGATGCGCAGAACGGCATTGCCAGGAGACCGGAATCGGTTGGACCAGACTTGCTGCTGTAGGGACGAAGTGATGAGGAAATCCAGAGACCGCCACTCATTGACCGTAGCAATATCACGAGACTCGAAATGAGCGGGATCTCGTGACTCAGAGAACCGCCGCTTTCCATTTGTAGCAACCACAGAAGACGCAGACGCCTTGGTGGCTCTTTCAAACGGAGACAAGATCGAGTTTTGACGATTGTGGGTCTTTTGAGGAGCCGAATTGCCAATCACATGGGTGTTGATACTGCCCAGATCCCGTGATTCGCCATGGTCACGCGGAGACCCTAGGTCCGTAGCCCGGGATGTGGAGTCGGGTGAGGCCGGAACGCTCGTGGCCGTGTGCTGCGAAATGGTAGTCTCGCCCGACGTATCACGTGGACGCGTGGTATCACGTGGGTGCTGCGGAAAATCAGAATCACGTGATTGGGACGCTTCCCGCGGCCGATTCGAGTCACGTGATTTACTCTGAGCACTCGCCTCTGACTCGTCAAACTCGGGAATGCCATATCGGGAGGTAAAGTCGCGGGACTGCTGGCCATGGGACACACTCTTGGGCTGCTGCTCACGTGACTGCTCACGTGTCCCATTAATACCTACCGTGTGCACATTGACTTCACTGAGCTCAGAAATGATGGACATGTCGTCGTCGTCGTCCTGAGTAAAACCAGGAACAGAGCTCTTGGGGTGCGCCAGATTCACATGACGAAGCTTGCTGGTCACGTGAGGAGGCTCCATCGTGGACTTTTCAGCTTCGTGGGACACGTGGCCCCGATTATGAAACACGCTCACGTGACCTTCGTCATCTGTGCGTCTTCTTTTGGCGAGCCGTTCAGCCCGTGCAGCCTCGATTCGAGCCAGCTTTTCCTGATCCCGGGCATTTTTCTCGCGAATCTCGCGCTCTACCCGGTCACGTGCTTCCGCCGTTTTACGCTCGTGTTCCTCTAGGTCACGTGCCTTCTGGGCTGCCTTTTCAGCATCACGTGAAGACTTGCTGTGAGTCTGTTTGGCAGCTTCAATGATCTGAGCCATGGAAGTGTTGGGCATGGTCAGATCAGCAGGAAGACGGGGCTCACGTGACTGAGAATCACGTCTGTCATTTTGTGACCCTTCTGCCTCACGTGACTCTCGTATTTGCTTGGTATGTTTCTTGATTGCACTGGCCTTGATTCGATCGAGAGAAGTGTCTGCCATTCGATGCTCACCGAGCAGATCACGTGATGAAACAACAGCAGGTTCAACGGTAGACATGCCTTGATCGTGCGACTCATCGATTTCACGTGACTCACCATCCCCACGAGCCTGCTTTGTGTGCTTCTTGATGGCGCTGGCCTTGATTCGGTCCAAACTAGTGTCCGCCATACGGTGCTCACTAAGTAGGTCGCGTGCTTGACCGTTCAACTCTTCACGTGACTCATAATGTGACTTATCAGTAGCTCCTTGAAGTTGCGACCGGTCACTTGTTCGATGATCACGTGATGACAGCTTATCCTGCAAATACCGCGATTTGAATCTGGATGAGTCGGTGGAATCACCTGAACGAGCAGTCTCGTGGGACCGGATAGACTCATCGTGCGAGACCTGAGATTGAGTATCAGGGGCATCACGTGCCTCCATTTCCACCTCAACCTCACCTGATTCTCCACTTTCAGACTCAATGGCATCCTCTTCCTCCTCGGCTTCAAAGCTCTTATTCTTCTCTCTATTGCTGGTAAAGTAGTTGATGTTTGAGAAAGATTTTTCGTGGGACGATTGCTCACGTGGCTCCTGCTCCCGCTCCTGCTCCCGCTCCTGCTCCTGCTCCTGCTCCTGCTCCTGCTCCCCCTCAACATCAACCTCGAAAGACTCCTCGAGAGCCGAATCAGGAGCTCCTCCAGGACTGCCTCTGTCACGTGATATGCTAATGTCATGCGATCGGTCGCCGACTCCTGCAAGCGACACCCGGGAACGGTCACGTGACGGAAGCGGGGTTCCTCGACGAGCTCTGGCCGACTCGTCGCTGGGTTCTTCGTCGTTGAGAGGAACGGATACGGTATGTGTACGGGAAGTGGTGTCACGCGACTGGCTGGGGTCACGCGATCGGTTAGCGTCACGTGATCGAATGTTATCGCGCGACTTACCAGTGTCACGCGTTTCCATTTGATTGAAGGAGACTCCCTCAGCTTGAGTGAGCGAAACCTCAGCTTGCCAAGACTCGAGACCAGAAACCAAACGAGAAGTTCGACGAGTAGAAGGATCACGTGATCGAGAGGAAGGGTCACGTGATAGATCTGTTGGGACTGTTTCTCGGGTAACCGTTTCCCTCAGACTTTTGACTGGAGGAGCTGTATCCTCTTCCTCCGCTTCCGTGACATTATCTTGAGTAACTATCACTGAAGGAACCGAAGAAACAGGCTCCACAACAACAGAACGAAGATTTCGACGCATGGGTCGCCTAGAGGATGTCTGTTCACGTGGTTGAGTCTGAGGTGACTCGATCTGGTCACGTGATTCAACTCCATCTCGAGACTCAATCTGTCTGGCTACACCTGCAAATAGTGAGTCTTGGCCAGGATTGAGATTGTGTGATAGCGACGGAATTGAATAGTCACGTGACATAAATGTTGAGCGTGTATCGTTTTGGGGCTTCTGGTCACGTGTTTGGTCACGTGTTTGGTCGCGCTCTTGTCGCTCAGGCTCTGGCTCTGGCTCCACCTCTTCCTCTACAGTCATCCTCGTCAGCGTCGGTTCACGAGATCCGAACCGTGCCTGAGAAAAGTCACGTGACGCTCCTAAGGTCTGTCTGGGCGTGGTTCCAAACGTCTGGGCATAATCACGAGTGTTTCCAAAGTCCAGCATTCGGCTGGGTTGGCCTAGACCTCTTGATTCCACTCGCCGAGGCTCTCCAATGGCGTAATTTGAAAATTTCAGCCGCCCGATCGATTTGACGCTCTTTGGAGTCTTCCTAGGTGAAGTTGTAGGCTTAGGAGTTCCAATAGGAGCCGTCCAGGTCGGTCGATCTGGGTACGTCTGTCTTAAGGGAGTTTGATGGGGGTAATTACTCATGTCGGGTCGCAGGAAAGTCGAGCTGTGTAATCACGTGATCTCAATGATTGTAGTTCAGTTTTCCGCTTGTCGATACGAAGCTCGGTTCACGAGATGGATGCGGTGTTCTGATGTCCTTACTGAGTGTTGTTATATTTCAACGCGTCTGGTAAGGTGCGTCTGCAAGGAGATATGGGTTAGGGTTGGGAGCTTAATGGGGATCGCATACTGGTGTGTTAAGGAAGTTCCTTGTATTTTCAATGAGGAGTTGGGAGGTAGAAAAGATGGAAATAGGTATTTAGAGATTGATATTACAGCTTTCCTACTTTTTTGATGGAATTTCTGAAGCGAAACAATTGAATAACTTACAGCCCCAGCTACAGTGATGAGATTAACACAGAAACTGAACTAAATGAAGCAGGAGAAAAACGTCTTTCAAATGATATACTAAATGAGTATATTAAGGATAATATACCAATTTTTTTGTGGATATAGAAGCGACTTTTAATAATGGAGCTCCCAATAAGGTTTTGACACCCGGTTTGTTCTTGAAAGTCAAATATTCTTCGATTAGTCATCACAACATACCATATACCTATCTCCGTTTACCCGCAAACAAGCCATTTTCCCTCGCCTCGAGATGACTCAGCACATTACTCATCAGTTTCCGCTTGGCAGGAATAGACTCACTCGTATATCTAGGTTAAGAGTCAATAAGGCCTTGTTCACCAGTTGAGGTAAAATTACGGGTTCCGAAGGGTGCAATGTGACCAGTATCAGAACCTGTGTTTTATGGGGATATATCCGCCGTCATTTTTCCAAGGCCGTTTGTGTCGCCTCGGTCAATTGCCACCCAGCTGCACGCTTCTCATTATCGCCATCTATTTATATCTCACGCCACCAGTGCAAACTGGATATCTCGCCATATGTGCTCTTGGCAAGCACAGCCCCCATGCAACCGGTGGCTAAGGTAAGGGACCCGACAGGAGATCTGTATAAGTGGTGCTTATGAAGCGTCAGAAGAGGGCCAAGGCCATCTTATATATGCTTTTGCGCCCGCTTCTGTGTTACTTGGGGGCTCTGTCACATGTACTGTGGTAGAGCAAAAGTGACAGGCCCAGCACTTGTCATTGCACCTGCACGGTGTCAAGTCATATCCATACGTATGCGTACAGCCCGAAAGTAGGTTTCGGGGTTAGTGTACGTACCGAGGGTGTTTTGTAATTGATGAGGGAAGGATATATTTGCTATTTCGACATGAGAAAACGATTCGAAGTTGGCACATTAGTCATCTGGCTATTTTTCAGCTCCCAAATCGGCCTACAACCCCCTTTCTTAACACCTCCCAATGCCTGGTGGCACCTCTCATACATCTCCCAATCTGTAGAGACAAAAATACACTTCCCATTTTAATCCGCATTTTTAGCACATCCAGAACACCGTCTTCTACGTTCTACTGTACACCACAGAAATTGCATAGTGAGTATCGAGAGGTTTGGCTAGGAGAGCTGAGGAGGACGAGCGGAGGACGATAGGGGCGTCACATGACGACGATTGGATATGCTACCACAGCGGGTCCATGCCACAAAGGTTCAAACGCCGGTTGTGTGATAGGTGGCGAGCTGACTAGAGCACTGTAGTGGACAGAGATGGAGACAGAGATAGAGACAGAGACGGACCTGAGGGGAAGACAAGGCAATTCTGCGTTACAGAGGATGTCCTCTGTCCGAGTCTGTTGTGGTGATGTCGCTGCTCTCTGTTCGTGTTTGTCGTTTGTGTTTTTGGCAGTTGTTGGCTGGTTTGTGGGAAAAGGGGAAAAGGTGATGGAGACTATCTCAGCAGATAGCGGTGATTGTGTTTATGCTGTCATTAGACACAATCGTCGATGGGCTTGTTGCTGAGCTCTCTACTGACGTTGTCGTTCTTTGCGTGTCGCAAACTGAGCGATAACACTGTTTAGGGGTCACAGCGGGGATGAGAACTACGGAACTGTTGCGCGTGCACATTACGAGTGAAGTACTCCTATTTTACTAATGGCACACACACTTGCAAGACTTACTTGCAGTGTTACTACTGCACTTGTGTTGTACGCCCATAGACGCCATCTGAAACATGTCTCAAGCAACGAACTACGACACAGCCATCGCACCCAGCTCTATCAACAGAACCACTTGAATGGTACAAGCGAGACAGTCAACCCTTGACTTGCTGCGACTTATGACACAGTGGTTTGTCATCCATGACAAGCTCTTCTCTGCGATATGGTTCGTGTCGTGGGTACAAGTGTGCACTCTGCAGTTTGCTACTTTCTACTCAGTTATCGATACCACTTTGATTGTCTTCCACTTAACCACCGCTTGTCCCTCGATCTATCTCGACCGAGTCTCACAAGCTAAATTTCAATCTGAGACATGCAGATCGTCAGTGTGGAGAGCTTTCTTGTGTGATCACTGTAGCCACTGAGGACACCAGTACTACCCAAGACTTTCCAACCATCGTCATTACCACTCCCGTCAAGCAGGCACTTATCAGGCTCACCTGCCAAGCCTTATTAGCTAATGTTTCTTTCTTTTCGCTCCTTAGCTTGTGCCTCTGCGAGTACATAGGTGGATCCCGCATCTTCGCTCGCTCTCCTGGCCTCTGTCCCACGTATTCGTAGGACACGCACATCAAACCGAACTAACACAGATGTCACTTAACCCCGACCCACACACGCGACGACGATCGTCCAGTATACTGCGGCACCTCGAGCCCGAAACCATCACTGAACAGAGCGACCAGAACGCGCTGCCCAACCTCAACGCTACCTGGGTCAATAACAAGGGCGCATGGGGAGTGCATTTCTTCATCATTGGCATTCTCAAGATCTGCTTCGATCTCATCCCTGGCGTGACCCGCGAGCTGTCCTGGACACTCACCAACATCACCTACGTGATTGGCTCTTACATCATGTTCCATTACGTTACCGGAATCCCCTTTGAGTTCAACGCTGGCGCTTTCGACAACCTGACCATGTGGGAGCAGATTGACGACGGTGACCAATACACACCCGCAAAGAAGTTTCTGCTCGGCGTGCCTATTGGCCTGTTCCTCATCTCCACCCACTACACCCATTACGACTTGCACATGTTCATTCTCAACCTGCTGGCGTGTCTGGTGGTGGTCATTCCCAAGCTGCCCTCTTCCCACAAGCTGCGAGTTGGTCTCCCCGACCTGTCTCCCGATACTCCTTCCACTTACTAGGGCTGATGGATTGATGGCTAGTTGAGCTTTGCTGGCGCCTCGGGTTGACAGCTATGGCTGCGACCCGTTTTATGAGAAAATTATAACAGTGGAGGAATGGAAATAGTGAATTTGTATTTGAGGAGAACTTGAAGGTGACTGTAGTACGATTCGTAAGGGTCTATTTCATGATCATTTATATATATCTGTACTGCACTAGTACAGAAGTGTCAGTGTGAACTGATCAAAGTCAATGGCCTCGTTGCCGTTGTTCTGCTGTTGCTGTGCACCGTGGAGGATTATGAAGTATCTGCGGGTGACATCTGGAGCTTTAGAGCTAGTTGAAGGTCAGTCCTATGTGATAGAGGTCGTGCAGTACATACTGTGGTGTATGTGGTCGCATTTTCCAAAAGGTCCCTGCACTGAGACCAGCTCAATCAGAGAGCCAGCAGCGGTCTTGAGACTTGGAGGAGAACGCGTACATGTCCTTGAATCAGAGAGTCAAAGACATTGCTTCGCAGTCTAGATGGCATCGGACGTTGCGGTAGGCTGAAGATCGTTCGGTTGAGATATGGCGCCGCTCTGTCTCCCTAGAACTCCTTCTTATAACACCTGAACAGCAACATCGCTGCCTGGGCGTCAATAACACTCGAGTGTTCCCCTTGTTGAATATTCAGATCCACACACTCTTTCATCACATGCTTCAGGGATGGAGTCTTGCATCCACAAACCGTCTTAAAGTACTGTGGCTTTTGAGTGTCTCTGATATCGGCCCGGGGATGGTCCAATCCCAGAACAGCCAGATCATTGATTAGAGCATGGCCGATAAGAGTTCTTCCATTGAGCAATCGTTTGACCCGTTCCTGAGCCTCGGAAAAGGAGATTCCGTTGGCCACCATGGCTGGAGTCACTCCGCTGACCCATGTTCTCCAGTCTGTAACTCGTTCAATCGGCTTCACATACTCGTCCATCAGCACATGGCCGTAGTAGTTGACAATGGAGACCCGGGCCAGAATCGAACGGGCTCCATTGGGTCCCACGCCCACAAACTCACAGTCCAGCGCAATGAACTTGCCCGGAGCACATTTCCATCGAGCCAGAACGGGCTCTATCGGCTGAGGAGGCGCATGCAGCGCTTCTTCGAGTCCAGCATCGTCAGACTGCAGAATCGCGCCCAAAGTCGGCCGAGTCGGATCGTTTTTGTGCACACGAGCCCGCAGAGGAATCTGTAGTGCCTGGCACTTGATGACTTTGCTTTTAGCCACGTTCTTCGCTTTGCTGAGCCCCGGGTCCAGTTGGCCAACCACCTTTTTATTTTCCGATTTCTTCGCACGCCACGCCTTCGCGCGGTTCCGCTTAGCGTCTCCAGGCTGTCCCTTGGCCCCTCCCCCCGGCGTCGACGCCTGAAGAGCTTTCCAGTTTGGAGACAGCGACATGTTGATGAAATAAATTAGCCCTCTGAACATACTTTTGTCTGCAGGCCACCATGCATGGTGATGTAATCAGAGACGAGGGGCACGGGGGTGAGAGAGCAAGTGTGGTAGGGAAACGAGTACGAGTACGTGTAACGATTGTTACCGCCGTGCAACAATAGGGTAAAGTGTGAGTACGAGTTATTTGTTGTGGTTGTACAGTTGTGGAATCCGGACTTCAAGACTGCTACGAGGCTAAACTAGTTTGTCAACTACGCAGTTTCTGATTCTAAAGTATCAATTGACAATAGCATTCTTTTAGATCTTGACGACAAAGACCTGCTTGGGAGCGTCTATCTCAACAGTCTGATCGCGAAACAGGCATGGAATTTTCGTACCATTGACTATTTATCTGACTAGATTGGCTCTAGAATATTCATAAACTTGCACAAGACGTCGTCATTGATTCCACAATCGTGAGCTTCCTTCGTCCTCAGCTCCGGGAGTAGTCCTTTGGCTTCCTCCAATTTCTGTGGGATAGAAGCCAGTCCAGCTAGTTCATACTTAATATCAGCAGGTGACAACGACTTTCGGCCTGGTTGGACCCAGCCATTGGCCTCGATGTTCCTTCAGCTTTTTATTCGAGTTTTGTCAGAAAGCTGCTCACTCAGAGGCAGCACCGTTGGAATCCTCATCCTTATTTTATTTTTAATTTGACAATAACCGCTGAACTTTTTCACCACACCAGTCCATATTGCGGTGCCACCTATCCTTAAGCCACGCTCGTTATAGGGAAAAATGGACACGCTGGGAAGCCGGTATTGAGAGTCCCAGTCCAACGGCTTTGTATTTTTAAAAGAGGCATTTTCACCCCGAGTTTTACTCTGGGTGTAGCAAAATTTGCGATTGGAAATGAGACTTGAAGTTGCCGTTATCCACGAAGTTCCGCGAGACGGAAATCCGATCAATGTTGCACTTGTCGATCACAATGTTGCGAACAATGAGATGCCCATTGTTTGCGCGAGACATGAAGTTGACCCATGAGAGGTTTGAGCTCGGTTCCCTAATATTTTCAACCCACTGGACATATTTGATATCATTATGATTACTGGGACTGATCTCATTCAGTTACCTCTCCATGATATTGTTGTGTCGTCTCTCAAACACCAGGTAGGAAGACAACAAGTCATCGGCGAGGAAGAAGTCGGTGATAAGCCAAATCACGAAGTCCCGAGCGTCGGATCTGATCTCCAAATACCGATTTATAGGACCTAGAATGCTTTTACATCGGGTCTTCTTAATATTGTAGAAGGAACAGGATAATGCAGAATGGCCATGCATCAGGTTTCGAATGTCGTCATTTCCCATATATCTTGATGAAGGTGTTGAAGGGAAGATAGTCGTTAACACGTTCTTCTTTGACGTCTTCGTCCTTGTACTTGACAAAGTACAGTACAGTACAGTATGTACTCCTTTTGTCATGTCGTGGTCGGCAATTCGGTAATGCTTGCGACCCTCGTCCTTTGCCTCTCCAGCCTCGTTCTGCCTTCCCGAGAGCTATCAGAAAGTCTAGTTGTTTCGATTCAATGTCAACCAGAAACATTCTTGAACCTGAAGTTGTACAAAATGGTCATTCTTCCGATTCAGGGCCTTCATGACTTGTTTCTGCTGTAATATGTCGAGATGTATCTGCGCCCTATACAGTATATTGTGACAGAAAGGAGGAATACACTTGTAAACAGTCTCAAGAAGTTCTCAAAAGCTCTGGGGATGAGTTCAGGCGATGTTCCAGGCGTAGATGGACTTGTTATTTGGGTCTGGAGCAATTGTTGAGAAATGTTGGTACCTGCGAAGACATGGGTCCCCACAGGTTGTTTTGATGGAAGTGTCTGTTTCTCAAGCACCTCTTGGCCTGGCCTTTAACCACAATTGATTGTGCAAAAAGTCTCTAGCTCGTCGGGGGTGTCTGAACGGTTAGAAATGTCCTCACTTCCTGGGTTGGCGCTATCTGAGCCGAACGTGAAGCTACCATTGAGGCATATATGGTAGCTGATAAAGTGTCCAGGGCTAAATTGTGGGTTAGCGCAACGCTTACTGGCCATGTTTGAGTATAGTATGTACATAATGAGAAGGATGTTAGAAGCTGAAAAGTGTTATTGACCTGGTTGGTCAGCCCCCTAGCTTTTTGAAGAGTTAACCACTTGGAACGTTGACACATTCGCAGATTAAGTACAAGTGGGAAGTTTCACCGCTATAGAAAGAGTAGCAGCTTCCACCAGCTGCCAGGGAAGTCCAAGCACGTCATCTAAACATCTGCCTTACTTAGTGATCTGCAGAAATCAATGACAGCAACAGTAATGACAGGACACATACAATTTACTTGAGTCTGTCACGCGTCGTCCATAGCTTTCCTCTCTGACGTAGTACATCTTTACTCGTCACTGAGATATTCGCATAATCAGTGCATAATCCATGTACAGTACTACTTTGTATAATCAGAATGATGGATTGTAGCTATGATGTATAGGATTGGTGTATTAGTCAAGTGATTGCGTATTGAATTCATTGTAGGAATGATTTAAATATATTTATTCTTTAGAATCTTGATGTCGGATGATAAGAAGTTGGACTTGTACTTCTACAAGATTTTTTTGTATGCGTCTCCCATTTGTCTCTCTCTCTCGTACTTGTACAACTAGGCTCAAATTAAGATAGAAGCACTTGTAAGGGCGTGAATGGGCTCTCAAACAATTCTGCATTACGTGATATCTTGTCAAAATGCTCTCTCAAGCACTATCTGGTTTTTTTAATTTTTTTTATGTATTATATTTATTACTTTTTTAATTTTTTTTATTCAAATGGTTCATTACATTTTTTTATTCTAATGATTCATTGCAGCTGACAAATCAAAACCAGTCTCCAGTGAGTCCAACCACTGATGGAGAAACAAGCCGCCTTCGTGGCCAAGTGGTAAGGCGCAGCACTAGTAATGCTGAGATCATCAGTTCAAATCTGGTCGAAGGCATTTTTTTCCTTAAAGCGAGGATTATACGAGCTGTTTGTGATGGGTTTTCATCAGTGTCCCAGAAACCACCTTTTTGTGATTGTGTGTATAGTCGAGTTGAAATTTTGATGCACCTATGTTCCAACAGGTCTCAAATTTACCACTACAGTAGCTAGCTAATTGTGTTTCAATACTGTTACAATGTTCCTCTGGTGACACTGTTGTGCTACAGTATGTACAGTATGTCGTGTTCAACACCTATAACCTTGAACACAGTTTGCGCTCCTGTCCTCTTAACCATCACTCAACTTGCTCACCCACACACCTCTCTGATAATATCCAAATACCACAGTATTGCTTTACACGATACTCGCTTGATACCTACTGTACTGACGTGTATACTTGGACACAGAAACTTGCTCCACTGGTCATCTTTTGCTGTTACCACTTGCAGACAGTGATACCTACATCGAAACCGCGATACCTGACCGTCACCGATACACTCCACTGACACACCATTGATACACACCGTTGATACAAGGACTCATACCTCACCACTGATATACAGATATAAACATTTGGCACACACTTCTCGCACCCACCCGATAGCCCCACCTCAAGATGAATCTACTTACCATCTTAATCTCGACACTGCGCGTCGTGTCAGTTCTGGCACGACCCATCTACTCGACTCCAGTCCACGTGTCCACTGGACCTATCCTTTCGCGACGCTCGGAATCGACCGACGAGAGCTACGACCAGTGGTATCAGAGTCTGAGTGAGCGTCGACACAAGCTGAATATGGCATCGAAGGAAATCCAGGCAAAGCAGCACAAGGAGTCTGCTAACCGCATCAAACACAGCACTTCGCAGAACTTTGACCTGGAGTACGAACCCGACTGGCTGGATGGTCTGGTGATTCAAACAAAGGGAATGAAGGTGGGAAAACACTCTTACAAGGTGCCCCACAATCGTGGGATCGATGCGCGACGAGGAGTGCCCAACAAACAGATATTTGATGCCATCAACGAGCCCGAAGACGACGCCAATTACTTTTGGGATCCCAATTGCCCGCGGTACAACCAGACGGCTCAGGATAAGATTCCCAACTACCCTCGCCCAGGAGTCATTGATCCTCCTACTCGTTCACCTGCTCGCGGAGATGTGGAAGCCAACAACAAGAACGATAACGGCCGAACTGGTCAGCGTGGCAGTTCGGATGACAGAGGCAAGAAAGGTACGAAACCTGTCCAGTTCTCATCTGATGCAGGCCTAAGTTTCAGGGCTAGTAGCAACAGTCTTTTTATTGCGGTGGTATACTTGATATGTCTCCTGTAGTGTAAAGCGGTGTTTTCAGCTGATGATGTTTTATAAGCTGTTTATGTTAGCAGGTTACTGTTTATGTAATTAAGGGATGTACACTATAGAATTGTAGATGATCATATCTGATTAACCGGACGGCGTATGATATATATATTCGATCACCTCAAAGCTAAGCACAGCTTGATGATTCATTTGATTGCGATTACAATATATTGCATCACCATATGGCTATGACCCAATTATTGCATATTTTAAATTAACTCAACCACAAATCGAACCCCAAACCTTGGCAAGTATATGGAGAGATGCAAAATCGAACTGACAACCGGGGCTAAATTAGCCTGCTGCATTCTCGAGGCTGGCGCGTCACACACAGAACGATACAAGACTAGACAGCGGACTATTGATACAATGGCGCCCCCTACAGTGAGTACGAAGTTGAAAGAGGGAGCCTTGAGGCTGGAGGAGGATGCAGAATTGAAATATTGTGAGCCTCGATGTTTCAATATGATGTCTCCATGCTAACCCAGGTCCAACGACAAATAAAAATCACAACCACCCAGGAGGTGCTAGACGACGTGCCTCCGCAGCAGGAAGGATTTCCCATGCGAAAGTGGGCCATCGAGATCTCGATGCTCAACGACAAAGGTGAGGAGGTGCCCGCCACGATGTTCGATGAGGTTATCTACCAGCTGCACCCCACGTTCGTCAACCCCAACCGAACGTTCAAGAAGCCTCCGTTTCGAATCGAGGAGCAAGGATGGGGAGAGTTCGATCTCAAGATTGTGTTCGTGCCAGCTGACAAGGGCCCCAAGCAGTCGGTCACTCACGACCTCAACTTCCAAAAGTCCAAGTACGAGGTGATTCACAACCTAAAGTTCCCTACCAATCGGCCTGGTCTGGCCAAGCTGTTGGCCGAAACGGGCCCCGTGCCTGGATACTCTGCGCAGGCGGCCTCTCCGGCACCAGACAAGCGACGGGCCGAGGAGGACGACTCCAAGCTCAAGAAGAAGAGCAAAGTGCTGGAAAAGTCCAGCGTGGACCTGGAGCGGCTTGCTGCCGGCCTCCAGAGACTCAAGGAGGACGATCTCATCCGAGTGCTGCAGATGGTCACGGACAACAAGACTTCTGACATGGCCATCAACAACAACGTCGACGAGGGTGAATTCCACATGGACCTGTTCACCTTCCCCGACAATCTGCTCAAGAGTCTGTGGGATTTCACAAAGCGACGATTCCCCGATGTTTAAGCGGACTGGAGAGTGAGGAGGTACCCTTAGATCCGTCGGAAATCCCGGTTCTTTGTATATTAGTATATTAGTAAGATGTTATTGATTTACGTGTGGAGATGGGCTACAGTAATGTGCAAACAGCCCCAGTAGAACTAAGTAAAACCAGGAAAGTGTACCTTTAGTGAAGAGTGAAAAATCAATACCAGAGAGCTACTTGTACAAGTATTCACCTCACGCTTAGAGAGATTAACGTAGCTCAAGGTACTCGTTAGCTAGCTATAGCTAGGGATGTGGCGTGACTCATTAAAGACCAGTACTACAGTAACTGCGGCTAGTAGCAAGTAGTAGAAGAGGTAAGTACCGTGCGTAATGTACGAGTACAGTACCGGTACTGTACCGCATTGTGTTTTTATCCACACAGTCAGGTGGATGTAGAATTATAAGTACTGTAATATGTAGTTCATCTCACCATCTCTTTCTTATACAGTCCTAAATGAGCACCAGCTACCTCCTTCCACATTCTCGGCAATACATACAGAATATATTATCTCGTCTTCACTAGCAACTAGTGGTACCGTATATCTAGTGCGTACGGTAGTTAGCACATCGTTTCTGTTGACATCTCCTTGAGGCATGACTCAGTGATAGCTCCGTAAATGAACAACATTGCATTGGACAGTCGGAGCATTATTATAACTGCTCAAAGTAGACAAATAACTTCGCAGATTGTTGTCTGCTCGTGACCCATTGCCAGTCGCTTTCTTATCCCTGTAGCGCCTTAAACCGCTCTCTCATATCCATCAACAAGGCCTCATCATCCTCATCCTCCTCATCTTCCAGCTCGGTGGTAGGAGCCTGGGGAACAGGAGTGACGCTCTCCTTCTTGGGGGCAACCTTCTCCTTGGCCGGCTGAGGGGTACCAATAGCGCCGTTTGTGATTTCGCCCAAAATGCTGTCAATCTCCTTTTCTGCGTCCTCATCCACCATTTCGTTATCATCTAGAGTGTCCAAGGTGTCTCCGACCATTTCGTCGATGATTCCAGACTTGACAAGCTCCATGGACAGCTGCTGCATCGATCCCATGAGCTCGGGAAGACGCACCAGCTGGTTGACCTCCTTCATGACCCCTGTTGACGTTTTCATCGACCCTTGGATCTTCTGTAGAGAAAACGCCTCATCGACCTGAAGTGAGACAGAATTAAGTTGTGCTTTGGACGTGTGAAGCCGTTCCCGCTGTTTCTTGACGCCGTAGATCTCCTTAGCCAAAATCCGCGCACTTTTGACATCGTTTCGTTTCGCAGATGCCTTGATCATCTGCTTGGTTTTGGCCTCTGACGACTGCAGCGACGCCAGCTGCCGGTCGATCTGTCGCTGGTTTTGCCGAATCAGAGACTGGCACGTGCGCCGCTGCTCCGCCGGATCGGGGCCGTATATCGCTTTTTTGATGTAGTTCATGACGGTGAGATGGTGGAGATAAGTGTTGTGCGTCTAACGTTATCGTGCAGCGAGACAGGTCGAGTTAGCTACGGAGTATGAGTGTATGTACTGTGTAAAAGAGGGAGATGTAAATTTAGAGACGGAACATATGGCCGTGATTAATGGACCAATTAACCGGATTGTTAGACAAGAGGAAAATATGATATATCGATTATGATTTCACACAAGACACAGATTATGAGCTACTATAGCGGAAGTGAACTGTTCTGCAGTGTGTCTCAGCCTGTGCAAATGGGGTTGGATGTTGTGTGAAGTCTATGACTGAGCTGGTAATAACTATGGGTATTACCCATATTGGTTCGCATCAAACCAGAGAAGATCGGTAGAATTCAAAATCAGCTGAAATCAAGTAGATACCAAGTATTCACGACATTGGAATATCCTTTCCTGTAACGTCTATCACCTCTGTCTATTGTGCTTCACCAACGAAAAGTACTCGTGCAGTAGCTACCGGTACTTGGACTTGAACTCGTAGCCAGCATTTTTCGGAAATTAAATGCTAAACTTGAAATTTTTTGGTCGATGCACTTTTTGGGCGAATTTTAGGTAATTAGAAAAAATTATATATAAAATATGAGATAAAGTGAAGGTACAGTATTCCCCATTACACTGTAAATGAAATTCATAATCTAGCATTTAATACATTAAATGATGGAAACAGCCCTTCGGATTCGCATTCAAACCCGCGGCAGGATAACGTAAGGGAGGCTGGAAAAACCATGAAAATATACATGTTTCAAAGGGTCTGGCAGTTCCAGGAACTAGCCTGAAAATGAAATACAAGAGACCAGAATAGTCAGCCACTAAAGCTGACTCACAGTCACAGCTTTATACGTAGCACACAAACTCCCTCACACTACACTCCTACTACCACCCAGTAGACGCAGTTGTAAACCTGGGGTGGTCATCAAAATAAAAATTTAGGTTCATTGCGATGGTGATGAGAGGGTGTAGTAATTGTGTTTTTTGACACCGGGGTCTTGGCTGAAATTAGTTCACGTTTCTCTCAATATGTCCAAGTATCTTCCATCGCACTCCTATATCTCCACCTATCTTAGTAAGCGTGTTTGACATCCCTCTACCAGCTACACCTTGCAGCATATACACATTAGCTTTTCACATATCGTGCCTAACCTCACATTTGTTTTTCGTTGCTAATACCAAGACAGGTCCCATGTCCGACTACTACAGCAATGTCGAGCCTGGGCTGGGGGCGGGCTCTGGCAACGACTCGGGTCGGCGTCAGGCAGACCCAGATGCGAACATGACGCTCACCAAGCCCGTGGGAGACTCTACCAAGGACACTGACTCAAACGACCACAACAAGGAGTACGAAACGATTCTGGATCTGAACGACGCCGAGCAGCTGCGGTTCATCGCCGAGCAACTGGAGTCTTTACATGGGGATGGAGACAAGGCGGACCCCAACGAAGAGCCTCAGAACGACGACTTCTCCATTCAGCCAGCTGATTTTGATTACACAGATACATCTCAACAGCAACAGCAGCAGCTACATCATCAACAACAACAGCAACAGCAGGATCAGTCTCAAGCTGCACGAATATCGCCTGACGACGAGTTCAGATACTCTATTGACTCGCGAAGACAGTTGTTGATCGACTCGTTACCAGTGCTCGATAACCTGGCCATGCAGATTCTCAACACTGTGGGTCGCCAGCCATACCAGACGACGCTCACCATGGTCACGGAGCCCGACTCAGATCTCGGACAGAGCTTCTCCATTCTCATGTCGCTGTTCGACCAGACCAAACGGTTGTACTCGCAGTCGGAGCCCTTCATCTCAGGCATATCCCTCGGAATTAGGAATAGAGAGCAGAAGGGCATTGTACAAAAGGCCAACATGGCCACGTTCTGTGCGGCTGTGTTCGGATTCGCAGAGGTCGGCTTCTACCATCTGCACGAGTTCTTCCTGGACTCGTTTGTGCCAGATAATATGCGTCTGCTGAAATCACATGGTGCGCTGTTTCTGGAGCTCAAAACACAGGCGTACATTTCGGCCATGTCGCAGAACGAAAAGTCCAAGACGGAGATTCTCAACGACCTGTTCCCCATGGACCTGGACCGCATGTTGATCAACCGGCGAAACTCCAAGAGCCTGGCCCCTTCCGAAGTTGACTTTGTGTCGCGGTGTCGGTCGCGCCGAGAGCGACTCTTCAACGCCAATTCCACGGCAGAACTATCAGACACGTACAGTTGGCTGTCGTTCCTGAAAGAGGTCGTGGAACATGTTTCCAAGGTGTACCTGGCCACCCTAGTCAGCAAAAAAGCTTCTACACAGGGTCCGAGTTCCATCCCTTTGTTTTCCTCTCCGTCGGCCAGTTCTGCACCTAGTGGTACCAACTCTGTGGCTGTTTCAACTCCAACTTCTCCCAGAATGGCACGAAGGCAAAAGCCCACAAACGAGCTCTCTATGCCTGTAGAGGAGGACGAGGAGGCCGCCCGGTTTGCAGCAGCGCGCCCCAATGTGCCTGTCCGTCGTCCCTGGAGCAAAGCAGAAGAAGCTGCATTGATGAACGGTCTTCGAACAGTGAATGGTCCGTATTGGTCGCAGATTCTGGAGATTTACGGACCAGGAGGTACAGTTTCAGAGGTGCTCAAGGACAGAAACCAGGTACAGCTCAAGGATAAAGCACGAAACCTGAAACTGTACTTCCTAAAAGCCGGAGTCAAGGTGCCTGACTGCTTGCAGTTTGTTACTGGAGGGATCAAAAAGGGAACTCGAGGAAGAAGGGGAGGAGCTGTTGAGCAGCGACAGAGAGTGCAGCCACAACAAGTTATGCAACAAGTGCAGCAGCAGGGTCAGCAGCAGGGTCAGCAGCAGGGTCAGCAGCAGGGTCAGCAGGGTCAGCAGGGTCAGCAGCAGCAACAACAACAGCAACAGGGTCAGCAGCAGCAGGGTCAACAACGGCAACAGCAGCAGCAGCAGCAGCAACCCCAGCAACAGGTTCAGCCTCAGCAGTCGCACCAACAGAACCCCAACATGCAGTTCCAGCTGCACAACATTCAGCAAATGTCACAGCAGCTGCCTCCTCTGAGTCACGTGCATCCTAATCTCCAGCAACAGCAGCATCAGCATCAACAGCAGCAGCAGCAGCAGCAGCAGCAGCAACAGCATCAACAACAGCAGCACCAAAACTCACTTCAGCAACATCCACACGATAGAACGCACGAGGAAGACTCGATGCGGGCGGCCGAAGCAGCCGCGCAGATTGCAGCCAGCCTGTCGCATCTGGATGATGAGGATAATACCCTGATTCAAAAGGTGGGGGCGTTTATCAATAATTAGAGGTTATTTATATGTATCATAGCATCAGCAGGAGTGTTGGGGAGCAACCGGTGTCACCGACCAGAATGTGAGGGAGTTAGGTTTTCGTAGCATGTGTAAAGGATGACTGTACCTGTACATAGTGTAGCGCGCAGATCTGACCGTAGAGGAGTGTGACAAGCAGATGCTAGAAGAAAAGCGAGGTATCACGGTGTCGTTACAAGTACATACTATCATATGCATGCAATGTCTGGACGATCCCAGTGTTCTGGCTGTACTATTCCATACTACAGTTCTGGTATCATAAAGGGTTAGTGTGGTTATGAGTTTCTCAGTTGAGATTCTGTATGAGTGCCAGCTACTGGTAGCTAGCACGAATAAAGACACAGGTTTGGTTGTTTATGTGCAATACCGTAGAGTATAGTATCCGTTGGTACCTGCACGACTAGCGGTATTGTACTTGTAGCTCCAACTCGCCTGAATATCAACTCAAGTTCTTCCTAGTCGTTCGTTCACTCATCAAGGCCTTGGAAATCTGAACTTAGGCTCCCCAGTGACGTCATGGTTATCAGATGGGTTCGGAAGAGCCAGCACCACTACTTTTCTTTTTAATAGGTATGCAACCTACGTAATGAGCTGATACTGTGCATGTTCCGAGTTGTACCATCCATAGTATCATAAGATCATAAAGCGTTTTATTATCGACCGTTGCACATGGACATATATATTATACACAATATTTCAAACCGACCGTTGAATCTGATGTGTCACTTTTGACATGATTCATCGCTCCTACATGGGCATCTCAGACACCCTCTATTGTTCCTCTCTCATCAGAAACACTCCATGCAGATCCCCATGCGTGTCTTTGCAACGAGGGGGGGGGGCTTGTTGGTCGACCGTTTGTGTAGTTCGTACCGGGATGTGTACGTGGTGGTTTGCGACGGACGACCAGAAACGGGGTCAGCAAACTCGACTGACGAAACTAACTGACATATGTCACCTGTTGATGTGACTATGTTCCTGACTGTCATTGAGATATAGGACTATATTCATTCTGACACAGCGACGATGTAATCCTCCACCGCACGAGTACCATTATCCACCTGGAGCCCCCCCAAAGAGTTTCAACCAGCCATCTCGCCTGCATGGGATCTTATTGTGTGGTTACCAGACCGTGTCGTGACTCCCTATAATGTCGGTCAACATCCCAAAAACATCACTTCCCAGCCAGCCCCCTACATGGGGTCTCAAACTTTATCTGGATTTTTCACTGGGATACAAAGAAATCTTGCTGCAACATGAAAACCTAATCGCCCAACCTCCACCAAGCATCACCAGCCCTCCGATTTATCAACGGTCAGATGCTGGTCCAAAGTCTCGAAAGCGCTTATAACCTGCATAGGCGATGCATGAATGCTGCTAGATGGCCATCTGGCTGGTGTCTCGGACGATATTGGCGTCTTACTGACTGCATATCGACTCTGGGCTAGCCAGATATAAAGATGGGATGGAGACCCTTCACAAAGATACACAAGCAACCTCACCGACTCGTTCTTGACTCATCGACCAACTCGACCACCTTTCGGCTTTCGTTCACTCTTTCACGATCGTCACTACGACTTATTCATTCCTTCCTTACCAAGTCGTTCCATTTATTCATTTATTCATTCATTTTCGAGTCAACAACAGTCCTATCACAATGTTGCAGTTCCTCTTGCTGCTCAACCTCGCCCTGTCGGCATCTGCTCGAGTCATCCACAAAAAGGTCACTGTGGTCAACGATGTGGTTGTCACTCCTTCTACAACCAGATACGTGACCGTTACTGGCGGCCAGTCCGAGCACGTGACTCTTGATCAGACTATCGAGTCCGTCGAGACTGTGTTTGTGGCCCACACCGTTCCCACAACCGTCATTACCGGCACTCTCATCTCCACCGTCCAGTCTATTATCACTGCCAACCCGGTGACCCAGACTGATTCGTACCCCACCACCGCAGATGCTCCCCAGATCAACATCAACACTCTGACCGAGCCCAAGACCCTGGATCCCTTTGAGGGAGTTGTAACTGATGCTGAGCCCATTCCCACAGAGGCCACCGTCGCTTCTTCCGCCTCTGCAACCCCCACCGCTACTCCTACTCAGTCTTCCTTCTCGGTGTCTATCCGGTCTTCTTCTACTCCTGGTCCTGTTGAGTCCACTCCCGGTGTTGTTTCCATCCCTGATGGTCCCTCCACCACTTCTGCTCTGATCTCTAGCTCCGTCGTTGCATCTTCCGTTGCATCTTCCGTTGCCTCTTCTGCTTCCGCCGCTGCTTCGTCTTCCGCCGCTGCTCCCAAGCCCAAGCCCAACCCCCCTCCTGCTTACAATGGCGACCTGTTCGCAGCCATTGACACCTCTGCCCCTCCCGGAGTTTTCAAGCAGGAGCCTCTGAACATCCAGATCCCCAACGGCGCCGTCAAAGAGCTTGGTCAGTCCCCCGTCCACACCAACAAGTTCTACTTCAACATGTTCCTCGGTGACCGAACCATGCCCGTCTACACCCAGCCCTACTCGGTGTGGTGGTCCAAGACCGACAAGTTCCCCGGTATCGGTGTCTCTTACTCCCAGGCTAAGGACAAGGTCTACGGCCCCCAGAAGACCAACCCCATGGAGTACATGCTGAACCCCGTTGGAATCATGTCCTTTGTCTTCTCCGCCAAGGAGTTCACCACCGACAACATGGAGATGCAGCTGTCTGACCCCGACACTTTCTCTGCCACCACCACTGTTTCTACCGGTGACGGCTCCATGGAACTTCCTCTTGTTCAGGGAATGGGTTTTGTCACTGCCAAGTACAACGGTCTGACTCCTCTTCTGCTGACCCAGGTCGGCTTTGACTCCGTCGTCAAGGGCAACTCCCCCGTGCAGGGCACCCTTAAGTACGTGGCTAAGCTCTTCAACGGAGTCACTTGGACCATCTACGTGACCACCTCTGATCCTGACTTCAAGTTCCTCTTCCCCGACCCTCACACCATCAAGACTCACTCCACCAAGCCCTGTGTGATTCAGATGGCCACCACTGGTGACGCTGACTCTGATGCTGGCTCTGCTGTGTCTGGCTTCGACAAGGCAGCTGGTTCCTACCCCGTTTCTGCCTCTCTCAACGGCCAGGCTAACGGAGGTTCTGCTCAATACTCCATCGACTACAAGACGGAGGGATCTTCTGCTTCTGGCTCAACTCTGCTGTTTGCTCTGTCTCACCACAAGAGCTCCATGGTTTCTCAGTCCGGTGCTGTTTCCGGCCCTAAGATCCAGTCCACCAACAAGGGTCCTATGTACGCCTACGTGGCCAACTCTCTGACCCTCGCTGAGACCCTCGAGACTGATCTGCAGTTCCTTCCCTGGTCCCAGGTGTCTGGATTTGCTGGTAAGGCCACCCTGACTGCTGCGCAGCAGAAGCTGATTGCCGAGGTGGCCAACTCAGAGCTCAAGCAGGATATTGGAAGCCAGACCAACCTGGACACGAACTACTTCTCCGGCAAGGCTCTGGACAAGTTCGCCTACATTCTGCTGGTTCTGTCTGATATGATTGAGGATGAGACCACCACCAAGTCTGTTCTGGACCAGCTCAAGAAGGCCTTCGCCGTCTTCACTAAGAACACTCAGGTATCTCCCTTCATCTACGACACTCTGTTCAAGGGAGTCACCTCCGGTGCTGCCCAAGCCTCTGGCGACTCTGGTGCTGACTTTGGTTCTCCTTACTACAATGACCACCACTTCCACTACGGCTATTTCCTTCATGCCGCAGCTGTGATTGGCCATGTTGATGCCAAGTACGGAGATGGTCAGTGGGTCAACGAGAACAAGGACTGGGTCAACTCTCTTATCCGAGACACCGCCAACCCTTCCAAGGACGACTCTTACTTCCCTGTCTACCGATCTTTTGACTGGTTCTCCGGCCACTCTTGGGCCAAGGGTCTCTTCCCTGCTGCCGATGGTAAGGACGAGGAGTCAACCTCTGAGGACTACAACCACGCCTACGGAATGAAGCTGTGGGGTAACGTTGTCGGCGATAAGGCTATGGAGGCCCGAGGAGACCTGATGCTGGCTGTCATGAAGAGATCTATGAATGACTATTTCTACATGAAGGACGACAACAAGATCCAGCCCGAGCAGCTCATTGGCAACAAGATCCCCGGTATCACCTTTGAGAACAAGCTGGACTACACCACCTACTTTGGCACCAACCCCGAGTACATCCACGGTATCCACATGATCCCCGTCACTCCTGTCTCTTCTCTGCTCCGAGACCCTACATTCGTCCAGGAGGAGTGGGAGCAGAACGTGTCCAAGTTCATTGGAGACGTCAACTCTGGATGGCTCGGAATCCTACACTCTAACCAGGCTCTTTACGACCCCAAGAGTGCCTACGAGTTTTTCTCTCAGGACAATTTCCAGACTCTTTGGCTTGATGGAGGTGCTTCTCGAACCTGGTATCTCGCCTACTCTGCCGCAGTGTCCGCCTAGTCGGACCCGCAGAGCAAAGATCTGAAAGATTCTCCTATTTATTTTATGTATGTATATTTATGATTGACTATTGATTGTTGTACTCGTACTTCTGGGTGAAGGTGCTTGTAGGAGTTCTGATATGAGACCACAAAGTTCAGTACATACAGTGACAGCATTCTTTTGGTTCGATTTTGTTGATTTGTGTCAACTTATTGATATTTGCGAGTCGCAACCGACACCGAAACCAAATGGTGGAGGAGTTGACATTGTCATTTCAGCAATGAGAACTTTGAAAGAAATCTCTGGAATTGAAGAAACACAAGAACATGAAAACTTCACTCCAGACGACGATGTATTGCGTGACTGACGTCGTGATCTACTTGTGTCCGTGTCTACTGAGCCATGTGCCCTGTGTCATATGAGATAAGCCAAACAGTACAGCTACAAGTAGCCATGAGACACCAATTTCCACGGATTTGTAGATTCCCATGGAGTAAAAGGACTTACATGTGTCTCGATCTGCAAGGCATGGGTGGGGTGGTAGCAGTGCTGAGAAATACCCAGATCCGTAGAAGAAAAGATGGGGACTTCGAATTCGTCATTCTTTGCGAATATGTGTTTGTTAGACACAGTTGCTATGTCTACAAGCCACTTGGAGCACACAATAAGGGCCTCTTCTTCCTGACCCTGCTGCACATCCTGGGCGACACAAGGAAGCCTCTTATTCGGAGACCGTGGAGTCTGTGATGACAGAGATCACCCGATCGCAGATGTATTACCCGAAAGAAACATTAGCGAAAATGAGACTTTTTCCAACGATTTAGCCAATCGCCGGTAAAACCAATTTCATGACTTTCCGTCCGTTGTGTGGCTTGTATTGGGTTTGGGCTGACAATAAGAATTAGCGCCATCGTGATGTTCGATTGGCTATCGGACTATCCTCTTAGGCTACTTGTAGTTGTAGTACGAGTGATTTGATTGCCGTGAAATCTATGAAGATGGCCCGGTCAAGATGTTGTTTCATGACGCAAAAAAACCAGACGACCTCGGAGAGGGTCGAACTCTCGATCTTACGATGGCGGCCATTTAGGTGACTAACAGTCGTACGCCTTAACCAACTTGGCCACGAAGTCTGGACATGTCCCCAAACCTAATTTTAGCGAATTTACGCTAATATCCGATTATGTAATCTCACAAAGAAAACCAAAAAAACCCAACACTGAAGGGGTTCCCATCAAGTGTTATTTAGGGGCTGGTGGAAAGTCACGGCGGTGATCCAGCCCATTTCCAAGCCACATTGGATTCGGGCACATCTGATATCTGGCATGAGTGATGCAATTGTCCCGGGTCGGTTGTGCGTGTCATGATACAAGGGCAGGGCTGGCACAGGGACAGAGTTTGTGGTGGATACTCCAGAACTGTGGCTACGGGGTCTGGCCGGCATCAGCGATGCTTTAGGGTGTGGAAAAAACTGTTTTCCAGAAGCCCTCTTTGTTCCATTAGAGATCTTACTTTGGTTCTCAGCGTGTGTTTGTCAACGTGTGAGACAACGTGAAACTTTGAGAAGCATGGCCAAGAGTTGTGGTGGGATGGGAGCATCCCCTGAAGCCCTGTCGCGTGCCATCCACTGTGTTTAGACCCACTTTTGGGGGATAATAATGACGTGTTATGGTCTTACCATATGCGACAATGAACCCCGTATGTACGAGTACATACAGTAGCTATCGGCACTTGTATCTATTATTATTTCCCCTCGGCGACCGTTTGATTGGTGCTTTTTAATTAAAGCCCGAATTAATTACTCGATGCCTTTTTGCTCAGAGTTCAATTTTTGCAGCAGCCCGATATTAATGCCGAACAAGAGACAGACAAACAGACCAAGAGACAAGTGAAGAAACAGTGGCTTGTACACGCCATATGATTGAGGGGGTTGGGGAACAGTGGATCAACTGCTTTGTGATATGTATCATGCTAACAAAATCGCCATGGACAGTGTGCGCGTATGGCGTTATTTTTTTTTATTCTACAAGTACCCGGGTCTACTGCATGGGCCGAAAAAGGGCTACAGGTATGTACACAACGGAGACTCAACGGTGTCGGGTATAACCGAGAGCATACCCTGTGTGACAAAAGCGCGATCCCCCCAGCCGGGTAACTTCCAAGACAGAGTCTGAGAGCCTGAGCCTGCCTGAGCAAGAGCAACGAGCAAGCCAAAAGGGCCAGAAAAGCGTGGAAGAAGAAGGAGTAAAATCTTGCAAACCTAGAAGCTTGGGATATGGAAGCTTCGGTCATTGCCACCCAGCCAGCCTCCGTCAGGCTTAGAAATCGGTTTGTGTTTGGAATATCTCTACCCGTGTCGGTGCTATAGTGTGGCGTCGGTACTCTTTTCGTTGTAAGAATATGCGCTCATGTGGGTTTGTTTGGGATCGTTGGTGACTCGTGGTTCGTGGCTTGAGCAGCCAGACCGCAGCCAATGGAGGAGGGTTAAGACAGTCAGGAGACAAGCGAGCGTATAACCAGCGCGGAGTGAGCGCTGAGTCCCTACAAGTACTCAAAGGCCGTTGCACACTCCTCTCTATACCCCACACCCTGATTATGTACCTCCAAATGACGCATGCAGCGGCACGCCCTGAATTTATAGAGGGAGACTGAGAATGACAGTGCGGTGGCAAAGGCAGTTGTGTTCGTCTACACACTGGTCCAATTGTTCCTCAGACGTTCCACGCACACAGGCTCGTGATCGGAGGCTGAAAATTTTTTCACCTTGCTCCTGTCGAGGCGATAGCCACAGTTTTCAGCCGACTTTACTGTGGCGACCGGGGTTTTCTCCTGGTAGTGGAGGTGTAGACGTGGCTAGCGCAATCACGCAATCGCGCATTTTTGCACACGCTAGGTTAGGCTTGGTCCTGAAGCAGAAAGACTGCGGGCCAAACAAAGGGGGGACCCTTATAAGGTTGCATCTGATTAAGCCACAGAGCCCAATAGGGTTCTACTCACAGGAAAATCACCATGCATGTGTGATGGTGTAATGGCGTTTGAGGGTTGAAGAACGGTGAGATATTGAGGGTGAACAACAGGGCGGATTGAGTCCAAAGCGAGACTGTGGGAACTTTGGGCGACGAAAAAACGATTCCTCGGATTTCATGCCGATCGGACAAGGTCCGGCAAAGTTACATGCTTTTTTGTTTCGGTTTCGAATCTGTGGCTGAAGCCACTAATTCAAAATTCCCTACTTGAGAAGTCACGACTATAGCTCTAGGACAACACTCTTTCACACAACTCCAGAGCCCAGGCCGTGATACCTCCTGACAGTACCACAAACGACCCACAAGTGACCCAAACACTTGATACAAGCGCCAAAAAAGAGCTCTCATCACGGCTATCCTTCGTTGACACATACTGCCACTCTGATTCAATTGGCAAGCCACATCCGATTTACTCAGACCACCATACTGAGGCTTGAACTCTACACCTGTGGCTGAAAGCGACAATTGACAGCACCGTGAAAATACTTTGAGCTGTATATTAGAGTCGACAGGCCCAGTTCAACATCACATCCATCCCTTCTCCAATCACACACCCACAAATGTCTTCTCCAAGCTCCAGTCGAGAGCCCTCAGAGATTTATCCTCAAGAAGGAGAGGTGGACTACTTCTCTCCCGACTCCGAGGACCATGTGTACCTCCCCCAGTACCACGCTCACAACCCCCGAGTGAGAGACTGGTTCTACAAAAACGTCTTTTCTCACCCTGGAGAGCGTGTCAAGAACTACACCCTGTCGTTGTTTCCAATTGTTCGATGGATCTACCGATACAACCTGGTGTGGCTCACTTACGACCTGATTGCCGGCATCACTGTCGGATGTGTCGTTGTTCCTCAGGGAATGTCTTATGCCAAACTGGCCAACCTGCCCCCGGAGTATGGTCTCTACTCTTCCTTTGTCGGAGTCCTCATCTACTGTTTCTTTGCCACGTCTAAGGATGTTTCTATTGGTCCTGTTGCGGTCATGTCCCAGCAAGTCGGCCGAGTCATTATGCATGTCCAAGGAGAGTACCCCGAAGCCTCGGGACCCATGATCGCGACCATGCTGGCGGTTCTGTGCGGTTCTATCGCCCTCGGTATCGGTCTCCTGCGTCTTGGTTTCATTCTCGAGTTCATTCCCGCCCCCGCAGTCATGGGCTTTATGACCGGTTCTGCCATCAACATTGTCACTGGTCAGGTTCCCGCTCTCATGGGTATCGACAAGCTCTTCAACACAAAGGACGCCACTTATATGGTAATCATCAACTCGCTTAAGAACCTGAAGCACTCCAACTACAACGCCGCCTTTGGAGTCGTCGCGCTGTTCATCCTCTACCTCATCAAGTACTCATGCCAGTACCTGTCCAAGAAGTTCCCCAAGTACAAGAAGGTGTTTTTCTACATTGAAATCATGAGATCCGCGCTCATCATCATTTTTGGTACACTCATTTCTTGGGCTGTCTGCCACCCTCACAAGAAATCTGGCAAGTTCCCCATTTCTATTATCAAGACTGTGCCTCGAGGTCTCATTCACACCGGTGTCATGAAGGTCGACACTATTTACATGTCCAAGATGGCCTCTGAGCTGCCCGTCTCTACCGTTGTTCTTCTGCTTGAGCACATCGCCATTTCCAAGTCCTTTGGCCGTGTCAACGACTACAAGATTTCTCCCGACCAGGAGCTCATTGCTATTGGTGTTACCAACCTGGTTGGAACCTTCTTCAACGCCTACCCCGCCACCGGTTCCTTCTCTCGATCTGCCCTTAAGGCAAAGTGTGGTGTGCGAACACCTCTTGCCGGTATTTACACTGGTGTTGTTGTGCTCATTGCTCTGTACGCCCTCAACACTGTCTTCTACTGGATCCCCAATGCCGTTCTTTCTGCCATCATCATTCACGCTGTGTTTGACTTGGTGGCACATCCTCGACAGCTCTTCCACTTCTGGAAAATTGCCCCCATCGATGCAGTCATCTTCTTCGTTGCAATTATCCTCACAGTCTTTGTCACCATCGAGGCTGGTATCTATTTTGCTGTCGCTGCATCTCTCGTCTGGCTGCTTCTCAAGGTCGCCTTCCCTGCCGGAGACCTCATGGGCAAGATTGAGATTGTCGACGTCGAAGATCCTCTCATTGTCCAGCAGACTGCCGATGTCGAAGAGATTGCTGCTGCCGAGGCTGCCCGAAACACTAAGCTCGGCAAAGTCAAGGGACTTATCAGCAAGGCTGGAAAGCTCATTGAGGACGGTCCTGTTGTTGACGCAGATGTCCAGCATGGTTTGCCTCTTCTGGCTCCTCAGGAGGTGGAGAAGTCGACCACTGCAGCAGCTCTGTCTCATGTGCCCCGACGAACCGTCTGGGTGCCTCTGTCTCGAAAGAACGTCAACCCAGACATCAAGATCTCGCCCCCCCGACCTGGAGTCATCGTCTACCGATTCACGGAAGCATTCACCTACCCCAACTGTTCTAGACAGACAGACAAGTTGGTGGATGTCATTCGAGAAAAGACTCGACGAGCCGAGGGAGTGCGATACAAGACTCTTGGAGAGCGGCCCTGGAACGACCATGGTCCTCGACATCCCAAGGAGAGCGAAACTGTCGATCTGCGGCCCATTCTAGAGAAGGTGGTGCTAGATTTCTCTGTCGTCTCTTCCACAGACTCTACTGGTATCCAGAACCTGGTAGATGCTCGAGGAGAGATCAACCGATATGTTGGCCGAGAAGTCGAGTTCCATTTCTCGGGTCTTCTGTCTCCCTGGGTCCGACGTGCTTTGGTGGGCTCTGGATTCGGAGGAGTGCCAAAGGGACAACACCTGAGCAACTACCAGGTGACTGCGGCCCGTAGAGCCACTGCCCTTGACCGACAGACTTTGCCCAATGACACTACCATGGTGATCGAGGGCGATTCTCTGTCCAACGACTCGGATGAAGAGTACGCAAAAAAGAAGCCGTTCGATGAGGAAGAAGCCATTGGAGGTCTGGACACCAAGAGCGTGTCTTCTTCTTCTCAGGACGACAAGGAGTTTGGAGGCTACATCCCCGTGGTGTCCACCGACACTCCTTTTTTCCATTTGGACATTCCTGACTTGTAAGGATTATCATTGGATCATCATGGGAAGACTAACTATTTATTGCATTAATCAAAAGTATTGGTATAGACTGAGTCACATTGTAAAAGAATGAGTTTTGGGGAGTAGAGAGGATGGATATGTAAACCGAACCAAAAAAACGACAATAGGAATATACCCGGATTTTTGCTATGAACGGGCTTGAAGTTATGAAGAGCGATATAGATGATTTATGAATTGTTTTTGATTGTTTTGATTTTGGGGAACACATTTTCGTTAAATTCAAAATTAGAGACGAAATTCGAAAAAAATCTACACATGTGTGTTTGACAATTTTAAGATGTCATATTATTCCAATGATGAAGAAAAAGTCAACTAATAAATGATGATCTGAATACATCTTGTAACTTTTATGTCTGTTCTGGTGTTTTTTTTTTTTTATTATTTTTTTAAAATTTCATTTTTAATCTCTGATGGCATTTGTTTGCCTACAAGTAGTGACAACATACTGCAAGAGTATCGTACATCGGTTCATCTTCTTAGCCCCGCAAAATAAGCTCTGTTGAGTCAGCAAAGAGCAATTATCTCAAATGGATCGGAGTGGTTCCAGTAGAGTCCGTACAAGTACAACTCAGTGCCATCTTCAGATACACACTTCGAAATCTTTAATGACGGCTTCTCATTGATACAGCCCCGAAGATGACTCATCACCTGGCTTACTAACTCCCGGAAAATACTGTCATGTGGAGTTAAAACCAGGCAGTGAGAAGGCAAAATTTACACTTATCGAAGCGTCACAAGGACATGGAGTTGAGATATATGACTCTCCGACGGTTGAAGTTTTGCATATTAAAAATATTCCTCTGATAGGAATTTCACTTTGGAAGACCCTGGGAAAATTCTGAGTCGTTTACAATTATCCTCGATTTAATAGGAAATGATACAGTTTTTTTGTTTAACTTCTTTTATCGTCCAACATTGCATATGCATCTTGTTACATTCCAAACAAAAGTGTATTACCAGTTGTGGAGAGCGGTTGTACAGGACCTTCCTTTTCACAGGAAACCCCTCTAAAATCGGCTACAAATTGCACACAAACCACCATGCTGCCGCCCGAGTTGGTGAACATCCTGCTGGAGCATCTGGATCTCTATTCGCTTGTTTCTCTGGCTCAAACGTGCCAGTCTTGGAACTCTGCCATCACAGAAGCCGAGTATCGGTACATGCTGCTCAAGAGCTGTCCCTTCTACCAGCTTGACAACTCGAACAGACTTAGCTGGAGAGATTGTGCAACGGAGTACCTGCGCCGAAACCGACTCAACAGTCCCAAGGTGGATAGCTCTATCATTCAACAACTATGTCCAAACACAACCATCGCAGTCAGACAAGATGAACTGCTGCCGCCACATTATTACTCTTTGTGTAAAATGCAAGCTGCGACTCGGGATGGGTGGCATGATGATGTGGCCCTACGACATACCGACAGCGGGTTCAGCTTCCAGGGCGCCTTCGTGTCACTAAAGGGAAGTGAGGGGGTTACCAACGAAGATTACCACTACGACAACGGAACTATATCCAGCAGATTTGGTATCAAAATGGGATTCCAGAGAGGACAAAGACAGCATGCCATTCTGGCAATCAAAACCAACACTAAATGCATCGCTGCCATCGTTTGCTATGAGCCAAGCGAATACCGCATTTTGGTTAAGTACATTGACAGCCATGGCATTGCGCCAAATATTGATTTTGGAGAGAACACTGACGATTGGCTTTACTCTGTCGGCTTCTGTCCTTCAACCCTCACTTCTTTCGACCTGTTTCTGGTCGAGTCTTGCATCTTTGTGTATGTCCAGCAACAAGGACATACCGGAGCTCTTCTGGCTCTGAACAATGGAGTGATGGAACGGGTGCTATTCAATGACAAGTACATGCTCACGTCAACACCTGAGATGTTGTGTGTGTTTGATGGCAAAATTGCCATGGCTGGAAAACATGTCATGCCTGAATTCATGCGGTACTTGTTCAACAGGACACCCGTGCACGCTACAAATATCAGCCAGGATCCCGTCTACAGTAACTATGTTGGCCTATACAATGCGGCTGGAAGTATGACCCATTTAATTGACTTTGCCACTCAGAGTATTGTTGATATCACTGCGTTCTACTACACGTCTCTTCAGGCTGGCTTCCTGGCACTTCCTGGATTAGTAGATGGGCAGCTGGTTGTATACAGATACTCACAGCAGTTTCTGCTGACGCATTTTGGTGAGCAAGTTGACGTTCAGGTCATGATGACTAAGATTAATTGTCTGGTTGATGCCCCCGAGTCGATGCTGTTGCCCCATGTACCTCAGACGAGGGTTCCAGCTAGGTCCAGAGCCGTTAATAGGCACAAGACGCGCCGAAGAGTGGTGGTATAAAGAGGAGGAGGCTTATTTATATATATTTATTGTCCCGAGTAATGAGATATGATTTATGAGTTCGGTGGTGGTTGAAAGGGCTTTCAAGATGAAACTGTAGATGAGGGGGGTGATAACTGGTGCTGTTCTTACTAGGCTGATCTAGTTAACTACCTGTACACCTCCTGTACACACAACTGTGGAGAGTTCTTACCGCTGACTATGTTGCCATGCTACAGAATGCACCGTGTGTACTGCAGTACTTGCAACTTCTACAGATGTATAATACTCGTAGCCTCAAATACTTCATAATGTATTATACAATGCGTTGATGCAATATATCCTCCGTCTTCTACTTTCTGACAATTCCCTTCATGCGTTTCTTCATCTTGACAACAGGCTTGGATACCTTCTTCACCGAGGCATCCACCTTTGCCACCTCCACTCTCTTGATCTTCTCACCTTGCGCGTTCCTAAACACCTCCTTAGCCATCTCATCATCACGCAAATCCTGTTCAGATACGCCACTTTCCTTGTCATCTCTCTTTCTCAGCTCTTCCAGCACATCCACATCTCGTCCAATCTTGTTAAGACGAGCAGTACGTTCCTTGAGCTCTTCGAGCCGTTCAATTCCCTCCTGCTCATCAATGTTGGCCTTCTGCCTTGCCTCTATCTCTGCCATGACGTCTCCATCTGTAGAAACTGCGGTTCCTAGCTTTGACGGATCAGGCATAGCCTTTCCCTGTTTCTTGAGCTCCTCCAGCTCCTTCTCTTCCTTTTCCAGCCGGTCCAGCCGCTCGTCCAGAGTCTCCTCCACCTTCTTTTCGTCTCTCCAGGGTTCGTAGTTTCGTACAGCTCCATACTCGGTCTGATAGTCTGAGTTCTTGGGGTCAGTCTTGAATCTGATCTCACCTGAACATCTAGGACATCGGATAAAGAAGCGAATGATCTTCACGTCAAGATACACCTCGTCAGTCACCTGTTTGCGAGCGTTGAACTTTTTGCTCTTATAAATATATTCTCCACAGGCGGTACATCGCATGGAGAAAGGCACCATGAGCCGTACAGTGGGCATGGTGGCCGATTTGGAGTCAGACACTTTCTTAGCACGCCGCTCCAGCTTGCTGGGATCAAAGTCGGGCGGATAGTATTTGTTTATTCCTTTTCGATCCGACATTTTGTGCTGATGATGATGTGATGAAGGGTAAAAGAGCCTGCTGATTTTCTGTACGAGTATGTACAGAAACTTTATCAGAAACCTGTCAAGGAGAGAGTACGATCCGATGTGCGTCTCAAGGGGGTGTGTCGGAGAGACCGCGGAGGTGTGTAACTTGAGCTGAGGGTATCAACAATGAAAAAAAACTTAGCTGGAAACTCTTTTGAGCTGATCCGTGTAGTATTGAGTGACTACAAGTAGAAAGGTGATGTTGAATCTCACCCTCATATACTTAACTGGTTGTCCCACTTACTACTTGACCTCACTAAGTTATTCATATTTTTACTTCATTTACAGTAGTCTTCGTAGCTCTCCCAAATGATAGCTAAGTACAGCAGCACAACCCGGCCACTAAAACGAGAGTCCGAGAACATCCCAATTTGGCGTCACGTGATCTTTCCCTACACCATGTATAGAGCGGATCGCGGAACTCAAAAAGCGGTTCCTTGGCGTGACAAACATGGCACCGCCGCTATTGTGCGAGTAATGGAGTGTACTGTATGTACCAGTATCGTACACTTCTATAGGCGGTTGTCTTGGCTAACACGTGTGACGCTAGAACTAATTGGAATGGGGATTGCGACGTGTTTACGATGTGGTTTTGGCGTGTATTATGGGCTTACAAGACAAGGCACTTTTTCGCGAGGCTCATTTATGCCGGGTTGAGTGTTTTGAAATTGATCGTATTTTCCTCGATTTTCTCTTGAATTTCCGCCACCTCCACCTCTCTGAGATACAGTAGGGTGGTACAGATGCTCACATACGCTTAATTGAGTTGTCGCTAATATAGCTTAAAGAGGGATAGTTTTCTGAGAATATTTCCAATAAATCGAATAAAAACGCTAGCGGAAAATCAAGACAATGGAAGGGTTGGATTCTTTTCTCTCTACAATTTCAAAATCAATAATTTTCCTGCCAAGATACAGGAGCCGCAATTTCAGCACTCGTACAAACGTCCGCATAGATTTACCTATTTGGTAACCTTTTTTTTTTTTCTCTTGGGGGAGGGGGACGACAGAAAAACGTACACCGCCCCATGTGGTCAGCCCCTATTATACACCCGGTTACAGGTTTTACAGTGGCAGCTTTTTTTTTTAACGTGCTGGCCGTTACTACCGGGTGATGATGCGTACTAGTAATGTTCTTTTGCTGCCGTACAGGCTGGGCGACTGCTTGCGTCGCGGGTCTCGCTTATTAATCGACACGTGCAAGAGCTGATGCCCTGTCTCTCGCACATGGCTTAATCAGTCCTCTCTCCCCCACCAATATAGGCCCTTCAAATGCCTCAGTGTGCACTTGCTTTGGAAACGCAAAGGTGCTAAATTCAAAAAGAAGGTTGTTCTTGGAGGATTTGCGCAGCGTCAGAAGAGATGGCCTCTTGTTTGAGAGCCACCAGCAGCCGCGAAACCATCATTTATGCAGCTGGCACAGATACGAACATGATCAAAATGTAAGAGGTACGGCTGAGGGGAGTGGTGCCAAAAGTACAGGTTAGCTGGTTAGCAGCTATTGTACGTATGGGTCTTTTAGACTACTTCAGCCGTGTATGAGGGCACTAGAAGGAGAAGGAGAGAAGCATTAGTTTGGGCGGCATGAGTGGCCCCTTCACACATTAGCGACAATAGATGGATACCATATACGACGAGTGCAAGTACTACTCTTACTACCATAGTCTCGTCGACCAATCTGGGGGGTTGGAAGTCTATTGCTTATGTGCATTCAGAACAACAAGGAGCTTGTGTGTGAATCGGATGCCTCTTGTCTGGAGTGTGTCGTCGCTGTCAAAGCAACATGTGGGACGTGCCAAGGAGTAATTACGACTTGAAAGGGGTCGATAAAAGGAATGGAAAGGGAGTTATTTTTTCACCAAGCGAGGTCTTGGTTTTAGCGACCCGTGAAGTTGGTCCACTAGCAGGCTCTGGTGGTGTACCTCATCCAGAGTCTGTTTGGTGACCACCTCCCCCATTCAAGGTTCAAGAGTTGCACGAAAAAAAGCTTTGGCCAAGCTCTTCAGTATTAATAGCTGCATATACCCAGCACCCAGATTGGTGGAACCGACTTTTGACCTGACCTGTTCAACATCAGCCCGAAAAAAGTAACATCGAAAAAAAACAAAAAACAGAGACGGTATAAATCTCGACCTCTTCAACCCCCTCATAACCCACTACTCTCTCCTGGGGTTGTCTCAGGCCATTCTGTGTTCCCACAGGTTCACTTTTTGCTCTCTTCTCTCTCGACACACTCCACAAGACATGTTCATAGTGGACTACGCTAAACGAGCGTACCGCAAGCTGCGACACTTTCGCATCACCTTCATCGTCGTGCACTACTTCATCATCATTGGCTCGGCCATTTTCGGCACTTTTCTATTCTACCCCGCCAAAACTACAAAATACATCGATGCCCTGTTTCAGTGTGCCTGCGCTGCGACACAGGCAGGCCTCAACACCGTCGATCTCAACTCGCTCAAGCTGTGGCAGCAGATGGTGCTCTACTGCATTTCCATGTGGACGAATCCGATTGTGATTCACTCAGGAGTCGTGTTTATGCGTCTGCACTGGTTCGAGAAATCGTTCAAGGACATCAAGAACCAGTCCAAACTGCAGTCAAAGCTGCGAAGAACAGCCACGACGTTAGCTCGACAAGACACACTCGAGAACGGACTGTTTCAACGCCCTCCTCTGCGACACCAGAACCCAGGAGTGGCCGGCCTGAACAGCAACATCAACAACGACAGTAGCGACGAAACGCCTCACAAGGAAGGTCACAACAACGACAACCCCAACCTCAACAAGGAAATCACATTCGGAAATCTACCGCAGCCAAAACGAACGCACTCCGTTGAGCCTGAAGATATGTACCGGTCCATCAACTTGCTGTCCCATGAACACCCTGAAGGACAGAGTGATAGTGATGACGACGGACCTGCTCTGGTCATCAGAGGCCCTCGTGACCGCCCTGACCGAGACGACGACGAAGAGGACTCACCTGAGATCGAGAGAGCTCCACGAGCAATTTCGTTCTCGACTCAGGAACACCCACGTGCTCAGAAGTCTGCTCTGGAACAGTTCAAGGAGGAAATGCGTGAGTCACAACGACAACTGGACGCTGAGCATGCTATTGATGAGGGTGAGTCGTCAGACGCTACCCAGCCCACCTCCATCAAGCGAGAAGACATGTATTACCGACAGCATCCGGATTCCGACTCTTCAGAAGGAGATACGGTGAAAAAGGTGCGTTCCAACGTGACCGTTCACAGACCGTCTCCTGAAGATGACGACTTTGCCGGCACCCAACCCATGAACCGACGTGCATTTACCCTTGACGGCGACAACACTGAAGAGAAGAACCATGAAGGAGCCTTTGCACACTTTAAACGGTCTCTTACATTTGATCGGTTTCTTTCTAATCGACGACGCGGCTCAGACGCCGCTTCTTCCAGTGGTGCCACCTCCAACGCCGATCTCAACAAGACCATGTCGTCCAACTACCTGTCTTGGAGTCCCACAGTTGGTCGTAACTCTGCATTTGTTGATCTGACAGAGGAGCAAAAGGAGGAGCTGGGAGGAATCGAGTATCGGGCTCTCAAGGTACTGTCCAAGGTGCTGGTTGCCTACTTCGTCGGCTTCCATCTCATGTGCGCCATCATGCTGCTGCCCTGGGCCATCTACATGCCCAAGTACAGAGACTACGTGTACTCGTGTGGAGTGACGCCGACGTGGTGGGCATTTTTCACCGCTCAGTCGACCTTCAACGATGTGGGTTTCACTCTAACCCCGGACTCCATGGGATCTTATCAGGAAGCCATTTATGTTCTGTTGACCATGTCCTTCTTCATTGTCATCGGTAACACGGGCTTCCCTGTTCTACTTCGGTTCATCATCTGGATCATGTTCAAGCTCTCACCTCGAGACTCCTCACTCAAGGAGTGTACCGGTTTCCTGCTTGATCATCCTCGACGATGTTTCACCATGCTGTTCCCTTCCACTGCCACCTGGTGGTTGTTTGCAACACTGGTGATTCTGAACTCTGTCGACCTCGTCTTCTTCATCATTCTGGACTTCAACGCACCTGCAGTCACCGAGATGAGGCCCGGTTACAGGGTTGTATCAGGCTTGTTCCAGGCCTTCTCTACTCGAACAGCCGGTTTCACCTCTGTCTCTATTGCCGAACTCCATCCGTCCATCCAGGTATCGTACATGATCATGATGTACATTGCCATTCTGCCCATTGCCATCTCGATTCGACGAACTAACGTTTACGAGGAACAGTCTCTGGGTATTTATGGAGGGGGAGACGAAGAGAGTGAGTACGACCAGGCCCCTACGGCTGATGAGGAGGCAGAGAACGAGGAGAACGACCCCGAGCATCTCTACAAGGGCAAGAAGAAGAAGCATCCGTCGTATGTCACAGCCCACCTGCGTGCCCAGCTTGGTTACGATTTGTGGTACATCTTCTTAGGGCTCTTTATTATCTGTATCTGTGAAGGCACCAAGATCAAGGACGTTACGGATCTCGGTTTTACTGGCTTCACTGTGCTTTTCGAGGTTGTCTCTGCATACGGTACGGTCGGCATGTCCATGGGCTACGATGATGTGAACACGTCCTTGTCCGGCAAGTTTAGCACCATCTCAAAGCTCATTATCATTGCCATGATGATCCGAGGCAGACATCGAGGTCTGCCGTACTCGGTCGATCGTGCCATCATTCTTCCTTCCGACGAGATGCATAGAAAGGACGATGCGGTGACTCGATCCCACCTACGACGAGGCAGAACGATGTCTGCTAACTCCAACGAGCTCACAGAGACCATGGGCCTGCCCTACCCCATGCGTTCACATACGATGATGAGCTCTGGACCAGGCGCTGGAGGTAATGAGTCGTACCCTCTTCGGGGCTCCTCTCATTCTCGGCAGACGTCCAACGTGTCTGACATTGGTCCTCGGGATCTCGACCCCATTGTGCCCTCGTCGCCCATGCCTTCCGTGGATGAGGACTACCTCAAGCGGATGGAGAAGAGAGAGCAGGAGCAGGAGGATAACAAGCTCAGGGGTGAGTTGTCCGATAACAAAAAGAAGCTGCACAAGGACGAGCAGGGTATCGAGATGGACTCGTATTTCCCGGAGCTCAAGGGTCCTGGAGGATTGGACCTCGCGGATGATTAGGAGGATTAGCATATTTATAAAGCATATAGAATAAATATTTATCATGATAATAATAATATCGAGAGCGTAAACGGATATAAATTTTTTTTCGCAATATTTTGATGAACATTACAACTTATGGCTGTGTCGAGTGGAATCTTACTGAATCGGCTTTTTCTTGCATCACAACCACCACAGAAGAGGACACAATATGTACAGACAAACGTGGATAAACGATGGATCTCAACACTGAAGATATATGGACTCCAAACCCCATATTTTCAGGTCAATAATGGTTCCAATATCAAGTATTTATCACGTATTAACGTGTTAGACAAGCAGTTGGCCATTTTGTACAGAGCCCGGCTTCAAGGTAATTATGTACTGTCTCACATCAACAAAAGTTCAACTACTATACTTGTAGCTCAAAAAGCAATTACTCACCAGACCCTGTAATAGAATAAAAACAGGTATGTGACCAATATTAAGCTACCTCATTCGACAACAACTGGTCGAATTGGAGTTATCGTTCGTTCTTCAAACAAATAGCTACAGACCCCACTTTGTCTCATTCTGATATGATAAAGTTGCGCGCTGGTTTACTGTATTGTACTGAGGGCGACTTCCACTCATGTTTCATATGAGTGGTTTTTCGAGGTTTAGAACGGAATCAAGCACGACTTCTACTGTAGTCTAGACCATCGTTTATTGTATTCCCAATGCAAAAACCTACAAAAACTACTACTTCATAGAATCAATCAACTGTCGAGAACCTACACGTGGGTAACTAACGACCTCCTCGAGTGACGTCATCTGAGTGAGACATGAAAAAATTAAAATATTGCCAAGAACTCAGCCTCAAAGACAAAATTAATGGAGAGCTTGGCGCCAAGAGATGGTGTTTTACAGGGATACCGAGGGCCGGATACAGTTTTCTGAGCGGCTGATTGTACCGAATACAATTGTGGAGCTTCACAATAAGGTGTGTACAGTTTGTGGGGAGCACATGCTTTACACTAAAGTATGCTTTTTTCTGATTACAGTATGAGATATACGGCAGACACTGCTACACCTTCCTTTTGTGGTAATTATGGTGTTCGAGTAGTAATCTGAGAGCGATTTGTTCCAAACCCCCAGAAATAAGTACCTCCTAGCTACGGCATAAGAAAGAGTGGGGCTATATAAGTGTTTCGGATTACTCAGCTGTGTCTTCCTGGATGTGGACGAGTATGTATGACTATACTGCTTTGTCAGTCTCAATCTAGATTTCTGTATCGCTAGATCAAGCATACTTCCATGGATCCCCTTACAGTATCCTCGATTGTACAGAATAAATATTAGTTACATGGCAATTGACTTACCCGTTTCTCCGTCAAAAATCAGTAATCTTGGCTCCACAGCCTGATGGACACTCAGTCATATTGTCGTCAATCACCCAGCCTTTCATGCATTCGAAATGTCCATAGTGACCACAAGCAAGCATGCAAGCTCCCAGACCCTTAATTGTCTCTCTACAAAGAACACATCCGTCCAGCAGACTATGACATTTGGAACAGTACCAGAAGGCCTTCTGTTCGGAGGCAGCGTTCGCTTCTGACAACACAGAGCCACACGTGGGACACTGCTGGTTGATGGAGGTGTTGGTTTGACCCATATGATAGATGGATTTGAACTTCTTGCAGCTGTTGATGAGCTCGGCCAGGGCAACCACACACTGCAGCTTCTGTAACTGCATGATGTAGCAGTGTAGCACCTCCTCAACCATGTTGTCTTCGGGGAACGCCGAAGGATGAGTTCGCGAGAAGATGAGAGCGAGAATCGCACAGAATTGCACGTCTCCGTCCAAATGATAGTACTCGTTACAGTCCTTGAGCAGCTTCAGAGGCGACCAAGGATGTTGTAGAGATTGGGAGAAGGCGATAAACTCGTCCAGTTCAGAATCTGAAATGTAGTCGGGGTTCTCAGGAGGCGTGTAGACCTCCTCAATCGACTTTTTGGGTGAAGCAATGCCCTTAGTCACCACTGAAGGAGTCGAAATTGCTGCAGGAGGAACAGCGGCAGCAGCCAGGGCCGATGCAGTGGCCGCAATGGAGATTTTGTTAGCAGGGAGCATATCATCATCTTCTGATTCAGGTGATTGAGACCGTCGAGGAGCCACTCCACCTCCAAAGAAGTCCTCACTGTCGTCAGTGTGTGAATGCGAAAGAGAGTGATGTGAAGAGGCAACATTAGAGATAGAAGACGCTAGAGAAACATCCCGTTCCCGCCCCTGATTGACCTTCTCGCGATCCTCGACCATCAGACTTCGAACTGAGGAGTTGCTGCTGAAAGAGCCCTCTTCTATGATACCTGTTAGCAGCGAACGGGCCTCAGGGTTGATACCCTTGCCGTTCAGAATAGACAGAGCTCCAGAAGTTGTAGAAGAAGACGGAGTTGAGGGACCGGAAAAGGTACCTTCTTTGGAGGCTGCGGTTCGAGAAATGCCGAGATGAGTGAACTTCTCTTGAGCAACGGGAGAGACGGCTTCTTCGGAGTTACTGCCAGACTCGTAGGAACCAAAGGCAATGTCGGAGCCTGCAGAGCCAACAGATTCCGCTGTGGCAGGTCCAAAAGAGGGTCGCCTTTGAGAACTTGATCGAGAACCGCTCTTGGGGGTTGTAGGGACAGCCACAGGAGAAGATATCGACCGACTCGTCAACAGCGTTGGCCGGGGGTCACTTTCTTGAGTGACAGTCTTCTCCAGAGACAATTTGGATGTGATAGAAGCAGCATCAGAAAGCATGTGTGCTCCAGCTGGTCGAGGGGTTCCTTCCAATGATTTCAGAGAAGATAACAGGTTACTGGTGGCACTATTGGGACCACTTCCTCGATCCAGGGTGTTCTGACGACTAGGAAGTACCAGTGCACTGAGCTTTTCGAACTTTTCCCGCTTCTCTTCTCTCTTCTTCTTCCACTCTTCCAGCTCCCATTCTAGAGCACGATGCAAAACAAGCCACGTCTGGGCCATACGAGGACGTCCGATGGCTTTTGCCACTCGAGCGTTGTGGATGCAGATGTCGAGAACAGTGGATGTCTCTGTAACCTGGTACTCCGCATTGTTGGCAGCCAAGGTGATGCTCTTTTCGTTGATTCCAACATGAGGAACCTCGTAGAGAAGCTGATCCACTGGCCCTTCTTCCTTGAGAGAATTCATTTTGGGCTTTTGTTGAGTTCGCGAGTTGAACGAGAGCCGTAGCGATACACGTGAGCCCTCGCGTTCTCGCTCATGCACAGATGTAGCAGAAGAACCGGGGACTGTGGAAGGAGCATTGTCTTCGTACTCATGCTGGTTGATGGCATTATTGCCCTGAACTGTCATCAGCAAGCCAGTTGTGGACCAGGTATTCGACACCTTGGGAAGCTGGTTGATCACAGGTTCTTCGTAAGAGATGTCTCGTTGGATAAACTTGTTGTCACGTGCAGCAGTCCACAGTTGGGTGCCAGACTTCCATTGAACCTCCGTCAGACGTGCCTCATGGTCCTCGATCACAATTCGAGGGATGTACTTTCTTTTGGGCGACCAGATGTGAACCCTGTAGTCGTATAGATCCATGGACGACGAAGCAATATCGCAATCTAGGATATTTTTAGGGTTAAAGGCGTGTTGTTGCCAACGGACTTTGTGTACGCCGTTGGGTGTATTAATCACGTGGTCTGGAACCCTGGCCGTCTCTCCTGCAGCCATGTTCCAGATCTGGATCTGCTTGTCTCGTCCTCCAGTGACAATGTAATCAAACTCCTCATGCCAGTCTAGTGTGAGTCCTCTTTGTGCATGGGCATTCATTCGTCGTTCTGGTCCCGAGGGGTTACGAATATCCCACCGTTGAACCACTCCCGAGTCGTAGATCATGGCGAACTTGGTGCTGTCGAAAGGCGACACCTTGAGTTCACGACAAATGTCTCCGTTTTTGACAAATTGAGCCAAGGGTTTTTTGTTAGATGATCGCATGTCCCAAGTCTTTGCGATACCTGCCGAGTTACCGGACAGCAGCATGTGAGTAGCGTGGGGGTTGAGTCCTAGAGAATTGATGGAGGTGTTGTACTCATGCAACTGGTAGGAGGCCTTTGAAGTAGTAGAATCGGCATTGTAGACCTGAATATGACCGTTGGTCTTTCCCAGAATGATGTATTTGGCATATTGTCGCAGTCCCCATTTGACCACGGACACTGAGCTCAAAGGATGTTTTTCCTTGTATCCAGGGCTTCCAAATAAGTCCAGATGCTGCACAATTTCTGTGTCGGTGACGTTGACGATTTGCAGGAAATCTCTTCCAGCAATGACGGCCTGGGACCAGTCTGGTGATGGGCTCATGGCCAGAATGCCGGATTTTGTAGTGAACGAGAGTCGAGGTGGTTGATTCGAAGGAGATTCCACGTGAGAAGGCGCAGATGTCGGTGCAGAAGTAGGAACTGGTGTAGGACCGAGATTGCGGCCATACAAAGCCTTTCCGAACCTCGCAAAGGCTGATCCTCCAGCGTCCGAAGAGTTTGGTTGTGGGGATCCACCTGTCGAAGATTGATTTTCCGGTGAAGAGCCATCGGAGGGCGGATTGGACGATAACATGGGTAAGTTGAAATGCCCGTGCATCAGTTTTGCCAGGGAGCCCTCGTTGGAGCCCGCTTGGCTGCCCTTGTTGCTCATGGGTGTTCTGGTGTCGTTAGTACAGTAGTGTGTCGTTTGTTCCTGTAGTATAGCCTAAGCGTGATAAGCAGTTAGAGTTTTCATGAAGAAAATGGGGAACTGGATAGTGTGAGATGTAGGGAACAGTAAGAGTACATTATGTAGGAAGGAAGTGCTTTTCATCGGTGATTGAGGGACTCAAAAAACGCATCTGAGTTTTTTATCTCGTAATTGTTAACTCATAAGGTGTTTTGAAGGCATGATTCTGGAACAAGTAAGTTACTTGGTAATGCCAAGTAATATTATGGATAATGATAGGTTACAGCACTTCGTAAAATAAACGAAATAATGACCTTTGGTTTGATAGTCTTGTCTTTATAGGTGAGATTCTGTGATGCATGGTATTTTACTTGGGTTAAGTGGTAACTAAGGCGCAATTTGCCCAAGACCAAGTCCAATGCGACCAATACCGTTACCTGGAAGCACTAAGGGTTAATGATGATATGCATTTTACAATTAGATGTCTCTATTTATGGTAAGCATCTGTATGTACAGCTTCCAGGTCGCCCGCGCAGGGTCTCCATGGTGAGTTAGATACATGCTAAACGTCTCGACCACGTTGAAGTGTCTTGCTTTTTAAGGCTTCGTCGAGTAACTGATGATACAGACAAGGCAAGTGGGCGATTGTCATATTTTAGCTGCTTGAGCTCTTGACACACAATCGTCGGTATGTACGGGTGTCAATAACGTAGCATGCGAGCGTCAACTTCACAAAATAACTAACAGCCCACAGCTTGCGTGTCTCAGCATTAGTTCCATGAACTCCCCCGTCGAGTTGTTTCACCTCATTTTCCTTCTCTCATCAAATGAAAACAACATCACCACTCTCAACATACTTCACGATGATGGAGTACTTGATGACGACGATACTACCCTTTCGCAGCTTGACTGAATCGTTTCCAATGATAATCTTTCGTCCTGTATCCTTGACTACTCGCACAAACACTGGATGGTCCATGTTGGGCTCCTGAACCATGCTTGCACTTCCTGAAGAGTCGTTCATCTGTTTGAGACTGTCTGGGAACGTGTTCATAAACTGATGCGCGTACAGATTCTTCAACAGCGCATAGTGCCGGTTGAGATACATTCTCTCTGTTTGAGACATGTTCATTCTGTCCAAGGGGGAAGACTGGTAGTACTCCATGCTGTTATCGATCTTAAGCAGTCGCACGCGCAGATACGACCGGATCAGGTACTTGATACGCTCCAGCTCCGTCTCCACAATCAGCAGTTCCAGCTTCACGTCTGTGTCCGGACTCATGTCTATCGACTTCTCCTCAATCACCTCGATCTGAAGCTGCACACGTTTGAGAATCCGGAACAACAGCGCCTCCTTCGTCGGAAGAAGCGTTGGTGACATTCGCTCAGTCACCCATGAATGTGTCAACTCTTTGATATCAGCCTCCTTCTCTTCCAAAGTACCTAGTGGGTCGTGTGGTCGCACGTTGTTGATCAGATCATCAATATCGTCCGTTTCATCCATGCTCAGACCCGCTGGATCAGATGTGTGCGGCGGTGAGTGGAACGACGAGTCGAGCCCGCTGTGAATGTCCATGCCTTCCAAGTCCAAGTTGTCCTCCTCCATTTTTGATATCGTTGTGTTGTGTGCGTGACGAATTTTTGATGTGCTCTAATTAAGTTGACGCGTCGTGCAGGTCCTGATGTGCGTGTCTAAGCAGGAATCGCTGTGGAAGTACCCAGTAGCCGGTAGCTACCTGGTACATCAATCGTAGCTATATATATGTACCTTGGTTTCGTGTAAAGCTCAAGAAATTGCTAAAAATTATATTACTAAGGTCTCAAACGCCCAAGGTGATGGTTACACTAAGGTTCTCACACGGCGGCTAAATGGCGGGTATTTTTACAACATCTAAACTAAGGTAGCTCTGCTACGCTGTTATTCTGGATCTCCCCAAAAAGATTTTTCCGAAATACTTCTCGTTGATGATGTGACGTGAACGCTGTTTCGTTTCTTCAGTTGTAATTTATATTCCCAATTCTCCTACGTAGCCTCACAAACCCGTGCCACCCCAACGTCTATTTTGTTAAGACATCCTCACTAGATATTCTAAATCCACTTGACTGTTGCAGTGCATCACAACTGCACCCTTTATTCACTGCACACCGCTACACGAACACGAACACGAACAGCTAACATCACACACACTAGTGCTTGCAAACGCTCACAAATAGCCTGGAAATGAGCTCGAGCAGACGCAGCGAGATCGAGGCCAAAAGGGCCAGAATCGCAGAGATGCGAAAGGCCAGAGAAGCTCTTCAACAGCAGGAGGTGAGTCTCAACAAACACACAAACACAGCCAGGGGGAACCTACTAACACAGGCACAAAGAGCAGCACCCTCTAAAGAGGATATCGACCAGCTGGTAGACTCATTGGTGACTACTCGAATTGACGACACCCCAGGATCTTTTTCCATAGTCATTGCTGATGCCTTTGATCAAGTTCCTGTGGTTCAGGGTCCTGATACATCAGCCACTTCCAACACAGCATCAGCGTCAGCTTCAACTTCTACAGCCGCTGCGATTACAACTCGGACAACATCACCGCCACTCTGCTACTCAAAGGGGGTCCAGACCGACCCCATTGATGACGATATTGATCTCGACAGCGACGAAACAGCAGCAGACGCGTCCAGACCAGACTCTGGGACACAGGATGAGGAGCCCAGCATTTCTAGTTACCCGGCCCAGGTTTCAATTCCGCCTCCAGATGACAACGTTAGTATTGTGTTCGCAGAGCCTTCTGCTGCGGCTTCCGAAGACCTGCTTCCGTTTGTGCAACAATCGCTCAAGGTGGTGGAACGGTCGCTCAAACCTCAAAAATTTGATGTTCTCACAGATTATGGTTCTCAGGGACTCACTACAACCCATGATGAAGAGGCGCTCGTGTCGCAGTCTCTCCAGTTTTCCCATTCAGACACAGACGGACGAGCCGTGCTTGATCTTGCTTGGTCGCACTCCTTCCCCGAGCTGCTGGTGGCATCGTACACGGAGAAACGCGACTCCATTGCGGAGGCTAAAGGCTGTGTGAAGGTTTGGAATATGCACATGCCTGCTAAGCCCGAGTACACGTTTGTGGCAGACTCGGACGTGACTTCGGTGCTGTGCTCTCCCTTCCACCCCACACTTGTGTTTGGAGGCCTCTATAACGGCCAGATCATGGTGTGGGACATGAGGGCGTCCAGTTCACAGGCTATTTTGGCCTCTCCACTTTCCGGAAGTGCCCATTCACACCCTGTGTTGGCATTGGACCTCTACGGTACCCAAAATGCATCTTCGTTGGTGTCTGCTTCGACCGATGGAACCATCTGCACGTGGTCCCCCGACATTCTCGCCAAACCACAGGAGAAGATTTTGCTACAGCCGTCTTCTGAGGCAGCTCGAAATCTCACCATTTCGCCCACTGCTCTCGTGACGCCTGCCCAAGACACCTCGTACTTTCTGTTCGGCACCGAAGAGGGTTCCATGTACCATTGCAACCGGTACGACAAGGCCGGTACGAGTGCTGGTATTGACGCACGCAACTCGGCTCAGTATGCCGCAGCTCATTTGGCTCCTGTTACGTGTCTCGACCTGCATCCTTCTAAGCATAGCGTGGACTTGGGAGACTATCTTCTCACGTCGGGTTTCGATTGGAAGATCAAGCTGTGGCGAACTAGCACCGTGTCCGCCACAGCTCCAGCTGACACAAACACCTCCAACCCTCTTCTGCATACCATTTACCGGGACGATACGGTGTATTCGGCGAAGTGGAACCCCTCGTGCCCATCGCTCTTTGGAGCTGTGGATGGATCTGGGCACTTGGAGGTGTACGATCTGCTCGTTGATATCGACGTTCCTGTTGCTCGTGTGAAGCCTCAGGCGAAGACTGCTGCGGACAATCTTTTGCATCCTCTTAATAAGCTTGCCTGGGACAAGTCTGGCAAGTCTGCGGCCGTTGGGGGTTTTGATGGCATGATTACCGTGTTCGATCTTGGTAACGAGTTGCTGCAAAAGAACACGGCTAATGATTGGAAGGAGATGAGAATCTTGCTGAACAAGATTGATACTGTTTAGAGGGTAAGGAGTATATAAGTTATTGCAAGTAGTTAGGGAGTCACCAATCTGGGTGGTGGATTGGATTGTATTCAAAATGTAGAGATACAGTACATACAGTACTCCATACTTGGTTCAGTATTTACCTTAAAGTAGATAATTATGAATGCTTTCTATTAGACTATTTGTATACGACTCCTCGACTATATCCCACACTGAAAGGTGTAATAAATGCGTTACCAATCTGGGTTAGCGCTGGGTTAGTTCTGGGTTAGTTAACGTGAATGACAAATGACGTTGTGTGTCGTCCACGTTATGAGAGAAAAACTGTATGAGTAATGTTTGTTTTTTTGCGTTTTTGTGTGTATGGGTGCGTGTCAGGCGTGCTTAGATGGACATTCCGTTGTCAATGGACTGCTGCACAAAATTCCAGTAGACGTGCTTGCCATTCTTACGCATGCTCTTACCCCATTTGATGAAGATGAAGAAGGTGGAGATACACACGAAAGACACAGCAGCGGCCTCTCCGAAACATCGCTTGAGACCCTCGTTCTGGAACCAGGGGGTCACTCCGTAACCGATACCGAAAGACATACAGTTTCGGATGAGAATGACGGTGACCATAGAGTCGGAGGCAATCTCTCGGTAGGAGTCGACGGCGTAGTTGACAGAACAGATGGAGGTGAGGGCAGACATTCCTTGGACGAATCCCATTCCGAGAATGATAGGGAACCAGTGAATCTTGTCAGCAGCTCCCATGCCCCACAGAATCAACATGGAAGGACAGAGGATGAGGTACGCAATGAGAACCCACAAACGGTGCTCGGGCTCAGAGATGCCCCCGTTTCGTTTAGCCAACACAATTCGCAGCTTGTCCGAAGCATAACCTCCGTAGATGGATGAGATAAAGACAATCACACAAGACGAAATGTAGCACAGACCGACCTTGTCAGGAGTGAAGTTGTAGGGATCGGCAGAGAGAACAGCAGAGACGGTTCCATTGACCAAGTTAAACCAGACGAGTCCAAGACCGCAGAGGAAACCAGAGAAGACAATGACGGGGAACCGGAAAAAGATAATGAACGGTCTCTTCATCATTTCCCAAATCATGATGGGACGAGGCTGATCGAACAGAGCGAGTTTCTGGATAAAGGTCTTCTTTTTCATGACGTCTGTGGTGGCCAATTCGACATCAGTAGTTACAGAGACAGATTTGGCAGTGTTCTTCTCGTTGAGGGTGACGGCTCCGTCATCAGAGGTGATACTGTCCACCTTCTTCAGCGCTGGGTGTCGCACAAAGTTGGTCTCCTCGAAGAAGAGAAACAGAAATACGAAGCAAACAGCGTTGAAGATTGTGCCCCAGTACAGAACCCAAGTCCAGTCCTGGCCCTGGGAAATCAGACCTGCCAAGACAGGTGCTATGTTAGATGCAAACATGAGTCCAAATCCATACAGACCGATCCATCGTCCTCGCTCGTGCTCAAACCACACGTCAGACACAAGCACTTCGCAAAGCGACTCAACGGGAGCTCCGAAGAAACCCTGCAGCAGCTTAGAGCCAATCCACTGGCCAGAGTTCTTAGCATGAGGACCCCAGAGCTGGATCAGACATGTACCAAGCATGGAGATGAGGAAGATTGGCCGCTTGCCAAACTGCTGAGACAGAGGCTGGAAAATGATACATCCCAGACCAAACGTCAGGTACATGTAACCTGTGCCTTGGTTGAGAGTGTCCAGAGACAAGCCTGTGTTTTCAGAGATGGGAATGAGCACTGAGTAGATGGAAGCCGAAGGAATGGAAACACCAAGGGTGAAAATGAACATGCAAAACATGGACAACAACTTTCGACGGTACGACCAGTTGAGTGGGTCATCCGGATGGGCGGAGGGAACAGGGTGGAGAACCACCTCAGAGTCGGTGGTGTCAACCAGGTTGATTGTTCCGGGGATCTTATCGTGGTCAATCATTGTATTGTTTTATGTATTAAAAGAGGGAAAATTCACAAACTGGGGGAGGACCTCGGGGTTTATATAACTTCAGACGCGCTTTTTTTAGCTATCTTTTTTAGTTCCTGTCTCTCTTCTACACAACTCTCAAGCTGTGTCTTGCTCACAATTTAGAGTTGGGAGGTTGTATGTGTGAGCTTGGAAAGAAAACCCAAAACCCCGTACTTTCGTGCATGACATCACGCTACAGGTCAGGATGTGAAGTTGATGAGAAGGAGTAATCAATATATTTGAGAGGTGTTGTTTTAAAATGCTCTCAAAGGGAAATGACAAGATCCAGAGAGGGTTTTGATCACGTGACCGACACGCGTGCCGCGTCTCATTTGTGGAGTCTTTTGCCTACTCTCTCGCACCTACGATGCTCCTGTCAACTCTATTAGAACTTTATTGGGGGGGTTTATTTCCTTCTTTCTGTTACTCGCAGTTGCTCCCGAAACAGCTCCCACAAGCGAAGTGCAGGAAACAGGGGAAATGAAATGTCGGAGAGCCAACGCAATGGATAGTTGACCGATCTGAGATCAGAAAAAAGCAGTCGGCTCGAAAGAACGTTCCGTTACGACATGGGCTTTCTCCGGCAAAATAGCTCCAATTTTCGACCCCATAAAACTAATGTTTGGAAGACCAGGACTTACAGTTTACACACGAAGATTAGAGCACATCGGAGATGGAAAGGCACAAGCGAGAATGATGCGAATGCAAGCCTCCTTTTTCGTCATTCCGTGCGCCGCGGTTGACCGATTGGGATAAATGAGGGGTACATATGTTGTGGTTGTGGTGGTTGGTACCGAGTTTTATAGTTGGTTAGGGACTTGAGTCTTGAATCTACTTGGACTATTTTTCTATCATTTAGATCATTACAAGTTGTAGTGTTAAGCTACATTTTGAGTGTTTGAGCCGTGCGCTACCATAAGCTCTCAGGACGAGGTGTAGCGCACATGGATACAGAACTTTGAGGTAGCTAATTGTAACCAGCGAAACAACCCGCGGTAAGCAGGAAGCTTTGAAAGAGAGACTTTATTATTCACACACTGGTTGGTTGTTCTTCAGAGGGAGCACATTGCACAAGCCAGTTGGTGCAGTGGTATGGGATCAAACTAACCGAGACCCAGATGGGGACCTAATAGTTTGACACTAGAGCACAAGTACTTGTACAAGTAGATGGATGTTTCTACAACACGTACCTGCCACCTACAAGTTCTCGTATATGACTCACTTCAAATAAAGTGCCTGTCGAACTTATCCGATATCGCATGTGAATCCTGCATGCTCATCGCTAAGAGACCCCACCTCCTCGGTTAGACAAGGGACGTTTTGAGAGCCACGGAAAGCCCCCTTTTTTCTGCGCCGACCAAGAACCGAACCAATAGTTTTATGCCGCTCTCTTTTGGCCCTCTAACTGCTTTATGGCGCCCTTTCTCTCTCTTTAGGACTTTTTTTCTCTCTTCATTTTGCTTTCAAGTCAAGGTTAAATATCACTTAATGGAGGTTAACCTCTAACTCTAAAACCAAGTCGAACGGGGGTACCATTGTTCGACAAGACCAATGACGTCATGAAGAATGATAACCAGCTCCAGGTAGCCATAAACAAAAGTTTTGTGCCGTTTTTTCCCCTTTCAAGCGCCTATCAACCCTCGTGGGACCCCGCACAATCAGTTCGAAGCTGCGGGACAAGGACGGGGACAAGGACTGATAAAGCCACTGTTCACTTGAAGTGATTGTTAGAAATTTTTTCAACTTGACGGATGTCAAAATTACGTGTTACAAGTACTGCTGTCAAATTTACCCTCACTTTAGCCCTGGCGCTCCTGCCTGTCTCTCTCTCTCTCTTGTAAGGGTTGAAAATGTTTGACATAAAGTGGGTTTCTGACTCTTTTTTACAAGGATTCCCGAAGAGACGGGGAGTTCGCGACTATGCAGCTTCGGACTCCGTTCTTCGATACTTTGATTTGTTCAACGTCCCCAAAGCAAGATTATCCGTATAGCTTTCAAACATCTCTCCATTTTATTGTCTCCCCCAGCAGCATGCTGTTCTTGGTGTAACGTTAATGGAAGTGCCGTGGATGTGTCAGTACAAGTACCGCTATGTACGGGATGTACAAGTAGACCTCTAAGAGTACAAGTATGATTACCCGTGAGTGTTATCTAAGATATTACCAACTACTATCGGAACTTATCTCCAAATACCGTCAATATAGGTCTCTACTTAGTCCAGATCATGTTGTCTAAAAACTTATCAGATAACTCATCACTGCAAAGTGACCCCTCGAACATATGGGGACACAAAGAAAACACGTTACAATTATGAGACAAGGTCACGTTGCAACTAAAGCTAGAAGGTCTTTCCGGGTCTGCGAAACCAACTTCTCAAACCTGCTCTGAGACCAGACTGAACTGGAGAGAGTCTTAAAACGCAGAGAAAAGAGGGAAGACAGCACATCAAACTTCAAGTTGTTGCATAAAACCGAGTACTTGAGAATGTGTTTTTACTACGTCCCATTTAAGACCCCCAATGCTCTCTGCTTGATCAAACTATTCCGCCATTTGCTCTGAACCTCTCCTACTCCTTCAGTACAAGGCCATTTAGGTTGTAACCTTAGTTGTACTGGATCCATGCAGCAGAAACCGTAAACACCTCCGTTGGAGTCTTCGTCTTGCCAGGCATTGGCGTCAAATCAAAGAGCAGCGACCGGATGTGTGGACCTGGAACGCAAAGGACATACGAGTGCTGTAATCGAGAAATACTCAGTCATTTGTCTTTCCTTGCATGTACAGGTACACAGGAATAAGCTGATGCCACATGTATTGTTACGTAATCTCCTAACCAAAACTGGCTCTCAGTGGTTCTGAGATAGGGATTTTATTTTTATCAAAAATAGAACATTTCCAGCATCCATTATACAAGTAATATCTATTTTGATGCCTTCTGATCAAATTTCAGAACACCAATTTCGAAACTGGAACCCTGACATCTATAGAAGTACTTGAACTGTATATGTGCATTGATAAGAATGCATAACCGACGACACTCATCTTCGTTTGAGGAAAACAGGAACTGAAAGTACTTGAACAAGTAGCAGCCTTTGTATTTATAAATGTGCTCGTATTCGCAGATGAAGAGAACTGCAGCTGTGCTCATCAAGAGTCTTTCATGTATCGGGGTTGTCTGTTCACACTCATCTACAAGATACAGTATCTACATAAGTGTAAGATAGTAGTCTATTCAAAAATTTATTATGGACATTAATCCTCTAAGGAATGATTGGTGACCACCTGGACCCCGTCCACAGGTATTCTCCTATATATACATTAGACCTCCATTTTCTCCACACCCCACTTAACACTCAGCTCTTCTGCCAGATCGGTTCTGGCCTTGACCAAGAAGAAGTTGTACTCGGTCTTCAGCTCCGGTCGCTTCTCCAGCTCCTCCTTCTTAGCCTTCCAATGCTCAAGTCCAGGTTTAAGCCACCCCTCCAAACTGCTACCTTCAGGTGCAGGCCCCTCAGCCAGAACGCCCTGGACGGTGGAAAGAAGAACTGGCTCGTTCCTGTACACATTCTGACGCTCGGTAGAGAACAGGAACGAGTCATCTGCAAGGGCAGCATCGATCTGAGACGGCAGAGATGTGTAGCCCTCCAACAGAGAAGTCAGATGAGGTGTAAACTCAACCCGGTTCTCATTGTTGAGCTTCTCCAAAAGTGCCTTCTCAGCTCGTACGTTGGTAGAAGCAAATGGCAGACCACATAACTCCTTGGAAGTGAAATGGGCAGCCATCTCTCGCAAGTTGGTATCGTCGTCAGAGAGATACAGCAACAGGAGAATGTAAGACTGCATGGTCTCATCGGAAGTGTCATTCTGGGTGGACTTGACCCGCAGGTAAGCGCACAGCGATCTGAGCGCAGCCTGGCGAGAGCTGAAAGCAGCAGTTTCATCTGCGTACTTCTTCACCAACGATAACCACTTTCGTGTCTTGGCAGCATCGTTAACTCGGGCAGTGAAAGGCCCCAGAGCTCCAAGAGCACTCTCACTAATGTCTGTAGAGTGTTCATTGGTGTATGAGAACAGCAGAGACTGACAGAGAGAATCTGAAAGAGTGCTTGGGGTGTCCTTCAGCAGAGTAGACAGTAGTCTGAGAGCCGGGCCCTTAACCAGATCACAGTGAGACACTCGGGTGAGATCCCAGAGCGACTCCAGAATAGAGCATTTTGTTTCCTGGTCAAACTCGCCCAGTCGCTCTTCGATAGTAGCAATGGTAGTCTGAACAACTTCATAAGTTGAGTCAGAAAACAGCTGTCGCACGTAAGACACAAAGATACCAGGTCCCAGCCCGGAGTCAGACGAGTACTTGAGCAGAACGTAGACACACTCTTGTCTCAGAACTCGAGCAGCAGCATCCAGCTTTCCGTTGAAGTTCTGTTCAATCTGGGTGAGAGAGAACTGCACCAGACGGCCAGAGAAAGGGGCCTTGGAATCCTTCTGGTAGAGATTCTTGAGAATTCGGAAGTAAGCGATCTGGGTAGCAGGGCAGGGGTTTTGCTTCAACAGAGGAGTAAACAGAGCATAGAGCTTCTGAAGAACTTGCTGAGGAAGCTTCTTGTGTGGCAGCTTGATAGTTGCTCGAGCAAGAGTGGCATCAATGGCCAAAAGACAGCCATGGGTGTAGTTCTGAGAGGTGTCAGGCAGCGTCTCGGCCAGAGAAGAAACGCTGTCAAACAGCAGATCGTCGGCTGTCATAAACGCATAGGTTCGAGCAGCGACTTCTCGAATCTTCCACACCTTGGAGCGCAGACAGCCCTTAATGAGGGTTCGGAACTCGTCCAGACCTTCGTATCCGTTGGTTCCTTCTAGTCGAGACAGGAGTGACAGAACGGGGTACGTAGTTTCCAGAGCCGTAGAGTCTTCATCGAGAGAGTCAACATGGTCTCGCAGATGCTGGAGCAGAATCTCTCGGATATTCTTGTACCGGGTGAAGAACAGACGTGCAGGGACTGTACCTGTGTTATTTCTGGACAGGTTGGAGCCCTCAACAACAGTAGCCACTCGTTTGGTGCCGAACAAACGGTTCTGAAGAGAAGTGTACAGCATGACAGCACAGTTTCGAACGGCCCAAGTGGGTGAAGAGAACCGCTCAATAGACAATTGAAGACCCTCGTCAATGTAATGAGCCGAAGCCTCGGACAGGTCACTTTCAATGAACAGAATTCGCATACAGTTCAGTGCATGGACCTGGGGAATCTGAGCAATCGTAGCGTCTGCATCCAGGGGCTTGTTAGCAATCTGGAGCAGCTCCTCAAAGGTGTGTTTAAGAAGAGGACGATCTTCATCCGACTCAGCACACAACACGCCGGCAATCAAGTAAGGCAGACCTCCACTTCGTCGGGTGATCTTCTGAGCCATCTTCTCGATCAAGTCAATGTTATAGTTGAGCCACTCCTCAGGCTTGCCCTTGAGCGTATCTGTCTTGGCACATCGCTTGCAACAGGCGACAAAGGTAGGGTAGACAGAAGAGAATGCTCCTCGATGTCTGACGGTAGCCAGCTGCTCAATGGACAGATTTCCACATTCGAGAATGGTCTGGTCGCTGATATCCGACACCAGAGCAAGAATAGAGCCCATCATGGCGGTGCTCTCTTTGACTGCTCTCCAGGCATACGACAGAACTAGCTGAGAAGCAGGCCCGTACTTGAGCTCAATATCTTCCACATCATTGAGCTCCTCAGGCACGTTGCCTTCGGGAGAGTCGTCTGTCAGAATGGCCTTGGTCAGATCCCAAGTGTAATGAACGTTCTTAAGAGCTCTGTTCACACATGGAAGCCATTCAGCGTTGTATCCCTCAGCAACAACATCCTCCAGAATGAACCGAAGAGCCGAAAAGTATCCATGAACAGGGTACTCCTTCACTGCAAGAGTCAGATTACTCTCCGCAGTGACCAGAAACTCCTCCACCTTTGTAAGAAGACGCTCAAAGAACTGAATTTGAGCCTGTTGGCCAGTTCGTCCGTACAAATTGAACACAAACTGCGTCAGTCGTGCGCCCGAGTCTCCCTCTCGCCCTCGGATACCAGCCATCATCGTCATGCCTCTGTCAGCTAGCACAGTGATTTCATTGTTAGGGAAACACTCTGTGGGGGACATCTTCAACAGCACCACACACATCTGACGCAGATCCTCGTAATTAGAGGTTACACCGTCGATGAGTCGCTCCACAAGAAGAGGAGTGAAGATCTCAACTTGGAATGGAAACTCCAAGTAATTTTTTCGAATAATGTGCTGGTCTAGTTTCTTATCCAGACCCGAATGAATCAGCATGGGTATTAGCCGAAGAGCAGTGTGGAAGGTCTGGTAAGGAGCACACGGATTGAGTTGTGCTGTGATAAAGTCCACAAGCCATTGGCTATATGTATGTGCTGCCTCAACTTGCACCACGTAATCCTCCATTTTCGCCTGCAGTTTTTCCTTCTCTTCACCCTTGAGCTTCTCCAGTTTCGATTCCATGCGTCCAATATCTCTTTGTAGCGCATAACTGGAATCTCGGACTCTTGTGGTGAACTGTCTCATGTAGGAGTACACCTTGTTTCTGAACTCTGCATCTCCCTCAGCAAACAGGTCAGGAAGCACGTTTCGGAGCACTTCGTAAACGTACGGCTTCACAGCCTCAGATCCCTTGGGTGAGTTTAGCAGCAGAGACAAAGCTGCAGCTCGTAGGGACATGGACTCATGTTGGAGCAGGTTTCGGACCATGTCGACCTGCAGGAACTCCGAGGAACCTACTTCGATGAGACCAATCTCCTGGCCAATCTTCAGACAGCCCACCAGGGCCTCTAATTGAATCTCTGACAGAGTCAAAGCTCGTGAGAGGTCTCCAAAGGTAGACAGCATGAAGACGGGGAAACAGTCGGGGTGGAATTTGAACATTTGCGGCAGGAAATACAGCAGAATGTGTTTTTGAAGTGTCATATCTGTGGTCATTCGCTCTCGAACCGGAGGTGCCCACAGCTCGACCCAATTGGTGATCTCAGAGCCTTCCCCTGAGTTGTCGTAAACATGAGCCTCCCTGATCTGAGTTCGAATAGACGAAAAGATGGCATACAGAGTTTTTCCAACGGGATTGGCCAACGCCACACTTCCCATGACTCCGAGAGCCTCCTCCACAAAATGTTCATCCTGAGCCAGAATGAAGCTTCCTCCAACGCTCTTGGTGATAATCTCCAGCACAAAGTAAACGACTCGCATGGACTTGGGCATCTTCATTACCCGCACTGCCCACACGCCAATCATTTCGGTGACCATTTGGGCTGGCAGCACCTTGTAGGCCAGTGCAATGATCTTTCCAAACATGTCCTTGAGGGCGTTTCCCAGTGCCGGGTTCGCGTCTGTCCAGAAGTCGCACACAAACTCGAACAGCTGGTTGATTTCGGTTATTGTCACAATCTCTGCCAGATCCGCCCCCTTATCCACACTCTGTGTCGCTCGCTGGATCGATATACTGAGACAGTCGGTGGCCAACGTTCGGTATGATCCCACGCCTGTTGAGTTGACTGCCGAGTCACACAGCAGCGGGAATAAATGTTTAAATGTGTTTCTGGGTTAGTCAGAGTCCAAAACACGGGTAGTCTGTCACTCCTCCACTCGATACTCACTCCTGATCCTTGGAAGGCTTTTTTCCAATCAATGCCTTTCTCAGTCGCGGAAGATCGTCTTGCGCAATCACGCCATCCTCTAGACGAAGCTCCAGGCCATCTGGTAGTTCGCGCAGAGCGCAAACGTGTTGTTGTGGGTCCATGACTGTTATTGAAGATGTTTCTCTGGAGTACAATTTTTGTGACCTTCACCATGTCCGTCGAAAAATAAGATTCGCTGTGTCCGAAGCCGTCTTAAACTCTGTCATGTGATGAGGAGAGGAGAGGAGAAACCAGAAGAATGATAACTAGATCAGCCAGAACTTACGTAGCATGAATTCACAACTTACACCGCCTCCTGCTGGGCTCCTTAACCTATATCATTCCATGTTCCAAAAATAGAAGAATAAGGTCGGCTGACCAAATAAGGTTTCATGCACTGTGTTTTTTTTTTGTAGCCCCTAACGATGAAAACGGTGGCTGCTATCGTAGTACACGGAACAGTGCGAGTACCACTTGTAGTGTCAACGGTTTATCGAACGAAGGCAGGGCGCCTGGCATACGGCCGAAGGCTCCTTGTGCTATGCTTTCGATTCCCACCTCAATTCCAATACTTGTTGTAACTGTATATCTCTAACCCATAATTACCCCTACCTTTGATTCTAATTACTGTTTATACGGAACTTGTATGTGCTCGTACTGTACATACCCGTACATGTCTGGATCTTACAGTTCAAGATCTTTCTTGAAACTCTTTTGGAGACAATATATCTGAAATGTGAAGGCGTAGAGACTTTGAAATGAGCCATTGCTTCCACCAACCAAGCCCCACCACAACTTTGCGAGCATCCCTAATTTTACCCCTTTTTCAAATACGATGATGAACGATGGACGGCTTCAGATACAGAGTTTAGATCTGATCAAGGGCTGGAGATAGTTATATAAGGGATGAGCTATGGAAGAAGGAGTGGGTGGCAACACTGTGTACGAGTTAGGCCTGGTGGACATCTTTAGGAGGGATCCAATCTCGATAATCCGCCATTCTATAGCCATAGTAGTGGCTATGCCTTCCCATCGGCGAACACGAAACCCCGGTCCGAAACTCTAGAAACTATCACGGAGAAATGTGGCGTTCACTTCCAACGGCCGCACTCTTACAGAATGGGCTCGCAATATGATTCAGGGGTTGATAATCGGTGGTCAGAGTCCAGTCATATGATGAGTACTTGTACGAGTACTGTACTCGACACTACCGCTCTACAGCAGCTTAAAACCCGAAGAGTAGTGCCTCTCGTGCGCTACTCCAGATGTACAGTAGCTTCCAATAATCTGAGGGAGGGGCTTCGATAAAGCTGATGGAGCAAGTATAGGGCAGTGCAGTAGCAACATAGACCTCTGCTCCATTAATTTCACACAAGCAGAGAGCACCGGTACCAAGAGTGTTCCCATAATAACTCCTTATGACTCTCCAACATTTTTGTACCATCTCAGACACCACTGAGTGTGCTTAGTCTGACTCCACTAAGGAGAGAAGGGTTACAGGTATCGTAGGACACACCATTATATCCCCCTATATTTAACTGCTGAGTTAGATAATCGCTAATTCTACGTCTTAGTTAATCAGAGAAATACATTTCATATTCGTACGGTACACCCGTACGAGAACATCCCCAATGATTTTCAACATTGAAGCGATGCTAGAAAGATGAATGGGAATCGTGATGTACAAGTACAGTACATACTGTTAGTTAGTTCTAACGATACCCACTGACTCTCCACATTCACATTACATATGAGATACACTCCTCAACTCACATACTAATGGTCCACAAAACAGCCTGTTGTCTGTGATCAAATGAGAATTACTCTACAAGCCCCACCACAAGAATCTTCCTCAGCTGGATATACAGTATGACATAATTAGCCCTAACCTCCCAGTCGCTGACTCTCTCTGACTCACTCGGTAACGGTCACTTGTTCGTATATTTACAATTCATCAACTATTTCTGTTGAGACCAAGTAGGCCTCCTTTTGGATTTTCGCTCCGCTCAAATCCCACGTATGTACATTAAAGCATCTTGGGAGGAGGACAATGCTTGTATCCCTTGCCACCGGAACCAGCCTTCTTGGGCAGAGGTCCGGAGCCCTGGATCTTCTCTGGAACAGGGTAGAACCGCTCAGTCATTTCCTTGACGGCCTCCTCAAACTTGTCGGCTCGCTCGGGAGAGCCCTGAGTCACCTGTTGGACCTGGGCCTTGGTCTTGGAGTCCACGGGCAGACCCTGCTGTCTCAGACGAGCCACCACTCGAGCAGCCATCCAGAATTTGTACTCTTTGTTTCCGTCAACCATCTCGACGACAGCCTGGGGCGCATTGTCTCCCAGACGGGGCTCCAGACGGAGCATTCTGGCGTAACCTCCGTTTCGAGACTGGTATCGGGGCAGCAGGATCTCCTGGATCTTCTTGACGCTGTTGGGCAGGTCGTTGAGAGTCTTCTGATAAACTCTGTATGCGTCGGGAGTGACGCCCTGTCGCTTCGCGGTGTTAACAATCTGGTCGAATCGCTCAACTACTCGCTTGGCATGCTTTCTAGTGGTAACAATGGACTCGTGCTCGATGAACGAGGTCATCATCTTGTTGAGACGGATTGCGTCTTTTCCAACGATTCTGGGTTAGCATGGAACTAAGTGGCCGTAGGTCACGATCGAACAGTATCCTCATTTAACCGAAAGTTACCACGTCCTATCAACTGAACAATTTCACAACATGAAATCCGAGTTCTCTTTGACGCCCATCTCGGGTGATTTCAAAACTCTCTCAAAACGCAGAGAAGAGCAGAGAAAATGAGACAACCAAACGAAGGAACCCTTCATCATGCTGACCAAGCACCGAATTACTTCCTACTTCTGTGACGTCTTTGGAACGTCCTCAGGTGTGGGGTTGATGTCGATCATGGATCCCTTCCACCACAGTACAAATCTTGTGTTTTTGGTCAAAAAGGCACAACTCGTAGTCATTTCTGCTTGGAATAACAGAAACGAAGCCTCTAGTCTGTTTCACACACTCATCCAGTCACACACACCCTCATAACCACACCTGATCCGTCCATCCTTTCTCCCACGCCTCTGTTGTTCAATTTTCTCTTTCCGGGTTTCTCCTCAAACCACGTGACTCGACAAAAACCGACGTCACCTTTCACGCATCTCTCCACACTCACCTGTTGATATACTTGACCATGTCGTGCTGAAAAGTTGATGGACAATATCTCTCTCGAAATGTTCGGTCCTGAAAAGTGCAAAAACCTTGTCCAATTTGTCACTTCGGTTTACTAAGCATACTTACATAAGCCAACTCTCTTTTTCTACCTCCCAAAGCGCGAAGTTTATTGGCGCAACCATCATCCATCTAAGAGATCACAGCCAACCAGCAAACAACGACACACACAACACAAAAATGGGAGGCAGAATAATCGGATTTCTTTCAGGTGAGTAATGGACTAGTCAGCGCAGAATTACACACCAGCTTACTAACACAGGTGTCCTCTTTTCGTCGTCTTTGGCATACCTCACAGCTCTGGAGTTCAAGCGAAACTCGGCAGCAGTCTCTGTGGTTCTCCATGACTCCAAGGACATTCTCGACAACCGAGGCAAGAAGGTTCTTCCACCCCCGCGAAAGCTCGAGTACGACACCCGAGACGACGTAGCTGAGACCTTCAAGGATCTGTGGAACGAGGAGATTATCAAGGGGGTTAACAAGGTGTATGATGTTGTGTTCAACTCCAACATTCAGAAGTAAGGGATCCCAACCGAGCATTCTGGACTAGAACAAAATCATATATTTGGGCAATTAGTCGGATGAAGAAGGAGACCAATTGTGTGGACAAGTAATAGAGCATTTGCAATATGGAGCGAGTGGAGTAGTGTTCGTGTGGAAGGTATGTCGGCGTGCCGGAACGTGTAGGTGTGTCAGAAGGGTTGTACATGTGTTGGACAGGTTGTAGACACCATCACAAAAATGATGAAGACAAACATATTCTTGGAACTGTAGCTTGAGAATGCGTTAAAAGACCAGGTTGAGATGTCATACAGAAGAGCTGGAGCTACACCATGGTTGAAGACAATGCTAAAAGCGCAGGTAGTAAGATGAACAGACAGTCATTCTTTCAGACCGAAACTGCTCTATAGGTGTCTGGAAGTTCCCAGACAAGCAGAATTTACTACTTACAAGCGATACGTGTCCGAGAGCATGGGTGAGCTGCGGTACATTCTATACATCCGGCGTAAGAGAGAAGCAGCTGTTTCCAACTCCAAGGTCTTAAATTGGGTCAATCCACCTTCTATTTTGAAGCGTGCATTAGACCTCTATAGAATCTCTGACTATTTTCCCATTTCAACTTCATCCGTACCGCCTCCATTTCTTTGATTAGCTATGAATGCGCGAGTCTTCAGCCTGCTGGAACTTGTTAGATGGGTTGTATTATGTGTTTGAGAGAACTATCCACACCGAATGAGTGTTGTTCTTGATACACACTGGGGATAATGACTTACTTATTTCATGGGGAAATATCTATTCCACGTGGGGAAGACTTATTTCATGAGGAAATACTTATTTTAGAAAGAGCAACGGCTGGATACCGCTCACTGGGGAGTAGGGTTCTCGCTGCCGACGCCTCCTCGCTGGTGCCGGGTCACATACTCGGTGTTGGCGTGGAAGTATTTTCGCACATCTCTGTTGACGAAGGCATTCCATACAGGCGAAAAGATGCACATGAAGATGGCCAGGGGAATCTGGAGCAGTGAGAAACTTCGAGGCGACGAGGAGAGAGCAATGGACTGCAGAATCCAGCCAATGAGGTCGGTGGTGATCATCTGGCCACCTTTTTCCATCTGTGCAAACACAATTTTCGCACATTCTTCAGCTGATATGGCCTGCGAAGGTCCCTCGATCTGTCGGGTAATTTCGGGTTTGGATTTGTTCTCCTCCTCGAATCCCTCCGACTGGAAGTTGCCTGGGAATACTCCGACCACACGGATGTTGAACGGTAGAGCCTCCACTCGCAGCGAGTCGATCAGCGACCGAACAGCAGCCTTGGAGGCGCAGTACTGTCCGTAGCCCAGCAGGGGGTAGAATGCGAGCACCGACGAGAAAATGGCGACGTACCGAGGGTTCTTCGGACTGATGGGCTCCTTCGCCATTCGGGTGGTTCCAGCATGCACAAAGAAGAGCGCAGATAAGTAGTTTGTGGAAAAGGCTCTGGCCAGTTGTGAGGCCTTGAAGTCGAGAATGAAGCCCGTTTCGGCAGCTCCAGCACACGAGAAAATGACGTCTGGAGGCGCAGGCATGGTTTCTTCCGAAAAAACCCGAATGGCCTCTTCCTCCTTGGTCAGGTCCGCGGAAATGTACCGGATCGTCTGCCCCTCAAATACGGGCTCATGCTTGGTGACAATCTTCTGGACCTGAGCCTCCAGCTTGGACACTGTTCGAGACACAATAACCACATTGGCTCCCTTTGTATAACACAGCTCAGCCAGAGCCGCTCCGGCTCCCTGAGAGCCTCCACTGATGACCACCTTCTTGCCCTTGATGTCCAAAACACGTCTTTTCGGCGTTGCCAGAATCACTGCGATTCGAGCCACGACCAAAAAGCCCAGAACGGTTGACCAGAACGCCGTATGCGACATGTTTTGCAGCGCGCTCACGCCCTCCAGAATACTGTGCGTCACCTTGTCGGGAATCTCCGATATCGGGAAGATCATGAGTGTGTTAACAGGGGGTGGTGTTGTCAATAACAGCTTGGATGGCAGCCTACCGGTTGTATACTTCAATAGTGCGTATCTCGGTTAAACTTGCCTGTTGCAGCTGTGAGAAAAGTCGTGTAATGTAGCGTAAAATGGCGGGGGTCCAAAATGTAGACCTGGATGCTGAGATTGAAGTTTGAGGGGCCACACAACGCGGGGAAGATACATATATCTACTCCATCACGTGAACAGCGTGCTTTTTTCCTCTTTCCTTTTGTTTATTTGGGTAACTCACTTTTTCGGATTTGGCGCGATTTGTACGGCATCTGTTTTTTTTTTGCCTCTGGGCCTGCATCCCATACAAATGGGGATATGGGGATATGGTCTCTACTGCGACATTGAGTAATCATACTAGCAATTTAAATGGTACCATTTTGCTTTGCAGACGGTATAGATTACGAATCTGCTTTTGTATAGTCATTTTGACCTCCGCTTATCGACTTATCGAGGGTATTGCTTCCAACCCCAAAGTTCAGGTTCAAGGCTGAAAGAGATTACCGTTTTGGCTCTCTTTTGGAATGCCGGAGGGCGTCAGATGAACGAGCATGGTTCTTCAGATGAGAGGGTGAGCTGAGCAAACCAACGGCGGTTGCTGTTTTGGGAGCGCCAAGAGAAAGACAAGACCGCCAAGCTCGTATTTGGGAGACGGATCTCCCATGCTGATACACCACGCACGTGCCATGGCAGAGACGGGCTCATATGAGTTTATGAGCGGACACTTATCAAGGTATAAGCGTGCGGGAGTATGTGAGATGGAGGTCTACCTACCGGTAAATACTTGAGGGAGGTGGAGCACGGGTGTCAATACGTTTAACTGTTATCGTGACAGACGACGTGATCTTCGATGTTGTGTACACCAAGAGTGATCTTTCATCTGGGCCCTCCTATACTTGATCTCGGCTTCTCACGATATCCATCCAGGGAACCTCGGCAAGTATACCCACATACCAGTACAAGTACAAGTACATGTACAAGCATGTCTGATCGCTCCTCGAAAGCCAAAGTGGCTTGTACATTATCCCCGGCTAAAGTCCGATCGGGTCGGAGATAGCGTGTGGGCACTACAAGTATATCAGCTTGTACTGCAAGTTACAGCATACCAGTACCTAGCACCAGCTAGGGAAACAGACCGACCGAGCTAGGAACTACCGCAGCATTTCGTCAGGCCATTTACTTCTACTCCAGGCAGCATGAACCAACTACAGTACATTCGATTGCTACTTGTACGTTTCAATCCCATGACCAAGCTTATATCACGTTATTTGGAGCTCTGCTTAAAGTCTGGATGTTACTTCCACCCTGAGCGTGATCTGAGAAGCCGGTGGAATATGCAACAGCGTCCTAATTATAACACTGGTAACACCATGTCTGAGCTTGGGGAGAATAGACATGATGCTATAGTATGTACATGGAAAGAAGGGTTTAATGACATGCTGTAAAACAGCTGAAGGTCAGATAAAAAAAATTGAAGGCGGATCATGTGAGTAGAACTTCTCCGAATCGATAGTTGCAACAGTACATACGAGTACGCGAGTTCTGTAGCGACTACTACTGTATGATCCATGTTGGCGGCTGCAACAGATATCGGTGCTTCTCTTCAGACTCTATAAATCAAAGAGATGGGTGTAAAAACAAGACCGCATCACACGCATTATCTTTGGTCCATATTCATTTAGAAATACACGCACTGATACTTGCACTGATACTTGTAGGCATCTATATCATGAGGACATCTGAAACATTATTACATCTATTGTATTCCGTGAAGTGTTCACTTAATACCTCTACTTATATATTACTTAGTTAAGCAGGTGTAATTCTACTCTACTTAATCAATAAGGCTGATCTTCAACTGACATCAAGTAAAATGATCATCTCTTTCTCCCAGTTCGAATCTCAAGAGACATTCATTTTGCGCCAGTTTTCGGTCGTTTTTCCTGTATCGTACTCCAGATTCCATTAAGCTCGGAGTGCATTGGTGTGATCAAGAAAAACGAGGGAGTTACAGAAAAGCGAATAACTGGGGGCAGATAATTTGAAGAAGTTACGATATGATACTACGAGACTGATATGGTTGTACCAATCTTTTAAAAAACTCACCTCCCCCCTAACAATCTTACACGTCATGTTACACTCCTTCAATTCCCATTCGTCCGCATTTTAACCTTTGCCTCTCCACAATTTGTATTGGCTGATTTGGGGATTGGGAGATATGAAGATAGCATGTTCGAAATGAAAGACGACGGGCCATGAGCGACCTGAACACGCCAGGTGGATGTAAGAAATGATCTTGAGTTTCGAGCGACGGGGTGGAATGAACCACAAGGTATTTCGACGGTCAAAATACACAGACGCAACGAATGACATTCTCTCTCCGTATGCAGTAGGTGCTGTAGCTAAAGGGAAGTGCGGCACACTGGGGTATGTACGATAGTGTAGAAAGAAAAAACACCATTAGGTGAGGGGGATAGATATTTATAAGACCTTGCAAAGACCCAGCGTCCCTTAAATCACGTAATGACAACTATTGTGCATTTTCCCTCCTTCCTGTAAAAGAATTTTCTCCCCTTACATAGCTATGATACCATCACCGTTCCTTATCTCCACTTCGGAACAGTCACGGTGTGTTAAACTTCAAAGCAAACTTAGCTTTCTGAGGTTGTGTGAGTCAGGATATATAGACAGCACCTAGGGAGTCCCACAGAGCAGATATAAAGACTGTGGACATTTCAATCAAATGCCCCATCCGCCCTTATTCCCACTATACTCCAATCTGCCAGAAAATATACACATCCACGTCAACAACAACTGCGATAGTCACGCCCTAACCCTGAAAAGTTTGACTCCGTCATCTACAACGACATAAATCCACCCCACTACACTGCACTACCCACATCAACGCAATGATTCGAGCTACTCGTGGAATGGCCCGAGTGGTCCCTCGGGTGTGTGCCTCTGTGGCCGCCCCTCAGATTGCCGCACCCGCGACCAAGTTTGTTGCTCTCAAACAGTCCATTCGACCCATCTCCACCCGATCCACCGTGGTCCAGCTGCTCAACAACATTGGTAGCAAGCGGGAGGTGGAGCAGTACCTCAAGTACTTCACCTCCGTCAACCAGCAGCAGTTTGCCGTCATCAAGGTTGGCGGCGCTATCATTACTCAGCAGCTCCAGGAGCTGGCTTCTTGTCTGGCCTCCCTCTACCATGTGGGTCTCTACCCCATTGTGCTGCACGGAACCGGCCCCCAGATCAACGAGATTCTGGAGCAGGAGGGCGTGGAGCCTGATTACATTGATGGCATTCGAATCACAGACCCCAAGACTATGTCTGTGGTCCGACGATGTTTCCTGGAGCAGAACCTCAAGCTGGTGGAGGCTCTGGAGTCCATGGGAGTGAAGGCCCGTCCCATCACCGGAGGCGTCTTCCAGGCCGAATACCTCGATAAGGATAAGTGGCAGCTGGTTGGAAAGATCACCCGAGTCGACAAGACCCCCATTGAGTCTTCTATCAAGGCCGGAGCTCTTCCCATTCTCACTTCTCTTGCCGAGACTGCTGACGGCCAGATTCTCAACGTCAACGCTGACGTTGCTGCCGGCGAGCTCTCCCGAGTGATTGAGCCTCTCAAGATTGTCTACCTCAACGAGAAGGGCGGTCTCCACAACGGTACTACCGGCGAGAAGATCTCCATCATCAACCTTGACGAGGAGTACGAGGACCTTCTCAAGGAGCCCTGGGTCAAGTACGGCACCAAGCTCAAGATCAAGGAAATCAAGGAGCTGCTGGACTTCCTTCCCCGATCTTCCTCCGTCGCTATCATTTCCGTCGAGTCTCTGCAGAAGGAGCTCTTCACCGACTCTGGAGCCGGAACCCTGATCCGACGAGGTTATAAGCTTGTCACCCGAGACAACCTTAACCAGTTTGCCTCGACTGATGCCCTTCGAGCCGCTCTGTCTCGAGACAAGGATATTGCTTCCAACAAGGTCTCTGTTGCTTCTTACTTGCGAGAGCTTGAGACATCTCCCTTCAAGGCCTACGGAGATGAGCCTTTGGAGGTGCTTGCCATTGTCCGAGAGTCCCCCCACGGAGCTTATCTCGATAAGCTCCTGGCCTCCAAGAACGGCTGGCTCAACTCGGTCACCGATAATGTGTGGACCGCCATCAAGAAGGACCACAACAAGATGTGGTGGACTGTCCCCGAGGAGGACGAAAACACCTCGTGGCATTTTGACAAGGCCGACGGATCATTTGCCAAGAACGGCCAGGTCCTGTTCTGGTACGGATTTGAGGCCGACGAGGTGTCCAAGCTCATTGCCTCGTTTGTTGCTAACGCCAAGGCCGAGGCCTTCACTGGTGTGCGATCCATGCACACCGGCACCGGCCTTGGTAACGGTCGAAAGACAGGTGCCCCCGGTGTCGGTCGATACTTCCGACCCACTATCCATTCGTCTCTGACCCCTAAGACCCGACACTTCACCACCAACCCCAACCCCCCTATTGAGAAGGGCACCAACACCAAGCCAGCCAAGGTTGCTCTGATTGGTGCTCGAGGATACACCGGCAAGGCCCTCATTGATCTGATCGACAACCACCCTCATCTCGAGCTGTCTCACATTTCTTCTCGAGAGCTCGACGGTAAGCCCCTCGAGGGTTACAAGAAGGCCCAGATGAAGTACTGCAACCTGCAGGTTGAGGATATCGTTCGTCTGGAGGAGAAGGGTGCAGTTGACGTCTGGGTCATGGCTCTGCCCAACGGAGTCTGCAAGCCTTTTGTCGACGCCATTGAGGGAGTCCGAAACAAGTCTATCATGATCGACCTGTCTGCTGATTACCGATTTGACACTACCGGTGATTGGACCTACGGTCTGCCTGAGCTGGTTGATCGACAGGCCATTGTCAACGCCAAGAAGATCTCTAACCCCGGATGCTACGCTACTGGTTCCCAGCTGGCCATCGCTCCTCTTCTACCTTACCTTGGTGGCCAGCCCACCATCTTTGGTGTTTCTGGCTACTCTGGAGCCGGCACCAAGCCTTCTCCTCGAAACGACATTGACAACCTGCGAGATAACCTGATCCCCTACTCTCTGACTGACCACATTCATGAACGAGAGGTGTCTTCGCAGCTCGGCACTCCCGTTGCCTTTGTCCCCCACGTTGCCTCATGGTTCCAAGGCATCTCCCTCACTGTTTCCATCCCCCTGGCTAAGCCTCTGACCTCTCGAGATATTCGAAACATTTACCAGGATCGATACGCCGGCGAGAAGCTGGTTCAGGTGACCGGTGAGGCCCCCGAGGTGCGACACATTTCTGAGAAGCACCACGTCTCTATCGGAGGCTTTGGCGTTTCTTCTAAGGAGGACCGAGTGGTTGTTGTCGGCAACATTGACAACCTGCTCAAGGGAGCCGCCACCCAGTGTCTGCAGAACATTAACCTGGCCATGGGTTACGGCGAGTATGATGGTATTCCTTTGTAGACACGGACTGCAGAGCCCTAAGCATATAAGAAAAGATGATTGAAACCAGCAAGTTGAGTTAAACATGTGTAGACATGCCTTCGTGAGATATATTTGTGATATCCAGAAACTGATACAATGGCTGTTGATATCTATAGAGTGTTAAGTTTTGTTTTTGTTTTTGTTTTTATAGCTACATATATATATCAGCGGTAGGGCTTGCAGTTTGCCTTAGTCAAGTAGAATACTCTCGTCCTTCTCTCTTGGTGAAGCTTCATCACACTCCTTAGTCCAATATGGGCGATTATATATTAACAAGGTGCTCCTCATTCATACCAACAACTTATGACTTCAATTCTTTACATACTGTAATCTTCAACTCCCGGCTTCATCTATTATCACTCGCACTGGTCGCATTGTTCGTATGCATCGTACACTATAGTGTAACTCTAACCAGATGTCTGCAGATGTAAGCGATCGTCAACAGGGCGATATTCGGGGTGTTGAGCCCTAGTTGACAGATATATTTTCTTGTAGTTGTAATCATAACGAGATTTTGGTGAAAAATACGTTTTCAGCATTAAATTCTGACCGGTTCTTGTTCAGTAATCACTCTCCAATGTATTCCCATAGATCCCCTGCATGCATTGTCAAGACTGACGATATCAACCGACTTTCCTGTGCACAACACGACGTAACTTACAAGCCATGATCCACAACAGAAAAACGCAGACGGTTGTGATCACAGGCGCGTCATCCAACCTTGGCATTGCTATTGGTAAGCGTCTGATCGACGAGAAAAAAGAAGACGCCCATCTCACTATTGTGGTCACTTCGCGAACCCTTCGAAACGTCCGTGTCGCCATCAAGACCCTCAAGGCACATGCCGTAGCCAAGGAGGTCGGTCCCGAGGTCGACTTTGACTACCTTCTGTTTGATCTGGCAGACATGACGTCTATCAACGGCGCTCTGGTGGAGCTCAAGCTGCGGTTCTCTCGAATCGACACTCTCATCTTCAACTCCAACGCAGCCAACTACATTGGAATCAACTGGCCTCTGGCCATGTGGCGATTCACCACGCAATTCAAGAGCGAAATCGAGAATCCCAGTTGCATGATCCAGGCTGTGGGAGTCAAGTCCGACGACGGTATGGGCTCTGCGTACCAATCCAACGTGTTTGGACCATGGTACATGGTGCTGGAGCTCACCGAGCAGCTCAAGAACGGCGGAAAGGTCATCTGGATCAGTTCCATCACGTCTTCTGAAAAGTACGTGGATCTGGAAGACATTGAGCTGATTCACAACAAGGAGCCATACAAGGGCTCGAAGCGTCTTATTGACGTGGCCCACAACTACTACTCGCCGAAACTGGAAGAGGAGCATGGTATCTACTCGTACCTGACCGACCCCGGTATCTTCACCTCCTCCTCGGCCTCCGAGTACCTCAACATCTTCTCTGCCTTCGGCATGTATCTCATGTTCTACTTTGCCCGGCTCATTGGACTGACCACCATGAACATTGACCCTTATAAGGGAGCCAACGTGCCTGTGTGGGTGACCTTGAGCGAGGACCCTTCAGCTCTTAAGCGAGAGTATCGTTTGGGCTCGAGAACAGGAAGATGGGGTACGGAGATGATGGACGCTACAAAGCTGCAATATGAGGGAAGCGAAGAAGTCGGAGCATACATTGATAAGGGTGTGGGAGAGTGGAGAGAGAAGTTGAAGGATCAGATTAACTAAGCCAATTGAATGGAGTAAAAGTTGATGAGGCAGTGGAGCTAGCTTAATAGACTGCTGGTTGGAGACTGTCAGCTGCCTTAATCTGAGCATGACTTGCTTCGAGACAGTGAAGGTGTCGAAGCTTGAGAGAGTATCCCAGTGTAGCCATCGCTTACATTTCAGTCTATACAAAACTTGGTAACACCGAAATTAACACATTGGACAATGGACAATGATGACAACTGTCATACAAGTGGAAGCTACGCGTGATTAGGTATTTCCACAGTGAATTGTTTTTAGAGGTCATGACTACTCTGCAAGTATCATACTGTCCTTTACTTCAAGTAGAACAAGGTGGCTACAGTCCTTTAACTCAGCAATTGGCCACTGTACATACTTAACAGGTGGCCATCTATGACTACAGTACGACAGCCATACCAGTCTCGTCATCTGCGGACTTGCCAGTGTCAGTGAAACTTGTGTATTGACATATCGTTGCGCACCATACAGTAATTGAACATATATGTGTATCTTGTCAGTATACAACCAGTCAGGCCCATCTCTCATTCGCACCTACACATCTGTAAACCACACTCACGTGACCATCTTACCTCAATCAATATATTTTGCCAAACCCACCCTCCACCTGATGACCCTGCCATCAGTGTTGCACTATAGTACATATAAGCGATCTTTCTTGTGGCTGCTCGTATAACCTCATTTATATACGTCATGTCGCATTCGCGTCAGACGTTCTATTGTGCCCATTGACAATTGCCTAGGAAAATAAGACATACTGAAGGCAATCTCGATACTCTATCTGCATACTCGATCGACTTTGGTTTCAATACTACCTACTTTTGAGCGCCCCACCGCCTTGCCACTCCGGCTAAATGGCGGATACAAGTAACTCCATCCGGATATAAGGTTTTGGCGATATATAGGAAAATCTCCTTCGAAAAACAATATTTCGCTGTTTCAAACCAGCTGAGATTTTGTTCACTGCCTCCCACTGATACAATTCTCTGCTATCTCTGTCTTAATCGTCTAGCTCTTAATCTGAGGGGTATTACCTTTAACAAAAGTTGCCCCGCTCAATCTTCTGACCCTAAAAGCCAGAATGTTGCGAATCAAAATCAAAATCAAAATTATGAGAGGGGCCACTAAGAAAATGATTTGTCGTGTACTTGTAGAGACTCGGTTGTCACGTCACCAGTATGAATAGGTCACATGACACGCTTACTCCACAGCAGATTTCTAAAAATAAATCCGCCACCGCAACTGGTGCACAGCCCTCTACACTGCCTCCGCCCCATATGACCACCTACATTGTTCTATTCCCTGGCCGGGTAACCCCCAACCAGCCCCCAAATTAGCCTTTGCCACTTCACTAGAGTTGATGCAGTTGCATATGCCCACTGTGGTATCTCCGAAACCAGAGACGTTCTTATACTACAGTTTAATACCTGGTACATCGGTACGAGTTATTGTGCGCAAAAAGAACATCTTTGCAACATGAACGCCATCAAGTTACAGGTGAGTACACGACGGATCCTATACCCATTGACCTCCTACTAACCCAGAAAAAATTCCCAGTTCTCACCCAGGAGGACATTTTTGGTCTTTGCGACTCTTTCCAGTGAGTATAAAGCCGCAACATGCGAAATATCAATGATGGATGGAAAAGTGACTAACACAGGCAACTGGATGTCGATGAGAAGGGATACATTGACAAGAATGAGGTGATCAAGGCTGTGGCCGCCTCTGGACGAGCCACCTACGACGAAATCCGAGAAGCTGTTCGAGAGAACATCGTGGACTCGTCGGGTCGAGTGGAGATGGATGACTACGTGGAGCTGCTGGCCAAGATTAAGGAAGGTAAGGGATCCAATCCTAGTGTGCGACAGGCCCCTGCTTCGCCTGGACGAGCCAACACCAGCCGAATTGTGGTTGGAGGAACTGCCTCTGGTACCCAACACACCATCAACCAGGAGGAGCGAGAAGAGTTCACCCGTCACATCAACTCGGTGTTGAGTGGTGACGCAGACATTGGCGACCGACTACCCTTTCCCACAGACACATTCCAGGTGTTTGATGAGTGTCGAGACGGTCTTGTGCTGTCCAAGCTGATCAACGACTCTGTACCCGACACCATCGATACTCGAGTTCTCAACTTCCCCCGAAAGAAAGCCCTCAACAAGTTCACCATGACTGAGAACGCCAACATTGTCATCAACTCCGCCAAGGCCATTGGTTGTGTGGTTGTCAACGTGCGAGCTGAGGACATCATCGACGGTAAGGAGCATCTGATTCTAGGTCTCATCTGGCAGATTATCCGACGAGGTCTGCTGTCCAAGATCGATATCAAGCACCATCCCGAGCTTTACCGACTGCTGGAGGACGACGAGACTCTCGAGCAGTTCCTGCGTCTTCCCCCGGAGCAGATCCTGCTGCGATGGTTCAACTACCACCTCAAGGCTGCTGGCTGGAACCGACGGGTCAACAACTTCTCCAAGGACGTTTGTGACGGTGAGAACTACACAATTCTCATGAACCAGTTGAAACCCGAAGAGTGCTCTCGAGCTCCTCTTCAGACCCAGGATCTGCTCCAGCGAGCCGAGGAGATTCTCACCAACGCCGACAAGATTGGGTGCAGAAAGTACCTGTCTCCCTCCGCACTGGTTTCTGGAAACCCCAAGCTTAACCTGGCCTTTGTTGCCCATCTGTTCAACACCTGGCCCGGTCTGGACCCCCTGGAGGAGAACGAGAAGGTGGATATCGAAGACTTTGACGCCGAGGGCGAGCGAGAGGCTCGAGTCTTCACCTTGTGGCTTAATTCACTCGATGTGGATCCCCCCGTCGTCTCGCTGTTCGAGGACCTCAAGGACGGAAACGTGCTGCTGCAGGCGTACGACAAGGTTATTCCCGGATCTGTCAACTGGAAGTTTGTTAACAAGCGTCCTGCTAACGGAAATGAGCTCATGACCTTCAAGGCCGTGGAGAACACCAACTACGCCGTGGAGATTGGAAAAGCCAACAAGTTCTCACTGGTTGGAATCGAAGGAAACGACATTACGGAGGGCCAGAAGACTCTGACCCTGGGTCTGGTGTGGCAGCTGATGCGACGAAACATTGTGCTGACTCTGGCAAGTTTGTCGCAGGGCGGAAAGGAAGTGTCCGATTCGGACATGCTCAAGTGGGCCCAGGGCCAGGTCCAGAAGGGTGGCAAGAGCTCTACCGTGCGATCCTTTAAGGACTCGTCGTTGGCCAATGGTCACTTCCTGCTGGACGTGCTCAATGGTCTCAAGCCTGGTTACGTTGACTACGACCTCGTTACGCCCGGTGACACTCCTGAGGATCAGTACCTCAACGCCAAGCTGGCAATCTCTATCGCCCGAAAGTTGGGCGCACTGATCTGGCTGGTTCCCGAGGATATCGTCGAGGTCCGATCTCGACTGATCCTGACCTTTATCGGATCTCTCATGTCCATCTGAGCGTTTTTAGAGGACTTGTGAGCTGTTTTGGGTCACCTATATGGGCGAGAAAGCTGTCTACTTGTAGCCTTATTCCGCTCCCTGTAACGATATTCAAGAGTGTATGTAATGAATTGTACCATTTCCATGACATTGTAATCGTCGTGCTTGTACGTACGAACTTGTGCAACTAATCACGAGTAAGTACAAGTAAAAAGGTATTACTTGTACAAGTACTTGTAGTTCTTGTGGTCGCTACTACAAGTAGTGGTCATATCGGTCTTGATGTAAGAATCAAGTGATTAATCAGCCGATCGTATTGTGTCGATTTTTTGAGATTTTTGATCGCACGTAATTGCAAATTGCAACTACAAGAATGGTCATCGCCAGCACAGAAATAATTACACCGTACCCACACGTAACATGTTAGAGCAATTTGACAGAGAGTGGGGGTTAAAATACTCATTTTAATTACAGCATGACAATGGAATTCTTTGTTTCTAGGTTTTAAAGTTTATTTAATCACGTGATTTGTATGTCACTATTTTTTAATTTACATAAGGTTCAAACTAAAATCCGCAATAGTTTAGTGGCTAGAATTTCCGCCTGTCAGAACCTCTGTTCAGCACGCGGGGGACCGGAGTTCAATTCTCCGTTGCGGAGGTTTGGTTACGGCCATATCCTGGTGAAAATACGGCTTCCCGTCCGATCAGCCATAGTCAAGCACCAGAGAGCCTAGTTAGTATTGTAGTGGGAGACCATACGAGAATCCTGGGTGCTGTAATCTTTTTCATGAATAAGAGATGATGTTTTTTAACACTTGTTTTTGATATATTGTTGCGCACGACAATTCCTCGAAGCTGTACCATACACTAAAATGCAATAAATAATACGTTAGTATGCTCTATCATCTACCTTCTAACAAATGCGGTCGTCAGTATCTAGCGATCTCGATCGAACGGCAGTCATTGCCTCGAGACCCAAAATCTTTCTGACTCTAGTTCGAGAGGGTCGTCTCTCCAACTTCTCACTGGTATCACTCTCGGGCTCGGCAGTGATGTGGCTGCTCATGGAAGCAATCTTGGGCTCTTCTTGATCCTTGATCTTGAGTTGGGGTGGAGGACCTTCGATTTTCTTGACGTCTCGTTTCCGTTGTTCCTGCACAATTTCATCGAGCGCCATGTTGAGTTTGTGGAGGGCAAACTTCTCGTCCGTAGTAGTCTTCATGGACGAAGGGAGGTTGCGTGTCTTCTTCAGAGACGACTCCAACGAAGATGCCATGCTCTGAGGAACAGTCACGTTGGGCTCTGATGGAGTATCAGCTGTAGAGGTGGAGAATGATGAAAGGACGTCGTCATCCTCGCCTGTTCCTCTCCATCCGTAGATACGCTTGAGCTTTGAGAAAGCGGATGAATGGTCCACGCCCTCGTTTGCGCTGTCGGCCGCAATTCGCTCAAACGCCTCTGCCAGATCCTGCTTGGTCACAGCAGGAATTCCGTCTCCAATATTCTCTTCTTTTTCAACGAGAGGGTCATCTCCAAATGTGTTGACCCACTCGTGCTCTCGAAGCTCGGCCATGGTCATTCTCTCGGCCGGGTTCTTGGCCAAGAGACCCTGGAACAAGTCAACAAGCTCCTCAGAAGTTCCCTCGGGTAGAGGGGCTTCGTTGAAGATGATTTGCTCACAGAGGTCAGAAATGGACTCGGATGCAAAGGGAAGTTTTCCGTAGAGCATGAAGTACAGAGTCACGCCCATTGACCAAATGTCTGCGGCACGGCCACTCACTGCGGAGCCCAAGGTAACTCCTACCTGGGATGCTCGCTCGAGACAATGAGGAGAGGTGATGAGAGCGAGTTCGGGAGCCATGTACGATGGGCTACCGGCCTTCCTTAGAACTGTATCGTTTTCACTCTCAAACATTTCTGAGACTCCAAAATCCGCAATCTTCAGAATGTCGTCTTCACTCAGCAGCATGTTGTCAGCCTTAATGTCCCGATGAATGACTCCTTGCGAGTGCAGAAATTCGATACCCAGAATCATGTCTCGGAAGTACAGTCGACACTGCTCCTCCGTATATTTGGGGTTTTTGCTTCCATCCGTTTCCTCTGAATGCATGAGAACGCCGTGGCACCAGTCCATCACCATGTAGAGAGAGTCTCCGTGGGGGTCGTCAAGCACTTCGACGAGGTTGACAATGTTGGGGTGGTCGAGTTTTTTGAGAATGGCGATTTCTCGTCGAATGAGGTTGAGGGGGTTGGAAGTGAAGGACTCCAGAGCTTCCTTGATTTTGTTCTGCTCCACGGGGTCTTTGGTTCGCATGAGTTTTCGACGCAGCTGCATCCATTCCGTTTGGTTCATTTTTCGTAGACGGGCCTTGGAGTATGACTTCATGGCGAACTTCTCCTGGGTCGTAGTATCGACCACTCTGTATACCGTTCCAAACGCGCCAGCTCCGATTTCTTCCTGAATCAGGTAGTTGTTGAGCGTCTTTCCGGTCTCATCTTCATGGTAGGACGCGTCCAGGGTCTCCTTGATGAGTTTGGGGGTGGTGGAAATAAGACGCATGTGGTGTCTCGAGGGTGATCTGACCACGTCCGAGGGGGACGAATGGACCCGCTTAAGCGGGGGACGGGCCATGCGTTTGGTTGGTGGCGCCAGCGAGTTACCTGAGGTTGGCGACGGCGGTTTCTGTGTCTGTTTGTCGGTATTTTCTGATGTTTTTGTTATGGTGGCTGCACTTGCACCGTTTGCGACCTCCAAAGAGGAAACTCGTCTGTGGCCCTTGTCGACGACTATCGAGGGCACCGACACGGTTGCGGCCGACGTGCAACACCGGTCCATGATGAGGGTGTTGGTGGTGGTTTGCACGGTGGTTGTCATGGAACGAGTTGGGAGCGGATGTACTGTAGATACTTGTAGTGCGTGTACGGTGCGTTTGTTTATTGTGTGCGAGTAAGAGAAGGGTGGATTTGAGCGCTTGAACGGGGGAGGCGTGGCTGTAAAAGGCACGTACTCGTGTGTGTTGTGTGAGTGATATAGGCTGTCGGTTTGTGTTTTCAAAGGGAGCACTTTGTCTATATATAACGCTGTCAGGGACCCTCCCGTATTGTAGCCACTATGCTTCTACAGCTGAGGTGAGAGGGAAAAACTTGAGTGCGTTTACCTCGAGAGATGCATCCTAAAATATGGAGCATAGAATAAGGGATAATGGCGAGCAGAGCAGTAAGGTGACCACTTGGTCAATATATTACCCTTTGTAAACGTGAAACAACTCCAGGATTTTATTCTGCGAAGTTTTCCGCTCGATACCACCCCAACGTTGCATTTATCTCTGCTATGTATCTGTTTGTCTCTCTGACTCTTTAGCTTTGACTGCAACGTTGTCAAAACAGTGAAAATGGAAATTGCAAAATGTGCATGGGGAATGAAAACGAAAATGAGAAGGGTGAAAAAAAAAAAAAATTGCCGAAGTGTATCTGTCTCAACACCACATATACTCAGGTAGCCTGCTTATGTCTATCCACGGCAAAAAACGGCGTTTCACCTTGTTTTGATGCACCCGATCGCCACCGCCACTGTGTCACTCTTCCATGTATGGAAACTGCGCTATGGTGCAATCCAGCATGGATGCGGCACCGTGACCCACTTGTGCTTGACTAATGTGGATTTGAAACCTGTCTTTTCAAACTCTGATGATGATCGTAAAAATAGGATCCGAGCTTCGAGCCTTATCCTCATTAGATTTGATTAATAGGGGAAGAGCTGACTCAGTATTGCAGAGCAGGTTTGAGCTATAATGCGATGGACTCTCAGGCTAAATATGCTCTATGGTTAGACATTATGATATGGAACTTGACTGCTGTCAACTCACTCCAGATGGCCCATGAAGGCCAGGCACATGAAATCTGTTAGTGGAGCTAACAGAGAAACCAAGGCGGGGCATGTGGCATATAAAAGATGGTATGGGGAGGACTGTCTTGTTACGAGTACAAGTACTTGTAATGGGGCCGTCTGGATTGTCTTTCTTCTCATAAAATACAGCTGTTGAATTATGGATTGGTCGGTTCGGCATACACCGTCCGTTTAACCAGCAGAATCAGTACAAGTACATTTTATGTAGAAGGAGTACAAGCACATTCTGTACGATATATATTTGATATATGATAGCCATTCCATACAAACAGCTCTTTGTGAATGCCTGTTCTAGTACAAGTAGAGTACATACGGCACCCGCACCGACGGAACTTGAAAGAGCAGCTTCTCTTCTCTCTAGTTCTTTCTGACAGCAGTGTTGGTACGCACAAGCATTACTTGTACTTTCAAAAGCAAGCCCACATACAACCCCTAACACAGCTTGAATAAAGCAGTTATAGCACACGATAGCACACCACTCTGCTCTACTAATAGATTATACTCTCGGGTCTGATGACAAGCAAGCGTGTTAGGTTCAAGGGATGGAGGTGAATGCAGTTATACAAGTAACAGTACCGTAGAAGCAGCTAATGGAGACCAGCAGGGCTGAAGAAGTGCTTTTCCGAGCTTACGGCGAATGCAAACACCTCATCTTGTAGAAGATTACCAACTCAAGGCTCAATGTTCTAATCAAATAAGTACGCGGATTCCGAATTCGTCCAGACGCTAAAGACGTCGCGACTCTTGAAGACGACTAACCAGTTGTTTTCAGAATCAACAAGCTAAAACAAGTGGGATTGGGTGTTATACAGCACGAAACTATCGTCTCAAACCGCAAGAACTCTCGCGCTCTTGAGCACCATGAACGAAACTTCGCCCTGTTATGAACAGCGTGACTTGCTGAGTCCGAGTCAATTTGAAGTCGAAATCGCTCACTTGAAGAGTGTGAGTAGGCTATCGTAGTCACTAGCAACCCCTTAACATAAGAATTGAGTACTTATAAGAGCACTCATGACTACAGCACTGGTACTCACATTCTCACACATCTTTGTAGGTTTGACTCTTGGTATGTACATACTTGTATGTACTGATATGGTCATTACAGATCCCGAAATTGTGCAACGACTGAAGTATCTTGTATTTGCAATTGAATTGGTACAAACCATCATCTTCAAATATCACTACAGTAGAAACAGTATACCAATACACATACCAGTCGAGCTTCCTACTGCTACCCCCACGCATATTAAGTTCCGATACGCCTCGAAGGTAAAAGCGATAAGAGCGCTAAACGCAGCAATAGCGAGCTATCGGTAACGATTGGGTCGGCTGTCTAATACTTTGGTAAGTTGTTGGTGAAAGGTCTAGCTGGGTTGGAATCTGGGGACCAAACCAACAATCTCTCTTAGATACACATTGGTACCCAGAACAAACACTGTTACTCACAATGTCTTTTGCCTTTTTCAACTCCATCAGCTGATTACATGCACTTCATTAAACAACTCTTCCCCACAGTGCATTCTTATCCACGACACCCCTTAACCGATACGATACACCACAACAATACGCTACTACAGCTACCATAGTCATGCGAATAACTCCACAAACAATCAGAAAGGCGGCCCGAATGTCGCCCAACATTTTGAGGCTTTTGCCTGCAGCTCGGACGCTGGATGAAGCAAAAACGGAGCTCCGATGGATACAGGCGGATCATCCCGACCCCACACCGAAAAAGATTGCGCGAGCGTGCTACGAACGAGGTCGCTTTTCGACGCCGCTTCAGTACGTGATTGGCAACCAGCCGTTTGGATCGTTGAACATTGACTGTCGCAAGAATGTACTGATTCCGAGATCAGAGACGGAGGAGTGGGCTTGCCACCTCTCCAACCTTCTCAAGACTCTAGCACGACGCAACAAAGACATGCGACTGGTTGATCTGTGCACGGGGACAGGATGTATTGCATTGCAGATGGCCACGTTACCTCTAGCTCTGGTGGCCGGTATTGACGTTTCTTCAGATGCCCTTAATCTTGCAGAACACAACGAAAAACTCAACCAAACGAGCTTGAGAGCAGACAAGGTCATATTTGAACAGTTAGATATTTTGGACCCGAAAAACGACGCCAAGATCGCCGCCTTGCACCCCACTATCATCACAGCGAACCCTCCGTACGTGAGCCATGAGGTGGATGCTGCTCAGGCAGTCAAGAAACACGAGCCCAAATTAGCCGTGTTTGGTGGCAACGAGTTCTACGAAGCTATCGCTCGCATCACCAATAATTCGGGAGCGCAGGCTTTGGTGACCGAAGTAGGGTACCTGGATCAGGCCAACTACACACAGTCGCTGCTGCCTAAAGATTGGTCTTCGATTGTTTTCAAGGACTTCAGCGACCGACCCCGAGCTGTATTTGCATGGAAGAATGGAACTCCCTTTGATATACTGGGGGAGAGCGAGGGAGGAGGATTTCGCCTTGTCGACAGCTTTTGATGATTGATGGACAAACAAACATGCGGAGTCCGAAACTGGCAGGAGAGGCCAAATATTTCAAAGCAAACACAGACGGTTCATCAAATTTAGCATTCCACACAGAGAATGCCTCCTGCATACCATAACATACAACATATTTACAATACATTAAAGCATTACACTATACTACCACTCTGTATGTAACACATCCGTCCGCTACGTCTGGTTGTCGATTGCACAATCCAACATCTATTACTAAATCTCCACTTACTCGTCGTTAGCATCCTCCAGAGTAACAATTCTCTTGGGAGCCTCCTTATTTTCTTTGTCAGCGACCTCCTCGATCTTGTCGCCAGTCTTATTGGCATTGGTCTTATCCTGAATCTGAGCAGCAAGTTCTCGGATTCGCTCATCAAGCTTGGCCTGGGCTTGCTCGTTCTCCAGCTTGATAGCAGCCTGCTTATCGGGAGGGTACTGAGCCTGGAGCTGGGCAGCAATGATCTGGGGGTCGATGCCAGAGTCGGACATCTCCTTGATCTGTTGCATCTGAGTGGCGAAGCTGGAGAGCTGGGTCTGGAAAGCAGCCTGCATCTGCTCCATCTGGGCGTTGGCCTCCTTCTGCTTCTGCTTTTCCTCCTTGGTCAGCTTTCGCGGGGGCTCCTTGGACTCAATCACGGTGCCAGCGTTCTTCTTCTTCTTCTTGTTCTTGAACTTCTGGGGCAGCAGGTCTCGCTCGGGGGTTCCGTGCCAGGCCCACAGGGGGATGAAGGAGTCAACGAAGCCAACATCAGCAAAGAGATTGGGGAAGATCCAGATACCGGGCTTTACGGTGGGCCAGGTGAGCACAAAGATGACCAGTCGGACCAGTGCAATGCCAAAGAAGACACCAATGAGTCCCAGCATGCCAACGGACAGGTACCACACGCCCTGTCGCAGGAAGATAGGCCACAGAGGAAACAGCACACCGGCAAAGATGGCGGCCACTCCGAGAGCGCCGTACAGATATGTGGTCAATGGGACGGGGTTATAGAACCATGTGTAGTACATATCGTCGCCAAACTCCTGCTGGGGGTTCACCTGCAGCACGGGGACTCCCTGCTCGGGCTTTTGTTTCATCATCAGCGCTGTCTGTGTGGGCAGCTTATCCACTCTGAGAGCCATCTGGTTGATGGGCATGAGTCGGAAGATTGAGATGGCCTCGTTTCGCGAGTTGATGGGCGGCAGCTTGGAGTTGGGCTTTGACTGAAGCTGCTTGTATTTGGGGTCTTCTAGTGCACGAATGGCTCGCTTAACACGGAAAAAGTCGGATCGCTTACCGTTGAGGATTCCGGGCCGCTGTTTGAGCAGCTTGTGGCTCCGCAGGTAGTCTGCCACAGCAAGTGCTTGAGGAGAAATCTCCCGAGCACCGCCCTGCTGAAGAGGCATGGTGATCTGACCTTGAGGCACGTTCTCAGTCATGTCTGTTTGTGTTGTGAGGTGGTGATCAGGACGTGAGGTTGTGTGCCTAAGGTGTATATGCAACAGGGTGTCTTGTTCAATGGGTTAGGGTTTCTGGAAAAAGAGGTTAGGTGGAGGGCATTACGGGAGGTTTGAGGACTGTATGGGAATAGGATATTGTTCACAGTGGTTGTTTACCCGGCCCAATACATTTATACCCTCCAATTCTACATGTAATGTGCGTCCATAGACACCTCTAGATTGCTATACTCTTACGTGTAACGTGTATGCAAGTCTTTAGCTCCTGGAACTCTCACACTTTCACACACTCTTGGACATTCTACGTGTTGATCTTAACTCTGAATGAGGTAGGAAGCTGATCACCACAATGCCATACAGTATGGTGGTGAGTTGAAAGAGAGGTGAGGAAGTTATAGCTACAAGTACGAGAACTTGTATCTCGAAAGGTCACTTGACAAATACCATCCGTGTGTACTGCCAATTGCTCTACTCATACTCGTACAGTATGTACCGGTACTACAAGTACAAGTGCTCGTATGTAACTGGTATATAAGACCATATACAGATCTATTGTTTACGATGGACTAATAGCATGATAGTACCCGTACTTTACAGTAGCTTGTAAGTAACAATATACAGAGAGTATGTTCTGTGTACAGTAGTTGTATGTGTAAACGCTCCATAGTTCTTACAGACATCTACACTACGCTGGCCATACGTACTGTCCCCAATCACAATAATTAAGTCTATTCGTTACACTCAGGTAAGCAATTTATATCTGTTTAGACCGTCGTCTATTTCTCGCTCTCCACAATAGCCATGATCATGCAGTAGAGGTAGTAAAAGAAGAGGAAGAAGTAGAAGCCCAGCTTGATGAAAGACTGCTTCTTGTACTTGTTGAGCGTTCGGAAAATCTCAGTGGCATCCAGCTTGTACTGGGGCCAATCGAGGAAAATGTATCGCACGTTGAAGAGAATCATGGGCAGGTTGATGAGGAAGGAGAACCACTTGAAGTTGATAAGCAACAACAGGGAGGTGAAGAGTTGCAGACCAGCCTCGGGTCGGATGTACACGTTGAGTTTGTTGCACAGATCGATGGGGTTGATGAAGTCGGCCTCCAGGTCAGAGTACATAACCACAAAAAAGACCTGGAAGAAGAGAGAGCCTGCGTTCAGCAGGACAGCACCAAGATAGAGACTGAGTTAGCATGTTTGATAGAGTGACAGGGCGTGTGCCGCAAGTAATGAAAAAGACGCACAATGAAGAACGAAGCACACTTGGTTGGAGAATCATTGGCTGAGGTTTCTGTTGGAAGGAACAAGATTCTGTTTGGTAGATACAAGATGTGATGGAATATTCACCATAGAGAGGGGAGCCAGAGAATAACAATAAGTTGGAAGCCAATCAACATGGCCTCACAGCCGTGGCCATTAGCACCATCACAGACATGACAAAACACGAACATGACTGGACCTAAAATGAGCCCTACCATCGATAGCAGAATTTCTGAAGAAGAATAATGCACTCGATAGACGCCACGCATTTACACTGCCGCTGCCATGGCCATTTGGTATCATTTCAGGTGCTGACTGAGTTGACTGAATGGGCCCACATTGGATATCATGACAGAAGACATGCCACAAAAACCACGACCGACGCAGACATATAAACGGGTGCCAGTCTACTGGTTTCCTTATCAGAACCGTCCCAACGCTTCAACATATCAAGTCAATGTCGCCACAGTGCTCGCGTCGTCTATCATGTCGTCTAACCATCTCTTCCATCGATGACGACAACAATAACCAAGATCAGCATCCAATAATCAACACATCCACATCCATGTTAGTAAAACAAACACCCACTTCAACGTGTTTGTGTCAATTCAGCTCAATCAACTCTCAACATCTTGTGTTTCGTCCTTCCATTGCTAACCTCGGCTAGTTGCTCAAGGGAGAACCACGCCAATCAGACCCATATGTGCTCCAGAAACACTGTGACGGCTCCCTGAACGGCACGCTCTCAAAGCGACTCTGCCTGTGTAATACTCACAAAATTCCGCTCATGTTTTTTTGTTAAAATCACTAGTGTGTCGACCAAGGTGCTAAGACTAGAAAATTGTTGGGTTAGGTTTCCCACGCTCCCACGCCTTTTCATCTGCAGCCATTAAGCTAATACGAGATCGGGGGGGCTGGTATCGGCATGGGGCGTGTAGACTACTGTGGGTGATGCAAAGTCACGTGAGGTGACCACGTGATTTTATTTTCGGAAACTAGCGAAATCTTGTAAAAAAGACCGTCTACATCCTCGAATGATTACTAATCATATACAACAGATGCAAGGACAAGGATACGCGATTGAATGCTCTATCGCATGTACTGTATAACATACTGGGAGGATATGACATGTGACGATTTGCTTGGTACGTACTGTACGGGAGCTAGCGGATATATGTGAAACGAGTTATATCTAGCCAGCGGACCAACATAATACAATGGTCAACTATACTATCAAATAAAATTGTTTGTCTGCCGTCGTCTAAGTTCCTTCAAGCAAACACAGCATAATGTGATAATGAGATACTGAAGACTGTTCGAGAGCGGATAGAGTTCCAGTTCGTGAATGTCCCGTAATCTTTACCTGTTGATGATGAGAGTGTGCTAGGTGCGAGTAAGATGAATAGAGAAAGAAGTTGTTTTAATGAGTACTGTAGTTGATATCCCGCTACCCCGTTGTTAAAAATTCCCACAAATAGGGACACTTTTTCGACCTCTACAATCTCATCTATTTCATCAACTAAATTTAACAAAATAATGAGATCACTCGAGACTAGAAATGCAACTCAATGCGGTTATGGGTCTTCCAACATGGTCCTTCTTTGTGGGAGTTCCGTTACTTCTTGGATTATATGAAGATTGTGTATACAGCTAACCCCCAAAACTTCCCAGAATGAGTCTCAACTCACCATCAACATCTACAACGCCTTCTACAGCACATCCAGAACTTTTCTCGAATCACACAGAAATTAGAGTTCAGCACTACATGTGCCCACACCACCATTTACACCCAGTATGATCACCTCATTCCTCAAGTACTCGGCACTGGTGTCTATCAGTTTGATAGCGGCCGCAGAGCTGCAAGTGCTGCTAGATGCGTATCTCAATCGGACCTTTGTGGAAACAGGAGCCAAAGTCGACAAGAAACTGGCGGTCCAGGATGGAGACATGACGAGTGAAGAGGTGTACACAAAGATGGGAGTCAACGTGGAGAGCGACCACGAGGACGAGGAAGGCGACGGGTACGAGTCTCGAGACCACATGGACTCGTCACCCTGGCAGCGGCCAAGTATCAGTGGTAACGAAGCATACCAAAGGGGTGCTAAAAAGTTGCATGACCAGTTTTTGGATGAGCTGAAGACCCGACAGAATTCTGAAACATGCTCGGAGGAGCGAACCAATGCCCTGTTTTCAGCCCTGACCCGGCTGGTGGACAAGTACCGAACTAGACCGATGATTCATCATGCTGCATCTAATGTGGATCACCCTGCATCTGGAGTGAAGTGTGTGGCTTGCAACCAGACCGTCTTGCTACAGCGGGACCGCCATTACGTCTGCGTGCACTGTCCCAGTGGTCAGAACGTCATTTGCATATTCTGTGAGGGTCGTGAGATGCATCCAGAGTCACACATGCTGTACAAAATGGACAAATCCATCGGAAGCATGCGGTCTCTCTTGTACTATGCAGAGACACATCCAGCATGGACGACCAAGATCGAGGACGATTTCTCGGCTCCTGATCCAGAGGAATTTGTCGATAGAGACCTGCTGGCGGAATGTGCCCCGATGAGCCAGGAACGACTCGAGTTCATGTTCGAGCAATTCATGGGGTGGTGCGATATTCGCTCCAACGAGCCCCGGAAGCTTAACATGTCATTGGATCGGTACAGGGAGCTTCTGAAACTGGACGACCCTTACCTGCTGTCTCTGTTGGAACAGCACTTCACTCAGCCAGTCTCATTCTCTGCCTACGTGAAGTTCGTGCTGTCCGTCTTATCTGCGCCCTCCAAGGCTCTGATTGATATCTGCTACGATATGATCACTCAAAAGGACGAGTCATATGTCACTATGGCTTCTGTCAAGGCCGCTGTGTGGCAGTACTACCTGTGGGCCCAGAAGATGGCCAATGAAGCAATTACTATTGAAGAATTGCGACAAAAGCAACAAGAGATGCGAAATGGCTACACAGACAAAACAAAGCTGTATGAGAGATTGGGAGCTCTTAGTAATACCCAGGGACCTAAGACGTTCAGTTCACTGGCCAACGGCAAACAGATCACGGACTTCCCTCGGAAACACGAAAACTTGCTCATCAACGTCCCTGTTGTCTCAGACAGACCTGACCTGTCCTCCAACGCCATGCTCATTGCCGAACAGTCCATCAACGAGATGATTGTTAAGGCTTTTGAAGAGGCCGGGTTCAACGAGTTTTCTCTGCTGACCAAGCGCGACTTCGTCAAGCTGGCGGGCTACCCTGGCCCCAACTTCCAATCCTGGCTCTTCAATTGGTTGGAGGCATATATTATTTAACCAATGTATTTATATGATGATGACGGACGATGACGACCAACAAAAACCAGAGGCTCTATTCTTGCTACTTTTATGCCACAGTCAAAATATATTAACTTATCCCGGCCACTCGATGAGTAGACCACCCTAAAAATCCTTCTTATCAGTCAAGTATAGCGTCATCTCCTTGAGATTCTGCTTGGCCAAGTTGTTCAAGTCTCCGTAGAAATCAAAGATGCAATCTTCCCCGAGGACATTGTACCCCGAATTTGGCCGCTCCTCAAAAATGCGTTCTCGATGGGACATCCAAGGACCTCCAAAATAGTACTTGAAGAGTTTCTCAGTCTTTTTGTCCAACGCCTTAAACCGAGGCACAAGCTTTTCCAACTCCTTCATTTCCTCTACGGCCTCTAGGTAGCACTGCTCCATCTCCTTGGCCAAAGCGTCAACGTCCTCGATCTTGTCGTCTTTGTACTTGGACTGTTCTCTTGCTACTTCGTCTGATCCAAACGAGTCGACGGAAGCATTATCGTCGTTGTCATCAGACGAGATATTTCCGGGAGTTTCTCTCAGGGTAGTGTTTTCAGCCAATATTCCCTTGGAAACATCAGCCTTGGGGGTTTCTGTGTTTGTACACATGGTATTTGTTGATAGTTGGTACTGTACAGTTATGATCTGCTGGGCTGGAGGATAAAGAAGAGGAAGACTCAGAGATGAGATTGGTCATACTTGCATGAGAAGGAGGCAGTGTAGGTAAATGGCACGATACGGATGCAATCGTGCGAACAAATGGCCATAGATATATCTACCTATCGATGATTTCAAGAAAAATCTGTTTAACATTTGCTCTGGGTTGGAGACGGACTTACTCTTCGCGGCATGATGTCACTAAAACACACACCTACTACTGCTCTGTTCCATTGAGAGCTCAAGATGCTGTACATCATGCCACCCGCAGCGATAGAGATAGCTATAGAAAACTGTTCAAAATGATAGCTTATTGCAAGATGTTAGAATATCCATAGGTTCTCACACAAACAATCATTCCGTTGCAGTTTCTTTCGGTCTTCGTATCCGTGGATTAAGTTCTTCACAGCGTGCAACTAATTTTTGTTAGTGTTGTCAAATCAACAAGAGGATCATTATATATGGCCATGAATAGCTCATATTTGAGAATGCACCATGAAAACGAGGACCAATAGATACAAAAATCCCACTTAACCTATCCTTGCCACAATGATAAGTACCCTACTTCGTCTGCCGGGTTTCTTGACATCCTCAAATATTGTATGGGCCAAAGTCTCCATCATGCATCAACTTTAGCACCACCCTCAGTGTTCATCACCATATTGACACTACCCACGCAACACACATATCTGCATCGATGGAACGGCGCAAAAAGCAGAACGAGGGTCTACTATCGGTGTATCCGCCTCCACCATGGTACTCTCGGTATTTTACGGACGAGAATGTGGCCAAAGTGAAGGATTTACAGAGCTCTGATAACTCCCAGCTGTTGGAAGCACCACTCAAATATCTCACTCCTCCATCTCCGCCGGAAGCAGGAGCATATCATAACTTTGGCGACGTATGGCAGGTGAACGACAAGTTAGCAACGCTGGAAGATCTCGGTATCACCCAGGTCTACGATGGAGCAGCCATTCGAGGAGAAGGACAGGAAAGTGGAGCTCGGGTTCTGGAGCTGAAAAAGTTGACAAAATCGCTGCTGCTCGCATTTGTGGAACTCACGGGAATAATGGGAGTTTCTCCCGAGCAGTTTCCAGCGAAATTCGAACATGTCCGGGTTCTGCTCATCAACATCCATCACATTCTGAATGAGTACCGGCCTCATCAGGCCCGTGAAAGTCTGGTGACCCTCATGCAACAACAAATCAACGACAAGAAACAGCATGTGGAAAACATCCGACAGTCGTGTGATAAAGTGCGAGATACTATTCGAGTGCTGAGTAAACAATTCGATCAGGTGGACGAGTTCGAGGAGACTGGAGGAGTGACGACTGAGGAGGTGAAGTACGTCTCTGGTAAGGACAAGGATTTGTTGGTAGTCAAAATGGCCGAACAAGTTTTATAAGTAAGTATTTATTGAGTAGATAATATGGTATGATATGTAGTTGCAGTACAAAACGTCCAAGTAGACGTCTACAAGTAGCTATCGCAATAGCTAGGCGATAACTATTATCATACATCTATACGTTAATTACACTATAAAAGGCTTGGTGATGTGTTGACAAGCCGTTAAAGGAACTGGTACTCAAGGCCCAGTCGTTCGGATCCTTGGCTGGCAGCTGGGCTCGCTTAGACAGCAAGCTGGAAGCCCTCCTGGTTGATCATCTTCTTGTAAGGCTCTAGAGCCTTGGCAACAGTCTTGTTGACAAACTTTTCGGTCTGCTCGGGTGCTCGGCCGACGAAAGTAGAGGGATCGAGCAGCTTGTCAAGGTCGTCGTGAACGGGCTTGAAGTAGGGGGTGTTCTTGATTCGCTCAATAAGATCGTTATCTCCTCCCTGCTCCTTGACAACCTGGGCGGCCTGGTGAGAAAGAACTCGGATCTCCTCGTGGCACTGCTGTCGGTCTCCTCCTCGCTGGACCATTGCCATGATGATGTTCTCAGTGGCCATGAAAGGAAGCTCGGCGGCAATTCGTCGCTCAATGACCTTGGGGTAGACGACCAGACCAGAGACAACGTTCAGAAGAGTGGACAGAACAATGTCGGCGGTGAGGAAGGCGCCGGGAAGAGAGACTCGTCGAATAGCAGAGTCATCGAGAGTTCGCTCGAACCACTGGACAGAAGCGGTCTGAGTTGCGTCCTGGAAACAAGACTGCAGGTGTCGAGACAGAGAGCAGATTCGCTCGGATCGCATGGGGTTTCGCTTGTAGGCCATGGCAGATGATCCGATCTGGGACTTCTCGAAAGGCTCCTCCATCTCCTTGAGGTTGGCAAGGAGACGCACGTCGGTGGCGAACTTGTGGGCAGTGCAGCCGAGAGAGGCGAGAGGGGCAAGGACGTCGACATCAATCTTTCGAGAGTAGGTCTGTCCAGTGCAGGGGTAGGCGTAGTCGAAGCCAAGGAGCTCAACGACTCGCTCGTCAAGCTGCTCGACCTTGTCGTGGTTACCCTCAAACAGAGACAGGAAAGAGGCCTGAGTACCGGTGGTACCCTTGACACCTCGGAGACCAAGGTCGTCTCGGGCTCGCTGCAGGTTTCGCAGATCCCACAGAAGCTCCTGGATCCAGAGTGTGGCTCGCTTACCAACGGTGGTCAGTTGGGCGGGCTGGAAGTGGGTCCATCCCAGAACGGGCAGATCCTTGTACTTGAGGGCAAACTGAGAGAGTCGGTCAATGACGTTAACGAGCTTGGGGATCAGAATGTCCAGACCGTCTCGCAGGAAGATAAGATCGGCGTTGTCGGTGACAAAGCAGGAGGTGGCTCCCAGATGGATGATGCCAGCGGCAGCGGGGGCAGTGAGTCCGTACACATGGACGTGGGACATGACGTCGTGACGCACAATGGCTTCCTGCTTGGTGGCCTCGGCGATCTCGTCGTCGGTGATCTCCTGGTGGGCCTTGAGCTGCTCAAGGGCCTCGTCGGTGATCTGGGTGATTCCAAGCTCCTTCTCGGCCACAGCCAGGTTGTACCACAGCTTTCGCCAGGTGGAGTATCGGTTCTTCATAGAGAAGAGCGACGACATCTCCTTGCTGGCGTATCGCGAGGACAGGGGAGTCTGGTACGAGTCGTTGTTGGACATGGTGATTGTGTGGTGGTTGGTGTGTGGAGTGAGAAATTCAACGACTTCACCTCTCTATATCAATGTGCATTTTTTTAAGCTTCCAAACTTTACCCCAAGTGAAGCACCACCAGGAGTGAAATTGACAGCCCACAATGAGTAATGGGGTGATATAATCGACTATACAAGAAGAATGGAGATACAATGATTCAACGATTCCTTTATAATTCTAAAATTGAATAAATATTTGCACCTTTTAGCCGAAAATATTCCCAGTCATATACTCTGCCTGTTCGTCTCTACTTGAACATCCTGGTGGTCACCCATCAAAGTTTTGCTGCAGAACTTATCGTGACTCAGGTCAGCGGCGTGTGGGACCATGCGTAGATATGGTGTAACCCGAATGTTCAGACATGTAATTATGCATAAGGAGGGTCTTGATCCGTGTCAGATAGCGATGCATGGCAACTGGCCTTAATCAATTGCATATGTTGATGTGAATTGGTACCGTAAAGTGACGAGCTCCCGCGAGACGACGATTATAGCAGGTTATTCAGTCGAGCTTGGACTCCTACATAAATGGTTCTCATTTCTTTCGATCGCTCTTCATCAAAGCCTGCGTGTCGGGGTTCGATTACAGAGTGAGTGATATTAAAGAAGTGCATTCTTGAGAACAGTGGGAAGTATTGTAGCTACCAGAACATCGCAGAACAAGATACAGTAACAACGGAAGGAATCGTATTAGTAGAATCGACATGCAATTACTGTGTGTTCAGAGATAGAGACCGTTGACCTTCCCCTCGCCCATTTCTTCTGTTAAAACCAGCTCTGCTGCCGACCTCACCTCTTCTGCTCCCCCTCAGGCGACACACAATGCGGTTTCTTTGGCATTTTCTGTGTTTCAAAAGATGGAAGTGATGGTGACGTTAGAAAACTGATAACAACGACAACTCGGATCTCTTTAACGAACCTTTCTTTTCTGACAACTTTTATTTATAGCGTGTAGATGTGTGTGTGTACTGTAAGTAAACGTCTTCCAGTGTGCAGAGTTCATCCACCAGTATACAGTAATGGCATTTTATACCGCACAAGTACACTAGATTCAAATTATGTAACAACTTTTCTCCAATCTACCATTACTCGTACTTGTACTGTAGGCACTTGCTGTTAGAACAGTTCATTTGTCAGTTATATCGCTCTTGGTATTCGTCTCCGATGCCTGCCTCTCAGACGCAAGATAACTCCGAACTGCGCTCTGAAGGTGTTTCTGTGAAGTCCCCAAATTACGTACGAGTACTTGTATATCGAGACATTTGAACATGGACATATATACAAAACATATTAGTACAAGGTAAGCATTACAATTGACCACTACAAGTAGTGTTTTCTCCACCTCTTCGATGTACCTCGAAACATTTCTCTTCCCAGTGCAATACACAACCCTTACCCCACTCTCCCATTGCACTACATTATTACCTCACAGCCAGCACAGCCAACTCCCCCTTCACCACACAACAGCAGTCAGTAGAGTCGAGCTCCTGACACTTGCATCTCAACCAAACGCCTAAAACAACCAATCACCATGGAATCTTTCCGACTGGGAACCACAGCTATCGCTGACCACTCCTTCAACAAGGACCACACCTTCGTTGCCGTGGCTCGAGAGAACAATGTCACTCTTCTGCAGCGAGCCAACGGCAAGATTCGACCAGTTCCTGGAAAGGCCGGCACTCTGCGATTCCACGACAAAACCGTGACCGGTGTGGATATCTCTTGTGATGGCCGAATTGTCACCTGTTCTCAGGACCGAAACGCTACTGTTTGGGAGCTGCAGCAAGACGGTACCTGGAAGCCCTTCCTGGTGGTGCTGCGAATCAACCGAGCCGCCACCACCGTGCGATGGTCTCCCGATGGATCCAAGTTTGCCGTAGGATCCGGAGCGCGAATCATTGCCGTGTGCTACTTCGAGGCCGAGAACGACTGGTGGATCTCCAAGCACATCAAGAAGCCCATCCGATCCACAATCACCAGCGTTGCGTGGCACCCCAACAACGTTCTGTTGGCCGCCGGATCCACGGACGGACACGCCCGAGTCTTCTCCGGCTACATCAAGGGTGTTGACGCCAAACCCGCCCCCACCGCCTGGGGAGAGCGACTGCCTTTCCAGCATCTTTGTGGTGAGTTTGCCAACAAGACCTACGCCTGGGTTCACGACGTGGCCTTCTCTCCTTCCGGAAACTCTCTGGCCTACGTTTCCCACGACTCCTCCATCACTGTGGTCTACCCGTCTGCTCCCGATGCTCCCCCCAAAGCTGTCATCAACCTGGACACCTCCTTCCAGCCCTTCCGATCTCTGGTGTGGACCACGGAAGATCAGATCGTTGCTGGAGGCTACGACTGCTATCCCATCATCTTTGGTGGCTCTCAGTCTGGCTGGAAGCAGACTGGCGCTATTGATGACCCTAAGAAGAACAAGAAGAACTCTGGCCCCGCCTCCCAGTTCGATGAGGATGGAATGCCCACCGGCTCCGCTCTCAACATGTTCCGAGCCATGGATCTCAAGGGAACCACTCAGCAACCCAACGATGATGATCTGCTGACCATCCACCAGTCTCCCATTGTCACTCTGCGACCTCTAGACGAGGAGGGAGGACGAGTGACCACTATTTCTTCCACTGGAGGAGATGGCCAGCTGGTTATCTACCGGGTTTAGGCTCTTAGGCGTGATGACATGTACCATAACGACCTGATATAAAATGCAATGATTACTGTAAAGATAATTGGGGTTGCTGTAGTCAGGCAAGAGCTTTTGATCTATCTGGATATAAAAGCAGTGAAACGAAGAATATTCGACAGCTACATTGCAGATATTTTTAGACACCAACTGGATTCTAGAAACGAAGTATGATTCTAGGGATACTGGGATACCCCAGCTACCTACGAGTGGTCGCTGTTCATGTTGTGTTGTGGCCGTACAAGAGACAACAGTATGTACAAGTACATACGAGTATGAGTACATACTGTACTTGTTTGGAAAGTAGCTAACAAAGGAGGTAGAACCTGACGAGACAGCCCCCGGTTGTATTCGTACATGTTACTGTAACTAAGCATAAAGAGTAGTAGGAACAAAAGCGGCCTAATCGCACCTGAAGTTGTGCAAACTCTGTTTGATTCTGCCTAAGCAGCTGGGGAAGTTCTGTAACTCCTTGTCTTCAAGATGAAGACTGGACATACGTAATTTGGATCACATTGATCGCCTTCGAACCTGGATACGCGCGGTAACAAAGGAGCATGGTTGCATGCACTCAATGAAGAGATGGACACACGTGTGACGTTCGAGATATCGTCGTATGTCTATCAGCATGGCAACATTGCCCTTGTAAGCCTGGATCTACAGAATATACAGCTACAGTATACTGTATCTAAGTATCGGATGTGCTGTACTACAGCTACAAGTAGACACTTTTCTGTACCTTACAAGGAGCTACTGCAAAGTATCCAAAGGTGTAGGTGGGAGCGCCGTACAGTAATACAGACAATTGACGACACCAACTACAAGTAACTGGCAGGTATAGTAGTCCGGATCTGCCGCGATTGCACTGCTGATAAGCGTGTGTCTGCAGGCGTCCTGGTCTGCAGCTCATGCTCCTTATGTAAGGGTTGGAAATCAGTTCCCATGGCCCTTGACACAAGAAACCTTGCTTGCAGGCATGCCAGAGATAAAAAAAAATTGAATGTGTACAGTAATTATTAATAAGGATGCCGTTGAAACTCTACTAAAAAGTGTATCGTAATTTGAGATCCAACGTTTCTGTTGGTGGGCGTGCGGTGGAGGTGTCTGTGTCAAATAAGACGATAATATTATGGGTAAGAGTCATGTGCTGCGTTCTATGATAATGACAAGGCCATTCGACCAGCTCTCTAAGGGAATATGGTGATGCTTTTCTCTGCAGAAGCACTGTCCTTCCATAGTGTCGTATCAATACTTGGCATCTTGGCCCAACTTCTATCTGGAACCTCCAACGGTGTCAGGATATTCGGGTTGCTGCGACATACAACTATGACACAACAATGGCGTGAGCCGATCATAAATGGCTGTCTTATGGTGTCCTGTGTTGTCTTTTCTTTTTCCACTCATACTACTCCCCTATTTATTGGCCTTTCCCCACATTCAACAATTAGTTGACGTTAGTAATTCACCTGCACCTCTCGACAAAAAGCCTATTCACCACACACCTCTAACCGTGATACCAACACTCCTTTCATCTCACCACACACAACACACACCACCAAGTACCGAGATGGCAGACCCAAGCGCTATGGAAGTCGACACACCTGTTGAGCAGGTCGAGGAAGGTGAGTATTGCGTCTTGTTTCCCCCCCAACAACACTAACACAGTCATCGAGAAGCCCAAAAAGTCGGCTAAGAAGCGATTAGAAGTCAAGAAGGTGAGTACTACAGTAGAGACGAATCGAGGAGAGAGAAAGATCCAGTGCAATGGGCTGATGATTCGACACAAGACATGATGGACTTCAAACACGCACTGAAACGTGTGACAACCACGCACTACGGAAACGTGGAGGTTGCCACCGAACGACATTGAGAGAATACCTTGATTCTGGCCACCGAGGCATCCCTGAAGTCAATGGGATATACAGAATGAGGGATCGTTTATGACACACACAAGGATCCTATCACCCACAGTTTACAATGGTGTGTGGATTAAGATTGTGATACAATAACCATGACGGGACCAACGGCATGGCACCTTGGTGATCAATCAGGCTACATAGAGTGCCACAACATGCCGCATGCCATTCAGCTATTTCTGTGTTTGATGATTGCATTAGATCTTGCACTTGTCGAATTCATATGGTTATGGCAATGCAACTTGATTGGGGGGCTGTGGCCCAGGTCTAAAGCGATGTTTTTTGGTGACTTTGGTGGCGTGATTTGCAAGATGTTTTGCTCACTTGCTACGGCAGCAACTTAGTTACTATCACCAGAGTCGCGGTATTAGTGGGCTTTGGTCTATCTGTAACATACTAACTCAGTGGTCGGCGGTAGCATTTTGGTCATGGGATATCCAGGTGGAAACCTGTGCCATCTGCAAAAATCACATTATGGAGCCATGCATCGATTGCCAAGCCAACGCATCCGGAACTCAGGCTGACTGTAACGTGGCCTGGGGTAAGTGCAACCACGCCTTTCACTTTCATTGCATTAACCGATGGCTCAAGTCCCGAAACACTTGTCCATTGGATTCCAAGGACTGGGAGTTCACCAGATATGGCCAGTAGTGTGGCGAAGGTGCTATGGTGACTGCATACTAGTCGAGTGTGCTGAGTCCCGTACAGTACGCCCGATTGGAGGTTGCGTTGGTACTACTAAGCAAGCTGAAGGGGCCAGCTACAAGCTCTTGAGATTGTGTACGTACGAATTGGGTTAGGATATATATTTACAATTATTATTGTGTGCGTTATGCCTCGCCTTATGATGACACGTAAAGCTACAAGTTAGCTACTGTACTTGTAGTACGAGCGCTTCGCTTATTGTGCTTCATTTGAGCATAATTCACCTAGACAGAAACGCTGAACCGTCTAAGCGTCTCTGCCAGGACATCTGGGGAAGGATCCGATCACCGTCAGAGAAGAGCAGATGCTTTCCATGGCCTTGAGGGTATTTTTCATGCGTTCTTCGCTGACGTGGGCTCGGCATTCGACGAAAAAGATGTAGTGCCACGAGTCCTGTAGCGACGGTCGCGAGTTGATACTGCTCAGATCAATGTCGTGCTTTCGGAACTCCTCCAAAACTGCACACAGAGCTCCGGGGTTGTTGTGAGTGGTGGTGAAGGAGATGAGGGACAGATCGTCCTTTGTAGGTGGTGGGTTCTGCACGTCATCGAGACTACTAAGGCCCAGGAACCGGGTGGTATTGTTTTTCTTGTCTGCAATGTTGGTCTCCACCAGCTTGATGCCAGCAGCTGCTCCGGCCATTTCCGAGCTGATAGCTCCTGCGTTTGGTTCATTGGCAGCCAGCTCAGCTGCCTTGGCGGTACTTGCCACGTCGATCCGCTCGACATTGGGGTACTGTTTGAGGAATTCGACGCACTGGCCCCAGACCTGAGGGTGTGAGTAAATTTTGGTGATGTCCTTTTTGTCACTAACATTGGAGAAGAAACAGTGGCTCACGGGAACCAGCAGCTCGGCAGTCGCAGAGTAGAAGTAGTCGTCGCCGAGAAGCCGTTGTCGCAGAAAGTCTAGTGTCCAAACAACCGATCCGTTAGTGGAGTTTTCAAACGGCACGACCGCCAGCTTGACTTCTCCCGAGTCCAGTAGCTGGAAACACTCTTCGATTGATTTGGCCGGTCGCAGGGTCGTGGGCACTGCCAGAGTATCCTGGTACTGTTTTGCGGCTGCGTGTGAATACGTGTATAACGGTCCGAGAAAGGCGATTTCCTCTGTGGTTGTCATGGTGATGTGTAATGTGTGTGATCAAGTGTGCCTGTGACTAATGAACGCCATGTCACACGCTGCAGCTCCGATATCGCACCAAAAGTTAAGATGGGGTTGGACTACAGATCTATTAATAATTACAATTACTTATATACTGTAGCAGTGGCTTTGGAGAAAATAAGGAACACCCGCACGAGAGGTTCTTTTTTTAAAAAAAAAAACAACAAACAAAACAAATCACGTGAACACAAATATGTCATTTTGTCATTTTCTTCTACATCCTTAAATTTTTCTAAGTACAGTTCAGAGAACTGGTCTACAAAGTCACTTACCTACAGGAGGAGCGTTTAATACATGCTGTAGAAGTTCGAAACAAATTCCACCGCAAGTCTCTCTACCAAATCAGTATGTACTGTACCTTTAAGATCTGAAATGATTTGGTGGAAACTATTATAAGAATCTCATACAACTAAGGGATATCTACCTTTGTGATGGCAGGTAATATCATTGTAGTACATACATACTGTTGTGTTCTCGATGTCACAGTCAACTTCCAGAACTTACCAGTCAATTGTAGTGCCAGTTATATTAATTAATCTCGTCTTTATGTCTTTATATGGTCTTCAGTAGATCGCAAGGTACACAACAACAGTTCATTCGCACACTTACAGTATGTACGTCTATCAATTCAGTATGTACTTCTATCTACAATGTTCACTTGGTGAAAGCCTCAATCTCCTCGATCACCATATCGATGGGGAAGTTGTCGGAGCCCTCTGTGAAGGACTGCAGAAGAGCTTGTCGTCGCTTTGTGGTCTCTGGGTCGGTGATGGTAGCTCCGTAGAACTCCTGGAGAGCCAGGATAAGGAACTGGGCATCCTGGAGAGACATGGCAGAGTCCTTCTCGACCTGACCATTCAGAAGAACACAGTCCTTGTCAGCAGCAAGGTCAGTGTGGAACATGAGAGTTGTATGGGGTCTAGCGAAGTCCTGGTGGAGCTTGAACTCGGCCAGAGTGGTGAAGATGACGTGGGTCAGGTGCTCTCCAACAAAGTTCCACTGCACAATGTGCATCTCACATCCCTCGTCTCCCTTGGGCAGTGGCAGAACGAACATGGGGTGCTTTCGGCCATTGAGGAACATCTTGTAGAAGAGCTGGGGGTCAACGACAGCACACAGAGCGCGCTCGTTGTTAATATGTCGGGCTCTCCACAGGAACTCAATTTCTTGCTTTCCAAGTTCCTTAAACTTGTCCAGCTTGACGAAGCTGTCGAGGTTCTTGAGCTCGTTCTTCGGAACGGGGGGAACCTCGCCAAGCTTCTCAGTCAGAGTCTTGGCCTCCTCTCCTCCCTCTTCAAGGATCGTCTTTTTTTCACTCCAGGCCTGTTCCAGCACCTTGGCGAGAGGATCAGACTCATTGAGCTTCTTGAGAGTAGCCTCAATCTCTGGAGCAAGCTTCTCCTTGAGCTCGTCAACAGACTCCACGCCCTCGGCGGCAGCCTTCTGCTTCAGCTTATCCTGGTATCGAGCCAGAACGTCAGCCTGGGTGGATGCATTGGCAGAAAGAGAAGTTCGTCCGATATCAGGACGAGCCCATTGGACACGCAGGTTGCTGAGGGAGCCAGAATAGCCAGAAGCCTGACGCAGGGCTTTAATGGGTGCCTTCTTGAGAAATGGTCTCATTGTGTGTGTTGAGGTTGGTTGGACTATTTGATCAGAGTTGATTTGCAAGCCTGATTCAGGTCACGTGGAGGTCGAGGCGTTGTCTGTGATGCCTTTGTTGTGTGTGTGGGTTCGATTAGCGGTTGTGCGGAATATCTAGCTGGTTTCTCGGAAAACAACATTCAGAGGATGAGGTGCAATAATTGATGCGCTATCGTGATTTTTGGTGCATGAAATAGGTAATCTCTTGTGACCTATCCTGATGTTCTCAACTACAAATAAGTATCGTCGGTATTTCATACACTATTATTGTGGCGTGCACTTGAAAAAAAGGTCCTGTACATCTGATTAGCGCCCAAAAGCTTTGAAAGTTGAAGGAGAGATGACAATGTGATTCTTCTGCTTGTAAAAATAAATAATAGATGTTGCTTCAGATCGAAATGGGGTTTTCTCAGACGTCATGCAATTCACAATTCACAATGAAGTGTGCTTCGGCTCGGTCGGACTCCGAGAAACTCTACGATTGATAGTCGTAAAGTGATCGGCTGTGGAACGGATCCGATAAGATCATTTTGATTAATAAGCTGAATATGGCTGCTATCACCAGTACTTGTAGATATCTTTCAAGTTAGACCTTAGGCGCGTTCGTGCCGTACAGAGAGCCCAGTGGGCCAAGAGTGAACGAAGGGGAGTGATATATTAACTAAGGCAAGCTTGCAGTTTTTAAATAATATCGCACCAAGAGAAGAGACTTTTGAAGTCACGAATACGATGCCATGTCTCGGTTGCAAGCACGATAGCTGAAACCCTGTGCTCTGCTCGGCTGTCGTCGTTTTTCCTTTTTTCTCTGTGAGATAAGATACGTACTTGTACGATGTTGGTGTGAGTACCAGATGTGCTGTAATTATTACTGTATATACTGTGGCTAGATTGGAAGATCAAACACTTACAACAAATACGAGTACGGTACGCATCGTATCTCAGATGACGATAAATAAATTAAATATGTACTTGGTACAAGTATGTACCACGGAGAATGATACGAGGGTGTCTTTGGAGCTCCAAGTATCTAATATGTACTTGTAGCATGATGGCGACAGATCACTGTAGGGGATCTAGACTAGCCTCCAGAGACGATGAAAGGTGTACAATGTGAAGGTGCCCATGCCTGCGACAAGGGGTACACAGTTGATGGACCATGGATCCGAACTTGAATCGTCATTGTGAGAAACGTGGTGTCTGCTGATCAACGGTACAGCTGCCCACGAACACGGACTGCAATTCACTGTCTGTTGGTATCATGATGAAGTTGATTGTTGTCAGTTCATAGACCAGGGCCATTCGCAACGGTAATCACTCCATTTCCTGGCCCTTCATCTTTGCATAGTTGTAGACAGACGACTTAATCAGTGTTCTGATCACATAGACCTTGGACTGCAGCTCCGACAGCTGTTCCGACAGCACCTGAGATGGTCCCTCTGTGAGCACGCGAATCTCATCTGTCAGCGAACGCAGATTGAGGTCCAGCCGCTCGTATTCCGCCAAAATGGCTTCTTCAGTTGGCGATAATTCCGGCATGTTGACGCGTGTTGTTCTGGAGCGCGTGCTGTGCCGAACTTTGTGCACACAAGTTGATGACTAACGTGCGTAGAGTTAAATTGGAGGTCGAATTGAAAAGTCAGAGAGAAGAAAAAAGATGATTCCCATAAAAACCTTATGTGACAGGAGGAGTTAAACTGCATAATTGTTCCCTCGTATAGTGAGGGAAGAAAGAGAGACGGGCCGTAATGAAAGATGGACGTCAGAAAACACCAAAATTCGACAGAATGATGGCTACAATGGGAGATTACTAGTGTCTTGATTATCAATTGCTATAGCCCAATCCCTTGACCTCCTTAATAAATAGCTTATATCAGATATACACTCATTCCAGCCAGGGGTTAATTATTTCCCAGCTATAGTTTGAGGAGACTCACATGCCCTGTGCACGTGGTGGACATGTGGAGCAAACTGAGAGAAGTGACATTGAACAGGCAAGTACAAGTACGAGGGAAACAGATGAACACTTATTAACGGCCATCGGCTACCATCGGCTGATACTAGTTCTAGCTTACCCCTCAGATGGCATTGCACTATTATCAGATGGCGCCATGGCCCTTCCACTGCCGACGCCGAAACTCATGGTCTAGGTCCACGGGTGAAAGAGCCGCTTGTACTGGCGGATTGCATCCTACAACGTAGTCTGCTTCCGCTCCGCAGTTTGGATTTGACACCCCACGTACTGGAACAAGGACATCAGACAAGGACGTTGATCGGCGCCTGAGCATAGGCTTGAGTCTGGTGGTACAGATTGTGAATTTATTCGTCTTCAGGGTGAAAGAAGTAACACTGCTACGACACTACCAATGCACAGTGAGAACCGGTTATGGGTCCAGCTGTCAAAAGACGTTAGGGTCCTATTTGCCCCAACAAAGGGGGAGTCTCCGACTATACTTTCGGGTCGCAAATTTTTTATCAGATGGCTCTGCCGGAACTTTAATAATAGACTTATACAAACACTACTTATCAGATCGGCTGAGGACCAACTTTCCACACTTTGTGGCCCACGCAGTGTTACAGACTAAGTCCCACTTTAACCTCCCGCGAACGTATCACACAGCCGGCTTAGTGCCGTTGGCTGTCTATCCACCGATTCGTCACTCAGTGAGTTGGTAACATGTGGCGCTGTTTGGGTTTTGGCATGTAAGTAATGACAGATGATTGTGATGGAATTATTCGAGGGTATACAGTACTACTACTTGTAGAGGTTTGATTCCATAAAGGACTTGCTCCATAACTCGACCCAGTGGCAAAAACACCAATACTCGACAGCCAGTTGTTTTTCTCTTGGCTACACCACCTGTGGCAAGCACCATTAACTCAGTGGGTATAGCTATCTAAAAGATCGCAGTGGAAGGAAACCTTAAAGACCCGCTGGTGCCGTTCCCATGTGCTGCACGCAGAGGTTGCTGTCTTTTGGCGGCGCGCTCTTTTTCATATATATAGCTTGATCCGCAGGACCCCTTCGGGGGCTTTGGGTATAGAAATCTGCATTCCTCTTGTTTCCACCACCAGAACTTAAGTTGACCCTTGATAACTCCTTGTGTGAAAAATTTAGCGCTTGGGGAAATTAATAGTCAGCTTCTAAATCGGTCACGATACACGCATTTGACAGAGACTCAGCTCGTGTCTCTCACAATCTTCTCCACCGACATACTCACCTCTCCAAACGGACACAACTCTGCATAATCGGAATCCGAAACCAAATAAACTCGCGAATACTGCTGCAAATTGAAAAACCAAGCTGCAAACGCTGCACACTTCCGACGACCCATGAACCACACCGATATGACGCTGGAGTGCGAAACGTGGTCCAAGTCCCTGATGGACCACCTCGGGCTGGGCTTCAACTGGCACATGGACAACAAGCCTGCACCTGCCAAAAAGGCCTTTCGAAAGCTCGTCACTCGCCAATGGGGACTCTACTCACTGGCGGTCACGGCCATCTTCATTCTTGGGGCTTACGCCCTCACAAACGTCGCCGTCGACGCCATAGTTATCCGACGACTCAGAAAGTACGCCCGACCACCAGGAACTCGCGTGCAGTTCTTCCGACAGGGCCTGCGACTCAGACTCATGATCCCTCTGTTGCTGACCATTGTCACAGTCTGCTCTCTAGTCCAGACATACCAAGACTTCATCTTCCTTACCAAACGACTCGGCCGAGTGTCTGCTGCTCTCTATCCAGCCATGCTTTTTCTGGCTCTCAGACCCTCGCCACTTCCTAGAACCTTCTACCTCGCATTGTTGCCAGTCCACAAGTGGCTGTCACGAATCGTAGTGCTCACCACGGTCCTGCACTCCATCTTCTACGCATACATCTATTACTCTACAGGCGTACTGGGTAAGAAGATGGCCGAGATCGAAAACATCTACGGTATCATTGCTACCGCTCTTTTCTTGCTGATCGCAGCTACCTCCATTGCTCCCATCAGACGAAAGATGTACCCCATCTTTTACGGAATCCACTACCCTGCAACCTGGGCCTGTGTGTTCCTCATCTGGGGCCACGCCCGTCCCCCTGCCAATGGATACTTTTACTGCTCCCTGGCAATCCTCATCGGACAGATTCTTTACCGAATCTGGACCACCACTCACGTCAAGCCTCTGAGTATCTTCCCCGTGTCTCCTACCCTCTTCCTTGTAACCTACCCTAACGTATACAAGCGAGGATACAAGCCTTCGGAGTACGGGGGTCTTCCCAGCTTCGATCGAGATGTAGAGGATCATGACTTCGATGCCAAGCCGGTCTTCACCCCTGCTTCACACATTCGTCTCAGCTCGCCACTGTGGCAGCCCGCCACTTGGATGAAGTCCTCTCATCCCTACACCGTTGCCTCCCGGCCTGAAGACGACCATTTGCAGCTGGTTGTGCGAAAGAGCAACTTCTTCCCTGACACCACACTCCATGCAAACCGGAACATGTCTCTGACAGGTCCCTTCTGCTCGGTTCCTTCGACGTTCTTCATCCCCGGGGCCGCCAAGCGAGTTCTCTTGGTCTGTGGTGGTACCGGTATCTCTTTTGCTGCCCCTGTTCTGAGACACTGTGCAGATAGAGGCATCCCTTGCAAACTAGTGTGGGCTATTCGAGAAGTTCGAGATGTGGCCATCTTGCCTCTGCTTGGAATCCGATGCGATACCTCTGTCAACGTGGAGATTGAAGTCTACGTGTCTCGTCCCATCACTTCTCTCTCCCCCACAAAGGCTGGAATTATGAACGACTATCGATCTTCTCTTGGAAACAAGGATGAGGCTGCCGCCGCAGATGATATCGATATCAACATTGAGGCCTGTGGGCATGGCTGCTGCACTCCTTGTCAGGGCAACCCAGAACGAGTGCCTCTTCTGGAGGCTCAGAAACGTGAGGCTAAGCACCAGGAGCAACAGTCTCAGGCTCAGTCTCACGCCCAGCAACAGGCACTGGGAGAGATACCAGTATCTTCTAACGGTACGATCGACTACAATGCCATCCAGCCAGTTAAGGCCGTTCCTCTCCTGCGTCGTCCTCGAAAGATGACCTCCACTCTGCTTCGGAAGTCGTGGATCCCCACTGAGTACGACTCGCCGCTGGCTCAATTCACTATGATCTCATCAAAGCTCGCTCTGAACCTAGATCTAGCGAAGTGGTTGTCTGGAGTACTGGAGCCTCCTTGTGGCTCTCGAAACTCGACTCACACTACAGGTGGTACTTGTTGTATGCAGGTTCCCGGTCTGGTCGATAAGACCGGCTGCTGGGTGCTTGCTTCTGGCTCTGTTCAGCTGGTCAGAGAAACCAGCAAGTGGGCCGCTGATAACAGTTTCTTGTGTGTCAAGGACGAGTACTCCATGTAAGCTAGGGTACTGTCCCACTCTTACAAAGGCCTAAAATATTTATTGCATGCTAATGGGCTTCGGTCATAAAACTAATGAGATGTTAATTTACGAGTAATGAACGCAGCAGAGCGTAGGAGCGGAGAAATGTCAAGCGAGGATGTCTCGCATCGTGATTTATTGTATTTTATGTTTCATTTCTATAATTACATAATAATTACAATCAGTCACAGTTTAGACTGTGCATATGAGGGTTTACAAGTAGCTACTTGTACAAACTACTGGCAATACGTAGTCTGACGGCGGACGTGGGCTTGGATGGGATGAAGTCACAGGAGTGTCGATTAAACTACTGAACCGATCGCCTTGATCTTGTTGTACCGATTTTGAAGTCACTATTTATGAGACGAATCCGCATTTCTTGGTATCAAGGCGGTATGAACGGGCCGGCATCAGCCTCGGAGCTCAGCCAGATAACAAACTGACGCTCGAACGCGTGAATTGTCCTGAGAAGTTCGATCAAGCCCAACTCACGCATGAGATTGGTATCTCCCGGTGCACACACGAAATTTTGCGGAGAATCCCGCGTTGAACCAATCTCCCTCGATTCAATGGCTGCCCCCCAACGGGCATCTCGGCGCAGACTTCTCCATTATACCTTCAGCATCGTTGGTACGACAATGCTGCCCATGCCGCATCGCAATTTGGACGGGCCCCTCCCTAAGTGCAGTAAACAGGTCCTGAGACCCAACCACTGTCACAAGTATAACGGCTTCCAAAAATTTCATGTTTCAAAATCCTCAATTGCAAAGTCTCAACGAGTCGTAAGAATATATCTACTGTTCGTAATCGTGTATCTCGCGGAGGTGAGGTGTGACAGGCAACAGAAGTGCTACCTGTAGTTTGTGGTTCGGGGTCGAAGTATCTAACTAGACCTTTGTCGAAGGATCGTTCTGTTGTATCTTTGGAGTCTCTCCAAAATAACAAACTGGACAAGTGACCTAGACAGGCTCGCTCGCTACCATTTGAAGCGAATCACCGGAGTAGAGTCAGTGAGTTAGGTTGCTTAATAAAACGATATCCTCTTATCATTGGGTAATCGCTCCACCAAATAGTCACTGCCCGGGGATTTGTTTACATTACAGGAGTTTCCAGACTCTAAACGTGCTCTCTGGATCGCTTTCTGAACTCATACTATTGACTTTTTTTTTAGTTTACCTGTACCTGCATATTTCTTTTTAGAGTTACTATACTTGAAAAAACCCGATTGACGAAGGATCTTTACCGAGTCGAAATGTGGAGTACTCCCCTCTTTCCCAGGGCATGTGAACAGTGACGCCCCCCGGAAACATCAACAAGTCAAGACACGCAAATATCTGCGGGAATTGGCTTATGGGATCTGGAAGATGGAGAGATCCCTCCGGTACTCAGGGGACGACGCCACCCTGGGACATGTCCAACAGGGTTTGCTTCAATTCCTGAAGGAAGCCCAGATGTGTTTCTACGATGGACAACCGCCAGCACTTCACGATGAGCGAGAGTAGAGACGGTAGCAAGCGTAAAAGGCGGCCGAGGCCACCGAGAGAACAGCGTAGCAGGGCGCGTAGTCACCACAGGGGACGCAGAACCAAACCAATGACGAAGAAGAACCACAAGGAGACGTTTTCAAAGGCAATGCAAACGAAGAGGGCAATGGAAGGATTGAGATTAGAGAACTGGAGACTGGAGTGGCGTTTTCCCGATGAACGAACAAACACGCGAAGCTATGTGGACCGACATACAACACGGACTGAACCAGGTTTTTTTATGATTTTTTTACTGGAAATAGGTACGTGCCAAGTTGGACCATGACACTAAACGTGTTTAATTAGTAATATTCGTGTAAGCGTACATTCATTTCAAAGGTTATTCTTTCACAGCAAAGTTATAATTAAATGAATGTATATGCAGAAAAAAAAAAAAAAAAAAAAAAGGAGAGCCCTTGATAAGCTACAAATTCAGCATCAAAACGTAGAGGTATTATCGAGGTAATTAGGATGAAATATATAAATAGACAGTAGTGTTATTTTTCCCTCCTTAGACCCCTGAATTGATGTGCTGATTGAACTGCAGCAATAGCAGCCGTTCATGGATAGCATAGATAATGCAGGCTCGCTGAGATACATTCAGGGCAAGCATGGACTACCCAACGACAGCAAATGCAGTGTTTTTTTCAGTCCTCAATACACAAGTTCCAAGAAATTAGTTTCTATTTAACAATATAAGGTATGGGGATCCCGAATGTGCTACAACGTGCGTCCCACCAGCCACTTCGTGCCCGAGGCAAGGTTAGAATGTGTTAAAATACTGTATATACTTATGCACTGTATTGTATCTATCTTACGTGTAATATGATAAAATACAACGTATTTTTTAGACTTACAAGGGACATTTTCTGTGTAGCGTTATCCGTGGTATGACACACGCAGTGCATATCTTTCACCTGTGGTCTACTCTACTCGTACTATACGTGTCCACCCAATTTGTAACGCACTCTAACTGCTACACGACACAAAACATACACAAGACGATTCCGAGCTAGCTACAATATCCCTTTCCCCTGCTCAAACAGATAGCCCGTTGCTTTGATACCCCCCTACTCTCGTCAATGAGGGCAGATAGATTCATACCCACGGTCCTTCCTTCTCAGTACAATCGTTCTCCTTCAATAACTATTCGCAGAGACCGCCAGCTAACATCTTTCAGCGAACCACGGCCTTTTATCGATACCCTTTTGATAGATCAGTACTTGAACGAGGTCTCATCAGCATCATCTTCCGAAGGGGGTGGAGACATCACCTCGGGCCAAGCACCTACCTCCCCTACAACTGGAGGCATAACTAATGAGAACCAATTCTATCTTGCCGCGGCTTTAGGCCAATCTTCATCCGATCGTGTACTGACGTGGGAATCGCCGGCAACGTTCCATAGCACCCACAGTGTTGTCTCTCCAGGCAATACGTCCATCTTCTCGTTACCACTGCCCAACTCTGGCGAAGCCACAGAGGGCAGCACCAACTCACCTTCGACATCTTCTTCAACAATGACTTTTAACAGACTCCAATCTTCTCGTACATCGCCACCACGAGCCAACTCCGAGCGCAGGCAGGTTTACACCATGGGATCAGGTATGGGCGTAGCTGGAACAGATTACCCTATGGTGATGGCGTCCTTGACGATCAGTGAGGTTCCAGATGATTCTAAGAAAGTGGACATATGCCGCAACCTGCCCTATAGACTTCTGGATGCTCCGTTACTCCGCAATGACTACTACGCTAATCTCATTTCTTGGTCTCATCAGTGTGGAAAGGTTGCTGTTGGGCTTGGAAACGAAGTGTACTTGTGGCATGAACAAGAGGGTGCTTCTCTGCTCCAAATCAGTGGTAACCGATCGGCCATAATGTGTGTTACTTTCAACACTGTCAACGATCTTTTGATGATTGGATGCAGGAATGGCATGATATATATCGCTGATGCCCCTAAAGATATTATCCTGGCCAAGTATGATCATCGCTCAACTAGGCGTGGAAACAGTCTAGAGTGTGGTGTTTGCAGTGCCTTATGGGTTCCCAATCGTAATGACCTGCTCATCATTGGAGATGAGTCAGGATATACTGGTGTTCTCGGGATCAAAACCGTCTATGATAATGACCATGAAATTCACGGTTTGGCAGAGCTAGGAGGCCACTTTCAGCAAATATGTGGAATGGCGTCTCCCAAAGACGGCTCTGAGATTGCCATAGGCTGCAACGACAACTCCTGCTCTATCTGGGATATTTCTTGCTTGCAGGACTACAACTGGACACAAGACATTGAGCTGACCCTTAAGCACACGCTTGTTCACAATGCAGCTGTCAAAGCTATGGCGTATTGTCCATGGAGCCCGTCCTTGTTGGCAACAGGCGGGGGCTCCCATGACAGAACCATACGTTTCTGGCATACTGGCACAGGTACCCTGATCAAGAAAATTCCAGTGCATGCCCAGGTCACGTCCATATTTTGGTCGAGGTTCAATCGACAGTTTGTTGCCACCTTTGGCTTTTCAGATCCAGGTAGGGGCTCACTGATTTCAGTCTTCACCTTTCCTGAGCTTGAACTTCGTGTACAAGTCACCTCAAAAGCGGGTCTGCGGTTTTTGTCGGCGTCGCAATCTGCCAATGATGGACAGGTTGCTGTTACCTCCAACGACGAGACTGTTCGTTTCTATGAGGTCTGGCCTGTTGTAGCAGGAGCTGTTCCCATGTTCCCCAAGAGTGGTATCTTTGGAAGTGACTTGATTGAGCTGATAGAGGGAATCGAGAGACCTGAGGCTGTCATTCGATAATGTGCATGCTAAGCGGCACAAAAAACATCTATGTAAATGAATAAAAGAAAAAGGGATAGGAAGGTGCATCTTTATTTGGTAAATTGTCTATAAGATAAATAAATAAGGGTAGTCTCAGTCTATGCTGGGACAGACTCGTACTCCGACTTCTTGAAGTTGGACATGAGTCGTCTCCATCGACCAGAGTTCTTCTTGATAGGTTGGGTGTCCATTTGGAGCAGAATTATAGCAGCGGCAACTCCTGCACAGACAGCAGAAGCCACTGTTAGGAGCGCTACAGATACGGAGTGGCTTTGGACTGTTCTGTAAGGACACCTAGCAGTAGGTCCACCTGAGACCCAACAGTCTTCCTGAGAAATGGAATTCAGATCGATCCACACCGGGAAGGCCGTGTTTCCATAATCAATAGTGTCATAAGAGTCGGGGTCTGTTGTATCTCCACCTTTGTATACCCTTGTCTTTCCTGAGACTCCTCTGACTGTAATTTTGGCGGCGATATTTTGTAGGGCTGTTCTGGGCAGCGAGAAGGTATATCCAGGTGGACAGATGTTCTTCTCCTGGGCGGTATCAAAGTAGTTGACTTTCTGAGTGCCCACAGCCCAGTTGTATGCCAGTTCTCCCTGTCGACAGAGAGGGTAGTGTGTGTCGTAGCAGTTTGCTACGTGCCATCCGTCAGGCATGAGTACGGCGCAGTTCCAGGCAACTAGACCTGTGTTTCTGTCTTGCGTTCTCGTTACCGACTCATTATGGCATTTGCTGGGTTCATCTTCAGCCCACGACCACAGAGATTCGGTCATGAGACCCTGGAGTGTTTCTCCTGGAGCTAGGGTATTGTTAATGCTTGGGGAGAGCCCGCAATTGATGAACTCCTGGAATGAGACGTTTGAAATCGGGTCTTGTTGTGTCGACGAGTATGTTCTCCACGAAGCAGCACCCGTCAGGTTGATAGACTGCAGAAACTGTGGGTCCAGACGTATGCATTCTTGCAGGTTTTCATACGCAATGTTTTCATTTGTGTTTTCTGGGTCCGAGGAGCCCAACAATGCTTGTTTAGTAAAAATGACGTCTTGATCTGCCGAACCCCAACCGTACCCGTCCGGCTGATCGTTTTGAGATATAGAGACCATGACCCGAGCCTTCATCTCTAGCAGAATGTAATGTGCCAGAGGGAAACCCCGGTTACTGAGACCTTGGTAGTCGTAAGTTCTGGGAGGTTCTGCTTCTCGATCGCGATGAAGATCTTTGGGAGTGTAGAGTCTAGGACCGATGTAAGAGGATCCCACAATGTTTCCGAGCATCTGTGGTCCTGTGGTGTAAGTTGAAGGTGTCGTTGAGGTGCTAGAAGCTGACTCTGTGGAAGATGTGGTTCTGGTCGACTCCGTTGAGTTACTCATTCGAGAGGAGTTTGAAGAGGAGTTCGAGTCGCTGTTGGAGAAGGAGCCAGTCGACTCCATTCTAGTCGTTTTAGAGGCGTTTAACAAACTCGACAGGACGCTGCTGGCCAGCTGGGTTACGCTTGTAGACGTTTCTCTAAATTGTCGCTTTTGTCGTTGAGAACTCGAGTTACTTTGTATCGGCGTTTCGACCGTTCGGAGGTTGAGCTTGAGCGAGATGAGGTCGACATCGAGGTTGTTGTCGGTGACGTTGACATGATTACTAAGTGCCGCTAGAAAGTACGACAACGTCGCATTTTGGTCGCATGTGACGATATCAGTTGTGAGTCGTCTCTGTAGCAGAACAGGAGTGCCTGGTTCTGCAGAGCTTGGGAAAATCACGGGGCACAGCTGCCAGTACTGTTCCTTGTTGTTCCAATAGACGTCGAGTCCCAGAGACGTCATTCCGGACTTGAGCAGGTCCATGGATTTGAAAATGCCGTCCTGGGTGTATCCGTACTTGTTGAAGACCAGCGGGGTCAGCTCGGCGCCCTTGTACGTCAGTTGGTCGATCGACACATTGTAAGACACATCTCGCTCCGCTCGAGTTGCTGCCACCATCATATGGCTCATTCCCGGCCATACTGGGGCGATCCATGCCTGGCAGTTTTCGTCTCGAAGCGAGTCGTCATCTCGTTTTTTGAGCTGTTGCAGGCTGTGGTGCACATCTGGTGATTTAGCTGTGGCCAGCGGTATCAGCGCAACCAGAATGAAAGTCCACGGAAGCGTCCATAACCACACCATTGTGAGGAGTGGGGTTTTGAGGTTGGCTTTTTCTTACTAAGAGGCGAGTACGAGTATACATTTAATGTACATGTGCTTATTGTAACAGCCCACCTGAACTTTAAGGTGTTAGAGGTGGAATAATAGGGAAACAAAAACAAGATAAATCGCACAAGTTCAAAATAAATCGACTAGGACGCTCTCATGTCTTATTAATCGTTTCAATAGTTAGATAGCCTCGTGTGTGTGTACAAGTACAAGTTGTCTCGTACTTGTACTCGTCTCATACACAGACGCGCTCCATATGCAGGGTATCTGTATGAAGTGATTCTGCATCAACATATGCCCCCCCACCAACGCATCCTATCACATCTCCGAGACCATGCTGACAGTCCCTCCATTGATTCCGAGACTGCTTCTGGCCCTAACGCCTCTCGCCACAATCGCGGCAGCCTTCTTCTACTTCTCACAGACGAACGTTCTCCAACCAACGCCCTACATTGACGAGATTTTTCACATCCCCCAGACTCAGCAATACTGTAAAGGTCATTGGAACGCATGGGATAGCAAAATCACCACTCCACCGGGCCTGTACATCATTGGTTATGCATGGGCTCGCATGCTGACCCTCACGGGTCTTTCTGAGTCTGAGGCCTGCTCCACTCTGTCTCTCAGAGCAGTCAACCTCATGGCAGTGGTGATCTACATTCCTGCCACCCTATACATTATCCAGCGGCGGGTCTGGGGCTCCCAGGCCCATTTCAGCGCCTTTTCTCTCGTGTCTTTCCCCCTCATTTGGTTTTACGCTGCCCTGTACTACACAGACGTGTGGAGTACGGCTACTGTGCTGATGGCTCTGGCATTTGCACTAAGCCCTCGAGTTCCCTTCTACATGGTGCAACTGTCAGCTCTCATGTGTGCCGTTTCCCTTTTCTTCCGACAAACTAACATCCTGTGGGCAGCTGTGGTAGCTGTGATTGCCATTGAGAACAGCCACTACTCTAACGGCGCGCCTCCCAAGAACGGAGCTCTAGCCCAGATATTCTCTACTATCTCCTATACGTTCCAAATTGAGCTGCCAATTTTCAATATTCTCATTTCCTATGCCTCTGTTGCAGTTGGATTCTCATTTTTCCTCTACATCAATGGAGGTATTGCCCTTGGAGACAAAGACAACCATGTGGCCGGAAACCACATCCCCCAGGTATTTTACTGCGCTCTGTTCATCACCACGCTGGGATTCCCTGTGTGGTTCACCTGGGCCCACCTCAAGGCCTACATCAGCTCGTCCTTTTCTGTTCTGGGTCTCACTGTTCGACCCCTGTTTATCTTTGTCCTCATTCCCCGTCTGTTGAAGTCCTACGCTATCGAACACCCTTTCTTGCTCGCAGATAACAGACACTACGTTTTTTATCTATGGAGGCGACTTCTCAAGCCTGCCATCTACTCCATTAGTGTGGAGGATGTCATGCAATCCCAGGATGCCATTGACCCCAAGACTCTGGACGTGATATCCATCGGTCTCAAGTATGCTCTTTCTGCAGCCATCTACTTCTCCCTGTGGAACATCTGGACTACTCTGACGAACTCCATTCCTGCAGCTATTCTTGTCCGGGGACGAGGTTTCAACCGACGAAACGGTAAGAGCATCTCTCCTGCTATTGATCTGCAGTGTCTCACTTGGCCTATTCTGTTAGCCATGGTCTTTGCTACTCTGGCATCTCTCATCCCCTCCCCTCTCATTGAGCCTCGGTACTACATTCTTCCCTATCTGTTCTGGCGTATCTATATGACCCCCACTACTGCAGGCAAGCGGGTCAACACCGACGCTCGGTTCCTTCGTGAGTGGATCTGGTACATGCTTATCAATGCTGCCACCGTGTACATGTTCCTTTATAAGCCCTTTGAGTGGGCCCATGAGCCTGGCGTCCTACAGCGGTTCATGTGGTAGCTAACCTATGGCCAAACTTCAATAGAATATCGATTAACCATTAACTGCTGATGGAACGGTGGGAGTACATACACACACAGACGCACACACTGGTGATGCGACGCGAACATATTGTGTGTTTGTGCGTCTATTGTTTCTGGAATCGACTTTAACATACTGATGCCATATGCGTCTTGCTTCACCTCCCTGAAGGAAACCTGTAAGGCTTCTTTGTGCACATTTGGCTCCCCTGTTCTTGAAGATGCTTGAGGTAGTCAGCTCTGGAGAAATTTTGCTGACATGAAGGACAAATGGCCCACTGTGGGGCGGCTGGCGGTAGAGTCTGCGGCTTGGATCTAAGCTCCATACTTGCTGTGTGTGAATTTAATTTGTGTCTGGCGATACTCGAGTGATAAGCTACATCTACAGTATATATATATATATATATATATAACCGCTGTTAAAACCAGTTACCTCTGACTGATCTGACGGGTGATGCGTGGACACTTGAGGCAGGCCGCACCATTGTCATATGACAAGAAAACCGTTGAGGCAAGTGTAGAGAAGTGGCTACAATGAATGGGATAAGATAAAAACTTTTTGTGAATAATTAGACAGGAGGGAAGCTGGTTCTTATACATTTCTTGTGTCATAATTTTCATGTGATCTTCGTTATTTTTGTGTACCCCAAAAAATCTTCGGCTCTACAACGGCTCCGCTTTGATGTCGAAGCGCCGTAGTTGACTGGTCAAGTATGGACAGAACAAGGAAGCATTGGGCAATTCACGTTACACCAGGGGAGATAGTCTTCTACAGATAACGAGCAATGAAGAACTCCACAGTTCATTGTCTACAGTAGTATGTACAGTATGTACATCATTGCTGCAGCTGTGCTCGCAACACAAAAAATAAATATCTTTAGATTCAGGTTCTACTTCTTGCTATAGTCACCTGTTTTTTTTGTTTTTTTCTGCATATACATTCATTTAATTATAACTTTGCTGTGAAAGAATAACCTTTGAAATGAATGTACGCTTACACCTGTAAACTGGCTACAAATACCATCACTGTCCTTGTACACTGTTCTTTTGTTGTTGCTTAAGCAGTATTACAGTAAGTACACCCTTCAAGATAACGAGCTGGGGTTCATGTAAAAAAAAAACACAACCAATCGTACTTGTATATTACTAAGACAAGGCACGTGGGCTGTTACTTACCACCCTCGGAAATCAGGATTATGCTCGTACCCAGAGTGGCTACTCCGTCTCCTCAGATCTTACCCCATAACATGTTTCGTCCCATGTTAAAGGCTGAGATACGGACAGTCTTCCACAGAGTAGCCACATCCAGAGTGGATGTGAAGGTGTCGAGGAATCCGAAAGGCAGCATAGCAGGAATCCAGCCCTGAGCCAGCTCCAGAGCCCACGATCCAGGAGGCATGCCGTACTGCTTAACCTGGCCTCGAACCAGATGGTGAGAAGAACCAGGAAGGTACACCTCGGGCTCCATCTTACCGGCAGTATGACATACCTCCTTGCCAGTGAGCATCATGTAATAATCGTCAGCATAATGCACACCGGTGTGACCCTCGGTACCCACAGCACTTCCAAAAAAAATGAGGTATTCGCTGATGGAGGCATGGAGCACAAACATAGAGCCCATTGCTCCCCCGGCGTTATTGAAGACCCAGTTGTCAAAATCTAGCTCGTTGATGTACTTGCCGTATCGCTGTTTGAGAGCAGCTCCAAGGTCTATCATGATTTCGGTGGCATTACCTCCTGGATTTCGCTCCAGAGATGTATTGACCATATCCATGACCTCTTGGTTATCGAAGATGTACCTGTGGGGTAGGACGTTGACATAGAGCCAGTCTGACAGCACGTACATGCCTAACACGAGCAGCGAGATGAATCCGACGAGTTTCATTATTGCTGGAAATGATTTTTACTGTTCGGGAAATGTACATCTGTGACGTTTTATATACCCGTACTTGTAGCTTGGTTTCTTCTTCGTCTTTACCTCAAGGGGGGTGCGGATCAAGTCCGCTTTTCCGCATGCACTCCAGCTCAACCCTAAAGTCATCGCAAAATACGACGGACGCGACACATGCATCGCCCTGTCTTGCATGGTCTCATTTTGAGTTGGCAACCAGTGCGAAATGCGAAATAGACGCGTCGACCAGAAAAACAACAGGCTAGCTCAACATGCTCTCCTACACCAGAGTCACGCCTGTGTTTTGCGACCCGGGATTGGTAGCGTATGTGTTTGAGCGCAAGCTGGTGGTTCGACAGTTTCAGGATGATGTCAGCGAGTTAATATTTGCTCTCGATCTGCCAGGGCTCTTTGCACAGAGAGTACGATGCATTGAATGGAGACCGCTGCCTGAAATGGCACCAGATACAGACACAGCCACAGATCGCAGTCTGTTGGTGGCTTCCTCAAATGAGGTGCTTTTCTACAGCGGAGACGGGATGCTGCTGGGCCAGATCAAGCCTGATTTCGGGGTCGCAGCAGTCAAATGGGTGACTCCAGAGCACATTTGCATCATCTCACCCAACTCTTTAGTAGGAGATATCTACTGGATCGAGCCGACGAAGCAAATGATTGGAATCAACCACGTCATCCGCATAAACGGCCCAAAAACTACGCACATTCACATTACCACTATCGACAACTTCCCCGTGGTCAATCTGCTGACAAGAATAGGCGTCAAGGACTCTCTTACTCGTGTGACCATTCGCTCGGCTCTCGAAGTTACAGTCGACGCCTCCTCGACGTTTCTATTCGACACTCCCGCAGATATGTTCAAGTGTCACAATGGCCTCTTTGCATTGGCAGACAATCCTGCAGTCGGCCACAAAGTTTCTCTCTTCTCAACCTCTGGACATCTCCTATCTGAATGGGAGGGCTCGGCAGTGCGCACACTGCCTTTCCAGGACAGCATTATCTCTGCGATGGAGTTCTGCGGGTATGGAGACCATCAATACCTGGCTACAGCTGCCGAAAATGTGGTCTCCATCTTGTCATTGAGACATTTGCAGCCCATGAAGGTCTTAGTGCAGTCCATTCTTGTGACGAGAGACATCTTTTACGTTGACTGCTGGCGTCTCAACGAAAGTGGTGACTATGAAGCCCAAACTACTCCGTATGCCCCTTACTCTGTAGTTGGAGTGAACAGCTCCTTTGCATTGACACCTTGTGACATCCCCTTCATGGCCTGTTCCCATCATGGGTATATTGCCGTTGTATGCTCTCTGACTCCCACGACAGTGTGGATCTGGAGTATACAGGATGATGCCCCTGTTGTTCATACTGTTCTGTGCCATGACTCTGAACACACAATCACGGCATTATCATGGCACCCTGACCAGGCCGTGTTGATGATTCAATTCGGGCACATATCCTCCGTCTGGGACATGCCTGCTGCTTCGGGTAAACATATGCCCTACCGTGTCAAGTGGTTACCTCGAGGTATGCTTCTCTACGATGGTCAAGAGTTTGGACTGGCTTGATTTTGGACGTCTGATTAACCAAAACATGTATATTTATTCAACTAATTATTTATTTTACCCTTCATGTTTCAAATCTTTCCCTTTCTTCTCAGCATTGAGAGCGTCGATCTGCTGTTGAAGCGTCTCGTTCTCAACTCGTAGGATTCCAATCTCAATCTCCTGCTGCAAGGCTCGCCCTGCTCCCAACATGCTTCCTAGTCGCTTGTTCTCGGCCACCAAGGATTGCATTTTGGAACACACTCTGTATGCTGCGGACTCGTCGTAAGCTCCCTGTGCCAAGAGAGACTCGATGGTCATCTCGAGACGCTGCACCTCGTCATTTTTTGACTTGACCTTCGCATTTAAGTCTCGGAAAGCGTTCTCGGTGGCGTTATCCATCTTGTGGATGGATACGGAGTCTTGTCTAGACAACTTCTGGCTCAGACGATTGATCTCCTTCTGCAGAGCCTCAATCTCAAGACCCTGTTTGGCCACGGTGGCAATAGAGTCACGTTGGACGGCACTGTTGTTGTGACTGATATTGCTGTAGCAGAAGGAGTGCATCGCGTGGTTGTCGTCTCTGTGCCGTTCAGTAGCAGCATGGGAACTAGACATGGACCCGTAGCTGTTTGTGGTACTCAGTCCGCTGCTGTTGCCATAACTTGACTGCACATAAGAGGAACCGCTGGATAGGTCACGAGACGCTCCTATGGAGTAGCCAGAGGACAACCTTCCTCCTCCACTATGCATAGAGCTGATTCTGAACGGGCTAGTGTATGGTTGGGGCGTTTCAGGGGTGCCCATGAGACTTGTCTGATGTGGTTTGGCAAATGTCTTGGCCGTTACTGCCTGTAGAGGCTCTTCTTCCGCTGGTCGACCGCTTCCAATGGATCCAAACATATTTGTGGTTGTTTTGATGGAAGGATAAGAGTGTCTATGTAACTACGGTGCCATTTTAAAGGCCGTCTTTGGTATGTCAAAAATCCATCTTTACCCATACAGTTGACGTGTCAGGTCCAGGCGGTTGTTTTGGGGCAGGCTTGGAATGGGGAGAGATATGCCAGAGTGGGTATGATACTTAGCTACAATGTACAGCATGTACGATACTCGTACTTGTATTGGACTCGTACCATACAAGAACGAGTGGTACAGTGTAGAGCTGAAAGTACACTTGTACCAGCACATGTGCATGTATCGTACGTACAGTATCAAATAATATCGAACCAAAACACAATAGCACTGCCTCTCCATATTCTCAAGGCCGTGCTGCCTTCACGGTCTGTATGTTATGTTTCACTAAATTACTGTACCATAAACAGTTGTCAGATTGGGTTTGGTGTTATATTTCTCATGCAGGAAGCGGACTGCAAACTCCCGGACCGTCCCTTGCACTGATGATGCAGCAACATGGGTGTTAGCCCTACTTGTAGTGGATCCAAAAGCTTCTTACAACTACTGTACCGACTGCGTTGGTAGTATACAAGTACATGTCTATTCACGGTTATAGCAGCTGACACCTACAGTAGAGAATGTGGGTGCTCATAATATTTTCATATATACCAAATACTATTCACCAGCTGATCAGTATGTACGATTCTGTACGATTCTGTACATCCTACGGAAATGAAACAGGTCTTACATGACTATCCACTTTTGGTAATGTCGCATACAGACAAAACAACTTTATGTGGGACCTTCTTTTTTTTCCGGGGGTGACCACGCACCATTGAGGCAGGCAGACAGCCTTGGCCCTGGTCTATCTGCATATAACTACAGCCTGTATCCCATCATCTACCCTCCACCCTCTTTCAGCTTCCTCATCCTCACCATGAAAATCGCAGGCACATGTCCCGTCAAATGCCGTCTATGCCGGCGGCTCATGTGGTGGTACGAATTCGAAGCTCACCTGATTGCTACCCACGAAATCCTGTGTGCCGGAGATATGACGGAGCTCATGTCTCTGATCATGTTCAACCGGGACACCATCGACCGCTCTGATCCAATAACGCCTCAGTGGCCACAGACAATTCCTTCAGCTCCGAGAGTGAAGTAAACTACCCACTCAACCACTGCTCACACCATAAATCCGCTAACTCCAAAGTGTTCGGAGCACCCTTCACACACCGACGATAGAGTCGATCTGCTGGCCAGATGGATTTTGTCACAGTAGCTATCTCCAGATATAGATATGCTGCTCGGCTGCTTGCTCTTGGCGGTGGCCTCTTTTTCTTCTTTTTACAACATATGCCGCTACTTGTAGCTTGGCGATGTCAGATACAACATCGGTCATTTGTACTAACAATGAATACTTTAAAGGATGCTATAATATTGGCTGCCAAATTGGAAATAAGGCCCACGAAACGGGACCAAATCTGATGCGTAATTAACTGTAGATGTAGATTACTCCTCACCAGCTCTTACCTCATCTACGTTACTTCTCATTACTTTTTCTTCCAGCATTTGTCAAACCCCACATAACCTTGTTTTTCTGTCGTTTGCCTGCACCATATGTGGGGTTACAGTTGGTGAGGTGGTGTTCGATCTGTACATGCTGTAGCTTCCATTGCTATTGTGGTGTTGCACCTGACGGCAGTATTGTACTCGTACTTGCAGGGTCCAACGTATAATAATATCTTGTGGCATTTGCTTTGTTGCTCCTTCCACAGCTCGCCCATCTTTTTATAAATTCTAGAACAAGAGACTTGCTATTCTATTTCAATCTTGGCGTAGCTCCTATTTACTACATACTGTACAGTATATACTGTAGCAGACCTCTGGGACCTCTGGGTATCCCCCAATCTCCTATTTACCAATACCAATAAGGTGAACACGGCATTTTTGCTTCGACTCCAGCAAGTGTAGTATAAACCCAACTTTACTACACGTGTTGGTGGGCCTTAGGGGGCTGTTATCACTGCCTAAATGACGTCAGTATCTGCCACAATTCGTCAAGACATTCTTTTGATACCCAATATTTTGATTTCTCCGCACGAATATCTCATTTCACCTTTATTTCTGCTCCTCAATGCCCCAACGACCCCCAATGCTACGGAAAGAAGCCGTTCACCTTTGGGAACAGGGTTCGAACTTTGCTGGCCCAGTAAGTCGATTATAGCACAAGAGCTCGCTGAGTTATTAGAATGAGGGGAACTCCATCGTGGGGGGCATGAGACATACCGTGGAGGAACCTCGAGGACCCTCTGTATTACTGCTACCTTCCTGATACCGATTCCGTTGCAATGTGATATCAAACGCCAACGGTCAAGAATGACCCACTGCTGCTAATTGCACAAGGCTGAAGACAACGTATTTGTATGTCAGAACCAACGAACTATGGTCCAGCCAAAGTTAGACTCACTTTCAGAAAGGAAAGTCTCCACAACGAAGGGCTGTGACAGAGATGATAAGAACGCATTAAACCTCATGGATGTCTTACTGCCTGCGCATTGGCCCCCACGAAGCGGGGAGAATCAAGGCTTTTCTCGAATTAACCGTTGCAGAAACACTAACACGACTGTTCTCCGTGATATCTTCGTGCCTGGGAACTTCGGCATGTGCTCGTGGTGTCCCACATAGTCCGCGTTTTGCAGTCTCCAATGCCCCTGCTTTCCTCCACCGTATCTGTCCAAACCAACCTTCTATTAATTTATGGCGATCCCAACGTCTACTTACTACTGCATCTCACATTGAGTACCGACAGCCATGCTGTTTCTGAAACCTTGTGCCCCTCCATTCCTACGAGGAGAAGCCCGGAAATGTAAGCTCCTCGACATATATAACTTGGACTGTCGAGTCCGAAGCTACTTTACACACACAACACTATGAAAGACTTCCTCGCCTTCACCAAGGCTTCTACGGAGGTCAAGACCGTCTTCTTCGGATGCCGAGGAACTCCACTACATCGAGTGGTTGCGGCTATTGCTGGAATTGGCTTCCTGCTGTTTGGTTACGACCAAGGAGTAATGGGAGGTCTCCTCACTCTTCCTACTTTTATCCAGGAGTTCCCTAGCATGGACACTTCTGACCATCTTCCTCCTGACGTCAAGACTCATAACACAACCATCCAGGGCACAGCTGTGGGCATCTATGAGATTGGATGCATGCTTGGAGCATTGTTTACAATGTGGGCTGGCGATAAACTTGGTCGACGGTACATGATCTTCTGGGGTTCCATCATCATCACCATTGGTGCCATTCTCCAGTGTGCAGCTTACAGTCTGGCCCAGTTTATTGTTGGCAGAGTCATTGCCGGTATCGGAAACGGCTTTATCACTGCCACTGTCCCCATGCTTCAAGCTGAGTGTGCTAGACCCGAACGTCGAGGAGCTCTGGTCATGCTCGAAGGAGCTCTGGTTACAGGAGGCATTGCTCTCTCGTACTGGATTGACTTTGGCTTCTACTTTGTCAAGACCAATGACGCCGACTGGCGATTTCCCGTAGCATTCCAGTGTGTCTTCTCTATGTTCCTCACTTTCACTGTCATGTCTCTTCCTGAATCACCTAGATGGCTGGTCAAGAAGGGACGTTACGAAGAAGCCGCGGGGGTTTTTGCAGCTTTGGAAGACGTGGCACTTGACGATCCTTACGTAATTGACCAGGTCACTAGAGTGAAAGAGTCCATCATCATGGGACAACTTGCTCAGCATGGTATCGAAGGTGAAGAGGCGCAGCGAAAGATGGCCGCGGGTGAATGTCAAATGGGAGACGAACTGCCATTCTGGCAGCAAATCAAATTGCTCTTCACATTTGGAAAGAAGAAACATTTCCATCGAACCATGTTGGCTTACTGGATTCAGGTCATGCACCAGGTCTCAGGTATCAACCTCATCACTTACTACGCAGCTTATATTTACCAGACATCCATTGGTATGAACGCCATGAACTCGAGAATTCTGGCAGCTTGCAACGGAACAGAATACTTTTTGGCCTCTTGGGTGGCCTTCTACACAATTGAGAGATTTGGACGAAGAAAACTCATGTTGTTTGGAACCATCGGACAAGCATGTACAATGGCTATCTTGACAGGCTGCGTGTACGCCTCTTCAACTCCAGCGGACGGAGGTCTCGGAAATGAAGGCGCCGGAATTGCCGCAGCAGTCTTTCTGTTTGTGTTCAACTCTTTCTTTGCTATTGGATGGCTGGGTATGTCATGGTTGTACCCTGCCGAAATCACCTCCCTTGAAGTTCGGGCTCCCGCCAACGGTCTAGCGACCTCTGGAAACTGGGTCTTCAACTTCATGGTGGTCATGGTTACCCCCGTGGCCTTCAACTCCATCAAATGGAGGACATACATCATCTTTGCTTGTATCAACGCTGCTATGATCCCTACCATCTATTTCATGTATCCTGAAACCATGGGCAAGTCTCTGGAAGATATCGACATGATTTTCGCTCTGTCCAACCCGAAGACCCCCTGGGATGTGGTGGGTATCTCGCGGCGAATGCCTAGCAGTATCGACAACGCTTCTCCTGCTCCAATAATTCTCGAGAAGCCTTCACAGGAAAATCTCGAATACGCTCCTTCAATGAGCGAAGGTACTATTAACAGCGTTCGAATCGAGACAGCGTAGTTATATTTATTACAGACAGGGAGATGATCATTAAGAATAAATTTATATAAGAGCTTGTTTACCAAAAATATCGGTATCACGTAGTAAAAAAGAGAGGACGACAGGACTCGAACCCGCAGCCTTTGGAGGACGTCGTTCACAAGAACCGAAATCCAATGCGCTACCATTACGCCACGTCCTCTTTTGAACTACCTTCCAAACCTTAATGAATCGTTATATTATGTTATTCAGTTCGCCAATTCCGCAGCGCACATCGCAAAGATTCAGAAGTGTATGATTTATTGAACGCCAATAACCCGGCTTACTAGGTATATAGCTGTAATGAATCATTAGAATTAAAAAAAACCAGTTCGAAATCACGTGATAGTGAACTTTATTTTTAAGTACTGCTTTGACGACAAAACCATGTAAATGACCTTCGACAGCAAATTCAATTTGTTCAATATATCTCAATATCTGATGGTCTCCGTGATACAGATTTATTCAGATTTATTATTACCCTCATCATGCTACGGTATTACATATCCATTATGCACTAACTCGCTGGAACACATAGACGTATGCCAGCTTCTTCATGTCTTCAACAGAGGAAGAAACCACCTTCTCATCGTTGAAAAGGATCCATTTTCCATCTTTCTTCACGTAAGCAACGTAGTGACCAGCGTGAACAGAAGTACCCTTGTGGCAGATGATGCCTGTCAGCTCGTAATTGTGTGGCTTCTCAGTATAACCAACAGGACCAGACGAGGCTACCTCGGTTGCGACAGCTGCAGATTCCTCCTCTCCCTCGTCTGCAGGATTCTCAAAAAGCCAAGCTACAGCCATCTCCACGTTTCCTGAACACTCTCGAAGGGCCTTTCTGGCTTGGTTGGGAGTGAAACCCATCTCTGCAACCTGAGCTATGGCAGCAGAGTTGTCGGTGGAGCCACTGCTAGGAACAGAGGAGTCGATAACCAAAGGTTCGTCGATATCCGCATCCTCCATGTGCGAAAACAGCCAGTTCATGGCAGCATCGGGATCGGAGTTACCGGTATGGTAAAGAGCCTTCTCACATCGAACAGTAGGGAATCCCATTGCCGAAAGAATCTCGACTGCTGTCTCATTAGCGGTCCATCCAGACGAGTTTCCCTCGCCTGCCTCGTCTTCGGGAAGCTCCTCCTCGTTGTCCTGCTTACCAGGCGAAATGTAATCGTCTAGATTGAGGTTCTCGTCGACATTGAGATTGACATCGACCTTCATGGGCACCCAATTCTTGATCTGGAACCTGGTTGAATTCAGAACAAGAACATCAGGCAGAGATGCAAACTTGTTGGACACAGAGGCCTCCTTGCCACCACATTTGCACGAGTAATCGGTGGTCTGGGCTCCAGTGTATTTAATAAGGCATTCAGACAGTTCCACGTCTTCGTAAACGGTCTTTCCATCCTGCTCTCCCTTCTCTCTTATGGGAACTGGCACGCTGAGGTTTTCCTGGGCTTCCTTGGTGTACCGCACCTTGTTACAAGAAAGGCACTGGAGTCGCTTTTCGGTCTGGAATCGGAAGATATCAGTCAGGGCTCTACCTCCTTCAATCTTGTTGTCAATAATGTCCGTCACATGAGCCCAGAACTCAAAGGCATCCTGCTGTCGGTTGGTAGAGAATTCGGGGTGGCCCTTACCCAGCAGAGTCTTCAATGCGAAAGGTCGGATACCCCTCTGATACGACACCTCTGAGTCATCGTAAACATCAGGCACGGCGTACCGTCCAGACAACAGACCGTCGGCCAGTTTTCTAAACTGTGTCACATGAGAGTTAATAGGGTCAGCAATGAACTGCTGAGGCACGTTGAACTGCTTCTGGAACGCGGGTAGAGAGAATATCACTTGCATGGCCGAATTGAGGTAGCACGAGTTTCCGAGGTTGTTCATGCCTGTAAGTCCAGGTCCAAACACAGGCTTGATCTCACCGGACTCATTCTCCATGGAGAACTGCCACGTGTAATTCTGTTCAATTTGGAGCTCCGTCATAGATTTTTCTGTCTTTTGAAGGTCGTCAATCTGGATTCCGAAATGGGACAGGTGCTTTCGGAGCTCAGGATCCTGCCGTTCGTCGTTACAAATGTAGCAGTAGACGTCGGCAGAGTGGGCTGTGATGGATCCAAGCTTGACAGCCACTCCATGGCCAGTGGTCTCGGAGTGGGCCAGAGCATGGGTGTTTCCAGCCACTCCTCCAAATTGTGCTCGTCCACATCCAATTGCTCCACAATCCAGGCACAGCCACAAGTTCTCCTTGAGATCGCACTGGGCGCAATGGGGAGCAGAGAAATTAAGATCAGGTGCGGCAGACTGATTCAGGTTGCGGGTGTGTTCACAGGAAACGATCTCGTTCTCCCAGGCAGCAACCTCCGAACGAGCAGCAAACGATTCGGCATTCTCCACCGCAGCCAGAAGTTCCGGGAAAGGCTCTCGGGTCTCGTCCAGCTTCTCCGAGCCCACAGCCGTCACCAGCTTGACTCCCCACTGAGTGTCCCAGTCATCCTCCTCCTTGTGGGCCTCAATGGCCAAACGTTTGGGCGCATTCTCGTCGGATCGAGCCTTGGCCTTGCGCTTCTTGTGCACGGTTGCAAAGTACGAATGGCCAGTGTTATCGAAATGGAGCTTTGTGTAGTCCTGGTTGGCGTGGGCTGAAGAGGCTTGGAAACAGCTGAGACAGACATCGAGTCCGCCTTGAAGATCGGGAGTGTCGAAGGAGTATGCACAATCGTCCTTGTGCACGGGTCTGCCGTTGGGAGGCTGTAAATTGATGGCGGCTTCGGTGTATGGATCCATGATCTGTACTTGTAGAGTATAGTATGTACTGTACCTGTATCGTGGAGGACAATATGATCTAAACTAAGATGTGCATGCATGAGTGGCGTTGCTAGGGAGGTGGCAGTACAGGCATTGTAGAGAGAGGTTCGTGTTTTAATCGAAGAATAATACTATAGTTAAGGGATTGATGTCATCAAAATGGCAAACCTGCTTTATTGCCTCAGGATATCTACTCCACAAATACAGGTCATCGCGTGAAATTCAAGCCATGCAGATCTCGGATTGGAAACTGAAATTGAGCAAGTGAGGACAGCTCAGATAGATGGTTTTGACAGTGATATTGACAATAGGATCTTTTCTGTTACCTTTCCCTGATCCCCACCCACTACACGGGCTCTACTTCAATTACGTCCCGCGGGCATTAGTCGTTGTCGCCACCTTCCGTATTTATGACTACTCTCAAAATACTTGTAGAGGATATCAATTGCTCAACCACAGTACTACTACCATGTCCCACCCTTGCTTTCCTCATAAACAATGCATCAACTATTATCTTCTGTGCCACATATCTCCTAGGCCTCGGTGATGGTACCAATGAAGGCCACCTTGCCGTCAACAGCAACATCGCCCAGAATCTTGGAGTCGGGGACAACCTTGCCCTTAATAAGCAGTTTGACACTGTCGGCGGTCGTTGTGACACCTTGCTCGGCGGCCTGCTTCACTACCAACTGCTTGACGTTGAAGATCGAATCGTCACTGGGGGCAGAGAGGGTGATCATGAGCTTTGGTGCCTTAAGAGTTTTAATGGTGATCTCAATAGTTTCGGCCACAACGTCGGCTTGGGCGGTCTTCTCCTCGATGGGAATGTTCACCAGTCCACTACCAGACACACCAGTCTTCTTCTTGGCCTCGGGCATCTTGGGCATTGCCACCAGGGGCTTCTTGTCGAGCTGAGCCTTGTCCTTGACATAATCGGTGGCAAGCAGCGAAGAGGGGTCGAGTAGAGAGACAAAAGCTCTTGCGAATGTCGTTTCAGATGCCATTATGTTGTGTGATTGTGACTTGCACGTTCTATCACGTGAATCTGGGGGTTGAGCCTGTCGCTCTTGGTGTTGGGTGTCTGCTCACCATGCGTGAGTTCGAATCCCCCCAGCCACACCTCCCAGAATTCAATTACATATCATGCATAAATATATGAGCATGCATGATGCAATGCACGTCCACATGTACTGTATGACGGGAAATGTTTCTAAGAGAGCAATCCACTACAAGTACAAGAACAAGTATCAGTTTCTTGTACAACCTTTTGCTTTTGTGTTGCTCTCGGCAATGTCAGTACAAAGGCCCGACTCCAAACTAAATTGGGCATATATTACCAATTATTAACGCTACAAGGACTAGAGTCTGTGGATTTTTTAGTGCCCTTCCGTGGACCTGTCAAGCCCATCGCTTCGGATAAGCTCGCACACGCGGCTAAATTGAGTCATTGTGTGGAGGCCAGCCGGGAAGTACATATAAGGCCACATTTCCTGGACTACGCGAGTAGACGAGCCGTGGCAACCTCTTCGAACGTGTTCCAGTTAAACACCAAACTTTACCCCCGGCTTCTTCCAGGGTTCTTCTCGGTTGCTTACAGTTAAAGCAGCGCACATCACTTCCACATTGATCATGCATAATAGCTCTCGGGCGCTCTTATCTCCCGACTTCGACTTAGACCAACACCTCCACCAGTCCAAGATGCCTGAGATTGCTCCCCACAACGACAAGGAGCGGGTCTGGACCACCCTGATTACCAACACCAAATACCTGGATGGTCTATTGACGCTAGACTACTCTTTGAAACGAGTGGGCTCGCAATATCGACTCATTGCTCTCTATACTGACTCCTTTGAAAAGGAGGGCCATGATGCATTGGCCGAGCGAGGAATCCCGTCAAAACACGTGGAGTACCTAATTCCTGCCAAATCCAAGGACTACTCGCAGGACGTGAGATTCTACGACTGCTGGAGTAAGCTACAGCCATTCTCACTTTTCGAATATGACAAGGTTGTCCAATTGGATTCGGATATGGTTGTTGTCCAAAACATGGACGAGCTTTTCGACCTTCCTGTTGGTGAGAGTAACGGCAATGGTTCCACGTGGGCTTTTGCTGCATCTCATGCCTGCACTTGCAATCCTTACAACAAGCCACACTATCCCAAGGACTGGATTCGGGAAAACTGTGCCTTCACTAACATCTCCAAGTCTGACGACCTGAAGAACCCGCTTTTCCAGAGCTGCAATCTTGGCCTAGGAATCTGCAATGGTGGCCTGCAGGTGGTCAAACCTGATCCCGAGCTCTATGACAAGATCATCGACGCTGTTTCTGCACCTGCAACAGGAGAGTACGACTTTGCTGACCAGTCACTTCTGTCAGACGTGTTCAAGGACCGCTGGATCGGCCTGAGCTACCGATACAATGCTCTGAAAACTCTCAGAGTGTTCCACAAGGAGCTGTGGGACGACTCTGTCATCAAGAACATTCACTACATCATCACTCCCAAGCCGTGGGAGGTCGAAGAAGATGAATACGAGGACACTACTGGAACTTTCAAGTGGTGGTGGGACATTAATAAGGAGCGACTGACACTGGAGGGTGCCAGAATATCTACTCCCCCCTCTTAAACGGTATTTCCCTGAAGGTACGTACAGTATATTACATAGACATTACAATAGACATCACATTTTTACTCTAAGCATTTTCAACGAGAATGTTCCAATAAACACCATCTACAGTACAAATACAAGTGAACAAATTAACATAAAACATTTATGGATACTAGTTCATCACAAGACTCAGATCCAGAAAAGAATAAAGAAAATAGCTGTAGTGAGTAGTCCTGTGAAGGGTATCGAATGGGAAGACCCACCGTTAGCTTGCATAGGTTTAGGATAGCCCTCTACAGGCGGTGCAACTTGGCTGGGGGTAGCAGCGTCGAAGGAGACACTAGTGGTGCTAGGCAAATGTACAGGAGAAGTGTTTGCACTAGAAATAATGGCACCATTAGTTACCTCGTCATTGTTGCTGATTTGTCTAGTAGGCTCAGAAGTAGAGCCCTGGGGCTTTTTAAGCAAGTCATCAACTGTGAAGTTAGACCCAGGAGTAGATAGAGTAGGCGTTGAGATGCCAGGGGTGTATGTGGAGGTATTATCTTCCTCCGAATCGGTATCAGCCAGTCTGGATGACTCTGGCTTGATATTCCCATGAGACGGTGTGCCGAGTAAGGTAGAAGACTCAGAGTAGGAAGTCATAGGCAAAGCAGAAGTGGAGGCTGTGGCTGTAATGGTGCTGGACCCAGAAGCTGAAATAATGGATGTCTCGAGTACAGAGACAACTGCAGACTCAAGTACAGAGACAATCGAAGTTTTGTCGGGTACAGAGACAATCGAAGTCTCCTTGGACACAGCGATAATGGAAGTCTCGGGTCCAGAGATAATTGAAGTCTCAATGGATGTCTCGGATACAGGAATAACAATCGTCTGGACTTCTGTGAAGGTTGACGACCTGACTTCCACTGACGTGGGAACCGACGGAACAGCGTTACTTGCGACAGAATGGTGAGTAGAAGAGGTGTCGAAAGCAGCCACTTCAATGGGGGTAGAGTTGGAAAAGAAGACAATGTCAGGCTTCATTGTCTGTGTGTGTACCATAGTAGTAGTCTTGCTAGCCTCAAGAAACGATAAGTGAGAGACAACGTCAGTTGAGCTTTCTGTAGCCACGGAAGCTTCACTTACTACCCATATGGGAGCTGTATCTTTTGAAGTAGACTCGTTTGCTACATCACCAATCATAGTAGCACCAGATGAGACAACACTTGTGGGAATGCCATGCTCCACGATTTCAGTAGCTGTAGTGGAATGGATATCAAGAGTAGATTCAAGTGAACCATTATCGGGGGACTGAGTGCTGTCTACACTTGAGGTACCATCAGCCCCGGCTGGTAAGGTGTTATTAGCAAATTCAACAGCTGTATTAGCAGCATTCTCGGTTGTTAAATCTTTAGCATTTGCAGAGGAAGTAGACGTGGATACCAGCTCGGGTGTGCTGTGGAGAATAACAGGGACAGTTGTTGCCGTGACAATTGAAATTGGTAGACTGTCGGCCCCAAGGGTCAAAAGAGTACCTTCGGCTGTACCAACGATGGAACTCGTAGAGTAAGACCCCTGAATCACATGTTCAGTTGCAAGGCCGTCTTGGCCTGGCTCTGTCAAAGTAGTAGCCTCAATATCGTACGGCGTCTTGGAAGCCACTGCTCCAGAGGGGAGCACAGTAACCAGCTTTGTGGACAGTCCGTCTTCGCTAAACTCCAGCGTTGAGCCTTCCACATTTCCATTTATTGTCTGAGCAGCAGAAGGAGCTTGTGTCACATGTTCGGTGAGCAACCCATCGTCTCCAGTCTGGATGTAGGTAGTAGAATCAAATCCAAATGTAGACTGGTTAGTAACTGGTCCCGAAGGAATTTCAATGATGACCGCAGTAGGAAGGTTGTCATCGCCTACCACTAATTCAGTTCCTTCGGCGGTACCAAATACAGTCTTGGTGGCTGAAGGTCCAAGAGTGACTCTTTCAGTAGGAGATCCATCTTCCCCCGTGGTGGTGAAGGTTGTGGCGTGCAAACCATAGATTGACTGAGTGGTCACAGGAGAAACTGATGAAGCGTTGGTCATCTCGACCGAGGATTCAAAAATTTCGATCAAAGAGCTGGTTCGGATGGCGTTTTCTGTGGGCAAATCATCCTCGATGGAAGTGGTTGTTTTTGGCCCGAGAGGTGATTGCGTTGCAACAGGAGCAGAAGTGATGTCCTTAATAGACTCAGTGGCTAGAGGGTCTAGACCATCACTTAATGAAGTCTTATCACTTTTACCGATTACGGTATTTGTAGCTGATTCCCCGTCAAGTGATCGTTCTATAGTGAGGTCATTTTCACCAGTGACAGTCATAGTGGTAGGATAAAGCCCAATTGAGTGGTCTGTCGTAACTGCAGCTGTCGGTATAGTTGTAATATTTATCATGGAAATGCCATCATCTCCAAGACTCATTGATGTACCGGCAATAGTATCAAACACCTTCGTTGTGAATGGGTGAGCTTTAAGCACTTGTACAGTGGGCAACCCATCTTCACCTATGAATGTGTACTTAGTTTCGTGGATCCCGTATGATGTCAATGTAGTCACAGGGCCAGAAGGAATCACGGTAATGATCTCCACGGGGGTGTTGTTAAGATCAAAAGACAAGGCAGCTCCCTCGGTAGTACCAAAGACAGTCTGGGTAGACGAAGGTCCCAGGATAACTCTCTCTGTCGGGAATCCATCATCTCCTGTAGTAGTTATGGTGGTGGGATAAAAGCCGTAAGAGAACTGAGTAGTTCCAGGCGCTTTCGGAGTAGCTGTCACGATCATTACTGGGGCACTGTCATCACCAAAGCTCGAGAGAGTTCCAGCTGAAGTGCCAAGAGTTGACATGGTGGTTGAAGGGCCCTTGATAACTTGCTCAGTAGGCAAACCATCCTCACCTGTGAAGGTGTAATTCGTCGCCTCTAATCCAAACGAATATTGAGTAGTTACAGGTTCCAGGGGAATCACTGTGACAATCTCTACAGGGATGTTGTTGCCATTAAACGACAATGAAACTCCTTCAACCGTACCAAACACGGTCTTGGTCGCGTAAGGGGAATCAACAACTTGTTCCGTGGGGAATCCATCCTCACCAGTGAAGGTGAGAGTAGTAGGATAAAGGCCAAAAGAGTGCTGCGTAGTAATGGGAGCTGTGGGTGTGGCCGTGACAACCATAACTGGATCTCCTTCTTCTCTGAAACTCAGTGCAGTACCAACAATTGTACCAAGAACTGATGTTGTAGAAGATGGACCTTGTATAACCTGTTCGGTTGGTAGGCCATCCTCGCCAGTGAAATTGAAAGTGGTGGCCTGGAGACCATAGGAGAATTGTGTAGCCACGGGGGCAGAGGGAGTGGCGGTGATGACTTCAACGGGGAAGCCATTGCTGTCGTATGACAGAGCTGTACCTTCAACCGTACCCAAAATGGAGCGGGTAGCTGAAGGTCCCAACACGATAACCTCTGTTGGATATCCATCTCCACCTGTAATAACCGAAGTCGTAGGGAAGAGTCCGTAAGAGTACTGGGTAGTAACAGGTTCAGTGGGTGAAGCAGTAACAATCATGACAGGAATGCTTCCGGCGGCCAGACTCAGCTCTGTACCAGGAACTGTGCCAAAAACAGATTTGGTAAAGGAAGGCCCATTAACAATTTGCTCTGTAGGCAATCCATCCTTTCCAGTAAATGTGTAAACTGTGGCTTGAAGTCCAAAAGACGACTGAGAAGTCACAGGAGTAGACGGAATCACGGTGATGATCTCAACGGGGAAATTGTCATCAATAAAGCTGATCGCAGTTCCTTCAACAGTACCGTAAACTGTCTGCGTAGAAGAAGGACCCTTCACGACACGCTCAGTGGGAAAGCCATCTTTTCCAATTGTGGTGATAGTGGTGGGGTATAAGCCATAAGAGAACTGGGTATTGACAGGACCAGTGGGAGTTGCTGTCACAATCATGATTGGAAAATCATCATCCCCAAAACTGAGTACAGTCCCAGCAGCGGTGCCAAGAAGTGACGTTGTCGAGGATGGGCCCTTGACGACTTGTTCAGTTGGTAGACCATCTTCACCTGTGACTGTGTATGTCGTACCATTCAGCCCGAAGGAAGATTGAGTCGTCACTGGTCCAGAGGGTGTCACAGTAATGATCTCGATGGGGAAGTCTTTGTCAAGCGCTATTGAGGTTCCTTCAACGGTACCGTATACGGTCTGAGTAGCTGATGGCCCCAACACAACATGTTCAGTGGGATATCCATCTTCACCTGTGGTGACAAAGGTAGTAGGATAGAGGCCGAAAGTATGTTGGGTAGTTACAGCAGCTGTTGGCATAGCAGTTACAACCAAGACAGGAATTCCATCGTCACCAATACTCAACATTGTTCCAGCGTTAGTTCCGAAAACCGATTTCGTCGAAGAGGGTCCTAGAACCACCTTTTCAGTAGGTAACCCATCTTCACCAGTGAATGTATAAGTGGTGCCTTGAAGACCAAAGGACGATTGAGTGGACACAGGTCCTGAAGGGACAACGGTAATGATCTTCACAGGAAATTCATTGTCAACCATTGACAGTGAAATGCCTTCAACGGTACCAAAAACTGTCTTAGTAGCATACGGACCTTCAACGATTTTTTCTGTTGGAAAGCCATCCTCCCCTGTAACAATGAATGTAGTAGAATTCAGTCCATAGGATAATTGGGTAGTGACAGGTGCGGTTGGAGTAGCGGTGATAATCATCATTGGCACACCTTCTTCCCCAAAGCTCAGAGAGGTACCAGCAGCAGTACCAAGAACCGACTTCGTGAAGGAGGGACCCCGAATGACCTGCTCTGTAGGCAAACCGTCGTCGCCAGTGAAGATGAAGGTGGTACCATTGAGACCAAAAGATGACTGGGTAGCAACAGGAGCAGAAGGAGTCACTGTGACAATCTCAACAAGGAACTCTTCACCATCGAACGATAGGGCTGTGCCTTCAACAGCGCCGAAAACGGTCTGAGTAGCAGAAGGTCCCTTCACCACGCGTTCAGTAGGAAAACCGTCCTCACCTGTGATGGTGAACGTTGTAGAGTGAAGTCCGTAGCTGATTTGGGTGGTCACAGGTGCTGTGGGAGTAGCCGTAATAACCATGATAGGAATACTTCCAGCGGCTAGACTCATATTTGTACCTGGAACTGTACCGAGAACAGTCCTGGTAAATGAAGGTCCTTGGATAATCTGTTCCGTAGGCAATCCATCATCTCCGATGAACGTGTAAGTAGTTCCTTGAAGACCGAAAGATGAAAGGGTGGTAACAGGTCCAGTAGGTATCACTGTGATAATCTCAACTGGGAAATCATCACCATCGAAGCTGATGGACGTACCCTCAACAGTACCGTAAATAGTCTGTGTAGCAGAGGGACCCTTGACAACACGCTCGGTAGGGAAGCCATCTGCACCGATAGTAGTGATGGTAGTAGGGTAGGAACCATAAGAGAACTGAGTCGTAACTGGACCAGTTGGTGTCTCCGTGACTATCAAAATAGGCAGGTGGTCTTCTCCAAAGCTCAATGCAGAACCTGCAGCAGTGCCTAAGACTGAAGTTGTTGCAGATGGACCCAGGACAACTTGCTCTGTGGGCAATCCATCTTCTCCAGTAAGAGTATACGTGATACCTTGGAATCCAAAAGAGGATTGAGTCGTTACAGGGCCAGTGGGCACCACTGTAATGATCTCAATAGGAAACTCATCAAGAACCAGCAGAGAGGTTCCACCAATAGTACCGAACACCGTATGCGTGGCAGAAGGTCCCAGCACGACACGCTCGGTGGGGAATCCGTCGTCGCCAGTTGTAGTGAACGTTGTGGGTTGAAAGCCGTAAGAAATTTGAGTGGTGACTGGAGCTGTAGGGGTGGCAGTTACGATCATAACGGGGTTACCATCGTCTCCGAAGCTCAGAGCTGTTCCAGCAACAGTACCAAGGATGGACTTAGTCAGAGAGGGGCCTTCAATGACTTGTTCCGTTGGCAGTCCATCCTCACCAGTAAAGATGTATGTTGTGGCGGTCAACCCAAACGACGACATAGTAGTGACGGGGCCGGAGGGTATCACAGTGATAATCTCAACGGGGAAGTCTTCTCCAACAAAGGACAACGCAGTGCCTTCAACTGTGCCAAACACAGTTTTAATAGCAGATGGTCCATCCGCAACTCGCTCTGTCGGAAAGCCATCTTCGCCTGTGACTGTAAAAGTAGTGGGATAAAAGCCATAAGAATGCTGAGTTGTCACTGGTGCGGTTGGAGTGGCAGTGATGATCATGATTGGAAGGCTTTCATTAAAAAAACTTAACATTGTGCCTTCTACAGTTCCCAGAACTGACTTCGTGAAAGAAGGACCCTGAACAACCTGCTCAGTTGGCAACCCATCATTTCCTGTGAAGGTAAAAGTCGTGGCTTGCAATCCAAATGACGACTGCGTCACCACAGGCCCCGAAGGGGTTATTGTGATAACCTCAACAGGGAAATCATTTCCCTCAAATGACAGAGACACACCTTCAACTGTTCCAAAAACAGTTTTGGTTGCAGACGGCCCATCGACAACTCTCTCGGTAGGGAAGCCATCCTCCCCGGTGACAATCAAAGTAGTAGGATAGAGACCAAATGAATGCTGGGTGGTGACAGGAGCTGATGGTGTAGCAGTGACAATCATAATAGGGGTACCATCATCTCTGAAACTCAAGCTAGTGCCTTCAACTGCACCAAGAATTAATTCAGTGGACGATGGACCTTCGACAGCCTGCTCTGTGGGTAAGCCATCTTCGCCAGTAAACGTGTATGTGGTGGCCATGAGTCCAAAGGATGACTGAGTTGTAACAGGACCTGAGGGTGTAACGGTTATGACTTCAATTGGGAAATCGTTCGCATCAAATGACAGAGCTGCTCCTTCAACAGTACCGTAAACGGTCTGAGTGGCAGAAGGACCAACAACAACACGTTCTGTAGGAAACCCGTCTTCACCTGTGATGGTGATAGTAGTTGGATAGAGGCCGTAAGAAAACTGAGTAGTCACTGGAGCTGTGGGTGTGGCTGTCACAACCATTACAGGGGCTCCATCATCCTCAAAGCTCAGTGTAGTACCTGCGACAGTTCCCAGAACTGACTTTGTTAGGGAGGGACCCAGGATCACCTGTTCAGTGGGCAGTCCGTCGTCCCCAGTTGTAGTGAAAGTGGTAGCCTCCAGTCCAAATGACGACAGTGTGGTGACTGGCCCCTCAGGTGTAGTTGTGTATCTGGCTGTTGCGTCGCCATCATCACCGATAATAAGAGAAACGCCTGCAATTGGCCCGAGGACATAATCTGTTACTGTTGGCGCTGAGACCACACGCTCGGTAGGCAGTCCATCATCACCAGTAAAAGTGTAGGTGTTTGCTTGGAGACCAACATCAAATTGAGTTGTAACAGGACCAGTGGGAGTCGCTGTCACAATCTTGACAGGGTCGCCATTACCATCAAGAGTGACTTCAGTACCAACAATTGGACCAAGGACAGTAGATGTGGACTTCGGTGGCATTGTTGTCATCAAAGTAGGAAGGCCATCCTCACCTGTGGATGTCTCAATTCCAGATGTCAATCCGTAGGTTGTCTTTGTCGCAACAGGGCCAGTTGGGGTATTGTAGATCATGACAACTGGTTGGCCATCCTTGCCTGAGGCAACACCAATGGTCTCGACTGTGGCCCATGTGGTGAGAGTGGTGGTAGGTTTGGCAGTGGTCCTCGCCGTTGCGAGACCATCGTCACCAACGAATGTTATGAGACCTTCATCAAGTCCATACGCCGTCTCTGTGATAACAGGAGGGTCTATGGTTACTATAATAACTGGCCAGCCATCCGTACCAAACACAATATCTCGTCCATTAAGAGTGCCAGTGGTGTAGACTGTTGACTGAGGCCCGATAATCTCATAAGCTGTGGCGATACCATCAGAACCAATCACTGTACTGTTGAAGGATTCCGTAGCGACATAGGTGACAGTCTTTGCGGGAATGATCGTATCGCGTACATACGGGAGTCCGTCGGCTCCTTTGAAGGTCTCTTTACCAGCTGAGGGACCAGCCACCGTTGTAGTTCCAACTGGATTTGTTGGGACAGTTGTCACTATCACAGTGCCGATACCATTGCTGCCTACCTCGGTAGTAGTACCAGCAATAGGACCCATAACACTGGCTTCGATGATCTGGGTCTCGGTTACCACTAAGATGGGGAGCCTGTCCGAGTCGAAAGTCACACCTTTTCCAGTGACTTCACCAGTGGTCAGTAGAGTCAACACAGGAGTTACAGTGACTCGTGCAGTAGGAATACCATCTTCATCACCTACGTAAGTGACTGTTCCAGCCTTGTCGCCGACGACTGTAACTGTGGTAACCGGAGTTCCGTAACTGGGCAAACCATCGGAGCCAAGAGAGACTCCATTGTTAGGTAGTGGGTCTTCAGGGACAACAGTTACCCGTTGGCGCAAAAATCCATCATCACCAATATAATCGAGTGTCCCAGCGATGGCTCCCTGGACAGTACTGGTAGATATAGGGAGCGATGACGTGGCGGTGACTGGGTGAGTAGTGGTCACATAGGAAGTCAAATAGTTCGTCTTGTAGGATGTTAGCTTTGAAGTGACAAGAGTAGCACATTGGGGCAAGGGGGGCAGATCGCAGCCCTTCAAGGCTTGTCCGATAGCCCAATTAATAGCACCACAAGACAGGCAGGTGTCGACTTGCTTGTGCCGACGTCGAGCTGTAGGGCACATGCAACTTTTGGATCCGAGGCAGGCGGTGAGCTCGATAGCAAGGGAGGAACAGTCGAAAAAGCATTGAATCAGTCCTTCGGCGACAGGAGGTTTGTAGGTATCACAGTCTACGATAACTCGCTCGTATACGGTTTGCTCCACGGTGTTGACAGAGGCAATGGTCGAAGTAAGTGTTTCCGTGGTAGTAGTGGTGTAAACGGTTAAATATGAAGGAGTGGACGTAGTAGAAGAGGTTAAACCAGCTTGCTTTGACGAAGTGGACGGCCTATGGAAACCGAAAAAGTCAAGTATCCCTTGAGCTTCTGTCTGGCTCGATAGCAGAACCAATGCCACAGCGAAGTACTGCAAGTTCACCATTTTGTATTGGAGAAAAGTCGTTCAAGAGACTCTCGGAATGTGGGACGGACGGTTTATTTGAAGTACGAGCAGCAAACAAAAGTTGTCTTTTAGCTCTTTCCGATCTGCTACTTTTGAACTAGCTCGTGTTAAATGAAAAATCGTAAACAAGTGCCTGCCGCGTCGCCGATTCCCACGCTAGTGTAGGGGGCCACATTAGTGCAAACTGATGTTGAATTTGGTTAGTACGTGTGGAAGAGGTGTGAAAACTTAGTACTTGTGCTTGCAGCGTACAGTAGATAAAGTTTATGGCGGTCTTTCCATCTACATCCAGGTCTCCGGTGTTCGATACAATTCTCAAGAAATATCGTGAGCTTGAAAATAAACGTTTGACAAGTACACACGTACATACAGTAGTGACCTGCATTTTTAGGCAACAATTAACCGAAGTGTTTGTAGAAAGGACATGTATATACAGATAATCTTAGGGTATACTAGTGAATTACCCTGCTCTAATTGGAACTGTGTCTGGCTTTCTGGTACGGTACAGTAAGTGCCTCCAAGCAGTTGCAACATCAGAGATTCATGGATTAGTTGCAGATAGATGCATGGTGGATGGACTCAGCTCGGGTATAGGTATCATGTGAAAAAAGCCTCGATATTTCTTACTGGTGTCAACTTTCTTTCTTCCGTAGGCGGGTGGTGATGGTGCGTGTACTGCTTTACAGTATCACTACTCTTTTTTTACGAGTATAGTACCGGTGCTCGTACTCGTACCAGATGTCCAAACTGATAGACACAACCTTTTTCTGCCCGGCTAAAAAACTTTAATATTAAAGGTGAAATTCCAGATTTTGGTCCTACAGTAGAGTGTGAACACTAACCTCATAACGCCTTGCTCTCTCTGAGGTAATCGAAGATTCCTGTCACGTGGTTTAGTTCACGAAATTAAATTCTAACACGCACTAACAATTTTACATGAATGGTCTGACTCGATGTCTCGACTGTATGAAGAAGTAGAAGTTGTTCTACACATATCAATGCATATTGGGTTGAACCTAAACTTATAACTTATCCGCCAGTCTTTTACAAGTTGCGGTAAGTAGTAACATCAAATATGAGGTGAAAAAGTCTCACGGACTTTGTTTCCTTGTCTACAGCGTCGCAAGGTTGCTGCGACCCACTACATGTTAAGAGGCCTGTCCAGGTGGCATCCCGAGCTACTGTAAAGTAGTACGGTACCAAACTATAACTGGGTTCTAGATCGATAGTGTACGATGAACTGTGCAATATACCATATTTATCGCGATGGCATTAGAATGGTCAAGAATCTATACACGCCCACTACAAATATTAGTGAAGACTGAATGAAACGTTTCGATCAAAGTAGCATCCATCAGCTTTTGCTTCCTTAATCTGAAGTGTTTCAATAGTTGCAGCGGCAAAGAGTTATTCCATCGCTATTTTTTTATTTTTTTTGTAAACAAGGAAATATATTATTACAGTAACACTAAAGATTTTGAGAGACCTGTCGGGATGTTTCTGGCGCTTTATTCGCGCCATATTTGCCACCAGAAGAAAGAAAAACGAGTGACCCGCGCTTCAATGTTTTTACTGTAATTTCCCTCGTGCATTAGCTACTTGCAAGCCACTAAAGAAGAAACAAGAAAAAATCCTTTCATTTTCGTCTCAGGCAGTAGCTACTCGTAAAGAACAAGCGCATCTGCAATGGTTTTCATGTCTTAACTCCATGGATGTCTTTGCTCCATGGATGTCTTAACTCCATGGATGTCTTAACTCCATGAAAGGCGGAAGCCGCCCATGGTGTAGAGTAAGTTATGAAAAGAATAGCTCTTACGACTAATTGCAGCCGTTAGATCGAACAAGGGGTGCACTGGTGCTAAGAGACTCCACAAGCAGTACAAGCATGTGCTCTACTGAAGGGCCAGTTTCCAACCCTGGTCATCACATATGCTTCAACAAGGGGATCGGAATGAAAGGGGTTTGGTTCCTTTGTTCCTCTTTCTGGTCTTAAAGAACATTGGCACGGCACTTCCACGAATGCTCACTCTTGTGTTTCTGGAATGGCAGATCACCGAGCGCCCGCCCTTTAGGCAGGCTGCTCGTTGCCTACAGTGGACCTATTCCCGTGATATGCATGCGTATATGCACTCGTACTTTGTTACATCCTGGTAGAACAATCTCCCAAACGCGCCCAGTGGAGGGACAATACTGTGGCAAGGGAAAATATAGAATGAATGCATTAAAATAACTTATATACTAAGATGCGAATCTCGGGATTTCATTCGTCCAATGAAGTCGTCGAGGTGGGCAAAGTTGGACTCTTCCATGGCGAACCGTCTATGAGTTCGACTGTTCACATGGTCTTTGAACGAGGTGAACTCCTGCTTGCAGTTCTCGCACCAGGCTTTTCGCTCCTGCTGAGGCTCTGGCACCGTGGGGATTGTTCGCGCAGCATCAAAGCATTGCAGTAGCTTGCTGCAGTCAAAGAGCTCGCGACTCTCGGCCACCTCACACAGATTTTTCTTCATCAGCTCGTCGTACAAATACAGCGAGGCATAGTCCCAAGCGCTTTCCAGATGCGAGTATTTATAGACCATTTTAGCGAAGAACAGAGTAACCGAAGCCACGTGGAGTTCAAGACGATCGTACTCTCTTCGATTCTCGTCAATCTCATGGCCCAGGCGTCGCTCGATACCTTCATTAATAATGACTCGGAAAACAAATCTTCTGTCCAGAAGCGATCTCTCAGCGTACTGAGGGAGAACAGCGCACATGACAAGCTCAGCCAGGTCGACAATACCTGCCACTACTGGTCTGGTGTTGAGAATGTGGGCTGCCACATTAGGCAACAGAATGGCCGTGGCATGCAGATGATCCTCGGTGATGGTGAGCTTAGTGGGACACTCGGCAGCCTGGTTGAAGCTGGAGGTTGAGTTCTGTCGCATAGAAGGCCGCTTGAAAGCCGCGGAACCTGAGTGGATCGAGGTCTGAGACTGGCATTGTGAGGGAGCACTGACAGGTAGGGAGTTCTGAGAGGGCTGGGACTGAGGAGTGGCCTCCCGCTCCATGGGTCTGTAGGGCTCATGCATGATATTACGCTTCATGAGAGACACCTGTCTGGAGGGTACAGAAGCAACGACAGGAGCTAGACCGTTTCGGAGACCTGCATCTCCGCTCTGGGCAATCGATCGAGAGTTAGAAATGGGCTGCACACCGGACGCCAAGATATCTTTCATGCCCGAATTGGACCGAGTTGCTTTGGCGGTCATGCTCTCTGCTCGTTTCTGTGCGTCCTTAGCTCGGAGGAACTGATGCTTTCCCATGAAATTGTCACACCAAATGGGGAAGTCGTCCTTGTTGTACTCCTTGATCATGATAGATCTCATGGATTTGTCCAGGTCCCAAATGTACACGTGGGGTCCTCGAAGATAGTGGAAATCCTGTCGATGGGCTTCGGGGTCTCGGTCTGATGGACCGGCCACGCGCTCCTCCTTGAGGAGAAAGCCAAGGCCCACATCTTTGTTGCCCCCTGCAACGCCAAGCGCATTATCGACAAAAGTTTCTCCCAGCAAATGTCGCAGAAACTTCTCCAACTTCTCGTATCCCCATACCTTGAGTTGCAGCTTGTGTGCTGTCAGTAGAGCCGGGGGAAGTCCTTCCAACTTGCCATCCTTATACTGGTCAGCAAAGCTCTGCCGGGTGACAATGTAGTTGATTTTGTTCTCAAAGAAATGGCTGATGTTGGATCCAATGTGATCGAGCAGAGGTTTGACCCGATCAATGTTAGACTGACTCACCTTGAGAAAGTAGAACTGTGCGTTTCTCATGATGGGTCTCCACTTGCTTCGCCACTCCTCCAAGTTGTCGATAGCCACACGCTTCATGTGTTGCTTCTCCAACTGCTGTTGTTGCTTGTCGATCTTCTCTGGCTGTGACATTTTGCTCTGTTGAATCATTCGAAAGTGGTCCTCGTACTCGTTAGGGACCTTGATCTCTCGAGCCTCCTGCACTGCGCGCGAAGGAAACAACTGCAACTGTGGATCCCGAGCTTCTTCTCGCCGAGCTTGAGATACGCGCTCTCCCGGCAGAAGCAAAGAATGTTGTTTCTGGTCTTCCTTCTCGACAGTGTTGTTGTTTTCCTCCGTGACCACCACGCCACTTGCAGCGTGGTTCTCTCTAATAGTTTTGAGCGTGTTATGGGCAGCTTCCACCTGCTGTTGTTGCATATCTCCGGTTCTCCAGTTGGCATCCTTCTTAGGGCCACACCGCTGTTGCAACACCGTGTTGGGGTCGATAAAGGGCTTCAGCGTGACGTTTTCCAGCTTGAGACGCTTATATGCCTGTTCGCTCACCTGGTTATTTCTCTTGGGTGTGGGTGAATGCGACGACGAGTCGTTCTCATGGCTGATGCTGTTGTTGTTGCTGTTGTGATTCTCCTTGTCAGAGTCGCCCTTGGTGATCGCCTGAGAAGCCTCCAATGGCACGTCCTGGTTGTCGTTGTGGGTCGCAGAAATATCGTGCATCGTTAAATCGCCAGCATGGCCTTGAGCCTCGCCTGTTACTGCCGAGTTCGTCGTTGTAGTCGTGGCTGCCACTGTCGTCGTGTCCTTGCCCTCACTACTGTCGGGTCGTGACAACGACTTGAAGGCATCGGCTGTGGCAATACTGGCCTGTGAATGAGAAGTCACGCTGGTGATGTTGCTCTCCTGGCTTTTATGCATTTTCGGCGACACCATCCGGCCGCTAGGAGGTGGAGAGGGACTGTGACGCGAATATATCTGAGCCGTCTCCTCAAAGTCCTTGGCGAGAATTCGCCGGGGTTTCAGATTGGTCTTTTCCTTGAGAGGCGACCGTTCCACGTCCATGTCGATAGGGCCGGGAAATTCCTCGATTTTTTTCGATGTTGTGGTGTCGAAGTTTGAAGCAAACAAGACTATAAGTCAGGAACGTCAAATATTGGAACGCGTCGCGACTTTAAGTTTGGGCTGGTAGACATGGCACCTACCAAAATTGAATAAATTGGAATGCGACGACAGCGAAATGGGAACGGGGGTTGGACACGGTTTCAGGGGTTTCTTTGTATCTACTGTACAATTCATCGAGTTGTGTCATCATCACGTGAGGGAAAAGTATGTACTGTATGAAGGTAATGCATCCGACGACCAAACCCTGTTACGAGCTGTGTTATTATTGAGCCTGAGATCATGGACAGCCAGTAGGCACGAGCTGAACCAGTTCCTTGGGCTTGTGTATTATTTTGGCGAACACGGTTGGGTCCCAGACATGAGATTCTACTGTAGTGATACACCCGTAATCTGATTTAGAAAGTTACTCGATTTTTAAGTCGTTCTAGCTCATCAGAACATATCTCCAAGTGCATCTCCAATACGTCCTGGCCTGAGACCGTCTGTGCATTTACGGAACCCTGAATTGACCACACAGACCCTTGAAATTCTGTTATGGCAACCGGTACCAGTACAAATTGTACCGATATTTGTCCCTTGTTTTGCAACTTACTGTAACTACAGTACATACAGACACCCTCTACTGTAATGGTACATACGACCCTTTTCACCTGTGCGGCTTTTAATCTGCAGTCTTTTGAAAAAATGGTGATGTGTGACATTAAGCAGTTTGGCCAAGTAAGAGCCATCCTGGGAGTTGAGCTCAGAATCCACACACGCTCCGCCGATGTTTATTACTTGTACTTGTACAATAATATTTCCTCTTATATGTTCTACTCTCGCTTAAAAGAGGTAAGAAATCGTCCCACATTTTGCTGTATCCTGGTGTGATTTAGATTTCATAAAAGATGAGCTAAACGGATTGGGCTTGATTGCTGATCAGGGCACTGAGCAGTTTGAAAAGCAAAAAAAGTCGATTATAGCCATTGAAGAGTGAACATGAACATAGAGTGGCCATTTGTACTGTTTCTAGCGACTTTCTGGGCCTATGGCAAGTTGTAATTGCCTACTTGTAGAACCCACCCCACTAGCACTGTCAGTTTGCCTCCGAAGTCCTAAAGATTGCATACAAACATCTGAGGGACCCTTGTTGTAAATCAGCAGATTCTAAAGCACGCAATATAAGAATTTTAACACCGCGATTGAGCGGCACACCAATCTCGGCTACACGTGCTATAATTCCACCCATGTATTCAATTATTAGTGCACGCCCTCCTGGGCGCATATTACTGTTCTGCCCTTGACATCATCAACCCCCCCCTTTCTACATAATGACACACTTCTTCTTCTTCTTGTCCTTCTTCTTCTTGGGCTCGGCCTTGTCCTTGGCTGCGGGCGCGGTCTTCTGTGCGGGAGCCGATTGTTGTGCGGGTGGCGGGTTGGTGGAGGACTGGGCAGCCTTCTGTACCGGGGCAGGAGTCTGGTTGTTAACTGGGGCGCCTCCAGCAGCAACGCCGGGCGTCACGAGGGGCTGGGCAGCTCCTGTGTCGGCGGGCTGCTCAACCTGGCCTCCGTTACGCTGGATTCGGCACGCTCGAACGCAGTCGAAGAAGGCATTTTCAATGTTGACATTGAGCTTGGCAGAGGCCTCGAAGAAGCCAGAGTTGAGCTCTCGAGCCAGAGCCCGTCCATCATCAGTGGAAACGACTCGCTCAGCGTTTCGATCGCTCTTATTGCCGACAATGACCACGCTGAAGCCCTCGTCGTCCTCCTTGACTCGCTGGATTTGCTCGTAGTAAGTACGAATGCGAGAGAATGACGACCGCGAAGTGATACTGTAGACCAAGATGAATCCCTCGCCGTCTCGGATCCACTGGTCTCTCAGAGCAGTATACTCCTCCTGGCCGGCGGTGTCGAGTATTTCCAACATGGCGGTCTGGCCATCGAGCACCACCTGCTTTCGGTATGAATCTTCGATGGTGGGGTCGTATTCCTCCACAAAGTGGTTTAGGCACAGTTGGATGGTGAGAGCTGTTTTGCCGACGCCTCCGTCTCCCAGCACAATGAGCTTGTAGAGCGGCGCCGTGTCTTTGCGTGACATTGTGTGTGTGATTGTGTCGTCTAGCAGAGGAGAGAGTGAGTGAGTGTGGTGTTGTGCTCTGCGGGCCCAACTTAATGTGTGTGTCCAAACTCGCTTTGTTGTTTTGCGTCTCCCAACTGCAACTCGCTTTTCTAATGTGGAGCGTAAGGTGTGGAGGAGACAAATAGGTTGTCTTGTGGTGGAGTAAGTGGGGGTACTGTATGTACTTGTAGTACAATACAAAACGTGCCACAACAAATAGCGTCTTGATACCACCCGCAAGACGTGGGAAGAATAGGTAGTCACAAATAGCTCTAGAGACAAACACCGCTTTAGACACTGCTATTAGCCACACTTCTCGTCTTCATATCTACTTCCGTGCTCCCATTTTGCTTTTTTTGGATTCATTTTTTTAAGCCTTTCCAAACTGCGTCAAAGCTGGCACTTTGACTTGTTTGGCAACACTAAATCGCCCACGTCCCTACACCAGCCATTTCCTAACCCCCATTTAGTGTCCCGGCTCCCATTGTTCCCCCCGAATGTCTCCTAGCTTTCTCCTAATTGTTGCAGTCTCAAGAAGCCCCATTCTGAGCATCTTTCTTGAACCAGCCTTCCCCCACATGCGTCCCTGTTGAACTCAAGAATCTACAGTAGGTCTTTATAGGGCATTGTACAATGACCAAAAGTCGTGCAATTAGTATGTGCGAATGCAACAAGTAGAGGCACAAAACCCCAAGATATTATTTATACCCCAGGCAGTATTATATGTTCGGTTTGACTCGTGGTGAACATCTTTTGCAGTGTCCTTTATCTTGTGGCCATCTAACACACGGTTCTTATGTACACAGGTGCTGCCCATATAGGGTGACCCCCACAATAGCCACCTGATACAAGGACAATGATCCTAACACAGCGCCGTGGACTATCGCTAGACCAACCTACAAAGTAAGAGCCGTAGTCGCCACAATGGAGATGGTGCCGGTGCCTGAACAGAGCCTAGCACAGTCTAACACTTGTACCCCAAGATGACAGAAGTCTGATATGTACTTCACATGCCTCAGTCTGTCACTCAGTCGCATGCAACCCTGTAAGCGAGCTGAAACACCATGTGATAGTGGATACGAGATGTCCAGGCACCGCATCGGGCTCTATATCCCAATATAGGGGCGGCTGTAGAGATCGACAGTTCCCAGGGGCGAACTGGACAAGAACGTACATGGCAGCAGTACGTGCACGCACCTCTAGTCGATCTAAACATGTTGGGGGTATTCTGAGAGACAAGAGGACTCGAACAATGGCGTGTATCACTCATCATGCCATTGTGAGTAGACATACAGTACGTACGAAGAAGTCGCATGTAGCATCTTATTACTGTCAGTGAGTGTACACAAGGTTTTTTTTTTTTTTTGTGCCGAGCTACTGTTTGCAGTATTGTAGTATTGTAGCAGATTACCACAAATGGAAGCATTTCAATACATGGAAAAGATAATCATAGTCACAATCAGCATGAAATAACTACTTGTAGATTTAGTAATTACATAATGCCATACTTTCTCAATTGCAGTAGCTACTTGTAGCACAATATTGCTCCTTAATATGTCTGTACTCCTTCCGCCATCTGAGTAAAGCAGTAAGGGACCAGGTGGTTGGCACACGGTACAGTAGGACAGCATGGTTGGAGAGCAAGTGTAGGAATATCACTACAATTGTATGAGTTAAACAGCCAAATGGTCCCGTCTGTGAAATGGAGATCTGAGGGATATGTCAGGGGTCGCCTCCCACTTCGACATGAAGATGCATAGGCTACTCGGACCATGACGTTCGAATATACTGTAGGATGATGATGGACAAATAGTAGATACCACTTATACGGCTGGAAACTGCGACAAAATAAACACACCACTCAGTCTTTTGGACTCTTGGTATGCTTGCCGGAGCTACAGTAGCTGCGGCACTTGCACTTGCTGTGGTACCAGTAGTTGTACTAAGACTATACCATTGATCTACTGTACATACCATACTGTAGATGTGGTTGTGTAGGTGCTGTGGGAGTGATTTGCACGTCTGTGAGTTGTTTACACACGATATTGCAATTCTAAAAGTACGTCGACATATCCATCACGTCGTCCATATCAATCTTTAGTCTATATACAAGTGAGCCCCTGATCCACGAACACTCGTCTCACACCCACAATGCCAGAGTAGCCGCTTATATTTCGCCCCACTAAAAGCACGCTATCGTCGCTCCCAAATATCCTCGGAAGAACCGCCGGTCATCTTCTCAGCCAGCTGCTTCATGTAGAACTGCTTTATTTTGGCCTTCTTGATCTCCTCGGGATCCAGCTTGACGCCCATGCAAAACTTCCACTTGTCCTTGGGCTTATCGCAGTAATTTAGAGAGCCGAACCGGTACAAGTTTCGCACCTGGCCGCCCACAGAGTAACATGCCACCACCTCGTTGAACGCCTCCCAACACGACATTTCCTCGGGGAAATAGACACGCATGTTCCTGGGTCCCTCCGGCAAAGTCGGCACCTCTAACGGATCTTTTTCGGTCTTTTTAGAGCTCTGCTCCTCAGAAGACACCTTCTTGGGCTTTGGCTTATAGACACCCAGCAGCTCCGAGGCTTTGACTCCAAACATGGCCTCGTAGTCATCGTCGTCTGATTTGGCCTTTGCCTGAGCAGCAGCTGCTTCGGCAGGCGCGGAAGTCGACACCTGCTCCTGAACGGCAGCCGTGGCAGGCTCCTCCTTGGGATTCCTGTTCCAGAACATTCCCATAGTGTGTGATGTGTGTGGTGTCGGAATTACTCGTGAAATGAAATTGAATTTCCGTGTAAGATGATTGAACTCTATACTGTACAGTACATTTTGAAATACTGTAGGGCTGCTTGCAAGTTTGGTCTGGGTGTTTGAAATGATAAGAATGACGTGGAATGCGACTATTTCTAATAGGATGAGGCACAGGCTGACTTACAGTAGTTGGCTCAACGCAGTACTTGTACAAGCAAACCCACAACATCAAAGAGATAGACATCCTCTCCAGCTCCCAACCCTAACCTGGCTTTGAAACTGGTACAATACCTGTTGTAACGGTTTTGAAGAGAGAAGAATTAATGTCTAGCTATGTTTATGGGATCTGAATCGTTAACCAGCGGTGGCTTCACTAATATCATCCTGTTTTCTTACGTGACATATTCACCCTCGACAATTCCAAACAGCACCAACTTAATTAACAGCATGCATATGGGTAAGCTCACCACCACAGGCATGTTGACCCAGTGATTCACCATGGAGAAAACCGTCAAGGCTGCGGAAAACCTGATCGACGCCCAGACAGACTACACAGTCACGTGGCTAGACTCGCTGGAGGTGGTGAATCGCAAACAGACACACAAGTACAAGCAACTTGCCGAGTCGACCAAGGGCCTCGAAAACGATAGAGAGTACCTCGAAGGTCTGAACAACGAGAACGCAAGGTACGTGGACCAGCTCAAACAGGTCCGTGGCCACCTCGATACTCTGGAGAAGCTAGTTGGAGAGGTGGACGAGTGGTCCAAGGAGCTGGAGGTTAAAGTGAGGCGAATGCAACAAGAGAGGAGTTAATCGCTACGACACCAAGACGCGATTACGGACCTTTTGACATGTCTTTTGACACGCCATCTTTCATATTGCCAGAATCTGTCTCTGATTTTGAGTACTGCAGCGAATATCAGACAGCATACCCCCTACAAGTTATGACACCACAACACGATTAATGATTAACGAATAACGACAATAGAATACGCTCAAAAATTTCATTAGGATGTATTTCATATAAATCAATTGCGTCTAAATACATACACAGTAGTAACAGGACAGGCTATTTTTTCTTAGCAGCAGCCTTCTTGGGGGCAGCTTTCTTGGCAGGTGTCTTCTTGGGAGCAGCCTTCTTAGGAGCAGCCTTCTTTTTGGGCTGATTGATGTACTTGTCCTTCGAAATGTCTTCTTCATCCTCTTCCTCTTCCTTCTCCACCTCCTCATTAACCACGTCTCCCGAATCAGGTTGGGCCTTAGACGCCTTCATGTCCATGGCAGTTCCAGACTTTATGTAGGGCACGGGATGCGACGAAGTGTTATATTTTCGAGTGAAGGCAGATTTGGTCTGAGTCTCGAGCTTCTTCATACGCTCTTCTCCACTGTCAGGACCAACACCCATCTCCATGATAGCATCCCAATCCTCTCGGGTGAGATAATACGAGTCCATGAAATCGATCACCTCAGGAACTCCCTCTGCCTTCTTAGCCAAAAGTGGGTCAAGAAGCTTTCGAGTCATCAAAGGCAAGTACTGCTGTCTCAGCTCTCGAGAGTTGCCCGAAGTCTTGTATCCAGCATGACTCTGAAGCTCCTGGAGAGCTCGAAGATGCTTTCCTCCCTTGGAGTTCTGACCCAGCCAGGACGTGAAGTTGAATCGTCCTCGGGCCTGGCCGGCAACGAAAGAAGCAGGCCTAACCGCACTCAGGAACCCATGCAAAGGCATCAGAGACCAGTGCTGCTGGGAGCCATGAATCATCTTATCAACAAGATCACCATCAGATATGGACTCAGCAGCAGCCAACGTCTTCCTCAAACGCTCCTTGTTGTCGCCTCCTCCACTAGGCTGCACGTTGAGATAGTTTTCCTGGATCATGAGAGGAACAAAGTCGTGATCGTTGAAATAAAGCTCAATCTTGTCATTGAGAGTGGCCTTGGAGGAAGGAGCCCATAGGCCTCCGGAAAGCAGCTTTCCAGTGATATCAAAGGGACTCAGAACCACATTCTTCTCCCATGACTGGGTCATCTTCTTACCAGACTCAATATCAAGACCACCCTCATTCTGGTTTCGAGCATAAGTCGACAGCAAGTTGATGATCTGACGAATATCTGAGTTGCAGCCAGCAATGACCTGCTCCAAAACAGGAGCTGAAATTTTGATCTTCTCCTGATGACAGATGGTCATCATTCGTGCTAGGATAGCCTTGGGGTCCATTCGTCGGAAAGGAATGTCCAGAGTCACTCTGTCAAATGGACGCATCTTAGGAAGACCCTTGTCGTTACAGATGAGGATGATTGGCACCTCAGTAGTTCGACACAGGGCAGCCATCTGGCCCACACCTCCTCGATCACCAGCAGACATACCATCGACCTCGTCCATGATCATACAGATCTTCTTCTCTTTGGAAGACTTCGCTGAGCTCATGAAACCCATGATGGAGGTGTTTGTGAGAGCTGAAGAAACGTCCTGAGCAAGCAACTTTTTAGATCGCACATCCGAGGCGTTGTTCTCAATCACATCATAGCCTGCAAGGTTGGCCACCAGATGCGCAGCAGTAGTCTTACCGATTCCAGGGGGACCAGACAGCAGAACAGCACGATAAATGCCAAATCCATCTTTTCCAGGCTGCTTGAATCCATGTTTGGCATTGTCGTGCCAGTTGTTGAGCCAGTTTTGTAGCTTGGTCACCGCTCCCTTGTTTCCGCAAACGTGATTCAGGTTGTTGGGGGCGTATTTGACTGTCCACAGCTGGTCATCCATAGACACAGCCCGAGGGGCTCCAGAAGCGTCCGCCTTCTTGGATGCAGCTTTCTCCTTCTTTTCTCGCGCCGCCATCTCAGCAGCCATCTTTGCGCTCTCAGCAGCAATCTTGTCGGCCTCTTCTGCCTGCTTAGCTAGCGCCTTTTCAGCAGCAGCACCCCCTCCACCGTCAGCAGGCATGAGTCTGAGCAGTTCCAAGAAACCAGCTTCATCCAGAGCCTTGGTTCTGAGCTTCTTGATCTGCTCAATCTTCTTGGGTCCGGCATCTTCTCCCAGAACAACACAGTTGGTCTTACCAGAAATGGAAGAAGTGACCTTACCTCCGTACTTTTTGACTGCGGCCTGACCCTCTTCTCGCGACAAGTTGGGCATGGTGCCAGTGAAAACGAACGTGAGGCCCACCAGACAGTTTTCGGCCGCCTCAGGAAGCTCCACTGCTCCTCCTCCTTCTCCACTTCCAGTGGCCGTGTTCTTGGCCAGATGCTCTCGGAAGTTGAACTTCTTCCCCTCCTCGACCTCGGGAAGCTCGGCGTCGGGTAATTGCGCTAGTACAGACTCTGCTGTAGCCCCTCCAGGTGCGGATCGAGCATTGGGGGCGGCCGTTGGAGCAGCCTTGGGCTTGGGGGCAGCCTTTTTAGGAGCACGCTTGATTTGCTCGAGATCGTCGTCATCGAGATCGTCATAGTCAATGATTGGGCCCTTATTTGATACGCTTGCCTTGGGAGGTGGCTTCTTGACCACATTGTCGTCCTCATCAATCTCAATCACATCGTCATCCTTGACTGGCCCCGATCGTCGTGTTCGTCGCTGCACAGGTTTCACGGGCAAATCATCGTCGTCCACAAACCCGTCGTCGCTGTCCATATCTATCTCATAAGGGGCCTCTCCATCTTCGCTGTCAGAATCGTCAATCTGGATTGTCCGCTTTTTGGGAGCAGGTTTGGCAGGAGACTTGGTCTTAGCAGTGGGATTGGGCTTTGCGGGAATCTTTGGCTTGACGGGCGACTTCTCGGGCTCGGAATTAATCTCCTGTTTGACCTCCTGTTTGACCTTTTTGGGCTTTCTCTCTTCGTCCACAGACGTGGTGGCTGGCCGTTTCTATGTTAGTGGTTTTTGCGTGAATCAAAACAGATGGGCAGTGCAATTGGTACTCACGTCATTGGACTTGGCCGGCGCCTTGGTCTTTTGGGCTCCAAAGAAACTGCGGATATCTTTGGGAGGCATTTTTTTTGCACTGCGTTCCAGTGGTGATAAATGGAAAGCTTCGTGTTGACGCGTTTTGCAGTGCTGCGGTTGGGAGAGGCGAAAGAAGAGGCAGGGGAGTAATTACAACAGAGAGGTTACTGTATATTGTGACTACAATAAGTGATGAAAAATAATCACAGGTAAGAGGTTGTTGAAGCAGTTTATCTATGCAATTTAATGATCGTGAAATGAGTTGTTCTTGTATTGTGGGCAATTATTGTACCCACATGCTGGCTTGCTGCGTGTGATGGCAGGTGGACTTCGTAAGGTGAACAATGTAATAACAGATTAAAGAACAGATTTGGATTATATGACTATTAGTGATCAATTGTAATGGCTTGATGGTCATAAAATCTGTTCACATTGACACTTCAGCCAAGATTCATCAAGTTATAACCCTCTACAGTATGTACTCGTACTTCTACTGCAACACTCACTCCCTCACCCTCCTCCTAACGTCAATCACATGACTGTGCGTCATTAATGCATCCAGAGTTTATTGGAAAAATATGTCCATGCAGAAATAAATTATCCACCCTATTTCAAACCAGCACGCAAATAACACACACAAAAATGGTCAAGGGAAAAGTGACCAAACCGGTCAAGAAGGCTACTAAGTCCAAACAATCGGCTGCCATGATTTCCAAAGTAAAGGACGACTTTGTCATGACTCTAGATTCCGACGGTGAAGATCTGGAGGAGGAGAGTGCAGACGAGAAGGAAGAGGTGGAGGAGAAGCCTGTCAAGCTGACAAAGAAGCAGAAGAAGCAAAAACTCAGTGAAGCCGACGAGGAGCTACTGGAGCGAGAAAAGCAGGCTGCCAAGGCCGGCATCAACCCCGACTTCCAGTTTTCGCTGGACGGATTTGCTGCCACCTCTGAAGGTCTGGACGGCTGGAACTTTGAGGTGTCCAAGGACGACAACAAGGTCCAGAAGCGAGAAGTTGATTTGGACAGCATTATCAAGAGAAAAGGAGGCCTTCTGGACGAGGACGAGGACGAGGACGAGGCCGAGACAGACGTTAAGATGGAGGAGAACGAAGATGATCTGGCCATTGATGGTTTCGGAGGAGGAGTCCAGCCCGGAAAGGACATGGATGAGCCTGAGGACGAGGACGAGGAGAACAAAGAAGAGGTTGAGAATGAAGAGGAGGAGGACTCTGATGGAAGCGACTCCGAGGCTGAGGAGTGTATGCACCCCGATGATTTGGTTTTGGATGACCATAAAGGCCCTGCCATCGACGAGGGACCCCAGGACACTGCCGAGGAGATGGCTGCATTCTACGCTCCCGAGGAGGAGAACAACGATAAGACTGAGTCTGTGCACAAAACCTTTCAGACTCTGAATCTGTCTAGACCCGTCATGAAGGGTATTTCTGCTCTGGGATACCAGGCCCCCACTCCGATTCAGAGCAGAACCATCCCCATTGCTCTCATGGGCAAGGATCTGGTTGCTGGTGCCGTCACTGGTTCTGGTAAGACTGCTGCGTACATCATTCCTGTTTTGGAGCGTCTTCTCTACAAGTCCTCCAAGGTCGCAGCCACTAAGGTTGTGGTTCTGACTCCCACTCGAGAGCTGTCCATTCAGGTCGCCGATGTTGGTAAGAAGCTCGCACAGTATGTTTCTGGCGTGCGATTCGGTCTGGCTGTCGGTGGTCTGAACCTTCGAGTTCAGGAGCAGGAGCTCAAGACGCGACCCGAGGTTGTCATTGCTACCCCCGGTCGATTTATTGATCATGTTCGAAACTCTCCCTCGTTCAACGTTGACGATGTCGAGATTCTGGTGATTGATGAGGCTGATCGAATGCTGGAGGAGGGTTTCCAACAGGAACTGACCGAGATTCTGACACTGCTTCCCAAGAAGCGTCAGACTCTGCTTTTCTCTGCCACTATGAATTCGTCCATTTCGTCGCTTATTCAGCTGTCTCTTTCTCGGCCCGTTCGAGTCATGATCAACCCTCCCAAGCAGGCCGCTTCTGGTCTGGTGCAAGAGTTTGTTCGAATCCGTAAGCGAGACCATCTCAAGCCCGCTCTGCTGGCCTCCATCCTCAAGAAGATGGACAAGGAGCAGCGAACCATTATTTTCGTGGCCCGAAAAGAGACTGCGCATCGTCTTCGAATCATGCTGGGTCTGCTCGGAGTCCGAATTGGAGAACTGCACGGAGCTCTGTCTCAGGAGCAGCGTCTGCAGTCCATCACAGCATTCAAAAAACTGGAGGTGCCCATTCTGGTCTGTACCGATCTGGCTTCCCGAGGTCTGGATATCCCCAAGATCGAGTGTGTCGTCAACTACGACATGCCCCAGACCCATGCTGTCTACCTGCATCGAGTTGGACGAACTGCTCGAGCAGGACGAGAAGGTCGATCCATCACTCTGGTCGGGGAGGCTGCTGCTGACAGAGCCATTGTCCGCGAGGCTATCAAGTCTGTATCTGAGAGTAAACAGGGCAAGGCCGTGGGCCGAAACGTGGACTGGCCTGAGGTCGAGAAGCTATACTCCAAGATCGAGGAGAAGGGTGACATTGTCAACGAGATTCTGGCTGAGGAGAAGGAGGAGAAGGCCATGCTGCAGGCCGAGATGGAGGTGCGAAAGGGAGAGAACCTTCTCAAGTACGAGAAGGAGATTGCATCCCGACCTCGGCGAACTTGGTTCCAGAATGCCCAAGAGAAGAAGGCTGATGAGACCTCGGACAAACGAAATCTACTAGCCAGCAACAAGGACAAGATGAAGAAGAAGAAAGACAACGAGGAGGTCCGAATGTACAAGAAGACCAAGACCGATCGAAAGGAGGCCTCTAAGCGAGGTAAGCCCAAGGGAAAGGGTAAGCGAAAGTGAAGAAAAGGATGGTATATAGTTGAATTTATTGTATAGATATGCAGTCCGCAGTAATGTGTATTGTCTCGATGTTTGAAGAACCCCAAAACAATGGGAGTCTGTGCTTTTTGTTTCCTGTCCTATACAACCATACTGTTGACGTTTACAGCAGACAAATTGAGCCCTTTGCGGGTATTAATACTGTAGATGGACTGGAGTCTCAGCTCCGATTTCCAGCAATATGAAAAATCAAAAGGTAGGCATGGGCCTACAATATGTAGTATTACTCTTAGAGAATTTGGGATGGTAGAAGCTGGACAGCCATCTCCAGCAGGTATTGACCTGAAGTATAACTTAAGCCGACAGTCTACTGTACATACTCTGGATGACCTTTCAAAATAATGTCATTCAACGCACCACCATAGGCTTATACAAGACGAGAACGCAAATAAACACAGAAGACATGAGGTTTAACCCTGACGTCATTACATAGGATCGAATTAAACATAGTAGAAGGCGTCAGAAGCCTCAGCCCACATCGGAAGGGCTCCCACTCGGGAACACTCGACGTTATCCTCGGGGCCAATGCCCATGACTTGTGCCCGAAGAGACATTTCGGTGAAAAGAGTCACGTATTGTTTGGTTTTTTCGGTGGACATGGGCTTACCAATGAGACAGTTGATACCATCGACCCACTCGGCGGCCTGGTCCTCAGTGTCCACGTAGAATACAAGCATGGGGGTGGGGCTCTGGCCATAGATTGACACCTTATGGTGCTTGGTTCGAGTCTGCAGTCCAATAACGTCATGGGAAACCGACTGGGTTCGCACGTGGGTCATTTCGACTCGGGTAACACTGGCAAGCTCGATAGTGTTGGGAGCCTCCTCCCAGGTGGGGTTTCGTCCCTGCTTGGCGTACCCGCCCCACTTGAGCACCTTTCGTCCCATAGCCAGAATGACAAAGTAGTACTTGGTGGGCTGACCAGCAGCAGAGCTCAAGGGGTTGACACTCTGGAACCATTCACCGGCAGACAGGCACATGAGGCGCTGCTCTTTTACGAAGCTCACGGCCTCTTTCTGGAACCGTTCGTGCATTGGGGCAAACTCGTCCTTGAGGTTGGCAACAAACACGTCCTCGATGAGAATGATCTCCTTCTGGCGCATGACAGTGTAGGTGGCATCGTCGAGGTACTGCAAAAGGTCACCGAGAGAGGCGTTCTTCATGTCGGTCTTGGCGGTCTGGAACAGCAGAGCCACAAGAGAGGCAATTCGCTCGTAGTCTACCAGCTGGGCCTTGGAGTCTCGCCAACACTTCAGGAAGAAGGCCATGGCCGAGTTGTGGATATCCATGGCGTCGAACAGGTAAGGGTTCATGTTGTTTGCTCGCAGTGAGTTGGAGATGTCGATAGAGGCCGACGACGATGTGGTGGTATGGGTCTCCATGGTCGACAGAGAAGGAGTCAGCTTGAGCTGTTGGCTCTGTAGATGAAAGTCAGAATCGTTGATCTCAACATCGCCCTTGTTGGGAGGGTAGAAGGACTCAGGGGTATCTGCTCCCAGAATGGCCCAGGCGGCGTCCTCAAAGCCAAAGAAGTCGAGGATCAGCTGGGAAACGGTTCGAGAGGCTCGGGCCAGAGGAAACCGACTGGTGGGCTTGCAGAAGGTCGAGTGCTCGACAAAGAGTTTGGTGAATGTGATATCGTGGGAGTTGATAAACTCCATGAAGTCCAGGTAGGCGACGATCTTGGGGTTGGGTTCCGTGGTGGCAACTCCGAACTGCATGTAGCAGTCTGTGGGCGACGTGACACATGCCTTTTCAAACTGGGGTGTTCCTTCGCTGTCGACACCGACCATCTCGGTGAGACCTGGTCGAGACAGCTCAATGAGTTCGTTGACAAACTTATCCGAGTCTGGGGCTGGGAAGGCACTGTAGAACTTGCGTGTGATAGCCTTAAGTAGGTCCTGCAGGGTACGCAGGTGGGGCATGGCAGCGTTGGTGTGCGATCGCGAGTCCAGAATGGAGGAAATGTTCTTGCCAAAGTCGGTGAGTCGCAGCTGGCAGTAAAGACTGAGGTCGCCGCCGACGTAGACAAGCTTGTGAACGAAGACATTGAGCGTTCTAAGAGCAGAGACGACAACCTGGGTGCTCTTGAACGCCAGCTTGGACACCAGGCCGGCCAGCAGGTTGTGGGGAAAAGAGGCCAGGGCCTCGGGGAACAGATCGGCGAGTCGTTTTTGGCTGGAGGCTAGCGAATGCGACTCGTAGGTCTTGAGCTGGCCCAACATGAGGAAAGATAGCACACTGAGCGATGCACAGACAACAGACGAGATTCGCTCCACACACACGAGGGTCATGACTCGGTGGACCAGCTCGGTATCCAGGAACGAGCCGACGTTGATCTTGCCTTCGGCAAGCAGGCCCGACAGCAGAATTAGGGCGTGCGCAGTATGGGCATCGGCCACATCTTTGTTGATGGCGTCTGAGATCTTGAGGAGGGCCTTAGCAGCTCCTTCAGGGGAAGCCAGGACCTGCTCGAATGCGGGAGAGCCCTGTTTCCACTGCTGGTAGAGCGTTTCCAGGGGGATGTCTCTTCCGGGCATTGTGTGTCTTGAAGTTGTGTCTCGTTCTTGTTGCTGACGAAGACTTGAAAGTGAGGTTCAGTCGACAAGTCAACTACCGTGTAATTTCGGTTAGGCAAGCTTGAAATTTGACCGTACGCTGCACAGTACAAGCATGTCCTTGTCTGGCCTTAGGGTTTAGACCACAGTACAGGCAACAAGACTCAAGCTCCAGACCATGCTTTGCAGCGAGGTTTAAAAATGAAGATCCTTAGATCTGGGGGAATGGTAGGTACTGTAATTGTTCTGTCAACAGATGCTCAGTCAGTGAAATATTTGTAATTGTAAGTCGATAAATCAAAGCTAGAAATTGACATCGCACACCATTGTACCCCGTATTAACTGTCAACGGCCTAGAATAGAGGTTTAGGAAACCCTGCCCCCTTCATTATATCTGGGCCTAACAATAGGATGGTGGTGCTCCAACCCAGCCCATGCTACAGTAACCGCCCCTGGACATGCAGCTAACCATGTGCATGTCTGTCTGTCTTTTTTCCCTGGTTGTCTGTTGAGGAGGGAATTATGTCAATCACACCACTCTACCACTCTTCCAAAAGTGGTCTGAGAGGGAAATAATAGAGTCAGGAATAATGGAAATGATGTTAAACCCCCATCTATGGCTTTTTTTTCCGTTCTTCCGGCCGTTAGAGCTGTTCACTGACTCGTTGTTATGAACCCCCTATTTTTCACTCTGCAAATGGCTGCCAGCTGGAACCTAATCAAAAGGCAGCCAACGGACCAACTTACTGCATGCAACAGAAATGCCGGCACAACGGTGTTGCTTTGGTAGTAGCCACCGGCTGTACTGTACCAGTGCGCGGGTAGCGAGTCATCTCTGATATGTATTGTCCGACAGTTTGATCCGGTCTGGTAGTTGATTTCTTTTTCCAATACAAAAATCTACATCGGATCGTAGATCACAGTGCATCCTCACATCTCTCCCCTGACCATATTTTGAAGTTCTTCCCAAACTCTAGGACCGAGACTCACATATAATAGATAGACACAGTACTCGGGTCGGTTCTAGAAAGCTTGGATGAGACATGCCATGTAGACTATATCAGGTACGAGTACGAGAAAACAATGTGCGATGGAGATAGGATCGACATAGGGTTGAAAGGGATTGTGTGATTGCAGGAAGTATAATTTTCAAGTAATACTGTAATGAATTATGCCAAGCGGCCTGTCGTGCCCACTATTGGTACACGCTGGAACTTGTCTACAAGTAGACCCGCAAATTGGCGCTAGTGATAATGATACGTGTTCCAAACCACTTGCAGCCTCCTTAGCGCACGGGATGTGCGTATCCGTTCGTACCGTGCACACATACCGTTTTCCCTGTGGCTAATAATGGTGGTCGTTCGTCTCGTACATCTCAGTCAACCTCATTTGCTTACTGAGTCCATGTTCAACCGTGTGTGTTCGAGTTTGAGTCGTATCGTATCCATGAAAATGGAGCTTTATGGGAATCGAAGACTTGACTTTGTGATAATCAATTTGGTTAAAAGGAGGTCAAAGCGCCCGGGATTCGGGCGGCGGTACACGCCATTCTCGCAAACGGTATATGGAACCGCATATTAATGCTCTGTGGCTCTGTGATGCCCAGGAACACGGTTTAAATTGCAAAAAGAAACAGCATATCCCATCATGCACGAAACTGCAACTCTAACGCGTCCACCACACAACATGGGGAAGAATCCATATGAGCCCCTGGAAGACATTTCTCGACGACTGAAAATGTCGCTGGAAACCACGATGCAATCGCATACGCAGTTTCGCTGCACGGAGCTCCGTCTGCACAACATTGGTCTTGAAATGAGCCAACTTCTCAACAGAGCGAAAACCGGCAACGAGCTCCTCAAGGTGGAGTACAACAACGAAGAGAGAGGTGGTGATGAGCGAGAGGCCAATTTACCACGTGAACAATAACGTGATTATATTACCCCGTCAACTGAGCACAGTTTGGAATGTGTTCTACATCTCCACATATATGCCACCCGATCGCGAACATTCATGTACACTTGTATTCAAGCACAACGTGATCCAACAAATGTCAATTATGTAAGGCACCCTATTTATACGATACTATATATTTTATTTACTTGATGACTTGATATATATGATACACAACCTCCTTCTTAGATCCTTCCGCGAACCATGGGTTTATTCCTTCGGCGTGTAAATGAAAGGCTCCTCAATCGTATCTTCTCGCGATGAACGAGAGGTCTCACGAGTTTCATTGGCTTGTTCCAGTTCTCGGATGCTAAAGGATGTGAAGTGAGAGAGGAGCAAAAACATAGTCGCCAGATACTCCATGGTGGTTCCCATGAGATATTCTCCAAGAAGGAATTTGATTTTAAGGCCACTGGCGCTGTAGTTGTTGAAGTCATAGTAGTTGAAATCGCTGACCAAAGCAGCGATAATTCCAAAAGCTCCTCGGACCAACAATGGTGGTCCAGCCAACAGCACTGCGGTCAAAGGAGCTCCTCTGAGCTTCTTGCCAAGCCACAATCTCACAGCGTAGGCTAACAGAAAGACACATCCGCCAAGGAAGATGGACTGGCCAACCACACGCAAGATCTTTCCCTCCGTAACCAATGGTGACGTGCTCCATTCATCTTCATCCACTCCTATGGTTCGCGTACCTCCAAAAATGAGAATCACGTTGGCGGGGATGAGCAAGTAGTGGAAGTAGAATGAGACGTCGTGTCGAAGGTGCCAGACGAAGCGGTCATAGGAAGCGCTCGGACCTTTGCGCTCCTTGAGTTCAAGAGGTAGCTTGGGGTGGAGAAAGGAATCACCAGTCACAAGTCTTTCAAACACAGCAACAAAATGGTAGGCTGCCAAAACAATGGCGAAGTACCCTTCAGCCCCGAGAATCAAATAGGCAATCAACCACTCATAATGCTCCCAGCCTTGGATAGAGAAGCCCACCCCGGATATCTGAGCCCCTACTCGAATCAGACACACGAGGGCGATGAAGGAGAAACGCGTCTTAAAACCCCGTTGGATAAGGATGTAGATACAGATGATCAGCGCGAAGAGATACAGCACCAGAAAGGTGAGAGCAGCAGCTCCCATATGTTTGTCGAAGAAGATCATGTTGATTGTCAAATAATGAATCGGACATGCTTGTCATTACAAGTACTTCTATATATGCGACATCGAGAAAAACAATCTGTCAAACCTCTTTGTTGAAGGTCTTCGTTGTTGACTATGTGTGCTCTCGTATTTAGCCGCACTGCCATAAGACGTTATGATACAAAATATGTACGTAAGTAATTGAATGTACACGTGAGAAATCAACCGAGTTTGTCATTGGATGAAACCACACAGAATGGTTTAAATTATATAAGATAGGACCTGCCATCTACCTGTACATTTCATACCTATTATTCTGACCTCCTATATCACTATTACAAGTACTTCCAAACCTACAGAACTCTATTAATTTTAGTTACAGGTGGCAAATGACGCCAAACCAGTGTGTCATCTAACGAAGGTGGTTGCGGCCAAGTCAGTGGTTATCAGTCAGGCTGTGTTCAAAACAAACATCCTGTGGTCCAACCCTCTGCGATTAGTCTCATAGCTTTTTCCTGCACACAGCCTGCATGCGCCCCACACATCACCAGTTGTGGAAGGTGCCAAGAGAACCTCGTTTAGCTGTGGAGGAACCGTAGCTGTACCCACTGAGCGAGCACCATTTTTGGCAGAAACAATGATATCAAATATCCCCGGTATATTACGGTATCTCTTCTCAGTATCGTAGCATACTCACTACTAGCAGTCATGCTCATAGCTTCGGTAAACACTACCTCAGGGCTGTGTAATATTAAAGAAATAGACTACTGTAGTTCTAGTAAACTACTACACTAAACAATCCAGACCCACTCGAACCTGCATGAGGCAATGCTTTTTATGGAGTGAGTATGACTTGCCTACTCCCCCCCTACTCCAGTGAGCTGCCCACTGACAACTCAATTCGCACGTCACATAATACATGTACATTACTCATTAAAATCCATCTCGATTACTTCTTCTTGCCCTTCTTCTTGTTCTTTTTCTTCTTGGGTGAAGATATCGAAGCGGGTTTAGGTTCCGGTTGGAGTGATGGGGCTGAGTCGTCCTTGTCATCTTTACCATCATCCTTAGCCTCATCGGCTGTCTCCTTTGACAGATCAGGCGTACTGGTGGTTTCGGACTCCGCCTTGGTCTCGTCCTTGTCGGCGGACTCAGGCTTGTCAGCAACCTTCTCAGGTTCAGCCTGGACTTCCTCCTTAACCTCCTCGACCTCATTCTTGGCCTCTTCCTTGACAGTGCCGTTTTCTTTTGCGCCATTTTCACTATTTACAGCATCAAGTTCGGTCGTGGTTCCAGTCTCACCCTCCTCCACCTCGCCTTTCATCTCCTCCACCTTGTCCCCCACCTTGTCCTCCACCTTGTCCTCCACCTTGTCCCCCACCTTGTCCCCCCTCTCCTTCTCTTCCACGGCAGCCTCATCCAATGCGTCAATCGTTGACTGGGCCTCAGACTCCTTAGTACCAGAAACAGCCTCCTTGGTATCAGGCTCAGATGCGATCACCTCATCTGCGTTCTCTGGCCCAGGCTCGACCTTCACTGACTCAGCGTCTGCTCCCTCTGGCACAATATCATCGCTGACGTGTTGAGACTCAGAATTGGTCTCTTCAACGGCGACGTCTCCTGTCTTGGATTCCTCTCTGGATTCCTCCTCCGATGCCTCCTTGGTCTTCTCCTCAACGTTAGTGGAGTCCATCTCTGTATCATTAAGCTCCATTGCTGTCTCCTTGACGTCCTCAGTTTGAGACTTCTTTGCATCATCCTTAGATTCCACCTGGTGGCCCTCAACATCCTTCTTGACCTCGGGGACAGGTTCAGACACAGCAGTAGAAACCTCTGCCTTGGACTCGTCCTTGGCCTCATCTTTAGGAGGAACTCCAGTAGGAATCTCAAGTTTGGACTCCTCTGCCACACCCTTATCGTTAGTCACGGGTTCGGTTCCCTTCGGTTGGGGTACTGCGGCAGTCTCTGCCTTGTCGCTAGGCCCCTCCGTATCCGACCTCTCCTTGGGCTTGTTCTCCTTCGCCAACTTGGCAGCATCCTTCACCGGAGACCGTGAACGCGAACTCTCACGAGTCTCTGCTGCAATGGCTCTATTGATGGCGTCCTTAGCAGCGGTCTTCGCAGCAGACTGCGGAGCTTCAGTCTTGACTGGACTGGTGGTATCCTCATGCTCGCCATCGGAGTTGATATCTGCAGAGAAGAATTCTTCGGCAGGCTCTGCAGGCTCAGCTGGGGTGGGAGGAGCAGGAGCCGGCTCAGGGGCCTTGGGAGTAACAATCTCAATGCTTCGAACGAACTCCAGAACAGCAGTGCCAGCGTTACCTGAACCATCGATCAGAGAAATGCGTTCAGAAAAGAACTGAGCATCAGCAAGCATGTGGTTCTTCTCTACCTGTGTCTTGATGTGTGCGTTGCCATAGTCCTCGAGTAGTTTGGACTTGTAGTTGTCAACCACTTGGGACATGATTAGCTGTGTTAGAATACTATTGATGTAGCGCTGTTAATGTGTGATTTCTGATACTCACAATGTAGTTTTCGCTGGCAAGAACTTTTTTAAGACTCTTGGACAGGGTGTTAGTGTCACTAATGAGCTGCTGCATGTACTCATGCACTCCGTTGGCGGTTGTGACGGGCTTAGACCAGTCGATCCGCCGAAGAGTACGAGAGTGGTTGACCATCCGCTCGACCATGATGGAAACGAGCTTGGTATGAATGTCGTCCTGATGCTTAAGCAAGTCGCGCTTGGTCCGATCAAACTGGGCAGGAATCTGTTGCGACGTTACATGACGTCGACAGTACTCTCTCATGTATGGAATGAGGGTTACGATGAATCCCAGAGACTGGGACACTAGCGCCAGGTTCTTGGCAGAAATATGCGCCAGCTTTGCTGCACTTCTCGTAGCCCCAGCTTGAAGAATTAGCTCATTAGCAGACACATTGTACCGCTTGATCAACGAGGTAATGACATCCACAAGTTCGGGAGTCTGACCAGGAAAGATGACGACGAGCTGGAGAAAACCCACTAGTCCATCGACCAAGTGGGTGGTTCCGTTGGGGATAATAAAGGAGGCTGCTTCGACAAACACATTTTTGGGCCGCATTTTCCCTTCCTTGGGGACATCTGTATTGTTGGGAGTACCGCCCATAAGATTGACAAAGAGCAACTCTTTCCACTTGATAGGATCCTGAGTTGCTGCGGCAACGATATCATCCACCTTCTGTTGTGTTTGTGCGCTGATTTCCGTGTCCTTCCATTTGTCCTTTTCCAGCTCTGAGAGAAGATGTTCATCGGCACGGTTAAACAGCGTTTGGATGAACTGCTTGAGATGACCCACAAGTGTAGTTTGTAGAGGGTTAGAAACCACGCCAACAGACTGCTCGCATTCTCGGACAAAGATGCCGTTGAGAGCGTAGAAGTTGAGAAACAGGTCACATGGCAGTTGTGCAGTCTGTTCTCGTCGGGCGTTGACAATCTTGGTCATGTATGCGAGCTGTTTGTCCACCGTTCCAGAAATGACCTGTCGGAGACCAAAAGCCAGTTCCCCACACTGTTCAAGAAGGGCTGGCTGAGATGAAATCAGATCAAGAAGCAGTTTCTGATGGGTCAAAAGTCGTCGCACAAATTCAGAGAGAGATGCGTATATTTCAGCAAGCGTGTTTTCAAACTCGGAGGCACTAAGAGCCCGCAGTTTGCCTGCCAAAGCCATTCCTCGCTCAGAACGAGATGCCGCAGAGCCGGAAGACACGCCGGAGACTCCTGATAGGCCGGAAGACATGGAGTTTGTATCTGTCGAAGATGGAAGGTGCTGTTTGATAAGTCTTCGCGAATAGTCCGCAATAGCGTCCTGATAAGCCTTGAAGGCATCCTGCACCTGACCTGCTCGGAGAAGCTGATTCAGTAGAGATGCAAGTTTACCTCTGAATGCAGGATCCACGTCGTTGAAAGAGGTATTCACTGCTTCCGGGGGGCTGGCTCTGTTTCTCTGTCGGTTGAATTGTTGCATTAGTCGCACAATTGTGTCTCCGGTGGGGACAGCTTGTCCGTGGCTCTGTAAGTCGTCAATCAGCAACAGAGTGAACTGCTTACCAATCTTATGACCTACCTTCACACGCAGAGACAGCAGCGAATCCCGCAGGGGTTTGAGACCCGTCAAAGGAGAGAGATTGGAGATTGGGGTCTTCATCTTGACGGTTGTACTCGCCAGATACTCCGAGTCACCATGAATAAGTGCATCCGTAGAATCGACCAGTTCCAAACAAGGCAGCAGGTTTGTCTGTGGTTGTTCTTCCGACAGTCGTTCGGCCTCTTGGAACAGTCGCACAATTTCCTGTAGCTGCGTGACTCCATTTTCGAGTTCTTCCACCTGAGCATACTGTTGTTGTAACTGGACCATCTGAAGTCCTCTCTCGACGTGGATCTGGTCCAGCGTCTGCATCTGAGTTCTTAGGTCGCGCACCACCTCCACGGCCGACTCCGTGTCGCTGTGGATCTGTTTGAGCTCATCAATGGCCATGAAGAACGAGTCCGATGACTTGCTGATTTCCTCAATCAGGTTCACTTCTACCGTGTCGATGTAGTAGCTCAGTTTTTCCTGCAAAATGTTGTATGTGGTCACGTCCGTCTTGTGTTCGGTGACCGTGTCGAAAATACGCTGATTGTCTAGCCGAAAGTCGGGTTCAAAGAAGGCTTGAGGCACTGAGTCCAGACTGCTGTTGACGTCTCCAGGCACGTCCGATCCACCCCGTTTCAACTGACAATACTGTCGGTACTCCTGTTGGACCTCCTGCAAGTACTCGTTGTACTTTTGCTGGCTGACTCGCGCAATGGACGGCAGCTTGACCTGTTCAATGTCCTTGATGGTTGGCGGCTTGTAGCCCTCGGTGGCTTCTACAAGAGAGCCAATGGCGTTGGGACCCAGGTCTTCGCTGCCGAGTTGCAGCGATTGCCGCGAACTGCTCACCGATAGCCGGGACATGGTGTGATCTGTCTGGCGTGTGACGGCTCCTTGTATGGGGTGTGTGTGTTGTCCTTGATGGTGGCATTATGCATGCATACCATACTGTCCAAACCTGGTCCAGGGTTTGGGCTTGTCGGGGGTGACCTGTGGGGGCCGATTGGCTGGAAATGGGGGCAATACGAGTAGCGGTGATGGATTTCTGAAATCTTTTATTTTGATTTACACCTTTTTTAGGACATATTTACAAACATTGGCGTTATTCTACGACTACTTATCCATCCCCCTGTATATCGCGCGAGTAAATCTAAGCTTGTTGCAGTGCAGTGTTGGGTATATAGTTTTCGGAATGATCATCTTAGCTCCATCTGAACACACAAACACGCGTACTGTAATCTGAACAGATCAAATAAGGCCATGGCGTTATTCAGCGTTGAGTTGATGTTCAATTGCTATTTATATCTTTCTCAGCATTAGCTACCATGTCAGTTAGAGTACATACTGTACTCGTACCACCTGGCTTCGTGGCTATGCAGATTGCGCTAAATAATCTATGAAAAATGAAGAAGAAAACTGTTGTAAGTGGTAGGAGCATCACTGGTTTCTAGCAGTCATATTGTTGGCAATGTCTCCTCGTTTTTAATTGTACTTGTACTGTACAAGTACGATGCTCGCTGTATTTCTCAGCTTCCCCTTTCTGTGACAATTGTCGACTCATCTACTTGTACCGGCACATACTTGTACATACTGTTCTTCAACATCCGCCAGCTACAAGGCCACCAGCTACATCCATATGTGCATCTATCAGATATCCTCCCACTGTATACATATGCTGATATTAATACTATAGGACTACTCAAATGTCGCCCTATTCGTTGCGCCGGTTCTCTCAACCGCGCTAGTTGCCACTGCTGGCAGATCCCCAGCCCCACAGATTACTGGCCATATCCTTGGCCTTGTCAATCAACCGTTTCTCACTGGACCCCGACCCCGTGCTTGATGTGGAGTCTGTACTAGGGCTTCGGAACGCCTTTGGTCGGTCTTCCTTCTCGTCAATCAGCCCAGACACATTTTCAGTCGACGTACTGGTGGTTGGGGTTGCCGTGGTGGCAATGGACCGTTTCGGAGAGCTCACGCCCTTGGAGAAAGTTTCGGAAGACTCAGCAGGCTCAGAGGCTTCAGAAGCAAGCTCAGTTGGTTTGCTGTCGTCATCAGAATAATGGTCATGAAGAGCAGCGAGCTCATCATGATCATGGTGATCATCCGAGTCGGAAATCAGTCCGTCCAACGTTGCCACCTCAGAAACAGTACCCACAATGTTCTTGTCAGTCTCCTGGGTTCGAACCTCTATGGGTTGGGCTGCCAAAGCAGCCTGGGCCTGTCGCACCTGCTCCAAGATGTCCATGTACTTTGGTTTGGGAGAGCCCTCGGGAGAACCTGTGGGGCTAGGAGTCAGCGAGTTGGAAGGCGACTCCATATATGGGGCCTTGGGGATGATGCTTTCATTGGCTTGATGCTTGTTGACTGGGGCTTGGTACACTGAGTTGTAATCGTAGTGTGCGTAGTCTCGTCGTCGCGAATTGTTGTGCGACACAGCGGAGTGCACGGTTGCAATGGCATTACACTCAGCATCCATGGGATCCTCGTCATATGCATACTTCAACGAGGTGGGAGGAATGGGTGCAATTGTTCGCACTGCCTTGAGAGGGTCCGTCTCAACGTCGTTATCAGAGTCGTCTGAAAGGTCTTCATTAGAGCCTCTTCTTCCACCGGAACCAGGCTGCTCGTTCCGGGCCATACCGGACAACTCGGGTCGATGCATAGATGCCGAGGACGAAGATCGCACCATGAGAAACAGACCAGGTTCGTCGTCCTCCTCGTCGAGCTCGTCCGAGTCGGAATCGTCAGAATCCGAATCCGAGTCGTACTGGTCTTCCTCGTCAGATGATACGTAGTCCAGAGAAATGCATTGCTGGACCTCCGAGTTGAAGTGGATGCGACGCTTGGGCTTCGTGGGGGGAGGGGCCACTGTAGCAATAGGCGTGGCAGCCTCGTCTTCTTCCAAGACATTATCCTTGTTAGCAGTGGGAGGAGGCGCCACCAACTCGTCTCTAGAAGGTGTGGCCGAGGGGGTCACCGAAGAGGGTGTAGTGGTACCATCTTCACCCTCTCCAGCGGACTTGCTTTTGGGAGGCAGCTTGTATTGGGCGTTGAGCTTGTCGGCCAGAGTGTCGACCTCCTCATCAGTCATGCCATAAGGGTTCTTCTGTCGGTACTGATGGTGGCGGAAATACGACTTGACCACCTTGTCTTTGTCGTCTCCAGCAGCCGCAATTGCAGCGGGGGTCACCGCGGAGTCGTCCTTGGACCGACGCATTGGTGGAAGTGCCAGAATCATCTCTGTTGCGCTTCGTTTCTTGAGAATCGACTTTGTGTCTCCCGCAGTAGCTCCCTGCTCCTCCTTGTCGGAAGAGGCGGTCGGGGTCGCATCTCCAGCAGCAGCTCCTCCAACGCCGGAAATGTTGGCCTGCGAAGAGGTCCGGCAAAGGGGCCCGTACAGCCATGTGACGTCGTAGTCCTTGAGCCAGTTAACACTCTCGGGCGACACAGTCTTCAGGTTGTATTTGGCCTTGGCCCAGGTTCGCCACGACGCATTTTCCAGCCGGGCCGAGTTGGCCACCTCCTTTCGACGCAGCACAATATAGCGCCACGACGACGAAATGTCCGACTCCTTCCAGTCATGGGACAGATAGTCCACGTGTCGCGACGGCTCGTAGTGCACGTCCGAGTCATCGTGAACCGGGGCCGCTGGAGGCTCTGCGGAGGTGGTCACAGCGGATTTAGATGGGTCTGTGGCCTCCAGCTCAGGCGACGACACAGAGCTGATTTCGTGGGTGTCTGTATCGTCTTCTGCAGAGCTTATCGACGAAGCCTGGTCGTTACTTTGGGTAGTCGGGGCAGTGTTGTTGGTGTTGTTGAGAGAGGCTCGTTCCAGCGCCAGCCTGGCCTCTTCTTCTTCTCGCTCCTTTATCATTTCAGCCGGTCGATGGGAGTCGTCGAATCCCATGGACCGTGATCGTTTCAAAGCAAAGTTGTCCATGGTAGGGATGAGTGACGAGACCTATGTGTGGTGTGACAGAGGTGGTGTAGTGAAAGACTCTGTGATGCTCGTATTGCGATGCTATGATGCCCGTGGAGTGTCTTGTCTCGTGTGGTGTAGTGCGTTGCGTAGTCTGGTGTGGTGCTGATGATGTATCGACGGTGTAACAGAGTCCGCCACAAGGACGATTATTTTTGCGCAAGGAAACCGCCTCTGTGTGTGTGTGGACGGAGATTCGTGTGGTGTTGGGGTCGTCGCGTTTGATCGGGGACGGTTGTGTGTGTGTGTGTATGTGGTCACGTTCGGGCCGTGTTCAGTGAGGTTTGATGGGATAATATGGATTGCGAATTTTATCACTGTACAGACTTATGCTTACGCTGGCTGACAGACTCCAAAGGGAGAACTCTGTGTGGTATTGGTGCGGAGAACGTGGGAGGGGGCACCGACGCTTTGATGGACTGAGGTGACAGACACTGTGCAGGTGTCGCACAAAAAGAACAGACAGAAAAAACAACCACAGAATCACAGGTGAACTCGCTCTATGAGTCAGGGCTTGTGGGTTGGGTTGAACCGATGCTTCTTCGTTCTGGTGTCCTTCTTGTGCTTATGCTCTGCACGCTTGGGTCTTCGAAGTCAAAATGTGGGTCCGAGACAGAAGAGACGCAGTGCAAAGTCGGTGTTGCAAGAGGAAAGTAGAGGCTTTGGCCGACCCTCCGTGGCTTATATTTTCACATTTCTTTCAAGTATGAGTACGTTACCACCAGTCCGACCTATCTACGAGACTTTGGGGCTTACCACTCAACTGTGGGGTATCTTGCGCATACAAATACCAGTACAGGTACAAGTAGGTCATTTTTGAGAACGTCCTTTGAGGCACACCGCACACATGGCAGGGTGAATATAAAAATACCTGAACAACTTGAGGGGTCTGTGAGGCACAATCCGAAAGAGAGATCCGCGGGACCCTCACAATGGCCTACACAATCTCTACTGGCGTTTAAAACACCTCTTTCACACCTCCGACGGATGTTATTATGGAATGTCCATAATTCTGGTGATTCAACACCAAGACTCACAGGTGGGGCCAACCTGACGTGCCTAATTGCTACAGTAAATCCCGCACGGGGAGGGTCCGGTTTTTCGCGCCAACCACAAGTATTAGCCACTTACAAACCTCTAATATCGCGTAACATTACTTGTGATAAACCACCTCCTACTTCCCGCTACTGTGCCGCTGCCACCACCACCCTACAGAGGCGTACGTCCATATGTGAATTAGCTACCTCGTACTTATAATTCCGTACCAGTTCAAAGCGTAACTAAACTTTATGGAAAGTTTGCACCCTAAAAAGTTTTGACACCAGCGAGAGTAACAGTCTCTGGTTAACGAGTAAGTGCACGTACAAGGTCTTAAGTAGGAGCCAGAAACAAAATCAGAACATAAACCAGACATGTTTCATTTTGGGCACTCCTCTGGTGTCGCGTAGATATCCTCTTTTGGACACTGGAGACACCTCCTACAGACCTTCCTTCCAACACGCACCCATGACGCACTATTTCGCACACTCCGTGTCATTATCGCTTTGGGACATTATAACCTACTTTGTACCTGAGTCAGGTGGTGCAGACACCGCCAAACCCCCACCACAGCTCAGCTCATTACGCAAAATCACATCCCAATTACATAACCTTCGGGGATTGTATCCTGTGCTCCTCCTCTCCAGGTTTGCAACCTTCGAACACGTCGGGCTTAGCCACGCAACCCCTAATCGAGACCTTCTTCCCCGCACAAGAACGTTAACCCAATGGGGTAGGAGGGCGCAGAGCGACATAGGTCCGTGAGGGAATGCCCAGAGCCGAGGGTTAATCTATGGCTGAACCACGTGTCTCGAAATTCTGCAGATCAAGGCCCATGGTGCATCGTTATTTGCGAGCAGCCGATGCCCCCACATTCTAACGGTCGGATTAGACCGGAAACAGTCTGGGGTGCATATCGGAATAAAACGGATCGAAAGTTAATCCTCGTGGGGCTATATAAGCTTAGTAAGATAGAACAGCAGGAAATCTGCAACACCCCGATGCAGCACCGAGTAGAAAGTGAACAGAAAGTCAAGTCAGTTTCCGGATAAAAAAAAAAAGACTCCAAGGACGAGGGTGATTAGTCAGCGATTTGTATTACTTCGGATCAATTACTTTGGCGAGGACACCGACTGGATCAGACATCACAAAAAACAGTTTCGCAGTGTGTACGAGAATGAGGGGCATCACATTGGTGATTATATTATGAGACATTCAACTCATTCTACTGTAAAACACCGCTATTTTCGGATGCCATAATAGTCTACCGTGGTCACATGGCTAATGGTCCATTGATGGCTCTGATACGTTCAGCTAATCAGCCAACGGTGGTATGAAGTATGTACATACAATACCAGACCTGGATCAGCATATTATTTGGAGACACAACTGTAGCTGGTTGTAAGGGAGCTAAAGATAAGCCAGAAGAGGGGCCCTGTGTTTGGAGTGGGAAGGGTTAGGTTGTCTTTAGATGGGGTCCATCTTCTAATGTACAAAGACTCTTCTATGTATGAGAGCCACTTCTTCCGGTACTTGTTCTGTAGAACAAGAAGATATACTTTCACAATAATAAAAGATTACAAGGGCAGTACATACAGTACTTGTATGTGTTATGACAAGTACTCGTTATTGTAATGCATACACGGGAGCTGAAATCAGTTTCTCTTTCACATCAATCCTCTGTGGTTGCAGGCTCTCTATTGCTGTCCTGACAACATTGGAGACTCAATTGCCTTCTTTCTACAGGCACGAGTATGTACGTAGTTAGGTAACAAGAATAAATACATTTTAATTATGCGTAATGCCCAATCCAACCACTTCTATACCTTGAGACCGACCTCATTGCCATCTTCATCTCGCATGACGGCAGCTTTGCCCTGGTGAACCAGCACTTGGCAAACCTTGTGGAGCATGGTGGAATCCATACCCACCATCTCAGGTACTCCCGGACTATCGTCTCCGGCAATATCGTAGAATGTGACAATGGATCCGTTTTGGCCTGTGCTATCGATCCATGCGAGAATCAGCGTGGCCCACTCCTCGGCGCTTCTCCACCAGATCCACACCTCTGTTTTCGTCTTGGAGTCGACCCAGTCGGCCTTTTTGTTGCTCACAAGATCTGACAGAACCAGCTGGATCACATCCGGTTTCAGTCGTCTCTGGATCTTTTTGTTTTCGAAAATGCTGTCTGTGTTGCTGAGCCTCCACTGTTTGGTTTCCCGACTGTGGGTCAAAATCACGTCCTTCCAATGTGATAGCTGCGCCTGCCACGTGGTTTCGTTGGGCTGTCTTGTGAAAAATGGCGGGAAGTTGTATATTTCACTGTTCATGGCGCCAGAGGATGTGTAGTGAACTAGGTGTCGTTGGCGATGGTGTTGTGCAGTGCAGAAAGACTGGTCAGTTGGACTGTCAACAAGGTTACAGCGAAGTGTTTCGTGATCTGAAGTTTTGCTAGGGTTTTTGTTAAGCATCAAAGATACAAGTCGCGGTGAGACCATAACCATAAGGAGATTATAACTACGAAAAATCGTCGAGCAAATATATAGTGTTTCTTCTTACATCAACAGGCTTCTTCTCTGTTGAAGCTACTACAGTAGCTGCTGTACTACAAGTAGTACATACTGTAGAGTGGCTTGTTCCCAGTCCACGCACCATCCATCAGAACCCTATTTACAGTAGTTCCATCATCTCCACTTACAAGCAACCACTCTCTAGCCATAACGAAGACAAAAACTAAAGATACCCATGAATCTCACTCAAAGTTCGTTGGATACCATTTCTGCCATTTCTAAGCATGAAACCAGTATCCCTCAGCTCGAGAAGCTCACATACAGAGTTTTAAACGAGACCGATGCTACAATCCTCGAGAAGCTCGATCTTTACGAGTCTCTGGCACTGGAACGAGCCGTCAAAGAGTCAGATGTGAGTGATCTTCCCGAGGACTTGAGGGAAGCAAACATTGAGACGCTTAAAAGTCGCGTGAAGGAGCTGGAAACGCGCTTGAACGTCCAAAGGCGCGTCACACGCGACTCCATTGCATCCTCAAGCATTCTCAATGCCATTCACCACGGACGAGAAACAACTTTTCACGAGTCGTCACTCCTGCCACTACTGGCTCTGCGAGACGAAAAATCACGTGACCTTCTTGACAGCCTGATAGTCGTCACTGGTCTCCGCAAACAGCTGGATGTATTAATATGCGAGAACCGTGCTTCGCTGGACACGCAGCGGTCGATAGTTCGGTCGATTGAGAAGGCCAATGACAAGAGCGCGGACCGTCATCAAAACAACCAGGCTATTAGTGAGCTCGAGGCCAAGCTACACAACACCAAAAACAAACGACGAGTTCTGGCAGAGATTTTCACAGCTCTGATCACCGCCTCTGGGATCGATTGGTGTGAGGACGAGGATTTGGTTCAGCTGATTGTTGGCGCAGGAGAGCTGAACAGGTAATAATGAGAAAGAGTGAGCTATTTATTGGATGTCTATGGGACAATGACTAATGGCGTAAGAACTTCGGTTTCTAACGCTGGAAGTGAGGTATTTCTAATGAGTAGATGGGGGGTCTGAAAAGAATACTGTACTGAGCTTCAGACTCATGAGCAGAGCTCCAGCACGAGCCTCTGGCTACACACTAAAGTAAACATTAATGCTTTCTATTTTTGATACATGGACAAACAGTTGTACAACGTGAGCAGATTCAGGTATACAGAGCACTAGATAGTGTCTACGTGAGCCACTACAAGTACGTGAAAACCGTGGGGAGACGTACTGTTGCCGACATCCCTTACATGATAAAATCATTCAACTATATACATTCAGATCCCCCTTTTTTATATTCATCCCTTACTGGGCACCAACAAACAGTCTAGCGTTGACAACATCCCAGTTAATACACTCCCAATAGTTCTCCAAGTAATTGTACTTGCCGTTGACTCCGTAGTCGTCCACGTAGGCTTGCTGCCACACATTGACGGCCAGCAGAGGCAGGATGGACTCCTTGAGGCCCTTTCGCACAGCAGCCTCAATGTTTTGCTGGTCCCGCTTGACCTCCTCGGAGGCGGGGAAGTTGAATTCTTGATGCTGGAATCGCTGGAACGAAAAGGGAGATCCTGCGTTGTGGTGAGCCGAAATGTACATGTTCTTGTCTCCTCCCTCGTAGAGGAAGACCCATCCGTTTCCGGTCATCTCGTCGGCGGTAGCCAAAAAGTTCTCTCGGGCTCGCTCCATGGACTCGAACTTGTCCTCCAGTCGAGAACGCAGGTAGTCTGTCGGCGCTGTGGTCTGGGCCACGGGCTTCTCGGCCAGAGCCTCGAAGAAAAAGTGGTTGTTGAAGGCTTGAGAGGCAAAGTTGAATGTAGCAGCCTGATCTCGGTCGGCGGCAGTGAATCGCAAAATATCAAAAGGGGATCGCGATTGCAGAGGAGTGTCGACGGTCAGGTCAGTGAGCTTGGACACCAGGAACCGCTGGTAGTCGGTCCAAGCGGTGTTGAAGCCGTTTTTGGAGTACAGACCCTCCAGGCCGTTCTGGGCGTACTTGGACTCTCGTGAAAGCTTGGCGGGGGTGTGGATGGATCGGATCGAGCCGATCTGGGTCACTTTGGCTCGGCTAATCACGTTTCGAAACATGGTGTCTGGAGTGCAAAATGGAGATCTGGATGTGTCCAAGTGAAATTTTGGCCCTTGTACGGTAACCTTAATTGGCTGGTGAATGAGCTGTGGGCGAGGAAGATATAAATGTACAACAAGGGATTACGTAGTAGAGCGCCTTTTTTGGAGATATTATAGCGGTGTAAGAAAAAGTTATTTGACTGCGAATTAATTACAAATCAACAATTGTGTCATTCCTAATGTTCTCGTACTTGTACAAACTTGCGCGGGTCTCACAGCAAAAGAATTTGTGTTAGCCAGTTGGGAGTTCTGTACCTTATGTACGTAATCGCTGGTTGGTCTGGAAGGAGTACAGGGGGGGGGGGGGGGGGGGGGTACAGTAATGGAGTCGCTATTATTGTCACTGAACGTCAAACTGTCAGGCCTTGCTGTAACTCATCTGTGGAGACCCGACCAGTGCGGTTATCACACCCTCCCCCCTTCCCCAGGTGTCTACAGTACGAGTACGAGTACGAAAGGTGTGCTTACATAATCTCCAAATGTCTACGAAAACTGCGGGTACGACTCTATATTTTGTTACAGTAGGCGTGCTCGTGCTAGTACAAGTACAATACAGCATTGTATAGTGTAGCTACCCTACTTGTGGCTTTCGTACAAGTACAGTACTATTTAGTATGACCATATACAGTAACTACTGTAGCTACTCGTAGCTATATCACAGTGACTCGACACTATCAGGCACCAAATTACACTTCCGAGTGGTCTTCCCAACTGGGCGTTTTGAAGGCAAGGCGGATACCGACAGGGTCTGTGTGTGATGTCAAATTAATGACTACTGAGAAGACCAGGTCTATGAGCTAGCTCCACAGACATGAAATAATGGAATCCAGTATTTCTTGCTCTTTGGAAACACACAATCCCGGGAAAAGTACACCTCCACTAGCCCATCGCATGCAAGCTCTAGGTGCATACTTTTGCATGTATCCAGTATGACATTGCTACCACCGTGAACAGTCTCTCTTCTACGTTGTCCAACCATGTTTGTGCGACAGTTACGGCCTTTGAGCGGCTTGATAAGCTCCCGGCAGCCAGTGTGTACTTTTCTACGGCCATTTTCGTCATCTTTACGACTCCAGCATCCTCCTCGAGGCGATGCTCGTCGGATGAGAGCACGATTCAGACCTGTCGACACCCAGGATCCAAACGTGAACCCCAATGTGGTGCAGCCTGCATACTACAACCAGGTACCCAACCCTGGCGGAGTGCTTACTGGTGCTGATGCCATCACCAGAATGCTTTCTGAGCCGATTCTGGTGGTTGAACGTCGTATGGAGATGATGAACCTGATCCTAGGCTTTGAACAGGCCAACAAATACATCATCATGGATGGCAATGGAAACCAGCTTGGGTTCATGGAGGAGGAGGATTTCGGCTTTGTCAAGGCTATCATGCGACAGGTGTACAGACTTCATCGACCCTTCAAGGTCAACGTCTACGATAACGCAGGCAACCATCTGCTGACCATTTCTCGAAAGTTTTCCTTTATTAACTCCAAGATCAAGGCTATTCTTCCCGCTAGCCAGGGCGACGGCATCATTATTGGAGAATCACAGCAACAATGGCACTTATGGAGACGAAAATACAACTTATTCCAGCATCACAGCAATGACGAGTACGACCAGTTTGCAGACATTGACGCTCCCTTCCTGAGTTTTGCGTTTCCTGCTCGTGACAGGGAAGGGGCTATCATGGGAGCTGTGGATCGAAACTGGGTGGGTCTGGGACGAGAGTTCTTCACAGATACCGGTATCTACGTACTGCGAATGGACCCTTCGGCCTTTTTGGCCGTTCCTGATGTCGGTAAGGTTGTGGGACCCATGACATTGGATGAGCGAGCTGTTCTATTGGCCACCGCCGTTAGTATTGATTTCGACTATTTCTCCAGACACAGTCGAAGCTCGGGAGGACTCTTTTCCATGGGAGGAGGGGACTACTTTGACGACATGTCCTAAATGTTTATAGTGTATAGAATCCATCTGATATAGGGCTGAGGGGATAAGTAGTAGACTATGTCGTACTTGTACTTATACTTGCAATGTTTCATATGTACATCATTTTGTACATTTTGTATGAACCTGTACTTCTACGAGTTACTGTATGTACATAATTACTGTATGCACTGTAGCTACTGCACCATATTTCAAGAATCAGTGGCAAAGTTGATTAAGCAAAAAGATGTGCCATAGAAAGAATGACAGGAGTTAGTGTTTTTACTTTTACATAAAAAATAAACGGAATACATACACCCCAGTATATGATAAAAAATCGCTACTGCCACAAGACCCCATTACGTCACCGAACTCTACCATGCATAACCTCAATCATATCAGCATCCAACATCAGACTTCACACCTAAACAAATTACCCACATCTCGCATCTACATCAGTATGTCTTCAATCGGCTGGAACACCATCGAATCGGACTGTGGCGTTTTCACCACTCTGGTGGAGGAGCTCGGAGTCTCTGGAATCGAGTTCTTCGACGTTCTCTCTATCGATCCCGACTCTCTGGCTCAATTCAACCCTCTGTACGGTATCATATTTCTGTACAAGTACCGAAAGAGCGAATACGCCGTCTCTCGAGAATACTCTGAGACTGAGAAGAACGCCAGCGGCCAATTTTTCTTTGCCCACCAGAAGATCCAGAATGCTTGCGCCACCCAGGCCATCCTCAGTGTACTGTGCAACTTGCCAGAGGACATTGAAATCGGACCAATCCTGTCAAATTTCAAGGAATTCTCGCGTGACATTGATCCCGAGACGAGGGGAGAGATTCTTGGAATGTCTGATGAAATCCGTCAGGCTCATAACTCGTTCAGCAGACCCAACCCCTTTGAGTCCGGCGACGATGACCGAGAAACCCCAGACGAGGAGAACGACGGTCTGTACCACTTTGTGGCCTATGTGCCAATCAACGGACAATTGTGGGAGCTTGATGGATTGAAACAGTACCCTGTCAACTACGGTGGCTGCACAAATGAAGAGTTCCCCGAAAAGGTCAGCAGTGTGCTAATGGAGCGTGTACAGAAGGCCCCCGGAGGGGACTTGCGGTTCTCCGTACTTGCTGTGTCTCGAGACAGACGGGAAGTGCTCAAGGAGAATGGCGGGTCCACTACCGAGCTTGTGGTAGAAGATCTTAAGCGAAAAGAATGGACTCGGGACAACGCTCTGCGACGAGAAACATTTGTGGGTCTTATCAACGAGTTGGTGAAGGGTGTTGTTGGCGGCATGGGCGATGAGCAGTACAAGAAGGCTCTTGAACAGGGTCGAGAGAAGACGAAGGAGATGTATGCCAAGCGGGCTTAGACACATTGGGTGGATTTGGATGCATTTATTGTAGTTGGGCCGTTACATTATGTTTATGTAATTCCATCATGTACTATGTTATATTTTTATACTGAACGAATGTACTACATACTGTAGCCCTAAGGTGGTAATTTAGACCACAATTGTAATACTGGATATTTGCAACGGTGCTTCTGATAAAATATTAAATACATTGAACAAGAACGGTGTGTATTTGAAGGTGGCATTGTTCAGACAACTACTTCTTCTTTTTGGCGCCAATACCGAGTATCCAGATAAGAGGTGCAAAAAGGAATCGCAAAACGGTCAGAATGGACGAGACTACGCTGGCAACAACGTACAGTACGCACAGCAAAATCACGACTTCCAGGCCAAGAGCCACGAACTTGAGCTTGGGATGAATAGCAACTGCAGCATCCATAGGATACATGAACGTAGCTCCTACGGGGTGCGAGCGAACCAGAGAACCCAACTGCTCTAAATGGGGCTGCAGGCGTTCGGCCAAGACTGCTAGTTGGAACATGAATTTCTGCACCTTGGAGGAATCTGGAGGTGGAGGAACAGAGGAGACTGATCCTGCAGAGCCTGGAGGAGGAAGATCGATCAACGAAGCATGTGTCGAGCCACTAGACTCAGGTCGAGTGCTGGATCCACTAATGGAACGCTTCATCTTTGTCAAAGGCGACCGTCGAAACTTGAGAACGGCACCAACGGGGACACCTTGCTCATCAATAGAGCCCCCATCGGGTGCCTCAACGACAACAGGCATGCCATTTTTGTCTTTCTTTCGAAGCAAGAACTTCATGGTCTTCCTCAGCCGCTTCTTGTTCGGATTTTCGATATCCTCCTCGTAGATGACAGGGCCGGCTCCGGCTCCTCCTGCTGGAATCTCGCCAACTACGGTATCTTCCTCCATCATGGATCGTGCATCAAACTCGTCGTCTGAGGGATCTTCAGGCAGAGGAATCTCTTGCGGGACGAAAGAGGATGATGTATCAGAGTAGCTACCCGCAACATCCACTGACTGTCCAAAGGCATTCTTGTACACTTGGGAAAAGAAGTTGTCAGCAACAACCTCAGATTTGAGGTTGCTGTTCTGATCATAAGAGCTGACCCAATCCTTGACAGTGGAGGTCAGACCAGTCCAAACATTGTAAAGTGCCCGAGAATGCTCCTCGGAAGCTGAAACTGTAGACTCAGTGTGAGGAGGAAGAGGAATTTCAGGCATGGCATACTCACCTCCAATATTGTAAGGAGTGTTGCCTCGTTGCATTGGGGGCATCATCATTCCTCGTTGAGAAACACTGCTCTGAGGGCGGATCGGGTCATCATTGAGAGAAAAGGAGGTTGTGGACGAAACATAACTTCCTGGAGAAGAAGGGACAGGGAGTGGATGGCGGGAGGATGAGGCCGACACTCGTGAACCAGAGTCGTGTGAACCAGAGTCACGGGACACAGACGACTCGGTATCTCCCCTTGACGCCAACGATTCTCGAGACCCACTGACGGTACGTTTACCAAAGATGTTCTTGGCTGAGAATCGAGAGACCTTTTCATCATGACTTGGCGGGGGAATGAAGGCTCCAAAGTTGGGAAACAAGTTTCTTTTGGTTGCCTGAGAAGTAGCTGAACGATGTTCAGACCCCGCCGAGTCAGATGAGCCAGTACCCGACCCAGAGCCACTAGAGCCAGTTATTTCTGTGTAGCCTGTTTCAACAGTTACCTGGGTAGATGTCTCTTCCTCTAAACCTCTTTCTCGTTCACTAGGATCATTTCTAGGAGGTTCTGGATGTTGCATGGGCACTCCCCCCAAAGCATGCCCCATGGGTGCTCCAAACCACGGGTTGTAGTTGGACCGGAACCCGAACTCCTGGTCCTGAGTAGGGTCTATTATTCCATCCCAGCTTCCCGGCTGGCGTTGCTGTCCCATCATCTTCTCGTACTGCTTGCGTTGGTGTTCTTCCGGACTGGTATAATAGGCATTGTCTCCGGGTGAAATGTAGGCGAAGTTATTGTCCTTCTTTCTACGCTGCTGTTGGGGTTGCTGATGAGCCTGGGTTAACTGGAAGTCTCTCCAGTAGTCCGCATTCTGTCGTTGCATCTCACGCTGCATGAAGTAATAATCATAGGGGGTTTGGTGAGAACCAAAAGGAACATGTGTCGGATACAGCATGTAAGGATTGTGGGGAGGTGGTAGGGGTGGTCGAGATGCTGGGTCTTCTTCGTCGACAGCCAACGAGTCGTGTTGGTACATGAGAGGATCGGACTGAAATTTGCGCGAGCTGCTCTTCTTCTTTTTCGTCTTCGTAATCTTCTTATTGGGCGACTTTTCAGGGGAAGCGTTGTTTTCTTCAGTAGGTAAGAGATCCCCGATTCCCAGAGAAGAGGCCGGTTTCTTGGAATTGCTTTTGGCCCTAGTCTTTTTGCCTCGCTCGGCCCTCTTTACCTCATGGTCATCCTCCACGTGCTGATACTCAAAGTCCGAGTCGTCCGTCCCTGAGCCTGGATCTCGCTTGCCCATCTTATGCACAGTCTTGTTCACCCTTTTGAGCACCTTTTGCATACCCTTCGGCTGAGGAGCACCCACAAACACATTGTCCATCAGTTGGTCGGCATTGGCTAGGTGTGGCGATGGGTTTGGGTCCCCATACCCGTGGTATTGTGGTGGCACTGTGTACATGTGCGATGGTGTGGCCGTGTGAAGTTGTAGTGTTGTCAGGGATCAGTAGTGTGTGTCTGTCTTTCAGTTGCGTGTTCAATATCTGTAGCGTGCCCTTTTTGTGAACCAGCGCAATGTGTTTCTGTCGATGTGATGTGTCGAAAATCCCTGCCATGCTCCTCCGCTTTGATCCTGTTAGTCTGGTTAAACTTCGGACCATTATTATTACAATTCCCAAACAAGCACACGATGCATGTGGCCGTGAGATAAGAGAGTTTATTGGGGCTGCAACAGGCCCTTACAAGTAGTGTTATATATTTTTGGGGCGCTGAAGGAGATTCGCATAATTTTTTACATCTCAGGGTTTTATCTACTCACATGAGCCTTCACCCCTTTGCTTCTATGTCCCCTTCTTTACTACTATATAGGGGGCTGGGTGGTCCACATGCCACTCTATACAGCACACTGTACACCTGCATTTCAGCTGCAACACTGCTGTAATCATTGTGTAGCGTTGCGCTACAAGTAGGGGTCACTGGACTCCCACGATATTACAGCTACGGCCATGAATCAAATTACAACAACAACACTTGGAATGAGAAGAGCTAAATTACGGTATAATTATAGGAATGTGGCACATCCTGAGACTACGTACATCAAACTCACATACAGTTTCGAGAGCGAAGATATTAAAATGTGAGACAAACAGGGGATATTCTTCAACGTCAGCCCGAGCTTGCAGAATGGTCAGTTGAGTCTGTGTGCGTTACAACTACAGTACGTTCATAAACCAACTACGGCGGTACAGATACTGTAAATTAAAGTATATACTATTGGGTACACTACTAATTACTGTAAAAGTGCTAGTGATGTGCGAGTAGTGCTGACACATCCGTTCTCTGACATGTTTGGTGACACAAATGACACGATGAATATGTTTCATCGTTTGATTCCCATCGCAAAACTCCCTGGAAGACAGTTTTAGATTTGCCACATGTAAGATACCAGACCTGCTATGATGTACAATACCCACGCTCTCTGAGTCTCGATGGTTGTGACCATATTCTATCTTTATGAAATTCGCTCTTACTGCACTTCCTTTTGGTTGTTCTGGTTCTGAAGACACTGCTTCTAAATCTTATAATACATTAATTACATCTACGCCGACTTGAGCTTCTTCTTGCCCTCGTCGTTGCCAGCGACCCTTCTCTTGTTGCTCTTCTTCTCGACCTTGTCTAGATCGTTCCACAGCTCGTCATCCTCCTTCTCAGCTGTTTCCTCCACATGCTTTTCCTGGGCTGTCTTTCGCTCGGTATCCACGAAAAGCAGAGAGGACACTTGGGTACCCACGAACATCTTTGCAGTGCACTCGGTGGTCTCGAGATCAAAAATTCGAAGGTATCGGTCAAGACCAACGGTAGCCAACAAACCATTGTCGGTGGTAACTAAATGCAAAACGGCACCGAGAGATCCGGGGAACTTCTCGACGACACAGGGAGACTTTCTGTTGTGTTCCTTGTTCTGGTTGTTGTCTTTGTTTTTCAGTACAATCTTCTCATTGTCTGCAAAGTTGAACTTGAACGTAGAGGAGTGGGCATCTGAAGAGACGACGTTGGAGGCATCCATACCGGGTGCCAAGGTTCGCAGAGGATCCTTTGTCACCTTGAAGTCCCACTTCGGTCGCTTTCCATGCCATGTCTCATACACTCTGATCTGTCCATGTCTGGTGGCAGTGATGACTCTGAATCCATCCTTGTCAGAAGCCTGGAAAAGAATTCCAGAAATCCACACCGGCACCCGCATATCGATTTCGTTGGACTTGACATTTCGGGCCTGAAACTCGGATCTCACGGTGACTTCGTCACCTTTAACAGCCCATCCAAACACCTCCAAATCTCGCTCCTTTCCACCCACGGCAATCTTGCCAGGATACAGCTCCCTGTCCAGAGCGAAGCATGCCAAGGGGCCCTTGACAGAGGCAGTGGGGGCGTCGTATGGCTTGTCGGACTCAATGGTGACCTTCGAAACATCGAGGAAAAAGAGTCGACCATCTTCCAGACCGGCAACCACAGTATTGTCGTCATACTGGGTAAGACCAATCCAGGGACATTTTTCTGCCCCCTCAGCAGAGTAGACGAAAATCGGAGTCGACTCCTCGGTCAAAAGGTATGGGTAGACTTCAATGGTACCGTTCTTTCGCGCGGCAGCAATGTATTTGGTGCCCTTTGATGTGGTGACCAGGGCCAGCTTTTGAATGTGCTTCAGTTTACCAAGAGCAGCGAAGGATGTGATGAGGGGCTGAGGTCCGTCCTGGACCGAGGTGTCCATTCCCTCGTCAAAAACAACTTCTTTGATTGCTCCAGTATCTTCGGCGGCCAGAAAAATCTTCATTGTGTACTGTAATGTGATTCCCAGACTTTGCTCGAGATACGATGTTGTCAGACTGCGTGCATGAATTTTTTTAGAGTTTCTGCAGTCGGTCTTGAGCGAAGCGAATAAGTAGAGGGGGCTGTGATACAAAGAGAAAATGGTGACTCCGATTATTGTTGAATTACACGGGGGGAGGAGGGGGGCAGCTTTCTGAATTGCCACCAAGATGATTTACTTTTGAACACTTTTCTTCACCCGTTGAGCAGGAAAGAACTTCTTAAATAAGTCGATAATTGTACAAATTAACGAGTATTACCTTACTTGTACTTGACATATTTGTTGTCATGAAGTCAGCTTGACAGATGGGCCACTCCGAACACCATCTGAGACAGACGCTGTCCTCGCTGTTCCCTGTGACTGTCAACTTTCTTATTGATGGGAACAAGCACGAATGGCACATATGCGATAGGATATTACAGGCTTTGTGCCCCCCATGGCTGGTTTCTACAAGTATATGGCTCATGTATAAACAAGGCAAGTCTACAAGACATGGGCATAATACATAATGATAATAAGTTAGATACTCCTAAAAAGAATTATTAGCTGAGTTGACGGAAGTGCTAGGAGAGTGTCCGATGGGGAAACCGGTCTTCTCAACGGGGCTTCTTCCCTTGGCCTGACGGGGGTGGAAAATGCCAGAGACACCGGAATGGGTGGATCGATGACCCAGGAGACTCTGTTGGGCCGATGAATAAGAAGTATTGGATGCCTGCTGAGTGATCTGGTTGAACAGGTCGTTCAACGAGTTGTTCTCAGTTGACGAAGAGGCGGAATTGAGTGAGGACTCCGACGCCTTTCGGGACATGGCCGGATGAGGAACTCCCAGGTCGGGGAAGGAAGCCACCGACATTTGAGAAGGCGACATGGATGTGGGGGTGAGTTGCGAGGCAGCCATCTTAGCCATCTGCTCCTGCTGCTGCATATGGAGCTGCTCCAGTTGTGACAACTGCTGCAACTGCGAAAGCTGTTGGTTCTGGTGCTGCTGCAACAGGGCCTGCTGCTGAGCCTGCTGTTGGGCTGCGAGTTGCTGCTGGGCCTGCTGCTGGGCCTGCTGCTGGGCCTGCTGCTCAGCAACATACTGAGCCTGGGTCTGAGCCTGGGCCTGAGCCTGGGCCTGTGCTCGGGCCTGGGCCTGCGCTTGAGCCTGAGCCTGAAGTTGGGCCTGTTGTTGAGCAACGAGCTGCTGTTCAAGAGCAGCCATCTGCTGATACTGATACTGGGCGGCAGCCTGATATTGGGCAGCGGCCTGATACTGGGCGGCAGCTTGCTGCTGGGCAATAGCTTGCGCCTGAGCCTGGGATACCTGGTAGTGCTGGGTATTCTGGGCCTGAGAAGCCTGCTGCTGCTGAAGCTGGCTGAGCTGCTCCATCAGCTGATACTGAGCCACCTGTTGAGGAGTGTATTGGCCCTGAACAGGAGTCATGCTACCAACAGGAGTGTGCTGCTGAACAGGAGACAGAACGGGTGAGTAGTGTACTTGGGGGGTCTGTCGACCGGCAGCCTGGAGCTGCTCCAGAAGAGACATCTGAGGAGTCTGGGCCATCTGTCGTTGAACAGGAGATAAGGGCTGAATGGGGCTCACGTAGAAGTTACTCTGAGTCATGGGGGTCATTCGAGCAGCCTGTTGCTGGGCAGCCATCTGTTCAAGAATGGACATGGGCTTCGGGGTCTGAGGGACACCAGGATGATGTTGCTGCTGCACAGGATAATGCTGCTGCAGAGAAGCCTGGCTGGGGACCTGAGCCATACCCTGGTACTGGGGCAGCAGCTGATGCATGGCATGGACCTGCTGGGTCTGTGCGAGGTTTCGAATTTGCGTCAGCTGAGGATGCAGCTGGTTGTCGTGCTGGAAGTCATGAGCCTCTGTCTGGAACATTGCTGGAGGAGCAAACGCGGGGCGAGGAGTGGCAGCTCCAGAGGCCTTTGGCGTGGACTGATTACTATCTGAAGTAGGCGATGACGAATGGGGAGCAGGCTTCTTCTTGGGCAGTTTTCTAGCCGTTGATGCAGGGCGAGTGGCCAGATAGTACCGAATCTCGGCATCCAGATCGCTCATGGCAGGAGAAGTGAAATTCACCTTGGGGGTTGTGAAGTAGTTGATTTCCGTGGGCTGCTGGAAAGAGGCCACTTCATTGTCGATAGCCAAGGGAGGCGAAATGGTGTACTGGCCAGGGGTGGTTGTTCCAGAAACTGTGGGTCCACCAGACGTGGCAGACGTGCCCGAAACGGAATGAGCTCTAGGCGAGGCATCGTGTGAAGAGCCTCCGTGTCGAGCAGGACTCAGAATCATGGCTTCAGGAAGAGGCTCCAGCGGAGTGGGCAGAGAAGACGACCGCCAAGGGATAGACGGCGCAATGGAAGAAGGAGTCAAGGGCATGAATGCGGTGGCCAGAGACGTGCGGGCATTAGGCTTGCCGTCCATCTTCAAAGGAGATGGGATGTTGAATCTTTTCTTGTTAGGCGAATCGGAGGGCGACTCAGGTCCAGGACTCAGGTAGGTCACGGGAGTGCACTCAAAGGCAGCACCTCCAGAATCATCCGACTTAGGGTCTCCGGGATTAGAAACCTGCAGGTCAGGCACTGGTAGCGCTCCCTGTGTGGAAGTAGTCTGACCCATGGTAGATCGACCGTTGAAAGAACTGAAGTCGAGCAGTTTTTCGAAAATGTTACCTCTCGACTTTCGAGCCTCCTTGAGACGAGCAGCGTCCTCTTCAGCGGCAAGCTTGGCAGCTTCTCGTTCCTCAGCGTCCTCCTCCTCAGCCACTTGCAGTTCATCGTCCAGATAGTAGTTCAGAATGTCTGAGTTTTTGGACATTTGTCTGGAATGGGCTGTGGCTGTACCCGCAGTGCCGGGGCTGGCAGTGTGGTCTGAAGAAGTCGACATTTTGTTGCTGTCTTGGTCTTCCTTAGTTTCTTCGTCTAAGTAAGGGATATCCAAATGCAAAGAGCCAACGTTGGGCGATTCCAAATGAGGACTATCTGCGTAGTAAGAAGAGCCTCCCCTAGAGTTGACATTAGCTTCAGGCATCTGAGGGGGCTCCAGAAGAGCGCTATCTCTGTCTTCTCCGGGGGTCTCCCAATGAGTCTCCATTCGGGCGTCTAGGCTGCCCAAGTGGCTCGTTCGGAAGTTACCCATGGGTCTATGTTGCTCTGCGTGGCCCAGCGAGTGGCTGATTTTCTGCGCGGGATCGGCTTCATGATTGTCTTCGTAGTGATTGGTCTGCTCGTCTTCCCACGTTGTTGCCAGTGACTGCTGGTTGGTATTAGAGTCCGCCACATAGTTTCCGTACTCGTTGTGTTTGTTGTTGTTGTTGTTCTGGTGCTCATTCTCCTCAGTGAATGAGAATTCATCGTATCTGGAGTCTGCGAGCGACGTCGGTCTGCTTTCTTCTTCTGCTGGTGCTGTGGCTCCCACAGGTTTACGAGTGATGGCAAACTTTGGGATTTCGCTGAAGTTCTGTTCGGACGAGAAACTGGTGTCGTTCATACTGTCTTGATGTCCGATATCGTGTTCTCTTCGGGTGGGGGAGCCCATCGAGCTCTGCTGCAGAGAAGGCACATCCCAGGTGTTATCCCAAACAGGGCTGCCCAGAGTTTCTTCGCTGTCGAGGTGTGGACTATCGAGGTGTCGAATGGAGTTTTTGCTGATTCGCCGGGTCTTCTTCTTTCTAGACAGAGAGCCGGAAAACGGGTTGAAGGAGTTGAGAATGTCCGCCTTGTTTCGCAATGGCGTGGTCATGGTTTTGGCGGCGGGCGACATTCCAGCAGGGTCGTTGGGGTCGAACTCCATGTCCGGGGAAGCTACCATACTTATTAGCAGGGCCCTGGTCGGTTTGCAGCGGTAACAATAAAGACAAGAGGTGGAAGTCCACTTTTGGTTTTACGCGTGCTTCAGACAGATAGCCATTAGGTTCGGGTTCAGTCAACTTTAATATCGCGGCGGGGCGAAAGTGGATGGTGGGGTGTCTGGGGGTGTTGATGGTGGATAAATAGAGCGTGAGGTTAGGCATATATAGGTCGACAATGTATTTTCGCAAAATCGGTGCAAAAAATTATCATCTTTTGATCTCAAAAGTACCTTTAATCACCGCTTTAGTCACACTCCATAGCCGCTAGTCCTCATCACTCACCCTCAAAAACGTAAATGGCAACTTTCATGTCGATCATTGACTTTGGGATAACATAGCGGAGAGAGGAATGTTAGACCCGCGTATTTGCTGCACCTTCGGCGGCGAGAGGGTTGCCGTGGGAACGATCGGCGCGGTAGGTGTATGTACCGATTTGCCCTTGTAGGTCCGTGGTCAGGTTTTTGATCAAGACTTACATCGATTCCGTTTTGATTTCACTGATTTTAAGACCCCTCAGAAGCCATCAACCTGTTATAGTCCATGCCTCTTTTCTCATACTTCCCTATTGTCCACACCCCTGGGAAATGCCGCATAAACGAACATGGGGTGGCTGTATTATACTTTGGCGTAGACGACAACCTTGTCTGGGCTTCGTCCTTTGTTCGGTTGTCCTAACTGGTCCCAACATTGTCTTATTCTGAGAGCATTAAGCAAACAAAGAGAAGAGTAAGAAATGAAGTGTTCAGAGAGGAGCTCCACTACCGACTAACCATGTGTGCCTGACTAATATAGCGTATGTCAGCCTTGCCCAACCCGCTACAAATCGGATCTACCCACCTGTACTAACACGCAGACTACAGACCCGTTAGTCTAGTTTCTTGCCCCTCCCGTTATGAACAGACTTTAGGCGTGCAGAAAGCGCCAATCCACTTCGTAACCCAAGAGTCGGGGTGCGGGGTTGTACGAGTGCGAAAATCTGATCGTCTGGGCATCTCCCGTGGAACTTTTATGTCCATGCGAGCATCGGAAAATATGAGACGGTTTTTCTACTCTGGTTGATCACGTGCACATCGCTTTTACAACATTTTGTGTCTGGTCAAGTGCTGTTTCACCCTGCATTCCAGTGCTGGTACAAATCGAGTCAGCCAATTGGGTTGGAGAAATGAAAAACCAAAATCCCGGAAAATACATTGATACTGGAGAGAGAGATTATACGCAGACTAGTGTCACGATGTAATTATTTATCAATACTACTTGACTTGGCCACGGACCACGGGCGCAAAAGCACCCCCGAAGTCGTTCCGAGCAGTTTCAACAACAATAGGACTTGCTAGACCCCACTTAAGATCCCAACTTGTGTCCCTGACTTGGTCGACTTTGACACAAGGGTGGTGGACATTTGCGCCTACCAGGCGCATTGGCAAGTCATTGCACCGGCATGTAAATATAACTGAAAAACAAGCGAGGCAAGCCGGACTTAATGATGCCCGTGCGTGCCGACTCATGCACGTAAATTGGTTTTTTATCAAGCCATATTTCTCCTACAGCCTACAGTTCCTGCCGCTGCAAAGGGGACTTCCGTAGAGCCCGTCATGTGGCCAAAGGCTGGTTCAAGTCTAAACCCACGCTATTCTCACAGTCATTTAATGCAAACAAAAAATCGGATACGCCCCATTCCCCTTGTCTCAGTACCCCTCCTCACTCCTGCCAAACTGTGTGACGTGATAACTGAAAGACCCAGTCGGAGCTCAAGGTTAGTCTTTAGAAGAGATGGAGCTCCGTATCATACGTACCGATACAAATAATTACAATGCAGGCAGGCAGCCTGGCTTGCGTCTCTGGGCCGTAGATACAACCTTCAAGTAAAAGTATTGGGTTTCCCTTCAACATCCATTTCCCCGCACCGTCGATCACTCGTATACTTGCTGATCTGCAGCGGGGTGCTGAGACGTCGTTTGGTGGGCCCGATGCCAGCGGAAAGTGGCACTGCGTGGCCAAATCCGATGACCTTGTACAATACTGGTACTGTACTGTGAATAAACAGAGTAAACCCACCTCTCATCTTTGGTGGAGGAGCTACTTGTAGTACCCACCTACTTGTACTTTGTCTTAGCCCCGATCTCAATCTTCAAACAAGCTCTGTGATTTATACAGTATGTGCGGCAGTTGCTACAAGTACAAGTATTGTACAGTACGAGTACAAGTAATCGTACCTATACATGGCTTTACAAGACAACGTTCAAATCTATGTACAAGTACGATACTCCGGTGTCTCTGATTTTAAAATGAGGCGTTTGATTCAGAGAGTCAGGCACGGAAACACCCCACCTCACAGACTTTCGAACTACCTGTAACTAATCGAATCGTATTGACGGTTGCAGGGATATTTCCGGCCTACCCAAGTCTAGATGACCTCTATAGTGACATCTTTCTGTTACTACTGTAGAAGATCTGGGAATAAACATGCGACTTTAATCCACCTGGTCATAGGCTATATAACAGACTATGTCCAGCTATCACAGAGTCCAAGGTTGAAATTTGCTAGCAAGATACTCTCGGGGAACACATAGATCGCAAGTTCTCCCCTGTCTCAAGCCAACCACAGTTTATATGCTTCATAAGCCTCTTTTCAAGACTTCTCTTCGGCACGCCTACTCGTATCAAAGTTCGAGTTGCACCTTATCAAAACCTTAGGAACTGGGCAATGCCCGAATTGCGTTTTTTTTTAAGGCCGAATAGGATAATGGAGCACTCTGATTTCAGTCCATATATTTTTTTTGGCTACAAGTATTCTACATGTGCAATACAGTGCATGGACCCTGTCATTTTTCGTCGTCTGTCAAGTGTCGCGTCATAACTACTTGTAGTAGATTTGTTTCAGCGTATAATTTCTGTTGCTAGTGAGGAGTTGTCTGTAAAATGTACCGGATCCGCACCATCCCAAGCCTGGCATGCTGATGCGGCTGTGTCTACTGTAGGTACATACTGTACTCTACAAGTGTTATTGTACAGACAGCTGATAGCTTCTACACAGTAGACACGGGTGTGCTCACTATCCTGTACCCGTACATATTGTAGATAGACGGGTAAGGTGTAATGTTCACAGGCTGGCGGGTGTTACGATAGCACATACTATAACTCAAGAAAAGAAAAACAGCGCGTAATATACAGTATCGACCTTCGCATAGCCTTTTTCATCTTCTTGAGAATGTTTTACACGAATGTTGTCGTTTAGAAAGACGTACGATAAATTCATTCCACAATTGTCTAAATGATCGTCTTTCATCGGACATGCTATATCAGTACATACAGTACCACAAGGTATAGATATAGATGAATTCGTTTACATATCTGTCCAGCTACTTACAACACTTCGTATATGCGACTGCTACTTATCGATATAACTCAGCAGTAGTTATTGCATGTACTGTATGTACTGTTGGAGCTCATCTCTTGATAGTAGTCAGCAAGGGTTACAATGGTTAGTGTTGGACACTGTTTATTGTAAGCTGACGTTACAGTATATACTGTATCACCAAACAATTGTTTTAGGACTTTGATGCCTAACCTGACCTGGCTTGAATGGTCCAAGTCAGCCAACAACTGAAACTACTCATCGCGCCATTTAATCTTCCTTCCTTCGTGCTACTGTAGAGGTCTCAACTCGCAGGCCTCCAACAATAAAAATGCTTACCTACAACCCTACTTGTAGCTAATCCTCAATAGCGTCATGCTTCTGCTCAGCAGAAACGATACCCACACACTGGAACTCCTTGTTGTAAGTAGATTTCCACAGTCTGACCCGTCCATCATCTCCTGCGGACGACAGGATTGTTCCAGTGAGGTTCCAAGATACACGCCAAACATCTCCCTTGTGATCATCGAACTGGTTTATCAGAGACACCTGCAGTTGTCCACTCTCAGTCAGAGGCTCCTCAATTTTGAAGATTCGAACCAAACCATCCTTGCAAGCAGTAGCAATCAGCTGGTACCCCCTTCCAATACTAGGAGCCCACGAAATATCTCTGATGATGGATCCATGAGCAGGCAGCTGGCCTGTCTGTGTGTATTTGCCGTTTTCCTGTCTCTGGTAGATATACGACTGTTCCAGGGCACATGCAACCACGTATTCCTTGGAAAACCGTGATTTGCCCCACGATAAGCAGAATGAACTCTGCAATTGCCGACTGGGGGCACTACTCAGTGTGTTGGTTTCGAAAATGTTAGTCCACGAGCTGATAGCATTAGGATCCAAAGCCTCATGAATCTTGAATTGTCCATCGGTGGAGATAGATGCCAGCTTGAGACCGCAGTGGCTAGGCGAGAAGGCCAGGTCGTAAATAGGCCCCTTGTGATCGGTGATAGTGGCCACCCGCTTCCATCGCTTTCCACTGTTCTGCTTCTCGCGGATGTTTTCCTCCCAGATCTTGATAGTAGAATCGTGAGAACATGTGGCCAGAACCTTGCCGAACTCGGGATTGGCCCAGCACACCTTGATGATGGAGGCATCATGGGCCTTCCAAGAGTCGCTGATATCCCATTCGCCAGTCGAATCGTTTCGGTCAAAGACCTTGACAGTGGTATCGGACGAACAGGTGGCAATTCGACGGCCGTAAAAGTCGTACGCAACGTCGTGCACCAGCTCCTCGTGTCCAGTGTTGAATGGTTTCATTGTTGATGCTTAAGAGACAGTCTCGGTGATGTAGAATTGGAGGTGCGATAATTTAGAGTTTTGGGAGGAGACAATGTATCTAATATTTGTAATCCAGCATCGTGCCCCATGCACTGTACGAGTACTCGTACCGGTACTTGTACTGTAAGTACTTGTAGGTGTTCTGTGATGTGAACCTCAGGTGGAGGGTAGCTCTGTAGAAATATTAGATACGAGCTATCGCATTGGCACTTTTGGTATCATCTTGATCTTATTGAGAAGACTCAAAAAATCTGTTATTTTGTATCTACAGTAAGAGAGACTGAAATCTAGTGAAGCAGTATCTTCGTATGTTGAAAAGTGAAAGGAGCCACTATCCATACAGGTTTGTTTTCACTATTCGTGTTATCTTTATTGTCGTGTTATGATTGATGTTCAAGGGGAATGTGTAGGATAGCATCATGATTTTATTGCGGTGTGCTTAGGATGTGTGATCGAACTCAGCTCACATAAAAGCGCTCGAACGATAGCAGAAAGCTGATGGAACTACTACAGTAAAGCGGTGGGTAGCAGCTATGATACATTCCATCAGTTTTATTCGCACGAGTCCAATATTGACCATTTCAAGTGTGCTCCCCAACTTCACAAATAAACTCAAGAAGGCTGGTCTCAGGAGGCACCAAAACACTCACTGTAATACAATTACTGCTGTTCAGGAGAGAACTGTTCTCCACAACCAGAATCTATAAAGCAATATCGAGAACGCCACTTCAGACCCAGATATACCGTGATACGGTCTTTTTACACGTTTGTACTACCACATAACCTGTACTGACCCCCTTATTACTCTTGGTAGCTGGTCTGACATCGGCTCGCTTATGATCCTGTAACACGCCGTTTACCATAATGCGCGACAAAAATACTACTCTGAATAAACTTTGGACATGCATACATACAGCATGACGTGGATCTACAACGACAACCTCGAACACGAAACTCCGTCGACCTCACGCCCGCCAAAACACACACATTATGTACTCGTCGATATGGACGGTACTGGCCATCTTGGCTCTTTCGGCCAGTCTGATTTTCAATCCCGCGGACCAGCCTCTTTTGTCGTCAGTCGGTTTCTCCCTCATCGCCTATCTGGTCACCTACAACCTGATTCCTGCACTTGGACCAGCCTTCATCAAGGTCGGCTTCTCGGGTCGAGACCTGTCCAAGAAAGACCGGCCTGAGATTCCCGAGACCATGGGAGCCGTATGTGCCATTGTCTACCTGTTTTGTATGTTTCTGTTCATTCCTTTTGTGTTCTACCAGTACCTGGCCAAAACCATCGGAGGTGGCGTGGTTGTGGGTTACGACAGCTTGAGCGAGGGACTGGTCAAGGGACGAATTCTCAGTGCGTTCCCTCACGAAAAACTCGCCGAGTACCTTTCTGCCATCCTGTGTCTGCAGTCCATGTTCATCCTGGGTGTTGCAGATGATCTCTTCGATATCAGATGGCGAAACAAGTTCTTCTTACCTGCCATTGCTGCCATCCCGCTGCTCATAGTTTACTACGTGGACTTTGGAATTACAGCCGTCATGGTTCCCGTGGTTTTGAGACCTTACTTTGGAGACATAGTGGACCTCGGGGCTCTTTACTACATGTACATGGCGGCCGTGGCCATCTTCTGCCCTAACTCCATCAACATTTACGCTGGCGTGAACGGCTTGGAAGTTGGCCAATCGGTTATGATTGGCGTGTGCATCTTGCTGAACGATTTCATCTACCTCGTTCAGCCCAACCACCCCGCTGAAGAATCTCATCTCTTCAGTGTCTATCTGCTGCTGCCGTTCCTGGCTGTCAGTATCGCTCTTTTGAGACACAACTGGTGCCCTGCAAAATGTTTTGTTGGAGACACCTACTGCTACTTCGCCGGCATGGTCTTTGCGGTTGTTGGTATTCTCGGCCACTTCTCCAAGACCCTCCTGCTGTTCTTTGTGCCCCAGATCTTCAACTTCTTGTACTCTGTGCCTCAGCTGTTCAAGATTGTCGACTGTCCTCGACATAGACTGCCTAAATTCAACCCCGAGACAGGTCTTTTGGAGCCTTCCCGGACCTACTTTGACAAAAAGAAGCCTGGTAAGCTTGGCCAAATAATGATCTACGTGCTGGAGAAGCTACACCTGCTGAAAGTGTGGAGAGACGAGAAGGGAGTTGTCATCAGCATCTCCAACATGACACTGATCAACCTGGTTTTGGTCTATGTTGGACCCCTGCGAGAGGATCACCTTGCCGCTGTGCTTCTGGGTATCCAGTTTGCTTCCGGTCTGGCTGCTATTGCGCTAAGACATTCAGTTGCAGCTATGATCTTTGGTAGGGACAACATTTAAACCACAAGTACAAGCTGGGCGTTCAACAGAGTTATTACTGTAACCTCGACTCTTAAGTCATTGGGTGTTACTAGGAGGAATGTATAGATATAGATAATTAATTAATAGAGTATGTAATATGTGCTCAACTGCGATACCCTCTATATATTTAATCCCATTTGACACCTAACTTGTCCATGGCCAGCTGCCGCTTTCTGAGCAGCTCGTCAGCCAACTTTCCAATCTCCTCAGTTTTGATGACGCCTCGCAAAGTGTAGAACTGACTGAGATCCTCAGCAAACTTGTGCTGCTTCTCGTACTCGTAAGTCTGCAGCATGAGCTCAAACTTGTCGATGTCCTTGACCAGTCGGGCCTCGTCGGTAGAGCAGTTCTCATATTGGTTCCACAGATCGACGATCTCCTTGGCTGCCACAGGGTTGTACTTCTCCACCAAAGCAGCCATGTAGATGATCGATGAGTGTTCTCGTCGCGACTTTTCAGCCTTTGTCATATCGTCAAACGGAGTGATGTCACCCACAATAGCCTCGGCCATATCGTGCACTAGAGCCATCTTGACACAGGTGTTCTGGTTCACGGGCGACAGAGACAGCATGGCGATGATGGACATTCTGTATTGGTGGTCGGCAATAGATTCTGTGTTAGTCCAAGCTGAGATCTTCCCTATATCGTTGTCACTCACCAGGATCATCGATCATCTTGTATCTCAGCCAGCCAGTTCGAGGAGTTGTCTTGAGCCGCTCAACAACATTCAGGAATGCCAGAAGCGACTCTGTGCCGGTGGCAGCTGCCGCGATTTCCTCCTTGAGATCGGCAGGAAGAGCGCCTTCAGGAGTCCAGTCACTCATGGTGTGCGTAGATGTTCCTGTGAATTTCACCCCCGAAGTTTAGTAAACCTAATCACACGCGTCTGACGCGAAGCCTAAATGTATTTGTTTGGAGAGTTTCTGGGTGGTGCACATGAACCTCCTTCCTGTGTCATTGGTTGTACTGGAGCGACTTACTGGAGCCGTCTTCAAAACATATCAGGCCTGTTTCACACGTCAAGTATGGCCTTAACTTCATGGTCTTATATCATGGGCTAGCTACTGTTGCGCAGAATCATGGGCTCTAAAAATGAGGCTTAAATCGTATCACCCCCGCATACATGGCACTTGTATATGGTTGAATATGTATAAGATCCCGTGATTATATAAGCTAGAAATATAACTTACCGTACTCGTACGTGTATTAATAGGCATCTCTATTTTACCCTAGAGGCGGCTTACTGTATTTACAAACATTCTTCATCAGCTTTCACCTTGCACATCTTGCTATAAATACAAGGAGATCATAAAATTAATAATCTCTTGGAAAACAATAAAAATAAAAATACATTAATTAGTTACTTACTCTCTAAAGTCGTGTGGTATGAACTGAGTGTGTATTACTGGAGAGCTATCCTGAAAGCTCATTTATCCCTACTCGTCATCAGGCATGACACCTCCTGTCTGTCTAGTCTCCTCCAACTCAGCGGCCGCAGCGTTAGGATGGATCACATACAGCTCAGTTCCATCTCCTGGGGCCTCCAGGTCGTCTAAATTACCTCGCACGGTCATGAGAAGGTTGTTCTTCTTCATTTTCTTGATGACCTTCTTGGTCAGCCGAGTGTGGTTCTCCACATCCTCCTCATCAACCATATCTTCCTCGTATTGCTCCAGCACGAACTCCAGTAGTGCATCCAGCGACATTCCGATTCTACTGGCATCGGCATCGTCGGTGTAGTTCTCCGATAGCTTGGACACAATCATGTTGACCATGTGTGTGTATTGCTGGTGAGTGATCTGGTCCCGGGGTGTGTGGTTGGCTAGCTGGGTGGCTTCCATGGCCTCGTCAACGGCGTCCTCGGCAGCGTCTACGGTGTCCTCCTCCTCGTCCAGAAGCACATCTTCCCGCTCAACGAGAATGATGGTGTCTCTGAGCAGTTTGGCAGCCTCATGAACAAAGGCAGGGGAAATGATGGTCGAACAGTTGGCTCGAGCAATGGCCTCAGAGAGACGGATCATGGACTCCAACTGACGAACGGTGATTCGGTAACTGTTTCCAGCTCCGGTGGCGTCGTCGGCTCGGAGTTGCTGGTACTGCTGTACAAGAACTGCTCGGGCTTCGGGGGTCAGCATGGGCTTGAAGGTACGGGCGTACTTGATAAATCGCTGCAGCTGCTCAGTGGAGAAGGGAGGGTCGATGGCCTCATCAGTATGCATGTGCAGGTCAACGACATGGCTGGCCAGAGCGGTATCCGTAGCCTCATTACACTCGTCAAGAATGACGAAAAACAGATCGAAACGAGACATGATAGGAGCGGACATCTGCACGTTGGCTCGCAGACCGAGTCTGCGGTCATACCGACCCTTGGCAGGGTTTGCAGCGGCCAGGATGGAAGTTCGGGCGTTCAGAGTAGCGTTAATACCGGCCTTGGCAATGGAGATAGTTTGTTGTTCCATAGCCTCGTGAATTGCCACCTGGTCTGCCAAATCCATCTTGTCGAACTCATCAATAGCACAGATACCATTATCAGCAAGCATCAAAGCTCCAGCTTCGATGGTGAACTCTCCAGAGTCTTCATCCTTAACCACAGCTGCTGTAAGACCTGCAGCAGTGGATGCCTTACCGGAAGCATACACAGATCGAGGAAGGAACGAGGTGACGTACTTAAGGAACTGGGACTTCGCAGTGGAGGGATCTCCAACCAGACAAATGTTAATATCTCCTCGTAGTCGAATTCCATCAGCTGTCTTCTTGTGCACTCCTCCCATGAGCTGCAGTAGAATACCCTTCTTGACAGTCTCATGACCGTACACAGCAGGAGCAATGGATCGTACCAGACGTCGGAAAATATCCTGTCCGTGGACCATATCACGAAGCTGCTCCACTTCGGCAGACTTCAGACTTCGAATGTACTCCTCTTGTTCGTCAGCAGCGTTCTCGGCGTAGTTGTCGTTGGCAGAGGCGTCCAGAATGTTGGCAGGAGCAGCGTAACAAGCTAGGAAAGATATCCTGTAGGTCAGATCACGTGCTCCAAGCTCTCTGAGTCCTGTGACGGCTCCAGACTCCACAGCAGAAGTTTCTCGGCCTCCATCTCGAACTGCTCGAGGCTTCACACCAGGCAGGCCAAGCTGAGTGACGTCAGGAATGACAACAGGTGCTCCAGTAAAAATCATCTGATCTCCTGCTCGAGCTCGCTCCACATTTTCACCTCTAAGAATGACGTCGATGGTTCTGGGCATAGATCCAGCGGGGATCTCATGTGCGTTTTCCTGCACACGCACCTTCTGCCAATCCAAGAACACAGAGTTGTCCATCAGCAGCTTCCACATCTTTTTGTTTCCGCACATGGGGTTGGGACAGATCGAAGGCTCTGTGTACTTGAACACCTGCTCCACTCCGTCCACTTCAGTATGACATTCCTGGCACTGGAAGGCTCCCAAGTACAGTTCTGGACGCACTTCGGACGTTCGAGTGACAGTACCCCCTAGAGAAATAAGACAACCAATCTTGTCGGTCTTGAGTTCCCGAATTCTGCACACGACAGGAAGGTTGTGGAAACAGATCTGAAAGTGTCGGGGCTGATCTGAGGCAGACGACGACTTGGATCCTCCAAACGTCGAACTTCCATCCTCAGAAAAGCCTACAGACTGTTGCAGAAGCACGGGCTCAATCTTTCGAATCACATTGGTCAGACCTCGCAGCAAAAATGGCATGAATCGGTAGTATTGGTCACTGATGGCTTGGGCCAGAATACCATCTTCAGTCTCGCTCATGTGTCTGTAGTCCACGAAAATTGACGACTTGTTGAAACTTCGAAGACCCTTGATTTGTCGTACGTAAGGTCGCCCGTCATACGCAGTTCCATCCTCGTCATCAGAGTACTCTTCCGGATTTGATCCATCAACGTAAGTCTCCAGAAACTCTTCAAATAGATCACGCACCTTCTCTCCAGTGGCGTCCTGAACCTTGGGAACTGTTTCTTGCTCCATAATTCGCCGCATTCGCACCTCCTCGTCCGGAGGTACATCCATGGCAGCTGGTTCTCTGTATTGGTCAGAGCTAGGGCCTCCATGAGCAGATGTGGTTCCAGGTGTTCGTCCTGCGAAAGAAGAGGGCAAATTGGCTCCGGGCGAGGAAGGAGGGCCGGGGGAAGAGGGACCCTCCATCCCCTCGGTCATTAATTGGTCGACGAGGTCCATGGTGTGTTCGTGTGTGGTTTTCGGTACGATGTGTTGTGTTCAGGAGGATTGGGATATATTCTTGTCCCATGCAGAAAACACGTCGTCTAGTTACCCGGCTTAATTTAGTCCTATTTTGGCAAGGAGAACGCGTCGCGTTCAAACCTTAACTGGAGCCCCTAGCAACGTGTTGGCGGAGGGGGTAAGCAATAAACCGACATACAAACGCGGCTTTGTGGATTTATCTCGTTATTTGGGTTGACAAAAACAGGTTATTTCTACATTATAGGCAAACATGGCGCACAGCACATAGTACTCGCCGAGGTGCACTGTCATCAATGTGGTGGGTGTTGGACAGAGCGTGTGTCAAATGTCTGAAGTACAAGTACAGTATGTACGTATGTACAGTATGAGTATGAGTATGAGTAAACAGTACAAGTAATACTTGCATGTATATTTATTACTTGTGCTGTAATTGTACGGGTACTTGTACTTGTGATGTAATTGTACAATTCGTATGAGTATATATATATACTGTATCGTACGATGCAGACCCCGAAGTAGTGCTCCCATCGCTCCTCGTATGTACAGTAGCGATAAGTTGAATGAAATGTGCACTTGTCCTTGTACTCTTCAATTAATAACAAACAATATATATATATAACACTAAATGCAGCGGTTAGCACCAGAACTTGTAAACTCGGTAGTAGAAGGGCTTGGAGGCAATGTAGGCAGCCTCTTCGTCCATCTCATGCATGAGCAGCTCGAAGTCAGTTTCTCGTCGTCCAGTGTCGAGGTCCATGTCCTTTAGAGCCACGAAGCTGGGCCGTTTCCACAGCTTGAAAAAGATATAGAAGGCCAGGACAACAGGTACAGCCAGGTAGGCCTGGAAGAAGACGTCAGCCTTAGGCTTGGCACCTCCCACGGGGAAGAGAGCGATCCAGAACTGCAATCCAAGCACGGTTACGTTGAGCAGGAAGCCGTACATGGATCCGATAGTTCCGACGTGAGACAAGAAAGGCATTTCTCGGAGAGATCGACCCTGGACCTTCATGGCCATTCGGAATCGGAAGTGGCACAGGTTGATGGAGCCCCATGTGAAGATGGAGGAGAGGCCACAGATGGCCATGAGCCAGTAGAAGACGGTGTTCTGGGTTTCGATAGGACCGGCACAGATGAATGCAAACAGTCCAAAGAGCGAGACTGTGATGATGCCAAACAGAGGTCGTCCCTTTCGATCAATGTAAGCGAAGAAGGAAGGAGCCTGACCTTGCTGGGCGAGAGCAGCGATAGTTCGAGAGAAACCAAAGATAGAGGAGTTGCCGACGGACAGAACGGAAATCATAATGACGACGTTCATGACAGATGGAAGGCCCTTGATGCCGGCAGCCTTGATGGCAATGACGAACGGAGAGGCGGAAGCGTCAGCAGAAGAGCTCTTGTTGAGCAGCTGGGGGTGGTCCCAGGGAACAAGGAAGCCGACCAGAGTCAAAGACACAATATAGAAGAGGGTAATTCGCCAGAAGACTTGCTTGGTAGCAGTGGGGATGGACTTTCGGGGATTGGCGGTCTCGGCAGCAGCCAGGCCAGCCAGCTCAGTTCCGTTGAAAGCAAAGGCAGCAGACACGAAGACGGCACAGACTCCCTTGGCACCAGCAGAGAAAGCGCCGGGGTTGTGCCAGTATCGGCCTCCGATGTAGTCGTGGTTGGGTCCTCCTCCACAGGTCAGAACAATAGCGAGAATGATGAATCCGACCACAGCAATGACTTTAATAAGCGAAAAGTAAAACTCGGCTTCTCCGTAGCCCTTGACTCCGAAAAAATTGATGGAGACAATTAGCACCCAGAAGATAGCGACCCAGCAGCCAGCATTGTAGTTGGTTCCGTTAGCTTCATTCCAGTAGTTGACCGTCAGACTTGCGGCTACGAGCTCCAGGGGGAACACAATAAACCAGTTGAGAGTGTAGTTCCATCCCATGGCGAAGCCCCAGGCGGGGTCGATGAATCGAGTAGAGTAAGAGGCAAACGCGCCGGAGACGGGGAAGCAAGCACACAGTTCTCCCAGAGAGTGCATGGTGCAAAACAACATAGTTCCAATGATGGAGTAGGCGATGAGAATGGCTGCCGGTCCTCCAGTGGCCAGGGTGGTTCCACTGCCAACAAACAGACCAGTTCCAATGGATCCTCCGATGGCAATCATCTGGAGATGTCGTCCCTTGAGGGATCGACTGAGAGGGGAGTTAGCGGTTGCCAGAGCGGCCTTTTCGAGATCAGAAAGACCCTCGGTGTCGTATTCGCTCAGATCGGCTCGTCGGAAGGAGTCCTTGAAGTTGGCCCATCGTCCGTTGTTGGCCTCAGTGACAGATCCCTCCTCGTGGGGAGAGTTGGTTGATACCACTTCGTTTTTTTCCATGTTCACAAAAGATGCAAGAGAGAGGTGTAAAGATGTGCAATAAAAACCCGCTCAGTTCAAATGAGATGGATTTCTTTGCAACAACACTTTTAGAGTCTACACTAGCGTCCCATACCAACGTTTATAAGCCAAGGTGGCCGGGTGTAACATGCTCTAGGTTAGCCGTGCAGCGCAGTGAACTGTGTTTACTGGTGCAGGTAAAACAAGATAGCCGTGTGGGGAAAGAGGAGAGGCAAATTTAGGAGGTGCAATACTCATGTGGACTGATTTCCGGCAATATTTGTCAAAGGAGAGAGAGCATTTGATACAGATGGTTACTTCCCTGATTATTCCTTCAGCACCGAATGCATGCAACTCTGACCGTTAGCTCTTGGCTAGCATTAGACACACACTAAGTGATGGCTGATTCGGTCAAGTAGCGTGACCAAGCCCGATCAACTGGGAAAAAGAAATACAGCCCTAGAAGGGCATAGATGCATATTCTCTTCTGAGCTACTGTTCCACTTCTCTCTCGCCGAAAAGTGCCTTACACAGACCTTATTGCTTGCCCATGGCTCCACGTATTTTAGCTTTTTAGACTTTGCTTTTTTCCCCATTGCCCTTTTTTCTGTGCTCTCCGAGTCTGCCTCGTTTGTCTTTACCCCACCAAACGGGTCCAGCTGTACACGTTGCAGACAAGGACTTCGAGGAGAAACATGCCACCTAACGGTTCTAGACGGACCTTGATCTCTGAAAATATTGCTCGCTTAGGTGGAAAATGCCCATGACCCCAAGTGCGCTACCGTAGATCTAGAAAACCAGCTAAACTAGCAAGTCTAATAGGGGGCACCGATACCGGTATATAAAGCTCCGACACCGCTCGAGTTCTCTTACCTACGCCTCGCACGCACAAATGGCGGCTTCTACGCGCACATAAAGCGGCTTTTGATGTATGCTGTGGGATTTATGAAGGGCAAGTTTATGTGCCTATAGGACGCACGCTGTGAGGGAAAATGACGTAAAGGGGGGCGTTATTAAAGGAGGCAAGTTTAACAGCGTTCGACTATGGTAGAATTAACATTGATGCAAAAAAAAACCTGTTTGTCGTTGGGTTATCAAGCCGACGAAGTCCCTTCTTTACACTCATCCTGGGCAACTCTATGTCTATTGTAGAGTCTCCACAGCCGTATCTCAGCCTCTCCATCTTAACTCAGCCTCCATAATTAACTTACCTCTGCTCGGAACTCTATCATCCTCGCAATTTTATTTGGCAACGCAAAAGGGAGAGTGGCTCATAACCGGCGGGGAAATCCCGATATCGGAAAACTCCACTCGATTACATAGACAATGAATTTGTAACTTGTTTATTAGGTCACGTGACATTTTATCCCCATCTTCCCAGAGGAGGGGAAATGGGGTAAATGCTTGGTTCAGCAACTTGTTGAGTGCACCTACTTGTACTATACGTACCCATGAGATACATTTAATTATTCAAATCAGGAAACCTCACCCGAGAGTCCTCCCTGTCTCACGTGAAACCGCTTTGTTGTGGCTCTATCCAGTCTGGCACATCTTCTGGTCTGAGTCTCCCCGCCGGGTAACGTTGTGTCCGCTCTAACGGAAGAATAGACTGGAGGCAGCAGGCTTGGCAGCTCTGCCATCACGTGTAATTCTGAGGAAAAGAACTCCACGCCGTGTTTTTTGAAGGGGCAGCGGCATTGTATATTGATCGACTTCAGGCCAGGGTAGCATCGGAGATTTCTGACCACGTGAGCGTGAGCATCGTCTCAAAGACAGTCTAGTTTAGTACATACAGTGTACGTCGGTGGCAGGTGGCATGGATGGTTCGGCTCGGCACGACAGATTTAGGTAAGAGCTTCTGCGCCGAGACTTGGCCGTAATCGAAGACATCTGCTCGAGGACGATAAGCATGAAAATATTTGCCATCCAATAGGAGAGCCCCAGAGATGACGTCAGAGCCGCGCCCTCACATATTCTGTGATGGACTCTCTCTGGTACAATGCAAGTAGCTCATTCTTAGTAAAAAATCTAGACCGAAGGAACGGGCATGATTAGGGGACTCTCCAATTATTGTATCTCAGTAACTTCAGTACGAGTACAGTTCGTGGCTACTGTACTGGGTACATACATACTACGGGTACAGTAACACTGTAACTCACTCTTCAGATTACTATAACTTGTAGTACTACTGTAACCCTTGCACATTCTGTATATTATAAAGAGTCGCCCGTTACTCATAAGCCTATATGATGATGTCTCAATCCATGGAGTTACCAAATACTGAAACACGTAAATGATAAATATCAAGCCACGAAGCCAAAGGTAACACCCAGAATTCCTGTATTGTCTCACGCTGTACAAATACTTCAGAATTGAACTCTCTGGTGCTTGACTAATGATGGCTGGACGACTTGTTGACCCGTCGTGGTGGTCTACTCTGGAATAAGTCACGTGATCGTGGTTTTTGCAAAATTCACAGGTTCTTTCGAAAATCTGAGATTTCCCATTTGTGGCACATGCTATCTACGATATTGTACGAGTAACAGGTACTACAAGATCGATGGCTGGCCTGATGTGTTAGTTCGTGGAGTGTTGAAGAGATCATGCTCGGATAGTATGTAGAGTATTAGAAGGAATCAATGTACAATGTACGAGACATCAGCGTTTTGTACATACTGTGGGGTCGGTACTTACACACAAACCAGAAATCTTCCGTGCTTCAGGTGAACTGTGTCGATAAGTCGACCATTAACATCTTCAAAGAGTATCATCGAGCCAGATGACACCAGTATGTACATACGGTACGACACAAAGAGTAGGAAGAGCTGCCGTAATATTGACATACGCAGACTGCTACCAGAATCATATAAGCATCTTATTGTAGTAAATAGTTTCGTAACATATAAATAGTCATGAGACGGTTGCACCTGGGTCATTCCTTAGAAACCAAACAGAATCTTTCGGATGGAGGTGATCAAGTTACCAGCATGGTCCACGGCCTCGTGAATGTTCTCCTCGAGCTCAATCTGCTCAGCAGACTTGGCGGCCCAGAAGTCCTTGAGGTCCTCACCTCCACCGTTGTAAGCCAGAACGTTAGGAGTGTCAGCGTCAATGTCAGACAGAACACCAACAGAGGCGAAAGAAATAAGGTTCTTCTTAAGCTGGGCGGGGGTGATGGAGGTGGTGGCGAAGTCAGAGTCAGACTCGGGCTGCAGAGACAGGTAGTAAGAAAGCAGACCTGCAATATGAGGAGAGGCCATGGAGGTACCGGAGAGGGTGGCAACAGCTTGCTTGGAGCCAATGTAGGTGGAGAGAATGTTGAGACCAGGGCCAAAGATGTCGACACACTTTCCGTAGTTGGAGAAGTAGGCTCGAGCATCGGAGAGGGTAGAGGCACCAACGGTGACGGCATTCTCAGCGGCAGCAGGGGAGTAGTTGCAAGCGTCGGCATTGTCGTTACCAGCAGCAACGGCAAAGTGAATGCCAGCCTTGACAGCAGCGTTGACGGCAAGATCAAGGGAAGGAGACTTGCCACCACCAAGAGACATATTGGCGGTAGAACCCTTGAATCCCTTGGGGTTCTTCTTGACCTGCTCGGCGTGAGACTTGGCGGCAAACTCGACACCAGCAACAACGTCGGACATGGTTCCGGAACCGTTAGATCGAAGGACCTTGACGGCGACGATGTTGGCCTTCTTGGCAACACCGTACTTGGTGCCACCAATAGTACCCGCACAGTGGGTTCCGTGACCGTTTCCATCCTCGTCGGCATCGCCAGAGGGAACAGTCTTACCCCACTTGGCTCGGCCTCCGAAGTCGTCGTGTCCGACATTGACACCGGTGTCAATAACGTAAGAGGTCACTCCCTCTCCTCCAACGTCATCGTAGAGGTACTTGTTGAAAGAGCCCAGGTTAAGGGTCTTTCGGTGGGAGACTCGGGCAAGACCCCAGGGAGCATCGAGCTCAGTGGCAAACTCGTTGGCATGGACGATAGAGTCCTTCTCAACGTAGGCAATGTCCTTGTGTCGTCGGAGCAGCTCAATGGTGTCGGCGTGGAAAGTACCGGTGTAACCCTTGAAGTTGGATCCGATGGAGAAGGCCTGCTTGAGACCGGACTGAGCCTTGGCCAGGAAGGGGTGCTGGAGATCTCGCTTGGCGAGAGAGGCAACCTGCTCGGTGTGGACCTGCTCAACCCACAACTCGTGAGAGGCGGCGGTGGATGCATCGACATCCTCCTTGAAGACGACGATGTACGAGTCGGGGACTTGCTCCTTGTCGTTCATGACGAGAGGAGCAATCTCGGATTCGTCCTCGTTGGCAATGACAATCTTCTCGAACTTGGCGGCCTTGTGGTGGTTGGGGGAGTTGGCCTCGACGTCGTTGGTAAGAAGGGTGTTGAAGGCCTCAAGGGCATCAACGTTCTGGGGGATCAGCAGGGCCTGGGCCAGAGCGGCCATGGCCACGGCAGAGATGACGGGGTTGAATTTCATGATGGATGTTGTGATGAGATTGGGGGTGTAGTGATGTTGCTAAAGTCAAGTGACGCAGAAGCGGCAGCGGGCTGTGTAAAGTGGCGAAAGTGGTAAAAGTGGCGGAAGTAGTGTAAGTGGTCTAGATGAGTCTACCAAAGATGATATCCTCTGCAAACAGCCCTCAACGAATTACTTCTGAGGATGGGGTTACTGCTTGATGGTGGAGAACAATATAGGTGGCAAAGTCTGGTTATATATGGGCAACTGGGTTTGTGGTCGCAGATAAGGTGGTGATTGCGTATCCACTGCCGGGTAAGCTACGTCATCCAATAATGCTCATGTGAGCTCTTTTGCGGAGATGCGTTTAGGTCCCCGCACAAACACGCCCACATGAGACCAGACCAAAAGAGATATGTCTATGACCGAGGAGGTGCGTAGAATTTGTCTATGGCATTTATTTGACCGAATAACGTCGTCCTGGGCCCTTTATCATCTTCCGTTCCTCCTTCTTCTGTTGTCCGGAAGCACAAGGCACTTACACTTTTGTTGCTGACCTGCCTATTAAGGTCCACCCCTGCCATCCTAATTGGGGTAGAGTAACGTGGTGTTGTAGGCGCTACCCTAACCGCTTCTCCTAACGTGGCACTGATAACCCCTCTACCGAACTTTGTAGAGTCAAATTCGCTATCTCTTAATTTCGGTGGCTTATCACCTTATCAGAAGTTTAATGACGCCAACCGGAGGGCTCCACGAAAGGGTCATGATTTGCAAGGTGGAGAAACCAGCAGTTCATGTCTTTGGTCGACGAGAGTAGTATTTTCGGTGTGGTCCACGTGCATCATTTGACGCCATCTAGCCGCTGCCAGACTCTCCTCCATAAACCAGGTGGCTGTCCCAAACTGTCCGGTTTGATGATATCTGATAGAGTTGGGTTGCGTTGTTTGGGGCAGTGGGGATGTAACTACAGTCCTGTAGCTGTAGCAGTGAGACTAGCTGCTGGGCGGGTGTAAGTTCGATACAAGTGTTCGTAGAGTCATGAGCCGGCTATCGGCAAATTTCAAGCCAAAGTAACCAAACCGAAACCAAAAACGATCAGAGCAGCACATGGTTTGAGAGCTGCTGGGCCAAGGGTATCTTGTCTTTAGAGAGGTTATCGGATTCCATTGTATCGAAGTGCTACACTCTTTAGTGCCGTTATCTAGCCGTAACTACTATGATCCACAGTGACACGCTACTGGTACATACGGCAGCAATATATTGTATTGCACTCACGTACAGTGCTCTCTGTGAGAACCAATTTCACGTGTGGCAACCCCTTCCGATGCAGAGACTGATACAGGTAATCGACATGCACATCACCCTTATCGTATAGGCAAGATTATGTGGGAAGGTCCAAATGGGATGAGTTTGATATTCCTGCTAGCTCCGGATCCAGGCGGTCTGGGTAAGCCACAATACACGAAACGGGTGCGAAACTGCAATTGGTGAATTGCCTCTGATTTGGTGTCATGAAATATATAGCTCGTCTTAGTATTGCTACTGTCATGGCTTGTCCTTTGTCCATCGATCTAAGTCTAAGCAGCCCCAAAATGCCCTCCTTTTACTGGGGTGGCGACTTAAACTCGCAGCCCTGGTATACGTCATATGATGCCGTCATGACTATGGAGAGGGTAAGAGCAGTGGAATGTGTCTCTTGTTTATAATCACATAATGCATGAAACTATCCACAGTACGGAGAGTCCCATACTGAGTCCACGTTGTGAGGGCATAGATGGGCGATATGGTGAGTTGTCGATAAAAGCCTCGGTTTCTCATGGGATAGTGTGATCTGACTCACCGGAAGAAGTCATGTGTCTGAGTGGTCAATACCATGTGCCTTTTTCTTTCAAGACGTCGTCATGACTGTTGCTCAGCAGCAACACCTTCCTCGGACATTCTCAAATCTTCCACTACTTGTACAGTAAATGGCTTATCCCGTATGTACTACTCTTTGTAACTACAGTGCAGGATTACTTAGCTACGAGTATCACACTCGTACGGTTACTATATGTAATTGGTGCGTTGTTTACAGTAAGATGCATATAATGAGCAAGTAGTGTACTTCCTCGTTAGCTCAGATTAACAGTAAATACTTGTGACTCTTTATGAACAATGCGAACAAAGTAATACAAACTGCAAGATAGTCGCTCAAGCCCCCTCTTTGACTGGCCCCACCCAAGCCCATCGAGACCTTCAAATTAACTTTTGTTAATACTGTAGCTACAGTGTAAGTACTCGTACTTCTACTCCACTTGTACTCATACTCACTTTTTTTTTTTTTAATTCATGACTTTTTTACTACTTTGTAGTGCTGGGTCCCAACAAGGCAACTCATCAGGACGATATCTAAAAATAAACATCATGCATGGACGATGTTGGGTGCAATTAACTGGGCACGTAATTTCTGTAGATGATCAGTCGATAACCAACCAAGGCTTAGAGTACAGGTAGAACTGGCTACATGCCAATAACAGCACACCGGAACCTCTGTTGTTCTCATTCTCCGTAAATCCCCAAACCCCATATACCATCATCTCTTCCATAATGTCACGTTGAGAACGTGTGTTTGTTCGCCCCCAACCCAACCTCCATCCGTACCCTAACCCTGATCGAAAGAAATGTGTATCATCTGCAACGCGCAAATCCTACCCTTTTAGTCCTGTGTACCTGCGCATCACATCTAGCCTCTCCGCCAACGCTAGAAACATGTTTGCCGCAATTTCCTTACTGCTATCGTCGATACCACTGCTACTGACGGCCTCGATATCCGCCATCTGGGTCTACAAGTATGGTTATCCTCTGCTGTTGAGCGACGCGAGCTCTCAAAGTGAGTCGTCTTACAGCAAGAAGCGCAGCCGCATCACTGCCACAATGGGTGTGGTTCTTTCGATTCTCATCATGGAACTTGTGTTGGCCGAGGTTTGTGGATGGTTTGACCCAGCTACAACTCTTAGCTGGTGGAAAATGATCATGCCAGTCACTCTGGCATTCATTGTTGTGGTGGTACCTGCCCTGCAACTGCACATGTTGTTTTCCACTCTGTTGACGTCGCAACTCAGCGTCGGTCTCGCCACAGCCTCTTGTCTTTTTTCCTGGCTCTTTCTGTTCTACAAGCTCGGAGCCCAGCTTCCCCTTCATGGAGATGAGCGTGTCCTGAACCTCTTTAACTCGGACTGGTCGAATTTCTCCCGATCCTTACTACAGGAGGTCTCTGGCCGGGTTGCCTTCATCGGAGTGTCTGCTATTGCTGTTCTGTCTGGTTTTGGAGCCGTCTCTTCTCCCTACAACGTCTTCCTGGCTAAGAGTAAGTACGTTAGTCCCGCAGTCATCAGCCGAACCGAAGCCGCTATCGACCATGTATCTGTGTTGCTGGCCGAGAAAACCCCTCAGGTCGCCATCACTACCTCCCAGAGTTCTACCTCCATCGTCTCTCGGTTCATGGACTCCATGAGAAGCGGTAAGAATGAGCAAGAAACCGAGATCGAAATGCTGGGTAAGGTGAAGCAGGACCTGGAGAAGGAACTCGCAGAGCTGCAAGAAACAGCTCGACTCAACAGCCTCGCAGAAACTACCTATGGAAAGATGTGGAACATGGCTAACCTCGTCTTCTCTTTGTACTGTGTGTACAGATTGTTCAACGTGGTGGTTATTAACAACCCCTACTTCCGGCGAGCCAACCTGTCATCTTTCCTCAACTTCTCCACTCCTCAACCAGTCCACGTGACTGAAACTGATGCTCTGGCAATCACTCTGGCTCATATGTTATCCTACGTGTACTCCAAGACGGATATTGAGTCCATCACTCGACAGGTCTCCTTCTTCCTGACCGCCTGTCTGCTGTTGGGTTCTTTCTCTGCAGCTTACAGAACTATCAATACCTTTAAGAAGGCCTTCCCTTGGCTCCCTCCTCATCTCACAAACCCTCATGTCTTCGTTCTATTCTTGGTTCAGGTTCTGGGGACTTATGTGATTGCCACTACAGTTATGATTCGGTCCAATCTTCCTAACGAGATGTCATCAGCCATTTCAACAGCTCTTGGAGCTCCTCTAGACGTTGGGTTCGTAGAAACCTGGTTCGATTCGCTCTTCCTGCTGGTTTGCATTCTCACAGCTGCAGCTCTCATTTTTGTGAGCGCGGAGAGGGACCTGGACGATGGCGATGTCATCATGGAGAGTAAATTTGTTTGATCCGCTCACCTCAGTCATGTTGGGGTATTTATTGCATACTGTACATTATTTATAATAGATTATATATTTACATGGGTGTAATTTTCAGTTGTAGCTCCGTCTTCATCGTTTCTGCTATACACGATGATACATCTCAATGTCGAATCTCGGATCGTTATTTTGGATTTGGTCACTATTTGTACATCAATACAAGTACTTGCACATCTTACTATTACTGTATCGTATAGCACATACTTGTACAGTATATGATACAATTGTACGATGCGTTGATTCAATCAACTCTATTCTGAACCAACTCACTTACCCTCTACACACTACAGTATGAACAGAAACACGAGAGATGGAGAGACCTATGAAGGCTATACATATGATACCCCTGAAGAACTTCAACCAATGACGTACGCAGACGTTGAGACACAACGCTTCATGGTCATGGACGTACTTCTTAGCTGGAAAGCTAACCTGTTAAGAGCACTCACCATATCCATAACAACATCATTACTGGTATCTTTGTCAGTGGAGAACTTCCACGACAGTGTACCTGATCGCGAAAGAACGCCCTATTGGCCTCTTGTGTTTCTGCTATCAATCCTATTCACGTGGTTTGGAGCAAGCACGTCACAGTTGTGTTACGGTTACTACCGACAGCGTCCCACACCACTTCTCGCTGTTCTACTGGTGTTTGCTCAACTGGTTCTCTGGCTCATTTGTTTGTTCCCAGCCTTTATATTAGGTAATGAGTTCAGTCTTGCCTAATTACTTACATTGCGCATGTACAGTATGTACTTGTAGCTACAAGTACACGGTATAATCGCCATTCACACAAAATCACGTCACCACGCGAGTATACTTAAACTGCACCCAATCATCCTCTTATGTATTTACTGTAATGCATTTCTCTTATCATCTCGCTAATACACTGGCTACGATTACAATGCAGTAATTACGTATATACCAGTATATACTCTTCTTCCCAATAAATTATTACTTCACCTCGTCGTAGAGGCCTTTATGTTGCAACTGTTGCGTGATCGCGACCAGCTCCTGGAGCTGAAGCTGGTAACCGGAGCCATGCTCCCGGTCATCTCGTCGCTTCAGATACGACACGCCATCCTGCTCAAACTCCTCCCATTCATCCTGGAGCTGGGTCAGTTCCTCCATGTGCAGCAGAATTTTTACGGCATCCACTCGTACCACCTTGTAGCAGCCAATAAGCATCTGGTGGGCCAATTGTTGCACACCCATAAACGCCTGCTCGGTAGCCCATGCTACAGTTAAGTCCTTATTCTTCTCAGTGATCAACTTGAGATCAGCGTAGGCAGTCTCGAAGTTGTCTTTCATCAGAGCATTAACCACCCTGGCTGCAGGAGCTGTAAACTGCGACAGAAATGGGAAAGAGCTGCTTCTGAGAATGGTCTGCTCAGCATCAATGATGCGTCCTTTGGATAGCTGCAGGAGAGCCATGATTATGAAGAAGTTGGCGTTCTTGATGATGTCAGGGAACAGTGTTGCCGAGGCAGATTTTTCTGGGTCCTCCTGTGCAGCGCTAGTCTCCTCTTCATCTGCGATAATCATGTCAGAGTTGTCGGTCTCTATCGGTCGCTGTTCGGCCTCGTCGGTCTCAGTTGCAGGCTCCTTTCCTGTGTCCATCTCACTGGGGGTGTCTTTATCCATGGCATCTGAAGCCTCATTGTCTTCCTCGACAGTAATAGGGTCGCTAGAACACTCTCCAGGCTCTTCCACCTCTACCTCTTCCTCTCCAGTCTCATGGACCCTGTCTGTCTCTTCATGTCCGCCTACTTTCTCAATTGCAGTCTTTAACTGGATAAGCTGCTGATGCACATCCATTTCGGCGAAGTCCAGGGCTCGGAAAAGTTGCGTGTCGGTCTCAAACGCCTTGAGTTCTTCCAGAGATGGAATACCCTCGTTCGAAGCCATTGCGCTGTCTGTGTCCATGGTTGGTTTGTATTGTTGTGCTGTGTGTGTGTGTGTAATTAGATGTGTGTTATTTCAAACTGCATATTGGAGATGACATCCTGGAGCCTAATGTGGGAATCAGTTGACTGTACAAGTATTACTTGCTGTTTTAATAAGGTTACTGAATCCGAAACTTGGAAGACCATAAGAACGTGTAATACGCTGTTAAACATGATGGATGATTATTCTGTATGAGAAGGGTGTTTGCTTCTACATATATAGTAGCTATACTTTACACCCCAATTGCACAAACATCACCCCCCTCACCTCCCTTACTTCCCTCACTTCCCTCACTTCACCCCGCAAATGTACAGAGAAAAATGAAAAAGGTGATGTCAACATAACGGTGGCAATATCCATCCATCTCACCCAATGAATTATTGTTTGTTTGGTGGCGGATCCTTTTCATCAATTGTTCATTTATTCATCTTTCCATCATTCATTCTAAAAGCACCAAGGATCGCCTTCGTTTAGATTCGTTGATGCGAAAAGTGTACCTGTATGTCCATACTGTACAAGTTGTCTCGAACTAACTTCGCGCGCAGCGATGGAAAAATACAGGAGCCAAACTAGTGGTTCATGAAGGCTTCAATGGAGAGCAATGGATACAGGTTTGAATCCCTGCTGCTTTGTATACAATATTATACAGATCTGCTGTTTTCAAGACGTAATTCAACCCCGGCATGTCCCCATTGAGCCTCCCACCATCCATGTTACATAATCTGAACCCTAATCAGGACACGTACCTTGAAGCATGACGTTGATGAAGTAAATCACATCAGCATTATTGTCCACAACACACAACACCACCACGATGCAGTTATCAGCCTCGACAGTCAAGTCGATCAACCTGCTGCTCAAGGTGAGTATTCTGCTGACGATTGCTGGCGCTGCGGTTTCGTCGCGTCTGTTTTCGGTGATTCGGTTTGAGTCCATCATCCACGAGTTTGACCCTTGGTTCAACTTCCGAGCCTCCAAGTATCTGGTCAACAACAGTTACTACAAGTTCCTCAACTGGTTCGACGACAAGACATGGTACCCTCTTGGCCGAGTCACTGGAGGTACCCTCTACCCCGGTCTCATGGTCACCTCTGGTGTCATCCACAAGCTGCTGCGAATGGTGGCCCTGCCCATTGACATTCGAAACATTTGTGTCATGATGGCACCCGCCTTCTCGGGCCTCACGGCCTACGCCACCTACCTGTTCACCAGTGAGATGAAGGACCAGAGTGCCGGTCTGTTGGCCGCTGCCTTCATCGGTATTGCCCCCGGATACATTTCTCGATCTGTCGCTGGATCCTACGATAACGAGGCAATTGCCATTTTCCTGCTCATGATCACCTTCTACACCTGGATCAAGGCCCTCAAGATGGGGTCAGCTTTCTGGGGTGCTGTCTGTGCTGCCTTTTATTTCTACATGGTCGCCGCCTGGGGAGGATACGTGTTTATCACTAATATGATCCCTCTTCATGTGTTTGTGCTCATCCTCATGGGCCGATACAATGACCGAATCTACGTGGCCTACAGCACATGGTATGCGCTGGGTACACTCGCCTCCATGCAGATTCCTTTTGTGGGTTTCCTACCCATCCGGTCCTCTGAGCACATGGCTGCTCTAGGTGTCTTTGGACTGGTTCAGCTGGCCGCTTTTGCCAACTACATCAAGAGCCAGGTCACCCCCAAGCAGTTCAAGTACACCGTCGGTCTGTCTCTGGTGGGTCTCATTGCTATTGCCTTCGCTGGCCTCGTGGGTCTCACTGTCTCTGGTGTCATTGCTCCCTGGACCGGCCGATTCTACTCCCTCTGGGATACCGGCTACGCCAAGATCCACATTCCCATTATTGCCTCTGTCTCCGAGCACCAGCCTACTGCCTGGCCTGCTTTCTTCTTTGACACCCAGATGCTCATCTGGCTCTTCCCTGCTGGTGTCTACCTCATCTTCCAGGAGCTGCGAGACGAGCACATTTTTGTCATTGTGTACTCCATTCTCGGTTCATACTTTGCCGGTGTCATGGTGCGACTCATGCTCACTCTGACTCCTGTCATCTGTGTGTCCGCTGCTATTGCCATCTCCACCCTGCTTGACGTCTACGGTGACTTCTCTACCAAGACTAAGGGCGACACTGTTCTGGTTCCTAAGTATCAGCCTCTCGGTCACGAGAAGCCTGGTGAAGTTGTTGAGGATGACGAGGATGACGAGACTGTCGACAAGGCCGCCAAGTTCACCCTTGGTCTTGTTGCCAAGGGAGCCGTGATTGTCTCCTTCCTCTTTTACCTTGGTATGTTTGTCTACCATTGCACCTGGGTCACTTCTAACGCTTACTCTTCACCCTCCGTTGTTCTTGCCTCTCGAATGCCGGACGGCTCTCAGCATCTCATTGATGACTACCGAGAGGCTTACTACTGGCTTCGAATGAACACCCCCGAGGATGCTCGAATCATGTCCTGGTGGGATTACGGCTACCAGATTGGAGGAATGGCCGACCGAACCACTCTTGTGGATAACAACACGTGGAACAATACCCACATTGCTACTGTTGGCAAGGCTATGTCTTCCTCCGAGGAGGTGGCGTACCCCATCCTGCGCCAGCACGATGTGGATTACGTTCTTGTCATCTTCGGCGGCCATCTTGGCTACTCCGGAGACGACATCAACAAGTTCCTGTGGATGGTGCGAATCGCCGAGGGCATTTGGCCTGACGAGATCAAGGAGCGAAACTACTTCACTCCTGCTGGCGAGTACAAGGTTGACGACAAGGCGTCCGAGGCCATGAAGAACTCGCTCATGTACAAAATGTCGTACTACCGGTTCGCGGAGGGCACACAAAAGCCTGACCGAGTTCGAAACCAGTGGATCCCCCCTACTCCTATCGAGCTCAACACTCTCGAGGAGGCTTACACCACAGAAAACTGGCTGGTGCGTCTCTATAAGGTCAAGGACCTCGATAACCTGGGACGCGATCTGAAGAGCGCCAAGAGCTTTGACACTGGAAAGGCCAAGAAGAAGGGCAAGGCTGCGTACTCGGAGAAGCGAGCCTTCGAACTTAGAGAGTAGGTAGATAAAATATAGATTTGGTTGGTATGACGAAACAGTTTTGTAGACAGCTGGTGGTTGTAGAGTACAGTTGGGGAAATCCGTGCTGGTGGGGCTACGTCTCTGCCGTGCTTTGGTGGGTTAATTACTCCCAGTTCTGTTAATATCGACCCACATTGGTATGTTGCCTGATCTTGTTCGAGGCGTACGAACACTTATGAGTACAAGTACATTGTCAATAAGATCATTGAGTTCTCTGTGTTCCATTTATACAGACTGTTAGTGGTTGCTACTACTTGTAGCTAAATCATCATCAGTCTCACGCAGAAATAAGGGAGTGCGCCCTAAGGATCTTTGCACTGTCATCATTGATAATACGAGCTCCGTGGATATCTGAAGGATAAAAACGATTCCGTGGATCATTAACACAGCAATAAAGTGTAGAAGTAGCAAAATATCGAGTCTCAGTCTACTGGAACTGAGCTTCTTCTGGAAGTGGCTTGCCAGCATGGTAAGTACTCCGGGTCCGATTGACTTATGCTGTTAAAGAAAGTATTTGTAGAGTTGAAGAAGCGGCAAGGAAGCCACACCTGAATATACAGTAGGTTGTCTGTTTCTGTCCTTGTGAGCTCTATCGCTCTTGTTCGATGCAAGTCAAATATCTTAATGCCGCTGTACGTTGTCTTATGCGGATCTATTGCCCGTAAGCAGGATGAAGAACTCACTCATTGATGCTCAATCGTTTCAACAATGTTTTGAGAAGGAAGCAGACGACGGGATTGTGATTTAGCTGCTTGCTGTGTTTTCAATTCTATGGTGGATACTGTATAATACTGAATGAGAAGCCACAAGTTGTAATAACCGGTCTTGCTAGAATGTCATGGCTCTTGTCCAAGTTTGTACAGAGGCCAATACCTAGGGCATGCTAAGCCACAACCGAAGCCACAGCGGGCGTCTGATTCTACCTCCAGCGGATATTTAATTTCAAAACTGTAGTTTTAATCGTAGTCTTTTCCCGGTCGAATAATTAATTCCATTGTGTCCGACGTCGTGTGGCTTGACCTTGCTTATCCCCAGATTGATATAACCTGTGTCAAAAGGAGCAGTACAGTAGTCCAAGTAATAAAAAAGGACACGCCCGCATGAAACTGTACGGTAATGTATGTCAAAGTACTCCGTCGGATTTATCCAAGCTCATTACTTTTTCAATCTCCAAACCTCCTGACCCGGATCTAGAGATGGTGTGCTGTGGCTAAAAGAGGGTTTGAAGTAAAGAATCCACACTTGGCCACGGTGGCTCACTGTGGGCTGTGGCTATGAAAAATTTAGGGGACTAAGATGAGACAAGATAATTGTCAGTGACAGGGAAAAACCTGACACAAACCGATGGCAGCAAGACCAATTGCACATACCAAGGTAGTAGTCGTAGTTCATTCCCACATGCACTATCTATGCAGATAAGCCGTGTGGTGGTTTAAGGGAGGGGAGTATTGGTGAATGACGGATCATTTCAAACCACCAAAACAAAAATCTCTCAAATTCTTCGAAAACCATGTCGCGCCTCCCACACGTGCTTCTCTTTCCGCCCCCACCACCACCTTTAGCCCCGATGTCGCAATCCCGGCTTTCCAAGGTCATTTCCTGATAAGCTCCATGATGCAATTCAAGCCACGCGACGTGTGGAGGCGATGAACGTGTCAGGTAATGTGGTGTCACAGACTGGTATGGGGCATGATGAGGTTGCCAAGAATACTTCTTGTGTCCTTTTCCTTGAAAGACTTGGCACCACCGAAAAATTGCCTCTTCTGGATCACCACATACAGACCTTCCCCAAACGTCAACAACTCCACAAAATCCTCAAGGTCTCCAATTTTGATGCCTAACTCTCCCTATCAATACAACCTAAAGTAAACATCAGCCTGAGTAAGGTCAGCCCAAGTAGTCAGCCTCATATTGGCTCAGCGGTGTGGCGGACAGCCACAGATCAAAGAGCACGGTAATGGTTATATAAAGCAGGCTGTCGGACGGAATGATGGATCGACTCCATCTTCACCTCAATCATGCCTGAAAAGCACGACCTTGCCGACGCCTCGGACATCTCGTCTCCTTCAGACAGCCCCGAATATTCCTACAACGAGACCAAGGGGGGTTCCCCTCTCAACGGGTCGGTGCATGAGTACAGTGGCTCTATCGACGACCTCGATGAAGAGCGTCTCCAGGAGCTGCTGGTCAACAACGGAGCTGGAACAAACTCCAAGAACCGACGAAATATCTTTGAGAACAAAAAGATCGCAGAACACTTCGCCGAACTGTACGAAGACGCTGAATACGAATGCAGGCACCTATTCAAGCCGGACTTTGAATGGGAAACTAAGGAGGAAAAGAAACTAGTCAGGAAACTCGACTGGTACGTTTGTTTCTGGGCATGTATCATGTTTGCTGGTCTGCAGATTGATCGTGGTAACATTGGTCAGGCCCTATCTGACGGTATTCTCGGCGACCTAGGTATGGACACTAACGATTACAACTACGGTCAGACAATTTTCCTTCTGTCATTCATGTGCGCCGAAATTCCCTCGCAGCTGGTTTCTAAGAAACTAGGACCCGATAGATGGGTGCCCACTCAGATGGTTCTGTGGAGTATTGTTGCTTGTTGCCAAGCTGCTGTTCAGAGCCGAGGCCCCTACCTGGCCCTGAGATCCCTCATGGGTATTCTTGAGGGAGGTTTCATTCCTGATCTTGTTCTGTGGCTCTCCTACTTCTATACCTCCAAAGAACTGCCTATCCGCTTGGGCTTTTTCTGGGCCGCCTACATTCTGACTCAAATCCTCACGTCTCTACTTGCGTTCGGTCTGCTGCGTATCAAGACTGACGCTATCCAGGAAGGATGGAGATGGCTGTTTCTCATCGAAGGTCTGATCACATTTTGCATTGGTGTTGCATCGTACTTCAAGATGCCTGCGTCCGCCGCCCAGACCAAAACCTGGTTCCGAAAGAAGGGATGGTTCACCGAACGAGAAGAGCTGATTGTTGTCAACCGAGTCCTTCGAGACGACCCCTACAAGGGAGACATGCATAACCGAGCTGCCATCACCCCCAAGAAGCTATGGACTTGTCTTTGCGACTACCACCTGTGGCCGATCTACGCCATTGGTATCATGTTGTACATTCCTCCTACACCCGTCGCCTCTTACATGACCCTCAATCTCCGACATCTCGGTTTCTCAACCTTCAACACCAACTTGTTGACCATTCCCTATCTTGCTCTGGAGCTGTGCATGCTGCTGTTGGTTACCAAAATGTCGGAAGTGCTCAACGAGCGAGCTCTGGTTTGTTTGGCCCAGCCTCTCTGGATTCTTCCCTGCATTGCGATTCTGAGATTCTGGAGTGGAGCACAAATCGACATTTGGGGCACCTGGGCAGTCACCACAGTGTTGCTTGGATACCCCTACGTCCACGCCATTGTGGTGGCTTGGACCTCGCGTAACTCCAACACTGTGTCGACCCGAACAGTAGCTTCAGCCATGTACAACATGTGTGTTCAGGCTGGAAATGTCATGGCAACCAACATCTACCGAAACGACGACAAGCCTCTCTACAAGCGAGGAAACACTCAGTTGTTTGCCATCAATATTGCATGCATCGTTCTGCTCATCCTGGTCAAGATATACTATGTGTCGGTTAACAACTACCGAGACAAGAAATGGGCTGCCATGACCAAGGAAGAACAGGTGGCCTATCTGCGTACCACCAAGGATCGAGGAAACCGACGTCTGGATTTCAGATTCGCGCACTAAAAAAAAAAAATACACCTGTATAGATATTTATTGTGAAATTTTAACCGGTCTCGTATATAAAATGATTGAGTACATTTTCCTAGCTAAGCATATTACAATCTCGCTACACTTAGTACAATGTAGGTGTTATACTCGTAGTATCATACAGTACAAGTACTCGTTGTTATATGGTCATTGCTGTTGCTCCCCTGTCTCTAGTTGTCGTGCTTACCAACAAGTAGCTCTCCACTCAGCCGTGTCGGCCTAACTTCGGCGATAAGTGAGTCAGTAGAAGTAATATCCAAAACAGTTTTAACAGCACTTGACGTAAATAGCATCAGAAACACACTGGAACACACACGATCGCAGAAATTTCCTCGCATCGCTATCAGCGACTTTTATCTATATCATGTGTGTTCATGTATCAGCAACTCTTCCAATCTACAAATAGCACTTTGAGCCCGGGAGGACCGGACCCGACATGCATATAAAGACATACAGACATGGATACAGGTAATTGCACTTGGCTAGAGGTGATATGTCAATAGTTAACAGTCTTTATTGTGTTAAAAGTAGCCAGAGTGCCTTCTAGGCTATATATTCTCATGGTATCTACAGTGTACTACCCTCGGCAAAAAATAGTCCACTGGAAAAGTACATTTTTACCGCCCAAGAACTCAATCATGCAGATAGCACGTCCCCGCAATAAGCAGCTCTTCGTAGTGCTTTAAGAAAATACATCGCCAGAAGCTGCTGCAATACACAGTCACACATAACACACCATGCTCAGATCTTCTCGAATAACAGCCGGTACTTGTGTATCACGCGGGTGGCACTCATACACGACCAAGACACCCACGAAAACTGCGATCCCTCCAGCCGCCAAGTCGTCTAATGAGGCCAAAGATCTCATTCTCTCCGTGCTTCAGTCGGCAGCAACCAAGCGAGAGGCCAAGACGTATATTTCACGATACGCACCATTGACGGGTGTGGAGCTGCAGAAGAAGAAAGAGGGACTGGTCCAGAGACTACTGGGAGTTGGCAAGGAACAGGACAACAAGGAGATTGAGAATCTGACAGGCCATGCCCCAGAGGGTTTGTTGGGCGACTCGGAAGGCACTCTGCGAGTAGCCATTATCAAGATCAGAGACATCAAGTCAATCGAGGATGATCTCATTGCTCAGATGGGAGAAACCATTGCTCGACTGTCGCGTCTGGGTGTGTCGCCTATTGTCGTAGTTGACGCAGGCAAGGCCCGAAACGACTTCCTCAAGCTCGACAACAAGCCCTTCAGACATTACCAAAAGCTCATTCTGCAAAAGGTGTTCAAGATCTCGGATGCCATCGATGCGGCTAGTCCAGACGTTGGAGCACGGCCTATTGAGGGACTCTTCTCCATGAACAAGAAGGGTCTTCGGCTGGCCATGCCCCAGATGCTCATGCATCCTTTGTCGCATGGAAAAGTGCCTGTTCTGGCTCCCCTAGCTTACGACGACGTTACCTCCGAGGAAAAGCTCGTTATGGCGGACGACGTGGTGCATTTCCTCACTCAGAAGCTGGCCGAAGTACCAGCAAACATTCTGTCGGTGGAAAAGATTATTTTCGTGGACCCCTTGGGTGGCATTCCCTCCGTTGAGAGATCAGGAGCCCATGTTTTTGTCAACCTCAAACAGGAACTATCGGACATTGCTGCCGAGCTGCACATGGGTTTCATTCCTCCTGCTCAGCGTGAAGTACATCTGGCCAACCTCAAGGCCATGCACAAAGCCCTCAAATTTCTGCCTCCTACAGCTTCCGGTCTCATTACTACTCCTGCTGTGGCGGCCATTCCCTCAGTAGGACGAAACCCCATCATTTATAACGTTCTCACAGACCGACCTGTGATTTCGCCTTCTCTACCTGTGGAGCTCAAGAAGACTCCCACTCTAGAAACCACTCTTCTGCGTGAGGGTATGCCTGTCATTACACTCAAGTCTGACAAAGGCCTGAACCTCATCACTGAGCACGAGAAAGGCAACATTGATCTGGACCGTCTGTGGCATCTGATTGAAGACTCCTTTGGACGACGAATCGACAAACAGCATTATCTCAACCGAGTCAACGGCAAAATCGCAGGTATCATCATTGCTGGAGACTACGAGGGAGCAGCTATCATCACATGGGAAGACATTGACCCAGTCAAGGCCCAGGAGGATCGAGATGCTGCCGATCGAGCAGCTGCCGAGGCAGCTGCGGCCTATGCAGCAGGTATCCCCCTTCCTTCGCCGCCTCTGTATCAGAAACTGGGAGATGCCGTGCCTCTTAACCCCAACCAAGTGGCGTATCTTGATAAGTTTGCCGTTCTGAAACGGTCCCAGGGCTCTTCGTCGGTAGCAGATGTGGTTTTCAAGGGTATGGTCATGTCTCAGTTCCCCAACGAGCTGCTGTGGCGATCTCGAAAGAACAACCCCGTGAACAAGTGGTACTTTGACCGGTCGAAGGGCAGTTTCAAGATCCCCGGTAGCGAGTGGTGCATGTTCTGGACGGGTCGAAAGACTCGAGAACAGTACCTTGAACGATTCGTCGACATTTGTACCAGAATCGAGCCTTCTTTGAGGGAGGAGTTATAGCCTGGCAAGGAATAGACATGTCTATAGAACATAAAGTAATGCAGCATTAATAATGAATTGAGTCTCCACGTACTACAAGTAGTAGATTACAAGTCGCACTAACACAATCTGGTCATATCATCTCATTAACTATCTACTTAATATATGCGTGACAAACGTTAGTTATTCGCTGCTCCGATGCTAATTACCCTCCTGGCCAAAATCGTTGGTGAAGTCTTCATGACGAGTAATGTCGTCGTTGTTGACGGTTGGTCGAGTGGACTTTACAGCCTTGATGAAGTCCTTGAGAGTCAGCTCGGGCTCCAGAACTGTTCCGTCCTCCAGTTCCATCCAGTTGAGCTCGGTTGCCTGGGGGTCTCCAGGAGAACAGGGGGTATACTTAGTCACGCCGTCGATCTCCACAGGTTTGAAATGCGTTGCTTCCTGGATTTTTCGGATTGGTTGCATCAGGGCGTCTCGGACAGACACTGCCACATCATGACCCGAGTATCCGTCGGTCATCTCAGCCAGAGTTCGGAAATCCTTCTGAGTCAGTGCACAAGGGGTGTTCCCGACGTTTATCTCAAACATACGGGCTCTGGCCTCGGCATCGGGTAGGGCAATATAGATTCGTCGCTCAAAACGTCGTCGAATAGCGGCATCCAGCTGCCAGGGAATGTTGGTGGCACCCAGAACGAGAACGCCACTAGCGTCGTTACCCACTCCATTCATCTGGACCAGCAGCTCTGTTTTGATTCGTCGTGACGCCTCACTCTCTCCCTCTCCTCGAGGTCCACACAGAGCGTCGACCTCATCGATGAAAATGATACTGGGCTTGTTCTCTCGGGCCATGGCAAACAATTGCTTCACCAGTCGTTCAGATTCACCCATCCACTTGGACACAAGGTCGGAGGATGAAACGGAAAAGAAGGTGGAGTTGGCTTCGGTCGCCACTGCCTTGGCCAGGTACGACTTTCCGGTACCGGGGGGTCCATACAGCAGAATACCAGACAAGGGCTTTCGCTTGCCAGTGAAGAGATAAGGGAATTTGACGGGCAAGATGACTGCCTCCTTTAGAGCTTGCTTGGCTGCCTCCAGACCAGCAATATCTTCCCATTTAACGTTGGGCTTTTCATTAAGGATGGCTCCAGCCAAAGCTCCTCGCAGCTTCTTGGTATCATTGTCGTCGTCTCCAGATCCGGCCCCGCCGTTGGCTCCTCCTCCCTGTTTTGCCGCTTGGGCTGCAGGCTTGCTTTTTTGCTTGTCGAGATGTTCCTTCAGCTGCTCTGCCCGAGAAAAATACTCTGTGATTCGCTGTCGCAGCAGCTCCTTGGACTTGGGGTTCTTCTCGTACTTGATTGCCTTGATGAAGTAGTCCAGTCCGTTGACATACAATTCGTGTGCCTCCTCGTACTTGCTTGCGTTGTCGGCCTCGATCGCCTTGCGCACAATTTCTAGCGCCTTGGATAAAAAGTCCACGGTAGCCATTTGTGTGGGTGGTTGTTGGGTTAATACCTCTCGATAAGTGCTGTAGGTGGTGGATGGACCTCAAGTTTGAGTTTGAAAATCTAGGTGGGAAGGCTGAGGTGTGGCGATAAGGTACGTCGTAAAGGGAGTAAACGTAACTAACCGGGTTGTTATGTATAAAATCCAATAGCTGGAAATCATATAAACACATTAGGACGTGTTAAACGCTTTCGGCGGCAATTTTTTTCATTCTTTGGATAGCAGTTATCACGGATTCCAAATTAATAAAAGTCCGCCATCATAGTATAGTGGTTAGTACACCACGTTGTGGCCGTGGAAACCTCAGTTCGATTCTGGGTGATGGCAATGCCAATATTTTTTGCGTAGTCGGCGTGCTGAATAAGCCACAAGTTGCTAGCAAGCTTTAACCGGTGCAGTTTATGCTCGTAGCTTGTTCAAACAAGCACGTTGCCTCGCCTCGGGAACCAAAACATCTCACAAGTTGCCTACCGTACGCACAACCAAGATAATATCTCACGTTTCGACAGGATTTAGGCCATTACAGTAGAGTCAATTGGGATGCGGAGCAAATACTGTACTTCTTCATACTGTATACAAAAGAAAGGATTTCATTAAACGCGACCCCGACTCTTACGGTCACTTGTCCGTGTAAATATATTGGTACATACTGTATTCAACTGTTCAATAAGTACCAGTACGTACCACTCCAGTAGTCATTTCGCCTTGCATTGCGATGCTATATTTGGAGTGTGGTGTTATTATGCGACAAACAATAAGAGATCTTGCATAACCCCTAAAATTATTGGGAGCGCCGTTGCCTGGCCAACCGTGCTTGCCAAAACAAGGTTGCGTATAAACAAACAGTCACCTCGCACTATACAGTACACCAGCACCATGTAGACCCAGCACCACCGACATGTTGGTACATAAGAGAAATATCGCCTCTTTGTACAGAGCGCACTAGCTACCGGTAACAACCAATTCGACTCTCAAATGTCGAACAAGCCTCGAGACCTGCCCGAGCCACCGTCGCCGGCGTTTGTCAGCCAGCGTCAGTCGCTCCACATTGATGCCAACCCCTTCTCCAACCCTGGCTCCCCTACTCGATCTCCTGAACGACAAGGCGCCTATGGATCTCCCTATGGCACTCCTCGAGCCGAATCTCCGACCCGTTTCGGCTCCCCTACTCGGTATGGAAGTGCTCATGGAGCCCGAGGAACCCCTCGAGCAGAGTGGACTCGTCGAGAGACACCTGTGAGTGAATTTGATCCCATTGTCATTGACGACGATGATGATGATGCGGTTCTGGCTCCTCCTCCTGTGTTCCCCACAGTCGATTCTCTACGACAGTCGCAGATGAGTGTTACCAGTGACTTGAGACAGTCTGTCATGTCCACCTCTTCTGGCGGCCATTCTAGCCACGGATACGGTCACCAGTATGCATTGGCCCGAAGCATCACTTCACAATCCACCTCCTCTTCTATCACCGCCACCTCTTCCCGAGATTCTATGATCGACCACGACGAAGATGACGACGACGAAATGGAGTTTAGAAAGGGAGACGAAAAGAACGGCTACCGAATGAAGTACCTCGATGACAGAGTTCACGATGAAGAGGAATACGACGAGGAGGATGACTCTGATGCTCACTCTGTAGCCACTGTCGCCTCCCACCTCTATGAGGCCCCCCTCCAAGCCCAGCCTCGACGTCACAAGTCCATGGCCCGAAAGAAGGTCAAGTTGGTTCGAGGTAACCTGGTCTTAGATTGTCCCGTCCCCACCAAGCTTTACTCGTTCCTGCCACGACGAGACAATGATGAGTTTGTCTACATGCGATACACAGCCTGTACCGCTACCCCCGATGAGTTCAATGACGAGGGCTTCACCCTACGACCTGCTGTCTACGAGCGAGAAACACAGCTGTGCATCTGTATTACCATGTACAACGAAGACGAAGTGGCTTTTACCCGAACCATGCATGCTGTTATGAAGAACATTGCCCACTTGTGTTCTCGAAACAAGTCGCGAGTGTGGGGTAAGGAGGGCTGGAAGAAGGTCGTGGTCACTATCGTCTCCGATGGTCGAACCAAAATTCACCCTCGAGTCCTCGACTGTCTGGCTGCAATGGGTGTCTACCAAGATGGTATTGCCAAGCAGACCGTCAACGGAAAAGAGGTGCAGGCACATCTCTACGAGTACACCACTCAGGTGTCTCTGGATTCGGACCTCAAGTTCCAGGGAGCTGAGCGAGGTATCATGCCTGTCCAGCTGCTGTTCTGTCTCAAGGAGAAGAACGCCAAGAAAATCAACTCGCATAGATGGCTCTTCAACGCATTCTGCCCCCAGCTGCAGCCTAACGTGTGCATTCTGCTGGATGTTGGAACCAAGCCAGGAAAGGACTCACTCTACCATCTGTGGAAAGCATTTGACGCTGACTCGAACATTGGAGGAGCTTGTGGAGAGATCACCGCCATGAAGGGTAAGCAGTGGCGGGCTCTATTGAACCCCCTGGTGGCTTCTCAAAACTTTGAGTACAAAATGTCGAACATCCTCGACAAACCCCTCGAGTCTGTGTTTGGTTATATTTCTGTGCTTCCTGGAGCTCTGTCGGCCTACCGATACCGAGCTCTCTGCAACAATCCGGATGGAACCGGTCCTCTCAACTCGTACTTCAAGGGAGAGTCTCTGCATGGTCGAGATGCTGATGTGTTTACCTCCAACATGTACCTCGCTGAAGATCGAATCCTTTGTTGGGAGCTTGTGGCTAAGCTCAATGAGAAGTGGATGCTCAAGTATGTGCCTTCTGCTACTGGAGAGACTGATGTGCCCGACAGCGTACCTGAGTTTGTGTCGCAGCGACGACGATGGCTCAACGGTGCTCTTTTTGCAGCCATTTACTCTCTGACCCACTTCACCCAGATCTGGAAGACTGACCATTCTGTCTGGAGAAAGTGCCTGTTGCATGTGGAGTTTGCATACCAGTTCCTGCAGCTTCTGTTTACATTTTTCTCTCTCGGAAACTTCTTCCTGGCTTTCTACTACGTCGCAGGCTCCATTTCTGGCCCTGACTCGGCCGTCATTTCCAACAATGGAGGTCTCGTTCTGTTCGTCATTTTCAAGTATCTTTGCATTACCACCATCGTTGCTCAGTTTGTGATTTCTTTGGGTAACCGACCTCAGGGCTCTCACTATCTGTTCCTGGGCAGTATGGTTATCTTCGCATTGATCACGGCTTACTCAACTGGAGTGGGTCTGTACTTTGTCATCAAGACCTTGACTCTGGAAGACACTGTGTCTCTTGGAAACAACGTGTTCACCAACATTTTCGTCTCCCTGGCCTCCACCTACGGTCTTTATGCTGTGATGTCCTTCCTGTACCTGGACCCCTGGCATATTCTAACTTGTTCAGTCCAGTACATTCTGCTTCTGCCCTCGTCCATCTGCACCCTCCAGGTCTACTCCTTCTGTAACACCCATGATGTTACTTGGGGTACTAAGGGAGACAACGAGCTTACTCCTGATCTTGGATCTGCCGTTGCCCAGAAGGACTTTGGTCAGGACGTGGTTGAAATTGAGATGCCCTCTGAGCAGCTCGATATCGACTCCGGCTACGAAGAAGCTCTCGGAAACCTCCGGGAGAACAAGGTGATTGAGTCGGCCCCTCCCTCTATGAGCACTGTCACAGATGATTACTACCGAGACATACGATCGCGAGTGGTGCTCGTGTGGATGGCTCTTAACATGGTTCTGGTGGTGGTTGTCACCGAGGTGTATGCCCCCAGTGAGACCGCCTCCAACGACTACCTCAAGTTTATTCTATGGTCCGTCGCCGCTCTGGCTCTGTTCCGAGCCATTGGTTCTCTTGCTTTCCTCTTCATTCGGATCCTTAAGTATCTCAACGAGGCCAAAGCTCGAACCCTCAAAAGACACCAGGGGCTCACTGGCCAACAGTAAGTCTGCCCATTGCATTTTTCTATTCATTCACTGATACCAGGCTTATGCCACTAACTAATGGAAAATAATTTTAACATTGATTAACTCCAAGTGAAAATTTGTATGGAATACGCGTATTCGCACATGTAGGGAGATCACCCTATGGCGAATTCAATTCGATATTACAGAAAAGAGACGTTGTAAGGTTGTTTGTACTTGTACGTAACGGTGCTGGTACAGTACATACTTGTAGCTGTGCTTTCTTGTAGCCTTACCCACCCTGTCCAGAAGCTAAATATAAGGTTCCATTTCAAATATGCACTACTGTAGCCACTTGTGCAGGGAGGGGGATAATATCTAAATGCGACACACACGGGCGATCTTTTTATTGTCTCGCCAAGAGAAATATTGATATCCCTTGCTTCTCTCCGTACCGTTACACGTAAAAGTACGTATATTTGTACTTGTACAAATACTTGTATTGTATATCTATTTGTCCTCATAAGAGTCTTTCTATAGATTACCCATTTAGCGTGTATTGTGTGTTCGAGTACAATGAGTCGTACTACTTGTACAAATAAAAGTACAAGTACAAGTAGCGGGCACGAGTTTGATTATCATGTCTTGGAAACATAAAAGTACAAGTACCCATGCTAAGGCACACAAGCTGTACTTGTACCCACCATTCAAAGACACCGCGTAAATCATTTCTGACATCAATCCGCAACCCCCAACTTACATAATCACCCTAACCCATATCCGAAGCTAGAGCCATATCCTGTACGACTACGATACATGAACTTAACGGTGAATCAACTCAACTCAACTAACCAAATTTCAAACCAACATGGCACTTTTGGACCTGTTCAACAAAAAGCAAGTGGAGGAGCCCCCGTTTGATATATCGGGGCAGGATGTTCTGCGGCTACTCACAGCAACTGGAATGCTGACTCCCTCTCCAGATCAGGAGTTTTATGTCACTGGTACCAGCATATCTACTAGAGAACAGATCGCCAAGGAGATCAAGCAGCAACTGCGTGAGTCTTTGGAGCCCGTAACAGTGGGCCTGCTATCGGCTAAAATTGGACTAGACGCTCCCACAACACAGATCTTTGTGGACCTTTGTCTCCCCCAAGTCCAGGGAGTGGTCCAAGACGGCTACAACTACTACTCCTGGGCGTTGTGTGAGCAGTTATTGTCGCAGCTCGATAAGAGCTTGGACGGGAATTTGTTTGTGTCATCTCTCGACTTTTGCCACAAGAACAAAATGTCCTGGAAATTGCTCTCTTCTATCGCATCTAAGCAGTATCTGGTAGAAGATGGAGTTGTGCTGGACCAGAAGAAATGGGCCCAGTTGCAGAAGGAGACTGAGGAAAAACTGACCAATGCCACACAAGTGCTTCCCTTGTCTGAGCTGTTGGAGGAGGAGACAGGATCAACGGATGAAGCTCTCAAGAAGGTGTTTATCAACACTATCACTCGATGGCTCAAGAACTCTGGTAAGGGTCGAATCAGTGGGGACAAGTTTATCCCAGACTCGCATGCTCAGGGTGCACAGAACAGCGTCAAGTATCAACTGGAATCCACTGGATACGTTTCTTCAGGTGCCTTGAAGCAGCTACGAAAGAAGCTGGAGGTTGTGGCACAAGAAATGGGCCTCAATCTCACTGCTCTCTCGGATATTGTTGTCAATGACGCATGGGCCGACAAACGAAAGGAGGAGGCTCTCAGTACTGTTGCTGACCAGGGCTATATTGATGTTGGCAAGGTGGACTTCTGTCGGGAGGTGTCGGTAGAGGACAACAAGACCTTGGTGGACGGGTTCATCAAGGCTGCTTCCAAATCCAAGGCTTGTGATTCTATTCGAAACGGCCCTACTGTTGAGTTTGTGGTTGAAAAGAACCTCAACTCCAACGTTAAGGTCTTTGCCATCGGTGATATATGCGAGCAACTGGCCAAGGCCGAGACTGCCGCTATTCTGAAGGCCAATTCGGTCCAGGATCTCTCTGACAAGTCCGCAGAGGGGTTTGTAGACCAGCATGTTATCTCTGATGTCTATTCTGTGCCTGCTGACAGTTTAATCAGTGAAAAGTTGGCAGCCAAGTTCCCGCAATTGCCCAAAAGACTACTTCAACTCTATGTGGCGCAGTATCGGGCTCTCATTCAGGCAGGAACCAAGGAAAAGACCATTGCGCTGGTACGCGACGAGTGCGAGGAGGCTGTGGTTACGGTTGTGACGTATCTACTGGGACTCAAAGGTGTTTTGCAGGCCGACAAAAAGGTGGGAAAAAAGTTGGTTGATGGAGCTATGGCTCAGATTAAGGATAACGTTGCGTGCGTGGACTCGATTGCTCTGGACTCGGAAATGTCCAAGCTGGAGAACAAGGTGACGGCCCAGATTGACGCTCTGTGGGCCTGTGTACGTGTCGACGACCACGACGGACGCGTCAAGCAATGCCAGTCGGAGACGCTACGCAACCTCAAGACGCAGGTTGGTGCAGCTGCGCAAAAGGGTAAGAGCGCGTTGGCTCTGCATTTGGCCGTAACGGTGGCCATGTCCCAAGCCACGCCAGGAATACTTTTATCTTCCGGGTCCACCGTCCCCCGTCAGGTCAAGTTTCTGCGCAAACAGGCTCTGCTGGATGCGGCTCAGCTCGACTTCTTAGATAAGGCTGTGGAAGTGGCCGTCAAAAATGAGCCCCTGGACGAAGGCGAGCTGAACTCGCTAATGGAGGCGATGGCCATTTGAATATTGTATGAATACATTGTGCTCGACACGTACCTCTTCATTTTGCATCCCAACAAGCCGACTCTGGTGCCCCAACAGCACCTACGAGTGCGCGGTTGTGTCGTGTTGCAAGTTTTGGCATTTTGCACCGAGATGGGAGTCTGCTAAACCCCCATTTTTAGTTAGCTGATGGCATTGAGGGCGATAAGCTTCATCGTTAATGCATTCTTTCATGTTAACTGGCTCCAAGGGCTACATAAGGTTTCTGCTTAAGGTTTGGTTAGTCCTTGTGCAATATGTAAACACATGACCGCGTCCTAATAATCCCCGCTCCCTCTTCCTCTTCTCTCCACGAACATCACCTCGACACGCTCACATACACATCTCACACGGACTCTCCAATGGCCGCCGCTAAGAAATCTGCCTCTGCTCCCAACCACCCTCCCTACAAGGGTAAGTACGCGTGAATTAATCCCCGTGCTTTTTCAGGAAAGCATTCCGCTGCGCGTTTTCTGTCACCACACTCGAAGTGCCATTGCGTGGCTCGCAATTGAGAGACCCCCAACTAACACAGACATGATCAAGGAGGGTATCATTCAGCTCAAGGACCGAAATGGCTCATCGCGACACGCTCTTAAGAAGTTCATTGTCGGTAATTTCGTTGTCACCACTACTAACTTTGACGTGCTCTTCAACCAGGCCCTGAGACGTTGTGTGGCCAGTGGCGACTTCATTCAGCCCAAGGGTCCTTCTGGAACCGTCAAGCTGAACAAGAAGCAAGCCGAGAAGAAGCCTGCTGCTAAGAAGCCCACCGCCAAGAAGGCTGCTACCCCCAAGAAGGCTGCTGCCCCCAAGAAAGCTGCTACCCCCAAGGCCGCTGCCGCTACCAAGAAGCCTGCTGCCACCAAGAAGGCCACCACAGCCACCAAGGCTGCGCCTGCTAAGAAGGCTACCACCACCAAGGCCGCCCCCAAGAAGGCTGCGGCCGCTCCTGCTAAGAAGGCTGCTGCCCCCAAGAAGGCCGCTGCCCCAAAGGCTGCCCCCGCTAAGAAGGCCGCACCTGCGAAGAAGGCTGCTGCTCCCAAGACTGCCGTCAAGAAGACTGCCTCTAAGGTGACCAAGCCCAAGGCTGTCAAGGCCACCAAGCCCAAGGCTGTCAAGGCTTAAGTTGGTAGGGTACTGTTTTACGATACCGGTACGATATTTTGGCGTTTGTTTGTTTGTTTAGTTTCAAGACGTGTGTATTACTTAGTTATTAATTAGAACCTTTTCCGATTTCCCTCTACAGTAGTCTACTCTTGTCTTGTAATAAAGAAATGCGTATATTAGTTAACCTAGAAAACCTCCTTCAACTTGAGACGAGGAGCAATGTTCATGGAAACCAGCTCCTGGAAAAGCAGCTTGGCGGCGTAGGGAAGGGTCATCTTCACCACGTGGGCAGTTGTCTGGCAAGAATTACACCAGCCCTGGTAGCCCAAAAGACCACACTTCTGACAAACGTCGGCCTCAAAGGCGTCAGAAGAGTACATGAGTCGCTCCAGAAGCAACTGACTCGCTCCATAAGCAATAACACAATCTCGCTCCATTTCTCCCAGACGCAGACCACCATCTCGAGATCGACCTTCGGTGGGCTGTCGAGTGAGAACCGCTCGAGGACCTCGGGGTCGAGCATGCATCTTATCCATAACCATATGCTTCAGCTTCTGATAGTAGATGGGGCCAAAGAAGATGTAGGCCTGCAGACACTCACCGGAAGTTCCAGAGTAAAGCATGTCCTTTCCAGAGTAGGAGTAGCCATGGTCTACAAGAATCTTGGACATATCCTCCAGCTTACTGCCGCCGAAACAGGTTCCGTACTGCAGAGATCCATCCAGGACACCGGCCTTACCAGAGATGAGCTCAATCATCTTTCCGACAGTCATACGGGAGGGGAAACCGTGGGGGTTCATAATGATGTCGGGACACACCCCGCTATCACTGAAGGGCATGTCTTCCTGATTGACAATGATACCACACACACCCTTCTGTCCGTGACGAGACGAGAACTTGTCTCCCAGCTCGGGTCGTCGGGTTTGTCGGAGCAACACTTTGATTAGGTATAACTCCTTGTCGGTCACAGACACCATAACCTTATCAATGATACTGGGCTCGGGGCCTCGGTATGTGACGGGAGCTTCTCGATACTCAGTGCTAGAAGAGGTGGACTGGTTCAGCAGAGAGTCACTGTTGTTGACCGGAATGCATCTGTTGACGTAAACCTGAGAGTTCTTAACGGGCTTTCCAACCTCACCAAGACCATCAGGGCCCAGAACTTCGTGCTGCTCGGTGACTACCTCCTCGAAGCTGTTTGGATCCCATGCGCACTTTCGTCGCTCCATCTTGACACCATCGAGCCTATCAACAGCATCTGATCCAGCGTACCGCTTGAGAACAGTGGTGTTCTTCTTGAGAACCTGACATCGACCGAATCCTCGGTCAATGGAAGACTTGTTGAGGACGAGAGCATCTTCAATATCGTAACCGGAGTAGGACATGACAGCCACGGTGGCATTCTGGCCGGCAGGTAGCTTATCGTAGTCAATCAGCTCAATTGTTCGAGTCTTGACCATTGGCTGTTGCGGGTACACCATGAGATAAAGCAGGGTGTCGATTCGGTTGAGCTGGTTGTATGCAATAGCTCCGATCGCCTGCTTACCCATAGCACACTGGTAGGTGTTTCGGGGAGACTGGTTGTGGTGGGGGTAGGGAATCAGACCAGCCACAGCTCCAAGAACAGTGAAGGGCTCGATTTCCAAATGTGTGGTTTCGGCGTTGATGTTGTTCTCGTAAAGAGCAATGAAGGAGTCATTCTCCTCGTTGACATCAAGGTACTCGACCAGACCCTGTTTGAGGAAATCATCGAAGGTCATCTCGCCATCTCGAAGCTTTTTGAGATGTTCCACCTGTACTCGGGGGTGCTCATTCTCCACAATAATCAGAGGTCGACAAATTCGACCACCATCGGTAGCAATGTGAACAGCAGCATGGTGTCTGTTGATGTAGATGGAGATGAACTCAGAGACCTTACCTGTTCGTCGGAATTGTCGGAAAGACGAGACAAACTTGGTGGGGAATTTGGTGATACCGATAAGGGTACCGTTGAGGTAGACACCGAAGGAACCCTCGGCATGCAGCTCAGCTCCACCAATCACAGAGATGTTCTCCGCACCGAGGAGGTAGCACAGGTTTCGCACAGGTGCCTCCTCATCATCGGTGGTGATATGGGTCATGAGCGCCAAGTTCTTGACCAAACCACAGGCCTCACCCTCGGGAGTATCGGAGGTACACAGCATACCAAACTGAGAAGGCTGCAAGGCTCGGGGACCGGAAACCTTTCGCGACTTCTCAAACTGCGACGAGATTCGAGTCATCATACCCAGAGCAGAAATATAGGACAGACGAGAAAGAACATGAGTGACACCAGCTCTCTCCATTTTAAAACGCTTCAACGACCAATTACCGGTAGAGATGGCTCGGTTCATACCACTTGTGATGCTGCCTCGGTGAGTTTCCAGGTTGAGCAGGGCATCGAACATGGATGCACGGTTAGGCCGCTTGAGAATCTTGTCAATGTTGGCCTTGAAGTCACTGTTGAACTTCTTGAACAAATCTTCAAACAGAAGCGACAGCAGCTGACCGGCCAATTCCAGACGCTTGTTACCCACGTAATCTCTATCGTCGATCATCTTAGGGTCGGCCATGGCCATAATTACTCGTCGGGTCATGACTGCAATGTACAGCGCTTTTTCGGTGAAATCCATGTTGTTGATGGAAATGTGAGCGATGATGGAGGTTGCGACGGCCTCCAGACCCTCCTGATAGTGGGTCAGCTTGACGTTCGATCGTCGGGAAGTCTTGACCTTACTACCGAGGTATTCCAGAGCCTGTCTCTGTGTGAAGACGCCCAGCTTGCTACACTCCTCGAAGTTGACAGCGAAGATCTCCTGGTAGACAGGGTTCTGACCGGCAACTGCCTGCATGATCTCCAGATCTGTGACCAGACCAGCAGCCTTGAGAATCAGCACGATCGGAATGTCTTCAACGATGGAGTTGTTTTTTAGGTAGATTTTGTCGTTTTTGGTGAGTACATATGTCTTTGATCGTCGCTCGTGTGTAGACGAGGTCACCGAAGCCTGAACAACGCCCTTCTTTTCATCAGCCTCCACAATGATTCGATTCTTGCTCAGCTGCTCCTGAACCAAAATCACCTTTTCAGTTCCGTTGACAATGAAGTATCCTCCAGGGTCCAAGGGACACTCCCCCATGGCGGCCATTTTTTCTTCTGTCTGATCCTGGAGATGGCACTTGGAAGACCGCAGCATGATGGGCATCTTTCCAATCTCCAGGTTTCTCTGAATCACAATCTTTCGCTCCTTGGTGTATTCAATGTCGACATAGATGGGAGCAGCATATGTCATATCTCGCAGTCGGCACTCGTGGGGGAAAATGGCATTGTCGTCGTTCTTGTCGTCAAACTTGATACCAGGCTTTCCAACCCGAATGTCCTTGTACTTGAGGTAGAACTCGGGATCCACATCGGACAGAACCATCTGGTTGGCGGCGAGAATTTTTTTGAGATCAACATCCACGAAGTAGTTGAACGAGTCGAGATGCTGCTTGACCAGACCCTTCACCTTCAGGAAGGCCGGAAGTAGATTCCACTTGTCTTCGGCAGTGGAGATTTCGTCGGTCCAACCCTTGCCTCTGTAGTTGGGTTCGAACAGCTCGTTGAAGGCAGCATCCGAAGAGGCAGCCTTGGCATTACGAGCGTCCTCCTTCACAGACGATTTTCGTTTGGTGCTCATTGTGTGGTGACCAAAGAATCAAACTATAGAACTTGTCTTCGGACCCGCTGGGATTTTTTTGTGCATGATGCATGACCGGGTAACTTTAATTGTCACCACTATTACTAATGCCTTTGGAGATGGAAGCTCAGAGATGGAACACATGGGGGGCAATTTTGCCACCCGAGTCATTTCAGTCTTAGTCGAAGGAGCCTTTGCTGAATGTTGTAATAATCCTAAGTACAAGTATGATGTATTACATAATCTTTGAAAGTCCGACGTGATACTGGTGTATCGTTTATGTGTAACCGCCTACAAGTAGAGGCTGAGTGTAGGAGGGAGTATTAAAGCCTCCATTGTTTTTCTACAAGTACTTGTACGTACTATACTTACGAATAAGTGCGAATACTCGTACCGTGAATTCTAAAGGAACGGGACGCATTCCTCACACACTCCAGAAGTTGTTCATTCTATCAATTACGTAATCAAAACGCACTGACACTGACACATGGGATACACACAGAGGGAGAGGGAGACATAAGCTTGTGCGTACTTACGTACGATACTTTACCGCCTCATAAGGGCTGCACTCAATAGCATTCCACTTCAGGATTGCTTGTTCGAAGTCTCCAACGTCCCAGCTCACCTTCTCATTGTTGTGAGTCTGTTAGAACCTTGTTTTGTTTTGAAGTCCTACAAGTAGGAACCGGAACCGGATGGTGCAAAATACAAAACAATATATTGTATACCAGCACATGAGCGCTTACTCCAAGTAGTATGTTGTATGGAGCCCAATCATTGAGCAAGCAAAATGAGTCGAAAGGTTGTAGAGACAATTGTTTTATTTTTCTCAGTCAAGCATCTGCCATTCATGTGAGTCTCTCAGACAAATGCGACAATTTGACAATAAAAAATTCAGACAGGAATGTCTCATATTGCACGTACAGTACTTGCACCTTATCGTTACAGGTGTGTGGGTTCTCAGAGACGACTCGAGGCATGTAAAGTCACCAAAAAGAGATCTAAAATTAAAAAGACTCAATTAATCACCATTTGTTCGAAAGAAAATCTTTTCCGTCCTCTGAACTACCGCTACTGGCTCCAAATATAATGTCGCACCACTCATATTCGAACCAACAAAAACAACTCTAATACACCTATCTGCTCAATCGGGTGCATATTTTCAGGCATTAGGCATTCGACGCAACAGGGAGAAACAGGACCCTACATCGCGCTGCGACATTCGGCCAAAAACCAGATAAGAAATCACTCAACACATAGACAACACACCTGATTCCCATTGACGACACGAATCACGAGATCCGACTAATCATAAGACTTAGAAATGCTCCCCAAGACTCTCACCATTTGGGCTTCGCTGGCCTCTCTCGCAGTGGCCCAGTCCGGCCAGGTGGTGTTTGCTAAGAACGCCGACGGGAAGTTTGTGCATAGCACCGACGACCTGGACCAGGGCCAGCGAAAAATCCGTGGCAAGTTTCTCCACATCACCGACATCCACCCGGACCCCTACTTTCATGTTGGAGCAGTGGCAGAGGACAAGTGCCATGTGGATCCTGACCATAAAGATAGTGACTATCCCGACGAAGATTCGGAGTTGGTGTGGTTCCGAGCCACGGGCAAGAAGAAGCATAACCACCACAAGGGAAAGGACCACGAGAAGATGCCCAAGGCTGGATATTACGGTCATCCTCTGTCTTCCTGTGACGGACCCATCAGTTTGATGAACGCCACCTTTGACTGGATCGACCAGAACATCAGAGATGAAATCGACTTCATTATTTGGACTGGTGATAATGTGCGACACGACAATGACAACCGATACCCTCGACTCGAACAGGACATTTTTGGCTACAACCAAATTGTCTCGTCTAAGTTTCATGAACTCTTCCGGTACAACGAAACTCGAGATGGAGAGGGCCACAACGGAGGAGGAGATCCCCAGCACCCTCTTGTCATTCCCATTATTCCGTCGCTTGGTAACAACGACGTCTTCCCACACAACCTGTATCTCGCAGGACCCTCGTTCCAGTCTCGACGAATGTTGCAAATCTGGAGTGAGTTTGTACCGGAGGCACAGCAACATATCTTCTCTCGAGGGTCCTACTACTTCCAGGAAGTCATTACCGGCAAGCTGGCCGTCATCTCGCTCAACACCCTGTACTTCTACAAATCTAACCCCATGAGCGATGGCTGCGACGAGAAGACAGATCCTGGTTACAAACACCTGGTATGGCTAGGTGTTGTTCTTGATGAGATGAGACAGCGAGGAATGAAGGTATGGCTCAGTGGCCACGTACCTCCCGTGGAGAAGAACTACGAGGATTCATGCCACCTTAAACTGGCATACTGGCTCACCGAATACCGTGATATCATCGTGGGATCTGTGTTCGGACACATGAACATTGACCACTTTGTAGTCATGGATCCGAAGAAGATTGAAAAGGCCCAGAGCCAGGATCTTGGTACTCCGGGTCTTGGATACAAGAGCCATGTCACTGATTTCCTGGACGTAGCCATCTCTGCATCCCATCCCGTCCACACTTTCGGTTCCATCTACAAGCGAAACTATATTGAAAGTGTGCGCGAGGATTACAGCGAGATCCCGGGGCCCAAAAAGTGGCTCGATGAGTACGCCAGCAATTTCGCCATTGCTCACGTCTCTCCTTCCGTCATTCCTAACTACTTCCCTTCTCTGCGAGTATGGGAGTACAACATCACTGGCTTGGGTGAGGAGATTGGTAACCCTCCCCACCCTCCACCTTCTTTCCGTGCATGGTCTGATGTTCTTGAGGAGTTTGAGCGAGACTATGCTCAAGACGTCATGGACGAAATCGAGGTCGAATGGTTTGATGCTAACAGTGACGTTATTGAGGCGGAGGATAACGATGGTGACGACGACGAAGATGAAAATGAGGATGATCCTGAGATGCTGACCGAGGAGGCTATCAAGGAGGGTGTTGCCAATATCAACCCTGAGACTGGAACTCTGGCTTCCATATTTGGAGGTCTGAAGTTCTGGAAATCTTCCACCGCTGTTGCTACTTCGTCGGAGCCTGAGTCTGACGATTATGATTCTGATTTGGATGCTGAAAGAAAAAAGGGCAAGAAGAAGGGTAAGAAGGGTAAGAAGGGCAAGAAGGGCAAGAAGGGCAAGAAGAAGAAGGGTAAGAAGGGTAAGAAGGGCAAGAAGGGTAAGAGAGACAAGAGCATGCCTCCCAAATTCCCCAAGGATCTCCAGCCCGGACCTGCATACATCCCTCAGCTCTTCACTCCTATCGGATACACTCAATATTACGCCAACATCACTCAGTTCAACAAGGAGTATAAGAAGACAGGCGCTTCAAACTTTGAGTATGTTGTGGAGTATACGACCAATGATGCCCCTTACAATTTTGAGCATCTGACGGTGCGCAACTGGGTCGAGCTTGCGCGTGTTTTGGGCAAGAACTTCCGGGATCTGGATCTCGAGGCTGAGAAGTCCAAGTCGGACCAGCTGTGGAAGGTGTACATGGACCGAGCTTTTGTGGGTACTGGAGCCGAGTACCTGGAGGAACCTGATGACGACTAAATGTATTGTATGATGCCTCTGGCTAGAGGCAGACTTTTAACTATAACTGATAGATATTTATGACCAAAAACACTAACAAATCCGTTGACCCATCCGGGAAACTTGATGCTTATTCTCCACCTCTCCCCCTGCTTACTCAGTCCACCAATTTTACCCGGTTACAACCAAATAGGGTTGCTGCTGAAGCTGGTGCAAACGGCGTGGATTGAATATTGGGAGTAATAGATCGTATGCGGTCATGAGTTTGCTGTTTAAATGTGGGAAGAGTGCCTATTTGAGGAGTTGGAAGCGTCGAGTGGGGATGGCGGGGATATTATTGACAGTGGGCCTGGAGTGTTTTGAGGAATATTTATGACCCTGTTGAGGATGTAGCAATAAGTGAGCCGCACGAAACGGCAGAGTCGGCAAGGGGGGTGGAAGTGGAGGTTTTACTTGCGTACTGTACTCGCAGGATGTGCGACCATCTATGGTGTAGTGCTCTAAGAACAGGAGAAAGCGAAACACCGTCTGAAGAGGCAACTGGCTTGTTTTATATTGGACTATTGCGTTAGATAATTATTGGTAAACGGAGTTTGTGTGTTGGAAGGGTATGAGAGCTGTGTAAAAATGTCAAGTTTCAGTCTCGTCACTTGTGTCTTACGCGATATATCGATCGCGCCTCAAATCTACACGCCTTGCATTTCATATCGCGGTAATTGGAGGGAATGTTGGAGGTGAAGTTTTATATTTATTATAAGCTTTCGGATAAGGACAAGGCATAACCGAGTCAGAGCATGTGGTGGGAAATAGTATGCGATCGAGCGGAATGAAGCGGAATTGTAACCAGTGGAGAGTAGGGGCCATAACAGATGCCCTCCGAAATATCAGAGCCGCGCCCTATCTCAATAAAGCTATATTCTTCCTGGTGCATGGGAACGGCACTTGAATGTATTGGGTGCATCAACCCCACATTTTGGCCTTGATTTTGGGAGCCATTTTACTCAGTGAACGGCGGAAAATAGGAACAAAGGGGTTAGAGTTCAGACGGGGTTTTGCTAAAGGAATGCTCCAGGAGATGAGTAGTAATTGGATGGGAATGAAATTTGGAAATAAGACAAATAAAAAGATTAAAATTCCAATTTGACCATTTTTGTATCAAAACACGTTTTGCTAGACCCAGTGTATTTCCGTCCCCTTTACCACGGCTATCAACAGTAGGCTAATATATTGAAGCTTGTTTCCTTTATGCTGCTACACGGTGATTCACTGAGTCCAACGGCTCTTAGTAGAGGAGCAATAGAACAATGTTCAACTTGCCGTATACACTTGCGGAGATTGTAACCGGGTCAGATGGTGTAAATATATATGGACCCTATCTAGCGAGAAGGAGACCCACCAACAAACAAGAAGATACACTATCCAAAGCCCACACACTCAGTTGTGGAAACACACAAACAAACCAGCCTAAATTTCTTACGATAAGATAACGTCTCGACCCCAAAAGGAATATTAATAACACACCGACTCTGACTTTTCTTCTGCCTCAACGCTGTTGCATTACAATACAGTGCATCCAACATAGAAGTACGTCATCATCAGTTCTCATATCCTTATCTCATCTTCTGTTATCTCAGCTGACCTAACTGAAGACCCTTTATATACAAGCAAACGACTCCTGGCTTGTCAGATACTGTACAGCACAAACAAAACACTCCACCTAAAAACTCCTGAATCCACGAGTTCTTCCGTGTGCAATGACAACCTCTACTCCCCCATCTCCACCCTCTCCGGCAGCCTCCCCCATCCCTAAAACCACCCTTCCATACATCCAGACGCCTTTGATCGAGTCTCTGTACCTCTCACAGCTAGCAGGATGTAAGGTGCTTCTCAAATACGAAACTACACAGCCCTCTGGCTCCTTCAAGTCTCGAGGTCTTGGACACCTGGTCTACAAACACGTCCAGACTCACTTTGGAAACGCCGAGGATGCCCCCACCGACACAAACACAACCAAGCTGCACTTCTTTTCTTCTTCTGGAGGAAACGCTGGCTGTGCCACTGCATACGCCGCCAAAAAATACAACCAGCTCTGCACCGTCTGTGTTCCTCTCTCGACCCCCCCCGGAATGATCCAGCGAATTGAAAAGACTGGCGCTCGAGTTATTCCTTATGGCCAATACATTGCTGACGCAGACAAGTACCTCAAGGAGATTCTTATTCCGGCATGCGACCTTTCTCTCGAAAAGCCCGTATACTGCCATCCCTACAACGATCCCCTCGTGTGGACTGGAAATGCTACCGTGGCTGATGAAATTGTGGTCCAGACTGAGACATTGTTTCCTGACTACAACCCCGCTGCTGTGGTTTGTTCTGTTGGCGGCGGTGGGCTGTTTAATGGAATCTGCACCGGCTTTGAGAACTCGGGAAAGAAGCAGTGGCAGAAAATTCCTTTGGTGGCAGTCGAGACTGAAGGTTGCTCTACCCTGTTTGACTCTCTGGCAACAGGCTCCCAGGTCTGCCTTGATCGACCTCACACCATTGCTTCTTCGCTGGCTACTCAGAACGTGACTCGAGAGACAATCGAATGGGCCAAGAAACATCCCACTACAGCTGTCAAGGTGACTGACCGGGAGGCAGCGGCATCCTGTCTCGAGTTCGTAGCCGACCACAAGGTGCTTGTTGAGGCTGCTTGTGGAACTGCGCTGGCTCCAATCTACAACGGTACACTAAAAGATATTGTGCCTGGTCTCGGACCCGAAGACGCAGTTATTGTGATTGTCTGCGGAGGCACTAACGTCACCTTTGCGCAGCTCCGAGAGTATGCTGATAAGTTTGAGTTGGACTTCTAGAAGAACAAGGAAGCGAGAAACTAACACCTTATTTATAGATTATATAGTGATCCTCAATATATTGCCGGTTACACATGACTGTAGGAAACCCTACTTCAATAGGACTCTGTTACTCAAGGACAACAGTAGCCGCCATCAACCAGAATGTCTGCACCAGTGGTATAAGTTGAGGCATCCGAAGCCAGGTAAATATAGGCTCCAGCAAGCTCAGAAGGATCTCCCTCTCGGCCCATGGGGATGAGCTGCCACCACTTCTCCTTTGTGTCTCGTGGGATGAAGTCAGAAATCTCGGTAGCCATGTAACCAGGGGACACTGTATTACATCGAGCGAATCCAGCCCACTCCACGGCCAGAGATCGGGACAGATGGAGGACAGCACACTTAGCTGCGTTGTAGCAGGCCTGCATCTGGGGGATATTGACAATATGGCCAGACATGGAGGCGGTGAAGATGAAGGAGCCGTAGCCCTGCTTCTTGAAGATCTGGCCGGCGTACTTGGCGCAATAATAGGCACCGTTGAGATCCAGGTCAACAACCTTGTCCCACTCCTCGTTGTTAGGGACATCGATCATTGGACCAGCAGTCCATGGGATACCCGCGTTGGCGATGAAGATGTCAATCTTTCCAAAGTCCTTTTCGATGGTTTGGATAGTGGTCTCGACCTGCTTGGCGTTGGTCACAGCACATTTGTAAGCCTTAGATCGGACTCCGTATGTCTTGGACAGATACTCAGCCTTCTCATCGGAAGGCTTGGAGTTGTACCAGATCGCGACATCGGCACCAGCCTGGGCAAATGCCTCAGCAACAGCGAATCCGATTCCAGAAGAAGAACCGGTGATAGAGGCAACCTTTCCCTTCAGAGAGAATCGCTCCATGATGTTCTTGGATACCTTAGGGACGGGGGTGGGAAGGGGCGTCAAGCCAGTAGCGTAGGTTGCTGGTGCAGGCATTGTTGTGGAGATAGCTGTAGTGCTTGATAGGGGTACATGGGGTTCATCAAGAGATATATATACCTGTTTTTTGTGAGTTTTCGATTGCCACCCACTGGAAATGATTGCTGACACAAACGTTAGTAAAAGGATAGGGAGCAAGACGTGTGAGACAAGCTCGGAATTGAGTTTGCCTGTGGTGTAAGGCAGTTTTGGTACAGCGTGCTTCGGTGCTACGGTACGTATGAAGGATTACCAAAATTGATAAACTAGAGGTGTTTGTTAGGTTTTTTTTGGGAATTCAGGTATTACTATTCTATCCATAGGCTCACTATTGACAGTTTACAGCCATCGCCCCCATATTTTAGTCAAGGTATTAAACTTTTCAGAAGCGCAAGTGGCTGCATAACCAAGATGAGATAGACAGACAAAAGATGGAGTTTGAGATCGCGATGAATTGTGCAGCATAGGTTTCAGTAGTTGCAATTGATCCGTAGATAAAAATAACCTGAGCTCAACATGTCTATACCGTAAAATATTTTTTTGCTGCTCTTAAAATGTGTGCTTAGGATAATGTTTCTAAAGTTAATCTCATGGATCGAATCTTGACACCTGCACACAAGTATCAACATGTGGGGCGTTGCTTGTTGCATGCGGTATTACTGAATTAGTACAGCATTACTCATTACCACACAGGTAGTTATCTTTCCAAAATAGTTGATTCTCTGGTCTATCAATAGCAGCCCCTGCGAGTAAGTTGCAGCATGCGTAAGTCAGCCATGAGCAAGTCTCGAGGGTGGAGGCCGGGTAGGAGAGATACATACCAGCTGATTCCTATAGGATGCCACACGCTGTCCAGCAGCCAGGCTTGGTACACTCACGTGTTGTTCTTAGTAAACAGTTCCAGATTTATACCTTCTCTAAAGAGACCTTCTCCAGCTCTCTTTTGATATACGCATGGGAAAAGGCCCATAGTCCGACCTCGCCCTTGGACACACCAGCCATAACCAGATGTCCATGTGCCCAATCTTCTTCGAGGCTCGATCGTAGGAAGAAGTCCATTTTTTGCTTCTTTTCAAGATCTAGAATGCCACAGATTAGGCCAGTTTGTTTATACAAAACAGCGTAGCGGCTGTGAACCGAATCCTGAATTACAGTCTTCATTCGATTGAATGGAGTGCTGGGGTCAGCTTCGGCCGAATCCATTTCCACAACATCAATCCCCCCAAGAAGTGCACAAAAATGAATTTCAGACAATATTCCATCGTAACAAACTATGCCTGTTGGAATGTATCTTCTCTTCTGGGTGTTGATGAGTTTCAGCTCATGGTTGCTCACCATAAACGTCTTGACGTCGTCAGAGGACACCTTTGAGACCAGAAAGACATTTCGGAAAGAAACATAAAGCAGAACTCGCTGTTCAGTAAGATTCACATATTGACTGATATCAATCTCCGCCTGGCGCTCCTCCCCCTTGTATTTGTACACCAACAGGCTCCTCTGTCCGTTGAAAAAGACAACTGCCTGAACCATTGGCCCCGATGCGGTGTACATTGTCTCATGCGAATTTGAATACTCGGGAATGTTTATCATGAGACCAGCTCCACATCCGGTATTGTCCTCCGGCGTAGGTCTCTCGCCAGAAACGCTCAAATTCACGTAGTACTTTCCGAAGCTAACACCTTGGTTGTGGATGCGAAACTTGGACTGCTTGCGAACGGGGGTTTTCAGGCCATAGAAATCTTCTGGAAGCCTTTTGTCCTTGTGAACTGGATATACACAGTCAGACCACTGCGAAGGAACAGACCATTTGGGTTGGATGCTCAACGACCTAAAATCTGAAATCAAGTCACAGTTCCCCGGGTTCCGTAAGATGTACATCTTTGCACAGTGCTTCCAGCAGTTTCTGGGAGAATATTCCAGCTCGTACCACGGACATCTCTTGATCAGTTGCCGTTCGAAATCTGAGTCATCGATAACCGTATTCCACTCCGTGGATGTTTGGCTGAGAGAGTAGAGGGAGCCTAGGGAACAGTAGTCTGCAAGGTTGTCGATGAGTTCTGGAGGTAGCATCGAAAATGCGTCTGAAGTGAAAGAGTGTATCGTGGTGCCAGGGGATAGTGGGAAAACTGCGTGTACCCAGTTGCTAATGTGTCGAGTATCAGCGCCTTTAACTCATGGTTAGACTCCATCCAATATGTTCGTCGATATATCATGTGACCTAAGCCACTACAGTATGATGCCGTGAGGGAGATGCTGTCAGGTAGGATTCTTAGTGTTTCTGTTTGGTTGATATTTTATGTCAGCTCGGAATCACGTTGTAACATACATGAATTTCATTTCGCTTATACGTAATCGCTTATCAAGGTTTAATATGCATTAACATTGGATCTGGATTCTGTGTATACTAATTACGAATAGGTAGCTTGTAACCAGAGAGTTGAGAAATCGGGTAACTGTTGGTGTCCGTTTTCTAAGCTATGATGAATGGTATTTCCAAAATAGTGGATTCCGTCGGATGCATGAGTCACGCGTTATATTATGAGGCTTTAAATGCGTTTTGTCCCTGACAACGAACATAGATTGTCATAATTGAGCAGGTTGCATGAAGATAAATGATACCAAATTGACCCGGCGCGAGATCTATTCATCTCAGTTGGTTAAGCGTGAATAAATTACTGTAGGCTTGGCGTCCGAGTGCTACGAGGCCATACCATACTTCAACGAGTATGTACAGTCTTTGAAAGTTCAAGGATGTACCGAGGTTAAGGCTGAGCTAAGGACCAGAAATCACAAACTGGACACTCGAAAATCAAAGATAGAACTATTGGGATTCATTCAGAAAGCAACATAAACACAATACAAGTACACCACTCAATACTTGTTCAAGAATTCATACGCTACTGATTTAAAGTCGGTCAGAAATGACCACCATCACCCAACCGTATGTACTAATACAGTAATTAGCAACCTTGTAATTGCGTTGGAGCGATTTTTATTTTGACAGTTAGCGAACAAACGACAATGAGCACTTGTCGCCTGTCACAATGACTACAGCCACTTTCACAGGCACTGCCATGAAAATTCACATTTCAGTGGTGGATCCAGCTTCCAGCACCCTGTCCGGATACATTAATGATACAACGTTTTTCCAGGGTGATATTCTCGGAGATCGATGGAACTACGAGAGCAGACGATGGGGATGGAACCAAATTCGAAGCCCATGGCTCGGCATAGATTCGACAGCCACATACTTGCGACTCAGAGAGGTGTACTCGCTGCGGAAGGGCTCAGATGCTCAGAAACAGTATCATGTCTCACTCAAGAACGGCGTCATGCGCGTTTCACGCGGAGGGCAAGAGACTGTGCTCTACAGAGACACACACAATGGTCGGTTTAGAAGTAGGATCTAAGTGATATAGAACAGAAGGAGTGTGGCATGATAAAGTATTTACCAATTGACATTACAACATAGACCGCTTTAGTCATATGACTTACAACGGTCGATTTTTTTTCTTGCTTGTATGGGTTCACTACAGTGGTATTTGAAGTTCCATGTCTGTGAGATGTTCATGCATATATATTTATCTCGTAGGAGAAATGACTAGGCCTCGACAAGTTTCTTCCGGTAAGCCCAGTAGCCCTTTCGAATGGGGTCGTACTTTTCTTCGAGCAAATTGAGAGCCTCTAGAGCCTTTGACTTCTCCTGCTCCTTGAGGTAGATCTTGGCGAGTAAATCCAGAGCATGCGACGAGGTGATCAGAGGCTCCTCATCTTCTCCCAGATCAGAAGGCAGGCACGCGTACTTGAAAGTCAGCTCCTGCAGATCCTTGATGTCCTTCTTGTAATGGGAGTAGAGACCCTCAATGTACAGCCAGGGGGAGTGGTTTTGTGGTGCTTTGTCGATGGTATTTGCGACGAACTCAACCTCCTCCTGGAAAGACGGCTTTGTAGTCCACTCCTGTTTGTTGTCGTTTTTGAGCTTGAATAAGAAGAACCGGTGGTTCCAAGCGGAGTTGTTTCTGCAGTCCTCCTGGATCATGATGGATGTGGTGGCCAGTTCTGAATCGAGGTTGACAAGTGTGGGGAACCGTGTCACTAGCCATTGTCGATACGACCACACATGGTGGTTCTTGGAGTCGTCAGACAGCATGTAGTCAATGAGTTCAATCTCTCTGTCCAGAGTCAGCTCCTCTCCCAGCAGATCAGGGTTAACCTCGAATAGTTCAAGCAGCTGTTGACGGTGAGGCCAGATCTGGTAGTTCTTGGGGCATGCCATGGCGATGTCATCTACCCAGCGCAGCTCGTGTTGCAGTGCTGCCAGCTTTTCGTCTTTATCTGCAGCACCTGCCTTGACGTCAGCAGCAAATGATTTCAGCGTGTCGATACGGTATGCCCATACGGTGTAATGGGCTGGATTCTGGGCAATCACATTAGACGCGACCTGAAGACCTCGTAAAGACTTCTCGTTCTTTTCCATCAGAGCACGTAGCAAGCCAGTGGCCTGCTTGTACTCGTCAGTGTATGCAATGGAGGCCAGCGCGTGGTCGCTCTCTCGCAGTGGGATGATTTCTAGGTCGTCAAAGTTGTGTGACATGTTGTGTAGGGAGTGTTGTAACGAGTATTTCTAGCACTTGCAGAGCTCCTTTTAAGCTGTGATGAAACTATTGTGTGGACTGAATGCGGTATGAAATAGAGTTTGGATGGGGTGATGTGTTGTATGAGGGTACAGTAATGTAGCTTCACAATTGGGATATCCATATACGGACAACCACAAGTACATGTAGTGTACAAGTACACTACAGCACGACCAGAACGGGTACGTACGAGTAGTATGAGATCATGTGAGGCAAACTGCTGAAAAAAAGCAAAGATGTGGATTATTGGAGAGGGTATTCTGAGAACCCGTACAACAAGTGCAGTGTAGCATATATATATATATATTACTGTCAAGTTGTATCTTTGCACAACTACTCAGGAACCCAACAAACATACAGGAAGTGAGCAATGCCGCCTCCAGCACAGAACATATGACAGAATCATTCTTTGAGAGCTAAATCACGTGATCAGTGACCTGATTGCCCCACCTTAAATGCTTATTAACAAAAACTGCTTGCTGATCTCACGTCTCTGTGTTTGACAGCCAGTTGTGCGGCTAACAGAGTTCATCTCTATTGTCTCGAAGTCTCGAAAATTCGGCGGGTGCATGCTTTTTTCACTCCAGCTTAAACTCTACGGAAGCAGAAGTGGATCCCCGATGTTCCCTGAGACTTATCAAGGAATGATAGGGGTGGCGCCTGAGACTCTGATTTGGGATATTGGAACTCACGAATCACCCCCAATGGATGACATATATGGCACTGCTATAGCGCATCTGATACCCGTGCATTATTCGACTCAGGTCTCGTGCCTACAGGAAAATGCATGCAACACGCAGATTCATTAGCCAGGGCAACGGTGTGGTCGGTGTCCACGGTGTACTACTTGTAGACTGATAAGCCTGAGAGATGAGTAGTACATACTGTAGCCACGATAAAGATGGTTCAGGTGGATATTACAGTCTCAGATCAAGTTTCGAGGTGCTTTATATTACGTAACGGGGTTCTGAATGGACAACACGCACCATCTCAACAGACATGATGAGCACAGCGTAGTCAACTAGCTCTACATGTTTTTACTGAAAGTACCAGTGTACTACAAACTCTCGATAATTGAAGAACTTACAAATACAAGTGCACTCCTTTTTTAGTGATACAGCTTCTTACAATCGTTGCATGGTTCACCCATGACTATTAATGTACTACAAGGATGATTACTTGTACTTGTAAATCTTCCAACGGACAGTTACTATCATAACGACATGGAACTCTAGCGATGAGCAGGATAATCCACAGCTCACAAAACAGCTAATGAAGTAAATTATGGAATTCCACCTCCAAAGAGCAAATGATTGACAGATACGTATCTGATTACAGCACCAGTACCCGACAGCATCACAGGCACTTCCAAGGCTATCACCGTTGTGAACTCCGATGTGACTGACTACGGTGAATGTTGATGAGTCGGATGGTGATTGTTAATGAGTCAGATACCGATTAAGAGACTGTCTTGTGTGGCGAAAGTGAATAATTGTGATTCAAAAGAAACAAAACCAACCAGGAAAACCACATCAAGTAGCATACCAAGTCTCAATCATCTCACATTATCGAACATCACCACTCTTCCAAGCCCTCTACAGGCACAAGTACAACCTTTCCGTACCCCCAACCCTAACATCGAAATTAAGCTCTGGTCGATAAAGTATTTTTTCGGTTCGTGCATACAACTCTGTTCTATTGGAATTTTTTAAATACCCAACGCTCTTCCTACCACATCCTACTGGAGCACACCCAACTCTCATAATGCCCGCCCCAGTGAACATCCCCTCCATGTTCGACACCATTCTGGTGCTCGATTTCGGCTCCCAGTACTCGCATCTCATCACCCGGCGTCTGCGAGAGTTCAACGTCTACGCCGAGATGCTCCCCTGCACACAGAAGATTGCCGAGCTTCCCTGGAAGCCCAAGGGCGTCATTCTGTCTGGAGGCCCCTACTCTGTCTACGCTGAGGGTTCTCCTCACGTCGACCATGCCGTTTTTGACCTTGGTGTCCCCATCCTCGGTATCTGTTATGGTATGCAGGAGCTTGCCTGGATCAACGGTAAGGGTGTCCACGCTGGTGAGAAGAAGGAGTTCGGCCACGCCACCATTCACGTCGAAAAGCCCTCCGATCCTCTGTTCCACGGCATTGACAACTTCCAGGTCTGGATGTCTCACGGTGACAAGCTCAACGCTCTGCCCACTGGCTACGAAGTCGTTGCTACCTCCGACAACTCCCCTTACGCCGGTATTGCTCACACCTCCGAGAAGATCTGGGGTATCCAGTTCCACCCCGAGGTAACTCACACCACCAAGGGTAAGCAGCTTCTGCAGAACTTCGCCGTCGACATCTGTGGCGCCGCCCAGAAGTGGTCCATGGAGAACTTCGTCGACACTGAGATCCAGCGAATCCGAGACCTTGTTGGCCCCCACGCCGAGGTAATTGGTGCCGTTTCCGGAGGTGTTGACTCTACTGTTGGTGCCAAGCTCATGAAGGAGGCCATTGGAGACCGATTCCACGCCATCCTCGTCGACAACGGTGTCATGCGACTCAACGAGTGTGAGAACGTCAAGAAGACCCTCGGAGAGGGTCTTGGCATCAACCTCAATGTTGTCGATGCCGCCGATCTGTTCCTCGGCAAGCTGAAGGGCGTCACCGACCCTGAGAAGAAGCGAAAGATCATTGGCAACACCTTCATCGAGGTCTTCGAGGAGGAGGCCGCTAAGATCCAGCCCACTCACCCTGAGGCTGGTGAGATTGAGTTCCTGCTCCAGGGAACCCTATACCCCGATGTCATTGAGTCCATCTCTTTCAAGGGCCCTTCCCAGACCATCAAGACCCACCACAACGTCGGAGGTCTGCTCGACAACATGAAGCTCAAGCTTATCGAGCCCCTCCGAGAGCTGTTCAAGGATGAGGTCCGAAAGCTCGGTGAGATTATGGGAATCCCTCACGACCTTGTGTGGCGACACCCCTTCCCCGGTCCCGGTATTGCTATCCGAGTGCTTGGAGAGGTCACTCCCTCCCAGGTCGAGATTGCCCGAAAGGCAGATTTCATCTACATTGAGGAGATCAAGAAGGCTGGAATCTACGAGGAGATCTCGCAGGCCTTTGCCTGTCTCCTTCCCGTCAAGTCCGTTGGTGTCATGGGTGACCAGCGAACTTACGAACAGGTCATTGCTCTGCGAGCTATCGAGACTGTTGACTTCATGACAGCTGACTGGTACATTTTCGATGCTAACTTCCTCAAGACAGTGGCCCGACGAATCGTCAACGAGGTCCCCGGTGTCGCCCGAGTGGTTTACGACATCACCTCCAAGCCCCCTGCTACTGTTGAGTGGGAATAAATATAGTGACTAATAGATGCACCAATGTTGTATGACTTTGCTACTGTAGATGCACTCATGTGTGTGTGTGTGTGTGTGTGTGTGTGATACAAGTAGGGGAGGCTGAATGGGGTAATAGCTACGATACCTCCAAACTGGGTTTCTTGTCAATTACGTACAGCGAGTATCACACAAAACTTTGCGGTGCTCCACCGAACATGTACAAGCATGGTATTCGTAGACCAGTCACTTTCCAGTGGATAAAATCAAGTGGAGATAACATACAAATGTGGCTCAATAATATCCTGTTGGTCTGTGTTTCATCTAACGGCTTCATCCGACTTTATCCCGTATAAAATTGCGAATAATGTTACCAGTATGTACAGTACCCCACATACTGTAGGTTATACACAGCTGTTCCTGTTTTCTTCCACATTACTTTTTGCCCCATGAACAGCTACAGTAGCCACAGTACGCTACATACTACAGTATGTACTGTACATACGGTACGTGCACTTGTACACTGTATCGTGTCTACTTTCTACATCCTAACCCAATCACTATGGCCTAACACAGGACGTCCCCTGATCTACTGTATGATATCGCACTTGTAGGTACTGGTTGCAATTACATGGAGGAGTGGAAACTGCCACATTGTGTAAGCTGGCGTCCATTTTGTCCTGCAGGCTGCCCCACATGGAGACTCGAACTTACCCCTCACGCAATGTCTGAAATGACTCCTTACACTTGAGTTGCTTAGTTGGTTCAAAAAATATATAAATCCCTGCTGTTCCCACTCCATTCTGCATCACACTCTCACAGTATGATCACACCAGGGCAACAGCTAGTGACAGTGGCCTCGCCTTATTTCATTGGGTGGTAGAAACCTCCCACACAGCATTTCGCAGGGTAGCTTCCAACATCTCGTTCTTCCTGTGAACATTTCGCATCCCACAAGCCTCGTCTCTTGTGGGCACTTTTTGCATTTGCATTTCACGTCTATGTGAACACCCTGCATTTCATGATTCACGTGATCTTGAACATCCTTGCATATTGCTTATTGACCGCGCTTGGTTCTGATCTACTACCAGGCACTCGGTTCAACACCACAACTGCTTCTTCACTCAGAGCACTACAAGCAGTTTTATCTCCCATAAATGATTCAAACAAATATATTGTAGTTTTGGGCTTCGGTACATATGTGCTGTAGTACTGTACATACGTGTGTACCCTGTACAGTATGTACCAGTTACTGTAATGTATTTACATTACAATAGCATCTAATGCAACTCTTCCTCTACCACATGACATCTATAGGAGTAGATATTTTGCGCACAGCTCGAATAGGCCATATCCTGGCTGGAAAGACACGAGAACGGTTTGTGCGCAAAATTCTGCATCCGTCGGAGATTACCCGCATGACCAAATACCCTGATCACGTGCAATTTGTGGCATCCACATTTTCCACCAAAGAGGCCCTGTTCAAGACGTTGGACAGGCAGGACCAGAAGCTGTTTGAGTTCAAAGAGTGGTGCAGAGGTGTAGATGAGGTCACGGGACGGCGCTTGATTAGTAACCCCGGCTACAGACTTATGGACCACGAGGAGTTTGTCGTTTCTGTGTCTCACGATGGGGACTATACTATTGCTAATGTTTTGAGGAAGAAGAAGGAGTGATGAGTGGTTGTGACAGGGTTACATATACCACCGGGGTGATATTTATTGGGGGACGAGTACTATAGGAGGAGACATGACATTAGGAAGGGTTTCTTCTTGGTACGAGTACAGCGATCTGGAACAGTAGGTGCTACAAGAGGCTACCGTCTCAGATGGCAACTGTTTCGATTGCTGGGAATGGTCGATTTGTAATTCTGGAGAGCAAGAAACTTACTACAGTACATACAAGTACGACTGGATACCACCAGAATAATGACATTAGTCTAGAGATATTCCCGCACCAGCTAATGGTAATCATAATGACGATTGTATTCTACATCGGAACTCTGTTGCTCGCGCTGTATGATGCGACCTGTAGCTAGGCCCAGGCAGGTATCTCTTGGTTTCCACCAGGACAAGTAGCCGCACTATGCCCACCAATTGATTAGTTTTTAGTCAGTAATTTATCCATGGGACCTACACAAAGACATCTCTGTTGTGTCTCCAGCCACAATTTTTTTGCAATGACTCAATGTAAGTTACTCCTCATCTGCACCCCATGTATATACAGCTTCGAATATGACATTTCTAAGAAGGAGGTGTGGAGACGTGCTTCGACATCCCAGAATGTATTCAAGGCTCAAATTTTGTTTAAAATTGTTCGATTGCTGCCAGAAACAAGCCCATTGGCAATCGACATCTGTCCCCGGACATATCCAATTGTCGCTCAGGGTTCGTCCATGCAGCTGGCGACCCAATAGCCGAAGTTAATTAATGTCGAACTTTGAAATTTGAAATTTGAGTTATCGAAAGCTGGATCAGAGGAGTAAACCTGTATCCACTCTCCAAACACCCAACATGGCTTCCTCAGTTCCCGGAAACAGATCCTTGCCCGACTCGGCGTATGACCTTGACACCTACTGGGGTCGAGTCAAGCACTGCGCCGAGGTCTCAGACCCTCGAATGCTGCTCAACACTCCTTCGGATATCAACCGGGCCAAGAAGCTGATTGCTGAATGGAAGAATGGAGATGGGCCTATGACTCCCACTCTGTGGACCGCCAAAAGAGTTCTGGACTCCACTCTTCACCCTGATAACGGAGAGCCCGTCATGCTACCCTTCCGAATGTCTTCCTACGTTCTGTCTAACCTGGTGGTCACTGTGGGTATGCTGACCCCTAACCTAGGAACTGCTGGAACCCTGTTCTGGCAGATTGCTAATCAGTCGCTCAACGTGGCCGTCAACACTGCCAACGCCAACAAGAGTACCCCTCTGACCACCAAGCAGCTCATCACATCTTACTTCATGGCCGTCACCGCCTCTTGTTCGGTCGCACTGGGTCTTAATGCTCTGGTTCCTCGACTCAAGGTTTCTCCTTCCGTCCGACTTGTGCTCGGACGACTGGTGCCCTTCGCTGCTGTTGTCTCGGCCGGTGTTGTCAACGTCTTCCTTATGCGAAGTGAGGAGCTGCGACGAGGTATTGCTGTCTATAACCCCGAGAACAACGAGAAAGTTGGAGACTCTAAGAAGGCTGCCTTCTACGCAGTCGGAGAGACCGCTTTGTCTCGAGTTATTAACGCTGCTCCCGTCATGGCCGTTCCTCCTCTCATTCTGGTCAAGCTGCAGAAGACCAAGTTCATGCGAACACGCGGAAAATTCACCGAGGCTGCCGTTAACCTGGGTCTTATCTCCCTTGTGTCCTTCTCAGCTCTGCCTTTTGCTCTGGCAATCTTTCCCCAGAAGCGATTCATTTCCACCAAAAAGCTGGAGCCCGAGTTCCAGAAGCTGCCCGAGAACAGACTTTGGTTCAACCGAGGCATGTAAATGTATATGTAGATATTTAGATAGATTAAAGCTAGTTGTAACGGGCGTGACTACTTTACATTCACTCGTAGTTCTGTGGGGGCTGTATTGGCCTAATTTAGTACAATACCGCATGGCCATTAGTGCAGGGGAATGCACATACACAAGCACGAAAAGCTGTTGGATATGATTAGTTCACTCATTAAAATTAAATACTAATGGGTCCAGGGACCGATGTTTTTGAGATCCGCCCGCTCCACCTTCTTGAAGGCTTCAACAGTCTTGAGAGAGGGATGGTCAATGCACATACCAACTCCTCTGGCACCAATAGTAGTCTCGTGCACCTCGAAGCCATGGGTAGCCATCTCCTCTGTGAAAGCAATGACATTTTCCTCCAGCTGGGTCGCAGTCTTGTCTTTAGAAGTGACTAGAGTGATGGCGCAACCTCCTCCTCCAGCACCAGTGAGCTTGGTCTCACCCAGGTTGTGGACAATGGAGGCAGTTCGAATGATTTCGAGCTTCGGGTGGGAAACACCCATAGCGATAAGCAGGCCGTGATTGATTCTCACTAGATGCTGCATTTCCGAACCGATATCTCTCAACTTTTGAAGAGTAGCTCCATCTTCCATCACGTTGCAGGCATCCTCAGAGGTGGGTTGAGGCAAGATACCCTGCTCAATCTCAAGGTTAGACTGGTCCACCATCTTCTTGCCTCTAGAAATGATCTCCATGGCCTGGTTGGAAATCTCGCCTACTGAAGTCATGATGGGATCCATGATGGAGCCAAACTCTTTAGTGAGAACTCCGACTCCACCAACCAGGTCTGCGGTAGATCGAGGATGCTTCGTATTGGTAAGCAGCAGCTTCATCTCGGGAATGTCAACAAGAGGGACTCGGTTGTTAGGTCGCTGGAACAACAGAGCACCTCCCTGAGTAGCCACAGCATTGTCGATGCCCGACGGGTTGCCGTGAATGCACATTTCACCGACGAAGGACCAGTCGTCCACCAGAGACAGCTGCTTCTCGGTCAGGGACTTGAAATCTCTTGCCTGGTCAATGCTCAGCTGGCCGTTGAGAACCAGAAGACCTGCAGCCAAACAGACACAAATGGATGCGGAAGAGCCCAGGCCCGCGCCGATAGGCAGCGTTGATCGAACTACCCAGTTTGATGAATCTTCGCACACAGAAGGGGGACATAGGTGGATGTAGAGGTACAAGAACGACACAACAGCGGCCTGCTGGACCTTAGTGAGCCCAGGTTCTTCCAGAAGCGCCAAGCTAGACAAGCTGTCGAAAATGTGCTTATCCAGAGTTTTGGGAGTCGACCAATTGAGATGGTCGGCCTTGGTCTGGGCTGTGAGAGATGCCAGCTTGTCCACCTGGACCTTGAAGTTCAAGTGGATGTCTGGAAACTCCAACGTGACTGTCGGGGTGTCGGATGTTGTGGTTTCGACAAGCAGGTATGTTCGCAAGTCGATGGCTGCTGCAATCGCAGGCTTACCAAACACAGCGGCATGTTCACCAAATAGAATCACTTTGCCTGGCGCCGAAATGATGTAGTCCATGGTGTCGTGGTCGGTGGTTAAAGCGGGTGTGGATGGCGGATATTAACGTGTGATCTAATTAAAGTTTGGATAAAGTTGGAAGAGGACAGGAGGAAACCTGTGGTGTATTTTTTTCTGGTGAATAATAAATAGGCTTGAGCAACGCTACAAGTAGTGCAAGTCTGATGATTCTTACGGAGCCTACAGAGTGTTATCCCGATGCCTACAGATGGAGTTGGGAGTATTATTGTATGCGTTACGTGACACGGAGCTCTTCGATTCTCTAGCCACGAATACGTACGGTATGTGTACATACTGTAGTCTCAACTCACCCTATTCTGAGTGATGTAAAGCTATTGTAGCTACTACTCATATCGTACAGTACTGTACTCGTACTTTTACAGTAATACGGAGCTCAGAGTACAGTATGTACTGTAAACTTACTGTGTTACTATAATGCCTCCTGAATGGGATCATGGGTTGGTTTTCAATTTCTGTTGAATTTTCTAATAATATTTTCACAAATGTCATAAAAATACATTTAAATCACAACTGTGTCAAGATCTGATCTTGTAGAACAAGTTTTTGGAGCCAAATGGACACTCGTCATCCGCAGGGTTGTCTGTACTCAATCCAACTCTGTATTCCTCTTCCACAATACCTCGTGAGTGAAGGAGTTCGTTCATTCTCTCCAGCCGGTCTCCCACAGGATCGTTGTAGTTCGGCAGCTTCTCCTTGAGTAATTTGTACGTTTCAAGGACTTTCTCATTAAAGATGCTCAGCAAGGGAGGTCGCTTGCAAACTTTGACCATGTTACGGGGATGGATAACTGAGGGAACAGGAGCTGCTGATAACAGACCAAAGAAGGCAGAGAGAGGCAAGAGAAGTAATAATAGTCGATTCATGGATTTATTTGTGAATATGGATTATTTAAGCCCCTTATAAACACCTTTTCTACAGCAGTACTGTAGGGCTGTTTCACAATGAGGTTCATGCATGAGGATCGATGGTCTACCAAACAGGTAATAAAGTGCCTTCCTCCTCAAAGCCTTTGAGAACAGTAACATGTGGTACATACATTGTAGCCAAATGGAGAAAAGCAGCCCTGGCTCAGCCCCAATATGATACGATACCTCATTCAAAAATGGCTCTCCCCCAGAGCAAGTTTAGTGTCCAAATGTCTCACAACTAATTGTCGACAAAGCTCCCAACTAAACAACTAAGGTTACTTTGCATATCCCGCATTAGTTTTTTTTTCCGGCATCCCTCTCATTTTCTCAAGCACACATCAACATGCCACCAAAACTTCCGAAGTCAAAGCAGTTAGCACCACTCAAGAAGAAGTCGCTATGGACCGCCCTGGCCGCCGCTGAGCAGATCATCCCCACGACCCAGCGATTCGGCCAACATGCTACTGAACATAGAGAGTACCGAGTTCCCGGATCTCCAGCCAGAATCTCCGTTGAGGCCATTGTCAAGCCCAAAAACACATACCGGAGCGCTGGCCAGTTGTCGTCTTCGCAGATTCTTGAGCAGTTCTTCCGAAGCCGAGAAGACAAGAAGAAGTACAAGCGTCCTCTCCCTCTCATGTTCGATGTGGCCAACCTGGTGGGCCCGGCAGCTCGAAAGAACACTTCTAAGAAACTCAACAGTCCACAGACCCGAGATTTCAGCACACAGACCATTGTGTGGGCCCAAAAGCCTCTGCCTTCTATCTTCTCCAAACCCATGGTCTCTCGAAACAGCAACAACAACAACAACAACACCAACACCAATACCAAAAAGCGACCTCCAACTGACAACAATAAGAAGGGCAAGCCCCCAGTGAGCAACAGCAGCCAGTTTGGATTCAATGCTCTTGGAAACGGAACCCAGAAGCAGGCCTCTCGACCCAAGAAGCAGTTCCAGCAAAAGTTTGAGCCCAGATCTCGTGAGAGACAACCTGCTCCCCCTCCCGTCAAAGACAAGCGAGAAGTGCTGTCGGAGTTTCTAAAAAACCACACCCCAGCCCTCACCAGCTACACCATCCAGGCCGTTCTGGAAGTTCATGACCAGCTCAAGGAGCTCGTCGAGACCGGAGTTAACGAGCACACTAAGGTCATCTACGTGTCTGAAAGCGGAGAAATTACCGGTGACGCTATTGACTTCTTGACTCTCATCAAGGATCCCAGACTCGATCTCGCTAACAAGAGTATCAAGCTCGTGAAGCCGAGCCCTGCTATGGTTAAGACACAGTCCCTTCCTTCGTACATTACGCCGAAGTACCAGCTGGACAATCTCACCAAGGAGGAGAAGGCTGCCTTGAAGGCTGAATACAAGGCCCAGCGAAAGCAGGCAAAGGCAGAGGAGAAACGAAAGAAGAAGGCCATCGAGAACAACCGAAATCTGCTCGAAATCCACTCCACCTGGTCTATTAACTTGCGAGATCTGCGACAACAAAAGTTCAGAAAGCTGGCTGAGACTCTCAAGGAGGGACGACCTGCCGTCGTGTCATTTGCTTCCAAGGACGTGCGAAACGCTATGGAGACGAAACGGCCCATCGACCCTGAGATGCTGACCGATATCGACCGGGAACGACGACAGTTGCTAGTAGAGGAGGTGCGAGTGCTCGCCGAAGAGTGTAAGGTCCATCTCAACGTGTCCGGTCAGCTTGATCTGCTCATGACTATGACTTTGAAGCCTTAGTTTACTAAAGCGTTTGTATATATTTAATAACATACATAGTGACATTCTGTCACTGTGTTTTCACGCTGCTTGGTCAAGCAACCTGCAAATTAGATTGGGCATACTACACCTGTCGTAGCTATCTAATGTTCACAACTTCTCTTCGAGGTACAATTAGGGCATGTAATAGCCCTGAGCGACGTTTTCGTGCTTTCAAATAGCCCGATGACTCCCCATACCCTTACAGTACACACATGTTACAGTATGTACTACTGTAAGGTCAAGCTACTGTAGTTGTGTTGGACTCTCGCTACTGTAATCCAAGTGTTGGACACCAGCCTCGGTTACGTGTGGTGTTATAGTCACCTTTCCTCTAAGCTTATGCCACAGTCAGTCTGTACTCGTACGAGTAATACTGTAATTGTATTGTGATGCAGGTTCATTCAGCCTTGAAATACAGTTGGTCTAGTTATAATTTAATCTTTTGAACGACTCAGTCATCCATCTCTTTTTTCTCTGTCAACGGTCTGTCTTAACATTTGTGCTAGTAGACAGTTGGGATTCCGAAAATTTGGATCCCACTATTTCAGTCGGGGGATGTTTTCCGCCTTCTGCATGAAACATGCAAACTGAAAAAGTCGGAGATGGAGTTCCGAACAAGTCTGAGGCTGGCAATGGCTTCAAGGAGTATGTTTTTCAGCATATTCAAAGGGAACTAATCATGTGTGAGTTTTTTTTTACCATTTAATTCCATCTACTTTTCATCATATTTCTCAGTTGTGTGGTTCATCGGAAATCCGTCTCCGAGATATCAAAGTTGCACAGAGCACCGGAATGGCAGTCCCTAGATTTTTGCTATCTATATATAGTGAGAGGAATGGGAGAAGAAGAAATCATTTTTTTCGATAATATCATCTCATTCAATTCAGATTATCATATTATTCACCGATAAAATGATAGCCGATCACATGAGAATCTCCATCGACAAGAACACGCTATGCCCTGGCGACACCTTAGCCGGCACAATCATGATCGATAAACAGATTTGCGGAAGCGCTAATAACTTTACCCTCGGCGACCATCTCCTGTGTATGCAGTTTCACGGTGTCGAGAGAACAGTTAAGGCTAGCCGGGTACTCATCTGCCAACGGATGTACCCTCGCTTGATCAAGGAGACGAGCACAACAAGGGAGTACTGTTTCGAACACAGACTTCAAAAGAATATTCTTCCTACAGTTACCTTTCATGATCATAAGATAGTTTATCAGGTTGCACTGCGCTTTGAAAGCACTTCACAGTGTCCTCCTCTGGTGTGCAAGATGCCTATCATTATCATGGCCCCTGTTAAGGACGGCGAGATATCAAACAACATTTACAATGTGGTTGTTCCTGAGCTTGTGGTTGATACAAAATCCAACTTCAACATCAAAGCTGTCAACCCAAGGTTCTCCAACATCACCAGTGTGGAGTACCAACTCATTGACCAGGAAGGCAAGGCTGTATACAAAAACCACATGAAGCTGAAGGGATGGAACCCGGAAGTAGATCCAAGTATCTATATTCATCACGTGGCAGCAGGAAAGTATCTCATGAAGCTCAATGTCAAGGATCTACGCACAACCAGCAAATTTGATGTTCCTGTACTTGTCCATCAACAAGACTTCCTTCCAGCTTACACGGTGTGAACAACTCACTTACTCTCTGTTCTAATGACATTAATAACCATATATCTTCAACTAATATAAATAACGTGTGATTGATGTGTGTCCTCGTACTTGTAACGTTCCGTGAGTCGTAACGAGTCCCATCAAGCTATTACGTATGTCGTTAAACATAAACCAAATACAATCCTCCTGACAATGGGCTGTAAGCATCAATATCCCTTGCCTCTCCGAGCTTATGGATACCTGCAAATGGCATTCCCGCAGCTATTGTGTTGAGAGATCCAGAAGTGGTGGTCTCGAGAACAGCCAGGCATGAGGCAAATTGAGAAGCCGGGTGTCGCCCATGACCTTGAATTGGAACCTCTATCACCTCCCAGTTGTTCAGATCAAGTCTCCATACAGCCCCGCGGTTATTGTAAGCGAACGGAGAGCCAATGTAGACGTACGAGGATGGAGAAGAGGTGAGCTTGTTGTTTTGCCATGCCAGAGGTTTAACAGCAGATGTAGCAAAACGGGAGAAAGGTTCACACATGTTGTTAGAGGTTTTGATTGAGTTGATCTTGGTTACAAAATCAGCGATGCCTGCCTTCTCTCGGAAGATGTATACCGCACCTGATTGTAGACAAGAAGAGGACTCAGACTCGGTACTACTTCCAACAATGATGATACCTGTTTCGGGAACAGTTTCAATGAAGTCTCCTCCAAATGATGACTCTTTCGTGCTGTCTCTGTCACCACGAAGAATGTAGCTGGGTGTCCACTTATCGCCCCATTCAGTGTACCTGTAGGCAACGACGGCAACAGTTCCAGGAACCCCAACAAAGATGGTATGGTTAAGAACAGCGAGGGTTGATCCGAACAGCTCGTATCCAATCTCCTGGGTAATCAAGATATCATCCTCAAGTCGCTCTTGTTTATTGATCACGTCTGCGGGAGGGTCCAGAGTGTATACTACAAACATATGGTACGAAAGAGTGGGAAAGAAACCAATTGCGAGAGCAGATTTTATCTCTTCGATGATCTTAGCAATTGAGAGAAATTCCACCTTTCCTCTCTGTGGCTTATCCACATCAGTTCGTGGACTTCCAACAATCAGGTAGTCAGAAGTGACCAGCAGCGTCTCTCCCATCTGCTTGGTACCCGATGAGCCATACTCTGCAGGGGGGTCTACCTTGAGAATCATGACTTTTCGACCCTTGTAGTGGAATACCAGCTTGTTTCTACCAGGGGAAGAAACCACGAGAACATCATTGGCAAGCAAAGGTGACTTAATGGATGCCAAGGCAGCTCCGAAACGAGAAGGACCTGAATAAACCGAAGAAAGAGTTCCCAGGTCATCGTTGATATCGTCATCTACCAACTTCACAAACTCCGAAGGTTCTGTAGCAGCCCTCTCCTTGAACTGATCCAAGGCCATGACATATACAGATCCAGAGTCCTGCTCGAAGGGAGCAGACACAGCAATCCAGGTTTCCTGGATCCCGTCAAACTCACCTAGCATGATGGAGGATCCGAAATAAGATCCATGTTGCAGGGGAGACAGGAAGATCTCGTTTTGAGGTGCCTTACTTTCAATCTTGAGCTTGGGGGTCTTGATTACCTCAGGGAGCATTGCCAAGAAGCTTTGCTTAACAAATGCCAGCAGTCCCTTTGTCTTGTGGAAGTGAACAAGCAATTCAGTAGACACGGAGTTTCTCAACCTCGCTTCCAAAGAGCCGATGTTTCGATACAGTCCAAAATTGAGCCCCTGAACCGAGGACACGGTGTCTGACTGTTCTCTTGATTTGCCGATGAAAGCCTCGCAGACGTTCCATGACTCTGAAGACGAAATGTCGTGTTTTCCTCGAAACCAATCCGAAAATGTGCCGATACAATGCTCTATCGTTGCTGCGATCTCCTGAATTCCGCCTAAATAGTATGTTTCCAGCTCTGAAAATAACACTGGACTGAGAGATGCGTATCTTCGAAACCCTGCCCCCGAAAACCGTTTCTCCGCCTTGAGCGCGGCCTTTCCCTGCACCATGCAATATTCGATTTCTCGTTTGGACACAAACGAACCCATCGATCTATAGATCTCAGAGATATCAGCAAATGGAATATCCCACGATTGATCAAGCCAGGCAAGTTCCGGGTCGGCTGACACCAACCGCGACATGAGGATCATGTCTCCACCCACATCCAGAGCTTCGTGCGCCCGTTCCACATCTCCTTCGAAGTCTCGTTCTTTGAGCATGTCTAAAAAACCCTGTCGAAATCCCAGACTGTGCCAGCTGACATCGGCAATCTGGTGAGTCAACACTCCCATCAAAAATGCTCTCAGTCTGAGCGAGTTCTTGAACTCTGAGTCTGAAGGAGCATCTTTCGTATGATCCGTCTTTTCGCTGTAGTCGTCCAGATAGCCGTACCTTGACCGCCAGTAGTTGACTCCAGCAGCCAGAAACGGAGGCCAGTGTGCTTCCTCGGCCTCTTCGCTTAGACCTAAGCAATTGTAGAAACAATCGGGAAAGAAGGCGCCTGGCTGTAAGTACTGGTCGATCTGCTGGTTAGGCAAATGAGTCAATAAAGAAGGCAGGGTACGCGAGAGAAGGGTCAGATGGACTCCAATTCCTGCAGCTACAGCTGCTGTGGCCATAATCCACGCCAATATCGCCCTTAACGGTGTCATTGCTGTGTGCGCGTGGGGGGTTCTGTAAATAATTCTGTCTGATAGAGTTATTATCTGTGTTGGGAAGCATATTTAAAGCAGATGAGGTGAGCCACCTTCACGATGAGCACAATATACACCATGGACAGGGTGTATATTGAAGGGTGTGTCAGGAAAGCAGTGAGCTACATAGATTTCTTTGCATAATTGCCCTGGTGAAACTGTTTCACCTGTTGGCTAGGTGGTACAAAACGCTTAATCATACTCCTGTGTGTCTTCTCCTGAGAACATTTAGTCTGAACTTTACTACTTGTAGTAGCCCAGCCTAATAATTACAAGTACTTAGCCACAAGAGGTATAATGTCCGTGTCATACTTTCCCCCCTATAAGGGCTGTAACTACATACCCTTTATACGGAATATTTAGAGACAGAAACTCGTATAGGACACTTGAAGTGGTGTTGCGATTGTTTGCAGCTGTCCTGATGTTTTTCTCCAGCAGGATGACATTTGCAGTGTACATCATGGCGCCGCTGTCACGCACACATCACATTGGGAGCTATTAGTTGCCCCGTTTCTTATCGATGTTGTGGTCCACCAACCTCGTGCTAAGCCACACATGTCTGGTTACTCAACGTCAAGTGCTAAATACGGTAACACCGCGCTCTAGTCGATAATATATTCCTTGGTGGTCGGTAGGAGGACGAAAAGGGTATTAACGGAGCTGGTTGTACTTGTACCAGGTTACGGCTTAGACAATGTCTTTGCCGTGTGTCAGTCAACACTTCCTTCCAACTTGTAAATGGATCACTGCGACAGCGGTCAGATTCTCAACTACAAGTAGACGGTGTGTTACATCATAGCTGTCTGTCGAAGCTACTGTAACAACGAAAGTGGAGAAGCGTATTCTGGTGGCTTCGTACACCCTTTTAATGATTCGTTTAGAAGCCCGTTTGAGTGTTCATTATACCCGAGTTTTGAAAAAGCTGAACTTGCATCTGGTTCTTCTCTGCTCTGTTTGCTTTTTGTTCCAGCCTTTTTTTTCTTTCACTTTCGTGCCATAGCTCAGCCTTTTATAACAGCGACAGAACAGCCATATGTTACCAGAAGAAATTGGAAGATATGTGGTGATGGTACGCACCATGTCAAGTCAATTATACCCCTACTCGTCGACACGTCCTCGTCGACACTCCCTAGTCGTCATTTTGCAGTAGTCTGGAATATCGAACTTTGAGCGCAGCGTTTTAGAGTTGCGAGAACCGAGTCCATGATTATTGAGTAATGAATATTACAGATCTCGTAAGTCATCTGAAATCGGATATGTTGTTATGCAAACGATTATCTACCTCCAGTTTTGTCATGTTATTTCATCCTCAAACATCTATTTGGAACTTGCCATCTACCCCACGTGTGTTGCCGAAACCATATCTGTGTAATACATATGCAGCACCTTCATCTGCAGCACCATAATTACGATTTGGTCAGCCCTCCACACCCTCCTTTCATCTACTTACTACAGGTACGAGTACGTGTAAACCCACCACATGAGCCTCGCATTTCTCAAATCGCTGTTTTTTTACAATGACCTAGAAAGACACCTGGTCCACGAGGTTGAGGAGCCTCCGCTCATCACCAAGCACTGTTCGATGAAGAAGTTCAGGGTCGGAGACAAGCAGCTCAACCTACGGGTGTTCAATCTGCCCCATTATCGGGAAAACAAATTCCCTGCTCTTCCAATCGTGCTCTTTATTCACGGCATGGGTGGCTCGCTCTCGCAATTCTATCATCTCATGGACCACATGAGTCACTACGCTGAACTTGTGGCCGTTGATCTGCCTGGACACGGAAAGTCGGAGTTTCAGCCTTCTGACTGGGCCAGCTACAAGACCGAACGACTGCTTGACGTGCTAGAGACTGTATTGAGCTCAACGTGTTCAGAGGATCGAGAGGTGGTCATCATTGGGCACTCTATGGGATGCGTGTTGGCTGCCAAGCTGGCCAACAGACTCGGAATCAGATGTATCGGGATGGTGGCAATCACTCCTGTTGCTGAGCTCGACGAAAAAACACAAAAGCTGCAACGACTACTACCATACATGCCCGGATTTGTTTTCGACATCCTACGGGCTCTGGATCGATGGGGAGGAACTGAGTCCAAGTCCGTCAGCCGAATGGTGGCCAAAGAGGCGTCCGAGGAGGTGCGTCTGAAGCAATTGCGATGGAACCTTCAGGTTCGGACGCCCGTGTGGATGCGAACTGCTGCAGGACTCACTCCCGCTACCAAGGAGGAATGGGCTGTTCTTAACACACCTGTCTATCTGATTGGAGCCGAGGAGGACCATGCAACCCCTCCAGGACCCAACATGGACGTGATCCATAAGTGGCTGACGTCACCTTGCACGTCGGAGAACTCGCTGACGTTGGTTCGTGGTGCTGGACATGCCGTTATGGTCGAAAAGCCCGAGCTCGTGTGTGGACTCATCAACGACTTCATCACTGAGAACGTGGATGTCAAGCTGAGTCTCGGATGGCAACTATCTTACCTGGCTGCTCGAGACGACAAATGGTCACTGAAGAACGAAGATAAGTGGAGGGCAACCCAGTGTGTATCTTCTAAAGTAGGTGTGGCACCGTTTAGAGCCATGAAAACGCTAAGAGAACACGACAAAGAACATAACCCAGTCATTCTGGAAGAGCAGTACCCAGATATCACTGACGTTATTGACATCTCCAGAGAAACCCCTCCTTACGAACCTTCGTCATTCAAGCGAATCACTTATCACAAGTTTCCCACAGTGTCCAAGTTACCGCCAACTAAAGACGAGGTCAAGAAGTATTCCGAATTGGTAGACTCGATTCTGGAAAAGCGCAAGGAGCAGGGCATTGAGAACCCCGTCGTGGCTACACATTGCCATTATGGATTCAACCGAACAGGCTTCTTTCTGTGTTCGTACATGATTGAGCGACTCGGCGTGTCCACCAAGGACGCCATTGCTGCTTTTGCTGAGGCTCGTCCTCCCGGAATCAAACATCCTCATTTCATCGATGAGCTGTATGTTCGACACACGCAGTAGTCTGCATGTCATGGGTTTCTCATCCTCCCTCTTCTTTTGTCCATAGAAACAGAGCGTCATCTATGGTTATGTATTTTAATTAATTATCCCCTGATACAAGTACAAGTACTTACGGATAAAATTCATTTGTAGGTTGGTGTCCTGTCTCATATAAACCGGCAGATTAGCTCATGTACTTGTACTCGTAAATTGTAAAAGTACAAATTTTGGATGAAATGCGGGGAATGGGATCTTAGGATTACAAAGAAAAACAATAAGAACTTGAACCGCATGAGCAAGTTCAAGCTGGTGGCCACACTTATGCGACAATAATTCGTTTGCATACCTCTACAAGTTGGATTTTCTCCAACCTTGTAGCGACGGCTTACTAAACATTGTAATACCAACCATAATACAGGACAGGTACCAGCGTGGAGGAAGACGGGAACCTGTTGACCAAAAAGTGATTTCTGGCAGGATCGAACTGCCGACGTTCTGCGTGTTAAGCAGATGCCATGACCAACTAGACCAAGAAACCCCAGTGAAATCTGTCAGAAACCAGATCCTAGTCATAAGGTACTGTGATTAGTCATCAGAAAAAAACTAGAAAAAAACTAGAAAAGAAATGCTAAGAATCATTAGAAATGTAAAAAAGGCCTTGGCACGTAACTGGGCGATGGTGACGACCAGAGGATGTCACGAGTGTGTCATTATGGATGAATACTTCGGTATCGCGTAGTTAAGTCACGTGGATTGTGACGTGCTATGGAGAGGCAGGGTTGAGATATATAGCCACCACTCGCAAGTATGTAAGTTATGTTTATACGACTTCGGAGCTCGTACTTAGGGATATCTTGAGGATTGACCCAAGACCGACCCGTGACAAGATCCGAGAGAGCGTATGGTTCTTATGAGGCTGGAGAGATCTTAGCAGCGAAAATATAAGAGATTAGCCAGCACAAGTAAATACTTGTAATTATTGAGGATACTTGGGAGTTTTCAAGTCAAAAAACTCTGCAACTTCATATGCTGTGTTCGAATGGATCTCTACTATGCTTACTAATACTTGACATCAGGTGTTCATGATACCGCCAACATGAGAATGGAGTTAGAAACACGGCTACTTGTAGCTACTGTAGATATAATGTAGAAATAAAGTCACACTGCAGTTCATTCCAAGTTTTATCAAATAAATAACATCACTATATATAGACCAGCCTTGCTCGAGGAACTTCAGAACCACTCAAATGCCCCTCTGAGACCACAACTTCACCTCATCAAAGTCAGACTCACTACCAGACTCCTCCTCTTCTTCTTCAGCCTCAATTTTGAGCTCCTTTCTCATTCGCAGCGCCTTGACACGCTCCAACCTGCTCTTCAAGTCCTCCTGCACCTCCTCTTCCTGCTGGAGTTCCTGAATGGCCTCTTCAAGGTTGTCCTGTTCACGCTGTTTGAGATCTTCGGGCACCTCGAGCAAGTTGGCATCGTACTTAGAGTGGTCCTTGACAGATTTGCCATGGATGTCCAAGGCTTTGGCCTCCAAATCGGGTGTATATTGATCCAGAACAGAGGGTGCTCGCTTCGTGGATTCTGCGTTCAGTACTTCACTCTGGAACCGCTCCCATTCGTCATCGAGATTCGGAACTGTGGTCGGAAGAGCAGTCGGGTCGTCGGCCTCCGTTTTTCTTCTTTTGGGTGTCTGATCCATGGTGTGTATGTTGTGACGCACGCACGGCTCCATCTAAAAATAATTAGCGTGGATACTTTAGTGTTTCTAATAATTAGCTGCAATGGCGGGTGTACTGTGCGTATAGAGAGCTTAACTGAAAATTGGCGATGTTGTGGTGATGAAGATTACCTTATTGATACCTAAATACTGATATAAAGTAGACAATCGAATAGTAGCAGAATCACAAGCCTAAGTCACAAACCAGAAACCCGCTAGTCTCCCCGTAAAAACCCCTTTTATTACTCATCTCTTGCTTGTAGTTCGACGCCGAAACTCTATATCAACTACTGTATGTACAATACGCCAGTGATATAATTAGAAAATTAGACATAATTAGAAGATTAGACATTCTATGCATTATACGAGGGGCTTCCCCGTCTATTGACCCCATTTAGGCCTACCCCATTCTCTTTTGGGTCTCACATTGGCCAGCTGCCCTTGGAGTAAACGGTTGGTAGGCAGGGGTACGTCGTATGCGTTGATTCCCAATGACGTAATTGACTACTTGTACTTCGAAGAGTGAGGGTTGTGATGACCTGAAATTTGCACCGTAGCACTTCGACCATTCAACAAGATGATAATGCTACATCGGAGAAGAGTCACGCGCTTACCCCAACAACTCTTTCAACTTCCCCATCTACATCTCTTCGTATTCGCCCCATACCACGTGTGACGGTCTCCTTGTTGCAGGCTGGCTCGCTTGTCTGGGTGGTATCCAAGTGCCTTGTGGCTGCCAGCCCCTTGTTTCATTCTCCAACGTTGGTGATGTAGGCTATTATTAGATTGGTGGGTAGCAAAGGGATCGAGAGAGCTGTAACTGGTAAGTGTTAGTCACAATACTTGTACCAGTAGCGATGAGAAATATTATTTAGCGGACAAGCCAGGTGTTTGGTTCAGCAAAAGAGTACGAGTAGTTAGCACAACCTCCGTCTACAATTACGTACAGTAACTCCATAGTGCTCGTCCGCTACAGCTCTGGTTCAGTCCGCGGAGCTTAGGCATGCGGAGTCAAAAATGAGCCAAAAATAGCCGTGCCTGATTGTCCGTTCCTGGGGCCTGGCAAGGGTTCTTAAGTTGGCTCTTTGCCTGAGCTGTGCAGCCGCCGTTACTGTACATGTCAATCGTTCAATCGCTTTCAGCTTCCTAGTACTAGCTATCCCAACACTCGCTACCACATCCATCAACACCCCAGCTACAAGTACCCTCAACCCTCAGGCCATCTATAAAGCTGCTTCACGTTCTCACACTCTGGCATTACAGCAGTCGTTGCTTGTTTGCCATCATTTAAACTCACAAACTCCCAACTGCAAACAGACTCTTAGTTGGTTAAGCTACCTTCCGACATCCTTGGCTGATTAATCAAAAAAATCTGCTGTATCTTTTCAAAAGAGCCAAAAAATAGCGTCCCCACCAAAGCGCCCCGGAACGCCCCAAAGCCACCGAAAAACGACACTTTAGATATTACCCGTCCGCTAAACCTCGATTGCCGTCGTCTCCACTGCCCCACCACACTCGCTCGCTTACTTTCGCTTGCCCCCACAAGCCCCCCACATTGCTCATTTGAACCTTACTGGGCAAATTGCCATACCGTAGCGTCAGGCTACAGTAACAGCAGCACACACACCACAATAGGACTGCACATACTCTCCACCACGCACTGACGATACAAGCCGCGCAGACGACGACACAGCATATATTCAGCATATATTCCGCACTTCTACCCGCACATCTTCCACACAACTCCACATTCCTTCAACCAGCATGAGCTCTCCGCCGTCGCTGTCAGACTTGTCGCTGAACGATCGCAATCCCGATCGCCACCCCCTTAAGGGGCTGCATGAGGCCCGGGGTATCCGTAAGGTGTCATTACACTCGCGCTCAGGCTCTGTGGCCGAAGAAGAAGAGCCTTCCTCCACAGACTCCAATGCTGCTACAGCTTCTCATCCACCAGCTGACCAGTTGTCAGAAGTGTCAGCAGAAACGCTGGCCCGTATCCAGGCCATCCATATGTCGCGAATGAGCAGAGATCGATCCCACTCGTCGCCTCCAGAGCCCGAACAGGAACAGCTCCAGCAACTCCAGGACCGCACCCCGCCGTCGTGGCAGACTCAACGACCCCACCCCCACGTGACCACCGACTTTGGCCCACAGCTGACCTCACCAGAAATTTCGCCCTTCACCACAGCGTCGTCTGTGCCTCGAAATTCAGACCATAGCTTCTCTCAGTTCCAGACCGGCTCCTTGCCTAAATCCTACACAGGTGGTGTCATCCCCCCTGGCGTTACTGCCAGTCCTCTCAACGGCCCTCTCACCGGACCGCTGACTGGACCGCTCACCGGACCTCTGACTGGAGGAACCAAGCCAGTCTCAAGACAATCGTCGCTGTCGTCGCGACGAGGCATGAGACTGCCAGGATCCCCTCTCGTCTCTGACGACGAGTGCAGCCAAAACCCGGCTGCCTCCACCCCTAAACCCATGAATTTGCATTTACCCGACTACTCCAAGCTCAGCTACAATGGTGACAACAATGGTAGTTCTTCGGCAGATAGCCGATCTCGCGAGAGCTCCTCGTCCTCCAACGCATCATCCACCTCCACCACACCCTCCTGTGCCCTCACAGGTGGACTCACAGGTCCTACCGTTCAGACAGGAGCCCGTCTTCCCGGCCGACTATCGTCGCAAAACTCCATCAAGCGAAAGGGCCCCGGAAAGCTGTCGCTCAGCGGGTCGCCCAGCAGTAGTCCTGTGACTCCATCCGATGGAAGTGCTGTCCCCCTGCCCATTGCCAAAGACCAGGCTCCAGCCCAGGGAGCCCCTGCTCAGGGAGGCGGTCTGTTTGCACAGTTTTCAAAGATCGTCGACATCAACACGGGAAAACTCAACTTTGCTGGAAAGGCCAGCTTGCATTCGGAAGGTATCGACTTCTCGGGAGGTACGTCGTTCCGAATCAACATTGACGAGCTGGAGCCTCTGGGAGAGCTGGGACGAGGCAACTACGGAACTGTTACAAAGGTGCTGCATAAGCCCACAGGTATCACCATGGCAATGAAGGAGGTAAAGCTGGAGCTGGACACCGCCAAATTTGCCCAGATAATTATGGAGCTGGATATTCTACACAAGTGCGAGTCTCCATACATTGTCGACTTTTTCGGCGCCTTCTTTGTAGAGGGAGCTGTTTACGAATGCATTGAGTACATGGACGGAGGATCACTGGACAAGGTGTATGCAGGAGGTGTGGATGAGCCCTGCTTGGCTGCCATCACCGACAGTGTGGTTCGGGGTCTTATGTTCCTGAAGGAGGAGCACAATATTATCCACAGAGATGTCAAGCCCACGAATATTCTCATCAACACCGAAGGAAAGGTCAAGTTGTGTGATTTCGGAGTGTCCGGCAACCTCGTTGCATCCAAGGCATCCACTGTGATCGGATGCCAGTCATACATGGCACCCGAGCGTATCCACAACCCCGATTCTGGCAACGTGACATACACTGCCAATTCTGACATTTGGAGTTTGGGCGTAAGTATCCTGGAAATCGCCCAAGGCTCATACCCTTACCCTCCTGAAGCATACAACAATGTTTTCGCCCAGTTGCGAGCCATTGTGTCTGGTGATCCCCCTCAGCTTGCCGAGCGGTTCTCTCCTGAGGCACGGGACTTTGTTGCCCAGTGTCTGCAGAAGAAGCCCTACCAGCGGCCCACTTACCAGCAGTTACTGGAGCATCCCTGGCTCAAGAAGTACCGGGGCGTGGACGTTGGCATGGCCGATTTCGTGAAGAAGGCCCTGGAACGTGGTAAGAACGCCACTTCCACTTCCAACGAGACCACCCCAACGGGCACCACTATCCCTGTGTCCCGCAACAACCCTGGTTTGGTTTCCCGTGACGGACGAAACAACATGGTTCCTGCTTTGCATCATAGCTTCCTCAACAATAGACAATAAACAATGAGCATATTGAACAAAAAAAAAGACTTGTATCGTATCTTGGTGTGATAACTGTAGAGTTTGTAGTATTTATGAAGTATCGACGTGCATAATACAGTGACATTTAACACCTCACAAAATCAATACTGGCTATCTATATACATTACCTTAATCCTTCTTTCTAAAAGCCATCATATAGTTGCCCATTCGCTCATTGGGAGTCCAGACCCATCCACAGCCAGGAACGTACATGCACCCCTTGGAATCGACAAACTCCCAGTCTTTTTGTGTAGCAAAAAAGTCCCGGATCTCCTCCTCATTGATGTACTTGGAGTAGGTGTGGGTTCCGGGAGGCACCAGTCGCATAAGATGCTCGGCCACAAAGATGGTCGTGAACCACGAGATGGGGGTTCGGTTAATAGTGGACAGGAACACCCAACCTCCGGGGTTTACCTTGGACAGGGCATGCTTCATAAATTCGGCAGGATAAGTGATATGTTCGAGCACCTCGTACATGGTCACAATGTCGAACTTCTCGTCCCTGGGCAGGTCCTCCAGTGCAATTCGTCTGTAGTTGAGCTTCTTGGTCAGAGACGCGTCTTTCTTGGCATGCTCCACAGCGACTTGGAGCACATCTGGTGACATGTCGATTCCGTCGACCGATGAGGTCCATGGCAGACGGGCCATGTGTTCTGCAAGAATGCCACCTCCACAACCAATATCCAACACACGCTTCTTGTCAGTCAGCTGGATAGCGTTGGTCTTTCGTGGGTCTGAATCGGGTAGAATGTCCAGAGAAACACCAGCAGGTTTAACAGCTGACTGGCTGGTGTTTTGCTGCAGGACCTTGAGATTCTCGTTCATGAAATCCATTCGCAAGAGGTTCATCTTGTGCAGGATCCGCTGGGGGCCATTAGTATCCCACCAGGTGGCAGCCAATTGTTTGAAATGCTTCATTTCCTCCTCGGAAGCCGAAGTAGAGCCGGCAGTACCATGTCGCGCTCGGGCAGTTGAGTGAAATGCTCGGATAAGACGTCCAGCGGTGCTTCTGTTCATGATTATGGTGGTGACGGGGTTTCTGTAGGCGGAAATATAAAATTTGGGTCTGCATGTTGGTTCAAAGCACATGCGAGTATTGCTGCTGGTACTTGTACCAGTAGTTTGAACGAACTTCAGCAGGGTGTGGCAGTGGTAGTTTTTCATACGACATTGAGGGGAACTGCGAGGATATGAACATGAAAAAATGTATTCGAATAAGGTTGACAATTCCATTGATCATTTCTCATACTATCCACAAGTCTGGATGGATAGCTTATTCAGCAAGAGATTTCCTTGAACCTTTTTTGGAGCATGCATGAACAACCATCTACACTTCAAGTTTGAGAACATCTCACATCAATATCAACAAGATGCCTCTTGAAGAAAGCATCATTGCCACACGTCAGCGTCGAGCAAATGCTGGAAACCGTCTTAAGGCGTTGCTGGATGCCCAGGAGCCACTTGACGACGATGATGAACACAACATTTTCATGGAGTTTGAGGATGATCAGGAATTCGAGCTGGGGGCCGATGAGCCTGAGATGCCCGGTTACGACGAGGAGGAAGAGGACGAAGAAGAGGACACCATGTCACCTGCACCCAAGCGTCGTAAAACTTCAGAGACTACGGAAATGGAGGAGGATGGCGATTCAGATGACAATCCCGAGTCTGAAGCTCAGGGCTCCGACTTCTTCTCAGAGTCAGATTCCGAGTCGGAAAATGACAGCGAACCCGAAGATGCTGGCGAAAAAGAGCTACAGAAACGTGAGAAGGAGGAAAAGACCAGGAAACGACTAGCGGCCAGAAAGGCATACGAGATTCCCACTATGGAGAAACTGGCACGACCCAGAGTCACAGCCCAAGCTGCGGCACGTGCAAGGGCTGCCAAGGAGGCTCGCAAGCCGGTAAAACGGAAAAGCACTACTGTGGAGGAGCTCATAAATTCGGATCGACGTGTGTCCCGACGATCGACAGCCGTCAAAAACACCAAGGAGGTGCTGGAGCGACTCAAGGAGCAAGAAGAAAAGCGGGCTGCCTACGTTCCCCGTGAGAAGAAGGTGGTTAAGAAGCTGACCCAGGCAGAAAGGCTGGCAGAGGCTAAGATCACAGAACAGCAGAACATTGATAGTTTGAATAACTTTTTCCGCCAGGAGGACTTGCGAAAGCAGCGTCAGCGAGAAGCCATGTTGGCCAAGCGAATTCCTTTGAAGTCTTTCATTCGATTCCTCAGTTCGTCAAAGCTCGTAGACCCCATTCCGCTCCCAGGTATTGAAGAGGTGGAAGTGGCCAAGATAAAGAAGGAGGTGGTAAAGGCGACCCCCAAGGTGAACACGGAGGGTGAAAAGGTGGAGGCTGCTGTCACAGAGGGTGCTAATAATGCAGCTGTCCCAACCACGGGGACACCGATTGCTGAGACACAAACAGAAGTGAAAGATTCCGTTGAAACAACCGCGGAGTCGACAGACCCCACTGCCGTGCCCGCAGCCGAGCCAACAACAGTTGAACCTACTTCCGAGAATGAAACTATTGCCAAGAATGACGCGAGTGAAGATGTGGTGATGGTGGATGCTCCTAAAGCTGATGCCAATGGATCTACAAAGAGTAAGATGGCCGACGAACCTGACTCTTCTGCTGCCACTGCCACTGAGTCTCCAGCAGTCAAAAAAGAAGAGGAGACAGCCGCGTCTGCTACAGCAACGCCCGATGCTGCTGCGTCTGAAGAGCCAGAGGCAAACGAAGACAGTGATAGTGATGGAGAGACACCTGCTCCCAAGCCCGCCACAGTCCCCAAGAAGGCAAAAATCACAGTGGAGGGTCCTCAGGAGAAAGTTGGCACCACAGTCGTACAATTGCTGGAGTTTGCTCAGGACCGAAACCTTTCGCGTCCTGAGGTCAAACGGTACCTTTTGGGACCTCAGGCCGTGGTTCCTACTGGTCGTGACTACTCCATCAACAATTGTGTGGTTACTGGAAAGCCTGCGCGGTTCCGAGATTCGAAGTCTAAGGGTCTTTACTACGCCTCTCTGGAAGCGTTTAAGGTGATTGAGACAGTCCGTGAGGGTGGATACAATTGGAACTGGGGTTTAGGTGGTGTCTTTACTGAACATGATGGCGGCAAATGTGCAAAGAATGTACCCGATGGATTTTACATCAAGAAGGAGGAGCCCAAGGATGTGGAGGTCAGCGCAAAGAAGGACGATGAGGGGAATAAAGATGGTAATGATGGTGATAAGGAGGATGGTCAGAAGAATGGCGAGACAGAAGTCAAGAATAACGAGGAGGACAATAACATGATTGTCGACCACAAAAAGAAGGACCTAGAGGGTGATGATATCAAGACAGAAGATCCCGAGCTATCTACCTCGTCTCCGTCTGAGGCTCCATCTGGCGTCATAGCATAGCATGTATATATATTTAATTTATTGTAATAGGAACAAATCTACATGAAGATCACAGACTGTGTACTGATGTACAAGTACAGTACAAGTACAAGTAAATTGTAGCGGGCATATATGTTTAATTTATTGTGTATCAGATGGTTTACCTCGTTGATTCCCTTTTTACAGGGGAGCACCGAAACCGAAAGCAACCTGGATGCTTTTGACATAGTACTCCTCAAAGTTACCCCGGGCAACATCCTCTTGGCCAACAGGGATTCCAGACCACTTGACAATCAACTTCGTATCGCTGGTTCCCTGTTTGAACTCCAGATCTAGAGTGGAGAAGTGTCCCTCCTTCCACTCCTTGAGTCTCCAGCTCTGCACGATTCGCTTGTTCTTCTCCAGCTTGGTGATCTTTCCAGACACGTTCCCACCGAACAGAGCAAACTCAGATCCCTCCTTCTCCTCGATCTGCGGGGGTGCTCGAGACCACACGGCAACTCGCTGAGGGTCCAGGAAGGTCTGGTACAGCTGGTCGGCCGAGGTGTGGAAGATGGGGTCCAGCTCAATGTTAGTGGTGTTGTAAGATCCCGAGGACTTGGGGGCAGCAGCGGCAGTAGTGGAGTTAGAGGAATTTGCACCGGCAGACTCGCTCTGCTTGTTGAGGTTGCCCAGGGTCAGCTTGGATTTAACCTGGTCCGCAGGATGCTGGATAGAGGCTCCATTGGTGGTCAGCAGATCATCCTTGAACTGGAATAGTCGCTTTCGCAGCTCGGGGACAATGTCCGACAGAACAAGCTCCTTGACGGGCAGCTTGGCAAACGAGTCGTCGGTGATGACCACGTTGAACTGGTACTCGTCCTCCTCGGTGTCGTAAGCAACCTCAGGGATGGTAATAGTACCAGAGGCCTCCTCGGGGCCGTTGGTACCGGAGAAAGCAAGCTTGATCTCAACATCAAAGAGCGAGATCAGTCTGCCCTTTCGCTGGCTGACATCAACATCTCCCTCCACAGAGGTGACCTTGTCGATCTTAGCCTTGACCTCTCCTCCCTTGCTGGTGGCCTCCAGACCAGGCAGCTTCTCCTGGAAGTATTGTCGAGTCCAGTCAATGCAGTTTTTGTCGACCCAGTGCCAGTTGTTGGGGTTGTGCAGAACCATTGTCGTACTGTAGATGTAGATGTGAGAATGTCAAGTGTCTGTGCGAGGCGTTATAGATCGAGCTGCATGGAAACTTATATTTGGTTTGGTTTGGAATTCTCCAGAAGCCCTTGCCCTGCGAAGGCGGCGCATTGAAGATTTCCAGGCGTTGAAACGTAGGCGAAGAGTAATTCGTGTGATATAACGAGCTACGGTAATATCGAGCGCAAATTGCAGCACTCCTAATGTTTCTATGTAACTACCTCTGTAATGACATCCTTCGCCACACTGCCGTGTCGTGTAGCCCAGCTGGGAATATTGCCTGCATGTTCCACTAAGATGCTCCGAAAACCGCTGTTCTATGGTGTCACCAAAAGTTCATCACACATTTAACAAACATTCAGCACATCAATCATCTATAGATGCGGCTTTGATTTATTGGGTCTATTACTTGATCAGCTCTTAATAAAAGTTCAGTTACGTTGACTATGTACTATTACAGACCGCTGTTAGGAGAGGGGGGATGACTGGGGTTGACCGAAGAAGGACCGGATTGTTGCTGTGATGGTTGTTGCTGTGAGGATTGTGGTTGCTGCTGGCCGTCAGATGGCGATGGTTGACCTCCTCCAAGGCCGCCCATAATACCAGCCAAGCCTCCAATTCCACCGGGAATCAGAGACATGAGGGACTGAATCTGGGGCATGCTGCTGGCGAGATTTTGCAGATTGAGGTTTTGGAGTCCAGGAATGTTCTGTAGACCCTGGAGATTGCCCAAAAGTTCATGCATCTGCTGGATCTGGCCTTGTTGGCCCTCATTAAAGAGATGAAGATTGCGAGGGTTGGACAATAACGACGCAATGTCGCCCCCAGCTCCACCTCCCGACATGCGGGGATTGTTCAGGAAGTTGGAGATTTCAGCCGGCAGGTTCATGTTGGCCATCTCAGCGAGGTTGGCTAACGAAGACACTCCACCTGCAGCCCCTGCACCCAACAGATTAGCCATGGAAGCCATTCCCTCCAGTTTGGATGGCGAGCCAGGAGTCTGAGGTGCACCAGGCGTAGAAGCATTTCCCATCTGAGGAGATGCAGCCGTGCTAGAGCCCGCGGAGTTGGCCTCCATTGCTTCCTTCTTTCGTTGGAGATTTTCCAGCATCATTCGAGCAGACTCGGGGTCCACACCGATCCACGAAAGACCAACAGGACCAAGAGCCTCCATGTCTGCCGGCAGAATTCGACTGACACCTTCCAGGAACCACACAGTCTCCTTCATTTCCGACGTGTAACTCTTCATGAGCTTGTAGTAGACACGAATGATTCTTCGGGCCATCTCATCACCCTGGAACAGCAGGGCAATGATCTGGTTATCTAGCAGTGCGGGGAAGGCAAAAACTCGCAAAATAAAATCCGCTCGGTACCGCTGGTGAAACAGAAGATCGATAAAGGCCAAAGTAGGGAAGTATACAGAGCTGGGGTCCACGGGGTATAAATCAGCCAGATCGTCGTCGAAACACTTCAGACCACCGTGCACAAACTTGTGGGCAGTACGGGTGTTCATGATGTGGGATCCTAAGTCGATAAGTTCCTGTCCGATCAATCGGTAGAATCGAGAGTGTGGTGGAAGAGGCCAGACAGTGGAAAGAATGGATGCGGCCCCTCGAACATGGTGAATCCAAGCCGTGGGGGGCAGCGTGGATGCATCTTCGGAGGCCTGAACAATTGGTGCAGCGTTAGCCAAACCGTCCATTCCTAGCAGAATGCAGCCTGCCACAAGGGCATCTGTGTTCTCCGGAGTGACATGGCGGACTGCTTCTCGTAGCTGACCGAGGGCCTCTCCTCTATGGTACGCAATGTCACGTGTGTACATGTTCTGCTGTTGAGTGCAGGAGAGATGAGAGGCTGAGAAGACCAGAATGGAGTGCATCAGAAACGGGAATTGGAAGGCCAGAGCGGGCACATCTACGCCCCAGATCTCCTCGTTGGAGATACCGGCGGCGGTGATTGTCTTCCATGCCACCGTCATGTAGTTGTGCAGCAGCTTGAGGTCTACCATGTTTGGTGCTCCACGTACTCCATCTCCTGTGTTGGCTGGGGCAGGCAGAACAGTGTGTGGATTAATAGGGGCAAAGGTCGGGGTGGTATTACCGGATCCCTGAGCGTAACTAGGCAATGGCCGTTTGTACGAACATTCCAGTCCCAAGTGTTCACAGTTTCGACACACAGGGTGCTTTTCGTCGCACTTTACTCTTCGTTTCTTGCAGGTAGCGCATCCTCGACGGGATTTCGAGTGCGGTTTTCGTTTAGTAGCCTTGGTGTCTTTCTTGTCATCTGTTTCCGAGCCCGTCGCACTGGTTTTGCGCCTTTTTGGCCCATGATCGCCTTCTACCGAGTCACGATCTTCCGTCTTGACAACGGCTTCGGGTTGGTCGTTTGCGTCGTTTACGTTTACGACGGGAGCGGGAGACTCCTTTGAAGCACCACGCTTGGGTCTCGCAGTCGCGGAGTCGGCGTTCTGGCCACTAGTCGGTTTGTCGGTTGCGTCGCCCATGATTCCACTCTCAAGACATGCTCTTGACCAGGCAGTATGTGTTTTTTTTTGGCAAATCTGGAGGGTGGACGCGCTTTGTACAGTAAACACGAAATTTGCGGTGTTGGGACTTAACTGTAAGCAGACTTAGACTTAGGCTCGGGGCGGAGTGTCGGCATTAGATTGTGATAGGAGCTCCGACATGAGTCACCATGATTGTCGGGTATATATATATCACTTGGGGGAAATTGATGATGACAGAGACGCAATCCCACATTTTCAATCAGTCTAGATGTCAGATGAACTCTCAATAAACCTCATGCCATTCGAGACACTGGCTCCTACCAGTCTGTTAAAGCGGCGCTCATTTAGATGAAACTCTACCCGCACTAGACGCAACCGTTGGGTGGTGTTGAGTCTGGGGTTGTGGTTGCAACCAGATAGCTGTGCCGTGCCAAGTGGATAGAGAGACAAGCAGTTGACAGTTTGTAAAGGCCGTGTCAGGGACGAGAGGCGAGTCGAAAAAGGGTGAAAATTGTCCCGCTTCCGCCATCATCTACGTCATCCATGCCTACAGATCCTGGCTTTTTAGCTTGTTAAAATAATGCCATTTCTACTACAGTAGCCACTCATAGTACAATGACGCCACCCGATTGCAATTCAGGAGTCATTCGAGATTGCATATCTGCATTGGTAAGCAGAGATGCATAGGGAGATAACAACACAGCTGGAAACAATTGGCAAGTATGAAACATGGACCCAAAGCCTTGGTATATCCTCAATCCCTTTTGCCAGCTGCAGTAAGATGATAGGGCCGTACACCCCAATAAACAATGCACACGTGATTTCTTGCTTTCTAAGTGGTGCAGGGTTAGTGTTGGAACTAACAGCGGGTCAATTGCAAGAGCCTGAGCCTGAGTCTACGCTATTTACTATCTTAAAAGTCGAGCGACTTAATCATACTGTCGCCGCGGTGATCAAGCTTGGGAACATCAATTTAAGGTTTAAGGTTTTATGCAAGGTCGGTCCTCACATTCGGAGTGTGGCAGGGTGGATTTGTGTCTGTAGGTGGTCGTAGCTAGGCAATTCTATGACACCCTCCTACTCGATAATCGCAACGAGACGTAGCACTCGACAGAAAGATACACAGCCAAGTTGATTGATACCTGAAATGATACCTCGAGCCGAGACATCTCACGACGGCACCCAAGAGTCACCAAACGGCCCCGGCTCAGCGATACTCACAGCTGTAGCGATGATACCTGCGGCAGCGACACCCACGTTAGCGATACCCCATAATGAAACATCCGATACTGAAATGTGGGATCTTGATGCTTCAGATAGCGATATTGATCCCCTTGAAGCGCCTGAACGAGCTCCCGATCAGCCCCACTATTCCGTCTCCGATGAGGTGGTGAAGCAGGTTCTCCACGACTATGTGAAACCAAGAAATCCACCAGCTCGGGTACCCCAAAAGAGGAAAAGAGAATTTGAAAACATCTCTGGCAGAAAGCATGCCCCCAGAGCCAAAGCTGATGCCCTCGGAAATATGCGTGTCCAGCTTGAAGAGAGAGTTGAAAAGGGAGAGATTACCGAGGAGGAAATGGTGCACGAACTCGGCGTCTTCTCCAGAGATCAACACTCCTCGGTCGGTCAAGGAACACGACAAACAGCTAGAGATGCGCGCCAACTGGACAGCTGGATATGCGATTAAACGAAACTCCAAAACGTACGACAACAGCCCTAAGGATTGCAGCCACATACCTGGAGCAGTTTACAATCCATGGGCTTGGCCATGTTATGAGGGTGCTTGGACATGTTATAAGGGTGCTTGGGAATGTTCTGAGGACGTTCAGTTTGACAATCAGTCTGCGAATAACAACGGAGGCGACAAAGGTCAACCGGATGAAGAGTCGAAGGAGCAGTCAAGTTTTAGGGCAAAGACCACCCACTGTGTCTCCAGAACCCGTTGCTGTAAACGCTCTCCCGTCCCCGCTCTCTGGCGTCTTTGATACCCCTTTCTAACAGCCTGGTCGCTACCTTGACCTCGTTGTCATTTCTGACGATGATTGCGGCGGTCCCGGTTGCTTCGACGTCGCTGTGGACACCATTTCACCTTCGCTGTCTCAGATGTCCCTGGTTCCGTCGGTACCCTTAGTCTTTTTGATACCCCCGGCTCCGCGTCCTGGATCCAGGATACCCCCGATAATGTGTTTTCACTGGCACAGCAGGATACCATGACTCCCTACGAGACACCCACATCACAGACTGGCTTCTTCCTGAAGCTGAATCTGCCATCAGCAGAGGCGCTCCAGAATGCCCAAAGGCTCCTGGCTGACCATGGCATGCTTGAACTAGTTGGAAGAGAGGCTGGCTCCCCCAGCGGCACCCCCACGAGGCCGGGACTGGGCGGCAGCAGAGACGGGTTATCCATGATTGGCAGCCGTCATCACTAAGTCTCCTCGTATTTTGTACTGTTTTGCTATAGATGGTTTCAATGGAATTGATGTGCTGAGCTGACTTGATGGGCCAGAAGCTTGTATTGATTGAGAAATTGAGAATTTCTCTAAGTATTTTTAAGGTTTACATACAATTTCGAGCTGTTTTGTCTGTCTTTTGCCAGCGAAAAAGGTGGATTTCGATGAATTTTGATGAATTTTGAGGGTGGAATTTAAGCTTTTATGCACGAACGGAGGAAAAATTCCTTTGTCTGAAATTGAGGTTCCCAAGCTCAATCACCGCCGCGACAGTAGCATGGGAACACAAACCATTGTTTAGTACGGCGCAACCAAGAATACAATCGCCTTTACTTCGTCGAAGTAGCACAGAAACGCCAAGATGGAACCAATTAAGCTCCATAGCAAGGAATGTTCCAGAACGCACAGACCCTCACTGAACACTCAGCTTCCCACACGTCCAAATAGATGGCCATACCACCTACAAGCACTCATAATCGTTTTATTAATCTCGTTCACATATGCGCTATGTCCATATCCAACCCTAAATTTCTATATTCTAATGATCGTGGGGGTCCTCCTTCTGTTCCTCAGGCTGCACCTTGATCATGGTGTCGATTCGCAGAATGGAAATGCACGCCTCAAGCGCACTCTTGAGAGACTTGCACTTGGAAACGGTAGGCTCGATGGTGCCAGCCTTGAGAGAGTCCACAATCTTGCCTCGGATCAGGTCCAGGCCGCAGTTTTTGTAGTTTCGTCGCTTGGTGTCTGTGAGAGCGGCAGTCTGCGACTGGGCGTGTCGTGCTCGCAGCTTGGAAACCAGGTCTGACGAGTCCTTGGCGGCGTTGACCGCCAGGGTTTTGGGGATCTGCAAAAGAGCGTTGGCGAACTCGTAGATAGCCAGCTGCTCTCGGGAGCCCAGAGAGGTGGCAAAAATCTCCAGGTAGACGTTCAGAGCAGCCTCGACAGCTCCTCCTCCGGGAACGACGTAACCGCTCTCCAAAGTTCGCTTGACGACAGACAGAACGTCGTGGATGGATCGCTCCATCTCGTCAAGCTGGTACTCGTTGGAGCCTCTCAGAATGATGGAGGAAGAGGGGTGGGCCTTGGTGCCCTTGACGAGAATGCACTCGTCGTCGGCAATTCGCTCTTGAACAACCTCTTCGGCCTGGCCAAGGTAAGAGGACTCGAAGACCTCCTCTCCCTCGAGGTTGGACATGTCAGAGATCATGGTGGCTCCAGTAGCTCGAGCGATTCGTCGCAGATCCTCCTTCTTGCATCGTCGGACGGCCATCGCACCAGCTTCCACAAACTCCTTGAGACACAGATCATCGATACCCTTGGTGGTGAGGATGACGTTTGCGCCAGCAGCCAAAATCTTTCGGATTCGCTCCAGAACGATGTCGAACTCCCGCTTTCGGATGGCCTCCAGCTGCTCGGGGTCATCGATAGTGATGTTCACGCCCATGGCCATTCGAGCCTTTTGCAGGTTCATATCCAGCACGGCAATCTTGGCGTTGGGGATTCGGGTCTTCATGGCCTGGGAAGCGACAGTGCAGTTGAGAGCGTATCCCTTGACAAGAACGGACTCCAGAGCGGACTTACCGTGGGCCTTGAGAATGTTGACAGCCTTGACGGGGTACTTAACCTCCCCACGCGAGTTTGTGGTCTTGACGGCCAGCAGGGCATCAACAGCCATGTTAGCGAAAAAGTCGGAGTCGGATCCAATGATCTTGGAGGACATCGAGGTTTTGGCAATGTTGACAAAGGTGTCCTTGCCCAGCGACTCGACGGGGACGCTCATGACCTCATTGATGAACCGCAGAGCCTCTCGCAGAGCGAGTCGGTAACCAGTGATAATCGTAGTAGGGTGGACATCCTTGACCTTGACGAGCTGGTGGGCTCGACGAAGCAGCTCACTGGCAATGATCACGACAGAGGTGGTTCCATCTCCAACCTCTCGGTCCTGCTGCTGTGCCAGCTCCACGAGAATCTGACCGGCGGGGTGTTGGACATCAAGCAAAGCCAGAATGGTGGCACCATCGTTGGTCACGGTGACATCTCCAATGTCGTCGACAAGCATCTTGTCGAGACCAACGGGACCAAGAGACGATTTGACCACGTTGGCAATGGCCTGGCAGGCCAGAACGTTCTGGCTGCCGATTTCAAGGCCTGAGATTTTCTCTCCGTTAAGGACTGGGTTAGAAGGGAACTTCGGATGCACGGGTGGCGACAGTCCAGCGCAAATACTCACACAAAGTGTCCGACGGTTGGGAATTGTACATGGTGGACATAGTTGTAAGGGTCGTAGTACAACGTCAATGTCGTGAGTGTAGATGTGTAGTTCTGGTAGGTTCTGATTAGATTTTCTGCACCAAGGTAGATATTAGGGTATTGTACGCACACCCACTATTTTTCGATGGATTTCTTAGGATAGAGTTCGGGACTCAAACATCTGCCTGAGCGATGTGCTGGCTTAATAAGGGTGGGGCGTGTCTTTTAATTGTAGAGGCGGAAGCTATCCGTACTTGTACTTATCGTGTAATGATGACCCAACAGGGGAAATAATACACCACTGCAGCACTACAAGCACGCGTCAGGTTCTACCTTTGGATATTCAATAATATATATGTCAAAAATGGGGTAACTACAGACATCAGGTGGCATCTCGAGGCTTGAAACGCATAGTGATGCTTTGTTTTGAGGTTCCCTCACGGAGGCCCTGTAGACACAATCCAAGCCCAGTTCTACTACAATAAACATATCTTGAAACATTTTTTTCTTGCTTTGATTCATTTTTCGTTGTGTTAACCCATTAGCATGCAAAAACTAGAGCACAATGCACTTTTTGTTCTTCTTGACCACTGGAGGCTCAAGAGCTGCCACGATGGCCTCGTCGAAAACGTCCTTGAGACCCTTCTGAGTAAGGGCAGAACACTCGACGTACTTGACGGCACCGAGTTCTCGGGCGAGCTGGTAGCCTTGCTCAGTGGTCATGGGTCGCAGCTTGTGTCGGGAAAGCTTGTCAAGAATCATCCTGTCACTTCGCAGATCAACCTGGGTACCAACAATGAGGCAAGGCACGCCGGGGCAGTGGTGGTGGACCTCAGGGAACCACTTCTCCTTGACGTTCTCAAAGGAGGCGGGAGAGGTGACGGAAAAGCAGACGAGGAAAACATCGGTCTGAGGGTAACAAAGAGGTCGCAGTCGGTCGTAATCCTCCTGACCGGCGGTGTCAAACAGTCCGAGTGTGTAGGGCTCGTCTCCAATCCTGGGGTTAGTATCTCGATTCGTTGCTTGGGGGGGGGGGGGGGGGGGGCTTGGTTTCTTGCAGAATGCGACGCGTTATACTCACATGACAGTCACGGCATAGTTGTCAAAAACGGTGGGAACGTATTCAGAGGGGAACTTGTTTGTTGTGTATGAGATGAGGAGACAAGTCTGCGTTAGTAGGAGCTCTCCAGGGCCATTAATCCATCGTCCAGAACGACATCGTGATCGTGGCGGAGCACGAGAACCTTGATAATTGGCGTTTTGTCTTTATACTCACCTTTCCGACGGCACCATCGCCGACAACAACACATTTTATGGTCTGCATTTTATCTTTTTGAGGGTCTGTGCACGGGCTAGGGCGGGAGCTTGTTCAAGGAGCGTGGTGGGGGCGTGAGAGTGTGAGAATGTGGGTGTGTTGTGTGGGTGTGTATGTGTGGAGTGTGATATGTGAGGTGGTGAGTTGTGCTGTGCGACAGGGTTTCGGATTTGGGTGTCAAACGAGAAGGCTGCTTACAGAAGCCTATGCTTTTTTATGCACAAAGGTGTGCCACGGAGCGCTTCTGTGGTGTATCGTGAGCCAGGGGGCGCGGAATACGAGGGCTTGTGAAATCTTCTCGTCTGAGAAAGTCGTTTCTCTACCATCGAATACTCTGTATATTTCCACCGCCTATTGCCGTCTGTGACTTACGAGTGCCCCACCTCTCCCCTCCCACTGACGTTGCCAAAACTAAGTCCCCTAATCGAATCGTCCCAGGGGAGCTGGAAACTGTACTTCAAGGGCATAAAGGACATAATAGGCCAACAGGGGAAAACTGTCGCGTGGGGCAACTGGACCGGATATTATTACTATTCAAACACGCACACATTCCGTTTACATTCCGCAAACTGACGCCGTCCTCTATACTACGTGCTACGTAGCAGTCAGCGTCAAAACATCTATGCCACACAACCCATTCGCTCATGCATAGGCCACATCACTCACTGATAAGCCCAAGGCCAATGAGGCACATTTCTTGTGTCGGGTTAGTGCGCGGGTCGGTGCAGTACTTACAGGTACAGTAGCGTACAATGTTTATTAAACACCCCCTATGAACAGCCCAAGTTCCACCATACACTACGTTATCACGGTACTACCACCCTCTTGTATGGCCCACTATCTTTCCCGAACTCCCCTCACGCCACATCACTCCACAGACACGATCCCTTGTCAGCACGCGTACCAGTCTACTGTAAGTACAGTACCTACGATGAACTTCGTAAACTCTGACCAGCACTCATAATCTTGAATCAAACATAAAATTCTACGGTAGGGGGTTAGTTAATTATACAACCAGCCGCTGTTACAGCTATCGTACGCAGCCGCTAGCAACGATGAAACAGCAATAATTATACCCTATTCCCCCATAGATGTGCACGCCCAATACGGCCAAGACCAAAGCATCATGAGTAGCGTGGAAGTTCTCTTTCTCCTTGCAATTTGAACCAGAGCCACTAAACTGTTTATACCTCTAACATGCATTGTGGACGTACTGTAAATACTGTTAAACTACTCCACGGATCTTTAAAGACACACTACAGGTACAGTACTTGTAGTGGGTGTACAGTACATACTGGATTATTGCCGTCGCAACGACAGCACAGCTGCACAATCCAGGTGGGTTAATTACTTATTGTACAATGTGCACGTCAAGCAACTATGAGATGGAATCTTAGGGATCGTACTATTGTACTTGTAGCACAGTTATGTTGTAAGTCGCTTATACTTGGCTTCTGTCGTAAGTCCTACCCTCGAATGTCTCAGTAAGCACTCCCACCAATGTTTACCACTTTCGCGTTGCACCTTCACGTCTCTACTGCTACAGTTGCGTGGTCGGCTTGATACTCACGCGCTCAATACACATTCATTTTACACCAGCTATACATTCTACTACTTGTATCATATAAATAATAAATCAATTAATGTTCTATCAGTTTATTCCAATTCTCATCCTCCTCTCACACTCCCCTCACTATCCTCCTCACTTCTCAATCTTTTTAGTATCCCGCTCCGCTACCTGCACAGACATGAGAACAGCTGCCAGGTCTGCCGGTAGAATGGGTTTGGCCAGATAGCTGACCATACCAGCATCCAGGCATTTTCTTCGATCTTCTCCTCCAGCGTTGGCCGTCAACGCAATAACATTAGGGCAGTCATCCTTATACAGCTCTTTGAGCTCCTGGGAAGCAGCAATACCATCCTTGTTGGGCATCTGGATGTCCATGAGAACACAGTCGTACATGGGGCGACCGGCGTCAATCTCGCGTTGACACATTCGCAGAACCTCAACACCATCCTTTGCGTGCTCAGCATTATAGCCCATGCGCTTCAGATGCTGCAGAGCCACTCGAGTGTTGATTATGTTGTCCTCAGCCAGTAAAATCTTGAGAGGATGACGCTCAGCCAGAGATTGAAGCATACCCTTCTCATTGGGGGCGCTCTTGAGAGCCTTCTTGGCATCCGACGACGTCTGGTCATCCAGAAGCCGCTTGATAATGTCCGCTAGACGGCTTCGCTGAATAGGTCGCATCAAAATAGCACTGTAACCCTGCTGCTGGAAATCCTCAGCCATGGGTACACCGAAATGGGACATGAGCAGGCACTTGGTTATGGGCGACGCATTGGAGATGTCGTGCAAGTCGTTGGATTCATGAGGCACGGATCGAGCGTCAATGAACACCAAGACAAAGGTGTTGGTTGGGTTCTCCAGCACAATCTTTCGGGCCTCAGAGGAGTCGTCACAGCAGGTTATGTCGAAGCCCAGTCGCTCCAGTTCAGTGTGCAGACTCTCCTTTTCCATAGCGTGGCTGTCAGCCAAGATAACCTTCTTGCCCTCGTAGATGCTCACCTTATCCTTGGAAGGCTCCTGAGCACGAGCAACAAGACTGAACCAGAAGGTGGTACCCTCTCCCTCAACAGAGTCGAAAGTGAGGCCTCCGCCCATGAGTTCGGCCAGCTTCTTGGAAATAGCCAAGCCAAGACCAGAGCCGCCAAAAACTCGTCGAGCGGAGCCATCGACCTGAGAGAAGGCCCGGAAAACCTTATCGCGGGCATTTTTGGGGATGCCAATACCAGTGTCTGTCACAGAAATCACAAACTCGTATCGATGATCAGAAGAGACACGCTCAGCATGCGACTCCACCACAATATAGCCCTTGGAGGTGAACTTGACGGCGTTTCCAACCAAGTTGATGACAATCTGACGGAATCGAGTAACGTCACCATTGACAATATCCACCTCCCCACATCGATTGAGATGCACCAGCTCCAGATCCTTCGTGGCAGCTGGCTCAGCAACAAGCTGAATGGCACTCTCGATGCACTCTCGCAGAGAAAATGGAGAGTTCTCAAGATCAATGGAACCATGTTCAATCTTACTGAAGGCCAAAATGGCGTCAATAATGTTGAGAGTAAGCATGGCTGACGACCGAATGGTATCGACATACTCACGCTGCACAACAGTCAGATTGGTGTCCATCAGAAAAATAGAACATGAGAGCAGAGCGTTGAACGGAGTTCGAATCTCGTGACTCATGTTCGCCAGGAAAGACGCCTTCTCGGCAGTGGCTTCTTCAGCAGCCTTTTTAGCCAGATCCATCTGGTGATAGAGACGTGCCTTCTCCATAGAAACGGCAGCCTGGGTACATAGGAGAGAAATGAGCTCAATGCGCTGGAGAGAGAAGACACGGAAGTTGTGCTGATGCTCCAGGTACAGAATACCCACACTCTTGATCTGGTTCTGAATGGGCATACACAAGACACTCTGGTATGAGCGGTTGTAGAAGAAGTGGTCTCGGCCGTGCACAGTGTCGAACTTTCGAGTGTCAGCCTGGCGAGAAATGGGGGTGCCGGTGATCAACACATGCTGAATAACAGACATGGGAGCCAAATCCGATCGAGAAATCAGAGGCTCATGGCGAATCTGAGTGATGGTGTTAAGAACACCCACAGAGTCCACGTACAGTCCCCCATCGTCATCAAGAGAGATGAAGACCGCATAGTCTGCTCCACCAATCACAAGAACACTCTCGATCAGCTTTCGAACAATCGAGTTGGTGTCGATGGCCTCAGAGATATCCAGGCAGGCCTGCAGAGCACTCTTGACATCCTGTTCATCAGTTTTCTTGCCCTTCAGCATCTGAGTGTGCTTAGTGTTGTGGTCAAGTACCACTCGTCCAGATGTCTCCTCACCCTGCTGGTTCATAACCTTACCCGCACCGATACCCTGCATGATAAGAGGGGATGTGATGATCTCACTCTCATCATTAACAGCCAGGGCCTGTAGGGCGTTGGGAGTCATATCCTTTGTGGGGATCTGCTCCTTGTTCTCCTCCTCTCGAAGCAGAGAAGACAGAATCCAACGAAGAGGAGACTGCACCAGCACAGAGTTGCTGATGAGAGAAGATCGAGCTCGCAGGTCTGAGTAGTACGCGTTGGAAGAAGCAGAGGTATTCGTCAAGAGCGTCAAGTGGTTGAGCTCGTAGTTTGAAGACTGAATCTCCGGGTATTTGTGAACGAGCTGGTTGACCTTAAGACGAGCTCCCCAAGCACCGTAGAACTTGGCAGCCTCCTGGTAGTAAGCGACAGACCGATTCTTGGAGTGGGTTTGCAGCCAGTCACCGCATCGCTCGTTGATAACAGCGGCATCCTGAAGGAATCCCTCCTTGAGAGCAGCTTGAATGGCTTCCTCGTAGGTGTCGAGAGTGATGATAGAGTCACACGTGTGCTTATGCAGCTCGGCCTTGATACACAAGTGCTTGTGCAAAAAAGTTGAAGGACAGGTAGCACTCCAGTCCTCCAGATCACGGGCAAACTGCTCCAGAAGAGGCTCGCTCTCCTCACTGTACCTTCCCTCAGAGTCAATGATAGCAAGAGCTCCGTAGAAAGTGACAATCACGTGATAAACGGTAACGGGGAGAGTGGTCATGGTATATTTGAGATCATGCAGAATGATGTCAGAAGCAACATACTTGTGCTTGTACACCACAGCCAGCAGTAGACGACACACATTGTAGGCATATTGCACCTCTTCAGCCTTGCTTGACATGATCTCCTCTACATCCTCCTTGTTCCCAAGCAGCTCCCCCTCCAGACAGGAGGGATCGTTGTGACCATCACCCATCAGATTGAGGATCGCTTGAGTGTGAATCTTCAGCCAGAGACGCGAGATTCTATGGTCCAGCTGTGTGGTGGAGGCCTCTAGGTTCACAAACATGGTGTGGATGCTTTGGAGGGACTCACCAGCTAGGAACTTGCACATGGGCCGTAAGCCAAGCGAAAAAGCCACCGTTCCATGGGGGTCGTAGATAGTCTGTCCCGTCTTCATGACAATATCGTAATATCTGAGTTAGTTGGATAAAGAAATGGTTGTCGTCGGTAATACTCACCTAATAACCTCACTCAAGGGCTCGAAATAGATGGCTAGAGTCAAAACGTAGTATTCGTACGTGTTCATGCCGAAATCGAGATTCACCGTAGAGTCACATTCCAATGTGACAATAGCCAGTTTACTGTACTCGTACGCCCGGGTCAAGTTGATGCTTCCTCCGTCCTTTTGGAAGTGCGAGGCAAGAGTTAGCAGAGAGAACGCGCAGACGGAAGAGGAACCATAGTCCAAAAATGCAGTAACAGCCACCAGAGTCAGAGACCGAATGAAATGCTTTCGGTTGGACAGCAGCACGGGGATCAGCGTGATGAAAATGACCTCGTGGGCTAGCAACATACGCACATCCTTGGTCACAGGATTGTGAGCCAGATCTCGAATCTCACCAACAGACAGAGGGATTCGGTGACGAAGAATAGAGTAGTTCTTCTCATTCCACTCCTCATCCTCCTGAAGATGGAATCCAAGCAGAGCCAGAACCTCCAAAGAAGCCGCAATGGCCTCATCCTTCTTCTTAACAGCACTAAGAGCCTTGACCTTAGTTTTCAGACACTGAGCCTGGTCCATGATGTCGGTACAGTGAGGAAAGACTTGGTCAATGAGTTCCAAACAAGATTGATGCTTCTTTCGCAGGAACTGAAGCTCCATCAGCGACAGGTAAATGTCACGAGTGATGGCTTCATGGTGTTTCCAAGGGTCTGGAGGCAACAGCTTCTTTGCCACATCAAAGAACCTAAAGGCCATGTCGAAATCAGTCATGTCAAACACAAGATGACCGGCCTGAATGTTGAGATCTCGGTAGATGATTTTCTCATCATCTCGCACAATGGTGAGAGCCTTTCGAAGCTGAGTGGCAATCTCCAGCACCTTGTGGGCGGGCATCTTCTTGGCATCATGCTTACCCAAGAGTCGCAAACCAATTTGACGATGGATCTCAGCCTTCTCATTGTCATCAATGTGAAAGTACACAGACTGCTGGACCAGATCGTGGTAGAATCGATACTTGGCCTGTCGGGCAATCTGACGGATCTGGTCGTTCGAAAGATTGAGCTCACCGTCGGCCTTGGAAAAAGGAAACTTGTAGTGCAGAGTGGTGGGAAGAATCAGCTCCACTTCCAAAGCAGGATATAGAGCCTCAGCAGCCTCACTGAACGAAATTTCCAATGACAGGGCCAAATCTTCCAGGGTGAAAGTATTGGAACAAATGCAAGCAGCATATCGGATGATCTTGTAAGTCAACGGAGGTAGAGACTCGTACATAGAAATGGTAGTCTCCTGAACAGACCGCGGAAGAGTATGAGACAACAGCATATCGAAATCCACCTTCCACTTGCCAATGTTGCTGTTTCCACCTCGGGTGTTTTGATCCAGGTAGATGTAGCCCCGGTAGTACAGATATCTTAGTAGACAACTGATGAAGAGCGGGTTACCTTCTGTTATACGGTACACAGTGTCTGTGAGAGATTCGACCTGAGGATCCGTAGAGGACACAGCCACTGCAGAAGCAGGAGCAGAGGACACGTCGGTGTCGTAAGTGAAGCTCGATTTCCTGCTGACTGAGGCCCGGCGCTCAGAAGAACCAGCTATGGCAGGCCGGATCGACAGGGTTTGGGCGATGATCTGCCGAACTGCCTCCTTGGCTAGGGGCTGCAATGCGATTTCAACGAATGGAGCATCAGTCTGTTTGATAATATCTAACAGGAAGTTGCACTTTGATGCCAAAGGATCATCGTTGCAAATAGCAGAACAAACCAGAGTCACGCGGACATCATCGAAGTGGTTCTCTTTGGCGAACGACTGAAGCTCGACGAAAAACTCGAAATCGGTTGGGAAACACCACTGAATGTCGTCGAGGAAAATGGCAAGGCCAAACACACCAAAGAGACAGAAAAGAGACTTGACCAGGTACTTGATTCGTAGCTCACGCTTGACAGGACCAAGGGGAGGTCCCTCGGGCACAATGTCATGATAATCAGGACCAACGAGTTGTCTCAGTTCAGGAATAGGTCCAAATAGAACACTCATGTCAACCTTAATGTTAGTGAGAATTCTTTCACGCCAGTTAAGAATGGTGGTTTGCGATGCACTCAGTAGCTGGTGAATCAGATCATTCAAAATAGTGATTGTGGTGTAGAACGGAGGAACTCGCTGATACTGGTCGAACTTAGCCATGGCGAAGTATCCATGACGAGCAATGACAGACTTCTCCAGTTCGTACACTAGCCGTGACTTTCCAATACCAGGATCTCCTCGCACAACAATCATCTGCGCACATCCCTTTTCCAGAAGCTTTTCGTACACCGTGCTCATGGTGGTGATCTCCGAGTCTCGGCCGTAAATGAGCTGAGGGACCAAGAATCGAGAGAGTACATTAGTGCTGCCAGAAGCAGGCTCAAAAGCATTGTCCAGCTTGACATCCTTCTCCAAGCAGTCGTAAATGTATTCCAAATCAGAAATGATCGATTCGGCAGTCTGGTATCGTGAGTCCGAGTTCTTCTCCAGCAGCTTCATCACCACAGCTCCCAGCTGCTCGGGAACCCAAGAAGCCAACAGCTGTGGTGCTACAGGGGCACACGAAACATGCATATAGCCGAGCTCGAGAGGGTCAGCTGATTTAAAAGGTGGAGATCCAATGAGAAGCTCGTAGAGAATGCACCCAATGGAGTAGAAGTCTGCCCGGAAGTCCACCAATCGGTTCATTTCACCAGTAGTCTCAGGCGACACGTAGTACATGTTGTTGCCCATCTGCTTGATGTGGGTTCTCCTGTATCCCTTGGCTGGATCTTCGACTCGCAGACAGAAGGAGAAGTCCCACGATGAAATGAAGGTCTCGCCCTTTTCATTCAGGAATATTCGTCCTGGGTTGAGGCCGTGGTGGGTAATGTTATGCTGATGGGCCTCTGCGATTGTTGTGAGAACGGAAATGATGGCTCTGAGGATCTCGAGGATCTCGTCCTTGGTTCTGTGGAAGGGAGTTGGCGAAAACGGCGTCGGTGCACCTGCAGCCATTCCAGCCACCCCGTTGGCTGTCGCAGGCGAAATAGTCAGCTTGACAGGCGACTTCTGTTGACCATTGGTGCTGACGACCTTGGGTTTCAGAGGGGTGGCCTCCAAGTCGGGATTGAGAGGGCGAATAGGCGAAACATCCTCTTCCTCGCAAATGTCCACATCCAGAAACTTCTCGCGCAAAGTCATAAGCTTCTCATTGTTGTCAAAGATGAGGGCTGAGATGGGAGGCTCTGAGCTGACCTGAACCAGCTCCGAGGGTCGTAGAATTCCCGCAAGATCGCGTGGCAAAGAGTACTCCTGGCCAGCCCAGTCTTTGTTTGTTAGATTGTCTCTGAAGCTGTCCGATCTCGTTGCCTCTCCTCCATCTGTCGTTGGCTCCGTCTGCGCCTTCTCTTCCTCCACATCTCCCCTTAGTAGTTGCCACTCATACGAAACCCGAATAAGGTCTTCGAGCGTTCCTTCGGCAGACACAGTGACAAGCACGGGTTGACCGGTCGACAGTTTCACTGATCGGTAGAAGCTGTTGCTGTGGAAGAATTGCGGCACAATAGGCACCAAGGGTCCATATCCGTCAATAGATGGCAGTGGAGGTAATCGGCTGTGCTTGTTGTTGTCTCCCTGATCATTCCCTCCTCCATTTTCCCCGTTTCCTCCTCCGGAATCTCGTCCGCCACCTGGACTCTCATCTTCTCTGTCATGGTCACATCCCTGGTCGCTGGAGCAGCAGTCGTTGCCACCACTGCGATAACGCGAGGAGGTGAAGCCCAGATGCTGTCGGTAGTCAGTATTAAGCGAAACCGACGACGGGGTAGTGGAATATGACTCGGAAAAGCCATTCGAATTGAGCCTTTCGCGAGAGTAGTTTGGTGGGCCGTACCCCGTGTACTTCGCCTTATTGCGAGTGGTCGAGGGCCATACAAACACTGGGTTAGCCGTGGTTGCGTGGGGATTGCATCTCAAAAGGAATACTCACTTGTGTGTTTTGGTCCGACCGATACAAAATGTTGCGTCGTCAAATGTGTCGACCAGTCAGTTCAGTGTTTAGACAGGTCGCACTGGCATGCAGCACTTGGTTGTGGTTTGAGTTTCACCATTTTAGAGTTGAGCCTTGAAGCATGAAGTGACTGCTTGAAGTTGGAGGTGAGAGTGGCACCGTTTAGAGAGTTAGTGTCTGTGACGTCAGTCAATAATCGGAACCATTTTTGTCGGATGCAAATCATTCGGGGAAACTCGTATAGCCACTGGGCTACCTCGTGAACTCACCCAACAAACCAATCTCCCGTAATTTCCCTGCTATTATCTATATGGATGTATGGTGGTAGGTACTTTCTCGCTAATCTAAAGTCAGACGTCAAATGTATACGCCGCAAACAATAGAAGGATGCTAAACTGCCACTATTACCAAAATCACAGTAGTCGGCGCATGAAGGGGCATTTAGGTATCGTTTCAGCATCACTGTTGTCGTTTAAGCACCCAAAGCCATTCAGAAACCTCCTCTGGCCCACGCACACATCTCTTGCACGTCACGCTGCATAATTGCAGGGGAACCAGGGGAACAAGCTCCAGTCAGAACTTTGGGAGTAAACTCTATAAGTACGGCACTTGTTCAAGTATAAGTAAAGTAGAAAGGTTACTTAGCGAGGTCTTTCCGTGAGACTATGAACAATGTACAGCAGAGAGGTTTGCTACTGTTGATTAGATGAATGTGGGGGTACCTGCGCAACCACTTCCAGCTAGTTACATATATATCGCTCCACACTAACACACAGTAGCGGCGGATAACTGTGCCCTCGAAGGTTTAATTGCATTAAACGTCTTGTCCTGTGACGTGTTGGAGAGAGCCAGCATTTCAGATCCTACTGTACGATTATGAAAGTCACGTACAGTACTCGTATTTGTATAGAGAAATGTACTTATGTTAGTACTCATACCTGCAATCGCCTGCTCATTTGGGAGAGTGTCAACAGATCCTGTTATATTAGTCCTCAGCGACCCATGGTGGATGATCTCACACCGAAAAAAAATGTCTAAAAATAGACACATGTAGATGCACACATGTTCTGCTGGTCTCAGATAATCTCAACTTTTCATGCTATCCGAGGCTCGTGGATCTGGCGACTCTACCACATCTGAAACCGAAAATGTAGGGCGAGGATTGTGCATTTCGGAATGTCTCGCTGTATCCATGGGATGCGGAGACAGTGTGGATGCACCTGGAAGAACCCAATGACGCTTTCCCAAGCCCTGAGGGGTTGGACCTCAAACGGCCAAATACACTTCTACTGGTATCATAACTACTTGTAATGGAACCCTGTTTCGTGTTAGCCCGACGCTCAGATCTACCCATTACGAGATTTAAAATAACGGCTTCAAATCATTAGTAAGTAGGTGCGTTTTCATACAGTGTCATACAAGGGACATGCACATTCCCGCTCACATTCATCACATGTCTCATAATGGATCTGAGACACTTGTCAGACACTCCTTCATCGCTAAAGTAGTGTCGGTACTTGGATTTCGGGTACCATATCTAACCGTCTATTCATATATACACATGCGCTGTAAGATCTAATCGGACTCATCCTCCTCCTCAGACTCGGACTCGGCCTCCTCCAACCACGTAACCCACTTACCAAGCAGAGTTCGCACACTGGCAATCTCAGGAGACACATCCTCGGGCTGCTGGTGCCACCATCGCACAATGACATGCTCGTCGAGAACATCAGCGTCATACAGACTCTGCACTGCAGCAAATAGAATGTAGTTGCCAACAGGACGACGAGAACAGTCTTTGAGCAAAATGTTGAGCAAATCGATCTGGTCGGCAGGTTCAAACACCTGCTTCTCAAACAGCTCGGCCCACTTGCCCCACACCTTCTGGGTGGGCACCTTGTGGTCGTCGGTGACACCCATATTGAGAACTCGAGTGATGTAGCCGTTAATGGCCTTGACAGATGCAGCTCGAACCTCCTCATAGGGCACGTTGGAAGACATTCGAAGAGTACCAAGTTCCAGAGCAGCGATATCAATCTCGTGGTTGTCCTGGAAAGCTCGGTCAAGAGAAGCGATAGCCTCCTTCTGGAACTCGTCCTCGTGGTTATCTGAAACGTTAGAAACTGTGGAAGAGAGTCGCCGTCGCGTCTTCTTTTTGGGAGCCACCGCTCGGATGTTTTCGTCATCCTCGTAGCAGTGGTCGTTGATGGAGGTGTCAGAAAGGTTCAACTCCTTGAGATTGTAAACCAGAGAGCCGACGTTAGCGTTGAACTCGTCGTCCGTGTCGAAATCGCTGTCATCGTCGTCAATAGCGTCGAATGGAATACTCTCGCCAGCGTCCAGAACGAGATACGTGCCCTCGATTTTCTGTCCTTCCTCCACAGTGACGCCATGACCAATAATAGAGCCAGGTCCAACGCTGCAGCCCTTCTTCAGAATGGCTCCATCCGCAACAAGACCACCGTTGACAGTAACATCGTCCTCAATGATAACATTGCTCCAAATGAAGGAGTCCACCAAGTTCACATTAGTGGAAATCTTACAGTCACGTCCAATAACAGTATCCTTAACCATCGATCGCTCTCCCACGCTGGTTCCTCTTCCCACCAATGATCTCGATCCGATGACACACGACTGAGCCAACACAACACCCTTCTCCTTATAAATGTGGCCCATTTGGTAGCTGAATGTCTGGTCATCCATGAGGTTAGAGTCAGGAACGACAGGGTAAGAGTACCGTGACACGATATCCTTTGTGACAGCAGAGTAGGTCTGCAGTGATCTCACTCGAGCAGCGTAAGCATCGGTGACAATGTGGGCGTAGATCTTCTTACCGAGAATCTCTGAGGTCAGGATGTTCTTGACAAAGTCGGATCGCAGGGTAGAGTAGTCGAAGTTCTCGGTGAACTGGGCCAGCACGTCGATGGAACACAGATCAATGTGGCAATCAATGAGATCATTTCGAATAGACAGAGTGGCATCGTCATTGAGCAGCTCTCCGTCCAGATCAATGGACCCAGTGGGGTTGTTGAGAGAAAGCTCCTCGTATCGCAGACACTCAGAGGTCTTGTCATTTAGCACAAACAGACCTGGTTCAATTCGGGAACGGGTTCGGTGGAAGGCATCGGCCTGTCGCAGAACCATGGTCATCATTGCGTTCTTGTCATCCTGCTTTCGCTGGAGATGCTGCTCCAGAACAGGAGTGAAATCGATGTTGGAGACTACGTCACCAGAGACAAGCAGAAAGTCGGAGGTGATGGAGCCGGTTCCATCGAGATCTCGCATGGCATCTCCAACAGACATACTTTCGGTCAGCTTCTTGGTGTGGATCTCAAATGGCGAATGCGAGTCAGACCACTTGGATGTCTTGATGTACTCCTCAATCTTGTCAGCATGCGAACAGCACATGAGGAAAACCTCACAGACACCCGCCTTGGCCAGGAACTCAAAGGTGTATTCCAACAGAGGAGTGTTGGCTAGAGGAAGCAGGCATCGAGGATAGTCCTTGGTGAGGGGTTGGAAACGAGCCTGATAGGAATCTGCGAGAATAACTGCCTGTAGACGGAAGTCCTTGTCGATGGCCGACTTTTGGGGTTTGGCGTTCTTCTTCTTGGGGGGCATTGACGGTTAGTTGTATTACCTGGATAGTGGTTCCAGTCTTTCGGTTTGAAAAACGCATCGGAGCATGGGGGTTTGGGTTTTAGTCTCAATTTTTGCGAATAAAGTTTTGGCAGGATACCGTAGAAGTAGAAGGACAGAGTCATATGGGTTTTATTCAATGAGTAGCGAATATAATTCGACCATTCTACTTTTGTTGTGGTCAAAATGCTAGTGTAACTAACTGAGACAAATTTTTTTGTATGTTTTGGTCCCTATGGACCTGCCTTCCTGCTTATGGTTGTTTTTTTTGGAGTTCACTGCCTGTAATTGCTCTGACCGGGATGTACATACTTCATATGGAGTAGTTACCAGATCAAGTGCTTTACCATTATCTTCCAACTTCTTTTATTTATATACTAGATTCATGTCCTTTGCCTCGACTCTACTCTCCTGATCACCTCTAAGTGCTTAGATAATGTACTGTACTAATTACCAGTACGAGTCGCTCACTCTCTGGATGGACAGTTCGGAACCCCAGGCATTTTGTGATCAATCTGACACCAATCAGGTATACTTGTTAGCCACTGTCTGACTCTCTGACGTGTAGAGCATGTGCCCAATTTTTTTTGTTGTTCATTCGGTGTCACGAAAGGCGCAGTACGGATACCACTGTGAAGGGGAGCAAGGACCGCCCTCCCAACCCCCTATTCTACCCACACCCAATCATTGTGTGGGAGTCATACTTGTATAGCTTTCCGGAGCCGGTCACGCTTGCACACCATTGATCAAATCGACATGCAATTTATTATTAGCAGATATGTCTCTTGACTTTATGCCTTGTCAGGCTGAAACAGAGGAATGGTCCAAACATGCATTGTAGGCGTGTATTTACTGTAGTTTCAAAGTATGAGTGTAAGCATGGCGAATCTACTACTGATTAGAAGAAAGAACCATGAAGGCTGCACCCATTGCTATGAGCCGCTGACGAGATGGAAAGTAGTCGGATTAATAGACGCGTCACGTGACAGCAGTTCTATATTGGTTGATATCTATTTATTCATATCTCACGTGACAAGCCTCCTTGGGTTAGGTTTACCCTCCCTGTTGGTATGCATCGCTACAGTACAGTAGCATTAAGGCAAGGTATGGGTCTACTGTAGCGACGATACACAGCACAGCACTTTGACCATCACACGCAACACGCCCACCATGTCATTCCAAGATTCGTTTTGGACAAAGGACTACATTGGCGGTGTACAAACCGTCTACGACAAGCTCCAGCAGGGCATCCAGGAGAACCAGGAGGTACTTAACTTAGTGTCGTCTCGAATCACGATTGAGGAGGGATATGGACAACGCCTTCAGAGCGTTCGAAGCTCACACTACGCCTCAAAGGTGGGGTTTGGACGTGACGAGGGAGCCACTCTGAAGCAGGCATACGAAGGAATGATTCTGGACATGTCCGAGGAGGGATATGCTCATTATCGGGTGGCTTCAGCTCTTGATAAGAACGTGCGGTCTCCATTTGCGCAATGGTCTGAAGAACACAAGCTGCGTGTAACCACAGCCTGGGATACGTACCATGTTCGTCAACGGTCCTATGAGAAGCAGCTGGCCACGACCAAATCTTTGCAGAGATCCTTCTTCAGCAAGTGTGCTGCGATGGAAGACCTGACCCAAGAGAGCAATGTCGCGTTCCCTACTCTACCACAATCACCCAAGACTGACGGTAGTGAGTCAATTCCAGGTTCTACAGCCGCTTCCACTCCTCCCTCTAGCTCTGCTTCTGCTGCCGAATTTGATGGTGGCTCTAAGGAGACTCAATTGGGAGGTGAGACATATTCGGAGGCTGCTCTCAAGATGATCTTTACCGACATGCTCAAAGAGATCCCTCTCAAGTCTCTCAAGGTGCCCATCCTGGGAACCTATAAGCGGATTTCGACTGGCGACCAGATTGTCATGTGGCTGAGAAAGAACATGGACATGCCCAGCATCGCAGCTGCGGAGAAGTTTGGACAGGACCTGCTTGCACAGGGATACATTCGACTAGTTGGACAAGTTGGAAACAGATTCGGAAACGCTTCTTCTCTTAACTATCAATGGCAGGACTCCGTCATGGCTATTATTGAGGGTAAAACCGACGCTTCCCATGAGCCCAAGGCAGAACAGACTACTTCGCACTTGCAGCCCGAGTCTCACACTGCATCCACTACATCCACTCTTTCGGGATACATCAAGAAGTTCCGAAACCAGCCACAGACGGACCCTATTCAAGCCCGAGCAGAAATGCTGCAGTTCGAGCAGCGATACAAGGAGGAGGTTGAGCAACTGGAACGACTGCGATTTGAGCTGGAGGAAAATATTCTAGAGGTTTTGTCTTTCTTTGAGAAATGCGAACTCGGGCGACTGGCTGCCTTGAAGAGAGTTATGCAGGATTTCGGAGAAGCCATTTCAAAGGGAATGGAAGGTACTCAGACTACAGCCGCGAGAGTTGCTGTTTACCACGAATCTATCCAGCCAATCAAGGATATTAGATATACCGTGGAGAGGTACAAGACGGGTCACTTCAGTCCCAACCCTACAGCCTACCGAGGATATGAAGAGAAAGTAAGTGATGAATTCTTTGGAGTCGAGCTGGAACGACAGGCCCTCGCTGAATTTGAAGAAGGTAACGCCAAGCAGGTACCCATGTTCGCTCAAGTGCTGTTGACGCAACTGGACAGCTCCTACTCTGTCGATGATGATCTATCAAAGGTTTGGAGATCAGACGCTGTTTCTCTCAAGGAAACCCACCAGCTGAAGCGGCTTGTTGACACTGTAACCAAGTTGGATGCGCGTCGCCTAACCAGTCTCAAGGCCAGTGAGATCATTGCTCTTCTCAAACTCTATCTCCTGGAGCTCCCTGACTCCGTGGTTTCCTGCAACATATATGACCTTATTCGATCTGCGTATTCTTCGAATCCTTCTGAGGGGGACAGTCTTACAGCTCGACTTCAAAAGATCGAGTCCACACTTTCTCAGCTCCCCCAGGTTCATGTGGATACTCTTGAGGCAATCATCAAGCACCTGAAGCGATTCATTGTCATGTCCAAGATCTCCGACGAAGACGTCGATTACATTTTTACGGACTTGGCCCGTGTTATTATTCGACCCTGGACTCAGAGTGCCACTACAATGAACAGTAAACACGGCGTCAAATTCCTCAGAGATCTGGTTGAGAACGGCGACAAGGTATTTAGCAGCCTTGATACCAAGTTTTTGGCCCAGAGAAATAAGAAGAACCGCCAGCGAAACGTCTCTTCTTCTGAACAGAACAGAAAAGCACTTGCTGAAGCCCGTCAACAAGCCATTGAATCCGCTACCAAGTCTCGAAACTCTTCTCCTCGAAGACAACTCGATGATACCTCTTCGCCCGGTATTCCTCTTTCCGTAGCTCTTTCTCCTGCCAGAAAGCGATCCGACTCTACAGGCACTCCCAATGGTGGAACTACAGGTACTCCCCGATCTTCTCGAAGCCATCATCAGCAGACTGTGCGTGGTTCGGTGGATGTGGACACCCCTACTCGTCCTAGAGATCGAGTCGGAAAGACCTCTGCTGTTTCTACACCTGTAGTTCACCAAGGCACCCCCATGGGCCAGAACACCCCCTCTCTGCCTCACCCCACAATTGAAGTGACTGGCACCTCTGATACCGAAGAGAAAGACAAGGAGGGACCCAGTAAACTGACCTCCCCCGGTCGATGGGAACGAGCTTCTAAGCCTTCTGCTACTTCTCTGGACGATGCTGACCTTAGCGAGTCTCCTGCCATTGAACACTCGGCTGCTGGTTCTCTGTATGACACCATTCCCAAGCCCATTGACACTGACATCCCTGAAACCTCCAGAGAAGACAATATCCCTGAGGATTCCAGCCCCCTCGATGATATGATCACAACTTATGAAGCAGAGTCGAGGCCTACTTCTTCTAGAGAAGCTTTTGAGAACAAGACCACTGTTGAGGATAGAGAAGTGATTGAGATTTCCGATGAGGAGTCTAGACCTGCCACCAAGGAAGCCATTCCTAAGCCGGAGTCTGTGGTTCCCCCTGTTCTCGAAGCTTCTCCCGAAATCAAAACTACTGTTGCCGCTGCAGAACGTGAGGATTCTCCTGGTTTCGATTTTCACGATGCCGAGGAGTCCATGGAATACCAATGAATTGCATTTACTTTTTTATACCCATGTTCGTAATCACCGTAACATTATGGACTCACAATCCCGTAGATGCAGTACATACAGTACATAACAATGATAGCTGATTCTTGCGCCTTCAAGAAGGCGTTTTAGAGTATGTGCTTGTGTACGACGAAAAAAAAACACGCTCACCGTACAGAACAAATTATCGCAAGTACAACAGTACAACTGTAGCACCCGAAGTACTAATTTTCCTCACACATATTTTTACATCATGGTTAATTTAGTCTATTTACATTAGCTAAGATTGGTCATCAAGGCCAACAATGTCCTCAAACAGTTTCTGGCAAGGAACCTCGGCATTGAGCTTGGCACACAGAAGGAAAGCACCGGAAAGCTTTCGGTGCAGACCGTAAGTCTCTTCAGGAGGAGGGGTCAGTCGTTCCTTGAGCATGACACCAATGTTCTCTCGAACTCGATCGGTGACAGTCTGGTTGGCAAAGTTGAAGTCTCCCCCTCCGTTCTCGCCGTTAAAAGGCTCACCAAGAGTGATCATGGAGTCGATGTGGGCATTGAGCATTGCTTTCGACTCGAGACCAGTAAGGTATCCGAGTTCAAGAGAGTACTTTTCACAAGAAGCTCGATCCTTTCGAACGGCTGCTCGCAAGCAGTTGAGGTAGTCGTTAATGAACTGGTCGGAGTAGCCTCGAGAGGCACCGAAGTCGAGAAGTTCCAACTTATGGGTCTTGGGGTTGTACAGGAAGTTGGCCCAGTTGGGGTCGGTCTGCATGAATTTGAACTTCGCAATCTCCAGCAAACACAGCTCCATTATTCGGGTAGCAATCCAGTTCTTCGTGTCCTGATCCCAGGGACCCTTTACGATATCTTGGCCTCGAAGTCTCTGCATGGTCAGCACCTTGTCGGTGGAAGCCTCATGATAGACCTTGGGAACAACGTAGTCGGGGTAGTCGGCCAGGAGCTCCTGGAATCGCTCCAGGTTCTGTGCCTCCCGGATGTAGTCACACTCCCATTTGAGCTCTACTCGAGCGTTAGCAACAGTCTTGTCAAGGAATAGACCCTCGGGCAGCATGCTGGAGGCAGTCATGAGAATCATCAGGTTGTTAAGATCGGAGTCAATGGAGTCAGCCACGCCTGGGTATTGAATCTTGATGGCGACGGGCTCGTAAGAGTCTCGCAGAACAGCGGTGTTAACCTGGCCAATAGAAGCAGCGGCAATGGGCTTGTCCTCAAAGGAAGAAAAGAATTCGTTTCTCCATCCTTGGCCGAGCTCCTTGGTAAGCACCTTGTGGAGCTGCTCGGCGGGCATGTAGTTGGCACTGTTCTGGACTCGAGAGAAGATCTGCTGAATCTCAGGCGGGAAGACTCGAGAGTCCTGGAAGGATAGCTGCTGGCCAATCTTGAGGGCAGCTCCTCGCATCTGAGACAGCGACTTGACGAGACGTTCCACATTGCCGGGGGTAAGCACCAGAGATCCGGCGTGAGAGTTGTCTCCGGTGAGACGTCGGAAACCTTCACCCAGAGCACCAACACCGAGACCAGTGGCCAAAGTGCCGTAGTGGAAGAGTCGCTCGAATCGACCGGAGGGCACAGCAGAAGACATCATTTCTTCTCTGATTTCCTTCTCTCCAATGATCCGATCTTTGGGCACCTCCGCTCCAATGATCTCTTCGCCAATGGAAGGTCCCTTGTCGGAGGACGACGAATACATTCGCTTGGTGGAAGGATCCACGGAGTTGCCGTTGATTGTGGGTCGCTTGTTGTTGAAGGGATCAAAGACCATCTTGGCTGAGCTAGACCCTGATCCCAACGGACCATTGGGCACACCAGGAGTCAGGCCCGTGGGTCCTGTCTGGGCAGGAGGATCTCTAGGAATGGTTCCATTGGCAGTCGAAAGTGGAGCAGGTGGGCATCTGTGTTAGCAATCGTTCAAAAAGCGTGTCTGTCATATATTTCGATACTCACACTGAGCTCACTACACAACCCTTGAGACCGCTCACAATGGACGAGCCCTCGAGGTGGTCATGAATGGATTGCTTCTGGATATCCCAAGCCTTTTTGGAAATGTTGGCGACCGAACGGCCCAAGCCCACCAGTTCGTAATTGCGCATTTTTGTTTGATCAAGTTGCAGTCTCCAAGATGATGTTGTAGGCTGATCTTGGGAGCTGTGGTTAGGGTTGAACTGGGAGTAACGAGATTTGATAATCGGAGAGGGCGATATTTGTGAGCGGCTCAACTCCATCAGTTGCACACAACTTAGAGTGGCGGCTTCAGAGACAGAAGAGAGACAACGCCTTTCATTCTTCATGTACGATCACACTCCGTAACATTGTATCAGTGGGACTATCTTCGGATGTCAACCACCATGACCAGTATAGGTGATTAGTAAGACACGCTTGAGCAAGTATAACGAGTTGGTTTCATTTGGGGAAACTGAATAGAGCAAAAAGGAGAGTTAGCGTATGACATATTTTGCATGTTTAATACCTCCTGGTAATGTTCGTCTCTCTTCATCCCTCTTTCGGTCGTCTATCCTCCGTGTCATCTTGTCGCCACTATGATATGAACCATATAAGGTTCGAACTCTTTTTAAAAAATTCAGAAATCCTGCATAGGGCTATTTGAACTGTTGTATTCCCACCCATACTCATCATATTCATTGACGAACGATAAACCAACAGTTACAATGGAACCCGTGAGCAAAAAGCCCAAGACTGACGAAGAGGAAATCGTCGAAGACTATGAGGTTGAGGAGTATGTTCCCGACAACACCCTCGTTGAGTTGGCGTCTGGACTGACCCGACTCCAGACCACAGCCGATGAAGGCATGAAGCACGAAGATGGACCTAACAACATGTTCAACGGAAAGGAGCTGTCGACAAAGTATTTCGATATCCTTAAGGTCCGACGAGACTTGCCCGTCCATGTTCAGCGACAACAGTTCCTCGATACCTTCCACTCTACTCAGATCATGGTGTTCGTTGGTGAGACTGGATCTGGTAAGACTACCCAGATCCCTCAGTTTGTGTTGTTTGATGATCTCCCTCAGCTGCAAGGTAAGATGGTTGCCTGTACGCAGCCCCGTCGAGTTGCAGCCATGTCTGTTGCCAAGCGTGTGGCTGATGAGATGGATGTGAGACTTGGCGAGGAAGTTGGTTACTCCATTCGATTCGAGGATAAGACCAGCCCCAAGACTCTTCTCAAGTACATGACTGATGGTATGCTTCTGCGAGAGGCCATGCACGACCACAACCTGTCTAGATACTCATGCATTATTCTCGATGAGGCCCACGAACGTACTCTGGCTACAGATATCCTCATGGGTCTGATCAAGCAAGTAGCTGTCCGACGGCCCGATCTTAAGATCATTGTCATGTCCGCCACACTGGACGCCCAGAAGTTTCAGTCGTACTTCAACGACGCTCCTCTCCTGGCTGTTCCCGGTCGAACCCACCCCGTCGAGATCTACTACACTCCCGAGTTTCAGCGAGACTACCTTGAGAGTGCTCTTCGAACTGTTCTCCAGATCCATGCCACCGAGCCCGAAGGAGATATTCTGCTATTCTTAACCGGTGAGGAGGAAATTGAAGACGCTTGCCGAAAGCTCAAGCTCGAGTCCGACGAGCTCACCCGTGAGTCTGGCTGTGGTCCTCTTAAGGCCTACCCCCTGTACGGCTCTCTGCCCCCCAACCAACAGCAGAAGATTTTCGACGACGCTCCTCCTGGAGGACGAAAGGTTATTGTCTCCACCAACATTGCTGAAACTTCGCTTACCATTGACGGTATTGTATACGTCGTCGACACCGGCTTCTCCAAGCAGAAGGTGTACAACCCTCGAATCCGAGTTGAGTCTCTGCTTGTGGCTCCCATCTCAAAGGCGTCTGCCCAGCAGCGAGCTGGCCGAGCTGGCCGAACCCGACCTGGTAAGTGTTTCCGACTCTACACCGAGGATGCCTTCAAGAAGGAACTCAACGAGCAATCCTACCCCGAGATTCTGCGATCCAATCTTGCCAGCACTGTTCTGGAGCTCAAGAAGCTGGGCATTGACGATCTCGTTCACTTTGACTTCATGGATCCCCCTGCTCCCGAAACTATGATGCGAGCTCTGGAAGAACTCAACTACTTGACTTGTCTTGACGACGATGGAAACCTCACCGAGCTCGGTCGACTTGCTTCCGAGTTCCCCCTGGACCCCATGCTGGCCGTAATGCTCATCTCCTCACCTGACTACTACTGCTCCAACGAGATTCTGTCTTTGACTGCTCTTCTGTCCGTGCCCAACGTGTTTGTTCGACCCAACAACGACCGAAAGGCTGCCGACGAGGCCAAGAACAGCTTTGCTCATCCCGACGGTGACCATCTAACTTTGCTGAACGTCTACCACGCATACAGATCTGACGAAGCCCAGGCTGACCCCAACGAATGGTGCTACCAGAACTATCTGTCTCTGCGATCTCTGCAGTCTGCCGACAACGTGCGAGCTCAGCTCAAGCGACTGATGGAGAAGAATGGACTGGAGCTCATGTCCACTCCCTACGAGGACCGAAACTACTACACTAACATCAGAAAGGCTCTTACTGCCGGATACTTCATGCAAGTGGCCAAGAAGAGTTCTCAGGGAGGCAAGAACTCTTACACCACCGTTAAGGACAACCAGGACGTGTTGATCCACCCCTCTTCGGTGCTTGGCCAGGACTCCGAGTGGGTGATTTATAACGAGTTCGTTCTAACCACTAAGAACTACATTCGAACCGTCACTGGCATTCGACCGGAGTGGCTATTGGAGATTGCTCCTGTCTACTACGATCTGGACACCTTCCGAAAGGGCGACATCAAGATGTCTCTCGAGCGAGTGTACAAGAAGCTGGAGGCGAAGAAATAGACGGTGGCGCTAACACGCAAGTGGAGGACAAAATAATGTATAATGGTAATCGATAGATATAGATTTTGACTGCGGGCTCGTAAGCATGTGATTGTGGGCCCGGACGTTGTAAATTTATTGGGGAACTCGGGCTTGGCTGTTCCACATGGTCGTCGTTGAGAGCATTTTAGGTGTTAGATTTTTGTTTATTTTATAATCACATAATGCATTATGCATTATGAATGGCTTAACTGATTATTTAACAAAACTTGCACTAATTTGACTATTTCCCTAACTGATTAGTTGATTATTAAGGCTCACTAGTAGCACATAAAATGCGAGCATCAGCATTCAGAATAGTGATCCGAAATGCGTTACTACCACGTTGATTACTACCCTGCAAGACACTCTCCGGAGTTTTTCCTTCAACTACTATACAGTGGTACCATGGTTGTAGTTAACAATACAATGTGTGTACAGTAATTAGCTACCAAAACACGTTCACCATCATTAAACTTCCAACATACAGCCAGTCTCATTTGTCTCACCTTCACTGCTCAACTTTCTCATCTTCAACTCACGCCATAATGAACATTAATATCACGCCAGAAACGCCTCAGACGTCTTCCACGGCGCAAGGGACATCGTCCAACAACGCAGGCTCTGGGAATACTCGCATCCAGTTCTCTCGAGGCAACAGTCGAAGCTCAGGGCTACGGGTACCTTCCCTTCGAGGGGAAGACTCAGAGGCCGCGGAAGATTCAGATGCAGAGGCTCCTGATGCGAGGTATTCTGCTGGAAGCAGTGGAAGGCGACGTGTGGACACTCATGACAAGTTGTGGGCCGAAATTGACATTCTGAACGAGGTGCAACGCATCTCTCAACTCACACAGTCCGACAAGGGTTTCTTCGGCAAGGCCCACTCAGATGCAGTGAACCAGCTGCGACAGACACAAATCAATCTTGCACGTGCTCTATCTAACATCGATAAGCGAATGGACAAGTATGAGATCGCAGAGGCAGGCGATATCGACACTATTAAGCGAACACTTTTCAACCCTGAACACTTCGAGCAGGTGAACCATAACGTTGAGCAATCGTTCATTAAATTGCAGGCGGTAGGAGAAGCCATGAAGGAGGCTCATGACAGAGAGAACTGGGACGAGAGTTAGATGGGGGATTTCCGTTTATTTATTCAATATGTATTCTCAAGACATGAGCGCAGCGCGCACTCGCATGTACTGATAGCGATAGACATCGGGTAGATATAGCACCACAAACGAGGAGTATACATATTCCTCCAGATATCCCCAAGTTACTAATTAGTACAGTATCAACGTTCATTCTGCACCTTGCAATTCTCATATAGGTAACGCACTACATACTGTACTAGCTATTGTACTGTACAGTGCTAACGACAAGTAGTCAAACATAACCATACTCATTTCATTTTACAACACTAAAAACTACTTAAGCATCGTAAGTGGAAGAAGAAACCTCACCACCTCGGCCGGTCCAGTTGGTGTGGATCCACTTTCCATCACCATCGAGGAGCTGGTAGGTGTGGGCGCCGAAGTAGTCTCGCTGGGCCTGGAGCAGGTTAGCGGGGAGCTTGGCAGATCGGTAACCGTCGTAGAAAGCCAGAGCCGAGGCAAAGGCGGGAGTGGGAACACCCCAGGTGACAGCCTTGGCCACGGTAGCTCGCCAAGAGGGGTTGGCCTTGGAGATGGCGTTCTTGAAGAAGTCGTTGAACAGCAGGTTCTCGAGGTTGGGGTCCTGTCGGTAAGCCTTGGTGATGTCAGCAAGGAAGACGGATCGGATGATGCAACCACCTCGCCACATGAGGGCAATACCGGCGTTGTTGAGCTCCCAGCCGTAGGTCTTGGCGGCCTCTCGGATAAGCATGAAACCCTGGGCGTAAGAGATGATCTTGGAGGCGTAAAGGGCCTGCTCGAGCTGGTCGACAAACTCCTTCTTGTCACCAGTGAACTTGACGGGCTCGGGGCCATCAAGAACCTTGGAAGCTCGGACACGCTCCTGCTTGAGGGCAGAAAGGCATCGAGCGAAGACGGCCTCACCGATCAGGGTGACGGGCATACCAAGGTCAAGAGCGTTGATAGCGGTCCACTTTCCAGTACCCTTCTGGCCAGCAGTGTCGGAGATCTTCTCAACGAGAGGAGTTCCAGAGCCGTCGTCGTACTTGAAGATGTCTCGGGTGATCTCAATGAGGAAGGAGTCGAGGATACCGTTGTTCCACTTGGCGAAAACGTCTCCAATCTCCTCATTGGTGAAACCAGCACCTCGCTTCATGAGGTCGTAAGCCTCGCAGATAAGCTGCATGTCACCATACTCAATACCGTTGTGAACCATCTTGACAAAGTGGCCGGCACCAGCGTCACCGACCCAGTCACAGCAGGGCTCACCATCAGCCTTAGCAGAGATGTCCTGGAAAATCTTCTTAATGTGGGGCCAGGCCTCCTTGTTTCCACCGGGCATGATGGAGGGACCGTATCGGGCACCCTCCTCACCGCCGGAAACACCGGAACCAACAAAGAGGATTCCCTTCTCGTTAAGCTCCTCGTATCGTCGGTTGGAGTCGGGGAAGTGGGAGTTACCACCGTCAATGATGATATCACCCTTATCGAGATAGGGCAGGAGCTGTTCGATGAAAGAATCGACAGCAGCACCGGCCTTAACGAGCAGAATGATTCGTCGGGGTCGCTTCAGCAGAGCACACAGCTCCTTGATAGAGTGAGCACCAATAATGGACTTTCCTGTTTGTTAGTATTCGTGTTGGGCACTTGCCATGTCACGTGTTTCCCTCCTATGTCAAAAAAATGCAATCAATCACCGTAGGCTGTGTGCTTTCGCTTTCACACTGCCTCGGCGTATGACTGGTTTTCCTGTAAGGTGCACGGCTGAAACTCAACTTGTTACCCTGCGTAGGTTGCATGAAAGTCTAGCTTGCCGATACCGGTAATTTTGTTTTTTAATGGTGACGTAGCAATTGTGGGGGAAGGTGGGGTCAATGGCTGTAAACAGCATAGCTGGACGGATACTCACCCTTGGCCTCGTTCTCGAGGAAGTGGTCGACCTTGGAGGTGGTTCGGTTGTAGGCAACAACCTCGTAGCCTATTGTTAGCAACAATGCGACATTTCGGGGATGGGAGAGGACACTATCAAAATAGAGTTTGACTCCCTTCATATGAGCAAGTGGAAGTGCATGGAACCAGCAACGACCTTAGATCAATCTAACCAACGTAGTGTTACAATGGCGATTATCAGAGGAGCGATTGCTGGGTATGCTCTGTATCTTGCTGGTGCGTCTTGAGTCAATTGATACTTACCGTGGTCGGCCATGTTGAGGATCAGGTTCTGGCCCATGACGGCGAGACCGATGAGGGCAATGTCAGCGACAGGCCTGAGTTAGCAAAAGTGTGTTGAGATTGAGGGGGTGTTGCGCTGACTTTACTTTGACCTGTGACATGACTTGGTTAAGTCGTAGTCTGTGGTGAGCATAAGCGATTGTGGTTGAGGGTTTTACACAACCAGTGTAATTGGGGTCAAATGGCGGCTGCTGGCCCATTGACGTCGAGAGCTGAGGAGGTAGAGCCCGGCGGTGATTGCAATTGTGTGCGGCAATACTCACTTGATGTTTGAAGTGTCAGTCATTGTGTGATGGTGTCGTTAACAAGAAAATGTCAAGTTGCAGAAAAGGTCTGGAGAGGGACGCTGCAGCGTTTTATAAATCCAAGTCTCAGCCAACTCAACAGACTTTGTGCTTAGTAAAGCAACTCTATTTCGCTGGCAATCGAGTTTATGCACAGTGTGGTCATTTGGCGGATTAAACGCTCAAACTTTAGTCATCCGTGGCAGTCCAGACTTGTGAGCAATCTCCCCACACTCAAGTAGAAGTCGTTTGTTGGTTGTGGCTGGTGCTCAGATGTGCCGTCTTGGAGAGAGAGTTGTTTTTGGACTATATTTCTCAACGGTTTCCAAGTAGACCATGTTGTTCAAACCACGCCTTCTTGCTCTAGTTACTGGCGATATACAGTATATCGTCCATTGCTCCATCATACCATAATAGCGTTCTGTCTACTTCTACTACAAGTAGGCACCATGTAATGGTTGCACGATGACAGCCAGCGTGCCATTTGGGCTAATGCTCTTCAATTGACCGGTGAAATTCCCCTAAGCTTGGTACTCACAAGAACCCGAGCCACGAAAACGCATGTGATAACCCGTTGTGCGACTTCGGACCACGATAACGTGCAACTTTGAATGGGGCAGCAGCATAGCTCAGAAAGGTTATCAAGTGGGGGAAGGATGCCCACACAATGATCGAGTTTGAGAGACAGTCATACAGAGTGATGGACAACATGCACACTTGCGCATATGATGACGACATTGTGAGTCACCGGCAGGAATGAGCATGGTCAGACGAGGGTGGACAAGCTACTAGATTAAGCAGCCGACACACGCCACCCTCTCGGACCCCACAAACGTCACAAATCTCGGCCCTTTTTCCTTTTCTTGTCGCCCTCGGGATTTGACTTCGAAGCTTTCAGCTTGTCTGACACTGACTGGAACTTGGCTCTGACTGGATCTGTGGCCACAGTTTGACTACTAATACTTGTACTTATAGCTTACACATCTCAGCCCCTACATGCCGAGGTACGACTCACTCATTCGTGCATAAATAGGGCAATCAGATAAAGGGGGTCTTGGCCATTGTGCGGAGCCCGTACGAGCGAGTCGAAAAAGCAAAAACAAAACAAAAGGGCCCATCCCCCCCACCTACGACCCCGAGCCTCCCTCTGACAGCTCAACCGCGACGCTGTGCATTAGCGCTCAACAGAGCACCGTCTGCCAACCGAAAAATAAGCAAGCGTTGCATGAAAGAGCGGATAAACGGAAAAACATCCACGTGGTAGAGAGAGGGGGTGCGAAGTCAATTGAGTCTCGGACGTGGCAGTATTTTGTGTGGGGTTGTAGCTATCTGACCTAATCTGTATTTTTTCGGAAAATACTACTGTTGACCCTCAATTCCTCAGGACTTGTACAATACTCGTATCACATCACCCTTATTATGGATAATTCATTTTAGCCTGTTGAGACCCATTTGCGGGTGCCAAAAAGAGACACCCACACTAAGAGATGGGTTATCAATTGGTGGGAAACATTGCACTGTGCAATCGACATGCAAGACCCCACTGATGTCTTGAAACCCATGACAAAGAGCTCACCTCAGGGCATGCATTCTACCATGGCTTTTTTGCCGGAGCTTGATCTACTCATACCTTTGCTAGCCGAATCATGAAACCGTATGTATTGGTTGGTAGCTATTTGTAGTCCCCAGACCATCGTCGGGTTGAACTCAATGCGCTCACTCAGCAGGCGAGTAATGAGACAGTCCATAAAACTTCCGTGTTGTATCTACTGTAGTACGATATTTAATACTGCAAGTGCAGAGTAAATCAGTTAGATACATCAGTTACAGACAAAAGTCACCAAACAACAACTGCTGGTCGATGATAGAATGGGTGACCCAGTCCTTGGACAGGAACAATGAGCTCACACCCTTTCGCTCCTCCACGTATGTGCCCACGGCCTTCTTCCATTTTTTCTCCTCGGCCTTGCCAGGAACACAAATAAATATAACGAACGGAGCCTGGGCAGAAGGCGCTCCTCGATCAATACCGTCCAACTCAGCGGAGTAGCTTTCGGTCTCAGAAAACTTGACAGGCTGTTTGCTACGCCCAGCAGGAAGACTCACTTTGTTTAGTGTCGCGCCGTGGGATTCTGCAATGCTCATTATAGCATCCATACCAGGCTGAGCAGTGTAGTTGAGAATCAGACCCTCAAACAGGCGTCCCTGGAGAATGGAGGCTCGGCCAAGAGCTTTGGCAAACTTCCCCTTACCTCCTCCTAGGAGCCATTGGTCAACCACGGGAACTTGAGTCTGTTGAGCCACACACTCCTGAAGATACTTTTCTGACAAAAAGACAGTCTTTTTGGCCATGGCTCGAAGGAACTTCTCAGTACGTTTCACCTTATCGGAAATGACGTGGGTGGCATTATCAACGTCCTCAGTGATGAATATCCCAAGCCTGCTCAGCTTCTTGTCTGCTGGTCGCATGGAGTCCGCAATGCCAGTTACGACCACATTCATAGGTTCGGTGAAGTCAGCTGGTGCAGCGGATCCAGCCTTGGAAGAAGGACTGGGCTGAGCAGATTTTGTTTTCTTGCCCTTGATTTTAGGAACGCTGGTGATTGGCTCGTCGTCTTCTGTGAAAGAAAGAGAGTCAGTAGCGGGTGTGGGGGATGAAGCTGCTGCTGCTGCTGCAGGATTGGAGTCCTTGGCTGGCTTGGATGAGCTCCTAGGACTGGCCTTAGGACTGGCTTTGGGTATAGCCATGGGAGAAGCGGCAGCTGTTTTGTCACTCTTCTCCTGACTCTCAAGCTCCTTTCGGGCCTTCTCGACTTCTGCTCGTCGTTTGTCAATCTCTTCAGGAAGCAGAGGAATGTTGCGTTTCTTATTCTGCAGCTGTTTCTGAAACACATTTAGATCTTCAATGTTTTTGTGAAGTTTGATGGCAGCAGACGACGCCGCGGCTCGTCGTGATCGAATTGGAGTGGTTTCGGTTTCGAGCAGAGACTTTCGGGACTTCTTGCTGGGTGTGGGGCCCTCGTCTTCTCCCCCAGATTCACTAAGACGCTTGTTTGCAGGAGAAGAATCAACCACGAGAGCAGGACTGGAGGGCTGACTCTTCTCATCCTTGATCTCCTGATTAGTCATGTAAAATTGCTTCAGGGTTTCAGCATCGAGCTTTTGCTGGCCCAGAACTTCAAAGATACCCTCAGAATGTCGTGGGAAATGGGTGTACTGAGGCAGTGACAAGCTCATCTCCTGCCATTTGGCGAAACACTCCTCAAGCCAAAGGTGGTTGATTACATGCACGTTCCAGAGTCGCGCTGCCTGGTATTTGCCTCCCTCCGGGACGCCAGCAACCAGAAAGTCGTTTGTAGTAGAGAAGTCACGCGTGTACTTTGCTCCAAGAGTCTCGATCAGCTCAATCAAGTATGCTCGTCCATCTCCATAGTAGTTAGTGATGGAAATGACCTTGTTCGTCAGACTAGGAACTCCTTCACGGGGGACAGGGTAATGCAAGAGTTTGTCCAAGGGGGAAGTCCATGTCTTGTTGGCCACCATATAATAAAGCCAGACGAGGTTACCTACCAACATGTGGGACCTAGATGCCCAGATGTATTCGTCTCCATCTCGGTATCGGCCGATGTACACAGTTGGCTTGGGTTCGGTGGAAAATGAGGTTGTAACCTGGCCACCACAGTCAATGATGATTTGCATGATGGTAGACTCCATTCGGGAAGACAGACAGAGATCGGATCCAATGTAGAAGGCGTGGTTCTGGAATAGTTGAGATTTTGGTTCCAAAGAAGAAATGATGAGCTCTGTCGATCCCTCCAGAGAGGTGTCTGATTCGATCTGGGCGCCTTCCAGGTTGGACTTGCCACGCATGAGTCGCTGGATGAAGTTGGGCACGTATTTCGACGAAGGAGGGAACGTGAAATCGAAGGGACCTTCTTTTCGAGATGAAACCACTACGGTCTTACAGGGTTCGACTTGTGAAGAAGGAGGGGGGGGCTTGGGCTTGTCAGAGTCTGCTCCTGAGGGCTCCACGATTTCTCCATTCTGATCCACCTCGAGATGCAACAAGTAAGGCGTGATGTCCAGTCGTCGTTTGAGCTTGAGACAGTCGTCCACCCACTGAGGAATGACAATGGGAATGTTGTTAGCGGCAGCAATCCGACATAGGCGGTGGTTGAGGTCGTATGCAATCACGTGTGTGACCATCTTGGTGAGCTCCTTGTTAACAATGCCTCCTAAAACAATGATTCCGGCCTTGAGAGCAGCCATGTCGCCTGGTCGCATGCCACAGATTGTCACAAACGCGTTGGAGAGCACGTTCTCCGGGTTTGGTGAGTGGGGTCGATCGGGGAGAGTGACACCCATCTTAACTGAGTCGTACACCCAGCTTGGCTTGACTACGGGCAGAAGCTCTCCTGCCAGAGTGTCAGATTCTTGCAAGTGCTGACTGTACATGGACGACACCACGTGGGTAGTGTCAGGCGGAATCGTGTCTGTAGTTTTCTGAGCCTGGGTGACTGTCGCTCCGTTGGAAGTGATGAACTTTTTGAAATCGTCCACATCCGCCACGTCCAAGTTGTCCAGGACAACGTGGATGTGGAGTAGATGGAAGACGCCCCGATTCGGCTGCTCGAGGCGCTGTGGGGTGGCGGTTGTGGCCATACTTGAGGTGTGTGGTGTGAATGTACTTGTAGTGTGTTGTGGTACGAGCTAATTAACGTGGAAAATAAAATCGAGTTCGCGACGCGATTCCACAAAGTTCAGTGGCGGAAACTGGAGAGTCGCGAGTAGTATAACAGATGTTTGGAATTTTATAATGGAAGGGGGGCATGAGAGTTGGAGACTGTTGGTTACGGTGTGTCTTTTTTGTGTGTTTATTTATTATGAATATTGTTCCAGAGATTAGTCCTCGTCGGTTATTCCTGGTAAAAAAATACGCTTCACAGGAAGCTGCATGAGGTGACAGAGTTGGCATGCTTCATACTTCTCCAGTGTGTGAGTTCGTACACTGGACGTTTCCGTTTCATCCATGCCCAACTACAGTATACGGAAAGCATGATACCAGTTGTTCATACTACAGTACTGTACTGTACAGTACCGAAGTATCTCTCGTTTGCTTGTTACCACAACAGAGCTTGATTTCCCAATGAGTGAACGAACTAGTCCGTATTGATACCACCGCGACTTCACTCACGCTCGCAGTTTGATTGATTCCAAGTGGCTACAAGTAGCCACTGCTATACTCGTTGCTACACGATCTTTGCTAAAAAGGAACAATCAATTTTGCACAATAAAACCAGGAAAAAAAAACACTACTTGGAGTAAACCCATAAAAGCCTAACTCTGACCTTTCTGCTCAGGTCGAGCCAGCTGCTGATGCTTGTCCTGGCCCAGCTGCTGTCGCGGAGCCTGCTCAACTCGGATTGATGGTCTGACTGTTGTTGCATCCGGAAGCAGCGCTCTCGGCGGCAATAGAATCTCCCACACGTTGTTGCCAGCATTGCAAGCAGGGAACTGCTGGTTATTGAAGTTGAGGTATCCCTGGTTGTTGACAGAGAAGCCCTTGGAGCCCATTTGGAGGTTGTCGGCGTTGGTTAGAGCAAGATTCTGGCTTTGGCCAGGAGTAGCAAACTGTCGGCGCTGAGTGTCAACGAGCTGATCCCTGTAGAAACCTGGTAAGAAGTCTGGGATCTGATGGCCTTGACCTCATACCCAGGTTGCTGGTCGGAGGAGGCAAGCAGTCTGCCGTTCTGGTTATATACCGGAGAGTAATGGATGTCTTCAGAGGGAGCAAAAACTCGGAGAATGACGTCGGGTTAATGTGCATGGCCGTTCTGTCGCACACCGTTTAGAGAAAGTCTGAAGGGGGTCTCGCAAGGGGCTTTGTTATTAAACGCCTGGTACATGTAGGAGTTCTTTCGCCCCTGGCCCTGCTGCTGAGTCTGCTGCTGCTGGGGTTGAACCTGCTACAGGTTTCGGTCCTGAGTCTGCTGCTGTCGGATATCTCACTTCTGCCGCTGGCTGTCCTGTCCCTACTGTCCCTGCTGGTCATGGCCCTGCGGTCCCTGCTGCTAAACGGGACAGGCAAAGAACTACTAGTTCTGGTTGAATTGCAGAGCAACATCAGACATGTCATCGTTTGGAGAAGAATACTCCCACTTGCCGGAACCCTGGGAGTGAGCTGCCCCCTTGCTGGTCAGCAGACAGGAACCAGTTTGGCTGCATAAATTGCTGGGCATTGGGGCTGGATCGAGAAAGATCAAGATTGCCCTTAGTGTCGTCGAAGAAGACCATGACATCAACCAGGGGCTGGCCGTTGGAAGAGGTGTGGCTCCGCTGGGTGCCATAGAATATGCTGGCCATCGGTGTACATGACTTGAGGTCCAAAGGCATTGGCCGTTCCTGGTTGGCCTGGAGTCGGTACATATAGTCAAACTAAGGCCACCAGTATGTAGTTGATCGCTGCCATCTAACTACCAGACTGCTGCATCTGGTTTCCGGTGTGCTGATGCTGGGCAAAGCCGAGAGTGACGATGGTAGCAATGGAGAATTTCATTTTGAGAAAGCTGAAAAGAAAAATGTAGTTGGAAAAGGTGGAGAAATTGAACGAACTGAAGAGTTGGTGCGGAATTGAGAAGGATTCGGGAGGGTATTTATCCGTTATCTACTCTTCTACAGTAAATGCAGTAAGGCTAGTTATACCCATGCAGTTACATCATGCCTTCCTGTTTAATGACGGGGAAGTAATATTCATGCATATATTCATTCAGTCAAGTTTTCACATGCCATAAGGATAATTAAAAAATCACCAATACAACACTGCTACCATTGAAAGTCACATTTAAATAATTAGTCATTACATAGTGGATACACAACGCTGCGAGGATATCACTTAGCTTACATGAGCAGAGAGGCAGCAGCCAGAGCTCCGGCCAAGAGAAGTGAAGACATACCGTTCGAGCCAGCGGTGTTGGCCTTTTCAGCAGCAGAGCCAGAGGCCTGGCCGAACTGTTGGAAGCCACCGTTTCCGGTGTTTGAAGCGGTGGCAGCGTTACCTTGAGGGTTTCGAGAAGAAGAGCCGGTGGCAGCTGCAGAACCGCTGTTGCCGCCGTTGTTGTTGTTGCCGCCGTTGTTGTTGCCAGAAGAGGCAGAAGCAGAGCTGGTCTCCTTGGAGGAAACTCGCTCACCAGAAACAACCTCGGTAGGGTCAGCGTCAGAAGAGGTGGACTCCTTGGAAGAAGTAGACTTCTTGATGGCGGAACCAGACACGTCCTCCAGGGACTCGGTAGAAGAAGCCACGGATGTGGTCTTCTTCGTGCTGGCTGCGACACCACCAGTGACGTTAGCAATGTTAGGGTCGTTGTCGGGGTGTTGCATCATACCGGTGGGAGCAGTTCCGTTCTTGGATCCGTCGTCCTTCTCAGGGTCAGCACCAGTAGCGTCGAAAGAAGCGAGGACAGTATCATCACCGGTAATCTCGACATCGGCCTCCATGGCGTTCAGGTCGGTGTATCGGTAAGACTTGTCTCCAGACTTCTTGGCAGAAGCGGGGGGATCGTAACAGTCGACATCGATCTCGGTGACAGTCGCGTAGTAGTATCCGTATTTCTGGATATCTTCAGCGTCCCAGTCAATCTCTCCTCCGGCCCAGGCAATGGTTCCCTCGGCGTTAGAGGCCTGTCCAGCGGGCCACAGAGACAGCTGGATTCGAGAGGGAGTCTGGGGGTACATGTAAGACTTGGTCTTTTCGTCCCAGGTATCGGACTTCTTGAGAACTCGACCAGGTTGGTCGTCAACAGCCCAGGTGATCTGGTCGGGAGTCCAGTCGATGGAGTAAGTGAAGAAATTCTCGTGAGTGTTATCGACAGAAATGTTTATTCCGTGAGTCCAGTCGAGCACTCCCTGCCAGTAGTAGTTGGTCTGAACAGTGTTGACATCGGCACCAACAAACTCGTAATCGATCTCATCCTTGACATCGGAGAAGAGAATGAAGGCCGAAACAACACCCTGCAGGTGAGAAGACTTGAAGGTTGCGGAAACCTTACCATACCACATGTAGTCGGTGGAGGAGAGCACGGTTCCGACAGAGTTCTTGGGCATGGTCAGAAGCAAACCGTTGTTCTGCTGAATCAAGTTACCGGTGTAGACCCAGTCGAAGTTCTCGGCGTCTCCGAGGTACTCAGTGTTCTTTGCGATTCGATCCATGGAAGTGAACTTGCTCTGTCGCTTCTTGCAGACGGGCATGGGCATACAGGACTTGAGCTCGAAGGAAGACTTGGGGTCACAGCCTCCGAGGCAGTAAGCGCCGGTACCACATTCACCGTACTGAGAGCAGCAGGGCTTGTCTTCGGGACAGTGGTTATCCACGTCACAGGAGATGGACTTGTAGTCATCAGCCACGGCAACCGCGGTCAGAGCGGCCAGTACCAAGGTAGAGAGTTTCATTTTGTACTGGGTGATGCAAACGAGTGTGTGTGGTGAGAGAGAGAAAAAAGGATGCAATCAGTTGGGAGATGGGGGGTCGGAATGAATTTGTACTTGGTTCCTCTCTCTGTGTGCAGGCTAGGAGTAAAAATAGCAGAGGTAGAAGCTTGAGTTTGTTTGGGTTTTTTAGTTCGACGCGTGGGTCGAGCACCTAAGACGGGACGATGTGAAGGAGTAATATGTGGGAGTAGGGGGTATCTGATTGGCATTATACCTGGAACTGGTCCAGATCGATAGAAATTTACGTGTATGAGGTGTGTTGATACTAACCTTGACCCCCTGTTAGGTGTTGGTCATACCTCAATTTACCCCCGTTTAGCCCCGTTAGACATTGACTTTTTGCATCTTTCCAAGCTGGGCATTGTGCGAGGTTGGCTCATTCATTTTGCTTTCGAGTAAAGTTGAGACGGGGTTTAAGGGGTTGCGGAGAGATTAGGGGCTGTACTGGGACTCATCGGGGAAAATTATTATAGAACAATGGTACAAACATTAAGATCAGCTGGCGGAATTCACCATTCCATTCGCTTTCAGTTCTCCAGCACGTCCCAATGGTACTGTACACTATTTTCCACCGCAGCACACATCTCAAATGACACTGGCCGAACCCTAAACCGTTCTCCCCAACTTTGTCTATTTGTCTGTTTCTCAAAATAGAACCTGCGGTCGCCCAATTAGCACTGGTCTAAGAGGACGGAAAGCGCGCCAGATCCCGGATATTGTAAGATGACAAAACAGCTTGGACACGCGCCGTAGGGGCTCCCTGACTACCCAGCAACTCATTCCACGATAGTATTTGCGGCATCCCCTCATGCACCAATCCGTCACAACAACACCATGGAGACATACGATATGTGCGTTGAAAGCAAATCTGGCAGGCGACACCAAGCGGGAAAGGGAGCACAGGCACGATGAAAAGGAACCAGCCAAAGCGAAGTGAAGTGTAAGTGAAATTTAAAATCGGGGGAAAATCGACCTTTGCCTTCATTAAAGACGCTTCGGGGTCTGATGCAGTAGCAAGCAACCGTTTATGAAGTCGCGCTATAATGTGTACCATTTGTTGTATGGCTCCCACCACGCGACCCTGTTGTACTTCGCGTCTCCATAACAACGGTTACTCTCCTTCCTCCCACTTCTTTGTCTGGTAAGCGTGTGACAATTGTGAAATGATCCTGTATGAGCACTTTTCGGGCTTCCCTAACCCAACATAGAAGGTGTCAATCAGAGGAAATCTGAACACGTGATAGGCGCGGCCATGCAGGGATGTGGCACATCCCGAGTTTGTGGTGTTTTTAATTCGCCAAAATGAGGTATAATTGAAAACAGCATTCGGGGCCCTGTACAGTACGAGTCACACGGTTCTTGGGTCATTAAATCCCAAATGAGCCCTCTCGATGAATGTGTACCCGCCCGAGGTGTCAGTGTCTTTTCGGGTTGTGTGAATCTCACAACAACTAGTGGCTCATCTGCCCAATCATATTGTACCTCTTGGCAATTTAACACTGGAATGTATATACGATACAACGCATAATATATCCATGTGCAACTCATCAAGCGCGTACAAGGCGTACCTGGGACGGATGTGGAGATTGTACAAGAACAATGCTCGTCGCACGCTCGTACAAGATTTAGACATCCGAGACAGCGCCCTGAAGAGCCGTAGAAAGAGAGCTTTTGGGTTGAAGGCTGGACGTATGTGCCTGGCTCGATCTGGCTTCCGACACTATACATACTGTGTTTCAGTTTCAGAACATGTTCCAAGCATTTCGAGGCTGTGCACTGGTAGGAAAGTGCAATGAAACAATACAATACTGTAGAAATGCATCCCAATATGGTTCCATGTGATGAGACAGTATGTTTTGAAGATTGGGAACAAAACATATAGAAGGGGGTATATTCAACAAGCAGGGGAATAGCAGTAAATAACTGGTAGCGCCCGCCAATGTCTAGTTATTCCGCCTCTTTTGACACCAACCGTATTCACTTGAAAGCAACGGTCGAATCATAGCCGCCGTTAGAACACAAACCCGAGAGGCTCGAAGACATTGTCCGAAATTGATGATATTTCCAGTACAGTATCTCTGAGTTATTAGAAGCAAGTGTACACTGTACTTATACCCGTGCTGGTTCAAACACGATACAATGGTCTGGAAAAACAAACGATGACTTCAGAGATGTATGAATAGTAAAAGAGGCGCCGAATGGTGTTCGAACAGACGGCCGAGTGCCGTTTCAGGGTACTGACCAATATCGTAGTTTGGGTATCATTGAATAGTTTTTCTGAAGGAAGCACTCGTATAGGAAGCACTCGTATAGGAAGCACTCGTATAGGAAGCACTCGTATAGGAAGCACTCGTATATAAGTGGCAGCTGTTGCTCGCGAGTCGCATTGAAGAAAGATATCCAGATGCTTTGGGGTATCCCAGTTCGTATCGGGACTGGTATTGTAGTTTCTTGCCGTTATATAAATGGCCAACCCTACGTACAGTAAGTTGACCCTTCAGTATGATTATGTCAATCCGTATTGCAGTTCCACAATTACATGCAATACATTCCACTCGTGCAGTATTTGTAACAGTAGTACCGGTACTCGTAAATGTACAGTACATACTGTACGTCTGAAGTCGTAGTCGTTGAGTACCTCACCGGCCACCAGTCTTCCCACGACTAACACTTCCACTAAACTCACTGTTAGAACTAGGCATTTGAACCCGAATGTGGATTGAAACGGCTGCCTACCCACCGCTTATGTATAGGTTCACTAGAAACACATCCCCAGTATGCCATAATTACAGCTGCTGTCCCATAGAGTACAAGTACAAGTAGTATTGTGCTGGCTGTACTGGTTATTGCATTCACGATGCACATAAGTCAGAAGCGAGAGTGTAGATCTTTGGGAATTGTTCCCGAGTTGTTAAAGAAATCACCGTATCGTACAGTTGAATATTCGTACTCTTCTTTTATAGTATTACAGTATGTACTGTATTTTGATGATTTTACCACGGAAGAACTTCCACTTCCACCTGTAATTGTTGCCCAAGGCCATTGGATGCCACAGGTAGAAGCTTGTGAGGCCCCACATTATTACTGTACGATACTACAGCCTGCTTGTACAAGGAGGTTTAAACACCCAGTCTTCATGAGATTAGTCATACGCACGGCTTTCAAAGAGGATTCCGCGGAAGAGCAGAAATAACAACCTCGCAAGCCCGTCAGAACTCTGAGACACTCCCATGACCCGCAACCCCATCCCATAGCTACAAACACGTACAGTAGCGGCTATTATTTCATTTGAGCATGCCAAGAGTTCCATCATGAAAGAGGAGACTCATGAGATGCACGCATTGCGGGTGGGGGGACGTCCTTTGGTCTGGAGTGGATGGTCAGATACATATGAAATGATTTAGAGAGTAACAACAACGGCACTAGAATAGCAAGCAGTAAGTCTTAGATTGTAATATTGTAATACTTACTGCCCATACACTACTCGATGCCACGGCTGTACCCCCTTACTCGTTAGTCTCACACTACCCCCACACTTTCGGCGTGGATTCGGAACGATAACAAAGGGTGATGTATGGATAATGTCATGGAGCTTGAGGTTGGAGAAATAGCAGGAAAACGGTGTTACCTTATGTTGGGCTCGCTTTTCACCTTAGCTCGGGGATTGAACCCCCTTTCTTTCGTGTTCCTACACGGCTCGTAAGATAGACGAGCCTTCAGCCGCATGGCTATCAAGACAGGAGACTATAAGAATACCGCACCATATACAGGCGTGTCAACCTCACAACGTATGTGAAAGAACTCGAAGTTTGTGTGCAGTGACACTAACCAGCTCAAACATGCGCCGTTTTAAATATCCAGCTAAAACCTGCTTTGTGCCCCGTCCTTTTTACAACTGTACTTGCATGTATATCATACGGCTAAAGAGAAAAGTCAAACTGCAGCAACATGTGTGTGGGGTAAAGGATATGAGTCAGTCAGATAACAACATATATGTAGTGGTGAATGGACGTGGGGGCACAACTTTTGATCTCGACAACAAGAAAAAGCACACAACATGTCTGCAGACCCAATAGGTGAGAAAACCACTTACGTGGTCGGACCAGACGACACCGTCGTGGAATACGATGTTGAAGCAGGAGTCATCGATGATACAGATACATGCTCATCGCCAACTACAGCACCACTCCCAACAGTGAAGTTGGGAGCTCAAATTGGAGAAGCGGATCAGGAAGAGTTCCCTGAGGGAGGACGAGGATGGCTCGTGGTGGCCGGAACTTCATGTGCTCTCAACACGGGTTTTGGTATGGTCAATGCGTTCGGCATCTACATGACATATTATGGCCAGGAGATGTTCCCCAACACTTCATCAAGCACAATGTCTCTGATCGGAGGCCTCCAGGTGTCTTTAGTGTATTTCTCTAGTATCCCCGTAAGAATGCTCATAAACAAGCTTGGTGTACAGCCTGTTCTGGCCATCGGTGGCTTTCTTATTGTGCTCTCTCTTATGATGACTTCAATTTCTACCCAAGTCTGGCATTTATTCTTGGCCCAGGGTGTCACTTTTGGTCTGGGGGCAGGATGCTGTTACCTGCCTGCAGTGTCTGTCCCATCGGAGTACTTCAAGAAGAAACGAGCACTGGCCCTTGGAGTCACCGCTGCTGGCTCCTCAGTTGGGGGTGTCATCTGGCCTATTGCCATCAAGAGGCTGTTTGCAACTGTGGGATTTGCATGGACCAACCGCATAATTGGCTTCATTTTCATCCCAGTCTTGACCTTCATGGTCTGGGCTACGAAGCCTCGTTTGGCACACTCAAAACAAAAGGTCTCATTTGAGCTGCTCAAAAACTGGCGCTTTCTGGTTCTGTGTGCAGCCCAAATGGTAGGCATGTTTGGCGTTTTCCCTGCCCTCTTTTATGTGGACACCTATGGAGAACGACTCGGAAACCTGCCGCCAAGTGTGCTCAACTACTCTGTGGCTATTCTAAACGCATCTTCAGTGCTCGGAAGAATTGGCCCCGCATATCTGGCTGACAGAATAGGCCGCCTCAACGTCTTGACACCTTTTGTGTGTATGACAGGTCTCTTTCCCCTCGTTTTTTGGTTGCCTTCACGTGGAGAATCACTATTTGTTCTCTTTCTTGTAACGTGGGGAATAGCTTCTGGATGCTTTATCTCCATGTTTCCATCTTGCGTTGGACAGTTGTTCGGTGTCAAACATACACTCTCGGGTATAGCCCTTCTCAACATGGCTGGTGCGCCTGGAGCTCTAGCCGGAGGAGCTATTGGAGGCAAGTTCTTACCTCTGCCAGATCTTGCCCAGGGTATAGAAGGATTCACCGGGCTGATTGTCTTTTCAGGAGTGGTCATGCTGGTATCCTCACTCATCTTGCTCAGCTTGCGTCTATCAATCTCATTTAAACCATCTGCATTTATTTAATTTAATTCACCTTTAGTACACAACCAGAGTTGGCGGTCTTTCTGGGCTTCCTCAATCTACAGTAGGTCAGCGGCATTTTTGTGGGCTAGGCTGTAAAAACAGATGTTTTCGGATTGTTAGGGATTTGGTTGGGTGTAAGCAATAACAGAGGAAAGGGTTCAGTACAACGGTATCTCAATCTCCCCCTTATTTTTCCAAGCCCAGGTCTTTTTATCTTCTCCACTCCACTTTCAGCACTTCCAGTTTTATCAGGTGTGGGTATAGCAACTGTAGCAGCGAAATCCCTGGCTTCTAATTGCTTTGATGAACCCCCTAAAAATACATTTAGATGAAGTTAGTAACATTAGCGCAGATCGATGCTAGAATATATATAACATGTTGCAAGAACACTCAGAGATGTTGTTACCGTCATCAAACAACTGTTAACAATGCTTACTCCCGACATTCTGTTGAGCGTGGCCCTGAATCTGGATCTGATTGATGTTCTCTCTCTGACCCAGGTAAGTAGAGCTTTCCGAGCGGTTATCCCCGAATCACTAATACGAGACCTATTGCACGATAAGTGTCCATACTATGACTTACAAAATTCCCCGCATGATTCGTGGAAGGCCTGTGCTGGAAACTATCTGAGAGCTCAAATTCGACCTACCCCAGACAAGATATGGGAGGGATTCGACGAGCTTTGCAGTACAGACGTCCCCCTACCAAGCGACTTTTTGTGCCTATGCAAGCCTTCCAACATTGCCTTCAAATGGTCTTTCTGCAATACAGGCATTTCATTTGGACCTCGAATGCTGGATCTCACTGAGTCTCCCTCTCCCCGTAAACGGACTCCTCCTCCTGGGGAATACTTTCAGAAGTGCGGTGTGTTTGACGGTCAAGAAGCATCTGTTCTCAAACGATGCGGGATTACAATGTGGATGTTAGGCGAGGTGGTGGAGCTCCAGTCTTCTCCCCAAGTTATGGCAGCCATTGTCTTGTATGACCGGCTCAAGTTTGCACTGCTGATAAAACACAAGGTGTCTAAATGGGAAACCCCAGAACCAGACCATATAATGGAACTTGAGGGACTTTATGCGCCGTTCAGAATCCAGCTTGTGGGCAAACAGGTGTTTGTCATGGCCGCTGCTGATGGAACAGAAACAGCCGTCACCGTCCAACGGGGAGAAGACCTCATTCGCCTGGAACATAGCCACTCCAGAAAGTACCAGCCTATTGGACTCACTTGTTATGATGGCAAAACAACCATTGTTGACATGGCCAGCGTTTTGGAAACAGATGTCGAAGTTCATGAGTTTCTCTGGAAACTGAATCCTTACAAGTTCACTACCCGATTCATGACCGTGGTCCAAGACGAAAACAAACCGCAATACGCAGTGGTATACCGTCGACCAGGTTTGGCAACTACATTGCTGAACTTGGAAACAAGAGAGGCAAAGGTCTTAATGCCAAAGTCAAGAACGGGCGTCTTTCCAGACTACTTTACTCCAGAAACATATTTCCTCATGGTGGGAATGTCTAAGGGAAGACTTGCTGTCTTTAAATACACCAGGAAGTACCTCCACCGACTCTATAAAAACCAGCATGGTCTGAATCTCCCCGACAGCTTGGCCACTTGTTTATCGGAAACTCCAAAGATGCCTTTGTTTGAAGCTCTCATGAATATGAGACCGCAAGAGTCTGGAACGGTCCCTCTTCTCAGAATTGTGAACGAAAGGAACAGGTTCAACGAACAGAACAGATTCCATAGCCACACCTTTGCCTATGGCTTCACAACCGAAGGCAATTCGAGAGGTCGCGCTTATGGAATCGACTCGTATAAAGCTGAAGGAAAGGGAGACGTTCCGAGCGCTCAGATGCAATAGTCGTCCAGCTAATGTGGATTCAAAAACAACCCCAACAGTAATCTTGAAAATTTGAACGGATCAATCTGAACACTCTTGCTCCAGGTCATTCTTCTAACGCACATCCCCAGAGTCTAGAGGGAGTTGTGTTGTGAACATCCTAATAAACAATGCAATGGATTCGGGATATCTTCTGTCTCGCCCCCTACTCGATGTCGAGTAAACCGATCACCAACTAACAATACTCCTCCGCGTTCTGCCATTGACTCTCAAACAGACATCGCTATCAACGGAACAGCATATTTTAGCTTCTTAGGACGAATAAATATTGATACCGGCTCTCCCTCGGTATATTAAGCAATCCATTCATACACTCATTCATCAGGTTAATTTTATATATATAATTTGTCTATTCAAACACCGTAAATTACTGGTACCATCATCTCCTCCTTTTCAAATACACGTCTATTTGCATTAATGAAATTACTCGCCAATTCGCAGAACGTGTTTGTCGAACAGAGCCTTAGCTCGGGTCCAGACAGGAGCAGTGTCTCGCTGAGGAAGCTGCAGGAGAGAAGGCAGCAGAGCCTCAGAAAAGGCCTCGGAAGCCTCTCGCGGCAGAAGAGAGGGCAGGTGGTCGATCGAGCACACGGACAGCTTGGGGCCAGCAGTGGTCTCAACAGGCACGGTGGGATGGTCGAACGTGGTAGCAATTGTGTACACGGGGACAGGGTTGTGGGGGTTGGTGGTGTCAGCAGAGACGTCGACAATGACACTGAGCTTTCGGGTCTCCTTGTTGAGCAGATCGTAGTTGATGAAAGGAGGAATGGGCTGAGACAGGTAGATGCAGTTGATGAAGATATCCGCGTCAGCAATCTCTTGGAAGGGTCCACCCTTCTTGGTCTCGTTCATGTCCCATCGAATGATGTTCTCTTCGGGGATACCGACCTTTCGGGCCAGATCAATGGCACCGGATCCACATCGGCCAAGAGCACCAATCACCAGGACGGTAGGGAGCTTGGAGCCCTTCTCAACAGCAGCGGCAAGATCCTTCTTAATCTTGTCGACAAGCTCGGTCTCATTGGGATAGGCAGAGACACCGGGCAGGTTTTCGCTGTCGGGGTGGGTCTGCTGGAAGGCCCAAGTCTCGACACCGATGGCGGCACCGGCGAATCCAGCGTGGAAGCCAAAGGCGGCAACTCGTCGTCCATTGTCATCCTCCAGGAACTCAAGGTCGTACAGAGTTCCGTTTCCTGCGGGGAATCGGCTCAGAACGTCCTTCCATCCGCCCTGATCCTTGTAGCAGTGAGCAAACTGGATGTGCTCGTGAGACAGAGGGAAAGATTCCTCAGGCAGCTCCTTAAGACCAATAATCATTCGGTCCTCGGGGGCAGAGACCCAAGAGCCCTCCTCGACAAGAGTGGCTCCGACATCGACAAACTCCTGGTCGTCGAAGATTCGAAGGGGAGACTTCTCCACAAAGACCTCGAATCCAGCATCAAGCAGCTTTCGGGTGGTAGTAGGCGTGAGAGCAGATCGGTGCTCGAGAGGCTTGGTCTCGGCTCGGAGATGGAGCTTCACTGGTGCGGTCATTGTGTCTGTGTTGTTGTATGTGGTGAAGTGACAATGGATGGTGTGTCGTATCAGGCTGGGGAACAATTGTGCTTAAGTATGCTGCAGTTGAGTAAGAGTCATCGATCCACCAAAATAAAGTTTGCCATTAGGGTTGGAGAGAGAGATGGTGGCTGGAAGAATTAAATGACATCAAGCTGAGGATTGTGGGTGTGCAATAACACATGTTAGGGGTGACCTGTGGCTCGAAATCTGATAATTATTTTGTAACTTTATGATTATTCTTAGATTTTTTAATATTCCTCTATATAACACATAAGTAGCTGTCGTCTAGTTGTTCATAGCCTGACTCCTGCAATAGATTAGTGCAGAGTGATTTTGTGCAATTGAGAGCCACGGTTGAGTCAAGTGACTTTGTGTGTGAAGTCATCTTACGTTTCAAGTCTCACAGGTTACTCAATTGGTTGGTTGTCTGCCCTTTACAGATATTTACAGTACCTGAGCGTAAAGTCGTTCATCCACGGAATGACTGTTCCTGTCACGCAGTCATGATCATGGATGTGGCTGGTCAGGAACCATTTTGGATAGGAGACTTAGGGATTGGACTATTATTGAAAAAACTGAGCCGAATATGATATAGTTCTATTTGAATGCAGAACTTCTGATGGTCAATTCACTTATTTCAGGCATATCGGTCATGGGTGGCAGCTGCCACGATGTTATCTCGTTGGAAACCTCGTCCGCCATTAACCGAACATGCTTCTAGAAGATGAGAATACAGCATGTACTTGTACAAGATTCTCGGCATTGATGGTCTCAGGCATGCGTTCCTTATGTGCTTAGTAAGGGTTTTGGAAGTTCTAAACCCCTGTAAGAGGCAAGCATCGAGCAAAGACTATGACTAGATTTGGTTGGTGATGTACCATGATGCTCATTGTGAGAAGGAAACAACAATCCATGAAACAACCATCCATGAAACATCCAGGTTGTAGCCTACCATACTATGTATCTTGTTGTTTTGTCAACTAAGAAAAACCATATTGTCGATGAACAGGCTGGTAGCATGAAATAAATCACGTCATCATCTCCCTCGCACATCTTTCATGAACATCAGAAACTATCATATCTTCAGAAGCGTGGGTTTAGCACTACTTGTAGATATCTCTTCAACAGTACTCGTACCGAACATCCATCCGCGCACGCATACTTTAGTTCTTGTCCCAAGCCATCTACAGTATGGTTCTGCTATGCACCAACTCTAATAATTCACCAGCATCACCAACTACACTTCTCTACACATTCACCACCACACATCACATAACATGCCTGTGACTCGACGATCACTTCACCGGCAATCGGTCATGCGATCGGCCGGTGCCTCTACTTACGCCAACGACACAGATTCAAAGGTGGTCCACTGGGTCCGACAATGGGTATCTCCTCAACAGTCACCAAACGTGGTGTCTGCTCCATCTGAAAAGCGAGCACAGACCCCTGCTGACGCCGAGAAGGGCACCCCCGCGTCTACCCCTGTGTCGCTGTCGAACCTCAACTTCAAGGTCAAGCAATGGATTCCTGATCCCGACCAGGAGGCTCATGTCGCTTTCAAGTACGGCTCCACAGACGACGTGATTGCATTCGTGACTGAGGTGCACGCTCCCCCGGAGGTCAAGAACGACAATGATCTAACTGCGTCGGATATTCGAGGCGCCGTGGGAGGCGAGGCCATTCCTGGAATGACTACCATGGACAAGCAGGGTGACGAGGAGAAGCCCGCTGAGGAGAAGCCCGCTGAGCCTGCTGCTGCCACCGCTGAAGAAGCTCTCAACAACACCACCATCCCCGAGGCCAAAATTGAGGTCGACTCTTCCGAGATGGTGGTGGATGCTCCCGAGCCTACTTCTGATGCCGCTGCTGATGCCGCTGCTGATGCCGCTGCTGATGCCGCTGCTGATGCCGCTGCTGATGCTGCTCCTGCTGCCGTCGCCACTGAGATTACTACCACCACCACTACCACCACTACAGATGATGCTATGGATGTGGATTTGCCTGCCACAGAGGCTGTTATCGAGACCAAGGAGGAAGTTGTTGTGCCTGAGCCTGACGCCGAGATCGCGCCTGCTGAGGCTACCCCTGCTTCTGAGCCTACTATTTCTTCTGAGCCTGCTATGTCCTCTGAGCCTGCTGCTTCGGAACCCGCCCCCGTCGAAGCTCTCAAGTCTACTGTCGGGGCTACCGAGACTACCGTCACTGCTGTCCCCACGGAGGCACCAGCTGCTGTCGAGCCTGTTGTTGAGGCCCCCATTGAGCCCGTTCCGGAGGTCGTCCCCGTGGTTGCCGAGGTTGCTGAGACCGTTGAGCCTGTTAAGACTGAGCCCGCTCCCGCTGAGCCCGATACTGCCACTGACGCCGCTCCCGTTCCTGAGACTGCTGCTCCCGCTGTAGCCGCCGAGTCTACCACCGAGTCGGCCGATGTGGAGATGAAGGACGCTTAAACAGACTGGGAGACAAATCCGTATTTATTGTACAATATTGAATCATGTTATTTTACCTACTGTACTGTAGCTTGTAGTATATACCGCCATCAAAATATTGCTTCCTTGTGCCATAGTTGCTGTGAAATGCATTTTCTATCTATAGTTTCTATCTTTATATCCCCATTCATTACCCCGTTACTCTTCCTCGTCATCAGGTTTAATCTTGATGAATGACAAGCCAGTTCTAGCCTTTCGGGCGGCCTTCTTCAGCTTTTGAACTTCAACATCCGTCCACTGGATACTCAGCTCGTCCCACTTCTTCACCTTGAACTCCTGGTTGAAGTCATGTTTCTGCTGACGCAGCGTAAGCATGTCCAAAGGATCACCCGAGCCAGAAAACACGATCAGAGCCGTCCGCTTAGGAAGAGCATCGTAGATGGACTGTAATTGCTTGTTCAGCTCCACCATTGTATCATTCAATCTGGCAGGATAGGTTGTAGGATCGGTAGTGTCGAACCTTTCTTCCTCCTCTCTCTCTTCCGTCTTCTGATCCTTCTTCTCTTCATTTTTATCCTCGGACTTCTCATCTCCATCATCCCCCTCCTTGTCATGCTTCATTGGCTTTTTCTTTCTGTTCCATCCCAGCTCATACTCGAGCTTCTTGAATCGACCCCAACAGAAATCGTACGAGTCCAAGTTGTCCACCAGACCGGTACAGACGTCTGCGTCCTTCTCGCACGAAATAGACTTGGTAGCGTTACCTTGGGTCCATTGAGGGTTACCAAAGTCCACAACTAGCGCCTTTCGAGGAGCGGCTTGGTCTCTGAATGTAGACTCCACAATCTTTCCCATGGTGCTCTCACCTGAAGGACCAATGACACCAAACTTTGGGCCACGTTTGAGCTTCTCCTTAATCAGTTCAATGCAAGTTCGTGCGTCCTCTGAAGAATCATGACCTGAAGTACCGTTCTGAATGGACTTCTTGAGGTACTTCGTGGCCAACCACTTGAGAGAACACTTGAAAGTTGCTCCTCGAGGATGATCAAAGACAATGGATGTGTCGATGACCAGAGGATGACGCAGCTTCAACACACCCAAATCGCTCTCGAGAGAGTGACCCACCAGAATGTCTTGAGTCTTAATCAGCTTGGTCAGATCGTCCTGAACGTCTGCCAAAGTGGTAGTGACAGGATCCAGCATCTCCTTCGTGATTCCTGACCACTGGGTGAGATAGTCGGTGATGGGTTCGTCGGGTTTCACCAGTTTGTCGTAGATAGTGTCACCGTTGTAGTCAACCACAGTGGCTCTGGTAACCACAGGTCCACTTGCAGTAGCGCACATCTCACAATCGAGTCCAAGAATCGTGTTGCCTCTTTTTTTGATGCTCGGTCCTTTTTGGGTGTCTCTCCATCCGTCTTCCAAAGGCAGACTCTTGCCTGAGACGTCTGGATGCAAGGGGTAGAAGTTGTCTTTCATCTGATCGTAAGTCATGATCAGCTCCAGGGCCTCCATAGTCTGGTACTTGTTCTGCCGAGCCTTATCCATCTCCTTCTTCTTACTCTTAGACATTGGACTCAATGCAAAGGCTGTTATGGGGGAATGTAATGAATCATTTGTGCCTGGAGCCATAGTGGGCCATAGGAACTCAAACGTTTCGAAAAAGGACAACTGAGGAACAGGCTTGAATTCCATGGGAGACTTTCGGTCCAAAAAGCCCTCGGCTCCAAACATTTCGGGAAGAAGTCCAGGAATCATGAGAGTGACGATCTTTACCACTCCTCCAGGGTTCTTGATAGACATGAAAGTAGGAACCACCGTGTTCTGAACGCCACACAGATGAAGAACCAGATCTCGCAGATTGGAAATAGAAATGGCGTTGTCCACAAAAGACGGAATCACCGTCAGTGTAGGCTCGGCCTTGTGTTTCTTTTTGACGGGCTTAACTCTGCCCTCTCCAAATACCTGTGTCTCAGACTCATTTCGTTTTCGTTTGAGGCTCTTCGTGTCTGAGTTGGTGATAGGGTTATTCAAGTCCATATTGGTGTCCAGTTTTGCTTTCTCGGCCTCCAGGGCCTTGTTGTCGGTCATAGCGAGTGTCGTTATATCCCGTCGTCATCAGAATACGATTTATATTTATGCACTGCAGCTAAAAATTATAGAGTTTTACCAAGTCACGTGTTGGTTTTTGAGGGGTGTTCTCTTGGAGTATTCAATGTGAGGCTACAACGTGGAGCTTCTGACAGTCTATTCATTCCCTGTATATGTTTCCATTTTTCTCATGTGATTCATGTTTGATTGCTCTGACACCCTTCATTGTGTGGTACTCAGTATTTGTTTACAAGAAGCTTAATAGTCGTCTGTATGCATACCTCAGAGTATACTGGATAGGTAAATCGACACAATCACGAACACGAATCATTAGCCAGCTACTGATTGCTAAAATGGACAAGACGAATGACATGATACGAACGCCGGTCATCGGTAACGACACTAAGGACCATCAGCACGTCCATCTTCTCAACACCAAGCCTCCGTTGTTGGCAGGGTTTCGAAAGAAGCTGAGTCAGAGCCCTCGATCCTCCACGTTGGCGATTTCTCCAGCAGTACACCAATACAACTCGCATGGCTTTGATACCGACACTAGCTTTGAATCACCTGTTGGTGGCGCTCCAGGAGGTGGAGATTCGCTGTTCATGTCGCCAGATCGAGACTCCTCATCTAAGAGTGGGTCGGCTTCCAAGGAGTCTGGAAAACAGAACATCTCACAGGCTGAGCGTCTGAGACTGTGGAGACATGACGCCTATCTTCAGCATCATTACAAGACTGCAGAGTTCATCGGAGACAAGGTGCTGAGTCTTACTAAGGACCCCAATGATGCGTTCTGGCTTGCTCAAGTACATTACTCAACAGGTCAATATGCTAGAGCACGCCAACTCCTATCGGAAGACCGGCTGTCAGAAAGTGTGTCATGCCGCTACTTGGCGGCTCTGTGTCTAACCAAGATGGAGAGATGGGAGGAGGCCCTGCAATTGGTGGGTGACTCTAACCCGTTCACTTCTAGTGTGTTTCACAGCGTGAAGAGCCAGGACCACGGGATTAAGTTGGAGGCTTCTATGTGCTACTTGCGTGGCCAAATTTACTCTAACCAAAATTGTTTCGACAAGGCTCGAGACTGCTACAGAGAGGCTGTGTTGGTGGACCCCAAGTGCTTCGAGGCGTTTGATGAACTCGTCTCCAACCATCTCCTGTCACCTGAGGAGGAGTGGGATCTGTTGACCAGTCTGCAATTCAACGAGCTCGACGACAATGCTGACTTCGTCAAGTCCCTCTACACCATCAGAATCAGCAAATACCTGCATTCCGACAAGATCACCGATGCCGAGGCCCTGCTGGCAGAGGACTACTCATTGGACGCCAACGGCGATATTCTACAAAGCCGGGCTGATCTACTCTTTCTTCAATGCGCCTTTTCCGAATGCATGGCTGTCTGCGAGAAGATCATGGCTCTGGACGCCTACAAGCTGGCAGCCCTGCCCAACTACGTCGCGTGTTTGCATGAACTGGGCGGGAAAAACAAACTGTTCTTAGTGGCGCACCAAATGGCCGATCAGCATCCCGATGAGCCGGTTACCTGGCTCTCGGTCGCCATGTATTATCTCTCTACTAACCGCATTTCTCTAGCTAGAAGATATTTTTCCAAGGCGTCCATGATGTCCCCCAACTTTGTGCAGGCTTGGATTGGCTTCGCACACACATTTGCCATCGAGGGCGAGCACGAACAAGCCATCAGTGCTTACTCCACCGCAGCAAGACTGTTCCTGGGTTCCCATTTACCCTCTCTCTACTTAGGCATGCAGCATCTTCATCTGAACAACTTTAATTTGGCTGAGGAGTACCTGGAATCGTCGTTCAACATTTGCAAATCGGATCCTCTGCTGCTCAACGAGATTGGAGTAACACATTACCACAAGTCCAACTTCTCGCGTGCGGAGGCATTCTTCCTGGACGCGCTCCGGGCCTCGGAAGTGATCAAAAGCGAACCTCAGGCTTGGCTCTCCATTCATGCCAATCTGGGCCACGTGTATAGACGTACTCGTCAGTTTGCCAAGAGTTTGGAGCATTTCGAGGACGTGCTGTGCTCAAATCCTACAGATCATAATGTCCAGTCTGCAGTAGGATTGGTGCATCTTCAAATGGGCAATATCTCCGAGGCAATCAACTACTTCCACAAGGCGCTCTCTATTGTTCCTGCTGATCCTGTGGCCACCGATCTTCTTGGACGAGCAATGGAAGAGAACGTCAAGAGAGGTATTGGTGTGCTTGCCCCCTCGTCTCCCGATGTTAGCCGAATCAATACTAGCAATATTATCATTCCCGGAGGTACCCCCAAGCCTCTCGTTTTTCCAGATCCAGATGCTCCTTCTTCCCCATCCATGTTCTACAATGATGATTCCCACGCAAGCATGGACATATCAGAATGATCATAATGCATCCAAAAAGAAATGTAACATACAGTAATACCAATTTAATAGCTATAAGGTAAGCAAATGTACAATATTTAGGTATGTATCACATTAGAATGCCTTCGACGACATTATGCATTGTCACTATTTTGTTCTTCCCTGTTGTCGTCGAGAATGTTGTGGAAGAAGTTTGTGAGCTTTTCCATCTCGTGGGGGTCAAACGGCTGTGCGTTAGGGTCCTCCTCTTGCTCCAGACTCCTATCAAAGGACCTGTCCGCGGTGTTTGCTTCTTCCTGCTTCAGCATGAGTTCTCGCTGTTTCAGCTTGCGTGCCACAGCCTCGGTACTTTGGATCTGGATGCCTCCAATGTTCGCCTCAAGAGGTCCTGTCAGTTCCGTAAGATCTCCTTGTGTCTCATCAGGTGGTGCCTCTGACACAGACTTTTTCCTCGACTCCATAATGGAGTAGTTTTCTTGCAGCACACTCTGGTAGTCCATGGGTTGGACCTGGAGGTCGCTTTCTATGACTTGCTCTTGTGAGGACGAGGCTACCACTGGGAATCGGCTAGTGTAGGAAGTAAAGTCCATGGTGTCGTTATTAGACTGGTTGGACCATTGTTCAGACACATTATGGCACTCGAACTTTTCATCAATAACCCGTATTTTCGCCCACGAGTCCCAGCCCTGTGGAATGATTGTGGCAGTTCTGTTTGACGGATCAGCTTCAATCTTGCCATCTTGCAAAGGGAAGTTGAGCAACAGAGGGAACAACTTTCCGAGCGCTTCCAACGCTACCTTTTGTTGTGAGACTGTCGCAAATGTGGCTCCGTACTTGAGCAGCACTGTTCGGATGTATTGGTGGATGAAATCAAATGTAGTGTCTGAATACTGCTTTTCGTTTTCAAGGGTCGTCATGTCATTAGACTGCATAGCCAGAAACATGAGCGACGCGGGTATCGGTGTGTCCATAGTACCTTCCTCCATGTCCTTGACTCTCGCCCGAATGCTAGAAATGCATGCCTCTCTGTGGGGCTCGCTCAATCCGTCTGCCACCCTTTGAATGAAATGTAGGTTCCGCAGAATGTCAGCTGGCCACGTTTGTGGGTCACGCGACCATGAACCCAGCACAACAAACAGAACGTCATCTGCAAACGTGGTCTCCAGACTCTCGTCCCTATCCTGTAAAAAGCCGGATAATGCCGATTGTAGTGTCTTGTCGGCAAACTCGATGGCGATGTCGTTATCCGGCACTGAATGAACCTCCAGGCGAACTGTGCATTCGCCCGTATCTTCGTCGGAAAAATCAATGTACCCATAGCCCAGAATGCCTGTCTGGAAGCTTTGTGAAGAGGAAGTGGACGGAGAGGCTGCTATGCTGTCGAAAATGCTGACGTGGTCGTCCGGAGAGCCGCCCAGAAGCACCAGTGCACGGGCTGCTGTGCCCCTCTCGGCCTTGATGCCCTGTAGAAGACTCTGCCAAATGTTTTCTGCCATTGCTGAGTCCTGCTTGCCAGAGGCTGTTTGTTGTGATTACGCGTGTTTCGTGTGGAATTATTAAGGTTGGCGATCATGCTGGGACACTCCAAGATAGTGTTGGGTTAGATGAGACGCAACTAATACTGTTTATACAAGTACAAATTCTTGTAATGATACGTATCGTACTTGTAGAGAAGAAGTATAAGGAGGCTGATGACAGTTGCTGGTGAACACATGTTTATAAATAATATTACTGGGTAACAGGCGCTGTGTCCGTACTATCATGGGTGCAGTGTAGCTAGGCTATTTTGTGATGAAACCCGGGCCACGGCAATAATAATGTCAGGTAATAAATAGACCCACTCCATGTTACTGGAGCAAGTATCCATCCTTCCAGATGGCTCACGAATTGGCAGCGACCATGTAACCATCATCGATCCAACTAGGAGACCAATACTGTGTCTCAACTCCCTGGCCATCCACCCACAGTAGACCTGCTCCAGTCATGGTCTCCAAAGTACTCTTACTTCTGGTGGGCTTCCATCCAAGATTATCACGTAGTAATGAGACAGACACAAAGCCCAACACGTGGCAGGTTTCCAGGACGGTAATCTGGTCGGGATTCATCTCTCCAGGCACAGATTTAATAAACTGTTGGCTTCCTACCTTGACTATGCCCAGTCCGTCTCCTAGCTTCTTGAGGGTCTTGACAGCAGTCACTATGTCGTCCACAGACACCTTGATTGCCGAAGTCTTGTTTCTGGCATTGAGAATGTCTCTGACCTCCGTCACCTTGACCATACCTCCATTGTCTTCTCGGGTCTGTCTGCATATTTCCACAATCTTGACTGCCAGCTCAAAGTAGAAGTCCTGCACGTCCTTGCCCAGAAACGAGGCAATTCGGCCTCCCTTTTTCGAAGACGAATTGGCCAAAGGATCGACTCCTATAGCAGCACACATTTCCGCAAACTCCGCCCTGAACTTGGCATTGTTTTTAATCTCTGAGGCATGTGCCGAAGCAAAGTGACTGAGTCGTTCTTGAAACTGTGAGAGCTGTCGTTTGAGCTCTTCTTGCTGCACTGAGACGATTGTTGAGCCCAGGTCATTGTATTGCTGTGTCGATAGCTTCTTTGAGTCAAAGGCTGCCAATCCCACCTTCTTCATCGTTGTTGTGTGCGACGTACTTCTATGTGGTTGATGTTCGATAAGATTCAGGAAGTGGGACACACAAGACTGTGCTTCATTTAAGTCAGCTATGCAGTCAACTGGTATGGTACATTTAGTTGCATTCATTGAAGAAAAAAGAAGAAAAAAAAAACCTGCTGCAAATACCTCATTGATACCACAAGTTCTGTAAAAAGTGCTACTGTATTGCTTTCAAACTTTTTTGCCAATTTAAATATACATATACCACCAAACTGCTCATCGGAATCACTCCATATCTCCAATACCTGAACCCAGTGCTTTTCAATCCCTATCCCGCTAAAGATTGCCTTCATTTCAATATAAGGTTGATGCAAGTGTGATGCAAAATAAATCTGCCTGAAATAAATATAAGACGAAGGCTTCCCTGTTCTGAAAGACCTTACAAAGCAAACGAAAACCCGACTACACAAACGAAAACTATTGCACACACAAAATGGGATCGGCCGCAAGTGTACACGAAAAGGCGAGGGAGATGAACTACTATGAGATCCTTCAGGTGGAAAAGACAGCCACTGATGCGGATCTCAAGAAGGCATATCGAAAACAGGCTCTTCTATTGCATCCTGATCGAAACCATGGTAACGTTGAGGAGGCGACCGCCAAGTTTGCTGTTGTTCAAGCAGCTTACGATGTGTTGTCTGACTCGCAAGAACGAGCATGGTACGACAGTCATGGTATGTCTATGGGAGGAGGAGGATCCGGCGGATCTGGAGAGGATGGAGTTCACATTTACACAACCACTGAGGATGTCATGAGATGGTTCGATCCTCTAATGTTCGCCAATGTGGACCCTGAGTCTTCTAGTAACTTTTGGGCTACTGCCTCTTCAATCTTCAATCAGCTTGCACAGGAGGAGCGAGAGGCTGCTATGGATGCTGATGTGGATTCCCCTATTCTTCCAGCATTTGGAAACAGCAAGTCTAGCTGGCAGCATGAGACTAGAGTTTTCTACGACAACTGGATCAACTTCTCCACTGTCAAGCAGATGGCCCACAAGGACATGTATCGAGAGAAGGATGCCCCTGATCGACGAGTCAAGAGAGCTATGCAGGGACACAACAAGAAGGCTCGTGATGCTGCAAAAAAGGAGTACAACGATGCCGTGCGAGCTTTTGTTCGATTCATCAGAAAGCGAGATCCACGAGTCAAGCTCCAGGCTCAACAGGCCAAGGAGGCTTCTCTCAGTGGCGGTAAGACTGCTGCTGAGGCACAGGCCTACCGAGCTCGAATGGCTAACATGGCCAAGCGACAGGAGGAAGAGAGACGGTACAAGGAACAGGCATGGCAAAAGGTGGTGGAGGATGAGGAGAACCCCACGGCTGTTGTCGGGGAAGACGAGGAGGAAGGGGAATCAGAGGTGGAAGATATCTGGGAGTGTGTTGTTTGTGACAAGGAGTTCAAGACCGAGCAGATGTTACAATCACATGAGCAGTCTCGAAAACATGCTAAGGCTCTGCATAAGCTGAGACGAGAGATGCGAAAGGAGGGTCTTGATCTGGGGTTGGATGAGACACCCGAGCCGGAAGCTGAAGAAGAGGAAGACGAGGTTGGGCCTGAGCTTGCAGATGAGGAAGAGAAGGAGGAAGAAATTCCTTCCAAACCCGAGAAACAGGTAAATGCATTCGCCTTGTTGGCTGAGGAGGGAGATGGGGATGAGGAAAAGGACGACGACGACGAAGAGGAGAATGATGTTGAGGGTGGTGTCGAAGGTTACATTGAAGAAGAGGAAGGGAAAAAGGTCATTTCTGAGTCTATTGAGCCCAGCAAACACGAAGAAGAAGAGTCCCTTGAGGCTCTGCTTGCCAAACTTAACGGAAGCTCTCTCTCTGATAACGAGGAGTTGGATGCTGCGAAGGGTAGCAAGAAGGTAGGCAAGGCTCGAGCTAAGCGAAATAAGAAGAACGAAAACACTGCTGATTTCGCCAGCACGTGCGGTGTCTGCAATACTGTGTTCGATAGCCGCACCAAGCTCTTTGATCATATCGAAAAGAGTGGCCATGCTGTTCCAGTGGCCAAGCCCAAGAAAGGTAGGAAGAATAAGAGATAGATAGATGCATTATATATTTAACATTGTACATTATGAGCGGATATGCCTACAAGTAGATATTAGCGAAGTCGAGGGAGGGTCTATGTGATTTTGAGGCTACAGCTTGTGAACAATCAAGCAGATTGTCTATTATAAGGTACAGGTACATTATGTAGGTACATTATGTACTTGTACTACTGTTCAGTTATTTCGTCAAATGATATTTTATGTTACATAGTTATGTTGTCCGTCCTTTTGTCAGTCTATTTGTAGTCTCCCTCGTTGTAAAGTCCAATGTCCACGTCAGCCTTGGGATCCTCGGCACCGTAAACAGCAAGCTTGGAAGCCATCGCCTGATCGGCATCAGCGCCCAGCTCCTTCATTCGCTGGTTCTGGCCTCGGATTCGCTCCAGGTACTCCAGATACGAATCCTCCACACCAGTAACGTACTCTCCGTTGAACACACCCACTTCAAATGCCTTGATGTCGGGCACAATGGCATTGGGGGTGATCATGGTGTCTGTGTCGGGCAGACAAGCCTCGGTGAGGTCCTCCAGGGTCTGGTAGAAGACGTCATCGGCTCCAATCTGCTCGGAAATGTCGTTCTCGTCTCGGTCGTAGGCAACTAGGGCCTTGGTGTCGGCAAGATCGATACCGTACAGATGGTTGTGTCGGATGGGGGGAGCGCAAGATGCAAAGTATACTCGCTTGGCTCCAGCCTCTCTCGCCATCTGCACAATCTCCTTGGAGGTGGTACCTCGGACAATGGAGTCGTCTACGAGCAGAACGGATCTGCCGTCAAACTCGGGCACCATGGGGTTGAGCTTTCGTCGAACAGACGACTTTCGCTCTTGCTGGTTGGGCATGATGAAAGTTCGGCCAACATATCGGTTCTTGATGAAACCCTCTCGGTAAGGGATCTGCAGCTTGACGGCACACTCGAGAGCAGCATGTCGAGAAGTATCGGGAACGGGGATAACCACGTCAATCTCCTCAAGCATCTTTTCTCGGGATCCGAATCTTGCAATGATGTTGTCAGCAAGCTTTCCTCCCATAGCCAGACGAGATCGGTAGACGGAAATACCGTCCATGACAGAATCTGGTCGGGCAAAGTACACGTACTCGAAAATGTCAGGGGTGTAAGACTCCTGGGGGACAACCTGTCGGAAGATGGGCTCTCCGCCATCCTTCTCAATGATAACAGCCTCTCCAGGCTTGACGTCCACCCACTCGGTGAAGCCAAGGGCCTGCAGAGCCACGGACTCGGAAGAGAACATGTAGTCCTTGCCCTTACCGGTTCGAGAGGGTCGAGAACCAACCACCAGGGGTCGGATTCCATGAGGGTCTCGGAAACCGATGAGACCGTAGCCAGCCACCATTCCAGTGCAGGCATAAGCTCCTCGGCACTCTCGGTAGACGCCACCAAGGGCAGTGAAGATATCCTCGGAGTTGATTCGGACCTTGTCATGCTTCTGCAGCTCGGCGGCGAAGATATTCAGAAGCAGCTCGGAGTCGGAATCAGTGTTAATATGTCGGTGAACAGACTTGTCAAGGTAGTCTCGCAGAGCAGGGGCGTTGACAAGGTTACCGTTGTGGGACATGACCAGTCCATAAGGCGAGTTGACGTAGAAAGGCTGAGCCTCGGAGTTGGCGAAGGAGCCGGCAGTGGGGTATCTCAGATGAGCAATGCCCATGCTTCCGACCAGACCCTTTACACGGGTCTGGGTGAAGACGTCCCGGACCATACCGTTGCCCTTGCACTGATACAGTCGACCCCGGGGACCGGAGGTAACGATACCACAGGCGTCCTGTCCTCGGTGCTGGAGGAACATGGTACCGTCCAGAAGCTCAGCGGAGGCCACGCCGTTGTTATCGGCCAGAAGCAGACCTAGAATTCCACACATGCTGTTGTTAGTTGCAATGTTTGGTGAAGTTGAAAAGTGTCGTGGATAATGCCCTCAGGGAAAATGAATCATCAAATAGATCAGTAGTCTAATGGAAAATGAAAGTTTTGAACATCATCGGGTGGCGACCGCAAGGCTGTTCCAGAATCATCGATACTCACTGCTAGTTTGGCGTTTGAGCTGAAAAGTCTTGTGAAACGTGAATACGATCAACATTTTAGGAAAGAAAGCTTTCAAATTTTCGCCCATTATCAGTCTTATAAACTGTGAACCCTATTTGCAGAAAGTGTAATCCCATCATCCCTCCCCAACTCAACCACCTGTGTGCAAGTCTGCTACCCAAGTCAAAAGCCACTCCTTGGCTGTGTGCTCCCAGCGAGATGCGCCAGATAAGTAGCAGACATACCCAATGGGGTAGTCGGAGGCGCTCCAGACGCACTGTGCGACTCGTGTCTGTGGGGAATGACTGTGTGTGCACCGTGTCCCCCAAAAATGCCTCCTTCGTCGGACTCCCGTAAGTATCATGACCACTCTCCAGGTAAAATTAACTCACCGAATTTTTTTTTTAAGTGTGGAGATTTATGATTTTGATCCTCTTGTCGGTGAAGTTTTTTATCCGTTGTCTCAACCTTTTTTGATTTTTCTCGTCGCCTGCTGCTACTGCTGCTGGCACCTCCACCAACGCCGCCCCGCTCTACTGTACTCGCAACCGAGGTCACACCGTGCATGAAAGGCATGCACACAACAGTATGTAGTGCAACAAAAGAGTCTTTCATATGACCCAGTCTGAGAAGGTCTGTCATTCAGTAGCCGTGGCAAATTGACGCCTCCAAAATAGAGACAGCCCTCAGTTGCGAACATCAAATCGGAAGGCAAGACAGAGCCAAAAAGGCCCGCGAAAATTCGAGATTAAACCGCCACCGTTGGCCACCCGAATCTGCCCTCTCCAGATACACATGACATCGATAGCCGTGCATCTGTCGCAGATCCGGGTCGTAGGGTTAGCCCGTACCGACAAAAACGGGGACTAAGCACCATTCAAACGCCGAAAATTGAGAAAAGTGCCGCGTGTGGTCAGTCAGTGATCGTGTTGGCTTAGTAATCGCTTAAGCCGGAAGCGTCGCGGAGACAGAAGAAATGTCCATTGTGAGAGCTCAGCTTTAAAGCGGTTGTAAAATTGCATCTCTTGTCATTTCGTCCTCTCCGAAAAAGCTTGATCTCGACAGTGGTGGAAAGATCACGGCAGTGAGTGTATCCCCAGGGTGTGTTACTCCGTCATCATCGTCGTAGTATTAAATGTGGCAAGTGTTTCTATATCATCAACCAAAACCCAAGAAGAAAGCCCAGAGGGCACCCTTGGTGCTTTTATATGTCCATGTGAGTGAAAAAAATTCTCGATGTCGCAGAAGTGTGCAGTTCCGCCGGATCTACCGCCGGATCAGTTCGAGAAGTGGTTAATCGTCGCTAGAATGGGTGTATAATGACATCGAATCCCTGTCATATCTTCTGTGTCCGTTATAGGGTCGTATAAAAGAGGTATTTCTTAGTTGGGAGTGAGTAGGTGGGGTCGATGATAGCGGAGAGTGGAGATGTAACATACTGTTTGGCTTAATAATATGGCTTAGTAAGATGACGTTGTGTATGCTGTGGCTTGGGGTGCTGGAAGTGCAATACAAACTACTGTATATGAGCAGTGGAGGTGATGATTAGCTAATGAAATCTGACGTGTATAGGCAACTGGTTACTATGGACTTGAGACAAGCTTCCCATGGGACGACTAGAGATATATACATAGCTAGCAATCAGCATGGCTACTTGTAGGTTAGGATAAGAGAGAAGCGATTGAGTTTCATGATTGCGCACCTCCCTGTAAAAATTGTGAGACGCAAGATGATACTGTACCAGTATGTACTATAGTGATACTTACTGTTCCTCCTGAAGATATTGCGTAAAATCAAATAATGGGGTCTCTCTCTATTTGTGGACACCTTTACAGTACTTCCGTACTACTCGTCCAGTATATACATATACATACAAGTACATACAGTATACAGTATGTACAGAGAGTATACAGACCAAAACAGAAGCGCAGAGAATGAACTTGTATTATAGAGAGAGCAGTGAAATGTAAAAATGGAGCATGATATTTCTGTTACAAAAAGTGAAGAATTATTACAAGTACGACATTTGCAGTCATGGCTACTGTTCTGTTATTACCCTACCGTGTGTACTCATACTCATACAAGTACATACAGTACATACAGTATTACGTACTTTACGATCACACACCGAAGGCTAATCCCCCTATCAACATGTGATTTACCCTACTGCATGGCACTTCACACACTCTGGAGCGCAGTGGGGAGAGCAGCATGAGGACCCCTGATGCGCACGTTATCGCGAGCATGGAAGACCAGCCGATTTTGAATGCCGCCTTCAACCAGGACTCGGCCTGTTTTGCCATCTGTCACAACCGTGGCTTCCGCGTCTATGTCACCGACCCCATGGACCTGCGTGTACAGCGAGAGTTTGATGATGGTGGAATAGGCGTGATCCAGATGCTGCACCGAACCAACTACCTGGCTGTAGTTGGAGGGGGTAGCAACCCGAAGTTCCCGCAGAACAAGCTCGTCATCTGGGACGATCTCAAGTCCAAACCAGCGCTATCGTTGGAGTTTCTGTCGCCCGTTTTAAACGTTTTGCTGAGCCGGACCAAGATTGTGGTGGTGCTCCAGAACAAGGTCCACGTCTACGCATTTTCGTCGCCACCGTCGCGAATCTCCACTACCGATACAGCCGACAACCCGCATGGCATTGCCGCTTTCTCGGGAGACACGGTCGTGTTCCCATCGCGCACTCCAGGTCAGATCCAGGTAGTCGACCTCAGCCAGGAAGGACAAGCTAGAAATCTCGTGTCAATCATCAGAGCACACAAGTCGCCTGTTCGGTGTGTCACCTTATCTGCCGACGGGTCTGTGGTGGCCAGTTGCTCTGACAATGGTACATTGGTGAGACTACACTCAACGTCAAACACGGCTTTGCTACATGAGTTCAGGCGAGGTCTGGACCGAGCTGTCGTCTATAACATGGCATTTTCGCCCAGTGGATCGCGACTGGCTGTTCTGTCAGATAAGAACACCATGCATGTGTTCGATACGAGTGCTTCCGCATCTGGAGCCGCAGGAGCAGCCAACAGACGCCATGTTTTGGGTAAGGTGCCGCTACTTCCATCATATTTTTCCGGCGAGTGGTCATTTGTGTCTGCAAGAGTCCAGGGCCAACATGGAGTTCTTGGCTGGTCATCCGAAACCTCTGTTGTCGTTGTGTGGATCTCCGAGGCTCGCTGGGAAAAGTACGTGATTGTGGAGAAAAAGCCCGTGGAGGGTTCCGGTAAGGACCAGCCTGGATGCGAGCTTGTGCGTGAGGCATGGCGAGCCTTCAAGGACCTGTAGCGGTAGACTATTTATTGCATGTGTTGGACATCATGATTTACGAGACAGATTAATATATACTAACAACACGACATATACGACTGTATGTATAGTAATCACATCAAAACTATTACGAGGAGGCCTATGATAATTACAGACTAATGCATACGACGAATTGATTACTAGTACAAGTATGAGTTCGTCGGCGGTTCGTACTTCCCTAAATAACTGTCTTGAGCTCTGCTTATATTTTGGCTTCGCCCTCTTCGGCAGGGTAGTAGTGCTTGTGAGAAGGAATCGGCAATCGTTGGTACCGAGGGGACTCAGCCCCGACCTTGGAAATCTCCTCTACCTCGCCATCAGACAATTTGAAGTCGAAGATGGCTAGAGCCTCCTTTTGTCGACCGGCGTTGGCAGATGTAGTGATGGGAACAATGCCCTTCTGAGTAGCCCATCTTAGAAGAACTGATCCCGGAGAAACATTATGGTTCTTTGCAACGTTGGCCACCACTGCATCCAGAGGCTTCTCTCCCTCTAGTTCGTTGGAAGCTAGAGGCGAGTATCCCTCAACCACAATGTCGTGCTGCTTGCAGAAATCAACAATTCCGGGAGTGGGTTCCTGGAGCAAAGGATGGAATTCGATCTGGTTAACATGGGGTTTGATCTTGGCCACCTTGATGATTGTCTCGAGCTCAGCTGGGGAGTGATTAGACACTCCAATCGCCTTGGCAAGGCCCTTCTCGTATAGTTGTTCAAGCACGCCCCAAGCCTTGGCCAAGTCATAGTTGATATCATCATTGGGAGGCACGTGGATCAGAAACAGGTCAAAGTAATCCGTTTGTAGCGTCTTGAGCTGATTGGAGATGGACTCAATGGGGTCATCAGCAAGCAGACCAAAAAGGGTCTTGGAAGTCAGGAAAATATCCTTTCGAGGCACTCCACTCTCCTTAATGGCCTCTCCAATTTGCTTTTCGGTGCCGTAGAACTCAGCAGTATCGATATGAAGGTGTCCGGCATTGATTGCACTGACCACGGCATCAATGAGCTCTCGCTCCTCCTTTTCTCCAGGAGGGCGTTTCCACTTGGTTCCAGACCCAAATCCGATGGCGGGGATTTCCAATCCGTTCGATAGTTTCACTTTGGGCACAGTCATTCTTGTCAAGAAGGAAGACAGAGGATCCGTTAATTATATGTACGTAAGGACGGGCATGCATATTAGGCTCTCATATTGTAAGCCACCACAAGGTATCTAAAAGTCTAAAGAGATGTCCGGGGTCCGATGAATGCTTTCGAGAGTCATTTTTGGAGATGTGTTGAGAAGAATGAAGATATTAAAAAACATGGTTGTATACTTCTGATGTGGAAAATTAGATATAAGCTAACAGTTATGTCATAGTCTTTTTATAGCAAGCAGTGAAGTCGTTCTGGTGGTTGCTATCTCAATTACTAATGATGCATTGATAAGCACATGAGACACCACACGGTAAATGTTGAAATAGCCCTCTTAGCAGTTGTGGCGTTGGGTAGCAGAAAATACGGTCGTCGGTCTTATTATTGATTAGATTACTACTATTACGTAATCCAATGATCCTAGTGGACAATTTGTTCTATTAATAATGTTGAGAGGCGAGCGTCCATTCGCACGAACGGTGACGTTTAGTTTCTTAGGCAGGTTGAAGCGAAAAATTGGGGTTCTGGGATATGACTGTACAAGTATCGCATGTACAGTTTGTAGGAAGAAGCAGATTGGATAAATCCAATAGAAAACAGCTACTAAAACAAGTTCCACGAAACAACGGTTTTGGTTCCGCAGCTAAATCTGTCTCAGCTGGTGCTGTTGTGATATTCCTCGGGGAAAATGACAGCCAACATTCCACTAACCCACCCAGTATTGTAGCTAACCGGCGTGTCACCAAGTCAGCAAATTGACACGGCTCTCGTTAGTCTGTTAAACACAAGATACATCAGTATGAGTCACGGAGGTGCTTTGGTTGCCTATTTTGGCTCCTGGTGGAGTCTGACAGCATAGACCAGCCGTGCGGTACCAACAGAAAATTGTTTGTTTGCTTACGTAAACACCAGGTCATCAGATAATCCACAAGCAAGTCTATCAAATGCCCGTCTATCGTGTAACACGGTTCCGCCCACGCATGAAACTTGTTTAGAAACGTGCATAGGACCACAGATGATGGGGCCTGAATGTGGAAAGAGAAGGGTTAGGGCAGTAAGTTTGGCCATGGAAATTTGAAGCTAATTCGGGGTCACCAGAAAGCAGTTGCGATAATCGGTTCGGTCAACAAGGTGAGTACACAACGAGGCAAGCCCAAGATCTATTTTGTCGGCATAGTGTACCGTGCTCTGCAGCCCCTGGCCACGACGTTACTCTGAAATTAAAAACCCTCGACCCCTTTCTCGTGGTTGTTACACCCCCCCCCCTCACAACCTGGTGTACACCCAGCAACGCGTCACACCTTTTTCTTACTAACGAAAGACCTGAAGACTTTGTGTCTGTGGCCACCAACACACACCATTTCTCTCACTCACATGAACGATTCTGTGTCCACGCCGCTGGTCAAGAAGGAGGACAGTCTTGGTCTGGACGACGAGGCAACCGTGCTTCGCCGTCCTTCCATGAACTCGACTTTCCCTCAGATCTCACCACCAGCCATGATGGCGCTCTCTTCACAGCATGCCACACACGAACTCGACTTCCCAAATATACAGCCCAAGCGCGAGAGCCCCGACAACCCCAACAACACAAACGATGGTGGAGAACAGGTCAAGCTGGAGGAGCCACTGCCCCCATTAATGGACGAGATCGAGTCCGGGGATGACGACTCCTCGAGAGTGTCTGCGTACGCTCGATTGGACTTTGAGTCGTTTACATTCTACGTACAAACCCTACAGGTGGTGCTAGGACGAAGGGTGGAAAATTCGTCCAGCATGGTTGATGTCCATCTGGGCGACACAAAGGCCATCTCTCGAAAACATGCAAAGATCTTCTACAACTTTGGCACCCAGCGATTTGAGCTCAGTGTTTTGGGCAGAAATGGCGCTTTTGTGGACGATGTTTTTGTGGAAACGGGATCCACAGTGCCTCTAAAGGATGGCACCAAAGTGCAGGTGGGGACTATTCCCTTCTCGTTCGTGCTGCCCAGCCTTCCCGACCACACTACCGGCTCCCCCACGCCCATAAACCCTGCCGATGCGCTGTCCATGCGATCTAACAACATACGGGTTCTCAGTCGCCAAGGCTCTCCTGCCATTGTATCTCCGCGAAAGAAGTCGACAGGCAGCAGTAACAGCAAGCAGTCCACGAAGTCTGCTACTGGCAGTCCAGGTACTCCCGTGCTAGATCCTCTCGATTACAACCTGCCCACCGAGGTCACTGAGGCAAACGCTTCTTCTTCGTCAGTGAACCTGTTTGAACAGGAGAACAGCAAATACACTGAAAATATGGACGTCAAGTACGACTCGGACAAGTATAGCGACAAATACGACCTGCCGCTGGATGACATGGATCTTGACGATGCTGTGGACGCTTCGCTGAGTGACCTTCAGCCCGTGTACCCCACTGGGTCACAATATAACATGCCCTCGCAGCAACAGCATCAACACAACCAGCACCAGCAGTCAAACATGCAACCGGGAAATATGTTCCAACAACAAAAACCGCAGTCCAAGCCACGCAAACAGCCCAAGCGAGAGTACCAGCTCCACGAAATCCCCGAGGAATACCGTACCAAGCCTAACTTCTCTTTTTCGCATCTCATTGCCACTGCTCTGGAACAGGCCCCCGACAAGGGAGTTTCTCTGGCAGAGATCTACAGATCCATCCAAGAGATTTTCCCTTATTACAAGTACTGTCCCCATGGATGGCAGAACTCTGTGCGTCACAACCTGTCATCGTCCAAGACGTTCCGCAAGGTGTCCAAAGAGGGTAAAGGTTGGTTATGGGGTATCGACAGAGAATGGTGTGCTGAGCGGGATCGTCAGAAACGCAAATCGACGCTCTCCAAGAACAAATCCATGCGTCCAGACTCGCATATTCCTGGCAGTGCCCCTAACCCCGCATTTTCGAACTTCTCTGTTAACAACTTTGATAGTGGAGAAGTCAAGATGTACTCGCCCGACACTAACACGTACGGCACTCAAATTGATCTCAACTCGCACAACACCGATGCCCATGGCGGTCAAACCATGACCTTTGACCAGAACAAGAACGATGGAGGAGTCAACGTGATCGACTTCAGCAGTGCAAACTTCACCCTGGACAATAACGCTAGCACCTCTTCTTCTTCGGCAGGCTCTTCTTCTCAACCCAGAGGCGGTCAAGAGATCAAGTTCATGCCTGGAAGCGGCCCTAACGGAGTCATTGACTTCTCCTCGCAGCCCAAGGCCCGTCAAAAGACTATTGCCGAAATGGCGCAGGAGATTCAGTTGCAAAACTCAGGCTCTCAGCAGCGTATGTACCAATCCCCCTACCAGTCTCAAACCACCCCAGCGGGTGGCATGGGACAGCAGAACACCTCGTCACAGCAGGCTCGAGCGCAAGCCGGCTCGTCCGCTGGTGGTAAGGCAACTGCCCCCAAGCTCGGTAAGGATGCTATGAAGATTCTCGCTTTGCTACAACAAAAAATATCTCAGCAATTCCAGCAGCAACTCGGCGGCAAGGCGCCCAGTTCTGCATTAATCACTAACGCATTGGCCATTGCCATAGCTCAGGCCACTAAAAAGAACCCCAGTGGCGGAGTCAATGCCTTGCAGTCTCTCCTCAACGGCGACAACCAACAGCAGTTGAACCAGATTGTCATGGCTGCATACAACGCTGTGAAGACCAAGCAGGACGCCCAGGGAGGAGGTAACTCTTCCAACTCTAGACAGCCTACCCCTCAACAGTCTACACCCCAGCAGTCGACTCTGCAGATAAAGCAGGAACGCCCAATGTCGACACAGCAACAGGGCCAGTCTCAATTCTCGACCCAAACCCAGTTTCAGAGCCAGTCCCCTGCACCGCAGTACTCGCCTCCTGCTCAGGCCTCGCCGCAGATTTCCCAGCCCCAGATGTCCCAGTCTCCTCAAATTGTGACATCTGGAACGCCTGGTGCTTCTGGCTCCATGCCCGGATCTGCTACTGCCTCTCCCGCTCCTGCTCCTGCTCCGGTGCAAGCACCTGTCCCCGTTCAAACTCAGGCTCCTGCTCAGCATACTACCGCTCCACAGGCTCGGCCAGCTGTCCCTGGTACATCGTCTGCCGTACCTACACCTTCTGCATCTTCTGCCCCCGCTACTGCACCTGCAGGTAGCTCTTCTTCTCCTGCCACTGCGAAACCTGCTGGAGGGCTCACTTCGCTAAGCAACTCGGACACCACCATTGCCCAGGTGCTCGAGCAGGCCAGCAAAATCTCCAACCCTTCGCCGGCGGTCCAAGCTGCTCTCAAACAGCTCAGGGCCCACGCCGAAAAGTATGGAGCCGACATCCCCATTGGGTCTCTTGGAAAACTTCCCAAACCAGGAGACAAACGGAAGGCCGAAGATCCGCCATCTGCTCATGAGCAGCCAGCTAAGAAGCCTCTTAACAACTAGGAGCATGTATAATAAAAATGTATTTATTGGTAATAAACGTTTACATATTGTGATGTGCTTGTGTGTATTCTTGCTGGGATAGTTACTTGTACTTCTTGTATTGTGAGGCTTTCAGCTATCTGTGTGAGTAGACATTTCCCACTCAAGTTACACGCTACATAGTCAATTTTTACAGCGCTAAGATTCTTTCAATATCTATTATATTTATGCCACTCCTCCCTGTTTATTCATCATCCTTGAGCTTGGTGATGATGTTGTTGAAAGAGTCCTCCTTCTCCTTGGCCTCCCAGATGGCAGGACCACAGTTGTAGTTACCATGGTAGACCCATCCCTCCTCAGTCACGTGGTACAGGTTGACGGAACCTCCGGAGAAAGCGTCTCTGTGTGTGGCTGCAAGAATGGATCTCTTTCCTAGAGCAAGGGCCTCCTCAACAGTAAGGTCCCACTTGTAGGTAGCGTCCAGCACACCGTAGGCAAAGGTCTGACCGGAACCGACGCAGAACAGATCGCCCTTGAGTCGAGTACCGTCGGAGTCGACGTAGTAGATAGTAGGACCCTCTCGAGCGGTGTATCCACAGACCATGGTACCCATTGACAGACCCATACCCTTGTATGAGTAGACGAGGTTGGAGAGAATCTTAGAGGCTGCGGCCACAGAGATTCGCTGCTTCTCTCGCAGCTCGTAAAGCCGACACTGTCCACCGAGCCAGGTCTCCCAGTACTGACAGTCGGCGGCTCCTCCAGCCATGGTTCCCAGCAGAAAGGGGTTGATTCGAATCACCTTGTTGACGGTCTGAGAGGCGACCCAGTTGCCAGCAGTGGCTCGCGAATCGACAGCCACGACAATGCCGCCCTTGAATCGGAAGGCCAGAGTGGTGGTACCGTGTGCGATCTTGATCTTACAGTCGGGATTGGAGGCGTCATCGGTGTGGGCTCTCAGAAAGGCTGTGGGCTGAGAGATAGGTGGCACGGCCAACGATGGGGTCAGCTGCTGTTGCTGGATGGCTCGAACATCCTCCTCGTGCTGGGCAGCCATGGCTCCCATTGGTCCGGTTCCGACAAACGAGTCTGCGATTGCTTGCATTGTTGATTGTGTGTCTTGTGTGTGAATGCGTACTTTTGGGTCTTGTTTCCAGTGACTTGGTTAACAGTGGTGATAGTGGCGAGTATTGAAACCTTAATCTCGAGGTGTGTTGTAACTGAGGTTGGGGGAAGGAGAGACGAGCCTGCACATATAAGAAGACCGGGTGAGGCAGTGGCGACTATAACCTGTGCGTATAGTTGTGGTAGATCTCGTGGTTTTTACATTCATTCTTGAAGAACCTTTAACTAATATCCTTAGCGATTATATAAGCAGCGCCACCATAGTCAGCATCCAGGGTGTTGGATAAGATACAAGAACTCATGAGAGTGTTTCAGAAGGGTGTTTATCGTCCATATAAGTATTGGCTAAATGAGCAAGATAATTTCCAATACTGTATACAAGTACACATTTCTTGTAGTCGTTGCCACATGTCAATCGGTAGCACGCCGCCGTCCTTAGTAAGCAGAGGTTAGTACAAATGAACTCTCGTGTAAACAAGTACACTGCAACTACAGTAATATTACAGATTATTTATGGACAGGATTGTGCGTGTGGTTCTGAATCAAAAACCGTTGCTTGTCATGTTTTGATTTCCGATTTTTACAAGTACAAGTACACCGTGCTATCAGTAAGGGGCTACAACTTACAATGTCTATATAGCATGCCCAATAAATTATAACACTATCTTACTGTACAAGTACAAGTACTTGTAAGCTGAAGGTTACGTATCAGTAATCCTCTTTTATTTGAAATACAGTCACAAGTAGCCACGGCCCACCCACAGCACAATTTTTCGCTTCTCGACTCTTTCCAGAACAATCACGTTCGCTAACTGTCTGATTACTTGCTCAACCTTAACTAGCTACTTGTAGTTTGGGATCCCACCCCACATTCACACACTTCGGCTAACGCTATCGGCTCATCAGAAGTGCAGCAACACCGAGTAACGACACCAAAACAATGAGTGGACCTAAAGACGACCCTTACAGCTCAGGAAACGGCGAATTGCTCAAGGACACCATCAGATACGATGATCCCACTATCACCAAGGCTCTGGCTACCCACAAGGAGTTCTGCAAGCATGTCTATGACGAAGACTGTGTGTTCTGCAACATCTCAGGAAACCCCTCCACTGGTTTCAAAACCGTAGACTCGCCCGACTCGCCGCTCATTTTCTCCTCAAACCATCTGGTAGCATTCCTCGATATCATGCCTCTCATGTCTTCCACCTGTCACATTCTGCTCATTCCCAGAGCCCATGTCAAGACTCTAGATCTGCTCGGAGACCCCCGATTCCCTCAGGGAAGTCTGCAGTCTGAGGGAGCTACCGCTTTACTGAAGGAGAACAAATTTGGAAGCACCAAGGCCGACATTGCAATGGCAATGGGTCTAGCCATCCCCATCATCTCTCGAGCCATGCTGGAGGTCTTGGGCTGCACCGATTTCAACGTAGTGCAGAACAACGGCCATGGAGCCGGACAGGTGGTTGACCACGTGCATTTCCACCTGATTGCTCGAAGACCACTCAACACCAAGGATGCCGAGCAGGACGATCTCAGACAGGCCGTCAAGGGCGTCACCAACCACCTCAAGGGCGAAAAATCGCCTTTTGACGGCATGGACGCGCTCCCTCTGCGAGCTCGGCTCGGATACACCTCTCAGGTATTCGGCCGAAACCTTAGATCGGACCTCAACCAGGAATGGGCCCAGAAGACAATCCCCAAGCTGAGAACCAAGATCTCTACCTTGCTGGCACATGCTGCCTCCACCCAGGGTATTGACATTTCCGCTAAGTTGTAAATGCCGAGGTGGGAAGTAATGAATGATGATAAGATGATGCGAGACATGCGGATTCGAATGTGCCTGTAGTTTGCTGAGTTCTTGAAACAGTAAGCATACTGTAGCCCATGTTGTAGACAGCAACTAAGCTGGTGGAGCAATGCTGTCGGTCAGGGTCGTGTCTGTAGTGTAGGATTGTACCATCTTGCCTGAAGTGTTTTCGCTTATCCAACTTATATAACAATAGAATGATTAACCACACAGGTTCTTCGAGAAGTTTGATGTTTGGATCAGGGCATAGTGGTGTTATTGTAGCTACGACTACAGTACATACTTGTGTCGTACGAGAAAACAGTCGTTAGCTACAGTACGAGTGTCCATTACTGTACGATGCAGCCTATACCTACTTGTAGTCGGTGTCTCCTTCGATTGTGCATACACTTCCCGGCCCAGGTGACAATGCATGTCAAGTACAGACTGTACAACACCGTGGCTCTCTCTCTCTCTCTCTCTCTCTCTCTCTCTCTCTCTCCCACATCTCACAGTCTAACAGCTGCTACTTGTAATACATACGAGTTCAACTAACCACACACTAATACAAGTACGGGACCTACATCCCAAGTATTCAGTAAATGATTTCATTAAATTTTATAACACATGCATGCAATTAGATAAATAGGTTAGTTTCGTAAGAATTGACACCATTCTTGATTTGTTCTTGGACGCCCAGGGCCCATTCTCGAGCAATGATGGAGGCCTTGAGAAACTTTTTGGTGGCATACTTCTTGAAAAAGGCTTCGTGCTCCACCGGTCCAATTAGAAACTGGAAGATTTTGCGACAAACAGGGGCGATGTCTTTCTGTGTGTATCCTCCGGAGTAGTAGACCAAGTTGTTGGTCCACTGAGACCGGGCCAGCATCATCCGTCCAACATGCATGGCAGCCGCTGCAACGAGCGAATGCTTGAACTCCATGAAGGTGTGGTCCACCAGAGCAATCTCGCATAGGTACTTGCCAAACGTTCGGGAGTGAATGTCAAAGTCATCAGCCTTGGAAATTCGTCGCAGAAAGTTCATGGGGTTCGGGTACGACAGGTTGAACTGAAGTACCTGCAGAATGAACCGCTCGGCCCGCAAAATCTCATCCTCGGGATACGAGCCATCTACCACGTAAACGAAGTTGCTGAGAGCGGGAGTGAAGACCTCCTCATACTTGGTGGCAAGCAGCAGAGAAGTGATCCCCACCAGCTGGACCTTGTTCAGGGCAACCACCCGTCGAGACATGAATCGATCAACAATGTTAACGGCCAGGAACAGAGTCTCAGGCAGCAGTCGGAACTTCTGGTGGACCTCTACAAGCCAGTCAATTAGCACAGCTCGCGTGTTCCATGACAGAGACTTCTGGTCGTCGATGTATCGGGGATTGGGTTGGTACTCCTCCTCGAGGTTGTACAGATGTGTGAATATTTCGTCGACATACTCGCCGGCAGCCATGGGGTCGTCAATGTCCTCAGCATCCAGATCGTCATGTTCCACGTCGATTCCAGTGGCTCCAGGAGCCAGCACCTGGATAAGAGGTCGTCGAATCACCTCCTCCTGCTCGGCTTCAAGAGCCACAGCAGTTTTGTCCTCCTCCTGCTTGTGCTTCTTGGCCAGGGGACCCTCCTCTCGGTAGGCAAAGGTCTCCATCGTCTGATGATGCTTTCCTCCCCGGGCGGCCAGACGAGGCATCTCCATGTCCTTGGCACCCTGTGATGGCCGCTTTCGGGTCATGGGGGGGACATCCAGAGGCCCAGTCTTGCTCTGGAAGACTGGGATGCTAAAGTCCGCAGACACAGACTTGGTCTGCAGAGACGCACGTTGGGGTCGCGTGTAGGGGTTTGTGGTTGTGGATGATGCTCGTGTAATGTTGGATGGCTGTTGTGTGTTGGGGTTGTTGCTGTATGGTTGTCGTGTTCGACTGAGACCGGCCACGGCAGCAGAGAAGGTGGGCTTGACAGCAGGCTTGTTGGTAGCTGCGCCGTTCGTGGTCTTGGATGTGAGGGCCCGTCTGGCCTGGGAGGCCGCAGTGTGCTTGAAGACGTTGCCAGAGAGGCCGACGTTGCTCAGATCGTTGAGGGCGGGCCGAGCGTTTAGGGCTCCGTTCTCGCCAATGCTGATGTCCATGTCAGAAGGCTCAGCGGTCTTGGCTCGAGGCAGTCGCATGGAAGCAGACGTGTTCTCATCGCGGAGACCCGTCATTTTGTTTCGCTGGGTGGTTAGTATTAAATGTGTGGATGTGTGTGGTGTGTAAAGTGAAACGCGTCTTTTCTGTGAATGCTTTTCAGCAAATTCAATGTCCCAATCTCATGTGCATGTACCCAACCTTATTTGCCAATGTCAGCTGCAAATGGCAAATAAAGTGCGTTTGGGTGCGCTTGGGTAGTGAAATTAGACCCCCTGCTAAAGGGCTAAATGGAATGGCGGGGACAGGTACCCTTCCAAATTCATTTCGACTTGAAATGTCCACTGTGCGCTGGTGATGGCGGCGGGGGTCGGCGAGAGGACTCGTTGTCCGGGTCATTAGTACTCACTGGAAAGTTCATTGAAGCAGGTCACGAAGGCGTGTGGGCTGTGGAGCTGCTTATATTAATAGCGGGTGCGAAAAATAATGCAATCTCAGCGTTATTGGATAAAACGGGCTGGTGTGTGGTGGGACGCGACGCACAGCACTCAGGCAAGGGGAAAATGCGAGTGGTGGGACGTGATATGCAAGGACGTGATGGAGTGACAGGGCGCGCGAAAATCTCGAAAAATAAGCTTCACGGTGGCCAGTTGGGAGTTTGCAACGACAGGCGGGAGAAAGTAGGTTGTCGGGGTAATTGGTACTTGCCTAATCGGGTATTAAGACGCAAACGAGGTAGATCTGAGTTAGTGGACGGTTGACGATGATGCTCTCGGAAATAACGGGCTTCCGGGGATAACGATGGTGCGACGAAAGAAGCGTAATTCTCTGGATTATTGCACAATGAGATACAGCCATTATTCCCACTGCGAAGATGACCAATGAGATGGAGCACAGCGGTGCAGGTGAAGACCCCTGAATGTGGTGGGTCTTGTGTTCCACAGTGGAGAATAGTGTTCCACAAAAGGATTGAAGGCACCATGTGTAGACTCATCAGATAGGGATTAGGCCACAAAGTATGTGAATGCGATGTAATACTCACTCAGTCCAGCTGTGATCTTAGCGACAGGTTTGATTGGTCGAAACGAGGTGTTTGTGTCTGGGGGGCAAGTGGTATCAATGACAGAAGTCGCGATCGGTAGTTGTAATAGTGATAGCTGTGGAAGCTGGTGGGGTCGCTGACAAGTGTTGTTCAAGACGAGAAAATGTCGTTGAGAGAAGGGATGAAGAGAAAGTCGAGTGAATACAAAGTCTGTCGAGAGGAGGAAACGGGTCTCATAAATGACTTTGGCTATATGGGGATCTGTGTGTAAATTGAAAATAGAGTTTGCTGTTTACGTAGCTCCCAATGAGGTCGATATTGGCATACAGTGTCTTTTCAAGGCCACATGCTCAGTACAGGGCATCGGAACAATGGCAACAATGGAGAAGAGCAACATGTTTAATTGACTGTCGTATTGGAGGAAGCGAAAGTTTTCGATCTGATCGAGTGTGTGAATAGTGACTGATGTTAGAAAAACCTCTGTAACGGTATTCCCTTTTCACATATGGGCTGGTGATAAACGCCTGCACTGTACCGTGGCTCACCATACACGTCAGGTTTTTTACATGTCTTTCGCGTTGTGGTAGTCTGCCGCCCATTTGCTTGCAGCATACAGCTTTCCGGCTATGACGTAGTGCCGAGCTGTATCCACTGATGCAGAGTCTGTATATTTGGAGCACGACACTGTAGAGAGATGATGTGGTCAGAGAAGGAGGGAAGAAGGGAAGAAGGGAAGAAGGGTCTGGTAGAGGAGCCATCGGTGGTGAGATATTCTAGAGATTTGTTCAACCTATCACTCACGACCACCCAAAAAAAATCTATTCCTCACAGTTATTTACCCTTCCATCTCCTCCACTGTCGTATATTTCGATGCTTTGGGCTGCAATGAACCCACACGCTTGTTGTGCAGAGATCGCCTTGCTAGACTTTTTCGAGAAGCGGCCTAAACGGGTCGATTTGAGAGGTCTTCCGGAGTTGTATACAAGACGTGATATATGATAAATACCTTTTTATCACTGTGTCATTAGCAATGTCTGAATCACATTGCGCAATATGTCCTGTAAATGCTCCTACTATTTACAAGCAGTGCTGGTAGCCCAAGTATCGTACCCCCCACGTCCCTTTTACCCTCTCTCATCTCAATTACCCTCTCTCCACATCACCATACAGTCAAAGGGCGCCGTAGTGCTACAGAACAACTAACCTCAGAGACACACGATTGGATTGCCTCGTGTGTTTATCTCAGACAAAAATAGAAGAACCTAAAGGATTGAAGCTCGTGTTTAACGCGCCCGAAATTCTGTCTGGACAGAATCTACAATTCAACTGCTCATCCCCGAATACTAATAGATCAATACCTTCAGTATCACACACACACACTACTTGTACATACATGCACACAACAATACAGCATCTCGTTGTTCACACATAAAGACCTGCCACCTCTCAGCTAAGGTTCGTTTAGAACCGTTGAAAGAACATGTCATAACAGACTACGATTCTTATACTTGTACTCGTTGTTGTACTCGTACTGTAAGCGCGGTCTTGGCTGCTGATAACAGGCATGAGCATTGCAGATAGCCCATACTTGTTTCCGATGCCAACACACTACCTGCTCCGTTCCCTGGCCCACATGTTGCTCGATTCTCGGCTCCTCCGGCTACAACAGCAACAGAGTATCGTGGTAACTACACTGCCTTTTATTCTACTCGTACATAATCATTACCTATATCCCTGTGGTTTCAGAACAGTTTGCTTGTACAAAACTGCTGAGTGAGCTTTGCTGTTGCTGTTGCTTCTAGCTGCTGCTACGATGGCATTGTATAGCTGCTGCTCTGTGTAACTCCAGTCATAGCTCTATGCGACTGATGTTGCTCTCCAGAGCTCCTCCACCACTACCTTGACCTTACGTCTTTCGCGAGCCGCTGTGGCTTCCAGAGTTACCGAAATCCAATGCCTTTTTCGGCTGGCCATCACCTCCCTTTTGCTTCTTGAAGGAGAATTCGGCCAGTAGAGAGATATGATCGGAGGGGTAATGCACCGAAGGGAATCCCACCATGTTGCTGGTATAGTCGGGATCAATGCCACCAAGCAGACCTCGCACAGACAGAGCGTTGGACGAATACCACACGTAGTCAATCACATCGACGAAGTTGGGTGTGTAGTTGGTGAATGCCAACTCACCAATGTTCGAGTATGCAGATTTGAGAGTGAAGCCGTGATTCATGCCCTCGTCTGTGAATTTGCCGTACGCTCTGCCAGACATGTCTTTGTGGTTGGTCACGGTGCCCTGCGAGAAGAGCGAGTACACACCTGAGTCGGTGGTGGAATTGAAGTCTCCACAGATGACCAGTGGCAGTTTCTTGCCAGACTCGTATTTGACGTTGTTACCGTCTTGGTTTCTTGCGCTGACTCGGTTGCTGTCCTTCGCAACCCGCTCAGCAAACTTCTCCACCTCATCCAGAAGCAGAGCCACCTGGATGAGCTTGACGTCGTTGAAGGCAGGGTCCCAATGTAAATGAGTGTTTGTGACGATGATCTTTTGGCCTGTGGTCACATGTTCTAGTAGCGCAATTAGCGCAATGTTGTCCTTGTTGAGAACTCGATTGTAGGTGTCGGCAGTCTTCTTGAAGTCGTTGTTCTTAAGTGCCAGAGACGAAAAGTCAAGAGACAGTTTTTCAATCAGACAGAACGACTTCGTCTTGTAGAAAATAGCACATCCGTCGACTCGCTTGGCATCCTTTTCCTTGGACATTGTTCGTGCTCGGGTCTTCGGATGGTACAGGCCAGCATAGCCTAGCTGGTGCAGCTTGGGTGACCAGAAATCCTCAAAGGAGGCTCCGTCGACTTCCTGGAAACACAGAATGTCGCTGTCGTATCCAATGACCTCCTTGAGAAGTGTCTCAGATCGGTGTTTCCATCCAAGAGCCCATAGCGGGGTGTAGCCGTGCATCTGGACTGTAGTGTACTTGTCACAAAGAGTGTTGTAGGACATGACAGTAAAGGTGTCGGACGAGGCAGATGCACCAGCTGCTGCTGCGTTGGCTCCTGCTGTGGCTGTGGCGACAGTAGAGCCAGACTCTCCCTCAGTTGCTGCTGCTGCTGTTGCAGCGCCACCTCGACCACCGGCCTCTTCCAGAACGATCCATTCTCGAGGCTTGGGGGCAGCGGGCATAGGAGCAGACTCTCTCAGCTCGGCAACCAGTTCCTTGGTTCCACCCTGCGCCAGTTTCTCCTTGATTGGCTGGTTGATTGGGTTACCCTCCAAACCAATCACCTCCAACTGGTACAACTGACCGACCTGATGGGGCAGAGTCGAGAGGTAGTTGTCGAACGCAAACAGGTATCTCAGGTTGTGGAGCATACCGATCTCCGGTGGGAGCTTGGTAAGCATGTTGGAGCTGACGTCTAGCACACGCAGTTGCCGCAGAGATCGGATTGCCGGAGGCAGCGTGGTCAGCTTGTTGTGATTAATGTACAATTTGAGCAGAAACTCGTAGCTGCGAAAAAGCGGCGGTGACAGACACATAAGACCCTGGCCCGACATGTCCAGATCAGCCCAGTACTGATGCTTCTCCTGCTGCATCAGCGTCATCTGTCGCTCCTCCTCCAGTTGATCCTTCTTTTGTTGATTTGTGTATCCTCTCTGGGGCGTGGATGCTGCGGTGGCCTGCTGTTGCTCTACCAGATCCTGCTGCACCGTTTGCACTGCCAGATCCACCAGAGTCAGTTGGCTGGGGCCTTGGTCCTTGTCTGCGTCCACCTGGGCTCCGTCTCTACCGTGTTGTTGACGCGAGTTGATGGCTGCCGCCCGGGCATAGCCGTGACTGGTGGGTCCCGTTTGTCGCGATAATTGAGCCAATTGCATCTGTTTCTGCCAGAATTTGGAGCCCATCAAACTGGCCTCGGGATAGGAGGGACTGTTGTTGCCTGCTCCAGTTGCGCCCACCCCGCCCGGGTTGCTGCCGCCGGGCTGGTGCAGCTGCTGCAACAACTGCTGCTGAAATGACGTGTTGTGGTTCATTTCGGCCGTGTCGGGGGATGATGTCCTTCGATTTGTGCTTGCTGATGATAGTCTTAGAGGTAGCCTTGTCGATGACTTCGTGATAAAATCAGCACACTGACCATGGTGGCAGTTTTGACGGCCTAAAGCTTAAATCTAGCCTTGTTGTGGGGGGGTGTGTGTTCGAATCTGCTAGGGGATGCACTAATAATAATAAATTTGAGTCACTGAAATCAAGCAGAAGGCGTGATAAGTGTGTCAGATGCATCGTTTACAGCCTATTCATTATTATCTGAGGCTCCTTCTATGCAGATATTAATATATACACATCTCATGATCCATGGAATGATGGCCCATACCGGACAGAAGGATCATGATATGACTGGATACCATCTCAAAACGGAATCGTTATCCAGTGCCCATAAGTGTGTGATCCTCCCCGCCCCGTATGTCTCTCCTCTCCATTGGGCGCCTCCTTGGTACACGTCTACTGTCATCCCAGCATCGACTGGCGTTCATGGTTTAGCATTTATAGTGGTGCGTTTCCTGATAAGCTGCGATCTAATGTGGTGTCAGTGTATTTGGAAGGGTACAAACATGTAGCGAGCGTTCTTTGTTGTCCCTTTTTTTTTTGGCCAGTGGTAGCTATCCGCTAGACCCTTTCGGTGATGCTATGTATTCACTTTTCAGCCATGGCTAAATTGGTATACCCTCATAGTACGACTACTTACCCCTTATTGACCTATCTAGCGATAGACCCGACATGAGCTCGAGGTACTGTAGCCATAGATATGTACAGTACTGTACGGTGACTTGCACAGTTCTCTTAGTGTGAGTACATATTGTAGACATCATCAAATTCCAGAGATGAGGTATCAGTATGCACTCTTACTTGAACCGGTGGCATTATTCGGTGTATTAAATGAATAATTAGGGATAACATACTTATACTGTGCAGTACACATACGGTACATGCACTCAATAATTGAACAACCTTTGGTATTACTTGTCCAAGTAGTTGGGTTTTCAGTAAGTACGACTGTAATTAGTTAAGCCAAGCATACCAAAGGAACACCGCGTATTCTACAGAGTTTGTAGTATCATGTTATTATAATAAAATAAAAAACACAAGACTGGTTGTCTCGTCATTATTCCAAGACAACAATGTTTTGACGTTCTATTTTTCACCTGGTGGAGTCTAGTCGGGCATTTCTGTCCATTTCTGATATCCCGACTTCTCTAAATTGAAACATATCACATACACACCCAGATCAACCACCTCAAGCGACAACTTACACGTACTGTATGTACAAGTACAGTAACATGGCAATTTAAGTCCGAATACGGAATACCCTAACCACAACATCGAAGTCGGTAGAATATTGAAACATGCATACCCGGCAATACCCGACATAATTCGATTGCTCCCTGACGAGATGTGAGTGAGTTGAAAACACCTCAAAGCAAAGAACAACTGCCGCAGAGCATCGAACGACAACAAACGTCGGCCTTCTACCGGTCCCTAAAGTAGTAGACAACCCCTTCCGTGTTTTCCCTATCACACGTCATCTCATTAATTTGAACTCTATGTCACAAGTACTAATTACTGTATATGGAGTTCCGTGCAATGACAAGAGAATGTGCAACCACCGGTAAGAAACCACGTGGCAACTGAAAGAGATTGGTTCTACTTGTAGCAGACCCCATAATGCGATAGAAACAGCACTACTTGTAGTATGGTTTGTCAGTGGCTTGTCTGATCTGCAAACTGTTTGTTCAGACTTCTATCTCAACCCACGTACAATTAGGTACAGTATGTACCAGTATGAGTATGATATTAATACAGACAGCGTGATTATGGGGCAGAATGACACAACCAGGGAAATTCCGGGTGATTCAGAGGATAATTAAGAAAGGAAACAAAGGCAACGGATCCATTTGACCCAATATACTCCAACCACTTGCCGCAAACGCGCGTTGAAGACCCGGAACACACATCTACAGGTGCCTATCAATGCTGATGACCCAGCCAGCCCGGTCAAAAGCCCAAAAGTGGCTTGATAAGATTATCCGTCGGAGGCCCCGGAAAAAAGACATGTTCCAGTCCAACCTCAGAGAAGACCCACTCGTGGCCATCAGAAGACACAATCGAACTGCCGGTGTCATGTATCGTACTACATGTACTCGTACTAGCACACAGTCGCAGAAATGCGGGTTGTACAGTGTGTCTATAGATGCACTTTTGATGTACAGTATGTTGTGCTGTAGGAGTGTATAATTAATACTGATTAGAGAAGCCATGGATATACTGGTGGTGTACAAAATTGTGTACATCGATAATACCTCATGTAGAGAAGGGCAGATACAGACAAGCCTCCATCCAATACAGTTTACCATGGTAATGAACGGTAGGCATGGCCATCCGTGGAATATCTTCTAGCACTGCATCTATGGACAGTTCTGAACAGGGCTTCGGAAAAACGGTGCGTACAAAGGGGAAGCTGCAAAGGAGATATTTTGTGTGTCTATAGGATCAAGCTGCACGGTGCTGTAGGCACTCGAAATGTGGTCAGCTTTATTCTCATTCCGCGATAGTCATTCCACGTGACCAAGCTCTTTAGTCAGTATTACAATTTTAGCCATGTCGAGACCTTCCAAGATTCTCTACATCTTACTCAGCTCAGAACAGGTCCAGACCCAACGTTGCGTCGATGCTTTCTAATCTGAAATTGGGTTTGAACCCAGAGGTAGTAGGAGGAGTATGTGTTGCTCGCGAGCCGCAATGATAAGAAAATGAAGATACAGGGCAGTTCAATTAAGTCACAATTATCCATTCCGTGTTTTTTTCGATCAAAATACAAGCGGAAACCGCTTCTTCCATCCTATCATGCTCAACTTGCGCTCCAATCTAACAAGGCCAAAGTTGGAACCTAGTCCGAATTTAAGCTCGACACAGGTTTACAGACCTTACCTTACAGGTCACAGAGGTAGCCAAAAAGGCTGTCCACCTCAAATATATAAAGGCCCTCTGCAGCCCACCCCTTACACTCTTGTCTTGTCACAAAACCACACACACAAACACTTACAAAATGGTCGCCACTGTTCAGCATCCCGCCCCCGACTTCAAGAAGACTGCCGTCTCTGGTGGTGTCTTCGAGGAGGTCTCCCTCGACCAGTTCAAGGGTAAGTGGGTTGTCCTCGCCTTCATCCCCCTGGCTTTCACCTTCGTCTGCCCCACCGAGATCATCGCTTACTCCGATGCCGTCTCTCAGTTCAAGGAGCGAGGCGCCGAGGTTCTCTTTGCCTCCACCGACTCCGAGTACTCTCTGCTTGCCTGGACCAACGTTGCCCGAAAGGATGGTGGTCTTGGTCCCGTCAACATCCCCCTGCTTGCTGACACCAACCACACCCTGTCCAAGGACTACGGTGTTCTCATCCCCGAGGCCGGTGTCGCTCTCCGAGGTATCTTCATCATTGACCCCAAGGGCGTTGTCCGACAGATCACCATCAACGATCTCCCCGTTGGCCGATCCGTCGAGGAGACCCTCCGACTCATCGATGCCTTCCAGTTCACTGAGAAGCACGGTGAGGTCTGCCCCGCCAACTGGCAGAAGGGCTCCGATACTATCAAGGCTGACCCTGTCAACGCCAAGGAGTACTTCGAGAAGGCCAACAAATAAGCTATTCGTTTAGCGAGACATTTATAGATAATGAGATATGACATTAGATGACGATAGCGTAAGGGTAGCTGTGGAATTACTGTACAATTGAGCTTGAGCAATGCACCTCGTAAAATGTATGCAGCGATAGCATTTTCTTCTGTCCTCTTCAGGTATAATTACAACACAGCGCGTGCATGTGCTTTAAAATGTATATCTGTGCTCCGAATTCGGTATATATTTAATTTCTAACACTTCCGAGGCATCAATTGAAGTCTCCCAGTTACAGCAATTCCAGCGATTGCCCTTTCATTCTAATACGCAATATTTTGACCCCTTCGTACTAACACCTATTCAGGTCACTTTTCACATGGAACATGCCACCTTCCGTAAAGTAGCTTTTGGTTCCTACTATCGAACTCAATCATTGATAGCAATGTATAATGAGACAGGAAGAGTATTAGTACATACAAGTATAAGTACGAGTAGATGTGTTACAAGGTACAATGAAGGTATATAGAGAGAGTGTGCCAGACTGGTAGGAAAGTCTAGACAACCGGGGCATCGGTTAGATCATGCAAACGCAATAATAGGTTCTGCACGATTTATTTTTGCGTCATGTCGCTACAAGTAGTTACATCCGTCAACTTAACGGAAGCACGTTGTACGGATGGGTAGGCGAGATATTATGGTGGTCATGAGTATATAAATCGACAGCCTGACCACCTATACAACGGTTCTATATGCGTTGCTTGCTGCCATTTCACAGTTTCCTCCCGCTTTCATCGCTTCATAAGCTCCTTCACCATCCGCCTTCAACGACTTGTCTCATATTTATCTGATCTTTGCCCAAGTGAAGTGAAACAGGCATGGCATGAATGAGGTGAGGCACGCCGGATAATTGTGTCCTCTGGAGAGTACACGAGGAACATGGAGTGTTTAAGCAGAGTGATGTTTCACGGGCAAGCCTGGGCCGAGAGAATTCTCCAGCTGGACACATTTGTGCTATTTATCGATTCCGCTGCATGTCTGTGATTCTGACGGCTATTTTGTATCTGCCCATCATCATAGCCAACAACACCAATCTGACCGAAGTCCCTGAGACATTCACAGCCCCTTCCTAACCATCTACAGCACGGGAGTACATACAGTATGTACGTTGTACAAGAAAAATATCCTAGATTGAAATGCCGACTTGCAGTATATTCCACGATTGGTTCATCTGTCTCCTGCTGGTTCCGAACAACGGTGTAGTCTCATGAGCTTGGAGACTTGGTACCACGAAAACATTGGTGGCTATTTGACTGGATCGAGAGAGTATACCCTACTACAAGTAGGTACAGAAGTGTTGGCTACAGTGATGAACATACTCACCCAGAATCAGACCCTGACTGATACCTGCAGATTCGCATGTTGTGTAGAGTATATGAGTAAGTAAATCTTCTGCGGTACAATACCCTGAGTCATCAGCTGTCTATGGATAACAACACACAGACGAGATATGTGGAGCCACGGGACCATCTGAAACAATCAATTTTGTAAAACTGTCACCTGAGAATTGTTACTACAACTCACACCTGGCAGGTCGGGACAACCATAAGGCGAACACTGCCACGCCTACGCCACGCCTACGCCAGATGACCAGTCTGTACGTAACTCTCTCTGAGAAGATAATATTTTACCGAGTCTATTTCAGGGACCACATAGACCCGGAACACACTTTCTATACTCCATATCACGGCTGCTGGACAAAAGTATCCTGACAAACCAGCATATGTAGTTTGACAGTCGGATCCATTTGAGGTGATCAAGTATGTGATAGACAATGTAAAAGACGACGCCACACCCCACGTCAAACACTGTAAGTAACACATCTTTGATTTTTGATAATATGATGAATACCCACGTCCGAAATTGCTAACAAGACAAGTCTACATTCGTAAAACGTCACACGATCTTTGGGTTCGATGAAAGAAATTTTCAAGGGGTTTATTGAGTCTTTACATAGATAGCATGGCGTCGTTGCCAGCAGAAAAGATATACAAGCACAACTACTGGTACTCGTACATACTAATTGATACACTCGCACTACATTCTACAGTCCCATTATACCGATACCAGATAATTGCTTGTGGGTCTGAAATACCGATATTTGTGAAATTGAATTGAGGCAATATACACGATTTTTTAGTTGTGGATTATTTTTGCATGATGGGTGAGGATATGATACAAAAATGACCCGCTTAGAGGACGGAAGCGTCGTACTTCTGCTTGAACCACTTGATGGTGTCCTCCTTGGTGACTCGGTGGTTGATACCAACGGAAGCTCGGCATCGCTTTCGTCGGGCAACTCGGTAACCGGGTCGACCAATGATGACGAAGAAGTCCATACCGTAGATACCGATGTTGGGGTCGTACTTGATACCAAGGTCGATGTGCTCGTTGATACCGAAACCGAAGTTACCAGTCTCAGAGAAGTTCTTGGCCTTGAGCTCGTACTCCTTGACCTTGAGGCCTCGCTCGAGAATCTCCTCAGCCTTGGGGCCTCGGACGGTCACGTGGACGGCAATCTTTTCGTTTCGTCGGATAGAGAAAGATCGGATGGTGTATCGGGCCTTGGTGTAGACGGGGGTCTGACCGGAAAGCTGCTCGAGCACCTTGGCGGCTCGGGTAAGTCGATCACCGGACTCACCAACACAAATGTTGAGGGTGAGCTTCTCGATTCGCAGCTCTCGCATGGGGTTGGCAGAGGAGTCAGTCTATGTTAGTTGTGGTTCGAGATGAAGACAACGAGTTCAACAGACGCAAACGAGCACCATCATCCGCCGTTGTCGTTTGTCCATGACGTCTCTTCTCATGACAATAATTTCCTTCACTCACCATTTTTGAATGTCGTTGCTTAATCCAAAAGAAACTGGCAAAATGTCTTTTGGGAGTTGGTAGTTGGGAGTCGGTATGGTTAGGGTTCACTGAAATTTTGTGACTGTGTTTTTCTTTTGGACAAAAATCATGTGACCAAAGCTTATTAGATGTAGTGGTGACAGAATACTAAACAACGGGCATCAATGATAGAGTAGCCTTGAGGCGGGTGGATATTGGTTTGCATGATTGCAGATCGTTTATTCGATTCGATTTGTCCGGTTTTCCACTTTGGATTATGTAGTATTCTCTGCCCTTGTAGTGAAGACACCTTTATCAAGCCACACTTGAGTTGCGTATATACGAACGAGGCACTGCTTAGCTGACGGTAATGATGGAAACAAGTGGTGATGTATAATTATGAGATGATGACGAGTTCCTCCGTTCCTGACTAGAAACTTGAGAACAAGACAGCTTTCTTATTAACTACGAACCTGTGTACGGCACTTGCACCTTATACCCCAGCTTAACACCATCAGGCTTGGTGCGTGCCACTGTTTAAGTAGCACCTACAGTATTACGTCAGCAGAAACAAAAGGTGCTGTTATAATAAGTTGATTTACAGGGTGGAAGTGTAAGACGGTTGGTCCCTCTGAAGGTATGGGTTGGATGATATAACCAGTATTTTCTCACTGGATGCTTTGAGATAGTGTTTTACCTGATAATATTGCAAACACTCGTTTCATAAGTAACTTCTCTCATTCTATGCTCGCTGTGTTCCGCCACCCTTGATACCCCACAAAACTTGAATGTAGAAGTAACACGGAGCTACAGATACAATACCGTTACAACTTCAGGTACAGGCATCCTTCGTCCACTCCAATTCCCATAGTCTTAAACTATACATTCCAGATTTCATTATATGCAAACAAGACTCTTACTTGGAAGCCTTCTTGTTCTCCTCCTGAGCCTTCTCGAACTCTTCCTTGAAGGTGTTGGCAGAGTCAGAGTTGGCGAATCGGATGGCCAGCAGCTCGGCAGTGGGCTCACCGTCAGCGAAGTCAGCACCGACAGAGTAGACCCACGATCGGTCAGATCCCACGTTGGGCTTGAGCTCATACTCGGGAGCAATGATGTGGTTGGCACAGATCTTGAGAGTCTTGTCTCGTCGCATCAGAAGTCGCACCTTCTTGGACTCCTTGTGCTGCAGGAACTTGGCGTCTCCAGTTCCTCGCTCCTTCCACTCCTTCTCCTCCTTGTCGAATCGGAACAGCTTGGCTCGGGTCTTGTACAAAACATCCTCTTCCTCCTCCTCGGTCTTAATCTCGACCTTCTCAAGCTGCACAATGGGCTCAAAGTGCACGTCGGGAGACTCAGGGGCCTCGTCCTCGGCCTCCTTCTTCTCCTCCTTGTCGTCCTCCTTCTTGGGCTCCTCCTTGGGCTTGTCAGCCATGGCGGACAGGCTGGAAGAGGCGGAGGGGATGCCGAAAGATGGGGTGGCGGCAGCAGCGGGGGCAGCAGCAGCAGCGGGGGCAGCGGTATCCTTCTTCTCGGTGGCGTCAGACATTTTGTCAAAGAGATGTGTGTTGGTGTTTGGTGGTGATTTGTTTTTGCGTGGTGTAGCTAAAATGTATAAATTTTGGACAGGGTTACCCGGCCGTGAATAGGGGTGATCTGGGATACTGGAGGGGATTACACCAGGTGACCACAGGGCGAAAGAGGCACATCCGACAGAACGGGGATACATAAGGTCAAATTGGTCCGTATTGACCTCATTTCGACATTACCACGTGTATGGAGCCTCAGATACAGACGTTTGTTCATTATCTACAAGTTGCAATCACAACGCCTCGCTTGCTGGGAGTCAGTCAACCTAATCAGTGTAAACACGACAACAACGGGTAAAGCGCTGCGACTGGATTATGGGGCTGTTAATAAGTATGAGCGTGTATGTTGTATATCAGAAGATTTAGTGTCCAACACACAGGTATTTTAAGCCCTCCCTTAAGTCGTTTCACTGCACTCTATATGCCACTTGTTCTGTGGTGCTCACGACATGTAATATTTGGACTCCCGTTTCATAGAGTTTAATTATTGAGTGGCAACTGGTGGTTACGAGGTCGTACACTGGACAAAAACCCGTATCGTACCGCCGGTACGAAGTGGGATCAGCGCGAACGAACACATGCACTTCAAGTCGATGGGAGACGAGACGTGTGGGTATAGTTGTAGCTGTTTGTACAAGCAGTTGGCTTGGTCAAGGATTACAGTAGTAATCCTAAATGTGGCGAAGTGGAAGAATGCGGCTTCTCGTGTGTTGTCGGTTGTACTTTCTGCGATATGATGGTATAATATAATGGCGAGTACGTTAACATTCTTACTCCACTGCTGTCTGGGTTTGCATTCAGTTCAGTTCATCATTCAACAATGAAATCCTGCTCCCCCTCGGCCCAGTAAGTCGTTATCTCGTATCTGCTGTAATTACAACATGTAAGGATAGCGGGTGGCTAGCCACTGTACGAACTGTACAAGTTTACAATCTTTGTCTCTGCTATACCTTCATATCAGTCTAAACTGTGTGAGCACGTCAGAGACGATTGAGATTAGGTCAACAGAGCATCCATGCCCAACTCCCCCTCTCCACTCCTGTTGCAAGGTCCGCGCAAAAATAGGACCTGCCTTGTTAGCATTGGTGTGGGCATACAACGACAGAAAAAGCAAGTGGACTTTGACTGCGTTTTGAACGGTAAACTGGGCCGAACCCGAGAACCGAGTTAGGTCTGATTCACGACAAGACTCTGCGATCACAGTGATGTATTTTTTGTCGTCGCCCGCTTTCCATGGCGTTCATTTCTGGTGATGGCCTGCTTCTTACCGTATATCTCTCTCACCTTAATCCTGAGGCATTTGCTGTGAAGAGATGCTACGTAATACAAGAGCCAGTAGAGGGGTGTATCATATTGTTTTGCACTTGTCTTGTCTACAGTAAAACCGACCGAAATGCTGTGGGTACATTTGCCATTCCATCGTGCTGTGTCTTGCAAGCTGCCATCGACCTCTCTACTGTACAATACATCCACCGACACACGTGACTATTCAACGTCCATCTCTCCGGTGGTCGCAGCTCCAGTAGAGAGTCAGGCTATTTTTTGCTCAACAACCATTTTGTACTTTCTGGGCGCTTGGACACATCAAGGTTCGACACCACGCAGCTCCAGAGCTTGTCCCCAACTCTGTATCGCGTTTTTCCCAACACCCGTACTTCCGTAAAGTGGATGTCAGGAGCTTATGGCTTGGTTGAGTCTTGTACAGAATGTACAATAATGTCACAGTTAGCTGGAGCTAGAAGGCCAGGGTGCTGGCTGTTGAATTCCCATGGACGTGTTCTGTAGATCTAGAGGCCGTATATTGTTTACAGTAGTCTGATCTGGATCTTCGTCTCGGGCACGTTTCGACAAACCTGCATGTCAACCGTTTCAGCCGAAACCGCAGGCTCGCAAGGCCCCATGAGTGAAGAAGAACAGTGACAGAAGAGGTGGTACTAATACACGCCCAGATGAAGCAGACGCGCAAGTAATGCAGTTCTGCCAAAATCACATTTATCGTAACTATAGTATTGGTTGCAGACCCCATCGGTCCACATGTGCCCACCGTCACCAACCAGAGCCATACTGTAGCTCGGTTCTCGGTTCGGTTGAGTGTCTCTTACTGTTCCCACCACTTGAACCAGACCACAGTCTAAACTACTGTGTACTGTACAGTAATGTCCCAACTGGTTTCTATGGCCTGGAGGGTGTTCTACGGTGGTAGAGATAGATGACGTGCTGCGATACCCACGTCCTTGAGATCGGAATCCCCAAACCCGAAAGGCGTGCCACCACTAAACCACCGTGCACTAGCCCAGGCACTTTTTTGCTATCGCCAAAACCTGACAGGACGCCATTTAGACACACGCAGTAACCCTTACTTGGCGTTTTTGGCCCGCAGGTGGCGGTGAATACAAACGGTTGCGTGTGCGGCTTCAGGAGTCATGCTCCGTGGGTACGGTGGTTTGGAGCAGAGATGGAGCTGTAGATGTGAAATATACAAAATGGACGAATAGTTCTTAGACATGTCTAGTGCAGTCTAAGATGATGCCTTCCTCGTGCTACCATCGCTACACAGGTTCACTCACTGGATATTGCGTTGAGAGTTAGCTCCCCAACCACACAACATAAGTTGCGTTTGGGGAAATGGTTCAAATTTTGCCTTTCAGACCTTTGGGTGCAGGTGTGCTGCAGCAGAAGCTAAGTTTGGGGAAAGCATGGGAGAAATGTTGAATGTTGAGCTAGTTGGGCTGTACTGGGTTCCGTCACTGAGCCGGGCTGACATATAAGAAGTCTCCTGTAGTGAGATTGGTTTGGCAATCGAGGCGAACCCCATTATTTGATTTGGTGAGTTTTGCTACAGGAAACAGCGCGGCCAATTGAGGGCGTGAGGCAACCACAACAGGAGCAGGGGCGATATGGAGCTATTGATTGTGAACGGAGAAATACGACACTGGCTGGGTGGCCACCACATTTGAGGGGGGAAATGGAAAGAGAGACGACAGATTGGACTTGGCTGATTGGGCTTGGGTGAAGATGCCGTGGAACTGGAAATACCGCCATTCGACGCCTGGGCCGCCTCATCCACCACCATCACATTGGTCTGTTTCACTCTATTCGAAAAAGTGTTCGGATTAATTAAGGATAAACGGGATCAGCCTTTTTTTTTCTCGTGTGTTCGTGAGAGAACAGACATGTGTTGCGGAGCCACAACAGAGCACGCTACCGGCCGTTACACTACTTGCTTGTGGCGGTTACATGAGCATCAAGCCCCATTGTCCAGAATGAGATCTATCCAGTGTGGTGCTTACTGGCTCCCGTTTCATGTCTCACCTGTCTGCTTTGACTCGAAATACTGCGCAGATGCTACGCTTTCAAGTATGGCACTCACAGTCCCTCTCTAAAGTGATGATACAACGACCTCCCCTGTTTTTTTCTTCTTCCCCTCATCAATATTCCCGCGTCTTTGCTCTCCCCCAAAGGGTTATAAGTTAAGCTATAGACTCTCTTGGGCCAACGCTGCACTCAGCCAAGCAGATCCACCCTTTGCCTCTCCACATGATACATGAGTGATCTCGACGAAACACCTACTAACCACAGCTCTGATTCCGGTTTGGCGATTTCCCATTTAATTACTAATCTACAACCACACGCAACTACAATGGTGAGTATCGACCGAAGCAGGATGATCTCTACATGAGATATGCAACGCGTACGTGATTCAATTGATCCTAACACAGTACCCTACCACAGGTGTCAACACCCCCCAGAGCGCCGCCTCATTAAGACCACTGGTGCTATCGCACGGCCAAACTGAGCACTCGCTGCTGGTGCCCACCTCTCTGTACATCAACTGCACCACGCTCCGAGACCAGTTCTACGCCTCTCTACCTCCAGCCACTGAAGACAAGGCCGACGATGATGAGCCCTCCTCCTCCACAGAGCTTCTAGCTGCCTTCCTGGGATTTACTGCCAAGACCGTCGAGGAAGAGCCCGGACCATACGACGACGTTCTCTCTCTCGTGCTTAACGAGTTTGAGACCCGGTACTTGCGAGGTAACGACATCCACGCTGTGGCCTCCTCCTTGTTACAAGACGAGGACGTGCCTACCACCGTTGGTAAGATCAAGAGGGTGATTCGAGCCTACTACGCCGCACGAATTGCCTGCAACCGGCCCATCAAGGCCCACTCGTCGGCTCTGTTCCGAGCCGCATCTGAAGACTCGGACAACGTCTCTCTGTACGCCATCTTCGGTGGCCAGGGAAACACCGAGGACTACTTTGAGGAACTGCGGGAGATTTACGACATCTACCAGGGGCTGGTCGGCGACTTCATTCGGGAATGTGGAGCCCAGCTTCTGGCGCTGTCTCGAGATCACATTGCTGCTGAGAAAATTTATACCAAGGGCTTTGATATCGTCAAGTGGCTGGAACACCCCGAGACCATCCCCGACTTTGAGTACCTAATTTCTGCTCCCATCTCTGTACCCATCATCGGTGTTATCCAGCTGGCACACTACGCTGTCACCTGTCGAGTTTTGGGTCTTAATCCTGGCCAGGTCCGAGACAACCTCAAGGGTGCCACTGGCCATTCTCAGGGTCTGATCACCGCAATTGCCATCTCTGCCTCCGACTCGTGGGACGAGTTCTATAACTCTGCCTCTCGAATTCTCAAGATCTTCTTCTTCATCGGTGTCCGTGTCCAACAGGCTTACCCCTCCACTTTCCTGCCTCCCTCCACTCTGGAAGACAGTGTCAAGCAGGGTGAGGGCAAGCCCACTCCCATGCTGTCCATCCGAGACCTGTCTCTCAACCAGGTTCAGGAGTTCGTCGATGCCACCAACTTGCATTTGCCCGAAGATAAGCAGATCGTCGTGTCTCTGATCAATGGTCCTCGAAACGTTGTCGTTACTGGCCCCCCCCAGTCTCTGTATGGTCTGTGTCTTGTGCTTCGAAAACAGAAGGCCGAGACCGGTCTGGACCAAAGCCGAGTGCCCCACAGTCAGCGAAAGCTCAAATTCACACATCGTTTCCTGCCCATCACCTCTCCTTTCCACTCGTACCTGCTGGAGAAGAGCACGGATCTGATCATCAACGACCTGGAGTCTTCCGGTGTGGAGTTTGTGTCCTCCGAGCTCAAGGTGCCTGTTTACGACACCTTTGATGGCTCCGTGCTGTCTCAGCTACCCAAGGGTATCGTCAGCCGTCTGGTCAACCTCATCACTCATCTGCCCGTCAAGTGGGAGAAGGCCACTCAGTTTCAGGCCTCCCACATTGTGGACTTTGGTCCCGGTGGCGCTTCTGGTCTTGGTCTGTTGACCCACAAGAACAAGGATGGAACTGGAGTGCGAACTATTCTTGCTGGTGTCATTGACCAGCCCCTCGAGTTCGGCTTCAAGCAGGAGCTGTTTGACCGACAGGAGTCGTCCATTGTTTTTGCTCAAAACTGGGCCAAGGAGTTTTCTCCCAAGCTCGTCAAGATCTCCTCCACCAACGAGGTCTATGTCGACACCAAATTCTCTCGTCTGACTGGCCGAGCCCCCATCATGGTCGCTGGTATGACCCCTACCACTGTCAACCCCAAATTTGTGGCTGCCACTATGAACTCCGGCTACCACATCGAGCTTGGTGGTGGAGGCTACTTTGCCCCCGGTATGATGACCAAGGCCCTTGAACACATTGAGAAGAACACTCCTCCCGGATCCGGTATCACCATCAACCTGATCTACGTCAACCCTCGACTGATTCAATGGGGTATTCCTCTGATTCAGGAGCTTCGACAGAAGGGTTTCCCCATTGAAGGTCTCACCATTGGTGCCGGTGTGCCCTCTCTGGAGGTTGCTAACGAGTGGATTCAGGATCTGGGCGTCAAGCACATCGCCTTCAAGCCTGGATCCATCGAGGCCATCTCCTCGGTGATTCGAATCGCCAAGGCCAACCCAGACTTTCCTATCATCCTTCAGTGGACCGGAGGTCGAGGAGGAGGACATCATTCGTTTGAGGACTTCCACGCTCCCATTCTGCAGATGTACTCCAAGATCCGACGATGCAGCAACATTGTGCTGATTGCCGGATCTGGTTTCGGTGCTTCTACCGACTCCTACCCATACCTCACCGGTTCATGGTCCCGAGACTTTGACTACCCTCCCATGCCCTTTGACGGTATCCTGGTTGGTTCTCGAGTCATGGTTGCCAAGGAGGCTTTCACTTCTCTGGGAGCCAAGCAGCTCATTGTTGACTCTCCGGGTGTTGAGGATTCTGAGTGGGAGAAAACCTACGACAAGCCCACTGGTGGCGTCATCACCGTTCTCTCCGAGATGGGTGAGCCTATCCACAAGCTCGCCACTCGAGGTGTGCTCTTCTGGCACGAGATGGACAAGACCGTGTTCTCCCTGCCCAAGAAGAAGCGTCTGGAAGTGCTCAAGTCCAAGCGAGCCTACATCATCAAGCGTCTCAACGACGACTTCCAGAAGACTTGGTTTGCCAAGAACGCCCAGGGACAGGTGTGTGATCTCGAAGACCTCACCTACGCGGAGGTCATCCAGCGACTTGTTGACCTCATGTACGTGAAGAAGGAAAGCCGATGGATCGATGTCACTCTCCGAAATCTTGCCGGCACTTTCATTCGACGAGTTGAGGAGCGATTCTCCACCGAGACAGGTGCCTCTTCTGTGTTGCAGAGCTTTTCCGAGCTGGATTCCGAGCCCGAGAAGGTTGTCGAGCGGGTGTTTGAGCTCTTCCCTGCCTCTACTACCCAGATCATCAACGCTCAAGACAAGGACCACTTCCTCATGCTGTGTCTCAACCCCATGCAGAAGCCCGTGCCCTTCATCCCTGTTCTGGATGACAACTTTGAGTTCTTCTTCAAGAAGGACTCTCTGTGGCAGTGCGAGGACCTCGCAGCTGTTGTGGACGAAGACGTTGGACGAATCTGTATTCTTCAGGGTCCCGTTGCTGTCAAGCACTCCAAGATTGTCAACGAGCCCGTCAAGGAGATTCTCGACTCCATGCACGAAGGTCACATCAAGCAGCTGCTTGAGGATGGCGAGTACGCTGGCAACATGGCCAACATCCCCCAGGTCGAATGCTTTGGTGGAAAGCCTGCTCAGAACTTCGGTGACGTTGCTCTCGACTCTGTCATGGTTCTTGATGACCTCAACAAGACCGTGTTCAAGATTGAGACCGGCACCTCTGCTCTGCCTTCTGCTGCAGATTGGTTCTCTCTGCTGGCCGGTGACAAGAACTCTTGGCGACAGGTCTTCCTGTCCACTGACACCATTGTGCAGACCACCAAGATGATCTCCAACCCTCTGCATCGACTTCTGGAGCCCATCGCAGGTTTGCAGGTTGAGATTGAGCACCCTGATGAGCCCGAGAACACCGTCATCTCTGCTTTCGAGCCCATCAACGGCAAGGTCACCAAGGTGCTGGAGCTGCGAAAGGGTGCCGGAGACGTCATTTCGCTGCAGCTGATCGAAGCGCGTGGCGTTGACCGAGTCCCCGTTGCTCTTCCTCTGGAATTCAAGTACCAGCCCCAGATTGGCTACGCTCCCATTGTTGAGGTTATGACCGACAGGAACACCCGAATCAAGGAGTTCTACTGGAAGCTGTGGTTTGGCCAGGACTCCAAGTTTGAGATTGACACCGACATCACCGAGGAAATCATTGGCGATGACGTTACCATCTCTGGCAAGGCCATTGCCGACTTTGTCCACGCTGTTGGCAACAAGGGCGAGGCCTTTGTTGGTCGATCTACCTCTGCTGGTACTGTCTTCGCTCCCATGGACTTTGCCATTGTTTTGGGCTGGAAGGCCATTATCAAGGCAATCTTTCCCCGAGCAATTGATGCTGACATTCTGCGTCTGGTACATCTGTCCAACGGCTTCAAGATGATGCCTGGCGCCGACCCTCTGCAGATGGGTGATGTTGTTTCCGCCACTGCCAAGATCGACACTGTCAAGAACTCCGCTACCGGCAAGACTGTTGCTGTTCGAGGTCTTCTCACCCGAGACGGCAAGCCTGTCATGGAGGTTGTTTCCGAATTCTTCTACCGAGGCGAATTCTCCGACTTCCAGAACACTTTTGAGCGACGAGAGGAGGTACCCATGCAACTGACCCTCAAGGACGCCAAGGCCGTGGCCATTCTCTGCTCCAAGGAGTGGTTTGAGTACAATGGCGACGATACCAAGGACCTCGAGGGCAAGACCATTGTGTTCCGAAACTCGTCATTCATCAAGTACAAGAATGAGACCGTCTTCTCTTCTGTGCACACCACCGGTAAGGTATTGATGGAGCTGCCCTCCAAGGAGGTCATTGAGATTGCCACTGTTAACTACCAGGCTGGCGAGTCTCATGGCAATCCCGTCATTGATTACCTGGAGCGAAATGGAACCACCATTGAGCAGCCTGTTGAGTTTGAGAAGCCCATCCCTCTGTCCAAGGCAGATGATCTTCTCTCCTTCAAGGCTCCTTCTTCCAACGAGCCCTACGCTGGTGTGTCCGGTGACTACAATCCCATCCACGTGTCTCGAGCCTTTGCTTCCTATGCATCCCTTCCTGGAACCATCACCCACGGTATGTACTCTTCTGCTGCTGTTCGATCTCTGATTGAGGTCTGGGCTGCCGAGAACAATGTGTCTCGAGTTCGAGCCTTCTCCTGTCAGTTCCAGGGCATGGTTTTGCCCAACGACGAGATTGTGACTCGACTGGAGCACGTTGGCATGATCAACGGTCGAAAGATCATCAAGGTTACCTCCACCAACCGGGAGACCGAGGCTGTTGTTCTGTCTGGCGAGGCTGAGGTCGAGCAGCCCATCTCCACCTTTGTCTTTACTGGCCAGGGCTCTCAGGAGCAGGGCATGGGTATGGACCTGTACGCCTCTTCCGAGGTGGCCAAGAAGGTCTGGGACAAGGCTGACGAGCACTTCTTGCAGAACTACGGTTTCTCCATCATCAAGATCGTTGTGGAGAACCCCAAGGAGCTGGATATTCATTTTGGAGGCCCCAAGGGTAAGAAGATCCGAGACAACTATATCTCTATGATGTTCGAGACCATTGATGAGAAGACCGGCAACCTCATTTCCGAGAAGATCTTCAAGGAGATTGACGAGACCACCGACTCTTTCACCTTCAAGTCCCCCACCGGTCTGCTTTCTGCTACCCAGTTCACTCAGCCCGCTCTGACCCTCATGGAGAAGGCGTCCTTTGAGGACATGAAGGCTAAGGGTCTTGTCCCCGTGGATGCAACCTTTGCTGGTCACTCCCTTGGTGAGTACTCCGCTCTTGCTTCTCTTGGTGATGTCATGCCCATCGAGTCTCTTGTTGATGTCGTCTTCTACCGAGGTATGACTATGCAGGTTGCTGTTCCCCGAGATGCCCAGGGTCGGTCCAATTACGGTATGTGCGCTGTCAACCCCTCTCGAATCTCTACCACCTTCAACGACGCTGCTCTTCGGTTTGTCGTTGACCACATCTCCGAGCAGACCAAGTGGCTGCTTGAGATTGTCAACTACAACGTTGAGAACTCTCAGTACGTGACTGCCGGTGACCTGCGAGCTCTCGACACCCTCACCAATGTGCTCAACGTGCTCAAACTCGAGAAGATCAACATTGACAAGCTGCTCGAGTCTCTGCCTCTGGAGAAGGTCAAGGAGCACCTTTCTGAGATCGTCACCGAGGTGGCCAAGAAGTCCGTTGCTAAGCCTCAGCCCATTGAGCTGGAACGAGGCTTTGCCGTGATCCCTCTCAAGGGCATCTCTGTGCCTTTCCACTCTTCGTACCTGCGAAATGGTGTCAAGCCCTTCCAAAACTTCCTGGTGAAGAAGGTGCCCAAGAACGCTGTCAAACCTGCCAACCTCATTGGCAAGTACATCCCCAACCTCACTGCCAAGCCCTTTGAGATCACCAAGGAGTACTTTGAAGAGGTTTACAAGCTCACCGGTTCCGAGAAGGTCAAGAGCATCATCAACAACTGGGAGTCTTATGAGTCCAAGCAGTAAGTTGCTGGATCTCTCGTGGAGGATTTAGAAGGAATATTAGAGGAGATTAAAGGAGGATTTTTGTTTATATATGTTTTAATGGATTATTGTTATTGACCTCATTGTATTTACTGCACTATGTATTTACGAGTACAATGGTTGCTACAGTACATACTGTACAATGGTCTATGGCAGCTTGATGCTGTGGTTGTTTTACAACTTCGCTTTAACCGTCTTCTTCAATCGCATAGTCTTCTTCAGCAGCGTCTTGTGTCGACTCATGAGATAGGTACGTGCCAAGTTGGACCATGACACTAAACGTGTTTAATTAGTAATATTCGTGCAAGCGTACATTCATTTCAAAGGTTATTCTTTCACAGCAAAGTTATAATTAAATGAATGTATATGCAGAAAAAAAATATATAGGGACACCACGTTCTGACTGGTGTGTGCTTGCTCATTCACCAGAAAGAGATTCTAGATCAGTGGATAAAGCTATCTACAGGATGGACATCTCGTCTACGACCAAGCTGGGTCCTCCCATCACTATGTGATTACCTCTCATCATTGTGAGGTGAGTCAGGTATTACCCTACCGGATATTACTTCAACACCTATGACCCTGATAATTATCACCAAGCACGACTGACTTCGGGGACATTACACAGACGGTTTTTGACGCCGCCAGCACTGAAACTACAGTACTAACTGATACAACAACAGACTATACCCATCACTACATGGACTGCACCAATCACCCACCCGCATTCGTTTTTAACACCCATTCACACCCATTCACATCAACCTTACACAATGGAAAGAAACCCTCTGGATGTATGGGACACGGCAGGGCGCCCTCGTCCTGCTATTTCTCAGATCCAGCGCATTAACATCTTTGATTTCGACAATACTCTGTTCAAGACGCCACTGCCCAACCCGTCTCTCTTCTACGGAAAGACGGTAGCTATGTTGCAGAGCAGCAGTGGTATCCATCTTGGCGGCTGGTGGGCCGACCCACGATTTCTCTTAGCTACCGGAGAGGGATTTGAGAAGGAACAAAGAAGAGCTTGGGAGGGCTGGTGGAATGAAAACGTGGTGGATCTGGTCCGCTTGGCTAGCGAGGATCCAAGCAGTCTCAACATTCTTCTAACAGGCAGGAAGATGACGAAGTTTGTTATTTCCATCACAGCCATGGTGACGGCGAAGAAGCTACCATTTCATGCCATTGTGCTGCGCAAGGGAGACGCAGAAAACACGCTGGCATTCAAAATTGAGGTCATGAAGGATCTGCTGACATACTACTCAGGCTGCCAGGAGATTACAGTGTACGACGATCGTCCTAGCCAGGCTAACGGCTTTAGACGGTTCTTCAAACAATTTCAGACGGAGCACCGAAACTCTCTTCTATACGACGTGGTGGACTGTTTGGAGGAGACACGGTACTTGGATCCTCTGTTAGAACGGGATCTAGTCATTGGGGTGTTGGAGGCTCATAATGAGGCAGTTCAGAAACGATATCTGAGCTCATATGTCAGCAACGGCACCCTGAATCTGAAAAGGGTCTTTTTCAATCTCTCCTACAAGGTAGATCCTCACTGCACCAAGAAGCTACTGGAGATTTTGGTGACCCACATCGCTAAAGAAGACAAGGTCGCTGCTGAAGTTGTTGCGGCCACCTCCGAGGAGTCAGCTGAGTCTAGCGGTGAAGATGAACCTGCTAAGGTCGAAGACTACTTCAACTACCACTGCGACTCCATGATTATCACTCGGCGTGACGAGAAACTGGTTCTGGAGCAGGTGCAGGGGGTGGGCCACAGAGACACGTGGAAGGTGTTGCAGATAGGCTACGTTGCCGGAAAGGTCTGGGCCTTACGTTTGGCACCTGATACGCTCGAGGCTGCCGCTAGATGCGTAACAGAAAAGATGCCTACCGAATTGCTGATCGCCACTAGCAAGGATGCTAAGAGCGCCGACAGTCTGAAGATTGACAACTGGACCGGCATCGACGAAGGCTGTGCCGCACTGCAAGAGATGCGCATCTTCACCACGGTCAAGGAGCAGGTTCTGTACCGTATCGAGCCCGTCAACCCCAAGCAGAAGAAGGCAGTATCAGCAGGACGAGTCAAAAAGTCTCGACAGGCGAAGAAAGACAAGTCTGCATTTTTGGGGAGCTATTATTAAAGCGGTAGTTGACTGAAAAAAGGCACATGCCAAATCAGACAATCGAGATAAGGTTGTGTGGAGTCAAATAGGCAAGCCTTGTGTCTCATGTGTACTGTAGATATTGTTTCAATCGACGTAAATGTACATATCGTATTACACAATCGAATGTGACAACCATCGTACTTGTGGAACTTATGTGTGCTGAAACCAGACTACTGTAGCTAGAGTTGTAATATTCGCCAGTTACAGGTATTATACGAGGCACACAAGGACAAGAGTTATCTTAGAGCCAGTTAGCAGTCTTATTAGTGCCTCGACAAGTCATAGAATGTCAGCTATGAAATCTTGATTGGGGACGTGGGATACCTGATAACCGCCTTCTGCTATTGAAAATTATGACATACTTATGGATACGAGCTACCCTGTAGAGCTACTTGAACGGTGCAGTAAGGCTTTGCACGGAGGAGGGGGTACAGCGGCTTCTGTGTGTGGTGTTCTACAGTGGGCAGGCACAATATGATACAAGTACATACTGTAGATTCGGTAGGTCGATGCTTGATGTATCGTACAAGGTGGGGTATTTTATTTTTCGTGGTGCGCGACTTGTGCCAAGACGTGAGCCCCATGGAATATGGGGATTCCACCTGTCAGGAGGGGGGACAGTTATACGCCAGGATCCAATAGCATCCAATTCAAATGCAAATGCAAATGCAACCAGCGGATTAGCCTTCACGATAGCCTGACTCGTGTTTTATTTTGATGGAGAGACAATGACAAAAGAGCGACACTGAACGTAGCTACCACTACGGTACATACCTTGTGATGTTCGGTCGTTTTTGGTATTCCATTGCAACATGCATGATTTAGGATGTGTGAGAGTACAAGTACTGTAGTCTTACTGTAGTTTATACTACGGCACCGTGTAATGTTGTCTTGTGAGTAGAAATATTTTCTGTTAGTGGCCAACAGCTTGTGTTGAAGCCCCTCTTTGACCCTTCCGTTCTCTTTGGCCTGAGCGACCGGGCAGATGTTTTTGGCAGATCCATTTCTCCCAACCCCCCAACCTTGCCTAATTGTTAGGACCGAGACCATAACGTCTAATTAAGCTACAGTAAGTAGAGTTTGTCCCAACATGCGAGGAGCGTCCACAGTGTGCATATTAGCTGGGTGGTGGGTATAGACTAAATTGGTGAAACCGACGACAGCAAAAAAGGAAGACAACTGGGCCGGACATTTAGAAAAAGTTGGGAGAGACAGGACTCAGCACACCAGGAAGCAACACAACCCATTGAAGACGACACATACCCGCTCGCCGGCCATTCCGCATCATCATGAAGGCCAAACCATTAACGATCCATTGGCACACCGACAGTGAGCCAATCTATTCACTAGACCTGCAGAAGGGCAAATATCATGGGGGAAGCCGTCTGGCAACTGCCGGAGGAGATGGTAACGTGCGAATATGGAGAGTCTCCAAGCCCGAGACTTCCGACACAGACACGATCGATAACTTATCGGTTGAGTATCTCGCTACCCTGACCAAGCACGAAGGAGCGGTTAACGTGGTACGGTTCGATCCCACGGGCCAACTGCTGGCCTCAGCCGGAGATGACAAGACGCTTGTAATCTGGTCGCTGGTAACCCGCAACGGCGAAATTGTGCCGCCAAAGAAGGAGTTTGGGCGGGACGATGTGGACGAAGAGTCGTGGAAACCGCGTACCCCGTTCGTTATGCACAAGCTGGACGCGAAACGCCCTCCACCGGAGGTGTATGATATTGCATGGTCGCCAGACTCGCAGTTCATTCTAGTGGGCTGCATGGACAACATTGGAAGGATATTCAGCGTGGCCACGGGTCAATGTGTTAGAGAAGTGGCCGAACACTCACACTATGTCCAGGGTGTGGCATGGGACCCTCTCAACGAGTACCTAGCTACACAGAGCAGCGATCGGTCCGTTCATATCTATGCACTCAAAAATAGAGAAGGAACGTATCTTCTGGATGCTGCTGAGCAGGAAAAGAACAGACTGGAGCTCCATCAAAAGTCTAACAAGGCAGAGCTGCCAGTTAAGAACGCGCCCTCCACACCAGTCATGTCATCGTCACAACTGTCATCAACTTCAGGCTCTCTGACGCCCTCAAGCCACCATCATCACGACATTGATGTGGGCACACCCAGCACTCCTGTCGGAAACATGAACCCTCCTTCCAGTACTCAGACACACTCGCGAAAGTCTTCTTTTAGCGGCTCCAACAGAAGCGAGAGTCCCCTGCCTTCCTCATTCATTCCTCTGCCAGCAGTCAAACCAGCGGAGTCGCCCAAGGTCAGAAACTCGGCGTTATACCAGAACGAGTCATTTCCGTCCTTCTTCAGAAGACTATCCTTCAGTCCCGATGGCAGTCTGCTCTTCACGCCAAGTGGAGTGTTCAAGTACGAAAACACAAACGCAGACACGAACACGGTCTATATCTACTCACGGGCAGGGCTGAACAAGCCACCCGTTGCTTACCTTCCGGGCCTTCACAAACCATCACTGGCAGTCAAATGTTGTCCTCTTCTCTTCAAGCTCCGTGGAACTCCTGTTGACACAGCAAACATCACTAAAGATAACACACCAGCTGGAGCCCCTAAGAATGACGAGACTGGCGAGAAAATGAGCTCTCCGGCATTCGCACTGCCCTACAGAGTCATCTACGCGGTGGCAACCCAGGACTCTGTGGTCATCTACGACACAGAACAGCATCATCCACTCGGTATTGCCACCAGCTTGCATTTTGCCCCTCTGACTGATCTGTCGTGGTCCGACGACGGCCGGAATCTCTTTGTGTCTTCTGTCGACGGCTTCTGTTCAGCTCTGACGTTTAGCAAGGAGGATCTGGGGGAGTTGTACACAGGAGAGGTCCCAGCTACCTCTACGGTAACTGGTGCTGCCCCTACTGCCACTCCAATGAAGACTCCACCCACCAGCTCAAATGAAACCCTGAGTGACAACCGGCCAAAGTTCTCGCAGCTGCCCACCGTTCCTTCCTTCACACCCACCTCCAACTCTTCGTCGGTGTTCAGAAGCATGTCTGCATCTTCCAGCCCGGCATCGGGAAGTTCTCAGATGAACATCATGACCCCGACTCATCGGCCTTTGCAAACAGTCAATGTTCCAGGTCTGTCTTCAGCCGAGTTGGACTCCATCTCCCGAGGGGCTTACGGAACTGCTAACCTAAGTCGACATGAGCGGGCCAGTTCCACTTCGTCTACAGATACTCAACGATCCGACTTTATCGCCCAGCCGCAGCCCAAAAAGAAACGACGTATTGCACCTACGTTGGTTCCTGAATCTACAGGTTCTTCTTCTCCTGCCAGTTCAACTTCGGCTCCAGCTACTGTCGACTCGGTGCTTAACAATGAGCCTCACGATAAAAAATGAACGCTACAGGATACCGGAGCGGCGCGTATATAATCAATAATTAATATGGATAAAAGAATAGATTTTGTGCTTGAGATATACAGCTACTGTACATACTGTATTTAATGGGATTGTGAGTAAATTAAGGACCTTTTACGCTTTTTTTTCTTCATTTTTTCTTCTTCTTTCAACTGTCCACATTTACTTGTATTCAGACACCGTGGTACAAGTATTGTACCTTGTGCTTGTAATATTTATACCACTGACAAAAGCGTGGATTCAGATTTGCTATCTGTTAAACCACAACCAGAGAGTCTTATTCTAAGTAGAGTCTCGCACTCGTATGTACATACCGTACATACTGTATACAGCTCACGCTCTTTCACATTTATTCATTCAAAGAGCTACTTTCCAACCATAACGACCAGGTTCAACATTTTAATTTATTTATGTACAAAGTGCTTATTTAATCATGTTGTTGATGAGGTCGGAGCTGGAAGCGGCGCGGGGAGATCGGCTTCCTCGGGGAGAGTAGTTAGTGTCTCGCTTGCCCTGGACAGTCATGACAATGTTTCCAGTCTTGCTGTCAATGGCAGAGGTCTGGACGTTGAAGTGAGAGACTCGCTGGCCATCTCGGTAGGGAGCGGTGGCTCGAGTGTGGTCGAGATCAAGCTTAGCAACGACACCTCCGATGGCAGCCACAGAAGTAGCCCGTTCGCCGTCTCGGACTCGGCCGGAAACAAGAATGCTCTCCTGGACACCGTTTCGTGAGTTTCGCAGAGATCCAGAAGGGACGTACGAAAGACCACCAGTGGCCTTGATCTCCTGGTGAGCTCTGGCGGGCAGTTCAATGTTCTCGTTAACGTATGACTTGGCGAGCTTGAGCAGCTGAGAAGGGTAGTTCATGTTGACAGGATCGACCTTGGACAGAAAGGACTCTCGGGTCATAGGAAGCTTTCCCGACTCGTTCTTGTGGGGCTGTGTAAAGAAAGGATCCATCTTCTTCTCGCTGGTGGACTTTCCACCTCCGTGCACAGACGTGAAGGCCAGACCGGTGGATCGGAGACGCTGGGCAGCTCCGTGGTACCGGGTACCGTATGTGAGCTCAGCCATCTGCATTCGTGTATCAATGGCCTCAACAGAAGCTACCTCTGACTTGAACAGAGGAGGAACAGGTCGCTTAAGGCCCCAATCAGATCGTCTCTTGGTCTCGGGGGTAGCAGTGATTACCTGCTGGACAGGAACTGCGGGATTAGCATTCTTGCCCTTGGGGATAACAATAGATGCATACCGACTGTTTTTGAGTAGAGACCCAAAGCTCCGCGACGGCTTTGACATAGACATTTTGCCGATTCTGCTGTATGCCTTTTGTTCGTGTTGTAATATGTGAATTTTCACATCTCGACCGGGTAAAATTGGGATGAAAATAAAGTTTGGTAATATTAGTAAGCGCCTGTTGGATTAATGAAGTACACGTCGGTTACAAAATAGCAGTCGCCTGTACAGTATTCGAAGATATATATATCTATATATACCATTTACATGGTGGTCACGTGAATTCCTTATTTTCTTTGTATTTTCATACCTACAAAACAGAAATCAATTCCGGTTAACACGCACAACGACATACTACAGTAGCCAATTTAATATTAGTTCAAGTACTCACCTAAATTACTCGACACTGCACATACTCGACACAGCGCCAGATACATCCCCTACAGTAGTGCAGCACAAGGCTTCTTGATCCACTGAAGACCGTCGTTACTCGCTAACATACTCGTACATATCATAATCCATAAAACTAGTTATCCCATCCAACATACTCTCTACCAACAACTCGGTAGACCTTGACCTCACCGCTCTTGAGATCAGCTAGACGATAAGACTCCTGTTTGACCTTGGCAGAGCCAGTGCCGAGATCTTTCTCATGCTGCTCAAACACCCGCAGCTTTCGCTTGGTGCCGTCCCACTCGTAGACAACACCAGAGTGTGGCACAGCAACGCCAACCTCAACAACAGACGACTTCTTGCCAAGACCGCCCTTGGAGGAGAAAGAGGCATTTCGGAAAACAACAACGTCTCCAGCTCTAATCTCATCATACTGTTGGGTGGTCGCATTGCCCATGTTGGCATAGACAAGAGCACCAAAGGCTCGGCCTCCAATGGAAGGCATGGCGTCCTTGATGGAGGCCACGCACTGAGGTGCAAGAGAACCATCAGCAACTAGCTGGCCAAATTGTCGATGAGCAAGGTCTACCATCTTTCGACCGTTGAGCTTGTGAGCCTCCTCGAGCTTGGGCTGGGGCCAAGGAGATGGAGGAGGCGTAGAAGACTGCTCAAAGGTGGCCCCACCCTCAGTGGTCCACTGGGCAGAAATGGTGGTCTGAGAATAGTCTGCGTAGACCACGTAAATGTCTCGAGACAGCTGGGTTCGGCCACCTCGCTTGTGGGTCTCGTTATCTTCCATCTCATAAATGGCCTCACCGGCTCTCACTCGCTGCAGCAGAGCAGGAGGGATGCCATTGGGCTCCAGCCACCATTGGGAGTTTTCTCCGAGGTCGAGGTCTCGGGCCAAGTAGCCACTATGCAGATCAACGGAGGTTCTACTTCGTCGAGAAGTTGACGTACGTGACAAACCAGGGGGTGCACCAGCGGGAGCTCCAGGGGGTGTTCCATGGGGAGGAGGAACTGGTACTCCAGTAGGCACGGGAGGAGCAGGAGCTCCAGAAGGTGCCGGGGGAGCAGGGGCATGCTGAGGTGGGGGAGGCACATGCTGGAGAGCAGGAGGCACAGGAGCCGCCTGAGGGGGAGGAGCATGTCGAGGCATGGGGGGAGAGGCGTTCGGAACCGGTGGTGGAGGTGCTCGAGAGGGAGGCTGAGGCGCATGATGGGCATCAGGGGCATGTGGGGGTGGAGGAGGAGGAACGGCATGCGGAACGGGGGGTGCAGGAGCTCCAGGAACCGCGGGTGCGTGCTGATGAGGCATGCTGGGAGGGGGCACTTGGGGAGAACCAGGGACAGGGGGAGGAGGAGGAGGAGCTGCAGCCCGCTCGGGAGGGGGAGGAGGAGCTGATCGCTCAGTGGCTGGAGGAGGGGGAGGGGGGGCTCCTCGCTCAGGCGACTGTGGGATTGGTGGAGGAGCCCGAGAAGCAGGAGGAGATGTAGGAATGGGAGGAGGAGCTGAGGTCACAGGAGACTGGGGGATTGGTGGAGGAGCTCGCTCAGCGGGAGGAATAGGGGGAGGAATAGTACCATGGTGGACACCTCGGGCCTCCTCTTCCTCACTGAGATTGGCGTTCAAATCAGTGTCTTCATCAGCATCGTATCCTCCCACCTCGTCACTGGAGTACTGGCCAGAAACTACGCCATCAAGGCTGATGGGCTTCTGGAGAGCCGGAAGAGGCAGAACAGGAGCTCCACCGAGAGCGGAAGGACCTCGCTTGGTGGAGTCCTGTCTACGAGGATGCTGGGGGTAAATGCTGCTTGCATCCGACTCGGTGTGCTCATCGTCTCCCATTCCGGTCTCGTCTCCGGTGTGAGGCAGAGACTTACCCAGACTACTCATTCGGAAGGCGTCCTTAGGTTCTCTTTCCTTGACATGATCCTGGGGGGGAGGAGAACAAGGGACCGAAGAGACAGGCACAGGAGGCTCTCCGCCGTGGCTAGCAGGAGGGACAGCAGTCACAGGCACGGGGCCGCCCTGTTGAGGTACGGAGGGCACGGCAGGAGAACCACCCACGGGGGCGGAGGTGGGGAGAGTTGACCTAGACTCAACCTCAGTCTCATCATCCTCGTCATCGGAGTCCTTCTCATCGGAGTCAGAGTTGACCTCAATGGGAGCAGGAGGTGCCCCAGGAGAAGGAACCAAAGTGGCAACAGGGGGCACAGGTGCAGACGTGTGCTGCTGCTCTGTAGGTGGAGCAGGAGGAGCAGCTCGAGAAGTGGCGTGGGGAGGAGCCAATGGCGCAGAGGTAGGGACATGTGCAGGCTCGGCTGTCTCAGCTGGGACAGTAGGTGCAGAAGCAACAGGGGCGGCTTCGTCACCCTCGTCGGGATGAACCTCCTTCTTCTTCTTCTCCTTCTTCTCCTTCTTTTGGGGGAAGGCCTGGCCGGGGAAAGCGAAGGCTCCACCGGGAGGGCCACCCATCATACCCATACCGAGATGTCCACCACCAGAAAGCTTGGCCATTCGCTCACGCAGGGCAATTCGTCGGGCCTCCTCGTCGTCGGAATCAGAGTCGTCATCGTCGTCATCGTCATCCTCCTCTCCAGCAGCATGTCCACCAGGGGCCGGAGCACCCATCATGGCAGGAGCAGGAGCACCCATCATAGCGGGCGCAGCACCAGCAGGAACACCGCCAGGGTGAGCACGCGTTCGCTCGGTTGCAGCGTCCTCATCATCATCCTCCTCAACTCCCTCATCCACATCAGCCTCGTGGCTCAACATGGACAAAGGTCGTCCTACTTCTCCACCAACAGAGTCTCGTCGATCCAGCGAGTCTCGTCGGTCCATCGACTGTCGTCGCGAAAGAGGCTTCTCTAGAGATCGCATCGACTCGCCGGTGGCAACTCTCTCCAAAGTACCTCCCGTGGTCTGGGGTTGCACTGAGGGAGACTCCTTAGTCTGCTGCTCTTTTCGGGCCTTTCGCTCCTTTTTAGCAGCAGCAGCCGCCTCAGCTCGAGCTGCCTCAGCCGCCTGCTGTTCTTGCAGCAGTCGAATTCGGTCTCGCAGAGACACTCCGGGTGCTTCAGCCTCGGCCACAGCCTCTGGTTCCTCTTCTTTGGCCTCTTCATCACTCGAGGAGTCTCCGTATGTCTCCTTTTGTTGTTGGGGAGGCGAGTGGGCCTGGGGTTGGTCAGCAGCAGCATCGGCTGTCTTTCGCTCCTCGCTCCGAGCATTATACCGGGCTGCCTCGACAGAAGGATGAACCTGGTTGGATGGAAGAGGGGGAACGTAAGACGAAGTCTGGCCGATCTCGAACTTTCGGGGCTTTGGGGCAGGCGCAGCTGGCTTGGGAGCCTCAGCAGCCTGGTTGTTGAAAGCCGCGATTCTGTCTCGGAAGGCGTTGGACTTAGGCTTGGGAGTGGGAGCTCCTGAAGCCACTGGCTCGGCGGCGGCCTTGTTGGCCTCGTCCAGGAATGCCGTTTTCGACTTGCCCTTAGGCAGCTCCTTCTGCTCGATGTCGGCGTTAGGCTGTGATTCCTTAGGTGTCTCCTTGGAGGGCTGGTGGTGGTCAAAGGTCGAGGTCTTGGACAGCGGCTTGGGCTCGTGAGAGTCCATGGTAGCGGCTCGTGCAGGCATGCCTCGAGGGGTGTCCCAATCGTCGTCATCATCATCGTCGTCGTCATCGTTGTTGGCGTTGCGGGGCGGAATGGCGTTAGTGGCCTGTCTAACAGACTCAGAGGCAGGCTCGGCAGCGGCGGAGGCAGCGGCGGGAGTGTTACTGACACCAATTGAGTGCTCGGCGGGTTTCACGGGCTCCACGTCCTCCTTGGAATCATGGAACTCGTCAGGGTCAATGACAGACTCTCGCTTGGGCTCCAAAATGACGGACTCTCGCTTGGGCCTTCCAGCGGGACGAGCAGGAGCCGGCGGCGTGTACGCTTCGACGAAGTTCTGGGGAAAAAGACCGACCTTCTCAACTCCGTTGTCGGAGTACTTGCCCGAGTACCATTCCTCGTCCTCCACGGCGGTGACGGTGATCACTTGGCCGGGCTGGAAGACCAGATCGTCGGGATGATCACTGGTGTATTCAAACAGCGCCTTAACTGTGAACGGTGTGGACGCCATTTGGTGGTAGTGGTTGTGGTGGTTGTGTAAGGTGCGTCAATATCTGGATGTGTTGTAATTATGTGAGCTTGCGCAACGTAACTTTATTATCTAGTGGGGGGCATAAGGGCCGGAGATGAGGGCAATCGGCGATGGATGGAGTGCCGTTTACAAGAGAGATGGAGACGGATAATTGACACGTCCATATCAATTTTCCTACGAGTACTCTCATTACATCTCCCAGAACAAGCTCCCCCAAAGGTTTCGGAGATAGCTCACTGCTGGGCTATGTCCCAAAACTCAGCCAGCGGCACTCGTACAAGTAAGCCAAGCTGCGTGCACTCCACATGAACACCGCTGCACAGCAGTTACAGTATAAACCAGCGGATGTGGTTACGACTTTCCGGAAGTTGTTATTACGCTTGAAAGGAGAGATTTAGGAGCTGGATCAGAGTCAAATGGATTGAAAATACTCGACGAACTGATTTCCTTGATCACGTGAAGTTATAGCCGGTCCACTCTGTATCAGCTGACTTTGCTCGTGTCACGCTTCGGTGCCCATTACAAGTCATATCCCCCTCCTGTTTGAAATTGCGATAGACACAGTCCGCGACGTACAGTACATACAGTGCGTCCAATACTTCAGATGGTGCCACAGTGTATTTACTGTACAAACACGCACAACATAAAGCGACCTAACTATAAATACCCCGTAGACCGTAGACACATACACCCACAAGACCATCGTTGTCAGAGTCAAATCGCTCATGTGGGAATACGCTCGGAACAATGCATGTATCGCAAGACGCATATATATAGCAAGCGACGAATATCGCGACTTTCAGGACTTTTAGAGGTAAGCGACATGAGAAATTACACATAACTCACTCCCAATATTCCCCGTCTCTTGTAGATACTGTAACTATGTCGCTCACACGATAGGTTTTACACTCTATCGGGCTTGTTTCGGAATATCCGTCATCGGTCGCATCACAACCCTAACCCTGTCAAGAAGAAGGATGAACATGGAATTGAGTAGAATATGCGATACAACGATATTACAAGTAGAGAAATACTCGATCACTACGAAGCCGTACACTGTGATAGAGGGTCTCTGTGCACCACGTCCTTCCACCTCTATTTTAAGCATACATTTACTGTAGCTACAGTAAGACATATTCCACTTGTAGAAAGAAACGCCACAAGGCCAACTACAAGTAGAACAATATTGTAGGTATATAAAGAGTACAGTGAATCACAAATCACTGTTGATTATAACTTACAATACTGTAGCTACACCATATAGACAGTAGAAGCAGCAGTCATTGCACATTTAAATGCTTTCACAAGTCATGGGGCAGCGTTAGATGCATGAGGAAATTCCAACCTGTCTGGAACATAAAATGAAAGATACTACCCATTAATTAAAGGCACACATAGACACAAGAATCCACTTCATTCGCTTAGCTCTTGTGCCAAAACCCACCTGTGAAGAGTCTTTTGTTGTCTATGCTCTGCAAATAAATAGACTTCCCTTTTGCATAATCGCTCGGTGATAACCGTTGATAAGGTTACAGAGGTATCAGTATTTCTTGTACTTGTACAAGGGAATATATTTTCATTGTCATAATTCATTTGTTAGTTATTGCGTGCTATTTGTATGTTAGATGAAGAATCACTTCCTCAGATTGTAAAGAATCAACTTGTCTGCTTTAGGTGAATACAGTAAAGCCGTAGATCGTGTTTCCTTCAGCTTGACCAGCTGGTTGTAGATCTTTGCCAGGTAAGGCTTATGTGAAGGCTGGATACCAATCACCTTTCGACGCCATTCATCAAACGATGCCAGAGAAGTCACAGAAATGGCGTCAAGTATATCTTCCTTGACATCGATTGTGAAAATGGGAGCCTCCTGGATGTCGTGTACCAGCGAACGCGTGTGTCTCAACGCACGTTCCTCCTCGTCGTTCCACTGGTTGGTTCTCTTGGAGGACTTACTCTTGTTCCACTCATTCGTGATCACAGACACCTTGTTGGTGGCATAGATATCGCTAGTATCCACAATGGAAGCTGGAGGCGATGGGTCGTGAGGCACAGACAGAGAAGGGGGTGCCAGGGCGTTTGTGTTGCTGTAAGATCCACCCCGCTCATTCAACTCAGTCATCATATGACCGACGATTCCATCTCTATCAATATCAGTGTCGTCGTTCCGCGCAACATTCTTGACACGAAGGGGCTTGTACGCGGCCGCAGCAGAAGAGTAGCCACTATGCTGCTTGACGATGATGATCCAATTGATACCTTCACTCTGAGCCCGCGCAACAAGTTCCTCCGATGATGAACAATCTCGGCACAAGTCAGCTCGAATACCTGCTCCCCACAAGTCCTTCAAAACATCTAGACAAACAGTGCGCAATGTGTTACTATTGAAGGACGTAACGAGAGCATCACAACGAGAGGGGTACCAACGTTGCAACTCGAGAGCAGATGACGAAGTGGATGTGCTGAGAACCTGAACCGTGCCCTTCTTCTTTTGCTTTTTCATCAAGGCATCTCTGTAGGCCTTCATGGAGTCGAAGATTGATTCCCAAGCAAGGTTGAAGCCGACAGCATGCGTGCGGGGAACTCCTCGATCCAATGACTCGTGTCTGAACCGAGTAATCAGTCGGTCATATCGTCCACCAACAGCTAGAATGGACGTGCGCTTCTGTGGAGCGGTATCCTCAACGACAGCCTGAAACATCAGACCGCTGCGGTAGAAGTCCTCGTTGTAATTACTCAATGGAGCAACGTAGACACGACGGGTACAGCCAAAACGTTTCAGATAGGTAGAAACCTTTCGAATCCACAAGAATGACTCTGTCAGCCGAGTGGTATGCTCGCTGCCCTCGATCATCTTACGAAGACGTTGTTCGGCCTTGTCGATGTCGTCTCGGAATCCAAATGATTCCAAATCATCCAAAGCGGTGGCACCGACAGAGTACTTGGTTCGAAGCTCTTCCTTGACAACCTGGCGAGCAGGGGCCTGTCCGGTCTCGTCCAGAAGCCGAAGAGCAACAGCTCTCTGGGCTTGCCCAATACGACATGAATCCAAAATAGTCTGCAGGATATCCCAATGGTTAATGTAAATGACGACGTTGTTGTTTTTAAAAGATGGGAACAACTGGATCACCTGGTCGAGTACTCGGATAGCCTCGGCGTCATACAGAGGCAAGTCCGTAGAATCCTGGGTTACAATGTCAAAGTCAATCTCTCCAAACCGGCGGGGATGGCTAACGACATTGTTCTCATCTGCTCGATAGACATAATCACAGCAGAAAGACTTATGGTAGTAAGTCTGACCCTTGGCAAGCATTCGAGCATGAGGGAGTGTCAGGTCGAAGGGCAACTGAAGAATTGTACCCGCTTGATCGAGTACTGACACCACATTTGGGGACTTGTATATGAGAGACTTCGGAAATAGCAATGGTCGATTGTTGACCTTGATGGCACCGTGGTTTCTGAAAGTTGCCTCGATTTGCTCAATCATCTGAGCCTGGAGAAGAGAATCGCGAGAGTCCGATTTACTGCCCTCACCAGCGATTGCACGGTCGTAAAGAAACACCTGCGCTGTCTTGAGAGGTCGTGAGAACAGAGCCCGACACACTTGAGAAAGCCATGGCGAACTGGGCGAGGGGTCTACCAAGCTTCGAATCACCTCCTTGATAGTCTTGTCCTTATTAGGAATCGGCAAAATGCCTGAGGCCAAGAGTTGTTGGGCAGAAGGTCTCTTGCTGGGGTCATGGTCGAGCAAGCTTCGAATGATCTTACGAGGTTCGTTGTACTTAGAAGCCTCAAACGCTGGAGGGAAGATGACCTTAGGGTTGCGCAAGTCTCGAAGAATGTAGACACGCTCCATCGCAGTGTTCATGGGGAACACCATCTCGAAAAAGATGATACCCAAAGAGTACATGTCAACTTTCTCGTTGTAATTGGCCTCCCCGCCTGTGGCTAATACCTCATTGGCGACGTACAGCGTAGTACCGATGTCGCCTGTCATATCCTCACCTGTGTACTGAGACGAGCTCCCACCAGTTCCTGCACCGGCACCAACCAGAGAAGTTCCAGTATGGATATTCTTGGCCAGTCCAAAATCTCCGACCTTGACATTACCAGATGAGTCAATGAAAATGTTCATAGGCTTGAGATCTCGATGGATGATGCCCTGAGAATGAATGTGGCTCAGAGCATCAAGAATCTGGCCAAACAATCGCCAGCAGTCTTCAGGTTTAGATGAGAGGTTCTGCTTGATCAAATCCGCCAAAGTGTGCTTCTCACAATATTCCATTTGAATGAATAGGGTGGATTTTACCAGAGACTTGTCTTGCTTGTGTCGAGGAGAGTCACGCAGCTCAGCCAGAGCAGCCTTTCCAACGAGAGTCTTGACGGTAGTTTTGTGTCTGCTGTTGATGGGAGAAGATGTTGATACGCTCCCCGAAGAAGTCTCGTCTTCGCTGTCGCTATCGTCACTCTCGCGGTCTTCATCATCCTCTGAACTGACTCCGAATTCAATCTCAGGATACTCTCGATGCAGGGAGTTGGAGATGAAGTCCACCGAGGCGTTCATGGAGAGCTCGTCAAACGTATCTTGGTCGTATGAGCCGTTGAGACGGGCAGGAAACGCGCTGACAGATGTTTCAACTCTAGAAACACTTTCGCTCCACTCCTCCTCTGAATCGTAGTCCTCGATGGCAGACTCATCCTGATAGTCGTAGGACTCTTCCAACCACGCAGCAAAGTATCGAACCACGTACTGATTATTGAGACGAGACAGCAGCATGACCTCTGTTAGAATGGAAGTCAACTTGTCTGCTGTATGTTGAACTCGCTTGATGGCGTAGAAACGGCCATCCAACTTGTTGCGAGCCTTCACAACGACACCATAGCCACCTCGTCCTAACAAAACCGTTTCCTCGAAGTCCTGAGCATATCGAGACATGGAAAGACCACTCATGGAATCCCGGTGAGGTCGTCCATCCGTAGACATGCTTCTTCCTCGACCTCGTTTTCCACCACTGCTGGAAGCACACGCCAACTTCACTGGCGAGTCGACACCAGTTCGAAGGAATTCACAAGGCAAGAGCTCAAATGCAGAAAGACGTTTCTTGGGAGAAGGCATGAACATTTTTCGAAGGAACTCTTCCAGGGAATCTCCCAGATCCAGACTGTTGATCACATCTGTAGGTCCGTAATACTCTGACGTCACCTGCTTACCCATGAAGGTCTGAAGAAGCATCACACCCAGAGCCCACACGTCTGTCTTACGCGTCTGCTTGTTTCCACTCTGCTGCACTAGCTCAGGAGGTGACCAAGCATCACTGTCGTGTTGTATCGATGAAACAGAGGCAGTCATATCAAATGTGCACGCCGAATTCATTTCGTTAAGACGTTGACCAAAAACAGTGTATCCCAACTTGACCACTGTTTCTCCAATTTCTGCGTTTCGAAAAAGGACCACAGTGTCCACATTGACACTCTTGTGAACCAATCCAGCCTTGTGGATAGCCTCCAGGGCTTCGAGTAGTTGAATAGCCCATACTCGTGTCACTTTGAGACTCACGGTACCCACGGTATCAAGCAGATCAGACACAGTTCCTCCAGGAGAATATTCGGAAAGTAGGTATAGCGTCCATCCGGAAGTATCTGGACATCGTTGGAACTTGTGGTCGTAGAGACTGATGACGTTTTCGTGTCGAAACTTTCTCAAGTTGTCCAAGTCAGACTCGAGTAGTTGAATCATCTTCTTTCCCTCTGCCTGGATCCAGTATGTGCCCTGAAGTCTAACTTCTGTGAGAAGCAGGGATATGTCGGTTGGTGGGTCTGTCACGGGCCGCACCAAAAAATTGTTACCAAAAGAGTACCCTCGCACGGGTATTTGTCCTCCTACTCTTCTGAAACTGATTGCTGGGTGTCCTGCTCGCGAGATTGTTGTTATTCTGTCAAACTCAATGCAATCGGCCATGACTGGGCCGCCGTTTGACAATTGTCGCTCCGCAGTAAGCGCCTTTTGCGCTTCATCATCCCGCTGTTTGCGTCGCTTGAGCTCCTCCACAACCATCATCTCTAGCACTCTGTCTTCCTCCGCGTTTTCCTGTTCCCGCTTTTTGGCCTCGTCGCTCTTTTGCTTTCGTAGCTGCTCCTGTTGCTTCTCGATCTTCATCTGCCGCTCCTCCTCCAGACTGGCGGTGGACACCTTCTGTTGAAAATCCTCCAGTCGCTCCTGGATATACGAGGTGACCTCGAAGATCATCTCTGCGCCAATGAGCTCCTTGCAGGTGGCGGCGATCCACTTCTCTAACTTGGCCACCTGTGATGCTAAAATGTTTTTGGGGTTTTTGATGCGAATAACAGGGACCGTTTTGGGGTAGGTACTCGTGAGCTCGACCTGGAGCGTTAAACTGGATAGGGCATCTTCGGCGTCCGGGTCGGTCGATCGCATGTGAATCTCAAATGATGGCGAAGGCGTTTTCTATGTTAGCGTCACTGGTTCACTTATTCATCCCTCATTCTTGGATACAAGTACTCACGTTCCATGCAGATGACTTTGTGGTGTCAACAAAATCGTCCATGTAGATGGCCTTCAAAGCCTCCGCCTCGTTTTCTTGCAGTTCCTGTAACTCCATCTGGTCTATCCAAACGGAAGACACCAGGCATGTGTTTTCAAAGACGGTTAGTTGGTAAGTTTGTTCTGAGCGTTGCCAAATGCTTATGCCAGACGACTATTATTTTGAATTGGGTTTGTTGAGCCGCACGATGTCACGTGTGTAGGGTGGATCCGGAGGAACTAAAAGTCGGAGTAATGGCGGTGTTCAATACGTTGTTTGAGAGATTTCAAAGACCAGATATGTTTATTATATCTGCTTAAGTTGATTCTCTTACTGATAGACCACTTACACTTCCCGTATGAAAAACTTACACCGTTTCTGTATTTACTCCCCCATACTGTCGTTTAGATCTACTGTAGAACTTAAACTGACGCACCCCCCTCTTGCTGGATATATATGCAGAAAAAAAAAAAAATAACGCCACTATCATTATCGGTCATATCAGGCGGTTTTCAAAAGACAAAAAAAGGGGTGGGGGAGGGAAAATAACAATGAAATGATCGTGAGCTGTAAATTGACGGTACTCGATAACCCAAATTCGACGGTGTCGCCATGACAAACACGCCTAGTCCCCTCCGAAGCTGAGGCATTTGTGTTCACCTCCTTTCTCACCTGTATTTCGTTATCGAGATTTCAAGTACTTGGAGCTACTTTTGGACCGTGCATACTTCACCAAACTACAACTACAATGCAAGTACAGGTAGCATTATGTACATACTGTACTCGGACCGTTACTCGTACCGACACTGTGTGTAGGGTTACGTCGTATACACGCTAACTAAGGAAAAGATCGAGATATTGGGTAATCCTACTTTGTTTAGTCTCTACACGGGCAACTTCTGGGGTCGTTTATTGTCCTATTCTCTTGGAAGGAGACGCTACTTGTTCTTCGTTCAGATCTAAGCACTGTCATCAGCCATACGAGCAGTCTAAGAAACTACTGTAGTTATACTAACGAGGTTGATGAATTCAGTAGACACCGGCGACTATTGAGTCTCATATCTTTTATTACTCGTCCATGTACTTTGATCTCCCTCACAATTTTCTCCCTCAGTTCCACCGAAGGTTGAAGTTGAGCTGCATCCTTGCATAAAGATACAGATCGAGAAATATCCCAACAGGATGATGTACAGTAATGTTCAGTACAAGGACTGGTACAAGTACATGATGTAGTCGGTTATATTACTTCATGAACGTCAGAGCAAGCCTCAAGATCTTCGTTCATCCACTGCCAGTACAGTAGGAGTAGAGGTAACTACTTGCATACATACCTCTCTACATACTGTAGAGGTAGGTATGACCAACCAATGACAAGCACTTAGCCTAAAAAAAGAACACTACAAAAAAATTGCAGCACCTACTGTAGGATTCTCGTATGGTCTCCCACTACAATACTAACTAGGCTCTCTGGTGCTTGACTATGGCTGATCGGACGGGAAGCCGTATTTTCACCAGGATATGGCTGCAACTGGCCGGTAACTCGGCTGCTTAGTCACCGTTGCAAGGTCATTGTGTAACCTTGGGAAATGTAGAATAAAAATAAAAAAACTAGTAATGGATCATAAGAATAAAACAAAAAGCTATACTTGTACCTGAATGACTAGATTATACAGTTATGTGTTCCCTCGATTTTACCAACCATGGATTCATTATATTTCATTTTTATTAGTCTAAAATGTGCTTAAAGCTCATGATCGTAAGGGATACCCTCAGCAGCACCTCGTCGAGTGACAGCAATACCACCAGCCTTGTTTCCGAAAGCAATGGCCTCGGAGACTGTCTTTCCCTGGATAATGCTAGTGGAGAAACCTCCAAGGAAAGTGTCTCCAGCACCAGTAGTATCGACAATCTTCTCGACCTTGTTAGAAGGAACATGTCCAGAATCAGTCTTGGTCTTGTAAATGACACCGTTACCTCCCAGAGTGACAACAACGGCCTCCTTGATTCCCATCTTGAACAGGGTATCCGCAGCTTGGTCAGCTTGTTTCCAGATCTCCTCCTTCGATGCCTCCTCGTTGATTTCGACGCCAGAGATGAGAGTGGCTTCCGTCACATTGACCACGAGGAAATCTATGCTGTTGAGAACGGCGGCGGGGATGTTACCTCGCTCGTCCACAGGACTGGGGTTGTAGACCACTTTGGGCTTCTTAGATCCAGCCTTCTCGATGGCCTTGTAGACGATGTCGATGGGGATCTCGTTCTGGAAGATGAGCATGTCTGTGTCGAAGAGATCGTCAGTGAGATCGGCCTCAGTCCACTCGCCGTTGGCTCCGGCGTAGACCATGATTCGGTTCTCTCCAGAGTCTTGATCCACAAAGATGACAGCCACTCCAGACTTGGTGTCGAGCTCGTGGATGGCAGACACGTCCACGCCAGAATCCTTGAGGTTGTTTTTCAACTGAGTACCGAAGTTGTCTTTGCCGACCTTTCCGTACATCTTGACGTTCACATCAGGGACCTTGGAAGAGAGTCTGGCAGTAGCAAGAGCCTGGTTGGCTCCCTTACCTCCGCAGTGGGTCTCAAAGCCCTGGGAGAACATGGTCTCCCCAGCGTTGGGGAGTCTGTTGGAGATGGTGACAAGATCGTAGTTGAGCGAGCCGACAATTGTGATTTGCATGGTTGGTGATTTGGGGTCAGAAAGAGAGTTGTAGTTAAAGATAGGTGTTTAAATGAAATGTTTTTCCGAGAGTGAGCAAGGACCAAACTCAGGGATGCAGATGAGATGTGAGTGATGGAGGTTTAAAGTCTAAAATAGCACAGAGAGGGAAGAGTGACATCATAGGGTGCGAGCTGGAAAAAAAAATCAGAACATTTGGTTACTTGAGCGTTCTAACGTTGCAATATAAGACAGGTGATTCTATAAGTACATGTTAAGTCACGCCATGCACCCCACATTCTGTACAAGTATGTACATCCGTAACCGGCAGCCCATCGCTGGTCACTCCCAATAGCCGAGGAGTCATGCGATCACGTGGCTGTTTGAACATGAGAGTGACAATGTTGTCGTTCAAGGTATGAAATAGAGATGCCAGATATCCAGACCGGGCCCAAAAAGAACTGTAACAGCTACCGCCCTTGTCTTTATATTTCATAAGTGTCCTTTTTTTGCATAAGAGTCCAACGATGATGGCCCTAGACGTTCAAACTAAAATCCCACAAGTTTCAACTACTTCTTTCAAGGTTACTTGGAAAAGGTATTGTAATAATGGAGATATCTGAGAGCAGATTTCGAGTTTTTTGTTGTTGTTTTTTTTGAATAGACACATTCCAAGCACCCTCGATATTTTTATATTTTTTTGATCTCGGTTCTTCCGTTTCAATGTCAATATTATAACCATCATGTTGTTCAGTATGTACAGTATGTACACCCCTCACCTACACATGACGAGCCACAACTAAGTTTACGTCGAAAATATATTTCGTATCATGCACAACGCCTGAAGAATCTTTAATTTACACTGAACGACACACAACATGACGAATATGGAGCCAATCACATACCCTTCGGAGGTATTTTCGAGACTTGTGCCCGATCTATATCTACACAGACATCTCAACCAAGGATTGCGACCAGCTACAAACCGAGCCTTCACACAACACCGAAAGATCAACCACTTTTTGGGCGGTCTTAAGAAGCCCGTGGGATCCGACGAAAAGTCTGCGTCTCTGGTTTGGGGCTCTTCGTTGATCCAGGCCGATGGAATGAGTATTGTGTGTGGTGTTACCGGATCTGTGTCTGAGGAAGAGGGCGGAATCTTTGTTAACGTCGAGGTTCTGCGAGGAGCAAACGGAAGCAGTGCAGCAATGGGGGGGCCTCCCAGCGACGAGGAGCAGGTGGTGAGCCGAAAGACTACCGATCTGCTCAAAAAGGGCATTTTCTCCTGCAAGGCAAACAAACAATTCTTCGAGCTCCAGAACTTTCTGAAGGAGGGACAGGAAGACGAGGCCGTGTTTGACGCTGGCCAGCACCAGAAGCGATACCTGTGTTTGCATGCCAATGTGACTGTCCTGAGTCGTAACGGACCTGTGCAGGACTACGTATGGGCTGCTGTTCTGGCTGCTCTGAAGGATACAGAGATTCCTCTGATGGAGATTGATGAAGATACCGGACGAATCACTCTCACCCACGACTTTACCACAATTCCGGTCGACGACCTTGACATTCACAGCAGTCGGTCGTTCGGGTTCATCAAACCCAAGCCAGAGACTGATGCCTACGAAGACGACGAGATGGACACCTCTGAAGATGCTGCCAGTGTGCTGTTAGCAGATGTCCAAGGAGAGGTTGAGCAGGCTGCCACTTCCAGCACCCGTGAGGGCTCTCGGCTGCAGATTGTGCGTGGCCGGGAAGACACGCTTATTGGATTTTCTTTTGTGGGCAAGGGTACTGGAGTTGGACTCAACGAGATTAAGAACGCGTTGGATCTGTCGAAGCAAGAGTAGATGGATATAAGCATGTATAGACTAATTGGCGGAACTAATGGTACTATTGTATTGTGCTTGTGCTACATGTAGAAGAAGTCTATAGAATAGCATACGAGTGCAAACACTCGCGGATACAGTACTTGTTTTAGACATGATAAAAATACATTACTGGTGCTATCAATTGAGGTATCCCTTGCAGCCAGGTGCGCCACACAGACAGGGAATCCTCTCTTCTCCAATCTCCTTTTCGAACTTGTAGTCATATGTGAGCTCCTCGTTGGCAGCAATGTCCCGCGAGGCATAGATGACGATACGTTTTTGACCCTCCACCTTGATGATTTTGGCCGTGCAGCTGGGGGTACAGCAATGGTTGATGAACCGAGCAATACCTCCTCGCTTTGTGGCGTCCACGACAGTGCTTTCATCAACTCTGAACAGATATGAAGATCCGATACCTGACCTCATGTACCGAGCTTCTCGCAAGTCGGCAATCTCCTGTCGCACAACTTCTCCGACGTACTCGATGATCATCTCGTTGGCTGCAATGGGCTCAATAGCATAGAGACCCCAGTTGTGGATAGCTGAACGAGCGAACTTGACAGGCTTCTTTCGCTTTCGCAGCTGATTGAAGTTGAGCACATCGGTTTCGGTGGACAGCAGCTGTTTCTGCATGTTGATGTCTGCCACCAGCCTCCGGTTGTTGGCACGGTTAACTCGCGAGTTGGAGGCGTTCTCCTTCTTTTTCTCTCGGTTTTCCATTTGAAGCGTGTCGATGGGGATGTTGAGCTTCTTTCGGTGAGGCAGGTATTCGGATTTGGCAGCCTCAGGGATCTTGAAGTATCCCTGAGACTTCCATGAGCCAGTGGAGTTAACAAACGCGTTGGGAGCAGCCAGTTCGGGGAACTCTGCGTTTTCCTTGGCTACAGCCTCGTTGAGATGTTTATGGGTCCACGTCCATGCTTCTCCGTTGATCTTTTCAGGCTCAATACCCTCCAGGGCCTCCTGGAGCAACTCCATATCTTCGTCGTCCTTAACCAGCGCCTGGAAACCTGATATGGTAGTCAGAGCACCACCCTTTTTGTCGGCTGTTACAGGTTGAGGGAAACCGTGAGCAGGAGCCCAGTCGAGAATCTCGCCGAATGCAGTTGTAAGTTGTTGGGAAGTATCGAGAGTCGATGCTTCTTGGAGTTCCTCCTGCGCAGTTTCGTCCTCTTCTTCTTCCATATCATCCTCCACTTCCTCCTCTTCCTCGGACTCATTCGAGCCTTCAGAACTGCTGAAGTCCATAATTCGCTGCTTGGACTGACTGATCTTCTTGCGGGGTTTTCTAATAGGAAGTTCGGCAGCGTCAGCGGAGGTATCAGGGACAATGGGAGTCGACATTCGAGTGCTGTCTTCCTCATCCGAGTAGTAGTCGTTGAGAACGTGGTTCATGGGACGAGCAGATATCTTCTTTCGGTTCTTCTTGGTGGCATCCTTCTTCTTGGTCGGATCACCCTTTCGCTTGATTTTGAACCGAGGAAGGAAACCTGGGATCGCAGAAGACGATTGCACAGGCTCGGGAGTATCTACTCGAGCGGCACTGGCGTTAACAGTGTTGGGTTCAGTAGCGGCAGATGGCTCAGGATCCTGCTTGATATGAGTAAATCGAGCTGGATTCAGAAACTCCACAATGGCTGCAGCAATTACCCGCTCCCGAATATCCTTACGGAGACTATTGGCCAACTCCTGTACGATGAGTTTCCGGGCCTCTTCCTTAGGAGGGAGCTTGGGGGCCTGCTCGGTGGCGTTTTCCTCGCTCTCTTTGGTCTTGGGAGCAACTCGAGAAAGTCGAATCATAGCCATAGCCATCTGGTGGCCATTCACCTTTCTGCCATTCATGGCCTCGTAACATTCTACAGTATCCCTGTTGTTGTCGAAGAAAACGTAGAAACCATCTCCTTCCTTGAGAACATCAAACCAGCCGAAGTCACGCAGAATCCGACGAATATCAGATGCAAACACTTTTTCTGACGGTAGGTACTTACCAGCAATGAAGATGTATGCGCTGGTTTTCATCAACTGCGCTGCCTTTGGAGATGGCCGAGCTGAAGGAACAGGTGTGGGCAGTTTCTCCATGATGGACTTGTCTGCAGCAGGTGCAGTAGGAGGCTGCTTGACAGGCATGGCTTTCTTAGCTGCTCGAGCTGCCACTCTTTTGATGATATCCTTGGCCTTGGCTCCATCCTCATCTGGCTCCACTCTGTACTTGGCCTGGTCAATTCGTCCTGTTTTTTGGCCTCGGATGGCCTTTTTGAGGCACTCATGGGCGGCCTCGTAATTGTTTTTCGTCACCTTGAATCGAACCAGACATGCTCCCACTGAAGAACCTGTAGCAGGGTCCTCTACCATGTTGACGGCTTCAAGCTCACCATATGTCTTGAAATGGGCAGTGATAGTTTTAGAGGTAGTTAGTGAAGAAAGACCCTTGACAATGATCTGAGTTGATGGAGGTGGTGCGATAGAATTTGCGTCGTACTGTGTTAGTTAGTGATCAAAAGGAAAACCTCCATTGTGCTAGATTCAATCGCTTCATACTCACCAGAAATCTGGGCACCGGTAATCTCTGATACGGCTTTTTGTTGGACTTGCTGGAAGTCTTGAAATAATGCGGATGTTTGCTTCGAGGATCCTCAGTTGTGGATGCTCCTTTTTTGACCTCCTCATAAATGCCTCTCTTGCCTTTTTGTTTATCCTTGGAAAGCTCGGGATCGTAAGTTAGTCTTGTGTTGTTTTTCCTGCCCACTGTCTCCCACACTTCTTTGGGGAAGGTTTTGAGCCGTGGTGGAGAAGGAGGAGCTGGCGGTTGAGAGGTAGGCAGATCCGGTTTTCCGTTGGTGGGGGTTAATCTTGGAGTTGGAGCAGTCTGAGGTGTCGAGATTACAGATCCCTTCTCCTTGGTGTCTCTGTCCCTCGTGCCTCGGTCTCTGGTGTGCTTGTCAAAAGATCTATCGTGTCTGTCGTTTGAGCGGTCTCGGTTTCGTCCATCACGTAGTGGAGGAGGTGGAGAACGGGCAAGCTCTCTAACACCGGTAATCAGATCCCGGTCTCTGGAGAACAGATCTCTTTCTCGCACTAGCTCTCTCTCTCGCTCTCTGGGAGGCATATCACGGTCTCGAGAGGGCAAAGGATCCAAGGAATGTGGTCGGTAGCCCTTGGGGTCTCGATCACGTGGGTCATGATCTCTGTCACGAAAATCCCGATCTCTGTCTCGATCACGTGCATCTCTTTCGCGGTCACGCGGGTCCCGATCTCGATCTCGGTCTAGGTCTCGTCGGTCTCTATCCCAGCCACGCTCGTCTCTCGCGTAGCGGTACTCACGGCCTCCCCGAGGTGGTGGGCGAGTATCCCGAGGTGGAAGACGTCCGTAGTCTCTGGAATCTGTGTCCCGCGCGTCTCTTGATCTGTCGTAGTCGCGGTCGCGACGAGGAGGATAGTCATGTGAGTCGAGGCGGTCATACCGATCGTACTTGTCGTACTTGTCATACTTGCCGTACTTTCCACCGCCGTACCGGTCATAGTCCCGTGGCGGGGGGTAAGCACGATCATAGTCTGAGTAGTCACGGTCCGTACGGCCGCCATAACTGCGGTCTTTGGAAAAATATTGGTCGCGGTCCGAACCCCGTCGGTCGGGATGTGGGGGCGTTCGAGTGTCGTCCGCACGAGCACCACGAGGCCCCTTCGGCACGGGCTTTGTATCTGAGCCGTTCGCCATCCAAGATTTGTCTTTTCCGAGTCTCGTGATGAGCGTGTGGGGGATCCAATTTAGTCACTGGACGTGGTGCATCATTATTTCCATTCTATGAACCTTATCAGTTAGTGAGGAAGGGTAGGCGGAAAAACTACGAGTAGACTACAGTACGAGTAGTGCAGAGGAATATATTCGAGTTATATAAAGTCGTTTGTGGTAAAAATACATGAATGGACTAATTGGGCTATTATGAGGAAGATGCAATAGATACATTCGTGCGATAAAGAGGCGACCATAATTACACGTCGTCTTGAACAATCATGCATTGTTAATTAGCGTACCACAAGTAGTACCAATACACTTTATTGTAAATAATCACCAGAAAATCGAGACTACAGTATGTACACATACTACAACACCTATACTGTACTTGTAAGTACATCATTCAAAGAACAAAAACTTGTGCATGGAGTTCGATATACTTACTACAGGTATATACGGTAGCAACAACTACAAATGTTGAGCCTGTCAATATCTATGCATTTCTTTCCTTACTTGGTTCGAATGTGTTTGAGCTTGCCGTAAGAGTGGACAAAGTTGTTGGCGTACTGCTTGACACGGAACTTTCGGTGGTGAGGCTCCTGGATGTAAAAGTCCCAGCCCTGCTTGTTGGCGAATTTGATGGCAGATTCCTTGCTGGTGAACTTCATCTGTGTGGCCTGCATGTAGTCGCCGGAAGATTGCCATCCGATCAGATCGTTCTCCCATCTGTTAGCAACGTCGACAATGTCCCAGTCGAGTCTCCAGGCAAAGGTTCCTGTTGTTAGTACGCGTGTTTGGATAGACGAAACCAGTTCATGTTCAGGTGACGGTGTGTGCTTTGACATCATGAATAATATCAGAGTATACCTGAGTATTTAACATGGCGATGAAGAAAAAGACAGAGACATGACAAGCACAACAGCTTAAACAGTTTTGGTTCAAAGCCATACCCTTCCGTCCACTTTTCCTTCCTCTGTTAATCCCTCCTCTTTACTCCGTCTCAAAATCTTCATATCAACTCCACCCTTTCATCTCAAATTCTTAAACGAATCTGTAATACTCACCGTACTCTCCGCTCTGAGTGGCGGGCTTGGCCTGCTGGTAGATTCGAACGACTCGGTTTCGAGAAAGCTCAGCAGGAGCTCCGCTGACAATCTCATGGGCGGGGACGTTGTCGAGGTTGACTCCGACCTCGGGGACATCCTTCTTCTGGAGGAGTCGGGCGGAGGTGGCGAAAGATCGCACGGAGGGCTGGCTCAGCTGACGGAGGCTTCGAGACAGCATTGTGTTGTGTGATATTTGGTGTCTGGTGGTATAACGATTTAGACCTTGATATTGCAGTTGGCTAATAGCATGCGACATGATTGGTTGGCTGGTGGGTTAGGGTGCGCTGGGACTGGACGAGCTTAAAATAATATCGAGCATCTTTTTACTTGGAAGTTTTAGTTGAGAAAGTTACTTGAACTGCTCGTTGGGTAGCTGAAAAAAAAAATACCGATGTGTTGCTGCAGATACTTGTACCAAATATTCATTATGTTATTACTATTTACAGACACATCACTGTCGAGCAATCTCCAACATCTTGGCAACATTGTTGACCTTTTCTCTGGGCTTACCTGCGGCATCACCCTGGCTGTGTTCATGGGCCTCCAGCTTCTTCCACTGGTCCCATGAAATGGCATCCTCAAGATACTGGGTGAGGTTATCGGAACCAGACTTGGCACCATCAAGCTTGCCGGCGGTTATATCGTCGGAAATAGCCTGTGCTGTGTCAAATGAGTCTGCCATAGTGGTGGCAATCACACCGGTGGGTCCGTTCTTGACCCATCCTGCAGCGTAGACCCCATTGTCAGTTACTCGGCCTCTAGAAGACGGAATGACGCTTTTTCGGTCGTCAAAAGGAATGCCCTCCAGAGGAGTAGATGCATATCCGATACTGGTGAAGATCAGGTCGGTGTCGAAGCTCTCGGTAACACCAGTAGGCTCCACTCCGATTCGTCCAGAGCCGTCAGCAGAAACAAGTTTGTTTTCCGTAGCGATAAGAGTCTTGACGAGTTCGGGGTCGTCGGGGTTCGCGATCACCTCCTTGGGTGAAAGAAGGTAGTCTAATGACCATTGTTTGAGGGTGGATGCATGAGCAGGGTCCCTCTGCTTGGCCTTGAGATTGTACTCCTCGATGAGCTTGACAATTCGAGAAAGAGGACGCTTGTAGCTCTTGTGGGCAGCTAGCACATCGTCCCATTTCGTATGAGGAAACGCGACAAAGCCTGTATCGGGCAGCTTGAAGAGTTCTCGGATCTCCTTGATTGTGAATGCAGACTCTAGCAGTCCTCGTCGGGCCATGATTCGCACCCGCTTAACCTTGGACGTCTTGAGCGTCTCGTACGCCTGCTGTGTGATATCTGTAGACTTGAGGTGGTCGAGAGGGGATAGCAGGATGCGAGCAATATCCAGAGCCACGTTTCCGTTTCCCACAATTGTCACTGTTTCGGCCTTGTGGAGAGGAGGGTTGAGACTTTCATGCTCGGGGTGACCATTGTACCAATTGACAAACGTTCGTGCAGAAATGACACCGGGCAGGTCCTCTCCGGGAATACCTAGCTTCCTATCTGTATGGGTGCCGTAAGATAGAACCACAGCATTGTAGTTGTCTCTGAGCTTGGACACAGGTAGGGTGTCTCCGACAGTCACGTTGCCAAAGAACTGGACACGGGGGTCGTTTCCAACCTCGTCGAACGTGTCCTGGCAGTTCTTTACCTCCGGATGATCCGGTGCTACTCCATGTCTAGCCAGTCCGTAAGGCACAGGCAGGCTTTCAAAAAGGTCGATCTTGGTGTCTGGCTGGAGCTTGAGCAACCGGTGCGCAGTGTAGAAGCCTGCAGGGCCTGCTCCAACGACAGCGACACGAGGAGTCGATCTGAGAGTCGATAGGTGGCGAACTGATCGGATCATGGCGGGGCTGTCAGAGGTCACTATTTAGATGCATGATCAGATAAGCTTACTTGAAAGTGCTTACTATGGTGTGGCGGCTACAAGTTGACTGATGACACATGACTCAACAGGCTGATAAAAAGCTGGCGGTTGACTGATGCTGCCAGTATATGCCTCCCAATGGCTAATATACACCCTGTTCAGATTCTCACCACTACAATCTGGTTTCCCGTGAACTACTTGTACTGTATAAGTACAAACACTATACCGATTCTCGTTAAAGACTGAGCATGTACATATACACAGCCAATTGCAAGTGCATAACAGGAGATTTAAATTCTGAGGCGGTATTTTTGGACATGTACAAGTGCCTGTACAAGTATTGGCAATCGCTTCAATATCCTTTTACACACGCTCTATATATTGACAAGTACTTGTACCCATATATCTCCTTCCACGCGACACTCGAATTGGTCGCACCACAAGTAGCTAATTTACCCAGGGGGAAGGCTCACCCAATTTACAATCACCCTTGTGTTCCCCCGACGCATGACGACAGGGAGACAGTGAGTCTGGAACCAAAATTGCAACATACTTGTCGGCTATGGCACGTGGCGGGTTATTAATATATAGAACCAAAAAGCCCACTTGCAGAGAATATTTCTGGGTCTTCCATAAAGCCTCTTTCTGGGCCCAACAAGCCGCTCTTCGTCCCAGTAAACCCTTACCAAGACCCGGTATAAGTCCGTGTCCACATTTCACACACTTCCCAATTGAATCATCACCACACAACTCTCATTACTTACCCCATAACCTTTGGTATCACACAGCACACCACCACGACCACATGTCACCTATAGAGGAGCCCAAAAAGCCATTCAATACTCAATCTCAGTCGCTGGCGAACTGGCTCAAGCAACAAAAGTCGGATACTGCACCCTCACTACCCCAGCCCTCCAAGAACGTCGCTAACAAAACAACTGCCACTGCCGCATCCACAGATGGCTCTCTCAAGATTTCCTCTTCCGGCCACTTCAAGCTGGCTCCTCTCAAGCGGGACAACTCGGCGTCGCCCAAGCCCACCCAGTCGCCGCTATTTGGCTCACCCGCACAGGGGGTCTGGCGCAGAATAGCATCTCCGAGAAAGGAGGAGCCGGTGCTGGCAGTGGCTACCCCAGAGCCCGAGCAGCAGAAACAAGACGAGCGCAAGGGATCCATGAGCGACCTACCCGAGGAGGAGCTCGTCAAGCTGGGCATCCATCTGGCCCAGCGACACAGACAGCCCTCAGCTGATGGATTCAACTGGGCAGAAGATGACGACATTGAAGACTGGGCAGACGATATGCCCGAGGCAGCCACAGAGGTGGAAGAGCCTGCGGAGGATCTGCCCAAGGTGGCGACCGGATCGCGACCCACACAAGCATGGAAACCCATCTCCACGACAAACTACGTTCCCATTGATCAGCAGCTCAAGGAGTACGAGGAGAAGAGAGCAGCCCAGGCTCAGCAGACACAGACAAGCTCGAGCCGGCAATCACTCTTTGACGACAAGTGGAGAGGCGGCGATAGATACGGAGGAAGCGACCGGTATGGGAACGATCGATATGGGAATGACCGATATGGGAATGACCGATATGGGAACGACCGATATGGGAACGACCGATATGGGAACGACCGATACGGAGGAGATCGTTACGGAGGAGATCGCTACGGTAGTGACAGGTATAGTGGTGGCGATCGTTACGGTGGGGGAGATAGATATGGAGGTGGAGACCGTTACGATCGACGAGGGAGATTGTCACCTGAAAGATCTCCGTTTGGAGCCATGCGATACGACTCGTATGATCGATTTTCCAACGACTACAACCCTCGCAGAGAGCTCTACAACGACCAGAGTGGAAAGGTCGAGGCCATGGAGAGTGGGGACGCCAGAAACTACAAGCCGTCGGGTGCCCGCCGAAGTCCCCAGATCACTCGTGCCGAAATGGCTTCGCCTAGAAGCACACATGTGACTCCTGCAAGTCCTCGAGGCTCTCCTGCTGTCGCTGACACTTCCCCTGCTGCTCCTACCGCTCCTGCTACAGCATTAGCGTCTCCAGCTTCTGCTTCAGCGTCTCCAGTTGCTGCTCCTTCCCAGCCTGCCATGGATGCTGCTGCCGCTCTTCTGGCTCAGCAGGAAGAGACCATGCGTCAAGCTCGCGAGAAGGCTAAGCTGCGAAAGGAAGAGGAACAGCGCGTTGAGGAAGAGCGACGCAAGGCGGCTCGAAAGCGAGCAGAGGAGCTTGCCAAGAAGGCCGAGGCTAGAGCCAAAGAGAAGGAGCTGGAGGAGCAGCGACAACGACCCAAAGGGATCCCTACTGGACCTTCCGCCGACCGAGCCAAGAATAACCCCACAACTACTAACGATGCTTCATCAACCAACAATAATAGCAGCAATGGCTCTACGGCCCCCTCTACTTCTCCCGCTGCCATCTGGGCCCCCAAAAGATTTACAGGCAAGTCTGGTAGCAGCACGTGGTCGCCCCTTTCGTACGACAAGCCCTGTCTTTTGGACGATCCCCAGTCGCCCGAAATGCGAAACGGCAGAGGCACATCACGGTTCTTCCCGTCGCCCAAATCTGAAATTGGCTCTGGGTCACCCTGGCGGGATGCTTCTTCGCCCACTCGTCAGGGTCATGGTCGGGAGTTGCCTGTCGGATTGTCTCTTGAGCCCAACGGAGACCGGGAGATTGGAGGGCTTGCTGCACGTGCCCTTGGCGACGTGAAAAACCTGCCCTCGTCCAATGGTCGTCGAGTTAGCCAAGTGTCAGCAAACCTCAACTCGCTGTCTGGGTTTGGGCTTGCAATGCCGGCAGACGTTCCGATCTCGCGCATCCCACCTGACACGGAATTTATCTCTAAGTCCAACGACAACAAGAAAAGCAAGGTCTCAGAAAATGGAAAGGGAGACAAGGATCTGCGGAAATCTCCGACGGGGGCTTCGATACAACCTCCGACGCAACCCCAGGCTCTGTCTGCGGCCCAGGCGCGACAACAGAAGCGCAACGCGAAAACTGCGCGTCTGGACCCCAAGCAGCTGTTTTATTCTTACGAAATGGAGATTGGGCGTGAGGATGCAATCGAGAGAGAGCTGCGGTCTTCTCCGGGCGACCTGGTCCAGATTGCGCCGGTCAGTGTGGGAATGTACACCACCAAAGGCTCCAGTTTCAAGCCTCTTCCTGAGGTTCGCAGCGTCATTGTCGGAAGCTACAGTTACTCGATATCTAGCAAGCTGAAACGTGCGGTGCGCGAGCCCATTAGCATTATCAAGCATGCCGACATGAATTTCTCGCTCAAGTTGCCAGCGTGACGGAATAAGCAAGGTCAAGTAAACACTGGAAACTCACTTGGGTCGCGTGGCGCTATTCTACATGGAATGGCGAGGTTGTCTTGTTTAGGAAACCAGCATCAGTGAGGCAGGAGGAAAATCAAAAGTGGGAGGAGGCGAAAACGAGGGAATGAGAGTGAGACGTGAAATGAGACGTGAGACGTGAGACACGTGAGACATGTGAGACCCAAGAGATACGAGCTTGCACATGAGACACCTGAGAAGGGCACTCAATACACCCTCATCTGACTTACGAGCTGCTCAGCCTCGCTGTTAGGATTGCATCCGTATGGCACTCTTCTTCCCCCCCAAACATAATCAATCTGTCGATATGGTTCTTTAATAACCATGTCGATCGTATTATTAGCACAGGTGGAATAATATCTTATCTAATTTTAATACCCCTAATAATCTCGTACGTACATATCGCTATGTACACTGTGTGAGTGTAGAGGGCCATGGTGGTGACAACTGAGCTACTATACACACACAGCTTGTACTGGTATAAGTTGTGAGCTACAGTACAAGTAATACTACAAAATTCAGTATGTACAAGTATGCCGGTACGGCAGTAGCATGTATCAAAGAGAGACAGAAAGAAGGCTGGAAAGCGAAGGCCAGCTGAGCGTGGGAACCGCAGTACGTGGAAGTGCCAAACCTGCGACAGAATGACATGGTCTTGCACTTTTTACCGGTACCGGTACAGTACGATACCGGTACGCACTTGCTACAGTAGATCATAGACCACCAGAATAACCCTGCATTAGCGCCACGTTGCCAAGCCCTCAACTTTCTTTGCAGCTACACCTTTTACACCTTTTAGGCTGCCAGGAAGAGCATAAATGAATTGTACTTGGGGGCACAGAATTTGGGTTGAAGTGTTCCTGGGAGAGAATGTGCTTGGCTGTATAGTTGGGTGGCTCTCCTTCATAGTAGATGTGAGGTTACAGCACTTGTAGATTGTGTACGCGTTCTGTTTAAGGTGGTACCAGTATTATGGGTTGACGTGAAAGAAAGGGAGGAGGCAGGGGTACAGCAAGAGTGTGGGCGCACACTCACACATGAAGCAAGACCTGTTTCGTCATTTCTATTTGTTTAACAAGGACGACATAATATACTTAGGACAGCATGGGCCGACCGGCAGGAATAATCTGCAAACACAATCGTATTGTGGCGTCCCCTCTCGATCACGATAGTTGCTAAGTTTAGCAGTCTGAGAGTTTGGCTGTGACGCAAGACCGAGAGAGAGACAGAGAGTTGTCCCAGTTTGAGTACTCGTACCGTACTACAGAGTAAATCGAAATCGAGCGCTCACTTTCTGCACTTTGTGAAGGCGCAGCATTCAACATTTGTGTCCAGCCCCTTTCCGTTTGAAGCGACTTGACCACGAAATGTTGGAATAAAGCTGTGTTACATACGAGACCTACAAGTAGAGTGTCGGATATGCCAACTGAACAGGTTAGATGAAAGTTACTCAACAACAGGAGAGCGGACACCAACGTGCGAAAATGTACGGATGAACCCATTGTCTGTCCGCATAGCAATCTGTTTTCGCCAGCAGTGCTTGTGTCGTTGGATTGCTGCCATTGTACTATTTGTACTTTGTTCCATTAACACTCGCATCTTGCTCACCGATTAGCAGCACTCCTGTTGCCTCACTGGGCTTGTCTGTTTCAGGGTGGAATGCATGAGCAATGCGATCGTCAAGGGGAGGTTGAAAGCGCGTATGGAATAACTGTGGTTCTATAGCTGAGGGGAGGATATCGAGGACAGCCACGGTTCAGTGGGGGATTTCGGGAGCTACTCAGTAACATGTACTCTTGTCCGAACGCCCTGCTGATGGCAAATATGACAAAACGCAACAATGTGGAGCAACATTTCCATTTCGAGAGATATTACATGGGTTGCATTGGGGCCTGGGCATCCCGTGCAATAACCGAGACCATGTGAAGGTGCACGATCGACACTTATCCAGCCAGTCATACGTGGTGTCGCAAGCTAAGCAACAATGGGATTCACGAATCTATGTGGGGGAACGTGCACAGGGGAAATGAAACAAAACGGAGGAGGGGGTCTTTGAAAATGTAGAGAAATATAACAAAAAATCACAAAAACGCACCAAAAATATGCCAAAATCGTCAACAGTGGAAATCACGCGCCCCTGGCTCGACTTCCCACTGACATACCCCCCCTCAACCAATATCATATCCACCCTAGCCAATCGCTTAAAATCAAGCTCAACGAGCACGCTCTTGGCCCACGTCAATTCCCAACTCTCAATAGCATTCACAAAAGAAAGCTTGCGCATTCTTGACTTGCTCCCCAGTTGCCCTTTTTGGTCATAACTCAGCCCCGACTCTCTCCCCAAAGAGGAGATGGACTTACAATAGATACGAGACAACAGATATTTTCGGCCACCTGGTGCAATTGGTCTGTTTTATTACCCCCAATAATATCCACAGCGTCCGAATCAGCTCGACAAGCTCTTTCTCAGCATACTGATCTTACCCCATACCCCCCAGACAGCGGTGCCATATCCATACCCGCACTACCTGAGACAGTAAACTCAGGGCAAGGAGCGGTCTTGGTCCATCGCGACGCTGTAAGCTTTGCCTTTGCGTTTTGTGATCCACCACACGGCAGTCAAGGTCTCGGTTGAAAGATGGGTCTGGCAATGTGGATTGCTGAATCATTGACATATAAATACGAGTGATCCTGCCATTTCCCAATCTTTAGAAATCATCTTTTCTTCACACATACAAAAAACACACATCACAATGCAGTTCTCCGCCGCCGCCGTCCTTGCCCTCGCCGCCTTCGTCTCTGCCCAGGCCGCCTCCGCTGCTTCTGAAGCTGGTGGTGCCGTTGTCTCCGGTGCCTCCGGTGCCGCTGCCGCCGCTTCTTCTGCTGTCATTGGCTCCGAGTCTCAGGCCGCTTCTTCTGCTGCCTCTTCTGCTGCTGAGTCTGCTTCTTCCGCTGCCTCTGAGTCCGCCTCCTCCGCTTCCGCCTCCGAGTCCAAGGCCTCTGAGTCCGCTTCCAAGTCCGCCTCCAAGGCTTCTGAGTCTGCTTCCAAGGCCGAGTCTTCTGCTGCCAAGGCTTCCTCCGCTGCTGGTTCTGCTTCTTCCGCCGCTGCCTCTGCCACCAAGTCTGGTGATGCCTCCGGCTCTTCCAAGCCTTCCGGCTCTGCCTCCTCTACCGGTGACAAGTCCGGTGCTGGTATTGTTGCCCCCGCTGTTGGTGCCATCGTTGTCGGTGCTCTTGCTCAGCTCATCTAAGCGGTCTTTGTACAACTACCCACTTAATATTTATATTATGATATAGACTGCAATACTATTGCATGTGTAATGCTTCGTTTGAAAGTCGTAGTCCGGCCATTCATGGCAGTGTATGGCAGTATTGCAACCAATTGGCTTAATAACATATACAAAGTGGCAATTCTGTGTTCGAACCATCACACAACCCAACATATTTGACATTGCTACAAGTATTCGACTTGTTCTTCGGCCGCACGACATGCATTGCTAGCAGCACACTTGCAGAAGCTTGGCCCATGGTTAGGTTGACCTTTAACCAGTAAAACGCAATATAGGTTGCCAATTAACAAACAACACAGCCCAGAACTGGTGTAAAGGGCTTGGGTTTTGTGCAATCAACTCATTGACTCACCTCCCCCAATGCTCCATGAACCCATGAATCCATAGTACCTCCATCCCAATTCAGAGAGGCTCAGAAACACGCAATTGGCAAAAGTAAACAAAGGTCTCGAAACCTTAAGGGGTGCAGTGTTGCAAAGTTAAAATTACACTGTTGGATGGTGTTCCACTCAAACTGTGGATCGATCAGACGGTTGCACTAAACCAAGATTCAATATGCTCTACAAGTAGCGTGCCATGAGGTGTATAATATCACACATGATCAGAGTTAAGGCCTGGAAAAAAAGTGTCCGCGGCTATGTAACACTGCTGAATACAGTGTGTGCCGTTTCCACGGACTGGAATGAATGCACTCAACACGTTGGTAGCTAACTTCCCCAACTATTGACTTCACTTTACTGTAGCTACTCTAAGTACGATAATGACATCATGAATCACCAACTTTATCTTCCCCACCGAAAGTAAGAGATGAAAGAGAGGCTAACAGCTTTTGTAAGAAAATCACAAAATCTACTTACCGTATTACAAAAGTACAAGTATCAGTAACCAGGTGGCGCAATGTGCTGTAAGTTTTTGTAGTAGCAATTTGCTACTTATACTTTGATGAGTCGCGATACATGGGCCACCAACATATATATATATATATATATTCACGGCTAGATTGCTAGATTTCAAATGACGGTTCGCTCCCAGCTTCAAGAGCGAAGCCTGTTGTATCAAAGGTCAACTGTGGCGCAAACTCCTTGAGCTCTTCGGGCTCAGATTTAACCTCGACATTTTCACCATTGGTCGATAGCTGGGGTGGAGGGAGCTTGAGAAGCAGCTGGGTAACCTGCACATCTTCGTCTGAAGTGAAGTCAGATTCAGATTCAGATTCGGAAAGGCTCTGAGACAAGTCAGGCAACAAATAAAGACGATTTTCACGTGAGCTACCAGTGGGAGAGGGCGACTCACAATTGAACTCTCCAAACGCTTGGTCCTCTCCACCGCCAAGATTATCAGTTACATCAAACTCTGACAGCTGAGTTCCCAGACCAAAGAAGTCCAAAGTAGTAGGGGATCCGGGCAAGCCAGGAGAAGTATAAGAACAGCTTTTGGAACTTTTTGAGCTGTTTCGACTGGGTTTCTGGCAGGAGCCCGACTCAGTGTAGCTTGCAGGAGACCTGCCTCGTACCACAATTTCTGGTGTGTGGCTAGAAGCGATCTCAATCAGATCGTGAACATTGTTATGTGAGATCATTGCCATCAGGTTCACCCGCAGACGGTACTTGCACCCTTCCCGGCGACTTCTGTGAATGAACTGGAACTGGAGGCGCTCGAACCGTGCGACCCGGGAAATTGCCGCTTTATTTGCGTCCGGGTAGGTTTCCAGAAACTGAACTTGTGTCTTGGACAGGTTAGCCTGCTCTGTTAGTGTCAGATTAACCTGGTCGAAAATCTCCTCAAGCCTCTTGGGACACCGGACGTTGGCAGTGTCTCGGATGAACTCATGAGGGGGGAGCTTCCCAGGAAACAAGATGGTGTCGCTGGGGGCCGCTTGAGATCCTGGATCTCGTTTGGCGGTGTGTTGCATGAGGGTGGCGGGAGCGTTGGTGGAGCACACACGGGCCTCCACTCGCAGCACAAAATAGAGACATTGGGCGTTCTCGTGAGGACCACTAGCGATGTACACTGGGCCTGTAGGGTACGGCGGGGTCATTGGAACGATGGAATGCTCCACAATGTCGAACGCAGCACACAGTGACATATAGTTACGTCTGTAGCAGATCCAGCTGCCGTTCTCCTCTTCGAAGCCGCGATCCAGCCGCGCATGAAGTCTGATGGTGGCTGGTGTACCATCTGCGGAACAAAGTGCCACTGCCTGCTGAGCACTCACGAAGGGAGGACCTGTCTTGTAGAGCGACTTGGATCGGGGTGCAAGCTTCGGGGTGGCTGCTGGGGGCGACGACAATGGTGAAAGGGCAAGTCCCGAGTCTCGCTTGTTGACACGAGTGGGAGACGTCTCAGGCGATGAGTCCAATCGTCGTTCTGTGTTAGTAGGAAGTGGGAGATGAGGGGTATGAAGAGGTTACAACTAACTCGCTGGTATCATGATATTGCGTCTGGGTATCGAGATCAATCAAAGTGGGGGTATCAATATTAATTGGGGGTTGCGGGGGCTCGTGTTGTGTCGGGGGCGTTGTGTTTGTGGCCAACTAGTTGCAGTAGGGTGGGCCGTGACACAGAAGGAAGGTGTTGGTTATAAATATGCATAGGTTAATTGGAGTCACCTGTTAGGGTATCACTGTACATACTGTACATACAGTACAGGGTGGGTTCCAAGTACAATCAAATGGGCCCACAATAACTAAGTACCACTGAATATCAGTAGTCGCAGAAGGTCAAGACATACCAGTGATTGGTCTACTGATGCTAATTAGTTGTAAACAAGCTGCACCAGACTGATCATGTTTCAGCGCGGACCTTGTAGTTTTCTTACAACCCTACACCTCATAGAATAGACATTCCTTCATTACCAACCGTGTATATTTACAGAAGACTCAATAAGTTATTTGTCAGCAGCAGCGACATAGAGGACTGTGTTAGTGGTGTTATATATCATCTTTGTTGAATCTGTAATAGATGGGATAACTCGAGAAGCCCACAAGGCCAGTTGGTCGTCTATTCGCCTCAACTAAGCCGTGGGAATCATATTAAAAATCGATTCACATTCATATGATCAACGGCATTGAAGCCCACGCATTAATCTGAAGGCGATCGTGCTTATAGAGCTGCTGTCGTGATCCCCACTTCTTCTGGCCCAACCTTTACATTATTCCAAATGCCACTTTTATACTCACCATTGTTTCCTCGAATAAAAACGTCATCATCATAGATACCGACGACCTTGTCATCAACCAGCTCCTCAGCGTTCTCCAGAACAATGCTCATGTATCCATCAACAGACTGGAGGACGCCAGAGAAAGTGGTGCCGGTGGAGACCCGAACGTTGACCTTCTTGCCCGAAATCTCGCCCAGGAAAGACGACGGGTCGTATCGGACCTTATCTGTGGAGGACATTATCTGTTGTGTAGGGATGTTTTTTTCTTTGGTGGTGATCAACTTTTGGTTCGTGTGCCATGTTGAACTTACAACAAGGTGCCTTACCCTACCGGATCATGCAGGATCATGCAAGGCCTAAAAAAATTCTGGATTTTAGACAAAATTTAGATAGAGAAATTCGCCTGCAGGAATCCAAGTGAATACACACACTCACAATGGGAAAGAAGCAAATCGACCCCCGAATTCCGGCTCTGATCCGAAACGGAGTCCAGGAAAAGCAGCGTTCTTTCTTCATCATTGTTGGAGATAATGCGAAAAACCAACTCCCCAACCTGCACTACCTCATGTCGTCCGCAGACATTCGAATGAACAAGTCTGTTCTGTGGGCCTACAAACACAAGTTGCTGGGATTCACCTCGCACAGAAAGAAGCGAGAGACCAAGATCAAGAAGGAGATCAAGCAGGGCATCCGAGAGGTCAACCAAGAGGATCCCTTTGAGCTGTTTGTCTCTCTGCAGAACATTCGATACTGCTTCTACAAGGACACTGAGAAGATTCTCGGTAACACCTACGGCATGTGTATCCTGCAAGACTTTGAGGCTCTGACCCCTAATCTGCTGGCCCGGACTATTGAGACTGTCGAGGGTGGAGGTATTGTGGTTATGATGCTTAAGAGCATGGCCTCCGTAAAGCAACTGTATACTATGACCATGGATATCCACTCCCGATACCGAACTGAGGCCCACAATGATGTTGTTGCCCGTTTCAACGAGCGATTCTTGCTGTCTCTTAATGACTGTCGAACGTGTCTCGTTGTTGATGACGAGCTCAACGTTCTCCCCATCTCGGGAGCCAAGACAGTCAAAGCTCTGCCTCCTCTTGACGAGGACGAGGATGTTCCTGAGAACGTCCAGGCTCTTCGAGACCTTAAGGATTCTCTTGCTGACATCAAGCCCACCGGTGACCTGGTTAAGATTGCAAAGACTGTGGACCAGGGTAAGGCTATCCTGACTTTCATCGATACGATTGTTGAGAAGAACCTCAAGAGCACAGTTGCTCTTACCGCTGGCCGAGGTCGAGGTAAGTCGGCTGCTCTTGGTGTGGCAATTGCTGCCGCTGTTGGCCAGGGCTACTCCAACATCTTCATCACCTCTCCTTCCCCCGAAAACTTGAAGACCCTCTTCGAGTTCATCTTCAAGGGATTCGATGCCCTAGGATATGAGGAGCATGTTGACTACGACATCCAGCAGTCCACCAACCCTGCTTTTAACAAGGCCATTGTCCGAGTCAACATCTTCAAGTCCCATCGACAGACAATTCAGTACATTGTCCCTGGCGACTCGCATGTTCTGGGTCAGGCGGAGCTGGTCGTAATCGATGAGGCTGCCGCAATTCCGCTCCCCGTTGTGAAGAAACTGCTTGGTCCCTACCTTGTCTTCATGGCTTCTACCATCAATGGTTACGAAGGTACTGGTCGATCTCTATCTCTTAAGCTGATCCAGCAGCTGCGAGAGAGCTCTGGAAAGACTCAGATGGGCCGAACTCTGCATGAAGTTGTGCTGGATGAGCCCATCCGATACGCTCCTGGTGACCCCGTCGAGAAGTGGCTCAACAAGCTGCTGTGCCTCGACGCCACTATTGCTCCCAAGGCCAAGAATGCTGCCACTCCTCACCCTGACAAGTGTCAGCTTTTTGCCGTCAACAGAGACACTCTCTTCTCCTACCATGCGGTCTCTGAGGCATTTTTGCATCGAATGATGGCTCTCTACGTGGCATCTCATTACAAGAACACTCCCAACGATCTGCAGCTGCTGTCCGATGCTCCCGCTCATCAGCTCTACGTTCTTCTGGGCCCCCAGGAGGGTAACCAGCTTCCCGAGCCTCTGGTTGTTGTCCAGGTTGCGCTTGAAGGTGAGATTTCAAAGGACAGTGTTCGAAACGCCTTGTCTAGAGGCCAGCGATCTAGCGGTGACCTGATCCCCTGGCTCATGTCCCAGCAGTACCAGGACGACGAATTTGCATCTCTCTCTGGCGCTCGAATCGTCAGAATTGCCACCAACCCCGAGTACATGGGTATGGGCTACGGTGGCCGAGCTCTGGACTTGCTTCAGGATTACTTTGAGGGAAAGTTCACAGATATCTCCGAGCGAACGTCTCTCGAGAACCAGTCTATTGTCCGAGTTACCGACGCAGAACTTGCCAAGGGCAAGCTGACCGATAAGATCACGGTTCGAGACGCTGCCTCCATGCCTCCTCTGCTGAACAAGCTGTCCGAGATTCCTCCCCATCGACTCAACTACATGGGTGTTTCTTACGGTCTTACCAACCAGCTGCACAAGTTCTGGAAGCGAAACGGCTACGTACCTGTATACCTGCGACAGACAGCCAACGAGCTCACTGGTGAGCACACTTGTGTCATGCTTCGAGGTCTCAAGGGTCAGGACGACTCCTGGCTCGCCGAGTTCTCCAGTGACTTTCACAAGCGGTTCCTCACTCTTCTTTCTTTTGAGTTCAGCTCGTTCACCGCTTCTCATGCTCTATCACTTGTGGAGTCTGCCAAGTCGATGAACAAGAAGGAGAGAGTTCCTGTCACCAAGGCCGAGCTTGACCGACTCTTCACTCCCTTTGATCTGAAGCGACTCGAGTCCTATGCCAACAACCTGTTGGATTACCACGTCATTGTCGATATGCTTCCTGCAATTGCTACAATGTACTTCCGAGACCAGTTCCCTGCCAACATCAAGCTGTCTATTGTTCAGTCTGCTGTTCTGCTTGGTATTGGTCTTCAACGAAAGGACATGGACAAGATGTCTGCTGAGCTCAACCTGTCTGTTTCTCAAAACATGGCGATGTTCTCCAAAATCATCCGAAAGGTGTCCAATTACTTCCGAGAGGTGCTCTCTTCTGCCATCGACGAGCAGATGCCCAAGCAGCTTCATGAAGATGTCCGAGAGCTGGATGGCGAGGAGGATATGTTTGGCGAGGTCCAGGAGGATGTTACTGACGAGCTTGAGGAGGCTGGAGATGAGGTGACCGCGGCTCTTAGAGAGAAGCAGCGAGAACTCATCAATGCCTTGGATCTCAACGAGTTCAAGATCAACGACGATGACTGGGAGGGAGCCAAGAAGGGGGCTTCCAAGGCTGCTACCGGCAAGGCTGGCACAACTCTTGCTGTGCGCAACAGCAGCAAAGAGAAGAAGCGAAAGGCCGAGAGTGTCGATAGCATCTACAAAGAGGAGATGAACGCTCTCAAGTCTGCCAAGAAGAGCAAGAAGGGCAAGAAATAAACTAATGACATATAAAAACTGATAGATTTATTACAATGTATGTACAATTAATTAAGTAGAGTCACGATTATAAATATGTGCATGGTCTTTACTCAAGATCGTAATAGTCCAGAATGACATCAAACACCCAATCAAGAGTCTCGGCCACGTCGAAATCGGTGGTGGGCACGATTCGGATTCCTTCTCTGGTGGCGTCCTTACTGGGTTCTCCGTTGGGATTTTCGTTTTCAAACAGCTGTTTGTGGGTCTTTAGGTAACCGGGCCAAACAATGTTGTGGAAGTATCCCTCAGGATCCTTCCAAAACCCTTCCAGAGTGACGTATCCGGATCGAGCTTCTCGTCGAGACTTGAGGTTTTCGTAACTGGATCTGACCAGAATCTTGATATCGAACAACTCGGTGAATTGAGCGTCATGGTAGACCATGATACCATCCAGAATGACAATCAGCTTGTTCTCAAACTCAGGCATGTAAGGGTGCATTCGACGCTTAAAGGCGTCGACAGCGTTTTCATCAAGAGCAGCGGGTCCCAGGGAGTTCTGGTCCTCCTTCGATTTGAAATTTTTGGGCAGCTCTCCAGTCTGCTTGACATGGCTCAAAACCTTGGACAGTAGCTTGAAATCAAAAGCCTCGGGACAATCCCAATCTTGAACTCCATCAATAACTGGGATCTGCGAGTCCTCCAGGTAAAAGTCGTCTTGGTGGATGATGATGACGTGGGGAAGAATGTCTCGAAGCAGACGAGCTAGAGTCTGAAGTTAGTGCCAGTTCTGTAACGGGGACTGCACCTCGTGCAAACGATTCATACTCACACTCTTTCCACTGGACGAGGGGCCACTGAGTGCCACCAAAGTGACCTCGCGCTTATCCTCCTCCTTGGCCAGTTTTTTCTCAGCTATTTTTCGTCGGATCATGGTGTGATGGTGTCGAAGATGATTACTGCACCTAGCTGCGATAAGCCTTACTGCTTACATGCAGCTTAACAATGTGAGACGAAGGGGGGTCTTTTGGCAATGAGAAACAAACTGATATGAGGGGAAACTAACTGCTCAACTGATAGTGCAATCTGGAATAATTTTTGTTCCATCAAAAAGGTTCCAGGTTTACATGGCTTTGCGTGCAGTCGGAGAGGTATATGTTTACCCATGATATTTCTTGGGGCACGTACAGTAATACTATAGTTACACAGCAAGATGATCTTGTACGGTATGTACTTGGTTGAACCAACACTGACTGAGACAAACGACAGACTAAAACAGCCGTGGAGTTATGCCCCCTAATTTGATTAGCCAGTTTTAATGCTTTGATGGCTGGTTCTCAAGGCAACTAACTAAATAGTTGCTAATGACATTAGTACGAGTATTGTAGCGACTTACTTGTACATGCTGTACTCACCTTCAACAAGAGATGTCAATGACTATTGTCGTACTCGTAGAAGCACAACACAGTATGTACAAGCAAGACATTTTGTGCGACGCTACAAGTACAACTACAAGTAGACGAACATGCACTGGTGTGTACGAGTACAGTACCAGCAGAAGAAGGATAAGTCGTACTCGTGGGGAACAGTGAGTGCCGAAAATAACCAAACTACGTCATATTGTTCCACTTCATTGCCACACTGTCCCAGAACCCCGCGGATTCACCTGCCCGCTACCTCACCTTGCACTTGCACTTTTTTTACTGTGCCCCGCATGCGCCATACAAAGAAAACAAAGCTGGCGGTCACATAGCTACGCTCACAGTTTTGGCTGTAGCCGAGAGCCACAAACAGACGGCAAGTTCCTGAAAACTCGCCGGTGTAACGGTCTGTTCACACTCAACATCCTCTATTGGTTTTTTGGCCCCTTTTAACGATGTTTCAAAACGTCTGGAATGTCTTTCGGCGCTTTTGGCCTTGTAGTCTTGCCCCACTATACCGCTCCTCACCCCTGGACCATAAACAAGACTAGAGACAATGGTAGAAACATGAACCCCTACCCTGATTGAGAGACACTACCCAGTGTTTAAACCTTATTCGTCAGGCATGCAGAAACTACAGTAATACTCCCAACACCACTGCACATCAGAGAGAATAATTGCTGTAAGTGAGAAGCAATACACGAGACAACTACCATAATGTCCGATCCCATTAACGCCAACCCCGAGGTTATCGACGTGTCAGCCCTGCCCACACGGAACAAAGGCCAGTCGCAGCTCGATCTGCCTCTTGGAGCCTTTCTAGACACACATCCCACACCCCTGTCTCTGATTCAGAACGAGTCCGCCAGCGGATCCGACGACGATGATGACGATGACGAGCCTGAACCTATCGATTCTCAGGAGATTTACGACCTCATCGCCACCATCTCCGATCCCGAGCATCCCCTGACTCTCGGTCAGTTGGCTGTTGTCAAACTGGAAGATATCTGGGTTCACGACACTGGAGACAAGAACAAGATGGCCGAGATTGTGGTCAAAATCACCCCCACCATTACCCACTGTTCTCTGGCCACCCTGATTGGACTTGGAATCCGGGTGCGACTCGAGCGAGCTCTTCCTCCTCGGTTCCGGTTCACTATCACTGTCAAGGAAGGTACCCACCAGAGTGAGAATCAGGTCAACAAGCAGCTTAACGACAAGGAGCGGGTGGCTGCAGCATGCGAAAACGAACAGCTGCTTGGTGTGATTTCAGGTATGCTAGCCACTTGCCAATAAAGAGCGATTTTGGACAAATGCGTCGAAATTACGATAACCCTGGTACGTACAGGCACTCCATAAACCTTTTTTTGCTTTTTTCACAGGATACGAGCGATCGACCCGACATGTGGATATGTGCACTTGCCACACCCAAAACACGTCGATTGGCTTGTTCCACGGCATTTGTTGGGTCAGGGGTGGGTTGATTTTAGTGATCGCCGCTACAAATACGAAAGAGCTGGATGATCATCTGGCGATATTTACACAACAACAATGCAACAAAAGAATGAATCCACAAAATCGGACATTAAGCTCGTTGACTAACAGGTTTCTTTGTTAGGTCATCATAAAACAAAAAGCTGGTGTTCAACCAAACCCACCCCGCAGTGTCTTGAACCAACGGTGTGAAGAGACACTCCCCTCCCCCGCACCCAAGCAGCCAGCTTTTCTCCCATTCAGCACAGAGTTACTTTACGCCCTCCCCACACTCTTTTTTATTGCAGTTTGAATGCCTTCCAAGCTGAGACAACAGGGGAAGTTAACTCTAGGGGACCCCGCTAAATCGAATCTAAAGTGTGCATTTCTTATACGTTTAAAACATTCAATGTAGGCATGCCCGCGGAAACCGACTCTGAGTCAAGTGTCTTATAAATATAACGTAGCTGGCAAACCCTTGAACAACTTCTCGCATCTCCCCGACACATACAACTAGAATCGATACACGTCGATGTCGCTACAGAACGTGGTATCACAGATCTCGGCGCTGGTGCCGGGTCTGTCTCCAGCGCTGTCAGCTCCAGAGGTGTCACAGATGACCAATGTGGCATCCGGAATGCTGGCCGAACTGACCGCGAACTCCAACGGACTGACCCCCACAGAACAACTCCTCTCTTTACTACCAAAGCTCGTCACTGGCCCAGGTGCACTGTCCGGAATTGTGAGCCATCTACCTAATGGACTCGTAGAGACGCTCCTCAACTCGCCCTATGGACCAGCTGTGATCGACATTCTCACTTCACAGGTGGGAAACCGACCTCTTGAATATGACGACCTGCTCATGTCTATCTTTCCCATTCCTGTGTGGGCCAAAACCGGAACTGGAGTCATGAAGATCGTGTCCATGGCTCACGACATCGTGGGGTTCAACCTTCCCCAGAGTGTTATCAACCTGGTCCTGACAACCCAGTACAACATCTACGGAGGCTTTCCTACGCCAGCAGATGTTGCTCCTTCCGCTGTATTTGTTGCAGTCAACGTTATTCTAATGGCGGCCCACTTTTACATCTTCTTCCGAGGCTTCCTTAGACGACACTACTTCTGGCCGTCGTTCGGTCTCGGCTGGCAATGCATTCTCAACTGTCTGGGATTTGGCATGCGTATCGGCTGGGGTAAAAACCTGCTGTCATTGCGTCTGGGTATCGCGTCCACTGTGTTTATCATTCTCTCTATCATTCTCATCAACTTGATGAACTTGCTGCTGGCTCACCGTATCATGACTTTCAGACACCCAGAAACGGGAGACGCAACGTGGTTTGGCATGCTCATGATTCTTGTCTACTTGGCTATTGGAGGAGTTCTTCTTCTTGCAGTCGTCACCGAAGTCACCATTTTCTCGTACTTCTTAGACTACACACATTGGAGACAGGCGACAGGAGGAATGCAGGCAGCCTCCGTTCTGATTGCAGTAATATCAGTAGGAGGAGTCTTCATCATCGCTATTGCTTATGCTCTTCCTCGAGGCTCTCTGGCACTGTCTAATCAGGATCGAAGTCGTCTCCCTGCCTCTAACATCGAGTCTTATGGTATCTTCTACTTTCCTCCAAAGTTCTCACAGGTGTTGCAGTACAAGGGAGACCCAACTGCCAAAATCTCCTCTGGAAAGCTTGCAGCTCGAGTCATTAATGGACGGGATCTTAACTTCTCTGCATCTCTCATCGTCATCACGTCTGTCATTCTCTGTGCAACCTCAGGCATGAGAGCTGCTACCACTTTCATTGGAGATCGATGGAGTCACCACAACAAGCCCATTTTTAGCCCTACACTTTTCTATGTCGGATTCGGCGTCTTCGAGTGTATCTGCAACGTTTTGTATCTGGTGGCCAGAGTAGACTTGCGATTCTACATCCCAGACATGCCTCGAAAAGGCTATGGTCCAATTCTGGTGGATCCCGAAACAATGCAGTACACGGATCCTTACACCGATGGAAGAGGTGTGGTTATGGATGAGAAGAAGGGATTTACGGATCATGTAGAAGACGTCATCAATGTGCCTGCTCCCACATACAACCCAGCCTATGCCCTGTCTCCTCAGGTGGCCATGGCAGCTAGAGCCATGAATGCTTCCCAGATGCCCCCTCTGCCCAAATCCGGCCCACCACCTCCTGTGAACAAACACACGGACTTCCAGGAAGCACAGACCCTGCCTCCAAACAGTTCTTTTGTAGAGCCTCCTCCTATCGTGCCCCCTCCCATGCCCCATCCCACTCTGATTGGGGAGCCGAAGATGCTCTACACTCCTCAAATGGTGCCTCCTCCCCGAATGACTCCTTCCAACACTTCACCCAGAGGATCTTTGAAGGGGTCTCCAAAGCTCATCTCTCCCGAAGGCTCTCCCAAGCTTCCTCCACAGGCCCCCACCCTCCCTAAGGTGTCCATGGGTTCCCCCACCCTCCCTAATATCAACATGGACTCTCCTAATTTCGGTTCTCGTTCGGCTCCCAAAACAGAGATGGTCTCTCCCACAATTCCTAATATTTCCCACTCTCCTGCTGCCCCTCTGTCCATGCCTCGACATTCTCCTTTACCCTCGCATGCTCCCCAGCTTCCCGAGATTCTGCCCACTCCTTTTCCCCAGACCCCTTATCAGATTCGTACCGCGACTCCTCCCGAGTTTGCAACCCCCACCAACATTCTTCCCCCCGTCAGCCCTCAGCATTTTCCTGAGCCTAGTTTCACCCCGGTTGAACCGGGATCTTCTGGTCACTATGCGCGTCCCTATGAAGAGCCTGAAGATGAGTTCCGGTTTTCTCGGGACTCTGAAAACATGTGACCATAGAACTACCTTTATGACCTTTCCATTGCACCCTTTTTATATAGCACACTCTCTTATTTATTGCATGTTTAATTATGACCCTGATGACCCTATGCTGAATATTGTAGATGTTACAACAACAGTGTACAAGTAGCAGGCACATAATTACATGAGTACATACTGTACAGTAATATGCGTACAGACATACAGTACAGTATGTACTTGTACTTGTATTACAGTACTTGTATATACATGTACTTTACATGCTCTGTAGTTCAATAGCTGACCGTGTTCTACCAAATAGCCGCATTCTTATAAAACGCAACATCATCATGGGTACAAGTACCAGTACTTCCAATTGAGGCAAGGTCAACTGACTAGATGTCTCAGATTGGCGGTGGAGGTTACACTTTGAGCCTTGGTCGGGTGGGTAGAGTGTCGTTTATAGTAATTACTACAAGTAGGGTACAAGTGTACTTGTATGAGTGAATCAGAGCAAGTGGTAGGACTGAAAAGAAGTGAGACAAAAGATAATAATTGCTACCTTGTACAATTAGAGAAGCCATGGTTGGTTGACTGGAATCGCCATTGATGTCAGAAGTATTAGTGGGCCCTGTCTTTTTACAAGTAGATCCGAAAGAGCAACGTCAACCGAATCTGGTCACACGACAGACCGACAGCAACGTTCGTGTATGGAGCTGCTACGGGATGGAAAGTCCCAAGAAATCTTGGATGCGTATTCGATGTGTATGGTGACCTCCCCCGATGGGATCCAGAAAATAACCCTAAACACACTCCCACCCACACGAAACAAGTAGATTGTCATTCAACACTCAATTACCACAAGTCAAGTCAGCCTCTTCTTGATAATACCTTACACATGGTGAGTATGGTTGCAGCGGTGGCGACGCATATGGTGAAAAACGACGACCAGAAAGCACGTTGACACAACTCATGTCTCCACCTCACACCTAACACAGTCCATTGATCCGTCTACAGGTCTCGTTTCCGGCTGGGAAGTCCGTCATTCGCGAACCCGGAACCTGCCCTACTACTTCCACCCCGCCACCAGCAACTCATCGTGGGAGCCGCCGGCCGGCACCGACTCGGACCTGCTGAAGCAGTACATGGCCACCAACTACTCGCAAAAGAACACAGCTGTGCCCAATACTGCTCCTGGCACTGGCAATGGCTCTGGCCAGAAGATCCGGGTGTCGCATCTTCTCATCAAGCACCGGGATTCGCGACGACCGTCGTCGTGGAAGGATGCCAACATTGAGCGAACCAAGGAGGAGGCTCGTGCAATTCTGGAGGGACATCAGGCCAAGATCAAGGCTGGTGAGACCACCATTGGTGACCTTGCCGTGTCGGAGTCCGACTGCTCGTCTGCACGAAAGCGAGGCGACTTGGGTTTCTTCGGCAAGGGCGAGATGCAGGCCGAGTTTGAGCAGGCTTCTTTTGCTCTGGAGAACGGTCAGGTCAGTGACATAGTCGAGACAGCCAGTGGTCTCCATCTGATTGAGCGTACTGGTTAGGTGCTCAACACGCAGACACGGATGAACTGATGGAATTACCTGTTCCTGTCTTATGTTCCTGCTTTCTTCTGTAAATTAAATGTTGTTTATTATCCTACTCGAACTTGTACTTGTATTTGTATTTGTGAATGGCTCGTAGGAGACCCCCAGTATAAACATAATCAACCCACACAGCCTGCAAACGGCACTATAGACAAGTGTTTAGGGATGCTTATCCCTACACGGCACACCTTACAAACAAAGGCTTATGCAAGGTAACGGTCGAGAGCACCGTTTTCCAAACTCTACACAACTGATACAGCACCGTAACGGATCGCGCCGTCCGGTTTTCAACAGAAGTATATAAACCCCGTGTGAGCCGCCCTCTGTTCGCGATGTCGCCCATACCGTCGTTTGTGTCTCGCCTACCCCGCCAACTCCAGCGTCTACATTCTCTCAAACCTGTCACCAGTCTGATTTCACCCCTCACTTTTAGGCCTGCTCCAACCCAAAAGCCACTACTCCATCACCTACCTACTTCCTCCTCCTTTCCCACTACCCCACGCACATACTGCCAATTGCACCAGGGCCACTCAGGATTAGGAATGACAGCTGCTGCAAAGAAGTATGCTCTCCTCGCGCTAGCCGTGCTGGCTGTCGCCGTGTTTTCTTCTACTCACTGGGCGCCAGCCAAAATGCATGTCACAATGTGGTATTCTTGATACTGTGACTTGGCCAGCGTGGCATGAAGGATGATGGCCGATGATCTGCAGCTGATTGAAGACACTTCAATGTTGCATTGACCTCACGATAGTGATTATGTCACTTCGGTGTCCAAAATTAACTGCTGCTCATCTACCCTCTTCATTTGTGTCATCTGCCCCTTCGCCACCCTAAATACTAACTCAGCCCCGAACAGGAGCGTGTGCTCCTCCCCCAGAATGTCAAGGCCACAAATTATGACCTGACTCTCGAGCCCAATTTCGAGACCTTCAAGTTCGACGGAACGGTGGTCATCGACCTTGACGTCAAGGATACTTCCAACACCGTGTCGGTCAACGTGCTTGAGATTGACATCCACTCCGCGCAGCTCATCTACGACGGAAGCAAGTACCCCGCCGCTAAGACCGAGCATGACGAAGAGACCCAGACCACCAAGTTCACCTTCGACAAGGAAATGACTGCCGGATCCAAGGCCCAGATCGATATCAATTTTACTGGAACCCTCAACGAGAACATGGCTGGTTTCTACAAGTCCACCTACAAGGACGAGAAGACTGGCGAAACCAAGTACATTGCCACGACCCAGATGGAACCTGCCGACTGCCGAAAGGCGTTCCCCTCCTTTGATGAGCCCGGCCTCAAGGCCACCTTTGATGTCACTCTGATTGCCGACAAGCACCTTACTTGTCTGTCCAATATGGACGTCAAATCTGAGAAGGAGCTCGACTCCGGAAAGAAGGCTGTCTCTTTCAACAGAACCCCTGTCATGTCAACCTACCTGATTGCCTTCATTGTCGGAGAGTTCAACTATGTTGAGTCCAACCTGTTCCGAATCCCCGTCCGAGTCTACACTACTCCCGGTCTCGAGTCTCAGGGCCAGTTCTCCGCTGATCTCGGTGCCAAGTGCCTCAAGTTCTTCGAGGACACCTTCGATATTCCCTTCCCTCTGCCCAAGATGGATCAGGTTGCTATCCACGACTTTGCCGCTGGAGCAATGGAAAACTGGGGTCTTGTCACTTACCGAGTTGTTGACCTGCTCTTCGACGAGAAGAAGTCCGGCCTGGCCACCAAGCAGCGAGTTGCCGAGGTTGTACAGCATGAGCTTGCCCACCAGTGGTTTGGAAACCTTGTCACCATGGACTGGTGGGAGGGTCTCTGGCTCAACGAGGGCTTCGCCACCTGGATGTCCTACCTTTCCATGGACCATTTCTTCCCCGAGTGGAAGATCTGGGAGTCGTTCTTCGTTGACAACTATCAGCCCGCCTTCTCTCTGGACGGTCTTCGATCCTCTCACCCCGTTGAGGTCCCTGTCAAGACTGCTGACGAGATCAACCAGATTTTCGACCACATTTCATACGCCAAGGGTTCCGCTGTCCTTAAGATGATCTCCGACTATCTCGGTCAGGACGTCTTCCTCCAAGGTGTCTCTAACTACCTCAAGAAACACTCGTACGGCAACACCGTCACCACTGACCTCTGGGAGTCTCTTTCCGAGGCCTCCGGTAAGGACATTGTCTCTGTCATGGACACCTGGACCAAGAAAATTGGTTACCCTGTTCTTACCATCACTGAAGATGGTGACAAGATCCACGTCAAGCAGAACCGGTTCCTCACCACCGGTGATGTCAAGCCCGAGGAGGACGAGTCCATTTACCCTTGCTTCCTGTCCATCCGATCTGACGCTGGTGTTGATAAGGCTGCTGCCCTCAAGCAACGAGAGGACACCTACGAACTACCTAAGGGCGGCAAGGAGTTCTACAAGATCAACGCTGAACAGGTTGGTCTCTACCGAGTTGCCTACCCCAAGGAGCGGATGACCAAGCTTGCCGAAAATGGTAAGCAGGGTCTGCTTTCTACCCTCGATCGAGCCGGTCTTGTTAATGATGCCCAGGCTCTTGCCACTGCTGGTTACCAGAGCACCTCCAACCTGCTCACCCTTCTGTCCTCTTGGAACAAGGAGAACGAGTACATTGTGTGGACCACCCTCGTAGCTGCCATCTACGGTGTCCGAAACGCCTGGAAGTTTGAGTCTCCCGAGCTTCGGGATTCTCTCAAGAAGCTTCAGCGAGAGCTTGTTTCCCCCATGGCCAAGGAGCTTGGCTGGGAGATCACTGACGCCGACTCTTCCACGACTCAGGCTCTGAAGACCCTTCTCTTCGGTGCTGCTGTCGACGCTGAGGTCCCCGAGGCTGTTGAGCACGCCAAGTCTCTTTTCAAGTCCTACGTACACGATGGCAACAAGGAATCCGTCAACCCCAACCTGCGAGGCAACGTCTTTGCCGCGGGTGTCGAGTACGGAACCGAGGCCGACTGGGAGGCTCTTCTCAAGTTGTCTCAGACCACCGACAACAAGGATGAGGCCAACGCCTGTCTCCGAGCACTTGGTTGCTCTGAGGATGCTGCCATCAGAGAGAAAACTCTTGGACTCCTGCTGGACGGCACTGTTCGAGCCCAGGACATCTATATGCCTGTTGGAGGTATCTTATCCACCCCTGAGGGTATCCGAGCTTACTGGAAGTGGATGACCACCAACTGGGCTGCTCTCTCCAAGATTGTTCCTCCTGAGGGTAACATTCTACCCTCCATGATTACTCTCGGTGTTCGAGGCTTCACCAAGCCCGAGGATCTTGCTGCTGTCGAGGAGTTCTTCTCCACCCGAAAACACAAGGGATACGAGCGATCTCTGTCTCAGGCCATTGATGTTGTCAACTCCAAGATCAGCTGGCTTGGTCGAGACCGAGAGGACGTCAAACAGTGGCTTTCCGACAACAAGTACCTGTAATCTTGTAAGTGTATATAGCTAGTTAATGACTTCTTATGTGACCAAAGTTGTACAAAGGTTCTTCTGAGTACTGCAGGCTACACGTTCACGTAGAAATAACCGCCACGATGAGGCATTTACTGTCAATCCATATAACATTGTGGCCCTATATACGGTTATCGAACGTGATCACGGAGCTTATGCTGTACAAGTACATGTGTGGAGTGGAAGAGAAGCAGGAAAGATCAAATAACAGAGAAATCAGTAATTGTACAAGGTAGCGTTGATTTTGTATGGAGATTTGTCCTCAAAAAGTTTGAACACAGATACTACTGTACGAATATATACGTACTTATCACTGTCAACAGATCACTCAAAACAAGTACAATTACAAGTACATACTCTGAGATTTGTGGATGTTCATTCTCACTGATCATCGGCAACACCCGAGAGTTTGTGTATGATGAAGGAGAAATATTACGGTACAAGTACCGTATCACACATTTGCAGTCAGTATCGTTGTTCTATATATTACTACGATCTTTCCATCAACCCTTATCATAAAAAAATGCCAACAATCGATGTGGTTTCGAGTATCGGGTCCGTATTTTTTTTTTTTCTGCATATACATTCATTTAATTATAACTTTGCTGTGAAAGAATAACCTTTGAAATGAATGTAAAAGTACCGGTAATTTAAGTTTCATCAAAGTCTAAATGAAGTACTGCCATTTTTTCAACTACTGTACAATGGTTCGAAAGATTGTATGGACAACTAAATGTCAAGATGTAACATTAGAGCTATAAGTGTTCAACCATCAGCATCATATACATACTATCACTGTCCCTGTATTTACAGTATAGCTGCATGCATGTGAAAGGCGCTTCTTCTCTTCAGCCCTAAGTACACACACATCTCGGCCTGCCATCGCAAGAAAAATCCTCGATAGTGTTGATCACTGAACAAAAAATATGTGCTGGTTTGTACTGTTTTGTCTTCAGAGCTATGACAACAAGACTTGATCCAAACATAATTTATAATTTTATATACTGTACTCCTCCACATGCTATCTACTGTACATCTTTCTACTCCTCGTACTCGATGAGAACGGAGCCCTGCTTGACCAGGTCTCCAGGAACAAATGCCACTCTCTTGACCTTAGTAGGCTGTTCACGGGCAGATCGAACAGTGGTCTCCATCTTCATCGACTCGATGACCAGCAGCTCATCATCCTTGGACACGACATCTCCAGGCTTGACTGTGACTCGAACGACTCGACAAGGCATAGGAGTGGCAACCTCCAGGGCGTCGGGGTCATTGAAGGAGCCTCCGGCAGCAGCACCGGCACCAATTCGCTTGTTGACGGCAGTGATCCAGTCAGGAGTGGCCAGCTCGACTTTGTGATGGGTTCCTCGGTGGAAGACATGGACCTCGTTAACGTTACCGAGGTTGGAGTCGTTAGAAACAACGGTGTTGACATGCTGGCCTGTGGGGAACTTAAATCGGGCCTTTCCATTGAAGTGAGAAGCAGTCACGTTGCCAATGGCTTTATCACCGACCTTGGCGGCAAAAGTGTGCTCGGTGGGGTTGGTGCCGGGGAGCTGAGTCAGAGTGACAACGACAGACTCCTTGCCGTTCTTGAAGGTAACCTCTCGAGTCTGCATTGAAGACCAGCCAGCAGTTCCGACGGAAGAGAAAGCGTTGGCAGCCTCCAGAATGGATGGAGCAGACAGGGCCTTGGGGAAAGCTTGGGCAATGGCAGCCTGAACGTAAACCTCGCTGGGGGTTCCCTCGTTGGCAAATAGGACCTCGCCGTGTCGAGGAATGAAACCGGTATCGAGATCGGTGGGGTTGTTGCCCCGGAATCCCTCGTGCTTGAGAACTCGCTTGATGAATTCAATGTTTGTGGTAGGACCAACAATCTCGTACTCATTGAGAGCCAGACGCAGCTTCTTGAGAGCCTCCTCCCGAGAGTCACCTCGAACAATGAGCTTTCCGATCATGGGGTCGTAGAGGGGAGAAACGGTGTCGCCCTGCTCAAAGGTGACATCAAGTCGGGGGTTGCCCACCTGGGGAAGCTGCATATGCACAATCTTTCCAGAAGAAGGCATGAACTGGTTGAAGGGGTCCTCACAGTAGATTCGGGCCTCGATTGCATGCACACCAAGCTTGTCCATATCAGCCTGGATCTCCTCCTGGGTCTTAGGCAGAGGTCGACCGGAGGCGATAAGGAGCTGCCACTCAACGAGATCAACACCAGTGACCATCTCGGTAACGGGATGCTCGACCTGGAGTCGAGTGTTCATCTCCATAAAGTAGAACTGTCCGTTGGGTGAATCTCGGTCGAAAATGAATTCGACGGTACCAGCTCCCTCGTAGTTGACGGCTCGAGCAGCGTCACAGGCCTGCTTGTACATCTTCTGTCGGCAGTCGGCGGAGTAGAGCTCAAGGCCGGGGGCAGGAGACTCCTCAAGAACCTTCTGGTGTCGTCGCTGGACGGAACAGTCTCGCTCTCCGAGAGCCACAACGTTGCCGAACTTGTCGGCAAAGACCTGGACCTCCACGTGACGAGGTCGCTTGATGTACTTCTCGACGAGGACACGCTCATCACCAAAAGAGGACTTGGCTTCAGACTTGGCGGAGGCCAGCTGCTTTTGGAAGTCAGCCTTGGACTCTACAATTCGCATACCCTTACCTCCTCCTCCGAGGACAGCCTTGATAAGAACGGGGAAGCCCATCTTTTCAGACTCGGCCTCAAGAAACTTGGGATCCTGATTCTCTCCGTGGTAACCAGGAACACACGAGACACCAGCATCGGTCATAATCTCCTTGGATCGAGACTTGGAGCCCATGGCCTCCATAGCGGCAGCAGGAGGGCCGACAAAGATCAAGCCAGCATCTTGGACCTTCTTCGCGAACTCAGAGTTCTCGGAAAGGAAACCATAACCAGGGTGAATGGAGTCACAGCCATTCTCCTTGGCCAGGCGAACAATCTTGTCCATCTCAAGGTAACCCTTTGTGTCAGCTCCGAGATTCAAGTTGTTGTTTGCAGATCGCGAGAAGGCGAGGTTTCCATCGGGCTCGGTGTAGAAAGATGTGGTGTCAATGCCCATTTTGGAGGCTGTATCACACACTCTGTGGACGATTTCTCCTCGGTTAGCCACACAAAGAGACTTAAGGATTTCGGGCTGCACAGAGGCGTTGGACTGGGAGGCAGCCTTTGTCGAGTACGACCGTAGCGTGGAGTTGATCACTCGTCTCATTGTTTTTTCTGTTGTTGAATGAAGTGTAGCGTAGTAATTTTTTACTCTCTGGGGCCTCTACTTTATATATAGTCGATAGCCGCTACATCAAACCTGGGGTCAACTTTAATGCTTCGGGGGGATTTCGGCCCCACAAGTTCGGGGTGAGGGCGGAACCACAAGATGAAATGAATGGAGGTAAAAAAAAGCTGAAAGGGGGTATAATCGGATTGTAAAAAATGTATTTTATCACTTTGAATACTGCCTCTTCGATTTGTGGTCCTCTCTGAGGATATCCTAACTCCTCCCCTTCACCTTTGCTTAGTGATCTCTTCCCCGCACATTAACCGACATCACGTGAGTTATTTATCGCTAACCGTGGTGTGCAGTATGGGCGTGAAGGACATAGCCGTGTCAATATGTGATTATATAAGCGCATAGACACTGAGGGCTTTCAATATCACTCTCTGAAGTTGACCAATCACATATATTTCGCTCGGTGGGGTAACTGATTAGTCTGTACACGACCCTGTTCCTGTCTCGCTGGTGTTTCAAAAAAGGGCTCCTTCCCCAGACAGGCGAAATTCAAATGCCAGACAAAGTTCCATAAAAGTCGGTATGTGACGTACCAATCGCTGGTAATAACAGAGCCTTGTGAACGATAGCAAAAGCATTCTAATGCAATTGTTTAGTGAAAAGAAACCACGGCCCTGTGATATATAGATCTAGCCCAGATGAAAAGGCTTCCGGCATATAGCGCCTAGTGAGTCGTGCAGTACACCCTCTCGCAAGTAATTCATGGCCAGTGCCACAACGATACTCTATTGTCCTCGGTTATTGTCCCAACTTTGATCAGATGTTATCGCCAACCTACAAGTAAGTACTTGTACTCATATCGGTACATGTACTGTGTGGAGCGCTAAGTGCATATTGGCGACGTCTGTTGCCATTCGAACCAGGGTAACTGCGTAGGTTTTGAGTGACTCGCACTACCTCCTGAAGCATGGAGCGAGCCTCACACGCTATATTAATCTCGGGTTGAGTTACTCGATATGCCTAGGTACATGAACCAGTAAACAGCTAATTACAGTAGGTATTTAGAAGGCGTTGAGAAAGGGATAAAACGGAGCATGAACAGATATGAATAAAATGCTTTCGGCGTAAATGTTGAAGAAACTCCGTTCATAATGCAGTCTGTCCCTCCTTTCTCAAGGCCCTCTATCTCAATGACCTCGATCCGTTGCTGCAACTTTTTCCGCTGTGGGGTACATTAGGTTCATTTCAATCACCCTCTACATAACATGGACTTACAAGTGGTCTCTCATATATGTGCTTTTTATCTCTTTCACCATCTCTGCACCAGCGGGAATGCTATGTACACCCACGAAAACAACTCTGTGCCCGAGCTCTCTCTCGACCGCGACTCTGTTCAAACCAACGCCCAGTCTCCAACCTCCAATGGTAGCAGTTCCAAGATTCATGTCCTGAACGACATTCTGACATCACCGGCCATTCTCCCCAGTGTCATTTTGAAGCAGGAATGTAGCCGGTCCCAGAGCCCCGAGGGATACGCGCTACAACGCAGTATAAAGCAGCTGCCTCCAGTGCCCAGCTACAGGGTTCCTCAGTTTGACGAGGCCACATCCCAGCCCGTTGGGAGTTCCCACCTGCAGCACATGAGGCAATCGAGACACGAATGTGAGGGTCACTGGGAGGCTAACAATAATTGTGCCAATTTAAACGACGCCCCAAACAGAACAACGCCAATCACCACCACAACACCAACAGCACGTATTGGAGACCACGAAACCACCAGCTCATCACCCCCCTTAACAGCACGCAGCTCTGTGGTACATTCACGAATCGCATCTCTCATCCACACGCCCCAGGTCATAGAGGGATGGTCAATCACAACACCATCAGAAGCAGATACACCCGAAGTTTATTCGTCGCCACACTTCCCGCTAGACTCGCTGACAGAGCATCTGCGATTATACAGTAATAATACCACCACGGCGACCATGGATCACGTGGCGGACTCCCACCACGCGGCGGACCTCTCTGCAGAGCAACAGTTGGAGCTCCAGTTGCCTCCTGCGATCCAGGACTTGCTATACCAGCCCCACAATGCCACCATGGCCCAACGCACCTTCATCATTGCCCTGCTGTGGCAAAAGTGGCCCCAGTTCCGCGCCTCCCCCGTGGCGGGAGAGGAGGTGGTTCTGTTCAAGAAGGGCCTTCTCGACAACTTTGCCAGCGCTGTGGGGATCATCGGAGACGACGTGGAGGCCGAATTCAATGTCCTACCGCCCGACCAGGACTTCATGCCTCCAGATCAACTCGATCAGACAGATATATGCGACCCCCATACCATGCGGCTCAAGCCGGGGTTCACCGGAGATGACTTTGACACAGTACCGGTGCGCTTCTATAGCCTGCTGGACGAGTGGCGTTTGCTTGACACAGACTCACCTGTGATTAAGCGATTCTACATCGCTGATCCGCCCCGTCTGGAGCTCTACCCGCCTGAATTCACACTGGCTCAGTTGCGCCAGAAACGCACCCTGGATTGGGAATCAGGAGACCGGCAATCGCGTCTGCCTACAATTCAGGTGTCGGAGATTGAGCTGTCGCGTCTGAATCAAGAAATCTCCGACCAGCTCGACATCAGAGGTGATCTGCGAGTCTACGCCACATCTGAAGCGCTGGACGGACCCGTTGATCTCGCTACCTTCAAGCGCATGCAAAAGGTGCGTCTTCAGAGCCCTTACACAACCGATAAACTGACTCCTAACCTGATCATCTCAGCAAAGGAGGCCCGTGGATATATTGAGGACAGTCTCACGGCTGGACCCACAATGGGTACCACCGGTCTCAGCAACCTCGGTAACACATGCTACATGAACTCAGCGCTACAGTGTCTGGTTCATGTACCTGAGGTTGTGGAGTACTTCTTGTCGGGCTATTACGAGTCCGAAATCAACAAGGACAACCCGATTGGTAAGAACGGTGATGTGGCCTTGGCATTTGCTGAACTTGTGCGACGTGTCTATCTCGACAAGTCAAGCACATATGCTCCTCGGCAGTTCAAGTCCATTGTAGGAGAGTACGGGCCCCAGTTTGCTGGCTACGGGCAGCAGGACTCGCAAGAGTTCCTCGCCTACCTGCTGGACTCACTGCATGAAGATCTCAACCGAATTCTTCAAAAACCAGCCACTACAAAGCCCGAGCTGGACCCTGAGCGGGCTGGAGATCCCTTGGAGGTGGCTCGAGTGGCTGTGGAGTCGTGGGATGTGCATCGATTGCGAAATGATTCGCCAATCCTCGACCTGTTCACTGGCATGTACAAGTCGACGGTTGTATGCCCTGTCTCACAGCAGGCCTCGATTACCTTTGACCCCTTCTCAGATCTCACTTTGCCTCTTCCGGTGGACGACTCGTGGTCGAAGGATTTCATTTTTGTACCTTATGACACCTCCCAACAGCCGTGCATTATTCCTATTGAGCTGAAGAAGCACTCTCGGTTCCAGGAGCTTCGGCAGTTGGTGGCATCAAAGGCCGGTGAGAATGTAAACCCAGAATCTCTCATGTTCTCTGAGGTGTACATGTCGCAGTTCTTCAGACACATTTCCAGGGATGAAACCAGCTCCGTTTCCGAACTTATTCCTGGGAACGACACAGTGGTGGTGTATGAGACGGGTCTTTCTGCCGACGAAATGTGGTCGTATCATCACGATCTGGAGCCAGCGAAGTTCATTGTTCCGGTTTTCAATCGGCTGGAATACACTGACACGGAAGAGCAGCCCCTGTCTTCCTATGCTCGGCGTAACTCCCAGTTTCTGTCGATTCCGTTCTTCATCACTGTCACAGACGGAGAGGCTCGTGACTTTAGCTTAGTCACCAATCTCATCTACAAGCGGTACTTCCAACTTTGTCGAAGTGTTGAGGAGTGGGCTGTGTTGGAGGAACTCGCTTTTGATGTCAACTATGTGACTCCCCGAACCAACGATATCCCTCTGGGCGGATTGTCGATGCTCAACGCTGATCGAATCTTCCCCATGTCGTCCCGTCTTGATGCCAGCGAGTCTTCTGAGCCTGACGTGATTGAGATTGACGCTAGTCTGAACACCCCAGACAAGGAGGATGTCAAGATGGAGGACGAGAATGAAGGAGACCAGGCAGAAGTGGAGACTGCTGCTGAAGAAGCAGCTGAGGAAGATGTGACTGAGCCTCCAGTTGTGGCTGAGGAGCCTGCTGCTATTGAGAGTGTGGTGGATATCTCTGATGACGAGGCTTACAAGTCTCTGGTTGAGTCTACTGGTTCTTCTGTGACTCCTTCTGAGTCGAACTGTTCGGAACTGCCCGATGCTGTTGATAGTGGTGCGACTGCAGTGGTTGCAGCACCCTCCGTTGACGGACATGCTTCTCTACCCTCTCCTCCCGCTCCTAGCCATTTTGTCACCCATACTGAAGGTATTGTTTGTGATTGGCAAGGAGACACGGCTGCCAAATACCTTCATGACTACGACTCTCTGGCCACTTCTCTTGAAACTAAGGTTGATCCAAAGTTGGAGGCTGTCAGAGCTGCTCGAGCAGATAAATCTAATCAAGGTATTGATCTCAGTGAGTGTTTGGATCTCTTTTCTGCCTCTGAGGTACTCTCCGATGATGATCTTTGGTACTGTCCTGTTTGCAAGGACTTCCGACAGGCTACCAAGAAAATTGAGCTGTGGAAGTGCCCTGAGATTCTGGTGATTCATCTCAAACGGTTTTCAAGCAGCAGAAACTTCCGAGACAAGATCTCTGAGGTGGTTCATTTCCCTATTGAGGGTCTGGATCTAACTGAGCGAGTTGGAGAGGCCAAGGCTTCGGACTCTCCCCTCATCTATGATCTTATTGGAGTTGACAACCACATGGGGGGTCTAGGAGGTGGACATTACACTGCTTTTGCCAAAAACTTTGTCGATGGTAAGTGGTACCATTACAACGATAGCAGTGTGTCTCCTATTTCCGAGAACCAGCTGGTTACAGCCAATGCCTATCTGTTGTTCTACAAGCGTCGAATTCCTACTGCCTCTGGTGATGCAACTGACACAAAGACTCACGAGATTCTTCGAGATCTTGTTGCCAAGCGCGGTGAGAACGACCTGTCTGTCTACTCGTCGTTCGTGGCCTCTGTCGAGGGCAAGCTCGTCGGGGGTAGCAGCTCCAACACGCGTAGTAGCGGCGGCAGTGGTGGTGGCTCTACTAGCAGTGCGTCCAGTTACTCTTCTGGCTCGTCCTCGGGACCCTTTGGTAGCAGCAGCAGCTCTGTTGCTCCTCGGCTCAAGTTTCGTGGTAACATGGTTGTGTCTCCTGAGTCTCCCTTGGGCAACCCTCCGGCCTACCCTGGCTCCGGATCTGTTTTGGGCCCGTCTCCTCAGAGCTCTGCGGATGCCACCGAGCCTCCGTCGTCTGTGGGCGGGATCCCATGGGAGGCGGCTTCGCTGACACTGTCGTCATCGGATGAGGAGGACAACATGGCTTCAGATTTGCCAACTCCTGGAGATTCAGATATGCATTCCAGTGTTTATTCTGAGCCAAAGGTGGTTGACACGGAGGAAGGAAGAGAAGAGAAGGACGACGAGGTGATAATTATTGATGATATTTAGCTAATTAATGCATGCATAGAGTGTTACTGCTGTGGGTAGACGAGCATGCTACGCACGATGAGTGTCTTTTCGTATAAACTTGTAGACATACAGAGCAGTGAAAAATGAGGTCGCACTAAGGCGCCGGTTGTATTGATAGCCTAAGACACCACCTTTACTACATGTGATTGTACCGGTACTTTGAAGAAAACTGCATCGTACTTCCTTGTGATTCAGATATTGGAAATCCGGGGTAACAAGGAGTGCTAATGCCGTTATTACCATGGCTGCAAATGGTACTAGATTGTCATGCAGGTTTTTCACATGTGTATGGGATAGCCTCCCGAGAGCCGCCTGGTACGTGTATGTGACCTTTAGAATGCATGGCAACATGGAAATCTTCTCGATTGTCATCATTTACATCCTTGAAATATTCTAGAGAGCATCCAAGCCGGTTTTATCCGGTTTGAACTGGGGCTACTAACCGCTAAAGCCGGAGTGATCGACACAACTCTAACCTTGAATGGTTGCGGCTTCCATTGACAATCTTGAGGATGTCAGATTTAGTGAAATTTATGGGCGTGAGTCGATGTTTTCAAAATACAACACCACAATTTCAACATACATGGGATGTTAGACCTATAATAAGGTGTTTATCCACTTCTAAATAGGTCCTGGAATGTCATCTAGCAATATGCTGTCTACCTCACAGGCGCATAATCGTTGGAGCAGTGCTACAATTGTAGGAATAACGCTATTTGGCCGAGGTTTATTTGAGCACGATACATGAAGACAGAGATGTGCGATGTATATAAATATCTTTCTTCCCACATGAGATAACCAGAATACTCACAGATTAACACACCATGCCTACCGTCGAACGATCCAAGTACTTCCCTTCCGCCCTGGAGCGATTCAAGTTCTGGGACGACCGATTCACCACCGTTCGAAAGACACTGCCTTATGGATCGTGGGATGACCTACTCTACAACCGATGCAAGCCCGTGAGCGCCACGGACGACCACAAGGGCTACACGGAGGTTACCTTTGAGTTCACCATCACCGACGACATTCTCAATGATCTCGGATCCATGCATGGAGGTGCTGTCACGTCTCTTCTGGACAACATGACCACCATGGCCAACTACTGCGATGTGCGAGTGTGGAAGACCATCCCCATCTTCTACGATGCGACCGAGGACGAGCCTGAGGAGGGTATGGTCTTTAAGAGCCTTACTGAGGACCAGAAAGATGAGATTTTTGGCCACCTGATGCTGCACATTGGAGACTGGTGCGGTGTTTCTCGATCTCTCAACACAACCTATCTGCGGGCTCTGGAACTTGGTAAGACCTATACTCTGAAGTGCAGCACTCCTTCTCGAGGCATGAGATTGCATCATCACCTTGGTCAGATCTTTGACCAGCAGGGACGACTGTGCGTATCCCTGGAGCACGGCAAGGCCCACAACGGAGCACCTGTCTTCAAGTTCAAGAAGCCTACTGAGGGAGAAAGCAAGCTGTAAGCCAGCCACAAAACATTAGACAATAGATAAGATTATTACAAGTACTACTGTGCTTCGTACGATACAGTATCTCCCAATAACTCTTTCACTAGCCCGCCAGTAGCAGACAAAGCAAAAGCACTATCAGCAGATAGATACATAAAATAATGATATGACACACCTTTCTGGAGCATACTTGGATCCCTTCCAAATAAATTTTCGGAAGGGAAGAAATCAAAAATTATAGGCCCCGTCCGTAGACGACAGTCCAGAACGTCGGCGCTGTGCAATGCCAACCTCTAGTCCGAAATCCTGGCCGACTTGATCGCCAGAAATTTGCCTAAGGTAAGTATGCTGTTCAAAAGTGGGTGCAAAGGGGTTTATATATTGCCCGAAAAAAAATTCTGCAACTCTATTTTTCGCCCTAACCCTTTGCATGGGTAACCCTACCTGATGCTGCAAATTGTGCTTACTGGTGATAGAAAGACATAATTATTGATGAATGTTAGGATCAATTGATTAATAAATTATATGAGCTAATCGAAACCGTCGTCGTCGTCAAGAAGAGATATTGTCTGGTTACTAGTAGAGGATGTGGGTTTGGCTGCAGGCTTTGTAGCTGGAGTTGCCTTAGATGCAGGTCTGGATGCTGTCTTAGGTGCCACCTTTGAAGCTGATCTAGTAGATCTCGTCGTGGTCTTAGGCGATTGATCTTCAAGTACGGCTGCTCTTCTGGATGAACGCTTGACGGGCATGACCTCTTCCTCCTCGTCGCTGTCCAACACTAGGCTGATGTCACTATCATCATCTGGAACAGCGTGATCTGATTGAGAGTCAGAAACTTCGTTGTCGGAATCGATGATTGTGGCCTTGCTAATAGCCGGTTTACGGGCACTAGCTCTTGTGCTGTGAGCTCCTCCACGAGCTCCTCGTCCTCGCCCTCTTGTAGTGCCTCTTGTAGCACTACCTCGTCCCCGTCCCCGGCCTCTTGTGGCTGTGGTAGTAGGTGCAGTTTCGAACTCGCCGTCTGATGATAGGGTGCTGTGGGCGCGTTTATCAGGTGTATCTTCTCTGACAGACACAAGAGAGCCAGCTCGAACAGCCTCTCTACCTTTTGTCTTGGCAGAACCCATATGCGTCAAGAGACTTTCTTCGTCCAAGTCATTGATTTTGAGTAGTTCTGCCACCTGGAACTTGAGAGATCCGTCGACGAAAGCCTTGACGGCGTTCTTGTCGTTCTTGTCGACGAAAGAAGCCACTGCTTCGCCCAGTCCGTTCTCTGGAAGCAAACATAGTGCTTCCTTGCCCAGAATCTCTTCTACCAGGGTTTGGACCTTCAGATTATCCAGAACCTGACGATCAGCTGTACGCGATACAGCCTTTCTCAAGTCCTGCTGTGTAGCAGCAGAGCCTGTCGTATCTCGAGCTTTCTTCTTGTAGAACTGAACCACATCATTGATGTTGGCTACCCTGCCCACATATCTGTTGGAGAATCGTCGCGGGTTCTCGACTTCGTATCCTCCAGAGTACTCGACACGCAGGCGAATTAAGGGTAGCGGTGGGGTGACTCCAGCTCCAGCCCCAACATCTTCTTCAGCAAGTCCATGTTCAGCCAACCATTCGGAATTGGCCTTCTCAATCATCCCATCAATTTCCATGCTAAGGTATTTGGAGATTTCAATCCATGCCTCTCTCCCTGGTGCGATTCCAGAGTTACTCAAGGCCACCTCTTTCATCACGAAGGGCCTCACTGTCTTGAGACGGATCTTCTCAAGCTCGTATGTGGTTCCAGTGATGCATAGGATAAATGCGTATTTGGGCTTTGCTTCTCCTTCACAAAGAGAGGTTGCCACAGACGACCCTGCCTGCAAGACGTGGAAGCCTTTTTCCGGGTTCTCCTCCGGAACCTCAATGCATTCATGCTCATGACCCCAAATTATCATGTTGAGAAACTGGGGCAAGAAGTTTCCTGGCAAATAAGATGTCTCTGTATGTGAGGCCCTGTTCTGGTGAACAGCCAGCAAAGAGAACCACGCCTGGTCATCTTGAGGGCGCAGAAATTCGACATTTCCAGATGCAAAGGTTCGAAATAGCCGTTCGTCTCTGACGTTGGCCAGTCCGTATAATGCGAGGTTGGTAGAGCCTTTTCTAAACAACAGAGGAGTGACTGTGATCTGATCGTTCTGAGTTACTCTACCGAAATGGTTGATAAGTCCCGTGGCAGCGAGAACGTCGTTGGGGCACAGCATTGCGTCTCCTCCAGAGTCGTCGTGGTTGCCTGAAATAGCAAATACCGGCACCGAGACGTTGATGTTGGGATCCTCGTAGTTGAGATGATTGAAGGTTTGATCCAGCGCCAGTGTGGGGTCACTGAGCAGTTCCAATTCACAGGGCCGTTCTCCGTAGCAATTCATTCGCAATGATCGGATCACCTGGTACATGGACTTCCTGCTGGGCTTGTTGATGTGGAACAAGTCTCCTGCTTGCAGTACCATGTCAACATCCTCGGTTCTGGCTAGACCCATGATCTCGTGAAACGTCTTCCATGAATCGTCGCCGCGAATGGGATCCTGCTCGTTGTAGCCCACATGGTTGTCCGTGGTGATGAGGATGCGGATCGTGTCAGGTCCTCTTGTCGTCATGATGTCATTAAGCAGTTTCGATAGTGTAGTTTTAGGTTGCGTTGCACTGAGCTGATGGTCTGGATCGCCACACGCCAGTGATGTGCCATGCAGTAGTTTCGGACTTGCAGTCGTAAAATGCAGTTGGACACGGATCTGGGACTACAGTATATGGAGCTTTTAGTTTTTAATTGATTCACACGTGGTATATACAGTACTTCTACTCCTCCGCAGGGTGAGCCAATGAGTGTAACCTCGTGGTTTCTGTTTTAGTCAGAGCTACTATACAACTACATACTGTACACACATGTACTACAACCAGTCATCATATTGTACCTGTACAAGGACCGGTGACTTGTAAGTATGGTTGCCGCTGCAATACTTTATACAAGTAAATATTAAAGGTGTGTGTACTGTACTTGTACTTGTATATAATGAAGGGTCTCGTTGTCTTTGGGTGTACACCTCAAGGTCAGATAAGACATCTCATTTCAGCTCATGTTTCTCCACCTACGAGTGTAGAACCACGACGCGCTTGACATGTCCATCCCCAACCTCTTACTTTCGACGTTGCATTAGTGGATTTACTACATGAACGCGTATCATGTGCTGGCTGGCAAAAGAATGTTATAGTTGTCAGTTATTGACAGGACCAGAACTACGAGTATGTACTGGTGTTGTAAACTCGTTTTATCGGCAGAGAGGCCCGTTTCGAGCGACACGTACATACTGTAATGTCTTTATTTTACTTTCAATAATAATACCCACGCCTCCTTGTCTTCTCGATTACATAATTTAACGAACTGAAATTATTCACAGCTCAACCGTCACTTCCAGGGTAAAACTCAAAGTGTATTGATCCAGAGCAAGCCTTATTTGGTAAGTGAGACTGAGAGATACCAGGTAGCATGTTACGACACTACTTGTAGGAAGGGTTGACCAAAGAGCAGGGGTCTTCGAACAGATAATAACTCTCAGCCCCTTCCAAAAATGGATCCTATGAAGTTGCTGCTCTTCTCCACCCTTCTGTTGCGCTGTGTTAAGTCCATATTTCGTTAGCTAACTAATATTTGCACAACCACCATTTCAACCAAAACAAGCATCTCCCACGCACATAATCTAGTTAATCACTCTAATTCAGGATAACCTCCCTCCACACTCCCCACCAACCTCCATTGTTGCTACGTGAAAAAGAAGCCCTATATATACAATCTATATAATAGCGCCCTTTTTCGCCTTTGCATCGCTCTCCTGCCCGACCCCCGTCCCCCTTCTACCCTCTCAAAGTGCTCACACTAGGCGGCCTGAAAATCAACTTTGCCGCACCCAAAATGTTGTCTTCCAGCTCCACCCTCAAGCAGTACCATGTGATCGAGTGGATCACCGCCTTCACGCTCATCTTCTTGTGGTACGTGTCAGAGAGCGCGGCGCCCTTCACGCGTGAATTCATCATCAGCGACCCCACAATCAACCACTCACATGTCACAGTTGAGCGTGTCAGCTCAGAGGCTTGTATTCTCTACACCATCATCATTCCCTTCTTTGTGCTCATTGGACTGTCTGCTATCATGGCCCCCCGACCGCAGGACCGACTCAAGTTCATGTCCATCACTCTGTCCACCTTTCTGGTTGCCGCCTTCTTCAACGGCTTCATCACCAACTTTCTCAAGATTTACATGGGCCGACACCGACCCGACTTCATTGCCCGATGTGAGCCCTCCAAGCGAGCTCCCATTGATAAGTATGTGACAATCGAGGTTTGCACTGGAGATATGGACACCATTTTGGAGGGCATGAAATCCACTCCTTCTGGCCACTCCTCCACAGCTTTTGTGGGAATGACGTTCTTCTGCTTGTGGGTATACGGACAGATCAACGCCTACAAGACTTATGGGAGCAAGGCCTCCAAGCTGCTGCTTGCTTTCTTCCCCCTTCTTCTGGCCATCTATATTGCACTGAGTAGAACTGAGGACTACCGACACCACTTTGTCGACATTGTTCTCGGATCTTTGCTGGGTATGACCATCGCCTACTACTTCTACCGACGCGAGTTCCCCCGAACCACCTCCAAGACCTCTCATATCCCCTACTGTCTCGGCAGCGAGGGAGCTGACGACGACCATCATTACGACCGAGTTGACGATGTTCAGCTCGAGAACCAGGTTTAAACCAAACCAAACAATATAAAAACGGATCTGTAGAACCGGATAGAACTTGATATAAGTAACGAGACATGAATGAATGTATGGTTGGAGGCTCGTGCATAGCTGCACCTGGTTTAATTCCGCCCGCGCAGACTGTAACCAAGATAAGCTGACTAACTTGGAAAGGTTTCCTATGAGCGAGTTGAACGGCTCAACAGTGACACCATTTACTGTAGTTGCTAGTTCAAATGAGTGTATAATTTGTACCGGTACTCTACTTGTACAACTAACTTCCGTTAAGCCATTTCAACTTACTTGCAATTATAAAAAAAATGACAAAAGTGATCTCACCCATACAAACTCCGTTATTTCCACACCCGCCGGAGATCCTACGGAACAGAGAGAATCAGATGTATGCTGCACCGCTCGTCTACATCTTGGCAACGTTGGCTTTCCAAACATGCAAGAATAAATAGCAAAAAATTCATGTCCATGCATGCGACTGGGAGGCCCCAGGGTGGATCTGGCAGATATCAACTACAAGATACATACTTCAGATGACGTCAATGGCAATAGATGATCTTTGCAGTTGTCATTTGAAGGGCGTAGATTCATGGGTTTTCTTTTCTCTATGTTATCACGTGATAGGTAAATTAATATTGGTCTACTCAAGCACCCTGCGAGATTTCAAATTGTCTGCTGTCCTCACATATTTCCAGCCAGTTAGGTTCATACACCTTGACTCGGGTGTGCAGGTCCAAACCCAGAAGTACAGTCTACTAAGGACCACCAAAAATGGGAATATAATTTTCCGTTCGCGTTCATAGTTGCAACTCTTCGGTGCATTGTCACTGTTTCTGAGTCTCTTCGTCTCTTCTCAGTTTGCTAACGGTGAGAAAGAGCGTTCTATCGCTTGGTCTCTTCGTTGTCTACCCCGTGGCGTCTTTTGAGTTTTACCGCTGTATGACTCGGACTCCATCGGGAGCGATGAATACGACAACACTGTGTGATACGATAACCAAGCATCGGCCGAGGGTATCTTTTGCCTTGCAAAAAGACTCAGTAAAACGCCACAAAACGAGTGGCTTTTAGTTAGACCCATCTGCTAACCCCACGAATATCGTATTTTCGGTCCCCATTATAGTGAGTCGCTGCTGAATGTGATTGAAACACGAGACTCAACAGGCAATCGAGCTACATCATCACGTTCGGTGTTGTGCGCAATTGCACGTGAGCTCCTCAACATGTTCGTATCTGGCGGCCCCATATAACACCCGTTTCGAGCGGTAACCACGCGACAGACACGTGCGCACTGGCGAGGGTCAAACGCGTATTGAGAGGCCACCTGGCAAAGCCTGAAGAGAGAGCTACGGCCCAAGCAGAGTATACCAAGTCCAATTCGTGAATTTCAGCCACAGAGTGAACCCACGTGCCTCGCATGACGTGCTACCAAGACAAAGATTGGGACCTGTGCTTATAGGTGCAGAAGAGGGTTTAAAAGCGTAATATAGGTTAGGGCAAGAAAAGCCAGCGTGAAAATTCGTAAAAGCATAGGGAGACCTTGATTTGGTTTTAAGCGCCCCCATTCCCACCCAATTTCATCTTTTCTCCTTTCTTTCTTCCTCAGCACCACCTCAACCACAAAACATAACAATGACTGCTGCCGCCAAGGAGACTTTCCTCTTCACTTCCGAGTAAGTACCAATCTTGTAGTCGCGTTTGGACTCGTTCAATTGTGTCTTATGGCACGTGGCTGGTCGATGACGGCGACGATAACGACGAAACATGAGATTTGAGACTTCTTCATCATGTCACCACTTGTGCTTGTCAGTTTTCTACAATGCGTGTCGCACTGCCCGTGACAGGCTTACATGTCGATGTTGCAGCACGGCGTGTGTGAAACAATTCGGCCACGTTATCAAAACTCAATACTAACTCAGATCCGTCGGTGAGGGACACCCCGATAAGATCTGTGACCAGGTCTCTGATGCCATTCTTGATGCCTGCCTCAAGGAGGACCCTCTCTCCAAGGTTGCCTGTGAGACCGCCGCAAAGACCGGTATGATCATGGTCTTTGGTGAGATCACCACCAAGGCTACCCTTGACTACCAGAAGATTGTGCGAGACGCCATCAAGCACATTGGTTACGATGACTCCGAGAAGGGTTTCGACTACAAGACCTGTAACGTGCTTGTTGCCATTGAGCAGCAGTCTCCCGATATCGCCCAGGGTCTGCATTACGAGAAGGCTCTTGAGGAGCTCGGAGCTGGTGACCAGGGTATCATGTTCGGCTATGCCACTGACGAGACTGAGGAGCTCCTGCCCCTGACCGTCATCCTGTCCCACAAGCTTAACGCTGCCCTTGCTGCTGCTCGACGAGATGGTTCTCTCGGATGGCTGCGACCCGACACCAAGACCCAGGTCACTGTCGAGTATGCCAACGACAACGGTGCCACTGTCCCCCAGCGAGTCGACACTGTCGTCATCTCCACCCAGCACTCTGATGATATCTCCACCGAGGACCTCCGATCTGAGATCCTTGAGAAGATCATCAAGAAGGTCATTCCCGCCAAGCTCCTTGACGACAAAACCGTCTACCACATCCAGCCCTCTGGCCGATTCATCATTGGTGGTCCCCAGGGTGATGCCGGTCTCACTGGCCGAAAGATTATTGTCGATACCTACGGAGGATGGGGTGCCCACGGAGGAGGAGCCTTCTCCGGTAAGGATTTCTCCAAGGTCGACCGATCTGCTGCCTACGCTGCCCGATGGGTTGCCAAGTCTCTTGTCAAGGCCGGTCTTGCCCGACGAGCTCTTGTTCAGTTCTCCTATGCCATTGGTGTTGCTGAGCCTCTGTCCATCTTCGTCGACACCTACGGAACCTCCAAGCACTCTTCTGCTGAGCTCGTTGAGATCATCAAGAAGAACTTCGACCTCCGACCCGGTGTTATCGTCAAGGATCTCGACCTTGCTCGACCCATCTACTTCAAGACTGCTTCTTACGGCCACTTCACCAACCAGGAGAACCCTTGGGAGCAGGTGCGGGAGCTCAAGTACTAAATTGACCGGGTTTCCCCTGTCGATTTGGAACACTTGACTGGATCCTAGCACATCCGCCGAATTACTTTTTAACACACTGACAACGCTCAACTCGTTGCGAGAAACAAAACTGGGGACGAAGAAAACCAAAAGACATCATCTCCGTGATGGAACAGAAAAAGAACTCAAAAAAACTCACTATTTATTCGGCAAACTGGATTTGCATTAATTGGGTCTACTGGCACACTTGCATCTAGAAGAACCCGTTATTTATATAATCGGTTAGAGGTCCTCAACGACATAATGTATATATTAAAACCACAACTACGATCGTAGAGTGTTGTATTATGTATTAATATGAGAGCTTTTTCTGCTCTGCACCTATGGCGGTGGTTGTCATGTTATTATCAGTTAGTAGTTCACAACTTTTACTGGTACAGTAGTTGTAAGCAATACCATCATGCCAGGACTAAGATCACCTCTACCATCAAAGACATGATGTGTCAAGTGTATGTACTTGTACTGTTCATCGTATACAAATCATTGAGAAATGTTTTGATTTGGCGGCATATCGCAGATTGTATGCAATTGTTGTGCGAGAACCATCAAACAATAGCGTCCAGAGTTCCAGAGAAACCTATGCTGCAGCAATTACCTATATCTTGATATGATCACACACACATGTCGTACAAGTACAAGTAGGTCAATAATTGTAGTTGTTCTGTGTCAGGTACGATAATGTACTGTATGTTATGTCCTTCGTTTCGTTACCCCAGTTTTTGGATCCTGCCTTCCAGCTCAAGTGATCATTCCTTCCACTTCGTGTGGAGTCAAGGTTCATCCTTCATCCGTCACTGAGCAATGGAAGAAGCGGGGAAACGGAAGATAGCAATCATACCTTAACGGTGATGAGTCGTGTCTCATGGGAGCATTGTGGGTTATTTGGAACAAGACCTACAGTAATTACAAGCACTTGTACTGGACAATATGATAGTATCGTATCGTAGTGTGATCGTTATGGAAAGTATAAGAGATAGTCCTACAAGTAGTTAGCTTATCACGTGCATATTAACAGATTGTCGTCACACTGGCCAATGTTCTGCCACGATGGCACTTGACGACCACTGTTGTGTTTCTGTCACTCCACAGCACGTGTTGAGTCAATTGGGGTTGGGACCTGGAGGCTTGGTTTCGAATATGCGTGGATCCGTTGGGTCCGAGTTTATGCCATGGGTTTATGGCCATCAAAGATAGATGGGAGTCGGCATTGTCTGCAATCGTCGGAGGTAAGCATGACTCATGATGAGTCACGGTAGCGAGGTGGCAAATTGAGACCGTATCTCTTGATTCTACTCGTACTTGTAGCTTCCTGGTTGATGTCTACGATCACTTCTACTGCATCGTGGCTTCGCGGGATGGGGTAATCTGTCACCCACAGCGTACCCCAGTTTAGGACATGCAACCGTTAAAAGAGTACCAACGTAAAAACAAGTGCTTGTGTGAGTAATACGTGAATTGTCCTGCAAACAACATTTTGACAACTGTGACGTATGCAACTACCCACAAGAGAGTCTACACACACAATTGATTTCAGTCGGTCGTCAACAATCTACGTCGTATCGCCACTACTGTACACACTACTGTACCCCTTCCTTCCCTGTGGTGCCGCGGATTTCATTTTGAGATTAACCCTTGGTCTGCTTGCCAAGGTTGGGGACAGCAGCCAAAGAAGAGGACAGTGGCGAAAAAAGACGCCGCACCGCACGGTTGAAGATGGACTTCGAAGAGAGAATTGAAAAAAAAATGTAATGTACGCACAGGTCAGGCACCAAACAAGGCAGGACCAGCAGCAGGAGGAAGGCTTTGTACTGGCAGAGTGCAGGCACACTTGTCTCCGAAACAGCAGGCAGTCAAGTTCTAGAAACTACCCCTAATATTAGGTGCATTGTCACAGCTACCCCAGAAACCTGAATAATCAATAACCACGACGTCCGAATAACGTGCTCTGGAGATTGGTGTGAGTCTGTCGTCAGGTGCTGGACGTTGTGTGCACAGGGGTGAATGAGGATACATATGGGCGCGCAGGTATCGTAGAAAAGAACACACGTACGTATGACCAGTCAGACGCTCAATTCTCAATTCAGTAGGTCAATGGGGAAGAGACTGTAGAAGTACAGGTTATTAATCAGGATACATGCCATGCTTTTCGTCTTTTTAACCGATTGCTGTTTGTCCTCCTCCATCTCCTCTCCCGCACCTGTTTAGCTCTACCCTGCCTTTTAGCCAAATAAACTCCAATTGGGATACTTGTTCCAACAGACCACCCGCAGCTGCTTTAGATTTTTTCCACACACCCACCAGTCTGCACACAGACACATACCTCACCACACACCTAGTGCACTCAAATAATCATGAGCGAACCCATCAAGTCCAAGCGAATCGAGCAGCTGTCCAGCATTGCCCCCACCCCTCAGAACACCCCGGCCTCCAACGCCTCATCTTTCCTCCAGCGAGCCGCCAACCCTGGAGTGTCTACAATTGCTGAGGATGGTCAGGGGGAGGTCGACCTCGGAGCTCTGAGCCGAGACCCCGCTCTGCTGTCCCATCTTGCCGGTCGACTCAACCAGATGGCCGGTACTTCTTCGGGCTACGTCGATTCTCTGCCTCTGGCTGTGCGACGACGAATCGATGGTCTCAAGGCCCTGCACCAGCAGGCCTCCGTGGTGGAGGACGAGTTCCACAAGGAGATGCTGGAACTGGAGCGAAAGTTCCAGGCCAAGTTTGCCCCCATCTACGCCGAACGAGCCGCCGTCATTGGTGGCGAGAAGGAGGTATCTGAGGAGCAGGTTGAGGCCGGTAAGAAATACGAACAGGAGCGAATGGAGCGAATGTTTGGTGTCGACGGAGACGATGTTGAGGAGGATGAGGACGAGGAGGACGAGGATGCAAAGGACGAAGAAGAGGAGAAGGAGGGTGATGATAAGTCCGATGCCAAGGGTATTCCCTACTTCTGGCTCACCGCCATCCAGAACCTGCCCGGTGCCTCCGGTCTCATTTCCGAGCGAGATAGCGAGGCTCTCAAGTCGCTCATGAATGTGCGAATGGAGTATCTCGACGACAAGCCTGGCTTTGTGCTCATCTTTGACTTCGCCGAGAACGAGTTCTTCACCAACAAGCAGCTCAAGAAGTCGTATTTCTACCTCGACAAGGTGTCTGACACCGGTGAGCTCATGTACGACCACGCCGAGGGTGAAGAGATCGACTGGAAGTCGCCTGAGCAGAACCTGACCATGGAGATCACCAAGCGAAAGCAGCGAAACAAGCACACCAAGGCCACCCGAATCGTGGAGAAGGCCGTCCCCACTGAGTCTTTCTTCACCTTCTTCAGCCCGCCCAAGGCCCTGGATGAGGAGGAAGAGGACGAGGACGAGGAGGTTGACCATGAGGAGCGAGACAATGCTCTGCAGCTTGACTACCAGATTGGTGAGGAAATCAAGGAGCAGCTCATTCCCCGAGCCGTCGACTGGTTCACCGGATTTGCTCTGGAGATGGAGATGGAGCATGGTGACATGGGCGAGTTTGAGGATGAGGACGACGATGAGGATGAGGATGATGACGACGATGATGATGAGGACGACGAGGAGGGAGGCAAGAAGGAGGCCCAGGAGTGCAAACAATCTTAAGGAGTAACATACTAAATAAGACGCGTGGTTACACGCATGATATAGTGTTGATTATATGAAAATATTTTGAGGACGATACATGACTATGTACCGTATGGGCAATACAAGTAGCTCAGACAGTACGTACTGGTTGTAGCTCGAAGGCATAATTGTCCAAGTAGCTCGAAGGTAACATTTAACAGTTGCTACAGCGGGACCGGAGACCGCGAGTAGTATGGCGCTCTAACGACTGTACAGTATTTATTGAACGAAATGTAGCTGTAATATTATGCATTTGAGGAGTTCCCGGCTACGAGTACTGGTACAAGTAGCTACTTTTTGAACTTGTATAACGGTGCAGTAGCTACGATACTGTATTGTACACAATGGCACCAATTTCCCACATTGGCTTTGTAATAATGAAGGCCTTTTCAAATTGGTGGGGGCAAATGCAAGCGAATATAACTGCAACCAATGGCTTGGCTACGTGCTTTTTATTCAAGTGGGGATAGATAGCGGTGGTTTTCTTGTATTATTATTTTTTGGTCACCGTTACTTTTAGTTTTGTTGTCCAAATATCGCAGTTTTGTACTGTCTGTTACCTGTTCAATACTATCATCACACCATAGCAAAGCAGAGTGACCCTATCTGGCATCTAGACTGCTCCTCCCATAACCGACACCCAAGTACGGTAGGTAGGCATGCAGCACCACCCACAAACACAATCACCAAAATGTTGACAAGACGGTACAGTAGACATGTACGAGTACATGGAAGGCGTTGTACGCGTGATTGGTTACAATTCGTGTAATAGCTCAGGTAATTGTATTTGTAACAAACTGCATATACTGTATATTACAAAGGTATCAACATAGTGCTTGTAGCTTCCGCCCTGATAGTATATGGTTCGGCCTGGGTCAAAAAAATGGAACCGTTGCAACTCTATATTCTTAAATCGTTTTTTCTGTCTTCACGAACCCAATCCTAAGCCACATCTCTACACCACACGACAACCCCTTCAAACCAACTAACTCGACCATGTCGACCATCACAAAACTCATTGCGGGCCTCAAGCCTGATGAGAAGTTCTTCTCCCTGGAGTTTTTTCCTCCAAAGACCCAGAACGGTATGGCCAACTTCCGAGCCCGTCTGGCCCGAATGGCGGCTCTCAAACCTCTGTTCATCACAATTACCTGGGGAGCCGGAGGCTCGACCGCCAAGAAGTCTCTGGACATTGCCAGCGAGTGCCAGAGCATGGGTCTCGATGTGTGTCTGCATCTGACCTGTACCAATATGGACCCTGCTCTGATTGATCAGGCTCTGGAGGCTGCTTCCAAGGCCGGAATCTGCAACATCCTGGCTCTTCGAGGTGACCCTCCGCGAGGTGAGGAGTACTGGCAGCCCGCTTCTCCTGAGTTTCAGCATGCCGCTGATCTCGTCAAGTACATCAAAAAGAAGCATGGAAACAAGTTCTGTGTTGGTGTGGCCGGCTACCCAGAGGGCCATGTTGACGGCTCTGACGCCTCTCACCAGGACTTCCACCACGACCTACCCTACCTCAAGGAGAAGGTCGAGGCCGGAGCCGACTTCATTATTACCCAGATGTTCTACGACGACAACAAGTTCCTTGAGTACAACAAGGCTGTTCGAGAGTTCTCCCCACTGCTCAAGAATATCACCATCATCCCCGGACTCATGCCCATCAACACATACACATCGTTTGTTCGAGCCGCCAGACTATCGCATGCCTCTGTGCCTCCTGCCATTCTGGACCGAATCCAGGCCGTCCCTACCGGCAACGATCAGCAGGTTAAAGACATTGGTGTTGAAGTGGTCTCTGACATTGTCAACGACGTGTACACCAAAACCAACAAGACTGTGCGAGGTTTCCACTTCTACACCCTCAACCTGGAGCGATCTGTGGCACGAATTCTAGAACGATCAGGCTTCCTTACAATTGAGGAAGACTGCGCGGTTGAGGAGGCTACAGGATCCACCGCTTCCACCACCCCCAACAAGACTCCTCTTCGACGACGATCCTCGGCCACCCATCGAAACCGAGTGGTTGATGACGCTCGACATCACCCTGATGCCCCCAAGGAGGAGCCTGACCTCACTACCCTTGCATTGGCAATTGCATCCGGTGAAGGTGCTGTTGGACGAGAGGCCGTGTGGGATGATTTCCCTAACGGTCGATTCGGAGACTCTTCTTCCCCTGCCTTTGGAGAGATTGATGGCTATGGCCCTTCTATCCACGTGCCTCCTGCAAGAGCTCTCGAACTATGGGGCTACCCTGTGGACGATGCTGATCTGTCCAAGCTCTTTGCCGACACCATTGTCGGCAAACTGCCCTTCATGCCCTGGTCTGACCAGACCCTTTCTCCTGAGACAATGCTCATCCAGGAGCAGCTTATGGAGTTGAACCAGAAGGGCATTTGGACTGTGGCTTCTCAACCCGCTTGTAACGCTCTCAAGTCCGACGACAATATCTTCGGATGGGGCCCCAAGGGCGGCTATGTCTTCCAGAAGTCTTTTGCTGAGTTTTTTATCTCTCCTGAGCAGTGGAAGAAGCTCAAGCCTCTGCTGGACGCACAGGAGGATCTCGTCTCTTACTACGTTGCAAAGTCCGACAAGCTGGTCGACACCAACGTTTCTGAGCGAGCCTCTAACGGTGTCACCTGGGGGGTCTTCCCCAACAGAGAGATTGTGCAGACCACCATCATCCAGGAGGACTCTTTTGATGCGTGGAGAGAAGAAGCCTTCAGCATCTGGAGTGAATGGCGAGCCCTGTACAAGAAGAACACTGCATCATTCAAGCTGCTTGACAAGATTATCAACGAGTATCTTCTCGTTACAGTCATTCATCATGACTACGTTGAGGAGGACGGGCTCTGGGAGCTTCTGGGAAGCGTCTAAAGATAATACCATTAAGTGTGCTGTTGCGTTATTAGGACCAACTTATCTAATGAATAAGACGACATTTAAATGTGCCCTGTCTGCAAAACGTAATACTGTACATACAGTAATATGGGACTCTCACACTTTAATGCATAATGTGAGTACAAGTACATATATTGAAGATCATTCAGTAAGGTATATTTGTTCGCAACAGAGATTGCGTAAGTTTTTTATATATAAATATCGTATCATATCGTAACAGCTCGTTAAGGCAATAGTTTTGTTGTTTTCAGGCAGGGATCTTGGCAAGCACATCACGGTATATGCTGTCGACCTCGGTAACAGGAAGTCGCACTCGTAAGATACTCTTTGCGAGGTTGGCGTCTCTCCAGTGGTCATAACAGAAGACAGTGTCGGTTGTCTTATCTGTCTTCTCCACGATATGAGAGAGGTAGCATAGAGCCTCGCACTTCGTGCAACAGTAAGCGTCTTCTTCAAGATCTCCTGTTCGGACCTCCTGGACAGGCGAGTCCATCTGCTGCGTCTCTTGTCTGAAAGCCTCGACTCGGGCATGTTCCGCCTCCACCATGGCCTTGATGTGAGGTGCCAGCCACTGGGCAGTATCGGGAGCCAGCTTAGTGGTGGCTACCTTTAGCAGAAGCTCGTCGTGGGAGAAGACAGGGGGCTTCTTGAACTTCTTGTAGACTTTGACGGACTCGGTTCCATAGTCGACCCAATCGGGAGGAGCAAAATTGACCGCCTCGTTGACGTTGAAGCCCTGGTTGAAGCCACCGTGGTAGGCACGGGGGTAAGTGACCACAAACTGGCCAGGCTTCTGGTCACATGCATAGACACGCACTCCAAACTTGATTAGCGTCTGGGGACTCAGCATGGTGACGAGCTGGAACATGAGGTTGGGCTGCTTCTCCATAAGGTCAGGAACGTTGGCACGAAGAGCGGCCTCGAACTTTAGCGCGTCTGCTCCAGGAATACCATACCAGGTTTTCGTAGCGCCCAGGTGTTGGTAGTTGGCGGAGTATGTGTAATGGTCTTCGCAGTGCCAGCAAAAGGTGGAGAACATCATGCCAACGTACAGCCATGGCACAGTGACTCCCGAGATTTCGTTCTGCACATGTCGCAGAAGAGACTCCTTTCGGAGCGGCAGCACGTTGAGGTTCCAGGGGTCCTTAGCGTACTTATTGTAGGGGTCGTTTGAGGCCACGGGGAATCCGGAACCCACCTTGTCGACATGGATGTCGGCACCGTATTCCACAGTGACAGTTTCGTCAATGGAGTTGACCAGACGCCAGTAATGGTTCTCGATCCAGGATTCGTAGGCCTGCGGGTCGTCGGCAATATCTTTGGGGAGACCCATCTGAAGGGCAAACTGTCGTTCGAACTTGTCGGCCCGCTTCTTGAACTCGTTCAGAGTCCACTTCTTGCCTGACTGCTCAAATGTGAAAGAGCCGTCTCCAACAACACATCGCACACAGAACCACTTCTCAGGCACCTCCGTCAAAGGTTTGTCGAGACATCCGATGTGGTAAGACTCCATGCAAGAGTGGCATACTGCCAGTTGGTGGAAAGGCTCGACTTGGACACACTTTTCACACACAAAAGAAGGGCCTTCTTCGGGGGTCTTCTGGGTGGTCTCCTCATCCTCACCTTCAGCGTCCGAGTAGTCATCCTCATCTCCATTTACATCCATATCTTCAATAGAGAGTAGCGTTTTGGGTTGTGTTGCCAACAATGCCAGACGTTCCGCAACAAACTTCTTTCTCTGTTGGGCGTAGGGGTCAAAAACCGGTTGTTTCTGAGTGGTCACAGCCTCCTCGGATGCCTCTCTGATTCGGGAAGATCTTCGTAAACTGGCGATTTCGAGTTCGGGTTCACGTTTTCGTTTACCCTTAGCTCTCATAGTCTGCGGCGCTTCCTTGTTGGCTGTACTGGGTTTCTGGACCTTGAGGTATTCCGACATGGGTGTGGGTGGGTTGTCGGTTTCTCCATATTGAAGGATTTGCTGTGTGGGTGTTTCGAACGAAGGCTTGCTACTGGTTTCTGGCGAATGAGAGGGGGTGGCTAGTCGCATGGAAAAGTTCTCATTCTTAACTCTCTTGACTCCTTGGCTGTGAGAATCCTCCTGCTCCTGTTTCTTCAGGAAGCCTTCGTACGGTTGAATGGTGTCCAGATAGAAGGATCTAAGATACTGGCCGTTGCTGTGGGGCAGAATCTCGAGGTCCAGTTTCTTGCTCAGCAGCTCCCAGTCCTGTGGCTGCATGGCCTCAAAGCCACCTGGGTGTGAGGTGACGGCATTCTTTAGCTGGTAGACATTGAGTAGCTTATTAGCGCTAGTGGAAGGGATTTCCCGCATGTCCGAGCCTGACAACTTGTGGAAGTTGGCCAGTCGCTCCATGTAGTCCAGGGCTGCTCGGGTGGCAGCTCCAATCATGTTCAGGGACTGAGTTCTGGCGGTGAACTTGAAGGAACCAGAGTCAATGACACATTTGGGGTTCCAGGAAGCCGGAGGAACAATCTTGATGATTCCAAACTGTTCCGCCTCCGGTCGAATCTTGGCCATGTACTCATAGGGGTCCTTGAACTCCTCCTTGGTAGGGTAGTAGGTGGGAGCAGTTGGCACCTGGAAGGGTCTATGCTCCTTGTGGGGGTCCTCGTAAGGAACGTCCTTTTTGCTCTTGAGCTGTTTGAGATTGAGCGTCTTCTTCATAGCAGCTTAGCACTGGCTAGGAGGGCGTCCGGATAGTGACAGAGTCGAAGAACAAGGTCCTGGCGTGCTTTGCATCTCCCATACCTTTTCGTCTAGCCCGAAAGGGCAACGTACATCTATGGATGTTAGGGGAGAGACCCATGGGAGTAATACTGTACATGTCACATGTGAGTCTCAGCTCACGCGGCATCCCTGAAGCTCTTCGACCAACATGTCCACTGTGGATGCTTTGGGACTCTTACATAATATTGTCGTTCACAGAGTATAAGCACGTTGACGAGGGCTCTTCTGTCGCCGCTTACCATTCCCCCAGCTACGGGACTGCTTCAGAACAATGCATAGACATGTGCGTTTAGGCGCCTTTAAATTTTCCCTTCTACTTGTACTGTACTTGTACTGGTATCCAAACCAAAATTAACGTTGTTCCAGTGGCTCTAAACTTCAATGGCGTTGCTTTCTCTTGTCTGGACAAAAATTGGTGTTGTGCACCTAAAATGGGCCACGCATAAAATCAGTCGCAATAGCTTGACCCGACGGCCTCATCTAAAAACGGCGGAAAAAAAACAAAAAAAAGATATGGCGCGACTGGCAAGACTGGCTACAGCTCAAGACTACACCGTGGTCGACATTAGAAACGTGTCGCAGTCTCTTATTCGGCAGATGGAGTGGTTGGAACAAGAGATCCAAGCTTCAGCGAATCGCGTGGTGCAGCTGGAAGATAATGGCGATGACGAGGCCGAGGGTCCAGCACAAGCTGCGGCACCACAGGTCAACAACGATGAGCTAAGAGCAGACGTTCAGAAGAAACTGACACCATTGTGGCAGGGCTCCCTGAAGCTGACTCTGTCTGACTCTAACCAGCAGCTTGTCTACGCCATCGAGCGGGTACGTGTTGCTCAACTGCACCGTCGGGACATCATTGGAGCTAAAGTGAGTATTTCTTATTGGTCTTGACAATCATCAGGTAGAATTTCCATTATTTTCTCTTCTTATATATATGCCGTTCGACAGTTTGATCCGTCCCCTTGCTAACCCAGATTACTCTGAATGAACCTGAAAAGGTACTCGACATGCTCATGATCACTCCTGAGTGCGCAAAAGTCACCACATTGGGAACCAACATGGACCTCGAGGCAAAACTAGCCCAGCTCCAAGAACAACTTATTTCTTAGCAGCACCGCCACCAAGAGACTTAGCGATGTTAGTGGACTCCTCCACGGCTCGAGCAACGGAAGATCGAACGCCCTTGTCCTCCAGAGCAAGCAGTCCTCCAATAGTGGTTCCGCCAGGAGTGCACACAGCGCTCTTGAGGACGGCAGGGTGCTGGCCAGACTCAACAACCATCTTGGCAGCTCCCAGCATGGACTGAGCTGCACACTGGAAGGCAGTGTTGTAGGGCATGCCCATTCGAACAGCACCATCGGCCAGAGCCTCGATAATGAGGAAGCAGAAAGCAGGGGAAGATCCACACAAAGCAGTGGAGACGTCCATTTGCTTCTCCTCGAGGGTGATGCACTTTCCGGTCTGCTCAAAGATCCAGGACACAGCGTTGACAACGCTCTCGTCAACGGTAGCGTTATCGGGGAACGACAGAACGGTCATACCGGCTCCGATTCGAGAAGGAGTGTTGGTCATGGCTCGAACAACCAAAGGCTTGGGGCATCGGCCAGAGTAGCTCTCAATGTCGGCAATGGTCTTTCCGGCAAGCAGCGAAACCAGAACCTTGCCCTCCAGCATTTGCTGCAGAGGAGTCAGGATCTTCTCGGCCATGTAGGGCTTGGATCCGAGAACAAACACATCAGCCTTGTAGGCAGATCCGTTGTCATTGATAAGAATCTCGACGGGAATGTCAGGGGCAGAGGAGGTCAGATCCTTGTGCAATCGGTCAGCGGACTCCTGTCGGGTCACACAGGCCATGAACTTGCCGGGCTTCGGGGCGTCACCCTCCTTGTTACCCTTGCTTAGAGAATCGAGCACAGCTCCTAGCACGGCAGTACCCATGGTACCGCAGCCGAGGAAACAGATTGTGTAGCCGTCCTTAAGTTGAATATCCACACCCATTGTTGATTTGCAATTCGTTGTAGAAAGGTGAAGTTTGGTGGACAAACTGCACGTATGTTGTATTCTCACTGCACAGTGTCCCGAAGAGAGCCGAACTCTATCACCCCACAAGTGTTACAGTAACAAGGCCTGAGTTGACTACAAGATAAGTACAAGTACATGTGTGAGTACCCATCAAACAGCAAAATTCATGACTAATTAGAGTAGAAAATTACGCCTCAGGATCTAGATAAGCCATGCCATCAACTAGACCCAAGTCTATACCCATCAAACCTCCTCTATTTGCCCAATCGTACATTGTTAAAGTGCTCGCTGTCTTGTCGAGCTTGCGACTCCTTGTACATCGTTCTCACTCACGAGTACAAGCAACTACGATACGATGAGTCCACTTATCCAAACTCGATATGACTGTGCAGCAGCAGATTACCCGACCACTATCATACCCCCGACACACAAGAGCAGTCACTACTCCTACGAGTACTTGTAGACTCAACCAAATCCGCTTAGGACTAGACTCAGCGGGGATATATCGGCTCACATGATTTCGTTTACACATGTACGGTATATCTAGGCACTAATCGACAGAGTTCCAAAAATACACTCCTCCGAACTTAGCTGCAGTGTTGCGTGTGCACATGTGCGGACGACATCCGCGCACTTAACGCTTTGGTGACTATTTGTATGTAGAAGTGGTCCATCTTAAACAGTAATAACAATACAATTAGCCAACTACAGTCAAATCATCATCTTGAAACTCACTGTATGAAGAGACGCCTGAAACACTACGTTTGAGGCTTCATGTCTTTTTGTTTCACCAGTATGACTCATCATTTGATTAAAACACCTCAAAATACAATACGACATACACGAATTCTTTTGCAAGCATGTGTTGTGAGGGAGCCTCATTATAGCTATACGAACCTTTCCATCACACTCTTAATTGTTTTTACATAAAAATTAAAGCACTACTCTACTCCTTGGGCTCCTCAGCAGCGGGCTTGGCCTCCTCCTTGGGGGCAGCAGCCTCGGTGGAAGCAGCGGCAGCATCGGTGGCAGGGGTCTCCTCAGACTGCTGGGCTTGCAGAGACTCTTCGAGGTCGTTCTTCCAGAGGGTCAGGTTGTCTCGCAGAAGCTGCATAATGACGGTAGAGTCTCGGAAAGACTCCTCGGAGAGAGTGTCGAGCTCAGCGATGGCATCATCGAAAGCCTGCTTGGCAAGGTGGCAAGCACGGTCTGGCGAGTTGAGAATCTCGTAGTAGAAGACGGAGAAGTTGAGAGCGAGACCAAGTCGGATGGGGTGAGTTGAGCTGAGCTCAGTCTGGGCAACATCAGTGGCGCTCTTGTATGACTCGTGAGCGGCAGTGGCAGCCTCTTTTCGCTTCTCGCCGGAGGTGAACTCGGCAAGGTATCGATGGTAGTCACCCTTCATCTTGTAGTAGAAGACCTTAGACTCGGCGTTCTCGGCCTTGGGGAGGAGGTGGTTGGTGAGGATATCAAGAACATCGCTGCAGATGTCTTCGAGCTCTGCCTCAATCTTGGCTCTGTAGGTCTTGAGAAGCTCGAGATGGTGGGTGGCACCCTTGGCCTCCTCCTTCTGCTCTATGGGGAAAATGACTCTCCAGCTGGCTCGTCGAGCGCCGATAACGTTCTTGTAAGCGACGGAAAGCAGATTTCGCTCGTCGACAGTAAGCTCCTCACCGGACTTAGCGACGTCCTTCATGTAGTTGACCATCTCGTCGTATCGGTCAGCCTGCTCACAGAGCCGGGCAAGGAAGGTCTTGGTTTCTCTCTAATGGTTAGTATCTGTGTTGATGAGGGGTGTACTCACACGATATATGATGGATTCATCACCAAAACGTTATCATCTGCGTTTCTCATCGGCTCGTCGTGACCGCTTCTTTTCTCGCTGGGTTGTTGCAGTCGTCGTCACACACCATCATCATCATCTAGTCATCTTCGTAGCTACTCGGTGTGGGGGAATAAACCCACCACACAATGCTGGTTGCAAACGGCCATCGCAATTGAATCAATCCATCACATCATCCGCATCATCCGTTTGCGGTTCTGCGGTTGTGATGTCGTGGCAAAACACATGGGGCACACATATGCAAACACAAACGCAATGAACACGACAGCCCAAAACTGGGCAGAATAGGGAGGCACATGCAAAAAACAGCGTGGCAGGTGGCGGCGAGAGGGGAATTAAAGGGCACCTGGAGAATGGATGACGGCGGAGACCTTGGATGTGTGATGGATGTGCGATTGGGCGAGATTGACCTTCGATTTGTCGCGTGTGAGGGGCGCAGCAATGTCACAGACGTGTGGTGTGTTTGGGGAGTTGAAGCGGGAGAAAAGAGGCCACGAGGGCAGATGGCGCATCGCAGAGATGGATTTGGTGGTTTCCAGTCGTGGTTTGCCGTGGCAATCGCTCAATATTTACCTCAGAAGACATTGTTGTCGTTGTACTAGTTGGTGCAATTCAGGATTTGGCCTTAATGTGGAGGAGGGGAAGGGGAAGAGAAAAAGAGGGAAAAGAGGGAGAAGGTTCAAGGACAGCGCTTAGCTCGGAGCTGTGTGTGTACGCAATTGGGAAAAAGGGAAAGTCGCCCAAACTCAAAACTGCGTGTGCGCACAGAGAAACACTCCTACAGTGGCGGCCAGAGCCTCATGAGACGCCTCTGGGGCACGCAGATTAAAGGCCGCTTGGCCGAGGTGGTTGGCCCCAAATAGCGCTCGTTGAATTAGGACAGCTACAGTTTTTAGACCAATCAGCTTACCTTCAGCCAACCGCATGATACAACCTGCTGGTATTGATGGTGTATCTGTCTATCGGCTGTGACGTGGGGGTAACGGCATTTGGTTGGACACCCGATTCTGCGATACAGCACACGACAGTGTGCGTGAAAGACCATTGGTGTCTCCATGGGGTATGGTACAAGTACGTAGGGGAGATGCTGGGCCACAATTGCTTACTCAATGACTTACTGCCATCCGTATCAATAGCCTTACAGTATCTATTAAGTACTCGTACTTGTAATACAAAGCACTGGGGCTGATATCCCCATCTGGTCTTGTTCAACTCCTTCTCTTCACTCCGCCAGTCGTATATCAAGGTACAAATACACTCCGTATAGTATCGTACTATTTGTAGTACCGGGTACGAGTACAATACCTACAGTACGTATCGTACAGTAGGTGTGTTTTACGTCATGGTCTTGCTGAGTGCGTTTAATATCCCGTACAAGTACAGCAAGTCCCCAAGAGGAGCTCCACCCCTCAATACATTATCTGCGTGGGCGCACATTGCGGCAATTGAACCAGGCGTCGTCTAAGTTACTCCAGAGTCTCCACAAATGAGCTGATCTGCACATGACCAGGGTATGTGCAATAGTATCCTGTGGAGGCTCAGCGGGCCAACCAATTATGACGCATCTATTGCTATCAGTAGAGTAGGACCTGCACCTTTGGGTGGGGCAGTGAAACGTGCTGGGGTAAGGATTTAAATCCCGCGTTGCACTTTTCTGCTACTGTGGGGCCATCACCTGATGTCGCTGCCCCTCTATATCGTGCAATCCATAGCTTGCTCATTCCACATTCCACACTCCACATCTTTTTTTTTGTTGGACCCACGACCAACGACATTCCTAGGCCCCTGGCTATTCCCTGTTTTTTAGCCAAACCAAAGAGGACGCGTGCCGAGCATGAAATGTGAGGAGATTGCATTCAGGGGTGCAAGCAAGTAGCAACGCAACTTCACAAAGCACACAGCCGGCTCACAAGGAACAAAGACACATAGCCCTATCTCCAGAGCGGAATGGCGAAGTTTTGCTGATTACGAACTGGGATACGCCGTTTCAGTCGAAATGATTTGCGTCTTTACCGTAGCACAGCTTGGAGGAATACAGTCTTTATGAGGCCTGCTGTTCCACTTATCAGTGACACGTCCGCAGTTGGACCTTCTTTGTTAGTGGCCTGCTAAACTAGGCGGTTGCCCCAGCGACCAGAAATGCGCCGTTCAGCTGCACTTCGTAGACGCCTGTTGTACAGTTTTAGGAGAGCTTCCACACACTGGCCCTGATGGTGTGCAATAATTAGTTCACCAGATAACGTCACGTGTCTCGAAGTACTTGACCCGTCAACTACGATAGTGAACCGTACAATGGAAGCACAATAGCTCGCGTGGAACAAGCTCTCTCTTGTGGCTGGCGTCCTAGAGCCTCATTCTCTTGTTTCGGAACAACCTTGCAACCATACAGTATACAGTTTACTTGGCCTCAACAGAGCCATAGTTGTAGACTCATTTTCAGGCCACTGCGGCAAATACAATCGCCAATCGATGCTCACTTGGGCGGGGTACCAACACCTCAACTAATGCACACCAGGAGTTATCTCCTTCTGATTGCCAGGATGCGGCTGATTAAGCGTCGATCACTGAGGGTGTGGTGTAGCTACTTGTACTGGTACTGTTGAACGTGTGATTATCGTATTATAGATACTGTTTTTAGTTTAGACTGTCGCCATGAGCTGTGTGTATGACTGACTACTCTAAACACTCCTAACCTCGGCATTTCATGTTCCATAAAATGTGTGCAAACGTACAAGTACGAGTACATGTGCACTTGTACAATACGTACACCTGCTGGGGAGAAGGTAAAAAAACAGGCCATATGGCCGAGTGGAGCTCCAGCAGTACATACAGTAGCACGATAGGCCAGTCTGTATGATGTTACATACGGCTTCGTACTCAAAAAGAAGGCTGTGGAAGCCTCTGTAGCCTCTCCAACCTACTCTGCTCACTCTGATGGATCCCTGGCACACGTGAGCTATAATTAATTAATCCGAAACCCCTGCTGGTTCAGGCTTAATCTGCCAAACTCTCCAGTCTCATTCGACGGACATTATCGTCCACATCCAAAGCAAACACTTTTGGTTGGCTTTTTTTTAGATTCGCCAGTTTCCAATAATAGATTCGGGGACAATAGCCGCACGAGTCCAGAGAGGTGTAGCTGTATGCCTTGTAACGTATCGTCTCGACGACTGTGCTTGCGGTATAATAACAGCTTGTACCAGTAAATTCAGATATCACCTTTTGCAATCTTCCCATTGCACCCCAAGGCCATTCACCGAAGTATTACTAATCATAACATCTTAACCTGTGATGTTGAGCAAGGTTCGGATCTTGCAGGCCGCCTGAGATGGGGGGCGAATTAATTTCCTGAACTGCACCTGCACAGCTACGAATCCACTGATCTTACGTACGGCGGCTTTGAGATATAGCTTTTCACACGCAAACAAGAAAATCTGCTAAGCATCCTCACCCCAACATGACCGCAGAGGACACCAAACCTGAAGCCAAGGCTCAGCCCACCCAAGAGCCTGCTGCTGAGACAGAATCGGCTGTCACAGTGGTTCCTCCATCTTTCGAGTCCGACGTTTCCGAAGATGAAGAGGAGGAAGCTTTCGAGGCAATTGAGGCCGACGAAGACCTTCTGGCCGATGCTGACCTCGACATTCTCGACATTGACCTCACTCATCTCAAGATCCGTGACTTTGCCAAGCTTGGTCTGGGTCGATTCAAGCAGCTTGAGACCCTCTGTCTGCGACAGAACATTTCTCCTAGCACGGATGGCCTGGAGGAGGTATCTGATACCCTGGTTGATCTCGACGTGTACGATAACCGAATTGGCAAGATCGAGAATGTGAACCATCTGGTGAACCTCACCAATCTGGATTTCTCCTTCAACAAGATCCGTCACATCAAGAACGTCAGCAAACTCACAAAGGTCATCAACTTCTATCTTTGCCAGAACAAGATCCAGGAAATTCGAGGTCTGGACAACATGCCTGATCTTGTTAACCTTGAGCTTGGAGCCAACCGAATCCGAGTCATTGAGAACTTGGACCATCTCAAGAACCTGCGTCAGCTGTGGCTCGGAAAGAACAAGATCCGAAAGCTGTCTGGTCTGTCGGGACTGGAGAGTCTAGAAACCCTGTCTATTCAATCCAACAGAATCACCAAAATCGAGGGTCTGGAGAAACTGAAGAACCTGGAAGAGCTGTACATTAGTCACAACGGAATCACGAAGATCGAGGGCCTGGAACACAACACCAAGCTGCGAACCCTGGACATTACTGGAAACCCCATCACCACCCTGGAGGGTGTTTCGCACCTCAAGGATCTGGAGGAGTTCTGGGCCTCGGATTGCAAGCTCTCCAACTACAAGGAGATTGAGACTGAGCTTGGACAGCTGCCAAACCTCGAAACAGTCTACTTTGAGCGAAACCCTCTGCACCGAGAAAACCCTGCCACCTACAGAAACAAGGTGCGACTTTGTTTGGGCCCTTCCCTTCGACAGATTGACGCTACTTTCATCAAGTCTTAGCAGCATATTATTACGATAGCTGACTACGTTCTGTAGGCCGTGAGACAGCGTTTCTGAAATCGTTCTCTTACTGTCATATATAATAGAATGAATGCATATATTTATAGGCATCCGTGAGATTTAGCGTAGTGACTATTTGGTGTAATGCTAACATCTGGAATCTCTCCTCTTACAATGGCTATTAGTACGTAAATGGTTACTGTTATACTGTACTGTACGTTCTGTAGCTTCCATAATGTGCTTTTTTGTTGACTTATTTAACGTGTGTGTGACACACTAATTGTGGTGGTCACACAAACACAGAAAGACGCTTCCCACATTTAAAAACAGAACAGCCCACCTTAACTTATTCTCCTACACACCAGAAATAAAAACATGAGATACACAAATACCCAAGCGCTGGTGGGTGTCTGTCTACTCCTGCTGCTGGCTTGCGTGGCCAAAGCACAGAGAGAACCCCCTCACCCTCACCCCCGATACCCAATGGCTCCACCCCCGCCTCCTCACTACCCTTACTACTACCCCAACCGTCATGGAGCGTACAGACGTACTCGTCAAGCAGCAGGCAGATCCCCCGTGGGTCTCCGAAATGACCGACGTCCCAAAGCGCGACTCGATAACCACAAGAAGAAGACCGCCCAGCACCACGACGGAGAGAAGAAGGCCAAGCCCAAGTCCGATACCATTATCATCCGAATTGCAAGCAATGTCGGTGGCGATATTCCCAAGCTCTCAGACCCGGAGCCCTTCGATTCCAACCCCTTTGTGAATCTCACAAACTACATGCATTCCCCCACCTATTACCCCACCCCCATGGCTGGTCGGATCAATGATCACTGCTGGCGATCGGCGTTTCTCAAGGCCAAGGCGTTTGTCACCCAACTCACGAACGAAGAGAAGGCTAACCTGACCACTGACTTCAGCACTGCAGATTCCCCTTGGTATGGCGAGACTGGCGAGATTCCCCGACTCAACTTGTCCTCTCTGCGTCTCCAATGGGGTCTCCATGGTGTCGGCGGCGACTCTCACTTCACCACCTTCCTTCCCGCCGGTATAACCACAGCATCTACCTTCAACAAAGGACTGATGTACTCTCGTGGTGCCATCATTGGGAAGGAGGCTCGGAAGAAGGGCATGGACATCGTTCTCGGTCCTCTCATTGATCCCACTGGTCGAAGTGCCGCTGGCGGACGAAACTGGGAGGGATTCGGTCCTGATCCTTACATGGCTGGTGTCGTTGCAACTGAGTCCGTCACTGGTATCCAAGATCAGGGAGTTGTTGCTACTGTGATGCACTACGTTGGGTACAGCCAGGAGCACTTCCGAAACTTGGAAGAGTGGCAGGCCCACGGTTACAACAACCTCACATCCTCTGGCTCCTCATTCATCGATGACAGAACAATGAACGAGGTGTACATCTGGCCCTTCGCCAACGCTGTCAAGGCTAATGCCGGTGCTATCATGTGTGCCCCTCAAAAGCTCAACAACACCCAGGGCTGCAAGAACTCCTACATGATGAATTACAAGCTCAAAAGAGAGTTGGGATTCCAAGGGTTCGTCCTCTCCGCGGGTATGTCTCAGAACGAACCCCCTGCTGCGCTCGCCGGTATGGATATGTCAATGCCTCGGCTCAAGGCGTCTGAAAACAAGCTGCGTGAAATGATGCTCCGAAATTATGACAAAGACGGATTCCCTCAATCACGCCTAGACGACATGGCTACACGAGTTCTCACCTCCTACTACTACGTTACACAGCACCGAAACGGCCACCAGTCCTTTGTCGGCGACGAGGAGAATCTCTCCAACAAGTCAGCCTACGACAACATCTTAGTTGATGTTCGTGATGGTTTTCACTACCGGGTCGCTCTCGAGATCGCTCTCGAAGGTATCGTTATGCTAAAGAATGATGATAGTGCCCTTCCTATCGAGGGCATGAGAACCATTGGAGTGCTGGGAGCCGCTGCCAACCTTGGACCCAGTGGCTCCAAGTGCGACGACAAGTTTGGGTGCCACGATGGTGCTATCTTCCAAGGATGGGGAGACGGTGGCGTCAACCCTCCGTTCGTTGTGACCCCCTACGAGGCTGTGAACGCCCGTGCTGCTCGAGACCGAATTGTTGTTCGGTCCAACTTCGATTCTTGGGATCTCAACCAGGCCGAGGCCGTTGCCAGCAGCACTGATGCCAATATCATCTTCGTTGCCGCCAACTCCGGCGAGGGTAACCACGTGGTGGATGATAACAAGGGCGACAGAAAGAACTTCACCCTCTGGCACAATGGCGACGAGCTCATCAAGAAGGCTGTTGAGGTCAACGACCACAACATTGTCGTTGTCACTGCTGTTGGTCCTGTTGACATGGAGAAGTGGATCGAGCACCCGCATGTCAAGGCAGTTCTGTTCACTGGCCCTGGCGGCGAGGAGGCTGGGGCTGCTCTTGCTCACGTGCTCTTTGGAGATTTCAACCCCAGTGGTAAGCTTCCCTTTACCATTGCACGGAACGTCAACCACTACATCCCCATTGAGACCGAGGTACCTCGGGATGGGATTCCCAAGGCTTACTTTGGTGAGATGAGCTTGACTGATTACAAGTGGTTTGATCAGAACCTCATCTCTCCTCGATTCGAGTTTGGTTTCGGCATGTCCTTCTCTGAGTTCTCATACTCTGACATGAAGATTACCACACAGAGAAACCCCAGTCTCACCCTTGGAGCTCCCCCGGACTACTGGGGTAAAGACGGCAACGCGACTACTGCTAAGGCGTTCCAGCAAGAGTTCAAGGCCGCTTCAGGGGACTTCCAGTTTCCTTCTGGCTATAATGATGACCACAACGACGATCCTGTCCTGAATGGTGGCGCTGTGGGTGGTAATCCCATGCTCTGGGATGTCATGTACCAAGTTGCTGTGAGCGTGACCAACCACGGCCCCTTTGATGGTGCAGTCGTGTCACAGCTGTATGTCAGCTTCCCTCAGGATGACCAGGCTCTCCGGACAGCCCCCAAACAGCTGCGAGGCTTCTCTAAGACTTCTCTTGTTGTTGGCGAGACAGCCAACGTTCTTTTTGATCTCATGTGGCGTGATCTCGCAGTTTGGGATGTTGTCAAGCAGACCTGGGTGGTACAGCGGGGCGACTATGATGTGTTCATCGGTGGTTCGAGTCGGCAGTTAGAAACCCTTGGTCGCATCACGATTGCTTAAGTGAGAGAGTTCAGTGCTGAGAAGGTTTATCAAGCGCATGTCTATTAAATTTAATTCATTAATTCGCTGACGCGGTGTCTGCCCATAGCTTGTAGTCCTCCTTCTTTCCTACTGGAAATCTTTTGGCGGTGCCACACTTGCAAGTGTATATTAGCACATTGGCTTTACTTGATTGTAACCTGGATAGGTTTTCCAACTCAATGTCACAGTTTGTTGGTGTGAGTTTTCGTGAGCACTTCTTGCAGACTGTTCGTTTGAGATGCGGGGACAATCTGAGCACTGTTTTCTTTGCCACTGTAGTCATTGTACTGGTATAACATCGTGACAGTCCCTCATTACAGTCTCCCATTAATTGTGATGCCTGTGCCAGGTATGAGATTCTAGCGTAGTGATCTCGATGTGGTATCACCTTTGGTTTCTTCGGTTGTTGTTGCTTCTGCTTGTTGGCGTTTATATCGGTTTTTCTCGTTGTGTTGGGCTTCTGTTGCTGTTTCTTGCCCTTTTGCGATTGTTGTGTTGGTTGCTGGCCTTCATTTGTGGGGTTGGTGTTATCGGTCATTGTCTAGGTTCTCAGAGACGTTCCAGGATAAAAATTCATTTTAGTATTGGAGGTGCATGCGTCAGTGCAGGTGAGATGCAGAGACAAAGTTTTGAACATTAGCGAGTATTAGCAACAAAAGCCTCCCCCACCCAGCAATCTGCTTTTGGACACATTTTGGGTTCCGTGGTTGGCTCTCAATGAGGCGATTCGCATGGCATGGCGTACAACTGAGGGCAGAGACAACAGTGTCTAAGGTTGGCACCACCTCCTTTGAGGGGAAGTCGGTGAAACATGGAGACGTTAATTGCTCCGCGGATCGGGGGTGCTTTTCATGTTCCCAGGGCTTTACGGGTATCACAGAAGGCCGGCCGGGCCTACTGTAGCTCCATTAGTTGCTTAATTGATTTCGACGAGATAGGCAAGGTGTTGAGAAAGGGAACCTTGATTGACGAACGGTAAAGGGGTCGAGAGATCTGCCGTGGAGATGCTATGTGTCGGAATCTGTACTTGCACGCAAGACTGTGGAATACAGCAGGTCCAGTCTTTAGTAGAACTCCGAACCAACCATCGCCCTGATCCGCTGAAAGGGTTTGAGCGATATATTATAGGAGCTTAGCGTTCTTTGATCCCAAGGCCACGGCGGAGTTAGTGTTTCCGAGTCGCCGTATTGTGCGACATTGAGTTGGGCGATATGCAATATGGGCTGCGAGGGACCCAAAAGGACAGGAACAAAGTATCGGCACAATGAAGACTGGAGGTTGTAAATCGTATATTAAACACAGAGGTCTTGCATATCTCATCTCATCGCTTCTAACAGTCATCTGAATAACTTTCAAAATGCTCGCATTCGTCCTACTGCTGACGATGCTGCTCGCAGCAGCGCTTGCTGACCCGTTCTCAGATAAAGACGCTTACAAACACAGCCCTCCATACTACCCTGCTCCGGAGATTGGCAGAGTTCCCACCGACCTGCGATGGAGAGCTGCCTTGAAGGTGGCCCAGGGTATGGTCGCTAACATGACACTGCTTGAGAAGGTGAACATCACCACCGGTACGGGCTGGGAGATGGGTCCTTGTGTTGGAAACACTGGTACCGTCGAACGACTGGGTATAAAATCGCTGTGCCTTCAAGACGGCCCTCTTGGGATTCGATTTGCTGACCTCATTACCACATTCCCTGCTGGTATCACTATTGCCTCTACCTTCTCTCGACAGCTGGTTAGAGAGCGAGGTGCTGCTATGGGACGGGAGAATAGACGCAAGGGAGTGGATATCACTCTCAGCCCTGTGGTTGGACCACTGGGAAGACATGCTAACGGAGGTCGAATCTGGGAGGGCTTCTCTGCTGACCCCTACCTTGCTGGAAAGCTCGCCGCCGAGGCCGTGACAGGTATACAGGGCCAGAACGTCATGGCTGTGGTAAAGCATATGGTTGGAAACGAGCAGGAACATTTTCGACAACTTGGCGAGTGGCAGGGATTCGGATTCAAGGATCTGAAGCAGCCCCTCTCTTCAAACATCGACGACCGAACTCTTAACGAAGCGTACCTTTGGCCCTTTGCTGATGCTGTTCGAGCCAATGTTGGATCTGTCATGTGTTCCTATCAGCAGATCAATGGCTCTCAGGGTTGTCAAAACGCCCACATTCTGAACGGTAAGCTCAAGGAGGAAATGGGTTTCCAGGGCTTTGTCATGTCCGACTGGCTTGCCCAGCGAAGTGGCGTGGCGTCTGTTCTTGCTGGTCTCGATATGAGCATGCCTGGAGACGGTCTTGTCTGGGCGGACGGTGTTCCGCTCATGGGATACGAGTTGACCAGGAGTGTGCTGAATGGAACCATTGATGAAAGCCGAGTGGACGACATGGTTACCCGAATCCTTACCCCCATACTGTATCTCTCAATTACTCCGACCGACCCCAACTTCAGCTCTTGGACCAACGACACTACTAGCTACAAGTACTACGGAGCCAAGGCTGGTGGAAACGTCACTGTTAACCGACATATTGATGTGAGAGACCAGTACACTACCAAGGCTGCTCTTGATGGAGCAAACGCTGCGCTTGTTCTTCTCAAGAATGAGAAGAAGACTCTTCCTCTGAACCCTACCAATATTGGAAACCTCAACATTTTCGGTATTGGTTCTAAAACCGGCCCACTTGGAGCTGTCTGTGGAGAAAATATGCAGTGTAGTGATGGCGCCCTTATTGAGGGATGGGGGTCCGGTTCCGTCTACCCTACCGATTATCAATCTCCTTACGACGCCATTAAGGAGAGAGCCTCCAAGGACAACATCACCATCGGAGGCACTACGCAATCTTGGGGTAACCTGTCGAACGTTGAGATCCTTTCAGCTGCTGCCGACGCCAGTGTCGTCTTTGTTCTTTCCGACTCCGGTGAGAGTACTGGTATTGTTGACGGCAACATTGGGGATCGAAACAACTTGACGCTGTGGCACAATGGAGACGAGGTTGTCAAGGCTGTGGCATCTAAGAACCCCAACACTATCGTTGTTGTTACCACTGTCGGCCCTGTGAACCTCGAAAAGTGGATCGACAACCCAAACGTCACTGCCGTGCTTCTCACTGGACCCGCTGGTGACTTTGGAGGAAGAGCTGCAGCCTCTATTCTCTTCGGCGACATCGCCCCTTCAGGAAAACTCCCTTTCACTATTGCCAAGAATGACACCGACTACATTCCTCTTACTACTAAGATCCCTGAAGACGGCCTTCCTCAAGACTATTTCACTGAGGGTACTCTTTTGGACTACAAACGGTTCGACGAGAACCAGGTGACTCCTAGGTTTGAATTTGGCTACGGTCTGTCTTACTCTAACATTACGGTGGAGAATCTCGAAGCCCGGTATGCTTTCCCTAGCATTCCTGAGTTCTTGCCCACTCCCTTTGCCCCTTCGAACCCCAACAAGCCTAAGAACGCATTTACTCCTCACGCCAATGAGTCCGTCTTCCCCAGTGACATTGATCCTTTGAACAAGTACGTCTATCCATACCTGAACGATACCTCGGAGATCTTCTCTAACGAGACCCATTATCCCTATCCTGAGGGGTACTCCAGTGAGCAGTCCAACAGTACCAACATTAACGGCGGGGCTGTCGGAGGCAACCCTGCTCTGTGGCTCTCTGCAGTCTACATTGTCCACAGCGTGTCTAACTATGGTCCCTATGATACTGGAGTGGTCACCCAGATGTACATTGCCTTCCCTCAGGATAACGACGATCTTAAAACCGCTCCTAGACAGCTTCGAGGATTCGAACGGTCCGAGCTCAAGGTGGGAGAACGGCAGGGAATTCTATACGATGTTCAATGGCGAGATCTCGCGGTCTGGGATGTCAAACTTCAGAGCTGGCGGGTCCAACGAGGAGAGTACAAGGTTTACGTAGGCCACAGTTCGCGAGACTTTGTTCTGACCACCAGCTTCACTCTCAAGTAGGATTCCACTTGAGAGTGAATCACTTACATTATTAACCCTTCAGCTTCTTATTTAGATTCCTTTAGATTCCTTTAGATTCCTTTAGATTCCTTTAGATTCATTAATTAATTCATTAATTGTACTGGTATGTGTACAGTAGCCGAAGTGTATAATTATTTGTAAATTATTGAGGTGATGGAGATTGAATGTCGCCTGAAATGTATACAGACAGCTCCATGTAACAGAACTACACAATTCACCTAAATACATAAATGAGACCTGCCGAGATGAATTGCTTTAATAAGTATAAACATTTTATTGTTTACTCTCTTGAATACTCTCTCCACAGTACAAGTGAACTGGTGGCTATTTTCTGCTTCCAACACTTGAACCTTGCCTCTCTAACTTAGTTGACGATCATGTCCACTATTACTGTAATCAATAGTATGCAGGCTGTATCATCACACATTGAGTTCGCCACCACCAACCACTTCAGCATCAGTCCCTCACCACACATACACAAATCACAATGAGCGGCTACGACAGAGCACTTTCAGTATTCAGGTGAGTATTTGCACACGAAAGTGCCACACACAATTATCGATTGATTACTAACACAGTCCCGACGGACACGTTTTCCGTAAGTTGAACAAGACATCCAGGTGGCACTAACGTTCACAGAGGTGGCAACAGTCACAATCTCGCCCCGACGTCAGCGTCGGTACGACAGGATAGTTGGGTTTCGTTGGATCTGTCCACGTCTACTGCCATTGCGATTCTTGCATCTGTTGTAAGGATGGCGATGGACGGTGGCGATAGACAGACACCCCAACGCCCAACCAGCAAGAGACAATACTAACAACAGAGGTGGAGTACGCCTTGGAGGCTGTTAAGAGAGGAACCGCAGCCGTCGGTGTCAAGGGCAAGGATGTCGTCATTCTGGGATGCGAGAAGCGGTCTGCTCTCAAGCTCCAGGACCCTCGAATCACCCCCTCCAAGATCTGCAAGTTGGACACTCATGTGTCTCTGGCCTTTGCCGGTCTGAACGCCGACGCCCGAATCCTCGTCGACAAGGCCCGAGTTGAGGCTCAGTCTCACCGACTCACAGTTGAAGACCCCGTTTCCGTCGAGTACATCTCCCGATACATTGCTGGTGTTCAGCAGCGATACACCCAGTCAGGTGGTGTACGACCATTCGGTATTTCTACTCTGATTGTTGGATTCGACCCCAACGACAAGGTGCCCAAGCTGTACCAGACAGAGCCCTCTGGAATCTACAACGCGTGGAAAGCCAACGCCATCGGTAAGAGCTCCAAGACTGTACGAGATTTCCTGGAGAAGAACTACGAGGAGGATATGGACAAAGCCGCCACCATTCGGCTGGCTATCAAGAGTCTGCTGGAGGTTGTCCAGACCGGAGCCAAGAACATTGAGATTGCCATCTTGTCTGCCGACAACCCTACCGAGGTTCTGAGCACGGAAACCATTGCTGAGTACGTTGCTGAGATTGAGGAAGAAAAGGAGGCAGAGGCCAAGAAACAGAAGCCTAGCCGGGATTAGGGGGTGCCGGTGTATATGTAGTCAGATGATGTAGTCATAGACCTAATGATGATGTAAATGTTTTAATTTGCGACAAGATGCGTTGAGCGCACCAGTAGAAACAACTATATAATGATACATTGCTAATGATTTAGACGGGTAATTGGATTATCTACGATACTTGCACTGTTTATATTGATTGCTTTTTTTGGAGCTTCAACAGTTGATCTGATTACTATAATTACAAGTATAAACCATCACTCATATTTGTCTAACCATTGTCTAACTAAACTTCTGTCATTCCTCACAAAGAGATACAAGTACAAGTACTTCACACCCATGAAATAGGAGATATTACACACGTTATCAATATATAGAACAGTTAATCATACCCGGTGTTTTAACAACTCCACTTAAATCCTACCTCCAATCCTCTCCCCTCCCCCTCCTATCACTGTCGTGTGATTACCCATCGGTGTATGACGGCGTGCAGAAATGTGAAATTTAAACTCATCACCAACAGTGACATTTAGTTCACCGTAAGTTCAGCACCACCATCACACCTCTCCAACCCGTGCCACCATGAGCCAATCTCCGGCACCCAACCCGCAAGGCGGCATCAACAACGGCAAGCCCGCCAACGGCGCTGCTCCTGGGGCTGCTGGCACTCCCAACAGGCCTGCCAACGGCGCTCAGGCTGGAGGTGCCTCGACACCGACAAACAGACCTGCTCAAGCCTCAGGGTCGGACCTCAACCGAATCGTCATGGAGTACCTGCACAAAAAGGGCTATTTCCAAACCGAATCCATGTTGCGGTTTGAGTCATCACGTGCCCCTGCTCCTGCGCAACCTGTGGGCTCTCAATACACCGGAGGACAGAACGCGACCAATGTAGCGCCTGGAGCAACCCCTCCTCCTCCTGCACCTCCCGGAGCTCCCCAAGTGGCCATCGGAACCAACAACGCCGGCCAGATGCAGCAGGTGCCCATCCCCAAGCCTCCGGTGGCCAAATCGATCCACGACGACACGACAGCCATTCGAAAGGGCTACGTGATGCTGCGAAACTGGACGGAGGCGTCATTGGACTTTTACCAGCCCGAGCTGCGACGTGCGCTGTACCCCATTTTTGTGCACTGCTACCTTGATATTATTGCAAAAGGCCAGGCCTCTGAAGCTCGAGACTTCTTCGCCACATACTCGGGTGACCATGCTGTGTTGCATGGCCATGACCTGCAAAAGCTGTCTGGAATCTCGCTGCCCGACCACATTCCTTCCAACGAGCTGGCGCAAAAATTTCGTTCGTCCAAATACAGACTCAACATCAGTAGAACCGTGTTCGATCTACTGTTCTACTTTCTGCAGGAACATGACTCCACTGGCGGAGCCATCATTCTGCGAATCGTCAACCAGTACATCGATGCACAGGTATCGTCCGGCCGGCCCAACCGATTCGACTCAGAGGGTGCAGTGCATTCGTCAGAGGGACTGCCCGATACCGCACATGGATCCCAGGTGGACTCGTTTAATCAGGCCGAGGTTAAGTTGGGCAAGCTGCCGTACGAAGCATCATTTGAAAAGGAGGTGGAGCACTCACTGCGGGAAATTGATAAGGGTAATACCGATGGTGGAAACTCATTAGAGGCTGAATTTGCGTCCATGAAGTCGGACCAGGACACGGCACCCAACCGTGAAATGCTGCCTCTACCCCCTCACACGAGCGTGGACATTGCGGCCGAAATTCAGGCCGTGATGGACTCGCGTGCCAAAATCAAGGTCGGACCTGTGCAAGCCGCCATGCCCTCTGTGTGTATGTATACCTTCCACAACACCCACGATGGACTCAACTGTCTGGACTTTTCGTCGGACGCTACCCTGATCGCTGGAGGTTTCTCCGACTCCTTTGTCAAGGTGTGGTCGCTCAACGGCTCTCGTCTCAAGTCTGTCGTCAAGGGAGACACTGCCACCACCTCGAAGCGGCTGGTGGGACACGCTGGGCCAGTCTATGGAGTCAGCTTCTCGCCCGACCAGAGATATCTGCTTTCTGCATCGGCCGACAAGACGGTCATGCTGTGGAGCATGGACACGTACACAGGTCTGGTTTGCTACAAGGGCCACAATGAGCCAGTGTGGGACGTTGCATTCAGCCCACACGGCCACTACTTTGCCACAGCCTCTCATGACCAGACCGCGCGGCTGTGGTCCTGTGACCACATTTACCCTCTGCGAATCTTTGCAGGTCATATGTCCGACGTGGACTGTGTCATTTTCCACCCCAACGGCACTTATGTATTCACCGGCTCGTCCGACCGAACCGTGCGAATGTGGGATGTGGCCAAGGGCTCGTCAGTGCGTGTTTTCATTGGCCACACAGCCGCTATCAACTGTCTGGCAGTGTCACCAGATGGTCGATGGCTAGCGTCTGCTGGAGAAGATCACGTGATCATTCTGTGGGAGATTGGATCTGGTCGACGTCTGAAAATCATGCGTGGACATGGCAAGGCGTCCATCTACTCACTGGCGTTTTCCAGGGAAGGAACCGTGCTCGTGTCTGCTGGTGCAGACCAGAGCATCCGAGTGTGGGACGTTAAGAAGAGCACTGTGGAGTCTGGACCTGAGCCTGAGAACCTGTCAGTTGAACGAGCCCCAGAGGCTGTATCTTCTGCTAAGGGTAACGAGGCATCCAAGAAGCGGGAGATTGTAGCAACCCCCGATCATATGGCTGTCTACCACACTAAGAGCAGCCCGGTTTACAAGGTGCAGTTCACTAGCAGGAATCTGTGTTTGGCTGGAGGAGCCTTCAATGGTTAGGTGTAATGTATTATAATTGACATATTAGCAACAAGAAATGAGCAAGTGCTTGTAGAAATAGAAATAGACCTTATCGCCTGGGTTTACAGATGAAAAAGAGGTTTTATTAGTGTGTGTGTTTAAATACAGAGGTTCTATTGTTGTCTGATCAGCACTTGACAGACGTGGATGTAAAGTGGCAGGGAAATAAGCAGTGTCTGTGGCTCGAGAATCGAAAGTCACGGACGATTTCGAATGACCGGCTTGGCAATATCCCATGGGCCTTGAATGTCGTTTTTGTATTTCTGAAGGGCCAGAAGCCACAGTGGAGCACCCACACTGACAAAGAGCTTAACTCCAATCCAGGCCCCCAGTGCCCACAGCCCTCCAATGACATAGAGGCCTGTAGCGGATAGGATCAGCAGTATGGACAGGAGCACCCAGTACCCGCGTCTGGAGGTGGCACGACACCATTGTGTAAACATGGGGAAGACTCCAAAGAGAATGACAGAAAAGAGCACGAAGCAAAAGACTGCCATTGTTGTACGCAGTTGAGAAGCTAGCACTATTGCTGCCAGCATAGCGAGATTTGTTGACAGAATAGGACGAGTCAATTTGAGCGAAGACGCGCCTGAAGCAGTGCGGGCTCCATCAGTGTAGTCGTGGAAACACACGTTAGCGAGCCCCAGCCAGCAGGCGATGGCCCAGATTGAGTCTGACGATGTGGATCGTGTCAGCGACTTTAGCACTGGTGACAGAGCAAGAAGGACAAATACAATGAGTAGCGCTCCCTTTATCGTAGAGGGTCGGCTCTTGTCGTCATTGTGGATCTTGTACTTCTCGTATACAAAGTATCCGGGCACTGTGAGCACAGATGCGATGATCGCAAAGAACTCGGGGTCCCACTCATGGTTGAATATGCCCAAAAACACCACCACAAAGACGACGATAGTGCACAGATGCATGATGATCACACTAGAGTCGAGAAACAGTGAGCGGAACGAGTACTGAGCCACATTGTCGTTTCGGCGCAGTTGCGACAGAAAAGACGAGTCCACATAGTTGTCGGGGTAGTCCTGCTTGACCCACAATAGTTTCTTCCATGGCGGACGAGTCGTCGGTTGGCAGTCGGGGAACACGGCGTCCGGATCATCAAAGCCCGATTCTTCCGTTAAAGGCTCTCCCTGCACTCCGGTCCATTCTCCTGTGGCTCGAGACCTCAGTTTCTGGATCCCGCGCGACATGTTGGCATCAGCAAATTAGCTTTGGTGAAGAGGTCAGCTTAAAGTTGGTGTTGGACAACATCAGATGTGTCGAGAAAGCGAGCATGAGAGGGTGATAATAGTGGTCAATGTGGGCGGAAAGACTCATTGAAGTTGAAAATCAACTTTTTAACATACAGGTAGATAAAAGAATGCCACACAAATTATTTATGGTACCACAAAATCAACCCATATTCCCTCTGCAATAATAAGACTGCTAAACTACACGTGCATGATCTGCAAGGGACGTTTAGATCGGTCGATGAAGTTGATTGATCTTTGAGGTGATAATATCCGAATAGTAATTACAGGTAAGTTGTTCGCTAAGACGATGAATGTCTCGGAGTCCTGGTGTTTATGCTTTAATATTATGTTAATCTCAGATATATTAGAAAGGAACGGAACGCGGAACGCGGAACTGATGTGGTAGCTTGACCACTGGAATCTATGCGAGCTATTTAGTAAGATGTGGGAGAAATTTCAAGTGCGAGTGAAAGAACATCCAGTTAGAACATGGTTCCAAAGTTGCTTCGTCCAACTTCTCGCCTGCTGTGAGTGTTGCCCTTGTTGGTCTCCTCCAGAATGTTGTTATTGGGGTTTCGAGAGTGCCTGAAGGTGAAGCCGACAAATGCTCGGTGGGGGATGGGGTTGCCCTTGTCAGCAAGGTTCTCGACCTGTGTTCGCTTGGCCATCACCTCCTGGTACTTCTCCATATCAGCCTCGTTAGAGAAATCATCAAAGTAGCCAGCGTCAACATCCGAGTCGAGCTGGGGGATGAAGGGAGGAGTCTTTTCTCGCAGAGTCTCCCATTCAACCTCGGCAAAGTAGGGGTGCTTGGCAATCTCGTCGAAAGACCGCAGTCTGTATCGAGCGGAGGTGATGAGTCGTTGGATGAGATCCCAGGTTCGGTCCGAAAAGACGTATCGACCATCATCGTACTTGGGCCGCCGAAGAGCGTTCTTCCACTGTCGCAAGTTAGAGTATGTCTCGTCAGGAGAAGCTCCAGCGAAAGGAGGGTAGCCGGCCAGAGTCTCGAACAACATGCAGCCCAGAGACCAGTAGTCAATTGTGTAGTCGTAGTTCTTTCCCTCCAGAACCTCCAGAGCCATGTAGTCAGGAGAGCCAACAATGGAGGAGGCGTAGTTAATGTCCGAGGCTCGCAGAGACCGGTACATCTTCTGTCGCTCGGTGAGCGATCTATGGGTGACCTGGACATCCTTGACGGCATCAAGACGAATTTTCATGCTTTCAACTCGGTCCTTGGAGATTGCTCCGGATGCAAGACCAAAGTCAGTCAGCTTGATGTGACCTGCCGAGTCGATGAGGAAGTTCTCGGGCTTGAGATCTCTGTGGATGTATCCGAGCTTGTGGAGGGCCTCCAGTGATGCGAACATCTCGGAGATGTAGAACCGCGCGTGTCTGGGGTTGAGGATGCCGGTGTTATTAAGCAGAGTTCGGTAGTCTCCTCCAGGGACAAACTCCATGGCGAGGTAGACAGACTCCTGGTCCTGGAAGGCGTAAAGCAGCTTGACAAGCCACTCGGACCGGGCAGCCGTTAGAATGTCTCGTTCGGTAAGAATGTGTCTGATTTCGTCCAGTTTAAGCAGCAGCTTCTTGTTAAGCACCTTGAGGGCGCAAATTTCCCGGGTGTCGGCCTTCTTGGCCAGGAACACCTGTCCGTAACCTCCCTGGCCGACTTGGGTAAGGATCTGGAAGTCGCCGTGCTTGAGACGGGTTCGACGCTTTCGCAGGTGAGCTCTTTCTCGGCCGACATACGACTTCCATTGAGTCTCAGCCTCGGCTTGGGGGACGCCTCCAAGAGCAGCCTTGGCTTTTCCAAGACGCTGCTGACGGCCGTGTACGTAAGTCAGCAGATCGAAGTAGTAATCGAAGAAGTACAACTGGGTGACGTTGACCAGTCGCTTGGTCTGAGGGTCATTGAACTTTTCGTAGTCACGTGAAGTCCACGACGGCGAGTGTGTGTTGGCCGTCACCTGGCTGCCGTGGTGGCCCTGCTGTTGAGGAGCCCAGTTCTCCTTGTCAGTAGGTCGGCCAATGTTGAGAGACTCAATGTTGGAAATGATGGCGGTGGTCTCGTCGGGGTCACAACTTCCAGCCTCGTGTCGAAGAGGGCTTCGAGGGGGAGAGGTTCCTCCTCGCATGGGAGACTGGGGCATTCGCAGAGATTGGAGCTTTTGTTCCACAGAGCTCATGGCCCCCTTGACCGGGGAGTCTTTAAACGATACCATGGTGTGGTTGTGTTGCAAGATGTGTGGCGAAGTGTGGAGCAGAATAGTTTACCACGACGTAGCTAGCCTCTCCTCTAAAGTATTAGCTACATAAGGATAGGCGTGCAGTCGGATGGTGTTGTGTTTACTCCTAATTGGGACAAGGTTGCTGGGGCAACGCGGGTTGACGCGAGGAGACGGAAGCAGAGTCAAAGTGGTGTCAAAGTGGAGATAAAAGGGGTGCCTGGGGAAGGGGGAGGGGAAATATAACAGTGTTTGCGTGGCCTGGTTTTATTTTATTTTCAGTTGAAAATTAACCAAAGAAGTCTTTTTTATAGCTTCCATATGACAGGTGTTGACCGGGTCCCCATGGTTCAGCCTGATGAAACATACTGTAATTTCAAGCTTGGAGTTAAAGTGGGAGACGAGCAAGGAGAGAAGAAAAGGAGGAACAACAAGGCAGTGTATAGAGAGAAGGGTAACTGAACGGGGGCTATTGTACAATACATTGACAGGGTGCGATTACCAATCCCAGCGCCTATAATACCGATATAGCCAACCATGGCACGTCTGCCTTCTTCCTCCTCTTAAGTTAGTTGTTCAGAAGCCTCCACACAGCTCGAATCGAGGTGTGAAACAATAGTGATGCTCTGAGAGAATACAATTATGAGTATGTACTATACAGCGTAGTGCTCGTGCTGTAAAATACTGTACACGTACTCCACCTAGACGTGCAGTAGAGCCAAACTGATGCGCGAAATAATAGTATTGTTTGTGCTTATTGTCGCTCTTGTTGGAGTGGCTATTTTGCAGTCAAGGCAAACAGACTGCCCGTTAATGTCGAGTGTACAGGATGTACACAAGGTACTTGTACTTGTGTGGGGACGTGATAGTTAGATATTCAGATATTCAGAGCACAAGGACACACGACACTACAAGTACGCGTTCGATGTATATTATTACACTCAGGCAGCATCCGAACATCACTACAAGTAGTTTCCACTGACAACATGTACACATCAAGGTACCCAGACACCTGACAGACTCGCTTAGTGAACCTCTTTAAACTCACAACCTCACTGTCATGCAAGGCACAAGGCCGACCGTTTGGTTCCAGCAGGTGGAAAAGTGCGTGGAAAAGTGCGACACGTACCGTAGCATCCAATCACAGAGTTTTTTTGAAACCAGCAACAGCCGTGACACCCAAGAATAGTCTGTGACACGTCCACTCATCAGACCCACATGTAGCGTGCATCAACCTGTGTCCACTCCCAATATGCAAGCCAAAATTAATTTTACGCGACACGTTCAGAGACTGCTAATTACAACTACAAGTAGACGGACTTCAAGTACACTAACGTCTCCGACGGAATCCAAGACGACTTTTGCTGAACATAGACGGCCCACCAACACATTGGAATCACATGCAACTACGAATCCCCGCACCCTACAATACTCTACAGCAGCCTCCAGCCAACCGTGGAGTGTTTATCTGCATCGATACCGAAACCGCAGAACATCATGCTGGAGTGATCACGGAGATCGGAGTGGCCGTGATGCGGTTCCATCCGATTGGTCAGCCCGACAAGCCTTACGCAGCCCCTAAGATCTCGGCCCAGCACTTTGTTGTCAAGGAGAGATCGTCGGATCGATACCGAAACGGTAACTACGTCCCGGACCATAGAGACTTCTTTTGCTACGGTACGTCGCAAGTGGCGCCTCTAGCCGACATTCGAACAGTTTGGAAGGAACTTCTGACGGGCCTTACTGCCGGCTTTGACCAGGACCCGGTCTACTATGTGGGCCACTGCATCTCGGGGGACCTCAACGAGCTCAAGAAGATGGACTTCCACATTCCTGAGCTGCCCATCATCGACACTGAGAAGATCTGGCGTTGTATTAAAAAACAGGGCAAGGGCAACCTCACCTATCTTCTGGAGGCATTTTGCATTCCTCACGCCTTTCTCCACAATGCAGGTAATGATGCCTATCTCAACCTGATGGTGTTCCAGGCTCTGTGTGATCCCGTTGTTCGCCAGGAACACAGCGTGGGGACCAAGTTCAACTACGATCCACGAACCCCTCACAACAAGAGACGTCGAAAGAAGGCTATTGACTACCCCATCGAGTATGCCAATGACTACGACACTCTGGAAACCAACGTCAAGTATCTCGGCAAGCTGGACGGCTGCAACCGTTTTATCAAGATTGGTAACCTGGAAGAGGAGGAGGAGCTGATCCCCCGAATGTTGCCTGCTGTAGTAGTCAAAGCAGACTCCCTGGCAAAGGAGGCAGTCCTTGGCCCCAACTCGGACCGATACGAGCGACAGAAACTGTCTGAAGACGTTGAAATGACTGGCCAGACTGTTGGACCTATGGACATGCTTGTACAACCGGCTTTGCAGGGTCGAGGACGGTCCCCGAACAACCAGCAGTATCTACCTTCTCACAGCGGGTTTGACAGACCGACATACACCGCTCGCCGGTATGACCAAGACAACAACCAAGGTGCTCGAGCAGCCCACAACAGACAGGGAATGTACAACAACCGTGGACAGAACCACAAGAAGCGAAGACAACCAAGGGGCGACTTCCAGGGTGCTCGCAGCCGGGACTCTAGTCAAAAACGAGGATCTGGAGGTGCCTCTGGGACCCAGGAATGAGAACTCACGAAGCGAAGACGCACTGACGACTAAGCATCATTGAATATGATACCGTTATATAATAGTGATGTATGTTGTGCTGGCCACATCCTACATTCAGTTATGTGTACTCCGCGCTGACAACGTGGACTCACTGGGATACTGTGCGGGACTCTCGCCTTATGTGACTACTCTATACATACATACTGTACGGGGAGTGAGTGTCCCAGATCGTACATATATACAAGTACATACTACATAGTAGTTTGATGATGCTTAATGTGTGCAAATAGTGAAGAAACTTGAGACAAGCTCTCTAATCAACCGCTCACTACGTTAACTACGTTTATTTACGTGCTTTTTCATATCTTCGAAGTTTTGTATGTCTTAAAAAACGAAACTTCAGCTTGTTTGAAGCTGTACGTACGGATTAGTAAAATATGCGTGCCTACGTGGATGGTGGGGTGCGATGATCTCAACAAAAGTAGAAATTTTAGCCATTTGAGTAGAGGGGTGAATTTAAGACATGGGAAGGTAAGTAGAATACAAGTAACTATTCTCGCAGCATCAAAAATCGCTTTCGCTTACATAAAAAACCGACCTTATCCAGTTCTCCCACTCACGTGATATCAAGGTTAGGGGACACAGCCCAATTGGTGAAGTATATCACAGCACTGCGTAAGTTTGAGCATACCCACTCAGACTCCGCGTTGGGAGTTCATAACTCGCTGGTGAAATTTTTCTTCTCTTCTTCTCTTCAGCGGAATTTGTCTTTAAATATCCTATCAAACTAATTCGAAATGGGAGGCAGCACCAGCATCAAGAAGACCGAGTACTTCTCCAAACTGAAGCAGTTGCTTCAGGAGTACAAGTCCATTTTCGTCGTCGGCGTCGATAACGTCTCTTCTCAGCAGATGCATGAGATCCGAAAGACTCTCCGAGGCCGAGCAGTCGTTCTCATGGGTAAGAACACCATGGTCCGACGAGCTCTCCGAGAGTTCGAGGAGGAGCTCCCCGAGGCTGCTGAGCTTCTCATGCCCCTCTGCCGAGGCAACGTTGGTTTCGTTTTCACCAACGACGACCTCAAGGAGATCCGAGAGGTTCTCCTCGAGAACCGAGTTCTGGCCCCTGCCCGAGCCGGTGCCATTGCCCCTAAGGACGTCTGGATCCAGGCCGCCAACACTGGAATGCCTCCGGACAAGACTTCTTTCTTCCAGGCTCTCGGTGTCCCCACCAAGATTTCTCGAGGTACTATTGAGATTACCTCCGATGTCAAGATCCTCCAGCAGGATGTCAAGGTCGGTCCCTCCGAGGCTACCCTCCTTAACATGCTGAACATCTCTCCTTTCACCTACGGAATGACTGTTGTTCAGGTCTACGACAACGGCCAGGTTTTCGGTTCCGAGATTCTGGACATCACCGACGAGGAGCTCATCTCCAACGTCATTGGTGCCATCTCTACCATCACCGCCATCTCCCTTGCCGCCAACTACCCCACCCTCCCCGCCGTGTCTCACTGCATCATCAACAACTACAAGAACGTTCTTGCTCTGTCCATTGCTTCTGACTACACTTTCGAGGGCTCTGAGGCCATCAAGGACCGAATTGCCAACCCCGAGGCTTACGCCGCTGCTGCTCCTGCCGCCGCTGCCGCTTCCGGCTCTTCTGAGGCTGCCCCTGCTGCTGCCGCTGAGGAGGATGAGGAGTCTGAGGATGACGACATGGGATTCGGTCTTTTCGACTAAGCTCTTAGTTAGTTAAAAATCTACTACTTATCTGTAAACCCTGGGATTGTAGAATTGCGCTGTGTATTTATAATAACGTTGTGTCCTCCTACTATGACTAAGACCCGCATTGAGCTGAGTGGAGTGTGCTACCTGTAACGTTGTGTATGTACTGTACTTGTAATATGAATACGATCTTTAACACTACAGTAAAAGTATCAACATTTGAACTGTTGATTTATTATGTGCAGTACAAGTATGAACTTGTACGATCTATATGCTCTTTTATTTGAATAATATATTTATACTATACGACTATTATACGCCCAGTACAATATCTCTTTTTCAGTGTGAGCTTTGTCCCATTCCGTAGGATTTTTTTCCCACAGGTTTTATTATTATTATTATTATTATTATTATTATTATAATAATAACATACAGTACTACTTGCAATTACTTGCCATGGTGTGATGAGTCCCTCTTCTCAAACCTACTTCTGACACAACATGGTATCAGAAGTCAGAACAAGAACAGCAAAATTCGCTCAGAAGGAAGGAAGGCAGATATAGTGTTAATTCGATTATATTTATACTGACTCTACCCCGCATCGAGTTCTGCACGTAAGACATTTGTAGTACTCGTACCAATACGGTACACTCGTACTTGTACCCCCTCTTCACAATGCACTCATCACCAATCACTCAGTTGCAGGTACAGGAGGAGATCTTTCCATCTTCTGGGTAAAATATCATAGCATCTGATGGATTGAATGCAATAGAATCACATGCAACAACACAGCTTATGTAGTTAGACCCCGTTTTTCCAACCCCTTCGCTCTCCGGATAACACGCCTTGCTCTCAGTTGCTCTTCCCTCTGCCGACTTCCGTCTGATCCACCTCTGCCATCTGTCAATATACACTACTGTAACCCAGAGTCTATCTGAGATTCGCGTAATTTTTTGTTTTCCCGCTAACCGTTGTGAACCAACTTAATCACATGCGTCTGTGGCCCAAGCTGGCTTAGGCACAAGTAGACGACTTTTTCTCTCATTTTTTTGCAACGGGACAAGAAGACATGCATTTGTTTGTGCTCATTCACGGTCTCTGGGGAAGCGCAACCCACATGGCCGCGGTAAAGGAGGTGTTGGACACCACCTACGGTGTCAAGGCTGGAGGAGACATGGTTGCTTATGCCACTCAGAGTAACCACGGTACTCTCACCTACGATGGAGTGCAAGTATGCGCGCGTCGATGCTATCTGGAGATCAAGGAGGTGATTCGCCGCTACGCTGATGACGAGGGTGTTACCTTTGACCGCATCTCGATACTGGGCTATTCTCTTGGTGGCCTCATTGCGCGGTATCTCTGTGGCATATTTTTGGACGAGGGCTTCTTCGACAAGGTCAAGCCCGTTCTGTTCTCCACCATAGCCACGCCGCATCTGGGCTCCAAGTTCCACCGAACTGACAAACGTTGGTTCAGTTGGATGAACACTCTTGGAAGTACCTATCTCGGGAACACTGGACGAGACCTGTTTCTCAAGGACCCGACACTTGCTGACATGAGTAATCCTTCCTCATCCGCATATAAGGCGCTGGAGATGTTTGATAACCGGGTGCTGCTGGCCAATTGCCGAAACGACCGAACGGTGCACTTCCCAACGGCGTTTATCACGGCTGCTAATCCGTTTGCTAACCTACGATGGCTCGATCTCAAGTTCCACGAAGTCAAGCTGCAAGAACCCGTGGTGGACAGCTACGGCTGGAGCCACTCGCCTCGAATCATTGACTTCAAACGAACCACCAAACGGTCCCTTCCTTTCCCCGTCTACCACGAACACATTCGCCAGAAGCTTATCTTCTGGAGTTTTGCGGCTACTGTTGGTCCCCTAGCTATCACAGCTGTGTTAATTGCGTCCATGTTCTTCACCAACAACTCAAATCACCGAGTCAGCAAGTTTCTGAGAGAAGGAGACAAGGCACTCATGGGTGAGATTCTCGAAAGTATCAAGATGGAGACTTTTGACGAGGAGTGGTTGAATGAGGGTGACGAGAGGAAGGTTGGCGGTAAGGGGGAGAAGACTGAGAACACCGACAAACAATCCTCCCCCGTTTCTAAAACGGACGCGTCCAAGGTTGAGGAAGAGGCTGATGTCATGGCTGCTGGAATCACTGAAGCTGCCGTCGAAGACGTCATTCTAGGTGATGATCTTAACAACACCGACACGCCTGCTTTGTCGGAAACCAAGGTGGTCGGTCTGGGTGAAGCTATGGAGGCGGCTAGACACACAGGAGACCGAGGATTGCTGGCCAACTGGGCGAACAACGCGCCTTTCTCCGAGGACGTACTCAGCATGATTGAGAACATGGACAAGCTAGGCTGGGAAAAGTACGCCGTGTACATTACCGTGATCCATTCTCATGCTGCCATTGTTGCTCGACGAGGGCTTACTCAACAGGGACAGGGTGCAGCTACCCTGCGTCTCTTCAGCGAGATTATTAGATCCAAGATTTGAACACAACAATCTTGTTGCTCGCGGAAGCCAGACGGGCATGCTAACTTATAGACACACAGTATGACGTGGTAATTTATAATAGAAGTTTACAAAACACAGCACTACGACTATTCACACAGTAATCTACAATCAGTTCAATCCATCAAGTCATAATTATTTATACATCATAGAACGATTAGGCTAATCCTGGAGCTCAACAAAGTTGGAAGGGAAGAGGTTTCGCTTGCCGTTGAGCGATCCGGTCCACCAGTCCTCGTCGATGAATTCAATATCTGTGATGATATCGTCCGCCGCGAAGCTCAGTTCATTGTCCTCAGCAGCGTCGTAGTCGTACAGGGCGATGGCAGAGGGGCCAGTGCCAGCTCCGGCAGCAGCGCCGGCAGCAGCGCCGGCAGCCGCGGCAGGATCGGGAATGGTGGGCACAGCACCATCCTTAAGCCTGACATAGTTGGAGGGGAACAGACCGGACTCACCCTTGGAGTTGGTTCCGCTCCACCAGTTCTCGTCCAGGAACTCAATGTCGGTGACGATCTCGTCCTCCACGAGATCGATCTCACCCTCCTCATCCTTAGTGTAATCGTACTCCACGGTGGCAGAGGGCTTGCTGGAGACAACAGCAGCAGGAGTGGCAGCAGCAGCACCGCCTCGAGAAGGCAGGGCGGGAGCAGGAGGCTCATCGGCAGCAGGTCGAGATGGCATGGGAGGAGGAGGAGCGTCGTTAGCAACATGTCGAGCAGGCATAGGAGGGGGGGCATCATCGTCGTTGGCGGGAGGAGGGGCGTGTCGAGCAGGCATGGGGGGAGGAGCATCATCTTCTTCCTCATCTTTGGCAGCTCCTCGAGCAGGAGGAGGAGGAGGTCCTCCGGTACCAGCACCAGCAGAGAAGGCGGCCTGAAGAGCAGAGGCGCCCTTGGAGAAGCTGTTGTGCTCGTCCTCATCGTCGTCATCCTCATCAGCGGGGGGTCGAGATGCAGAGGGAGGAGGCGGGGGCACTGTTCGAGCAGGAGGAGGGGGAGCATCATCTTCGTCGGCAGCAGCGGGCTTGTTGAAGGCGCCTCGGAGAGCAGAGACAGAGACAGCGGGAGCATCGTCCTCGTCCTCATCATCGTCGTCGTCGTTTACTCGAGAGGCGGAAGGAGGGGGAGGAGGAATGGTTCGAGAAGCAGGGGCGGGGGTGGACTTCTTGGGCTCGTCATGCACGGCCGGCTTATTGAAGGCACCTCGAAGAGCGGAAACCGATGCGTGGGGCTCGTCATCTTCGTCGTCATCACCACCGAAAGAAGCAGGAGTCTTCTTGTCCTCCTCATCATCGTCGTTCACAGACAGCTTGGAGAACTTGTCGGATGCAGAAGAGACGTTGGAGGTAGACGAAGGCACGGCCACGTCAGGCTGGGGAGTCTTTCCATGCTTTTCAGCCCAGATCTGACCGGGAGTCTTACCGTTCTCAGAGGCAAAATCTCGGGATCCACCAGACACAATTGAGGTCTTGAGACCATACTGAGACGACAGATCACCGGCGGGGGCCAGAGGCTTGGTTCCTCGAGAGGCAGCGGGTGTGAATCGAGACTGGATAGCAGATTTGTCGATCTTGGGCTTGGGCATCTCGGTGAGCCGTCCAGACCCGGAGAAAGCGTTGAGTCGGTCCTTAACAGACTTGGGGGTCTCATCCTCCTCATCGTCGTCGTCTCCACCAATGGTGGTAGGGGGCTTCTTGGAGGGAGTGGGAGTAGAAGAAGACTTGGAGGGCTTCTGGAAGGCCTTCATTCTGTCTTTGAGAGACATAGGCTCGCCGTCCTCGTCCCCGTTCTGGTTGTCCTCATCCTCAACATCGGCGACAGGGGCAGGCTTAGAGGTAGGCTTAGGAGTGGCCTTGGGCTTGGGCTTGTCGAGGTCCGTCTTGATGGGGGTGTTTTCAAAGGACTCCTTGTGTCCCTTGCCCTGGGCTCGGATGGCTGCAATGTCAATTTTACCGACGGGCTTGTAGGAGCCACCGACAATGCCTCGATCTGAGTCGGCGTCTCGTCCCTCGGACGTGAAGGTCGAGGGTCCTCCCTTCTTTCGGATCTCGGCCAGGTCAACCTTGACGGGCTTGTAGGACGACTCAACAGGTGTGGGCTTGGAGACGGGCTTGGTTTCCACTGCAGGGGCGTCTCCCCAGTCCTCCTCATCGGCTCCAGACTTTTGCGTTGTGTAGGTGGGCTTGGTCTTGATGGCCGACGAGATTCCGGGCTTTCTGGATGAGGTGGCTCCGTACTTGGCACCAGAGGCTCGCTCCAGCCGCTCCAGGATCACATCCTCAGTGAGATCGTCTCGGTCTCGGGCAGTCACCTGGACGTGGTAGCCGTGGAAGAGATTTCCAAGGGCATGGAGATGGGGGTTGAAGACACCCTTGGCTCGAGGGTCGGGGACTCCCTCAGGACACCAGCCCACGTAGACAATCTTGGGTAGCTTCGAGTGAGGGTCGGGGACTCGGACCAGGCCGTATTGCAGCTTGCCCTCCTCGAACTCGTCGAGGAAATCGGCCAGAGTGGAAGTGTCAGACTCAGGGATGGCTGCGACCTTGATGGTGGCCGAGGACGCTGTGGGAGAGGTGGCATAACCAAAGATTGCCCAGGGGAACTCGGGGTCATTGCTGACAATGGCGCCGTACACGTCCTTGATCTGCTGGCCGTTGGTAGCTAGGTCGAGAGACATGTTGAAACGTGTGTTGCGGTAATTGGGTGTGTAAGAGTGTGTGTGTGGAGAGACTATGTACAAGTGGTGAGCTAATTGAGAGTTATAGACCAACCATGCACTGTGATGTGGAGTTTAAAGCTCGGAGCAATCGGATGGTGGAGCGGTTCGAATGGGTGATAGAGGGGTGATATGAAAAAAAGTAAGGATGAGAATGTGTTTGTAATGGACAATTGTTTGTGGTTGGGGGTATCATTCTTCTCTTGTATGCCTCCCCTACCCCGCATGAAGGCTGCTCTCTACCTGTACAGAGTTGTATTGTCTATGTCTCAGCACTACACCTCGTACTGGTAGTTACAATAAGCCAGACGTAGCCTAGATGCCGTCTCACGACCCTTTACTTGATTTGCAGTGACTGACAAGATAAATAGCAAGTGCCAGACTGTGAATTGTGACAACATGTCCTTGCTGTCCTCTTTTTCATTGTACTTGTTGTTGTACGTCTGGCTGTTCTGCATAAACCGGATTTTTGTCTGTTGCTATCTCCGGATGGACTTTCAAGCTCTTTCAAGCGAATGAACCACCCAATTGGGATCGGATTTAAGCAGCTTTATTGAGTCGCTCTTTTCTATAACTAGTATTGCTAGCCACTCTTTGTATCCCCAAAGGTCAGTGTACACAGCCCCCAGGAGGTCAATTTACGCGGGCTTTTATCCGCAACACCATCCACGCAGCACACATGTATGACGTATGATCAAACCATGAGTTGGAAATAGATGCTGTAGGCGATATGTACGACGTTCAAGTACTTATGGTCAATGCGCAACAGATAATGAAAAGTGTGAGTCATGCGGTCTAGTCACGATGAAATTTGAATCTCGCACGGTCTCTATTCAATTTGGAACTAATTGTAGTCTCTACTGTAGCTAAGCCATACGGCTGATATCTGTCTCCACTTGAGTGGTTTAAGCTGTCAAGTAAAATGAGGGATAAACTGAGTGTGAGGGATGTTCTCAAAATGTGAGTGATTGACTATATATAAGCCAAAATCTTGTTTTTCTAGCGATAGCCATCATGGCCGTGTCATCCTATTGGCCAGAAGAGAAAATGCTACACAATCCCTACAGTATGTACAGTACTCGTACTCGTGCAGTAGTTTACCCAATGTATTACAATATCTCATCGATAAACTCAGCTTTATCGCAACAATGGCATTGCATTTAAAGTGGGTGTGGTAAGAGTACAGTATGTACGTATTATTGTCAATTGAAAACACGTTTACATTTGACTCTTTCAAGGACAAGAAAGTATTTGAGAGATGAGTGCAATTTGTATCTGATTCTCATACAAAACGTCGTTCATTCCACTGAAAATACATCTTGCTGACAGCAACATTTCTCTCTCCACTTTAATAACGACCCACAATCCCTAACCCCTCCTTCACAGATGTCATGCGCATGAACATCTTCCGCCGTCCTTCGATCCACAAACTGGTGATGGTTGCGACAACAAGAACGCGAACCAAGCGAAGTCTGGCTGAACCTGAAACAACAGCGCCTGTGGTGACTCCCAGTACTCCCAAAAGACAGAAAACCAAGCTTGAGATCCCTACTACTCCCTTGGCTCCAGCCCCTAAGATTTCCCTGGCTGAGTCTATCAAGCTGATACCCAAGCTAGATCCTGTAACCAAAGACAACAGTCACTGGGACGAAATTTACGAATCAGATTTCTCCAAGGGCCTCAAGTACATTCTCGATGTCGATCCTTCTCTGGAGGATATCGTACACTCGTCCGAGTTCACTTCTTTTGTCAAAGAAGCTGCTACTCGGCAAGAGTCCAGAACCAACAGAAAGTGTAACAATTGCTTCGAACATCTTACAAGGGGCATCATTGGACAACAGGTATCTGGAGCAGCTGCCGAGTCGATTCTCAAGAAGTTCAAGAAACTGTTTCCAGTCGAAGGAAGCGAAGATGGCAAATTTCCGAGCCCACAGGAGATCCTCGACACCCCAACCGAGGCCTTAAGAAGCGCAGGTTTGTCTGGAAGGAAGGCAGAATACATCACATGTCTATCTACGGCCTTTAAGGATGGAACTCTGTCCGATGACTGGCTCAGTACTGCCTCCGATGACGATGTTGTCGATGCTCTGGTCGCCATCAAGGGCATTGGGCCTTGGTCAGCGGACATGTTTCTTCTCTTTGCTCTTAAACGAATGGATGTCTTCACATTGGGTGATCTCGGTATCCAGAGAGGTGTATCTGTTTACCTCAAAGAGCGTCCTCATCTTGCTGAGATCATCAAGCAGGTTGACTTTTCGCTCCCTATTAATGGGGTCCACAGTCCTGGCAAGTCTAAAAAGGCTGGCGCTCGAAAAGCAGCCAAGTCAAAGCCAGATACAAAGGGTAAATGGAGGGTGCCCACAGCAGATGAAATGACCTGGGTGGCCCATCGGTTTGCTCCTTACCGTTCAGTAATGATGCTAATTCTGTGGAAGATCAGTGATGTCAATACTGCAATTCTGGATAAGAAGTGAACACAGAATGATAGGAACCCAAATTGACGACAGATCAGACATCAACAGTAGGTACTTTACAATGTATTTTTATTCTCTGTATGTATGAAAAGATTGCGACTCCTTAGTAAAGATAGCTTGATCTCTTTGCGAACTATCAGTTACTTGTATGATCTCGTTCATAAACCAGAGCCTAGTTAATCTGATCTCACCTGCTATGTGGAGTGAGATTCTAAGCAAGCTACAAGAGTGTTGAAAGGAAGCAGCCTGCATCTCTGGCACTGCGCATTGTTCCACAGCAACTCAGTTCCTCGAATCAAACCCCCATACTATACACCTGATCTCGGTCCAGCTTCGCCACTACAATCCAGCCTATCAAGCTTACCACGCCATCAAACCACCACCACGACATCGTAGCAACCACCATAATCCAATCATCCAATATCATTATCCTATAATACACTTAAAGTCCTCCAGGGACAAGCTGTGTTAGTTAATCTTCTCGTGACTTCCTTCCCTATCTGATCAGCCATAAATATCCCCAACTTCACTCACCATGTAGATGCTCTTTCCACTCAACAACAGCTTGCTGTGATTGGTCTCCTTGCCAGTTTTTGTGTTGACCTCGGTCACGTCCTCCAGCACCATGTTGACGAAATCGTCGAATCCGACCAGAGTGCCAGTGAACTCGACCTTGGACTTGACCAGCACCAGAATCTTGGATCCTATGCACTTGTCGACCAGCTCCAGAGGCAGAATTTGCGATACCTGGGGCTCAGCTTGCTCGCTCATTGTGTGTGATGTTGTGTGTTCGGAGACTGTTGTTTGATGCTGGTGTGGTTTTTGATTAAAGTGTTGTGCATGGCTTATGGTCACGTGATCAGAGGGGTACAGTCGACACGGAACGATAAAAGGTGGACTTCGAGTTTGGGCAGGATAACAGACCAAAATACCCACAGATATATATTTTTTCTGTAATATTTACCCCTCTAGACACTCTAACGTCAAAAGCCAAGCTCTCTCCATTGTGTTTATCAATCTGTTGTGTTTCCACCCTCTTGCTCTCGTGCCTATTAACTCTCTATTCTGACGTACATCCAGCAGCAGAGGTGACTAAACACAGAAATCACGTTAGCTTTGGTGACAGTAAAAAAGCCTGGGAGTATATATATGAACCCTTAAGCTGTTTCCCCTCAAAAAATCACACCCTTGCATACTCTGGGACGCTTTCTGAGCACTGTCATCTCACGCTACACCAACTTCACCATCCCGCATCTCCTCAACCTTGTTTGGGTTTCGATTTTCCTTCTCGCTGGCAAGCCCACACTCCAATACATCATAACACCATCCAAATCACCGTTCGCACAAAACGCATCAAATGACTAAAACGCTCCCCCCACACTCGGCCATCCGACCTCTGGCAGTACAGGATGTGGATGCCATTGTCGAGGTCTCAGATAAGGCCTTCCCTCCGGACCAGTCAGCGACGAGAGAAAAGGTGCTGTATCGACTCCAGGCATGCCCCGAGCTGTGTCTGGGTCTATTTATCAGAAGTTACGACGCCAAGGACAAAGCCAAGAACAGCGACGGTGAGGACGACCAGCTGCCTCATCCTACAACCTCTGTGATTAGCGAGAAGCTGGTGGCGGTGATTCTGGCCACAAAGATGCGGTCAGACCTGATCACCAAGGGCTCCATGGGCATCCCGGAGGGCCCTGACGACGAGGAGAACGGACACAAGGAGGACGGAAACACCGTGGGCGTCCATGCTGTTTGTGTGGACCCCGAGTACCAGGGCAAGTCCATCGGATCGATCCTGATGAATGACTATGTGCAGCGAATCTCCACCAACGGCGTGGCCAGCCGAATCGCGCTCATTGCCACAGACGAGAACGCACCCTTCTACGAGAAGCTGGGGTTCACCAATCAGGGCAAGAGCGATTGCAAATACCCTCCCGGTGTTGTGTGGAATGATCTGTACTTTGATCTGTCGTACAACTAAGGAGATTGACCAAGGAGGAACTGAAATGAAGGGCATGGTTTTGGCATGACGTTTTTACCCGTGGAAGGACGACGTGAGTCTGGCATCCATTAATTCGGTCAGAGAAATGTATGGCACACAACAACTCATTCTGACCTTACATATTATAAGTTATGATATTCATGATAAGAGCGGTAGTTTTCGTCGGCGGTTTGGTTTTGTGTGGTGTCTAGGGAACACTGACAGGTCTGGGGCGCGTTAATACAATTAGTGTGCGTGTTGAACCGTTTTCTCGTTGGGTGTATAGGCGATATATTGCTCTTGTGGACAAACCATTATTATGAGCGAGGTGACGATGGTCGTGTGTTAATTACCCTACAGCGCGGAAGTGCTGCACATACGTAATACTGGACTGACCGCTTAAGCGAGGCAGAGAATCATGTATACGGCAGCACCTTTAACATCCAGTGGCTTCTGCGCTATCTTATCATATCGTGGCTTTCTACTGGAGTATATATATAATTATAACAATCTTGTGTTAGTTCCTTGTAGTGTGTTACGGGTATTAGCTTCGTTTAGGCAACCCATAAATCGACTGATCGAAATACGAGCCAATAAGAAAAAACAGTAGCGATGTGCACATCAGAGAATCGGGGAAAGAAAAAATGTAAGTGCTTGTGGCAAGTAATTTGAAGAAATGAAAAAATGCCGCATTTTTTAGCTCATTGAGTTATTGGTGGTGTATGAAGGGGCATCGAGATCGGCCTCTGATTAGTGAGCATGAGTTTAACCACTCCGTGATGAGCATTCGAGTACGAGGCGTGTAGAGTACCGGTACTTGTACTTGGGTTTGTACTTGTATCTATCTATCTGTATGTCTGTACAGTATGTACAGTACATACCCCAATATATAGCTACTGTACTTGAGGGGGTGTACTCGCGTGCTCAGCATAATGCATCGCTGCTCTCACTCACTCAGTAACTCCAAAAATCATATACATTAGCATTACTTCTATTTCTAAACTCGTCTCTTGCTTAGATTCGAGGTCGGAGATCCTTTCCAGCAATGTCGGCAAGGATGAGGTCGGCAGCCTTCTCACCAACAGCGTAGGCAAAAGCCTGGGTGTGTCCGTTGGGGACTCGGGGAAGGACAGAGACGTCGGCAACTCGCAGGCCGTCGACACCCTTGACTCGGAGTCGCTCGTCAACAACGGCCTCCTTATCATTAGCACCACCAAGCTTGACAGTACCACAGGGGTGGAAACAGGTGTGAGACTTGTCTCGGACGTAAGTCTCCCATTCCTCGATGGACATTTCCTCGAAGGGCTTGGACTCCGGGGGCCATCGAGCCTTGACGAGGTCCTTGGTGCCAGCACCGTTGGTGGCAACGTCGGCGGCGTGCTTCATGATGGCAGCGAAGACTCGAGCGTCAACAGGGTCCTGCAGGTAGTTGTGGACAATCTCGGGGTTCTCCATAGGGTCGGGGGACAGCAGCTTGACGTAACCCTTGGATCGAGGAGGAAGAATCTCACCGATGACGGTCATGACGGACTGGCCCTCGTCGGGAGCCTGGGTCATCTCTAGCTCGATGTAGAGCTCAGCATTCCAGATCTCGAAATGGGGCTGAGAGGGATCGTTACCCATGGGGTCTCGTCGAGGGTTGAGAGCCTTCTGCTTCTCGCAGGCCTCCTTCCAGACGGGATCATCCTTGAGCAGGTTGTCGATTCGGCCGTAAGAGAAAATGCCCTGGGGAGGATTGGAGAAGAAACCGGTTCGCTTGGTCTTCCACTCCTCGGTGGACTTGTCGAGTCCCTCGTCGTCGAAGAACTGGTGGTCTCGGGTGTATCCGGGCTCCTTAATTTCGACAAAGATACCGCAGATAAGATGGTCCTGCAGGTTCTTTCCAACGTAAGGAGAGTCCAAAATGATGTCCTTGACACCAACCTCCTCGAGCTCCTTCTTGGGTCCAACACCGGAAACCATCAGAAGCTGGGGAGAGGCATAAGAGCCGCAGCACACAACCACCTCGTATCGGGCCTTGTAGGTAGGGCCAGCCTCCTCGGCAGCTCGGTTGTAGGTCTCGACACCAACGGCGGTCTGCTTGCCACCGATCTTCTCAAAGAGAATCTTGGTGACAGCGTGGCCAGTCACAATGTCGAGGTTCTTGGGGGCGTGGACAAGAGCGTCGTAGCCGGTGGATCGAACACCGTTGGAGGTGGAACGAACAACGTGACCCCAACCCTGGGGGGCTCCTCCGTTGACGAAGATCTCGGGGTTATAAGGGTAGCCGAAAGAAGCCAGAGACTCAGAGAACTTCTTGGAGATGGGCGCGTAGTCGTAAGGCTGGACCTTGATAGGACCAGAGTCACCGTGGAACTTCTTGTAGTCGTAGGTGTCGAAGTCAATGAGCTTGGGCTCGTGGGCAGATCCCTGGGGCACGTAACACTCGTGCTTTCGGAAGTAGGGGAACAGATCATCCCAACCCCAGCCCTTAGCGCCGGTCTCCTCTTCGATTCGGTCGAAATCACCTCGGGTTCCTCGGATGACGAAAGAGGTGTTCAGACAAGAGGATCCACCCAGACAATGGCCTCGGGGGATACCACAGAGTCGTCGCTCCTCGCCATCAGTAGACAGGTAAGGCTCGTCGACCTCGTAGGACCAGTCGTACTCGGAGTGGATGGTGTTGACCCAGTTACCGGGGCATCGAATATCATCAACACCCTCGGAAGAGGGGCCGGACTCGAGCAGGAGCACCTTGAGCTTCTTACCGGAGATCCAGGCATCGGCCAGTCGCCGGGCGAGAGTGGGGCCGGCGGTTCCTCCACCGACAATGATAAAGTCGAAAGTGTGCTTGTCGTCAGACATTGTCAAGTAATCAAGCTAATGCAAAGCGTGTACAGCTTTTTTTTGATGACGGGGCCTGCTCGTTTATATACCTGGAGGATATATGGTTGAGCCAGTGTCGAACTCTAGCTAATGGAAGGTTTGAGTGGGGAAGAATGTGAAAGTGCGGGGGGGGTAGTTCTATGTGTTGGTAGGGAGCGATTTTGGGTCGAGAAACGACTTTGTGCTGTTCATGATGAAGGAATTGGCTACTTTTGTGAGTGACATTCCTGATTGAATTCTGTTCCTGGTCACAATGACAAGACCCCGCTATTTAGTACACGCTGTCGGTTCGAAAGCTGTTGAAATCGTAAGTTTCAGTTTGGCTACAAGCGAGAAAATACAATTGTGTTAAGCGAAGCGACGTGTGGTGAGAAGGACACGTCAAGAGGATGAGCCCATGCATACAGTCTATTTTTTCTGAAGTACAGTAGATGAGACAAAGAAATTTATTTTGTCAGGCCTATTATCACGCTCTCCGCCCCATCGCAATCCTCCCCCAACGCCTATCATGCACTTCTTGGCTCTGTATGCAATCTGGGGGGGAGTTGATAATAATGCCGTTGCATTTCCGAGAATAATAACAGAAATACGACAGATGTTAGAGAGCAATTGTAGAGTACTTGTAAGAGGGTATATATTACACTGAAACCGGTGGCAACGGTAGACACGTGATCGTGCTACTAATAGACCAATATGTAGCATGTGGTTACCACCCCACTAATTAATAAGACAGACGTCAGAACAGCAGACGCTAATGTTGTACCTGCAGCTCGCGACAGAGCTGGAAACGTCACGTGCAAACATGTGAATGAAATGCCACATACTTTTGCCACCCATCCTACATATGATAGCATTAATCGCCTGATAAACCCGCTGAATCGTACCACATTTCTCCACACGTTGCAAACCCACCTAGCGTCACACATGCAGCCGTTGGTGTCTAAGGTTGTTGGGGTGAAACGTGAAAAACAGAAACTAAGATCGTCGGGAGGATAAGTCATCAGCATACCTGGATGATTGATAGTGTGTTTTGAGGACTATCAATGGATCAATATACTCAAATTTAGACTAGAATTATTTCTACAACTTCTCCCGGTGAAATATCAAATATCTCTCAATATGAAACTATTTACATCCTTTATTCTCACCCACTTCCTCCGCTTCATAAGATGATCTGCACTTGATCCGCCACCGAGACTAGAGCACGAGATCCCGAGCCGCACAAACCCTACAAGTTTGTAGGGGCGTGTTCCGAGACGTGGACAGGTGGCGATAATCTACTCCCACACAATAATTCTCGCAATCACTTGTTTCGGCGCATATCCGAAGGATCACAGGAATCTGAAACACCCCACAAAACGTGAAAGTCTACACAAGCGACTGTAAGGGCATGTGCAGCTCCTGTACGGTTGATGCGCTCTTAATGCGTTAAAAGCGGTCTCAGACAAGTTTCCGAGAACTCTTCGGAGACGGATATCTCGTTTCACTGGCTTTCTTCCATCCGTGGTCTCACCCTCCTATCATAAGGTAGGGATAGTCAGCGATAGAACGACGTGTATTTGTACAGTAGTACAAGTACAAGTACATCCGAAAAGTGATATATGGGCGTACAAGTGTGGTTTGATCACATGTACTTGTAAATCACGTGATGAACAACCAGGTTCACGAAATTCATACACCCCCCCCACATTGCCATTCCACATACGCACCACATATTATTCCCACAAACTGTATCCTCTTATCAATGCAAGATTGCAGTTTAATGCGAATATTTCTGAGTCAACCTGAATCAAGGCGTCAAGGCGATAATAAACGACTAATATTTAAATAAATGAATTGATTATGTAGTGTGATTTTGTTGAATTTGATTCTCTTTTGTGCATGTATATATATGTGTGCTTTTAGTGGTTGTGTTAAGCCGAAGGAAGACTTAACTAGGAGCAAAGGGAAGACCCCGGAAAGGATGTCCACCAGGAAGGCGTTTGGGAGCCTCTTCCAGATCAAGACCAAAGTCCTCTCCATATAGCATAGCCATAGCTCCATCAATATCATGTTCGTGGATATCATGCATGTTACCCTGTTGCTGACCCTGAGGCATGGAGTTCATGTTGGACTGGACCCCTTGCTGAACAGGCTGGTTGAAGAACTGCTGGTACGAGTACTGATCCGCCATGACGTCATTAGAAGGCATCATCTGCGATCCCATGTTAGCTCCAGTGCTAGTAGGTGTGATGGTAGGTGTCGAGTTGCTGACACTACTGCTCACGTTACTTCCGAGACTGCCAAGATTACCGGTACCTATACTCGTGGAGGCCGTCTCCACACTGCTGTTCAGGGTGAGATTGTGAGAATGGTTGTGAATGTGGGTAACATGATGCACTTCCACCACAAGTTCTTTTTCTGATGACAAGAAGAGCTCTCGAAGATACGCCATGGCGTCCGCCGTGAGTTCTACTCCCGAAGACGAGGGCGCCACTCCCGGAATGTTACGTTGGTGTTTTGTTTTGTATGTGGTTGTGGTTGTGGTTGTGGAAGTAGAGGTAGCTGTGGAAGATCCTGTCGCTGTTGGAGGTTGTGGTTGTTGCTGATGTTGCTGATGCTGATGTTGCTGCTGCTGTAAATGTCGCTGTTGTATCTGACTAGGTTGCATGGCGCCAGGTTGTTGCTGCTGCTGTTGCTGCTGTTGCTGCTGTTGTTGTTGCTGTTGTTGTTGCTGTGGAAGCTGGGGTTGATTCTGCTGCATCATGTGAGGTAACTGACCACCATGGATCTGGGTCTGCTGCATCATGTGGTGGTTCTGATGCGGCGGCTGGGGTACATTGGCCTGCTGCTGCTGTTGTGGTTGACCCGGGGAATTCCACCCCGGGCTGGTCTGTTCCTCCTCATCGTCGTCCTCGTCACTGCTCAGATGTTCCTCCTTCAAGCTGACATTCTTGTACTCGCCCCAGGGGATGTGTTGAAGCTCGGCGTCCGACGCCATATGCTGGATCACCGTCATGGGAGGGGTGTCCTTATGTAGATCCCGTTGTCGAATGTATTGGGCCATGAGTTTTCTCCATCTGTTCCTGCAAGTGAGACCCGTTCGACCCTCCATTTCGTTGGAGATGATGCGCCATGAGGTGCCGTGGTTTCGGATCTTGACCAACAGAGCCTCATCTTCTTCTCTGGTCCATTTTCGCAGCCGGTCCGAGATGCGAGGGTCCAGAACGTCGTTGTATCGTTTCGAGCACTGGTCGTCTGTACGGCCAGGAATCAACTTGGCAATCTGGTGCCACACTCCACCATGTGTCTCAAAAGCCCGCAGCAGGATCTCGTCTTCTGCCTTAGTCCACTTGCCCCGTTTCAGATTGGGGTCCAAGGAATGGAACCACCGCTTTCTGCAGTCCTTGTTTGTACGGCCGGCAAGGTGTGCTGAAATCTGATCCCAGTTGCCGGTCTTGCCTCGTTTGTCACCGTACACCTTCACTAGCTCTCTGAGCTTGTCGTCCTCCTCGGACGTCCACACTCTTCGCCGGGACGTCTCAGTCGTCGTCGTCTGCTGCTGCTGCTGTTGCTGGAAGGCCGCAGGGGACCCGTTCATAGGCGACACATTCATGGGGGAGACGTTCATCGGAGAGAAGTCGTTCATATCTCGGGTGACCAGTACTCTGTATCAGTTCACTAGAAAAATATCGTGAGTAGTAGGTCGTTTGGTTGGTATGTTGGGAAGTATGCAGAGGTATGCCTGCTCGTGGTCAGTCGGAAGCAGGGATGGACTTGTTGGATAGCAACACGGTCGAGAATCGGGCTCTCGTCTCTCTCTCACCACCAATATATATCGGATGAAACGTTAGATATAGATGGACTTTGATTGAAACAAATTTCTGCCGTACATGGAGCTAACTTAAATAAGTGCTGGGGCTAGACCTTTTGGGAAGCTGATAGCAGGTGAGCGGTAGCAGTGCAGAGGCCTACTACGAGTAGAGCTATGTATGGGGTACAGGTGGGTTCTGGGGCGCCAGTGTAGGTGGAGATAGCGGGCAAGGCACAGGTTCTAATTATCTCACTCGCATTAGCTGCGTCCGAAATCGAGCTACCGTCTGTACTTGCACTGTTCTATTGTGTTATTACTCGGTTTGCATATGTCTAAAATTGTGACTGTCAGGAAAAAAGAGAAACAAAAATATTAGAACCCTATGCGAGACCTCAAACCTACGCCAACTGTCCGAGCTGGTCCCGTATCTGAGATGGGGGCTTGCTTGATGTATAAAGATATATACAGATTCAGAGACACAAACGAAGCGGGGCAGCTCTGAGTCATTTTGGTCGCGCTCAAGCTGCTGCTGGCATGTGACCAGTGCCGAGGGATACATGTTGAACGTAGTTTTGGGAAATGCACTGCAACAGTTGGTTTTTGTGGATTTCGATCGGAGTGTTGAGACAGAGGTGGATTGTAGATGGGGCTTTATGGAAGAGCCACGCAATAGAATACGGTTTCAGAATTAAACAAATCAATCCTCTTAGATCGCACAGATCTTTGAACTTTTCTAGAAGGTGTTTCTCCGACACCTATCTTGGCTAGATGACTTCCACTGTAAGCTTGTTCTGACACTTAAACGCACGTGCCCAAAACCCTATCTAATCTTTAATAGTTTCAGTTAGGTTGGCGATGTTTAGACAAGCAAAAAACGTTGAGAGGATTGGCACGTCTCATCTGCTTTTTCTAATGGACTCGTAGGGAAATAAATACAATTACTGTAGAAGAATTTTGGTCTGAAATACGACAAATCGGAACGGAGCCTCTCTGAAAACTGCTATCCGAAACCACCCTCTTCATAGGCCGACCTCTCAAGCGCATAGCGATTCGGTAGAACGTCCAGCTAACTGCAATGTACTTCAAACAGCCACTTGTCGCTACAATGTACCACACGTACAAGTACTTGTAGTACGATACAGTACTTGTAAGTAGCCAACCAGCGCGGCAAGACTACTGTACGTACAGTACCAGGTGTACTGCATCCATGGTGCCTGGGGACACCACAGCAAAGCCGTGTGCATGTGGATAGTAATGTGGCGTACGAGCACTTGAATATGTAAATCAGCTACTTGTAGAAGTACCGTACCCCCGCCAGGTTAATGACTGCAATGCTGAATCTGTCTGATGTGGACCGATACGACAAGTCGAAATGAGGAGAAAGGTACACAGACACGAGAAAGACGAACTTGAAGGACATTCCTCGAAACCAATGCTACTGTAGAACAACGCTAAAGTCCTATAGTAGCCTAAACGAGTGCTTCTTGAACTGCTGCGGGCCACTAGAGCAGGGGTTCCAGCTCCTGAGAACTCCACGCTGGTACGTCTTGTCCTTCCTGTTTGTGCTCCTCACCAAGGTCATGCATCTCACAAAGTAGACCCTTCACTGGCTGGAGATAACATGCACGCTCATATGTATTGTGTGTGCTTGTACAGAAAAGGCCACGTATGGTGGGGTACGCACGGAATGGGTCTGTGAGAACGAGAATATTTTCCGTTTACGCTGAAATATCTGGCGGTATCAGATTAACTCCTGTCTTTGATACCTGTAAAAGGGTGCTTACTGTGAATGACGTCATGACAGATAGGAGGGGAGAGGGGTTGTTCTTTGTGTCATGGTGGAAGTGGCCCTGTTGGCATGCACAGCTCCACTCAACGAATTGCTAGTTAGGCCAGCCCATATCACCTTCCATTCATTTCCCTTCCATTTCTCGAATTGTAGCCAAATAATGGCCATATGCCTGTTCTTACTGAATCGCAAGTTTTTCAACTTTCACGCGTGTCCTGCATTGCATAAGCCGACCCTTTCTCTTCATAAGCCGAGGATAGGTGTTGTGAGTGGAAACAGCGGTCTAGAGTGTGTCCAACCACCACTGCGGTACAATCGGATTAGTGTGAAGTGGTGAATGCGTAACATCCTGTCTCATTGAAGTCAACAAAGATACCAGGTGCAAGTAGTGCCAAAGTGCACACATAATTCAGCCGCTTAAGCTGCTGCTCATTTCTTTTTCACAAGCAGAGGTTATGTACATCTATTGCACGTCTTCTGTGCCTACTACGAAGAGGAAAAAACGTGTCTGTATGGTACATACAGTATCCAATGCTGGTTGGCGAATTTTAAACACGAGAATGAACCGGAATGACGGGGGCAACGCAGATCCACTGTCAAGCCGAGTCTGTCCGCCACGCATCATGTGATAGAGGCTAGGGAGTCATGTGAATATGTCACACCTGGATGACCTCTACATACAAGAGCGGTTTGTTTTCTATGGCATGTTGTTGACGCATGCTGCCAACGGCTATTCAACGGTGACAACGGATGATGCTGTCACATGACGCCATTTTTTATGTTGTATCCAACAGCACGGTACTAAAACAGGCCATTTGTAAAGGCCTCACTCAGCTCACACACGCTCAACGGTCACGATAAGGTCGCACTAGAGGCGTTAGTTGGTTTCAAGAATAGTGGTTATTGGTCTTGGGATACGGGTTGGACAATATACAAATGGGCTCGCGTACACTTATACAGTCCTACCATTCTGTCGCCCTCTGATTCTCCGCCACATCAGCCACGCCGCAACGTCTCCTCCTCATCCCCCTCCTGCTCTTCCACTCGCAAAACGTCCAAACTCAATTGTGTCAAAATTGGAGGTTCTCTTCGTTTGAGCCTACCATTTTCAATTTTTTAGTTGCGACAGCGGCCCGGTCAGAGGTTCACAACAAGGTCTAGAGACACTTTGTCATGGGGCCGAGAAGGACCATAAAAACCAAACGATGGTCACGTCAGGTCAATTACTGACCAGTCTCACATCCGACCCCTCGCGTGCTCGACCGGAGGATTTCTCTGCACTCGTCCTTGCATACCTCGGCTAGCGGGATTTATTCACCAATCACACAGCCGAGAGTTTTTCCGGACCCTTCATCCAACAGCTTAGAGTTGCATGAGTCAGTAGCAACGTAGACTTTGAGCCTTTGTGACAGATGTCCAAGTGCAGCACGTTGTAGGAAAATAAGGTGAAGGATTGGCCAATGTGAACAGAGGCGACAAGAGTCCGTCTGGAGGGCTTGTTGTAGTCAATTGCCCGCGCAATTGATTGACCTCATCGTTTCTGCCGGAACCCCCCCACAAGCCCGGATAAATAGACACGCCCCACAAGCCGTTCGTCTGGTCTGCTCACAGCACACTTCCATTTAAAATTCAAACAAAGCGCACCACCGCAAAGCATACTTAACCCACTCAATGTAGACGTCGCGGAACTTCTCTTTCCTACCCACCACCCCAAACAAATGTTCAGAACCATTCGAAAACCCGCGTGGGCTGCTGCCGCCGCCGTGGCAGCCGCTGGCGCTGGAGCCGTCGCCCTGTCTGTGCCTGCCCAGGCCCAGGAGGAGCTCCACAAGAAGCACAAATTCACAGTGCCCCCCGTGGCCGCCGAGCCCCCCTCTCGAGCCGCCCAGCTCGAGAAGATGAAGACCGAGGAGTTTGATCTCGTCGTTGTTGGTGGAGGAGCTACCGGATCCGGTATCGCCCTCGACGCTGTCACACGAGGCCTCAAGGTTGCTCTGGTCGAGCGAGACGATTTCTCCTGCGGAACCTCGTCCCGATCCACCAAGCTCATCCACGGAGGTGTCCGATACCTCGAGAAGGCTGTGTGGAACCTCGACTACAACCAGTACGAGCTGGTCAAGGAGGCCCTGCACGAGCGAAAGGTCTTCCTCGACATTGCTCCCCACCTCACCTTTGCTCTGCCCATCATGATCCCCGTCTACACCTGGTGGCAGCTTCCCTACTTCTGGATGGGTGTCAAGTGCTACGATCTGCTTGCCGGCCGACAGAACCTCGAGTCCTCTTACATGCTCTCCCGATCCCGTGCTCTCGATGCCTTCCCCATGCTTTCCGATGACAAGCTCAAGGGCGCCATTGTCTACTATGATGGCTCCCAGAACGACTCTCGAATGAACGTTTCTCTTATTATGACTGCTGTTGAGAAGGGTGCCACCATCCTGAACCATTGCGAGGTCACCGAGCTCACCAAGGGCGCCAATGGCCAGCTCAACGGTGTTGTTGCCAAGGATACTGACGGAAACGCTGGATCCTTCAACATCAAGGCCAAGTGTGTCGTTAATGCTACTGGACCCTTCACTGACTCTCTGCGACAGATGGACGACAAGAACACCAAGGAGATCTGTGCTCCTTCCTCCGGTGTTCACATCATTCTCCCCGGTTACTACTCCCCCAAGAAGATGGGACTCCTTGACCCCGCTACTTCTGACGGCCGAGTTATCTTCTTCCTCCCCTGGCAGGGAAACACCCTTGCCGGTACTACTGACCAGCCTACCAAGATCACTGCTAACCCTATCCCCTCCGAGGAGGACATTGACTTCATTCTCAACGAGGTCCGACACTACGTTGAGGGCAAGGTTGATGTGCGACGAGAGGACGTTCTGGCCGCCTGGTCCGGAATCCGACCCCTTGTCCGGGACCCCCACGCCAAGAACACCGAGTCTCTTGTCCGAAACCATCTCATCACCTACTCCGAGTCTGGTCTTGTCACCATTGCTGGCGGAAAGTGGACCACTTACCGACAGATGGCTGAGGAGACTGTCGATGCCTGCATTGCCAAGTTCGGTCTCAAGCCTGAAATCTCCGCCAAGGCCGTCACCCGAGACGTCAAGCTCATCGGTGCTAAGGACTGGACTCCTCTCACTTACATTGATCTGATCCAGCAGGAGGACCTTGACCCCGAGGTTGCTAAGCACCTTTCTGAGAACTACGGATCTCGAGCTTTCACCGTTGCTTCTCTTGCTGAGATGCCCACCCCCGAACCCGGTGTGATCCCCCAGTCTACTCTCACAAAGGGTAAGCGAATCCTGTACCCCTACCCCTACCTCGATGCCGAGTGCAAGTACTCTATGAAGTACGAGTATGCCACCACCGCCATCGACTTCCTTGCTCGACGAACTCGTCTTGCTTTCCTTAACGCCGCTGCCGCCTACGAGGCTCTCCCTGAGGTCATTGAGATCATGGCCAAGGAGCTCCAGTGGGACGAGGCTCGAAAGGAGCAGGAATTCAACACCGGTGTCGAGTACCTCTACTCCATGGGCCTTACCCCCAAGGACAAATAACTGTATAGTAAAAGCGTATAGCCAATAAGATAATCACTTGAATGAAGGAGCAGCAACTCGTATGTTTAGCACTTCAACGGACTATTTCCCCGCAGCAAAGAGACTATTGCTGAGTTGTTGAGTATCTGCTTTACAATAATGGGGTATGGACACACAAGGAGGGGTCTTAGTGAGAAGTTAGATAGGTCTAGCATACATGAGATCAATGTGGTCTTACCTATATCGTTTGTTATCATTTATCTTGGTTTGAATTGATAACACGAGTTGTTCATTGAAGTGATGGCACCGGGTCTCACACGCAACAGTTGGCGAACAGGTCGTATTGTTCCTTAGATACGACGCTCTTTTGGACATGATGGGAAGTGAAACTACAATTACAGTAGCTACATAGCTTGGCTAACTAGACCGCTTACAGAACCAGTAGTCGTCACAAGACCACCACGAACAAAGTCCAACTACCCCACTCCCACCACTCGTATTTACTTACCGCAGATCACACGCTTCGGTGTATCTCCGTGGGGCATCGTGGGGCATTGTTCTAAGTTTTCCGTATGGTGCACAGTCGGTACGTGCTTTGACTAACCAGTAGAAGTTAGGCTACTGTAGTGGAGATTGAGCAATGAAACGATGACAGGAAGACCCCAAAATGCGACCACCTCAACTATACACGGCTTGTTGCTATTGCCGCCTTGCACTCCACACAGCAAACATGCACACGATATGCACTCAAGTCTTAACCGAATGAAGGTAAAAGTAGCAACCAACAAGCGAGAGTTACTGTATACTTACAAGTTATACGACAGTCTCACTTATCACCAATTGGCAACTTGACCGCACAGACAAACACCCTACAATGACCTTCCTCAATGTGCTCTACTACGTGCTGCTGGCTGCCATCATGATCGGCACCGGCTACTTCTACTACCTGTGGTTCACTGAGACCAACGACCAAACCGAGAAGATCATCAGAGCTGCGCTTGGAGTCTTTGATATCGCCATCTGGTACATTCTAGGTATCTCCACCTCCTTTAAGATCCTCACCCAGATGATTCTCGCCTGTTTCCTTGTGGTTCTGGCTGGTCTTAAGATCTACATCAACCCTCGAGTTGGAGGGGCTCTTCTGGCCGGCAGTCTGCTATTTGTGGCTGCTGTCTGGTTCGGATTCCGCCGAGACGGTCGAGAGGCCCGAGACGATCTTAACGATGGACAGTAGCTGATGTCTTGGTGAAGAATACGTGGATTGACTACGGGAGGAATGTACTCTATCTCGCAATCAGTCTACTGTAACGGTAAATAGAATAAATTATAGTATATGGTAATATGGTACAGTTGTAGCTTGGCTATGGTAGAGCAGAAACGGCCTGAATGGCTGCAGCTTCGCTCTCAAACCCGTCTTTAGGGAACCCTTCGTCCTTATCTTCACTATCGACAATCTTCAGTGTGGGATGCCGCTTGACCACTCCAATAGACAGACCTCTCCACATCCAGGGCACCGGGCTAGCTGGAATTTCAATTTCGGCCTTGAAATCCTCAATGAACCGGTCTGCGGTCGCTGTGAGCTGTGCAAACCCAACATACTCGCCTGTGATTGAAACAGACGACCAAAACGACAGTTTTCGCAGACACGCCACCACCAGCGACGTCACTTCCGAGCCGTTCAGACAGTGAATATATGTGGGCTGACAGTCAGCGTCCATCATGTATCCAATAGCCTCAATGGCCACCTCGTAGTTGATAGGCAGCGTTCTGGTCTTCTTTTTTGTCTTTCGCGCTTCTTTCTTCTCCGTCTTCTTCTTCTCCTTTTCCTTGGCTTGTGTCTCGGGATCCTCAAACAGTGACTTGTAAGCCTTTCCTTCGGGCGCTGCGGGAATGTGGATCACGGTGATATCATTGTCTTCGGCCCATTGCGCAAACGGACCCTCTATGGGTTTCGGTGTCAGAGAAACAATGGTTTTGAGTCGTAAACGCTGCAGGAAGCGTAAATTTTGTTTCCGGGGATAAGAGCCGCGGTAAAGATGGGGCTGGACGGTGCCGAATCGTAATGGCGCAATAATTTCCGTCATCGGTGTGCGTAGTGGTGATGATGTTGCACGTTGTTTTAGCTCAGTCAGTTAGGAGGTGAGTTCCGTTTTGAGTTGGTTTTAGTTACTTGTTGGAAGTGTGGATAGCCTAATTGTTGGGTTCTAGTTGGATTTTGTGAGGAAGATACCAATCCACCAGCAATATATTAAGTAACATTTAAGATTCCTCAAGTAGAGAAACACGTACTAGTGAAGGACCCAGTACAAGATGCAGTTGAAGATAGCCAGAGGGAAAATGACGACTATAATATATACTGCTCACAAGTAGTGATATGAATGAAATCAATATACTTCCACATCCCCAGTACTTCTAAACAACCCAATGCAGAAACTCTGGAGCCTTTTCATCATCGGCTGTCACACTTGCATGAACCTAATGTCCCTGGTCCAAGTCTCTTGCTTACATCTTCATCCTGATCTGGCGATCTGACTAAACAACCAATGTTGGATCTTACTGAATACGAGCAGTTCGCGCAACTAGCGCAGGAGCTAGAGCCCCAAGACGAGGTCTACTCAGGCTTCGACAAGTTCAACCAGCTAGATGCCCCCGATATGGACATTCCTCTGATGGAGCATCTCGAATTCTTTGAGGACCCTTCTTCTGACGATGGAGAATACAACAATGCGGCATTTGAGTGGCTGACAAGCAAGTGCGTTGAGGTACACCGAAAGAACGGTCGAAGCGACACCCCCGAGCAGTTCGAGGCAGCCATCTTGGATATGTTACAAAGTAACAGGAGCTCTGATGAACTACAGATGCAACTGCTGGAAGAGGTTGGCTATGACGATGTCGACTTTGTGATTGAACTACTTGAGAAGAGAAATGATTTGGTAAGTATGAACGAACTTTTTTGATGTCTTACTACTAGCTAACCCAGAAAATATCAGCTGCGGCAGCCCTGCCCAATGGCTACTCGCTAATGACACCCGAACAAAAGGCACAGCAGCTCCGAGACAATCGTGCTCGTGCCAAGGCGCTGCCCGACAACCCAGTGCCCACACAGAAGAAATATCCCAACGTCTACATGTCTGGAGATGGAGGAAATGTGCTTTCTAGTTTGGGTAAGAAGTACGGTCTTCCTGTGGGAAGCGAGAAGCTGGTGTTCAATAAACATGAGGAGATTATTGTCCCGTACCCCAAGAAGCGACCCGTGCTCATCGAGTCAAACTTCATTCCTCTCAAGGACCTGGATATCATTTGCAGAGGAGCTTTCAAGGCCTACAAGTCACTTAACCAGATTCAGTCGCTGGTGTATCCAGTTGCATACAACACTAGTGAAAACATGCTTGTCTGCGCTCCCACAGGTGCTGGTAAGACCGATGTGGCTATGCTGACGGTCCTGAGTACCATCAACCAATTCTCCGATATCAGTCCCGAGGGAGACGTGACTGTGCATTACAACGATTTCAAGATTGTCTATGTAGCCCCTTTGAAGGCTCTGGCTGCTGAGATTGTCGTCAAACTTGGTAAACGTTTGGCTTGGCTGGGTATCAGTGTTCGAGAGTTGACCGGAGATATGCAGTTGACCAAGGCTGAGATTATGGCCACTCAGGTCATTGTCACCACTCCTGAGAAGTGGGATGTGGTAACCCGGAAATCCACCGGTGACAATGAGCTAGTTACAAAGGTCAAGCTGCTGATTATCGACGAGGTACATCTTCTGCATGAAGATCGAGGTGCTGTTATCGAGTCTCTCGTGGCCCGAACACTTCGACAAGTTGAGTCAACCCAGTCGTTAATTCGAATTGTTGGTCTGTCTGCTACTCTGCCCAATTTCATTGATGTTGCTCAGTTTCTGCGCGTCAACCCCGAGATTGGTATGTTTTTCTTCGACTCCTCCTTCCGACCTGTGCCTCTCGAGCAGCATTTCATTGGTGTTCGAGGAAAGCAGGGCTCAAATGAGTCCCGAGAAAACATCGACGAGATTGCCTACGAAAAGCTTGTCCAAGAAGTCGGACAGGGGGGACACCAGGTCATGGTTTTTGTCCATAGTAGGAAGGATACAGCCAAGTCGGCCATGAAGTTCGTTCAAGCTGCCCAGGCCAATGGTGAGTCAGAAATCTTCTCGTGCGCGACCGATCCTAACTACGGTCTGTACACCAAGGACGTTATGAAGGCCAAGAACAAGGAGGTCCGAGAACTTTTCCAGCACGGTTTCGGTATACATCATGCTGGTATGTTGCGGTCAGACCGTAACCTGACTGAGAAGCTGTTCGCAGATGGTCTCATCAAGGTTCTCTGCTGTACTGCCACTCTTGCCTGGGGTGTCAATTTGCCTGCAGCCGTGGTCATTATCAAGGGCACTCAGGTCTACGAGGCGAAGAAAGGAGGGTTCACTGATCTCGGTATTTCCGATGTCATTCAGATTTTTGGTCGAGCTGGCCGTCCTCAGTTTGAAAAGTTTGGTACTGGTATCCTGCTTACTTCTCTGGACAGATTGTCGCATTTCATCTCCGCAGTTACTGAACAGCATCCCATTGAATCCAAGCTGCAGGATCAAATTGTCGACAACCTGAACGCCGAGATATCGCTCGGAACAGTCACCAATGTGGATGAGGGTGTTGCCTGGCTGGGTTACACCTATCTCTTTGTGCGAATGCGAAAGAACCCTCTTGCTTATGGTCTCACTTGGGCTGACGTCCAGGATGACCCAATGCTTGGAGGTCACCGTCGAAAGCTAATCGTGGCAGCCGCTCAGCGACTGCATACCCTTCAAATGATTGTGTTTGATGAGCGAGTGGGTTCTTTCGTCAGCAAAGATAGTGGTCGAGTTGCATCAGACTTCTACCTGCTCAACAACTCGATTGAGATTTTTAATACCATGATGAAGCCCGACGCATCCGAAGCTGATGTTTTGGCCCTACTGTCAATGTCTGGCGAGTTTGATGGTCTCAAGGGTCGCCCCGAGGAGATGGAGGAGCTTGAGAAGTTCCAGAACTCGGACGATATGCCCTGCCAGCCTTACGGAGCACTTACCACCACTCAGGGTAAGACTAACCTGGTGCTGCAGGCTTACATTTCTCGATACCAGTTCAAGGAGTCGTCTCTGATCTCGGACATGGGCTATGTCGCTCAGAATGCATCTCGTATCGCCCGTGCTCTATTCTCTCTGGCTCTCAACAGACGATGGGGTAACCTTGCTTACTCGCTCTTGTCTATGTGCAAGGCCATTGACCAGCGACTATGGCCTTTTGCTCATCCCTTGCACCAGTTTGAGCTTCCTGATCACATAATGCGAATTCTGGACGCCAAAGACCCTTCGATTGATGATCTGCGAGATATGACCGCCAAGGAGATGGGTGATCTCGTTCACAACCATTCTATGGCCTCCAAGTTGTATCGGTTTGTGGACAGATTCCCCTACATGATGATGGAAGCGGACATTGCACCTATTACAAAGTCAGTACTCCGTGTGCATCTCGACATTTGGGCCGATTTCCACTGGGACGAAAAGTACCACGGAAAGGTGCAACATTTCTGGCTTTGGGTTGAGTCGTCCGATAATGCTCACATTTCGCATGTTGAGAAGTTCATGTTGAGCAAGCGAAAGCTGCATGATGTTCATAACATTGACTTCACCATCCCCATATCGCAGCCAATTCCTTCTCAGATTGTTGTGCGATTGGTTTCAGACCACTGGGCTCACGTCGAGACGGTACAAACAGTGTCTTTCAAGCACCTCATTATGCCTGATCACGAAACCATACACACCAAGCTACTTCGTCTGCGTCCTCTGCCTATCGAAGCTCTCCGAAACCCCATCATTGAGAACATCTACGCCAAGAAGTTTCAGTTCTTCAACCCCATGCAGACAATGTGTTTCCACTGTCTCTACCACATGGATACCAACGTCTTCCTGGGTTCTCCCACCGGTTCCGGAAAGACTGTTGCCTGTGAGCTGGCCATGTGGGCTGCCTTCAGAGACAACCCGGGCTCCAAGGTCGTCTACATTGCTCCTATGAAGGCTCTTGTTCGAGAGCGAGTTGAGGACTGGGGTAAGCGACTCAAGGGTTTCAAGCGAATCGTCGAGTTGACTGGTGATTCCAACCCAGATGCAGGAGAGGTTCGACGTGCTGACATCATCATTACGACACCCGAGAAGTTTGATGGTATCTCGCGAAACTGGAAAACTCGAAAGTTCGTCCAGGGCGTGTCCCTGGTCATTATGGATGAGATCCATTTGCTTGCTTCCGACCGAGGCCCCATTCTGGAGATGATTGTGTCTCGAATGAACTATGTTGGAGGCCAGACAGGTCGAAAGGTGCGACTTTTGGGTCTCTCTACAGCCGTGTCTAACACCACGGATATGGCTGGGTGGCTGGGAGTCAAGGAGGGTCTGTTCAACTTCCCCCCTGCCGTTCGTCCCGTTCCCCTGCAGATGTACATTGACGGTTTCCCTGACAATGTCGGTTTCTGTCCTCTGATGAAGACAATGAACAAGCCCGCATTCATGGCCATCAAGAGTCACTCACCCACCAAGCCTGTATTGATTTTCGTCGCTTCTCGACGTCAGACCCGACTTACTTCTCTTGATCTCATTCACCTGTGTGGTCTCGAAGACAATCCTCGACGGTTCCTCAGCATGGACGAAGATGAGCTGCAAGCCATTCTTCTGCAGGTCAAAGACGAGACTCTCAAGCTGTCGCTTCAGTTTGGTATTGGTCTGCATCATGCTGGCCTGGTTGAGAGTGATCGTCGAATTTCTCACGAGCTGTTTGCTGCCAACCGAATTCAGATTCTCATTGCCACGTCAACTCTTGCATGGGGTGTCAACTTGCCAGCTCACCTGGTTGTCATCAAGGGCACTCAGTTCTACGACGCCAAGATTGAGGCCTACCGAGATATGGACCTGACCGACATTCTGCAGATGATGGGTCGAGCCGGACGTCCTGGATTCGATACCAACGGTATTGCAATGGTTTACACAAAGGAAAGCAAGAAGGCCTTCTACAAAAACTTCTTGAACGTTGGTTTCCCCGTCGAGTCGCAGCTTCACAAGGCCCTGGAGGACCATCTTGGTGCTGAGATTGTCACTGGGTCAATAAAGTCTCGACAGGATGCCATGGACTTTTTGTCGTGGACCTTTTTGTACCGACGAGTGTACTCGAACCCCACCTACTACGGTATTCAGGAGCAGACTCCCGAAGCAGTTGGTGAATATCTTTCAGATCTCATTGATGACTCTCTGGATGCTCTTTCTGAGTCGTCCTGTCTGCAACTTCATGCTGACGGTACTCTTTCTGCTACCTCCTTTTTGCGAATCTCTTCGTACTACTACCTGTCTCACAAAACCGTGCGGTTCATCATTTCTGATGCTTCCAACGACTCCACTTTTCGAGATGCTCTGGTTTGGGTGTCCAAGGCTACCGAGTACGATCTCCTTCCTGTCAGACACAATGAAGATCTTGTCAACGCTGAGTTGTCCAAGGAGATGCGGTACTCCGGAGAGTCCATGGATTTGGTCATGTGGGATCCTCATGTGAAAGTCTTCCTGCTTCTGCAGGCGTACATGTCTCGTGTCAAGCTGCCCATCACCGATTACATTCAGGATACTGTATCCGTTCTGGACCAGACTTTGCGTATCCTGCAGGCTGCTGTTGATACTGTTGCTGAGCTGGGTCTGCTCTTTGCCGTCAAGACAGCCATTACAGTCATGCAGTGCATCAAGCAGGGTGCCTGGCCTGATGCTGATCCTGTTACGCTACTTCCTGGAATGAAGCCTCAGGATCGAGCCATCACCAAGTTTGAGGAGCGCGACGAGATCACCCTCGATACTCTCGGTAACATGTCTCCTGAAAAGATCAAGACTGCTGCTCAGAAATTTGGATGCCGAAACATCAACGATTTCGTTCGGGTGGCTTCTTCCCTGCCTGTTGTGGACATTGACTACTTGCGTGTTGATGACAAGATGACAGTGACCATGACTCACAAGAACAAGCCCCTTCACGCTGACTTCCGAATGCCCTGCCCCAAGTTCCATAAACCCCAGAAGGAGTCATGGTTTGTTATTCTTAGCTGTGGCGAAGATCTGCTTGGAATCAAGCGAGTGTCTCCTCAGCCTGGCAAGCCCATGCATACCGAGCTCAAGATTCCTCCTGGATACGAGACCAAAAATCTGATTCTCGAGTGCATCAACGATGCTCTTGATTTATCTTATGACATTGAGGTCCAGGTTTAGATGTAATTAGAGAAGCGAATGCATGTGTATTAAGTATTTGTATCTACGGTGTCTTTTGTAGACACATCCAAATCTCGCAAGCCCAACACTTGGTAAAAATGTGCTTTCAACTGGTCAACCATGTGAACTTGAGCGGCCCCTATCATCCTATAATATTGAAGTTGGAGATAGACGGTAAGTAGACGGGCTAAGGTTGTTGCCAGTAGATCTGTAGGCATGGAGTACGCTCCAGGTATCTTGTAGAGCCACCAAGCCATGAAAATAGTCAAATTGCGACTGACTGCTCGTGCAAGGAGGTTTCGGGGGTATCGCACCATTGTGTATCTGGTGTTGAAAGATTGTACTGAAAGAAAAAAAAAAAACAGACACAGATCGCAACATTGAGTTTTATAGTACATCTGACCTGCAGGGCTATCTGATAAGCTTATTGTTGTTGAGAGTTCGGGGTGAGCAAGTTGACAGATGTGTCTAAGGAGTGGTAAATGGTCCATAAAGTAGAATGGAAGACTCAAAATGCCTTCAATTAAAACATCTGTTTCTCTAGACAGTTTTGAGATGAGTACGATTTTCTCCCTTAAGTAGTCACGGCGCCTCATTGTCCTTGACAGAGTTCCGAGCACCCAGAATATGGCTACTTGTAGTTGTGAGGATCTTTCCATGTTAGAAATACCGGTACTTGTACCAGTATGTACTGTATGGTGCAATGTACTGATTTTGTGTTGGAGTTTTGAAGCAGAATGTCCATTGGGAGTGTATTAAATAACATTTATTCTGAGCAGACTCTCTCCTGCCCCTGTTGTGTTGCGTGAAGTCGCATACGCGAGTCTTCAAAACAACGCTGAGGTACTTCTACTACTTGTAGCTCTACTCATTGACAGTCGCGCAAGAACCATGTTCGGCTCGGTTAGGTAAACTATTGCAATCATGTTTGACTTGATAACAAGTTATGTAAGTAGCATCTGAAAATAGAATATATATCACGTGACACCCACAAATGCATACACGTAATACAATGTGCGTCGCTTACAGGACCTGATCCCCCTTCTGTGAGTTCAGCTTGCTAAATTTCACACTCCCAATTTTTGGACACGTCTTTACATTACGAGTGTACTTGTAGGCGAACTTTAGCAAGGCAGAAAAATGAAAAGTGGTGTCACTGCACGCAATGAACATAGTTGAGTGGAAAAAGCACACTGTCGCGTGTAAAAAACACGTGATAATGCCTCAGATCAACACTCTCAATCTCTCTGTCTTGCGTACTCGTGCACCTACGCCCTCTTCAATACTCCTTGCCTTGGTTACCCTACCAACTCTAACTCACAATGCACTCTATACACGCGACGTGTCATTGATCTTGTATCTGGTAGTTACACTCTACACTCCACACAACTCTACAGCATCATGAAATTTGTGCAGCTGATTTTGTGCGCCATTTTCGCCGCCGTGGTCTCCGCCACCGCCTTCCAGGTCAAGGTCAAGCCCCAGGAGCTCCAGTGCTTCAACGCACAGGTCCAGCGTGCCGGCCAGAAGATTCTCTTCTACTACGCCGTCCAGAAGGGAGGTAGCTTCGACATTCGAGCCCGTGTTAAGACCCCCTCCGGCCAGATTTCTTACGACAAGACTGCTAAGATGGACGAGTACGTCATGACCTCTGATCAGGGAGGAGAGTACGAGTTCTGCTTCAACAACCACATGTCTACCTTTGACGAGAAGACTGTGGACTTCGAGATCAAGCTCGAGCATGAGGAGCTGCGAGCCGAGCTGCCCGCGGACATCAACAAGGAGCGACCCGAGCATGCCTCCATCGAAAACTCCCTTAACAAGATCTCCCCCAAGGTCGACTCCATTTTGTCTGAGATGCGATACCTCAAGGTCCGAGAGGCCCGAAACAAGGCCACTGTGGAGAGCACCGAGTCTCGAATCTACTGGTTCTCTGTTCTTGAGATTGTTCTCATGGTCGGTATTTCTGTCTGCCAGGTGACCATTGTCCAGGTCTTCTTCCGAGGCAGCAGAAAGCAGTTGGTTTAAGATATTAAAAGAATCATCGGAGGGGGACAACTGACTATATGTTCCACGTTGTCCAAAAAGGTGTTCAGCATGTACACAAAGTGCATATAGTGAAAGTTGATGTTATTGATACAGAAAGAGCTTGTATCTGGGGGTTGATCTGTAAGTGTGACAGTTGGAGATGACGATACCCCGTTGTAGTGAAATCTTCTACCGGTTTAGTACACTATCAGTTTAGTGTATCAGAAACTGAATGAATAAATTATGCTATACTGTAGTGCGAACGTGATTGCTGAGAGACTGTCTAGTCCGCCACCGTCTGTTTTCCATCCAATACTTGGGCAACTCTGCAAGTAGACAAGAACGGGCACATGGCTACAAATACCTACTTGTAGTCAAGAGGCGATGGTCTGTCGAAGTAAATCGATGGGTTGATGGATTACTTGCAGCAGCTGCATCGGCAAATCTGTTGCGCCGATACCTCTATCCATGCCAGCTGTCCACAATGCTTGATCACCAGCAGCTAACGAGGCAGAGTGAGCAAAGTAAGAACGAAAACACACCCATAGAGTAACTAAATGTCTTTTCGACCCCATTACTCCAACCCATGTTCTTTTTTTAGTTCCTCCAGCTTGGCTCTTCGAGCCTCCAGGTTCTCAGCCGTCTTGTCCATCTGTTCTAACGAGTGGAACAAAGCCACCAAATATCTGTTCTTGTAGTTGAATCCTGATAGCGTCTTGACGGCCTCGGTGGCGTCGTCAATGTCTTCGTAGACCACAAACGCTGTTCCTCGTGTATCTTTTTCCGATCCTGCTCTGATCTGTCGTACCGCCCCAAAGCGGCCAAACAGCTCATACAGTTCGTCAGAGGTGGATTCGTACGGTAGGTTTTTCACGAACAGGATATTGTTCGGCTGACCCGCTTGTTTGTGTGACATGGCTGTGGTTGTGAATATGTACTGTAGTGGAGTTTAACGAAGATGTTCATGAGATTTTCCAGACATGCATGAGACTGCCATTTTAACTTCAATCAGATCATCATAAATTTACTTGTACTCGTGTATTTACTTAATAATTACTTGAAAACAATTCTGCGTATTACTGTAAGGCCTACTGTGAATGACACAGCAGTAAGTCCTGTCTGGTGTTGGGTGTTAAATGCGTCTCCTCGTATTACCCGTTCAGCGAGGTTCGAATTCTGGTCTGATCGGACCGAGATGTAAAATGTTTGGACCACCAGTTGCTTCCTACCGCAAGTCTGAACTCTCTTGTTCCTCATGTACAGTAGCTATAACTTTTGCTTGCATTCGATACAAAAATTATTCTCTTTAAACAATGTTATAATTAATCGAATGTATTGTATTGAGAAAAAACTGTACTTCGATATCAGTGGGCAGTGGGAGTGCTCCTCCAAAAGAGCTGTTAAGTATCAATCACAATACAAGTACAGTCTTTCAATAAATACAAACAATACAAGTACAGTATGTACTTGTGTTTCAATTGCTAAAATCACATAAAAAATAAATAACACCTACGCCTTCTCACCCTTATACATCTTGACCCAAACACCCTCCTCATGGCACATCGTAAGAGCATGGTTGTACAGAGGGGGCAGAGGCTTGTGGTCACAAGTCTCAAGTGTCTCATATGTCTGAACCAGTCTACTCAGAACGTATCCAACCTCGGTAAGAGCAAACTGCTGACCAAGGCAGATTCGAGGACCACCGTTGAACGGCAGGTACTCCCACCCTCGGCCAATGTTGCCGTTTCGAGGATCCCATCGCTCAGGAATGAACTCCTCAGCATCCTCGCCCCAGAATCGAGGGTCTCGGTGAGTCCAGTAAACAGAGTAAGACACGGTCTGGCCTTTGGGAATGAAAATGGGCTGGGACTGGTCGGGTCCACCTCCTCTAGGAAGAGTAGTGTCCCGAGTGGCGGTTCTTCCGTTGATGGGAACAACGGGGTAGAGTCGAAGGGCCTCATTAAGAACGTATCGGAGATAGTCACATTGCTTCAGAGACTCGAAAGTGATGGCTTCGGGAGTGGTTCCAAAGTCTTCAAGAATAGCACTTCGGAGCTTAGCGTACAGCTTGGGGTCTCGAGCCAGTCGAAAGTAGATCCACGACAACATGGAGGCGGTGGTATCTCGTCCAGCAAGGAGAATGTTAAGCATCTGGTCTCTGAGGGTGACGGGGTTGGTGGTTTCCTTGACCAACTCGTACATAAAAATGTACTGATCATTGTCCATGAGAGACATGTCCTTCTCCTTTCGGGCCTTCAGAGCCTTCGCAGCGAAAAAATCCACAAAAGTCTTGATCTCCTTGTTGTACCGCTCAAAAGGCTCCTTCTTGACAACGGATCCTACAATCCAGTAAAGAGTATGTAGTCGGGATCGCAGGGCACACAATTCCTGAGCGTGATTGAAGGAGTTGTTGAAACCCTTTCGAGCAGCCTCGTCGACTCCTCCGTGGTCTCCCGTGCGCACTGAAGGGTCGTCGAGGAAGTCCACAAGCGAGTCCACCGAAGAACCAAACAAAAACTCGGTAGCAGAGTCCAGAGTAAAGAGGAAGAAGAGGTTCTGGATGTCAAATCCTCTGGGATCGTTTCCCTTCTCTCGCATCTCCTTATCAACGCACATTTTCAGGATCTGGAAATGAGCTTCGAGTGAGTCGAGTCGAGAAACCTGCTCTCGGGCAAACTGAGGTCGGAGAAGAGCTCGAGAGTGGGTCCATCCATGACCGTCAAGAGTAAAAATTCCGTCTCCAAGAGTAGGAGCCAGGGATCTGTATCGAGTTCCCAGAGAAAAGTCCTTAAATTGAGTCGCCAACATTGCCTTGATGTTCTCAGGCTCCATGGTGGAAATCACAGGGGCAGGGCCAATGTGAAAGACATAGGTTCGTCCATACGCATCGATTCGCTCCTTAAGAGCAGCTGGTCCCTTCTTGGTTTTGAGCACATGGAGCACTGCTCGGATTCCCTTCCAGCCCAAAAAGCCGTTCTTCGCGACGGTTAGTTCACCACAGCCAAACTGCTTCACCTTGCGGTTGTATTCATACTTGTTGTAGGCCAGCTGGGCGAGCAGAGCGGTTGTCAGCGCCAACACAAGGACGCCAAAGAGTTGTAGCATATTGCAATGGATAGTTTGGGGCTCATCTCAGTGTGCCGCACGACTCTCTCTTATACACTCCCTCCAGGAGGGGTCTCAGAACAAGGTTCAAGAAAGGTGCTATGATGAGTGATCGCAGAGACGTAGGAGTGATGTGCAGGGTCTTTGTGTGCACTACGAGGCGGTATAAAGTCTTCGGGGTTAGTGTATAAAAGGTGAAACAGCTACCAGGGCAATATTTGGGCCATTTTAACTCATTTTCTCTTTCCAAAACTGCGTTTTATACCTCGTCTTGTGCCACCTGTTACAATGTCTCGTCTTTTTCCCCACAGTGACTTCCACCGAACTTGGGTTAGAGTTGCTAGTGCTGTATCTGGGTTTAGGCTTTATCCGTTTTCTCCACCCATCCAATTGTTTGAGAGATATTAGTTTACGGTGGCAGGTCGAGTTGTGGGATTTTGAAAGGTGTGGAGTGATATTCTGTTTTCAGCGAGTCTAACAATGGTTTTTTTGCTACTTCCTGACCGCCCAGTCACCTGTTATAGGGCGTTCAAACACATTTCAACCCGGCTGCAACCACGGAGAATGGCAATACTCTTGGCAGCCATGTATAATATGATGAAGTGAAGCGCTTAAGGACATTAACAAACAAGGGAGCCTTCAAACTCCCGTACAAGCAGTTGCCCGCCGTATTTGTGACAGAAGCCGATGCGGATGTATTTGTAACAGGCCTTTGTTGCGGGGGCGTCGAGTGTCAGCTTGTGATAATGTCAACTGTCAGCCTCGCATATCGGAGGAGTTGATTACTCCGTCATCTCACATAGCCCCACATTATGCAGGGCCAAATCGAAGAGACATACTGTACCGGCACTTGTATGACGATGCTTGTAGTTATGCAGTGAATATAAACATAGAAGAGAATTTACTTATAAGTAGAGCAGTGGCGAAGGTACTGTAGAGTTTGCTGAAATGTCCAAATACGCGACGGCTCGCACTTCGGTCTCGGTGAGGAAAATATTTGGAGGCACGTAGTTTTGGGTGGTGAAAGTGGTCGTAAGATTGAAGATTGAATTGCGAGGTCTACATTCGTCATGTTACATTACATTGCTGTTGCTGCGCCATTTTGTGTCGCTGCTTACTGTATTGATATATATCTCAGTTCACTGGCCAGCTCAAAAGAGCCCCTTCCCATTCCCATTAGGCAGGAACACTTTTGGGTGATGGATCGACACTGCACAAACTCTGACTATGTAACATCGAGGCACATCAGCACAGCCCAGAGGGAGATTCTTAGCTGGGGGAATGTGTGAGGTTGTCTTCAACATATTACTAACAGGCATGGTTAATGGTAATTACTATATAATTGCTAATACTATTGACAAATACAACACCAGAGCTTTGATCTACTGTATCTACGTAACCACCTTAAATCGATTCTACAACAAAAATAGAGCAACCGGTTAATTACACTACAGCAACACCTAAAAGAGAGTACACGGTACATGCCTCTTCCCTCTGAAGGGTCTGAGATGATACATATGCATGACTTCATGCTGGAGTGCTGTACGAGTACGTGTAGATGATCGAAAAAGTGGCGACAAAGAAAAACCAAGTCCGAAATTCTAAGACAATAGACAAACGCATTTAAGTGCTATAACCGAGAGGTGAATTCGGGACTCGCCTATCTATGTATGGGCAATGCAGATCTACAATACAAGTACAACGAAAATGAACAACGTAGTGGAATTGTACCAGAAACCGTAAGTAGCCTTGTCTGGCGCCTGCTATCAAACTTGCTAAAGCTATGGTACATAATGTACAGTACATACTCGCACGAGTGCTACTTGTAGTGCTGTACGTACTGGTACAAGTAGTACTCGTACCACACCATGTTCGCTTTTAATCAATAAAATAATCTATAGCCACTCTATATCCGGTCCTTTCAAGCCGCGTGTGCTTAAATCCAGCTACTTCATCGACACCCAAACACCCTCACCGTGGCGCATGGTCAAATCAAGAGCATAAGGAGGATGCTCCTCCTCCTTCTGGTTCTTGCAATGTACAGTATCAAACTCTTGGAGCATTCGAGTCACCACATAACCGGCTTCGGTAAGGGCAAATTGCTGTCCCAAACAAATTCGAGGACCTCCGTTGAACGGCAGGTACTCCCAGCCCTTGTTCTGTGGTTGCACTTTGGGGTCCCATCGATCAGGATTGAACTCCAGGGCATCTTCACCCCAGTACTTCTTGTCTCGGTGCATCCAGTACACGCAGTAGGCCACCATCTGGCCCTTGTAGACGAAGACGGGCTGCTTACCGTCAGGTCCTCCTCCTCGGGGAAGAGTAGTGTCCCTGGTAGCACTTCGAGCGTTGATAGGAACCGAAGGGTATAGTCGGAGAACCTCATTGAGCACGTATCGCAAGTAATCACATCGCTTGAGAGACTCGAAGGTGATCTCGTCGGGGGAGGTTCCGAAATCCTCCAGAATGGCAGCTCGCAGCTTCTTGAGAACATCGGGTCTTCGTCCAAGAGTGTAGAAGGTAAAGGACAGCAGAGAGGCGGTAGTATCCCGTCCCGCGACCAGAATGTTGATGAGCTGGTCTCGAATGACAACGGGGTTTCGGGTGCTCTTGACAAGCTCGTACAGAAAGACGTAGTTGTCGGAGTCCTCCATTTCCTTGAGCTTTTCCTTGGATGTGTTGAGAGCCTTGTCGACAAAGAACTGGCTGAAATCCTTGACGCCCTTGTTACTCTTTTGATACAGGTTTCGCTGGTAGATGTTTCCTGCAATCCAGTAAAGACCCTGGAGACGGGTTCGAATAGCGGAGATGTCCTGGGCGTTGTTGATGCTCTGCTGGTAGGCCTTTCGGACCTCCTCGCCGACTCCCCCGTGGTCTCCTTCTACAGGCTCGCCCAGGAGATCGGCCAGAGTGTCGACAGAAGCCCCGTAAAGAAACTCGGTGGCAGAGTCTAGGGTAAACATGAAGAAGAGGTTCTGCAGGTCAAAGTACTCGCCGTTCTCCTTTCGAATCAATTTGAACAGAATCTGCATGAGTCTTTCGAGCGAGTGGACTCGGGAGATCTGCTGTCGCGAAAACTGAGGTCGCAGCAGAGCTCGAGAGTGGGTCCATCCTTCTCCGTCCAGAGTGAAGATACCATCTCCGATAGAAGGGCTCAGTGCCCTGTGTCGAATGCCCAGACAAAAGTCCTTGAACTGAGTGGCCAGGATAGCCTTGACGTTCTCGGGATCAATGGTGTTGATGGGCTCGTTACCAGCCACAGGAGTGAGCCAGGTAGGTCCATTGGCAAACCGCTTTCCGAGGGTGTGGGGTAGTTTCATGGATCGGGCGTTCTGGATCACGAGCCACAATCCGTACCATCCCAGAATACCATTGTTAACTCGAGGAGGAAGAGTAGCTCCCATTTGCTTGGCCTTTCTTGCCCGCTGGATCCGCAGAGCCGTACGGGTCAGCACCGTATATGTCACCAGAAGGGTGATCAGCACGATCGTAAGATTGGTCAACATGGCGTGAGAGGAATATGAGGTGCAAAGGGAATCAGAGCAAGGCCCTGACTATATAACCTGCTTGAATCCAAATCCATGTTTGGTTGGGGTGCATTGAGGAACGTGAAAGTTAAACATAAGATGGGGACGAAGAGAGGTGGTGAAAGGAGTTGATCGAGCAGCTTCGAGGGCAATTGGGAGGGGGGGTGAAAGGGTTTATATCTCTCCTCGATCTGTCTTATCAATAATCGTCAATAAAAACTGACAACAACCCCCAACCTGTCTGTGAAAATCAACATTTCCGTCCTTGCTTACGGCCCCACTTTGCATACTCGTATATAGGCTTCATGTTGCTTACTTCTCTCCCACGCTCCCAATAGAGTGTCGCTGTTTACCAATTAAAAGCGACAAGTGATGAGAAGGAATCCAGGCAGCCCTAAGGCTAGTGGGACGATTCTTTATATACGAGCGGTGCCCGTTTTATGTGGCATGGGTTACTGTAGTGTGTTCCAATGATTTAAAACTTTTCTGTTGATTCATTACCAAACACGAGATATCCAGCTCAAATGGTCATGTAATCATGCACAGATGCGCACCGATAGAGCATCATTTCTCCACACTATTTACACAAGGTTGGACCGAGACGAATAATCATAAATTTGAAAAGGCTTTAGACGAAACAGTCTCAGTAAAAGCGAGCTACAAACGGGGGGAAACGGTCCAGGGCGGTGAGAGGCTCAGGAACAACAGCCCATTAAAGGCTATTACTGTATTAGAGAGTTGTGGAATGTGGTTGTGGAACTGTGATTGTCGGGAAGATGGAATCAACAATTCGCCATCACTACTTCAGCATGAGCAACACTGGTGGTTGAGAGGTATCTGAGAGGTGTTTGTAGTATCAAGAGTCTTTGTGAAGAATTTGTTTCATAAAGAGACTGCGTGAAATCAATATCAGGTGGCTTCTCTTTGGAGAGGTATTTTAGCATTTCACACATACTTTCGGCTAAAAAAATACCAACAATGACCAATAAATGAGAAACAATTCAGTAGAAACAGAAGAGCTCAATCTGAGTATCTAAATATGCCTTCCTGTACTTATGTCACTACAGTATGAAGTTCATAGTTCTCTTGGTTATGTTTCTGGCAAACTCGAAATCATTCATAGTCGATTGCGATGTAATGGATCGCAAGAAGCAAAGCCAAACCAAAAGATATCACATTATACTGTAGCTTGATTAACACTTCCACCCATGATCATGTAAGTACTGTACGAAAAATGAGGTATGTACTGTACTTACATTTAGTGCCGATAATTTCATTGAGTACAGGCTGTTGTTCACCCTCACCCCAATATCCGAATCTCGCCGATGCCGGAGTAAGACAAGCATCAATTTCTAAATACAACACCATTTTATTCCCCTCCAGACCAAGAAGAACGGGATATCAGGTTTATCCAACCAATGGCTGCCCTGACAGACCCCTTCTCGTACTTTTCCGTCTTGTTATCCACGTCAATGTCACACTCAAGCCACACTCTCCACCTTATCTTATCGACGCTAATGAGATGCTTCCTATCACGTCCAATCAGAACTGCGGCCAAGAGCCCAGCCAAGATCGGTGACGCTTACAGGAAAGCTTTACAGGGGAGTATGTGGGGCAATACTTGTCATATGGCTTACAAGAATCCGTCTTAATTCACCCCCTTTTTAGAACTACTACTACTACGATGTGGCGTAGGTTAGAGTGTCCAGAGAGTAACTGATGACACTTTCAACTCTGTCTGTGGAAAGGTCTGAAGTTTCAAGGCCGATATATTCAAGGCCGCTATAGATATGCAATCGTCTCTTCTATAGTGCTTAGGAATCCTTTTAACCCTCATCTGTTTACTCCTGAACAGCTAGATGGTTTATGTCAGCTCTTATCTTGCCAAGACATGCTGATAAGCACAAGTCTGGGCACGTCCACTAGCCACAACACGAGAACGAGTAACAATATATATAATGGAGATGATTGTGGATGCTAGAGAACAACAACCGTCTCACAACTACAAACAAAATGGACTCAGAAGCCCCCGTGGAAACTCTTACTGCGGCGCAAATAAAATCGTATGTCGACACAGCATACATTCTTGTGTGTGCAGTGGGCGTGTCGCTCATCACCCCAGGTATTGGAATGCTGTATGCCGGCATGATCAGACGCAAGAACGCACTCACTATCGTCGCCCAAAGTGTACTCACAACCTGTGTCATCTGTCTTCAATGGTGGATCTGGGGCTACTCTCTGGGTAACGTTCCCAATGGCAAGATGCTTGGTAACCTGAGTCTGGCTTTCATGATGGGTAGCCCTACTAGCCATGACGAGCTTTCTCTCGACCAGCTCGAGGAGGAGGGAATCCCCACTTCTGTTCATTTCATCTTCTCCGCCTTCTTTGTTGTCTGCACAGTCCAGATTTTCGCTGGTGCCATCGCTGAGCGAGGTAGACTCATTTCATCACAGATTGTCGGCTTCATCTTCGCTACGGTCGTCTACTGTCCTCTCTCGTACTGGTTCTGGGCCGAGGACGGCTGGCTCAACGCCATGGGAGTCCTTGACTTTGCTGGAGGAGGACCCGTCCACATCGCCAGTGGAACGGGTGCTCTTGCCTACGCACTGTACCTAGGAAAGCGAATTGATGACAACGGAGAGGCCTCTATGCTTGCCCGTGCCAAACCCCATAACCCCACTCTGGTTCTGCTTGGAACTCTGCTCATCTGGTACGGATGGCTCTTCTTCAACTCAGGCACCTTGTTGGCTGTCAGCTCTCGAACTGGATACATCATGCTGAACACCCAGCTTTCTGCCTGCACTGGCGGTATCATCTTTGCCGCCGTCGACAAGTGGCGATACGGACGGGTGTCTCTCGTCGGTCTTTGTGAGGGAGTCATCTGTGGTCTAGTGGCCATCACTCCTTCCTGTGGATACATCTCTCCATGGTTCTCTGTTGTTGGAGCTATCATCACTGCTGGAGTCTGCTGCTCTCTGTCCAATATCAACCAGTGGATTGGCATTGACGATACTATCCGATCCTTTAACATCCACGCAATTGGCGGAATCATGGGATCTATCTGCACTGCCTTCTTTGCCGACCCTGCCTGGGCCCAGGAAGATATTCCAGGAGGCTGGATCAAGCACAACTGGGTCCAACTGGGCCACGAGCTCGCCGCTGTCACCACCTGTGTCGCCTGGTCCTTCGTCCTCACCTACATCATCTGTTTCGTGGTTGACCACATTCCTGGTCTCAAGCTGCGAGTCACTGCTGAGGAAGAGATGCTCGGAACTGATGTCAAGGATCTGTCAGAGAAGGTCGAAAACATGGAGGACTCTCTCTGGGGCAACTCCCCATCCATGAGCCGAGAGCCCACCGTCGCCAAGCGGGACGCTGAGCCCATGGTCTAAACCGCAAATCAGAATTAATATTGTGTACTGTTAACAAAACCGGATGAAATGTAGAGAGATGTAGTCGTCACTGTATACTGTACATACTGTAAACACAGTAACAATCCTAAGCCTCTTTAGCACCTTGTGCCATGCAGCCATCAGTACGCCTTTGGTGTGGGTATGACATGCCCAGGTATCTCTCCTGTGTCGTAGAAGTGCTGGTACCTGTTGTAGTTTCATGATTGACACGAAATGAGGTTGGAGGGAGATCACTTTCAAAGCCAGTGGGGACATTCTCGTGGTCGTCCCAATGCTTTCCATCAAGCCTTAATAGCCGGGACACTACAGAACCCTTCGTCCCTATCCAGTCATAATATATTTGTAAAATGCATCAATCTATCGGTTAAGACTGCAGTAACAGTCGTCGTTGCCCGTCGGGCTGCGTTTCGTCTTCGTGAACCTCCTCCACTCCGGGGGCCACTCGTTTTCGTCGCACCTGAGTTAGGATGTGTGTGGTGGCATCAAGATGTCGCAATGAGGGTGTGAGCACTTCATGTGAGACCAGGCCCAGTTCATATCTGTGGCCAGTAAGTTGGCGATACCGACGAATTCACTAGATAAGCGACTGTAGGAAGTATTCGGGCGGTCCAGGTGCAAGCATGGACGAGGTGTCTTACTCTCCTCACTTTTATGTGGTCCATATTTCAGCCTTGCTGCTGCGACTCTCTCAGATAGCCATGCCGTGCCTGATCCTCGTGTAAGAGGCTCACATTATGGTCATTCAGAAGCCAGAGCAACACCAGAGAAAAAAGAACCAAGTTCTCGTCACATCAAGCAATAGCAACGACGTCACGTCGGCAAGAAAAATGAAGTGTATCTCAAACGACCACAGCCGTTCAATGCAATCGCCACTGTTCACAGCATCACATTCTTCTCATCAGCCTGTTCATTATACTCACTCTAGCACCGCTCATGCCCCATGCAAAGCCGATTTCATGGGCTACGAGCTCTCCAAAGCCCATCATCATGCCGTTGATGAAGGGCAGGACCAGATTGATGCAACATCGGCCTAGAAAACGGCCAATAGCAGGCATTGAAAAGGTTATGCGCGGCCCAGGGGCGTACTGTTCGCCTTCCTCTGTCAGCTGCTCGTCCGACTCCTCCTCCACCAGCTCGGGTATATCTTGTGTAGAAAATGGCTCTTCGTTCGGGTCCATTTCGGTCATGTTGGGGATGTTGTGGTCTACAAGTAGTAAATTAAGTTGCAAGTGGTGAAGTGCGTCACTGGGGTTCGTGCGTGCGTACGACACTGATGGTTGACCGGAAGACGATAGAAAAATTGGATAATTTAGGGGAAAATTACAGAGCGGCTGGAGTATTCATTGTGGTTTTTGAATATTTTTGATAAATGTACCTGCAAGTATAAATACTCTGTAATGACAATAATATACTCTCTAATCATTATTGAAGAAAGCAGCACAGCACTGATACCAGAAAAGAACAGTCAAAAGAAAAATGAAATCAAATTAAAAAGAATTAATGGAACAATAATATCGTAATTACAATTATCCTAATTTTACCCCATTTATTTCGTATGTCGGACTGACCTCATTCACGACCCCACTGTACCTCTTATTAAGCTCCTGAGAGACGCGTCCATTTCACGCATATTTCATTTGACTAAAACTGATTCACAACTGGAAACATATCGCACAATACACACGACACAGCAATGGACACAGAAGCTAGGGAACTGCCACAGACTTGCGAGGACGACGTGACGCCCAAACTGTCGCCCGAACAGCTGCTCTCGTACGAGAACTATCGAATTTGGAAGAAAAACGCCCCCCAGCTATACTCGTTGTTCATGTCACAGATGCTTCCGAGCCCAGCATTGTCATTCCAGTGGTTCCCCGATCTCGACACGCCCAAGAATGCCTCTGTCACGGCCCACCGGTTCCTCACGTCGAGCTATACAGACACCCCGGAGGTTATTCGACTTGGAGAAGTTAAGATCCCCAAAAACGACGAGACGCTCAGCCTGCAGGACTACTCTGCGCTGACGGAGGAGATTGGCGGCTACCAGGGTCATCCACACGCAGGAATAAATGTGTCACAAAACATATCTGTGCTCGGAGAAGTCAACAGAGTCAGATACATGCCCCAGAACCCAAACATCATCGCTACGATAGGAGCAGATGGATCCGTGCTCATGTTCGACAAGTCCAAGCATCCAGCCAACCCATCCAACGACGAATGCAAGGCTGATGCGACTCTGTGTCATCACAATTCTGAGGGCTGGAGCCTGTCTTGGAACACAAAAGATCGAGGGAAGCTGCTAACATGCTCTTCAGACGGAACTGTGGCACTGTGGGATCTGGTTAACGACTACAAGAGCCGCTCTGATGGCAAGATGGTGACTATTGCTCCCAAACAAGTCTTCATACATCATCAGGGCTCTGTCAACGACGTCACTTGGCATCCTTCTGAAAAGACTCTATTTGCAAGTGTTGGAGACGATCAGAAGTTGTATGTGATCGATACAACTGACAACAGCACAGTTTATGAGACAGACACGAGAACCGCATCTTTATCTGTCGCCTTCAGCCCGTTTAACAATCGGGTGGTCGCGACGTCTGGAGAGGACGGCATCGTCAACTTGTGGGACATCAAATCCACTTCACAGACCCCTATTGGCCGACTGGTAGGTCACGAGGGGCCTGTGGGCTCGTTGGATTGGTCCCCGCATAATCCTCGACTGCTGGTGTCTGGATCTGAAGATAAACGGGCCATCATCTGGGACATTTCCAAGATAGGTCAGAAAGACGGCTCGGAAAAGCTGTTTGTGCACGCTGGACACACGGAGAAGGTGACCGAGGTGGGATGGAATCGCAGTCTGGAGGGTGTGATTGGAAGTGTTGCATTTAATTCCTTGTTGCATGTTTGGAAGGTGAAAGATTAGTAAGGTGTTGCTGTCGATGAGAGATGAGACGATGATGACATTAATTTATTCTGTATCATGAAACTACAAGGATTATGAAACGTAGCAGAAAAGAAATACATGATACAAGTACCTGTAGACCTACATTCAATATGGATCACTCAATTAAATAATTTATCATACAATCTATAATGCAATTACCACTCGACACGTTCTTCGTCATTGTGGCTCGAGTTGAGGTCTTCCTCCTTCATGTTTGACAGCTTCTTCTTGTGCAGGTTTGCTTTCATGGGCACTCGTCCAAACATGAAGCCGGGGTGGAAGATGGCCAGTAGGTATGTTGCTAGCACCATCATCAGACCGTCGAGCACCAGCATATACACCTCGTTGATGACCAGCCGTCCGTGCCATCCTCCGGCTAGTTCGATGATTCGGTAGATGGAACGGGTGTAGATGAGAATAATAGCAATCGTCTGGCCTACAATGAAGATAGGTAACTTCTTGCCCTTCTTGAGCTCCTCGATATCAGGTCTATGAGCCTGACTATCAAGTACCTCTGGGTTTCTTCTGCCCGTGTAAACTCGGAAAAGGAATTCAAAGTAGAAGAGGAAGAAGATTGACATGACGAGCACCTGGAACGCGATACCGGCGACCATGATCCAAGTTCCCGAGTCCGAATTGCCTTGGGTCGCTGCCAGACCTCCTCCCACGGCCTGAATGATGATCGAGACCCAGTCTCCGACCACAAAGATGATTGTGTAGACGATAGGACCCAGTCTTGAGTAAGACTCTCCATAGACAACCACCAGCTTCGCCAGAATGCAGTAAACACCTGCCATGACAAAGGCCGGAGCGAGTGTCAGACACACGATTTGCATAATGTAATAGGACTCGTCTTCGACTGAGATCTCTCGTGACAAGAATCGACCTAGGAATCCCAGAAACTCGAGCACGCAACCACAAGACACACAGACTCCAAACCACCACTGGCGCCAGAAGGCGCCGAGAGCCAGGTGGGTCAACAGAATGAAGGCGAACAGCACGAGGCCGGCCAAGTTGGAGTCGTAATCGGGCATGAAACTGTACAATCCATAATGTGCATTGAGCCAGTCGTACCACTGGTCTTTAGTAAGACCCAGCTCTTGAGCCGAAGGAGTGCCCGCCGCAACTCCCTGAATTATGGTCGAAAGCACAAAAGTCGTCACCCAGGCTCGCATTTCGTTCAGAGACTACAAACTTCCAGACCCACGCCACAGCTATATATCTCTCGAGAGTTTGAGGAGGCAGAGTTAGACTCCAGCGCGATGTGCGAAGTTGCTCGTGGGCCCAAGATCGACGGAGTCCGAAATCTGAGGTATTGGTTGGGTTGGAGGGGTAGGGTGCTCACCACCTTGGTGAGATTTTGATTCTGAGTCAGTTGGTAATCTCTGTTTCCTCGCCTCTAAACTACACCACCCAGTTATCCCTCTGTTTACTCCACAAGGTGCGAGTGGCACGTTCAAAAAGCCAGTTATAAAAAGTCAGAAATACGAGGTGTGCGCTCGCACAAATTTAATTCGGATTTGGCAGCGTCCAACCTCATGTCTTTTCCAGTTTAAACCCGTTTCATTGGAGAGCTTTATTAAGAATGGAAAATACTGAGCAGTACACTGATCATTATGCGTGTGACGTCTTGGGGGTTAGTACAAGTCTTGACTTGGGACTTTGATTCACATTTTCGACTCTAAACACTCACTACAGTAGTAGTAGTAGCGCGCTATACTTTTGTAGACCCGCTGAACTGCTTATCTCCTTTCTCTCTCTCTCTCTCTCTCTCTCTCTCCACACCCTGTTCCCATCGGCAGCTTATTTGCCGCATTATGAACCAAGCATATACTGTATTTACTGTAAGCATAGGGCACGGAAGTAAAGAAGCTACACTGCCGTTGCCGGAGGAACCACCCATCAGAAAGTACATACTGTACAGTACATATGATAAATGAATGAAAATACGCGGAATTTTGAAAAGGAAAACACCACCCCCTCATAATACCTCGAACCTCTGTTTAGGCGGCATGTGTACCTTTTATGGCTTCCCTCACGACACACGGTCAGCTCCTTGACTTGAGAAATAGAGGGCCCTGAATGCAGCATATTATAGTTGGATGAGTCTAACGCACATTAGTTGAGAGTTGAATGGAGGGGGGCGTTGGTTGGATTTTGGGCACACAGGAATGAGAAGCAAGGAAAGAGAGAGCGAGAAGTGTTGCAGTAGTGAAATACTCGTATATTTCATCTCGTATTTTTTTATAAAATACGTTCTTTGTCGTACCGCTGCAATGCTGCCAATATGCTGATCTGTCTGCGTAGAGAAGCTGTTGTACCAGACGAGTATGCACGTATAGCATGTGTCGATAACGGCTGTAAGTACGAGTATGTATTCGTACGGTACAGTCATATATTCGAGTACGTGTATATGTGTCGCACATCATTAGTCGCGCGTACGCTATAGGTAGGGTCAATAAATTATCATTTATGTTACATGCTGAAGCAGTATCAGTTTCCATCACCCTCCTTCAACTTCTTGGTAGTGCCACGGTCCTTCTGCTCGTCAGCTTTTCGCTTAGGGCCTAGTTGCAATCCGCTGCCCCTCTCCAGCTGTGTGAACGTGCCTGAGGCAAAGAATTTGTTATCCTGGGTGGCCGTCTTGGGTCCCTTGGGTTTACTAAGCTCCATAGACTGCGCCGTAACAGACAAAGACGACTGAAGACCGTCGATCATAGGTTTGGGACGGTTCTTGAGCATCTCCAAACGCGATCGAGCCCCCTTGGACATTCTTGCACGGGTCTTGGAATCAGCTTCAACTCTTCGAGCTGATCCCAGGCCAGCAGCAGAATCCAACATTCCCAGACCCACGGTCTCTCCGTAAACGTCCACAGTCTTTTCGGCCTCTCCGAACGCCATTCGGTTGGCAGCAGCAGCCATTTCACTCTGCTTGAACTGCTCCTTGAACTTTCTGATCCGCTTTCCACCTCGCTTCTTTGAGGGTTTGTCGATAGGAACAGGTAGGGCCTTGACTCCCTTTATCTCCGGGGGCTCTGCTAGTTTCTGCAACTTTCCTTCAATCTCCTCTCGCATTTTAGATCCGAACGATCCATCTGTAGATGCTCTAGAGGCATCCAAACGGGCTGCAAGTACTAGCTTGGCTGACAACATTCGCATGGCCTGCTTTCTGATATCAGCAGGACTCTGTTGTACCACATCCGAGTAATACAAGTAACCCTGCTGTCTTTGTGCTTGTCCAAACCCCACCGCAGTCTCTCGCTTAGCTCCTAGAGAAGGTATGTTGCAAGAGGGGGTCTTTGCCAGACCGTTGAGACCACCCACAAATCCAAGAATCTGAGCTGCACAATGAGCACCAATCAGAATGGCCGTATTGGGTGCAACGAGGTTCAGTTTCGAGGAGACATAGTTAGTGATTTGGCGCTTAGCAGCGTCCAATGCTATCAGTAGCTTACAAGCTTCGTTTATAGTGGCCATCTCAACGTCCGAGAGTCGTCGTCCCCCTTGGTCCACAGTCATGGTAATAGTCATCATCACTGACTTGTGCACCACCTGTTTTAAGTGCGGGCTATCTGACTTTGCCACTGCTGCGGGATCGTTTCCAAGAATGGCCACTACCTGTGCATGCTGTAGTGGGTTGGCGATGAGTGATCTGAGCTCGGGGTACCGCTGGCTGTATCTAGTGGCGATGAAGTTGTGCAGCTCAGCTACTGCGTTGTCGATTTCCACCGAGTACTCGTTTGCTCCCACAATCACATGGTACTCTGGATTCTCTTCTAGATTTGATGTGAGTGCGAGAGTTGACTGAGTGGCACCACTTTCGTACAGAGAAATGCTTCTGAGTTGTGGCAGAAGTCTGGGGACCATTGCTGCCGAGTTGGTGGACCCCAGCAGGTCCAGGTTGATGTTATTGAGTGGAGTAGGCGACAGAGGTTCTGTGGTTTCGGTTGCAATGACTTCAGTTGGGATCTGGGAAGTCGCATCTTCCATCACCTCGTCCACCTCTTCATTTTCTTCGTCGCTGGAGCCAAAATCGGCCAGAATTTCGTCAGCCAGGCCCATTATGTCGTTGTGGGGGTGAGCTCAGCCTTTTGATGGTGATACAGTAATTGAGGGAGGATGCAATATTTAGAGTTATGATCTTTTCGAACACTTAGAGTTCCGATATGCAGTGGACTTCGAAGTGCAAAGACACCGTGAAACGCGTTATCACAACTACAAGTATTCCTGAACGACACTCAAGTTCCTCTGGAAGCCCTGTAAAAAAAACATGAGCAGAGTCAGCATGTTTCCTACGGAAGACAAACGGTCTTATTTCGAGCGACAACGGGACCAGTACATCAAAAACATCTCGGCCAGCATGGAAGACGTGCTCAACAACCTGAACGCGCTGAACCGTTCGTTGGAACACACTGTGGGCCTGTCTCAAAAGTCTGAAGAGCTCGCAGAAATGTGGAGCCACTTTTACAACACCGTGAATGAGGATCTGGTGAAGACGGAGGACGGAGACATCGAGGTAGACACTACCAAAGAGTAGTGTAATTTGGAGTTGCGAGTTACGAGTAAGGGCCTGATGGACTTGCAGACGATTATTTATAAATGTATTCTAATGAACTGATGAGTGCTTTGAGATGAGTAAATGGCCGGTTTTCAGATTTCGAGTTATGTGATCTAGGTCTATAGTACAAGTATCTACTTGTAGGATTAAAAATTCTACTCTACAGTTTGTACCTCCGTAGATGAACTGGGCCACTGGCACAGTATGCACAAGTAGAGCTACCACACAACTCCTACATTATATGTACTCGTACATATAATAATACGGCTGCTACCGTTCATTGCCGTTACACAGACGTCGCGCCCTCTTGTATCCTTCTCATCATAATGCATTACTATATCACCCCTTGTTAGCTGTGGTTGATGCTTTCTACAACACCAAGCACTGGTGTCGTTTCTTCTTCTTCTTCTTCTCGATCGGTTCCGAGGCTGGTCTGGATTGTAATTTTGGACGTGTGGCTGACGCTGCTGCTGCCGCTGCCCCTTTACTTTGTGATCGCACAGGTTTGGTTCTCTTTGATCTCCCTTTTTCCTTCAGCACCGCTCCCATGGCGACTGCAAACACCTCTCTAACGCCAGACATGTCCTTTGATGAGCACTCCATGTATTTGTACACTCCGAGTCTCTGTGCCATGGATTTGCCCTGCGTCGGCGTGATGTGGCTCAGTCCCTGAGCTTTGAGATAATGGGCGGATGTGGAATCGGCTCTGAGATCGGTTTTGAGACATACCAGCACCACTGGCGTGTCTGGACAGAAATGCGTCACCTCAGGGAACCACTTTTCGGCCACGTTTTCAAACGATGACGGCGAGTCCACGCTGTAGCACACCAGCAGCACATCCACGTCTGGGTACGAGAGTGGTCTGAGCCGGTCGTACTCCTCCTGTCCTGCTGTGTCCCATAACGCCAGCTCGATAATCTCTCCTTTGGGCCCCTTGAGCGTGGTTATGTAGTTCTCAAAGACCGTCGGTATATATCGCTCGGGAAAGACACCCTGCGAGTACGACACCAGCAGACATGTTTTTCCACAGCCTCCATCTCCTACCACCACCACCTTGATGTGGACGTCTGGTTGTGCGGATTCCGCCGTTTCGATGAACTCGAAGCTGCTCGGGTTGGCGGACTCGGATGTGCGGTAGTAGCTGAGTCGCTTGAGGGACGACATTTGCTGTTTTTGTGGCTCTTTAGACGGTCGAAAATAGTGTTGTTTGTTGGAGATGTGCGAATTACCTTTTGTTTGGAAGATCTGTCTTCAGGGGGCTTGTGGAGCTCGACACAAAGACAAAGCGCGTTAAAGGTGAAGAAGTGGCGATTCAAACGTGTTTTTTTGAAAGAGCCGTACACGCGGTGAAAAAATACACGCTCATACACCTTACAAGTACGGCCCGACTCCACTATATATCCGTTGGGGCCTGTCTGTACATGGACCTGCATAAGACGGATCCCACCATATGCCGAACTCTGTGGTCTAAGTTGAACAGGGCTGAGTACAGTGTGTATATCCTGGTAGCACTGAGCGACAGCGGGGCCGAAAGAGGACCAAAAAGCGCCCACATCTGGGAAACATGTGAACTGGAAGCCCTTTGCTTTGTCCATTGCATATTGTACAGTGCTTCTGCTTGTGCTCTCACTCGCACTGCATATCTGTTGGTCGCCTGTCGTTCATAATTAAGGGCTGGTCGTAGCTCGTCGTACCTTAGACTAAGCATATCTGGGCGGGATGAAACGGGCTGACTTATTAATTAACTTGGGATGGGAAAATCTGGCACGTTTTAGCCCCACCACCCTGACCAGCCTGGTCTACAAGCACTGTACATGCTGTAAAATTGAATTATGCGATGTATCACACTGTTCGATAGGGGCTAGGGGTATCGTGGTTTCGAGTCTGTGCTACTCGTACTGTAGCCGTATCGCCAGTAAGTACGACTGTACAGTATCAGAGTTAGTGCAGTGTGTCCCTCGGCCATGTCATTGCACTGTATTCACGGTCCTTGTTGCTACAGTATCAACACACGCCTACCGTACATACGTCGCTTATTAAATAGTTACTGTACTTGTAATTTCGGTAACTTGTACTCGTACTGGTACATACTGGGGGTGATCGCGTGACAGGCTGTGAGGAACTGCAGGGCTGTTGATGTGACAAATTCGGAGCGGTGAATATGGACGCCTGTGGTTGATTAATATGTCAAAAGAGACACTTCAACCCTGGCAGCACCCTAACTGTAGAACAGTATGTACTGTACTTTTGGTAATTTGTAATTGGTAATTTGTATTACTGTGATCATTTATAAAGTACTATTTGTGTGGCCCAACTGACGTCAACAATAGGGGGAAGGGGTGTACTTGGGTGTGATCCGCCCTGCACGTGGATTCGATATGATACTCCGATCCTTACTTGTACAAGTGCTTGTAAAACTACAAATATGTGCTATTTGTTATCTTGAACTTGGCAAGAGGGGTGTGATTTCTACAATACAAGCTGACGATTATAAATTCTGAAAAGTGAAAACCGAGAATGGTAGGCTCCAGCTCCAACATTGGTATGTACTTGACAGAATCGGTTTGTAATGTCCTGCGCGATGCTCGCGATGGCACTTATGGAGTGTTCGTTCTATGCCAACAGTATATACGGCTCTCGCAGACAAGTGGAAATAACGAGCAACATTCACAGCTGGCCATACCTTTTACTGTTCGTCTCATATTCAATGTACAAGTTGATGTTACGTTACTGGCTGGCCTGGATCTTGCATGTAACCTCGAGGTGAAGGTATCGTAGTAGAGCCCTTTCCGGACGATAATCTTGACAAACGGACTTGACAGAAATGTGCTCGAGCCCAAGGATTTTCATCATCGGACTCAATCAGTTTGCTATAGCCCCGCAATTGACATTGGATCCTTGGAAACACAAACTCTCTAAATCGGTCACCCTCCCGTTCAACCGGCCGGTCAAGAGCAATAAGGGTCATGCGCGGATAGTCAGCTCTATGAAAGCTTTTATAGTCGTTTGTTGTACTCGTACTGTAGACTGTGCTCCCCTGGCGTCCAATTGCTACAGTACTTCCGATGTTACAATAATGATTGCTTAATATAGAGGTGCAACTATCGGTAAGAAGATCCCAGGAATGTATGGAATGTATGGAACAGTAATGGAACATTGATAGCCGGAAAATCACGTTTTCCCGCACTTTTTAAATTCCGACGTTTTTCACTCCTTGTGGTCAACTTTTACTCTTTCCTGGTCACTCAATTCCACTCTGACTTTAGATCACTGGTTCTGCACTAATCGAGCGTTTTAGATCACAGCAACCGAGCTCTCGAGTCAATACACTCCAGTATGTACTTGTAGCTTTTGCAGTGCTATACCAGGCTTTGTAGGTAAGCATTGAGAGATTCAAACACCCTTACGGCAGCTTCGCCACGGCACTGTTTCAAATTCCCCGTTCGGGTCATCTCCTGTTTCAGTATTAAAACACGACATCGCTATAAAAAAAAATTAATAAAAAAGACAGGCCTTGGTCTTTGTGCATGCTCATTTTTAATACATGCACTCTTGCGGTTACAACGATAACGTTCGGCAAGAGCTTAGAGCTGAGTTACAGTAGAACCTTCAGATTAGCAATGGGTAGAGTTTTGTTTGAGACACGTGTGCTACGAAGCTTCGGGTGTTGTTGCGGTGATACCGAGGCTCATCCCGTAGTGTTTCTTTCTTGATTGTTGGTCCCACGTCTGTTGTATTACAGACGAGGTAATTATTTCTATTTTCGTTCGGTGCATCGAACTTCCAATTTAGATTAGCGTGGGTCAGAAGACCGGTTATGTGATGTGCGCATCTCAGATTAGAGTGCGGGTTAGGGTACACATAATGTGTACATTTTTGGCTATTTCGGAGAGTGGACCGAAAATAGAGGGCCCGAAAAATAGATCCCCTCATAATTAGCGTTCGCACTACTATGGCCAAAAAAAAAAGACAGATAATCTTTGTTCTGGGAAAGGCAAAAAGCCCAAATGCTGCGTGTAACTCGGCTTATGCAACGGCTTTTGTTATGGTGGAGTACGCACCAGAAGGATGTATGATATCTCATAGGCATGAGCTGCTAATTTCCTCTTGACTTTTCTACGATACTGCAGTAGCCATCCTGATATTTTCAGTTCTCAGTTCTCAGACAGGCTTTATGTGACCATCTTTATGTGAATGTTTTACCTGCTGCTCTTCCCATTCCCTTCTCATCATCTTTGTTATGATAGGCAGACGTGAGAGAGCGAATACGGGTCTTTGCAGAGGTGTAGACTTGTGTACGATACCAACAGGGAGGAGTATGACTCTCATAATGGCTGTATATGACTGTTGAGGGGTACCATGCCAAAACGTACTTATGGACAAACGACTTGTGCATATGTCAAACGTCAAAATCTGTCTTGTAATTGTACAAGTATCATTTGTTCATCCGTCGTGTAAGGCATATTGTGCTAACCCCTCTTTTCCTACTCCTGTTACCCTTATCTAAAGTGTCGTATTATTCAACCTCACATCTAAGCATGGTTTTACCGCGTTGCAGGACGTCGAAAGGGGGCCGGAAGAGCCATAGAAAAAGAAAACACAGCAAGAATTGTGCTGTCCTTAACCTCTGTTTCGGCTGTCTCACCGTGACGCGTGCGTTTAATTTTGGTGGATCTAATAGCTTGTAATTTATGGAAGGAGGCTACAGTATATCTGTAGCTCTTTCAAGTATGGTGTCATTTTATCTTACAGTCTAAGCTCTAAAACAAATGAAGACCCTGTCGGGGTGAATCGGGCCAATCAGAGCACTGTATGCGTGGCTGCCATTCTTATCTGATGTACCCGCCGTTGGTCACACTCGTACCGGCGCCATCTCCTTCTGGAAATTGAAAGTGAAAAAAGGAATACGATCCGTGGGAAACCACTCGACGCAAAACTTCGAGCTGCACTTGTATGAGTACCAGGACAACTACAAGTGCTGTAGCTATAGCTCCCGTTGAATACATTCGCCCCACACTTCGTAAGCATGGTAGGCCTCAGTGCCAATATCTTGGCTTGTTAAGACTCAGTCAGCATGCTGGGTCCACCCGGCGCAAGAATAGCCGAGCCGCCAAGATGAGGATCTGTCACTGCCCAGTCTTTGCGATTGCGTGATGGGAGAAAGAAGTGTGGATTTTAGAGCGAAAAGAGGGTGGTGTGGAATGATATGAACAGTAAGACAACCGAGTTTCAAGACGCCATATTACTGAGAAAAACTTCAATAATCCGACGCTGCACACGCTGCACACACTGGTCAGATTGCAGACTTAGTGCAGCCGGATAGGCTAGGCCTGCCTGCCACGGCTGAAAGGCTGGTCTGCTCTTGGCTGCTTTGGCGCCCAACCACGAGTCTGGGGCTCTTATGATAGTGTGCCACAGATGTGAGCAGCATAGATAACACAGTCGACTATATGGTCAATGTGCCATAGCGAAAGGAGCACGGTATAAATAGGATACGACAGGGAAAAATTGGCCTGATAGCATAATCATGCACACGACCAGCCAAAATTGGAGTCAGAACCGACAGGTCAACAAGACACAGCGAAGATACATCCCCAATCGGACCTTTAGTGTACGATACTGAGAGGAAGTCCACTAAGAAACGCCAAGCGACGTGGGGCATTGTGTTGCACGTTCGGTTGTGAGATACACAAGTACTTATAGTCGGTTGCAAAACAAGCCCGAGCTCAACTTTTACTTGTGCTACCCTGGCAGCGCACCCACCCAACAGACCCATCGGCTCGTATTTGCAACAATAGATTTACAGCTATGGCTACATACAGTAGACTGATCGGAAGACGATAGCGACGCCCTACACGACACTGTCGGTGTAACGCGACTGAGGGTGTGTTGTACTGGTATTCAGAAGCCTTATCGTTCCTCTTTTGCTGAATGCACAGGTTCGCTTACTGTTACTGGAACAGTAATCCCTCTTACATTAAAAATAGTTGACTTACGTCACTGGGCATTAAAAGATCAGCTTAAAAGCCTCACTATCAAGCGACTAACCGCCAAGTAACGCTTCGAACCTCAAGTAATACCCCAACTATGAACTCCAACGGTCTCCCCCTTGTTCTCCGACACGTGGATAAAAGTGCGACACAGCCGCTTGCAGACAAAGAGAACTTTACAACCTTAAATCCAAGGTTAAACTCGCCGTCCGGGTAACTTTTAGACTTTGATCATTCCTTCACTTTTAGAGTGAGTTGGGAAATGGCGCTGTATTTCCGAGATGGCAGAGTTCATGGGACCAGTAGTTCACGATAACGATCGTGAAAAAAATGGGAGTCGTTACCGCCCTTTTTTTTGGATGCAAAAAATAGGTATCAGTCGTCTCTCAGCTCAAGTAATACAAATACTCCGCCCCACAGGTTGCGTGCCGTCTTGGCCCCTGCTCCTTTGTTCCCGTTTTGGGGTCTTGGCACATTTAGTCTTCCAAGTCTCTTTCTGTATTTCAGCACCACACCTGCCACCCCATCATATCAAGAGCAATCCTTTTTCCGACAGACCCACAAAAGCACCTATCAACCCCAACAACTGTTTAGTGAGGTAACGACAGCGCAAAAAAAATAACACAACTATATCATGGCCTCTTACCCCTACCTGGCCCAGAGCCAGCCACCACAGCAACAGCAGCAGCAGCAGCAGCAGCCTCAGCAGCAGTCTCAGCAGCTCCCCACCACCGCCCCTTCTGCTGCCCCCCAAGTCAACAACACAACCGCCAACAAGCCTCTGTACCCTGCTAGCCCCAACAGCCCCATTTCTCCCTCTGACTACTCCGCCAACATGAATGTGGGCGGTGACTCTGTCGACATGTTGCTATCTTCCGTCTCGGCCCACCACCGGTCCTCTGACGCGGGTCAGAGCGATATGGGCTCCATCTCCCCCTCCACCGCACACACTACCCCCGACGCCACCACTTACAAGACGTCAGACGAGGAGGACGCCACCGGCAAGATTACTACCCCGCGGTCCGAGGGCTCCCCCAACACCAACGGCTCCGGTTCTGACGGCGAGAACCTCGTCTGCAAATGGGGACCTTGTGGCAAGACTTTTGGCTCCGCTGAGAAGCTCTACGCTCATCTGTGTGATGCCCACGTCGGCCGAAAGTGCACACACAACCTGTCGCTGGTCTGCAACTGGGATAACTGTGGCATTGTGACCGTCAAACGAGACCACATTACCTCTCATATCCGAGTCCACGTGCCCCTCAAGCCGTACAAGTGCGACTTCTGCACCAAGTCGTTCAAGCGACCTCAGGATCTTAAGAAGCACGTCAAGACTCACGCCGATGATAACGAGCAGGCCCACAACGCTTACGCCAAGCCCCATATGCAGCATACCCACCAGCAGCAGCAGCAGCAGCAGCGATACATGCAGTATCCCACCTACGCAAGTGGCTACGAGTACCCTTACTACCGATACTCGCAACCCCAGGTGCAGGTGCCCATGGTGCCCTCGTACGCCGCGGTTGGCCACATGCCCACTCCCCCTATGCATCCCCATGCCCCCATCGACCGAAAGCGACAGTGGGACACCACCTCGGACTTTTTTGACGACATCAAGCGAGCCCGAGTCACTCCCAACTACTCGTCCGACATTGCCTCTCGGCTGTCCACCATCGAGCAGTACATCGGTATCCAGGGACAGCAGCAGCAGGCCTCTCCTACCCCTCAAACCGCCACCACTACCTCCGCCACTCCTGCTCCTGCTGCCCCTCATCAGGCCACTCCTCCCCAGCAGCAGCTCCCCTCCTTCAAGCAGGGCGACTATCAAGAGACCGACCAGTTCCTCAACCAGCTCGGCTCCAACATTTACGGCAACATCAAGTCTGTGGACCCCCAGTACGAGGCTCCTGCCGAGTTCCATCTTCCCCACCCTATGGGCTACCGATATGCCTTCTCTCATGCTCCTGCTCCTCATGGTGCTGCTCCCGTGGCCCCCCAGGTGGCCCCTCCCGCTCACCCTGGCGTCCATGGCGTGTCTGCTCCTCATTACCCCGATCTCTCCTACTCACGATCCACCGTGCCTCAGCTCTCGTCTCGATTTGAGGACGTTCGACAGATGTCGGTTGGTGTCACCCAGCGAGCTGCTCGAACCACAAACGTGGAGGAGTCTGACGACGACGACGAGCTGGTGGAGGGCTTTGGCAAGATGGCCATTGCCGACTCCAAGGCTATGCAGGTTGCTCAGATGAAGAAGCATCTGGAGGTTGTTTCTTACCTGCGACGGGTTCTGCAGGAGGCTCGGGAAACTGAGTCTGGCGAGGCTGAGGACACCGCTGCCAACAAGGACACTTCGGCTTCGAAATCTAGCTTGTACCCTACCATCAAGGCCTGCTAAAGAACCTTCTGGAATTCGGGTCACTTGAAACTAACCATGGGATTTATGTATTTATTGTGTATGCTAAAAAGCGGTTTATCGCTACGACGTTATGAGATTTGATGATTTTTATGAATATGTAGGCGCTCCAGCAGTAATGGATGGAGTGACCAGAGAGAGCATGTGTGCGATCAGTGTGTTCAGTTTGTACGATAGGATGTGTGTGTCATTATGTCCCATGTGTGTGTAAGTAGTAATGATGCGTGGAAAGTGTGTGCTACTTGTACCAGTACACTGAGTGCTACTAGTAGAATGAGGGTGGGATACAATATGTTCACCTTCGTTTGCTACATTCACACACGTATAACCTCGGAGGAAACCCGGGAAGTCTGACTGTCATTCTGGAGTAATTATTTGATTACGCCGTGTGATTGTCTCAGCCGCTGACATCCACATGTGTGCATTCCGTGGACCGTGGAAGAAATTGTAAGTGACGTAAAGATAAGAAATGACAGAAGACTTGGAGTCGGTGGTTGTGACTGTGCTTACGTATACGTTGAGTGTTCGTTGTTCTACACTACGTGCATCTTCAAGATTAGAGGCTACAAGTAGAGAAGGAAACCAAGAGTCGGACCACAGGAGTATCTAATATTACCTTGTTGTACGTGAGCGGACGAAAGGTCGTCATCTAAAGTCACATTGAAGCTACTGCGTACAAGTAGTCTCTTGTCTACTCATCACCTGTTGAGAGTTACTGTATTGTGTGGTATATAGGGGTACTTGCATTTTGGTTATCACCACGGACATTGTTACAATAAAGGGACAAAGGTGCTGTGAGGGCAAGTGCGTTACCTATAAAAGTTGTTCCGGGTTCGATCGCAGTTCATATTAATGACATATGTTCCATATCATCAACAGATGTGAAGACATGTGGACACGAAGAGGTGTGTCAATGTGTCAAATAAGTGTCGCTTGGCCATATTTGCGACATGCGGAAATGTGTCATGGAGAGATGTCAGGTGTCAGGGCTACAAGTAGTCAGGAGATGGCAGGTGAAAGAGAGTGCCGAGCTGCATTTTTCTGAACTCGCAGCCCATTAAAAAAAAATGGTTGTATCATTGCATCTTTATTGGATGTAGGAGTTAAGACTTTGGTGTGATGGGAGTTGTTAATCATCATGGGAGGGGTAGATCTAGATGAATACTTCGTATTTCAATTGTTCTAATAAAATCAGACAATTTTGTGAAGTTCTTGTATCTGTAAGCGCTCTTTTCTTGCGTCGTGGTGGTATATCTTGTTCATGAGTGCGCACCCTATAATAGAAGTGCCTGCTCGCGCGAGAGCTGCTTAGCGCACAGTAGTTGGTGTGATGGAGGAGTAGTTAGTATTGTAAGAAATGCGATTCTTTATGGGATAGCCTCATTACAGCATGTCTTAGGATTTTCATTTCTCAGTTGCTGATGTTGCTCCCCCGGCGTCCGTTTGACGCTAAACTGAACCACACATCTCTATGGACTTCATCGTAGGACTGAAGCAGATCCAAAAGGGGCACAACACGCTCTGCGTCGTTGTGGACCGGGATTTATGTCCCATCTTATCGCCACGAGAAATAATTTAGCGGCTGAAGCCCTTGCCAACTTGTACATGGACCGGGTTGTGAGATACCACGGTGCTTGAAGTGATCGTGGGTGATTGAGACAAGTTGTCCATCTCGAAACAGTGGCAGACGTTACAACGCGAGTTGGACTGAGCTCTGAGGCTGTCGAAGTCTAACCGCCCCGAAACTGACGAGCAAATGAAGCTACAGTATTTGTAGTGAACATGGTGTTGGCCCGATTAATGAAGCAGAGGTGCATGTCATGAAGCCTCTGGTGAACACTCTGACTCCTTGACAAGTAGATAATTGGGATGTAGCTATAAGTAGCGGATGGTACAGGTTAATAGGAAGAAATTTTCCAAACTTCACCTACAGCGCTAACTAACCCCAGCTGAGCCCGTCTTTTTTATTCTTCTACATTCTATTATGTAGTCCTACTTGTAGCTGAGACCGTGTTGAACGTCATACAGTTAGCACTCGTCTGTGAAGATTTAGGATACAGTTAGATCGAATTGACCAAGTGCAAGTAATTGTACTCCCTCTCCATTATTTGTATCACTTTGCAGTGCTCCTTTTTCCAGAACTTATACTTGTACAAGTACAAGTACAAGTAACTGTGCAACATGTCGTTCACTATCCACAGGGCATACGTTAACGATTCTGACTGCATATACGGACGCTGAAAAACGTATTTTCGAGTTTCTTGAAAGAAGTCAAGCCACCACTCTGTAATGGTGGGTTACAGCTAGCTACCAGCATTCCAATTATCCCTTCTTTCAAGCCTAAATCCAGCTCAGGTTCACGCCGATTTCCAACTATAAGTTCTCGTATTTTTGTACATCTCATCGATAGAAGTGACAGGGGCGTTATTTGGGTCGATGGGATCTGCAAGGCGGGGAATGAGCACCATCAGCAAAGAATCTTTGGGTTGGGAAGTGTCCGTTTGGACGCCATTCGTCTTGAGGAAATGCCTCAGGTAGTCATACAAGTAACCCCATGCGATTAGCAACACCACTTGAGAGGTACAAGTACATACTGATGATGCATTGACTGTGACAACACTACTTATAGGAAGAACACATTGAACTGGAGGAGCTACTCTTAGAGTAACAATGACCACAAGTACAAGTACCGGTACAACTACTTGTAGTGTCAAGGAAAATACACACATCAAGAAGCTACAGTATGCACAGTATATATACTTGTACTCACGTCGAACTCGGTACATTATATTCAGCTCAACCAAGGCCAACAATGAGCCATAAATGCAACCCACTAAGCGAGGTTACATTATTGACGAGCGTAACTCATAATACCCCAAGCACCCGAGAACCCCACTTTCTGGATCTGAATTCTCGTCTCTTGCGGCGCTCTTCTCGTATGTCTGCACGGAATGCATCTTTTGAACGGCTTCGCATGCATCTACATTCTCCATGAATGTACATTCTGGACCCATGTGTAAACTGTGCATGAGATCTCACAATGACGTCAGAGAGGGAAACGTAGAAGTGCAAATAGCGGTGCTCCCGAGTAGGAGATGCGCCATTTTCAACAGTGCATCGGCTCTGCCTCTATAACTCTTCTAGGAGTAGCAGCTCATTTGCCTCTGCAACTTCTATTGTACCCCATCGAGTCACACTAACCCATGCTGATCACCGTTATAGAGAGAGACCAACGCGGATGAGACAGAACAAGGAGGGGAGACTCTTACTGCGGAGCCCAAATGACAATGACACAAGCGGGAACCAACACAACGGCGATGACGACTAGAATACTTGTGCCCATTCCGATGTCTCGCATGTGCTTGACTGTGATTTGTATGACAATTCAAGCACGCACGGCTGACTTCCGAATTACCCCTTTCACACGTCTCGATAGGGGCAAATTACGTACGCAGATGGATGTAAAAAATGTAGCCGAGCACTGCACGTGTCACGGGATAACTCTGCTGTCAAAATACTGGTGCAATGTACTCGTACGTCACACGGCAAACTGAGACAACATACGCATCTTTCATCCCGTTCTACATGTACACTCACACGAGATCACCTCTCATCTCATCTCACATGGGCTGGAAGCAGTTATTCCCTTGCTTTTCGCTCCTACTTAGCCTCAGACTTTTTGCAACATCCATCCCACTGTAACCCAACGTCCCAACTCAGCAATCGGATTCCCCCTTTAAAAAAGATTACACCATGAGCCTCATTGAACTGAAGCCAACTGCGCTGTAGAACTCACACCACGCGAATACTCAGGCTCAGACTCAGAGTTATACTGTACCACCACGCGTGTGTGAGCGAGTGTGTGAGTGAGAGTGTGAGTGAGTGTGTGTGTGCACCCCGGTCCAGTCCTCACACTAATAACCCCATGCCATGCACACATTCCAGCAACCTTGGCATTTTCCTGCCGCTCCCTATAGCATTCCCTTCCATTTCATTTCTTTGCCTCGCTGGGGATGGGCTATTCCTGCCTTTAGACGCTGCCGGAATGCAGGCTGTGTTTATAGCATTAATTGAATTTGCATCCACTGTGAGCATGGTCTGACGTGTCGGTAGGGTAACTGTACCGGGGAGGAGCAGGAGACGATGAAGGACCGCAAGATGGAATGCTGGGGGTGTTTCCACCACGAAATCCGGCTCGGCGACACCCCTCAAGTGCGCGAATTACAAATAGTATCCTCAGTCACGCTATGCCTTTCTTGGACGTCGTTAGGCCACCGCTGACTTACTCATAGCTTCCAACCATAGCCTCTGACCTGGTAATGGTGCTAACAGCTAAAGTTTGGAGACAAGGTGGGTTCTAAAAAAAACCCAAAGGTTATGTGGTAACAAGGAGTCTTGGTTGTGATAGAACGTATTGCAAAGGGATTGTGGCCATGTCAGAGGAAAAAATATGATTCCATTAGATTCAGGATGCTTTACTGTGTACGGTAACATGTTATTTACGGCTCTATATCTTTGCAGGCAGCTCTTTATCACAATCATAATTAGCACCTATTCTTACCACCCTCATATAGAGTTTTAGACTACTATGCCCAGGCATTCCCACGCGTAACTCAAATAACTCAATAAGGAACGTTACCAGACCACTGCAGCTCTTGTGTCTCTTTGCACAGGTGCCAGAAAAATATATCTCTTCTTCACTTGCATTCATTTGGCTACACAGATCACTGGTGGCACTCGTTTCCCAGTCACGACACCCGCACCGACACCCCTCTTACTAACGACACAGAAGGAGACAAGAGAACATCACACACACACCAGCTTCTCCGCAAAAAGTACAGTATTATCACGCTTGACCCCCCCATAGGTCACACTACATACCACTACCCACCTCATACACATCAGCGCATAGGTGTCAGCACCCACCACACACCAGATGCAATTCAGATATCTGCTCTTCCTGGCGCTGGCAACGGTGGCTCTCGGAGAAAAGATTCTCCAGGCCTCGTCACTAAACACATGTATGGCCAACTCGTCAGTGACGGCCGACTACTTCGACGTCAAGCTCTTTCCCGATAACCAGACACTGACCTACAACATCCACGCTAAAACTGACATTGAAGGAAAGGTCAACGCCGAGCTCCAGATCTGGGCCTACGGTATTAACTTCAAGTCCATTAAAATCAACCCCTGTGATGGTGACACCGCCCTGAAGACCATGTGTCCCCTGTATCCCGGAAACATCCAGCTAGAGTCGGTGGCAACGCTGTCCAAGAGCGATCTGGACCAGGTCCCCGGTATCGGTTTCACCTTCCCCGATCTGGATCTCATGATCGTTGCCAACGTGTTCATGGAGGACACTGGCAAGAAGGTTGCCTGTGTCGTCATCCAGTTCTCTAACGGAAAAACCGTTGAACACACGGCCGTCAAGTGGGTCACAGCCGTCATTTCAGGCCTGGGCCTGCTCGTGGCTGCTATCGCAGCTACTTTCGGCAACTCCATTACTGCCGCCCATATTGCTGCCAACTCGCAGTCCCTTTTTGTCTATTTCCAAACCACCGTCATCTTCACAATGATGTCCGTCAACCGAGTGCCCCCCATGGCCGCTGCCTGGGGCCAAAACGTGGCATGGTCTGTTGGTCTTGTCTATATCAAGTTCATGCAGAAGATCTTCCGATGGTACGTCCAGTCCACCGGCGGAAACCCCACTCTGTATTTATCGCACAAGACCACACCCGTTCTGTTGCAGCGTTCGTGGGAACACTCTTTCGGCTTGGACCGGTTCCCTGTTGTTGGCAAGCTCGGAAAATCTCTTCTGAAGGCTTCTCAGGCCATGGTTAACGATGTCTACGGTTCTACTGTCCACAGAGTCAGCTACCACCCAAGCGGTATTCGAACCCGTGACCTGCCTTGGGACTCTCTGATTGCTCGAGCTGTCACTGACACTGCCACCCATCATGGAGCTGTTGACCAGGGATCCGACCCTTCCATCTCTCCTCAGTCGTCCTCCACTCTGCTTGTTCTGCGAGGAATGCTTCGAGTCATCTACGGAGCCGGCATCGAGCAGACCTCTGGAGCTATCACCTCCTTCACCTTCTTTGTGCTCTTCTGCCTCATTGTGTGCATTGTCTTTGGCATTCTCAAGCTGTTCCACTTTGGTAAGCACAAGCATGTCAAGACCGTGGAGGATGATGTTCCCCACGGCTCAACTCTGCCCTCTTCTCAGCTCAAGACTGCTCTGAAGCGGACTCTGCTGATTTTCACCCCTCAGCTGCTCGTCTTCTCGCTGTGGGAGTTCTATGAGCGAGACTCTGCTGCCGTCATCGTCATTGCCGTCTTCTTCCTCATCCTTCTGCTGTCTGTCATTGGTTACGGCTCCTTCAAGGTGTTTATGACTGCCCGACAGTCCATCCGAGAGCACAACACCGTGCAGTATCTGTTGTTCGGAGACCAGCACGTTCTAGAGAAGTACGGATACCTATACCTGCACTTCAACGCCAACCACTACTATTACGTCGTCGTGCAGTTGGTCTACACTTTCGTCAAGTCTCTGTTCATTGCCTACTCTCAGGGCAGTGGAAAGACCCAGGCCATGACCATCTTTATCATCGAGCTCATCTACTTTGCCTGTCTGTGCTGGCGAAAGCCCTACATGGATAAGCGAACCAACGTGCTCAACATCACCATTGCGCTGGTGAACCTGCTCAACGCCTTCTTCTTCACTTTCTTCTCTCGAATTTACAACCAGCCTCCCGCTGTGGCATCGATCATGGGAGTCATCTTCTTTGTGCTCAACTGTGCCTTTTCGCTCTTCCTGCTGATTGTCACCATTGTCACCTGTTTGATTGCCATCTTTTCCAAGAATCCCGACACTCGATACCACCCTGCTAAGGATGACCGAGTGTACTTCCTACGAAACAACGAGAAGAACGCCGAGGAGGAATTTGATGCCCTTGGACATCAGATCAAGGAGGGCCACACGGTGGAGCATGACTCGTACGACTCGAGTTACGATCTCACCATGCGAAACTCCATCAGCAGTGCGGCTGCTGACCCCAAACCTACCATCGAGAGCAGGTTTGTTTAAGCGCTGAGCTTCAGGTATTTATGATAACGATTTATGATATGAACAATTCGTAGGTACTTGTATTTGTAGATATATTCTTCGTTAATTGGAAGACATGAGCGACCGCCTCCATACTGTATTTCTACGTCAAGTTTGAATCCTACAGTTGACGTACACTTGAATGCCAAGAGCAGCCCTGTCAATATCAAAGCAAAAATGGCGCCTTCGGGTAGCAGCTAACAGCCAAGAACGACAGCTTGTGGGCAGTGCACAATGAAAGACACAGCCTACTTTCCCGCCACTCTTTTGTTTCTTTAACAGCTTCCGCGCTGGCACGTTTCCATTGTTTTCGACCAGAGCCTCTGTTTATGTTTTCCTTGCTCGCATTTTGTTTCAAAAACCATCATGCACGATATCCGAATAATCGCAAAAAGAATGAAGTGGATACAGTATAAGTGTGAGCCGATACAAGTAGGCAGTGCTGAGACATGTCCTGCACGTTGGGCGTGCTAGTTGCGTTGTGTCTCACTTGTCCCGATGCAGTCTCGGGTATATGAGCGGGTGTCAGACATTAGAGATGTACTCGTGTTGTGCTCGTACCGTAGGTACTCGTAGATGGGTTATATGTACAATGCGTTTTTTGGACACTGGAAGGTCCAATTGGCTACAGTACTTGAATACAAGTAGCCCACAGCAGAAGATCTCAAGCTCAAAGATCGTCAAGTGAACTCTGTGCTACTTCGCCGATCCCTCGTATCGAGGTTGCAGCTACAGAGGAATGAGACGAGGTCATGTTTAAATGCGGCAGTACAATACCCACGCGTGTTATTCAACGGTGGAGACAAGTCCACTGTTATCTATGTACAGTACAAGTATCCGCAACCGTAGTTCAGTATACTTGTATATTGAAGTATCATCATCACTTGATATTACTTTGCTGCATCATTTAATTTGATTTAGATAGACTCACACTCATGAGGATAGCTATTCCATGATATTCCGTGGCGCACAATACCATTAACCATCAAACCAGGGTGCATCTGATGAGCCAAAGATTTGAATGTTCTAATCACATTCATTCATTCATGGATTATACATACTCTTAATCTCAGAACCTTATTTTAACATATTGAGCTAGTGCGTGGAACACGTCCCACAAAACATGTCTGCGGATTTAGCTCAGTTGGGAGAGCGCCAGACTGAAGTCGTTCTTCGGTCAGAGTAATCTGGAGGTCCTGTGTTCGATCCACAGAATTCGCAATTTTTTTACATCTTATGATTTGTGTATTTGTACTGTATCGATTCACTGTGATTCTTTCTCTTTTTGATCTACTTGTAGCGCTGAGGCTAACATGACTTGTTTGATAGAATTAAAGGATGCGACCCAGGTCATTCAACCATCTGTACAGGTAGCTAATTACCGGTATGTACAATATTGTAACAATGTACAAGTAGCTGCTCATCTACTGTAGCCAACCACTTGGAACTCATTTAGGAGTCAAAAGAAGAATGAACGCATATATCACCAGCTTTTCTTATGAGTCAGATCACTTCGTCTACCTCCATTTCATCTAACAGTTTGTTTGGACAGACCACTTCGAGTATGAAAAGACAGAAAAATCTGTTGTGATATTATTGACAGTTCTGGTAAAAGTCTTCCGCTCCTGCAAACACAATGATCACTAATTGTTTGTAGGTGATGATGGGAAAGGTGGACATCTCAAAGCTGGTAATCAAGCGTAGTTTCTCTTCAAAAGAAGGATCAGAACAGACCTCCAGATGGTCTTTCATGACATCAGTCTATAGTGGGCGCACAGCCCAAGGCTCTCGAATTGCTCCTGACTGCGTCTGTTTGTTTATCCTCTGGCAACCAGCTCATCTCACCCAACTTCCGACTGTTTGTCCGTATAGTGCATCCTCTCGCTACGTCGAATCAGCCACGCTCGAATCGGCTAAAGGTGTCGTACTTTCGGCTCGTCTAGTTCAAAAATATATATGCTATGCTGATTAGAGGTGGGCTGACTACATGGTCATCTGCTCAAAGAGTGCAGAAATGCTCTCTCCGTGGTGGTTTCGTCGCATGCACTCGGCAAAGATGGCAGACACGTCGATGACCACCAGCTTGGTGGCGGCGATTCGACGTTCGACAGGTATGGGGTACGTGTTGGTCACAACCACCGAGTCGATGCAGGGGCAGGCCTGCAGCTGCTCGAGACAGTCGTCGTTGAAGATGCCGTGAGTGGCAATCACAACCACTCGCTTGGCACCACAATTGAGTCTGCAGTGCTCGGCGGCGGCAACAAAAGAGCCGTGCCGGTCAATCATGTCATCAACAATGATGGCGGTTCGGCCCCGCACATCTCCGACCAGCGTGATGAGCTTTTCTCGCTGGAACTCGTCGTCGTCATCGTCGGAGCCCTCAGCGTCAACAGAGCCTCCCAGCGCATGTTTCAGGTCGACTGACGAATCGGTGTGCTGAAGACGAGGTCGGGTTTCGGCCTCAGACTGGGCCTCGGACTCGGACTCTTCCTCAAGGTAGTCATCTCCCACCACGTGGCCCTGGACAACTCGGGCGGTCTGGACACCGTGGGCAGTCACAATGTGCACTCCCTCGTCCTCTTCGTCGTCAAAGACATCGTCTTCTCCCTCCTCACCAGGATTGAGCGACGGCCGTCGGCCACCGAGCTGAGAGGGCTTTCGGGTGTTTGACGACTTTCGTCGCGAGGGAACTGTGCCATGAGTGGTGTTAGGTCCGTCCTGCAGCTTCATGGATGCCCGTCGAGCGGTTCCGTTGAGAGGAGAGCCTGGTGCAGGCAGCACGGTAGGAGGAGCGCCTCGAGCGCCCTTCTTTCGTGGCGAGGCAACCGAGAAAATGGGGGCTTGGGCCAGGTTGAGCATGGACGAGTAGGGCTTGTGGTTTCGTCGTCGGTCAGTCTGGATCATGGCGAAGTTGATCTTGAGAGCGTCGGCCAGCGCTGTGACTCGCTTGGTACCACCGGGGTTCTTGGAGACCACCACCGCGTCCTTGTAGTCGGGGACATTGTGTCGAATCCACTGGGCCAGAGTAGGACCCGCATGGAGGTTGTCGACAGGCACGGTGAAGAATCCCTGCATCTGATTGGCGTGCAGATCCATGGTGATGACATGGTCGGCGCCGGCCATGGTCAGCAGGTTGGCAATCATTCGAGCAGTGATAGCGCCTCGATGCTTCTTCATCTTGGACTGCTTAGAGTAAGGGTAGGAGGGGATCACGGCGGTGATTTTGTGAGCAGAACCGGTTCGGCAGCCCGAAATCAGAATCAGCAACTCCATCAAATGATCGTTGACCGAAGGAGAGCCCGACTGCACAATGTACACATCCTCGTCTCGCACAGACACTCCAATCTCCACTGACGTTTCGCCGTTGGAAAACTTTTTGAGAGTGCAAGGGGCAGGCTCCACGCCGAGACGGTTGCAGATGAGCCCGCCCAGCTCCGTGTGGGAGTTGCCGATGAAGACTTTGGATCGACGCATGGATAAGACGGAGGTGTGGTGGAGGTGAGAGTATTGAGCTCTTCCAATTTTTTCTCCCACTCTGCAGCAGAAAACTCTATTTCACGTGGGCCGGCTAAGAAGGGCGATGAAATGAGGCGATAAAGAGGTAGGGGAGGGGTTATGAGTCCATCACGTGTTTTAAAATAGTTCAATTGTATATATTTTGTTTACTCACCAACGAGATTCCTTTTCCTTCACCTCACATCATCCTCCCGTCCCGTGTCAAAATGTCCACGTCCATGCAGCACTTTAGACCCAAACTGCAGACCAAAAAATAGTTGGAACGGTGCAAGAAACCCCCAGGCTCATGCTTGTCGTGCAGACGGATGCATTCCCCGGATTGAGGTGGGAGGAGAAGAGGGCGGTCTATTTGAGCTCCGAGAAAGCGGGTTATTAGTCGGACCTTTCACCCCCTCGTTATGGTCATGGACCCGCTTTAGATCTAAACGCTCTGGTTTAGCGTCTCAGCTTTAAACACACCGTCGCTGTCTTTCCGTTTGTCTCCGTTGTCCTCGGCTTGCTTTATCTGTCGTATTAGTGGTTGCCTTGAGGATGACAGTAGGGAGAGAGGGGGAAGAATAAAATGAGTGTTACAAGGCTCTGTAGTGATCAGTGATAGTAAATTGACGTAAATTAATACTCATTGTAATTACTTGTGCCGATACATGGTCTTCTCTTGTCCCCAAAGGGATGAAACAGTTCTGTTTCATTGTTATCCGCACATTAAATAAAATCAGGGATACTGGTTATGATGTTAGCGGGAAGGGAATCTCTACATAGTTTTTGGTCGTGAAATGGTGAGATCTAGTCTAGTCGGTGATAATGTATTATCATCTTTGCAGCTTCAATGTATATATTATAACTACGTACACTAGACTCTATACATATTCAAAGACTGTGTAGGGGTCTCTGCCGACCCTTACTGTAACACACACACATATGCTACTCCCATCCCTAACAGTGGCTACTGTACCTGTAGTTGATCTCAGAGGTTAGTAAAGAACAATTATGCATAATTGAGATTATAAAAAAAAGTGTGCAATATGAGATCAGACAATTACATTTTCATTTTCAATATATTCCCTCTTTGTGACATATGGGCAATAAATTTGACCATTTCTCAGCTGAAGCACCTCTCAGACTGACTATACTAGAAGATGACTGATGTACAGCGCTTTTCTCTCTCTCTCTCTAAAACCCAACTAAAGGTAGTTGGCATTGTACACCCCCACACACCACCTCATCGCTTCAGTAAAAAGCAACCCCCATCCTCTTTCACTAATATCTTACTAATCAATCCCCTTGCTAAGCTCAAACCGTAGACTCAATAACCCTCGAAATAACTCCGCCTCTGGAAATGTCTTAAACCGAAGGCATTAGAAAAGCGACGACGCGGTTCTAGAAGTTTTACTCACATGTCCCACCCTATCCGGAGCCAAGACGCGAGATTACGTCAAGTCACACAACCGCTTTTTTTGTGAGGGTCTTCTTCCATCCTTAATACCACCAATAATCGCTTTTCTCTACTCCGCGGTAACCTCTAACTTTTGATTCTCAGGTTTGTAACGAAAAGCCTTGATACTATTGACGAAAGGAGCGAAAAGTGAACGGGCTAAAAAGAGGTGATGGGCGTCTCGAATGCCTTGCGGACAGATGTGATGGTCTAATGCCTTATCTTAGGCTAGTAATATGACAAAGACTGAGAGGGGGAAGATAATCGTCTGAACAAGTGCAACCAGTAGTACACAAGTACAATAACAGCATCGCACAGTAGACACTCCAACCTATTTATAGATTCAAGCTCGATCCACAATTGAAGCTTGTGGAGAAAAGCGGGAACAAGTCGAGGTGGGAAAAAGATGGAAAACAAACGTTGGTTGGTGCAGGTCAATATGGCACACTGTACATATCGAGAAAGAATAAGGAACAAGTGGGTTGACAAGCCAGAAGAAAAACAACTTGATAAGACATTCATCTTTCGGTATAACCACTGGAAAACATGCTCTCATGAAGAAAAACACACAAACCCCTATCCTCTGTCTATACCCCAGCAAACTAACGCAAACCTTTGTTAGGACAAACTTCGGTGGTGGGCTGTATGAGTGCGCGAGTTAAGGCCTCTCTCGAGTTGTGAAGATATCTCCACACCTCATCCCATATACCACACTATGAGACCCTCAACCTATATCTGGGCGCTGGTGCTGGCGGTGACCACGCTGCTGGCCCCCGTGCACGCTGATCTAAGTTTTCTGGATCTCGACAAGCCCGATACCGTCGACAAGGCTCTTGCTCTCATTGCTGAGGGTCTTTTGGACTACTACCAGGGCTTCACCTATGGAGGAACCATTGGAATGTTTGTGCCTCCCTACTACTGGTGGCACGCTGGCGCCGCCTGGAACGCCATGATCGAGTACTGGCACATCACTGGCAACTCCACCTTCAACAACATCACCTTCGAGGCCATGAAGGCCCAGCGAGGAGACAAGTACAACCTCATGGTGCGAAACTACTCTTCTTCCGAGGGTAACGATGACCAGGGAGTGTGGGCCATGACCATGATGACAGCTGCTGAACGAAACTTCACCAATCCCGACGACGACTACGGATGGCTGTACGTTGCTCAGGGTGCCTTTAACTCCATGGCTGACCGATGGGACACTCAAGTGTGCGATGGAGGTCTGCACTGGCAGATTTTCCAGTGGAATTCTGGATACGACTACAAGAACGCTATTGCCAATGGAGCTCTTTTCAACCTCGCTTCTCGACTGTACAGATACACCGGTAACACCACCTACCTCGAATGGGCCGAAAAGATCTGGACCTGGTCCGAAAAAGTCAAGATCATCGACGGTGGCCACGTCTACGATGGTATCCATCTGCCCAACTGTTCTGATCGATCTCCCTACCTCTGGACCTATAACTCCGGTATCTACATGTCCGGAGCTGCCTCAATCTACAACGCGACCATGCTTCGAAACGGCACTAACGCCACTCTCGAGGCCTCCGTATGGATGAACCGAACCTACCAGCTGTGGAATGCTGATATCATGAAGGGAATTTTCTTTGGCGGCAACCAGAGCAACATCATGGTGGAAATCGCCTGTCAGCAGGTCACCATCACCTGTAACCAGGATCAGAGAACTTTCAAGGGTATCTACTCGTCGCTTCTTGGCCAGACCGCTCAAATGATGCCTTCTCTGGCTGGCTCTATCCTGTCCTACCTGCGTCCTTCGGCCTATGCTGCTGCTCGAACCTGTTCTGGAGGTTTTGACGGACATACTTGCTCCATCAACTGGCTCACAGGCGAGTACAACGTCTCGTACATTGGTCTCGGAGAGCAGCTGTCAGCTCTGGAAGTTATTCTCAACACCCAGATTCTCAACTCCACTGGTCCTCTGACCGATATCACCGGAGGAACCTCCAAGGGTAACGGATCTGCCGGAACCCAGGGAGACAACCCCTTCGGAACAAGCCAGGACGATGCCAGTCCTTTGGATATTCATGGAGGAGATCGAGCAGGTGCCGGTATCATCACTGCTGCGGTCGGTATCATGTTGATTCTGGTCTTCTGGTTCCTCATTGTTTAAGTTGAGGATCCGGCTTGGGAATGAGCAGCGACTGGCTGTCCTAATGACATTATTCTGAACCACCAGCTGCACACTGGTTGTGTTTTGGGTATTGGAAATAATGAGAACATTACATGGAGGATTAGATGGCAGTATAAGGCTGTATATAGATGGTAAATTATTGTGTTTAAACGGGCTGAAGATCACTGTTGTGCCGTACAGGTACAGCAAAGATGTTTGTAACAAACCTTTCAAGGACCAGTTAGGACAGCACAAGTAGTCTCACCAACAACAACAGAAATATAAAAAAAATATGTATTGTACATATAAAATAAATAAAGGCGCATGCTCATCTCTCAGTTTCCTCTTCCTAGAACCGCGCAACCCCAAACAGTGTCCTTCACCTGGTTATCATACTAACCAGCACCTCCCCATGCTCCTCGAATACGTCTTGCCAACTGCATATCTTTTTGCATGATGGTGACACGTTTTGCATGGATAGCACACAGGTTGACATCTTCGAACAAATGGACAAGGAATGCTTCCGCCGCTTCTTGTAGTGCCAGCAGCGCCATACTTTGCCACTGCAAATTTCCGTACTCGCTGCCCAGATAATTGAGGGCCACCTCTCGGACGACTCGCGCAAACGGTAGTTTGGCAATCAGCAACTCAGTTCCACGCTGGTACCTGCGGATCTCCTTGAGGGCCTTTTGTCCTGGCTTATATCGTGGCTTGGTGATTTTCTGTGTCGTATCTCGTCTCTCGCCTGGCAGAGTCTTTCTCGTCTGACCCAGGGGGTGCAAACCTCCTCCTCCTCGAGGTTTCCCGGCCACTCCGGCTGATGATGAGGCCAGAGATATCCGTGCCATGTGTGGTTTTGTATCAAAGTGTGTTGGTAGCGAGGATGATAGTTTGCACGCGTCGCGTAATTTAGGAGGTTAAGGTGTGGGATGCATGACAGTCTAGATATAGAAGAAGGGCGCATTTTTTTAATATTTTTTGGGGGGAGAAAGGGGGGAGGCTATAGAGCTTATAAAGAATAAGTAACAAATCCAAAATTAATGAGTTTTACTAAGTAGTTACATATCCTGTTCCCATTCAAGAAGAGGGACTTTTCTTCCATCACCATTCCCTTCTTGGACGGTATTCTAAAACTCTATTTGGACCATGCAGAGTGATGCAAAAAAGTTGTGTGTATCAGTGAGATCATCACCGCAGACACCATGGGATACAGCCGGCGACGACCACGAAAGGCGTGGGTAGAAAAGACACCCAGGGAACTTGTGGAGGGACTTGAAGAGCTCAAGCGAGATGTCAAGCGGTCCAAGTTCTACGACTTCTTCCAAACCCATCTCCAACAGACTCTAGAGAAACACAGCACCAAGGAGTTTGCAGATATCCAATGTCTGGCATTGGGCAAGCCTGCAGAGGACGAAGGAGTGCGATACCAGCTGGTATTGTTGCTTTTGCTGGCCGAAGAGCTCAAGATCCCTCTGGACAAGGTAGTCTGTACAGAACCTATGTTCACGGCTCGAGATGAGGAAATGCTCAAGCTGTTAGGAATGAAGACCGTGACAGGGATGTGGGATCCTGATTTCAGAACGAAGGATGTAGAGGAGGAAACAAAATCTGTGAAATCAGATACACAAAAGGCTGACATGGAAGACACAACAGACATAGCCGCAGAATCTGGTGACATCGAAGATCTGACCAAAAGCATTTCCGAGGTGAAACTTCAGCCGACAGAGTCTTTCATCTACGCACCTCATGCACCTGTGAACGTCAATGAACTGCTCTTCATCAATGCAGACTTCATTGTGGCCAACTATCTCGGATCCTATGACACTCGGTTTGGAGATGACGAGTTCAAGCAGAAGTACCCTGCTCTGAGCACGATACTACAGTCTGAAAAAGACCTGAAGTGTGAGTGGGAGATGATCGAGATTCCTGATAAACTGTCCAAGGGCGAAGCTTGGGCTGTGGCGTACAATGGATTTGGTATTCATCGAAAGGAGAGAAAGGCAGCTGCAGCGGAGGAGAGGGAAGAGAAGGAAAAGACGCTGAAGGAGTAAGGCAAGAAGGAAGACAAGGCATAGATGTAGTGAGTCAATTATTTATACGATCTTACTTATTACTACACAGGAGCACTCACACAATAAAAAATGCACTTAATATACAGTTAATCTAACATCAACGTAAGTAATAAGAAGCTCAAGGGCAAAAAACAACTCTGAGGCTCGTTTAAGAAATGTTGACGGGAATAAACTTGGAAGGCATGGACACCCGGTTGAAACGAGTCTGCAGCTTGCCAATGACCAGATCCAGGTCCAAATGTCGAGTGAGACCGACTCGTGGAATACAAGAGATGCAGTGCTTTGAGTCCAGCTGAACATCCAGAGGAGACTGGGTGTTGCATCCAGGCGAGATTGACAGTCGAATGGAGTACTTCTTCTCGCCATACTCATCCGCCTCTACACTCTCATATAGCTCAAAAACAATCTGGGTTAGGTAGTCCAGCTCGGGAATCACGTTTCGGGCGATTCGGGTGTTGATGCCGGACTCGTAGATGATGTTGAGCAGGGTGTAGATGTGAGATTCCTTGGTGAAGTAAGCAATCACACCTCCAGTCTCGGCCTGCTTCATCTCGTTGAGCTCGGACAGAATCTCCTTGAGCAGAGGCAGACACGTCAGCAGACCAATGTCCAGCTTCTCCTTGTCCTCGATACCGTACTCCTGGGGACAAATGAAGTCAAACAGAATCTTGGCCAGTCGGTACAGCTCTCGAAGATGCACGTACTGGGGGCCATAGAAAGTCTGCTGGGGCGACTTGCCGTTGGAAGATGTTTTGGTTTCGTCGTCACTTGTAGGCGTAACAAGAGGAGTCTTTCCAAGAGAAGACAGCTCGGGAGCAGAGACGTTAGGGATGTGGCACGAAGGGGGAGCAATTTCGACACTCTCATCGGGCTTGAAGATTCGCTCGAGGAACTGTCGGTTATGCAGTGCATCGAACTTCATAGCGTCATATAGCTCGGAGATTCGAGAAGGGTCGACCTTGTCGGGCGAAGTGAACTCGGAGAAAAGCTTATCCCATCGCTCTCGGAACAAGAAAGGGGTCTCCTGGCAACACCATCGAGTCTGAAAGGCTTCAACCTCCTCGGGAGTGTGGTTGTTGAAGTTTCTCTCCATGACCTTGTGGTGGTACTTCATGAGCTCGACGACCCGCTGCAACACAATGAAGGGCTCGGGAATCTTGTCGGGCCAGGTGAAATGAGGGGGAGGTGGGGTTCCCTTTCGCAGAAGAGGCTTAAGCTCCTTCTTGACCTTGTCCATGAGGTCCTTGGCGGCGTTGGAATCATCAAGAAGACCCTTTCGAACAACAATGAAGTCGTCAGAGACCTCCTCAACACCTAGGAAGGCAGCTGCCCAAATCTTGGCACTGGCAATGACTCGTCGTTCAGAAGATGAGAGACACTTGACATTCTTGAGCAGGTTCTTGTTGACAATCATGAGATCCTGACGCATCTGGTCACCCATGTCCTGGGCCTGGTATCGAGCCGAATGAGTGGGTTCTCCTCCCCACTTGGCCACTAGTTGCACCTTCTCAACCTCGCCGGTGCTCTTATTGATTGTGGGCTTGATCTGGACCTTGGTTCCGGGGAAATCCATCTTCTTCTCCAGAGCAATGATCAGGTTAGCCATCTTCTGAGGATCCTCGTCAGTAGCCTCCCTTGTGGCCCGTCGAGTAGTCTCAAGCACCTCCATCAGACGATCCTTCTCTCGGTAAAGAACCTCCTCCTTGTGACCCTTCAGTAGATCAATGAAGAGAGGATGCTTAAATGAGACCTTGATCTTCTGCTTGGGGGTTCGGTCTGCGTGTCGAATCACAATAGCCTGGCCCTTGAGAACCCAGGACTGGTGCTTCTCGGGCTGAGGAGCAGTGTTAGCGATGGCTCGGTCCTTGTTTCGCTGCTGCTTAGCCTGCAGGAAGATCTGTCGCAGAATTCGGGCGCAGTTGTCGTAATATTCGTGGTTGTCCTTGACGAAAGAGAAACCGTTAACATCAATGACATACGACTCACCTTGGGCACGCAGCAGATCAAAACCGCAAATAGTCTGCTCAAAGGTCTGAGAGACCTTGCTGGCAAACTTGATCTCCTCGTCAGTCAGCTTGGTCACAAACCGCAGCTCCTTGCCATATGTGTTCCGTCTGACAATACCGTCGACAACGGGGGACTTTCGGGTCTCAGCGTGACAGTAATGGGCTCCAACAGTGTACGCCTTGACATCCTCCTTGTTTTCGGTGTCCATAAACTTCTCGTAAATGTACGAGCCGTCCATCCGGACTTCACAGAGATCCTGGTCAAATTCTGAACTCTTGTTGCCGACCTTTCGGAATAGTCGTCGACCTCCTCCTCCCGACGACTTGGGGTAGTAGACGTAGATGTTGTGGTCTTCTCCATCCACGGGCTTCTCGACGAACGGCTTCGTCATGGTCTTGCCATCCACCATGACGGTATCCTCGTCAACCATGTGACATTCGGACTTGGGCTGGGGAGTCAGGATGACATTGTGTTCGGCCAGCTTCTTGGCCAGGTCAGGGTCGGCCTTTGCGCCTCCGTCTCGGGTGCAAATGAGACGAGGAGGGGTTTGAACATTGGCCGAGTCGAGCAGGTCAAGCACGATACGTCGGTCCCACAGCACTTTTTGCAGAATGAGGTCATTGACGAGGAAGGGTTTTCGTAGCTTGACGTAGGAAATGGCCTTTTCGAGGGGAAAACCGGATGAGAAGAAGGAAATGAGAAAGTCACACGTGGGCCAGTTCTCAATGGGCTCGTCCAAAATCACCTTGTCTCCAAAGACAACGGTTTCAAATTCGCCCGTGTCCAGCAGCCTGTTGAGAATGTGCCGACATGGCTTGGATCGGGCCTTGACGTCCATCGCACAGACACCAATTTTGCCAATCTTGGGAAGGTTGGACAGGTCGGGGGTACCAGAGGCAGCTCTGATGCTAGAGAAGGAAGAGGACCGTCGGGCTCGGCCCTCAACAGCAGCCTTTATTGACGACGTGGAGATGGACGAGTCCGAGGGCTCGTACGAGGATGCGGGGGCCGAGGCCGACACGGTCGGAGACGGTTCTGACATGTTTCACGGGGGGGGGTGTGGTGGGTGTGTGAAGATGTGTGAGAGGTAGACCCGATGTCGACGAGATCAGCTTTAGGGTTCAGACTAATGCTGCGCTCGACAATTGGGAATATCGAAGCAATGATTCTGGGGTGGAGTTTGGATGACAAGGAGAGGGGGTAGAAAGATGAAAAAAAAAGAAATCGATTTCAAAGGAAGTTTTACAGCGATTGACCTTTTAAGATCCGACATCGGTCTCTGGTAAAACAACTTTTAATACTCCCGTTTGTGCTGTTCGCTGCTTATGGTTTTGGCTAACACCAGATGCATAGGCAGCGTGGTGCAGCGAGCCATTCTACTGGACTGGAGCTACAAGCAGCTGATTGGGAAATGTTCTCTGGCTGTTTTTGGAGTGGTAAAATTGATTAGACCACTTGTAGTTATTCTTTTGTTTTATGAGTGAGTGACGTATACTCTTGGCAAGCCACCCCCATCTGAGTTCTTCCGGTTATCTACTGTACGATACCGTCTCCACAGCTCGATCGTCTATGCAGCAGCTTCGCCTTGTTTGGTGGGTTGATATAGCATAGCACAGAAGACCTTAAGCCGATATATACTGGGTGATATCGACAGATTGAGATATAGAATGACCAATTCTCAGTCTGTCTCCAATTCAATAAACTCCCACCTACTATAATACCCCACAATAGTGGCTTTACAGTCCCCTCAATCTACTCCATTGTATCTATCCACGTGCTCGCTATTGTGGAGCCAAAGTTTCGTTGCCGCTCACATGCAAAGAAGACAGACGTATCGTGAGCGCAAGGCCAAATGTTACAGTGGTGTAGAAGGAGGGCTCTATATAGACAGTGTCGGCATCTCAAGTTGCTGGGTCGCACACATCCCGTTGTTATTAATCGTTTCCACCAGTCGTTCCAATTTGGATCTTCCGATATAGTTTTGCACGTCTTACTTAGAAGTAATTGTTACGAGCACACTTGTAGTGAGACAGAGCACTGTAAGTACCATACAGTATGATATACAGTATGTACTTATTTGTACTTTGAGTGCTCTATGTGCTACTTGTAGATATATATATATATATATATATATATATATATATATATATATATAAAGCCCTTTCGGATGTTCCAGAGTCGAGTGTCACTACTGATGCTACAATGCTACAGAGCTGCACAAAGAGGAGCATTATTTTATTTTATTTTATTTTATTGTATTTTATAAACACCACCACAAGTAGTACTTATTTTTATAGTACGTACGTACATTTTTCATAGACAGTCCTTCAAGTACCAACTAAAAATCCAACAAAAATTTCCCTTCACTTGAAACCGAACTCTATCGCCCAACTTGAAAATATAAACAGAACCAGTTATTTCCACTATCACTAAAAAAGAACACGAAGAATACTCTCGGTATACTTCTACTATCATTTCTGCATCTCATCCTAACTTCTTACATATCCTCATATACTGTACAGATTATGACCCATCCAAATAAACTTCTGGCATGCACGACCCAAATATTTTTTTCCAAGCTGCATCACACAAATCATAGCGTTCCGACACCCGCTCTAAAACGATGCCTGCGATTGAAAAAAAGCGAAGAGTGGAGTCTGACGAGGTCACTGTGCGTGACAGACTTGTCGGAACCCCCTCTAAGATCTTCACGCCTTTCAGAGTGAGTACTACACCCCCATCACTACACCCAACATCACCAAACTAACACAGACTATTGGACATGTTGCCAACTCCACACCTATTTCCGTGTCATCTTTCGGCCGAAACTTCCTGGTTGCATGCAGTGTGGGCCGAGCCGTTCAGATCTACGATGTTTCGACGCTCCATCTCATGTTTGTAACCTCTCCTCAGACCCCCGCGCCCATCCAGTCGCTTCATTTCCACCGACCCTACGTTTATGCCACCTGGGACAACTGTATTGGCGTCTACTTCCGTGGTAAGCTACTGTACAAGCTGGAGTGCGACACCAAGGACAAGCTAGTGTGTGTGCGATCTTTCGGAGAGAACCTGGTGGCCATCAACAGCTCACAGATCTTTGTCTTCAAGCGAGGCCAGAAGAAGGAGGAGCAGTCTGACGACGAGGACGAGGAGGAAGATAGAGACGAGCTGGACCCTCCGTTTGAGTATTACACCACCGTGACTCTCGCCAACTCTGTGGGAGCTGCGCACTCCATCATCCATCCCCCCACCTACCTCAACAAGATTGTGGTGGCAACTCGACGGTCTCTATTGCTGGTGAATATTCGAACAGGCAAAGTTGTTTTCTCCACCAACGAGATTGGATCTGACGACGAGATCACCGCCATTGTTGACGCTCCCGTTGTGAACTACATTGGAGTGGGAACTGCATCCGGAAAGGTGCACGTCTACAACCTCAAGCTGGGTGAGCGACTCATGGCCTTTCACACCGGCTCGCGGGTCAACTGCTTGTCGTTCCGGTCGGACTCCTTTGCCCATCTGGGTGTCGGAACCGCCTCCGGAGATGCTTTCTTCTTTGACCTCAATTCCCAGAAACGTCTCCACGTGCTGAGAGAGACTCACGAGGAGAGTGAGGGAGGAATCACATCGCTGGTCTTCCTGCCCGGAATGCCAGCTTTCCTCACATGCGGTGGAGATAACTCTCTGCGAGAATGGGTGTTTGATCCAGTCATGTCGGAGTCCAACAAAACAGTCATTGCACCTCCGCGAGCCCTCAGACACCGAGCTGGTCACAGTGCGCCCCCCACATCGATCAAGTTTGTTGACGAAGAGGCCCATTTTCTGGTCTCAGCCTCCGGAGACGCGTCCATGTGGCGCTTCTCGCTCCGAAAGGATGCTCAGAACCAGGAATTCTCACAGGTGTCCAAGCTCACGGAGGAGCAGAAGAACAACCCTTTCGCCAGCAAAACTCGAGCTGCCGGACCCTCTAAAAAGATGCGTGTCAAACTTCCTCCTGTCACTTCTCTAGCCCAGACTTCGCTTAGACAGCAGGAATGGGACTCGATTCTGACAACTCACAAGGGCGAGAACTGGGCACAGACTTGGGACGGACACCGAGGACGAGTTGGAGCTCACAGATTGCCCACTTCAGATGGTGGCATCGCACAGACTGTGACTGTGACTCAGTGTGGTAACTTTGGTGTGGTTGGATCTGCTACTGGATCCGTTGACATTTTTAACCTGCAGTCAGGCATCCTGCGACGCAAGCTACAGGGTACCCCCAAGAAGAAGGCCATCACAGGCATCGTGGTTGATTCGCTGAACCGAGAAGTCATCACGACTTCTCTGGACCGAAAGGTGCGATTCAACGACTTCCACACTGGTAAGCTGCTCGAGACTGTGACCCTCGCTGCTCCTATCACCAAGCTGGTTCTGCATGACTCGTCAGATCTCATTGCTTGTGCTCTGGACGACTTCTCCGTCGTGGTCATCGACACCATCACCAAGCGAGTGGTTCGAGTTCTGGAGGGCCGACACGCCAACCAAATCACCGACATTTGTTTTTCTCCCGATGCAAAGTGGGTTATTTCAGCATCTCTCGACTCGACCATCTGCACCTGGGATCTGCTGACTGGAGCCTGTATCGATGTTATTCGACTCGACACTGTAGCTACAAACGTCGAGATGAGCAGAAACGGCGACTGGCTAGCCACAGCTCACGTGACCGGAAACGGTGTGTGTTTGTGGTCCAACCGGGGCCAGTTTGTAGACATTTCGTCTGCTCCTGCTCCCGAGATTGAGTCTTCTGAGGTTGCCCAGATTGATGCCGTCGGCTCTCTGGCTCAATCCTCGGTTGTGGATGGTGCCTTTGAGGAGACCGAGACAGAGGATCAGAGTCTGGCTGCTTCGATTGCCCAGATCGAGGAGTCTCTGCTGACCCTGTCTCTTGCTCCCTCCTCCAAGATGAACACTCTTGTGCATTTGGACACCATCAAGATGCGAAACAAGCCCAAGGAGGCCCCCAAGGCTCCTGAGCAGGCTCCTTTCTTCCTACAGCTTACCGGTGCCGACAAGAAGCCCGAGGAGGCTACTTCATGCCCCGATGGACTTGTCCCCTCTAATTTCGATGCTATTGGAGAATCTGCATTTTCTCGTCTTCTCCGAGAGGCTGCTCAGTCCGGCGAGTACCATGAGTTCATTGACCATCTGGCGGGTATGTCTCCTGCCCAGACCGATCTCGAGATCCGATCTCTCAACTCCTGGGCTCCATACACCGAGCTGATTGCGTTTGTGGACGCCATGGCAGCTGTTCTAGAGAAGCGAACCAACTACGAGTTGGGCCAGGCATGGATGAACATGTTCTTGCGCTGCCATGGAGACGTTATCATGTCTGCTCTCAACCCTAAGATTGTTGAGGACGAAGAGGAGGACGAGGTTCAGCAGCAGCCCTGTGAGCCTCTGAAGGGGTCGTTGACCAGATGGAAGGAGCTCAACCAGCACGAGTCCAACAGAATGGAGGATATTGTCAAGTACTGCCAGGGAGTCATCAACTATCTGCGAGTTGGATACTAAGCAGAACCCATAAGGGCTGTTTGGGTGGAAAATGTTAGAATAATGCATGTTTTTGGATACTGGAGTAGAGATATGATGAGAAGGTGTCACAGTACACCATACAGTAGGTATAGCAAAGGTAACAGTAATGATAGACATTGTTACTTCCAAGTTCAAGCGTAGTTATCCTTCATCTACAAGGTAGTATGATACCGCGCTTGTAGTTACTGTAGACCACGTTTACAACAAGCACTCGAATTACGTGACCAAAGCAGCCAATACACAGTTCAGTTGATAATACGTCTTGTAGTATAATGTACCTTTGTAGGCAGAAGTTCATGGTATCCTGACTGAACTTGTACTACTTGTAGAGTGTATACTTGTACAGCACTATAATATTACGTCATGCGCCACACAGCCACTGTGAAATATGCAGCAAAGGAACCACAAGCATTGTATGAGAAGACACCAGTACTTATAGTGATGACAGGTGAAGGGTACGATGCGGCACAGAGAATAGCAGAATGAACCAAATAGCTTATATTAGGGTCATTATTAATCACTGTCTTTTCCCCCTATCGAGAACGTTTCGAGAGCCGTCTCAACTATGTCGTCCTCCAGTTTCCCCTTCTATGATCGTCTCCACACTCTCCACATGTAGTCTAATATTTCGACAACCCTAACCTAGGCACGTGGGCGTGTTTTGTCGTTGCAAGAGGATCTATGTAACGGGACGGAAAAAAGTGGCACCAAGCTGAAATTTTGAATAACAAATAATTAGGAGCAATTGAACCGCTGGTCAAAAAATCACGACGGTCCATCACTCCTGATCCCTATAATATCACTATCTACCTTGCGTCTCAAATTTTAATTCGCTTTAAAACACCCGTTCACCATGGCTTTCCTTCCCAATCTTGTTGCCACTCCAATGTCTCTTGCCAGCTCCTACTCCAAGCCCGTCACTCTCGGTATCATCGGTGGCACCGGTCTCTATAAGCTCGGAGCTTTGACACCCGTTGCTCAGATCGACATCGACACTCCCTGGGGCAAGCCTTCTTCTCCTATCACCATCTCCGAGACCAAGTCTGGTTTCCCTGTGGCCTTTCTTGCCCGACACGGTGTCAATCACGATCTGACCCCCACTGACGTTCCCTCTCGAGCCAACATTGCTGCTCTCAAGAAGGTCGGAGTCAAGGCCATTGTTGCCTTTTCTGCCGTTGGATCTCTTCAGGAAGAGATTGCCCCCCGAGACTTTGTTGTCCCCACTCAGATCATCGATCGAACCAAGGGTATTCGACCCTCGTCTTTCTTCGAGAAGGGTTTCGTTGGCCACGTTGGATTCGGAGAGCCATTTGACGTTGCTCTGGGAAAACTTGTGGCCGAGCACGCCGACAAGGCCTTTGATAACTCCAAGTATAAGATCCACACCAAGGCCAAGGCCGGAAAGGACCTGACTCTCGTCTGCATGGAGGGCCCGGCCTTTTCGACCCGAGCCGAGTCACAGCTCTACCGATCGTGGAACGGAGCCGTTATCAACATGTCTGCCATTCCCGAATCCAAGCTCGCCAAGGAGGCCGAGATCGCCTACCAGATGATCTGCATGAGCACCGACTACGACGCATGGAAGGAGGACGAGGAGCCTGTCACTGTTGAGCAGGTTGTCTCCAACCTCACTGCCAACGCCGAGTCTGCTACCGGTGTTGTCGAGGCTCTTCTTGAGCCCCTCGAGAAGGCCCTTGCTGACAAGTCCATTGGCTACGATCTGGACGGATCCATGAAGTTTGCCGTTTCCACTGCTCCCGCTGCTCGAGACGCAACTGTTGCCAAGAACCTCGACTTCCTGCACCCTGGCTACTGGTAGAGGAATTGGTGTACCTGTAAGATACAGTTAGATAATCAACGTTTTTTATTAATAGATTATTAGAAGATTGTGATAAGTGCGAGTCCAGAAAAAGTCATGTATCGTACGATACCGAGTGAAACCTGAGAAAGAAAACGTCGTGAAAGAGACCACATGCATACTTGTACTTGTACTATGGATTGGTATTTGAGACTGAGCACACACCATGGGTGCAACACCACAAACTGCTCAAATGAGAAAGGACAAACGCCTACTTGTACTGTAAACCCCGAGTACAAGTACGACTACTCGTAACGGAGACCAAATCCACCCATGCAATCAACGCGGAAGTCTCATTGCTCTGCTTTCGACCTTGTACATATACACGCTTGTCTCTGACCCTCACGGCAAAACCCTTTAGTTGACATTACTAATACCTATTATATGAATGGCTAAAACTAAATAGATAATCTCAAATACTAGTGCCTTCCCCCCTCATCATATTGATTATCAGATAATCCACTAGCGCCAATACTAGCGACTGAGTGCTTGCATCCTACGCTAGCCACTCTCCACAACTGATAGCGCCCATTAAAACAGCAGCCGCCTGAGGGGAGATCCAAGCCAACTAAATCAAAAGCATCTGATGAATTAGAAATTGAAGCTGCACATGTTGTAGGTAGCAGGTGGAATTTCCTACTGGGTGGGTTGTGAGAGGAGAGAGTTGGGTAGGGGTAAGCAGATATGTGCTGTCTCTGTATGGACAGTGAGATGATGAGCTTATCGGAACAGCGCATCTTGTTAACGCCTGTCTTCGTTTGTATCTGCAATACGGCATGCCCGTCTTTATTCGCCCCGCAATGGTACGTAATAGCTCTGATTTTACTGGTTCTCGTACGAGTAGTCTCTTTGAACGTTCAAACAGAGATCCATGGTTCGTGCAATTGAGAGAGTGTGTGCACAGAACAGGCCACGAACACAGTGGAATACTGCGAAAGACTGCACGAAATTGGCTGAGACAACATATGGTAGGTAGGCGAAGATGTCTGCGAAGTCCTTACCCTTGCCACTTCCCGACTGCCCTCCAGTTAGCGACCTTTTTCGTAGATCACGTTCGAATAGACGCTAGTACCATTTATGAACAGTGGGTAGCTACGATACTGTACTTGTACCGTACACACAGCATTTCAGAGAAGCCAACTGGTTTCAAGTTCTATCGATGTCCACAACGGATACAGCCTTCACGTACAGTACCTTTGAAAACAGCAGCCGCACAAACAGATACTGTAGATCAAGCCGCATGGTGTCAATAAAGGGTACGAATCCCACAATGATACAGGTCCACCAGACAAGTCATTCTCATTACATGACGCATTGTACCTGCCAGTTGGTTAAACCGAACCATTATCGACACCCGCCAACTGCCTACTCCATTTCTACCTTCCTCTCCGCATGCTTGCAATAGTTTGCACAAATCCATCATTGTTAACAACATAACTACATTATAATCCATCTCATCATTTCAGTTTTGCGATCCTTGCCTTTTTGCATGAGAGGGGACACTCGCACAGGGTATGCTTCATCGCTTAGCCATTTTGTCTCATACAAATATCGTCATGCCGCTTCTTCATTCAGCAACAGCCTTCTCGAAAAACTCGGGGTCCTCCTGAATGCTCTCCTTGACGATATCCAGACCGCCCTGCAGCTCGCCTCCAATGTACAGCTGGGGGAAGGTGGGCCAGTCGGAAAACTTTTTCAGGCCCTGTCGCACGGCGTCATCTTTGAGAATGTCGAAAAAGCCGAACCGCACGTGATGTTCTCTGAGAATGGCGACCAATTGTCGTGAGAAGCCGCACTGTGGAGCTGCCGGCGTGCCCTTCATGAAGAGCATGACTGGTGCGGCCTTCACGAGTTTGGCCAGACGGGCGTTGAGTTCTTCTTCGGTCTCCTCTGCGGGTTCGGGAGCGTCTGTGGATGAGCTGGCAGGGGCGTCAGCAGTAGAAGAAGTGGGGGCAGCGGCGGCGGCCGACTCAGACTCGGCAGGCTTGGCGTCGCTCTCGCTCAGAGCGCTGATAGTGGCGGCCAGCTCCTTGGGGTCGGCTCCACTCAACTCCTTGAGAATGGTGCCGTCCCTGAGCATGACAAAGTAGGGTACGGCCGAGATGTCGAAAGATTCGGAAATCTCTGGCAGCTCATCGGCGTTGACGGACAGAAAAAGCACCGACGAATGGAGGGTCGACAGCGACTTGAAAACGCTGTTCATCTGGGCACAGGGAGCGGCCCAAGGAGTGTGGAAGTAGACGGCCACCAGAGTGGTGGGAGCTAGCGAGCTGGTGAGCTCGGAGAAGTGCGAGTCGCTGGTGATTTCCACGACTGACATGTTGCACTGGGTCTGTGTATCTGTTGTCGCTCAAGTGAGTGGTGGGTCAAGTGTGTGTGCTGGTGCTGTGCTGTAGTGCGTTGAATCAGATTTGTCAAAATCAGATTCCTCCCAAACTTTCAACTCAGTATTGCACTGGGCGAAGAAAAGAAAAGATTAAATATGAGATTGATAAGATTGGCGCTTACTGACAAAAAAACGTCCTAGTGGCTATTATGAGCCTAGCAGCAGCTGAAACGATGCCTAGAAGATGACATAGTCATGGGACACAAAACCTGCTTCTCGTACGACTTTTCTCCACTCCACTTAAAGTGCTAGAACATCTACTGTGGCTGTAGTTCCGGAGCAAACTCAGCCGTGCTAACCGTGTTGTAGGTGTGCTTACCACTATACGTACAAGTACTAGTACCAGTAGTTGAATCGTCCGGTCAATGCTCTCATAAAGCATTTTGGTTTTTTTCTCGGGCCACAAATGCTTTATTTACACCTTCATTTATCTCTTCAACAGTACTTGTACATACCGTAATACTCGGTTGTTCAATTTCTCTATAGTGTGTAATTACGTCGAGTAACGTCCTGTAAAGTACATACTCTAACTCTTACTTTTTCGACATCGGATTGTCTCGTTTCTTTCTCCCACTTATCTCCTGTCTTTGACTAAGAACGGGCAATTGCATCTGATTGATAAATACTCCCTCAACCCACTTCGGTCACGAGTACATACTGTACTGTACTTGTACATGTATCGGTCATATTATGTAGGTATCTGCGGATCGAAGAGGCCCAAGTACTTGCAAAGTCAACTAACTCTGTCGACTTTGTGGGACCTTAGTTGATGCAGACACTCTGTATCACAACCTTATTCTCGCCTTCTGTAAAATTTTCTAATTATCGCCGGGTAAGTTGAGACATTGCGAGAGGAAGTTGCGAGAGTTATAGTCGGAGTTTAACTCGCACGAGTGACGTCATGTTCTTCGATTGAGATCACACGATACAATATCAGATCAATTCTATCCGTAATTACTGTGAACAAACTGACTCTGCGGCTCTCTCGCATGGCATCGGAATTAGCCGCGATGCACAGAGATCTGCGAAGTATTCAGAGACAAACGTTCGAAGTGGAGGTCGAGAAAAAAAAATAAGATCGCATCTGTCGATTAAGCCTAAATTGTGAGAGCCGGACTCGTGCTCCGATAACGGCGTTCGTGACTTGGACTGTGAGGATGCACAATTCCATAGTATTATCATCAAGTCAAGAACAGGAGTGAAGAAAACTTGGAGATGATAAGCACAATAGGCTAGGACTCTCAAAAGCCGTAATAACAACGGCTGTCCTTTAAATCGGACACTACTTGTACTGCAGTGCAAGTGGTATATAAGGTAGCTTTGGTGTTACGGGTCTCTTATATACAAGAATAAACAAACTGTACGAACACTGCAAGTACAATACATCGATTGCCGTAAAAACAAATGCAATAATAAATAACTAAATAAATACTTTCCTTTCCACATTCTACATCCACTCATCGTCGCTGTCATTCATAGCCTCCATCAGATCAAAGTCGTCTTCGAGATCGAGCTTGTCTCCCAAAGAAGCCAGAGATGTGAACGGTTTTCCAGTTAATTCAAAAATCGGCCCCTCCTCCTTCGTATCAGTCTCTGCCTTTGTCGACTTTGTTTTACTACGGATCTTGCTGGTGTAGAAGTCTTCGAACAGAACGATATCCTGACGAGACGTCCAATGATTCGCATGCATCTTCTCGTCCACTTTTTTGCGTGTTTCCAATGCCGTTCTCCTAGCATCTATACCCTGCTTGAAGAGGTTTCCTGTTCCAAATTGCTTGGGCGAGTTCTTCTGGTTGAACAGATAATGCAGCTGCCTCAGCAAGTACTCAATGGAGTCGGCAGACGAGAGCTTGCCAGATGCGTTCATTGCGCCAATACTGCTGGTCTCAGACAACTGATAGATGAAATTAATGTCAGTAGTAATACCCACCCTGACTGCCAGGGCAAACAGGTAGTCGACAATGTTGTTCCGAGCTCCCAGATCGTCGCCCCATTGAGCCAGAAGACCTCCTATAATGTCGTGGTCGATCTGAGACGTGTCTTTCTTGGTTCCAAAGAAGACACGACCCATGGCCCGGAAAAAGGATACCTGATCAGGACGAATGTAGTCAGCTGAAGTAGCCCCGCTAGAGGTCACGGTAGACCTATGGAAGAACTCCAGGGCGTTGATGGCTGACCGAATGTCACCCAGGACATAGGCCACCTCCAGACACGGACCATAGATACTCTTAGGTGCGAGAGTGAGCTTCCGAGGAACCGCTTTGGTAGAGCTCACAGACACGTGTTTGGAACCAGCTTCAGCAAGAACAATCTCCAGCAGCGGCTTTCGTAAGAAACTTTTGGCCACAGACGATACCTTGACTCTTTTGATTCTGGGATGATCCAACAGGTCACGAGAGAAGATACTCTCGACTGTATGCGACTCTGCAAACGATTGAGCCTCGTTGTTGTCGTTCTCCGAGACCACAACTATCAGGGGGGCCAATTTTTCTTCCGGTAAATAGTTCAAGTACTCCTCCACAGCCCGTCGAAACCACATCCGGGTACCTTCATGCATGATATTAGGGAGATCCTCCACAAGAATAACACGCATACAGTCGTCCTGACGAAGAAACATGTACTCCGAAACAGCTTTGTGGAATGCCTGAGCTGATGGTGCTTGGTAGATATGAGCTGGGTTACTCCATTCAATCTTAGCGGGGGATTTATTGAGAAGCTTGGACACATCAATGATCGCTTGATTGAGAGCTGTACTTTTCGAAGAACCTGCAGGTCCACTGAGAATGACTACCCGTCCCACAGCAGAGGTCACCGACTCTAGAATGGTGTTGTAGATTTCCGTGTACTTCTTGGGACTGATGGCGATCTCAGATGCATTCTTGGGCTGGTACTTGGCAGTCCACGGGAGGCTCCCTGGCAGCGGCAAGTTAAGGTCACGCGATTCACTCTTGTTGTTAAAATGTGCTTGATTGACGTCACGTGATCGGGGTAGAAATGACGGCGGTGATCGCTTCCTGAGTGGTTGAGCCCTTGGTGGCGGCATTGCCTGTATGGGTGGAGGTCTGGCTGGTTGCGGCTGAGTCTTTACGCCACGTGACAAGCATTTTTCGCGTGCTGAATCCAGGGCGTCGAACAGGTCGGTCTCGCTGATGTCTGACAGGCCGTCATCGTCAGAATCGAAGAAGGTCATGATTATGTTTCGTTCTCATGGAGGTTTAACATAGATGCATATTGGGGGCAAAATAGAGTTTATAATTGCGAAGGCAACGAAAAAGCAGGCACACACAAACAAATGGCAAGACGAATGCTCGATGCATATTGAGTTTTTGAGCATGGATCAATCCGGTATGGGAAAGACGAATAAGGGCATTGCTACACTGCAGTGAGTTGGTTGTGGAGCCGTTAATGGACTGGTACCTGCCGCAATGAGGTTGTTTCATTATCCTTGTCGTACAGTTCACTGTATCAGGTACAGTACTACAAGTAGCATGTGCCATTCTGGCAACATACTCGAATGTACAGTATGTACATGACGAAAGGACTGAATGTAGGACAAGGACGCGATGCAGAAGAGTAGAAACTACTGTACTGTAACAGGAGGGGATGTTGGCGCCCTACTACATGGTCATAATTGGTTTATTTTGGTTCCAAAGTGGAAATAGCAGTAAGTCGTCTTCTTGGTGGGCAGGGCTCCAGTTAATGATATTTACTCCACCTTCGACACTTGTTTGTACAGAAATGAGACAGTCATGTGACGACAGTGGTCGTTAATGGAGATAATATTTCGAGATTACTACTGTATATACTTGACATGATCTTGTGTTGACCCTGTGACCACATTATAATTTGGGGAAATTATCGGATATGATAACGTTGAAGCGACTGTACGTTTTGTACTTTCACACAATTACACGAGCATATAGGCAGATGAGCATAGTGCTGGGATGAAGTAGGTCAGATGACGAGTTCGAGGGAGCTACTGTGACACGTTTCCGGTCAATTATTACCCAATTCAACTCTACGCACAGACACTAACCCTACTATACGGCTCTGTGTGTGTGGACAGGTCGAAGCAAAAGGCGGCCTTGGCCACCAGCCTGAGGCGGTGGCAAACACCCTAATTGCTTGTGCTTGTAGCGGGGCCTACTACAAGTGCATTAGTACGCGAGATACAATAGAAACTAACGATACTGTGGCTGCTTGGGGTTATTAAGGAGCACGTTATTGCTTTTAAGCGAGGTTTGGCTTTGAAACGTTCTACAGTAATTACGAGACTAGAAAAAGCAACGGCAAAAGTCATCAGATGTGTTCTTCAGAAGCACGTGCTGTTGACTGTATGAGTTGTATACTCCCGACGGCTGGCCAACTAATACTATTGAAGAGATGAATTCGATCCTTGGCATCAAGGCTCTGTCGTATTCGCCTGTGAACACCGCGTCTATTGGAGTAGTCCTTGTTGGCCCACCCATTGTTATCACCCCACACCCTACAGGCAGTTTATGTACATAGGGAGGTGCCTAAAGCGGTATCAGTCTAGCTGGTTACGGACATGGAATGTCTTACTTGTGCTAGTTTTACAAGTCCATGCTTTTTTTTTGCTCATCATTGGGTTGGGGTGCACACGATGAAACATGGAGAACTGAGACGACCGACCTTTGCAACCAGCAGTGAGACCCCCGGTGAGACAGGGGTCATGGGAGAGTTGTTCACCAGCAAGTGTCCGTGTAGCAAGTATCTCCAAACTGGGCCAATATCATCTTGGCATTGGTATGGTCAATAAGTGAGCACTTTTCCCACCCTCCGCACCTTGCACCCACGACTGTGAAGTCTAAGAAAAAGCAAAACACGTATTGCTGGAGATATGGTTGTACATCTAATGTGACGACGAAAGAGGTGCTACCTGTAGCCACTTGAGCCGCCCATGGAGTGGTGCCTGTACTGTACTATTGCGAGTGTGGGGGCCCTAGTTAAACATTACAGTAGTTACTCCTCGTACTCACACTGTATTAAATAAATTGGATCGTGTGTACCGCAGGGTGTACGTCTTGTTCTTGCACTCACTCACTGTACCATTTGTGCGTTGTACGCCATGCGTTAAAGTCAATCGTGAACTCTCCTACTCCGACACGTGTTTACATGACGTCAGTGATCCGGTGTAGGGTTGTGGAGTATGCACAAAGAAGACCTACTACGGACCTACATACAGGGTCGTAGGCGGCCGCGGAGGGTCCGAAAATGGGACTAGTCCGCTGGAGCACGATGGGCCAACGATAATTTTCTGCTCGTCTCTTTCTTCGTATTCTGCGCTTCTCACGAAGGAGGTGCTCATGGATGCTCATGCACACAGTGATATCAATCTGTGGTCCCAGGCCAAAAGAAAATATATCTCCCACCGTGCTTTTTATACTTTTTTAGCTTTGCCAGCTATTTATATTTGCAGCTAGTAGATGCGCAATTTCACATGTCCATCTCGGAGGTCGGATGGGGCTCCGAACAAGGGATGAGGGCCTGTCAGAGGCGTTTTGAGGCCGTGGAAGCAAATACGAGAGGTCGTTTTTACCCCTACCCTCCTATCTAGTGCCCCATTTCAGACACCTAGCTACGCCCCATCAGGCGGCACACACAACTTGTATTAATTTTGGCGTCCCAAATAGGAAACACATTAACCCAGAGCAGGCAATAAGAGGGTGCACACTGCACAAAGAAGTACGAGTACACAGTTAGCCCCTGACTTGCAACCCCTTAACACATGTTTTAAGGTTGATCAGGTGGAGGAGGACAGAACAAGGGATATAATTTGGACCTTAACGGGTGCAATAAGGGACGTTTATGTGGGAAAAAAGCCGATACTAAGAATATTCAAGCAGTTAGAAATAACCACATATCCTTATTATGTTGGTAGCTGGGGCCTGTCAGCTCTTACACCCCGTCAAATGCCACACATTCCTAAAATGCATTCCTTGTGAACCTTTTCAAATAAACTTTTAGACGGGCTGCTTTCAGGCTCCTTTCAGGCCGCTGACTCTCTTTCAGGCAGTGCCTTGTCCCGCTTCAAACCCTAAATGTTACTGCTTTGGGCGTTAAAGTTGGACCGCTACTGCGTGGCACACACGTCTTCGCGTCTCTTGTTGTGGAGATATCTTCATCTACTACCTCCAAACGCTTGAATCCGCTTCAGCTCCTCGATATATTCCACCCTTCGGCTGTTTAGCCAGAGCAGAGTGTACACACGCAGTACACAGACATAGCTACCAGTTAACGGTAACGACATTCAACGAACAACACCAACCAGAACCAACACAGAAAGATACACTGTCCTGTTATACGCCAACGACATCCAACAACTTTTCGACACATAACATACACACGTCACTTCTTTTCTCAACATGGACCTCAAATCAATTGTGTTGCCTCCTCCTCGACCAGGCTCGGCCACAGAGCTATCTAACCCACACCTATCACCTGGCCATGGTCCCCTGAGACCCTACTCGGCCAACGCCCTTCCCAGTATAACCACAGCCCCCGGTGGATGGAAGACGTCGTTGCCTCCTAGTCCGGTACACAGTCCTAATAATGGACAACCGAAGGACAAGGATGGCAATCAGATGACTGCTGCCCTCGTTGGTGAAAGCAATGGTGTTGCGAGCGTGAACGGAATGAATGGAACTACTAACGGAGCCACCTCTTCTAACGGAACCATGTCTAATGGAACCTCGCCAGGTCAGAGTCCTGTCAACCAGACACTGAACACAGCCACTTCGCCGACGCATTCGGTGCCACAACTGCCTCCGCCAACGGCAGAGACGTTTCCCACGCTCAACAGAAAGAGCAGCACATCCAACTTCAAGATCTCCAAGTCACCGCCCAAGTCGCTACGGAAGGCAAAGTCCATGGCTGCCCTAGGCTCCTCGCTCTCAAACTACCCTCCACCTCCCATGCCGGACTACGAGTACGACGATGAACCTGCTTCTCCCACGGCCATCAAGACGGAGCAGCTGGAACCTGCTACCCCCAGCATCCCTATCATCAGCACCCTGCCCTCCTCCACGAGCGTCTCTTCCAGGCGACACGCACACATTCTGTCGGAACAAAGACGGCGAGAAAACATCAACGGAGGCTTTCAACAACTGCGCAACGCAGTCCCCTACTGCCGAGGAACCCAGCTGTCCAAGGCCGTCATCCTCAAGAAGGCGGTCGAGTACATTGCAGCTCTGGAGGAAGAGGTGTATAACCTGCGGTACAGACCTGGTCCCCCCCAGGGCCATGCACCTCCCCAGACCCACACCCACGGCCCTCCCCCTCAACACCATCATCAACATCAGGCTCCCCCCATGCACCACATGCCCCACCAGCAACATCCACAGCATCAGCCTCATGGGCCCCCTCCTATGCATATGCCTCCCGGAGCTCCCGGGTCCGTCGCAGGTCCACCTCCCATGCACATGCCTGTCTACTCATCTCCATCGCCGTACTCGTACCGGTCGGGATCCCACAGTGCCTCACATCTGCCACAGCCTCCTCACCACGTTCCTGAACGTCCTGCATCTGCCGAGGGCTCGCCATATGCGCGACGATCGTCCCACCAGGATCTACGAAGCTTGCGGTCTAGTAGCACCACGTCCCTGGTTGACGATAAGCTGCCTCCCATGAACAGTGAGAGGTAGCTAGCTATCTGAGAAAGGTTTCCCCACGACTGGCTCTGCCGACAGTTGGGGACGAGCCAGAGCTTCAAGACTACGTTTTGATCTGTGAACCGAGTCTGGTGCTGAGGATGAATCCTTGCACCCTGATGATACACAATAACAAAACACACCCGCCATCGCGGTTTAATTTATTATTATATACTCATAATTAATTTCATTTCTAATTTCACTAAATGAAGACAGAATAGATGGGCTGGATTGAAAAGTATTCGACATTCGACCATGTACTTGTAGTTGGTATGTACTGGCACCTGTACAGTGGCCTTGGGCTACAAATAATGTTGAGATGCATTGCTCTGGGTAGACAACGGTGTGTACAGACGCTAACTTGTGGGGCCCATGGAGTGTACAGTACACTCGTACTTACATACAAAGGTCAGTCTTTCTACCAGGGCAACTGTATCTGGTTTTGATGCACTCCTTAATATTCTAGCTATAGTTAGTTACAAGTACAAGTAGCAAGTAGTTGGAGCACCATTGACATCCACATTACACGACGGGATGCACTCTTATTCATGTTTCTCAGTCACATAATGGAAATGTTGATGATGTTGATGTTGTCTCGATAGGCCAACGCGTTTTCAATTACAGGCGCCCCTTTATTGCCACTAATTTGTATTAATTGGCGAATACACTATTTTAGTCTGAATCTAACTTGTAGTACGGATATGGTACAGTAGCGCGTAATCCTGTCCATGCGTTGAGTCATCCATACACAACGTTTTATGACTTTGTTTATGGATGGGTGAGTTGAGCTGTGGTTTAGGAGTCGTGGAGGAGCTGAGAAGGTGGAAGCGAGGTTCTACTGAGCTACTGTAGCCTGGCTGGAAAGGGGGTGCATGGTTGTCTACAGTATGAACTGTACCTACTTGTAGCTTGGAGGAGATACATGAGTTGGTAGATTAGAGGAGTGATACTCCTAACATTGTTGAGTGTGAGCTGGGAGTCAATATATTCTCAATTTTTAGTTGATGCTTCCCAAGTAATACTGTTACTGTACAAACAATCGAGCTCTACACTTGCAAGTCCACCGTCCGCCCAGGAGAAGAACTACAAGTACTGTAGAGCAAGAGGACAACAAGAGCTGCCTATACCACCACTTGAGCAAAAAATGAAGGTACTGTAAAACATTGAAAGTGGCCCCATTTGTTATCTATCCACCTCTCATACCATGCTAATGGGTGCACTGTAGCTTGTGCAGAACTCCATTATGCCCGATGTCCACTTTGTTTTATTAATCCACATCTTTCCCCAATGTTCTAGACTGTTTCCAATAATATTTCTACGTCTATTTATAGTGCCCACGAGCAGTCAGCAGAAAATATTGCTCTTACATTTACGGAGATTAGTTACCCCTGAACATGCGATGATCCATGCTGAGATATTATTTCATGCGACTTAAAACAGAGCAGTTCCAAACGTCAGCGTTACGGCCACGCTAATTGTAGAAACCCCGATGTGGAACCCCAACGCTAGCAGTAGACTAAAAAGGGATAACTGAGATGTTCAAGGAGCTACGGATATGACTAATTGAGTGGGCTAGTTTGCAAGCTGGCATGCATGATGCTAGAGGGACTATTGTAAATGTAATAGCATAGTATTTACCAAGAGGCATTATATATCCGTCGACATGTTTGAAGAAGCAGTGTCCTACTTGTAGGAAGAGGATTGTGCGTATCACCGGTCCATGATGTTTTTCTAACACAGCTACTGGAAATGTATTCCTGCCTCTGAGCTTGAGTCTACAAGTCATGATCTACAGGTGGGTTGCCTATAGTAACACTTGTAGGCTTGAAATCAATATCTAAAGTACTGTAGTCTGTAAGTTGGTTTGTTTATGATTAATACCAAAACAGGTAATATATACTGCGTCAGAGCGCACTGATATTACTGTAATGTTACGCGTGAGGTGCCGAGTGAGGTTGCACCATGTGTTTACAGCAGAGAATAGAAGGTATTGGTTGCGTGAGAGGAAAGCAAACTGAGTAATGACTTCAATATAATTTCTAAAGAGCTGTTGAGAATACTTTGGCAAAGTACCTATCTTTCTGTCAGTTGAATGGCGGAGAGTGTGTTCCATGAAATACATCGGAATGGCCCTTTCTCGTTTAAACTAACTCAAGGAAGTAAATGAGAGGGCTGGCTAAGTACAAAACAACTGTAAGCGGACGTGAGTAGACTTGAAATTCTCTGAGAGAAGTGAGTCTGAGACAGATATGGTTATATCGGACATATGTATATACTTACTGTCTTGCTGTGTTTCCGCTTTCTTAGCATGCTTCTATCAAAATGATCTTTGACAAATTTTTATGGGGGGCGGTGTGAAACGAAGACTGTCTACGAGTCCGCACCCTGGATTTGAAGAAGATTTTGAACAGATTTTGTTCAAGTGACTGAATATTACTGCAAATTCCACTTCAAGGGTCATTACGAGATGTCTTCACAGGAAACGATTATTGTTGTCACTGGGTTGGGTTGTAGCCCAGCGTGAACCTTTATGGATACAGTTGTAATTCTGCTATAGAAGATGATGACTTGGAGTATCCTTGTGAAGTGTCAGACTATAGCCATTGATCTTTTTGACTCTCTTTTAGAGAGCCAAACTGCGGATATCCCCTCTGGTTTGTGTTACATTGGCACGTGCCATAATTAACGGCTACAGTATTCACTGAACACCCGTATATCGCATAGAAATGTTATTAATGATATGGAAAGAAATGAAAGACTCTAGATGCATTGATTAGTGTGATGAGATCAATCAATCGAAGTTTAGCCGTGTCTGCTACGGCAGACCATCAGCCAAACGTCTTTGGATGCCTGCGAGAACCAGCTGTTCGGCTTCTGTGAGTTCAATGGGTGAGTTCACTCCCACTGCCGAGACTGTGAGGGTCGTGTCGTCAGTTTCTGAAGCGGGTTCTGATTTCGGCGGCTCTTCAGGCTTCTTTTCGGGCTCTGGGACAGCCACAGGAGCTTTGGAAGGCCCAGGATATAGCCAATATATGGGATACACCATCTGGATGTTGTTGAGCAAGCAGGCGACCGCCAGCATGAGCGACATGCTCACGACCTGCACCACAACATACTTCCATCCAAGGTGTCTAAAGTCTGGAGTGATGGATGCCAATAGAGCTGCGGCACCCGCAGGAGGATGGATGGTCTTGGTGAGACTCATGACCACGGAAGCAATTCCCACAGCCAGACTGCCGCTGATCCACAGATAGTCCTCATTGTCTCCCAGCATAAAGAGCTTGCAGATACCCACGCCAATGATGGAGGAGACTACCGTGCCCACAAACACGTTTCTGGGCTGAGCCAGAGGAGCCTCCAGAGCGTTGTAGATCAGAATTGCCGTGGCTCCAGAGGACGGAGCCAGGCCGGGAACGTGACGTCCATTCACGAAGTACGGACCGTACTTGATGGTGGCTCCGGCAACAATGAGTCCTGCAAAGCTGTTGAACAGCGTCCACCAGCTCTTGAGCAGCATACTGGGTGGCGCCTGCTTGGGCTGCTCCGGCGACCGGCCACCCATGACATGTCTGATAGGGTCCGGAATATGGGACACGATGTTGAAGGGGAAGATCGCCTTGAGGTAGCGGTCAATGTCGATGTTTATTGGAGCCACCGCCGAGTTGATTGTATCGAGTGTTTTGAAGTACATGGCGTGAGTATGAGAGACCTGTTTGTTATCTTTCTTCTTTCCGTGTCTTGCCGGGTACTTTGTAGATCCTGTTGGATTCTCTCTGATCCCTCTAGAGTTCCATATTTTGATTCATAATTTAAGGTTGACCCCATGCACAAAAGAGGAGGCAAGCCGCACAGTGCGGTTGTCCGGCGCCGATTCTGCAGAGGGCTGGGGACAAGTATTGAGAGTGTTCCCCACTTGTGCGCTGGTCCAAGGCCACATTGAGAGGGGAACACTCTCAATACTTGCCACTCAGTAGAAATTACGTCACTACTGGCCTGTATGTTCAGGAGTGGGGGTGTGGGGGTCGTGGATTAGAAATGGCACTTTGGACTGTATTTGTAAGCTACTGTAGCTCCAGACTCGAACTGTATGATTAAGACCATGATGTGTACCCACGTTGGAGTGATCGAATCGAGTCTAGATTTTAATTGGAAGGCCAAAAGAGAATATTCAACTGATTTTCCCGGTTATATCTCTGTGAGTTCGTTTTCGACGACATTACAGATGCATTTCATTTTTCATTGACTAATGCGGCTAACTTGGATCGTACTTTGGGTACAGTACAGTATGTACACTTGTATTAATTAGTCTAGAAAGAGGATTTCTTATAGCCAGCGGATCAACGGAGCCCCAAGTACAGCCGTCCTAAAGGACAGTGTACTGTACTGTACGTATTGTACTTGTACGATATTGTACGAGTACAACATGACTTCACCACGTTACTGCACTGGTCTGAGACGGTAATGGGTGCTGCTATTGTGGGGACAATATCTCAGTATAGAAGTGCAAAGAAACCCTCCTCTTATGCTGCTACCAGCTACGGGTATGTACTGGTATCGTACTTGTAGCTACTCACACCCTAAAGAATTACAAGACGTGCGAACATGTGCGGTAGGTAAACCACCCAACCAGTGTAGCTACTAGTTGCGTATCCATACCCTCAAAAAATTTCGGTCAAGGCGGATCTATGAGCACCCTTCTATACATGTGGTGACAACGAAGGACAAAGGATGGTTGGAAAATGATGTTCATCTTAGGTCTAATATATATACCCATATTCCTCTTATGGCCCAATGGTAACTTATAAAACTCGTTTTTTTTTGCTTTTTTGTATATCGTCATAAGTCATAGCATTTTTTATATAAAAATTCAAGGGCTGCTCATTTGTGCATGCCACCCATGTATTCCCCTTATTCAGGGTTGAGGATGAAGTCACAGAAATATCGCAGAGAGTTGAACATTTCCTGGCCCGTGGGCAGAATCTGCTTCTTGGGCAGCAGGAAACCGTAATTGCCGGTATCCCGCAACTTAACCTGGAATGCCCAGGCACAGTGGTTCGAATACAGGAAGTCCAGCATCGATCCACCGCCGTTTTCGGTGTCGCCAACCAGGTCTCGATCCTCACAGGCAGGCATTACAACGTATCTCTTGCCAGAGGTGATTCTAATGGCCTTTGCTAGACCGTAAGCCAACTCGACGAGATTCTCAAAGTCCCGAGGGACTCGGTCACACGAGTAAGAGTAAGGATACAAGATCTCCTCTGAGTAGGAGTGGAGATCCAAGAAACCGTGAAAGGTGCCAACCTCGGTAGTGTGGTTGGACACAAATTCGGTCAAATACTTGGCCTCCAGAGCCTCAAGAGGCTCCTGTCCGCTGTAAGACTCGGAGCAGGGGGTGCCCCGGGTCTTGTGCCACTGGTAACCGAACGAGTGGTCGATGTCTAGGCCGGTACAGAAAGACACACCGGTGGGCTGTCTGTTCTTTCTCCACAGACGGTCCGAGTCCCACGAGAAGACGTATCCGTCGGGGTTGACAACGGGCACAAAGATAAACTCGAATTTGTCAACGAACTCGGTCAGCTGGCGGTTGCTCCCGTAGCCGGTGGCCAGCTCGTAGATGGTATACAACACCGAGGAGGTGGAGATCCATTCACGGGCATGGATGGCACCGGTGACGAGCAGCTTGGACCGGTCGGGTCGGGCATTGGGTCCATGTAGGTGCACTGTTCGGATGGGCCGACCCTCGTGCGTGTGGCCGATATCCTTGAGTTGGATGATCTCGGGGTAGGCCACCTCCAGCAGCTCGAGCCAATGGTAGATTGTCTCTAGAGGCCGGTAGTCCTGGAAAAAGACCTCGTTGATGGACACGAGGTCGTTGTTGGCAGTCTTGATGTTGTTGGCAGTCTTGATGTTGTTGGCAGAGGAAGAGCCCTGCACGCTCTTGAGCGACTGCTCAACTTTGGCGGAGAAAACATCGTTGGAGCTCTTGTCGGGGTAAGAGGAGAAGACGGTTCGAGCCAGGTCAGGGATTAGAGTAGAATACTGCACATCCTGGCGCATGCTCTTGGGCAGCAGCCGGTACAGATCCTTGACTCTGCTGGACTGGATTCGGACGTCTGCCTCGGTGGCCGACATTCGCCAGACGTCCAGCAGCAGACCCTGCACGGCCTTGGCAAAGTGGGCCTTGTCTGAGGGCTGCGACCATGTAAATCGCAGCACGACCTCATCGTCGTATTGCTGCAAAAAGTCAAGATCTGCGTGGGCAGGACGAGGCTGTTCCTTGGGGGGATTCTTGTTGTCGGACACAGAAGAGGAGTCACTGCCTCCAAACAACCATTTCTTCCAAGGGGCTGCTCCCTCCAAAACATGCTGCTCGGACAAGCGCTTTTTAGGAGGGGCGCCGCTCTCGGAAGCGGCCAGATGTTTGTGTGTCTGATGCAGCACTTCGGCGTGATGGATGAGTCGAGAGGTATCTGCGCTGCCGGCAGAATACAACAGCGACGACTGTGCGTGTACAGGCTGTTCGGGGGCGTGCGCCGGCTGAGCCAAAGCCATTGCACACGACAGCACTAGCGCCAGGCCTTTTTGTGGCACCATGGCGAGAGCTTTGTGGTGGGTTGAGAACCGTGCAGTGACAGGAGATAGAGGAAAAGGAGGGCGAAAACAGTCAAAAAACGGTTCAAGAAGCGGACAGCCGTCAGTGTCAGATGTCTATTCTGGAGGGAGCTGTTTTTGAGTCGTTTCGAGTCGCTTGAAGCCGTATAAAGGCCGGATGAAGAAAGCAGAGGTGCAGTGTAGAGAATACAAGAGTGCGTCGTTTGTGCGTTTCACAGTCACGGCCGGGTAAGTCTCGCTATATGGGCTAAGGTTGGGAGGAGTAAAGAGTGTGAAATTGGCTTTTTTGGAAAATGGAAGTTGAACATGCGCAAAGGAGGTAGATATGGAGGTATTGATAGTGGATAATAGAGTATTTACTGACTAAATACAAACAGATTGTTTGTATCTGTTGATTCATGCTATTATTTTTCTCTCCGAAATACTTCTTTCACCTCCATCGCTCCTCCTCCGTGAATTGCCCTGCTGACTCCTTGCATCAGAAGAAAGATAAGTGAATGAAAGTTGAACTTTGAGTGTGGTATGATTGAGAAGGGAGTGGTCAAGAGAACAAAGATGAAAAAGACACTATCAGTACCAGTAGTTGACAAAATCGGGTTCAAAACCCCCATAGTGATCCGGGTCATTGCTGCATTCCTGTGGAAGTCTCTTACATCTCCCTCATTGTAGCAATCTCATACATGCACTGCACCTCGGTTCGGCATGGAACCCGCCTCACGGTCAATCTGCACAAACTCATGCGCACTGTACATGCTACAAGCAGAAGCGCTCTACCAATAATAAAAAAAATAAAAAAAAACCTGCATGTGGTCGAGAAACAGGTTAGTAGTGCCGATGAACTACATTACATACTCTTACTTGCTTGTTGAGCCGGTTGAACCAGTTGGGTTTCATTGTCTTGTTGTGTGTTGAACCATTCTCAACTCCGCTTCCGGCTCCACAGACAGTCTTTTGAGTGTCGGATAGAGTAACTTCTCAGTATTTCCTGGAATGTTAGCAGTGTAATCCATTAGCAACTTGGACTAAGAAACTATGAGACAGAGAACAGAGAACAGAGAATGTTGACCACGGACATGCTAAAGATTGATTCCAAGATCGGATTTTAGGCACCTCGATCAACTCCATCGTAATCTCCCCATACATCCTTGACAGTGTTGCTACGATTCTCAGCGTATTGCTAAATCGCTGCTTGCCGATTGTCTCATTTCTCCAACGGTTCTGACTTTAGAATTCACCCCTTGCTTGGGTGAAAATTTCTTGATCCAATTGAGTGAGGCGGTTAGCGATTGAGAGTAAACTGGGGTGATAAGATCAATGCTTTTGTCACGAATTCGTTCCCGTATGTTTGGTAGAAGTACCCTTCAATGTTGTGCCTATTGTCTTCTAAGGCTTCCTCAAGAGTTCGTTTGTCCTCGTTGAGACACTAGATTGCACCGATAAGGGTGTATAGTATATACATAGCGGCTGGAGGATTGCAATGGGATCGGTGAGATCGTTTTCCCCGTCCTTGCTGGGTCTAATTTGATTCGGTATCAGGCTCCTCCACATCGGTTGAATTCAGTTGCTGTACAGTGACTGTATAGTCTTCCCCGCGGAGTTAATCGGAGCTTTAGTAGGCGCAGTCGTGGAGCTTTCGGAATGACGACAAAGTCCTTGGCCGACGCGGTTTCTTTGTACAACCTGCGATCACAGCAACCCCGAGTGCCGTATATACCATGTTGAAAAGTTCAGTTAATGCATGTTCTCAACTGAGATATAAGCAGTACACTCTACGGAGGAGCACATCCTATGGACTGTGAATCAATAGAAGGGTCAAGTTGCAAGGTTTTATAGACTGGAGTTTCGTGTGAATCTTCTATTGTCGCAGCACAACTGACGGTGGTCTTTAGATGCGATTACGAGTCCCTTTCTCTTCCAAGTACTTTTTTCCCCATTGTCGCCAGACAAATGTTACAGTTATGATAGGAACTCTAGAAGTAGCTAATGTGGATGCCCTGTCTCAATTGTTCTCAGCGCAAGTCACACACTCGATTGTCTCACACCCCCTCATCACGAACTAATATCTTGGACTGTTTATGTTTTATTATGGCACATCCATAGGTACTTTTTACAGCAGCTACTGCACTTTGATTCAAGTCTTCTTAAAACGCAACAGTTGTATGAGCCGAAGGTGAATGACTGGGACCTGAATATCATTCGTCCTATTGATAACATGATAATAACAGAGCAACACTAAATAACCCCCGGCTTTGTGGTGAACTAGTCCCGTCCCTGCTGACCAGCACATTACCCTGACTATTCTGGAATTCCAAGTTAATAATCCCCGTCCGTACAACGTACAGTAGATACTGTACCTAACAACAGTCGCAGGTATCGTTGTGTTGCATTGTGTACCTGAGGTGCTGTATCACACCACTGGCTGGAAAGTGGTGAAAGAGGGCTGAACGTCAACTGATGTAATATTTTTCCACAGAAATTAATATCGGTTGTCCATCCTTCTGGAAATCTACATAATATGTCACCACCTCCCTCCCAACATCCAGATAATACAGTGAATGTCTTCCCAACGCCCTGGTCGAAATAATTAAAATATGCTTCCGCCTGTCAGTTAATCACCCCATACCTCTTCACGTTATACTGTCCAGCCCGTTGACTAATACCATAATATCGTAGTTTCGTTTTCTATCCAGCCCAATTACGACTGGTGACCAGTTGTATTCTTCTTAATTACATAATACGGCGACAAATACTCTGTTAACCAGCACTCCTACAACTTAACCTACAATAGTCATCACGTACTGACTCATCCCCTTGCGTCATACTTTGTCCGAGGTATATGCTACCAGCTCATCTCTATAGACGCTACTCAACGTCCAGTAGTTACCAGTTATCCGTCTACCCGTCCATCTTTCGAACGGTGTGGAGAATGCTTCATTGAGGGGATGAGCCTCAGCCACCCTCCCAAAATAGCGGGAACCCGCTTGTTATTAAATAATATCTGGGAGCATCAGTAGGGAGGTGATTCTCGCATCACCGACCCTGCACCGCGTATCTGCTCGGGTTCTCTTTGCCGTATCATTCATGTTTCACATTTCTGCTCCCCGTTTCTCAAGATTCCATTGACAGATGCAGTATGATGCCCATTAAGGTTGTATCTTGCGTATAATATGCGGCTTTGACAGAGTCTAAAAATAACAACCTCCCAAATATCCTCTCTCTGTCCCAGCCACCCCACATAACACCACCAGCCCCCCAATTTCACACAATGCCGCCTATGCACTGCAAAGCGTTCCAGCCCACGTATTAGCCCACCCCTGCTGCAATGTAAAAAAACATGTCTTATGTCTTTTGGCTGCTTCGCTCTTGCCCATTGAGACATCTCCACGACACCCCAAACTACCCCGATAGATAGGCAACGATGGCAGTCAAATCCATCTTCAAACGACAACAGCCCCGGCGGTCGAAGCTCAACATCTCGGCGCCGACACCGATCCAGGTCCACAAACCCACCTCATTCGCCACCAAAGAGATTCGGTTTGTGAACCCAGAACTACAACCGAAAACAGGAGTGGATGGAGTGCAACGACAACGAACACTACAGCGGCGAGCTGAGCGTCAGGGCACCATCAAGGATAAGAAAACTCGATCGGTTCGCGACTACCTTCGACTGCCATTCATTCGATTGCGTCAATTGATCCGCGCCACTCTCCGACGACAGGCTACCATCAAGCGTCGAAAGACTCTCAGAAAGAAGGACATTGTGCATATCACCGCGGACGCCGTGAGACGATCGCCCTCGCAAGCATCTCTGCGACGAACAGCCTCCACAGCCTCGCTACGAAGACAACCGTCGACACGAGGTCTGAGAAGAAAAGCGTCTCAGTCTCGAGGAGGAATCAGAAAGTCCAAGTCAACCAGCAGAAGACAATCGCGATACAAGACATTTGAGGACTTGGAACAGGTGACGGACTTTGATGAATATGACAGCGGCAACTTGGAATTTCAGTTCTCAGCTAAGGATATGGTCAGAATGCACCCTAGAGGCCAGGCCAATGTGGTCCAGAGCTCTGCTGCTCGCAAGAAGATCACATTCAACGCAGTGCCGGAGATTATTCAAAAGCACGCCCCTCTGACCCCTCCCGATTCGCCAAAGAGAGTCGCTTCTATTGATAGAGAGATTGTGATGGGAGGGGACGAACTGTCGCCTCTTCTGGTCACTAGCCCTCACTCGCCTTCCGAGTACGCTCCCCACTCTCCGCCTACCGAGTTCAATATCAACAGCGAGGACATTTACGCTCGAAAGTACCCCTCTGGAGTGGGTCTTGCAGATGCCGACTCTATTGAGGTCACCAGCACAATTGGATCTACTACCATTGAGCAGATAGACCAGCTCTTCCAGGGTTTCGATTATGACTACAGAGACAAGATTGAAAAGAAGCTGGAGCTTATCACGCGACGTCTGCAGCAATTTGACGCGGACATGATCAACCGAGGCACCCAAACCCGACCCTGGAGACACTCTGTCGATTCTGTGATGAGCGAACAGATTGAGGCTGTACTTTTTGACATGTCTCGAGACTCCGGACACTCATATTCCACTGGCCGAGACTCTATCCGAGAGTACATGCGAGAGCACATGGAGACTTTTGATTTGGATCAGGAGGCACTTATGGAGGAAGAGCAGCGACGAAAGTCTTCGACGTATTACTCCCTTCAGCATGAGTCTGACACAGACTCGTATGCTTCGTTTGCCCCCTCTTCCTCTGGGTCTTCTTCCTACGAATCGTTTGCTCCTTCTCATCCTGTTCCCATTTATGAGTCTTCTGGTTCATCAAACAGACGAATGGTTGATGATGAAGAGTCCACACCTCTTTTGGAACAGGGTGACTTCACTCCTAAGCAGCGAGCTCCCTTTCTGGGACGACACCGGAGGTCTCCCTCCGATAGCACCACTACTTCCACAGTCTCGTCTATTCACTCTCGACGAGCCATCCCCACCACCCACAATCTAAGTGAGCAGTCTTTCGACTTTGGTCTTGATCGTGACAGGAGTCACAGCCCCCAGGCTGGCCCTTTGAACATTTCCCTTCAACAAGGACTTCCCGGTCGTCGAGTCACTTCTGTCGCCCAATCTCGAGAGTCGTTGTATCTTGACCTTGCGCCTTCCCCGGAGTTGCTTCCCGTCGGCGCAGCTTTCCGATCAGATCTCAGACACGAGATCAGGCCCGAGTCAGGTGACTCGTACCACACTACGACCTCCATCCCCGAACGGTCACCTCTTCGACCTTCTTCGGGTGTGCAGGAGCTGAAGCCAGTCAAGGTGCGAGCCTCTCCCCGCCAGATGGCGCAACAGTCTCCCAAGCGGTTTTCCACCTCTTCTATTGGTGCTGTGGCAGCTATTGGAGGCGAATCTTCCTGGATGAAGACCCCCAGACCTCTTCCTCCGGTTCCTGTACTGTCACCCGAGCAAGCAGGAGATGTACAGAAGCGAACAGTGTCATCTATCGATGTTGCAAAAACCCGAGGAGGCTCTGTTCAGAAACGTGCCTTCTCTGCTCATGATGCTTCTGTTTCCCCCATCCAGAAGAAGCCCGAGTATATCCCTTCTGCTCCTTCTCATCCTCCCCCTTCTCCTCCTATTATGGCTTCTCCTGTCCGAGCCTCTCCCACTTCTATGAGAGGCAACTCTCCTGCTCCTGCCTCCCCTATCAAGCCTGTTTCCATCGATTGGGTTAATGCTGCAGATGCAGAGTCTGTAATGGAGGTTGAAACTCGATCCAACAACTCGGGCTCTCACTCAAGCTCCTCTGGAAACCCCCCTTCTCCTCCCACTGCTTCTGATCAGGTACTGCAGAGAATGTACCAGGAGCTGGAGGAACTTCAGCAGCGATCTGTGCAGCTGTCCGACATGGTTGCTCGGACCGAACAAGGTGTCCCCTTCTCGGACACTGAGTCCAACCGGGGATCTTTGTACCTGAATCGGGATTCTCTGGCTGTCATTCCCACCCCTCTGACTCCCTCGTTTCCCTCTTCTTTCATGACTGGCCCTACCCACGGCACCATTTCCAGCCACTCTCCGGGACCTGGCTCTCTTCCAACCACCTCTCATACAACTCCTATTTCTCGAGGTGGTTTGAACCGACGCCGGGTTCGATCAAGCGTGTTTCTGGAGCCTCCTTCTTATGTCAGAGGCCACTCTCGAGGAGACTCTGCCGTTTCCAACATCTCCAACGTGTCTGAAACCTCGGGGGCCTCGTCAATTGGGCTTTCCGATATCCCCGTGCCTTCCTCCATGCCTGCTCCTCGACATCTGGTTCCTCCTGCTGAGCCTTCCGATGCCAACATCTCGGAGTGGAGACAGGCCATTCGGCCTCCCTTTGCTCGTGGCCCCTCTGTGACCCGAGGGAAGCGACTGTCAGTCACCGGACCTGCTACCGGCACCGATACCTCCGATTTTCAGTTCTCCGACGACGATGTTGAGGTTCAGGAAGCCCAGGTGGTCGGATCCCGGTTCCCTGTGCTCATTGACAACTCTGGTACCGATAGAATCAAGAGTGTATTGGTTACTCGGGAGACCGAGGAGGACGACTAAGGTCAACGTCTAAAAACGCCCCTTGGGCATTGCATATAAATTCGAATTGCATTTTTATTTATTCTACCAAACCTCAGCCATTAGGTATGCTTGTAATCGCGATAAAATACATTTATAGCAAGTAATAATAAGACCTGTTTGGGGATCGTCCAGAGCTGCAGAAGATGGAGTTAGCCATGTCGAAAATAACGGTGACCTCGAATACACACGGTGACCTACTCCAACTGCGTATGAAGTACGCGCTAGGGCAGATTGATCTCTGGTAGTGACAGCTACCCTTACGATGTACGGTAAAAAAAAGTAAAAAAAATTTAGCCTTCACATGTGTTGGCGAAAAAAACCAGACGACCTCGGAGAGGGTCGAACTCTCGATCTTACGATGGCGGCCATTTAGGTGACTAACAGTCGTACGCCTTAACCAACTTGGCCACGAAGTCTGGCGGTTGTTTTTACAGGTTATTGGAAATGCCATATCGAAATTCAGTCAAATAATCTGGCGCCATTTTTTCAACACTTACATGTTCAATCAAAAAAATCAAGAGTTTCTCCTGTTATTGAAAACTCTTAGTTTATACCCAATACATTTTAACGCATCTAGGGTTAGGGCTGCGGTATTACGCAATTATTTGATAGCGACAACTGAGGAAGGGGGAGCGATGGAGCAAGCGATACAAGTACCACACTTTTCAGTCTACTTAGAGAACACAAGCTTTGTCAGTACTGGTACATTATCTCAAAAAATAATTCAGTTATATAATTACCCCCATCTACTATCGTTTTTCTAGGTCTGTCTCACCCACAAACTTCATGTTTCGTTTGTTACTCACTATGTACAAAATATATTTACAACTAGGCTAAGACCCTTTCGGTTTCAGTCACCTTAACCTCCTCCTCTGTTTCATTCGCTTTCCCCTCCACAACCTCCTCAACCTCCTCAATCTTTTCAGGATACTCCAGCCAGTGTCGCTTTCCAACACCGAGAGAAACAGGATTTCCCAGCTTTTCAGCAATGGCGTCGATCTCGGTCAGCTTCTCAGCACCTCGCTTGTTATACATACGCTGAACCTTGCTGAACTCACTGACATCGGTCTCCTCTTCCTCGTTCAGATCACTTCTCTTGTTGAGGGTGACTCGAAGCTTTCGCTCCAGCAACTTGATGTACGTCTTCTTAAGCATGACTTCGGGTCCCGACACCTTGACCAGTCGATACTGTACGTTCCACTCGGTTTCGTCGGTAGGGGAAGGATGAATGTTAGAGTCTGTGATCAATGGAACAAGCTCTTGGTTGACGTAGTTCTTGACATGGAGCTCGTAAACCTGCAGGTTCTTGAGCGACTTCTTCCACATCTCTCTGCAGGCGTCTAGAAGATCCTCGGGCGAGTATCGGTCCTCCATCTTCTTCATCTCCTCGAGTGCAATCTGGGCAATGTCTGTGGTCTGGTCCTCGGGCAGCTCGTACTCTCTGGGTTCCTCAATCTTCCAGGGCCACGACTCGTACTTAAACGACTTGTCCATCTGGCGATTCTGCATGTCCGTCTTAAGCAGTCGGGCGTGGAACTTGTGTGACATGGCGTTGCTGTATGCCACCTCATCTGCGTCGTGCGAGCCAACACAAATGATCATTCGGCCTGCCTGGTTAGGATCCGCAAAGAAAACCACTCGTTGATGGTGCTTGTCGAACTCCTCAGCAGTCATCTTGCCAATAGTATGGTCCAGCACACGAGAAATCAGCTCCATAGATAGTCGGAATTCCTTGTCGGCAATTGCAGAAGCTCGGCTCTCAACTGCATCTTCAACGACACAAACATAAGGGTTGACACCTCGAGTAGCTCGGTAATCGGGACATCCAACGTCCACGCTATGAGTCTTAGCTATTTCAGCTCCCCACAGCTTCGGATCCTGCTCCAGGTTCTCCTTCTCACCCATAGCTGCGGTATGGTTCAGCTGATCCAACACTGCCAGAGGAAAGTACTGGAAACCAAAAAATCGCTTCATGTTGTGGTAGGCAACATAAATACCGTCCATACGACCAATTCGGGCCTGGAGAGAGTACTTGAGAGCCACGGTTCGAGCCATATCGAAGTACTCTCTCTCAAACGACTCGTACTGGCCAACGTTTCTGTACACGTAGTAGTCGGTTCCATGGCACATCTCTGCCTCCACCTGGTCGTACCGAGTACCAGCCACTGCTCGTGTTTTGAGATCAAAAGTTCCCGTTCCAGGTAATCTAGGATCGTAGCAATCGAGCTGAGAACGAGTAAGAAATTTGGAAATTTTGGAATATGCGTATGTGTTATCTAGCCGGCCTCGCACTTCCTTGACCTGCTCCTCCGTCACCTTGCTCATGTCTGGGTTTTTCTTGAGGCACTCGTATTCCTCCGGAGTGTGGGTCAAGAAAGCCTCCAGAGAGTGTCCCAGCTTGGACAGTAGAGACTCATAGTCACCTACCTTGTCCACACCGAGGGCAAACGAGTTGCCTCGTCGGTGGATCTCAGCAACGTGGGGAGATCGGTACACGTTTGTGGGCTTAGAAGTGAGCTCTTCAATCCATTTACTTGTTGAACGCAAGTTGGCCGGTCGGAAGTTAGACAGCAGGTTGTGGAACTGCGCTAAAAGAGGAGTCAGGGTAGATGTAGATCCAAAATAAGTTGCACCTGTATCATTGGCTAATCTTGTCAGTGTTTGATCCTTGGAAGGGGGTGTAAAGCCTGAAATAGCTTCCATATCCAACTCATCCGTGCTCACTATATCCTCCACGTACTGGGGAAAATTGTAAACTCCCGTCCGAGCGTCTCTGACAGTCTGGACAGTGCTGTTTTTAAATAAAACAGTGTCTGTCTCATGCTTCATGGTAGGAGGAAGAACATTGGGCTTGTCTCCATCTTGCTCCACTGCCTCCAGGTGCACGTCCTTATCGGAAATGGTTCCCACAATCATGTCCGGATCCCAGGGATTGTAAGTGAGGTTCATCTTGGGGTCCACGCCCTTTTCGGGCTTCAGGTACTCGGGCACCTTCTTACGGGGCACAGTGCCGTTGTTTTGGTCCCTCGTGTTCACAGGGAATGCATATGACGGAGGCACCTTCAGGTGTCTTAACATCTTGGTATCGCCAAGCAAAGGAAGCTCTGGGGCCTTCAGAGGCTTCACCTTCTTGTGAGTGAACTTGGGTTCAGGCCAGAATCGAGTCTCCAGCTCCTGCTTGATAGTCTCTCGATCTTTCATAGCTCCACTTTGCGAATCCTTGGTCACCTTTTTTCCGTTGTTACCGTTGTGATTGCTGTTGCTGTTATTACTGTTGCTGTAGTTGTTATTGTGGTTGCTGCTGTTCTTTTGCTCTCCCTTGCGGTGCTCTCCCTTGCCCTTTGATCCTCCATCGTTCTTCTCAAAGAACGCCTGGTTGTCTTGGCTCCTTCCCTCATTCTGGTTGTCGCCCTTATTCATATGGTACGGACGCTTGTAGCCAGGCTTTCCCCCTGCTTTGCCAGACTTGGGACCCTTCTTCAGCAGTCGCTTTCGTGATGACAGATGATGTCTTGCTGGCACATCGCTCTTCTGGTTGTGACCCTGGCCTTCGAGCACCTCGTTGGAAAAGTGCGCGCTCACGTGGAACCCACGCAGTGCCAGCCGGTCGAAGTTCCCTAATCTCACCCTGCTAGCCGTTCGGATCATGTTGTGTGTAAAAGTTGGATCTGTTCAGCAGTAAACTTTTAATTTTCCACCCAAAATATTTTTACAGTAGCCTGCATACAACTTATAAACTACAGTATGTACATACATGTAGTGGCAATCGTTAATGAAGATGTGACAGATGCGCCAAACAAGTTTGTACAGCGTAGCGTAGCAGGTCGACTGGAAAGAGTATCAAGGTTGTTCTTGGGCCTTTTACTACTATTATCGACGCAATCGGAATACTCATAACCTGAATTAAATACGTGTGCTAAATACACCCAACTGAGATTCGAACTCGGAACATTTTTTTTTTTTTCTGCATATACATTCATTTAATTATAACTTTGCTGTGAAAGAATAACCTTTGAGATGAATGTACGCTTACACGAATATTACTAATTAAACACGTTTAGTGTCATGGTCCAACTTGGCACGTACCTATTTCCAGTAAAAAAATCATAAAAAAACCTGGTTCAGTCCGTGTTGTATGTTGGTCCACATAGCTTCGCGTGTTTGTTCGTTCATCGGGAAAACGCCACTCCAGTCTCCAGTTCTCTAATCTCAATCCTTCCATTGCCCTCTTCGTTTGCATTGCCTTTGAAAACGTCTCCTTGTGGTTCTTCTTCGTCATTGGTTTGGTTCTGCGTCCCCTGTGGTGACTACGCGCCCTGCTACGCTGTTCTCTCGGTGGCCTCGGCCGCCTTTTACGCTTGCTACTGTCGCTACTCTCGCTCATCGTGAAGTCAACAATCCAGTGATAAGAAGCGTGATCGTAAGTAAATGGCTCGATGATTGAGAGTCGTTAGTCGAGAGTCTTGTCAACTCCATTGGTGTCATTCGGCTTCGGCTTTCAAGTGAACATTCGTAATGATACAAGTACCTGTACTCGTTATCGTTTCTATAAGTTTTAGGTCTTCATCGTGTGAAATTTATTTCCTTAGAATAAAAATAAAGAGTTGGTTGTGTAGCAAGATTTTGAGCGCGTGTGAGGTCGTTCATCCTACAGGTACAGTAGCAGCTGCTACATACTGTATAGTGATTCTCATTTCCGAAAAAAACACATGACGAACACAACAAACGCGTTTCCGGTGTAATTACAAGTACACGCTCTTCGGATGGAACAACATATGGTATCAAATTTTCACAGCAGTTTCTCCCGTATTTCCTAGCATATCTTGATGGGAAGACATCGTTAGAATGCTACAGGAAGGATGGATTCCCTGTGATACCTTCGGGAGGCCAACCATCATACCGTAATTACAGTACAGACCGCTACAATAGTAACGGTGTAAGTTTCTTCTTCCCTCGGCTGTTTTTCCGTCTCCACCTAACACGGCTTCTAAACTTATCCAATCAGATCTGTATCTGAATCATCCAAACTGTTGCTTGTGAAGCTACATCAATACACAGTCGCGGTGAGTCTGGGAGGCTCAGTGACAGGGCGTACCGGTACTTGTACCCTTGTGTATCGTTGTACGAGCCCTCACTTAGCTCGCACGATATAATTACCCGGTACTTGTGTTTGTCTCAGTGTATTTCACCTACCCTTTCCAACAGCGCATGCAACGTTGAATCAGGCACGCCACAGCATACAAGTACGATACACACTCTACATCTGACAGACGATGCTTTGTTTGGGGAGCGACATGGACAAAACAAGGGGGGAAATATATATGTGTATCGGCCCCTTACCTACATTAAGAAGCAAATACGGTGCAAAATTATGGTGCAAAAAAGTAGGTTTGCAACGGGCTAATTGGTAAGGAACGAGCAGGCCTGGAAGACATCTTTATTCCTCGGCAACGGACAACTCTCTCCCCCTGCTCGCTCACATCTTCTTTTGTACATGACTCAGTATAACGGACAGACAAAGTTCAGACTGTAGCACAATAACCGCATATGAAAATGAGCAATTTAATATGTGGCAATTGAGAGAGCCAAGTTAAAAGGGAAGTGGCAAACCTATTGGGAAGTTATAACACGGTAAAGAGATGCTTAGACTTGTTTGAGAGTAATTGCCAATAAATGGTTGACGGTGGGCATAGATATATACTACCAAAACCGACGGCACTGCCTCGGAATGTGCTGCCACGTGTTATCAGATCCATCTACCTGCGACCATAGCCAATGAGCTTCGCCCTCCAAACCCAAAACCGTAAAGCTAAAACACTAATCCATCCATCAGATAAAATCTTCATCAGATAAACCTCCCTCCTCAACACCCATGTCTGAAAAGGTGAAAATTGAAGCCAAGCCGGTGGAGATCCGGGCAGGCTCCTCAGCACCATCTCCAGCGGGCTCGGCGGGGTCTCCTCCAGCACCACGGATGAAAATCGCCCCGAAACTCGAACTCAAGCCCTCGGCCAGAGGCGGTCTGTTGGACGGACCGGTACAGCAGATTGTCACGTCCAAGGAGTGGGTACTTCCTCCTCGGCCCAAGCCTGGGAGAAAACCCAGCAGCGATACACCTCCTTCCAAGCGAAAAGCGCAAAACCGAGCTGCTCAGCGAGCTTTCCGAGAACGACGAGCCCAGCGAGTCAGTGAGCTCGAAGACAAGCTCCAGGAGGTGGAGTCGGAACGAGACGCCCAGGAGAATGTTCTCAAGGACGCTCTAAAGGATGTTTCCTCGGAGAATCAGCTTCTACGAGAGTCTTTGGAGGCTCTCAGACGAGAAGTTATGTCTATCAAAGAACAGAGAACCCCTACAGGTTCCACTCCGGGACAGTCTCCAGGAGTCCCCCCTACTCAGCAGGCTCCCCCTCCTCCTCATCAGGCTCAGGGACCTCCTATGAGTGCAGGCTTGCCACCCCCTACCGGAAGAGGTCCTCCTCCTTCTCAGCAGTCCTACTACCCCAGCTACTCACCTTATCACATGCCCAACTACTCACCCCATCAGGTGACGTCGCCAATGGCCACCATGGAGCCCACTTCACCTTTCCCGGGAACACATCATCGAAACTCGTTTGGGTCCTTTTCCTTCCAGAGCTATGGTCCCTACTCGCCTCGATACGAGTACTCCAACCCGGCCTCTCCCAGTGAACACACGACTGTGGCAACTTCAGTGGGCGACCCATCCATTGAGACCCTCGACCGAGTGCTCGAGACCAAGATGAGCACCTCCAAGGCTGAGCCTCGTGTTCAGGAGACGTCCAACACTGGTGTTGCTGCTGCTGCCCCGACTTCAACATCAGTTTCAGTCGCCTCTCTAACCAACGAGACCACAAAGAAGTGCACGCCAGCTACATCTGGTCCTTCTACCTCTGGAGGTCACGAAGTCGACCCCGACTGTATTATCTGCACCAAGGAAGAATGTGCCTGTGCTGCTATTGGTCAGCAGAAGGCTGTCATGGGCCATTCTAACGATGACGAGCTTGACTTCACCACTTTCAAGCCCCAGGCTGCTGTCCCGCTCAAGCGAAAGTCGCTCGAAATGGAGATGGACTTTACTGCCGCCTTCAAGACTCGCAACCCGTTTAAGAAGCGGAAGGACTCGTGCGGGTTTTGCACCGACGGAACTCCGTGTTTGTGTGAGGACGCGGCCGCTGAGTCTGTCGCAGAGTCCAAGAAATCGCTCAAGTTGCCCCCTTTAGGCATGCCCCTATCTCCGGCCGCATCAGCCGCGTCCCCTGATGCCTTTTCATCTGGAATAGGGTCGCCCTGGGACCAAGAGGGAGAACGCGAGCGAGCTGATCGGTCTGAGAAGCATAGTAAGCGATCGGAAACAAAAGTGAGCGACAACCCGGGCTGCACAGGCAACCCTGGAACGTGTATGCAGTGCCAGAGCGATCCCATGTCAACTCTCTTCTGTACCACAGTGGCCTCTCGAAAGCAGTCAGCTACTCGATCCACATTGCCTGAGATTGAGCGAGAGCGTGTAGATACCCCTCCCCCTAAACAACTGGCTCCCATCAAGACTCTGTCTCCTGCCGTCTCTATCAGCAGCAGTGGTTACAGCCCCTCCACCCAGGTTGGCGGCACCTACATCCCTTGTTCGGCAGCTTACCAGACGCTTTCACGCCACAAGGATTTTAACCGGGTCGATCTCGGGACCCTGATTGGAAAGCTCAACACCCGAGGCACCCAGGTGGAGGTCTCTTCTGTCGCTAACGTGCTGCGTGAACTCGACCGCAAGTTTTATGAGTAAAAGGCTGGGCGATAACTATGCCAGCCAAGATAATGAGAAACGAAATAATGTGTTATGATAATGATTAAATTAAGTGCTAAAAAGTGTGTATCTGTGGTGTATGTGCAGAGAGTCTGCTAATTCTACCATACTTGTCGAGAATGACTAGATGGAGGTTGTTGATCAGGAATAGCATGCCACGCAGAGAAGCAGAGGTCTCGACTTCAAGTTTTGCCCACCCGCTGGTTACAACATACACAGAAGAAAGACGGTTTGTCCCGGATCACATTCCCCAGTAACTACTTGTGGTATAACGGATATGACGGTTGGCAATAATTGTAGGTTTATCCCGAAGTTTGCGGTTTTGTTGACACCTACGAGCCATGTTGTGGTACACAAAACATAGTATCATCATACTTCTTACAAGGAATAGCGGTGGCATCGCAGGCAACTTACGTCAGGTTTCTAAGTCCGGGAATACTCGTCTATGTGATGATTATTGCAGATGGTAACGGGATTGACATGATTGATAAGAACCTCCACCAAAATTAAACATGCGGGGCACCGAAGAACTACTGTATGTACATACTGTACACAAGTTTCTTGCAGGCATCTTCCAGGCCAAAATCAAGTCTCAAGACAATGAAGGAATACACTAAGTTCACAAGGAATCTGACCCTCGGACTGATAGATAGATCATCTACCCAATAGCGTCTCTGCCGAAAAAGGAAACTCTGCTATAGCCCATATATTTGTACAGTTGTAACTGGTCCATACACCCTTTGATATCCAGGATTAAGTTCAGCATCTTTTATCAGAGTTCATCAGTGAATGCATACAGGGGTGTTGTTTGAGTCAACAGTACGAGTGTTGTAGTGAACAGTTGAGTGACTCACTGTACTACTACCAAAATGATGAGCATATCTGTACCTTTGTTCTACAGTAAAAGTGCAGTCTATGATCTGACTATTAAGCAACCCGTTTTCATGTTATAGAAAAGATAAAACAGATGCAACTCATGTCAGACACTCAATGAAAAGTATGTACTTGTACAATTGCACGTTTATTTGTTAGTACAAGTACATGTGTGTTCCACTTGTACAATACAAGTAGACACTGGAGTTGTTGACTAGACAAAAACTTGCATGGCAACTTCTTGACTTCTCCAAAATTGCTATTCTCCTCCCATTTGGATATCACAAAAGAGTAAGGCACATAAGCATGTCCTTCCTCCGAAAAACAGGATGGGCTAAAAGAAACAGGACCATGAAGCTCATAACATCACCCGTACAAGTGCTTGCAGTGTCTCTACATCGCCCTCCCTCATGCTCCAGTTGGACAACTATAGCTACATGTCCTAACGCCACCGCCTCCACTCTATAGATCCCCTCTCTTCAACGGTATCAATATTTATTAATTGGTTCCTCCATCTCATGCTATACCAATTATTACCTTGTACATAAATAGTCCTTGTCTTGTCGTCCCATGTCTGTGTGTTGTGTTCTATGTTTCCTCCCCATGCAAATACCAACCCTCATTCACAACGTCCCCTAGTTCCACACCTCCTTGACAAACTTGTCCATCTTGACCTGCTTCTGCATCTGACCGAGCATCCAGGGGTGCTTGAGCATCTGCCGGGGCGACGCCCGCTTGCTCTGGTCCTTCTCCAAGCAGCACAACAGAAAGTGTCTAAATGCATTGGACCACTTGATGCCCTCCTCAGGCTCATCCTTCAGCTCGGGAGCAGGAGCGTTAACAATAATCGACAGCAGCTCGATTGGCGTGATGGGCTCTTCTCGAGCCTCCTGTTCTGCAGAGATGAACGGGAACCGATGCTGGGCCACCTCCATAATGGTGAGTCCAAGTGACCACACGTCGGAGGTGACAGAGTAGGGCTGGCCCAGGATTCTCTCAGGAGCCATATAGTAAGAGGTACCTGTGAAGGTAGTGGCCAGCGAGTTCACCACTTCTCCAGATACACCAAAGTCGCATAGCTTGACCTGACCTTCCTTATCCAGAAGAATGTTCTGGGGCTTGATGTCTCTGTGAATGATGCGTCGTTCGTGCAGGTATGAAAGACCCTTCAGCACACCCTCGGCCACCTTTCCCAGCACTTTTTCTCCGATTCGTCCTCCCCGGTCCTTTACCCGCTTGTAGATGGCATCCAGGGATCCTCCTCCACAGTACTCCATGGCGATGAAGATGGAGGCTGCCTCGTCGTTGAGGAACGTGCCGTAATACTTGACAATGTGTGGCGACGAGCAAGTTCGGTTGAAGCGCAGCTCACGCACAATCTGCTTCTGCAGCTCGGGGTTGGGGTTGGCGGTGATGCTCTTGAGCGCGAAGACGGTGGAGCCCGTTCGAAGTCGACACAGCGTCACGGATCCACCTGCGCCCTCACCCAGTTTACCCAGCTCTACAATGCCTCCCGTGCGCGCCACCGAGTGCCACTTTTCCTCGTCCAGATCATCCACGTCGAGACCGGTGAGATCTTGGGTCTCGTCCATGCCATCGTCGTCACCAGAGTTGTTTGAGTGAGACGAAGGGTGCACAGGGTACTCGTGGGTTACGTGCTTGTCCGGTGCCGGTGAGCCCACGGCCGCGAGAATTTCTGCGCTGAAGGCTGCCGACTGCGGAGACACAGACCGGTTGTTGCCCAGCATGGATGGAGGTTCCAGATTAGAGTCCACAACATGGGTGTTATGGGCAGATCCGTTGTTGTTTCCGTTGTTACCGTTACCCGTATTGAGCATCAGGGACGGCCGCTGTGGCCGCTGCTGGTCGGATGGCGACTCTGTGGAGGTGGTGGGGATCTGGAGAACTGGCAGTTTCATGCGCGCTCCCACGGGGCGTTTTGGAGGCAATAATGGCGGTGCACTCATGTGATATGGCAGTTTTTTCTTTTTAGCTGTTTGTGTCTGTGTTTCTGCTGGCCTCCTCGTATCGGCTTCCAGACAGTGATGGACGTGGGACAGAGTGTCTCGTGGCGTTATTAGTGAGTGTGTGAGCTTTAGAGGGTTAGAGTGTCGGAGTGTTTGAGTGCGTGTGCGAGTGCCAAACGTCCTGTCTAAAGTTAATAGCGATTGGGACAAGCGTGGATTTCACTGCAGTTAAAAAAGGGTTAAGCACCACCTGAGTAAGGGGTTCGACCATGTTCTTTGGGGTGTTGAGGAGCTACCAGTGAGGCGAATATCGTCTCGGTTATCCAACGGGACAGTACTAACTGCTAATCACGTGACCTAGACTCTCCTGCCTCTTCAAATTCTCCAAATACATCCCCTTACCTTCTTCCACACTATTCTCTCAAATGACGTAGCTTGGCGTCACTCAATAAAAAGTAACTACACAGTACCATGTGCTGAGAGACAGTACTTGTAGTTAATAGGGGCGAGGCTGTACAAAAGAACGTGTATGGTAGCTGTGCTGTTACATTGAGCAGGAGCAAACGAGTTGGCCAAGTCCAATTACTTTACTGTAACTACTTCTATTGTACTTGCACATTTCCTCTCTGTCCCATACACTCCTTACTACACAGTCCTGTACAATACTTGAACCTCTCTTCCAAGACACTCTCAAACACTCCCTCTTGTTACACTCAGCTACAGTTCAGTTACATACATACTCCATCGCACACAGCAAATGCACTCAGAGCTTGAGCCAGCAGATGGTACGTATGTCGTTACTTCATGCCAGCACTTGGAAAGCACTCCGAGATGATAAATAGTTAGTCATGCCACAAAACAGCAATGTTCAAAAGCCGGAACCGGAAACTGCCCAAACGGCATCCGGCATTCCGCCACCTCTACCGAACTTGTATCAGATTATCTGATCGCATCTGAAAATTCAAACCTGGGAAGAATTTTGGCCCGAAAGGCCTCAACGCGGTTAGTTTGGAAGCAGCTATGATCCACAGGCGTATGATGACAACGGCTATTCGTTTATGATCGTATTAGCTCAAACGGTATTATGTATGTACACCTGAGGAGCGGAGAACACGTGTTTGAAATAACAGGCCGTGTACGGAGCAAACTTGGGTAAACTTGGTGTTATTCGAATCTGAAATGTGGCAAAAATTGATCTACTCAGCTTAGAACAACCTGAGTGGGTGTGAAGGGAGAGAAAATGGATGTCCAGAAATCTTTCAAGTTAAGGTTATCCTTGTTTGGAGGTCTTGAAAGTCGGTAACTTCCTGTGGAAAGAACAAATCAGGTTCTTGGTGGACGCTGAGGACTACTCATACCGATGTTTGTAGCAATGATACAAGCATCATACAGACAAAATTGTAAACATCCTAGACCGAAAAGGAATGTCCGAGAGTCGCCTTCTATGCTCTGACGTAATTATACATAGGCCGGAGTTTAGTGTACAACGCTGTACAGTAGATCGGGTCCTGGGTAGAGGGTGCAAGAGAGAAGAAACAGTGAATGTAAGGAGGTTGCTACAAGTATCGTATAGTAGATTATGCGGGGCGTTCACAAAACGTATCAGATGATCATGGTTCAATATTTGTAAGTTGTGTTTTCTCTTGTACTGTACCTACAGTAACTCGTGTATCAGCTCTTCTTTCATTGTGCCAAACTTGCAAGGGTGGCGTGTGATATGATCACGACTGCGTATCAAATACGAGGTTAGAAGCTCCGTGCGAGTGTGAAGTTTTGCAGACGTGGACAATTCTTCCAGCTAAATGTCTTCAAGTTATAATCCCATCACCTCTCAACACAAATTCTGGTTCTATAGGACCTCTCCCTGGTGCCTGGTCATACTCAGATCAGGGTCAGGGTTCATACGACAGGCACAGTCAACTTGGTGAGAGACTGCTGAATACGAGTTCAGATTCAGATACTTAGCCCATGTACGATACCCGCAGATGGCAGAATGTCACTGGCCTGTCTTATCGAGTTGACACATTCTGACAGGGTAATGACAGTTTCTCGCTATTGTATCCACAGTATCTACAGTATATACAAAATACTCGTGCTGTACGTACTATTAATACAACAGCTCCGTTAACCAACTCCGTGACCATAGTTACATGTCTAGTGCATGTATCGTACTTGTACTCGTACTCGTACTCGCACTCGTATTGGTACATCCAGAGTTCATCATTTACACCAAAATCAATTGAGCCGTTTTGGCATCACCCCATATCATTTCGCGTTAATTAATTGTCCCCCCTCCCCCCAATTTACTGGTTCCTGTATTATAGTGCCGGTTAATTACATGTACACAGTTCATCATTGTGCGGGAGTCAAAACCGGAGATGCGATACAACTGCCCAGTTGCCACCGACGCTAAACGCCGACGCTAAATTACCTCCGTGCTACGTACAGTAACCGCGAGCCACGTCTACCCGCAGCTACCGTACACAAACGGCTCTGGCACGTAATACAGACTAAACCCTCTCCTCCACCAGGACACAGTGCACGTGTCCTAAAGGGCTTGCATCTTGCACAGCAGCGTAGTGCCCACACGCAGATGCGGCATACAGAGTTTAAACAGTCGTTATGGGGCACTGATGAGGGGTGCAAGGGAGCCGATAGGGGCCCGTGGAAAGGAATTGATGACATAATCAATCACACAAAGCCGATTACTAAGCAATTGACATCTTTCCACAGGGGTTAATCTCTTGCGCCTCACTTTTTTCTTCTTACTAATCCCCTTCAAGTGCACCCCACCTGAACTCTAAACGTGGCCAAAACGAAACACACGGAAGGTTATAACAGTTGGAGCTTGTCTTTCAGACTTACTGTTCCACAGGTAATTGCAACTCGATTCAGAAACAGAACAAAATGCGACTTTCCAAATTGGCCGTTTCTTCGGTGCTGGCCGCCGTTGCTTGTGCTCAGGACGCCGACGCTGCTGCTGATGCTGCTCCTTCCTCTCAGGTTGAGCACCCCGAATTTACTCCTTACACTGGAGCTGTGACGGGCTTCTTTGAGCAGTTCCTGGATGGCCACAAGTGGCAAAAGTCGTCGGCTATGAAGGACGACGAGTTTTCTTACGTCGGCGAATGGGCCGTGGAGGAACCCTATGTGTTCCCCGGCTTCAAGGGAGACAAGGGTCTTGTCGTCAAGTCTCCTGCTGCTCACCACGCCATCACCACCGCCTTTGACACTCCCATCAACAACAAGGGCAAGACTCTGGTGGTGCAGTACGAGGTCAAGCTGCAGAAGGGACTCGAGTGCGGAGGTGCTTACGTCAAGCTGCTGTCTGCTGAAGTTAACGCCGATGATAAGGGCGTTGAGGAGTTCTCTTCCGAAACTCCTTACCAGATCATGTTTGGCCCTGACAAATGTGGATCCACCAACAAGGTCCACTTCATTGTCAAGCGACCTCTTCCCGATGGTACCTACGAGGAGAAGCACCTTGTTTCTCCCGCCCACGCCCGTCTCAACAAGCTCACCAACCTCTACACCCTGGTGATCCGACCCAAGAACGAGTTTGAGATCCGAATTAACGGAAACGTTGTCAAGACCGGCAACCTGCTAGAGGAGGGTCTGTTCAAGCCCTCTTTCAACCCTCCTGCTGAGATTGATGATCCCGAGGACACAAAGCCCGCCGACTGGGTTGAGGAGCCTTACATGCCCGATCCTGAGCAGGCCGAGAAGCCCGCCGACTGGGACGAGAAGGCTCCCTTCTACATTGCCGACCCCGAGGCTGTCATGCCCGCCGACTGGCAGGAGGATACCCCGGATTACATTGTGGATCCTGAGGCCTTCAAGCCCGAGGACTGGGACGACGAGGAGGATGGAGAGTGGGTTGCCCCCGAGATCCCTAACCCCGTTTGCGAGGAGATTGGTTGCGGTCCCTGGGTCGCCCCCAAGATCCAGAACCCCGACTACAAGGGTGTGTGGTCTCAGCCCATGATCGAGAACCCCGACTACAAGGGTACCTGGGCCCCCAAGAAGATTCCCAACCCCAACTTCAAGGCTGACGAGCACGCCTCTGATCTTGAGCCCATTGGTGGTCTTGGCTTCGAGCTCTGGACCATGCAGGAGGACATTCTGTTCGACAACATCTATGTCGGACACTCTGTCGATGAGGCCGAGGCCATTGGAAACGCCACCTTTGTGCCCAAGCTGGCTCTCGAGGCCGAGGAGGAGAAGCTCTCTGGTCCCCAGAAGGAGACTGCTCCTTGGGATACTGATGAGGGTGTTCTTTCCTCTGTCGACATGTTCCTTGCTGACCCCGTTTCTTTCGTTCTCGAGCGGGTTCTTGGTTTCTTTGAGGTCTTCTCTCAGGATCCCGTCTCCGCTATCCGAGAGGACCCCGTCGTTGCAGCAGCTTCTTTCGGTCTCCTTCTCATCACGTCTGCTACCGCCTTTGGTCTCCTCAATGTGATCATCTTCCTCCTGTTCGGCAAGAAGAAGCAGTCGGCTGCTCCCGCCAAGAAGACCAAGAAGACCGGTGACGGTCCTTCTAAGCTCACCAAGGCCGACGTTGTTGAGGCCGAGGCTGAGGCTGAGCAGGCTGCTGAGACCGTCGTTGCCTCTGGTGTCGATGATGGTTCTGCCGAGCTCAAGAAGCGAAAGGCTTAGTTTAATTTATGTATAATAGAGCTGATTGAAAAGTCCCCGCACGGTTCTGTGCACTCACATCAACATTGGTACGTACTACTGTGTTGGGTCTTGTGTTACGTAATATTCTTGATTGATTGATAACATAGGGTTTTTTATTGTTGAGCCGCAAGCGTTGTCATGGTTACTTGTAACGAACCTTAAACCATTGTATACAGATTTTACCACTGATCTACGTTCTAACAATGGCAAAAGGGAGATTTTACGGCTCTTTTGATACTGATAGCGGCGTCTTTGAAGGACCGTAATTACTCTACTAGTGGGTGTAACTCCTGAGTGCATTGTTGGATTTAATAAGGGTGAGAGAGTACCGGTACGAGTACAAGTTTGTACTGTTCTCGTAGTAACAGAGGATTTCATATTTCGAGCTTCCCTTCCTTTTGTTGTAGCTACAGTATGAACCAGTACAACTTGCACTTGTACCGTACTTATACCGGCGGTACTCGTACTTTCATTATCCTCTTCAATGCTGAGCGTACGAATTACAGTACAGTAGCTACAAGTACAGTTGAGAATGACTCTGGACATATTCTGTATTAATAAATCCTGAGGACACAACTGCCCTTCTGAGTATTGGTCTACGGCAGCACATATTCCTTTTGTCACATCAGCATTCGGCATTCTTACTTGCCGATCGAAGTTTGGTGTGATAAGCTCACGAGGAACAAGGGTGAAGGGTTTGATACTAGGGATGATGCCCCATTGAGGTGGATGGTGATATCTATCTCACTTGGAAACTACGCTATCGATACAACAATAGGGCGAGTATGATCTCCCACGTGCTCTACGAGTTAAATTATGGATGAACGGAAGTGATACTACGGAGGGAGGAATAACCCGGAAAGTTTCGGAAGAGAGAAACTCAACATCGTATCATACCGTCTGTTCCTCATGAAACCAATAGACATGGGGCAATCGACACTTATTTGTGCCAATCCCGTATTATTTGGATATTGATTGAGTGGAAAGAACCCGTCTTCAACGTCTTTCTGGTGCTCTTCTTCTCTGCTTGTTCTCTCTGCCTCAGTCTGTAGATTATACAAGGTATCTAAGAATTTTTGGAAACATTTTCAAACCTGAAGATGAGGATATTGGATTAAAGGTGAATTTGGAAATGTGGGGGTTTACCGGGGAACGGTGTGGGTAATGGTAATCCATGGAGATTCGTTCACGAGATGTGACGTTCACCCCCAATGAGACACGGACTGAAGAGTACTCTGCGAGCACCGAAGTCACATTCGAAAAATGAGCGCCGTATTATTAACTCGGAGTGACCAGACTGCGTTTCTTGTCTGATTCTCTTGTCTGATTAGCTCACCTGGCTGGCTGGCCAAATTAATGTCTCACCACAACAGCAAGTGCATTTGGCGACCTTTCTGCTACTGGTCATCGTGCTGATGAACTTTACGGCTTGCGTGTGCATCCCACGGTGATATCGCATGCGGTGAGACATTCTTCAACGAGGCATGCTTCAGCGAGACATGGTTAGAGTGAGAGGAAGAGTTCGTTCTTTGAATTTAATTCATTGGTTTCAGATAAATTGGTTCCTGGAGTTAACTGGGCTTAGTTATCGAGTGGACCGGGGTGGATTGGAGATAGGGAAGGGTGTTATGAGTTATGGACTAGATACCGGCCATTTTGACTGATTGACATTCAAGGTACAGTACCAGATCTTGTACACACGTTCGTACAAGCACCGGTACTCGTACAGTACACAGTGTCTCAAGTCGTCAGGGGCCGTGCACACTATACATGACCGCACAGGTGCCGGATACATTCAGGTACAGCAACACAGCCAGCCTTCGGCTATATTTGACAAACTCAGAAGGTAAGATTCTTCACATGTTGGCATGAAGCGTTTGTCCCAGAAGGCGATCCCGACGGAATTTGTTTCGGAGAGCAGGACATTGGCTGAGCTGGTGAGGAAGGGGCGCAATTAAGTAGCAGAATAACGGCTTCGTCGATCGTATATATAACTAAGGTGATCGTATGCTACTGACACGATATAGGGTGCCTGACGCCAAGACCAAGTCCGGCTGGGCACCTCCGCACCTCGAATATCTAATCTCATCCATCTAGACTTTGTTATTACCTAGGACTGTAACCATACTCTGTTGCCTCTGGTATATACGGAGGCTGCAACTCAATGCGAACAAGGAGAGAGGGTCCCAAGTGGGTCTTCGGCGACAGGCCATTAAGCTACATTTTTGGGCCTGTGCAAAAGCGTTGTTTTGTCGTTTCTTATTGAGTCTCACTTCACGTGAACGTAGATCCGATTAGCCGAGGGAATCGGCACATAGCACCATAAAACACCGCTCACTGGGTCGAAAAGTGCGATTTTAGTGTAGTTTTGTTTTGAGAAAAAGCATACACTCCTCGAAAATGCCTTGCCTTTCACTGATCTTCAACTGGGATTCTTCCAGCACCAGGTATCTAATCACACCGCAATCGACGATATTATCAATCGCCGAGTTTTAAGCTCAAGTGAACAAAACTGTAATCTAAATCCTAAAACAAAGATGTCTGGAGTACGTTGTTCATAACAGTGATACAAAGAACCACTCTTAATGACTTGTAAGGCACTAGCTAAACTCTAGCGACTGGGTATGGACCATAGTGGGTCCGCCCCGACTACAAAGTAACCAATCATGCTATAGCAGCTATTATCGTTGTCTGCGAAAGTGGTGAAAGAGGAGCACAAGGTGTCGATTATCATGCGAGCATTGGAACTTTAAGAAATATCCATTGAAAATTTCTACCTGTACGCAGATCGTCGGAAAAGAGAGAAGAGGGTTGGATGGGGTACAGTAAATAGAATCTGATTAAGCAGTTGGCTTAACAACAGCCTTCTAAGTGATTTGTAAGTAACTAGTTAGCAAAGATGGTGGCTTAGTGAATATGTGACATGAACTGTGCCTGAGTGAATACAAAATGGCTACGAATAATTATGAAACCTCAACCACTCCTGTATCAAAAAAAATAATGTACGACTCGCTTAGTTACTACCATTTGTGGAAATATTTCTGCAAAATGTCACATCACTCTGCCGCTCCGAAGACGATTCCGAATCTGCAAGAGTTGTAGTGGGAGGCTTCGGAGGTGGGACTCAAAGACACGCCTAACAAAGTTGAGATGCACGGATCAAGATGGATTTGATTACTGTTGAAACTGTAAGGTGCAGAAAAACGGACAAGATCAGTCGTGACAAGAGGAAGGACTGCAACGCTTTGAACGGTACCTTTTCTTGGCATGCGCCCAGTCTCTGAGGCCCTGCCAAGCGATGCAGATGGGGTATATATAGTCTTGGCCCGTAATCAATCTCATCAAAAGATCTAAGAACACACCATCGAAAGCATGAGGCTCACATCTCTTCTCGCCTTGGCCACTGTGGCCCTTGCTGGTCGACGAGACAAACCTGGCGACAAGATGTTGGTTGACACTTCGGCTGTTGCTGGAGCCCTGAGCAAGTCTGCCAAGTTCGGGGTTGATCCCGGTGAAACCAACCTGGAGTATTACAACAACTACTGGGCGTGTCCTCAGTACATGGCGACTCTGATGATATGGTACCGAGCTGTTGTGCCAGATGAAGAGCAGTGGAAGAAGGTGCTTCAGTCAGATATCGTGGAGACATACAACGAGTATGGCAAGATGCACCTGACTCTTGACGAGGTAGTGGCCGTGTACGAAAACGGAACCAAATACGTCGAGACTCCCAAAAATGCCTCCGCTATCGTCTATGCACCTGTCCCATTCAACCAGACTGGTTATGACGAGTACTACCCTACCGTCAAGGAGTTTTACAAACAGCTTGACCTGGGCACATACTATGGAGGCGGTCTCTTGGCCTATTGGCTTGCCATCTTCCTCATCGGAATGTTCACCAACCTTGCCAAACATGCATTTTTCGGCATCTACCAGAAGATGAAGGGCCACAGGTTCCGAAAACATGTCTCGTTGCCCGCTCTGTGGGGCTACAAGCACTGTCAGACCTCTGGAGGATGGCTCGGAGGCTTTATCAGCATGTGCACTCCTACCCGAGCCCAGTCGCTGGCTGTGGCTGGATACCTGATTATGGCCTTCATTTTCTGCTTCACCCAGTTCGACCTGTTCACCCCCAACTACTACTTCGAGGCCAATGGTGACCAGCTGGCCCGATACTTGGCTGACCGAACAGGAATCATGGCCATGACCCAGATTCCCATTGTGTTCCTGTTTGGAGGCCGAAACAACTTCTTCATGTGGTTGACCGGTTGGTCCTTTGACACCTTCAACATCTACCACCGATACTCATCCCGAGTCATGGTGGTGTATGCCATCATCCACTCCATTTGCTACTCGTACATTGAACGAGGTTCGTACTTTGCTATTGCTTCCTCCCAATTTTACTGGATCATGGGCGTGGTTGCTACCATCTGTGGCTCTCTGATTCTCTTCCAGGGCCTGCACTTTTTCCGATCCCGTTGGTACGAGACCTTTCTGGTCATCCATCTGGTGCTGGCCGTAGCCTTTCTCGTGGGAATGTGGTACCACTGCAGGACTCTTGGGTGGATGCAGTACCTGTATGCAACCATTGCTGTTTGGTCTTTTGATCGGTTTGCTCGAATCGTTCGAATTTTCTGGTCCGGATTTGTGGTATCAGGCGACTTTGAGCTCGTTGATCCCGATCAGCTCATCGTCAAGGCCGAGATGGATTACTCCAAGTGGTGGAGCATCTACCCCGGAGTCCACGTGTACATTTACATCCTCAACGGCAAGTTCTGGGAATCCCATCCGTTCACCGTCTACCAGTCCCCGTTTGCTGAAGAGACTGGTAAGATGACTGTACTGCTCAAGGCCAAGGAAGGTAAGACTCTGTCTCTGGCAAACCTGCTCGCCAAGGGAGACGGCAAGCGACGCCTCAAGACTCTCATTGAGGGACCCTATGGCTCGAAGCACCCCATCGGTAAGTATGACTCGTCCATCTATGTTGCCGGAGGTATCGGTATCACTGCCACGTACTCGTATGCTGTCGATGTCATAAAGAAGAGCACTGCCAAGACACTCGTTTTCACGTGGGTTGTGCGAAACGAAACGTGCCTCACCTGGTTCAAAACTGAGCTTGACACTCTGCTTGCTGACCCGCGCGTGGAGGTCAATCTTTACGTCACCGGTAACCATACTGACATCCCTCCTCTTGGCGGCTCGGAATCGGACTCTAAAAACTCGGAAAAGTCCGTGTCGGAAATGAACCCTCGGCTCAATATCGTTTACGGACGACCTGACATGACCGTGGAGATGCCTGCGTACATTGAGCGATGTGCCGGCTCCACTGCCATTGTTGTTTGCGGTCCTCCCGTGCTGAATGACGACATCCGTCTGTCGTTGGTCCAGTCGGCTGATTGTTCCAAAGTGGACTACTACGAGGAGGCGTTCTCGTGGTAGACGAAAACAACCGAGAGAATGCTATTGGGCGCTGGTAGCCAAAAGTCCTCAATCCGCATGCCCTCGTGGATTAACCTACAAAATAGGGCCGTGTGTAAACTCTGAGAGCGAAGTTAAAGAGACGCAGAGTTCGGTTCGAAATAATGCTTAAAATTAGAGTAATATAGTTATGATGTCATGGTAGCTTGTCAGCCCGTGTAGCAACGCGTTTCGGAGTGTAACAGTCTTGTGGGGTGATCCAATCCGGGTCAAATGAAATCAATATGAACGAAATCATTCCTTATCTTTCCCATTTTCAGGTTCCCATTAAATTTCATCTAAACAACCCAAAACCCCCGGAAACTGATCTGTACACTCAAATGCTAACTTAAACGGAGTCCGCAAAAGACACGAAGTCAGGGACAGGGTTTTTGTACGGCTTTTTGACTGACTTTCCGAATAAATAGATATGGCATTAGTAGAACCGAAATGGAGCTCTAAGCTTGGAGATTTGTTCAGAAACACCCCCCATCTTCCCATGTCACATTACTAGTCCACAAACACAAAAGCTGTTGCACGCGACTGGAATCAAACCTTATTCCACACAGCATATTCTGCTTCTGCACTCCATCCGTGGGGTGACTTCCTTTCCTTCACGAGCTGAACCCTGTATCATTATCCAGGCATTAAACTAGCTCTGGCCAATTGAAACATTATCCTCTTGTTCAGGGGAGCATAAGCTTCTGCTGACGAGCATTTAGTCAGAGATTGGCGTGTCTCCTTATTTTTCATGTGTATTTTCCTTGCCCACCATCCCCCTACAGCTTCATCACCAGTCCCTGGAGTAGAGAAGGGCATGCTCCCTGGCGTTTGCGTCGTGCATCTGGGCTGCAGGACCGTGTAACAAGGTGCATTTTTAGCGATAAAAAAACCTATAAGCCTAGAGATAGGTACAGAGACACGGTAACGTAACTCAGGTAAGCTCAACTTAGGTTGGAAAGCAAAAGGATGGAAGGCACGGTCCATGACCTCAAGGTTAAGTTATCTGATCTAGTAGATCGGATAGTGATGGAGCCAGCGACACCGTTTGCAATACGACGATACTACTATCATTTTGACTAGCTTACTCGGGGTGAAGTCCTTCAATTCGACCATGGGGAATCAACACGCGCTTGATTTCTCTACAAATAATCTGGATGATCTATCATCTCTTAAACGACAGAGTTTTTCACATCTAAGCCATGCATCTGAACCTTCCGCCGGAGACTAGACCAGGACTTGGCGGACCAATATATGCATGGTTTTTACGGCTTTCGGGCTGACAAGGCTTGGCCAAGACCTCGCCATGTGCGTTTTGCTTGGAAAACATATATAACATGATTGATCCTATCCGATCAGATTAGATCAAACACGACAAGATGCGCCTGCAATCCCTTCTGCTGCTCTGCATGGCTCTGCTGGTTCTGGCGGAGCCTGGACTGACTCCCATTGACGACCGAGAAAACTGGGTCGGCCAAGCCTGCGGATACATTGACACCGTGCGATGGGCCGGCTTCAAGAAGGTGCCTCGAAAGGACACCACTGGTGCTGGAGCTCTGCAAAAGTGCAAGAGTGCTCCCTACCTGACCTCAGTGGCTCTGTGTGGAGAGGCCAACTTCCCTGGCAACTGGCATCGAATCTACAAGGTCGTTGACTCAGTGGCCCTGCAAGCCTGTCGAAAGTACAACCTGGATGTCACCTCGGATCAGGTGAGGGCCATGTACCAAAACTATTCCAAACTGGCCATCCCCATTCCGCGTGTTAACAAGACTGCCATGCAGACCAAGCCTATCGGCTTCAACCAGACGTGGTTTGACGAAAAGTACCCGTCTATCCGAGTCTATCAACACAACCTGGACCTTGGTCAGTATTACGGAAATGGAATGACTGCCTGGTGGGCTCTCATTCTCGTCATTGGTATCGCTATCAATGTCTTCCGAACCGTCTTGTTCCCCCAGTATCTCCGATGGACCTCGAATTCCAACATTCTGCGGCGACAACTCTCTCTGCCGGCAACCTTTGGCTACAAGCACTCCCAGCCTCTGCAGACTATGTGGGGCTTTGTATCTTGGTGTTGTCCCACTCGAGTCCAGTCTCTGGTCATCCTGGCCTACCTCGCCATGTGTCTGATTCTCTGTTGTGTATCGTACGAGGCCATGGACTCGACAACTAGATGGAAGAAGCGATCTACCCAAATACAGAGATACATCGGAGACAGAACCGGCATTATGGCTTTCACCCAACTCCCCATTCTGTTCCTGTTTGCAGGAAGAAACAACTTTCTCATCTACCTGACTGGTTGGTCCTATTCCACCTTCAATGTCTACCATAGATGGATTGGTCGAGTCATGGTTACTTTGGCCTTTGTCCACTCCGTTGCCTTCACTATCAACTCCCTCAAGGCACTGACCTTTTACTATTCCTTCCCTTTTATGCGATGGGGTGTTGTGGCCACCACCATTGGCGCTCTCATGTGCTTCCAGGGCCTCCACTTCTTCCGATCCCACTGGTATGAGTTTTTCCTCGTCTTCCACATTCTGCTGGCCGTCTTCTTCACTATCGGAGTCTGGAGACACTGCCGAACCCTGGGTTGGATGGAGTATGTCTACGCCGCCGTGGCCGTCTGGGGTTTTGACAGACTAGTCCGAGTTATCAGAATCTTTGCTTCTGGCCTCGGCACGGCTACCATGACCATGGCTGACCCCTCTCTTGGTATTGTCAAGGTCGACATTTCCTACAGCAAGCTGTGGAAGGTCAAGCCCGGTCATCACGTGTTCCTGTATGTGCTCAACGGTATCCGACCCTGGGAATCCCACCCATTCACCGTATTCCAGACTTGTGAAGCTGCCGCAAACGGAAACATGTCCATCATGTTCAGAGCAAAGGAAGGTAAGACTTACAACCTGTTCAACAAGCTCAAGGACTCCAAAACTGGGCAGTTCAAGGTGCTCATCGAGGGTCCCTACGGACACCACCTGCCGATTGCCAAGTACGACTCTCAGATCTTAATTGCTGGAGGTATTGGTATCACTGCCATGTACTCGTATGCTTCTGAATGTGTTCGAAGATCAAGTGGCTCATCTGGTACCCTCAACTTCAACTGGATTGTGCGATCTGACTCGTGCCTCACCTGGTTCCATGACGAACTTGCCCTTCTCTTGTCTGATTCTCGAGTCACTGTCAACCTGTACGTGACCAACACCCGAGGCGACTTTGAGTCAGATCAATCTTCCATCGAGTCCAAGAACGAAAAGGACTTATCCGACTCCCCTGGTCCCACTCCCTTCGAGAACACAAATCTCAACGTAATTCAGGGCCGGCCCAATTACGTCTCTGATTTGCGTCGAATGCTGGAAGAGGCTCCTGGCTCCACTGCTGTCTCCGTCTGTGGTCCCCCTAAGATGAACGACGACGTCCGATTGGCCGTCCGAAAGAACCTGGATGTCAAGACCGACAGAATCGATTACTTCGAAGAAGCCTTCTGTTGGTAGGTACACTTCGTCGTCATCACAGGCATTGTCGATGTTTGGAATACCGGGGCAGTCTCCCACTTAATATATCGCTGCCCACCGATCGCCTGTTTCATCCACGACTCTGTCCGTTTACGAAAATGTATAGCTTTATGATTAAATGTTAATGAATTATGTTTGTGTATAATATCTGGACCAATGTAACATGGAACTTCCGGGTAAAATCGGAATAATCACGGGAAAAACAAAAGAAAATAACCATATAAAAGCCACAAGCCTGTATAATTCGATGCCGTGCCCTGATTTCCTCCATCTACTGCCTATAAAACGTTGACTTGCGGTTTCAACTGTGCGTATTGTACCTTACCTTCAACCTAAACGCAGACCTTATCAGATCCGAAAGAGAGCAAGAGTGCTGATCTCCACACAGAAAGCGAGATTTTTCTGATAATTTTCCAAGTCTGTGACGATATTCGGTGAAAATAGACAAATGCCTTGTCGGAACAAGCTGTAGATGCCGTATTGCAACGCACAAACTCCATTCTCGCGGTGGCTCTCTTTACAGTTTGGGCAAAGGGAAGAGATGAGAATGCTATGGAACCACTTGGAGGACAATATGGACATATTGTATAAGATCAAGTAGTACCAATGCACTCCTGTCACTCCCAGCATTCCAGCGGTACCACTTTTTTAGCAGAAACTTCTCCGTAGCAGTTTCCAGGCTTCTCTTAATTCCTGCATACCTCAGTCTTCTTTGACTCGGTGTACTTGGTGCATAACACACAAAGAAAAGGTATGTCTGGTGCTTTCAGACTGTGTGTTCTTGTACGGTGTATGTTTGTCATTTGCCACGAGCTGTTTTCAGAACTCCATCTCCTGTGGCCCATTTTCGCACCCGTTCACCATTCACAAAAATCCCATTCAGTTGGAACAACACATTCCTTCAACCTTCCTAAACCATCTGCTGACCGTGTGCCAAGAAAGTCTGGCCGTGAGCTTGTGAGCAAAAGACCAGAGACCGTGTGGAGCAGAGCCGCAGTCTAGATTTGTTTCAGGGTGCTCTGGGGCTCTGCACGGGCTGCCCTGCCTGCACTCTCTCTGCACTTCCCGGATTGTGGCACTGTATGCACGCTTGAGCAGCGCCAGCAACTAGCTTTTGACCGAACGTGATTGATAACTTTTGATCGGCGTGATCGCACCGGTATTCTGACTTTCGGAGAGCGAGACGGGAGGGCCTTAAGCAGACCGGAGGGTTACGGGGCAAATGGTTGGGTAAGTGTAATGAGAAACGTTCACTTTTAGGCTGTAGTACGAAAGATCGTGCACCTACTCGTAACACACTCCATTGGGCCCACCTAGTGGCATCATAATCAAGCATATTTCAATGGACGCTAGAACTCAAGCTGTAACTATCGTCAGCCAGCTCAAACCCAAAGAGCCTAAAGTGAGTATAGCTCAGGCAATAATTGGCTGATTGGAAAACTGAGACCCGAATCAGAATCACCAAGACGAGGGCGGTGTATTCACGGCTCCAGCATCTTCTACAACAGTAGGATCCCTTGTCGTGGGCCCCACAATCAAAAGCATCCACCCAACCTTATCCCCAGTCCCGTGAAAACCCCGGCCAGGCCTGGTGAAGCTATTCGATGCTTCAGGCTGAGTGCGTGATGACGGATTAGGGACACAGCAAAGAGAACAAGCGATACAAAAAGATTACATGTCACACACATCTTCTCATATAGACCTATTCCCGTTCATCATATCTTCAGATCTCCACCGGCGTCGACCTATGTCTACAACTCAATTGCGCAAATTGCTCAGGGCTACATATCGCCATGTGTTGCGTGCAAGAAGCCGGGATATTGGACTCAGATCTTGGCCTTGTCTCTTTGGCAGATTGATTTGATAACGTTATACGGTCTTTGTTTGAACTCTGTAAGCGACTTGGCAGGGGGAAGCACACAAACGAAAAAGAGAGCCATTCAAAAAACGCAAAGTGGACTCTAAAAATCAGAAAAACGAAAGCAAAATCAAAAAAGAGCAGAAGGAAACGAAAAAACAGAATCAATACTGTTAATGTAACACCTACACGGTTGTCTCAACACGTTAATTTCGTATAACCCTATAGACAAGATCGGACAAAGAACTTTTTTTTTTGATCTGAAGAAATCAGACAGAGCAGTACATACATATATATATCTACAGATGCAATCATATCCATCTCATCAATTAATCCACCCACCATGAACCTGCTTCTCTTCTTGACCTTGCTTGGTTTCGTCTGTGCTGCAAACACACCCAAGCTGGCCGACCATGACAAATGGAAGTGCCAACCGTGTGTGGCTACCGCCCAGATGTTCAAGTTTGGAATCACAGCTACTCGCTACACCCCTGAGCTCTACTACAAGCAACAGTGTTCCAACAAGCCATATCTTCAGACTCTTCTCAAGTGCATGCAAGATCATACCGATGAGGTTCGAGGTCGAAAGATGCTGGAGAAGTTGGTCGGAAAGAGATGTGAGGAAAACGGCTTCGAATTGAACATTGAGGATTTGGAACCTATTCCAGAATTGGTCACTGTGGCTCCTGAGAACATCAACAAGACTCAAACCGCGCCTGTTGTGGTCCCTGAAGAGATGTATGCTCCTTCCTACAAGTCGTACTCAACCTACTTTCACCAGACTGACATGGGAACTTATTTGGGAGTCGGCCTCTTATCTTACTGGACTCTAGTTCTAGTTGTGGGAGCCTTTGTCAACCTCACAAGAACTTATCTGTTCCCAATCATGTGCAAATTGACTGGTCTTCATATCAACACTATTCGAAAACACATTTCACTGCCAGCTGCTTTTGGATACAAACACTCCCAGCCTTTTCGAGTCCTCCAAGGCATCTGCTCAATGTGCATGCCTACCCGAGTGCAGTCTGTGATTGTTACTCTGTACGTCATGTTTGCATTCATTGCCTGTTTCCCTGGCTACAAGATTTTTGACGAGAATACTGTTTTTGAGAGCCACGCGACCCAGCTCAGAAGATATCTGGCCAACCGAACAGGTATTCTTGCCTTTGCTCAACTGCCTCTGCTCTTCCTGTTTGCTGGAAGAAACAATATCATGATGTGGGTCACTGGCTGGTCCTTTGACACCTTCAATGTCTACCACCGATGGATTGCTCGAACAATGGTTGCCCTCGCTATTACTCATGGCGTAACCTACACAATTTTGACGGGAAAGTTCCTCTCCTCATCCTACCCTGAGCTCTACTTCTTCATGGGAGTCATTGCCGTCATCTCTGGCTCCTTCATGTGCATCCAAGGTCTCCATTTCTTCCGATCCAGATGGTATGAGGTTTTCCTGATTATCCACATTATTCTGGCTGTGCTTTTTACTATGGGTGTTTGGTTCCATGCTGATGATGTGGGATTCCAGGAGTGGGTCTATGCGGCTGTTGCTGTCTGGGCTTTTGATCATCTGGCTAGATACCTGCGAATTCTCTTTTCTGGAGTTATTTGTAATGGTCAGTTCTCTGTCGTTGACCATGAGCACCAGATTGTTCGTGTTGAAATTGCCTACTCTAAGCTCTGGAAGGTCTACCCCGGTGCTCATGTTTTCATCTACGTCTTGACCCCCTGGAAGTTCTGGGAGTCACATCCCTTCACCATCTACCAGTCCCCCAAGGCCATGGAGAACGGCAACATTTCCATCATGCTCAAAGCCAAGTCGGGCATGACCCTCAGGATCTTCAAGCGTCTGCAGGAACAGAACAACTCTGCCAACATCAAACTTCTTGTCGAAGGCCCCTACGGCCACCAGCTACCAGTGCGAAACTACGACTCGGCTGTGGTTATTGCTGGAGGAATTGGAGTGACTGCTACCTACTCCTATGCCGCTGATCTGCTCAAATGTGCTACAACCAAGGCAATCACTTTCGCCTGGGTCGTCCGAAACGATGCTGCTATCGACTGGTTCAAGGATGAACTCAACTCCCTATTGCAAGACGAGCGAGTTCACGTCTCCATCTTTGTGTCTACTCAAGAACCTGATGACCCGGAGAGAGATGTTCATCAGAGATTTGGCTCCTACTCAGCCTCGGCTTCCTCAGATGATGAGGAAAAGACAGACAAGGGTGCTACCACCACAGCCACAGCCATGGATAGTACTTCTGACGGAGGCAGCAAAGACACATCTGTTCGAAGACTGAGGAAGAAGTTGTCGATCACTTATGGAACTCGACCTAAGATGTGTACTGCTCTTCCCCAGTTCCTGAGCTTCTGCGAGGGTCCTACTGCTATTGTTGTTTGCGGACCTCCTGTTTTCAACGACGACATTCGACTGGCTGTTTCGGAGTCTCTTCATACCAAGAACGAGCGAGTTGACTACTTTGAGGAGGCTTTCTCGTGGTAAATACAGCTACCGAGCTTCTACTTTCTTCTAACTGGTACTGGCTACCACTTCTATATAGATAGATTAATATATGTTTGTGATTGAGATTGAGAAAAGTATTGATCCAGACCTGTAGACGTGAGGACTCACCTCCTGAAAGCCAATGAAGGACCATAGAATCCATCACTGTCGAGAATTGACTTTGACTTGATTCTCATTCGACAATGGATTGCAATGGCTGACTGTCTTCCCCTCTTTCAACCCAGTCACAATCCACTCAAGATGCCGCCGACAACATCTAACACGTGCAGTGCCCGTATGATAGAAACAGACTTCGATGGATCAGAGTGGTTAGGACGTTAACCGCCCATGGTGCATAAGTGTGCGCTGAAAACAATACCTTTGTGTTTACTTTCTGTAATGCCAAGTAATGCCAAGTGCTTCTATCTACAAGTAGCTACCGCCCTGCTAGAAATAGATCAGGCCTTAAGTGAGGCCGTCCAGGCTCTACGGTAGAATTGTCACGGACTCGTCAGACTCACCAGTTAGATAAGCCGAACGCCTGGTTAAGCATAACCCCCCGGAAGGATGTTATCAATACCAGATACCCGATTGGCCGCTTTTATTCTGTTCTACCTCAATATTGCTGGTTCTACCTCTCCAATATTGAGACATGAGGTGGGCTTAGCGGGTGAGACAGTCGGGTTATAGTGTGTGCATCAACCAACCGACAAGGGAGGTAGCGTAACAGTATGATCAGGACAAGCAAACAATGACACAGCGACCCTAGTTCGTTGCTACACCACACTAACGGATTATTATGGCAGTATAATCTATAGTAATGATTTCATTGGTTGGTCTTACTCTTCATCATCCAATATCGCACTCTCCACCTACCCACCTTTTCTCCATCTAATACCCACCTCACAGATATCTACATCTTATCTCGGGGTTGATCAAGCCGGGTAAGTTTGTATGCCGTAGTGTAGCGCGGTTATTGCGTCTCCGAAAATACCGCTGCTGTTGTCAAGGGCCCACCTTGGGTGCTCTATGGCGCCCCTGAAACCTGCATAGACTCAGCTACGCGTCTTGGCAACACCTTAGGCACCTCCACCTATGGCTGTGAGGTCGTAGGTAGTTGGTTGAACTTTGAATTGACAGAGATCAAATTGATTAGGCCGATTGGTCGAGTGACCAGGCTGGAGACTGAGCTTGAAGTAGTTAACGTTTGGAGCTTGCAAGGAGTTGGATTTGGAGGTTTGTTTCAACAAAGACGAGAGTTAGAAGTTAAGTTCACTACTGAGTTTGTGAGCAAGGAACCCAGGAATGGGGGACACAGGACTTTTCTAGGGTATCTTAGCTGTAATGAGTAAGAAAATGACTGTTAGGACTTTTGATGAAAGGTTTTGGGATTAGTTATAGATTTCGGGAGTGTTTGCCAAAAAGTTTGAGCCCTCTAGCAGTCTTATGGTGTCTCCACTATGACTGCATGCCAGCATAGCTGCAAGGTTGCCGAAATCACAGGCCTAGGTTTGGCTCTGTCTCACTCCGTCTGAAACCAACTTCATCTCAGGGCTTTGGGTTTGCGGTGCTTTCCACTCACGTGAAACCATGAGTTTACTGCCGTGGCTTTAACCAGTACGAACTATCGTTCCGAGACATAGTATGTCGTATGGACCACGTGTTGGTTGGACTTTAGTTGAGTCGACTCTTTGACTGGGTGTTGATCAGGTGTTTCGTGATGGACATATGTAAAATCGACCGAGTAGGCTCTGACAAATGGTGGCGGATATGTTTTGTATACTGGCGGTCTTTGTCTACGAAGACATTGGCGATACTGGCAGCCCTTGTGCGTCTATGAGCACTCCCCTATTCTTCCACCCCACACTCTCAAACCCCATAGGGAAGGTCCAGAATCTGACAGCGGTGGCAAACCGATCCGGATCCACCACTGCACTGCTCCAGAATCGTTTCATAACAGTTGCTGACTTCTTGCCAAGACTCTCGTTCTCTATGGTTTCAAGACTCAGCCTTACATAGCCCGGTATGACCCCACCAGAGCACTTGGAGCTTGCTGGAGATTCTACCGTATTCATTAGATCAAGAACTTATTATACTTCTTAAGCCACAGTGGGCTGAGCGTTTCTCATGGTGACGAGATGCTGCTCATGGTGGTTATGGACGAGCGTGAGCTGCTTTCGTGTGCTGTACATTGTCCGATACAACTTATCTTGCAATGGGGTAGGAGCGGTGACAAAGTGAAAGCGTGTGGGACATATTTTAACTGACAATTGAAAGGCACAGTCTTACCACTTGGAGACCACAACTACAGAGACTTGGTTCATGGAGTACTGATACTACGATGCTGGCCAGTGCAAAGGAGTCGGATAGTTGTTGGAGTCTTGAACATCAAGAAGAGAGAACATGTCCGCTATACAGGATTATGTATGATAAATTCTTTTCGTTGTCTCTCCTGGTACAAGTACAGTACGTACTGTACATACTGTACTCTTACATCATATAATGTGGAGTTCGACGTTGGCCAGCTGTAGAAAGAATTGAGATACTGTTGATTCCATTTGCTTGGTACTTGTTGACCCAGATAGCCAGAGTACAGTACTGTACTATACTTGTAGTCTTCTTATCGAACCTGATGTATACGTTATTACATACACCTCCCTCTGTACTCCAGATGGCCCTCTGCAAAGTTGATTGTTACGATATCTGGAAGGAGGCCAACTATTACTAACCAGATGTCCATAGAAATTAGTGAGCACTTAATATTCTCAATATTTCCCTCCTGATAATTTGTTTGTGATCACCTAAAAGACCTTCAAATTGGTATAACCACACTTTTACTCCCCTGTCTTCTACTCCCATGTCTCCGAATCAAGCAACTATAGCTTGACATTTCAGGGTGGCGTCGGGGTCCCATCAGAGCAGTTAGATCTCAAAATCCCATGTCCGAAGATTCTCCAGTGTACCCATTGGTATTTACAATCATCTAATATATAAAAATATAAAGAAAACCACCCCTTAGCCTGCACGGAGAATCTCTCATACTTCAAACTGTAAGAACCACTCCACCTTACAGTAATCACTACCACCAAGCAGCACTAGCAGAGGAACCTCTCCAAATAAAGCATTGGTGTCTTCCATACCTCGTCAAAAGACAGCAGCTGTCATAATATATTACAAGTACAAATACTTGTACAGTTTTTTTTTTTTTCTGCATATACATTCATTTAATTATAACTTTGCCGTGAAAGAATAACCTTTGAAATGAATGTACGCTTACACGAATATTACTAATTAAACACGTTTAGTGTCATGGTCCAACTTGGCACGTACCTATTTCCAGTAAAAAAATCATAAAAAAACCTGGTTCAGTCCGTGTTGTATGTTGGTCCACATAGCTTCGCGTGTTTGTTCGTTCATCGGGAAAACGCCACTCCAGTCTCCAGTTCTCTAATCTCAATCCTTCCATTGCCCTCTTCATTTGCATTGCCTTTGAAAACTTCTCCTTGTGGTTCTTCTTCGTCATTGGTTTGGTTCTGCGTCCCCTGTGGTGACTACGCGCCCTGCTACGCTGTTCTCTCGGTGGCCTCGGCCGCCTTTTACGCTTGCTACTGTGTCTACTCTCGCTCATCGTGAAGTGCTGGCGGTTGTCCATCGTAGAAACACATCTGGGCTTCCTTCAGGAATTGAAGCAAACCCTGTTGGACATGTCCCAGGGTGGCGTCGTCCCCTGAGTACCGGAGGGATCTCTCCATCTTCCAGATCCCATAAGCCAATTCCCGCAGATATTTGCGTGTCTTGACTTGTTGATGTTTCCGGGGGGCGTCACTGTTCACATGCCCTGGGAAAGAGGGGAGTACTCCACATTTCGACTCGGTAAAGATCCAGTCCTTTAGAGAGTCCACTGACGGAATCTTCATCCTGGTCAACATGGAAAGAAGAACTTCGCACTTGCAGAAGATATGCTCGTGCAGATCCTGAATGATGGCCTTATCACAGAGCCCGCATCCTGGATTCTTCTTGGTGAAAACGTGGTCGTCAGGGTATCTCCATTTCACGAGCGGAAGTCGAGATATCCGCATGAGGTGAAGAACTTGTGCTTTGTTGGCGTCGGCGATGTAGTGTTTTCGAAGGTCATGCATTACCTCCTGCCAGACCATGTCGTCAGAGATGCCCCCGTAGTCGCTTCGTTGAGTCCACTTCTTCGGTCGTGCAAGTGTGTGTGGGAAGTTTGGCAAGTCGGGAGACGAGGTCTTGTGAAACATGAAGTTCTCTAGAGTAAGTGGTCCCATGCTCCACCAGTATGTACTGTACATACGTCACGTATCTCGCTATCTCCACAACGTGCGCTTTAGACTTACTTCCGGGTAACCCATAACTCAGCTCACATAACCTCAACCTAAGACTACAATACATTCCCTTCTTCACACCAGCAATGATTAAAACTGATCTGTCGCAACAAGCATCCCTCACACTTTTTACTCCGGTGACCCCTCGGTCCCGTAAGCGGGGCCACTAACCCTGACTAACCCCGAGACTGAGGATCGGGTCAATGGCCAGCCTGAGTCGTTTGAGAGTCCTCCTTGTGTCTCGATAATGGCGTGGACGCGTCTGGGTCGTTGTGACGCGTGCATGGGAAATCCAGGAGGCGTTCCGAGTCGAGATATGACATCAATGCCGCTTGAGTGCGAAAAACCAGCCCTTTTCGGAGGGTATGAGTCTGGGAGTAGTCAGGTACATTGTCGGTCAACATACGTACACGACCCGGTGGCGGGTGGCTCGTTTGTATGTGGAGACGGAGGGTGGTCAATGTGTGCTGTCATGTAATTCCATTGTCTTCGTTCCGGCGGTTCTGTGCCATACAGTTACATTCTCTTTTCAGAGATAAACGTCTGAGAGCTCTAAGACTGGGCTTCTGGCAGCGCACAAGCATCCCTTCTGTCTTCCAACGACCTCCAGATGTTGTTACGACATCAAATCCACCGCGTGATCGACGTGCCACCTCCCTAGCTGGCGTTGGAGCCTTTCTCGATACTCACCCAGTCGCCCTGGGCAGACGAGTCTGCCTTTTTGTTCCGCGTGAAGCCGAAACCGATCCGGAAAACACACAAGGAGGGATGTTCGGACACATTCTGGCCTGTGGAGCTGCTTGAGACGCCGACGGAGCAACCCCGTTGCTCAATGTGCTGGACGCTTGTCTTGACGGACAACGGCTGACACATGTCTGAGGCCGACTATAAGTGCTCCGTCACAGGCCAGGCTTGAAACACATGATGCGGATCTTGAATGAGCGTCCAGAGTTGTACACATGGTGTGCGACTCTGGTGGTGTACCCTGTATTTAGATGTGCAAGTAGACCCACTGACCTTCCGGAGAGTTACAGTATGTACTCTAGGGAGAGGCTTAGCATCGGAAAACCGAGATAAGTGAGTTCGCAGCCGCTCTCTAATTACACCCAGTGTGCAAGTACATACTGTACCTACTGGTAGGATTGTTACCGATCCCCACTCGTAGACTGTACAGAGAACAGTGGATTGATATCGTGCTATCAGACTGTCAGAGTCGTTACTCCGTCGATACAGTGCATTATCTAGCAGCCGACATTATCACAAGCAAATAATTATGCAACTGCTCCGTTCGAAAGCTCTAATAGCTGCTAAATCTACTGTCCAAAAGTTATCTTATTGTCCCGTATCAGCAAGATAAGAGGAACTGGACGGATCAGGGAGTCCTAGCCGGACACACGAATGGTCTCATTAAATGCCACCGAGCAGCCAGAGTTTGTGATGGCTGAATCATAGTGATGGATGTGTTTTACTACAGGAACTAATTGTGCTACCTTGGCACAGCCCGTGATTGATCTTCAAGATATGTACTGTATGAGTTGTAGATGATTATATATGGCCCAGAGGTATACTTGTAGTAGTACTTGTACTGAACGAGAGAACCATTGTAATTACAGTACATACAGTAGCTTCAAAGAGACGTTTGCACCATGTGTATAAGTGGTTGTCCAACATAACAGCATTCTTCTTGTACTGTATATAATTACATAATTGTATGGCACGATGTTTGTTTGTACATACCCCCTGGAACAGCAATAATACAGGGGCTCGTGCGTATATTTTGGAGGGTCTGGTATTTAGTCCAATACCAATTATGATGTAAAGCAGTCAGTTATGAGTGCCAGTATAAACCCCTGAAGCCACAATTGGGCTTTTCTGAAAACGTGCTATTCTCAGGGCTGTACGTAGTCGTTTGCACGGCTGAGTTGCCCATGATCATTGAGTGCTCATTTGTGGCCCAGTACGAGGTTTCAGTTGGTTTGATCCGCCCTACTGTAGCTCGCAGACCACGTTTTGAGTGGGATTGCTGTCCAGAGATCCATCTGTCTTGGCAGTTTCGCACTTTGGGCGCAAGAAACAGTGATGGGGAATGAGACATCTCCACTTGGTAACTACTTGTACGGGACAGGCATATGTTTACAGCGACTAACAGTTTACGACGATATCACTTTGCACGCCCTTATCATTCAGTACATTCCAATCTGCGTGAGACACGCTAAGGAAGCGTGAGGTAAAAGCTGAAGTTGTGAGAAGCTGTGCTGGGTGGTGGTTAGGTAAAGGGCCAAAAGTGGGCCATGTAACATTGTCACATTGGCACATTGGACGGGCTTTGGATTTCAATTAGGGGGGCTTCTTCCTGTCCTTGTTTCTTCACGTGCTGAACTAAACCCCGCATGCCCATCGCATCTCTGTCTTCCATTCCTTGTTTTGCTTTACAATCATTTGTCATGATCGGCGTGTGAGATGATCCCGCTGGAGATCCTGTAGTCAGGAGAAATCGATAATCCACGGTGATAAGGGGACAGTGAACACCAAAATGCGATACAAAAAAGCAACCTCAAGTTCGCATCCACTAGCCTGTTTAGTAACTTAGACGGGCCATCCTTATCTTGTTAGCGCCCGCACAAAACCTCCAAGAAATGTCACACCTTAAGGGACCCTGAATCACGTCTGGTTCGAACCCTGAAGTCAGAGTTCGAACCCAACGTCTCTTATACTACCGCGCTAGGCGTGTGGGTGCAGTGGAGCGTAGCTGAGCACTGTCGCTACTGCCAAATAAGCGGTAGCACAAAAATTGGATTTTCGTGTCTCTATTTTCGTATTACGTGTCGCTCGCTCTTCCTGGTGCACATCTATTTTGGGTGTCTCACCCATCCACTCACTTCCAGCTTACCAAAGGTGACTAAATTGCTCACCAACATTATGTGGAGAATTCCATACAGAAGAAACACGTCGATCGGCGCATAACTGGCGTACACAGACCGACTGCGGTTGACGCGCAGGTGGAGAAGAGCTTGAGAGCGCTTCATGGTGGCCATTCATCGTGCTTGAGACACGTGACATGGGCACACCTAACGTCAACCAGCCCAACACTACTGGGAGCCGAATGACAGACATAGGGGCAATGTCACCAACTTGCTAAATCATGCCTTGTACGCTGTCACTCTATGGACGATCTTACTCAGCCCAACCTACTTGCACCCAGCATTCTGTGCTTAACTGAAAACTGTTCAGGCACACCCTCTAGTGCCGAAAATGAATGTTCATGGGTTCTACACTGCCCTCTCGAGACGCACAGAAGAACACAGCCTCTGCATGTGGAACAATATTTTCCATCCAACCAATGGCCCCATGCGTTCCTGTGGTCTTTGCTTTTTCGCCCTCCCTCTACTATCCGCCAAGAACAATTGGCTATGCTGCGATTAGACGTCACATCTGTTGGTACCTACATACGACGCACGCACAAAGAAAGGCAAAAAAGAAACGCCGCCGATGACGCAAACGGAAAATCAATGGTTGAAGTTCAATCCATGGTATATATAGTCGGACTCGTACAATCATGTTATTCGGTACAGACAAATGAAAATCTCAACTCTCTTCACACTGGTGGCTGGAGCCTCGGCTTCGGTCTCTCAGACGAAACCTCGCGACCATGACGCCTACAAGGCCACCGCCTGCTTCACCGTTGCCCAGAATTACAACTTTGGCATCGAGGCTAACTACTACGAGTCGCAATACGCATTCTTCCACGAGTTTTGCAACACTAAGCCCTTCTTACAGTCCGTGCTGCTGTGCATGGACAAGGCTTACAACGGCAACATGAAGAAGCTGCAAAAACAGTTCAAGGAACGTGTGCTGGTCATGTGCAAGTTTGTGGGCGAGCCACGACCCGACAAGCAGCAGGTTCTCGAACTCCTTACCTCCGCCAAGGACTCACAGCCGGTTCAGATTCCTGAGCCAGCCTCCCAGGACCCTAAGGCTCCCCCTTCACCTCTGTACACCAAACCCGTGATTGTGGACGAGGAGACCTATGAGGGCACACTCGCCACCACTAACATCTCCGAACTTGCCTCTGACAAGGGTCTGTGGCTTGCATCAGGTCTTCTGGGCTACTGGGCTCTCATTCTTCTCTTTGGTACAATCTCCCATATGTTCCGAAAGCTGTTCTTCCCTGTTCTTCTGAAGATGACTGGTTTGCACATCAACACCTTGCGGCGTAACGTGACCATGTCGGCTCTTTTTGGCCACAAGCACGCCCAGGGTTGGCTGGCTGGTTGTCTTCCTACTCGAGTGCAATCTCTCACCGTCGTTGGATACTGGTGTCTAATCTTCATCTTCCCCTGTGTTGGATACAAGTTCGAGACCCCTACAGAGGGGAACTCACACACCGCTCAGCTCAGATCTTACCTTGCCGTAAGGCTCGGAATCATGGCTGTATCCCAGACTCCTCTCATCTTTCTGTTTGCTGGAAGAAACAACTTTCTCATGTGGCTAACTGGCTGGTCTTTCGACACCTTCAACGTATACCACCGATGGATTGGTCGAGGCATGGTCGCTCTAGCTATCTCTCATGGTGTCACATTCACTGTTGCTGTTGGAGATTCTCTTCCTGCTGCTTACAAGCGGCATTGGTTCTACTGTGGAGTCATGGCTGTCATCAGTGCGTCGTTCATGATTCTTTTTGCCATCTCTGCTATCCGCCACAGATTTTACGAAGTCTTCCTCATCATCCATCTCTGTCTCGCCATTGTCTTTGTCTATGCCATCTACAATCATACCGAGTTCGTCGGCTACCATGAGTTCATCTATGCCGTTATTGCAGTATGGTCTTTTGATCGAGCTGCTCGAATCGCCCGAATCTTCTACTCTGGCATCAACTCTCGAGCGAAGATTACGGTCGTCGACACAAATGAGCGAATCATGCGTTTGGAAATCCGACATTCTGGCAGATGGACCCCTAAGCCTGGTCAGTACATCTTCCTGTATGTGCTGAGCAACCGAAAATTTTGGGAGTCGCATCCATTCACTGTCTTTCAGTCTCCTCAGGCCGAGAAGGACGGATCCATCACCCTGATGGTCAAGGCTCAGAAGGGAATGACCGAAACTCTCTACAAGCGTACTCTGGAGGCTGGTACTCTGGACACCCGTGTTCTTGTGGAGGGTCCATATGGCTCTAAGATGCCTGTGGACAAGTACGACTCGTCCATTCTCATTGCTGGAGGTATTGGTGTCACAGCTATTTACCTGTGTGCCTCCTCGCTGCTCAAGTCTTCTGCCAAGAGCATCACTGTTTGCTGGGTTCTCCGGTCCGACCAGGCTCTCGAATACTTTTCCCCAGAGCTCGATTACCTTCTCAACGACCCTCGAGTCCGAGTGGAAATCTACTTCTCTACCCAGAAGCAGCAGCTCGAGACTTCACCCTCCTCCAGTATCAGTGATAGTGAGAGTATGGTGGACAATGGAGTTGTGACCGAGAAAGATGGAGTTGTCGAGCGAGCGAAGACTCGCTCCCGTCTCTCTTCAGCCGCCACAGCTACCAACCGTCTACACATTTCCTACGGTTACCGACCAGATATGCTCACCCATGTCCCCAACAGTGTGGCTTCTCAGGGAGGCTCCACCGCTATTGTCGTCTGTGGCCCTCCTGCCTTTTCTGATGACGTTCGACTGGCCGTCAGAGACAACTTGAACTCCACCACCGAGCGAGTTGACTACTTTGAGGAGGCTTTCTCTTGGTAGTCGGTATTTAGATCATTATTTATAAATTAGAGTGAAATTGATAGATGTGACTTGTAGAAGCTGCTGTATTGTAGGTAACTTCACTCTCCACCAAGGGTGTGGAATTAACCATGGTGTTTGAAAACGGGCGTGGACTTAGTACTACCCGTGTTGACTCCCCCAGAAGGGCAATTTTCAATAACCTCCAATACTAGTGGGGCTGGTACAAGTACAGTGTACACTAATTGTTATACGCAGCTAAGTTAACGTGAAACTGCTGTCAGGGACTGAAAAAGCAAACAGCAACCATCGGAAAAAAGGAAAGCAAATCTACGGTACCCCTCACGTCAGGTACCAGGGACTAGGTCTGCAGTGTCTAATGTATAACTACCCGTCAAACCAAACGTATGCTTATAGCTTCGACTTCCAGGGTTTTAGAGTGACCGTCTAACGTGTTTTTGGGATGTAGGAGACAGAAAGGATCCACGTTTCATCTGTGGAGTAAGGAAACGCATCGTACAATAAGGGGCGCAGAGAGAACAAAGATCGTCTCAGATTACTCCGCCCCAATTTGCTCACAAGCAATGTAGCACTTGTTTTCCTGTCCTATTACGTGTGTCAAGTCTAGTCATCATGACAAATCCCTTGGTAAGACTGTCAAGGTTAGAGTGTGCAGAGCCAAGCAGGACACCATGGACGTACATTAAACCTATTGTTGAGCTGTAGGTGAACAGCCGAAGACGAGCGACTTCAAAGTCCGAGTTTTCGAGCACTTTCATCAGTTCAGAAACAACTCGTTTGCAGAGGTGCCCTGTGGTAGTGTATTTTGCGATGGCGCTAAATTAGACTGCATACAGCGGAATAAAATTATCACAAGAACAAAGGATAAGCATAGGTGTTCGTTCAGGAAACCGAGTGTGTCAAACTACTGTAAAAACATGTCAGAGAAATCAGCGATTGGAAAAAAGATTACAGCACCCAGGATTCTCGTATGGTCTCCCACTACAATACTAACTAGGCTCTCTGGTGCTTGACTATGGCTGATCGGACGGGAAGCCGTATTTTCACCAGGATATGGCCGTAACCAAACTGCGCCGACCCGGAATCGAACCGGGGGCCCATCGATGGCAACGATGGATTTTACCACTAAACCATCGGCGCGTTTTTTATATTTTCAAGATATCAAATCGAAACATAAGGTGTCCTAGGATTAGTCATCACATGAATCATTAGAATAAAAAAATAAAAAAAACACATACTACTTGTAGGTATAACCAACCGACAGCGCCCCGCAGCGCACATCGCCAAGATTCAGAAGTGTATGATTTATTGAACGTCAATAACCCGGCTTACTAGGTACAGTATATAGCTGTAATGAATCATTAAAAATTTAAAAAAAAATTGCTATTATTGTTTCGTTTCAAATGCCGCCTAAAGAACCTTGTCATCTCAGAGAACATTATACTTGTTCTTGTAATTGCCTCTTTCTGCTCAGTTGCGCTTGGCAATGGGGCAGTGTTCTAACTGGCCGATGTTTCGGCTATAACTTACTAGTTTATTCTGTGACTGCCATATTATTTTGCGAGATTGCGAATGGACGCTGGGGGACACTGTAGTACCCACTTGCCTTCCCCAAATATCATAGTCTACCGTATTTTATCAGCTGTCAGGTCTTCCTATCTGCGTCCTGTCCTTTGTCTGCGTCTCCATTGAGATCTGCTAGGGACTACTGTAATTCGCCTTCTATAGCGTTCGAGGACAACTGACAAGTGTCAGACAGCACCCACTGACTTGGCACTGTTTCAAGGGTTAAATCTGTAGAATTTCTTTTCCGGTTTCAAGTCCACTTCGTGGTCTGAGGTCAATGTATTGCTTTTGGCGCTGCTGTTGTCTTAGGTTAAACGTATAGCCCTGTTACTGACGTATTGCTATGGAATCCTTTTTGTTTGTGACCTGGTCCAATGTTTCGGGAGTACTGCTGTTTTGTACATAGATACAATATCGCATTACCGTACCGCCGTTTCGAAGTATCAAAAGAGGGGCTATTCTTTCACTTGCCCGATCCGTTGGGTTACTGACTTCTGATCTCATGGGAGTACATACTGTGCATGAATGTAGTTGACGTTTCCATGATCCGGGTCACATGTTTTTTTGGATCCTGTTCATCAGAGTAGGCTACAGTAGTACATACTGTACTTGTACTTGGTTTTATTGATTTGATGCTTTTGATAAAGACAGGTAATGGCACTTTGGTGCACAGTGTGTATATTAGTATGTACATACTGTACTTGTAGGTAATCTGTACTGTAACAGTAGCTACAGTAGTAGTTGTATTGTACATACTGTACTTGTATCTATACAGTAGTATGTATGTATAAGTATATACTGTACTGGCACTTATATATACTGTACTGACACTTATATATACTGTAGAGGTGCTCACATGTGGCTTGACCTGACGAACTGCAAGAGTAAATATCATAAATGACAAATGAAATACCAAATAAATAATTGAACACCTCAGCCTTGAAATACCTTTGTATGTGAGTCTCATACTCTACCGATTAAGCTACAAGTAGCCAGGCTTGTCGGCTCCGGGGTTTGTTTATTGAAGATCATAAGTATTATTGATGTGATATAGTTAATTAACAACTTACAACCCACTTCTAGGGACACGACGTTCCGATAGTAGCACACACCAGAAGGGTGTGTGCTTGCTCATTCACCAGAAAAGAGATTCTAGATCAGTGGATAAAACTATCTACAGGATGGACATCTAGTCTACGACCCAGCTGATTCCTCTCATCACTATGTGGTGACATCTCATCATTATGTGAGGAATTAGCCAGGTATTACCCCACCGGGTATTACCTTCAACATTGTTGGGGGGTTTTTTAATAAGAAAAAGACAAAAAAACACTCGAACACTTTTCGTACTTGTAGTACAAGGGCATCTTACTTCAATTTTATGTCTTTCTTTTATTCTGATGATGATACATTGTGTATTCGAAAGAATTTCTTTATATGTCCAGGGATTTCAAATTCATTTCAACACCTTCAAGGCCTATCAACAATGTTAAACCCGCACAACGGACTCGGGTTCGGGATTTCAGAAGAGCGTACAACCATGATTGTAGTTATCCTCTTGTTTTATTTGGCTATCACACCCTATCGTTTTAATAGTGCCCCATAATACGTCAGTGTTCTTCGTACCGTACTAAACCGATTTTTTCAGTGTGACTAAATTAGAGTTTTCATATATGCAAGGATGTCTCCTTGTGAAAAGAGCGGAAAACATAGCTGCTGGCGTCAATAATAGGTCTATAGCTTTTTTTCAAGATAATATAAGGTTTTTGAACCTTCATATCCAGTAATATAACCCCGTTCTGGTTTCACAAATGCCCATCTCCAACTCCATTGTTCGTATCATGCAATGTATCATGCATCGTATCTGCTGGTATGCATGTTGCATACATATTATATGCACTTTTTGGCCACCAGTCATCTACCCAGAACTCAAATGAGCTCGACCAGACTAATGAACTCCATGTGTCCAACTGTTTTCATCAGAATCAGACAAACAAGCAGGTCTGTCTCATTTAACGAAGACTAGCGATCAGTTTGAGTGTATATTGGTAATCACACCTCTACCGCATGAGCCCTAACGGCTAAGAGACGCTGTTGCACACTGACAACAGCTTCTGATTGGGTGTTTGAGCTGAGAATCCCACGAGTAAAATACCAAGGGCTTATCTAATTTTGAGAAGAGAAGGAACCCATTCGGTGTTGAAACATGTAACTACTAAATAGTCCCCTCCGATATTACGATCGTAGCGAGTTGAGTTTTCTGTATCGTTGTAGCTTTACATTGGCCGACCACTTACAGATATTACCAAAACATACTATTAATGCTATGTCTACGTAGTACTGTAATCCAGTCAAGCCTTCTGAGCTTTGCTCTTCTTGGGAACTCGGCAAACGTAGTAGAGCAGGAAGGCCATGGCCACATTGAATACAGGGTACGCCCAGATAATACCCCAGTTTCTCCATCGTTGGGTATAGGAGACATCAACCATACTCAGATACGTATCTGAAGACTTCATGGGGCAATACTCACACAACTCATTGGCTGCAGGATTCAACAGATAACCCCCATTATCGCCTAGAGCCTGAATGAACCCCTGCATATACTCCCCACACGATTTTCCAGGGAATGTTTGGAATCTGACGATTTCGTTTCCAGAGCACGTTACCGGGGCTCGTCCAATACCTGTTGCCAGCATTCCTCCAACAAAGTAGGTAAGAGGCGAAACTCTGTACATGAAGATCCAGAAGCCAGGCATCTGCTCTTTGGTGGCCAGAACACCACAGAACAGCAACATGAGAGAAAACAACAAGTTACCAATATTGGCAGCAGTGTCCTTGTTACCAATACCCGCAATCATCATGTGGGCAAATGTGGAGTTGTAAAGGAAGAGCAAAAGAACGTAGAGGAAGAAAAGAGCCCCTCGTTCGTGGACAGAATTGTTGTGCTCAGCTGTCCACTGGAATCCCACAGGGTAGTAGAAACAGAAGAAGACAATTACACCCATGAGGAATTGCCAAGACAGCTCGACTACCATATTGGATGCCATGAACACTTGCCACGAGTATGTCTTGGACGACCGTTCTCGTGCTTCGTATTGCTCTCGCATCTGGTCAAACTGAGGAATGATCTGCTCCACAACAGTGTTGAAGATCAGGAACAGCATGAAGAAGGAGAACATTTTGTTCTGCATACCCTGGATATCAGAAGGTGCCTTGAAGAAGGAGAAACCAATAAAGATGGCAGAGGCGGTACACAAAAAAATCTTGGACCACAGGTAAGATGGAGTTCTCCAGAATCGCTGATATAGTCGTTTGGTGACAATCTTGAACTGAGTCCATTGACCTACTGCGAACTGGTCCGAGTCGGAGTAGCCGGACGCGTCTCTCTCAGTGTTGTTGGTCTGTGTTCTCTCGACGGTCTGGGCCATCTCATCGAGTTCTGCCCGTTTGGCAGCTCGTTCAGACGACTCATTCCAGACCACAGGCCAGTCTCTCTTGGCAGTAGATCCAGGAGCAGCTCCAATCACTTCTAGCATCCACTCTGCAGGGTTACCTTCCTTGGGACAAGGGTCAGCTCCGTTTCTCTCAAAGTAGCTTGTCAATATGGTAGACTCAGGGCCAATATCGCCGTAGTAGACGGTTCGACCTCCGGAGGCTAGGAACAAAAGTCGATCAAACTCCTGGAAGAGGATAGCAGAGGGCTGATGGATGGTGCACAAAATAGCCTGTCCATTTGCAGCCAGTTTCTTGAGTAGTTTAATAATAGACCAAGCAGTCTGAGAATCAAGACCAGATGTAGGTTCGTCCAGAAACAACAGCAGCTCAGGCTTGGCAGCCAGCTCTACTCCAATCGTTAGACGCTTTCGCTGCTCAACGTTGAGACCCTCGCCTGGAACACCAACAATAGCCTCAGCATAAGCCTCCATCTCAAGAATTCGAATAACCTCATCTACGTAAGCAAGTTTGTCCTTGACTGAGATGCTGGACGGCTGTCGAAGCAGAGCAGAGAACTCGAGGGACTCGCGTACGGTAGCAGTAGACGTGTGAATATCCTGCTGTTGAACATAACCAGTCTTTCGTTGGAAAGATTCGTCTCTGGGTTCTCCATTGACCAACATGTCGCCAGTAATAACACCTGTCGCTTTTCGGTCAGCCAAAACATCGAGCAGGGTAGTCTTACCTGCACCTGAAGCACCCATCAGAGCTGTCAGAGTGCCTGGCTTGACCCAACCATCAACATGGTCCAGAAGTCGTCGTTCTCCATCCTTGACTTTGGTGTCATAGCAAACATCCTTCCACTGGAATATTCCCTTTTGGGCCTGGATGTTAATGGAGGAGTCTTCGGATGCAGGCTCCTCGCTCTTCTCACCAGCCATCATCGCACCAGCCTCCTCGTCGTTGGCAGCATGTTTCTTGATCTTCTTGAGGTATGACTTCCGGAACACGAGCACCTCGCCTTTGGACTTGGCGCCCTGAATATATTCTACCGCGACCAGGTAGCAGAAGCCAAAGAAGAATATAAAACCGAACAGGATTCCCATGTTTCGCCACAGATGAGCATTGTAGTACTGGTACGCGAGACCCAGAAATCGGTCGCCGTTGACCGACGATTCGGCAGGTACAGAGCCAACAACGGAACACGACTTGTACTGGAGATCAATCTGGTCGTATTCTCCTCCCGTAGGGACGTATGAAGCACACCCGTAGTCTCGATTTCGGAACTCGTTCACCATTACAGCCTCGAATCCATAAGCGACTGGGTTCAACCAGTTGATCCACCGAGCCCATCCGTGCATGTAAGTGATGGGAAGCGAGAAACCAGTGTAAATGACAAGCGCCAAGATGATGACTGATGCAGGAGCTAAGGCTTGCTCGAGAGTTTTGGTGATGGCAGCCATGCACCGGAAGATCATGGACATCGCAAGTGTACACAGAAGCGAGAAGAGGAAGAAGATGAAAAATGGACCTGGTTCACGTCTCAGGTACGTCATGAAGTACAGAGTCAGATTGACAGCCAGGAGCGTAAGGATTTTAGTAGGGAATGTGGTCAGAATGGACGCCAAGGCTTCAGTAAATGGATGGTATAATGCATACCGCGTTTGTTTCTCCACAATCGGACGTTGTTCGTAAAGCGATAAAATTTCCAGGACCGAAGAGAAGGCGTTGAGCAGAATAGCGAAAAAGAGAAGAGCTCCTCGAGAGAAAAATGTGTCTGTGGTCTGCTGCATGTTATAGAACATGGAAGACAGAACCAGGGCCATGATGAAGTTTCCAACCACAATGGAAATATCTGTTGACATGTCTCCTTTGATACGCAGAAAGCCACGCCAGAGACACAATCTGGTCTGCATGGGCCATGATATCGTATACGGAGACTTGACACGAGTGTGTCTAGCCTGTGACTCCTTTCGCAGCTCCATGAAGTGATCCTGAGACTCTCCACCCAGCTGGAACTCGGTGTTAAACTCCTCAATCTCTTGTAGGAGCTTCTGACGAGCCTGTGACTCCATCCAGCACTTTTCGAAGTCGTCAGGAGTTCGAGGCACCTTGTTCTCCCACCCGGGCTGAATTATTCGCTCAATGGGGTTGGTTAGCGACGTGAGGAAATCACCCGTAGTCTGACGGTCTGCACACTCGAAGCCAAGATCAAGGAAAAACTGCTTCGCCTCCTTTGCGAGTCCGAAGTATATTTGTCGTCCCTCGTACAAAACACAGACCTTGTCGAACAAGTCGTACGCCTCTTGAGATGCCTGATAAAGAGAAACAAACATTGAAGAGCCCATCATCTCGGCTGACAGACGAAGAGACCGAATGAACTCGGTGGCATTGGCTGCATCCAGCCCACGTGTACTATTATCCCAGCACTGGAGAGGAGCTCCACAGACGACAGACTCGGCAATAGATACTCGCTTACGCTCTCCTCCAGAGACACCACGCACGAAATCGTTGCCAACTTTGGTATCCATAGTATGCGTGAGACCGAGGGTTGCCATAGTAACGTCTCGCGTATGTTTGGCAAACTGTTCACGTGATACTCCCTCCAGACGATTGTGGGGTGTTCGAGCGAGAGCTGCAAACAAGAGAGTGTCTCCGACTGTCAGATGGGGGAAATGGACATCCACTTCTGCGTTGTAGACGATTTCTCCCCGGGCGTTTTTAGTCATTACCTTTCTTGGGACGCCTATGTTAGTAAAAAATGTCGACAGAGAAAATGTATACTGATGAAAACCTCACAAAGGACTGCGTAAGATGTTCGTACTCACCCTGATAATTCCATTCTGTCTTATCCTCAATGTGAAAGCCATATGTTTCACAAGCCACAGACTTCAGGAATGTCGTACATCCCGATCCTGGTCTTCCTAGTACCACACAGGTCTCTCCTGCTCTCACCAGACCGTCAAAGTGTCTTAGAATCTGCACCTTGGTGCCCTTGTTACCTCCAAACAGCTCCATGATCATCGGGCCAATCGCCAAAACGGAGTTAGAGAAAGTCTTCTGGTACTGCGAGCCACCTCCATAACCATAAGCGGCCAGGTTCTTGAATGACACACCCGCTGTGATATGCTTGGTTGCTCCAAACCGCTGCTTCAATCCCAAAACGGTCTTGATCCATTTACGAGCGTTGAACTCGTCAGATAACGGATCGAGTTGGGGGTCCGAGTTGTCGATGTAAGGATTGACGTCAAGGTTAGGCTGGACAGTGTCGGATCTGAGCAGCTTTTCGTTCCCCACAGTGCCCTTTTCCGTGTCGTAATCGTCGACCCTATCTTTATGGACGGATTCTGCTATTGACCTGATTTCTGCATCAATGGTGGGATCCAGACCAGTGTAATCTGGTGGTGTGCTTTCCATGCTGTTTTTTAGGAAGAGAAGTCGGCTTCTAAAAACAATTGCTTTACAATGACGAGAGGAAAGTGAGAGACTCGTTTGTGGGATTGCTCATCACCTTTAACAGTATGCGTGATTCGACACTGCAGCACCCCATGAAGCTTAACTATAATTGCATATATTTACGCAAGCTGGGGAAAGGTGTTAGAGTGTCATGAATGTCATGAATGTCATCTGGGGGCGTTTTTACTGGTTTAGTCGATTTGTAATGCCTCATAATACTCCCGGATAGTCATTTTACGTGCAATAATGGTCAAAAACGACAAGTGTACATAATCTACTAACCGCGCCTCCACCTGCGCCGTGCAGAACAGTGAAGGTACATTAAAATTAAACACAAAATTCAATGCTGCCGTATGTTTTGAGGAGCGCAAAAGTGCGGAAAAGTCACGTGAGGCGTTTGTGTACGCTCCCAGGGAATTTTTATTACGGGAATGGTTCTATGTCTTGCAATGCGTATAGTAAGTGGCGCCACGTTCAAAGCCGCTCAGCACATTCTCAGCTAGTATATCTCGATACGAGCTGACAACAAGGAACATATTAAGCGAATTTGAATTTAAACGAGCAAAAATGAGCTTAATTGTGAAACAAATCAAACAAGGGACAAGAAACATGGCGAAATTCGGTAAAATTCATAGAGAGGAAGAATCTGATGGGAAACAATATCTGATATAATCTGAAAAAAAAAAAAAAAAAAAAAAAAAAAAAAAACACTACAAGTACAGGCCAATATCCCCTATTTCCTATTCTACGTTGGAGTGCCGTGTATAAAAAGGGTCCAAAGTAGCTTCGTAACCCCAAAAGCATACCCTGCCTGGATAACATGTTACATGCCACTATGACATTTGATGAGGACAAAGACATCACAGACGAGTATAGAATATACATACCGGAGGAATTGTCACGAAGGTCGCGACGGCAAATGATGGTGCATACGGGGGTACTTGAAAAGGTCGAGTGAGATTGAAGATGCTACAGGCCATACGTCTGTGTACATACTGGTGTGGCGATGGGAATTAGGGACTGTGGTCCCATACATGTACCACAGCACAGAGAAGGGATCTATGGTGTTAGAAGATAGCTCATCTGATAATCACATATACAGTATCATATTCTCATACCATGTTGTAACATCAGTTCCCCCAGTGCCTTAGTGCCCATTTTTCTTGATGTAGCTACAGAAATCGATGCTAATATGTACAACACTTGATGTTATCATCAGGATGCCAACTTGTAACGAACTCGACTCTTGCCACTACTTTTATCGCCGGTACCACTAACTGGATGCACCAGAATGGCAATTAGCCTGTGGTTTGGTCACTGGTGTAACTACAATACTCGTGCCTGTAGTTAGACCAAGCTCGTAAATCAATGATACTGTAGCATGTCCATCAACTTATAGTCTACTGTAATAGATTGTGCGCGATCTACAGTGCACTGGTGATATTCTAGTAGCTACACTACAAGCTCTAGCTACCTCTATAAGCTCCAGTACATTCAGCTGTGGTCAACTTACCAAGATCAGGTACATCTTAGATCTCGTACTAAGTCACCGGCTCAGGAAATTGGGACATCTCTTCGTTTATATCGTCCTCACGACTCTCCAGTATGATCAACCCTTTCCCTGCACACACACAAAACTCAACCCCGCTTAATAAGGGCGTTCGGAGATACTGCGGGACAGGTTTTGTGGGGGATTCTAATGACACAAGAAAGAAAACACCGTTCTAGAATGGATGTGGGTATATTTATCAGCTTTAAATAATCAGAGCCAATTAATAGATCCCATAGACACCTATATGATTGCTGGAAAAACCCATTCATTCGCCATCTCTATGTATTAGAGTTTAGGATTGTTATGGGGAGAGATTTTGGGGGTTACTTATACTCAACTAAATTGGGTGTCATTTTGGGTAAAAATTGTTCTGACAGAAACAACACACTTCCAATATATTATCTGTGAAAATTTATTCCAAATAGATCTACTATTAAACGTCTTATGAGCATCCCGAAGTTGAGATCCGCAAAGCTTACCTCATTTTAACCTCGGTATTTAGTTATACTCGATCACTTTACACGGGGACGTGTGATAGCTCCTAAAGGGAAAATGTGGTATCATTATCGTACTCTTCTCGTTTATAGAAGCACACTGGTATGTTCTAAATTCCCTTAGCACACCTACATCGTCCCCCAAAGTCTTCCCTGTGTCTTCTGCATGCTGCCAAAACCAACCACCCAAATTCGAAACTCAAAGTATATTTTGGTGGTGAAAAATTGAGTCTGACATCACCACTCACCACAGCACACTACACAACCATGAGCACTACCCCCGTCCAACCTCTGCAGTCGGAGCCTCTGATGGACTCCGAGACCGGCGTCGCTCCCCAGATCGAGGCCCCCCAGGTCCCCGAGGGCCCCAAGAAGGGCATCGACGAGCAGATTTTCGACTACTTTGCCGAGCACCCTGTCCAGGCCACTGCCGCCACTCTGGTCGGTCTGTATGCTCTGGGCGCTGTTTTCAAGCGTCCTGCTGCCGGCGCTCGAGGCCAGTTCTTCAAGGGCGGGTTTGAGAACAAAATGGGTCCCTCCGAGGCTCTGCAAATTCTGTCTCTTCGAGACGCCGGTCTGACCATGAACAAGCTCAAGGGCCAGCACCGAAAGATCATGTTGCTGAACCATCCCGATCGAGGCGGATCTCCCTACGTTGCCACCAAGATCAACGAGGCTAAGTCTGTTCTTGAGAAGCGGGGAGGACTCAAATAAACAACATGATCGAAGCAAATGTTGTGTGTTACAGGTGTGTTTCCCCTTGTGATGCTGACTCACAACGGCTTTAACCACCAGTAACTGCGGAGCATCATTGCAAAGGGCAATAAGAAGGATGTATATAGGAACGGCGGACGCCAGTACGGTTGTCCGTTGCTAATGAGATTGATGGATTTGAATAGTGTGTAGAAGAGAACATATCATTGTGAGGTCGACACATTTAGTTTGCGTGTAATGGCCCAGGGTGTATTTATTGCAGTCTTTCGAGTCTGCTGTTGTTATAGATTGCGTTTCTGTGCTCGCGAGTATTCTGGAAAGTTCCATGTCACGGATCAGTCTTAGTCAACCAGGCATCAATACCAATATGAACTACCAGAAGCCACCAGTACGGTCTGCATGCGTATTTCATGTTTATATTATCATCTACTTGTCTCCTCTGACACCTGCCATCAGAGAGTTCGAAGCACTCTACGTTTTGGTGAAAATACACACCACATCTTCGTCTCCAATCTTGTGCGAAAGACCACATTTCTGCGGCGAGTGCTTGGCCGACACACCCCACACCAACGCGTACTTGAACTTGTTCTTCATGTCTCTGTGAATAGTGTCACAGACATCCTCGATAGTGTTGTGAGTGGATCTAACCACGGTGGGTTCAGCGAAGTCCGGAAGCTCTCCCTTTCGTTTTGTGTAGATTCGTAGCATGGCGAGGTCGGCCCAGATTCGTTCCGTCAGATCATCGAGACCCAGCTCCATGGATGCAGAAATGACCACGGTGTCAGGCATGTGAGCAAGCCGGTCGACCTCCTCCAGAGACACAGCGTCACACTTGTTGTAGCAGTATAGACACTTGATGTAGGATCTGTGGTCGGCGTGGATCACGTCGATCATATCCTCGACCGTCACGTTTTCATCTCGGATCAGCACGTCGGCGTTGTGGATCTTGTAGTCCTTGAGCAAGTGCATCACCATCTTCTCCGAGAGGTACTTGGGCGGGTTGGTATAAGAAAATTTGACGCCTCCTGTCTTTTTAATCTTGAAATAAATGTTGGGCGGCTCCTTGTTAAGTCGGATGCCCACAGACTCGAGTTCTCGCTCGAGAATAGCACGCTGCTCCTCAGGCTTGGTAGCATCCAGAACCATGAGCACCAGGTCGGCAGTTTTAGCGGTCGAAACAACCTGTCGACCTCGACCCTTACCCTCGGAAGCACCCTGAATAATACCGGGCAGATCGAGAATCTGGATCTCGGCTCCATTGTACTCCAGCACACCAGGAACTGACGTCAGGGTAGTGAAGGCGTAAGCAGCAATCTCCGACTTTGTGTTTGTGATTTTGCCGAGCAGTGACGACTTTCCAACAGAGGGGAAGCCAATAAGAGCCACTCGGGCATGTCCAGACTTGCTGACCTCGAATCCTTCTCCCTTGGAAGTCGAACTTCCAGGAGCAGGCTCCAGAAGCTGTTGTCGATATCGAGCGAGCTTACCCTTGAGCAGACCAACGTGGTACTCGGTTGCCTTGTTTTTCTGCGTCCGAGCCAGCTCCTCCTGGATCTGTGTGATCTTTTCTGTGATTCCGATAGCCATCTTTGGGGAAAAAGAGTTGTGCCGTTGTCGAGATACAGTAGTTGAAATTTAAGAGTAGCTTTTCACCTGCATGTATTAGAGTTACACGTACTGTAGGTGGAAGGCGTAAGGGGAGAGGATGGATAGCAGGTGGTTGTGGTTGTTTTGGGGGGTATACAACTATTAAGGAAGCTGAATTATTCTATAAGGAAACAAAGGTCGATCCTCATTGATAAACTTCTCATTGATACTATTCTGGTCCTCGTAGCGAGAACAGGTCTGATCACATTGTATGTAAGAAAATACAGTCATAAGTGGGAATCGAATCAAAGACACATCTTAGTCATCCTGATACTTGACTTCCTAACTAAACTTCAACAAATACCTCCTGTCGAAATCAAACTTATAGAACTTCCTCAAATTTCAATATAATCCATAATAATAGCCCCATACCCCTTAATTCGGTTTCTTGGTACTTTCCCTCGTTAATTTATAATCTCACCTCTCCCCTACAAGTACGAGTACCAAGTTCCATTGACTACCCACACCACGCCGCTCCGACCCTAACCCCAAAATTCAGCATGCATAACTCCATTACATGTAACACGACACAACGCATCACTCCACGCTACGCACTACAATAGCAATCATGTCTCTGTTTCTCGAAACAGCAAAACTCACAGCCAGTGCGCAAATACACGCTCTTGAGACGCTTCTGGCGAGCTCTCCAGCCTTCTGCGCCTCTCAAAAGGAAGACATTTTGCACATTCTTCTGGTTCTCACTCCAGAATTGCTGGATCCAAAGGAATACATGGGGCTCGTCAACAAGGTGGGAAAGGGGCAATTGGACAAGGGACAAGATACGGGTAGTGTGGTTGGAGATGAGGGATTCATTCCAGAACTCGTGATCAAGTCTCGAGAACAAAAGCTGCTGGCATACCTCGATTCAGTGGTACCCAAACCTGTGCACAACTTTCTGGAGGAACGAATCCGACTCGTGTTCAAGGTATCACATGATACGCAGTTGATGGAGCAGCTGATCCTGCAGAGTGGTTACCACAACAACTCGGAGGAAGTTGATTGGGTGGCAGGCGTACCCCAGGTGCTCATCAACTACACGCGTCTACATGGTATCAACCCTGGGTTGACAATTGATGAGCTGGAGAACGGAGATCCTTCCCACGTGATTGAACTTCTGGGCTCGCATCTGAGAACGCCCTCTGCTGAGGACGACTTGCAGCTTGTGTTGGAGCCTTACGTTGCTTACAAAAACTGCTGGGCTGTCTTCCGAGATTTTGTGAGTCACGTGACACAATCCAATACACCTCTTTTAGCTACTTTGGCGCATAACGTGACTTTCCCCGAGTCCGAGCGAGATGCTTTCATTCAGATCGTGTTGAAGAACTCTTTTGAAGCTAACGATACTCAATGGGATGCTCTTGCTCTGATCACAGAGTCTCCTGCGGTTACTGGAGCTAGTCATTTGACCAGCCATTTCACGAAGCAGCTTGTTGAGACCTGCCGGTTGTTGGAACCTGCTATTCCATCTATCACCCTTCAACGGGCTAATAAGGTGACTACTTCTGGGGAGGAAGTTCAAGTGGATCTTCTGGATGACTTTGTGTTTGCTGAGGACTGGTTAAAGCGTACCTCTGACCAGTGGCAGACCTTCATTACTGCCACAGAGGTTCTCGTGTCGCTGAAGACTGTTTTCAGCACTCTTTCCGATTCCCAGGTTAATCAGAAGGTGTTTGAAGCATTGCTGGGAGCCTCTCAATTTGAAATTGCCAAGACCACGTATATTTTGGGTGGTCTCGTTGATTCCGAGTTTGTTGAAAAGGCCATTCTGGCTCAGTTTTACACTTTCTATGATGCTGCTACCAATGGTAACCACACTCGAGGAAGCATGAAGAGTGCCAAGCTTGTTTTGGGTATGGCTGACACCAATACACGTACCAAACACCAGTTCAAGGTGGCCCAGTGTCTTTTGGAGGCCACAAACACGCTGTCTAACTACTCTCTAACCCTCAAGCCCGGCACTCTGACCCGTCCTGTTGATATTCGCAACCACGATGCTCTTCAGGTGATGGATCGCGTTCTGGATCTCAACCCGGATGCTTACAAGAACTGTCCGAAGCTCATCCACGTGACCAGACAGCTATTGGATGGTCTGGACAAGTCTGAGTCCATCTCGGACGCTGACATCGAGACTCGCATTTACACACAGGCCGTGACCGCTGCTCTGGTTCATGACGATTTCGACACTGCGCAGAAACTGTGTGCCGCCCATGAGTTGCCTTGGACTGCATACTTCCAGGTGGGCAAGTACGTCAGTCCGTCACGTGACATGGACGAGTTAGTGGCCCTCAAACTCGAGACACTGTCCACAGCTCTGGCCAAGTGTCCACCAGAACACCTATCAGCTGTTCTGCATGCTTGGAGAGACGTGGAGGAAATGATGGTGAGCCTGCCTGAGTCACGTGAGTCGGTGGTTCAGCCTTCGGTAGTGTTGGCTGATGTGTCTCGGGAAGCTGGACGTAAAAGAGACCAACTCAGCAGCATGTTGGTCAGTGGTCTGGGATGGGCTATTGGTGCTAACAAGGAGTAGCAGTAAGAACAAGGCAGAGGCTCAAGCTCTGGAAAAGCAGATACACTCAGTATCGGTACATATTGTACAGTAAATAACTTATACATCCTAATTACGACTCAGACTTAGAAGTTCTACTCGCTGTGTATACATCACCCACCGTTCTATGAAATAAATACAAATACATTATCTATCAACTTCCCTCTTCTACCCCACAGCTCTCATGGGCTGGACATTTTCTTGCTGCACCTCATGCGGCTCGTCGTCCTCGTACGTGGTTAGCGTCTTGTAGAACTCCACCACCTTCGGATGGGTCTTCACCTTCTCAGGTAGGAAGTTGAGAACCTGGAGTCCCTCCTTGGACGTGGCTCGACTGAGTGCCACGTATGCCTGGCCTCTCTCAAATGTCTTGGCCAGGTCCACTTTGACATACTGGAGAGTCTGACCCTGGGCTTTATGGATTGACAAGGCCCAGGCCAGAATCAATGGGATCTGTGTTCGAGAAGCGAGCACTTCTCCTTCAATGTTCTCTACGGAAAACGTCTCTGGATGAAGTAGCACGTTTCGGAAGGTGTGATCCATGCGTCTGAAACGCACCACGGGGTAGACAGCCCCGTTCATTGCGGCCAAGTTTGTCTTGGCCAGGTCCTCCAGCTGCTTTCGACGTTCTAGCTTGCGTTTAAGAAATGTTGCGTTATCGGCGTCCTCGGGAAAAGCCTTGAGACGCTCAAACACACAGTCTGAGTCTCCTTGAGCAGGAGACGAGAAGAAAGCCGACTCTTCAGACGCCTGGGAAGACTCCCCAACAACTTTACCTGTCTCGATGAGCTGGTTCAATTGATTCAGCTCAGATTCGTTGGAAACATCGTAGATGTTGGGCCGCTTTGAAGGCTTCTCTCGAATAATATCGAGGTCGGCAGCGTTCTCAGCTGCGATGAAGTTGTGAGGAGACATGAACCCGACAACCACACCAATGGATCCGTTGACGAGGTTGGGGTCCATGTTCTTCAGCATCATAACCTGGGCACCGGCTTTGAGAGTCAGCTTCTTGGGTACCATGATGTTCTCTAGCAACTTGTCTCTAAACTCCCGCTCGGCAGATCCGGTTTCCAGAGCATCGAACGTGTGAGTCTTGCCCCCTAGAGTGGACAACTTGGAGAAGTTGGACCGGTCGACTTCACGACGGGTAGGGAACAGCTCTGTGGGAATGATACCATCTGGGACTGATAGGGGACGAGAGAGAGACAGAAAGCCGTCGAGAGAAGCTTGGTCTAGCGACTGGGTACGGAGTTGATTCAACATATTGGCAAAGACAGGATCCTTCTGTCGGAACACTTTGGTCAACAGAAAAGTGCTGTCGATTACCGTGGACCAAGATTCGGCCTCGAACGCGAAAAGAGCTTCGGGATCGCTGTTGACAGCAGACCGAGAATCAACCATACCGGTGTTAGTCTTGTTGCCACCGTAAGAGCCCCGGAAACGATCCTTGTTAGTGTCGGGTACGGGAGGAAGCTGGTAAAAGTCACCTGTGACAATCAGCTGAATACCTCCAAAGGGACGCTTGTTTCGGCGCAGTTTCTGCGCAATCTGCTCGAGTTTGTCGAAAAAACGAGCGTCAACCATGGAAATCTCATCAATAACAAGTACAGACACGTTCTTCCATCGATCGCGAGCCTTCTTATTCCGCCTGATTCGCTTACAAAGCGAATCCACGTCTTCTCGGGCCAACCCACAGCCCGCAAAACTGTGCAACGTCGTTCCTTGAACGTTACAAGCAGCCAGTCCAGTAGAAGCAGTCACAGCCACCTTGTCAAGCGACTTTTTGTACTTGCGACGCAAACTGGCAATGATCTGACGTAACAGGACTGACTTTCCCGTTCCAGCAGCACCTGTGAAGAAGATATTGGTCTCGCCGTTAATAACCAGATCATGGATAGCCTGTTGCTCGGCCGATAGAGACGCCACCTGGACTGTCATCAACCCGTCCTCCTCTCCATCCACATCAACAAGCGTGTTGTGGGTAGTGGTGGTGTACAGACGCGACTGGATGCTCTTCCTGGGTCCTTTGCTCTTGAGCCCAGCATCTAACTGGGGTCGGTTCGACTTGTTGAAAAAGTCGAGCTGCTGCAGTACCTTTGGTGCCGACTCAGACTTAGCGCGTCGGCTTTCGTTCTTGCGAGGAGAGTTAGCAAACCCGTTCTTGGATACTCCCGCCACTGCAGAGTCACCATCAGGTTGCTGTTCTCTAGGTTCAGCTTCTCCAGCTGACTTGAACCGCTTGACTCGCGTGTCTCTTAAATCCCCGGGAGACAACCGACCGTACTCCTTAAGCTTGGCCTTTTGACGGAGATTGAGCGTGTGCACATCGTAGCCGCATAACTCACGTGACGATGGTTCCCACTCGATTTGAGAAGATGCAAGAGGAGTACTGGTTGGCTTGACATCACTTGCGTTGTAATTCAGAAGTTCGGTGGGAGTGGACAGGGAGCGTTCACGCGATGGAGAGGAATGGGGCGGGAGAGACGAAAGTGGCTTGTCATTTGTCTCATGTGACACGCTTGACATAACTTGTCCAGCTTCACGAGACTGTTGTCGTCTCGCACTCTCTGACCTAAGTTGCTGCGGCCGCCCCGCACTCTCCAAATCGCAAACCCCATACTTTGTATCACTCAGATCGCCCTCGAGGTCGAACGAGCTTATCAGCTTCTTGTTGAACTTGAGACTGTCAGACTTTGATCTCTGCAACGTCTGCGATGAGAAATCAAATGCTGGCAGATTCGGTAGATTCAAAAGGTTTCCAGAAGTCTTCTGAGAGAAATACGGTGAGCTGTCGAGAGCTTGAAGCGGAGGAGATGAGTTGATCTCATCACAGAACGGGTCTTCCAAAACACCAGACTGAACCATGGATGAAGACAGATCTGCTCTGCGCGGATGCTGTAGCTGTAGTAGTGGTTGTTGTGAGTGCTTGAGAAATACAGGTACACCAGGTGAACTGGTTTGTTTATGTGCTGAAGCAGGCTTGTGAGAGTCCACATTCAGCTTTTTCTGGTTCATCATATCATCAATCTGCTGAGAGAGCGAGGGAGACGATTGAGATGCCTTCTTGACTCTCCGGAGCTTTGCCGTTGGTTGAATCTCAATATCAGCCAGGATATCGTCCATATCTGAGATATCCTTAGATATGTCAGAAGCCTCAAGAACGGGCTGTGGGCGTCTCTCAGGCTCCTGGAAGGGTATGTCATGGGTTACTCTTGTCGCCTGTGTCGAATTGTGCTTCTTCGCTGGCTTTTGAACCCGTATCTCTGCCATGACTGCATCGATGTCATCCTCAAACGTCGAGGAGAGTGAGAACTCGGGTGGCAATAAAACTGCAGAGTTCTGGGGCACCGCTGATGTGCTTTTGGATCTTTTAGTTGCACTGGAAATGGCATTCTGTGTAATCTCGTCGATATCAAAGTCATCTTCAAAGTCAGATATCGACAGTTTGCGACGCCCCACAACTATGCTGCCCATAATGTCATCCAAACTGTGGTCGCTTGACATGGTCATGGTGCGTTTGTGTTTGTGTAACGATCCTGACACCGTCGACGCTGTTTTGTGGTAGTTTGAGAAACGAAAACACGCCGACGATGAGCCGAAAGATACTAGTCGCAGAATGGTGACCGATGCAAAAGTGAGACACAGAGAGAACTACTTGGACGCGTGGTGACTGCGAAGGTTCTCTCTTTGTGCGTATCTGGATTTCTTGAACGAGTGAAAAAAGTGGATGGGGTGCGTACAGAGGCGCGTAGACTGCTGTACTTAGACCTAACGCGTGAAACCTTATCTCGCCGAAAGAGGTGATATTTCGCCACTGAGTAAAAGAAGAATAGTTCGCAGATTTTGTAAGATATTGTAATTAAAGATGATGGTTATTACCTGGTTTATAACGAGCAGTTGTCACTTTTCGGATTTCAATTTGAGTGACATTTGACAGAATTATTGGAGTATATCTACGCAACTGTAACCACCACCAATGAAACCCTCAGTGTACTCATACCGCTACTAGCTACAGTAGTTATAGGCATATGATACTTGTAGTACAAATATTATTATGTACAGTATACTGAGATAACTATTCCCTAATCTAATCTATTGGTTCATTGACGACATTAAAATTTCCCGTATTATTCATGTCATTTCCCTCTATTTCCCCTTGATATTTTCCTTCATATACCGCTCGATCCATGTGGGTGCATCTTAACCCTGTAATTCTAGGAGTATTTACCTTCATTTCCACTTATAAATAGCTTGTATGTTTCTTGAACCAATATAACCGTCGCAATAAGACCTTCTAACACTCTCCTGATTGTCTCCATTTTTTATTCGATTTTTAAACGAATTTTCAAATTTTTCAATTTTTCAATTTTTCAATTTTTAAATTTTTAAAAATCACTTTCACCTCAAATTGGAAACCCAAACCCATAATTACCCCTTCGTTCACCCTGTCTCATTTATCTTCTCCAAAAGTACTCAGTTTGAAAATCTGAAAACTGGAATCAACTCGCCTAAATAACACAACTTCATATTTCACACAATCTACATCACATGTACTTATCTACCTTCTAGAATCCTCACACAAGTACCAAACATCCACCCAAACCTAATCATCTTCGTTCCAATATCTCGACTCTCTACAAGTACGATACCTAACATCAACCATGAGTGTCTCGGAGAAAACACTTCAAAAGCTGCCCTGGAACCGCCTCGGGCTCGCGAAGACTGACGCCAATCTCGAAATTCTGCTCAAATGCGGTCAGTCGTTTCGATGGACGAAAATCGAACACCCCAACAACAATTACTGGATAATTGGCATGGAAGGGAGAGGAATCGTGCTCAACCAAAAGGACGATGATACAATGTGGGCCGAGGTGAGCGACAAAGGTAAGCCTGTTAAGTCACGTGATACAGCCGCCATTCTCAATGACTACTTCAACATATCCACTGATACCATCAAGTTGTATGAAGACTGGTCGTCACGAGATGACCACTTCAAGAACAAGAGTATCAAATATCTTGGTATCCGTGTCTTGCGTCAGGATCCCTGGGAAAACCTCTGTTCGTTCATTTGTTCTAGTAACAACAACGTTAAGCGTATAAGTCAGCTGGTGCAGAAGATGACTATCACCTTTGGGGATCACGTGGCTACGCTGGACGATCTCAAAATCCACTCTTTCCCAAGCCCCGACAAGTTGGCAGACACAGAACCGATTTTGCGGGAGTTGGGCCTTGGTTACCGGGCTAAATACATTAGTAAGACTGCAGAAATGCTTCTTACCAAGCCTGGAGGGGAGCAATTCCTGCATGAACTTCGAGATGCTTCTTTTGACGAGGCCAAGAGTTCTATCATGGAGTTTCTTGGGGTGGGACCCAAGGTGGCCGACTGTGTGTGTCTTTTCAGTCTAGATAAGCATGACACTGTTCCTGTGGACACACATGTGTGGCAGATTGCCCAGAAAGACTATGGAGTTGCCAGGAGTGCCAAAACTATGACTCCCAAGGCGTATGCTCAAGTCCAAGAGTTCTTCCGTGAGAAATGGGGTCCGTATGCAGGTTGGGCTCACTGTGTGCTTTTTGCAGCCCAGTTGAGCGACTTCAAGGACCCCAAGTGGGAGGAGAAGATGAAGGCCAAGAAAGAGGCTTTGGAGGGTCTCGAGGGTGTTAAGCTGGAGGAGAGTGTCAAAATCCAGGTCAAGATTGAAGGGAATGGTGTTAAGTTGGAGGAGATGGTGGAGGAGCTCAAAACTGATGTGTCTGAAGAGTTTGTGGAAGTGGACGCGCCCAAATCGGTTGAAATGAAACGAAAAATCGGACTCGAAGATCTGGGAAGTGTTCGCGTACATAGAACGAGATCCAAAAAGGTGAAGCGCTAGCAGGGTAGCTCGGGAACACATTTGGGTATGTATTTATATTTACTAGGATATGATAGTACAAGCACTTATAGATTGATTTGCTACTTTGGTAAGATTGCAGTGCGAGTATAAGTATTTGTACAACTGTAGATTCTTTTGACGAACTCTGGAAAGAAACGTGCCTATGTGTGGTCAAAAAAGATAGTGTAAAATCAAGCAATAATACAAAGATTGCAAGCTGAGAGGGATTTATATGGTGAGACAACCTGATCTATTAATCTGAATAATTGGACCGCCATAAACTGGTACAATACCAGTACTTGTACTTGTGCTATATAATTTCCACCAGTTTCTCTCGAGACGCGCGCTCTTATTAGCTACGCGAGGTTGTACTTTTCATATACAATAGGTTGGGTCCAGTGGGAAATCAGAGATGTTATACTGTGTATGAGTAGGTACGATGTTGAACTAATTGGTCCACATCCCGAAATGGCCGATATTCCTCGAACAAGTCATGTCTTGAGTGCACCCAATCAGGTTGAAAGTACTTGTATTTGAGATGCTCATTGGGGCAGATGTGACCGAACGCTGTCAGCCAGTGCTTAATGACAAACTGTGTGATTATCATGAATGTGAATCACATTAAGTAGTCTTCAGATTGCTTCATTATGATTGGTACAAGCATCAAGGATGTTCTATTGATCGGACTGTCAGTCTCATTTCTCGCTGATCTGAGCGAGTGGTTGTGTGTCTACTGTTGTTGTAGGCAATGCTCGGATTTAGGACGTCTCCGATACTTCTATTCTTCGACCTGCTATTGATAAATGCTATCTCATGCTCGCTTCGCTATGGTTTTAATTATAAGTCTGTACTGATGAATTACGGTGAGAATGGTCCACAGTCGCCGCCAGATTCTCGCTACGCTCAAATGCCCAAAGGCTGTCATCGCTAAAACATGCTTTTAATTTTATAAACAACCGACCAAAATCCAACTTATCGGTAAGACTTCTGGTATCGGGCTCGGGCACCGGGTCCACCAAACTTCTTGGGCTCCATTCGTCGGGGGTCGGCGATGAGGAGGGTTCGGTCGAACTGGGTGAAGGCCTTCTTGAGCTCGTTCTTGGACTGCTCGTCAACGAACTTCTGGTGGAAAGCAACAAGACCCTTGGCAATGGCCTGTCGGATGGCGTAGATCTGAGAAACGTGTCCACCACCGTTGACCTTGATTCGGATGTCAACGTTGGCGAACTTGTCGAGGCCAACAACGAGGAGAGGCTCGTAGACCTTCATTCGGAGGACAGCGGGCTCAATGAGGGTAATGGGGGTACCGTTGAGCTTGATCAGGCCCTTGCCGGCCTTGACGTGGGCAACGGCGGTGGCGGTCTTTTTCTTTCCAAAGGTCTGGGTTAGTATATTGTAATGAGCGACCGTAGGTTCTACTTGTCGATTGTCCTATCAACTAGAGGATGCGCATCTGAGTGAACAGCATATTCAAGTGGTTTGATCAATGGTTTCGTCGCCCATGTGTCGACCGACATGCACACAGCGCTGCATTGCAGAATCGAACACAGCAGTTCACAGTACAACACACTCTGAACCACACCAAACACTGCACAATTTTTGGAGATGAGTTTCAAACAATCTGAGCAGTCAAAAATGCGACTTCATGATAAAGGACGCCAAATTGATGACGAAATGAACGACGATTGAAAATGACAATAACAAGGCTGTGTCCAGGACATTTGAAATGTCACGTCTCCACACTCTCAAACTGCACATCAAAAGTCGTCTAATTTCGCCCAATCAAATCACCTCCTCCATCTCGAATAGCACGCCATCTCGCCCTCCAACATTCACCAAACCGTCTCTCGCATCCTGGTGTGAATCCTCCCACAGTATCCCTCTCTACCCACCTGAACGGAAGCGGACATTGTCGTTGTGTGTGTTTGCAACTTTTCGAAATTTTCAAGACGAAGGTAAACTGCAAAGTGTGTGGGTCGCGGGCCACGCACTGCGTGGGAGCACATCCCAATCGGGAAGAAAGTCAAAAAAGGCAGTCATATCATGTGACCCAGATGGGAGGAATGGGAAGGTCGGTCATGTGACCATGCCACCCACAACAGCGACTTGGTAGTAAATGTCTGTGTAAATACACTAAAATTACTGTGCGGGACTGGTATTATAAAAAAAATAAGAGTATACTCATTGACGAGATAAACAGTTGCCAAATAAGGTGGAATTCTGGTCATACTGTATACAGTGTCAAATAAGGTATGTATCTTTTCAGCTTGGACGGAGTTGTAACTACAATAAATATTGGAAACGTCATTGAGCTGGATTCAGGTATTAAGAGATTGGAACAGATGTCTGTCGCTTATTAATCATCACCTCGAGTCACATGACTCGCTACAAATTGCAGAGTTCATGACGGCCGCACAAGTCAGAACCTACTGTAATGGATGTTGATATTTGTATTCCGCTTCAACGAAGAGAGCATAGCTTAATTTAGGGCCATGGGTAAGATGTTTATTGGATAATGGATTAATTCCATCACCCGACCAACCAAATGCTGACCACCGTCGGTATTTTCCAGTGACCAGTAATGTGCCTTACGTAACCAAACTTTCCCGTTCTGTTTGTCCCAAAGTCACGTGCAGTGACTGCTATTTTCCCGATTGGGCCGAAAAACTCTAGCGTTGGGAAAGACTCTTTTCGTTTTACTCACAGTCTTCGATTTCTCTACGATAACGACACTCGACAAAAATGGGTATGTGAAACAGGATGCTGCTATGGTGGATAGCTGAAGGATTACGACCTGTACCAGACTTGCTACCCGTGAACGAAGGAGAAGAAGAAGTGGAGGGGAATATGTGAAGAGAAGGAAATACGGACCATTCGTCATCAGAGTGGCTTCAATTCGGTGAAAATGCTTTGCAAAGTGTTTTCACATCCCCAAGCCCTTCACGCCTATTCTCTTCTCCGGAATTCATGTATCAAGTGCACAGAGTCGCTTAGACAAATGTTCACTGCGAGTTCTTCACGTTAGCGTGTCGACTCGTTAATCTCGCCCACTCTTTACTAACATCAGCTATCGGTAAGAACTACCCCCTCGTCAAGAACCATTTCCGAAAGAACTGGCAGGAGCGGGTCAAGACCCACTTTGACCAGCCCGGCAAGAAGTCTTCTCGACGACTTGCACGAACCAAGAAGGCCGCTGCTATCGCTCCCCGACCTCTGGATCTTCTCCGACCTATTGTCCGAGCCCCCACTATCCGATACAACCGAAAGGTCCGAGCTGGCCGAGGTTTCTCTCTTGAGGAGCTCAAGGCTGCCGGTATCCCCCGAGACTACGCTCGAACCATTGGTATTGCCGTTGACCACCGACGACAGAACCGATCCGTTGAGGGTCTTGAGGCCAACGTTCTGCGACTCAAGGAGTACCAGTCCAAGCTGATTGTCTTCCCCCGAAAGCTCAAGAAGGGTGAGACCAACGAGGCCAAGTCCGCCGTCCAGGTCCTCTCCACCTCTGCTACCTTCCCCATTGTCCAGCAGGCTGCCGAGTCCGAGCCCCGAGCCATCTCTGCCGAGGCCAAGGAGCAGAACGCATACAGAACCCTCCGAATGGCCCGATCCACCCAGCGATACGCCGGAATCCGAGCCAAGCGAGCCAAGGACGCCGCTGACGCCGAGGCCGAGAAGAAGAAATAAGCAGGTTGGCGATTTAAAAATGTATTTACTTATGGACAGACCGTCAGTGAGCCATCCACTTGCGAAGCGAAGCAAGAGAGTGGGCATACAGATGGGAGCAGACGTAGAGTGTAAAGTAATCAAAATGACTAAAATTCGAATAATAATGTGATGGACCAAGTTCAAGTTTGCTGAGATAACAATGCTGAAGCTGCTTGACTAGAAGTAGTACATACGATATTGTTCTCACAACTTGAAGCTGAATTGTAGTAACAGACTCCATTCATGACTACATTGTACAGTAGTCACATTCACTCCAGTGTACTGAATAATGTTTTGGTTGGTCGTCAGTTCCTCGTCTGTTGCCTGTCTCGTCGCAAACGGCAATTTTTTCTCTCCGATATGCATGCTCTGATGGGAGTGGCGAAGCTGTCGTTCCTGGTGGACCATGAAGTGGCAGAATGAATATTTCCGATAAATGTGTTGGAGGGTTTTATAAGACTTACATAATAATATTCTGTATTGCGGACATTGTTGCTGTTATACTTGCTGAAGTACAAGTACAATTATCAGTTTGTACGCTATGTTATTCTTCAGTATATACTCATACTTCTACTCATCGGAACAATACCCGTGGCCTACAGCCCTAATGCAAGTGAACAAGAGAGATTGAAGGGTGGATATATATAACCTAGACATAATCTCTCTGATCCTACTCCACTAGAAGAGGAAGCAACATTTTAGAGGCGTAATATCCCTTTTCGTCGACTTGTTTGATACAGTGACAGTCTTGTCAGTGACAGTCTCGTCAGTGACAAGTCCAGTCTCAGTCACTTCATATCTTACCTTCAGTGGCAACAGGATAAGCCATGGTGGTCTGGGTGACGGGAACATGAAATGTCGGATTGGCAGTGGTGTGTCCTGTTTGATGTCGAGCGGTTCGACAGTTTCGGAGGCATCATCGGTTCTCTGGCGAGAGCCAGAGAAGCTACTGTTGAGAGTCAGAAGGTGGGGTCGATTGTTGGAGTTGATAGAAATCTCTGGACGGGTAGCTTATAGTCTCGCTGCTCTATATTTCCGAGGTGCCTCATGAGGTTGAACTACATGCTTGAATAAGAGACCATTGTACAGGAACGTACAAGTACGATACATACAGTAGCTACAGCACGATATGCACAGTACGTATCGGTATCTCTACAATATGTGGGCTATTTGAAAGAGTTCGTCTTGTAGTTTGGTTAAATTATCTGCTAGACACTGCACAACGTAACACCACAGAACATCACACGAGCACTCAACCCTTGACACTGGAAACAAACTGATTGTACGAGTCAGTGACACTCACACCCCGTTGCGTCAGTATCTCACTACGCACTTGTATACACCGGTCTGCTCGTCCGGCTACAGCAATTCAGATCTAAAGATAGACACTCGGTACACTCTCAAAGCAGTCGCTACGCTCGTGCTTCGTTCGTTTATCACCCAAGATAATATACATTAACTTATTTTTTCTTTTCCATTACAATTCATGAAAAAGGCGCTTAGTCAAAGAGACCGAAGCCCATGTCGTCATCGGACTCGTCCTTCTCCTCCTCAGCCTCCTCGGCAGCGGGGGCATCGGCAGAGCCAGCGGCAGCAGCGGCAGGGGCGGCGGCGGCGGGGCCAGAGGCACCAATGTTGAAGAGGATCTCCTTGAGGTCCTTGCCGGCAAGAGCCTTGGCGAAGACATCAGCCCAGACCTGGGGTTAGTAGTTGTTCGGGGGAATGGTGTTACCAGAAACATCCTAGAGACGGTACTCATGACATTGGACAGCAGGTGTGATGCCTTTGTGGTTATCGAAGTAGTTACGCAGTTCTTCAGTTAATCTCTCAGCTGTGCATCGTGTTATGTCATGTCATATCAGAAGTCTTGTATAAGAGATCACCCTTCATACCAGAACCACGTCTTAAAACACAACCAACACAACCCACAGCAGATCAATGCCCAAATAACCACAGATCGAGCTCCAAATCCGTCGTAAAGGAGCTCCACCTTTCCACTCATTTTTGTCGTTGCGTCTCAAATTCATGTCGTAAATTCCACCTCAAAATCCACCTCAAAATCCTTCACTCACCTGCTCAACGGGAGAGCCAGCGGCCTTGGTGATAGCAATGAGCTTGTCGGAAGAGATCTCGACCTCAGCGTCGGCCAGAATCAGGGCAGCGTAAGAAACAAGAGCGTCAGCAGACATTTTCGTTTGTTGTGTATATGTTCGTAAAATTCGAAGCTCTGGTGAAATCGCCAAACTGTGGGCTGCACCGGAGTGGGCTCGAAAAACCTTGTGTGACGTGTTTTCCAAATTGGGATGATAGTCACGTGTGCCTAAATTTTAAAGTTGGCTGGGAAATACACCATGAAAAAGGGGTTTTTTAAGAGGAGTAGAGCTGTGGAATATTGGGTGTGAGATTCGAAACCACCAGAGATGGGGTATTCTAACCATACCAATTAATATACATTGATTATTTATCCTTAGAGGAGAAAATGAGCCTCCCAAGGGAACTGTAGATGTTAAATCAAATATTGTCATTGCTCAATGATTGTTTTAAAGCCGATAGAATTGTCTTATAGACCGCCTTCCACTCTTCTGTCTCACGTTATCTCCCCTCAAGGTACCATATACATACGACCCCACTTCAAGCAGGCACCACAAATTGAGACAAGACATTCTGCAGACCCTGCAGTGCATTAATTACGGCGGCTAGAGTGTAGATCCTTGGCGACGTAGTAGGCCCCTGATTGCCAGGTTGCTACTTATCCGGTATTGAGGATATATGACGAGGCAGAATCCTTTTGGTTACATAGCTCAACTGGATACTGTCTGCTAATAGAAAGGTCTAAGTAGCTACAATAAACATTAAACTCATCTACAGTAGCTGTATCGTCGTACATTGTAGCTACTCATACTGTATTGTAATGTGTTAATACTGTATAATTGGATAATGTATCGTGCCTTCAGATACCATCTCATACACGCAATTGGCTTATTTCCACTGCTAGTGTCTGTCTACAACCCTCTCTACAACTCTCGACGCTATGCATATAAATATCTATTCGTTGGTTGTGGAAAAGTTGCTCTTGGTGGCAGACTTTTTCAAACGCTTTTACCTGACTCTTGCTTCCTACTTGCTCTCCTGCTCCCTGGAGCGCTTCTCTTCCGCCTCTTGGCTCTCCAGCATACTTAGACGCATAGCCTCTGAGAGCATGATCTGCTCCAACTCCTGAGCACGGGCAGCCTGCCGTTGTTCGTGGTTTTGGCGGGTTCGTCGCGATGATCTAGATGATCCAGCCACCTCCCCATTGCCTCCTTCCACAAAAGCCGTGGCATGAAGAGCGTTGGCAGTAGCAGCCTTTCGTGCAGCTCTAGCTCGAGCAGCAGCCAGCGTCTTTGACCAGTCGGGTCGCACACGATCAACGGTCACGACGTTGGGGTTGGTGACACTGATGGACGATCGACGCTTTGCACCGGACATGTGCATTAGCTTGTCAGCCACATCGTCCATGTTGGTGGTGTCAATGCCGTCTGATGAGTCTCCCGAATCATCAATAGCAGACTCGTCACCGTTCCCTTTGGCTGCAGCGGCATCAGCACTGTTGGCTCCTGCAGCCTTGGCTCCGGGGCCGTGTCGAGGCGAATACACTACTCCAAAGTCGGACATAGCACAGTAGGGACAGGCTGTGGGCTCGGAGATGAGATCCAGCTGTCCCAGCAACGTGTCAGGTTCAGGCTCGTCATGTCGAGGATGAGGTTCAGCTCGCTTCATTTGCACAAAACACTCGGAGCAAATGGGCTGGGCACAGCATCGGGTCATGTTGAGCGAGTTTGGGTAGTACAGAAAACAAATGGGACACTCGATGGGGTCTCTGTAGATTTTGACCATAAGCGGGGGCTCTTTGTTGGTGAGCGTTTTGGCCCGTTGTCGTGAGGGTGGTGGCTTGGGAGCCTCCCTGCTTGGTGGGGACTGTAGAATGCCTGGGTTTATGAGTTCGTCCCCGTCCTCCTGATCGGGTTCTCCGGAACGCATCCACGACGGTGTTGGGGCGCTCTGGGAAAACGTGGTGTTGTCCAGATCGATTCTCAGATGCGACATATGCTCCAACGGGTCTCTGAACGGGTTGTTCGATGACAAAGTGTGTCGGGGAGGCGAGATGGCCACCTGAGGAGGAGCTGTAGGTGGCGACAGATGTGAAGGTGTGGAAATTGCGTGAGGGGTTGAGGTGGAAGCTGAAGCGTCTTTTGTGTCTGTAGATTCGGTTGTAGGCGATTCTGATGCTGCACTGGGGATAGGAAAGCCCCTAATGGCAGCCATAAGTTGATGATCAGTCCATTCCTCCTCATAGTCCTGTAGACCCTTGAAAAACGGTGCAAGCTTGCGACTAGTCATCAGGCTCTTGACAACAAGAATGTCGAAATCCTGTGGTCCGGTGTAGACTCCCTGAGGCACCAGATAGCCACCATCCACTTGTTCATTGGGGTCTACAAAGACTCTTGGCTCCCGCTTTTTTTCTCGAGGCGCAGAGGGCCTCTTGGATCTGACCTGGCCTTCGCGGTGGTAGTCCTCAGAAACGGACCGTGCGTTGCGCACCTGCTGTTCTTTTCCCGGAACGTTTCCCATGGTAGAGTGACTGTGTAGACGAGTCTTGAGAGTCCGATATTTAGTCTGGTGTGTAGGTTTGGTTGCGCGCTTATCTTGGGTTAGGGTCACGTGCGGGGTGGGGGTGTAGCGAGTCTTGGAGGCTGTTTTGGACGTGATAGTAACCAGACTAAAAGGTATTTGCGATGTGGTTTGCCTGTAAATATATATTTTTTTGTCATCAACAGACCTCTACCGGTAGTTGTATTCGTTTCTACACTCATGTTACCAATCATACTATGCATTTGACATGTGTTGTCATGTTGGCGGAGCAAGTTATTGGGTGCAAACGTTGTGAGTGTCTGTCTCTGTGTGATATCTGTGTATCTACCAAAAGAAAAAAAGTTATATATAATGGGTGTTTCCTGTAGCAGTGTTCTGTATATTGTACCAACATTCTAAGTATGTTATGTTCTCGTACTTCTGTTGAGGTGCTACAGTACATAGCTCAGTCCTCGACGAAACGGCTCCCCCCTCCATTGCCTTGACTCTCCCAATGCCTCGCTCTCTCATAGTCTATTTCGAATGGACAAAAACGGCTACTGGTGCAAGGACAACGGCGGTTGCAAAGGTGTCAAACCACATGGAAGGGCTCTAAAAGGAAAAGCCCCATAAATTGCGCTAGCCGAAAAAGCCGCGGCTCGCAAGCTGGTGCACTGTCGGAATATCGGCCACACATATGCCCGTGACCGCAGATAGTCCCGATAACACCGATAACACCGATAACAATGATAACCTGCTGCATAACATCGGTAGGCAGGCGACCCTGGTCGCCGAGGCTAACTTTTGCCAGGACACTGACACCGGTTTTTCATGTGAAGTGGGGGAGGGGTATGAGCATATGTTGCCTGCGCAGTTATCGTGAACAAGTGGCTGAGCACGGATGGGCCGTGGTTGTAGTTCCCTTACTCAAGTGAGCATACCTGTACACACATTATTTCTCCTCTCACCCCAATCATATTTAGGACTAGCTAATATGGCTCAGTAAGTAATGTCGCATTGGACGTCTGTGAGGCTTCCACACTCATTTTGGTGAGTCTGTTATGTGTCGCAAACTCCCCTTTATGATTGCTTTGCTGTAAAGCCGTTCTTTGCTCGCCGTTGTCACTGAAACATGTTTCACTTGGGTTGCCGTGTAGAGACAACAGGCAATAAATGTGTGTACTTAAGACCCCCAAGTATAATTATGAGCATTACAAAGCACAGTCTTTTGATAGTTGGTATATTTAGCTGGCATAATTACATTCTGTGAGCTGTTTATCAACTATTGTAGCCATACTTTCGACTGAGAGTACTGATACTTGTACAGTACATCCCCCCTAAACCTCCGACTACTCCCGACAGGCACCTACTGGAATACTTAGCCTACTGCCTCTTGGTTATGTGTGATTGGTAATGCATGCTATAAATATGTTAGTGTGACGACTCCAGTTCGTCTAATGCTTCTCCTCGTCCTGTCCGTCTTCTCCACACCTGTCAAAAAAATGATCAGTAGACTCTTCTTAGAGAGAAGAAGCGCTCTCGAGGCGGGCTGTACTTGGTGGGGACTCCTGTTGACACTCCGATTCGAAACTTCTGAATCTCCTCCCATTGCTGTCGGGTGTTCATTCTCCAGAACTGCCACGAAGCGTCTGTGCCATTCAGAGACTTCAGCACCATTTGCACTAGTCCGTTTTGTGCCTTGTAGTCGCTCAGATCGTATACGGCGCTATCGATAACAACCACAAGCTTGTTCTTGTTGTTAGCCAGTTCAGCCACGGTCTCTGCGCTCATGTAATCGTCGTCGAGATCGGAAACAGAAGTGGCACACGTCTCTGGCATAGAACATACCGAAGAGCGTTCCGTTTCAGAATCAGAGAGAGAGATCTCAGATACCTCTTCAGCAAATTCGACATATTCCACTTCGTACCCAATGTCGTGAGTGTTGTCAATGTGCTCGATGTGCTCGATGTGCTCAATGTGTTGATGGTCATTGCGTTCAAAATGTTCAATGTGTTCAATGTGTTCAATGTGTTCAATGTGTTCGATATGGTGGTGCTCGGCCTTCGGAAAGGCGTACGGGAGAGTGCGTGCTGTGGCGTATGACATTAGCATAGTTGTGGAGGTTTGTATTTGGTGATGGTCCTGACCCAGCCAGACCACCTGGATATATATACGTGCCGCTTCTTTCATCAAACCGAATTTCACATCGCCTTGAAAAGCTAAAAAACGGCTTTGTCCCTTGCAGGGTGCCGAGTGAGAGATATTTGAAGATGCATATTATTGAGCCAACTGTGGTAGTGCTGGGAAAATAACCAGATTCTTCAGAAGCCCTAACTCCAGTGAATTGATTAATATAATAAAATCCACCCTTCCCCACACAAGATGCCCCAAAAACTGCGCCCCTACACTTGGCCACTTTTTCGATTTACCTCCAAAGCCATGACAGTTGAAACCCAAAGCACGATTATGTACCGGTCTAGAGCCACTAAGAAAGGGAAACAAAAAAAAAGGATAACCTTTGAGTCAGTCAGCAGCAGCATTGTAGTTATTCGAGCTCAATGGAACGTGATTAATGAGGGGGAGGGGTACCAACATAGATGGGGAAAAGAGATTCAGTAATTACGGGGTAACGTGTCTGAAGCGGGACTGCTTGTTCCCCCGGATGAATACTTCCGGCTCGTGAGGCGAATGTCCGGAAAATCGATATTCGCTTTACACTGCCTCTCTCTCTTTCTCTGCTCTCACTGGGTGCTTTCTTCAGTGGGCTATCTTGTCCCTGAATGTCAATGTTCATCAACTGCAGTGTAACGTTACACGGATAGACATTGATAGGGGATAATAAGGACAGTGTAATTGACGGTGGGAGCTCGGGGGTGAACCAACCAGTATATTTGTGTGCAACTATAGTTTTTCTACGTAGTTTTTTGTCTATATTTCCTGGTCAAGTGGTCTTAAAAAAATGTGCTTCTTTTTTCACTTCCATTTTGCGCTCTTCTCCCAGTTTATTCTCGCCGCATGGCACCCGGATGTCGTCGTCCAGGATCGACAACCTCAGATTAAACCATACGGTCTCGGTGAGGGGGAAATGGGCAACGCGACCAATAGTGGGGAACCATCCACGACACCTTTATTACAACCCCGTTGGCGATATCATAGTCCCGTTACCAGTGTCGTATTGCTTCACACGGCCTAAACAGACCCACTACAGTAGGTCTCGCTTTTCAAAGCCCGCATTGCAGTGCTTTTTGCAGGATTTTGCAGTGCTTTTGGCCAGAGAAATACCTCTCGCTTGGAGCCACTATGCGCTTGACAGAAGCCGACAAGGCGTAATTCAATTACGGCCCGCCCATTGTGGCAGCCTCCCAATCGGAGCTCAGCGTCAAACATCCTATGTATGTGGTTGTATACAATTTCCCTCACACGGATGAGCTGGTTTTGGCTCCGATAATAAAGAGCGTACAGCTGTAATACTGTCACGACCATACAGTGAATGGGAGACCGTGCTGATTACAAATACCCAAGAGATCAACACGGTAGCTGTTATTGCTGTCTCAGCCTCACTTTCAGCCTCTCTATCTTAGATGACTGCTATACACTAGCCCTGCAACATGTCTTTCCTACTGACACACCTCCCTAACGTACAGTATATTCGCCAAAGTTCATCCGGTGTCTATCCACCATGTGGTGAAGCACATGAACGACAGAGTGACCCCCACGAAAAAACTCTCCCAACCTCCCACGACCCCCACCCAGATGTAGTGATCTGATTGGTCAACTCGGTGGGCACACGCACGGAAATACTGTCCAGATAATAACCCACACAATGAATATCAATACAGTCTCGTGGTCTTTCTCTTTGTCGCTATCTTCTCGGCCGCCACTTCCGAAAATGCATGCATTCCCTTGTCGGAACCTCACGGGACAAACCGGAGCTGCATGAGCAATGGACTCTCCGCTTTGTCAGACTGTCTACCCCAGTTTTCGTCATCCGGCATATCCGGAGGGGTCACATTGCGGAATAGGAGTCTAGCCAAACGACCACACGACCATATGATTATTAATACATCATGTGGCACTATTAGTAATGCCCCTGCCGTACAAACAAACCCATGCCCGTGCTTTCGTGTATCTCTCTACATCTCCGTATTAGATCCTTTCTGGAGCTTGTCACATGAAACTTGGCTTTGAGAAACATTTTGCACGTGGTAACAGACACAATTTTACAACACATACTACAAGTAGTAAGAGTAGATTATACTGTCCCTGTCATGCGATCGAACAGCAATGGTCTGTGCGGCGTGTAAAAGGGTTACAGGGACCCTTCGTCTGGGTGCCTCGATCGAAGCAGTCCGACGTCATATGTCTCATGTCTCAGAAACCCCACTGTGGAGATTCTTGTTCTGATGCCTGATCACATGATATATATCATCAGATGCCTTACTGTGCGTTTTGTTTGTTCTTCCAATCCCTTGTAGTCTTCTGAGATACAGTCCAAATACATATTCTCGCCGGAAGTACATGCGGCTGACACTGGTACGTGCTTGTAAGACTACAATTAGTTATATACTACATACTGTACATACCGGTCTATGTATTATATGTATGTCTCCGAACACTACCTACGTCTACATATACAACTTCATGGCTTATTATTTCATTTACCATATGTCATGCCGTCTAATCCTTGAACAGTGTATGTACAATACAAGTGCTCGTATAACTACAGTACATCATCGATGATACTCATATTCGTTAAGATCATAAATAAATTGGTATTATGCTAAATGCTCAGTAATGACTGATGGACTAAATGTAAGTAAGTGTCGTCTTGTATTGTGGTAGAATGCAACCGGTAGTTCCAATGCAGCTGCCATGGTGTGACAGCCACGGCTGCATGAACAGCAGTCTTGTGTCTTGTGTAGTAGTCGTGGGAACAATGAGATCAGAAGCGATCACGGCTGAATGAACAGCAAGGGAAGATGTGATCATAGGAATATGAAGATCACGGCTGAATTATCAGCAAAGATGTGACAAAAGCCACGGCTAACGTCTCGTTAAAACGCCAGCAACCACTACTACCTCGTCAGACCAACTCCTAATCCTACCGATATGCCAACAACCACAGCCACCATCATGGTTCCTCCTAACGCCAACGCCGCCTTCTTGTGAGACTGCTTGACCTCTCCTGCTACCGAATCTAGGTATCCAAGACCCATAGCCAGCCAAAGAGGAGGCATGAAGAAGAACAGAAACAGCATCAACAGCGAAATCGAGTCTCGACACATGTTGTTCTCTTTCTGGGCTTCAAGATCGTACAAATGTGTGCCTCCTGGGTTGCTCTTGAGGGGCTGGATCTTGCCAAAGTTTTGCTTCTGACCAGTTCGGGTCATAAACAACATCTGGTTGTCTGGAAGGGAAGGGAATTGGTTCTGAAGAGGATGTCGAATGACAGTACCTGTAGAACCAGCGGAAGCCTGTCGCTGTTGCGACAGAGAAGGGGAAAGAACCTCGGCCTGTTTCTCCTCAACCTCAACCTCCGGCTCGATGCGAGAAGCATCAATCATGGGAAGAGGCTCAATAGCATCCAAATCAGTATGATAAGTCTCTGAAGAGGGGATCAAGGAAGACCGCTTAGAGGACCGTCGAGAAGCAGATCGCTTGGGGATCTGAGGAACCTCACTGAGAGGTCGATCACTGATGGGTCTGTCCTTTCGTTGCTTTCGAACTCGGAGAGGAGCAGGAGTGGCAGGAATATTGAACACATCTGGGCTAGTGTCCTTACCAACTCCCTTAGCCAGAAGCTGTTTGTCTCGCTCTTCAAACTCGCGAGTCAGACGGGCAATCTCCTTATCTCGCTCAGCCTTCAACTCAAGATACTCTTTGGGAGGCTCCTTGTTAGAGACTCCTCTCACCTCGGGGAACGAGTTGATGTTGGGGAACTGAGGAGAATTCTCGGGGGAAGGATAGAAGGGAATGAAGGCGTTATTAACAAAAACTGTGTTATTCTGCGCATACAGACCCTGGTCCTTCTCGTCGAGCTCTCGAGATCGAAACACAAACGGAACATATGAACGAGGGGGATGCATGATTGGCTCTTCCATGGAGGCGGGAGAGTATGACAACGAAGGAGGATACGAGAACTGCTGAGAATGGACCGACATTGGAGTCTCAGGAGCGACCTGGCTCATTTGGGGCTCTTGGGGTTCATCCACCTCAATGTCTGGGAACTGGTAGTCGCCAGAATTGAGCTCCGCAAACGAGCTGTTGGCAAAATTACCCAAGGGAATGGCTCGTTCGGTGGCCTCGTTGGTATGATGAACAGCTGAATCATCCGAAGATGAGCAGCCACCCATGTCGTTGGACACCATCTTGAAGCCCAGAGGCTGAGACAGCAAGTCTGGGGGTGCGAAATGGATGCCAAGAGAGTCTGTGGAGGAAGCAGTGCCAGCAAGAGAGGAGGAGTGGGTCGAAACCGAGGAAATGGGTCGAGAAGTCGACGAAACGGCGGGTGCAAGCCCACCCTCAAGTCCATCCTCTTCCTGCTTCATCTGCTCAAAGACATAGTCGTCTCGATGAGAAGTCTCGATGGGAACATCTCGGAGAGAAAAAGAAGGCTCATCAACTCCTCTGACAGGTGAAACATTGTCGATATCGAGAGGATACTTGTCTCCAGTGGAAATGAGAGACACGCGGTTGTCAAGGATACCAGACTCGGTGTACTTGGATCGGTCTTGGTGGGTTCGGAAAAGGTTAGTGGGGAGATTAGCATGAGAAAGCTCGATGGGGGTAGATGCGATGACAGAAGAAGAGTTGAGAGCAGAAGACGAGTCGTCGTTACTGGTCTCTGGTTCCTCCTGCTCCTGTTGGTGCGGTTGTCCCTCGTGGCGTCCTTCTTCCTCCCTCGGGTCCTCCTCCTCATCATCATCTCGAACACTAATATCCACAACCCGAATGCTGTCTCTGATGCTTTCGGGATCAATGAACCGATCAGCAAACAGAGTCCGAGCAGAAGCTGAAGTTGCGAACGATCGGGGAGATGCAATGTTTGCTGCCGCTGCAGCAGTGACAGTCTTCTGCTTATCAGAGTCATCAACGAGAGTACCCAACGTCGAAGAAGTGGGGAATCGTGGCATTGAAGCTTTGGGTCCATTGCCTAGATCGTACTCCAGAGGCCGTAATGAGTCGTCCTCCTCCTCAGCAGCTGCGGCAGCACTCTCTGAACTCTGCTCCACGACCTGCTCATCCTCACCCTCGCCCTCCTCCGCATCCTCCTCATCCTCATGCTGTAGAGAAGACAACTCGTCGAGAATATTTTCTGTGTTGACACTGTCAGGAGTGGTGTCCATCTTGGCAGTCACCATCTGTTCAACTGGTGCAATTGCCGAGACTGTGACAATATTATCCACCTCTCCAATGCCCCGAATTTGTTGATTAATGTCCTGAATCTGCGCATTGATGTCGTTGATCTCGTTGTTAATGTCGGTGAGGCCATGAAGAGATACCATACTGTGTCGGAATGACGTTCTGGTGTCATGAAACTCGTCGTCCGAGGGGCTCTCGCGGTTGTGCTGCATCAGCTCATGAGGAATATCAAGAGGGGGGACAGAAGACAATGCGAGAGGAGCCAGCGGCCGCATTGACAGATTCAGTCGACTGCTGGAGGCAGTACCCGTCTGCTTCAGCATCTCCATGCTCTTAGAAAAGGAGTCAACAGAGACATTGAAGACTCTCTCCTTCTCCTCCCGAGACTTATCAGAGTCCGAAAGGTGCTCGTGGAAGATGCTGGAGTGGTTGAAGGTAAATGAATGAGGCAACTCCACGTTGTATGCAAACCCACCGGCGTCGGTTCGGGGGCTGCCAGCAGGGGTATAAAATTTTGTGTTGGCAGCCTCCAGAGGAGCAGAAATCTTTGGGCGGATTCCAGCCTTCTTTCTGTGCCACTTGAGCGGCGAAGTGGGTCTGAACAGGCGACTGTCTTCAAGTAATGAGTCCGTCTTGACCCGCTTTTGTGTCCATTTGCGAGGACTGGGGGGAGCCCCTGAAAGGCTTCGTTTCGTGTCCATAGAAGAAGTTGTAGTGAAGTAGCGATGCAGTGTCGAGCTGGCGGTTTGGATGTCTTGCAATATCGAATTTCTGTCGTAAACGTGTGTTCACCTTACTCCAATAGGAAGCTGTCAGTGTCAGTTGTCTACTGTACCGTTCTCTATCGTGAGTAGAAGAAGAATGTCGTATCAGTTGAATGTGGCCTGTCGTTTCAAGCTGTCGGTGTTTGTTTAATCAGTCCAGAGCAATGAATGAATGAATTACTGACAAGTCAGCAGGTGGGTGCAATGGAGAACGAGACTTGAGACCGATTCGACTTAGTGTGGGTAGCTCAATAATTGCAGTGGTATACTTTTTTGCTTACTGGTCTTTGCGAAACTCTATTTGCTTGTTTGTTGTGACTCCCAAAGATGGCCTGAGGGGATAGTACCATTTAATAGGCATTTTGGAGGGTTTTTTTGGTATTTTAAGTAGTTCAGTCAATATTTATGCTGATTTCTACCCCGAATACCACCTCATATTCGCTTTAACAGTACTACGACACGTTCAACTCCACTCGTGTCTGTTTTCGTGGTCTTGTTTTGAATTGGCCCGAAATGGGGTTACTGCGGTTACCACCAAACCTTATGTGCTGCTGACAAGAAAAGAAAGATGGCACTAAGGAAAACCAAACCCAGCTGAAGCCATGAGATTTCATGTCAATCATAGCATAACTGTTTCAGGGCAGTAAAAGCAAATGTTTGTCTCAAGGGGGAATGAAGAGGCCTGTAACCGTGACTGAAAACCACCTCCCGAGTCTGCAGGCAGACGCACACATGCACCATTTCTGTACATGTTCAGCTGGGTGGAATGTGGAGTTCGTGCATATAAGTGAATAGTACACCAGACATGCTCTCAACATCTGTCCACTGATTTCCTCACTATCGTCGACAGGGCCTGTTGGGAGTATCGCATGGGGAAGTGAGTGTTGTTATGGTTAGTCTTTAAAGATCGACACGGGAGCTTATTTTCTGATGAAGTGATGTCGTCACAGGTGATGAGGAAGTACGATAACCACTATTAGGAATCTGTGTTGGTGCTGACCATACGCTATATCTCTTGAGGTGTCTGGAATGTAGCTTTACGTCGCCATCTGTCTGTATATCCTACTCTTCTTCATCTGTTGTTGCCATGTATACTCCGTCGTCAAGGTTCATAGATCTCGGGAGTATCGTAACCACGTGAAGTTTGGATTACCCGTACAGGGTCTAGAGTATGAGTACCAGTACATATAAGTAGCTCTGTTGTTTGTGAGGGACTGGGGAAACATTCTGTGGAAATAATATTTGACGTGTTTGTCTCAGACGCGTCCAGGGAGTGGATCGGTGAAACTGATATGCAGGTTGTGTCGTACCGTGCTCAATAGCTACTATGCTGTACATACTTGTACGAGTACAGGTAGTCGCCGTACAAGTGGTCATACTAATGACCTGCTATGCCTACAGTGCCTGTATTTGAAGCTGGTTAATTAGCGTCTCTGGTGTTTGTCGTTTACTGCTTTTAGTGCCCAACGAGAGCACAGGTACGGGTCTGGGCTACTTGTAGCACGCTGTAAGATCTTGTGTGGGTATGGCGACGTGTTTGGTGCTGCTTGCAATGTTTTTGGTACGTCGTCGACTTACCGTTACTGTAGCTGCTCGCCGCCGTGTCTCCGTGAATGCTTATCTCTCTGGTGTGTATCCATGTTTATCGCTCTTGTTTACCTCATGCTCGCTCTTATACCAACTGCACCTTAACGCTCACCCCTGTTAATAGTCTCGTATACGATGGTCATAGCAACGGCCTAAATGTCCGACGGGCACGTGACCTCCGCACCCACGTGATGTGTGCATGTAGCACGGATCTACAGTGCTCGAGTATGGTTAGGGTGTCTTCTCGGGTTAGGGCACTACAGGTAGGGTAAAATGCCAGCTGCGGTAACAAAGTTGGTGGAGATCTGAGAGCAGCGGTTAAGGGTGGCTATGGAATGTGAGGTTATGAGAAGGCGTCGATAGTGTTTTTTGTAGCAGCGTGGATGATATGGCAGCTCTGTGGGTGGAGGTGGACCTGAAATGGGTATATAGACACGTACGATCACAAGTTACCTACAAGTGGTTGTACTCATCACATTGTCACCCACCCGACTCGTATCAGCTCTGTGAGCACATACTTGTACTGAGGGTCGATATAAACACACCAAACAACTGCCATAATGCTGAGCTATTAATAAAGCCAACATTGACCTCGTGCATATCACTTTGCCGCACGTTACTGCTAAGAAGGAGGTCTATGACCATTGTTGAGCAAGACTCATGTCAATACGTGCAATCTTACTCGCACCATTCTCGTGTGATCCAAGTTCTCTCACTCTCGTCAGCCGCGAAAGACACGCGCTCCCACTGGCTGACTGGCAGGCTATACGCCATCCGAGACAACAATGCCTGTTGCAGTGTGTCTCACTTCTCCAAAGTACAAGGCAGGGCGTCGGACTGCAGGTATGAAACGAGAGCACGGGAAAGGTAGGGTTTCAGAAAAGGGATAAGATAGGAGTAGCTATTGTAATAGGGGGCTTCACTAATAGCGGCTGAATATCTGCGGATAAAGATAGACAAGTAAGACGGTAGCTACCGGTTCAGAAGGGCTCATTGGTGTCAACATGGGCGGCACAACCACACCCACAGCACCACAGTAGCATATGTGACATCACAAGTTCAACAAGTATCTAATTATAGGGTAGCTGATACACCGGATGCGGTCACACACTACAGCAGCAACACACATAACCGAAACGGACTGTACGGACTCAAACGTGGTTTCTGTAACAAGGCTGCTTGGACATTCCCACGTGACTCTCAAGGTATCTCCGCATTGTCCTCGTCCGTGACTCCCTGAGAGCCACCGAGACGTCAAACACGGAGGTTTGTTTTAATCTGGACAATGGAGCTTTTAATTATCTGCACGGAAGCAGCATGCTTGGCAGATGGAATGATCACCCAGGGTGCCGCCCGTAGAGGCAATTAGCTGTCACAACAGACTGACGGGTGTCAAACTGGCCAGTCAAATTCAGCCATTTTCCTGGGGCCACTCGAGCTCTCCGTGGTCCACAGTAAATACTCGAAGCTGTGCGGCTTCTGCTCATTTTTTTTGCTCACTCATTCCGTGGTGCATCCAAGGTCGTATTTTTGCATTACAATTTTTCAGCGATCCCCTGTTCCCCTCACAAGCATGCTACAGCGTAGAATGTGGACCTGAGGTATTACTGTAGCGAGGAGCTAGTATTTGGGACCAACTACCATACAATGGCGTACCAACCCCCCAATGATCTAGCCCATGCTTTCCAGTCCAAATTATCACTTAATTTTTACAGCACTTTTCTTCCCGAATCTATCCATTGCACAATGGCGTGAGACATGAATATCGACGTCTAGTATTTAATATGCATTTTTGACTTTGGGGTGAGTTCTAGGGAAGGTGGAGTGTCGATAAAAACCGGTCAGAGTAATCCCATGAAGACGGAAATTGGCTCAAAATGACCATGGAAGCACAGTCTTCCACGTCTACAGAAACCGGAGATATCTATATGACCATTGCTCCATTACAACACGGTCCTTACTCGACGATACGATATGCTTTTTCCATAGTAGGCTAACGTAAAACGGCCTCCCTCGCATTCGAGACAAGGGCCGCTTCGAAGCGAGAGGTCGTGCCATGGAGATGACATTTTAGGGAGGTGGAATGACAGGATGTTGTTTGATTGACGACTCCATGTTGTCTCCATCCATACCATCACAAGATCAACGCCTCTTAGTGAGGATACAAAACAACCACCCACCGTACATCTCATGAACCCTTACAGAAAAAAGGCCGATCTTGGCTTCTCTCAGAGTCGTTCAGACTCTCTAATTCCACTCACCCCTGCACGGGTCATGCCAAGCAGCATCGAAGACTGTCGTCTGCTGTTGCTTCGAAACTGCCTGGCCGTCTCCTTCTGCTTCAACTCCGCGTCTGAACCAACTCTGAAGTCTACGACGCGAGTGTCTCCCACCTGGAACGTTAGAGCCGAGACAGCAACCATATCACGCGTAGGGGTTGAGTTTGAAGGGGGCGATGGTGAACCAAGGCGGTGCCCCATAACCCAGAGGAAGTTCAGCTGGGCGTGGATCAACTGTGTGTCGTGCCACTGCCATACAATGTAGCACACCTTCCGGATCCATCTGACGTATGTACCTTCCCCATTGTTTGCACTCATGGATCGTATCGTACTTGGAGCTCACCTCGCTAACTCCGATATTATTCCATTGTTTGTGTCAAGTCTCTTTACACAGTCGCTTTCGACGTTGACTGTTTCGTTTCAACTTCAATCGTATCGTAATTAGGTGCTGGTACTTGTATCTCACTATCCACACAAGTCGCTCTACGGCATGTTCCAGTTCGATAGAGTTTGTTATATATTATCTGGGGACGATGAATCGAAAGGTGAGCTGTTGCATATCGTTACTACGAGGCCACCGGTTCATTACTTATGCGACTTTCTGTATCGTCTACTCGTACCCTCTTATCCACCCTCATTCCACTCTTCTATATCATCGCACAGTGTGTAAACCCCTCACGCACAACCCACGTGAAGAGCACATGGGGGCAAAGGCTAACGCGGCAGATCAGGGTTGTGGGAGTGACGCTTTCGGAGAGCTCAGACGGCCCTCATTGTACCAAGGTGCCAATGTGCAAAATGTGCGCTATAACCATGGCCAGTGGACCATTATAGAAGGGGAGCTGAGCTAGCCCAGAAAATGATATGAGCGGATGCTGGAGCGTTGGGGGAGAGATTAGCTGGACAAGAACCTCTTGGGATTAGCCCGGGCGTTTTTACAAATCATTGACAGTTACTCAGTGGAGCGCTCAACTGCGCAATTATCATTGCCTCCACCACTCTTATCGATCGACGGTCCTTCTACGCGTATCAATGCAATTACCCGGTCTAAGGGTTACCCGTCTTTGAGTGTGGCAAGGTGACCTAGTTAAAATAACACATCAAACGACAGCCCATGGGGGTAGTGTATGTGGCAAAAAAAGATGACTAGTCGATAACCGAAATATATGCCGCATGGCACTCTATATCATTGTCTCCATAGCATACACGGTTTGCCACCGACACTCATCCCGCACCCAAACACGTGCTCTCACCCTCTATATCCTCCAGACACCTAAAATAGACCTGGCGGAATTACGCTTTTTATTTACGCTTTTGTGTTTGGCACTTGCAGGCCAAACAAAGAAATGGGGCAACCATGCTCGCATAGAGGTAGGCGCAGGACCGTAGCGATATATATATAGCTGGAGACGCCTTTTCCTATCTAATCAGACAAGTCGTTACACAGACTAGTACACCAAAACAACTCAGACCACCCGACCACCAGTCAATCTTGGTCAACCTGATCTCCGACATCATACCCCGACACTTTCCACGACTCTCCACGACACTACTCCTGTCACTCCCCCTAGTTTCTTTGCCACTCGTATTTGCCATTGCCTAACCACCATGTCTATCAAGCGAGAAGAGTCCTTTACTCCCACCCCCGAGGACCTGGGATCTCCCCTGACAGCTGATTCTCCTGGCTCTCCCGAGTCTGGAGACAAGCGAAAGAAGGATCTCACTCTGCCCCTTCCTGCTGGTGCTCTTCCCCCTCGAAAGAGAGCTAAGACAGAGAACGAAAAGGAGCAGAGACGCATCGAGCGGATCATGCGAAACCGGCAGGCGGCACATGCGTCTCGAGAGAAGAAGCGACGACATTTGGAGGACCTGGAGAAGAAGTGCTCGGAGTTGTCGTCCGAAAACAACGATCTACACCACCAGGTGACTGAGTCCAAGAAGACCAACATGCACCTCATGGAACAACACTACTCGCTGGTGGCCAAGCTGCAGCAGCTCTCGTCGCTCGTCAACATGGCCAAGTCTTCCGGAGCTTTGGCCGGCGTTGATGTCCCCGACATGAGCGATGTGTCTATGGCCCCCAAGTTGGAGATGCCCACCGCGGCTCCTTCCCAGCCCATGGGTCTCGCCAGCGCGCCCACCCTCTTCAACCACGATAATGAGACCGTCGTCCCCGACTCTCCTATTGTGAAGACCGAGGAAGTCGACTCTACAAACTTTCTCCTCCACACGGAGTCCTCCTCCCCCCCCGAACTAGCTGAGAGCACTGGCTCAGGCTCGCCATCGTCGACTCTGTCCTGCGACGAAACTGATTATCTTGTGGACCGGGCGCGTCATCCAGCAGTGATGACTGTCGCAACTACTGACCAGCAGCGTCGGCACAAGATTTCATTTTCATCAAGGACGAGCCCGTTGACGACGAGCTTGGACTGCATGGACTGTCGGATGACTTCACCCTGTTTGAAGACAACAAGCAGCCTGCCCAGCACGACTTTATTGCTGATCTAGCTCACTATGAGTCGAGCGTCAGCAACCTGTTTGGGGGATTGGAGTGAATGGAATCCCTTATTTATTAACGCCATCAGTACGGCATTCTTCTCGATCAGAGTCTCAGCATATGGCGCGCGTCCACCATTTTTTATACACAGGACAGCAGCGACTGGCTAGAGACCGACTTGGAGAGGTGCAAGGAACGGGCAGTTTATTTATTGAGAGAGATAGATTTGTTAGAGGAGACGAAACACACAAAAAACACTGGCCTAAGTCGGTATATAAATGAATGAATGATGATGATTACCTATTTACCTATTGGATAGCTTTACTTGTAATGTAGTTGTGGCTGAACAGACAGATCCACTAAGACGTTATTCAAAGACACTTGTGTCCTGGAATGAAATGAGCTTCCATTTTTCACCCGCGAGGTTAACCTTGTGGTGGTGTTGGAGGAGATAGGAGATAACCATTAGTGGGTATGGGTAAAATTTGTACATTGCAAATAGGGGATGTGTTAGTATATACGGAAGCGCTTCTATTGTTATGCAACTACATTGATTTGAATGTAACGAGATTGGATACATCACCATAATGTGTACATAATTACTCCATCATCTCCTTGTTATTGTCGCTTTTTCACCCTGTAGTTCGCGCACACCGCTCAGCAAACTCAGCCTCCGTCAAGCTCTAAACCTTGATCTACTGTAACCTGTGGTGTTTCGAGGCCATTCCATGTGAGTTTGGGGTGTAGAGTTTAGTGAGCAGTCTGCGGGGAAGTAGGGAAGGTGCCGCGTGAGTGATATCTAGGGGTGTGAGTTATGTGGCTGAGAGATAACCACAAGTACCTCCTTGACCTTCTTCTCCGAATATTATTTCCTCGATCATAACTCAGTGCCTCCTTCAATTGCGTTTTTACTCTATTGCTCAAGTGTAAGACCTGTAAATTTCAGTCTATGGATTCCATGTCGGTCCTTCAACTATAATTACCGAGAGTCTGACTTTTCTTCTTTTGCCTTTGACTTTTGCGCTTCGTGCATATATACAAATGTTTGACTGTGGCTTACGAGCACATATTGGAATACTGCTCAACAGCATCTACCTACCATCGCTACTCGCTCTCTGCTGCTATTACTGATGTTGTATAGTTTCACATAGCCTTTGGGGTTGCATTACATTGAACAATGACTTTTGACCAAACAAAACAAGTTACATCCATCGAAGACGCTATATCAGCACGCTAGAAAAAACGGGCTAGGCGTGAAAATCACAAAACGAGCACTTTATCGTACTATAGAGAGGTAGCACAGTGCAACACACACACCACTTTAGCTGTTGGACTCTTACATGACTCTGCTTGCTTCCAAATATCCTCTTTCTCTTGCATACTCGTCGTACATGGTTCAGGTAATCTTTTTCATCAGTCTTGGCACTGCAGTTATCAGATCAAAAGATGGCCGTGCATGCTCGAGAGCCATTGGATGGAGTGTACGGTGCCAAGAGTCGACTCATTGTCCGGCCGACGTCGGACTGGAAGTCTCCAAACAAACCTGATCCAGACCGTTGGCTCCTCCGTAGGTTACATCATACATAAAACTGATCCAATGGCTGTCGATCTATCCTGCCATGCATAGGCTTGGTGGTGGGCACCAGGATTTGGTTGTAGTGCCGAGAAAGTGATAGCCAGGCACTGTGGAGACCGAAGAAACCGAAATGATCGGGGCAGGGTTATAAGTAAGCTGTTTATGTGTGTAATGTGACGCATATGATAATTGAGAATGCAAGTACTATAGCTAATCATTGAACGACTCTGAAAGATGGCTTCAAATCGTCAGTGGTTCTGTCTAGACCCTGTATTCTCAACTAAATGTTTCAAACCGGGTCCTGGGACCAATGTCTGATTTCAGAACTCTCAAGTTAAGTCTTGCACAATACATACGATACCTCCAAAGTACGTCGCAATATAGTACTTATAGATCCTAAATGTTCCATAGTTCCTAATTTCTGTACTTGGTAGCTACTACTGTACAATAACCTATAGTAGTCCATATCCTCTTCTGTGACACTGCACTCAAAGAGCTAATGTCTTCACACTATTGGAACGTCACGATCTACACCCTGGATAGCTACAAGCAGTCGAGATATAGCAGTATTTATGCCTACGATCGAGTCTTAGTCATCAATTCACCAGACAGTAATCACAAGCCTTAAGGAACAGAATAATACCCTCTGCCCAAGAAACTTCACTTTGAACTACTATGCAATAATACGAACCACAGCTATAGCTTCCCCTCCAGATACAACCTGGGAAGCCATAGAACTTGTCTAATTGGTCTATTCAACTAATTTTCGCACCAGTACATACTCGTATCCAACTTGGTGCGTCCCAGACAGAGCTATAAACAGACTCGTTTATATATATATATATATATATATATGTCCCAGACAGAGCTATAAACAGACTCGTTTATATATATATATATATATATATATATATATATACATATATTTTCTGCATATACATTTATTTAATTTACAGTATGTACGTATGGTACCTACACAATGCCCGCTCCGTCCAAGTGAGTAATTAGTGGAGCAGAACTACCGTGATTGAATTAAAGTGGGTGGGAAGCTATTGATAGACCACACTGTCTGCTACATGATTACACAGCAGAACACTGTGATACGCCATTCTCCCATTGTGTTTGACATCACTCTCCCTTTTTTTGTTTATTTTAATATTTTCCAACATATTTGCAATACTGTTGGCAGACTGAACCAAATCAACAACCTTCACCCACCACGCTACGAGTACTCAAAAGAGAGAGTGTGTACGTGAAACATACATCTCGTTGCAAATAACAACCCAAATCACGGAATCACAAAACTGCGCCAAGTCACTCAAAACTCAGGAGGAGCCGCCTTACATCTCGTGTCTACTCTTCACACATCAAAACATGATCATTCATTAACTAGTTGTTCATAATATCTACATATCGACTCTTTGCACTCTTTCGAGCACCCTTTCTAGGAGCGCCGGTAGGAGGTCCACCGGTGAGGAAGCCCTCGAGAGGATCAACCACCTTGGGTCGAGGAGCGCCCGTGGCAGCCGGTCGAGGAGCGCCACCTGCTCCGGGAACCGGAGGAGTATCAGCAGCGGGAGGGGTGGCCACAGGAGGAGTGGCCCCACGAGAAGCACCGACCGGAGGAGCACCTCCAGAAGGAGGGGGAGGAGTGCCACCAGCAGGGGGACCAGCAGGCTTCTTGGCCTTGGGGGGAGGAGGAGGTCCTCCAGCTCCCTTGATCTGGTCCTCAATCGGCAGATCACCATTGATCCACCGCTTGTGCTCTTCCGAGTAGTAGAAGTTACTTTTCTCTCCAAGCTTAGCCTTGTACACCTTCTTGTCGTCTGCAGGCTGCTGTTCGCCCTTCTTGAACCAGCCTCCAAACCAACCCTTCTTTCCTCCGTCCTTGGGCTCTTCCTTCTCCTCCGCCTTCTTCTCCTCCTTCTTGGCAACGGGCTTCTTGTTACCCACGCCAAAGTCGTCGTCGTCCTCTTCCTCAGCAGCAGCGGTAGGAGCTGAGTACCGAGAGGCAGGGGGAGCAGCGGAAGTAGCAGGTTCCAAACCTGGAAGAGGTACCGGAGGAAGGTTGCTAATGGGAGGCAGAGTGACGGCTGCAGGAGTGTAAATCGCACCCTCATCGTCACCGTAGTCTCCAGCATCGTCTGCAGCCTGAGACTGGTAGCCGTACGAGGGAACTCCATAGTCAGGGTAGTCAGCCGCAGCAGCCTCCGCCTCACCGGCCTTCTCGTTCTCCACCTCCGTCTCGGTAGGCTCGGCGCCCTCTTCTTCAGCAGCCGGATAACCAGAGTATGGGTCATAGCCTCCATAACCACCTCCGTAGCCGTAGCCGTAGGCCTCAGACGTGGTTGCAGGCTCAGGCTCCTTATTGGCAGTGGGAGCAGGGGCAGAAGAGTTACCAGGCGAGTAGGCGCTGTTAGCTGGCGCATACTTGTTGGATGCTGCCGCTGAAGACTTCTTTTCTTTTGCGGGAGAGCCCGGGTCGTAGGGGTTGTAGACAGACTTGACAGAAGGCTTGGGGGGAGGCGCCACCTTTCGAGCGGGAGGCTTCTGACCAGCCTTCTGAGCAGGCGCTTGCTGGGCTGGAGGAGCCGCAGGAGGGGCCTTCTGAGCAGGAGGAGGGTGTGCCATCGGTTCAGGTTCAGGTTCAGACTTTTGCTCATATCGCTCATTCTCGTTCTCAAGGTGAGAGTAGTCAGCCGCAGGCTCCTGCTCCTGATCCACAGCCTCAGTCTCCTCCTCCTCCTCGATGTGATGCTCAGGCGTGCTGGCGTAAGATCGACCGTAAGCAGGCTGACGAGGAGAGAAAGATGAGGCGCTGGGTGCATAGGGAGAAGCACCAGAAGCAGAGGGAGCAGAGGGAGGGGCGTACACGTTTCCAGAGGGAAGAGCGTAAGGAGAGGGGCCAGAGGAAGTTGCACCAGGAGTGTAGGCATTAGCGGTAGCTCCAGAAGGGGGAGCATTTGCATTGCCACCCGCACCGGGAGCATATGCGTTGGCAGCACTAGAGCCACCGGCAGGAAGAGGATAGATACCAGCTCCACCAACGGGAGCATAAGCGCTGTTACCGCCACTCACGCCACCAACGTCGATGGGTGACATAACTCGAGGGTAGTCAGACTGCACAGAATGCACAGAGGCAACAGAGGGAGCTCGCTCGTATCCATAGCCCGAAGGACCCGCATCCATGGCAGACGACGACCGAGGCAAGCTGGGCCGCGAATCATAGGGTCCAGACCCGCCCTGAGGCCGCAGAATGTTACCTGTGGAAGCTCGAGTGGGAGGAACTCCATAAGGCTGGTGCTGTTGGTAACCAGGAGTCACAGCAGACTGCTGACTCAGATCCACCACGGAGGTGGTTCGAGAAATGCCGGGGGTGGCTGCAATCTGGCTGAACACTGTGTCACTTGCAGAAGAGGCGCCAGCAACGTTGGCCTCCTCACCCGCCACAAACTTAGACAGACTCTTGTCGAGATGACCAAGCACCTTGTCCAGCTTGGGCCGAGAGAACCACGAACCGGTGGTGGCACCAGGAGTGGACGACACTCGATCTGACAACGCAATCAGCCGGCTGATGTAAGCAGGCTGAATGATGGAGGACTTGTCGGTGAAGCTCTTGAGAGCCTGGTTGAGATACTCGGCGTACCGCTGGGCCTGAGCAACATTGCCCAGATCAGCCAATACCTCGGCATGGACCAACTTGTATAGCTGCATCTGGGGAATCGCAACATTGGTCTTGAGACCCAGAGCAAACTCGTAGGTCTCAGACAATAAGATGGCGTCGAGATCTCGACCCTCGGAGCCCAGGAGGGTGATCTTGTCTGTCAAAGGAGCCCGCGAAACTACATAGCAGAAATGGCCAGCTGCAACATACCCCTTCTGCACAAGATCGTCTCCAAGCGAAACGAGAGAAGACAAGTCGCTACCATCGTCCTTGGCGTTGGACAAGAGGTAAGAAACCGTCTCCTTCCAGTCACCGTACGCCTCGGATGAAGGGATCACACCGCCAAACGAAGAGTACAGGAACTGAAGAGTGGGCTTGTACAAAGGTCGAACATCGTCCTTGATGAACTCAGACACCACATCCTTCCACTTCTCGGGGCCCATAGTGCTGGCAATCAGCATAGAATGGCCCCAAAGACGTCGATCCATACAATGTCGAATGGCTGCGTCCTTAGATCCGCTCTGAAGATGTCGAAGCACATGGTTGGCGTCTGAACCAGAGAAAGAAGGGCCATTGTCTCCCTGTTGAGGCACAAATGACGATGACGAGAGGTCCATGGCAGACGTGAAGGCAGAACCGTCACCGGTAGCACTCTGCTCGAAATGAGGAGTCAGGAAAGCTCGAACCTGAGCAGAGTTGATGACTCCATCATTGGCCAGATACACACGAACCAACTTCCACAGCAGAACCCGATCAGCATCGGCATTCTGCGAGTCCAGCAGGTTCACGTGGTCAGCCACCCACTTCTCCAGCTCCTTCTTCTTGGACTTGACAGGGCCCTTGTTAGGAGTGAACAGGGGCCCAGGGAATCGCGTAATATCTTCACCAGTGGACACAACCTTGCTCACGTCCAACAGACGAACCGAGGTCTGGCTGACAGCAGTGGCGTAGCCAATTTGAGGTGCAATCAGACAAGTGGCGTTCTTGGAATTGCTCCATCGGAAAATGGGGAACTGTCTCTTTCGAAGCGCCTCATCCGAAACTGTAGACTTTTGGCCAATGTCCTTGAACTCTGAATATCGTCGAGGAGACTGTGTCTGAGGCTGCTGGATGACTCGCTTGGGAGAAACGTTGGGCGAGTAAGCCATAGCCGGAGCAACTACAGGAGGAGTAGTGCCTCGAGGAGGAGCTCCCCGAGGAGGAGCATAGGCATTTCGAGACGACACCCGTGGAGGTCCAGCAGGAGGGGGGCCCGAAGCTGTTCCAGCAGCAGCAGCAGCAGCAGCAGCAGCAGCAGCAGCGGCAGCAACAGGAGGCTGAGGCTGAGGAACAGGAACGCCACGAGAAGTTCCTCGAGGAGGTCCAGCAGGAGGTCCACCAGCAGGAGGTGCCGAATGACTCACGGGTGGAGGAGCATAGGGCGAGCTACTCTTAGGGGGTACTGCTGGAGGAGGAGGAGCGTAGGGTGAACTCGTTTTAGGAGGCACTGCAGCTGGAGGGTGAGCATAAGGAGAGCTCGTTTTGGGAGGGACAGCTGAGGGACCACTGGGAGGAGCATAGGGGTTATGGGGAGCAGCAGCTGGGGGTCCAGAAACACTGTTATGGTGTGAAACAGGCGCAGAATGGACACCTGAATGAGGGCCACCGTGAGAAGGCATTCCGTAGCCATCACTGACTCGTCGAGGTTGCTGAGAAGCCTCCTGAGCAAAAGGAGCCCGAGGAGGAGACAGAGCGTAGCTCGGCTGCCGAGAAATAGGCTTGACGGGAATGGGTGGCAGCTCCTCGAAGAAGTTCTTCTTAGGAGCCGTAGTAGGCGGCTGGACAGGAGCAGGAGCATAGGGGTTACTAGCAGGTCGTGCAACAGGAGGACCCATGGGGGGAACTCCAGGTGTAGGAGGAGCACCCGGAGCAGCTCCAAACGCAGGCATCAGACCGGGGGTAACACCAGGCGCACCATGGGCCTGGGGAAGCTGCTGCTGCGACCGTGCCTTCTTGACAACCTTGGGAATCATACCTGTGGGGAAATCAAAAGCGTCCGACTTGTTCTTGTCAACACGTTTGCCAGCTCCAGGAGCAGCAGCAGAGGGGGTAGACTGTGAAGAAACAGGCTGGTACATATTAGGAGTGGACTGAGCAGCTCCGTAACCTCCAAACTGAGACACAGAGGGCACAGTGGGTGTACTATATCTGCTTGTGGAGACGGGGGCAACAGGCACACTGGGAAAATAAGTGTTCTGGTGCTGTTGGTTAGCTCGGAAGTCGCCGCCAGTCTGGGCAGCCATAGGTTCCTCGTCCTCGTCGTCCGTCTCCAGGAAGTCCTGGTCGCTCTCCAGCAGATCGTCGTCTTCCAAAAATGCAAATGACTGGACAGGAGGGTTGGGCTTGCCTGCCTCAGCCAGCACCTCGGCCTGGTCATCCTCGTCCGTCAGAAGCAGATCGTCGTCTTCGTCGAGGGACAGGGTGATGGGCTTCGGCTGTGGAGGCTCGTGTAGGGCAGGAGGAGCCTCAGTCTCGCTTACTCCAAGCTGGTCGAAAAAGTCAGCTCCACTGGGCTGCACCTTGTGTCTTCTTCGGGGGGCATCATCAGACGTAGCAGCAGCAGGAACAGACTTTTCAGGAGACTTCCCAAGTTGGCTGAAGAAGTCATCCTCAGCAGCAGCAGCCTTCGTGGCAGCAGGAGCGGCCACAGGGGACTTGTGCTCAGGCTCAGCAGACACAGACTGCACATTTTCCTCTGCAAGCTGACTGAAAAAGTCATCCTGAGGAAGGGGGTCTGTCTGCTCGGGGTTTTGGGGCTGGGCCAGAGATGCCATGAAGTCGTCCTCTTCCTTGGTTGTAGTGGAAGCAGCAGTGGTATGCTCAGGAACAAACCCTTGCTCTTGTTCAGACTTGCCTAGACCAGAGAAAAAGTCGTCTTCAGCAACAGGCTCGGTCTTGGTTTCGATAGGCTTAGCCTCCTCAGCCTTAGCGGTCTCAATGGTCTTGGTTTCGGGCTCAGACTGTGTCTCAGCGACAGTCTTCTTACCGGTTTCATCTGAGCTACCTCCAAGAGTTGAAAAGAAATCGTCTTCATGCTTTGTATCGGGCTCGGTGTCCTTGGCCTGAAGCTTAGCCTCCTCAGACCCTAAGTTGGCGAAGAAATCGTCGTTGGGCTCCTCCGATCCGGTCTCTAGCTGATCCCGGACCTTACGATATTCATCGGCTTGCTCCTGCTTGATCTGCTCAACCACAGGGTCCTCCATGAATCGCTTTTCCAGCTTCTCCTCGACCTGGGCGCTTTCCTCGGCTCGTTCCCGCTTAATGCCCTCAACAACAGGATCTCGCATCAGCCGCTCGGTCAGCTGGTCCTCCACTTCGCGGATTTCATCCTCCTTGTGTTTCTTCTCATTCTCCACCACAGGATTCCCCATGAACCGGCTTTCCAGATGCTTCTCAACCTGTGTAATGGAAGGCGTGGCAGTGGCAACAGGGGTTGCAACATCAGTGGTAGTACTGGTAGCAACCTCTTTCACATCCTCCTCTCCATCCTCCTCCTTGGACAAAGTGGAGAAGAAGTCTTTGTCCGAAGCCATAGGGGGCTCGGGCTGCTCGATCTCCGCAACCACCGGATCGATCTCTGCCTTAACCTCAGACTCCTGCTCATCCTCCTCAGGCTCAACAGGAACAGGAACAACGACGTCTACTGTCTCGACTGTGGGCTCGGCAGCCAGGGCGTTGGGCTGCACAGTAAGCACCGGGGTTGTTCCTTCTGGCGATTCGGGTTCAGCCTCGGCTTCTGCAGACTCTTCGGTGCCAGTCTCCTCCTCCTCGTCAATGTCCTCCTCATCATCTGGGATTGAACCAGATCCTTCATCTCCAGCTATGGCCTCAGCCAACGGCGAAACATTGGTCACGGGCGAGGTTGGCGATGTCGAAGCTGTTGTCTCTGTGGCTGCGGCGCTCTCGGGCACACTGAGTGATGCTGAAGTGGAAGAAGCGGTCTCCACAGCAGCGGGATCAGCGGCAACCGAAGAGGCTACGTTGGTCGCGGGCACGGCCACCGAAGGAGCCGCCTTCTTGGCCTTGGCCTTGCTTTTCTTGTTATTCTTTTTAGCCATACTGTGTTAGTGAAATGTTGTGGATGCGATCACCATGTGCTGAAAACTCCGCAAGGATCGCAAAACCGCCCAAACTCACCTAATTGACGACCTCAATCAAAAGAACCTTGCGTACTCGGTGAGATTGATTCGAGTGGACGAAAATAATGTCGTATGCGTGTACTGTGTGTGACGTAGCGTTTGGCCAACTTTGATCAACGTCACCAAGGTTAGCAATGCGAGTGCATGTGTGCTGGGTGCTGTGGGGAGTGGTGGATTTGGTAGGGACAAGTATGAGAGTCTACTACAGCCGAGTTAATGGCATATAATAGAGACAGAGTGAGAAAAAAGTGTGGGATGACTGCTCCCATGTATATTAAGACTACCCGTGTGTATTTTGCACAGCTTTTGTCGTCATTACTTCTATACTACACAGGTAAGATCGTCTCATCACCACGCCCGTTCATGAGCGCATGTTTACTCACGTGGAACGGGGGCGTCTACAGTAGAGTTTGAGATTCGAACATGGTATGGTGTGATATTGTGCAAGTATAGGAGGTTGACTAAAGATGTAAGTGCTTATTAATACACGAAAAGTTTGTAACTTTTGTTTCTCTGGCCACCTCTTATAACCATTCCTCGAGACCAGAAACATACGCCTCATAACGGCTATTTACACGCTCACGTCATCATCTCCTTTCACACCCTGATAACTTTATCTGTGGGATATGATTCGTGAGCTGTTGAATGTATACTACGAAAATCGGATTAAATAGACTGGAGATACTATCAGAACGACTCCAACGAATGCATTCCATACGTATTATTCAATACGCTTAGTAATCATCGCATTCCTGCTCCAGGCCCACCTCACTTTAGGCCAGTATTCGGGAGTTTGGCCGAGCGGTCTAAGGCGCCAGGTTTAGGTGTAACACGCTTAAATATAAATTCCCTGGTATCGAAAGATGCGGGAGTTCGAATCTCCCAGCTCTCATTTTTGCTGGCCGTCATGCCCTTATTCTTTTTGCCTGCCTGATTGCGACTTATCCATACATGTTCGTACAATGCAAACAACCTGCTTTTGGGCTACAGGGTTCAATAGAGTTCTGATCACGTGACGGAAACCGAAATGTACGATGAGGGAATGATACAGTTCGATCAGTCAAATAAACAAAGTGCAAGGTCATCACTCGTGCTAATAACTGTCTCAATTTGCTAGTTGTACGGTGTGACAGTCAAACGAGTCATATATGTACTTGCCTAAGGCGGTCAACTGTGTGCTTAGGAAGTGAGTGCAGTAGACCCTATAGCTATTGTTGAAGGTAATACCCGGTAGGGTAATACCTGGTCAATTCCTCACATAGTGATGAGAGGAACCAGCTTGGTCGTAGACGAGATGTCCATTCTGTAGATAGTGTTATCCATTGATCTAGAATCTCCTTCTGGTGTGTGCTACTATCGGAACGTGGTGTCCCTAGAAGTGAGTTGTAAGTCGTTAATCAATAATACGTACGATCTTCAATAGCTAATGTATAAGTAAGAAGCTGACACTTACGGTACAAGACGACAATCACGTGATTATTTGTTTCAGAGTAATGGATTTTATACAGGCAGTGTTTCCAACTACAGTATATATATCGCTCAAGACCATGTCCGACTACCTCCAAACTTCGACCACTAAGTCAAAAGCAGTTTCAGCTTACCCCAACTTCAAACCTGAACTTACACAGTAACACAGTAAATTAATTTAGGTTGGACATGCATGATAGAAAAATTCGAAGTTTAGACGTCCAAAAAAATCACAAACCACACAACAAGACACAGCAAGATGGCTCACAAAAACAAGGGCAAGCAACTTGCTCCTGAGCACGAGAGATTTCTATCTGCGTGCACTGATATCGCGCTGGAACTCGTTGGATCGCTGTCCAACGGATCCACCAAAGATATCAACCTCAACGCTCTGGTGACCAAGTATGCTAAGCAATACAAGCTGGCCTCCCAACCTCGTCTGACAGACATTATCGGCTCCATTCCCGATCAATACAAGAAATACCTGCTACCAAAACTACAAGCCAAGCCTGTTCGAACTGCGTCCGGTATTGCAGTGGTGGCTGTCATGTGCAAGCCTCACAGATGTCCTCATATCGCTTACACTGGTAACATTTGCGTCTATTGCCCCGGAGGTCCCGATTCCGACTTTGAATACTCAACTCAGAGTTATACTGGATACGAACCCACGTCCATGAGAGCTATCAGAGCTCGATACGATCCCTATGAGCAGGCACGAGGTCGAGTGGACCAGCTGCGATCTCTGGGTCACTCTGTCGACAAGGTGGAGTACATTATCATGGGAGGAACTTTCATGTCTCTGGACAAGGAATATAGAGAGGGATTTATTTCACAGCTACACAACGCTCTATCTGGAGTTCATGCGGAGGACGTGGATGAAGCTGTTCGTCTGGCTCAGCATTCTAACACAAAGTGTGTCGGCATCACCATCGAAACACGTCCTGATTACTGCACTGAAACACATCTGTCGGACATGTTGAGATACGGCTGCACGCGTCTGGAAATTGGAGTCCAGAGTGTGTACGAGGATGTTGCTCGAGACTCTAACCGAGGACACACCGTCAAGGCTGTCTGCCACACCTTTGCATTGGCCAAGGACGCTGGATACAAGGTGGTTTCGCACATGATGCCCGATCTTCCAAATGTGGGCATGGAGCGAGACCTCGACCAATTCCGGGAGTACTTTTCGTCGCCCGATTTCCGAACTGACGGTCTCAAGCTATATCCCACTCTGGTAATCCGAGGTACTGGTCTATACGAGCTGTGGAAGACTGGTCGGTACAAGTCCTATAATGCCAACGCTCTGATTGATCTGGTGGCTCGAATTCTTGCATTGGTCCCGCCGTGGACCCGAATCTACCGAGTGCAGAGAGATATCCCTATGCCGTTGGTGACAGCTGGTGTGGAGAACGGAAATCTACGAGAACTGGCGCTGGCACGAATGAAGGACTTCGGAACAAAGTGTCGAGATATTCGAACTCGAGAGGTAGGTATACAGGAGGTGCATCATCGAGTTCGACCTGACCAGGTGGAACTAATCCGCCGAGACTATACAGCCAACGGGGGATGGGAGACTTTCTTATCCTACGAAGATCCCGAGCAGGACATCCTCATTGGTCTGCTTCGATTGCGACTGTGTTCCGAAAAGACCACCTACCGACCGGAGCTGACTGGCCAGAAGACTTCTCTGGTTCGAGAGTTGCATGTCTATGGTTCTGCCGTGCCTCTGCACAACCGAGACCCTCGAAAGTTCCAGCACCAAGGTTTTGGTACGCTGCTGATGGAGGAGGCTGAGCGCATTGCTCGTGAAGAGCACGGCTCCAAGAAGATTTCTGTCATTTCCGGTGTGGGAGTGCGAAACTATTACGCCAAGCTGGGCTACTTCCTTGATGGTCCGTACATGAGCAAGTGGCTGGATTAGGAGACCCAGGCGACGAGACAATGAAATTGACTCGACCAATTGAATCAAAAAGAGCTGGGGAACTTACATCAAATTCATTATGTTACCGACAATATCACCACATGATTTCACCACTTCCCCACACAAACAGAGAACATAGATAATCGAGTTGGGACCCGTCAATAGAAACGGGGCACCTGCATTGCAGACACGGATATTATCTGGTCAGGCGGGTCGGTGGTCCACCCATGTACAAGTACGCACTGCAAGTATATTGATATTGTATTGTAAGGTCTCTAGTAATTTTTTTCTTTCTTTTCTTTTCATTCTTGGCTATCTAACCTTTGCCTCATCTATTTCCCTAAACGACAGCCTCATGCATCCCTATCTGTATTAACGTGCATGTAAAAATTACCGTTTCTGGTATTACAGCGGCCTCAGCTCCAATTAAATACCCGTAGCTCATGACAATAATGCGGTCTGCGACCGGAAAAGACAGTTTAACTGTCCACTAGCCCCCCCATACGTCCATATTCGGCCTAACACACTATTAGACCCTCTGTCGGAATTTCCTTCTGTCTCTTTTAGCCTGCATATTTCAGGGGTGTGCCAGGTGGGTCAAAAAATAGATGGACATGGGAGCTGGCACAAAAGAAGTCCGATATAAAATTTCGCCAGTTCCCCCATTCGACACACCGACGATGGCTTTGTTCTCTTCGCTTGTTTGTGCTTATATTTCTCTGTCTGCTCACCTGCACACCCACCGGCTACAATTGCTCTCCAATGTAACATCTCATGCACCTATCCCCCAACTCAATCGCCAGAGTCACAGTGCAACCAAACACGGGGGATACCTGGGCAATGGAGTGAGCGACTAAATGATTTTAAAGCAGGAAAGAAAGAATTCGATATGCGAAATTATCTGTTACTTGTACATACAATAAATATACACGCAGTAATGACTGCTGATGTTTTGGGTGAGTCAGATGGGGTTTGGATGGACCCATCAGATCAATTCTTTAGAAGATCCCACATTTCTCCACACAACTTGAGGAAACGTTCCTTCTTATCGCCGTTGGACTCAGAACCGTCCATTTCTGACTCTGCACGGGGGGCAGACGAACGTCCATTGACGCCCCGGTGGCCCAAAGGTGTAGTCTGGGGCTGCGCGCCGGTTGTGGTTCCCCCAGGAAGAGCACCCGCCTTCTTAAACGAAGATGCATATGGCGAAGAGGCTTGTAGCTCCACATAATGGGGGAAGTGATATGTCTTGATACCCACCCCAGGACCATTTGGACCCTCGTAAATGTCTTCCACTTGCACCTTGGAGTATGGCGATGGCTTTTGCGAGTGCGGGTGGGGCTGTGGCGTCATGAGGCCCGTGGCCGATCCTGGAGGCACACCTGTATGGGGTCCATGCGACCCGGGATGCAGGGAGCCACCGGGATGCGCAGAGTTGAGGGGCGACACCATGGGGATCTGATTACGAGCATCACCAGGGTAAGGAGGAAGGCCCGATGCAGATCCCGGTGGTTGAGAGCCGGGGGGAGGCGGGATGCCCATGTTGGCCTGGAGCTGCAGATTGTAGTACCTGATGGCATTGGGGTTCTGTACTCCGTTGGGGTGCACGTAGTACATTTTGTTAGCTCCTGCGCCTGTTCCCACGGCCGAGGGCAGTCCCGAGTCATTGACGGCGTTGTTTCCGCTGTTGGAGTGGGCCGTGTGGGGCGTATTTTCAGACGATCCGCCGGAAGACGAGTTAGCCGAGTTGGGGGCATGCACTGGGGTTCGGAGAGGCGGCTGTGTCTCTGCAGCCGAAAATCCTCTGATGGTTGGGGGCGCGGAGTTGACGGGCGGAGGGCCTGTCTTGGAAAGTGGGTAGATGCGGATGTCAGAGGGCACCTTCTTTCGCTTGAATCTGAGGTTGGAAGGCGAGGAGAGAGCTGGAGACAACGACGAGGAAGAAAGGGTTCGTTTAAGCGTTGAGCTGTCGTTTGTGGCAGGCAGTGTCGGATTGTGGTTCTGATTCTGTGTACCTGTTGTTGTTATTGTTGTTGTTGTTGCTGCTGTTTTTGCTGTCGCGGTAGCTGTCGTGGTGACTCCTCCTGCGTCGTGTTCTTTCTGCGTCTTGTCTAGACTAGAGTCGCTCTTACTGAGGGATGGATTTGAGTAGGGGGAGGCCAGTTTGTGTTTTGGCGAGGTAATTGGGGCGAGTTTGGGCGTCTGGGTTTCGACCTTCGCATCGTCGGCTGGCTCGTCGTTGAGGACACGCGAAATGTTGGACATGTTGCGGACTGCTGTCTTGTGTGGAGATGGATGTAGTGGGGGAGGGGATGTTGTGGTATTGGCGGTTGTAACTGTAGATGTGGGCGTGTGTGTCAGTGCTTTTGTATCGGTAACTGCTTGTGTGTCTGTGTCACAATCTCCTACACTCTGCTCGTCGTTGGAAGCGACTTGGTGGACAGTGTCGGACCAGATCAGTGTTTGACTGAGTTTGGACTTTTGGTTTTTGGTGTGGGAAAAAGTAGTCACTGGCCTCATATACGCATGGTCCCAACAAGGGAAGGCTAAAATCTAAGATTAACAAAAAGTGTGGGATGCAAGTGCGGAATGGCGGGTTGGAATGGGGGGTTGTGGCAGTTGGGGAAGTTGAAGAGCGAGTGAGAGCGTGGTAAAAGGCGAAATTTTGGGCACAATGAGTGGCTAAACGAAGATTAGGCGTGTCTATCTTCGTTACCGGCCGAAACCATCCTTTTACCGCCCTCTGACTCCAATATATATCCTGAAACCAGCTGTAGGCGCTCGTCATTGTCTGCAGGTCTTTATTATATTTCCTTTTTGTCTTTTGTCGCAGGCACTCCACCCTGTACACGTATATGAGACCTTTGCCCGAGCGTATAAAACTGTTTCTGGACACTCCGCCGTGGCCACAAATACCGGTATCTCAGAGAGTGAGTCTCAAAGGGCCAGTCTCTCGTGCTCGTATACCATTCTGTCTCAAATTACACCTTGCGCAACCAGTCAAACGAAAAGGCAAACGGCGAGACATAAACAAGAGCTTTTGCGTGCGCGTCTTTGTCTAGACCGGCGACTTACATAGACGATACTGAGCCAGTCTACGGCTAAGGATTTAGTGGGAATAAGGGAAGTATTTGCGACCAAGAAAAACAAATATTGGGCTGCAAATAGTGACAATGGGGACGCGAAGATGACTACAGGCGTGGCTCACTACATACAATGTGTGGTCTCAATTCGCTACGATCAACATGACATAATTTTCACGTTACCAGCACCGTGACAGTTCCGCGATTTGGGGTTCCTGTTGCTCCGACTACCGTAGTGTGTGGTATTTGAGACAGTACTTGTAGTAGTGTGAGACAAGTCTGGTGCTTGGGAAAATAGGCAGGTGACGGGCATATACTTAGCGCAGGTGGTGCGTCTAAACAAGTGGAGTCTTAAATGAGACACTCTCAGTTGTTGTTGTGGGCATTATTTTCACTTCCATCCATTCGCTTTTGTCCAACTCCGATACGCACTGTACAAATAGTTGCAAATACATAATGTATCATACTGCTTTTGCGTTTTCCACAAGTGAAGTTGGGCTTCGTAGAAAGTCACTGTGAATCATGTCAGCCAAGTGTTACATGGACAGACACTGACAGAGACTTGTGGCTCTTCAAACGGCTCCACAATGGGCAAAGGAGTCGGTTCTTAGACTCAAAGTCACCCACTGCCCACTACTGTAGTATCGCCCCTAGTGGGCTCGGATACCTGCAGTGGAAAAAGCAAACTCTTCTTTCATTATGCAAGCCTTGGCCTGCTACGATACCTACTTGTAGCTTTATCCATTTAGTCTACTGGGAGTTAATGTATGCTGTGGGCCAACCAAACCCCCTGTTTCACATGTCCACGGACGGGGGGCAAGCTCTTAGCTCTGTGGTGTGCCTGTATGCGTAGGCTGAAGATCATCTAAAAGGATCGTCAGACACTGTTCCTTTATTGAGCAAGATTCTCCGAGCAACCGTGCGCCGCCATTAGCCGTGTTTTACTGCGACACGCAGCTGAGCTTTCCAACTCCAACTACGGAGTCCCAGATCAGCAGCACCTGTCTGTGGCTTGCCCACCCCAAGTCATGTCAAACCGTGGGGGGTCCCTTCACCACTCGTATATACCACTCCACGCACATTCTGCACATGCCGTCTGGGTGTCACTTGTTTCATGTACCCCTGACTGCCGGCCAGCCCAATAACGTTGTCTCTTGACCACCAAAGTGATGTGCTTACCCCTGTGGTGAGACCTACAAGTATCTCATCTGACGAAGCGTTCCCCGGCTACCTGTCGGATGATCCCTGTGCGTCTGATCTCTTCAAGTGATTTACAAGGGTAACTACATTCCATGGAAAGAAGGACTAGCACTGGTGCACCACTCGTGCAGCAGGGCCAAGAGACGTTTGGCTTTACTCTACTTAACCAGCAATTAGAGTCAAGGTAACGGAAGAAAAAGAAGAAAAAGAAGGCACGCAAGACACATTCCAGACCCAGCGGCCAAGACAGATCGTCAGGTTGCCAGTCGGAGGAAAAGACTACCCGTCCTTTCTATTGCGAGACGCGCACTGGTACCTGGGCAATGTAGCAACCAACTGGACAACCAAAAGCAGCCATTGTTTGAAGCACAAATAAGACAGCTGATGAATATTTCCGTAGGTGCCGGGTACTTGTTCTTACAACTGTACCGTAGAAGTGCGATGGCATCAACTGTCATTAGAAACCAAGTGATCATCTGTAGATAGCTGACACCAAGCCCCCTTCCCTCCTTCAATGAGAGTTTTAATTACGAGTTACTTTCCTCGCACTCCGATCTGCCGATGTACCGTAGCTACTTGTACGAATACGTACTTGTACCTACTCGAATACCGGCTCTCATGCTCATGCTCATACCCACATAAGTAGGCCTGAGACATGATTTCTTTTTGCAGCATAGATCGTTGCTTTTGACCGGGCTCACCTGCCGGGCACGGTCGGGCTCGCTGAAACGGTGTACACATACTGTAGACAGCGTAGGCGGTGGCATATATCGTCAGTCTCGTATTTCCCTCTTTCGGAAATTTCATACTAAACCCTGTGATACGACAGCTGTCAGACACATTGACCTTGACGGAACGACAGAAAAAAACATGTGATTTATTTCTACATGCAAAAGCTACAGAAAGTAAGGCCAGACTAAGTAAATCTCCGCTGGAGAGCACAAGCACCTGTCGAAGAAAGAAGACGCTCTGTGAGCAAATCTGTAGTGAACCTTTCTTGAGCTTGTTTCCCCTACTCGCTGCTCTCGAAAGCTCATTTGAGAAAGACGTTGCACAATACCATGACTGATACATGATAGACACGGTAGACTGTTGAGCTGATGAGCAGATGCACTAACGGCGACAAAGACAAGCAGAGGGGCCTACTGGCACCAAACTCGGGTATGTAGACATACAATAGCTTAGTATCGTCCCGTAGCGTGCGTCAAACAGCGCTATTTTGTGAACAAGGTGAAGTCAATGGAGCGGTCTAAAACAGTCCGGCACGATACATACAGTGATGATGTACGAATGTAGTTGTATTAGCGAGATCTAATCACATCGAGCCATTACGCAATAGCTAGTATAAGTACTTAGCTACAGGTAGAACACCTTACATTAGACTACGAGTACAAGTACTTGTACGACCACTCTACCCTTGCCAAAATAGCCCCAAATCAAGGCAGGGTGGAATCTGAAACAAGCATCTTGGCTCATAATTAGCGGTCTCTATAGTTCAATACATAAAACGAATCGCCAAATCAAGTCGGCTCAGATATGCGTTTTTCGATATCTCTTCAATCAAATTCAAACCAGAGTGAGTGACATCAACACAAAGCTTGCCCTGCACGTCTGTCATATTGCAGTCACAGTGCAGATTGATAACAAAGTTGACAGATTACAAATGTCGTCGTTATCAGCAGCTGCCACAATACAATAAAACCCCCCCCTAACTTCAAACACAATGCTCCCCGGTCGAAATACAAGTACAATGAAACCAAATCTCCAGGACATGTGCATACAGTGATACAGCACATGCTCGCCTCACCAGTAAATCCACTACAATATCAAATAAGAATACACCATGGGTGCTCATAAATCATCATTACTATATACAGTCTTCTCTTTACGCATCCACCTTTGCCAACTCAGATTTCTGCTTCATGTCTCCTCCAGGCATCATCCGCTGACTCATGCCATTCGGAAGAACCCCATTGGCCATGGCCCCTCCGTTGGGCAGTCCGTTGAATCGTTGACCATCAGGACTGCCACTAGATCGCCGAGGTTGAGCGGCCATCGCTGCAGCCGCGGAAGCTGCATTCATAGGAGCGACTCCCATTTTACGCTGTTGTTGCTGCTGTTGCTGCTGCTGTTGTTGTTGCTGCATCTGTTGATATTGTTGATGTTGGCTGGGCGTCATACCTTGCTTGTTGTAGCCCATGGGAGCGGCATTGTGCATCTTGGACTGAGGGCCATTAGTACCGGGAGCAGGACTGTTGTTGCGACTGCCGCCAGCTCCTCCTCCGGCTCCTTGACCACCTCCTAGACCGGCCCCTGGGTCGCCCGGGGGGTGAGATTGTTGCCGGTTTCGCATCTGTTGCTGTTGCTGCTGCTGAAGAATCTGCTGCTGTAGCATCATCAACTGCTGCTGGCGCTGCTGGAACACCTCGCGGTAGTTCTCGTAGGCCTTGGACAGCAGCATGGAGCCAAACCGAATTGACTGTGTGTCCGACGAAATGCCATTCAGCTGAGACGGGTCCTTGTCGTAGCTGGACATTTGCCGCGTCGGCTCTGTCTCTCGATCGTACTTTTGCCGGTCTGCCAGTCGCTCCATGGCAACCTCGTCTGCCTCACTCTCGGCAGTGTCGTCCAGGGAGTTTTTGGCCAGACTGCTGGGCTTGAGCACAGTGTTGCGCTGCAGGCCTCGCCGGTCCATCCACATCCGTCCTCCTCGACCAACACGCTTTCGCATGGACATAAAAGAAGACCGGGGAATAACACGGTCCACAGGTGACGAAGTAGATGTTGCATCTGATAATCGCAACTCCCCATCATCTCCCACAATAGCACCATACACCTGAGCATCTGCAAAGGGCTTGTTGCCAACCATACTGGCGAGATCCTTGTTGAAGTCGCTCTTGGTGGTGTACCGGTGGCTGGCGTTGTGCTTCTCAAAGTAAGCCATCTCATTGATAGACGAGTACTGAGGCACAGGAGGCTCACCAGAAGAAGATACCTCAGCGTTCAAGTACTCGCAGTAAGGAATGTAGCCCGAGTTTGTGAGATTGTGCCAGTCGCGGTCTGCATCTGCTCGAAGTCGTAGCTTCTCGCGCACCGCCTTTGCAATCGCCTCGTCCTTGTCTCGCACAACTTGGGCAATAGTGATGAGGTCCATGTTGGGGATCTTGGACGGTGGAATGGACACATTTGGTGGCACATGTGTGGAAGACACGGAAGGCGAACCCGAGCCTGCAGCAGCAGCCTGTGCAGCAGCGGCCTGGGCAGAAGCAGCAGAGCCAGCGGCCTTGCCTCCTCGAACAGGAGTAGATGCCTTCTCCGCTTTTTCCTCCTTCTTGGGCTCCACCTTTCGCTTCTTTTGAGCCACCAGATCCTCATCCTCACCTTTGATGCCCAACTCTCGCTTGAGAGTCTTGATGGCGCATCTGTCCTCGAACACATCCCATTCAGCCTTGAGAGCAGCCTTGCGAGTAAATTCTCGCGTGGCAACCATCTCCACCAGCTGCTTGGCGGTTTCCATCTCTGCCTGCATGCGCCGTAGTCGCTCGATGCTCAACACGTCCGTACGACGAGTCTTTCGCACCTGCCGCAACTCTCGGCGTCGGAAACACACATATGGGTCACTGTCGTCCTTCTCATGATCCTCAAATTTTAGGTGGGGCACAATGGACTGGCCTTTGCGTTCCACCTTGCGTGCTCGCCAGTGTGGATAGATGACAGCGCCGATCTTCTTGAACGTTGCCAGAAACGCCTTACCCTCATTCTTACCCTTAGTACCATTCACAGTGATGCCTAGAGAAGACTGCAACTGCGCCAAAATGTATTCCGGCGACGTTGGGTCCTCCTGAACCTGCCGAATACCATCTTCAATGTGCTGGGCCATCTCCTCAAACGACAGAAGGTTCGACACGTCGATGGACACAAACGGTTGTTTTTCGCTGATGGTCACCTCGAATCTGTGCATCACCTCCTCGAAGTCGTCTTCCGATATTGGCGGCTTGCACGTCTTGAGAAACTCTGCATCTTCATCATCCATGTTGTAGAGACATCCGGAGGTCTCTTCGACCGTCACACTCGTCCGGATGTAACTGGCGGGCTCATGAAACGACGAAGAGTAGAACCGGTCATACTCCTTCCACACCTGCGACGCATCTGGGGTGGGAATGTAGATTTTCTCCACCTTTGCGCCGGTGCTCTGGGCTATCGATGAGTTGATGGCCGCCTGCAGATGGTGCTCCTCCTCCTCGCCCTTCTCCACTCCCGTCTCAATCTGTTGCAGCTCGCGCTGCTGCTCCTCCTCAAGGTCTGGGATGTCAGACTGCTTGAGTACCGCCAGCGTCTGCTTGACGCTGATTTTCCGCTGGCGGAAGCGTGCCGACGAACCGGCCGCCTTGGCTGCCTTGGCCATTCTTGGTGGAGTCGTATGGGAACGCTTTAAGCGTGGTTGCTGTGTGTGTTGTTGGTGATGTCTTTTTTTAGTGTCGCCCTGTTAATCCTCCCCTGTAAAAAAATGCGCGTGTCACGGTGTCTGCGAAGTTTTAAAAATAAAAGAGCAGGGAAAGTAGGCCGAAAATGGGGGCAAAAAGAGCGCTGAAAAGAGGTCTGGTCAGGGCCGGTGTCTTACAGTAGTGTCTGCTCTTGCTTGCTGTCGTTTTTTCGTCCGCTCCACTCCTCCTCCTCGCAGTCTCGTCGATAATTTCTGGTGATAATCCGCCTAGAAAAATTTGCACATTTCGTCGCCGCTCCTTATTGGCCCGTTGTTGCCACTGGGACAACTCTTACCCCGCAATAGGAAATCTAGGGCTAGGGTATATGATTGTTGGGACTTGTTACGTCAGAACCTGCCCGAGTCTAAGCACAGGAGAGCTGGTCGTAAAGCCAAAAAGAGGGGGTTAATTTGCCACCGAAGGGGGTTACGTGTCGCAATCGAACGTCAGTCAGCTGGTTCGTAACAAGGCTGTTGGCGCAAATAAAATCAAATAGTTCGCCGCGGGTGAGATTTCAATGCTCAGTGGGTCGTTGTCTGTGCAAGTCGTCTTTCTCAGATGTCGGTAACGATGTTGTTGTGTGGTGCCCACTTGGTGTCGTTGCCGTCGTCGGTGTTGTGTTGTGTTATGTCGTGCACAGTGTGCCGTGTGTCTCGTGTGTGTGTGTGTGTGTAATGTTGATTGACAGCAGCCTCCACAAAGAGTTGCAAGGGGGGTGTGGTGTGTTTGGTTTCCCGACCCAGAATAGGCTTTTACTTCCTCCCAACGAACAAACTCTAACGAAACTCCCAGCACACACCAAAATCCCAGATATTATCTGGCAGTTTGGCATCCCATACTCATACTCGTAGTCCCCTCGTCAAACCCAAAGCCCTAACCCGGCGCTCCCAATTCGGCCAGCGTTCTGAGGATGGGTGGAAATAGCGCCAGTGTGGTGGGTTGATCAGGTGGAAGTCAAGAGGTCGGAAATGGGCCAGTCGGGCACAGGACCTCAGGAGTGCGTCGTACTGAGTGTCTCGGGGCCACTGTGGAGTCGAAGAGGTGCTCGTGACCGAAACGTGAGTCCCTCAGCGCCACACTGACCGGGTGCCCATACCGGGACCCCCAGACAGTACCCCAAGGAGACGCCAGCGGTGCGAATTGGCACAAAGCCAAGTCCACCGGATTGTGGGGACTCTGCCATGTCAAAGCAAGCAGGAATTCCATCACTTTTGCGGTACTTTTTCTCGCTCCGATTTGGCCACCTTTGTAGGTAAAATTGCCAGGTTCCAGTTACATCAGAGAATGGTGGAGAGGGGACGAAAACACACGGGGGTTGTAGACTCACTTTGGGCAGCACACACTGAGCGGTGTGGCCGTTTTTATCGCTGGTTAGTTATCTTTTGGTGGACATTCTGATGTGTGGTGTGTGGGGTAGAAGAGTGAGAAGAGAAGTGAAAGTAAAAGTGCATTGAGAGTGCACGGTGCAAGAGCCAGTCAGTCGGGACCTGATGACACTAAGTCTTATGGGTAGGAAAATGGGGCAAAAAGGACTCCTGAATTTTTTTGATGCCGTGAAAAGCGCAGTAAGAGTCAAGCTGTGCCATTCGCTCACCGTCTTTTTTTATTTTCAGTCATCTCAACTACAGGTACCACCGTTTCAGGAAGGGAGCTCTCAGTTGGGTTAATTTCAGCCCTGCGAAAGGCTCCATAAGGCTGAAGAAGAGCCGCAAATACCTCACGAGCAACCAAACTGAGACCACAATCTTGTACACGCAAAAATACTCACTGTTGTCTCGCTCCGGAGGGCTGAAGAACCCATGTTTGGAGCCTGGGTTGGTTATAGCATGCGGCTGTTCGAGGGTGTAAAAACAGAGGCTGGTGTTTCAGATGTAGACAAGCCGTAGGGATGCTCTCAAAGATGGCACCGAGCGTGTGGTTAGTTGGCAGTCAGAGATGAAAAATGCTGGGTGTGTGAGTTGTGACAGCTGCCTTCTGTGGTGAGTCTGGATACAGGTCTTGTACGATGGGACTGTAACCCGGCTTGGTTTCCGCTCCTTCTGATTTGGCTTTGAATGCAACTTAATATTGTAACATTATCAGGTGGACAGGAAGCGTTAGTTACAGCAGGATTGTAGGCACTTTTGTTGGGTGGGAGTGAGCAGTTCCAACGGTAGAGCGTATGTATAGTATCGTATAGAAGAGTAGACAACTGAAGCATCGAGAAGTGTTGATAGGGATGAGACATACGGGATGGAGACACACTCGGTAATGACGAAAAACAAACGAGACAGAGCCATTCACACACGACTAGCTCGAAATCAGTCCCCATGTGGAAATAAGCCTCATGACATGGTCCCAAACCAGGCTACTCGTGACTGTGTTTCCAGAGAAACCATACGACAGGACCATTGGTCCAGTCGTCAGCACATGTGGGAGCGTAGAGGAATCTTAGAGGGGAGCTTGGAGGGACAATTAGGATGCATCTCGTATATGGCGTAATCTGGTTAATATGCAAAAATGTTGATCTCAGTTCTTCCTCCCAGATCAACCTCCTCTTTTACAGTATAACCAAAAATAATAAAAGCCCGTTGAGCAGATGCGGATGTCCTTGTTATGTGATGATGGTAAGCACTTGCAGTATGTCGAATCCAGTATGTACGGTATCATACAAAGCATGGTCGGGTAACATAGTACAATAGTACATACTCGTACTCGTACTGTACTCGTACAGGTATGTGCTGTACCCGCTATCTAATGTATGCTGCGAACGGTCAGTGTTAATGGCGGGATCATCGCTGTAAGTACAGTACGCTTTGTGACAAATTGAACTGTATGACCGGAAAAAATTGGGCCAACTTTGAATCGAAAATATGCACAGAAAAATTGGGCCTGGATAACTGGACATTTCATGCTATGGGGTATGGTATAACCCACCCTACAATAAATTAGACCAATAGTGGCGAATAATTCAATTCGACCACGACCTCAACATTGAGCTACAATAGCTTTATTGGCCCTATTGAGCACGCTACAATTCGGTCCAGTATGTACAACGTCTATGCGCACTAACGGCCATACAGTGAGTTACAGCACACCCAAAAGTAACCCTGCCTGACCTGTCTGCCTGAGACAGGAAGATTAACTCTTGTAGTGACCGAGCTCGATAAGACTCAAGCCACACAATTTTTTTATAGCCTTGCTTCAAGAGTCGCCAAAATGACATTACACAACTCCACGGACCGTCGGTTCCATGTCCACACCCTTGGATGGGTAAGCGCTCCACGCACGTACCACGTGCATTGAGTTTAACCACAAACATAGGTCTGTGTCCCAGAGTTACCCTGCTGCATCAGCCAAGTCTTGAAAGCAAAATTTCTTGCACAATTTTTCCTCTTCTTTTCTTCACTGATCGCAGTCCAAACACAAACAATGTCTATCGCCAAGATCTACGACCTCCAGGTGAGTCAATTGTCTCCTTGATTGAGTATATTCCTTTGGTTTCTCCTCAGATCAAGCACACAAACCGCACAGATCACGGATCTTGTTTCTGTTGCATGCCGTCCTCATGCCACCTACTAACGACAGACCCCCCGATACACTTCTATCAAGGCCCTCATCAAGCACTTCAAGCTCGATGTTGAGGTTGTCCCCAAGGACGCCGAGTTCGAGAAGCTCTTCCCTCTCAAGAAGGTCCCTGCCCTCCTGACCGCCAACGGCACTCCCATCCACGAGTTCGTTGCCGTCTCCTACTGGCGTGAGTATTTCCCCCAAACAACAACCCCTCCCTTGCAAAATGATGAAACATTTTTTTTAAACAGTTATCCCTGTCTAAATAACTTTCGTGTTGAGAAATGGTACCTGACATTTACTCTCATTGCAACCCGCATTGATCCATACCATACAATTATACTAACCGCATAGTCCTCTCCCAGATCCCCAACCACCCTCTTTGCGGAAAGAACAAGGACGAGGAGGCTGAGGTTCTCCAGTGGGTCTCTTTTACCAACTCCGATATTGCGGATGCCACCTGGAACGTTTTCGGCCCTCTCAAGGGCTACCTTCCTTACAACAAGAAGGCTGTCGATGCTCTCTCTGACAAGCTCGACCAGACCGTCAAGGCTACCTTTGAGGCCCACCTCACCAAGAACACCTACCTTGTCGGCGAGTCTGTCACTTACGCTGATATCGCCGCTGTCGGCCTGATGTCTCTTGGATTTGCTAACCTCTTTGACGCCAAGTGGCGAGCTGCCTACCCCGCTACCACCCGATGGTTCACCACCGTCGCTGCCAACCCCATCTACTCTGGCACCGACTTTAACCTCTGTGAGGAGCGAGTCAAGTACGTCGCCCCCAAGAAGGAGGAGCCTAAGAAGGAGGCCAAGAAGGAGGCTGCCCCCAAGGCCCCTGCTCCCGCTGAGGAGGCTGCCCCTAAGAAGGCTGCCCATCCTCTTGCCGCCCTCGGCCCCGCCAAGGAGCCCATTGACAACTGGAAGCGAGTCTACTCCAACGAGGATACCCGAGAGAAGGCCATCCCCTGGTTCTGGGAGCACTACGACCCCGAGGACTACTCCCTCTGGAAGGTTAAGTACAAGTACGACGATGAGCTGACCCTCACCTTCATGTCCACCAACCTCATTGGTGGCTTTGTCAACCGACTGTCTGCCTCCACCAAGTACATGTTCGGTACCTCCGTCGTTTACGGAACCAACAACGACAATGGTATTATCGGTGCCTTCATGATCCGAGGCCAGGACCACGTTGCTGCCTTCGACGTTGCCCCCGATTGGGAGTCTTACGACTTCGTCAAGCTCGACCCCTCCAACCCCGAGGACAAGGAGTTTGTCGACAACATGTGGGCTTGGGATAAGCCTGTCGTCACTGCCTCTGGCGAGTCCAAGGAGATTGTCGACGGTGCTGTTCTTAAATAAGTGCAAACCAAGTAATTTATTGTGTAGTCTAGGATTGACATTTGATTACCGTGTACATTAAATGAATGATTGTAAATTGAAAGAGGAAGTGTAGCAATGGTTGAATGGGGAGTAATGGGTTACTGTAATTGCATGTCCCACCTTCTTTGCACCGTTCTTGTTGTATACAGTACAATACATACATACCCTATGTATGTTTTTTGTGAATATGATGAGTCTACTACTACAGTAAATCAGCTTTGATCCCTGCCAGAATGTGTGTACACAGTATGGGACTCTCATCCCCTGTACAATATATATAATTGCTTATTAGTTTAATGCATAATGCCATGATGAAACATATTACCTTGACAACTTGTTGATCCATGATTTCCAAGAAGTGTCCAAGTAAAATGATCTCGTTAATCCAGTAAGTATATATACAACCAATATTCTAACAACAGTTAAGATACCCTGTCATGCAATCCGAACAAATAAAGTTCGTCGTCATTACCAGCAAGTCCCATTAACCCCAATTACCCTACCCAATCCTGCACCCGTGCTCAGCACTACGCATAGCATATAAAAAATCTGCTTAGGCTCTCCTTTCCTTCACACACAACAGCAAACAGTGAGTACCACACCCTACACGCTTACAATGATGATCCAAATTGCATTTTTTCTGGCATCTCTAATGTTAGCGTCCTCCGGGACCCGATGAATATAATTTTTACTCTGAAACTTCAGTTTGAAATTCGTTCGTTCTTTTGAATCAACACTAACTCAAGATCCTTGATAGACCTGTCGAGTCCTTTATTTATAGCTGATTTATTATTATTTTAAAATCTGAACGTTTGTTAAGTAACTACAGTAAATACAAGTACTAGTTCAAGTAGCTCCTCCATTTTGAATGCAATTTGTACAGTTGTTTCGCTTCATTCCATCGCCTACAGTAGAGCATTGGTTGACAAAAGGTGGGCAAAAGGTGGTTACTTTTTAATATTAATTAATCGCGTTAATATTTATCAATCGCGTTAATATTAATTAATCGCCATGAAACAGGTCTCAAATTGGCATTGCGTAGTCAGTTACTACCGAGCTTGTACTCATACTCCTAACCAAGATCATACACCTCTATCTAGAAGGCACATGTATCCTGCTCTTCAACTCATACAGCAATCTAATCTCTTCTAAATCTGTCATAACATTCATTTTTTGGTTGTAGTGATTTACATCTTTTGGTAGCTGACGCTTTTTGGGGACGGTCGACCTGCGGTTGGGTTATGGAACACACGGGGCAGCCTTTTCTTCGTTTCTTTTCTGTGTATGTTTTGAGAGCCCGGGGGGGGGGGGGGGGGGGAGACCGGACGGAAAACGGACCGTGTTTACTGATCCATGAAGAATTGAGTATCATCATCGTAAAAGTCCTTCTTGGCCTGCTTGTCGCCATCAATGGGCTCATCCTCCTCAGGTACGTGTCCAGGAACGTCTACATGTGACGAGTTCTGTCCAGGCAGATATGCCGCCAGATTCGACATATTCTTGAGGGAAGAGCCACCAGGAGACATGGCCACAGGTGGCTTGGCTCCGTTTTCTCGGCCGTAGTACTGCTGGAAGAAGGAGCCGAACCGAGGCGAGCCCTCACCAGGGGGAGACCAGATGTTAGAGCCCAGAGATGTGCCCAATGAGGTGGCTAGCGGGATGGAATTGCCGTTAGTGTGACTGGCGTGTGAAACGGAATTAGTGCGGGCCTGCTGCGCGTTGGCGGCCATGGTCAGGCCGATGGGTCGGGGCAGGTTGGACGAAGACGGACGAGATCCTCTCCGCTTTCGTTCCTGTGGCGTCAGCAGATCCGACAACGACGAGGGGAAAAAGTCCTCTTCAATGTACTCGCCCGCATCATCGTCCTCCACTGCCGCTGCATCGGCCTCATCGTCGTCATCGATAGCACAATCGTTTCCAGGACCACTCTTTCCAATAGGGCCAAGAGAGGGCTTGGACTCATTGAAGGAGTTGAGTCGCGACGACACATGGTGTTCCGACCAGATGGAGGTGGTTCGTTCCGTCTTTGTAGTGGGCGTGCCCACCAGCAGATGATTGCCAGGGGAGCCCACAGTCTGTTCTTCGTTCACATAGACTGAGTACAGCGATCTGGTGGGGTTGTCTTCGGGCAGTGGCGAAGGCACCTGAGGAGGCACGTTGACTGGACCGGAGGAGGGGCCTCCGGGTGCTGCATTGTTCTGGGCATTTTGGTGCATGGAGGAGCGTCTTCGACGAGAGCCATCACGGTAGTTTTGCGATCGCGGGTTGAGAACTCGGCCATCGGGCAAAATGTGGGCGAGGGCGCATTTCACTCCAAACTTGCACGTGCCCTTCTGGAAGTACTTGCACGGTGCCTGCTGGAGCGATGTCTCTACTGAGTGCGAGAAGACACACGAGTCACCGGCCTGGCAGGCTCCTTGTCGGAAGAACTTGCACGGCACATGGGATAGGTCTGTGTTAGCGCGTGTTACATTATGAGGCTGATGGGATAGATCGAGGTAAGAGATGCGGTTAATCAAAAGGGGTACCAGAGGTTGTCAGGGATGCGGCATTAGACGAACCAATGTTGATTTTGGTTGTCGAGATTGATGTGTTGTAACGCTGAACCTCAGCCGAGAGATACCGAGCTGGTTCGGCCGAGCCGGAGTTATCTCCAGACAGCCCAGTTATAGGTCCTGTGATGGATAGCTGTCGCGTGTGTTCTCAAATCGAGTCTATCTACCAGTTTTGCCTTCTTGTAATCATTCCTGACTTCTTCCAACTGGCTCCTAATCATTTCTTTACCGTTGTCATGTCGTGTGCTCTCCCCTTACTGATAATGTTGATAGTGTGACTCTTTGTGTCTTGTGAGTGGGGTATGAGGCTCAGGTTTCGGCTGTCTCGAGTTGCCGTGTCCACCAAAGCTAGTACTCACTCTTGTTCTTGTCTCCCTTGCTCGAGCTGAGCCGGGAGTCATCTTCTTCGTCCACCATGGCGTGTGTATAGTGTGGGGAGTGTGAAATATGCTGGGGTATAATTTAGGTGTGCACAAATGTACGCACGGCATGTGACGTGGATGTGATGGTGTGTGTGTGTGTGAGTGTGTGAGTGTGCAAGTGTGGTAGATAGATGGGCTCTGGCACAAGTGGGAGGACGCACAGTACGAATGCTAAAGCTGAGCGTCTGGATTACCGCCCTCTTCTATATATTATGGTGGCATAAGCGTGTGAATACGTGGCCCTCATATGGGGCTTCTGTTTCCGAGCGATTTTGCGGCTCACTGGAAGTACATAGCGAGGGGATGTATGTACTTTACGTACCTGTGTGTTAACGATACAGCGCAAACGGGCGGCTAGACACGTAGATATAAAAAGAGCTCCCCCAGCCCAAAATCCCCTTGGCTAAGTTGTTCGAAACTCAGTCGCGATTGTTAGCGGTACACGTTCTCTGGTTGCGTATCTCTCTGTCTGTGGTCCAGCTAATGTGAGAAGGTGCGCGATTCCGGCAGCTAATTACCCCAATTAGCCCAAAGGGGCGGTTAGAACAACGCCGGACAGAGTGCGGAAGGGGTGCACGAGGAGGAGCTTACTACTTGTACATGCCTAATTTTCCACAATCGAAGAAAAGAGCAAACAAGCCATAAATGTCCCATTAGCTACTACCGTTTGGTACAAAGGGCGAGACGACATCTGTCCCATAACGCCATCCGGAGTAATTAAGTGTGTCCTCTTTGGGAAACAATAGGGCGGATTGGGAAGCCTAAGTTTCAGGTGGAGCGCGCAACCGCAGATCATAGACAAGGCGGAACTACGGATGACACTGTAGAACTGATCAAATGGTCTCATCCCACGATCATTAGCCGGCTGATCAAGCATCACTAATTGCATTCTTAGAGTATCTTGAGTATCTATCGCTGCTCTAGTTGTAGCAGACACTAGACTACATACTGTACATACGATACAAAGAGATCGATTGAGTGTATCAGTCCATCAGTGAGGTAAGTTCAACCAGTCATACCCCCAGTCACACATGGATTTCGATAAAAAGTCCGTTTCCGGTCTGGTGGCTGCAGCTTCCCATTTGGATAGAACGATCCAACGGATAATAATGGCAATCTCTGCAGACTCGAGACAGCACAATCCACCCCCTGCATACACCGTTAGTTCATAGGGTTGGTAGTGATATAATGTAACGCACCTACGGATGTTCATACTATCGTAGTACAGTATCGTACGACATGTGTTCGGATAAATCATACTCGTACTGTAGGAGGGGATAGTTATAAGTACTTGCTTTACAGATATTAGTATATCACGTATTTACACTGACTAATTCAAGTTGTTTCGGGCTTGCCATAACTACAGTATAATCAGTTAGAGAGTCTGGTCTGCAAGTACGAGTACAGCAGTCGTAGATGTACAATGCTTTCAGTTGCAACATACAGCCGTGTGTCGTACATGTACTGTATGCATCGTACTTAAGCAGGCGTGCTCAGGAAACAAGCATTCAATCAGAAAACCACTCGTGTCTCAGTCTACTATATACGAACTACTACTGTAGATTACTAATCGGATACTCTCCTTGATTCAATCATACGAATGTTGTACCAGCATAAAATGCCATGATATGTCAGTGTTAAATCACTTTGGTCAACTTACGCTACATCTCCTTCTATAGTTATACAAAATCCGTCTACTCATTGTAATGGTAGACGAGATAGTTGGGAAGACCGTAAGGCTTGTAGCCAAGTCGCTTGGCCATCTTGGCAAAACCCTCTGTCTCGATGAGGTTGTAAAAGGGGAAAGGAGGAAACATGGCTCCATCACGGTGCACCTCGGACTTAACCAGCAGAGCGGTTCCTCCGACACCGTCGAGGGCAATTTCCTCGTGAATGTCTCCATCGGCGTTGTAGATCTTGGCCATGAGCAGTCGGTAGGTGGCCATTTCTCCGTAGCCCTCGAGAATGATGTCGTCAGGGGACATGGACTCGGCCATCTTGATGCCCTGTTGCGACTCGACCCACGAGTTGTAGTCGTAGGGCCGCACGTCGGGCTTGCCCTGGTCGTTGGTGTATCGCTGATAGCAATTAGCCACCAGAACGTCCTTGTCATGTTTGGTCATGTCCTGGATGAGGGTATGGGGGGTCTCCACCACGTCCGAGTCCAGCCACAGAATCCATGCAGTGTCGGGGCCAATGGTGGACAGGAACAGTGAGTTTCGAGCCAGAGACATGGCACTTCGCCGGGCCTTCTGCACAGACATCGCGTGTCGGTCCTTTTCCGAATGTGAAGCCAAAGCGTCCTCAGCCTCCTGTCGCAGAATGGTCACCTTAGAAAACTTGTCCTTGCCCTTCTGGGTCTTCGCGACAGCTCGATCGAGCTTCTCCAGCGCCTGTTGGCCCTCCTTGCTTCGAGGAACAATGAAGCCCAGCTCGATGAGGTCGTGAGGGTAGCTCAGAGCCACAAGGTTCTCCCAGTACTCGTCGTAGAAACGAGCCAGAGGAGTGAGAATCAGCACCTTCTCGCTGTGGCTAGCCGCCTGCGACGACGCCTGCAGCTTGTTCATATTGTACTTGACAATGTGATTTCCGGCCATGTTTCGAGCCACGGGTTTTTCAACGGGCGTGCCGCGGAAGTAGGTGCTCAGCACATACAGCAGAGCGACTACCGGTAGAAGCACAAGCAGATACCGTCGAGCCGAACGCATCTTGAATGAGTATGTGTCGTGTGAAGAGGTGTGTATATCACGTAGTTGTTATGTGTGTGTCCTGAACCATATGCCTGAAATTCACTCTCGACGTGGACAAAGCTTATTTTATGGGAGGTAGGCTATGGTGGTGGGAACTGTGATGTCTGTTGGTGCACGGAGATGTGTTATTGTTTTATTTAGTCAACAGCCTGGCGTTTATTTCGTAGCCAAATACCACTATTGATTTAGTCATTTCTCCGTTACTCTGGGCGTATCTCACTAAACCACGCTACAATCAAAGAATGTCAGTTATAGTTCGGCGTTGTTGGAAGCAGTCTGTTTTTGCAGATTCGTGAAGAGGTTCACTATGTTGAAGGATCCAAGTATTAGGCGTGGCAACGTCTCAGTTGCTCTGTTTTCACGCGTCTAGCTTTGACCTCTAAATCTACTCTATTTAAAGATCCATGTCTCCTCTCCACTACAAATAGCCTGTCTTGCTCCAGCTCTGAAGTAGAAAACTCATTTTTATGAAGCACGTTGCAGCTTGTCGGCATATGGCGAAAACACGGCTAAGCAACGCGGACACCAGGTACAGGAAGTTAGTTTCGGGGAAGAGAACAGGTCATATACGAAGTCTTAGACAGTGTATTGTCACGTGACACAACAAGAGAAATATTGACCAGTCCTACATCGTCCCTGTGACGTGTCCTATTTCATGTCAACCTTTCTCTATTAATGGACTCTATCGAACACCGGGTTTATGAAACCTTCCAGAGGCTACAGACAGACTGGCTTCTTAAATGTACGCCCACACACGAGGTTGCAGTGATGGTCAGAGGTAATCCAACGATGTCGGAAGCTCATCAGACAGTGGGGATGATCGAATAACTGTAGAGAACGAGACAAACAATCCCTCGTGTAAAATGTTTCATTTGATTGTGAGCCCTCATGATAGCTATAAAGGCTCAAGTATGGTGATCTTACACCCCAAAAAACGCCTCTAGCGATCACGCCAAGAAGAATAAATCGTATACATGGAGCTATCTTCGTAGACAACGGCCCGTCAAAACGACGTAGAGTAGATGGATGTTGATGGGAAGGTGAGTGATCTCTGGTGTATCAGAGAAGGAACGTGCTCCGGCAAGATCTCTTAAGTTGTAGACTGTCACACCAAACCACCCCATTACAGTAATAGCAAGGGCAGGGTCTAGACAGAACTTTTATACTAGACGTTTTAGCTACATTGTATTCTATATAGCTGCCTGGTACATACTATTCATACTGTACTCTGTTTGAAAAACACCGACTGCTAACACTCTCTGCTCTTGTTCATCCACATACCTATAAAAGCACACTTACGATTTGTACGCTTTCTCAGTTACCATGAAACGCTCCTGCTACAAGTACTGGTACAGTACCTACAAGTACATACTGTGTATACTCGTACACTACATGATTATTGTCGCCAAATCATCCTACGACATTCCCTCTGTATCTAAAAAATGCTCTTAACTACTAACTCCCTCATCCTCATATTCATGCCAGTCGCGAGCGAAACTCATACAGGGGCACAGTCAGCCCTGTTTGGTTGTCTGTCCGTGGCTCATCATATCATTATTGTACAAAGCGCTCTGCTGTATACATGCAAACACCATGTCTAACGCAACGCAGCTGTCCTCCTCATATTACTTGCCCCCTCCCATCTTGGAGAATTGGAACACGTTGACTCCATCCTGCTTCTCCTTGGGCTTCTGGACCGTGGGCACGGGCACTTCGGTGAGATCCTCTCCAGGGGCGTCTTCATCTTCCTCCAACAGCATCAGCTGTTCAGGATGAAGCTCACTGAGACCGCACAACTTGTTGGCCATCTCCAGCGCCATCTGGTCGCCTAGGTAACGTCGCATTTCAAAGAAGCACTCGGCAGCGAGCTTGGCGTCGGCTCCGGCTTGGTTATTGGTCACTTCCTGGTCTCGGACCCGCAGGTCTTCGGCCAGAGATGACAGCGAGTTGGATCTGATTGTAAGGCCGCTGTTTTTTACTGCGTTCTTGAGATCCCACACTCGGGGGAAGTATCGTCGTACCTGGGCCAGGAATTGTTGTTCCTCGGCAGGAAGCTCCTTGTTGAGCATAATTCCGAGCACGTAGCCCAGATCGTAGCCGGCATGGAAGGTGATCCACTCGATGCCGTCGTCCAGGACCAGTCCGGACGAAATGAGCAGCTCGCCAAAGTTGAAGGCGTCGATTCCATGCTGCTGGTGCCGCACAAAGTCCACTCCGCTCTGCTTCAGCAGATCTTTAATGTCTTCAGAACACATGTCCTGGGTTTCGTCGAACCGGAAGTTGAACTGCCAGGTGACGGGAGGGGCTACAGAGTCGTCCGAGAACGACAGTCCCACCTGGATGACCTTGAGCAGATCCACGTTGGCACGCAGAGTCTGGTAGTGGTACTCGTTTGTGGAACGGAATTGGCCAATGGGACGGGCCACAATGCCCGGGAACTTACACTCCAGAGACACATACCGAGCCCGTTCAGACACCTCTCTGACCCGCGCCATTTCCTCCTCCAGGTTGAATCCCCATACCTCACGGACGGGAGCCGGATGCTGCTGCTGCTGTTGCTGCTGTGAAAGATGCTGCATCTGTGCGGCTCCCATCATTGGGGGTCCTCCTGCTCCCCCAGGGCCTCGTCGACCACCAGAGACTCCACCCTGCTGACCCATCATCATCGGGTTACGCATACCCATGGGAAGTGGGTTAACCATTCCTGGGAAGCCCTGCTGCTGTCCGCCGGTCTGCTGACCAGGCGTGGAGTTGAGACCGAGTGCAGATCCAGGACGTTGGCCCGAGTTGGGCTGTTGTTGCTGTTGCTGCTGCTGGCCGGGCTGTTGTGCAGATCGAACAGGAGTGCTGTTTTGTGCCTGCTGGCCACCCTGGTTCTGTGTCGCGGTCGATCGCATCATGCCGTTGACACCCTGGGCGCCTCCTGCCTGTCCCATCATGCCCATCCTTGGGTCGGGGCCGGCATTGCCGTTCACAAATCCCTGATGGACTTGCTGGGGCTGTATGAAGTTTGCTCGCATCGCCGTGGATTGCAATGTCGATGTAGTGATGGCGTGAAGTTGAGTTATGTGTCGATGTGCTGTTGAAAAGTGCTGTCGTGTCTCGAGGAATCACTGTCGTCTTGTCTGATGCTGTGTCATGTAAGGTATAGAAATCTTAGCTATGGGGTGGTGTTTCGTGGAAGCTTAATGCCGTGAACCCGTAGTCTAGGTGCTACAATGTAGAGAGGTGGTGATAGGATAGATGGAAACAATTTCAATGCTGTAAGTGCTTTATACCCGAAATAAGTTATCCCCCTTTTCCAATTTTCAAAATCGAACATCTCAATCCCATTATATACACCCTCTCAAATTTCATCCACTTCATTTACAGTTCATTATGTAAGCAAAGTCAGGCGGGGTTGATTTGGTCGCTCCTGATCTGATATTGGAGTTTGTGGCACGTGACATGAATGCTAGAAGAGCTGAATTTTTTTTAATTGCAATATGATTGTCGCGGAAATCCCTGAGGTAATGAGGTTTCTTCGTGGAGTTTCAATCATTTATCCGTTGCCACGATTTAGTTGACTATTATTTGACGCTATGATGCATATTCCCAGAACACCCTCCTCCCTCTTCCGCAGCATGTACTGTAGCCCTGACCTGCTCGAGATGATCGGAAGAAAGATACTGTGCTAGGGAACTCACATCCATGATCAGTGAGACCATCAATGCTGAGATCAAAGACAAAAGTAATGCCTACTACTGAATGATGGAACATTATACCGCGAAGGTGTGTTCTACTGATACATTACAACAGGACTTGCCTGTCCTCGTCAGGATCTTAGTAGATAGGATGAGCTTGATCTTAAGAGAAAGTATTTGTAAGTGTTATTCGTACATTGACACCATATTCATGTTGCAGCAACCAATCTAATGGCTAATGAATCTATCTACCCTCAGCTCTTGAGGTAGCTTATATACACCACTACAGTTCTCTACAACATGTCTCTCAGTCAAACATACTATTCCTGATTAATCACAATGTTTTACACGTATCGATGCACCTTTTGAAGATATCCACGCCTACCTATCTCAGCAGCCTCATACCACACACCTTGCTCCATGCTACAGTTGCTTTCTTTCCATCAATAACAATCTCTATTTTATCTATGCTTACTCCAACTTGGCGGTTCCGGCAACACCTCGGACAACACCGGCTCCTCCGATCTCCCGGGCGGAAATCTCGAGCTTGAGCTCCCGGGTGATGTTAACAATGACCTCGACCTTGTCTCCGGTGATGCCATCAAGACCAAGCTCGCCGAGGAGGTGAGTACCCTCGACCTTCTTGGTTCGCTCAGTGTAAGGCTCGTCGTCAAAGTCGGAGTCATCGTCGTCGTTGGTGGGGGTCACCTCCTTCTCGTCAATGGAGTGCTTGCCCTCGTAGATCTGGGCGAAGAAAGAGCCCTTGGCGGGGAGCACAACGGACTTCTTGACAGGCAGAGGGGTATCCTGGGGGATGATCACCTTGAGAGAGCCGTCAGCGAGCTTGACACCAATGGGGGCAGTGGTGTGGGGGGCAACAGTGACAACGGCCTGGGTGGAATCGGCGATCTCGGACTCGTCAAAATCAGCAACAAGAGCGGCCTGGATGGCGGCACCTCGGGCAACGAGCTCAGCGGGCTCAACAGCCTTGGACTCAACAGCGGGGGCAACGACAGTGGCGTTTTCGAAAGACGAAGACAGCAGCTTGGCAATCTTGGGGATGTTGGCGGTTCCTCCGACAAGGAGAACCTCATCAACATCAAGGGGATCAAGACCGGCCTTCTTGACAGCCTCAAGAGCAAAGGTGTTGAACTCGGCGAAGATAGCCTTGGCAACAAGCTCGAATCGCAGTCGGTTGACGGTTCCGTGGTAGTCAATGCCACCGGCGAGAGACTCGATAGCGAAAGTGGCAGAAGAAGTGTTAGAGAGGGTCTTCTTAACAGCCTCAGACTCGTGGACGAGCTTGGCGACACCTCGCTTGTCCTCCAGAGGGTTCAGCTTGTGCTTCTTCTCGAATTCCTTGGCGAAGTAGTTAACGAGAGCATCATCGAGCTTGTTACCACCGAGACCAAAGGCGTGGTGAGTGGCCAGGGTGGTGTAGACACCACCTCGGGTAGCAATAACAGCGGCATCGGATCGGATTCCACCGAGATCGAGGACCAGAGAAACTCGGTCGCCAGAAGAGATCTCGGCATTACCAGCATCGGAGGCGAGCAGGGCAGCAGCGGGCTCGGAGATGACCTGCAGAACAGGCATCTTGGCACCCTCACAAGCCTTGACAACGGCCTTGGTGGTGGCCTCGTCGAAATCGGTGGGGACAGCAATGACAATTCCGTCAATGGGCTTTCCAATGTAGTCCTTGGCGGCCTCCTGCAGCTTGGTAAGGTGTCGGACGGCAATCTCATCAACAGAAACAGCCTCCTCTCCATTGCCTCGCTCCAGCTTGTAGGCAACAGCCGAGCCTCCATCAGTGGGCTTGGAAGAAGCCTTAGCAGCAGAAGCGTCAATGTTGGAAAAAGGCTTGCCGAGGTAGTCTCGGAAGTTGGTGACGGTGTTGGCGGCGTTTCGAATCAGCTGGGCCTTGGCCTCGAGACCAGAGTACTCATCAGAGCCGACATAGGAGACGGTGGAGGGGATAAATCGATCTCCGTCGGGGTTGGCAATAACCTCGACCTTGCCGTCCTTCTCGTAGGCGATGGAGGAGTTGGTGTTTCCAAAAGCGATACCGATGACAGTGGACATGTTGTGTGTTCTGTGTTGGTAACAGTAGATGTATATGGATTTGCCCGCTTGTGGTTAAAATTATTTGATAGTCAATTTTTCATAGGGTTAGGGCGGACAAACAGTTGGTTGGGATGGGCATCATGCACGTGGACCAAGGGTGGTGTTTCTGGGGACAATTAGATACATGCGGGGAGTTCAGCTGGATATGTATAAATGTTATATTTGTGTGTTATTTTCCTCACTTTGGCGGCACTCATGATCGCTAATGTTTGCTGTATCTCTTTACAGTAGTCCAGCTCCAAGGTGTGATCTATATAGACATTATGAGTTGTGGCTTGGTGGGAGGGATTGGAGAAGATAGGGGTGGGTGTTTGGGTGATCTGACAAGAGGTTTTTAGTTGGTGGTTCTGAAGATAGAGAATGGAGAGTAGAGCAGTTTATTTTTCTTCTTATCCGTAAGTGATGTCAGTATGCTACTGTACTTGTAAGAAGATTCTTACCAGCAGTCTTCCTGTGAGCTTCCGAATAAACATCCATCAGGTCTGTCCATAAAAAAAGATGGTTAAAGTGCGATGGGGGTACAGTAGCTTTTGCCATGATTACTACAGTACATGGTATTATTGTCCATTGCACCGATTCTCATACTCGAATCTTCCCTTTTTACCCCATTATACATACCATACAGTAGTTCTTTTTATATATATATATATTTTTCTGCATATACATTCATTTAATTATAACTTTGCTGTATATGTAATAACCTAATACTGTACATTGGTTGGGCTTGAAGTAACTCTGATAGCTTTTAGTTCATTTCGCACTTAACTTACACTTGACATGCATGACGCTCCAAACTCCCATATCAACATCTACAATCCCACTACAAGTACACCTAATTCAGATACAATCACCATGTCACACACGTTTCAGGCGACCAACAAGAAGGTGCTGGGCGTGCTGAGTATCAGTGCAGAGACCAAGAAGCTGGAGTGGACGCCCGTTAGTGGAGATCGAGCACCCATCAATGTCAACCTGGCCAATGTCACCAACTTGCAGGCCACACCCGAAAACTCGGCCAAAATCATGCTCAAAATCGTCGCTGGCGATGATCCCTCGACATTTGCCTTTTCCAATCGAGGTACCATGATTGAGTGTCGAGACGTGCTTCAAGGATTAGTTTCCAGAGCTAGAAGAGAGGCCTCCAACCCACCTCCTTCAGCAACAGGAGATGGCTCATCTACACCCGCCACAGCGACTCCACCACCGAAAAAGGAAGAGAAGAAGGTGGCCATGGACGATAAGAGTCTGTTGGCGGACTTTCAGCTGCAACAGACTCTCCTCAAAGAGAGTAAGGAGCTGGGTAAGGTGTTTGCAGCTACAGTGATCCACGGAGGACTTAAGCCTGAGGAGTTCTGGAGCATTCGAGTGCATCTTCTGCGAGCCTTTGCATTGACCAGTAACCAGAAGAAGGGTCCTTACAATGTCTTGTCTACAATCAAACCCACTACTGGTTCAGATAACACAGTCAATGTGCAACTTACACCTGAAAAGGTCAAAGATATGTTTGACCAATATCCCGTGGTGCAGACAGCCTACGACGACAATGTTCCCAGACTCAAGGAGTCTGATTTTTGGGCCCGATTTTTCCAATCTCGATTGTTCAAGAAGCTTCGAGGAGAGAGAATCACACACAAGGATCCAACAGATCCACTCATGGATAGATACCTGGATGATGAGTACGATAAGGAGGCTGCACTGGCCGCCGGAATGCCCGATAAGGTGCATCGGTTTGTCGACATCGGCGGTAACGACTCTCAGGCAGGCTCAGAGTCGTTTGGAAACCGGCCAGACATGACCATGAGAGCAGGATCGTCGGGGAGAGATGTGGTAAGTGTCATAAAGAGCATCAACCGACTGTCTGAACGGCTGGCACAAAAGTCAGAAGCTCCCTTGGCCGAGAAGGAGTACGGAACGCTTGCATTAGCTGATCTACAGGGAGAGACTGGTGCGGAGTATGTTCCTTTGCAGGTCAGACAGAGCGATACCAATGGCAACAAGAAGGACAGTGATGGAGACGTGGATATGACTCCATTGGATGCAGAGGCATGTAAGGAGTATGTGCATTCTCAGTATGACAATCCTGTGTCACTGGCGTCTCTAGTTCATGATGACTACTCTGCTGACTATGCACAGGCTTGGGGCAATGTCCAGGGTGCTGTGAACCAACAAAAAGGCTCGTGGGAGACTGTACAGGAGAGTCTAATGGATCCCAAGGTACTCAATGACCTTCTCGTTGTTCACACTACGACCATTGAATTTCTTCGTCACTTTTGGCACAACTTCCAGGAGGGTTCTGCTGAGTGCAGCTCCATGGCTAACAGTTTAGCCAAGTGCATCAAGCGAATTGATGCTGCTGTCGGCGAGGTAAAAGATGAACAGCAGCACAAGTTGGCCGTAGGTGCCATGGCTTCGGTCAAGACATCCATCCACCATGCTCTGAAAGAGTATGATATTGCATTGAGGGGATGAATAGAACAGGAGCTATCTGTGACAACTTTGATGTTATATAGTTATCAGAACAAACTTGTTATTGAACTCTTGTTTTTTCGTGTACTTGTAGTATATTACATTACATAAGCTGAGGGTAAATGCAATTCCAAGAGAGATCCCGTTGAACGTAAACTCACGAGATACTCGCAAGGGGTAGCAATACTGAACTCATCGTTAGACAGGGCAGCTGTATAGATTAAGCATCACATTTAAAAGAAACACCCGTCATCAAACAATGCTTATCAATTGAGATCTCAATGGTCAGGCCTTGGTTTTTAGGGCTTCATGTGAAATCCAATCGTGGAAATTAAGATTTTATGAAAGACTGTTGTGGAGATTGAGAGAGCGTGATTTATAAGGAGTAACCAAAAGAGGAAAGCACCAATCAATCACATACTGTAAACGAACATTGCTAAAAAGATGCGTATCAAAAATAACCCAGTCATGCCGATTGTGTGCTTGACACTGCCCACAAAGTGTCCCAACCGTTGTGTTATCGATCTCATGCATGGGATATGCAGATGGTACAGATCATGGGACTTGAAAAAGCTTGAACTCAAGATTTTTGCGCGTGGCAAACACTGTGAGTCACGTGACCTCCTTGTGGGTTGTGCGCTGGTTTGTTACGTTTCATGTATCGCATTTTGAGTCATTACTTATACGTTGAAATTGTGCATTGCCAGCTTTTTGTTTTTCAGTCGGACAAAAGCCAAGAGCCTAAACACCATCCTTTCTCGCAATTGAACCTCATATTGAGACGGTTCTTACTCGAAAAAAGACTATACGGTATATATAGCTATTGCGGATCGTGTACATACTGAGTGGCCAAGGAAAAACAGTAGTGGTGACTTTTATTGTATGCTTGCGTGCAAAAGTGTGCGTTCTATGCACCATTTTGCTGACTGGTTTTTTTGTCCCTTCCCCTCGACTGGGACATGTTCGTACCTGCCGGTACGAGTTACAGTAACAGTACACGCGGCTGAAGAAGAACTCTATTGGAGAACAGAGAAGAGGAATTTGGGGGTGAGATAGTGAATGAGACGCTCCTGATTTGCCTCCAAGCAATACGTACTGCACCTGTACGCTAAATATCTGCTGCTCCTCTGTCTGTAGATCTGTGCCCTGTTGTTATGTGTGCTCTCGGATACGATAAGCAGCAGTCTTGTTGGCCGTGCCCAACGGCCGTTATAGAGCCATGTAAGCCCAACAGGTTTCTGGAGTTTTCAGTGCGTGAACTGGTACTGGATGTACAGTACAAATACAATACCAGTACTGTACATTTCAGTATCGTATGGACTGTACATACAATGGGAAGCTGTCCATGAGCTTGTTTGCCAAGTAAGCACACCAGGTACGAGCGAGTACAGTACCAGCCTTGCGTGTACATAAATCAGGACTCCTCATCTCATCCCCTCTCCTTGAGAGAAACCAATTATGGGCTGATGTCTGACATGTTTTCACTCTTCCCGGGGCAGTTTCAGTCTGGGCGATTAATTTTCCTCCCCCAAGGTTTTCCCCAAACTTTTAGGGCCTGTTTTGTCCCTTCTTTTTGTCCTGCCTGGCGTCTGCTTCGCTGAAGGAACCCTTCTCCCGCTGAGCTTCTCTTGGGTTTTTTCCCTTCCATTCTGCACTGCACGACTAAAGCTTAAGCGTCTTAAATCTCAACCCGACCTTCCTGGCCAACTCAGCTCATAGTCAGATGAAGAGAAAAAAACACAAAACAAAAGCTCTGCAGTTTGTATTTTATGATTCCACATCCCATCCAACATTGTCTACTCTTCACAACCCCAAATGCGCCACCGTGCCCGACCCAATGACGAGGAGGCCGCCAAATACACCCCGACGTCGCATCCTCACATTTTCATCCCACTGCGTCCCCGATTCGTGGTTCGCGACGTCGTCTTCAACGACGCCCATATGTGCGTCTCGCTGGAGAACAGCAACATCGTGAGCGCGTTCCACTCGAAAACTGGAAAGCTCATGACTAATCTCCAGGGCCATACCCAGCCTGTCACCTGCCTTGACCTGATTGAAAATGTGTGTGTAACGGGCTCCAAGGACACCAACATCAACATTTACTTTGCCGAATGCGACCACAGCAACGTTGACCAGCTGGCCACCTCGCTGCCTGTCCCTTTGCCCGATATTAAACCCAAGGTGGTCATAGGACACACTGGAGAAGTCACTTGTGTTAAGATGATTGACAACGGAAGCGTGGTCTCGGGATCTACAGATACCACTGTCAGACTAGGAAAGGAGAACAACAAGGGGCAATTCATCTCCACTCCACTGGAAAATGGACACTCTGAGACAGTTACTGTACTGAGAGCAGACAACAAGTTTGTGGTATCTGGATCTTCAGATATGACTGTCAGAATATGGGAGACTCGCTCAGAGAAGCAGAAATACGTACTCACAGGCCACAAAGCGGCCGTCAAAGACATTGCTCTGGATTCCAAAAACATGAGACTCATAACGGGTGATCAAAACAACATTGTCAAAATCTGGGACCTGCGAGACGGGTCTCTTCAGCATACTCTGACCGGCCAAATGAGTTTCAAGCTCGACGAAATGGGCAACGAACTCGCCTGTGTTGGATCCAACGGTTGCTTGTTCATTTGGGACTGTGGATCTGCTGAGTTGCTAAAAATTATCTCTCACGAAGAGCTGCTTCAAACTGGAGGTCAGGTTCTGAGCACATCCGACAAAACCACCATCACCGCCTCCGACACGGGAATCTGCATCTGGTCGACCGATACTGGAGATCTACTGGGAAAGGTGGCTACTGGAGCAACTGAAATGTGGGTTGGTAAGACGTTCGGTAAGACCATAGTGTCTGCATGCCAGTACGAAGAGTCTGCTGGAGTGGAGGCCCACTTCCTCGACCAATAGTGCCCACAATATTTATCGCTAACTAGCAATGCATTTTTGAATTATGTTCTCCTTTTCTCTTATTTACTGTTGCATTGTATCAGGCAACCAATGCCACAATCATCGACACACCTAGGGATATCTACAATTCTTGTAGTTTCTCTTGGTAAGAAGCACACCACAGAACCGTACATGTGAACACAAAGAGGTGTAGAAGTACGTGCCAGAGCTTGAATCCCCAGGCCTCGTCGGAGACTTTATTTCCAGTAAGGCTGGCTTGTCCCTTTGAATGGTCTGAAGAGATGAAGATTGTCGGCCGCCACAGCAATGCAACTCTATTAGGTCTTCTGAGTTTGGAGGAGATACGCTACTCGTACTTGTAGTGAGTGGTTTAGGGGTAGTCCAGCAGGAGGGTGGGGATCCAGGCAAGACCTTATGTCGTAAGAGAGTGCTCAATTTCTCTCTTCGTCTTCACTGATTGGCTTCCCGTTTCTTTCACTTTACACACATGCGGACTGTACATGTGTGTTATAGATGGAACTATAAATTTATGCGTCCTCAATCTAAAGGCGTCCGTACAAGTACAAGGTACTGTGTAATAGGATGTGTATTATAGATGAGCCGTTGACCGGGGGCATGTAGTTGGTTTTATCTGATCTCTGGTTGTCTCCATATCGTCCTAGAACGCTCCCATTAGTTCCATCATCTCATCTCGGTTAGAACCGTTATCTGTCAAATGCAACAAACCTGCATGAAGTGATGAACGAACGGAATTTTGGTTCAATTTATGGCCGACATTCCGATGCAGCGCCTGAGCTGCGGCGTGACCATTTTGTTTCACCCAGAGGAAAATTCCCTAATCCCGCAAGCTGAAAAGCCGCTATGCAGCGAAACATCCGCTCTTATGATGTACCTCATCGCAGTTAGAGTTAAGCGAAGGCTTAAATGAGGTGGATGGACCGAAACAAGTGGCTGTGCTTATCAACGAATGGCTCAAGAGAGCCATGTGAATAATTAATTCGGGATACCAAGAGCTTCTCTCCATTCTATCAACTTCAAGTCCGAATCGTTTCAATGACCCACAACGTCTCCCCCGCTACGAGTACAGCACGGTAGATACCCTAGCATTATTATGCTCTCGAGACTATGAGACAGAAGGCGCACGGCACAGTATGTACAAGTACAGTACGAGTACATACCACCTACTCTAGATTCACCTCTTTGGGCCATTTCATTAGATCGACGGTTTATCAAACTCCTAAACACCCTCCCTTATACCTTCCTGAGTATGCCTTAAGGGCCACATGTTTTTGTTTGCAACTATCGGGATTTTCTCCGTCCCGTCGTCTGTCAAGCCTAAGAGGGAAGTAGACGCCACATAAATAGCCATGAGACCTTGAGTTAAGCAATATCGCAGTATCTTGTTGGCGACAGCACTTCATTTATAGGTGGTGTATATTCCCATTTGTAGCAAGCAAGAGCCTACCAGTCCATACTCTGTGTACCTCTCTGCCAAGGTACACACACTGTCGTACCAGAGAAGCCGTCAACCTACGGCATCCTACAAGTAGCTGATCGTTTATTTAGTACTTTTACACAACCTGCATCAACCCTATTCCAACGTGTTATATGTATAAGTGTTCACCTTGTTGGCGGATTGTATCCCTAACTGCGTTAATTCCGAATATTAATAGCAATGAACGGCAAGTCTACGGCAGGTATACAGCCTGTACTTGTATGTACAGACTACGCGCATCAACTACGACGTACATCGAGACCATTGAAAGCCTGGACAACTTGCCTCGGCTGTACATGTATTATCCGTTTCGGAATTATAATGCAAGAGCAGTGGTGGCGCTTATATCTCGGTGCTCATTAAGACATGTTGTTTTGCACCTTGAAGCTATCCCACGCCTTGTTTAACGTGATGAAGACTCCATTGGCAATCATCTTCTTCTCGGTAGGAGTATCTGCCGATATCTTGTCGGGATGAGTCTTGGCCACAGCCTTCATGTAGTTGATTTTCACCTTTTTGTTGACCACCAAATCAGCCACGGTGATCTTTTTCCATCCCACCTCGGGCCACAGAACAGTGTCCAGGGTGGCCAGAAGCGCACGCAGGTTGTCCTCGTTGCCGGATCGCCACGTCTCAATCTTGACAGCAACGACATCGCCCAGAGCAGCTTTCTCGGCCTCTTCCTTGGCGATCTTGGCATGGCTGGCCCGTACACGATCAAGGTTCTCGTACTTGCCTGCTGGAGTGGGTGCAGACGACGCAGGCTTGGCAGTAGGTCTAACAGCAGGCTTTGCAGTCTTAGGAGCAGTCTTAGGAGCAGACTTGGGGGTTAAAATCATCTGGCATCGTCGCTTACCATCCATGACAAGCTTCGTGGTGAATCCCTTGCTCACCAGCAACGTCCATTGGTCCAGGGCCTGTTGATGCTTCTCCTGATGCTCCAGACCCTCAGCCTTCCGCATCACCAACTTGGACCAAATCTCCTGAAGAGACTTGCCAGGCTCAACCTCCTCCCCAACACCAAGACTGGGTCCGATGATGGTGATGCCCTCCTCAGAGTCAACAATGGCAGCCTTGGCATCTCCAGCCTTAAGGTGACAGAAAGCACGGTTGGACAGCAGAAGGGCTCGCAGAGTATGAGGAGAGGGCACGTTGGCAAGTGCCTGGTTGTAGTGTTCCAGAGCAATATCGTAAGAGCCCTGCTTCACGGCCTCAGCGCCCTTCTCTCGTCCATCAGAGACCATCTCCATAGCCATGGAAGAGACGGCCACATGGGGTCGATTGATAGAGGCAGCGGAAGAGGAAGAAGTAGAACCAATAAGAGACGCGCCGCCGTTAGGGGCAGACGAGGTAGCGATTTTCTGGGCAGGCGCAGTAGGAGCAGGAGCATCCCAGAGATCTCCAACGAGAGCAGGCGCTTGCTCGGGAGTCTCCTTAGCTACAGAAGTAGGGGTCTCTTTAGGTTCAGGACGTCTTCGTCGAGGAGCGATGGTTTCTTCGTCATCATTGAATTTGAATTTTCCATTCGAAGGTGGAGGAGTCTGTCTGGGAGCCTGTCTGGTCTCCCTAGGAGGGGGTCTTGACTGTCTAGGAGGAGGTCTAACGTGTTCCTCCTCACCGTGGTCGTCATCGTCGCTATCATCAGAATCCTTGAACGACTCGCCCATAGGCTGGTATGAGTCTTTGAATCCTCGGTCCTCCTCGTACTGTTTGGCATCCTTCATCCAAGCAGGAGATCCATCGGCAGCATTAGTACCCCGGCTTCCTCCCTGGTAGTTCTCCACGGCCTTAGCGAGGTTCTTTCGCCCCACGGACCACAGAGAGCCAGCCTTAGACATAAACTGTGCTCCCAGCTGGGAAGCGACCTTGGATGCGTCAGAAAACATGTCTTCGTTCTCTCCTCCGAACGGATCCCTGGACCGGCTGGATCTGCTAGAAGACGAGTCTTGCATTCTGGACTGCCGCTCCCACTCGTCGGTGGGTTCGTCACGTGTAGTCGGACGAGCTTGTCGCGACTGACGGTGCTGTTCCTGCTTCTTCTGGGCGGAAGGAGGCACGTAAGTTTCTCCCTTGGCGGCTGCATGGGCCTGTTTCATGATAATGTCAATGGCCATGGCGACCTCCTTTCCGGTAGGAGTAAGAGCCAGAGCTGCAGAAGCCTGGTCTGTAGAAAACCCCATATCTACGAGTTCTGCTACAGCCTTGTCTCCTCCAGGAGTTGATGTTCTCTCGGGCTTGTACGCAGGTTTAGGCTGGAGCTCGGCTCTTGATCGAGGCTTGGGCTGTCGTTCGGGTTTTCTTTCGTGCTGTCGTTCAGGCTCGGGGTCCTTCTTGACCGGTTGATTGAAAACAGCAAATGGATCATCTTCCTCTTCGATTGTGTTGTTCTTCTGAGACGTATTTGAGGTGGTCTGGGTGGTGTTGTTACCCAGTGGAGCAGACATGCCGAGATCCATTAGATCAAAAGGGTCCTTGGGAACAGGCACTTTCTGCTCGAATCGCTCGTCCTCGATGATCTTGAAAGTAGGCATGAACGGGTTACTGGAGCCCGTGTTGTCGGCAGTCAGGTTACCTGCCTTGGCTCGTGCAGAGGCTGTGGGGCCGGCAGCAAGAAGGTCAGTAGGTCGAGAGGTATTGTTTGCACTCAAGCTCGATGAGCCTGTGTTCGTGCTCGAAATAGGTCCTCTCACGAGTCCACTGGAGCCCGTACTGCCCCCTCCAATGCCTCCGCCCAGGTAGTCCAGACCAGACCATTGTTTGGCCTGCTCAGCTTTCTTAGCAGCCTCTTGTTTTTGACGTTCAGCCAGCGATAGCTTGGACGCCGCATCCTTGCCGGTTTTGGGCGTCCACAGATCCGCAAATGAGTCTTTTGACATGGTGTGATGGTGACGTGGTTTCAGGTCTGGGCTGCACAGCATGTAACATGCACCGAAGTTGATTTTGTCCACGTGACCGTGGCGAACTGAAAACGGCGGGCTACTAAGCAGCTGCGGAAACACAGTCTCCCAACATGCACTATCCAGGCACGCTTGGTTTGAACTACAAGTAAGGGTTACTCGTAGCCGCGCTATACAAATATTAGGGGTATTGGGTTGGATATGGTGCATTAACACTGACTACAAGTAGTTGTGTGATGTCAAGGTGGAACTGATTTACGGTAGGTCGATGCCATTTACAGTAATTGTACGGTTACCAGATCTTGCGTGATGCATATATCAGAATGGGTTAGCAGTTTTAATTTTTGTGGAGTAGGAACTGTTGTAACTCATTGAATTAATTGAAATTACCACAGTGGTACAGTATGTACATACATGTGTATAGTAGAAGTACTTTCCTGTTGCCCTTTCCTGTTGCTCCACCACTTGTTATGATAAAATACATCCCTTTCAAAATAGGCTGCGGGCTGTAATCGAGTGTACTTACTCGTACGGTGCTTCTAGCTACAGTATTACGGTACCATTGCGAGTACAAGTAGTTACTGTAGGAAGAGAGAAAAAAGAACAGAACCTTCGAGCTCGTTTTTTTTACTCATAAGGTCATGACACCAATTGTACATACTGGTATATCACCAGTGCTGATTAAAATTCAGAACTTCACACTCTCCTACAAGTAGAAGAAGTACATACTGGTAGGATATCGATATTAGAATGACGACATGCCTGAGCCAGCCCTGGTACACGTCAATCCTCAACAACTTGTTTAGTCGACTTGGCACTGTCAGTTGCCGTGGAGAGTTCGTTTGGAATGCGGAGAAGATGATACGAAACAAAATAACTAGACAGTCATGCTGAAAATGCGTTGTTTCGCTCATTTCACAAAGACCGATATCATTTCGCGATTAGTGCTAACTCCATCGATACAGTCTTCATCCCCCCACCAACACTAAGTTTCTGCTGCACGCTTACAAATGAACTTGGCGTGCGTGTATGAAGCAAGTGTGTGTAGCACCCCGCCATTTTATATAAACCTCCGTTGACGTCAATTGCAGCGGAAAACAACACAGAAATGAAGTCAGTACAAGTCAAGGATGACAAGGGCCCCGCGGAAAACCTCTACATTGGAGAAGGGCCCACTCCAAACCCCCAGAACGGTCAGTTGCTTGTCAAGACAGAGTACTTCGGTCTTAACCGAATGGACCTTCTTCAGCGGCTTGGAAACTACCCTCTTCCTCCTCAGGCTCCTAAGACTCTTGGAGTCGAGTTCTCAGGTACAATTGAAAAGTCCGAGTCCGATAAATTCGCCGTGGGGGATAAGGTCTTTGGTCTGGTGTACGGAGGAGCCTATGCGGAGTATGTGGTGGCTGCTGAAGAGACTCTAATCAAGGTGCCTGATGATCTCAGTATGGAGGTGGCAGCCGGTCTGCCTGAAGTGTGGTTCACAGGCATCCAGGTACTTACCACCGTTGGTAAGTTCCAGAAGGGGGACTCTGTTCTTTTCCATGCTGGAGCCTCCTCCGTCGGTATTGCTGTGATCCAGCTGGCTGCCAGTCTCGGAGCGTCCAAGATCTTTACCACAGTCGGCTCAGACGAGAAGTGTGAGTTTGTCAAGAAGTTGGGCAACAAGTTTGGTGTTACAGTTGTGCCTATCAATTATCACAACGAAGACTTCAAGGAAGTGATTAGCAAGCACTATGACGCTTCAAAGGGAGAAGGTGTCAATGTCATCATCGACCCCGTGGGCCAGACGTACTTTGTGAGAAACCTCGAGATCGCCGCCAAGGACGCCCGGATCGTTCTCATGGGAGCTATGAGCGGTCCCATCGTCAAGGGCGATGTCCCCATCGGTCTCATCATCTACAAGCGACTTGTTGTCCAAGGAACCACTCTAAGATCACGAGATCTTGCCTACCAGGAGAAGCTTAGAGACTTCTTTGTATCTCATGTTGTCCCTCTCATCCTTGAAGGAAAGATTGACACTTTTGTTGACAAGCTGTTCAACTTCACCACTGAGGATATCGTTGCTTCTCACAAGTATCTCGAAAGCAACAAGTCCATGGGAAAGGTGATTGTGAAGATCTAGCGAGTTTGAAATGAATTTTGTTGGTGTATACAGGTGTTTTACCAAGGAATCACGAATGCACTGTGTGTAACCAGTACGAATACAAGATATCTGAGCTACAAAGCATTGTTATGATGAAGTAGTGTATGCACTGGTACAGTAGAATCAGAAGAGCATACAGTACAAAGACGGATCCCTATACTCGACGGACATTAGTTACCCGCTTAATCGTCTATTGCAGCTATGGAGTCCCACTCGTATATACAAGTACACCAAGGATAGATGTGTCATGTAAGCTTGGAAAGGAACACTGCAAACTACAAGTACAGTAATCAAGTTCGAGACTTTTTCCAGATTGACATACGTAATTCTACTCTCAATAAATACCCTGTGGATGCAAGTAACTTGTGGGCTCGTTCGGCTTTCACTGACTAGCTACTCCTAGATTTCACAAGCGTACCCATGGTATCTATGGCTGCCTTATGTACAGTTCCTTACTTGGACAAACTAGTAGGAATAACAAACTTGTGAATCGTATCAAGATCATAGAGATGTAATGCATAACTTCAAACACATCTACACTTCGTACTCACGCCCTGGCCTCGTTCAGAACTGGACCTAGAGAGAAGCAGCCGATCCTTGTAGAGTGCGAATGATCAATTCTGTTAGCCGTGAAGATCTTAAGATATATAGTAGAACGTGGTATCTCTAATTCACCCTTGACCAGCAGGACTCTCGCACACGTACTAACGCACCCAGAAACCCACTGGGTCGCTTTATGTGGTCTGTTAGTTGACTAAACAACTCTCTCCGTTACGAATGGCCTCCGATGCTTCTTCATAACGATCCCCATATCAAGATGTTCAATATGCCGGGTGATTCCGTACACTGGTGACTCTGTTCGATTGTTCGCCACGTGCAGTTCGTCGAAACCACTCCCTTGCTCACTCGTTCATTGGTTCATGATTAAACTACAGTACAAGCACACTCTAGGTCACGGAGCTACAATGTTTTGTTTCACTACAACGCTCTTGTCTAATATACAGTGCACAGGGTGCGATAAATTACTCGGCCTCGAGCTGGGGCTCGTCTCCGCAATTATACGGTGCCGTCTCTGCCTCAGCACTATCCTTGCCATCCACGCTATTGTGGCCACTACCAACCATGGTAGCATCCGACTCGTTGGGCGTGTGCGTGGAGTCGTGCTGCGACGGGTCATGTTGCGACGACGTCTGATCAAAGCGGCTCTCGGTGCGCTCCCCGTCTTCATTATCACACACGTTCGAGCCGGGTTTTCGCTCCGGACTTTCGGAAAAGTCTCTGCGTTCGTTTCGTCGAGATCGGCCTCGCTCGGGGCTTCGCGATCGGCCTCCGTCCGGGCTTTGTGACTGTCGTCGTTCGGGGCTTCGTGATCGTCGTCGTTCGGGGCTTCGTGATCGTCGTCGCTCGGGGCTTAGCGATCGTGATCGTGATCGGTCGCTGTTGCCGTTGCTCATTCGGCTTCGTCGCTTGGCAGAGCCTCGGTCAAGGGAGCGTCGTCGTCGTCGGGTTTCCCGCAGAGGCGTCTTGGCCCACTCGATATGCAATATGTCACCAGAGGCGATTCTCAGGTTATGCATGTCTCTGTAGGCGTACTCGGCGTCGCGGGCGTTTTCAAACTCAACAAACGCGTACCCGTGCTGTCGCCCCGATCGAGCAGGCGAGATCACGTCGCATCGAAATATGTTTCCGATTCTGTGTTAGTTCTGCATAGAAGGGTTGTAAATCATGTTGAAGTAGGGGGAAGCCACCGGTGGTAGGAGGAGGTTTCTACCACTGGCTTGAGAGTTGGGAAAGGAGGCACCATTCCAAGTGTGTCGTGAAAATACACTGCTTCACCGACGTTGTGACGTGACAGTGTATAAATGGAGTGAAAGACCGAGTAAAGACAATCATTATTGGAGGGACGAGCAGGGGAGTGCTCTCGGAATGAGAGTGAAGAAAGCTGGAAGAAAGGAGGAGAAAGTGAGACTGATGTTTTTGCTTAGAAGCGAAGGTGTATAAAAAAACGGCAGGAAGAGCGATGGAAACAAGTCCATGAGTGACGGCGAGAAGAGCAGGTAAAAAAACAACAACAGATGGAACAGCAAAAGAAAAAACATGGATGAAAAAGAACAGAGAGGGCAAAAGAAAAAAAAAAGGGGGAAAAGCGGAACAATACTCACTCCTCGAATTCATAGGCAAGCTCCCGGGCGCTGATTTCGGGTGCAAAACCGGTCACGTACAGTGTCCTGCGTGCCATGGTATGTCTTTTTTTTTTGTGACAAGTTGCGTGTGTCTGTGTATGTGTCTGTGTCTGTGTCTGTGTCTGTGTCTGTGTGTGCTCGTGTGTCAAGTCAGGACGACACAACTGGTGTGAAACAAGGACAGTGGACTATCCACAAGTTTAGAAGGTGTATAAGTGCTCAGAGAGGAAGTTTAGCAACCAAACAGAGTTTTTCCATCGTGGCAGCAAACCTTTTATTGCAACATACTTTACAGCTATTACACAAGAATGAGTACCGTACCAGTATGATTATTGAACCAGTATGGGTACATGTATGATAGATGCTCGATATCATTGTGTGTGTTTCTGACCCTTTCATCAATGGCTCTTCGAGTGCAGCTAGGATCGCCTGTATGGACACAGAAACGCATTCGGACCGTTTTCTGCCTGTTTTTTGAACTCTGCTTGTATGGTGCTCTCGTTTAACCTTCTTGCCGAACCCTACCTCTACACACTCCAAGGGCAGTGATGCCGTTCAACGACGACACAGTTAAGGAAGCAGCCTCACATTACAAATATGAGTACAAAAACCAAAGTGCATCCCGCCATTGTATGGTGCCATGCCTGAGTGAGAATAGAATGGTTGAAAAAGGTTTGGGGCTGTTCTGAAATTTACAATGCGCCCGAAAAAGTCAGACACCTTTGAACTGGAAACCGATGAGCAGATCGAAGACAGCTTGCATGGCACATGTTGTAATACAAAATAAAAAATATATACTGCGTCCATACTAACTGAACTCAGGGAATCGGGCTGCCTGTGTGTGTGTGTTGAAGAAGCCGGGGGATTTCGATATCATTATATACTCGTACGGTGAACGCGCAACTGAGGTTGCTGTGTATCGCGACCTGTGGCCTTGTCCAGTGAGACGGAGATTTGGTGGGGAACTTGCAGGCGTGGTCTTGTCCTCATATCGTTAATTACTACAGTAGAACTCTTCAGAAATTGTCCCCAAAATAGAGTGTCATGACCTGATACAGCTTAAAGTTATTCAGCAGGGATCGAGAGGAGAGAAATCGCTGGAAACATGATGGTGTGAGTTAGGACTCGAAAAGCGTTGTACAGCTACTCGTAGCGAGGTCCTCGCGATCGATAAGAGGGCCCCTTGTCGAACTTAAGACTGCGAACATCCCGCTAGAGACTGCTACAATCTGTGTTCTGCATCTTCTGGAGCTAATGTTGGGGTGGTCTATCCAGCTTGATATCAATGTGGGTACGGTACGGCGTGTGTACAAATCGTACATTGGTACTCGTACTTGATAGAAATGCCACCCGATCGGTGAGTCAGCAACACAAGTGACTTTTGCCTCGCTTAATCGCCCATTATTTGCATGTGTACACTCAACCCAACAAGGCTATCTTGTGAGGCTTGTGAAAAGGCAGGCCGCTGGCGAGTCCTTGGGCAAGTAGCTCCAAATATAGCAGCAGCTTTTTTTAACGAGTCTGAAGGGCTGGTAGATCTAAATACTGTATCCGCTGATAGTGGCGGGTGAAAGGCATCCTCAATAGCCAGTCTGACTACGGCTAGTGCCTCGTTTGTTGCGTGGGGATCCACAGATCGAACCAGGTGTACGGTGAACAGGCTGATCGGCGGATCGAGTTTAGAAGAAGCAAATATTTTGTACAGCATTGGGGAGGGAGCGGGGATTGAACTGATGTGTGCGATCGTGGTTCTGAACTCGGCGAACGATGTTACAGTACATACTGTAGTCACTGATTATATAGGGCGACCGAAATATGGCCGTTCAGATCCCCCTTCGTACGTACTTTTAGTGTCCATCATAACGCCTGGTGGCACGATACCAACGATACCCCACAATACCAACCAACCCCTACTTGTACAAGTACTGTACGTAGTAACACTTCATGTCAACTCACGCGGTCCCAGCCCCACATTCAGTATTGCTAGTGTCCATTCCAATGACAATCACATGCCAGCTAATAACCTTAGTATTGATAAAACAAACTGGCAAGGCTCAGTGATGGTGTTTCCCACGCCTTTTTCTGTATTTTCTACTTGCACTTTGTTACTTTTCCTGCACACTTTCCAAGCACTCAGTTTGGTCAGCCCACATCAGTGAATGTGACATGATACTGCACGGCAAGCGATGAGATTTATCTGGGTGCGGCGAACCCTATCACATTGTGTGCCGCAAAGCCGGTCTAAACGATGTCTTGTTGAGGAGGGGGGGGTTAGGGCCATTTCTCGGACGACAAGTCGACTAGCAGATATTTGTAGAGATTCCATTAAACCGCTTCCGCAAGACTCGCGAAACCACACATTTTCCATCGTGATGTTTCCGTTATCAATCTCTTCAGGACTCTATTTGTTGGGAAAAGCATCCCCCCATGATTCCCCCCATGAACCAAACTCTACCCTCTTGTCCGGATTCAACAATGGGTCCCCTCTCAATAGTGTTCCTACAGCTGTTGTTGTAGCGGGGAGCATCACGTGGGTGGTGAGTACACTGTACTCGTATTGTACGTATCGATCGTACAATACCATTCATTGCTGGTCCTTGTATCGCAGGACCAGTAACAATACCAAAGGCTGTTTATAGCCAGGAAAAAAAAAGTAGCACTGGTCCGGAAATAGCCCCTCTGACAGCCTATGGGATCAAGACACTCCCCACGCTATATCTGACATTATGGTCAGCTTCGGTGTATGTTCCATTATTCCCATCGCCACCACGTTGGAGCAAGTGAGCGCTCTTCAGCCAAATGAGATGGAACTCAATCAATATTCAACCTCACAGGTCGCTGAAGTCAGTGAGACTGCGACAGCAGCGGACGTCACATTAGCAGTGTCTTAATGGTGCCAATGAAACCATCAACGACCGTTCCGGAACGGTAAGCTAGAATCGCACTAACGCAACCTTTTCGAGGCCATATTGGGGATGCACCGCGCAGTTCACGAATATACGGAGGTGCACGTTCCAGTGTTGTATCTACAGTATCGTTCCTCGCACGATAGTGCCAAGTACATACTTGTACGAGTACATATATCAAACAGCGCAAGCATAGAATGTACTGTACAAGTACGGCCCGAAGACCAAGGCCTGGAGAGGCACTGGAACCACCACCCACTTGCCCAAAAGGACGCGAGAACTACCAAGAGTAGTCAACACTGTCGCACTTACAGTTAATAATGGCAGGGAGGCAGGGAGAGACAGTGTTTGGGACCCCAGACAGTTAGGACTGGACTGGGGTTTAGGCCTCGGCATTAGCTTTCGTTATTCTAGCTCAATATAGAACCTGTGGGGGAGCCGGGTGGCGAATATGAATAAAATGGCGATCTGAAGCAGCTTTAAAGAGATGTGGGGATTTTTTTGTTCCTTGGTAGTGTTCTGTTTCTCGTACCTTGCATTCCCCAACCAAATACCATCCAAGCCGATCCATCCAGTGTAACATATCACCACCCCACATGCACGTGACCTCAACAAGTCGCGTTGGGAGAGCGGACTTGGAGACGTAAGGTTAAAAAAGTGATGTGCACGTTGGGTTCTGTACAAAGCTTATTTTATCATGTTGGGTTGGAGGTAGAATTCACTATAATAAAGGAAGCTCAGGCCCAGTTGTAGGAGACAACGAGTTACACACCTGAAAACGACTGAAACTCGGTGGATTTCGACGCTGACAGTGAGTTCCAGTAGATACACATGACGTGAACATACCCCCTCCAGCACCAGGACCTAACACAGATGGCTAAAGACAAGGAAATCGACTTTGACTACACGGGAGAACTGGTGATGGACGATTTCGAGTTCCCCATCGACGACATGCTCCACAACGACGGAGATGACTTTGTCAAGAAGGAAACGTGGGACGAGGGTTTTGGTTTCGGAACAAATGGCGCCGTGGGTGCGCAGATGGACGTCCAGACCAGCCCATTTAGCGACCCTGTTTTTGGCGGCGTGGGAGCAGGCCCTGACATGATGGGTCTCATGGATACAAACATGAACCACATCAACGGTAGTCACAACATGAACAGCGTCGTCAAGCAGGAGGACTACTACACACCGTCCATGGGCACTCCCATGAACCCCCAACAGCAACAGTCCATGACCCCTCAACAGCAGCATCACATGAACCACAACCAGCCCTCTCAGCTCCAATCTTTGCATCAACAGTCCCAGAAGGCTCAACCACAGCAGCAACAACAACAGCCACATCAGTCGACAGGAGTCGATAGCATAATCACAAAGGCATACACCAGGGCAGCAGGAGACCTACCGTACGGACGAAAGTACTCACGACAACTCAACAAGTACCCCGAGGACGTGGAGTATTCATCTTTCGACCCATCGCTATGGAGCAATTTGCTGACCAACTCGGAAACTCCGTACCAATACCAGATACATGTCCATTCCATGCCCGGAAAATCACGTGTGGAGACCCAAATCAAATGTGCATTATCAATCTACCCTCCGCCTCCACAGCAGTCCGTTCGACTTCCGACAGACACCATTTCGCGTCCCAAGTTCCAGCTCAAGCAGGGCCACATTCCAGACTCGTGTCTCTCCTTGGAAGTATACATTGTGGGCGAGCAGAACCCCAGCAAGCCCGTCAATTTGTGTTCTAGATGCATCAAACGAGAACAGAAGCGAGCCTGTCGAAAGAAACTCTTTGACGAGTCGGAGGAGCTGTCGTGGGTCGAGACTCGTCAACGACGTCTGGCTGTCTTCAACTGCTCCGAGGTGCTTGAGTTCAAGGATGTGGAACGGCGAGTATACATCCCCGAGTCCGGCACTACAGTTACCGCCAAGCAGCTGGTTCTGCCCCTGCGTCTGGCTTGCTACTGTAGACACCACGGGGAGAAAAAGGGATTTCGAATCCTCTTTTGTCTTAGAGACGAGGGAGGCCAGATTGTGGGTGTGGGCCAGAGTGGAACGACCGTCATGATCACTGACGACCACAAGGTTGTGGGAGACGCGGTTGCCATGCCGACTACAGCCACTGCTCCTGCCACCGCTGGCTCTTCACAACCCCCCACCCAGGTTCCTACCCCCGCTGCATCTTCGTCGACGAGCTATCGTCCTCGAAACTCGCTTCCTCTATCGCCTACTTCCATGGAAGACTCTTCGTCGGAGTTCACCTCGGACCATTCTCATTACTCCAACTATGGTTCTAAACGACGACGAGACGGCTCTTCCATCAGCGATTGGAGCGGCATGATGAACGTGCGAGGCATGGATAGACAGGCTTCCATTACCAGCATTCCCGAAATGGTTGGTGGCATGTCGAACATGACTGTGGCCAGTGCTTCGGGTAGCGCCACTAATCTGGCTGCTCACAACATGAACAACCCCGCAGACGAAAACCTGCCCGTCATCAAGCGAATCATCCCCTCGCAGGGTTCCATTCGAGGCGGCATTGAAGTAACCCTGCTTGGATCTGGCTTCAAGTCCAATCTGGTGGCTGTTTTCGGTGACAACAAGGCCGTGGGCACCCACTGCTGGTCTGATTCGACCATCGTGACCCATCTGCCGCCTTCGACCATCGTGGGTCCCGTTGTGGTGTCTTTCGAAGGTTTTGTGCTCGACAAGCCTCAGATTTTTACCTATTTTGACGACACAGACGGCCAGTTGATTGAGTTGGCGCTCCAGGTTGTGGGTCTCAAGATGAACGGACGGCTGGAAGACGCCCGAAACATTGCCATGCGAATCGTGGGCAACAATGGAGGCGTTGCGGGCGCACAAGGCGCCATGGCAGGCGGGAACATGTCTAACGGAGACGTTGGAATGGAAAGTGCTGCTGCAGACAGTTCGGTTCAACCCGTATCGCCTCCCACAGACCACGAAGATGTGGTTCTGCGATGTCTGGCTCTCACAGACATTCCTGGAGGCCGAATTGCCAACTGGCAACTCACCAACGCCGAGGGACAGACCATGGTTCATCTGGCCAGTATTCTGGGTTACTCGCGTGTTCTGGTGGCTCTTGTGGCTCGAGGAGCTCGTGTGGATGTTTCCGACAATGGTGGATTCACTCCTCTTCATTTCGCTGCTCTCTTTGGCCGTCGAAAGATTGCCAAGAAACTACTTCGGTGCAACGCTGACCCCTACAAACGTAACCGAATTGGCGAAACCGTGTTTGATGTTGCTTGTCCTCACATTCTCGATCTTCTGGTCGGTCCTCAGGGCATGCCTATGGCCGTTCAGACGTCGTATACTCCCGATTACCATCGTCAGCGTCGATCTTCATCTTCTTCCACTCTGGCTTCCATTGCATCCATCCAGGATTCGCGTGAGTACGGTTTCTATGACCATGGAATGATTTCCAACCTGTCGCATATTCCGTCCACGTGCTCCATTCGATCATCGACTTCTCAGTTTGACGCTGAAGACGAGTGGGACGAGCGAGATGAGGAGGATGGAGACTTTGACGACGATTCAGATGAGGACTCAGACGATGACTCAGACGCGCTCTTCATGTCTGTTAGAAAGCACGCCAAGGCCAAGTCTGTGGAATCTCCTCTCTCTGAGGAGGAAGAGCGACTTGTGCGACACATTGAGGCCGAAGACCAGGCTGTGGAGGCCCGTGTGGCTGCCGGAATCGTCAGTAGCAATGTACCCGACGTGGTGTCTTCCAATGACTCGGATCACGTGAGATCTGACACTTCCACTGAGAACAAGTCCTTTTCACGGTACTTTGACCGTACTCTCAGCATGGCATCTTGGGACGATGTTCTGGCTTACATTTACAGACCCAAGCGAGCTACTGTGCCCAACAAGCGGTCTTCTGGAGCTCCTCCTTCAGTCAGATCCACAAGATCGCCTCTTTCGGACCATCCCATCACGTCTTCGGGAGACGAGTCCGACCGAACCATTTCTGCACATGCCCCTTCCGGCGGTGCCGGTCGAGGCCGGTCTCATTCGTCCATCTCGCGAATGTGGCGATACCTGAAGAACTCGTCTGCCGATGAGGCCACCCGGTCTCGATCTCGAGATGCAAACGGAGCCGGTGCTCCCCCTGCCTACGAAGAAATCTTCCCTGGCCATGGGGTTGTCCACGACAAGAAGGTTGTGCAGATGGCCGCTGCTTCTGCTGCCGAGAACTCGTCTGGGCCTGTTGGAGCCTCATCTTCAGCAGTTGCGTCCACTTCTGCGGCTGCCGCTGTGGTGCCCTCCCCACTAGCCCCCATTGTGGAGGACGAGGAGCAGCTGGTAGAGGCCTGGAGACGACAGCGACGATCCATGGCTAACGATCGCATGTTATTTGCCTTCTGGCTGCCTGTGCTGCTCATGGCTATTGGTTATATGGTCATCAAGGCGTTTGGTCTGTTCCCCGACCAGGTCTCTGCCGTTGAGTCTGTGGCTGAGACTGTGGGTGTCCACTGCCGTGGAGCAGTTGCCAAGCTATGGTTCAAGCAGTACCCTGTTCACCGAGGCCAGCCACTCAAGGACACCTGTTCATTTGAGCCCAACAGTCTGGTAGAGTCAGCTCTTCGTCAGATGAATGGGTGGTCCGACCGGGAGGTTCCCATTCATCAAGCCCAGGCCCAGGCTGCATGAACACGAACAAGCGGAAGAAGTCTGTGCAAACGCGAACGCCTGTATAATTGTATCATCTAATTAATTTATTGTATTATGATCATTTAAATGAGAAACTACTGTTTTTTAAAGTCCATCTTTGTATCTCACTGTCAAGGTCTCAGTTACAGTAAGTTTAGTGTCCACAGTACAGTGTCCCAGGCATCGGTCTCGGGATGGACCCTGGAACTGTAAAAGTGTCAGATGGGTTTGGTAGAGTGACGCTGAAGCGACGTCGGGGATCATACTGGCAGGGCTAAGGGATGCGATGAACGAACAATTTAATAAGATCGACTGTCCAATTATTATGATTAGGGTGATTTATAAGCCCTTCCATATATCCCTTCTACTGTGCTACCTACACTCTATCAACGTCTGATCAGTAATTATCAAGACGCAACTCATCTCTGCTTCAAAGTTTGCTATCTACGAATGCTTGTACTGTATGGAGTGTGTACTGTGTAAAATATTGAGTAGTGATTAAGAGCTCCAAACAGGGGTTGAGGCACACAAAGGGTTGGGTAGCGTCGACTTTGCCCCTCACACTAAGAACACAACAGCAACTACAACATTACAACACTTCCCCTCTCTCCTCTCTGGATCCAACCTCAGACCCTCCCAGGCCCATGTCTCCTCCCAACCACGGCTACAAATTTAAACTCGGCATACAGGAAAAAAAATAATGCAGCTGGCAAAACAAATCACCATACCGTTATTATCACCACACACAACCCATCACACAACTTTACCGAGATGACCAACCAAGAATCGCAGTCGGTCAAGGTGGTCTTCGTGACCCGGGACGAGACCCTGCAGCCCGAGGCTCCCCTGCCTCCCGTCATGGTCCCTACTTCCCTCAAGCGTCTGGGTCTGTCTGAAATCGTCAACCAGCTGCTGGACACTGAGACTCCTGTTCCTCTTGATTTCCTCATTGTGAAGGCTACTGCCGGCGATGGAGGAGCTTCGATTCTCGACGAGGAGTCTGCCTCTTCTTCCTCGGTGCTTCTACGACCAGGAGCCTCCCTGGAGTCTTTCCTTGCTGACAACGGTTTGTCTTCCGAAGTCAGTCTGTCGATCGAGTACATTCGATCTGTGCTGCCTCCATCATTTCTGGCCTCTTTCTCCAACCCCGACTGGGTCGCTGCTGTCGATATCAACGCCCGGTGGACTGGCGATCTGAAACCCGTCATCGCCTCGGGATCTTACGACGGAGTCGTGCGTCTGTGGGACCACTCGGGTCATGTGACCGGCCAGCTTGTGGGCCACAACTCCGCCGCCAAGGCTGTGCGATGGATCTCTAATGACCAGCTCGTTTCTGGAGGTTCCGACCGACTTTTGTACCTATGGAACCCCGACGGAAAGAAGTACCGACGAAAGGAACCTGGACAGGTGGGCAAGAAGGAGCTCAACTACGACAGTGAGGAGGACAGTGATGAGGAGATGCTCGATGAGCTTCCAGCCGCCTCTACCGTGACCCCTATGGCAGCTCTACATGGACATACCGCACCCATCAACGATCTTGCTGTTCACGCCAAGACCGGAAAGATCATCTCCGCCTCCGCAGACGGATCCGTGGGTCTGTGGTCTACCGACTACAATGACATGCCGGCAATTGAGCCCCATACCGCTGCCGCTGGCGGTCTGACTTCCACTTCTGCACAGAAGCGACGAAAGCTCGCCAACTCCGGCTCTGGAGCCACCGGTCTGGGAGCTGCTCGTCAGCGAGGTCCTCTGGCAGTCATGGGCGGCCACTCCGCCGCCGTTTCGGCCGTCGCATTCCATCATTCCGACCCCACAGTCGCCTACTCTGTGTCTCTGGATCACACCATCAAAACCTGGGATCTCGCCACCGCCGAGGCTGTCCAGAGCAACGCCGGATCCCCCGATCCTTCGGTCGATACCCGATCCACCTCCTTTTCGCTTCTTTCCCTTTGCACCCTGCCCCAGGGTCTCATTGCCTGCGGCTCTTCAGCCCGTCACATTACCCTGCACGACCCCCGAGTAACTGCACAGGTGGCAACTCAGGCCAAGCTGGTGGGCCACACCAACTTCGTGTCGTCGCTGTCGCGAGGACCCGAATCCAACCCCTTCCTGCTGGCTTCAGGATCTCACGATGGAACTGTCCGAATATGGGATGTTCGAACCACCAAGTCTCTGCACGTGATCCACCGAGAGACTCTGACAGAGAACAATGCCGTGTTTGGCGTGGACTGGAAACAAAACCTGGGTATTGTCTCTGGTGGCCAGGACAACAAGATCCAGATTAATAACAACCCCCAGAGCGCCTAAGGCACCCCAGGGGTTTTTGCATCATGTACGTATAGGTAATTGTAGATATAGAGGAGAGGGTGTGTCAGTAGGCTACTTGTAATATTGTGATAGAGTGGAACAGGTTGACTTCGTAAATGAGTTATCCTATGTGCTCGATCTATACTGTAACTACTGTAGCTACAAGAGTGCACGTCGCGTGGTACAACTCAAGTACAAGTACAAACAACGCTAGGTTAATAGTTCATTACCGGAAGTGACAGGCACAAGTTCGGGGCAACTAAAACAGGCACTCGGGTACAAGTACAATTACATTATATTGCTGTTGTTGTTATTGCCTTTGTTTCCTGTCTTTTTTTTTTCTTCCTTTTTTTTTGTTTTTTTCTTATCACTGCTGAATTGGTCCTCCATGGTGTGATACAAATACACCTGTACGTACAGTACTCGTACTTGTACGGGCAAATTCACCAACACATATCGACAAGAATCATGAAGATTTTTCTTCGTCAAACAAACCAAATCAGACATTCTTTTATTGATGGACCTCCTGATGACACCTTCCTTGCGGGGTTCCTTCACTTACTGTAAATCTGATTTATCATCTACACTCTTGAAAAAACACTCTTGAATGACGTTAGCTAAGTTTTGACGTACCTGTTACGGAGTCCTAATTACAGAACCTTAGACCGACCTCGTTCTACAGTAGGTACAGTACCTGAATTTGGAAGTGCCAACGCCTTGACAGCAGCCTCCTTAGCCTTATCATGTCTGACAGTAGTGTCGGTGCTACTGCACAGTGTATATGAGCCAAGCACCAACTATATGCAAATTTTGTCACTCATGATCCTGCTGTCGTGTCCAGATATCTCACTTGAAACTGTACTTTGTATTGTTGCAATAATTTCATGTCTTCTTGAACAGAAATGTGGGGTTGTAATAGTCGTACAGTAATGGCACATGCACAGAGGGCTGCCAGTAATAGTACGATACTGTTGTAGCTAGTGCCATTGATGTGTATTCAGTACTTATGTAATCTACGTATAAACACGTGTGTATCTATTGGCATGAATGGTATTAAATCCGCTCCTCTTTTCAATCATTCCGACCGGGAAATGGATAGACAGATCGACGAATACGAGTGCATTTGTGGAGAGAGTTGAATGGCTTTGGAATGTAGTTCAGCCTCGGAGACAAGCATAATATAAGGGAAGAGGGTGATTTAGATACGGTTCGGCACGATTCCGGTTGACCACTAGTCTAATCTACACTGGCTATGAAACTGCTCAACATCAGTAGCTCTTCTCCTCCCAGACTACTGTAGCTACTCTAAGTGGATCTGCACACTAATGTTATGCCGAGTGCAGGTACCGGCGGTACCTGTCGATATTCAGGTTGGATGAGCTCAGAGAAGAAATGATGGGAAATACAGTACGTCTGAAAATGTAGAACACGCTCAACCATCACAGAAAACTAGATTCAGTTCTTGGTGCCAAATGAACAAGCATACGCACCTTGCTGTCCTTGTATCTGCCAGATTACCTACGTGTTTGAGCCTGTAGTCTAACTCAAAGAGCACGTTTTCTGGTTAACTTAGCGTTCACGATGTCCATTGACTGGCTGAGAGTTGACAGAGAGGCACGGCACACAGTGACAAAAGAAACGGGGCGGCAGTTGGCGGCTGACACAGGATCCACTTTTCCGCGGAGAGCGTTGTCGTGAGTTCGGAAACGGGCGTGAGAAGATTGATGGGATTGGTATTTGCATGAGTAGAGTGGTATCTCAGTAATGACAGACACATGATACAAGGGGAGTACCAGAAGTTTCAACTCTTCAATTGACCTTCGAACAACGAACTTTTCCTCCAATTCGTCTCCTTGAGCAGGAGGTTTCACCATCAGTAGCCAAGCGCTATATGCACGACGCAGTGAGACACCATCTCTTGGCGTCTTGGCAGGCGGAGATTTGTACAAATACCGGGTATAAAAGCCATGGTGAATGTCGAATCAACAAGCCATCCAACAATGAACGTCCTTTTCACGCTGCTCACATGGGCCACCGTTGCCCTGGCTGCTATGCAGCCTCTCGGACCTCCCACCAAGTTCTCGGGAAAGGACTATCTTGTCAAGCACGCCATTCAGGAGATTGAGAATCTGTACAACTCCACCCGACTCGACTCCTGCGCCAAGTGCATGGGTGCTCTAGCTCTGGGAAAGACCATTGCCATTGAAGACGACCGAGTCATTCCTGAGATTCTCCAAGAGCTGTGTAAGAAGTACAAGTGGCAGGCCGTTTGCACCAACGTCTATCAGGGGCGAAATTTTGGTGTTGAAGCTAAGGCTGGCCACATTGCCAACGTTCTACAGCTCATTGATCCCTACGGAACCGACGGAGAGTACATCTGCCACTACCAGGTCAAGAAGGCTTGTCCTCGACCTGCCACTCCTGTCTTCAACCTCACCGGATGGTGGCCCGAGAAGCCCGCTGATCTGGAGGATCGACTTGCCAAGTCCAAGGGCGACAGATTCAACGTTGTTCATCTTTCTGATTTCCATGTTGACCTGCGATACCAGATTGGTAGTGAGTCCAACTGTACTTCTTACATGTGCTGCGTTGAGCCTGTCTACAACAATGACGCTCGAAAGGCCAACTTCACTGATGTCGTTCTCCCAGCTCAGAAGTTTGGCTCTTATGAGTGTGACATACCCCAAGTTCTTCTCGAAGACTCTCTTAGGTCCGTGGCTACCATAGGAGCCAATAAGTCATTCGAGTTTGGTATCTTCACTGGAGACATGGTATCTCATGATCTGGACGATTGGCTGTCTCTGGCCAACGTCATCAAATCTGAGGAGGACGTTTACTACCAGATGAAACGATTCCTCGGTGACCTCCCCATCTACTCCACTTTCGGCAACCATGACACCTTCCCTTATGCTCAGCAAGCCCAGAATGCTTCTGGTTTCCTCGGAGAGTTTGTGTGGAACGCCCAACTGTCCGCCTCTCTGTGGAAGGACTATGGTTGGATCGATGAGGCAACTCAGGCGGAGGCTGTACACACATACGGAGCTTTCGGAGTGACAACCAAGCGAGGACTGCGGGTTATCTCAATGGACTCAAACTTCTGGTACAACGCCAACTATTACAACTACTGGAACACCACCTCTCCCGACACTTCTGGAATGATGAAGTGGATGGTTGACCAGCTGATAGAGGCTGAGAAGAACGCCCAGAAGGTCTGGATCATCGCCCACGTTCCCACCGGGGGAAGTACCACCAACGCCCTCCCTCACGCTACCGAGGTGTTCCGGCAGATCGTTGACCGATTTGCTCCACATACCATTGCCGCTCTATTTTTTGGACACACCCACGAGGACCAGTTCAACGTGTACTACGCTGGAAACGGCACCGATAACTCCATCGATAACGCTCTGACCGTGGGATGGATCTCGCAGTCAGTCACTCCTCTGCACAACTACAACCCCTCGTGGAGATACTACGAGGTTGACAGTGATACATTTGAAATCATGGAGTCCATCAATTATTATGCCCAACTCCACAAGACATTCGAGTTTGATATGGACAAGCCTGAGATTGCGAACAACGGCTCCTTTACTCGAGTCACATACCCTCCCCGAACTCCTGATGAGGAGCTCGAGTGGATCTTTGAGTACTCTGCCCGAGATGTCTATGATCCTGATCAGAAGTGGCCTCGAGAAGCTCCTCTCAACGCCACTTTTTGGCACAACGCTATCCAGTACATTATCAGCAACGATACAGGCAGAGAGGACTACCTCAAGTATGAGTACCGAGAGAGTCCCTTTGTTCCTGATGGAAGCGACCCCGAGTACATCAAGAACATGTACTGCTACTTTTCGTCTGGTACCGTTCCTGCTGTGTTTGAGTGCCAGAAGCGAATGAACATCACCAAGGAGATCTGGATCTAAACGGGGTGTATCTGTTTAGATTCTCGTGGTATCCTATTTTCGTATCTTTTCAAATATTTTGTTGTATCTCGAATGGTATCTGTTTTTGTATTATAGCTTTGTAACTTACAGTAACTGGGATTCGCTCTACTTGTATACCTTGGAAGATGGGAACCTTGGAGGTCAGCACCATGTTACAGTATAAGCACAGCTGTATTATAGATGGTGCTTAAGAAAGGGATAAATTAGAGGACAATATATAAGTCATGATTCCGTGACTCCGCTGTCCCCCCCTTAAACATAGGCGACCTTTCTTGCAGTCATGGTTACCGAACACCTACCAATACGCTCAACTGAACTATCCAAATCAGTCTATCATTATGTTATGTATCTAAAACTCCTCTTCGTCCTCTCCCTCAAGGTCGACTCGTCGCTTACCTTCACCTGCCAGCTTCATGTCAGCAAAAGACCGCTGAGCAGCCTGCTTGGAAACAGTAGCCTGCATTCGCTCAATCTCCTCCTCAGCGTTAGAAGCATCGGCCTGAGCGTACTGAAGAACAAGACGTCGGCCGAGCAGATGGGTGCCCTGCAGAGCAGACATGGCATGCTCAGCCTCCTTGGCAGACACGTACTCGGCAAAGGCGAAACCTCGAGACTCGGAGTTGAACTTCTTGGGCACTCGGACAGTCTTGAGAGAACCAAAAGCACCAAACAGCTTCTGAACATCCTTCTTGGTAGCCTCGAACGGCAAATTCTTGATGAGGATCTTGGAATCGATAGCCTTCTTGGTCTCTGTGGTCTCCTCGTCCTGGCCACGGTTGGAGATCTTGAGCTGCAGCTTATGGCCATCAAGCACATGACCATCCATGGCCTTCTGGGCAATCTCAGCAGCCTCCTTGGAGGAGAACTCGACGAAACCGAAACCCATGGACAGGAACTTTCCCTTGTTCTTAGAGTCAGGCTTCATCTTGACCTGAGCAACCAGGAAACCGTCCAGAGCCTTGAAGGCGTCGGTGAGAACACGGGAGGTGGTCTTGAAGTTCAAGTTCTTGACAAATACAGAAGTAGAAGCAGTAGCAGGTCTTTCATCGTTAGAACCAGTGTCCATAACGTCAGAAGCAGACAGCTTGTCCTCGATAGTAACAATCTTGTCTTGTTTAACATGCTCAACCTCATCACTCTCCATCTTCTCGTTAGGAAGCAGGTTCTTGGGACCCTTCTCCAGGTACAGAATGCTAGTCTTGAACCTTCGGAAAGCCAGCTTGGCAAACGCAGCTCGAGCGTCGGGAATGTGCTTGAAAATGACAATAGCAATAGTTCCAGCTGGAGGCATCATCACCTTATAGAGATCTCCGTATTCAGAAAACATCTCAGCAATCTCAGGCTGGGTGGTTCCAAAGGGGAAGTTCTTGACAAGAATGACTCGATCATCTCTATCCTTGTTGTCAAAGGAAGCCAGATCAACGCCCATCTTCTCAAAGTACGACTTGACATCTCCAATAACAGTGGCCTCAGCCAAAGCCTGCTTGACAGCAGCATCACTGGAGTCTGGGTCGATCAATTCGGACTTCTTGATACCCATACTCTTGGCCACACTCTCCATGACGGCGTCCTGGTTCATGTACAGCGAATTCCAAGAGAACTGCTGTTTGGCAGCCTCGGCCTTTCGCTTCAGCTCCTGCTGCTTCTTGAGAGGCAGGTTTTTGAGATCGTGCTCGTCCAGTCGGTTGTAGTCCTTCTTGGGCTTTCCGGGTAGGATATGCAAAAGTCGGCCCTGGAAAATCTTTCCATCCTGGGCCTCGTACGCTGCGATGGCGTTTTCGGGGTCCTCAAACTGCACGTGTGCGAATCCCTTGCACTGGCCAGTCTTGGTGTTGATGGGTAGATGAACCTCCTCCAACTCTCCGTACTGCGAAAACAGCTGTCGGAAATCCTCCTCTTTGGCTGTATAGAGCAGGTTTCGCAAGAACAGACGTCCAGTTTTTCTAATGCTCACAATGGTAGGGTCCTCAGAGGGCTCCTCATCAACAGGAGTAGCAGCCTTGGGAGCATTGCCTTTTCCTTTCTTGCCCTCGCTCTTGGACTCGGTGTGTCTGTTTTCACGGTCCTCCTCGGGTTCCCCCTCCTTGATTCGTGTTTGTCGTTGTCGCAACCAGTCCATATCTGAAACGCCAGGATCAGCAGCAAGTCCGTCTTCAATAACCGGATCTTCCTCGTCCTCCTCGGCCTCCTCATTGTCGTCATCCTTCTTGTTCTCACTCTCCTCTTCCTCGTCCTCGTCCTCGTCTATCTCGTCGTCACCCTTGCCGGTAAACTCGTCATACTCATCATCAGAAGCAGTAGACTGGATCACCTGAGGCTCGTTGGCAACAGCTCCAGCATCGTTGTTGGCCCAGGTCTTAGCGTTAGATCGAACCTGCATGGCATCCAGATAGTCAGCCAGTCGAGGATCGGAGGCGTTGCCCAAACCATTAATGTCGTCAATGGTCATAGGCTTCTCGAGATACCGGGCCTTCTTGGCCTCCCGGTCGTCCTCAGCGTCCTCTCGAGCTCTCTGAGCAGCCTGCCGCTTTCGCTCTCTTGAAGACAGAGGAACATTGGGGTCTGTGAAAGTCATGGCAACAGCCACGGAGATCTTGGTAGAGTTGATGAAAGATGTGTCAAAATACTTGACGGCAGCCTCGGCAGTCTCGTCGGATCGGAAACCAACGAATCCGAACCGTCTGGTCTTGCCGTCTCGAGCTCTCACCACCTTGACATCAGTGATATCGGAAGGGGCAAAGCCAGCAGACTTGGGATCCTTGACGGTGGAAAAGTGTTTCTTCAGGCCAGCCTCATCGAGGTAAGGCGGCAGGTTTTTCACAATCAGTCGAGACATTCTGTGGTGTGTGGGAAATTTTCCTCACCTGCATCTGCAAGATACTAGAAATTTTAAAGTTAAGGTGTTCGCTGAAAGCTTATTTTGTCTACAATATGGAATTGTGGAGGGAAGTGAATTGTCCAAGTATGTACTGTAGCTACTGTAAGTACTGTAGCTATTACACAAAGGATAAGAAAACAGGTACATAATGGTACCAGTGGTTTGCTGAGGATTAGATATCCTCAGAGGGAAACCCTCAAGATGGCTACTGCTCCAAAGCAATAAGAATACAGATATTCTGATATAAGCTTAGTCAGCTTATCTCGAACTGCAACCTTCCAAGGGTCCGACTCGATATATCGATATAATTGAACAGGAGACGTCAAACATTTCTAGCAAATCCATAGGTTTCATTTAACTACGTCTATTTTCATTTCTGTCTCTACATTCTGTCACTAATTTATCCCCGTGTCAACCTCAAACGAGTCTACAACTTTCTTGGTTGGCACAAGTTGACTCTTTCAGACCCCTAAAAAGTGAAGATAACCATCGTAATCTAGAATTGCAGATATGGTATATACAGTACTTTAATACCAATTCTTTTCCTTAACTATTTCATTTGTTGGCTCTGAAAATCTCACGACATTCTCAGCCGAAGAGATGTCTAAACAGCTCTGTAGGCAGTAGTATTTATCATCATGGAAAAGACCGTGGTACAATGAGACAACAGCCTTATATCTTTAAAACCATTTTTTTTTTAATTCCATCTTTGCTATTGTATCGAGACATGGCTCTCTTACGGTCTTACAGTAACTTAGGGCCAGTTTGTTCACATCCACCATCGACAATAAACATTACAGTGTACTCACATATCTATCAACAACCATAATACATCCGCGGCTTATGGAAACCTCAGATACTATCTCTAGTAAAATCAGACGAGTGCTTGAACGTGACCGATCGTCACTCGTTCACGTGTCAGCAACTATGGAATCTACAAGTACAAAGGACCATCATCTGAGTATGGAGTAAGGAAACCATCTGAGTATAGAGTCTATGATTAGGGTCTTGCCTTTAGAAGTTCCCTTTTTCCGCCATCACCCGTGGGTCTCTGTTGAATATCAATATTCGTCAGCACCATCCGTTGGGTCTCTTCCAGTACCTTCAGAACTCGGTCGCGTCCGCGTCTTGAAATCTGGAAATGAATCCGACTCCTGGGATTAGACATCGTATGTATTCAAATGCCTGTTCTGTAAATGGGTTCTACAAATATGTTTCTAGCTCAAACTTGTAGCACCTGGGCTCCGGTCACAGTTCCGGAGATGTCCAGACCTGCTCGCGCTGACAAAGCATCGCAGGATGTTGATCGATATAATCTACAACGATATTGACAAGTTCGGGAGATAGATGAGTATCGAGCTAGTTCAAAATCGATGTTCGTCTCTTCATAAGGAAGACAGAGGCCAGTAATGCGTAACACTCGGACCGATCTTGGCCATCCAGGAGGATCTCCGATGAGACAATGAGTGTCACTGCAGTAGTGCGAATAAACGTGAACGAGTGGGTGTCGTGAGGGTGACAAGAAAAGAAGCAGAGTCAAATCATTCCATTTCAACCATTTACAGTATACTGCTAGATATGTTTCCCTAATGGTTAGCCCATTTGTCTAGAGTACTCATAGCTACTGTATTCCATAATCAAGGTTCACTGTGCTTCGATACTGCCTGGAGATAAGACAGATGCGATAATACACGACATGTTGGATGTAAGGGCATGTAATACGTGTTGATATTAATTGATCTGACGTATTATATAAACGATGTATATCCAGGACTCATTCAACACTAGACGCAACCCGATGCTCTCGTCACAATGATTGGATTCTTGGTCTCGGTCTCAGGTTGCGTCTTCTTTCGGCTCCTCTCACCACACTTCTTTAACACCCCTCAACCCACCACCATTCTATTCCACATCACCTCACACCACTTCAAGAGAGATACCGACACAATATAATTTCATCGATGAAACTGGAAACCAGAAAATACCTGCTGGTGACCATCCTGGTGGTCATGTTCACTATCGGCTCGGTCATGGACCTATGGCTCTACCTCCTGTGTCTTAGCCGATCACCCAACCTCAAGCACTACAGAGCTATGTTGGCTCGAAGATGGTGGTCGTGGACGATGTTCTCGGTGGGTCAGGTGGTCAACTTCAAGATCAAGATGCACGGCGACAAAATGATACCCGAGGGAAACATGCTGATAATCAGTGAGATACCTATGATGTGGTCGACGAGACACGAAATACTAACACAGGTAATCATCTATCAAGATACGACTATATGATCTACGCACTAATCAACAACCAGCATTGCGCCAAGTCGCACCTTGCATTCCTGTCCTGGAAACACATCTTTTCTCTCTTTAGCCTCAGCAAGATTCTGCCCTTCTACCGACTTGACGAAAACTGGATGTTCGAATCAGCAGCCGACCTTGAGAAAGAACTAGCCAAGCTAATCAACCCTTACTGTCTGGTGCTGTTCCCAGAAGTCTCGGTGGCAACCCCACAACTTATCAGACGACATAGAGAGCTCTGCAGAGCGTGTTTTGCACCTGAACTCACTCATGTACTCTACCCTCGCCACAGCAGCTTTGCAGACTTCATATTGGGACTGAATAAGGGCCAGGCTCTTAGTTACATCTACGACGCCACCATCTCGTATACTGACAAGAAAGATAAGATTCTATGTAATCCTGGAAACATAGATACTCTGTTGACTCAAGTGGAAACGGTTCATGTTCACATACACCGAGAACAGTATCGTCGGCTGCCGCGCCACAGACGTGGTATTCAGAAGTGGCTGGAAAACACATGGGTCCACAAGGATAAGAGTATCAGAAAGGCCTACAAGCAGTCTGGATCAATCATGGATGATGGCAAGCTCAAGGAGAAGGATAAGTGATACTAACTAACTGCATGTAAAAACAGATAAATATGTTAATGAATCAATGAAATGGTATACGATGACTACAGTAAACTCTGGTATACCTTACTTGAATGTTTTTGATAAATATTATTGACAACACTATATTGACAATGATGCTATCTAGTTGATGTGAGCCTTCTTCTCCAGCTCATCGGCAAGATCGTCAACGGTCTTGTCATCCTTCTTTTCCGACTTGTCCTCCTCGTCTTCCTCCTCCTCATCGCTGTCATCCTCGTCTTCCTCAGAGTCAGGCTCCTCCATCTCGTCAAGCTCATCGAGCTCACCGTGTCCTCGAGAGTCGAACAGCTTGGTGATCTTCTCAATCACGTCCTCATCCTCAGGGAAGCAGTTACCATTAAGCTCCAGCAACTTGATGGCAGGCAGGTTCTTCTCCAGGGCCTCGTAGAGAGCCTCCGCACCATCGAGGTTGATCTCGTTGTACTGGAGTCGCAGGGTCTCAAGCTTCTCGAGGGGCTTACCGTCTCGGAGAGCCTCACCAAGGGCAACAGATCCCTTGCCGGAAAGCAGACAGTCGGAAATACCCAGCTCGACCAGTTCGGGCCACTGAGAGTAGACCTTGGTCAGAGCCTTGGCACCTTTCTTGGTAAAGGTGTTGTCCTGCAGATCGAGAATCTCCAGCTTGGGGCACTTGGACAGACCCTTCTCCAGCAGAGCAACAATACCATCCTGTCTGATACCGTTCTGCTTGAGCTGCAGGTTCTTGACGGAGCCGTGGGTGGCGAGGTACTTGGCCCAAGACTCCATGGAGCCGTTCTCAAGTCGGTTTCGGCCGCAGATGACGGTCTCCAGCTTGATATCGGACTTAGCCTCCTTCTTGGCCGCAGCCAGACGCTCCAGAGCCTCTCCGATCTTGGTACCGGCAGCGGGACCGAAACCGTTGTTGGTCAGATACAGGTGCTGCAGGGGCACGTGCTTTCCGAGGAAATCAGCCAGGGGATCAACGGTGGTGATACCGAAGGCGTTGTCGGAAAAGTCCACAGTGGTGGCGTTCTTGAGGGTCAGAACTGCCTCACAGATGTGCTCCATGGACTTGGGGATCTCGTCCTTGAGTCGGCCGGTGAAAATGTCGTCGAAGGACACCTTGGTGATGTTCTGCTTATCCTTAATGGAGTCAGCGATGGCCTTGCAAGCGTCGATGCCGAAAGTGTTGCCTCCAAAGTACACCTCTGTGGTTTCGTCGGTGATGTCGCGGAGATGTCGCTTCATCTCATCGTAGTCATCGACCTTGAGGGCCTTTCCAACAAGCGAGAATTTCGTCATTGTAGTTGTAGCTGGGGTGTGTAAGCAGAGTGAGCTGTGAGAGAGGCTCTGGTTTGGATTATACACGGATCAAAAATCACAACAAACTTCACTTACCAGAAACTCTATTAGTAACGGTGGGTACCAATACAATTTTGGGGGGTGATCATAAGAAGTTGAGTAAGAAAAATGATTCCAATTGCACTCGATTAGTACATTGGTCTCATATATTCTCCAAATTCACCCCTCGACCAGTCGCAAACACTGGATCCGATTGAGTTCTGGTGACTGGACAAGGCAGACACCCTGCATAAGCGACCACTTGGGACACATCCAAATATCAAGGGGTTACGATGGTTACGAGAAATATGTACTGTACAACATACTGTACATGCTGTAGCGGGATACTACACAAAGATAACTACTTGTAGCTCGTTCGAGGTTGTGCTCGAGGCTTGAGTATGTTGGTACAATACAAGTACAAGTATTTTATTGGTTTTATCCGTGCGAATCCCTTGTACTTATAACTTGTACAAGTACAGTGTCGGTGACAAGTGTACATACTTTACTAATTTCAGACTTATTACAAGTGTATCATCGCAAAAGCTACAACAATAGCAAATACTACAATAACAAAACCAATACCATTTCAGTCAATTAGTTAGTATATACAGTACATATTAAAACCATTAATAACACATTCGCATCCTCTACGTCCCTTTTCCTCCATGCATTAGCCCTCCAAAGCCTGCAACTTGACCAACTCGTAGTACTTGGACTTGTTGGCCAGCAGCTCCTGGTGAGTACCGGACTCGAGCACCCGTCCCTCCTCGAACACGTAAATAATGTCTGCGTTCTGAATGGTGGACAAACGATGAGCCACAGCAATAGTGGTTCGACCCTTAGCAGCCTGGTCAAGAGCAGCCTGAACAATCTTCTCAGACTCGGAGTCCAATGCAGAAGTGGCCTCATCCAATAGTAGAATCTTGGGGTTTCGAATCAGAGCTCGAGCAATAGCGACTCGCTGCTTCTGACCTCCTGACAGGAGAGAGCCCTTGGAACCACAGTAGGTGTCGTAGCCATCAGGCAGAGACATGACAAAAGAGTGGATATTGGCCATCTCGGCAGCCTCAATCATCTCCTCCTCAGTCACGTCATCTCGAAGAGATCCCAGCAGAATGTTCTCTCGGACAGTTCCAGAGAAGAGAACAGGCTCCTGCTGCACCAGAGAAATGCAAGATCTGTACGAGTTGATGTTGATGTCTCTGATATCGACTCCATCGAGCTTGACAGCGCCAGAAAGAACGTCGTAGAACCGCTCAATGAGCGCAATGGTGGTGGACTTACCGCATCCGGAAGAACCGACAAGAGCAACGTACTGGCCCTTCTTGATGTTCAGGTTGAGACCTCGCAGAATAGGCACCTGGGGACGAGTAGGGTACCGGAATCGAACGTCCTCAAAAGAGATATCTCCTCGAACGTTATCGTGGTCCAGGATGATTCCCTCAGTGGAGTCAACATCGAGCTCGGGGAGAACAGCCAGCATGTTGGCAATGTTCTGGGTGGCAGTCTTGGCCTTGCCCATATCGGGAGTGAACGAGAAGATGGAACCGGCAGACTGACAGCCGAAGACAACGGAAACAAAGGCCACAAAGAACTTGTTGGTGTCGATGATGCCATCCTTCATTAGTGTGGATCCATACCAGAAACCGAGAGCGGAAATGAGCAGGTTGAGCGACTGAGAGGCTGCAAACAGAGTGGCAGAGTAGATGTTAGCACGAGCGGAGTCGGCAACTTGGGACTCGACTTTGTGAAGGTAGTCGTTGTAAACATAGTCCTCACGAGTGAGAGTGACGACTGTTCGAATGGATGTCGTCGCCTCACAAGCGTAAGAAGCAGACTGCTCGTAGACCTTCTTTCCTCGCAGGTTTAGATGGGTGAGAATCCAGAATCGGAAGAAACCGGCAGCGATAATAAGAGGCACACATGCGGTACACACCAATCCCAGACGCCATGTGTAGCAGATGGCAATGATGACACCAATTACAATGGTACACAGAGACGAGAGAATCTGGCCAAAGGTGGCTCCTCCAAGACCCTGGACATACTGGGCATCCTTGGACAGAGTTGAGGTAAGCGAACCGGTGGTGTTGTCGTCTTCATCGTGGAATGCAACGTCCATTCGGAGCAGATGGGAGAAGACAGAGTGGCGGATATTTCGAACGAGGTGCTCAGAACACCAACCCAGACAGTAGATTTGCACAAAGTAGGCCATGAGCTCGATCATTCCGACCATGAACAGGAAACCAGAGTACTTGTTCATCTCGGATCGCATCCAGTGGTACATGTCGGGGCTGACCATGAAGGCCTGCATGGCAGAAGCGAACAGAAGCGCCAGAGCAGGATAACCGGCACCGTTGATGAGAGCAGCAAATGAGCCAACGTAGAGGAAGGGTCGTTCGTTTCTGTTGTACTTAGCTAGCAGCTTGACCATACCTGCAATAGACAGATGTTTGTCACGATCAGGCTTCTCCTTGTTTGCAAGAATCTGGGAAGATAGGGACTTGTTGGTGGTGGACTTGCCAATCTTCATGTCGTCCTCCTGAATAAGCAGAGGCGCATCTTCTCCATCAGAGGAACTCTTCTGACCTGGACGGGCCTCCGTCAGCTTCTGAGCGTCAACAAGACCATAGTACATGCCCTGTTTGGCCAGTAGCTCAGCGTGTGTGCCTTGCTCGATGATCTCGCCCTTGGACATAACGACAATCTTGGAAGCATTCTTGATGGTCGACAGACGGTGGGCGATGACAATGGTAGTTCGGTTCTCAGACGCCTTATCAAGGGCTTCCTGCACAATACCCTCGGACTTTGTGTCGAGAGCAGAAGTGGCCTCATCGAGCAGAAGAATGGGAGGGTTGGAAATGATGGCTCGAGCAATAGCGATTCGCTGCTTTTGACCTCCTGAGAGGAGCATGCCGGACTCTCCAACATTGGTGTTAATGCCGTCAGTCAGCAGCTGAATAAAGTCCCAAGCGTTAGCCTGTCTACAGGCATGCTCCACAAGCTCCATCTTCTTCTCATCGTCGGCATGTTCCCACTGAGTACCAATAAGACCGAAGGTGATATTCTCGTAAATCGTACAGTTGAACAGAGTGGGCTCCTGAGACACAAGAGAAATGTGTTGTCGAAGCCACTTGACATCGAGGTCCAAAAGATTGTAGCCATCAATAGTGATCAAACCGCTCAGAGGCTGGTAGAATCGCTCCAGAAGACCAATGAGAGTGGACTTTCCAGATCCGGAAGCGCCAACGAGAGCGACGGTCTGGCCAGGCAAAACCTCCAAGTTAAAGTCCTCTAGAATCTGCACCTTGGGTCGAGAAGGGTATCGGAAGTCGACGTTGTCAAACACAATGTGGCCCTTGATGTCGGGGATCTTTTCTCCCTCTTCCTGGGTGTCGATCTCTGGCACACGGTCAATGGTACCGAAAATCTTCTTTCCAGAAGCAATAGCCACTCCCACAGACTCGAGGTTGGGAGCAACTCCTCCCAGCTCAAAGGCTCCGATCATGAGGGCCATGAGAACGGTGGTCACATTACCAACCTGGGTCTCACCCCACGCAACAAGACGAGAACCCTCCCACAGGGCAAGGGCGTACTTGATGTAGATGAGAGACCAAAGACAGCCTACCATGACAGCCAGAGAAATGTTCTTTCGCAGGTAGTTGTGGAGAGAAGAGGCAAGAGGGACATTGTACTTCTCAACCATTCGAGACTGAGAACCAAAAGCCACGATGTTTCGAATGGACGAGAAGGCCTCCTCGGCGATGCTGGAGCAGGCAGAGTCGTCTTCAAGAGCAAGTTTGGTGTACTTGACCAAGAAGGTTGAACAGATACCCATCGACAGGGCCAGAGCAAAAACAGTGGACAACATGATACCGGTAAGTTTGGCCTGCTTGATGAAACCGATCACGAGGGCAGTGATGAAAGAGGCAATGGCAGAAACAATGAGGCCCAGCTTCTCGGAGATACCCTCCTGGATGAGGTTGGTGTCACTGGTGATTCGGTTGGTCACCTCTCCAGCTCCCAGTTTATCGAAATAGCCAATATTTTGTCGCAGAATGGCCTTGAGGTAGTTTGCTCGAATTCGGGCAGTCAGACGCTCTCCTCGCTCGACTGTAATGTAAGTTTTGATGGCAGTTGTTCCAAAGGTAGCCACAGCCAGATAAACGAAGTACAGAGCAAAGTGATTGATTCTGCTCTGAAAGTGCTCCTTGGAGGCTCCATAGACAAAGAAGTTGGTGAATTCGTTGGTCATTGAGCCGAAAATGATGGTGAAAATGGGTAGACACACACCTGCGGCTGCTGCCATGACCAAACCCACCATGATGAGAAAGAAATCAAACTTGTCTGCGTATCGGAACAGGGTCATAAAGGTGACGACCGTGTCTGGCGTTCGTACTTGTCGCTTGAGGATGTCCTTTTTCGTTTCGTCGAGGCCAGCATACTGCTCTTCTTCACTCTCCTCTTCCTCCTCCTTGGTCTGTTGAGTCTTACTCTTTTCCGAGTTGGAGCTGGACTCTGTGCGGACGACCGTTTCGTTCTTCTCGGGGTCCGATTCGGGCCCCGCCTTTTTGCTGAACAGCCCCATTATGTCTTTTCGTGGTGAAAATGAAGAAAAAAATGACCGTTCAGACGCGACGAAACACACGTTAGATATACTCTTGCAACCACGGCATCTTCGGAACCTAACGAATTTTCCGAGCCTAGTTTTTATGCATCTCGAATTTTAAAGGAGGGTGACCAAAATGACCCATAATGGAGCTGTAAACGAAGTGTAAGATTAGAGGGGCAATGGGTAAGAGACTAAGAGAACTGGTTACTACTTTTTACCACCTTGTCTGCCCTACATTGTAGATTGGTGCACTTCTGGGGGCCTGCGATACAACACAAACAATTGGACTATATACCCCCACATTGCTCCTGATGCATCTCCACCCCAGTGAGCTTGGCAGGTGTAGCCGCATGTGCGGGATTGTAATTGTGGTGATTTACATCAGTTTCAAGAGGCCATGACAAGCGGCTAAGTCAACCAAACGTATAATCTGTGCCCGACAAACACGCGGTTGCAGATTAGCCTCCCTCCCAGTCATAGTCGCATCGCTACACGATCATCACGTTGGAATTTTAAAATAGCCAACCTACTTGTAGAATATGGGCTTGTAGTCAAACGGTATTAGAGTAATACGAGCGGCGGTTGCAGGTGGCAAAAGTGCAAAAAAAGAGAGACGTCATAATAAAGAAGACAGGCAGAACAAGAGAAGCTGAGGCACACGAGTGGCACAGTCAACAGCCAAGATATGGATGAGAGGTGGCTCTTCGTTTGACATCATGGTGCCTTCAGGCTGGGTAACCCCCCCCAACATAGCACCCTAGTAACCTGTACTCGTACCGGTAGGAGTATGATACTCAACATACAGTGGTCACTCGCTTACCTTGCCTAATCTAAATTTTACGCGTTGGTGGGCACCCGGTAGGACTGATACAACCGCTCGGTCATCAGTGCAGACGAAGATGCAGCAGCAAGACATGATGCACGGCTCAAGGAGTTCCAAACAAAAGACGATAAGTGTTAGATTTCAGAGATACGCGATGCAAACGACTTGAGAGAGTACAGCAAGTAGACGAAATTAGTTACAAGCCGTATTCAATCTCGTCCTCCACTCATGCCCTTTGAAGATTACTTGAGTAAATGCTACGTTACACTACAACTACGGGCACCGAACAAGGTATCGTACTTGTACTTACAATTACAAGTAGGTAGCTACTGTATACTCTACTCATACTGGAATGCGAAAGGTTGTCTGGTGGCAGGGCAGTTTGCCAGACAGGTCAAGCAGCGTTGAGTGGCTTGTTTTCGTAAAGGGGTTATGAAAGTTAAACGGGTGGCAAGGGGAGTGAAAATTAGACGTTGGAGAGAGTGAAGAGGCTCATGCGGCTATCTTTCCTATAGTGCCTCGAGGCACGACTTTCGCAACATCCAGCACATTGCTGAACTTCTTTGTTACTACCTCATGTCACGGATCCACCTTCGGAACATGACCCATCTTCCGACCCGTAATATTCAACTCAGAGTCACAATTAGTTTCATTTCCGTGTGCGCCAAGAAACGCCAGATGGGGTAACCTGGCGTCGAGACGTGCCAATCAGACTTTGTTATCGCAGTTATCGGAACTTTCCGTGGATGTGTGATACTTGTAGAGAAAACGGATACGTGGATTTAGTCAACAGCTGGTCTACTGGCCAGTCGACGTCTATAAAGTGAAATTACATGGTGTGTACAGTATGTACTGTACGCAGAGTTGCAACTCATCATCAGTTGGACAACTTGCTCCCTATGCACAACCATAGGAAGCAAGACGGTCATGAGATGACCGGACTGCCAACAGAAGGGGTTTGTGTTTTTTTATTTTTTTATTTTTTTATTACAAGTACCAGTACAAGTACAAGTATCACCATCAATATATATATTTACTGCAGTTCCACTACTGGGTGATTTCCTTGGACTACCAAGACAGCATTTCCCGAAATTTCACCTTCACCCAGAGCTTGACATTAGGTAATTACGGCTAATTGGTGTCACAGCGCTAGGACTGATGTGAGCAGTTCTATGCAACGACTGGTGGTATCATCTACACCATGTTTATCCCTGTCTACGCTCAAACATGGCTCGCATGTTCGCAATCAGTATGCATAAATATCATTCTCTATTTCTTTCCCTTGGGGCCAAGAGGAAGACCAATGTCCTTACCTCGAAGCTTGATACCAAGGACTCGCTCCATCTTGCTGAGAACCTGCTGGTTGGGCTGGGCTCGTCCAGACTCGTAGTCGTTGACCACCTGGGGCTTCTCGTTGATCTTGACGGCAAGCTCCTTCTGGGTCAGACCCTTTTCGGATCGGCCCTTGATGATGGCCTTACCAACAGAAGCCTCAACCTTAGGAGGGGCAATGATATCGTCAGATCGGTCAATCTTGGTCAATCGCTGTCCGTCTCCTCCGTCCTTGGAGTTGGCAGAAGCGTACTTCTTGTCAGTAGACAGAACGTTACCGGATCGCATGGCAGCGTTGATTTCTGCCTGGGTCTTAGCGACAGTGGCTCGAGGACCTCCTCCGCCAACTCGGGCTCGAGAGCCAATAACAGTTTTGGATTCCCAATCGTCAGACATGTTTAGTTGTGAATGTGTGGTTTAAAAGGTGTGTGGTGTGAGAAGTAGAGTGGGTTTTAGTCGACTGCGTTTTTGACGTTCGTGTGAGCAATGGAACCTTCTAGAGTTACCCTGATCTAATGGTGGTGGTTAGTGTGGATGGTGGTAGACTCGGTGCGGGGGTATTACAGTAGCCGGGGATGCAAACGCTAACTGTGTGTAATAAGAGATAGTAATTGAGAGGAGGAAATTCAGGGAGTCATCTCGCTTATATATAACCCGACTGATCAAGCTCTAGAATAGTGTGGAATCGTGTGGAATCGAGGTGTAATTGGCTTTTGCAGTTGACATGCAAGCGTGACCGTCGAGGGCAGTGAAGGCAGAGTTGAGAAGTGGAGGCTGATCCAGAGGTTGCGGATGCAGCAGCAACGTGAGTCACGTGCGCTTGGGGTAGTAAGCTGTGGGGGATTGGTTGGTCAGCTCAGCTACTTCATGTGACGTGTGGATCAATCTACTGGGACGTACTGGTACGATACGCGTGCTCTAGATTTTACCCTAACTAAAATCAACAATTTGTTGTAAGTAAGGTTGAACTAAATAAAAGAACAACAGGAGATTGACAACTAGATCAGGACAACTGGACAGCTTACTTGAGTGATATTGTCCCGATCGAAATATAAGCAAAAGAGCTTAGTGTCACTGGATAAACAGCACGTAAAATCTTTCTTAACACGCACTCTCAACTCTCACCACCCAAATCATCTCCCCTCTGATCCTCTCGTCTCTCCTGAACACTAATAGCCGACATGCATGAACATCGTGTTCACATTAATCCCGATAGACGTGTGTCAACGCATCACATAATCGACTATATGTCACGCGAAAACCTGTCGAATGCGCTCAACACGGCCGCGGCAACAGTGCACGTGCCCGCACACGACATTGATGGCGACGATATTCTCGAGAACCTGAAAGGCTGTGAGAAACGAACTATCACCTTTTATGATGAAAACCTCCCCATATACGTCATGGTACGGAGCCCAAGGGCAACCGAGGCGCCCAAACAGACCCATCTGGACATACCTACGGGATCGCCACCGCTACTCGAACACTCGGGACCTCAATCGCTAGAAGCATTCAAAGAGGCAGTTGAACATCTGTCTCTGGAAGTAGAGACACATGTGACCGGAAACGAGACGAAACCCGAGCCCAGAGCTCGGTCATTTCTGCTCTATTCGGGAATCGTCAAAGCGGAAGATATTGTGTTTCTGGGCGAGGACAAGGAGGAGCATTTCTGCTGTGTGTGGAAATCCCATGCATTGCTGGAGCACCCACGAAGCAGACTCCAACAGGCCAAAATCAAACTCACAATCAACAGTACTCTAGTCCCCGAGGCAGAGGCCCCCAAAGATACAAGTGCATCGACCTCGACGGCCAAGGACGCTAGCCAAGAGATTCTCAAGCCATTCGGGTACGCTGTTGAACAAAACATCTTCGAAACGCTTCAAGATGGTATCAGCATTCCTCATTCGAGAATGGTGGGCGATGATGAAGCCACTAAATCGGCAAAATCACCTCCTATGAAAAACTCCAACCCGTCTTTGCCTCGCTCTGGACATGCTAGAGGTCTTTCAATCGAAGCTCTGCAATCTCACGACCTGCTTAACCTCTACGCAATGGTGGAAATCTCAATAATTCCCTGCATCAATCTCCGACTGAGAACCACCAAGTCTGCAGGTGTAGACAACGCTTTGATTGTGTCTCTGGAGCTGGAATGCAATGGTGAGCTTGAAACATGGATCCACAAAATATCCGTGTCTCTGCCATCGTGCGATTGTGCATCTTTCGGTCAGGTCAACCTGCCCCTCAAATTTTCGCCCGGAGATTCGTTCGTCATGGCTTACAAGTTGACAGACTCGGAAAACATGACTAAGAGCGGTATGCAGCACTCTGGCAAGAGACCCATTTCAATCTGTCTAGACTCTGAGGCCGTTATTGAAAAGGACGCCAAGGCTAACCCTCGAGTGACCACTTCATGGAACACCCAAGTTGACTTCAGCATAGCTTCTCCTCCTGGAGCTTCACTGCTCAGAAGTAACTCTGCCAGTATCAGTAACGGAAGCAAGAACATGCCCCCTTCTCTGGTCTCGCAGCCCTATCTCAAGGGAAACACCTCTTCCATAACTGTCAATGTCCCTCGAACGAACCGGTCTCTAGCAGGTATGGTCATCTCCTTCTCTGGAACCTCATCAGTCAAGGTTGGAGAATCCTTCAAGTGGCGAGTCTTTGTGGTCAACAAATCGGGTTCTGTGCGACGGATGGCCATGTACGTACAGCCCAAGGAGAGATACATTGACACCCATGTTCTCGCTGGAGACATCATCCCTGTTGTCAATAGACAGGCATTGAAAGCTGCACATAATGCTGGTTCGCTGGAACCTACAGGTATTCTGGCTCTTGCCAACGACATCAAACTGGGCCCTCTATCTCCTCACGAGTGTTATGAGACCGATATAACAATGGTGGCTCTTTCAGTTGGTATATTCTCTTTGGAGGGTGTCAAGATTGTGGACACTGTTACTGGAGACAGTTATGACTGTGGTAAGCTGATGGAGGTTGTTGTTAGCGAGTAAGCAATAAACAAGCATATAGACACGATCAAGGTATGATTTGATTTTGACTAGCTAAGTAGAGATTGTCAGTCTTGGGAAAGTGTCGTGTCTTACAGGTTCGGAATGTACTGTACGCATCTACAGTACCAATGCATGCCCTATGCTTACCAAGCCTTGTAGTGTACTCGTATGTACATACTGTAGCTACCGGTATCGTACTCGTAATATCGTACGTACTTATACACATGGGTATGTACATGCTTGGAACTTATTGTAGGTCGCCACATGATACACATCGACATATTATAGAGGGATGGCAGGAAAAATATAACAGCATCAGGGAACTTCTCTGACCTCAATTGGCTCGATTTGATCTAATCCTTTACACTTTCCAGTCATAAAAACCTCTACAGCTCCGCTTTCCCTTGTACAAAACACCCTCAAACTCACGATAACCCAAAATCACTCCCGCAGCATCTCACGCACACACACAACACGTCACCATGAGCAAGACCAACAACCATGAACAACTCCACGGCAACATGGTGAGTATGGAAGGAAGTAACTGGGTCACGTGATACATGTCACAAACATACTAACACAGCCCCTGCCTCAGTCTAAGCTCACTGAGATTATCGACAGTGCCGCTTCATCTGTAGTGGCCACAGAGGGATACAGCCACAACGACACGTCCAAGTGGAACAGCCAGATCATCGCCAAGATCCTCGACGCACTCAAGGATGAGTCCAAGGGATACAAGTTTCTGGTTCACAGCACGCTAGTGGAGGTGACAGATCACAGACCAGGCATCAAGTCTAGCACTGGCGGTTTCTGGAACACAGAAAAGGACGGAGTTTGGAACTACAAGTGGTCCAATGATAAGGTCGATGTGCTGGTTTCTATTGCTTGGATCCACTCTTCCGTATAAATATTTATTATAATCTATGAATAAACAATGTACATACCGTAGACTTGGGTGTGTTTGTATATTGTTTGGGAGTCTGTGTAACGAGTGTTGGCGTAACTAAAGTACATCCAGGCTATCTAGACATGTGAGCTCGTTTAATACACGCTACCCGGCTTCAGTGTGTCATTATTCATTAATTATTTGTACTCTACCCAAACTCTACCCTTCTACCCTTCTATCTCAAGTGTGCTGAGGCGTTTTTGAACAGACTCTGCCACATGAAGGCTTCACTCAATAGTAGCTCGATTTCTCCCTCACCCCAGTCCTTGGTAGGTAAGCTCTGAAGGAAGATCATAATGTCCTGGAACTCCATGTGAATCAGCTTAGCCGACCATCTCACCAGAAATGTTGCACATACGTAAACGTGAAACTCTGAGAAACCGTTGGGGCCCTCAGCCATGTATGTGTCCCACATTCGGATTGTGTTTTTGACAGACAGCTCTCGCATCAGCAGACAGTTCATCCACCGGAAGGAGAACTGCATGAACTCCACCTGCTCAGATTCAAGATGTTTAGCGAGCTTGGCGTCGATTCGAGACGTCAGGTCTCGCAAACCAGCCACCTGCCGTTGGATACCGGGTTGCGCATGTACGTAGTTGTCTTGGATACCTTCTAGCAGCTTGGAGAGACACCAGAATGAGTCTGCTTCAACGACATCCATGACTTCTCGTGGCAACTGGGCCGGATCACACGACTCGACATCTTCATCGATATATGCAGACAAGAATGTTTGGAAGAAAGGCGTTACCAGATCGTTGATACCCTGGACATAACCACTGGCAGGGTGACGAACAGCCCAAAGATACAGGATACGTTCGAGCGATCTCTGTGTTGCAGGGAAGCCGTACAGCTTCAGGTGGGGGTTTGTACGTGGCACATCAATCTCAATCTGATGCCACATGGCCTGATCAAGAGCGACTTTGTGGAAAACATGCTCAACTCCGTCCTTGTATTCCTGTCGTTTTCGGGCAAGGGTATCGACTCGTCGATCGGAGTTTGTGGGCAGGTATCCCAGCAGCAGTTGCCACGACAACGGTCTGAGTTCGAGGGGAATTCCACTCCACGCCAGTTTTTTAAGCTCACCAATATCCACATTGGGAGCAGCAAGCACAGTTTTGAACTTGCCCAGCTTGATGGAGTCTGTAGGGGCGCTCTTGCTCAGTGTGGAGTTGACAGAGAGGTCTGATTCTCCCCGAACGGCATTGAGTGAGTTAGAGGGGTCGTGGAGAATGCCAAACACCTGCGACTTGATATTGCTGGCGGAAATCTGTCGAATCGAAGGGTACACGTCTTTGCTGGATCGTTTTATCAGGTCGGGACGTTCAGATCCCTCGACCTTATTTTCCACACATTTGACAGCCTGGGTGTTGCGTAATCCGTTGTCGACGTTGGCGTCCCAGTCGTCATCCAGGTCGGTGTATGAACCGCTTCGTCGGGAGGGATCTTCTTCCTTGTCTTTGCTGGACTTCTTTTTGTTCTTCTTCATGTTGTCAGCGTGTGAGTAAGATGCTCCTACGACCTTGACGTCGTCATGTTTGTGTGTCTTGGATCCGTAGCTGGTGAGGCGTTTGAAAAAAGTGGGTGCTGTGGTTCCTCGGCCACCGTGTTCTCCAAACATGTATTCCGAGCCGTCCAGTTGGACCATTTCCTGAGTTAGTACATGCGGGCATAGCGAGCTTGTGAGTCGCACCATGTCTAGTGAAAGGGCGTATTGAAACATGTTTTCAGTGTCATCTCCAATATCAAGTTCATCAAGGATGACATGTTCAGACCCGTAGGGTGAGAAATTCCACAAATAATGCTCGATATTCGCCAGCACTCAATAATACCACAGTCTGTTCCTCTTGTGACGCAGTTTCATCCCGAAGTCCTTCTTCATGACCAGCCGCCATCCTAGGTATTGTGATATTGTGGTCGATCTACTCACCTGTTTAGGCATGATGAGACGGCTTTTTTAGGCGCTTTGCAACCCCGTTGAATATGGGTGTAAGTTAGTATTGAGTGAGAAAGTCGAATAATTCTCAACGTGTTGTTATCGTCGGCTGAAACGATCTGGTGGTGTGTTGTGGTCGTATGTTATGTTTCCATGTATTGCTGTCGTGTTGAGCTGAGCATGCCTAATATTGAGTTTGGATAAGGGCGCAGGGCTGAAAGAGGAGGTAGCGCAGGGAAGTGGGGGAGGAGGGGGTTAGTTGCAAGTGGTGCCTTGATCGGGGAAGGCCCAGCGTCTTTTCCTGGAAACATCTCTGTAGTGAAGTTTGTAGATCATAACCTGTGATCAATGCTCATAACCTGTGGTGATAAAAATCTGGAGTGGAAATAGGTTGTAACGAACAAGACAACACTATTGTAATAGTACCACCGCCCACCTATGTGACACCTCATTTATCCCGACAACTAAGGGTTTCTTTCTGGAAACCTGAGGGGATTTTGAAGCCTGTCGGTTTCGATATGGCATAAATAGGGTTTACAGTACCTTCATCTGAATGACTGTCTGTAAGTACCAACCAGAGTCTTGTGCGAGTGGAAAGTCTCATGATGTCCGTTTCTAGTTGTTACTATAATAACTGTCTGGTGACTTCATTAGGCTGTATTTATAGTACTTGATTATCGATATGAGCTCCTAGAGAAGACACCCTTTAGTTAACATCTTGTTGAGAAGAGAAGTAAAGTAGTAATAAGCTCACAACAGTGGAGCAAAAAAAAGAAGAGCGAAGATGCAGAAATACTGTTGTACTTAGCATGTGTGTATTGTAGATATAATCACGACCCAGACCTGGGTTACATCAGTAGGTCCCGGATAATTTTCAACCTCATTTCGGTGTTTGATACGGGGGTTTTGGCATCGAACAAAGAACGGAAAGCGGAAGAATTGAGCCCAATTTTGAGACATGAATTATGTGCATCTGGCACTGATAGAGTAGCTAGGTATCGTTAGTTGTAGGTGTACCAGCGGGGATACTCCATCGTGTCTCACCAGTCTCAGGCTCCACTTACATTTCACACATGTGTCAGCTTTCAAACATATATCTGTATATCTCACCGAAGGAAGCCGCCAATAGCCACAGGACCCGGGTCCAACCTGTGCATAACGCATGAGCTTAATATATAAATTTCCTGGAGGGATGCGGATATGGTGCATATCGCTTACCCAGCTTACAGGACCCGACTTTTGACCGACTTTGCTCTTTTTTTTCTCTTCTTCTTTTCTTAGAGTCTTCTCTCTGTGTTTCAACAACAACATCCACCACCTACCCGTCTCTTGACCGACAATGTCCCTTCCTTGCAAGACTATTCTGGCGTCGACCATCGCTAAGCCCTTCACCGAGGAGGTGGAAAACGGAGTGTCTCAGCTGGGCCGAAAGCCCAGGCTGGTAGGATTTCTGGCCAACAATGATCCCGCCGCCAAGATGTACGCAGATTGGACCGGCAAGACATCCGAGAGCCTGGGCTTTGAGTACGACTTGCGGGTGCTGGACAAGGAGGATCTGGAGGAGGCCATTGTGACTGCCAACAATGACGATGAGGTCGACGGTATGATGGTGTACTTTCCCGTATTTGGACCCGGCCAGGATTCGTACATTCAGCAGCTCATGTCGCCCGACAAGGATGTGGAGGGTCTGTCCCACATCTTCATCAAGAACCTGTACCACAATGTGCGGTTTTTGGATGCTCCTGAGGACCGGCAGAAGTCCATTCTGCCATGTACTCCTCTGGCAATTGTCAAGATTCTCGAGCACCTGGGTGTCTACAACGCTGTTCTTCCCTACGGAAACAGGCTGTACGGCAAGACTGTGACGGTCGTCAACCGATCCGAGATTGTCGGCCGACCTTTGGCTGCTCTGCTGGCCAACGATGGAGCCATTGTCTACTCGTGCGACATCACCGGCATCCAGAAATTCACTCGAGGCGAGGGTCTGTCTCTCAAGCGACACAACGTCGAGGACGTCAAGGATATGGATATTCAAAAGTGTGCTGCTGTCTCTGACGTCATCATCACCGGAGTTCCTTCCGCCAGCTACAAGTTCCCCACCGAGTGGGTTCGATACGGAGCCGTGTGCATCAACTTCTCCTCAGAGAAGAACTTTGACCCCTCCGTCAAGGAGCGGGCTGCCCTCTACGTGCCCTCTATTGGCAAGGTGACCATCTCCATGTTGCTGCGAAACCTGCTGCGTCTGATCAACAACAAGGTCATCCGACAAGAGGAAATCAAGGAGAAGGAGGCCAAGAAGGCCAAGGTTGAAGAATAGACGATTGACTGAAGTCGATTGTCCAAGAAAGTGGACAACCATCATGGTCACCACTCGCGCGTATGTATTGAGCGAAATAGCGTAATTGTAAATCATATGGAATAGTTGAGATGGATGAGGAGTGGTTATACCAGAACCGCGAGGTGTTCTAGTATCCATTAAGAAGATCTCCGTTTTGTTGAGTTAATAATACCTCTCTGTCTGGTAGCATTTACGGGATGGTTATTGGACCCTTCTGGAGTAGCCGAAACCAAACGCTTGGATCTCTTAGAAACATCTGATCTAAAGACATCTCCATATTTAGTCTCAATAGGAGGTTCGGATAATGACAGACCTCCATGTCAACTGTTGTAACAACAATCTATGACTTTTCTCTGCGATTACCCCACAGTTTCTCCAGTGGTGTACGACCCACGGCACTAAAAATACATAAGCACAAGCTCATGCTACAAGTAGGAGAACAGTAGCTAATGGTGGAAACGATTTTTAGAAAGTCTTAGACACAACCAGATCTGACCCTCAAATGTCAACGTCGACGGTTACTGTGACAGGACGACAATATGCCTTAGTGTGTACGTAGATGAAGCAGCCCATTCAGATACAGCTTCACGCAATACCAGGGATCCATGCAACCACTGCTGCTTCGTAGATGAATCTTCAGCCTGGCTGATCCCATCAGTGTGGAACAGCTCATAGACCGTCCAACTTCTTCCCACAACCACGTTTCTCTCTCCCAACCTTGAGTGAAAAGCCTTTGTCTTTTGTCTCATTAACGTCAACCGAAGGTGTGTGACACTTGGCGAATGGCGAATAGTACCAGTAGCGCTACAGATACTCTTGAAATTGTTTGTAAATGGCCTTGAATGCCTCCTGTAAGAAAGTCGTATGATCTACTTGCAATACTCGTACCCGTAGCCCTCGTGGTCTATACATGGATTGCGCACAGTATCGCTTATATTGGTTGGGACATTAAATAAGCGCTCCCGTCTGTCTTCCCACGGCACTCCCTTTGGGAGCACAAGGCACACTTTAATTAAGGATCTATACTTTTTTCCATGATTTTTTTTCCTCTTCTTGCAACACTTCATCAACCGACCTACGGTAACCACAATAAACACGATTGACCTTTCAAGTGTTCTACTTTCGTGTTTTGCATACTAGAACTCTTGCCAGCGCTATTATTCCGCAACGGTCGCCTTTTATTCGCTTACTAATAACCACCCCAGCCAGCATCCAACATGTCTAAGGACAACATCACCGTTAGAGAGGAGCCGCAGTCCGAGATCTTTGTTGAGGACGAGTCTGCGATCCATAAGCATGGAAGCGACTCCGTTTTCGATGTTTTGGGCGGTATTCAGCCCGAAGAGCACTCTGTGAAGTCGGTTCCTGATTCCCCGGCTCCCCCTTCCTACCTGGGCCAGACTGACGACGAGAACAACGACTACCTCGGCCAGAACGTCCGAGAGGTCGACTCTGTGCTCTCTCCGTCCGGAACGCGACCCACCGTCCAGGAGGAAGAAGAGGAGGGTACCACCGACACAGAATCTGGAGAGAAGAAGAAACGACACCACTTGTTTGATTTCCTGTGGGAAAAACACTTCTGGATCATTTTCATTCACGGCCAGATTCTTGCTCTGTGTCTTGTCGCCACAAACACCTTCTCTTCCAAGCTGGCTAACGGTGGAGTGTCTGTTCCTGCCTTTCAGTCGTTTGTCAACTACTGCCTGCTGAACGTGGTGTTCACTCCCTACACCATCTACAGATACGGCTGGAACAAGTGGTTCAAACTACTGATTCGAGACGGTTGGAGATTCTTCATCTTGGCCTTTGCCGACGTCCAGGGTAACTACTTTATCGTCAAGGCTTTTGCATACACAAACCTGCTGTCTGCTCAGCTGCTCAACTGTTGGGCCGTCGTCATGGTCTGCATTCTGTCCTTCTTTTTTCTCAAGGTCAGATACCGATGGGCCCAGCTTGTGGGTATCTTTGTGTGTATTGCTGGTCTGGTTCTTGTCGTCGTTTCTGATGTGCTAACGGATAAGGACTACAAGGCCAAGGATATGGTCAAGGGTGATATCTTTGTCATTATTGGTGCCTCTTGCTACGGTATCTCCAACACTTTTGAGGAGTTCCTTGTGTCAGAGCGACCTCTCTACGAAGTTGTCGGACAATTGGGATTCTGGGCCATGTTCATCAACGGTGTCCAATGTGCTATTTTCGACAGAAAGGATATGCGTGATGCACAGTGGTCCGGAGAAATGGGAGGCTGGTTTGCAGGTTTCACCCTGGTCATGTTTGTTATCTACACCACCGCCCCTATTTTGTTCCGAATGTCCTCCGCTGCCTTCTACAACATTGGTATCCTTACCAACAACTTCTGGGGTCTGCTGATCGGTATCAAGGTCTTTGGATACACCGTTTTCTGGTTGTACCCTGTTGGATTCGTCTTCATCATCATTGGCCAGGTTGTCTACTTCATGCTGCCTGGTACTGTTCAGAATGAACACAACAAGCCGTGGCTTGGTGAGAACCAGGAACGAGGTATTGCTGGAGTCGGAACTGCCAAGAAGACCACTGTTGAGGTGGACTCTACCTTGAGCAGCAGCAGCGATGAATCTGAACATGTTCAACAGGAGACTGTTGATATTCCCCAAAAAGTGTAAATAGACAAACTGGGCCCACTAGTCATGTCTGTGCTGGGTGGTTATTAGATGATGAGTTTTATTAATCTTAGAATGAGATATGGTATATCTATCCGAACACATTAATTAATATGACGTACTTGTAGCCATGAACAAGTTTGCGTGTCCTTGTAGTGATCGTTTGTATGCCACTTCCTGTTTCATTATCGTGCCATTCGAACTCACAAACAATGAAGATAAAACACGCGTATGTACTACAGAACGAGCACATGTTACTGTAATATTGGTTTTTTTCAACCTCAGAATCATTTTTCATTTGCTTCCAACTCCGTTCTACTGCAACCTATAGTAAAGGCCCTCGTTCTACTGTAGCTGCTACTTATACAATAACTTCTTTCACTCCCTGTTCAATAAAGTTCGTCTCCAATATGCCTCTTACTGTACATACTCTTCACCATCAACTGGTCAGGTACCATGGAGACGTCTCTACTGTCCGATACCGAGCAGGAGGAGCGCGGCAAGCCACAGCTATTGCCCGAAGAGGAGGACCTTCTCGCGTTTCTCCGCATGGGAGGCGCAGCAGGTAATACAATCAACAGTGTCATGCCTCATCGCAGCATTGAAGAGTGGTCTGCTTGGGTAGACCACAGAGGTAACAGCAGAAGGTCACAAAAGCTTCCCAGTCGCTTGAGAGATTTAGATCGAGTTGGAGAATTCATTGATTCCAAAATTGCCGTCATTTCAAAGGCGTATCCCAAATGGTACCCTGATGCTCCGATGGAAAAGCCGGCCACTCCAGTCGAAATCAACCAGTTTCCGATTCTGACAGGTATGGATTTCGACATTATTAGATGGTACTCGCTCCTTCCAGGTAAGAGAACCAGCACCAGGGAACTCGATTATGCCATTGATGACGTCATGGCCCAACTGTGTGACAATTACCCTCACATGTCGATGCCGTATCTGGAGAAGTTTGCCAAAAACAGATTTGATCCGCAGTTCTATATGAAAGCAAGAGAAGCTGCTGCATTTTTTGAGGAGTACGAGAGGCTGTACGATGACTGGCTCGCTAAGGCGTTCCCGGAATACTACGCTTCGGGTGTAATGAGCCTGTACAAATTTGTGGAGAAGCGGGTGGTGGACGCGGAAACGTGGAAGGTTATCGAAAACATCATCAACAAGGGGGAAAACGGAAAACAGGTCATGTACAAGCTGCTTGATTACCTTCCTGCTAAACTAGTCCACGAAGCATTCTACAGGTCTTCGGGACTTTCTCAACCAGCCCTGAAGTTCATGAAAACCTACGGAGACGTGAGTGTCCCAATTTCGGGTATTTGGACGGAAACCCACGACCTTAATCTCATTGACAACGACCTCACTGTCATTGGTAAGTTGCATGGACCCACCAACATTGCTGTTCGGAAGCGATTCCTAGCATCCAAGGTCCCACACGTCAAAAAGAGAAGCGACCTCAGTGAAGAGCCGCTTACGGTTGAGGTAACTGATAACCTCAGCTTGTCAGGGCTGGTGGATTGTCCCAGTCCACAGACTTTACGGCGTGTCATGAAACAAGGAAGCCTGGATCCAGAGGCTGTAGCCCAGAGTAAGAAGCTACTTGAGACCCTTCCAGACTCAGAGTTTGCCGATACCGCCGACTTCATTGAGTCAGTGTACGAAGATTGAATACTGCATATATTTATTAAATCACACGCTTATGGTACTTGTAGCTATTTGTACTTGTAGAGAATCTTACACGACCAGAGTTCATCCTTCTTACACCTATGTAGAGGGTCATGTAAACTCCCAACTATTACTTGACGTGCTTGGAATTGTTAAGTGTGATCAGATGAGGACTTCTGTAGATCTGACACAAGATGCACATAGAGACTACAAGTAGCTGCTACATACCATCTTTATGTGCACCCCATCCTTCATCTCTTTTTGACACCAACTTCGTATCCGCGATTACAGTTTACAAGTACAGTATGTACTGTACTGTATGTACTTCTGAGATCACATTCATCGCTTTAACCTAAACAAGCCAACCCAACATCTGATCCAGTGCGCTATTGTACAGGTACAGTACTTGTAACCGCAAGAACTCATCTTACGCCACGACAACCCCAAGTTTTTTATTCCGCGTTATACATCAGCTCAGGTGACGCGCTGCATCTACGCCTTGACAGATTCACACTACTCAATTCACAGACAGACTCACATTCATCATCTCATCAAAACAATGACGACAGTAGAGACGATACGGAGACAGCTGGAGGAATTGCTGCCAACAGACACTAACGTAACTAATTCGCTTCTCATCGAGCTTTCTGAGTCTCATAACATGACCTCCGATTCCGTTAATGGCAGTACCTCTTCCCCCTCTGCCGCCTCCATTCTCTACTCTTCGTTTGATGACCCAGTATTGGCATCAAAATACGCCTCATTGGCGATTCGCCATGTCACTTCTGCACGTGAACTTGCACAATTAGGAAATGAACCTCCCCAATTACTACGGATCAGAAGTACATCTCGAGAGATTTTTATTCTGCCCAGCTTGGACAAGTACATTCTGATGACTATGACAGAGGTAGCATAAGTATTTACTGGCTTAATTGATCTGAGTGAATAAGTTATACCATGCGTCTAGTGGCAGTTTTCCGGTCTCGTTCTGTTTGCTGAAGGTACGACACCTCAACGATGAAAAAATGGAAGTGTGAGAGACGTTCGTGTCCATGTTATGACTTTGATAGGCTCGCGGGTCATATTTTTTGGTCACATCAGTATCGTTTTCCCCCACCCCTAAAGAGCAAGGCTGACTACATCTTTTTCGATTCATTCCCCTTATTCAATTAGTCATCACCTATCCCATTCGCTCCGAAATCTTCAACTTCGTTTCCTGTAAGGACCTACTGAGGGCTTGGGATGTGTCAGAAACCAGATCCGGTTTAGTCAGCAGTTCAACTCAGACCAGTGGTCCCCGTTGGTCTGCTACGGAGTACCACTTGTACTCCGGAAGTTGTTGGCAATTAACTTGATCCATTAAAATACAGCGTAACATCCTACATATACCCCTTCATCACAGGGTAACCCCTAACATCCGGGTAGCCCCTTAAGGTCACGTGGGAGGCACATGACATTCTCCAGACGTCCTTTAGGACGTCTCACTATTTCTCTAGTAAGAGATCACTCGTTTTTTTATTCTAATCTTTTATTTAATTTTTTTAATTTTCTAATCGATGACTAATCCTAGAACACCTTATGAGTCGATTTGATCTCTTACAGGATGTACCATTCCGCAATAGTTTAGTGGCTAGAATTTCCGCCTGTCAGAATGTACATTCAGCACGCGGGGGACCGGAGTTCAATTCTCCGTTGCGGAGAATCTTTTTGTCATCCTAATGAAGATCGAATAGTTATATTTGTCCTTTTTAGATGTTGGGCTCTGTGACTTATGTAAGTGACCTTGGTGTTGGTCCACTGAGCTTTCCTGCTATCATCTCTCTACTCTGCAGTTTCTATGAATTTACTTTTTGATGTAATTACTGTAGCGGTACCCCTCCATACATAAACACACACCACACACACCCACTTCCTTACTTAGACACACCTAACAAATTCCCAATTATGCATGTATAGTTAATCAACTAGAAGTCGCTCAATAACACCTAAAACAGTACACTTACAATGGCCTCAGAACCAGGAAACTCGATTTAAGACCTCATTAATACAACTCAATCACATATAACTCATAACTTCAGTTTCACACCCTTACTGTCACCGTCTAAAACGTCCTTCCTACCCACCATAAATCTTGCATGAACCCTAAAAAGATTCGATATATTTTTTCCAAAGTGAACAGACGCATAATCTGATACTTTCTGGATCTCCCACTACACAAGTTCCAAACGACCAATGCCGCCCAAAGCTCACAAGAAATTTGGAGATGATGGCTCTGAGGCTCCTGTTGGGTCACCTAAACCCGCCATCTCTTCTAACGCGGCTAAAAACGCCCTCATGGCCCACAAAGTGTCCAAGCCTGGAAACAAGCGATCTATTGTGTTTCCACAGGCCAAGAGGAATAATTTGGCATTGCGACGACTTAGCGGTGCCAAGAGAGAGTACGGTTTGAAGCGTCGATTGACTAAGGAGCCTGAGGAGGAGATTAGGACCAAGAAGAGTAAGCTGGAGGAGGTTGGCGGAAAGAAGCTGAATGGGAACAAGGGACATCCTGTTGAGAAGCAATCTGTCTCTGTGGACGATGTCGTTGACGACAGTGATTCTGACTCTGGAGCCTCTTCGTCCGAGGACGAGAGCATGGTTCCTGTTGAGGAGCTCTCTTCTGAAGAGGAGGATGGCGATTTCGACGATGCTGAATCTCAGGATGACAGCGACGACTCGGACGACAGTGACGCAGAATCTAACAGTTCAGAGTCAGATAGCGGTATGACTGTCGAGGAAAAGCGAGCTCTGGAGCTCAAGCGACTGTTGCAAGACGATCTGGAGGAGGATGATGAAGAAGCATGGGAGAAGAAACGGGCTGAGTCCAAGAAGGATTCCAAGAAGTCGAAAAACGCATCAAAGACCGGCACTAATGGATCTGCCAAAATCGTGAACTTCTACTCAGATTCGGATGAATCTGATTCTGACGACTCCGCTCCTGCTTCTTTTGGTGATCGTAAGAAGCTAGCTTTGAAGCTGCTGGAGACTCGAAAGACTCTGCAAATCTACAAGTCGCGCCATGAGCTCATGGAGCACGTGCTTTCCAACAAAGTAACCGTCCTGATCGGAGAAACTGGTTCCGGTAAGTCTACTCAGCTGCCCCAGTTTCTGCTGGAGTCTTCTCCTGATGAAAAGATCGCTATTACTCAGCCCAGACGAGTTGCTGCCATTTCGCTGGCTAAGCGAGTCTCCGAGGAGTACGGTTGCACTCTTGGAAAGGAGGTCGGTTACACCGTGCGTTTCCAAAACCAGAGTAGCCCAAGCACTAAGATCAAGTACCTCACCGATGGTATGTTGCTTCGAGAACTCATGCTAGACAATGATCTGAGCAAGTACTCAACGGTTATTCTTGATGAGGCACACGAGCGTACAGTTCTGACAGATCTTCTTCTTGGATTTCTCAAAAACCTGGTCCAGAAACGAGACAATCTGAGAGTCGTGGTCATGTCTGCTACACTTGATGCTGAGCGATTTGCCAACTTCTTTGATGGCTGTCCCATTCTGCTGGTCGAGGGCAAACAGTATCCCGTTGAGCGGTTCTATCTGCCGACTGGAGCTGACGATATCGTTGATACAGTGTGTCAGAGTGTGGTCCAGCTCAACAGCTCGGAACTGTCTGGAGATATTCTGGTCTTCTTAGCTGGTCAGGAGGAAATTGACAAATGTGTCGATGTTATCAACGAAGTCGCCGACAAGGTGTCCAAGAAGGTACCTCTGATGGTTCCCCTTCCTTTGTACGCGTCTCTGTCTCCTATTAAGCAGCAGGCTGTATTCAAGCCCGTCAAGCCAAACCAGCGAAAGGTCATTTTCTCCACAAATATCGCCGAGACATCGCTAACCATCTCCGGAGTGCGTTATGTGCTCGATACTGGTCTACGGAAGGTTAAGGTGTGGAAACCGGAGCTTGGACTCGACACTCTGTTGACTACCCCAATTTCGCAGTCGTCAGCTCAGCAACGAATGGGACGAGCTGGTCGAGAGGCGCCCGGAAAGTGTTTCAGACTGCTGCCTGAGTCGGACTACTCCAACCTCGCCCCTCAAACCGAACCTGAGATTCTTAGATGCGATGTGGCTAGTGCACTTCTCATGCTTAAGAAGGCTGGTGTTGACAAGGTGCACCGATTCCCCTGGATCCAGAAGCCTAGCAAACAGGCTATTTCGTCGGCTCTGCTCAAGCTGTACGCACTGAAGGCTCTCGATGACAATGGAAAGATCACAGATCTCGGCCACAAGATGGCCGTTCTGCCTGTGACACCACATTTGGCTGGTGTTCTCATCCATGGATGTCAGTCTGGTGTTGCTCAGAACGTCATTGACATTGTTGCCTGTCTGTCTGTCGAGAACCTGCTCATGAACCCTCATGCTGAGGTGCGAGATGAGGTGAACGAGAAGCGACGAAACTTATTCCCCCAGGCTCTGAAGCACGGAGATCTAGCTCTTCTTCATGGTCTGATCCGAATGTACATGTCCATGAAGGACTCTAAGGACCGCACTCTGCTGTGCAAGGAGATTGCTGTGAACCAGAAGAGTCTGAAGAACGTGCTGCAAATCAGACAGCAACTAAGAGGCTACCTTGAGAAGGTGTGTGACTTGTCTGAGAATGACGATGACAAGGCTGACTTCTCTACTATCATCAAGATCTTCCTGGCTGGTTTTATTAACAACACTGCCTTGGGATCATCTGATAGACAGTACAGAACTGTTAACGGAGGACATAAGATTGCCATTCACCCGTCGTCCATGATGTTTGGAAAGAAGATTGACGCCATCATGTACGTCGAGTACGTGTTTACCACCAAAGGATATGCTCGAACAGTGTCTCCTATTGATCTTGCATGGTTGCAGGAGATTGCCCCGCATTTCTTGGGCAACAGACAGAGAGATGATTAAGCGGCATGTACTTGTAGCTCATGCCCAAGTGAGCTTCACGACACCACAGAATTGCTACTGTGTACCCATAGATAATGTATATATTCACTAGATCAATGTATCATATGAGTTTCAGAAAGGAGGCAGATAATTCTCGAGGAAGTTGCCAAACCAATATTCCCCAAAACTTTCCCAACAGGTCAAAAACCACTGTTGATGTTTCATCTTATAATAAGACCTCTTCTGGCACGTATAGTATGTACATGTACTTGCTGTACGTTAACACGTTTTATATACTTAGCTTATCACCTCAACACCCATCTGTTGAGAGCGGCTCATACTCAAATTCTGCCGCCATTTACACATAACTAGTTCCGAACCTGTCCACATTTCTGCTCCTCGTGCACATTCCCGCTAACAGAAACACGCCTAAGCATGTGAGTCTTCTACTAAACCGCGAACCCGCGTATGGGCTGTGCTTGAGCTCAGAGGAGCATCTTGGTATGTAAAGGGCAGGCGCAAAAAGAAGCTGTACTTGAAACACGACTCGTGCGACCTTGGGAAAAACTTGGTTTGTGAATCTTGCTATTTTTAGCAGTGTTTAGGATCACTGAAGACAGAGCGTGAGCTACACTATGGTATGTACAGATCTCGAAACTCTACAGTCGAGGGGGCCCACAACACGAGGCCAGGAGCATATGACGAAGGGAAAACGCAGCTGATCTCAGTATGGTTGGAATCGTCTTGTCGAGAGCTGGTGATTGCACTATGTAAGATGTCTCCAATTCTTCTCTGACAGACGTTAAATACAGCTCTCGATCCGACTCGATTCCGCTCGCGTGCCCAACATAGTTACAAGTAGTCTGTTTCAGTCTTCAAAACACAGCCCACAGTACATATAGACGAACACCCGAATACCCAGAAGAGACCTACCAAACTGTACTCGTAGTCGTATCGACTTTTCCGGGCATACATGTCTGCTGTGTAGAAGACGATGTTTTGCATGTGAGAGGTGCAGATCCACGTGAGACATATGTCCCGATCTCACGCGCTGTTTAAGAGGGTTCCTACGTTGGAGCGCAGGAGTAGAGCTCCCCCAGGGGCGGTGGTGGCGTGGGTAGGTTGATGTCCATCTTCGTTGTCCCATGATGTTGCTTGGAGGACAATAATATCGCTATTGTAACTATCTTACAAGTGCTCATCCATGACAGTACCTACAAGTATGTACCAATAATTAGAGAATGCATCAATGTGAGGTCCTCAAATTATGCCACTCATTTCCTCCGGACACGTGTTACAGTACTGGTAGATAATATCTGAAGAAATCGTTTTAATCCCCACTTTCAGGGGACTCGCCAGATACCCTCAGTTTGCGTCCATACTATATGAGCACCACCTTCAATGGCTGCCTGTTGGACGTTGGCCAATATTGCTAAAATGTACGCTAAAATCGCCAATGTCACTTTTGACAGCCATAGTGACGTATCGGCTAGTGGGCTAAAGTGGATACCTTGTCTTGAAAACTGACGCGGATCTCTCGGCTAGGCAAACATCGGTGAACTCATTTTTGCGCTCTGTTATTTCACGCTTTTTTTATGGTCTGTTCTGTACTGGGTGTATTACCTGCACAATGTTTGCGTCTCCTTTTTTTGGCATGGACATTTCAGCCTCCTGAGATTTGCTGTTTTTTAAGTTCGGGTCCTGAAACAACTGATGATCAGATTTCAGGACCGTGGTGACAGGAACACCTCGGAAGCAACGGAAGAAAACGACATAATATTAGACCCAGTGTCACTAACTATCTTCTGGTCGAATACGGAAGTTGTAGCTTCACTACGACAACTGATAGAAGCGGGCATCGGTATTTCCCCCTTGTACAGTTCTTAAACTTTATATAGAAGGGTGGAGGAGCATGGGCTGGTGGACTTTGATACTGAGAGATATATTGTGTTATCAACGGGGTAAATGATACACATGTATATTGGATGGGTGGAAGAAACCCACGGGAAATTTCTCGCATCTGGCGGTGGTCACTCACTATATCCTGCTACACCACGTTCCACACCAATGACGTAATAGACCTCCTTAGACGCACCTTCCCCACAAGCTTCTCTTTGTCCGTGGCCAGTAGCGTTCATGAAAAGGCGTTATAATAAAACAGGGGCGGATAGTTGGAGCTAACCAAAAGTTAATCAGCTGGCTTCAGTAGCCCACGGAGAAGCTAAGTAGCAGCTGCAACTACCATTAAGCTATTACAGTAGTGATCGTTATGACTGGCTGCATCCCTGATCGGCGGAATGTGTGACCAGGACATTTGTACTTGTACATGTGACAGAGGAGTTGCTGCGTGGTGAAAAGTGATTGGGAACGCGACATTACCATCGTCGTCACGCAGTCTAATATAAAAATCAATAGTAAGGCCTCACCAACCGTTGGCACAAAAACCGACGAGAGCCCTAGCACCGTCATGTCGTCCAGATGACCTGAGGGTGGCAGCCATGTAAACTTCTGAAGCAACACATGGTTGGAAGTTAAGAAGGGCAAAGTTTGATTGGAATGCGGCACGCGATGGTGATTATATGAGCTATTACGGTAGGTATTTTGATGTTCTGAGTATCGGAATACTTCTGGAATTAGTAAATACGCCATGATTCAATTTTTCAGAACTTGAATAGTGTCTATACTGCGGATTTTGCTCCACTTTTCGTTTTACATTCCTTCCGAAACAGAGTTCAATGCGTATCCACTTGTTACAGAATAAGTTAATTGAACACGCTTAAATACGACCTTCTGTGTTCTCGATTGTAGCAAACGGCATACCATCATTATCTCTATGACTCAAGAATTCCAAAGATGTCCTCACATCAGCCCTAGCTCCATTATTGCTGCTTTAAGAACCGTTTTCCTAAAAAATTAACTCAGCCGCCCCACTAAGTTGCACTGCAGCATACCCAAACAATAGGGCATGACAAGGTTTTGGCAGGGTCCTAATACTCCTCTTCTCCTACACACGCTCCTTTTTTTGACAGAAGTTACTCAGTTCTACTAAAAACAGCCCGTTTAACGCTACAGCCGAAAACGCTACACTCTCCTTTCAGCCTCACCGCTACCACACTCCTTATCATCAGACACACGCACTGGTTGCGTCACATTCCTTACCACTAGCCACTCCTTACTCAAACGACAAACTAACGACATCATACGACGAGGTCACGACACTGTCACTACATTCCTTTATTATTTACACGAACGAGCACAGACACTTCAATTACACTGCAATTACACACACGACAACTTCAATTACACAAATGGAACACATCGACTGGACTTCTCTGTTTGAAATCGAGGCCAAGTTGGTGACTTCGGCCCACCCCGACTCGTCTCAACTGCTCCTCGCCAGACTAGAGAAACAGCAAAACTCTCGACAATCGTCGCCCCGAGCCTCGCTGTCTGCGCCTGACGACATCTGTACCATTCCCCTGGACCAGCTGGAGCATCAGGTCAACACATACGAGAGCGCCATTCCCGGCATATCCTCGTCGCCTGTGTCCCAGAAGGACCTGTCGTTCTGGTCGGCCGCTATGGTATCCTTTAACGACTGCGCCACTCGAATCCCCCACTACTCGTGCGACATGGTGAGAGGGGGTGTGCCTCCTGCTCTCAGAGGAGACATCTGGAAGTCCATGGCCTACACTTCTGGAGGCGACTGTGGTTCCAGCGAGGACATTGCATCTCTCAAGTACCTCTACGACTCGCTGGCCAACGAGTGGACCCCCTACGTCAAGATAATTGGCCGAGACCTGCACCGAACATTCCCCGAAATCGACTTGTTTCGAGAACAGGAAGGTAAGGGCCAAATCATGATGGGTAAGGTGCTACGTGCCTACTCGGCCTATGACATGCAGGTGGGCTACTGCCAGGGCCTGACGTTCCTGGTGGGACCTCTGCTGCTGCACATGGATGATTGCGACGCGTTCTGTGTGCTAGTCAAGTTGCTGGAAAACTATGACCTGCGGTCCATGTTCGCAGCCGACATGGCCGGCCTGCATCTCAAAATGTTCCAATTTGAGAGCCTGTTGGAGCAGCAGCTGCCTGAGATCCATGCCCATCTCAAGTCGCTCAATATCAACACTATCTACGCTTCTCAATGGTTCATGTCACTGTTCGCTGTCACCTGCCCTCTGCCTATGCTGGTACGTATCTACGACCTGATGTTCCTTGAGGGCGTGACTGAAACGCTCATGCGAACCGCTATGGCCATTCTCAAGCGAAACAAGTACAACATTCTTAACATGACCGAGGAAGAGGACGTGCTGCAGCACCTACTGGGACGACGTCTGTGGGACGTCTACGGAGGGGACGGGGATCTACTTGCTAGTGACATCACCAGCGCTCATCTAGGATCTCCCGACGTCCTCACCCAGCTGGAGCATGAGTATGAGACCATGCTTGAGGAGCGACGACGGGTTAAGGATCTCGCCAAGGAGATGAAGGACGTGACCCCGCTGCCTAAGAGCAGATCTCCCAAGCGGTTCTTTTCGCAGGGCTGGTCTCTGTCGTCGCTCCGAGTCCCTGGCGACCGGTCAGCTTCTGTCTCGACTAATTCCGACCGTTCAACACGGTCCGTGTCCGGCTCCGGAGCCTCCATGGTGTCGGTCGACACCGAAATCATGTCCCAGGTGGACTATGCATCCTCTGTGTCGTCATTCGACATGTCTCCTACTGCTGGTAAGACGGAGGCTGCGGTTGCTGCTCTTGAACTGGAGCTTCAGCAACTGCGAAAGGAACTGGAGCAGGAGAAGCAGGAGCGAAAGAAGGACAGAGAGGTGGTTGGAGCCTACATCAAGGGCGTCGCCGCCGAAGATGGCTCTTTGGACATGCTCAAGAGCCAGTTCGGAGAAGCTTCTTCTTCTGCACTTTCATACGAAGATCTCATGATGCAGCTGGCTGAGAGCAAGACCAACGAAGCTCTTGCCAAGCAGCAGATTGAGGATCTTCGGGACGAGCTCTCGCAAATGGGACTCTCCAAAGACACTCTCATGGTGCCCAAGACCACCGCAAAGCACTCCAAGAAGGAGAGCGGCACTTGGCTCAAGTGGTAGATTATTTATAGTTCAACCTAGCATTATTTAAACATCTTCATTCATTGAGTTGAGTGTGTTTCGTACGAGCAGTAGTGATTGGTTTTGTATCTGTCTTTACATTGCTTGCCAGTACATGTCTAATGGTCTGCAATCACAATCATGTACAACATGGCTGGCTTCACAACACTTCTAAAACTGACGTATGTACAGGTATGAGACAGTATGTACAGTATGTACAGTACAGTAGTAACTGCAGAAGGACCTTGGTGGGACTTGTTTCTGGTAAAATTGTGGCCAGTCATGGAATGGTGTTGCCTTTAGATTATGCAGCCACGGTTACTTGTGTTCAGATTGGTGATGTCGAGGCCATCCAAGTTACTTCTGCATGGGCTGCTTCTAATAACGACATCGAAGACATCTATAATAGGCAAGTGCTATACGCGTTAGCTAAAAGTAGTTGCGAATGATACTTGACAGATGCCTCTAGCCATCTCGTAGGTTGACAGCAGAGTTACAGTAGGACATCGACATGCTTTTGGCATTGTTCTTGATGCTACAGTAGTCTAACATTGTCTTATTGGCGCTAAATTACAGGTACTGTATCTACAAATATGATACTCGATGCACAACTAACTATTCATAACTTCAAGTACTCTTACTTGTAGAGTGTGTGATGGTACTTACTCATTCAGCACGACTTCTAGCCATCTTGACGACAGTTATCGTGGTGACTCCATATCGCATACTACACACACCCCTCTTCGTTTCAGTCACACACTTGGATTACTCCTTGCGTGTATATCATACATTCATAATACATAATAAATAACTAGCCGTTTCGGGACTTGACATAAGCAGAGCATCTGTGTCTGATCTTGGTGACGATTTCCACACACTGTGCTACGGAAACGGCCTCCAGATCGTATCGCTTTGGCCCAGAGGGCTTGTTGACGACAATTTTGAAGTTTGAAGGCACCTTTCGGGACTGCTTGCACTTGATGATACGGCCCACGTGAAACGAAGACGTTTTGGACGTTTCAAATTTGGTTTTGTCGTCTGACGGCATGATGTGGATGTATTCTCCATCGAATGCAAGCACCTTTTCATGCTTACTAATGAACGACATGGGTTGACGTCTCCAGACCTGGTACTTTTGGTACGCATCAGAACCTAGATCGTCTGAAGGAGAAGATGGGCCAAGTAGAAAGTTTTGAGGGGCGTGCTTGAGCGACTTTCCAGACAGCTTTCCAAGAGCTCCTCCGGCCACTGACCCAGTGTGTGTAAACAGAGCTGCGGAGCCTCGAGGAATAATCGGGGCAGCTGGATTTTGAGATTTGGGAGGGTAGATATATCCCACTGATTGTGATACATACTTCTTCTGCAGCAGTTCCAATTCATGGTGTCCCTGCAGTGCCTCCACAGTTCGGTCTCCCGGTGCAATGATCTTGGTACCAAAGAGAGCAAGAGTGTAAAGGGAAGTATCGCAGCTTCGTCGTTTGCAGATGGTTTCAAGCACTTCGGCAAGATAACTGCCTCTATCGACGTTGAGTGTGACGGTATTCGTGGACTCGAGATGGATTCGAAGCCGAACAGTCTCCCTCTCGATAGTGGTCGGAAGAGCAGTGGTTGAATCATCATCAATGATCATAGTTGGAGGAATAGGAACAGGGACGCCCCCAGTGGCGCCTGGAGAAGCCTCTGTCTTAGCCTGCACACCAAACTTGTTGGGCGTGCGTTTCTTGTTTTCAATGTATTCACTGGGAGTGGCTTCAACCAGAGCAAACTCTTCTCCGTAGCGGCTGAGCTCTGTAGTTCGATCAAGCACGATATCTTCATCCACTTCTCCATCTTCGACCATGTAACAGTTCCACAGGTTGGCGTCACACTGGGCTGGTGTAAGAGCCGGCTCAAGGTGGTTCAGAGAGTATTTGTATAGTGCAAAACCAATAGCGTGGCTGACAGTCACATCCGGAAGAAGAGAGACCTCCCAGGGAGTATCGGGACACGCACTGCTTGGCATATACATGTAGATGTTGAGAGGCTTTTTGGTGGCCTTTCCAGAAGCACTCATATATTCGTCGAGGGGGTTGTCGAGAGTAGAAGACCTGTCCTGGATTTGGCTGGACAGCAAACTGGTATGTTGCCGTTCAGTAACGAGTTGTAGACGGCTAAAGTCCTTCTCGAACAATTTGGTATCGACCTTTTGGGTTGATTCTGCAGGGAGAGAAGCGGTAGTGTTACTTCTTGGTCTGGGTGGAACCACCCCGCTCATTCGGCGACGATTCTTGAGACTCTGTGGCTCAGGGATGACATCAACAGAAGTTTGCCGCTGTGGTTCACGTCGCTGAGACAGCCATGAGGTGTTGGAATTGGCAGTCTTGGACAATGAAGAGCCTGCAGTGGTCACAGAAGCAGTAGATGTGGCTCTGGGCATGGACGATTTTGTGTTTGTCTTTGAAATGGGCATCTCCAGGTGTTCGTCGGAGTCATCTGAATCCACCACGAGCCCTTGTTCGTCGGTAGGATAGATATAACTGCTTTGAGGATCGAGCTCCGAGTCCACATTAGCAGAGGATATAGCAGCATATGCATCCCCAGAAAGAGAAGTGCCTTCGTCGAATGTCATGGATGGAACAACAATGATCTCCTCGTCATCTTCTGACGAAGACATGATGCTGGAGTCGCTGCTATGATGGTCATCAATTCTGGGAGTCAGTTGATGCACATCCAATACGCCTGAACCTCCTGCTTCGTCTTCACTTTCCTCTTCGTCAAAATCATCGTCGTCTCCTGACGAGTTTGAGTCGTCGTATTGACCAGAGAACCCTCCACTTGCCATAATGTCCTGTTGCTTGTAGGTATCGCTGGAGTCCATATAACTCTGAGCTAGAGGCACCCCTGAGGCTCGTTTCTGTGTGTTTCGTCGTTTCAGTCTGATGACTCCTCCATTAGTGTGATTCTCGTCGTCTGCCATTTCATCTTCGTCCTCATCGCTCATGTCGTCAAGCCTCAACTTCTGTCGTCTATATGCCAGAGCTTTCTCGTTGAGTGACGATGAAGCTACAGGCGGAGATTCAGCCTTCAGAAGAATCGTAAGCGACTCATTTTGCCAATCCTTTGAATGGTCGTGTCGAAGGTATCCTGGGACGGGCTTGACCAATGCTGGCGCGACTGAATCGTGAATGGAATCGACATACTTGGCCCGAAGATGTGTGATGAGGTAGTCTGGGTCTTGTAACAGACTCATTTCGGGTCGGAAAAGAACGGAATTAGTACTGTTGGGATCGGAGTAACTCTGCGAGTGTGAAAAAGTCGTGCCTGTGTTGAACAAACGGCTTGTGAAAGTGTCGCGTCGTGTGTTAGATCCCCCTCCCTATGCCCGCACAATAGAGTATATCGCTCTGGAGTGTACATGCTGCATGTATGTGGGGGAGCTTAAAGTCGCAACAGTGTAGCGTACATACTGGTCCGGTCCCAATACTGCAGCACAACTTTCCAGCCAATTACACTGCGTAGCCTGGCTCCCGACAAATTCAAAAAAGACACCTATTCACATCACGACCTTAACAACCAAAAATCAACAATGGGTGCCGCATACCACATTCTCGGAAAGACTGTCTACCCCCATCAGGTGAGTGTTTGAGGGGTGTTTACGAGGGCATTGCCCTGGCAAAGAATTGTCCTGGTGTTCATCGTCAGGTTTACTAAGAGGAGGATGTGATGAGGACATTAGACAACATGACGGAGGAAATTGAGGAAACTAGAGCTATGGAGGGATGATGTTTTTGCTATAAGAACACAGGGATGATGTTTGGGAAGACAATTGACAAGGATGCTCTCGTGGATAGAGGTTTTGTGTGGTGCTCGGGTCACATCGTGGCCATCTGATTGAGAGCAAGGTGAGGGAAGTAACATGAGAAGCAAGGCATATGTTAATTGCGGAATGGATGCGATTGCTGTATCCTTGTGGATACTTCGTTTTGGCCTTGTCTGATTGTCTTGGTTCTGCTCAAGCTATCCTGTGTGACGTCCATGCCTCAAACGTCGAAGTGTTACTATCGGAATGTGCCTCAAATGACCATTACAAGTCATCCAACTAAGCTATTTGTTCCCACTACAAACCAACACACAAGCTACCCGTTCAATACTAACTCAGCTCGCTATCGGAACTATCGTCTCTGTCGTCGGTGGTATCGTGATTGCTTCTTCTGGCAAGAAGGCTGAGAAGCCCGCTGCCCCCGCCATCCAGGCCGGCTCTTCCGACGAGGAGAAGTTCATTGCCAACTTCCTCAAGGAGCAGGAGGCTGCTGAGAAGAAGTAGATATGTCTTTTTCAATGTGATGATTAGATTATGATTAAATCGAGCGAGTGCCTGACCCTGAGTTCACGCAGTGCAAGGTAGGAACAAAGCAAAACTGTAGTCTTTCTGTTGTAGCATCAAACACCTCATAAACACTAACGATTCAGCCCCGTTTAATACATTTACTTACGTTACCTTACATGTAGTGTATAGCTAACATCAGACATGGTTGGAATGCCCACGCCAGTACTTACCCATAAGGCCATCGTGGAACTTCTTACAATGGCCCCATAGATCACACTTCCTACCATAAGCTGATTTGCATAGGAGACACACATACGTCTTAATGCAGTGGACAGTGAACATGTGCATCCGCAGATCTCGCAGGGTCTCAAATGCATCATGACACTTCCTCTCGGGATAGCCATATATACACCTGATCAAAGTGTATCTGCCGTGGTAAAACACAAGCCCTCTGAGCTGCCTGACACTGTGCAGATGCGCCCAGAGTTGTGGGTTGTATCTGAGGATATCCCAGGTGATATCCCTCCCCCGATAATCGTGTCTGTCGTAAGGGTCTGGTTGACAGGCGTGTTGTTTGCCATACATATTGCTGTATTCTTCATCACGCCTGTCGCCTTGGTGAGCTTGGCTCCCTTTTTGAAGCCCTTTGGGCGAATCGAAATCCTGAACGCCCAGTAAAGAGCCCTGATCTCGAGGACCGGTAGGTGTTCCAGTAATTGGCCGCGGGAAAGATTCCTCCAAGGCTGAACAAGGCCTGAGGGCGCGAGGACCTGTAGGTGGCTGGGGTGAAAGTTTTGAGGGGGACAATTGATTATACGAACTCTTCCTTTCGGATAAGCCTTCTCTGTCGTGTTGAGCGTTCTGGGACTCAAGGACTCCAGGAGAGCTGGCTAGGTCAAGCTCTTGGGGTCCAGGTAGCTTGAGAGGTGGGGAAGATGAGGTAGGCGACATGGGAGCCAGGCAATCCGAACTCTTACCGGGCTCCCAAGGTGTTGGAGAGTTTACAGCCACATCTTCCATCTCAGTCTTCATATTGGTAGGTGGGTGAGACGAATGAGTGGCCTCCACCGCAGACTTTGACTTCGCTGTAGACCCTGGCTTCGGTGCAATGGCAGAGCTAATGTCATTAGCTGGTTCTACTGGTACCTCAAAAGAATTGTACTCATCTGGCGGGTTAGCCTCATCATTAGTCATCTCATTAAGAGCAGGCTTCTCGAAGAACAACTCGTCAATGGATGTGTCCATGTTGGAATATTCGTAATCAGCCTTTCCATCTTCAACACCTTGACCCATGTCTGCTCTCCCGCTCACATGCTTGCTCTTCTTGTTGCTGCCCTTCTCTTCTGTACCATTTGCACTTGTCCTCTTCCTATCGAACTTCCCACTCCCATCTCCCACCAACTCATTGAATTCTCCAATTAGTTCACTTGTGAGATCGCTCTCGCAGTCAATCTCTCGCGATCGACAACCTTGTCGTCGACCATTAGGAGATTGATCCTCCGAATCACTATCACTGGCGTTAATGGAAACTCCTTCCTCATTCCAACTGGCATCTGAGTCTTCGCTTCTGTGTTCTTTGCGACGGGAGCCCAATTGTTTGGCGTAGCTGTTGGGATTCTCATTTGTCAACACTGCCAGTGGCTCTCTTCCCCTTCCCTTAGTCTTCGATCCTGGAGTTTTCTTGGGCTTGGGACATGTTTTGGGCACCGGTTTGATCAAAACAGCCACCTCTTCCGCAAAACTTGGCTTTCTCCGTTTGAGCCGTTCTACTTGGGGCTTCGCAGTTCCATTTGAACCTTTGCGCTTCTCAAAAGAAGGCAGTTTAGGAATCAAGATGCGAGAAAGGATTTGGGAAGCATGCTCGGAAGATGAGAGACCTGTTTCAGGAGAGATCTTTGCGACAGCAATTTTCTCTTTAGAAACAGTTTTAGAGATAGCGGTTGTGGCAGCTGGCTTCTCACAAGGACCGTTACCTATAGATGATGACAGTGTATGCGATGTAGCAGCGTCAGTAGCAACATCAACTGGAGGTGCAAATACATCAACAGTAGAAGGCACTTCACCGGAGGACACTTCTGACATCGAGTTTACAGATACCCCTTCTGTGACCCGACTCACGACATCTTCCAACCCCTCATCCCCTCCACTACCCAACTCAATCACACCCTTTTCCTTCTTCACCTCCACAGATTGTCTTACACTCCCTAGCTCAGTGAGGGCAGCCTTGAGACCCGTAATCCTAGCCATCAGACCCTCAAACTCATCTTCGAATTTCTTCTCTTCCTCCTTGATCTGTTCATTCAATCGCTTGTCTAAGTCTTCGAAGTCCTTCAATTTGGCTTGAAGACCGTCAAGGAGGCTGTGAGCACTCTTGATCTCATTAACAACTTCGTTCTTCTCGTCTCTAAGAGGTTTCAATCGTATGTCGAGCTCTCTCCTCTGGGTCGACAGCTGCTGTTTGTGTTCTTCCAGCTCTTTTTCGAGAAACCCGAGAGCAATGTTTCGTGTTGACGTGACAGGTCGAGTGGCCATTCGATTGTCTCAATGATGTATCTGTTGTATCTAGGTTGTATATGTGAGTCTGGTCGTATTGGCGGACGTTTATATATTAAATGGTGGCACGGCCTAAGTGCCTCTGCTTTATTTACAGTGTGCCTTTTGTGTCTTTATCTTACGCTTGTTCGACGGTTAGTTACGCACACATGTCGATGTATCGTAAACACGACTTCTCAAGTGACATGTATGGATGTACTGTAGTGAGGATATACGATGCAGCAACATCAATTGTGAGTCTTCATATCTGACGAGTCTTCCCTGTATCTACCATTCTAGCTGTAACACTCCACAGAACAATACAGCCATTCCCAGTACCAGTAACAAGCCATATAGCCAAAGCTGCTACAAGTAAGAGTTGGTACTCCTCTACTGTCTATCAATCAAATTCATCATATCTATTAATGTACCTTTTCCTAGTCGGTCCGTACAGCCAGTCGACTCTATTATCAGTATCCTTCGCTCGAGCTATGCTGCTGCTCTCTAATACCCGCTCAATCTTGCACTTCTAGCCATTGGCTTACTTGAAAATCACAGAGTCAGCGAGAGGGTCAGCAGCAATAACAGCATCTCTGACCTTGACCTTTCGCTTGAAGGCAGCCTCGGCTCGGCTGGCGGCCTGCTCAGCGGCCTGCTGCTTCATCTGCGATCGGACAGTGTTAGGGGACACATACTGCTTGTTCTCGAAAATTACGGGGCCTCCAAAAGAGCCCTCAAGCATGGTGATGAGAGTCATGACAAATCGGGGACCAATCTCAACCAGAGAAATGTCGGTCTCTCGGGGGTTTTCTTCGTTGACAGTCTCCTGGATCTGGTAGTTTCGGAACCAGACCTTGTTGTCCACCAGCGAAAAGGTGAAGACGTGGTCGAAGAAGGGCTTGGACTTTCTGGCACCCTTGGGGACACCAAAGGTCTGCGTCAGCATCTCCTTGATCACGGCATTGTGAGGGGTGTCGTCAAAGCTGCTGTCGAAGGACAGAATAGGTCGAGATCCTCGCAGACAGTTGCCGGTGAAGTTGAGCTCGTCCATGGTATGCAGGTTCTGGATGTGGAACTTGGCGGTGGGACCGTTGGGAGCCTTGGCCATCCACATGTACAGATCCATATGCTTTCGGGCCTCAAAGTACAGAATGTTGTTGCAGTTGTACATCTCAGCAATCTCGTTGAGTTGGTACAACTTGGACTTGGTGTCGAGCTTGGACTCCTTTCGACCATGGGGAAGCATGGTCTGGAGATCGCTGATGAGATGTCTTTGTCGGAAGGTCACTCCTCGAGAAGTGATGATCAGCACTCGCTGCTTGTTGGTCACTCCATCGTCCTTCTTCTCGGTCTTCTCGGGCTTAGAGCTCTCGCCGCTCAAGGTCTTGTATAGTGTCGACATTGTGTGTGTAGTGTGTGTGTTGTGTGTGTGATGCTATACTGATTGGGATTTTATTTTCACGATTCATGCAGAAATATTTTTTAGGGTTAAACTCAAAATCCTTGAAGTGTGTCTTGAAACTTGGTGATGAATCCTTCATTTTGGTACAAGGGTAGATTTTGAATATATGCAAGAAAAAGACTTCTATTCTTTTGTAAGCTGGTCTTTCATTGGCTATACTTCAATTATTCAACTTTAGCGCTCATTTTGCCACCTGGAGGTGTGCAATTGTGCTGAATTTGAAAGCACAGCAGTCAGCATGTATGTTAGCTACAGTTATCAAAAGAACTGAACATTTACTCTACAAGTACAAGTTCAAGTATTTGTAACTACAAATTTTGATTAAAATCATGAGATGATTCAGCAACAAGCATCCCTGGTCAATTGCACAAACGAAGCGCTCTTTTCATCCATCATACCCAATGTCTGCGCAGCGTGCTCGCTCAAATTTCAAGACTCATATCGAGTCTAGTCGGAACACCAGAGTTGGGTTGGGGACGATGTATGTCCAGGTACCCTGCTCATACAAGTACAGTATATCCTAGGTGCAAAAAAAGAAGGTATTTGTCTTATATACCGGTACTAGCACATGTGAATCTATGTTTAGTCTCAAGTATATTCATTAACATGCCCTCAATCGTTTCTGTTTACTTTCAGATACTCCTTTGGTGCCTATGGTTCCACAGAATCCACAATGATACTGTAGAAGGGGACTACGTGAAGTAGAATAAAACCAGCTTTTCTGGAAACTTGTCTGTTCTATCACCTGTTGGTCATGTCAGTTTCCGCGTTCTTCACACCCACCCCCCTAATAATACAACACAATAAAATCATTGAAACAAGAGCGATGCGACCCTCAGTCCAGCAAACCACTCTGGAAATATTGAGAAACAAAAGACCTACAGTAATACAATTGTGGCATCTATAGAATAGGAAATTTAATATGTGCAACTGTCCATTCTCTCGACCTGTACTTCTACACGATTGTCAAAAGATATTATCATAGTCTACAGTAATTTATACAGATTGAAAGAGGGTCATTCAAATATGGAAGCTGGTGGTCAAAGATCATCCCCAGTCACTCTCTTCTACCTTCTAAAAGATGGTGGAACCGTTGGCAAGACCTCCGTAGAGCCAAGTACCTTCAAACTTGCGCCCTCTCTCCAGATCTCGACGTCCAATATTGAGAGTGCATAAAGAGATCCAGTCAAAGTAGGCCAGGTGGTTCTTGACAATGTCTAACCGAGCAAGAGCGTTAAAGTCCTTTCTGTAACAGCTCATACTCTCGGGACCGGCACAAGAGAAGACCTTGTTCAGAGGAGGCTGGACAGTGAAGTAATCAATGTAGATTTCTCCCACAGAGTGGACATAGTCCTTGAAAGCGGGGAATCCTACAAACAGATCGTTCCAGTGAGTCAGTCGGAAGTAACGTCTATCAGAATCCATGCTGAGACCATCTCCTTCGCCAAACCACTGCTTGGAGACAAAATTGGCAAAGTTGGCGTTTCCAATACGAGGCTGACCATAGGTGTAAAGATAGGGATCCTGACCGTTCACCTTGAGACTTGTAGCAGAAAGTACCGCAATAGCAGCACCCAGAGAATGACCAGTAACAACCAATCGATAGTCAGGGTTGCTGTTAACGTGATCAGCCAGCTTGTCTCCAATAATGCCCATGGTCTCATTGTAAGCCTTGTTCCAGCCGTCGTGAATAGTGCATCCCTCGCAGAGGTTTGCAGTCGATCCTAGGGCAGAAGGAGTGACGAGAAAGGGGCTTTGGGACAGTTGGATGTCGGTGTAGACGTCTCCGATGTCGTAGGTTCCTCGGTAAACCACATACTTCTCTTTCTTGACATGGTCAATAGAAAGAAATCCGGTGATGGAGGTTTCGAAAAACTCACCTCCAAACACTTCGACCAGCTCCATGTTAGGAAAGTGAGAGCATGCTACTCCGCAAGAGAAGTCAGATTTCAAAGACTCCAATGGAGTATTGATACAGTAGGCAACATTGGAGAGGTGGGAGAAAGTCAGGGCAGTGTCGTAAAAGTCCTGAGAGATGGGGGCAGTGGCTGTAAGGGGAGAAGGAGCAACGGTTCCAAAAAGAACTCTGGAGAACCATTCTCCAATGACTGTAGATAGAACCATTGTAGTTGTAGGTGAGTTGAGTTGTAAGGACCACTTACATCGATGTATTTATACTTGACAGTGCGGGTCGGAGGAAGTTCGGTTCGGGCCAGGTCTGCCAAGTTGACTGTTACTACGCTAATGCAATCATAAGGAGAACTGTAGCTAATTCACCGTTGCAGTTAGATCTCTCGAAGGTGTCACGAACCATTATCATGTATGCTATTGTACACTGCCCTCTGTCCTGGTAAGTGTGTTATTCCAAGTAAGAGCTCTTCAATCATCCTGGAAATGTTCAAAGAAGAAAAAACCCCGATATATTCAACTATTCTTGAAAGGAAATCATGAGGGAGGCAATGCCCACTCGATTTTGTGCTTAAATGACAGTGTCGTGCATCAGTGTGATCCTAACCATATACAGTAATTGTGTCAAGTGTCAGGCCCCTTTCGTGCTTGTACAAGCCTCCAACAGAAGTACCGAGTCGCAAAATGGGGTCAATTGATGTTCTCACATGTTGGTCCTATGACTCTCGGTTTCTTCAACGAGACTACCCTAAGAAGCGTTACATGTGTGGTCAGGGTGGTGTGTCATGTATAGATACAGAGCGAGCACGACTCACATGGAGAACAACTTCTGTAAGAGCAGAGAAACCTTAACAGGATAATAATAAATAAATCGACTCTTCTTGTGATGTCTTTTCGCTTGTTGTACCCCACATTTGTGATCTGACGTAAAAGTGGGCCTGTGCTTTGTTATCGAGAATCACATTTCACACTAATTAGTGCACGACTAGTAGCACGCAGAGTTGCATGTCAGTAGTTATTGTGGATCCCGACTACTGTACGGTATGTAGTTATGAGCGACTTATCATGAACTAGTTTGCTCGTTATCTCAGCAACGGTGTTACCAATGCCGGCGGCCCCGTCTCGCGTAATCCGTGTTCACTTGGTATGATGATGGGAAGACATATCCTAGGATCCCGTTTGAACATATTGATCTAAGCAAATGTCACTTGCAATGTAATGTCGCAAACAAGGGATTCAGTACCTGTCACAGCACCGAGAAGACTCCGAAGAGCAACGTGCTTATCAGTGCATCAGACTAATGTGTTCTGAAATGTACAGCAGGAACAGTCGTAGATAATGAAGCACTGAGTCAGATCAATTGTGGCATAATCGTCGAGATTAAGAGCCGGTCGTTCTACTTCTGAACGATTGGAAGAGATTCAGGTGTGGCTTCGTATGTTTTGGGTCAACCTAGATATGGCATCTAAATAGTGTAACCATACGAGTATATGAAACTTGGAGACAACACATGTTTCCGAAAGACAGCTTTTCATCTGAAAAAAACAAACCAACAATCCAATAAATCAAGACTTCCAAATGTTGTACTTGTACTTCTACTTGCACATGTGAGTATTGTAAAAGTTGAAACATCACGGCTCAATCTTGTTCCATAAATTAGTCGTTGTAATAAAAACACTCTTCTGGAATTCGAACACACAACACTTCACACACATGCATATCAAACCACCTAAATCAACATGCAACTTATCCAAGGATCTTCCATACAACATGTCGACTCGAGATAAGAGCATCTGGGAGGCGATTGAGGCCGGCACATTCAAGCAAGCCCGTGCCCTAATTGCCAAGGCTCAGAAAAAAGCGCCCAAAAACACCTACTATGGGGCTCTAAATGCTCTGGTGAGCGTGCTGTCTGGAAACAAGGAAGAGGCTCTCAAGGAGGCAGAGGACCTTCTTGCGACTGATCCCTCAGATCAGCGAACAGTCATGATGCTCAGCAACGTTTTCACCCGGCTAGACCGCCCAGATCGACTTCTTCCGCTTTTCGAGGGCTATGCTAAGAAGAACCCAGCTGCTTCGACTCTAGAGACGTGGTTGTGGGCTATGGTGGACTCCGGAAACACCTATGGACAGCAGCGAGCAGCTATGGCACTCAGCAAGACCGAAAAGAGCCGCCGATCTGTGTTCTGGGCCGTCTACAGTGGACTGGTTGCTCTGGAGGAGGGATCCATCCCAGACAAGGAGAAGGCCATCATCTCAATGCTGAGCACCAGAATGTGCGAACAACAGCGACCCTTCGTCTCTGCAGAAGAGGTCTATGTCTATGCGAAGCTTCTGTGGGCTCAGGGTAAAAAAACCGAAGCAATTGAGACCCTTCAAAAGGACGCATTCTTCTGGAATAACTTGGAGCTCACAATTATGCTACGAGAGTATTTGAAGGAGTCAGAGCAATGGAGTGCGCTGTTTGACCACTCCAAGAAAGTGGTGGTGGACCAGGATCTGGACGATTGGGCTCACTGGAAGACTCTGATCGAAGGTGGTCTTAAGAGCGAGAGAAAGGAAGAGGTTGAGGAGGTCATCGAGAAGAACAAAAAGACACGAAACAGCTTGTTGGCTGCTGTTGAGCTGAATCACCAACTGAGGCTGGATATTACCACCTCCGTCCAGAACTATTTTGCTATGATGGGTTCCAAGCTCTGTGCTTATGATGATCTTAAGGACTACGTCGAAAACACGGATACAGACACTGTTCTGAAAATGATTGGTTACACTGAGGAGCCCAAGATCACCACCCTCAAGGAAGCTATCATCAGAGTCAACGTGGAGAAGTTGAAGTTTCTGGTCAGTTGTGATAAATCTGATCACGTGACCTTCGTGGACAAGCAGATCACTCTCTACCAGCAAACTGAGTTTCTGCTCACTAAAAAGGACCCCAAAGAGTATCACGTTGGAGACGACTTTTTGTTGATTGCAACCTGCTCTCTGCTAGAGGAGTACGCCAAGTCACGTGCTTCTATCAACGTGAGCAAGGCCATCATTCTTCTTGAGCATGCGATTTCCCGTGACCAGCATCAATTCTATGTGCGCCTTTGGCTGACCAGATTGTACCTTATTCTTGGTCTTTTCCCCTCAGCCGAGCCTCACTACGTCAGTTTGTCCATCAAGACTATCCAGCACGATGTAAATTCTCACTTCCTTCTGTCGCGAGTGTCCACTATGTTCCCCCTTTCATCTAAACTAGTGTCCAAGGCCCTCACCCTCTACTCCGAGAATGACCATGAGTCTCCCATGCTCATCAAACACGCATACAACCAGAGCACCTTCTCAAAGATTGGAGGGTTTGTGGAATTCAAGAAGAGACTCGACTTCTCCCAGTCACGTGCTCTACTGGTTCTGGAGCAGCTCAGGATGAGCGAGTACGCGAGACAGCCCATAGGAGCAAAGCCTCAACCCACCCACACCCTGATGGACCAGAGAGACAACAAGATCATGTGGTCAGTGAACAAGTCGAGCGACAAGTCTTACGGTGACCGTTTCACTGCTGGCCCCAAGCAGGAGGAGACTTGGACCAGAGCATTCACTCTCAACTGGCAGATTCAGCAGAAGCTTGGTGTTGCCGAGTTTGGATCGCTGCTGGAAGAGCTCACACATGTTATGCGCGAGGCTCATGATTTGACGGAGGCAGAGGAGTGGCAGTTGAATGTGACTCTGCGGTGTGCCGAGCTAGCTCGCGACAAGCTGAACGGCGAGCGATTTACTAAGCTGCAGGAGCTGCTGACTAACCATCCCCTTGCTGATATGGAATCTCGTGACTGGTCGTATGTGCATGTGGCCTTTACAGTAGTCGAGACTGCTACCTCTGTGAAGAGGTACTTGACTGGTGTCCGGGCTAATAGACTCAAATGTGACAAGAGTGGCCTGGATAGCACTTACAAACAAGTTAATGCCGTGCTTGACCACGTCAAGAAGAACGCTGGCGAGGTGAAGAATCTGCGATCCAAGGCGCGTGAACAGGACATTGAACTGCTTGGAGACTGGGCCCTTAATAAGGTCAAGATGGCTCCGGAGCGGTTTGAGGATGTGATTGAGGGTATTCATTCTAGCCGAGATAAGGTGATGACTGGAGTGAGAGCCGGGTGCTAATTTCACTGGACGTTCATATATACGACATTTAATTACATTTTTTGATAAACAGTAGTCAATAAGTTGATTATGGCGACACATGAGACTGCAGGACATGCAGTACATACTGTATCGTACATACCAATTCTGAGAGGGGACAAGGAGAATTTTTGAAGACATAGAACATTGAAACCTTTCAAGATTACAAGTACTTGCAACAAACTACAAGTAGTCACATAAAAGGTCAGTCTAAGGAAATACAGCTACTTCGTGCCAGTAAACAATGTTAAACCCGCACATCGGACTCGTATTGAGGATTTCAGAAGAGCATATGGCAATAGTGCTCGCGGTTTCCCCCCAATCCTCCTCTAGACCGGATAAACATGTTTTTTGTGATTTTAGGGAGGGGCGTATTTACACTTCTTTAATACCCTCTTGCACCCTACATCCTCGGATCTAACAACTGCCTGGATAGCTTAATCGGAGGAGCATGAGACTCTTAATCGAAGCAATGTCAGGGCTGGGGATTGAAGCCCCACGTCGGGCTAAATTTTTTTTGGACGCCCTGATTTGGGTGAGCTCCCACCAACATCTCCTCAAATTCATAGTCCAATTTTTTTTGTTTCCTGATTAAGGTTCATACGTTATGCACAACACCGTAGATATAAACAAACCCAGTTCTCACCACTCACCACACACCACAAGCAGCGCGTCATACTATCCCAATGAACGCCTCGGCGCACAAAAAACGGCTGTCCATGATGCCGGGCACGTCGTCGGCGTCTAGGCCATCTATGGCAGGTCTGCCGCAGCGAAACAACCCGCCACCACAACGTGAACCTGCTACCCCAGCAGTATCTGAGCTCATGAGGAGCTCACGACGAAGCATGGCGTTTGGGCGTAATCCACGACAATCATCATTTGGGCTCGTACCACAAACTCCCATGGCGCCCATGCACACGCGTGATCCACGTCCAGTGCGCGACCGACACTACCAACAGCAAATCTCACAGCAGATCTATGAGTATCTGGTCACGAACCACTTTGAGCAGGAAACCCGCCACCCACTGAACCAGCGGACGCTCAGCAACCCCACTCAAAAGGATTTCAAAACTATGTTCGAGTGGATCTTCCGACGCATCGATCCTGGATACCCGTTCCACAAGAGCATCGAAAACGAGGTTCACGCGGTGCTACGGGCAGCCAAATACCCGTGGCTCGATAGCATCACGAAATCACAAATTGTTGCCGTGGGAGGCCAATCATGGGCCTACTTTTCAGGCATGCTGCATTGGATGGTGGAACTCAACACGACGATAGAGAAGTATCACAATCATGACTACTCAGGAGATGATGGTCCGTCGTTGGTAGACGAAATCTTCAACAGACACGCACGTGAGTCGTACTTTGCCTATTTACAAGGCGATGACAGATTTGCCCGTCCTGATGCAGAGCTCTGTCTCGCTGAAGAGAACGCCGAGTTCCAGGAGATTCTTGCCGAACAGAGAGCTCAAAACCCGCTACCAGAGGGCGAAGACGATGAATTGGATGAGGAACTGTCACGTCTGGAAGCCAAATGGGGCAAGATTGAGGAGGCGAAACTACTAGGGAAGAACCTGGCCGACGATATCGTCAAGTTGGGTGCATTTGTGGATGCTCGAAAAGAACACAATGCCCGATACGCTTCTCAGATGTCCCAGGCGACAGCAGAAGAAGACAATGTGACGAGCGAGGTGGAGTCTCTCAGCCGTCAAAAGCTGAAACTGCAACAAACAATCCAAGACCAGGGTCTATCTCCCGCCGAGCTGGACAAGCTGCATTTGGATATGGAGCGTCAACAGAAGGCGTTGAACTCACTTGATGAGATAATCGATGAGGGACGTCAGGTTGTGTCAAACAAGGAGTCTACTGCCCTGGCAGTCTTTGATGCTCTTGATCGTGTCATCAAGGAGTATACATCGTCTGTTCTGTCCTACAATGCCTGGGTGGCATCAGACAATGACTTGCCCGAGATCCCAGAATCAGTCTATTTGATTGATCTGCGTGAACCTCTCTCCGAGGAGAACCTGGGACGCCACCCTTCTGTGATCCTGGGTGGAGTTGATCCTCGTAACCAGATTCGACCTGAAATTGTGAGAATCTGCAACATGGTCACTTCCAAGGTCAAGGCCCTCCAGGAAGAGGCTCTGAGACTGCAAGAGGAGATTGAGACCAACCAGGAGAAGCTCGTTTCACAGAAACGACACATTGGTGAGCTGGAAGCCAAATCTCGACGCCTTCGAGAAACCAGAAACGCCCTCGAAGACTCCGCTTCCATGAACGAGAACGAAAACTCCCAAAACACGGAGCGACTGGAAAACCAGTTTGTCCAGGCTCAGAGTGAAACTGCTCTTGCTCAATCACAACTCAAGGGTCTCCAGGTGCGACTCCAGGACGCAGAGCATGAACGTAACAAGCTCTCTGTGGAAGTCCAGCAGGCCCGAGAACGCCTGTCACAGGATATTCTCAAGCAGGCTGAAGTCATGGTGGCTTTCAAGGCTATGGTGCAGACCAAACTCCAGGACTTCGAGATGTTTGTTCGTGCTAACGTGGAGGAGGAGATTCGAGGAGACCACAACTAAGGTGATATTACACGCGGCATTTGCTCGTGTGTAAATGTATTTATATGTATTATATGGTGATTTATATTTATTAGCGGTTACGTAGTTACAAGAGGCACGCGTACGTACACACCCACGTGGTCTTTGGTCCACAATAAAACATTAAATAACATGCACAGTGTCTATATAGATTCCCTGTTGTGGGATAACTGGGAGATGCAAATGCAAGTCTCACGCGGCAGCAGGGACTGTAGAGGACTCCTCACTCAACTGCTCGGCGATTGACGGCTGGCCACGAACCTTGGAAGACACATATTCTTGGACGTTATTCAGTCGCTGTTGCAGAGGGGGGAATTCGGAGCTGCTCTTGACAGGCTTAGGCGGCCGCTCAGACTTCCATGCGCCCATGACGCACGACAGAGCAGTCATGATGGCTATGTCCCGGTGGATCTTGGTCTCGTCAATGGTAATGTCGAACCGCAATCGCTTGGGGTTCTTCATGTTTACAAAAGCAATCCGCTCGCGAGTTTCATGGATGCCAGCATCGAGGTTGGTGCATTTCTCAAGAAATTTGGTAGTCGAGTTCCATTGGTACATGGGATCTGAGTTTGTGTAAGGAGCCGTGATCTCTCCAACTGCTATCGCAGGGCTTGGGGCAGAGTAGGCCGCAGCACGCATCGGGTCAGCAGATGGGGTGTTGAATGGGTTGCGTGACTGCCAGACCTGTGGGGTATCAAGATCGAAATCAGAGTCATCAACCTCACCACCACCAACCTGGGCAAACAGCGTAGGGTTCAGAACTCCACATTCATCGTATGACGGCAGAGGGTCCGAGTTAGATGGACGGGGAATGTTGGTCTTACGGAGAGAAAATTCGTAATAGCGACCATACTGACGTTTCTTGCACACCACCTTCTGGAGGTCACGAGTTTCATCACGGATGCAGAACCTCGACCCCAACGATGCAGTGCTAAGAGACGCCACCTGGACTCGGTCATCGAAACACAAGAGGCTCCAGTGCTTTGCGTGACGAGATTCTCGTTCAAGTGTGTAGATGGGGACATCCCATTCGTCCGAGATGATCACCTTCTGCATCGGTGCAGCCGGGTCAGTGTGGATATGATATGTGTTTGCGCGCACTGACAGCGGGATGATGTACGCTGCGTTGTGTTCTCTGGATGACTTGTATGCCTTGTGCACACTGACACCACCCATGGCTAGCGACACGACACCGCATGCAATTAGAGTACCAGCCACAGCAATTTCCATGTTTGAAGCAGTAGCAGTATGAGGTGATTGGTATCGACTTAAGAGGGTAATCTGTAAAGGTGGCTCTGTCGGCGTTGGTATCTGTAAAGGTATCTATCTGTTGAGTATCCGTGACAGTGGTGCTGTTGTGGTCTGTTGTATGTGATGTGGGTGTATCTGTGTCAGAAGTGTGGCGCTTTGTGTAATGAAGTTTTCGGTATCAAATCTTGATGGTATCAGTTGTGAGTAATATCAGTGATACTATCTATAGTTCTGTGCGAGCAATCTGAGGATGTCTCTCAGTTTCTGTGGTTCGACTAGAGCTGGTGTGTGGAATGTGTTGTGAAGGAAGGAAAGGCAAGCTGAGTTCAGCGACCCCATAATAGCTGTAAGTACATATGGGTACGAGTCTAAGTGAAGTTGATTGCCGTTGAGGTGCGCACGTGAGCTTATCTGAGTTTTGAGTTTTGAGGCTGAAAAAAAATATGCGAGACTGGAAAAAAATTTGAAGGTGCAGATAACAGTTCTTTTCATACATTTACACAGCTCAACGATACACACCATGGGTAGCAAATCCGCCACAAAGGACATTTCCAAGATCAAGAAGGCCGACAAAAAGGACTCCAAGAAGGCCGTCAAGGCTACTGAGCCCGCCTCTGAGAGCGGAGCATCCACCTCCAGTGATGAGTCTACTTCCAGTGATGATTCTTCGGACTCTGATTCTGACTCTAGCGACTCTGACTCCAGCGGTTCAGATTCCTCCGACTCTTCTGATTCGAGCGACTCTGATTCCAGTGACTCTGACTCTGACTCTGACTCTGAGGATGAGAAGCCTGTGAAGAAGGAGGAGACCAAGGAAGAGAACGAGTCTTCATCTTCCGACTCCGATTCTGACTCGGATAGCGACTCTTCCTCCTCGTCTTCTGACTCCGATTCTGATTCTGATTCTGATTCTGACTCCGATTCCGCGGACGAGAACGAGAAAAAAGAGACTAAGGAGGTCAAGGAGGTCAAGGAGGACAAGAAGGAGGCCAAGAAGGAGGCCAAGAAGGAGGCCAAGAAGGAGGAGTCTTCTGATTCCGGTTCTTCTGAGTCTTCCGATTCTGACTCCGATTCTGACTCTGACTCTGACTCCTCCAGCTCTGACTCCTCCAGCTCTGACTCCGATTCTGACTCTGACTCCTCCAGCTCTGACTCCGATTCTGACTCTGACTCATCCAGTTCTGATTCTGACTCTGACTCCGATTCTGATTCTGATTCTGACTCCGATTCTGACTCCGACTCTGATGACGAGAAGGAGACCAAGAAAGAGACCAAGAAAGAGACCAAGAAAGAGACCAAGAAAGAGACCAAGAAGGAAGATGCGAAGGATGTTGAGATGAAGGATGCTTCCTCTGATTCCTCTGATTCCTCTGATTCTTCTGATTCTTCTGATTCTTCTGATTCTTCTGATTCTTCTGATTCTTCTGATTCGGACTCGTCTTCTGATTCGGACTCTTCGTCTTCCGATTCGGATTCTTCCTCCGACTCCGACTCTTCGTCTTCCGATTCGGATTCTTCCTCCGACTCCGACTCTTCTTCCTCGTCGGACTCTGACTCCTCTGACTCTGACTCGTCTTCTTCGTCGGACTCTGACTCTGATTCTTCTGATGAGGAGGAGCAGCCTCCTGCCAAGAAGCGAAAGGCGGAGGAGATTGAGGTGGAGTCTCTGGTTATCAAAAAGCCCAAGACTGACTCCCCTGTGGACAACAGCTACGTGGAGGCAACTTTCGAGGAGGAGGGGGGACGAAAGTTCTTCTCTCGAATCGATCGAACTAAGATCTCCTTCGAGGACCAGTCTCTCATGGACAACACATACAAGGGCGCCGCCGGAACTTGGGGTGAAATGGCCAACGACAAGCTGATGAAGGTCCGAGGAAAGGATTTCACCAAGGGCAAGAACAAGATGAAGAAGGGTGCTTACAAGGGAGGATCCATCACCATGTCTTCCGGCAGTTACAAGTTCACCGACTAAAAGGACGTCTGACTGCTACTAACTTATTATTGTATGTCAGCCGGCCACACCAGCATTTTATAATTATACATCGTCGGTTGGCGACCAAGTGTATGCTGTTAGATATAGAGAATACACGTGTACGATATTGACGTTGATTCGGAATAGTAACCAATGCATTGTAGTTGCTACGGACATACGAGACAAGTGTTGTTCCGAACAATCTTGGAGTGAATCGAATGTACAGTATGTACACAGCATGTACATACTGTACGATACTTTGTAGTTCTATACTTCGTTCAAGCCAACTGTATTATTACCCTGAGAGGTGACTCAGCCAGTCAGAGTAGCGAAGTACTGTAATACATGACTGTGAAGTTTTTGAAACCGCCGATACACAAACAGTGATGATTTGGTCCTATGCATCCCACTTCCATTTGTACTTGTATTAATACCGTTTACACACCCTTTCATAATCGTCACTAACATCAGTCTACTATATATGCAAAGTCGAATGTCTCCCGAGTATGGCACGTACCGCACCGTACCTTCAGTCACTGGATGGAACCTTGACAACCCATAGAAAGGAACTAACACGTCACAGACCCCACTCTGTTCGTACATTCCACGCCATGGTAAGCTGTAGATTGCCTATTGCGCCCTTTTTCATGCGGCTAAAGGACATGATTAACATGATCCACGAAGGTGGCAAATACATGCGTCTGCAGGCCAGCTATAAATAGACAGATGAGAGGAACGAGCAAGACGAGGATAGCGATGATGTGTTATTAAGCTAGATCACATGACAGAAAGCAAGATTGTAATAATTCATTGTTTTTTCTGGAACATTTCAATAGTGAGAAGCGCTGTCTATGCAGAATACTTACAGCATCTTCGAGTAAAACAATTCAGTTGGGGTTCTACTGTATGTACCATGATAGTAAAGCCACCAAAGATTAGCATTCGGCATTAACTTTCAGTCGTACAGAAGCTTGACAGATGGGGACATGGGCGTACGACAGTGGAAGAGGGGGGAAGTGTAGTTAGAGTGGTTATAGAATTCTGTTTGAGTGGTATTGGGGACCGATTGGAAGGCAAAAGAGCACTTTTTGTGGCAAGCTACCAATTCGGTGACAAAATAGAGTCCCTACAGTATGTCAACACCCCCAAATCTCTCTTATGAGCCTCCCTCTCGAACTACTTCAAGGTGTGTTCACCCTCCCAGGTTTCGAAGCTTAATCGGACAGATAAAGCACTGGCGTATCCACATCATCTTTGACAGGCAGACCTCCTACCCAGGCTCCAACGACCACCATTCCACCCATGATAGTGCCGCTAATTATTGTGGCCGCCGCAGTATGTTCGGCGGGCGCACTTGCGTACAAGGAGCGCGATGTGATCTGCGATTACGTGGAGCACAAGCTCATGGAGAGACGGCTTCGCAAGCGAGCTTCTGCCGTGCCAGCCTCATATGATCGGGATGGAGGGCACTCAGATTCAGATCAAGCGACACAGACCCAGACACATACCTCTCAATCACAAGTGCATTTGCATTCGGCTGTCGGATCAGAGGAGCCACACAAGGACGACTACACCGAGGAGATTGAAATGTCATTCAGAAGACGCAACAAGAGAGGCACAAGCATAGGCTCGGACAAGACGGTGGGCTCCAGCGACCCCAGCAACTCCTACAACTCGTTTCACATGCCGGAACCGCCACAATCGGACACTCAGCAATATTGGAGCAGCTCGAGCCAGTCATCAGACACCAGTGGTTCGGTAACACAAAATAGACGAGGATACCCACGTCAGACGTATGGGCATGGCCATGGACAGCAGCGTGCAGGGGCACGTCCTGCCTCCATTGTTTCAGAGCAGCCATCGCTCAGTTATTCAGCCAACAGTCATGGGGAAAGCACATGGGGCTCTTCGGCATCCGATATTTCGTCCGACTACGATTTTGCCGACGAACGGACTTCTTCCGAGGGAGAAAATGTGGTTGTAGTTGACCCTTCAGCCCCTTCCCTGTATGAATACCACGACGTGAATACTCCATAAACATACATTCACAATACATTAGATACTAACTGTTACATACCAAACAAGATCCCGGCTGGGTTGTGTACGATACAAAGTAATTGCACAGGTAATGGCGAAGATGCGTCCAGCGTAAGTGCCGTACCATACTGTACGAAATTACTTGAAGTTACTAGAAGAGTATTTTGACATCTATACAGCTTGTGAACAAACTCAGTCTTGATCGTATCGCAAAATATTGTACATAGCATGCAGGTACATACGAACACGATGGGACACACATGGATAAGGAAACAACAGCAAAAGACAAAGAATACCAGAGGGCGACTACGGCTCATGGTAACCAAGTAACCATGAGGCCACGAAACTTCATATTTATATATCATGCAGCGTTACCGGGCGCAGACCCTAGCTTTACACCTCTAATAGACCAAGTACGTCTACTGCCAAACGTGCAAAGATTATCATCACATATGAAGAGTTCGCCCCTCATCGACTCAAGTGCAACCGACGTTTCGATCTCGCTCAGAGAGAAGCTTCCATCTATTTATTGTCAACCCTCTTAATGAATCTTTAAGTTACCTGAACTTGTATCTCGTCAGTTTTGTAATATTCGCCACAGTATATCAACCTTCTCAATGTTATGTCTATCAATTATTTATATATGCTACAAGTAGAACCCCTATCTCTTTCCGGAGTACAGCTTCTTGACAAATGCACTCTGCTTGGAAGGCTTTCGCAGATCCTTGTTTCGGTTCTTGTTGGTCTCAATGTATGCCATATCTTCTCCACCAGCCAGCGATGCCAGAGAACCGGTGGTTCGCTTGGCACTGCCTCGCTTGTTGGAAGAACCTCGGCCCACAAACGAATCTGCGTTGTCTCCTTCTTCGAGAGTGGCAGCGTCCTCGTTCTGTAACAACACCTCCTGCAGCAGCTCTCGTCGCTCACGAGCAGAAGCATAAGCCAGATCGGGCAGATTCTCCATTCCATGCAGATGTGTAATCACCTTGAACGCATAACCCTGATCGACCAGGAAGGCCTGTCTTTTAGTTGAGTAATACATCTCCTGGGTATCCTTGGACACTAGCGAGTAAAAGAAGGCATTGAAACCCTCATCGTTACGTCGCTTGGCTCGCAGAATACGACCCAGACGCTGAGCCTCCTGACGTCGAGAGCCGTAATGCGACGAGATTTGAATCAGACATGTAGCCTCGGGCAAATCGATGGAAGTATCTCCGACCTTGGACAAGAAAATGGTGTTGACCTGGTCATTGTACTGGAAGTTCTTCAGAATTTTCATTCGCTCCTGTTGGGGAGTGCCACCGAAAATGAAGAACTTTCCAAGCTTGAGTGCATAAGCCTTGAGAGCATGGACGTTATCAGAGAAGACAATGATCTTGTCACCTCGTTTTTCGTGGTAGTTGATGAGAAACTGGGCAGCCTGAAATTTGGAGGGATTCATAATGTAGAGTAGCATTCGCTTTCGAGCGTTCTCCTTGAGGTACTCCTGGTAAAACTCTGAGGTCATGGGGCACCACACTTCGGCACACTGAACGTTGGCGATATGACCCTTCTGGGCCAAGTCCATCCAGTTGGCCTCGTACAGCTTGGGGCCAATCAAGAAATTCAGGTCGTCAATCTTGTCATCTTCTCGCACCAGGGTTGCAGTAAGACCCAGCTTTGCGTGTGCGGCAATGTTAGTAACGACCTTTCGGAACATGGCGGCGGGCACGACGTGAACCTCATCCAGAATGATAAAACCCCACTCTCGAGACTGCAAGAAGTCCATCATCTTCTGCGAGTCATGGGATCGGTTCCGGGTGTTGGCTACCATTGAGTAAGTAGACACAACGAGACCAGCATCACCAGAGAACTTCTCCTTGCTCTCGGAAGTGAACACAGCCACGTTCTCAGGCTGAATAGTACACCACTGCAGAAACTGCTGTCTCCACTGCATGACGGATACGGAGGAGGTGCAAAGCACAATAACGGACTTTCGGATGGTGCAAGCAGCTGTGATACCGACCAGAGTCTTGCCGGCTCCACATGGCAAGACAATGATACCAGAACGGGCTCGTCCATTACCAAACATTTTAGACAGCGACTTCTCCTGATAGGGTCGAATCTGGGTGGACGACTTGAGGTCGATATCCAGATCGGGGTTACCATGATCATTTCGGAAATCATACTCTTCCAACACAGGGTAGTCAATCTCCTGACATCGCTTCTTCACAGTTTCGACTGAGTCAGGTGCAATCTCGAACGAGTGAACAGCGTCCAGATCGTCATCATCATCGTTCTCAATACCAACAACATGAGAGAAGATATCCTCAGCGTCTTCGTCAGCCTTCTTCTCACCGTCCCTTTCTCCATCCTTACCTTCCTCTTCCTTGGGCTTCTCTGTACCGGGAATCTTAAGATCGCCCATCTTAGGTGCCGACTCAGTAACAAGACCGGAGCCTGTGGTGGACTGTTCCGAAGCCTCCAGACGCAGAGCACCGATAACAGGGTCCTTGAGCAGCATCTGCAAGACGTCTGCCTGTGAAGATTCCACAAAGTATCGATTATGTTTCAGAACCAACTTGACCTTACCATAAGACTTTGTACATGAGTGGATGAAGTTGATGATACTCTTGGGGACTGGGACCTTGGACAGTCGGTTGAGAACGGAAATGATGTCAGAAGTCTCCAGACCCACTGAGACAGCCGCGTACAGAGAGTAAGTGGTGATTCTGTATTCATGAATGTGCGAGGGACGAGAGATGGGTTCTGCAATGGTCACCAGGAAGTCCTGAGCCTGCTCTGCAAGTGGCGAAAAGGATTCCAGAATGATTCTACCGTCCTCGGGGTTAATCCACAAGGGTCGAGCGGCATGGTCTGGCTTCAGCTTGAGGTATGAGAAGTCGTGCTTACCGAAGATGTTGGATACACTGTCGGGCACGTAGTCGTCAGGGATCTCCGAATAGGTCGAATGCACCTTGGTATCGAGACCTGATGTGGCATCTCCAGGGTCCTGTTCCTTCATTTTGATCTTAAGACGGGTCTGAGGCACCTTCTCGTATGTCTCATCGTCGGAATATGAATCGTTGGAGTCGGAGAAGGAGTCACTGTCGAGATTGACGTCGTCAAACCGACGTTTAGAAGCGTCTCGCTTGGATCTGAGCATTGTGGATGTTGTTAAGTGGTGGGTGCTGTTGGGGTTGCTGTTATGTGATGTTGATGATGCTTGAGAATGCAATTAGTGATGTAATTTTTAGTGTATGAAGATGTGAAATTGGTCTCTGTGTGAAACTTGCTGCTTTATTTCGTCTGTCTGTGTAGCCTGTGAATCAGTGTCAATGGGGTATGAATACGTTGTTTCGCCACTGTCGACCAGTGTACACTCCAGTCTGAACACAGTTACCTGCACGCTGATTCCAATATGCAAGCTGGGAGGAGTTAGGGCTTTTTAAAGTTTGGAAGATTTTCCAACACTATAAAAGGGCTTTCATGTTCCATCTTACTTCTTCTTTAACCATGACACCACTATAGACAGTACTGACTGGATAGGTGGGAAACGTTGGATGTGGAGGCCGGAGGAGCTACCGTTCTGGTAGAGACGAAGGAAGCTGCAGCCAGTTCGCGTGGCCAACCGTTGAAAATAACTTTCAAGTGATTTCTCGGTGTCTAGAGGAACCCGGGCTTTTTAAGAACTTCTTGGAGCTTTTGCTTTGAACAAGGGGTGTCAGAGAAGTCCAACATCTTTTTATATAATCGTGGTACTGTTACTGTAGCCCTTATGGCTGGTCGTTCCAATTTGAGTCAGAATCTTGATGTCTGAGTCACTTTGGTATCAGAGCACGAAGAATTCATCACATCACCAGTGTGTACAGTACACATACTTGTACGCTCAGCGAGAGCTACAAAATACGTACTGTACAAGAATGCGGTACGCTTGGAAGATGTTCTTCTCATTGTGGTTTGAAAGAGCTGCTTCACATTGACTTATTGCAAGAAGTTGATGCGAGGCACGTCTATTCAGCATCTTTTGTTCCATAACTGTCATTGTCAAGTGACGTTGAACTAGTTTGTTATCGATGGTTGAAGGTGACTCCCATATGTTTTGCATTAGCAAATAAGTTGCAAAACAAAACAAAACAAAGGCAATAACTTTCCCTTCGCATTCTATCTACACAATCAATCTATTTAAACGCCCATCCACCTCTTTAATTAGCTAGTACTTGTAGTACACTTCCACACCTTTTACTCATCAATCTGGTTCCCCATGAACCCTGATTCACTTACGCTCACACTGCATAGGCGGCGATTGCTCAAGCAGGTCTTCCTCTGTCTGTCTTAATCTTTCATCACAACCATGTCTTCCAAGCGTGCCGTCAAAACCATTGTTTCCTCTATTCAGAAGCTCTACCCTCGAGCTCTCGCAGACTCCTCTTGGGACAACACCGGCCTACTACTGGAATGCCCTCTGGACACCGAACCTGAGAAGGAGAAGCTCAATGTGCTGCTCACCATCGATCTGACAACCTCTGTTGTCGACGAGGCTATCCGAAACAACTCCGGAGTTGTTATGGCCTATCACCCTTTTATTTTCCGAGGCCTCAAGTCTATCACCCAGTCGGACTCCCAGCAGCGATCTCTGCTGCGACTTGCCCGGGCTGGCATCTCTGTCTACTGCCCCCATACTGCCGTTGACGCTGCCGTTGGAGGTGTCAATGACTTCCTGATCGACGTAGTCTCTCTCGGAAAGGAGAACGAGGCCTCCCGGGAGGTCTGCCAGCCCGTAGATGGCGTCCAGGGACAGGAGGGTGCTGGCATGGGCCGAGTGGTGCGTCTCAAGGAACCCATTACCTTCTCCGAGCTGCTGAAGCGAGTTAAGACCGGTCTGGGACTCAAACATGTCCAGGTTGCCCTTACCGAAAAGCACGAGAACCCTGAGGCTAAGATCTCTTCCGTGGCCGTCTGTGCAGGTTCTGGAGCCTCTGTTCTGCGAGGTGTTGATGCAGACGTGCATTTCACTGGCGAGCTTGGCCACCACGAGGCCCTAGGTCTCATTGAAAACGGTACCTCTGCCATTGTCTGCGGTCACTCCAACACCGAGAGAGGCTACCTCAAGACTTTCCAGACTCTGCTGACCAAGGAGCTCAAGAACCAGCACGACGGGGAGGTTGAGGTCATCATCTCTCAGACCGACAAGGACCCTCTCGAAATTGTCTAAGGGGATTGTCTACAAAAAAGGGGATGTATATAGTATCGAACGAATGGATGATGGAGTATTGAACGATGTAAGATGTGAGTACTGTACTGTAGTTATCGTCCGTTTCAATACTGAATTGCAGTGATTAGAGGGTTCTGAGCAGTGTATAAAATCTACTCTTTTGCAATAATTACAATGATTACTATATATTCTCTAATATCGTAGTGTACCTTTGCAGCTCCATCAGCATACAGTCATAAAATACATACTAACGTCACCGATATGCGTTGCTATCCTCTACCAAGTAGTATGTAATTTGCAAAATAGCTAAGCATGCCCATACTTTACACACCATCAATCCTCCTGGTACAAGTAGTACGGACACCCATGCCCATACTTTGTTATCCCTGCTTGCTTTACTTCGTAGTTGAAAACAACCGGAGAGCTGTCTTCCCTCATGCAGCACTTGTCACGTTTATGCCAATCGTATGGTGTAGTCCTCTCCACTAGTGGTAATGTATCGAACCCAAGGGTAAGAAGTGTACTGCAGCTTCGGCTCGACAATCTTCAGATATCGAACCTGAATACCCGAGGTAGTAAAGTAAGGAATGGAGAACTTGACTTGGATGGGTCTCTTGCTCTTAGCCTGCTCATCAGCGTCCTGAACGGAGGGAAGACCCAACTCCGCTCGCATGGAGAATTCTCGTCCTCCTCCAAACTGCTTGATCTTCCACGTGACACATGCCTTCTCAGGGTGCCACTTGATGGAACCTGCGGTAGCAGCCAGCTTAGGCGAATCGGCATCTTCGGGAACAGGAATGTGGATTTCGACGTTGTTGGCCGTCGATCGCTTCTTGAATTGGCCACGGGCCTTAGCCAGAATCTCAATACGCGTGTTGGAGTACTTGTTGATCTTGCAGTCAACCCAAATCAGCGGCTTGACGGTGGTGTTGAGGCGGTAGCTCATGAGCTCAAACTGGCCATCCGGAGGGATGAACGAAATAGTTCTATCGTTCTCAAATCGCGAAAGTCGCACACACTGGTGGAACTTGACGTCCTCCATCTCGATGCTCTTTCCTCGAGATGCACGAGCAGATCCGCCCGATCCGCCTCCCCCAGCACCGGTGTTGCTCACATGGTCAAACAGCACCTTGTCGTTAAGTCCCAGTCGCAGTTCAGGCATACCAGAGAGGTAACATTTCATCTGGACAGAGCCGAGAACCTCAGAACGCAGAACCTGGCCCGAAGGAGACATCAGCAAGTTGACAGCCTCAACAACATCCAAAAATGCCTCGTTCTTTCGGTACTTGATGCCTTCGGAACGCCAAGACACGGCGTTCGTGACAGCCATAGGGGGTCTTGGTTGCTCTTTTGGCACCTGGGCGATTTCCATGGCGATTTCGAGAATGTGGGACTTTTGGGTGATGTACTCCTTGAGGATCTTTGTGTCGGTGGTCTGTGGGAAACCGTAGTCCATCAGCTCGTCCAACAGCTCGTAGATGAGCACAAAGTTGTCTCTGATTGACTCCTCCTCTAGACCCTTGAAGTATTCTGTCAGCACCTGGACGACCCGATGCAAAAACAGCAGAATCTCGGCGGCATTAGTGTTGCGCTTCGTCAGAGCCAGCAGGTACAGGTTGTTGTGGGTAATGTACAGGTAGTTGACTCCCTCATGGGTGAAACACGGAGGGACGACAGGTGACTCCTCCTCGGCCTGCAGAAGCAGCATGGGGAACTTGTCGACAGCCGACATAGGGATGTCGCCGCGGTAGTTTCGCGATAACAGAGGCTTTCCCTTGAGGTCCAGGAAGAAAATTGCCGACGCCATTGTGTGCTGTGTGGTGTTGTAGTGAATGTGGTGATACGTGTGAGTTTTGACGTGGAGGTAATTTTGAATCACGTGATGCACACTTTGGAGAGAGCGTAGTTGGGTGGTGCGAGGAGATGGAAAAGTGAATGTTGGTGGAATTAATAAAGAGGGGCCTGCGGTGTCTTTGGTGTTGTTCTTTGACTAAATATGAGGGGGCCTACACGTTGGATGAGTGTGCTGTTTTCTACACGGATTATCGTTTTTCATCTTTGGGCTTGGGAATGTGGCAGTGTCCGGGTTGGGAGATCCTGACTAAGAGAGATTATGAGGAGGGCATAAGGGATAGGTTCAAGAATGATTGCATTGATATCATCGTAGCTCGCTGTGTGATATCATTGACTCAATTGCTTCAATGTAAATTGCAGCAGTCCCTGGAGATATGCCAATGTGGGTACTATGAGACCGCACCGAAGAGATTTTAAGTACTCGTACTTTTATATGCCACCAAACGGAGACACTAGAGAGCTCGCATTGGATACAAAATAAGATCCTACTTGTACAAGTACAGTATGTACACTACAGTACCGGAAGTTGTTTCGTAACACTGCACACTGACAACGAGATGCTTACTTGTCTTCTCTGCGCGTGTATTTCCTTGGGTAAGGTTCTGAAGGGAGGACGCTTCAGAGATGCAGGCGCTACAGTAGGCCAAGTTACACTGCTCTATCACCACATTTCAATGACTCCTTGACATGTCTGATCTGACTAACCTGCTGGCCGAGTTGTCGCGTGTGCAACCTGCAAACAGTACGCCTTTCTTTACTCAGAAGGACCCACTGAAAATCACCACCTATGCCGATGCTCTCAAATACACAGTCCATGAACTCACGAAACGGCCTGAGTTTCTGACTGAGGTGAAACGGCTGATGATAGAGCAGCAGAGACGACTGGCCCAGCTCGAGAAGGAATACAATGAGATCGATGCGAAAATAGAGGCCCAGAAACGTGACTTTGAGAAAGTCGACAACATCCTAGCATCAGTAGGAATCGGAGGAGGAGGGGGGGGATCCAAAAACAAGAAGCCACCCACGAGGGAGGAAGCCGAAAAGGCATTCCATGCACATGCCCACAAGACGCTGACAAACATGTACGATTACATCTACAGGCGTTTTGAGGAGCTGAAGATCCCTTTGTTCTACACTAGTCCTGAAGCCAAGGCAAGAGGAGGAAAGCGAGTGAGAGAGGGCCAGAAGGAGCTAGTTGAGTTTCTCGAGATTTTAGTTGAGTAAAAGAGGTATTCGTTAAAGAAAGATGCAGAAAAAAAAAGAAAAAGATGCGTGAATGCAAGCATACCAAGCTTACAATGATCAATAATGACCAATGCCCACACATCTGTCAGCTGCTGAACTGCAACTGGGAACAAAGGAACTCGTACTTGAACGACAGCCAGAACTATTATAGAGGTGGAAGCATTAAAAAAAACCACACTCAACTCCCTGGTCCAGACTGCATGATCCTGGCGCAACTTACACCAGTCCCGCCCCATAAATGGCTTTACGTAGGAGTGAGTTTCATAGGAGACAAGAGTCAGTAAGTAAGAGGTTTATCGACACAGCTTGGCCCATTGCAAGACAACCGCGTAAGTCAACTGACTGAAAAAATTCTATAGACTTCCCCATACACACTCATCTTCTATTGTCTCATCTGGGCAACGTGCCAAGACAACGGTCATGCAGGGAAGCTAAGAAGGGCTGAAATAAATCTAGATGGTGTGTGTAAGTGGCGTGGAAAGCGACGTCCTAGGATTTGAGAATTGAGCATAAAGTCTTCGGTGCAAGAGGGGTGATCGAGGTGAGCTTGTAGGGTTACATTCGGAAGAAAAGCCGTGCGATGGTATTCATAGAGAGACGCTGCAAGTAAAGTCCGAGAAAGGGATGGGGAAGAGGGTCGTATCCAGGTAAGTAAAAGAAACAACAATAAGCTGGTAACACCAAAAGACAACAACTAGTACAAGAGACACCGAACGATATTCTGTACTGACATGTTCCTCAATTACGCTCCATGCTCAATACGTTGCAAGTAGAAGATTTACTGTAGAGTGGAACTACTGTGAGCTGTAACGATAAGTTTGAGCGAAGAAGACGAGAGTAGAATATTTTTGTCGGTTATGTACCGGTACGACTTAGCAATTGTTGTACAAAGTAAGTATATCCCCTCATTGCTCTAGGCATGGTGTTGGAGACTGAGCTGCTCCATATTATGCCAAGTCAACATGGCTTCGATATTGGTGGGACGGTGGTTGGGCCACAAGGAATAACTAATCGAGCAACGGTCCGTCATAAGCACTCAATATTGACCTATTGTATGCACTGTACTACAAGTAGAAGCCTGGTGACTGACCATCAAAATTTTCCATGCTTATTGCTAATTTCAATCTGTAGACTCCATTTGGTTCGGACGACAGATAGGGACCCCCACTGGCCTTGCAAAAGTATGTCACTTGCAAGCCGAAGCTTCAGAGCGCGGAAGAGAGCACCAATAACCACTGGGGTTAAAATCTTCGCTCCCCATGCCGATCTACTTGTAGCTGCACTTTACTCCCTATCCCACTCTGTGATTCAAGACTTGCATGATATGACTACTGTACAAGGCACAGGTTGTAATATCGGGACTGAACTTGGAGGCGTTGCTATGAGCTTGTCGCAATAGTGACATGCGTTCATAGCAATTCGAGGCGGTAAAAGTACCGCTCTAGACTACGATACAATATTTATAGCGTCCACAACTTTCATTTTATACTAGCGCCCTGAAAGAGTTGCGAAGTACAGTATCGTACTTGTACAGTAGCCGCGAGAGAAAAAAGACACGATGGTGGATAGGCAAGCCAAGCCGCTACTAACTTTGCTACAGCAGATACGATGCGCCAGTGTGTACAACCGAGGGTGGAAGGAGACGAGAATGCTTCCTCTTTGTCAACACGGAAATACCATCCAGGCGAGGGTAGAGTTGATAGACCCTAACGGTCAAAGTTTTGCATAGGCCAACGGAAAGAATTTTACAGTACGTGCTCGTACTTGTATGCGGATCATAGAGCAAGACTATTTATTGTACGAATCAACGAGATTTATCACTTACAAAATTTTCACCGTCGTCGTCTCGATTTCTCCCAACTTTACGGTCTCTTTCAGGACATCTTCATCATGCGTAATTTCGCAACACCTGGCAAATGGCTCTGCCGGTGTGATAGAGTTGGCTTTCGGCAAAGCCAAGACGGGAATATTGAATGTAAATGGGACAAAATGGGAGTACGTATGTGACAGAAGCAAAGGGGGATGAAACAGAATCGAAAAAACTCCACAAGAATATAGCGAACATCCCGTATTCTTTACATGACATCATCGTTAGCATGTTCATACATACGTGTATGCAGAACGTTCAGCCCGCTTAAGTTGGCACTATTGCGAACCAACACACTTTCTGTGAGGGAAGACTGCAAACGTAGAGAGGCATGGACGTTTGCGAGCGAATAAAATAGGCAAAATCAACAGCTAACTGAAGGGAAAGCCTACTAGCGATAAAACAGACCAATCTAAGATATATCACGTCTTCATCTACCGCAGAACGTCTCGCCTAGTGCCGCAACTTGACACCTCAGAATTTGACCCACCAATAGAAAACTCCCAAGAGCTATATTTCGTTGCAGAAACTGTCTGCGGAATTGGCTTTGACTTCGGCACGGCTCTGGGTTGATGAGGGGTCTACGACGAGTAATCGTTGCCACAAAGTGATAATACTAGTTCTGTACAATAATCCCCGTTTGTAGGGTATTTCAATTAGTTTCAACCCGTCGATATGAGCAATATTAGTCTCTATTATCACCTGCAAACTTCCAAGAGACCCACATTGTTTGACTTCGATAAACTTCGATAATAGCGCTTGGCAACGTTTAACAGGTCTGAAAGTGGATGCAAGCGCTGGACAAGGAATTAACGCCCCACCAGAATTAAAAATTAGAACAGGCAAAACGAGAAAAAGATTACCTACGGTACCAAAATCACGACCGCACCAAAACCTTCTCGGTCGACCAACTCCAACTACTTATAACGTGCGCCGTCGCTGCTCAATCGGCTAACACACACAAGCACCAAACACCTCACCCATGGAAATCTTGCTATCGCCTTAAACAAGCGTACTTTTTGCAGTGCCTAATCGACAAGAAACAAAGCCGACAAAAAAAACGAAACAAATCACCACTACTGGTACCGCCATGACCTTCTCCACCCACGTGTTTGATTCGGAAGACCCTGAGCACCCCAAGCTGCCCAAGGTCTTTCTGGAGGACACCGACAACAACGAGTCTGCTCTGGTCTTTGATTCTGAGGACGATGAGGAGGAGGAAGGGGACGCCGCTGAAGAAGGAACTCGATCACGATTTCTGTCCTTTGGACGAGCGCGACCTCGAACCCCTTCTTTCGCCACCGCTGAAGCCCCCCCTCTGAGTGTTTCTCCTTCTGCAATCAGCAACATCCGACCCAGATCTCCCAGCAATGTGTCTCCCATCTCTCCAGTCTCCTTTGAGAAAGATCTCGAGGCCCAGGACACCTCTGACGATGCTGGTATTCCTGGAATCATGCTCACTAGCCCAGGAAGCGAAAATTCACCTGGTTTGCAGATCGAGGAGCCTCGGGGTCGAACTTACTCGTCAGCCTCGTCTTTCCGACCCAAAATCGGTTCAAAATCGCCCTCAGTGCGACGAAAGTCGGTCCACAGCAAACCCTCGCGTGGACACGAGCCTGGTCTGAACCCTCTGCTGTCAGATACTTTGCAGCGATCTCTTGGATCAGCCGTGACCATCGTCGATTACTCAGCGGATCGATATAAGGTGATCCACGGAGAGGTGCATCGAAACAAAGAGACGGATAAGTTTGAGCAGCTCTTGGATGAGAAACCCTCTTGGAGTAAAGTCCGATGGATCAACGTCAACGGTCTGTCCTACGAGGCCATTTCTTGCATTGCCGAGAAGTACAACTTGCATCGTCTGGCTCTGGAAGATATGGTGGATATTCCCCAACGGACAAAGATCGATCCTTATCCCAACCAGATCTTTTGTGTCGTTCCTCTGCATAAACTGATCGCATTTGACCCCTCTCGAAGATCCAAGAGAGGTGGCTTCAGACGATTCTGGGATTCCAACGGTCTAGTGGAAATGAAGGACAACCTGAAGCTCAGTCGCACATCGACCACTGCTTCCATGGCGTCCAACAACAAGTCCCAAGTCAAGAACCGAGGCTACAGACCCCGAACAGACCCCACATACGAGTTCGAACCGGACTCTTTGTCTGCAGAAATTGCCAATGTCGCCATGGAGACCATGTACGAGTGGCATACACCTATCTCTTCGGCCAAGCGAACCGCCTACCTAAACTCCAAACGTCCTCTGTCTGCCCAGAAGCGAACTGTGGGTATGGAACAGGTCAGTATCTTTTTGGTGAAGGGAACTAATGGCGAGGAAGGCACTGTGATTTCTTTTTTCGAACACTCTGCTGCTGATGTCGAGCGACGAATTCTCGCACGTATTTCATCGTCTTCTACAATTCTGCGAGAGTCGTGTGACGCCTCCATGCTTCTACAGGCCATTCTTGATGGAATTGTCGATCTCATCATCCCCATCATCATTACCTACCAGAATAAGATGGCCGATTATGAGAGTAAGGTGCTTCAAAAGCCGTCTTTAGGGCTCTCTCAGAACCTGCACCTGTTGGAATTCTCTCACAGATCATCACCCAGAGCGACGCGCGCGAAATCCACTTGCGGTTTGCCCAGGGATTTTGGGACGCCGAAGAATGGGGCGTTCTCCCACACAATGGAGCGTTTGCTGGCGGAACAGGAATCGAGGCTTGGGCCTGGATCGAGGCCTCATCCAAACAGGAAGCCAAGAAGAAGTGGTTCGGACTGGTCAACTCGCTGTCTGGACTTTTCTGCGCCTCGCTGAACTTCATTGACTCGGCCCACACAGTGGAGCCTCAGTTCACCTTTAAACAATCATCCACAGGTTCCAACGGAGCGAACGAAACCACAGCATACCTGTTCTCGGGCGCGCTTCCTGCTGAACCTGTCTGCACCGAAAACCTCACTCCTTTCATTCGACTGCTCCCTTGCAAGGGTAAGGCTGGAATCTCTTCTCTTCTTGACGGACACAAGATCTTCGACTCCCAGTGGCAAGGTATGGCCATTGACGTTCATCGAGAATGCACCGATGAGGAAGCCTGCAAGATGGTGCTCAAGCAGACTGTAGATGCCGTGGTCGATGTTCCTCGTCAATTAAGACGAAACAAGCACCCTATCCCCGTACCTCTTTACGGAACCGACTTCAGATGTGACACCTCCAAGCCCTATGCTAACGACTACATCTGTTTCCCTCTCGGTGACCCTACCGAGGTGTCCTGGAGTATCCGGGAGATCTTCGGGCGGCCTATTGAGGGAGCCTGTAGAATCGGACAGGGCTCCGTCAACCTGGACGTCCCTGACGGATGGAAGCTGCAGAGCAAGTCTGGTGAGGACGGTGAGATTCTGGACACCTATCCTACACTGTCTTTGGCTAACACTGACTCTCTGGACATCATTCTGTCGTCCGATAACGCCACCCATGTGTCCCCTGTGTCGTCTCCTCCTGTGTTTGCCCAGCGGTCTTTCTCTGGCCACGGACAACAACGAGGAGGTGTTCGAACCGCCTTCACCAACCCTTCTTCCGAGCCCGTCACCTTCATCTACTCGGAAACTCTGCCCTGGTTCATGCGGTTCTACTTCCACACCATGAAGCTCAAGAATGTGGATGAGTTTGGAGAAGAGTGATCTGTGCATGCTGAGATCAACTATCGCCCCTATCACCACGGTTGTCAACTCTCTGCGTGGCTTCCACGCCAACGGTTCCCACGTCCCTTCGGTCAATTCTACACCCAGTTCTGGCATGGTTTCTGAGCTCGCAAAAGTCTACCTTGCTGATGTTGCTGATCATTCGCAGATCTTCACTGAAGATCTCGATATCATGCGAGCTGGAACTAAGAACATGACGGATCTAATCTTCAATACGATCACATCAAAGTCTAATGACCTGCTGACAATCATTTCTTTCATCACTGTTATTCTGCAGCCCATGACTGTCATCTCGGGTATCTTTGGTATGAACTTCGACGAGTTCCCTGAAATCCACAACCATGGAGTCTCTTACTACTGGTACTCCACTGTTCCTGTGGTCGGAGGTCTGCTGATTCTCATCTTCTTCAAGTCGTGGATCCTTGCCTTCCTCGAATGGATCAAGATTAACATCATCTACGGATGGCGAGGACAAAGACGACGTCGATACTCTTAGGTGATCGGCAACTGGCTAACTTTTTTTATGTATTAATATATATTGGTTTGGTTATGTAACTACTACTGTACACAATTTGGATAACACCAATATACACTATCTATACGTTCCATACAATCATCAATATATTAAATAAGGTACACGCGGCCCTTACTGCTGCTTGGCAAGCCACTCGCCAACAACAGAGCCATCTCGCTGAACCCAGGCAGCTCGAGACTTGATAAAGTCCTTGGCCTGGCCAAGAGATCGGTCGAAACCGTCGAGGTCCTTGCCGACAAAGAACTCTTCCACGTCGTCAAGAGCCTTCTGAGAAGCAAACTGTCGAAGGGACAGCTTGAGGTATCTTTCAAGAACAACCATGTTGGCTCCAAGCTTGGAAACAACTCCATGGTCCCAGTTGGCCTTGATGAACTCCCACTGGGCCCATCGAGCCTTCTTGTTGTTGACAAGAGAGCCACCGAGGAAATGTAGGTTCATGGGAGCAATAGTCAGAAGCATATCGACAGACTTCTTGATCAGAGCAGGAGACTGAACGGCACCAAGAGAAGAGAGAACAATCTCAATAGAGTCGACAGAAGAGGGGTCCTCGAGCTCCTTGAGTAGTGCATCAAAGGCAGCTGCAGACTTGGAGTCGTCAGACTGCGAAACTGCGGCTCGGAAGACGGGGATTCGAATGGAGGGATGGATGGCAGTCTTGTCTCCGGCTGCCCACTTGTCGAACAGGGAGGTGAGGTGAGAAGAGACAGCATCAACACCAAGACCAGCAGCAGTGCCCAGGAGTCGGGTTCGCAGCTGGGAGTCAAGGAAGTTGTCCTTGTTAGTGAACTCAAGACCAATCTTAGAGGTGATGGGCTCGATCAGCTTGGCAGTAAAGGCGTCAATAGCCTTTTGGGTCTCCTCAGACTGCTCGAACCAAGCCGATCGGATTGTCGCCATGGCGTCAAGAATGGATGTCCACACCACAGGGTCGTCTTCACCGGAAAGCTGAGAGATGAAGGACAGAAGGCCAACAGTGGAAGCGTAGCCAGCAATGGAGGTGGCCAGAGCGTCAGAGATGATACCAACTCGGTCCTCAGAAGACAGCTTGTCGAGATGCTGGCCGAAAGACTCCAATCGAGCAACAGAGTAGTTGCATCGGTAGAAACCAGTTCGGTTTCGGTTCAGCTTGAAGAAGCCGTTGTGGGCAACACCAGAGATGGAAGTCTCACGGACATCGAAAGAGTCGGAGTTACCGGTGGCCTCTTCGCCAGGGCCTGCAGAGGAAACCTCAAGAGGGACCCACCAAAGAGTTTCATCCTCATCAGGCTTAGCATCGCCGGTAGTGAGGAACCGGTTCTGCTTGAGAGTGGCAGTGGAGCCCTCATTCTCGGTGACGGTGATGACAGGGTAACCAATCTTCTTGATCCATGACTCCATCAGGGAGTTGACGTCTCGGCCAGAGACCTCCGAAATCGCGGACCACAGATCGGCGGTATGAGCGTTACCGTAGGAATGCTTCTTCAGATAAGCAGCAACACCCTTGAGGAAGGTGTCAACACCAAGAGTGTTGCCAAGCATTCGAATGGTGGAAGCTCCCTTAAGGTAAGAGATGGCATCGAAGATCTGGTCAATATCCTTGGCAGAGGTCACAGGAACCTCAATAGGGTGAGAGGCTCGCACAGAGTCCAGCTGCAAAGCGTCCTCCATGTTCTCAGCCACGAAGGCAGTGAAGACGTGCCAGTCGGGGAAGAGTCGGTCAACAGCGTACCATCCAACCCAGGTGGCGAAACCTTCGTTGAGCCACAGCTCGTCCCACCAGTCCATTGTAACGAGATCGCCAAACCACTGATGGGCAACCTCGTGGGCAACAACGTAGGCAACACGCTGCTTGTAGGCGGCAGCAGAAGTCTTCTCGTCAAACAGAACGGCAGTGGTTCGGTAGGTAATGAGACCCCAGTTCTCCATTGCGCCGTGAGAGAACTCATGGCATGCCAGCAGGTCCATCTTGGGCAGCATGTAGTCGATCTCAAACACGTCGGAGAAGAGATCAATGACTTTCTTGGTCACGTCTAGAGCAAACAGGCCCTGCTCCTTAAGACCCTTGGTGGTGTAGACTCGGACAGGCAGCTTTCGGCCGTTGTATGATCGCTCGGTAAAGTCCTCCACGTACTCAAATTCACCACAGGCCCAGGCCAGCAGGTAGGTGGACATCTTGGGGGTGGTGTCGAAGGTGACGGTCTTGGTCGCAGCGTCGGCTCCATCAGCGGGACCCTTGGAGGGACCCTTGGAGGGGCCCTTGGAGGGGCCCTTGGTGGCACCCTTCTTTCCGTCGGTGGGGGCCTTAGAGGCGACCACAGGCATGTTGGAGATAACCTCCCAGGCTTCAGGTACAGTGATGGAGACATCGAAGGTTGCCTTGAGGTTGGGCTCATCCATGCAAGGGAAGGCGGCTCGGGCATCAGTGGCCTCGAACTGTGTGGACAGCTGAATCTTGTCGTTGCCCTCGGGATCCTTGTAGGAGGACTTGTAGAAACCGGACATGTTCTGCTGAATGACGCCGGAATACAGGATGGTAGCAGTAACAGAAGTGGCGTTGGCGGGGATCTCGGACTTGAGAGCAATGGCAACGGTGTCATTCTTCTCGTTATAGTCAATGGAATCCACGTTGATTGCGACCTCGGTCTTGGTGACGTCGGCCTTGACCTCCACGCTGTCGAGCTTGAGGTCCTTGGCGTTGAGGTCGATGGACTTGGTAGCCTCATTGACGTCGAACTTGATGACGACTCGTCCCTTGAACAGGAACTGGTCGATGTCAATATCGTAGACGCTGAGGTTGTAGTTGGTGGGCTTGAGGCTGGAAGGGAGAGTATCTCTAGCCATTGTGGGGTTGATGTGAAGGAAACAAGTTTAGGTGTGTTACTAAAGCAGGTATGAATATGCACTTCGGCTTTCGAAAGTTGAGAGACACGGCGCCAACTATAATTTTTTTGGTGCAGACTGGATGTAGAAGAGACATCAGAAGTGTGATGTAGACAGGGTAATTTGTTCGAGAGAGTGTGGTCGCGCAGTTGCTCTTGAATTCGTTGTTATTTGCTATGGCGCTCGTCGTGACTGAAAGACACTTGGGCTTGTATCACAGCACCTACAGTTGGTTAGACTTAAGTTCAGGCTGGTCTGATAGTGGAGATACATGAAACCAGTTTAGATCAAAGTTCATGGAAGCTGTAACAGACAGATAGTGAGGAGCAGTGCTACAATTCGGGAGACGCGATATATCCATCTAAGAGATCTATAATCTTAGAAATACATGTTACAGGCAAGGAAGATGGGAGTGATGTTTTTCACCTGAAGTCTTCCTTTATTCTGAGTAAGGACCCAGCCGAAAGAAAGATGGTCTAGGGGTAATGGTCGGTTGGAGCTAATACGGAACCGAAAGGACATGCTAATGTTGGACTTCACAGGAGACTGAGAAGCATGGCTGAGGGCCCATTATAGCCTTGTAATGATACCAGCCAACGAGCCTGTACTTATTGTTTTTTCTAAGAACCTTGACGCCGATAATATGTGCCTCTCGAGAGAGTAGAGCAAAAACTCCCATCACCCCTGTTCAGTGGCTGTACTCGTCTTCATTAATATTGTTGTAGAAGTTAGCTCCCCATCTTTCTCGCCCGAGAAGTGATTGTAGGTTATTCGTACTCCGCTGTCAATGATGTAGATATTGGTAGGTAGCTAGCATCACGAGAGGCGGTGTAGCCCGATCCGGGAGAGTTATGGGAGATCCTGGACAGATACCAAGTGGAATTGGAAGAGTGGCCATTGCATTTTTGAACTTCTGTAGCTGTTCCATCACTCTAGCCTCACCACGTACCATTCCATCATGTTGATGCACGTTGACGGTTGAGCACATGGAGATGAAGTTCAAGATCCAACATAACCGACAACTCCGGATCCTTTTTCAACCTACCAATGTCGTACAAGTTCTGGATTGGCGAGTCTGTGCTCAAGAGGGCTTTCACATGGTTCAGTTTCGCCTCAGTTAATACCTCCTTCTTGAACGTGACAATAGTGAGGTTACGGGTTTGATTGGAGCTCATCTCTCTTGACGACATCATCGAGAGCCGACTTTCTATCTAGGTAGCTGCTCCAAACCAGCGAAATCAGCTCTGAGTGAGCAAGCTTCTCCCGACCTTATTGAAGACGAGTGCGAAAACAGCAGCCCGAGTAGAAGAATCGGTAGTCACATGGTGATGAGGTGGAAGAGAAAGGTGTGGACAATTTCACATTAAAGGGCTTCATTAAAAAAACAACCTGTTATGGATTCATCTCTTGCCTATTGGGGCAATCTCATTAGACAATTTCAGTACGCAAGCAAAGAAGAGCGGTATACAAGACGACGTCATAAAGTGAAATAGTTGAGTCGAGTTAGGGCTGAGATGTAATTATACTAGTAATGAATACATTTAGAGAAAACATTTTACACTGGTTTGTCTGGAGGGTGCCTCACAACACAGATGAAGCCTCTCTACTGGTGTATCCAGCTTATTTGCAAGCAGCTGGGAAGTTTCAACCTAGAGATCTCAAGACCAGAAGCCATACCAGATTAAGGGTCAATGAAGGAGTTCTTAGAAACTTCGTTCGCCCACAAATAGCTTTGTCAAGAATTGGTACTTAACCAACCGACCTCACCCTTGCTTCGAAATTGGAAGCGCAGAAGACACGTGATGTGAAGGACTAGTATTATAGCTATGGACAAGTATGTGAGAACTTCTAATTCTGAGCCGCTCCTTATTAAACAGATGTAGGGAATACACGGCTCTGACGTGGATCGATGCATCTCAGCGTAGCATCTCATGGTCTAAGTGGTAGAGATAGTCTCCAGTGCTTAAGTATTCGGTGCTCATGAAACGCCATCATAATATTCAAATAGTCTATTGTACACTCTATATGGGGAGACTGGGCTACATACCTAGCTCAACATCTCATCGACCTTGGACCTGGTCAACTCGATGGCGGGTGTGCACCATTTACCGCAGGAACACTTGCTTCCCTGCCACTTGTAAGAGCCCAGTTTGGCCTTACATTTGGGACAGTTGAGCTTTCCATCAAGTGCGCCCTTTTCGAGCTCATCTCGCATCCACTCGATGGGCTCTACATAGTATTGCATGCACTGGGGAGCGATTGATGCATTGGCTCCAATACCGTTTCGAGACGACTGTTGTTTGGGCATGGGGGACTTGGGTTCGTGGACAATAAACGCGTTAGAAGAGGCAAGGATTTGTCTAGAGACTTGGGTTAGTAAGGGAATAGAAGAGGGGGCAGATGAAAAAAGAAAAGGAAAAAAATAGGAATAAATAATGAGACGTGTAAAGTAAACAATCTTGTCTCCATGGTTAGACAAGATGTACGTCGAGAGACGGCAGATCAAGAGAAAACGTGGAAAATAGACATCTCACCATCACATCAACTTTGGCATACTATGGATATCCATCCACTCATAGCATACCGGTTACCTCATACTCACCGACACATTCGACATCTCAGGAGAGAGGTCTTCATTGAAGGAGCAGTCTGTTCAGGAGTTGCCTCGGTGGCATCCTCGACAGCACCAGACTGGTTCATCTTGGGTCTGATCTGACGTCTGAAATCAGCCGAGAAGCCCTGGCCTCTGGAGGTCAGCCCCTCAGTCTCCGATCTGTACTTGAACTTGGGTGTAGATCCAATGTTAGGAATACCCTCAGAGTCCTTTTTGAGGATCCATTGACGGTATAGGGGCTTGGAGTCGTCAATCTCGTATCCACATTGCTCGTAGATCTTGAGCTGCTCCACGAAGGAAGGGTTAGGGTTGGCGATCTTTCGTCCTTTCTTAACAAGAGCCAGTCCCTGCTCAGCAGTGAGACCCAGCTTCTTCATCAAGTAAGCGATGACGATAGTAGAAGATCGCGAGATACCGGCCATGCAATGAACCAGCACTCCCGGAGGATCGGGGTTATGCGGGTACTCGAGATGCACGGATTCGACATTCTCAGGGTAGTTCTTGTACTTGCCCGATTCGGCCACTTTAGTCATCCATTCGCCACAGGCGTCCTCGATAAACTTGTTGGTCTCGGGGAAGTATTGCATGATGTTCTCCTCTTCGTCGTCATCCATCTCCACGTGCAAGTGAGTGTATCCCTGGATCTGGTTTCCAGGCAGCTCGCCTCTGACCATGGAGATGATATGGTTGATGTTGTACTTCTCGAAGGAAATGTGAGCAGAAAGGGAGTAGATCGATCCCACCCATAGGGGGATATCCGGAGCCACTCGATGCATAGCCATTTTGTGTCGTAGTGTGGTATGAAAGAGGAGGTTGAGTTGCGATGTTCAGTCACTCGGCCGAGGCTGGTTTTTTTAATAATCCAAACCTAATATAGCTGCAACGGAGGGTGATAGGTGGGGTAAGGAGAGGAAGTTTGTCGTCAAGACTTTGAAAGAAGCCGAGGAGTCCCAAGTGGCGGAACTTGTTTAGAGGAGTTGTTTCATCAGATTTTTTTAATAAATGTCCCTTGTGTACCTCGCATTTTATGTCCTTAGGAGAAGATGCGCTTGTGTCGAGTCGTCTGTCACAGAGTGGGCCAACCCGCAAGAGCCGTCCAGTGCAAAAGACATCAAAGCAAATACTATCAACTTGGAATATACACGTTAAATAATGTCGCATTAATGAATAACTGCTCTTATATGGTCCGAATGTAAACATCATCACTGTCACTCAGTCGAGATGTTATGTACAAACCTGCCAATGACCAACAAAAACAGTGAACACAATACAATGATATGCTATTTAATTCAGAGTACCAACCGTCAAAGGACGGGCCCTCTTTCGATCCAGGATATCCTGGTAAGCGTTGGCACACCCATAGTGAACCACAGTCAAATCAGGGAACACACTAACAACACTGTGGCCAAGTCGTTTTAGACAAATCCGACACATACGAGAGTCAGTTACTCGGACGCTTTGCGCACGAGTCTCGAGATACTCCTCCTCGACGCTGACTGCATACACCTTCTCCAACGAGGTTCGCAGTCTTAGCTGGTTAGCGGTAGCAGTGGTGTTACGAATCTGTGAACACAGGAATGGGTAGATCTCTGAGATCTTGACATCGTCACTCAGCAGATTCAGAACCTTGGCAGGGTCCATTCGAGAGCCCTGGGAACTCAGAAGCTTGAGCGCCGCCTCAATGTTGGGCTTGGGCCCCTTCCTGGGAGGAGTCAGCAGAATATCCAGAAGTTCATGCAGCGACTCCAGACCCTTGACAGGGTCCTTTCCATACAAGTCAGATGCATGGTTCTGTGCCTTCATAGGACTGTCCATGTCATAGACGTAGATTACCAGAGCATCATGCTCCTGATCCATCTTGGAAAGAAGCACAGCTCGTTGCTCGAACATCTTCTTTGGAACAGCAGAGTAGACAGTCTGGGGTCGATAGTGAGTAGATCTGCCGAGAAATTTGAGCAGCTTTCGGGAGAACTTCTCCTTGTCAGAAGCATCGTCTGACTTCTCAATTTCACGAATGTACAACAGTGCCAGATCGTTGTGGAAGCGAACAGTATCGTCGTGCTTCTTGTAGGCAAGATCCTCGAGATACTCAATTGCTAAAAGAGAAGAGACGTCCTTCAGGAACGCAACCACTTTATTTCGAGGCAAACTGGTAGCCTGGTCCGTATCCTCTAAAAATAGCTCTCGTCCATTTTCAATATCCTCCTCAATAGGCACCTTTGAGAACTCCAAAATGAGGTCGATGTTATGTGCATCGAGCTTTTGGAGGTACGAGATGATGGACTCAGACGTGAACTCATGATTCTTGCCCTTTAACTCAACCAGCAGCTCCAAAGCATCTTTGTGAAGACCCTTTCCATAGTAGAAGTCGATCAGTTCCTTCCATTTGGATAATTTGGACAACTCCGTCTTCACCACAGTAGGATCACAATAGTTCTTGACACGGAGAAGAGGGCCAATAAGACCAGGAGAGACTCGAATATAACACTGGAGAAGGGATGTGTCAACAAGAGCCATAGCTTGCTCTGCATTACCGTAAATATCGTTGGAAAGTTCGACACCTCGGTAGTAAATCTTCTCCTGAGAAGTCGTGATCCGGGTCAGCTTTCTTCGAGTGTCAGTCAGAAACACAAGAAGACTGGTAAGTGCAGGCGAAGGCCGGTTAGCCGTGTGAATAGATGCGGTGTCACGAGACGAAAGAGTGATAGAAGGTGCCCCAGGAGACATGGAGTCTTCTTCATTATTCTTTCCGGAACCGTTGGTATGATTTTTACCCTCGCCTGTTTCTTTGTGGGTGTCATCTGCTTGGGTTTCCTCCTCTCCATTGACTTCATCCTCGTGGTGATCCACATCGCCAGCATCTTCGTCATCTTGCAGCAACCCTTTACTCAGTTCTAGAACAAGCTCCGGAGGAGCACTTACTTCCGAGAAAAGCGACATGGAGTCCTCGATATCACCATTCTCATAAAGGCTGGTGGCTTTGAGAATAATGAGTTCTCTCAGTTTCCGTTCCTTCAAGCTCTTGCCCTCCTCTCCTCCTTCAGTCTCATTACCCGTTTCTAGTAGAACCTGGTCAATCTTGGACATGAGAGAGATACCCTCATCAAGGAAGCCCATCTCGATTATATTGTCGATGACAGAAATGTAGTCGGTAGAGAACAGCCGAATCACCCTAGTTCCGGTGGCAATGTAGCTGATCTTTCTGTTGTGACTTATGTGCTGAATATCGGGGATAGTGATCTGCTGAATAAGAGTAGTGGTGTATGGGTTTCGGACTTCCACGTGAGATGGAAGAGCTACCAATAGGTACGGGTGCACAATTCCAACAGCCGCGGGAGCAATCTTCCAATTGAGCTTGTTGGTGTAGTTGAAACACAGCTGGTGAGAATGATCATGTCGGTGTTTGTTACGACCGGCATGTGGGGGGTGCTCGGCAAGTACCATATCATCGGATATTCCGCCGTAAGAGGGCACCAGACGTCCAGTTTCGTCCAGGTATGCTGAAGTAGTGTCTCGAACCAGCAATGCCAAATCATCAGACAGCCGCACTGCCTTAGGCCGAGGGGAACGGGACAAGCCGATATATGACATGTATCCAGCAGCCTCTTGAGTTCCATGGTAGGCCTGCAGATTCGTAGGTGGTGCAGCCTCTATAAATTTGACTGTGTCTGCGTATCGTGAGAGTTCCGCTACCAGAGTCTCTGAAGGCAGCATGCACACCAGAGAGTGCGTGTTGAGGAAGGTCACAGCCCGTGCCTTATCGGGGAGAGTGTGTTCTCTGAAAGACGAGAACTCAGTGTCGATCCATGTGTACACCAATAAACGTCTTTTGATGGGAATAGCCAGACGAGAAATGACACTGGGCGAGTCGTCATCGACTCGGTCGTCGGAATCTGAGAAGTTTCGGATCTCATGAGTGGCGTCGACCTCAGAGATGGATGCAAACCGCGAAGCTCCCTTTGATTTCTGCAGTGTCTCCTCTATGCTGAGAGATCCGATGGAAACAACATAAATGAGCGATCCAGCCAGGACAATTAAGCTGCGGGTGTCTCTGATGACCTCAATCTGGGTCACTGCTCCATTCAGATTAATTGAGTCAACTTTTGTGATGGAAAAGCCATCCTGAGCGTGAGGGTCGGTCACCAAACAAGACAGTAGCACTCCTGACTGCAGACCTACCAGCAATTTGTCGCCGAAAGAGCTGATGCATGTGATTTTGGAGCCTTTGGCCAGTTCCCGCACTTGTTTGTGTATCTCATCGTTCTCCGCAGCCTCCTTGGACTCTCCGAGGTTCAGTACATGTACTGGGTTGAATGCCGATGTCATGATGGACAACTATCCCGTGAAAATGAGTGTGGGGCGATTGGAGAATAGACGCGTGTAGTTGAACAATGGGCCTAGCTTGTGTTTGTGTCGAATGGGTTTTAATATCGTGAGCACTGACGGCTCCCGAGAAATGTTGTATAGATGGGGAATGCAGTTTCACACTACAGTGCCTGGAAGCTGCACTATGGCTGGGCGCACTTAAGGTTGAGATACGTATGCGTGGTGGTGTAAATTATTGACAGGAGTAAGGGGGCGAGACCACGAACACCACCTCACATCATGAACAAGAAGACGAAACAACAAAAGCTCGAGACAATTCATGACGCCCACGCGAATCTTGTTACAACATTGAAAACTGCGCCCGAAGCTCTTGAAAAGCCTCTGCTACAATCCATTGCTCTGATTCACACGAATCACAAGAATATCACCAACCAGGCTCAACATCTGGAAGAGTCCACTGAAAAGCTGACCAAACTCAACAAGCAGCTTCAAACAGTAGCGAACAACGGCGACACCAAACTCAGAGAAACCGGCGACGTCCAGAACTGGGCTGAGATGGTTGACGCGAACATCAGAATGATCGAGAAGACGATTCAGATCAGAAGGCAGAACCAATTGTAAATTGGAGGTTGTTATCTTGGGGTGATTCCGCTATCCTTGTCATTCTTGCCTGTCTGATATCTCTAAGATCCAAATACCACCATCACATGTGACCGTCACGTCTGAATCGTGGTATACCTTCGACAGTCTCCGTAATGACAAATGGGATTACGCAGGCAGTACACAAGCCCCAGCCACATCTTCGATTCTACTGTCTAGGCTCTACTTCAGTTCAACTGTCTTCGAGTATTCCGTGTCAAGGGTCGATAAATCTACACAGACATCCGAGGAAGTCTACATTTAGCTCTCTACCCGTCTAGGGGAATGCGGTGTGGAGCTGGCACTTGAGCTTTTCTTGAAGTCTTCTGAAGCTGTTCCGCAGGTATATCTGAAAGGAGCGAGCGACATACAGGATAATTAACGATCGCCAACACTGCTTCACTAAAGGGGAATACGTGGGCCAATCTACACTATTTTGATCAGTGTCGCTCCAATGAACTTCAGCTCCAACTTTTCGAAGTTATCCACTTGGACAAAACACAGGGGCGAGATACAGACGCTCGTGCAAAGTCTTCGTTGTTATAGGAACGTGGTGTGGACCCTCATTTATACAATAGATGTAATAATAACAACCACACACTGTACAGTTACAGTATGTATTTTCTGTACATCGTATAGTCGCGCAGTACATACGACACTTGAATGTATGGGTACCTTCTGTCTCAGTACGAGTACCGGTACTTGTCCAATACAAAATAAATACCGTACTTGTACGAGTACATACTTTCTACAGGTATTGACAGACAGAGTACATTAACCTACTTATGCAGTAACGCCAGTTTATCATTTGATCGCACTAAAAGTAGTTCCGTACAAGCACCAAGTCTAATCACCTTTCAGACGGACCATGATTCTTCTGTACTTGGCTAATATTGGCGGTTCGAGACTTGGACTTGCTTTTTACACCATCCAAGCCGCGTGATTCAGCCGTACCTTCAAAGACACAGGAAAGCGTTGAAGTATGCAAACCTCCATGTTACTCTGCTCATCGCTCGTCAAATAAATTATTAAATTATATAAAATGTATGTATGCAGTTCAATACCAGGACTCCTATGCAAATGACCATGCAAATCCAACTAGCTATTGGGCCACTGGCCAGTGGCCACCCATCCGGCCTTCATTACCTTGAGCACAAATGCAAGATTAAGCGGCTTTTTGAGAGTCTTGGTCTTGTCAACCAGTCGTTCGTAAACCATGGGGTAGCCCTCTTCAGGGATATCCTCGAATCGGACAGTATCGCTGCTTTCAGCTTCGGCGTTGTTGCCACCCTCCTCCTTTTCCTTCTGTTCCTGAAGAGTCTCAGGATGGGGTGTAAGCCAGGCAGCCCGTCGTTCCTTCCACAGTCGGTATCCCTCGTTCCAGTGGGCTTCTTCGTCCTCCGAGGTCATGTCTGACTCGGGGAACAGAGTGGCCGGATCCGACGTGATGGAGGTCGTGGCCTTATGCAAAGTGTTGATGTTGTTAGTCGAGTTATTAGTGTTGATAGAGGGGGAGGTGCCGAGAGAGAGGGGAGGGAGTTGGGGAGCTCCTACTGTTCCAGTAGGACCAGCGCCACCGGTTCCGGGGCCCGTAATTCCGCTGAGAGCCGCGCTCAAAGACCGGTCTGCGCCCGAGTCCGGTGCGGGGGTGATTTCCGACGTGCTCATGTTCTCACGCAGACGAGCAAAAGACCACGACCCGGATTTCAGAGGAGCAGGCTTCTTGTCGTGGAACAGTGACTCCACTTGTTTGTGGACAAGCACAAAGTCCACGCGTTTCTTCTTGGGCTTCTTGGGGTTTTCGTTGGACGACGACGAGTCCAGTAACAGGGTGGAGGACACGGACGACGACGACGACTTCGTGGGGATGATTTTCTTCTTGTCCACACCGGCTCCCTTTCGCGCTGAACCTGCTTTGGTCGATTTTTTGCTGGAGAACCACGACGCAAATTTTTCCTCCAGTCTTTGCATGGTAGACTTGGGACTTTTGTTAGTCTGGTTGAGAGAGGAGGGAGCGGCAGATGTCGGGGTCGACGAAGACAACTTTTTAGCGGGCGTCTTGGAGGGCGACGAGTGGGCGGAAAAGCCGAGCGAAGCCATGTCGCGCGCGGCCGAAGGACCCTTGTCGCCCATCTGAATCATGGGGCGGTGTGCGTCGGGGGACGATGCCTGGGTTGCCTTTTGCTTGGGTTTTTTGCTTGGGTCCACAGAAGTAGGCAACAAGGTTCGCCCGCTTTGGTTTTCATATGCAAGAGGAGCTGCAGAACCTTGCTCTTCTTTTGTGGCCAGCGGCGGCAGGTGCAGATGCAAATCTCCCACAGACTTTGAGTGCCTCATGGACGTAGGTGGTGGCAGTTGGTGAGGCTGACACCCGGAGGGTTGCGTCGGTGGGTTCACGGAGGCGATGGTCGACGACTGTACCGTTCGCAGTTCGTCCACGTTGTCGAGCGTGGTGGACGACACGGAAGCTGTCAGGGGACCGTTGAACTCCTTCTTGAGCTCGGAAAACTGACGGGAAAAATATCGCTTAAGCCGGCCCTTTGTCGGTACTTTGTTGGTCGAAGAGTCGCTAGGAGACACCACGGGCTCGGCAGTTAATACCACTTCTTTATCCAGATCCATGGGCGCCACTGTTGTTGCTTGCGGAGTCGGTGTTTGTGTCTTTCGTCGCGGCTTTGTTTTCTTACGTACGACAACGTGGCCATCGTCAGACTCGTCAGATGAGGTGTAAGGAGTGAATCTGGGCATGGACTGGCCGGGTCGGTGTCCCGTCATGGCCATATAATTTCGGGCATATGCTCCCCTTGAGGAGAATCCTGGTGGGCCCTGGTTGCGAGGATCCGAGTAGTAGTAGGGTCCCAGAAATGAGGCCATTTTCGGGCTGGAGAGCTGGGTTTATCTGATGTGAATCGGGTGGGTGTGTAGCGAAATTGTGGTGTAACCGGTCGGACGTTGCTTTATCGTCGTGTGGGCCAGGGAGAGGTGTACGTCGTGGGCAAATGTGTTTAATCAAGCAGTCGTGTAGCTACACAACCAGAGCAGACGTCACTCAGGCTGTAGAAGAAGCTGTTTGTTGATGAAGTTGATGGTGCAAAACGCAGTTGAAATGGAAGTGAAGTGGTGAGGGAACACAACAAGGTTAAGAGTGAAATCTTATTTCGAAGGTAAAAATGCACCGGCGAAAAGGAAAAGGCGAAAAAGGCAGGGCAAGTAAAAGGGGAAAAAAGAAACGATGTCAGAGAAACGATAGAAAAGAAGCTTGCGAGCTGATCTATAGAGGGGTAGCATGGTCTCTCCGCGGATTGGGACCAGCGCTTGTCCTCCTGACGCCACGTCACTACTACTCTGGTTGTGGGGAAAGCTGGTTTGTTCTTATACAAGCAGCACACTCACGTTACTCTGTTATAGGTCCCCTGCAGGCTTTGAAAAGAGAACTTACAGTGAGCGTAAAAAAGGAACCACGACATTTAACAACGCGATAAGATGGTTGTACTTGTAGCATCTTGTCAACACTGTGAGACAACAAAGAAAGAGACACCTGATCTGGGGGATGTGAGGTGTGCTCACCGATGAGGAAAAAGTACAGGTAGCTGTACGAAACACATCTGCCTTGTATGCAACAATTGATGGTCGGCGGCCCTAGCCCCTACAATTACATTACCATATCAGCTCTATACTTGCGCCTGAAATGTATACAAGCCGCGCATCGTACACTTGTAGGTCGGCTGTTTAGCATTTCTAAATTGGGATGATGTCTGTTTCCCCACACGTCTGTAGCCAGAGACCAATGGAAATAATGGCCAAAAGAAAATACGAAGGTGCTGACAAAACTCAACAGAAGGTCTTCTTTTGGCCACAATTTCAATACTGTACTCAAGTCTGATCTTCCAGAGTTAGCCCAGTTTCATAGAACACAAGACCACCCCTATTACTGTGAGCTATTTTTATACACACACTATATCCCTACTTGTAGGTCCCAACACCGCACATACACCGAGAGTCTGAAGGTCAGGATTGCTGCTTGTGTCCGGTAGCTACTAATATTAACCGTACGTACAAGTACTCGTACCATACGTTCATTGGTGAATATCACCTGCTCTCTGTACTCCTTGTTGCAAACACTTTCCAACATGTTTCACAGATGATCGTGCATCGTTGAGCGATACGTGCATTGTCTGACTGCTGGTTTGCGTCTGGTAGGTCTTGTGGGCATTACAGCCCAAAGCAAAATATTGCACAGCGTTGCCAGTCTAAGCCAGATATGCCAATCTAAATAATGACTAAATCACAATAAGTCTGACTAACAAACACACTAACTAATGATGACAAACTAACGAGGTCAGCCGGGTCACTACATTGTAGCCGAGTCCATCATTTCTGCTGCATTCGGCCTTCAAAGCGCTGGCGTCTGGTGTCGATCGGTCGGCTTTTGCGATAATTGCGCTTAATCTTTGTAGAAATCCCGTGTGTAACATGACGATATACCAACAGAAGGAGTGTATGGTAAGAGACATTCCTGGAAGAACAAAATAGATCATGACAAACCGACGAAAATACTACAACGAAGTACTTGTAGTACCCTCGTTTGAAGTTGTGTATTATACAGTACCTCTAGGCCCGCGGTGGCACCGAAAATGGATGTATTCCCGACAAGCAAACAAACGGGAAAAAACGAAAATTTACAGTCTTTTAGAATTCGTGAAAAAAAAAAATGTGCAAATAATACAGACGATATTCCAACGCATCCAAGCCCCTGGATGACAGCTGAAATTACCAGCTGGATGATGGTACCATGATCTCGGACCTCCCTACCTCCACCAGTACGACGCAGACAACCATGGTTAATATACATTTCATTGATCTATAGTGATATAAAATACAAGCGGAGAGGAAACAAGATTGGAACACGTCTTCGAAGCCTGTTAAAATGTTCCACGCGCCACGCCTCCATTGATCGCACCACACATGTAACAAGCACCGAGTACCGATTCCTCGTAAACAGTACGCATTGCGGATGAGAAACCCTTTGAGCTCCCATAGAGCGGTTATAGCGGACGTAGACACGACCGATGACATGATGCAGTGATTGTCCAAGTGATGAGTCCATAGCTAGCTAGATCATGGGGCTCGTAGTGCCCTTGTGTTAGCAACGATCTCTGGATAACTACGACATCAGACTCTCAACAGTAGCCTTCTTGCCCTTTTGGTCGTCCTTAAAGTCCAACACAACCTCCTTGTGAGAACTCCACTCAGCCCACTTTTGCTGATCGGACCAGGTGTTGAGTCTTGATCGCTTGTTACGTCTTAGCACGTATTCAGCCTGGTCATGTTTCAGGAATTCAACCTTTTGAATGGCGTAGGAGCCTCCATCATGATGCTTCCAAGACCGGGAGTTGATTCCGTTTCTGTAGCAGCCAGTGTACTCTGTCAGCTTGGGAAGAGCTCTGAGCGTAACGAGACAGTCTCCATAAATCTGCTCGTTGTCAGAAGTTGATGTCACGAGATGCGAGTTGGGTCCAACAGTCACGGGATGCTCATCCTCAAGATGTCCGTCTGTGGTGTCGTCAGCATCACCTTCTTCCTGGGCACGTAGAGTGCTGTAGAATGCGTCTACCTGGGCCCTGGTTGGGAGGACACCCGTGTGATACAAAACAGACACAATATCCGAGTCATCTGTGTAGATGTCTGTTCCCCAGATTTCTCTTCTCTGCACGAGTATGTTTGATTCCTTTCGCAGATGTTTTCGCGGGATCAATACTTGAATAGTACAGTCGACGTGGAGCTGCAGGTTAGGAAGAAGAACTCCCTGAAGGCACGTGTCCAGATTAGTGGTGTACTCGAGCACTCCCAGATCGGTTTTGGGGAATGGGGTGGCCTTAACAAAAGAGTACACGTCCTTGTTGTTGACATCTTGTTTCGATTTCAGGTTTCTGAACGATCTGTGATGGTGGTGATGGTGGTGGTGGTGTTTGTGAGGGTGGGGGTGGGGGTGGGGGTGAGCATGTTTCTGTAGTGATTTGGGCTCCTTGGGGTTGATACCAGGAGCGTCAGCGTCGTCGGCGGCGACAGTAGCAGCATCAGCGTTGTCAACAGGAGCAGTGACGCTAGGTGAGACAGCAGCGGCGGTAGACTCCTGCGCAGACACGGTGGGTTCTGAAGTCACTGGTTCAGCTGATGCAAGAGTAGTCTCCGCACTGGCAGCAGCAGCATTGGCGGCGGCATTGGGCGCCACAGTAGGAGCTTCGGGGACGCTGGTGGCTGGCGTGGCATCCTCCGATGGCGCTGGGTCGTTAGCTTCGGGTTTTTTGGGCTCGTCACCCTGGATAAAAGACAAAGACATGCGAGCGGGCGATGAGTTCTTCTGTTCTGTAGACGGCGTGTCCTTATCCGCGACAGCAGGGGCAGCAGAGGCGGCTGTAGATGTGGTTTCAGACTGGGCAGCTGGTACCTCCCCAGTCTCAGTTGTTACTGGTGCTGGCGCTGGTGTTTCTGTGGTGCTTGTGGTCGCTGCTGCAGCTTCTGATGTCGCGGGCTGGGTTTCGGTGGTGGCTTCTGAAGCTGACCCATCGGTAGTGGTAGGGACAGCAGCAGGCATTGGAGTGGGCACATCCGTGGGCTTGTCGGCTGACGAGGCCGTTTCGACCGGCTCGGAGGCCTGCGATTCGGAATTCATGGCAATTGTCGTCCTGCACTTCTTGTGTTGTGTGGGGATGATTTTTCTGCGTTATCATGCACTTTGGAATTTTCGACAGAGATTATGAGTTTGGGAGAAGGTTTATGTAAGTCAACGTAACATACAGTACGTACAATTACGAGTGGTTACGTAATCCGGTGTAACCTTTATGAGAAGCAGACACACTACAGATCCTGACATAAAACATCTATGATTACAAAAATAGTATCTACAACGTCTATAATAATGCACAAAATAAATATGGTCACTGAAGCAATCCTGCGTGTCCTTCTTTGTTAGCCGTCTTCTTAGGCCGACCTGACCTTCTCCTGGTGAGGGTAGTTGCTTCAGACACAGGAGATTGAGAAATGGCCCGTCCGGCAGCTGGATGAGATGGTCGGCCTCGTCTCTTAGGGGTAGGCGCAGTTTGGGGCGTTTCAGGGATTACTGTTTCGGTGTCTGTCGTCGCTCGAGTCCTGGGTTTCGTGTGGCGCTCAAGAGCCCGCTGTGAGGGTACAGATTCGTCCTTGGGCCGCCCAGATTTACGTTTCGGTGTCTCCGTGACTAGTGGTTGAGAAAACCCCTTCTCAACGAGATCAGGAGACTCGGCCACCAAACCCACCACCTCGGATTCGACCGTAGCCACAGCCTTCTCAGACTTCTTGGACTTTCGACGCTTCTTCTTCTCCTTGTCGTCCTCCTTATCCTCCTTGTCGTCCTTTCTTCGACGTTTCTTCTTGGGCTGCCCATCCTCCTTGACTTCAGGTGACTCCTTCTCAAAACGCAGGGACTCGCGCTTCTCCCGTCGAGCCTTCTTGGCCTTCTTCTTCGCACGCAGCTGTCGAATCTTCTCCTCCATGGCTAATCTTCGTTCTTCCAGAGAAGGCTCTGTAGTACTGCTGTCAATCTTGTATGCCTGGCTGCTTGGTTCAGGTGAACGATGGGCGGGTGGATTGTAGTCGCGAGGCACTTCAAATACATCGAATAGCTCCATCTTAACATCTTGGGGAATGCGGTCAGAACGATCAGCAGAGCTACCAGCGAGGACCTCACCTTCATTCTCGCCCTCGGCACCAGTCTCCTCTGTTTCCAAAGCAAGTGATACTGCCTTCAAGTATTCGCTTCGTCTAAGAATGTCATCGATGAAATGTCGCCTTTTTAGCGTGGAAAACTTACCCTCGTCGGAAGGTCCCTTTGAAGTGTAGTTAGCAATCACTTGATCGTCCTTTGGAGAAAAGAACTTGACATGACGAGGGAACCGAAAGTCCATTTTCTCAACCTCCTCCAAAGTGGTGTGTTCCGTGACTTGACGACTCATGCAAAGAGCAATGACAAAGACAGCAGAAACACTAGGATTGTGGCCTTGAATTGAACACAGATATTCTTCAACACCACTCTGCAGAAACAGACCCACGCATTCCACAGCAGGGCGGATACCAGAACTATCGATCATAGGCTCTTTTTGAGACAGGCCCTCTTCTTCTCCATAGTCCAGGTCATCTCTGATATCATCGAATGAGATTTCCTCGAAGGGGAAGTCAAGAACAGAGAACGAAGGGTCCAGATCAACACTCGTAAGGTCTTTTCGAATGGGAACAGCGAGAACCTGGAACTTCTCCGAGGGATACTCTTCTTCCGGCTCGTAACTCTCCAAGAGCTCATCGATCACGTCGTTGGGCAGCAAAGACTGGAATCTGTCGACAGCGTCGAAATGAATCTCAGAGATTTGGGGAGCGGAATCTGACCGGGGCAGCTCTGCGGGCTGCATGGGGTCCTCGGACTCTTTTTTGGACCCATCTGACGCGATCTCCTGTTCCTCTTCCGCCTCCACCTCCAGCTCTTCAACAACCACCACGTCCCTCTGTGACACCAAGCCTAAAGATTCATCCAGCTGAGAACTGGATGGTCGACGTTGGGCATCCTCATAAATAATACTGGCATGCTCTTTGGGCATGTCAACATGTTCTTCCGCAGCTGCCTCATCCACATCGTCATCCTTCGGAGATTCGTCCTCCACCTCCTCAGCCTCCACCTCCTCCACCTCTTTTATCCCTTCCACCTGCCCCTCAATGAAACTCTCCTCCACAACGTCACCGTCACTGTCGAGCTCCAAAACAGCAACCTGTCTACCCAGAGAAGACCAGGAAACCCGCTTTTCAGCCTGGGAGCCAATAACGTCCTCTCTATGACCCTCACTGGAAACTCTGTCCGATAATTCCTTCAATCGAGCCCTGATGTTATTTATCGAAGGGAGAGAAGGCACCGAAACATCCAAATCTAACGAAGAGTCCAGATAACGCCGCTTGGCGGGAACCGGGGACTCTCTGAAAGCACTGGGCCGTTTAATCACACTCGCCTGACTGTCAGGCACCGATGAAACGTCGTCGTAGCTGTCAGCAGTAAGCTGGGCGTCTCTGAGAATATGGTTCTCTTGAGTATCGAGAACCTGCACGATTTCTTCCTCCTCCTCATCATCACCCTTCTGTCCATCGCCTTCCTCCATCTCATTCGCCTCCCCTTCTTCCTCATCACTGTCACCCTCCTTCTCCTTTTCCTTCTCCTCCTTCTCAGCCCCATCGCTATCTTCTTGCACGAAGAGATGACTGTCCTCGGCAAAAGAAGAAGACGATTGCGAAGAAATCGCCTTAGCAACAACCCCTTCATCCTCCACTCTCACCATCTGCCGTGCCTCCACCTGAGTCATTTCAATTTGCCGTGTCGCCCCCTGAGAAGTGTCAGTCTGTTGGCTACTCACTTTCTCAATGCCGTAGAACACACCACGAATGGGATGATGAGAGTACTTGGTGATAAATTTGCGCGGGAAAAGCACACAGCTTCCAGTCTGAACAGCAGGAGGAGGAAGATCACTCGCGGCTAGAGATCGAGAAGCACGTGTCCGTCGTCCTGCCTGGCTGACTTGCGAGCCTTGTGAATAAATATCCAAGCCGTTGGAATCCACAGACATGGATGAGTCACGTGACCACTTGGACTCCCGTGACACTGATGACAGTCGAACTGTTGCTATGTGTTCCAAACTGCCGCTACTTTCATCCACGGTCAACTCAGAAGATCCAGGGGGAACAGTCAACGCAGCAGAGTAAATCTGGCTTTCGGTGATCCCACTGGAGTCTCTTGCTGTAGTGTCAAACTTGAGGGGAGTGCTTGACATTGACTGTTGGGAGTCAGGCACCATCTGAGACGATGTGAAGCGAGTGGAAGAGGGAGTAGAAGAGTTGTCCACAGACTGAGCCTGTGCGTAGAGTGGTTCTTTGGTCTTCTTCCGGTTCTTTTTCGGTGAGAATCTCATGACCAGCGGTTCAGAGTCAGATGAACTGGCTGTGGAAGAGATTGGCCCAGAAATGCTCTGGAAAGGAAGTGTTAGCTGCTTGCTGGAAGCTGACGGCGACTCGGACGCCCTGGAAGGGCTTTTGGACGGGCTCTTGCTGCGCTTTGAAGACTGGGTAGCCGTAGTAGAGTCCTCGACCTGTATATCTGGACCAGCAGGAGTAGCTGGGACCTCTGTGATTGCAGGATTTTTGTGTAAACCGACGGTAGTAGCGTTCTGAGCCGCTTCTGTTGCAGGAGCGGGCTGCTCTGACTTGGCAGGCGTGTCAGGAACTTGATTAGATGACTGAGACGATTGAGCCGACTTCGGCGATAACTTTTGGGGTGAAATAAACGTCCCTTTCTTCGTCTCAGGTGTACCAGGCACCTGGGTGTTTCCCTGTTTCGTCTTACCATGCGTATTTTTAGAAGGTATTGGTGTATCTGGCACTTCCATAGTTGTATCGGGTAATTGCGTAGACATAGCAAGCGGTTTAACCGGAACTGGAGTCGCCAGCACCGTGTCCGCTGAGGTTCTCTTGGCTGCAGGGATCGAATTTAGAAGAACATCAGGAAAGCGAGTACCTGGAATAGGTGTTTCAGTTGTCTTCTTCGCGACGAGGTCGTTCTCAACAACAGGAGCCTGGTAGCTCACCGGCTTCGTCCGTTCCAGATTCACTGGGAACTTTTCCAGCTGTTTGAGTTTCGATCTGATACTCTCTTCGGTATGTTTGTGGTTCATAAGTTCGAACAGATATCTGAGATCTGACTTACCCAGAGGTGGCTTTCCAACGTGCATGTCGATATAAGCTGTAAGGAACCGCACTTCTCCGTCGGTATACTCGGTTCGCGCTTTCTTGGTCTTGGCGAACGGCGAGTAGTAATCTTCGCCTCCAGAGTCGCGTAATGGGGGAAACTGTCCCTGTCTTGCACTGTCCAAGACAATGGAGACGCGCTTGGCTCCAAGACGTGTGTTTCCTTCGAAGTAATCGGGAACGAGCCAGTAGTCGATTGGCGTGGTGTTTGACGGTCTGGAAACGATTGTTCCCCCTCCTTTGCTAATCAGAGCCATGACGGCCTTGCGTTTGGGCACGTCTATGGTGACGAAAAAGGAGTAGGGCGAAAACAGCAGGCTTGAAATGGTCAGTTCTTGGCCTCCGTAAGCCGGGTCTTTCACGGTTACCTCCGCCATGGTTGCTGGTCGAATATCTCGTGTGTTAATGAAGTGTTTATGAAGTATACTGGGACGCGTCTGGGCTGTTGTGGGAGTTGGGCATCAACTAATTGAGTTTCGTTTAGGTGAAGTTTACTGTAGATATGGGGGGTGTGAAGAAAACATTGGAGGGCAGGTTTTTGGCCAGAGTGGTATATCGTACAGTGTAGGGCAGTACTGTAGTATTATTAAGCCACTTTGAAGCCGCACTAGTGGCACATCTAGAGTATTGGGATCGTACTTGTTTATCTGGTGATAGTGTTCTCGTGTCAAATTGTGAAGACATGTTACTCTAGAAGTTTGGTGGACTCCATTGACCTAATACACTATTATATCGACACTGTGCATCTGCCAGCGAACAAAATTGGAACTGTCTAATGTGCAAGGAACACGTGGCTGGCACTCCAGTAATTATTACATATAAAATTGATGCTACGCTTCTTCAATTATGTGTTACTGTACTCGTACTACTCGTATTGCACCAGTAGAATATACCAATTCTGGGACCTACCATCTTGTCAGTCAAGGACCCCAATTCACAGCTACAGTATGTATTGTACTGTACTTCTGTACTTGTACTTAGAGCCCCTGCTTGTCCCCCTGTAGAGAATGGTGTGAGCCTTTTTTCTTGAGATATGCCTTCGGTGGGAGACCATCAGAGGTACGAGTACAGCACTTGTACATACGGTACGAATTACGAGATATTTCATTGAAGATGCATCTATCATACACGTCATGTCTCAATCGATGTGCACTCTCCGTTATTGAGGGGTTTTACTCAACAACCCCTCTCTGCATTCCCCTCTGTTTCTTGAGTTCGTTGTTACAGCATGTCTAAGAGTACTGTAACGGATGTACACTCACCCCACTCCCTACAGTTTCACCACCAACAATCTCTGACCCACTCCCAACGGCAGTACGTAACCCCTCTCGCTTAATTAATCCCCAAGTATGCAAGTTCTTTACTTCAACAAGGTTTCGAAACGGTCGTGCTGGTATGCAGTGTTGTTCTGCCAACTGGCGTTAAATCGCGACAGTTCTCACACGACACCCACGACGGATACCAAGAACACAACATCCATTGAGTGACGCTACTTGTTCAATAATACAAGCACGGTCACTAAGCACATACGGCCACTATCGATCTCTCGACACACAACAGACCCGTTTCTCTCCAACACAAATAAACACAAGAACCCTCAGCATGGTCACCACGATACTCATAGCCGCCTCGGCCATATTGGTACTACTACTGTTACGGCTTCTGTTTGTGTTGCCAGCATCGAACCGATTCGGATTCCTATACAGACCGAAACACTCAAATCCAAAACTCATGGTCATGATGGGATCAGGGGGCCATACTGGTGAGATGTTGCGGATGCTCAAGACCCTCAAGCTCCAAAGCTACGCAAAGCGAGTCTACGTGTCGTCCTCGGGAGACGTGGATTCACTTGAGAAAGTCAAGGTGCTGGAGAGCACCACCAAAACAGACATCAAGACAATGGTTCTCGAAAACATTCCTCGAGCGAGAAAAGTGGGTCAATCCTATCCGTCCAGTGTGATCACGTCTGCCGTATCGTTCGCTGTGGCTGTTAAACTCGTGCACAAACACAAGCCTCACGTCATTGTGTGTAACGGCCCTGCCACCTGTGTCATGCTGTGCTACGCAGCCTTTCTGCTGAGATTCATGGCTCTCATTGATACACGAATCATCTACGTCGAGTCTCTTGCTAGAGTGAATCGTCTCAGCCTCAGTGGGCTCATCCTGCTGCCGTTCTGCGACCGTTTCCTCGTGCAGTGGCCTCAGTTGGCCGAAAAGTACCCCAGAGCCGAGTACCACGGCATTCTAGTTTAGCCAGATTGCAAGCATACTGTAGAAGCAGTCTCCCTTTCTCCATAGCTATTAATTTATTTATTCCCTGATCTGATTTTTTACAATATTTAACAGCCTACCGTACGAGTCTGGGTACGAGTACCAATGATGAACGACATCCGACCTCCGTGCTTCTTACTCAGAGGTTATGTAAGCATCTATAATCATCACAAACCTTCACCACTAAGGACCCCATGTATCTGTGGTCGATCTGACCTTGATTACTACGTTCATCACACCGCGCTCCTGTATGATCCATTAGTCATCAGTTTGAGCTCTACACATCTCGTATACATGCTTTTTGCTCGTAATTTTAATGGTGCATGCGGCTCCTGCATCATGTCCTCAACAAGTTTAGGGTTTTTACTTGGTAATGAGATAATGTCTTTATCAGGGCAATGTGAGTCGGACGTTGAGATTTAAAGCTTCATAGTATCCACAAAGGTCTTACATATCCTGGATATTCTTTTTAATCGCATTAAAATTTTGTTCTGATCAAGTTATCACAACCTTGGAATTTTCCAAAACTCCGATCTACACTCAACCTTATTTCAGACTTACAATACCTAGGTTAAAAAGAAGAACGGTTTTAGATAACGGTCTGGAGTCTTGAAAACGGGTTATTTCAGCCTGTAACATTCAGATATGGCTCGGTAACAGCCAATATGTGTAATTCAACTGTTTGTGTCTTTTTCTGAATCTCTTGAAGTGACATTTCAAGTTCAAGTTGCCGTTTCGTGTTCCAAACAAGCCGAGAGCCGATACGGATCATCTTCTAACCGACTTTTACGATTTTGTCAATTTCTTGGCGGAGTTCAACTAAGTCGAATTGTTCCGGTATATCACAGAAGAAGAACTTGTACAGCATCGTAGATACGGCTGGGTAATATCTGTCAGTTGTCTATTTCGGGTCGTAAATCTTCTGCCTTGCGGGGTTTGGAAGGTCAGGTGTGGTGCTGCATGGCGAGCCTCGCATGGTATTTTCATTCTAGAAGCGGGGTCGTAGTTGTTGTCTCTGCATGTATTTCTTTTTCCGTAATACGGGCATTTCTTTTTCGTCAACAAGCGAGTCATTTGTGGATCGTACTTTCAACAAATAGCCTTACACCCACCAATTCTTGAAAGAGTGAGTTTGGTGCAATAGTCACGTTGTTCGTGCAGATATCACTCATAGTTGAGATCAGGTCATTTTTAGGTGATCGTAAAGAAATACTAGGCGCGGTCCAGGGTCATGAGAGCCCACTCAAGCATATGGTATACGTAACGTCACTGTTAGTAGCACCCGCGGAAAAACCACAGTATACGATATCCCATCCCTAACATGCCGAATCATTCATCAACCGATTCTCCAGCCCCGCAGATAAAGTTGGCGCAGAGCAACGCAAGATAATTCAAACAGACTTGTGTGGGGTGTTTCTCTGCTGATACAAGTGGGACGGAAGCGACCAATAAGTCGGAGTTTGAGGGAGGGGGTGAGACGCATGTTGGGGTTAAATAACATCCGGAAACTCAGGTAGCGTGCATATAAGTAGTCTTGCTGTGGTTGCCTCCTTGTCTGTCCTGTCTCTCAATGAGTTGCTTATTTTACTCGTGTCGATCTTTTTCGTTTCTCGTGCAACCGCTCTTTGCAATATTATTACTTAGGTTCGGGCTAGCAAAACTTTAGCGGAGGTCGTTGTGGTGGCATATAATTACTAGCATAGGAGATAACAGGTGATGTAGCAGTGCCTGCGGCTGACTAGACCGGGTTTTCGAGACCCTCCAAAACTACATTTCAGCCTTCGCTTGCTACCAAACACCCCACAGGTCTGCCTATACTCCTCACTTGCTCTCACTTTACCCTGCAGCGGCTCTTGAACTATCTTCAGCCCTACATGGTTCATGCCATCTGCCTTCTTTCCTACACGGCCCATCTTCCTCCACACGCCCACAAGCCCTGCTAACTGAGTAGCGGTACAAAAACTACAGCATTCCTGACAAAGTCACAAGCACCTGACTGCTCTGAACCGCTTTGAGTACTGAAAGCACACTCTTCCCGTCTGCCTTCAACCTACATCAGCCTCATCTCCCGTTACATACAAAGAGCACTCACACGACATATCATACGCGACGACGGAGGAGACCCAAACTTGCTGAACTGAACCAAATCTCGCCCTCTCTGACTCACCTCTTCTCACAACCATATTACGAACGCCCAGCATATTGGCAAGACCCTATAATCTCTTCTTCATCAGACACATTATGACTCGTGCTAAACAACTGGTCATCGACTCGGAGGGTATCCTGCGGGATGAACGCCACCGTCAAATCAACCTGCGAGGCATTAACATGGCATCGGACGCAAAAATGCCCTCAGATCCTTATCTTCCCACCCATCAGAAGTCGTCCGAAGATTTCTGGGACGGAGACAATGCCCGCTTCATCGGGCGACCGTTCCATCTCAAGGACGCACACGAACACCTCCAGCGTATCAAGTCGTGGGGCTTCAACACCATCAGATATATCTACACTTGGGAGGCTATCGAACACGAGGGCCCGGGCAAGTACGACGAGGACTTCGTCGACTTCACCATCGAGGTCTTGCGTCTATGTGACTCATACGGCTTCTACGTCATTATGGACCCTCACCAAGATGTGTGGTCAAGACACACCGGAGGTAGTGGTGCCCCCATGTGGACGCTGTATGCCGCTGGTCTTAATCCCCGTACAATGAGCAAGACTTGGGCCGCTTTGGTCCACAACACATGGGAGCCAAAACCCTCAGAGTTCCCGAAAATGATCTGGGCCACAAACTATACCCGACTGGCATGTTTTGTCATGTTTACACTCTTCTACGGCGGTCGGGACTACGCCCCAAAGTGCATCATCAATGGCATCAACATTCAGGACTTCCTGACCAACCACTTCATCAATGCCATGGTTTTCTTCTACAAACGTGTCAAGGCACGTGCCCCCGAGCTGTGGAACACTTGCATTATTGGTCTGGAGTCTCTGAACGAGCCGTCTGTCGGTTTGATTGGCCATCCTAACCTGGCTATTCTGCCTGACGAGCAGCCTCTGAAGCTGGGTCCTCATCCTACACCTTTCCAGAGTTTCCAACTCGGAATGGGCATGCAAGTTGAGGTGGACGAGTTTGAGTTCTCCAACTTTGGTCCCAAAAAGAAGGGAACTCGAGTTCTGGACCCCGAAGGAGTTCGAGCATGGATCGACCCCAAGCTCGACGACTACGACGACACCCGGTACGGCTGGAAGCGAGATCCCGGGTGGGTGCTTGGAGAGTGTGTTTGGGCACAGCATGGAGTCTGGGACCCGGCAGAGAAGAAACTGCTGCGGCCAGACTACTTTACCGTCAACACACATGGAGACGTAGTTAACGTCAAGGGCACAAAGAACGACGGAGAAGATGGATTCGTCAATCTGTACTTCAAGGACCACTGGGCTCTATACTTTCAGACGATGCGAAGAGAGGTGTGTGATAAGGTGTTTTTGCTGTGTCAGCCCCCCGTCATGCGAATTCCTCCTCTCATCAAGGATGATAAGACCTGCATGGATCGACGGGTCCTTTACGCGCCTCATTTCTACGACGGTCTCACTCTGATGTTGAAGCGATGGTGTACGTGGAATGTCGACGTTTTGGGTATTCTGCGAGGACGATATTCGCACCCTGCATTTGCTCTCAAGATTGGACCTTCTGCTGTGCGCAAGTGTCTCGCTCAACAGCTCCAGGAGATGAAGAAGGAGGGTCTGGACAATATGGGTCCCATTCCCATGGTAATGACCGAGACTGGTATGCCCTTCGACATGGATGACAAGTCCGCATACTCCAATGGCGACTACTCGTCCCAGCTCAAGGCACTAGACGCCAACATGAATGCCGTTGACCAGGCCGACATCAACGTGACCATGTGGTGTTACACAGTGCATAACAACCACAAATGGGGCGATGAGTGGAACGGAGAGGACTTCGCTTTCTGGAGTAGGAGTCCTCTGAGCGACGACAACCCCAACAAGGACCGATTGTCGATTCTGCAGCAACCCCAGCATGACCACCAGGACTGCACTCCATTTGTGTCCCCTGCTCCTAGTCTGTGTGATTTCGTCGGCGACAAGTCGGAAACCGATTCTTCTCCTTCTCAACAAACTCCCACGCCCAAACCAGATGAAGCGGAGGGCACGGACACGACTGCCCATGCCAATGTGGATGGCCACAACCGTCTTCATCTGCCCCATCCTCATAACCCTCTTCACTTCTTCAATCGAGGAAAGGACCCTCACGAGGAGGATGAGCTGCCCCCTGTAAGCCAGAAGGGAGTCCGTGCGGTCGAGGCCTTTGCCCGTCCGTATCCGATTGCTATTGGCGGTACTCTCGCAGCTACGAGCTATGAGCTCATCAAAAGACACTACATTTTGGAGATTGAGGCTGCTGGTTCTAACCAGGAGACCATCATTGCCATTCCTCAGTTTGTCTTCCCCACCAACTTTTTGTCGGTGACAGTTTCAACTGGATCGTGGAAGACTGCACGAAACCAGCTGTTTTGGAGCCACAACCAAGCAGGCCGTCAGAAGATTGAAATCACTGTACTAGACCACCAGCCCGAGTTTGGAGGATTTCTTGATACTTTCTATTCCAATCTGGCTGAGCCTTGTTGTGTGGTTATGTAAGTAGATGTGGTATCTATCGGTTAGCTAATATTTATTGTGTATTAAAAGAGCGGAGCAGTAGCTACAGTACCACGGGTCTGTATAAGTACGAGTACATGTGTTGGATGTACTGTATAATGGAATGAAACAGTTACAGTATGATGTACTCGCATATGTAAGCTACGATAATATACTATATGCATTTACAGTATAAACTGTTGTCTGGATGTTTGGAAGTTCTACACGTGTGGTCAAAAACACCATTAAATATATTAAACGTTCATTTTCATCATGTTTCCTTGTCTAAAACTCCATCGAACCCACGTTGGCAGCCTTGACTCGCTCAATTTCCTCCTTCAAGAGCGGTTCCACAAAGTTATCAAACACCTCGACGAAGGGCTTGAGTCGAGTCTTATCAGAAGCGTGCTTGGAAACAGTACCTTGAGCATCTCCCTCGTAATTGTTGAAGTCGTCAATAATCTCCTGCAGTTTAGGACAATCCTCTGGGGTGAACAACAACTCATGAGTGTGGCTGTCGACGTCCATGGGCACACAGACGTTGGAGGTCTTTGGGTGGATGCAAAAGGGCGATTTCAGAAGATGGCCTGTTCCTCGAGACACGGCTCCATCGAGCTTTGGCATGAAAACAGTTAGAATCACGTTTTGTTTGGCCTCGACGAGCCTCTTGGTATCCAGGTTCGCAGATACTCCCGAGGAAGCCACCTTGTCGATATCGCTCCACTTGTCTGCCGAGCTAGCAGAGTCTCCGTTCTTCTTCCATTTCTCAGCCAGGGCTCTTCTCAGCTTTTCGTCCGGAATGAACGCCAGCAGGAATTTGGAGCCCTCCTCATTGGCCCAAGGGTCCTGGGTCTGCAGGACAACCTCGTTGAATACGGTGGTGGCGATATCAAGACACCGCTGAAGATGGGGATGCAGGGGACGTCGAAGACTCGAGTTGCCGGCAGCACTCTTGTCTGTAGCGTCTCCAAATGCAGCAATGTAGGAAACAACTGTAGAACGCTGTCTGTCGTTAAGATCACGAGCCTTCTTGTCGCTGACCCACGCATGGGCTCCTCGTCGGCCCGAAAATACCCACATAATGTGTTTGTATCCGAAATCCTCCTTGAGAGCAGAGTTGACCATCTTAACGGCTACCTGCACGTATCTCCAGCACTTGTTGCAGACGGATGCTCCAGAACAACACGTTCGGAATTTGTCGTAATCGTCCATATCAATATCGAAGACGAGCTCCTTAGAGACAGGCTTAAACACGTCCTTTCGCAACTTCTTTCGGTCCTTGGGCGAATGTGAGTAGACCGCTCCGATCTCGAATCGCTCAGGAACAAGATCGTCGACTCGAGACTTGAATTCACGCTCCTCCGCGAATGAGTTGAATCGCAGATACGCACCGTTTCTCAGAGTGAAGGCAAACTCTCGATAAGCAAAGTCTCGTCCATTTCGGGGAGAGTGGTTGAGCCATCGATGAAGCGTCTTGAAGGGAAAGAAACGCGAGTAAAAGAGTCCGAGGCCCTCAAAATCAACCTCGGGGGCGCTAACCGAAGTCTCGGGTTGTCGCGTCTCTGGAATCTCAGGAAGAGGCTCCTCAATTTGTTCCATGACATCGTTCATGATAGCATCATACAGCCCCTGCTGTGGAAGTCGTGGAGAAGATGAAGGTGGCACAGTGATGTCAGTTGGGGGCTCCGCGGTCGATACGGGCGAAGAGGGCTCGGATACTGTCATTTGAGCTGTAGTATATGTTGCGTGGGGTAGGTGTGCCGATTTGAGATGTCAACTGTAGAGGACAAAAAAAATGAAGGTGCAGTACGATGCTAAACGCGTCTCTCCAAGTTGGGAATCAATTTAACTCCACGCGTTGCGAAAGACGTGATTAGAGTTGGGGGGTATTATAAATGACAAATAAGACATGGGGAGATATCCATCATACTGTACATTGAGGATCAAAAAGATATTGCTGATATATACATATACTACTTACTAAAACGGTTATATTTATTATAAAGCTACCGTTGTCTGTAAAAGATGGACTTTTCCAAGGATATTTCCTTCTATTAGGCATAGGGGACTGCGACGAGTGGATGCTGGCTGAGAGTGATCGCATGAAAACAATACTGTGAATGTTCCACTGAGACTAAATGAGAGGGATGCAGGTTTGGTTAATTGCCAGTCCTATTTGTACGGTAAGATGCTTGACTGTTCTCTTCCCTACTGTGTCTATATCTGTGAGGTTCATCCAATCCTATATTCTCAGAGAGCCTTGCAGATGTTCACTCTGCATGAGTCTGTATGGTTTGTCAGTGTCAAGTGTTGCACTATTCTCCCTCTGATAGTGTAAGCATGAATAAAAACAATAGATGGTTACAGATAGTTGTATAATTCTATGAGTGAGCTTGCCAAAGATGCTACTTTCTTTAATAGCATCGTGTGGTTCTGTACAGTGGTCTATGTAACTCCTTGCCCTGTTCACATTGCAACTTCGACACTGGAGCTCGTTATACAACCTACAAGCTCCTCGAGCTCGTGTTGAAGGTATCACATCGATCTCTGCCACACAAATGTCTCTTACAGCGACTGTTCGGACATGACGGAGGGAATAATGAGGTAGCTATCCATGACGCATGACGCCAGCTACAGTACCCACTGTACATACGGTATCATCGGCATAACGTGAGTGATGGCATCGACAGAGATATGACGAGTGATCACTGAAATTTTCAATCCCCATCTTCGCGTCCCTTTACTCCCCGTGTAGCTTCTCGTTTTTGTTTCTCGTTTATATATCCCCTTTGACGTCAGTTGCGCGAAATATTGTTTGAATCGAGATTTGCAACAAAAGTGCCCTGTGGCTTTGAACATAGCCATACCGTACATGATTAAGACAGAAAATGAAACCAAAATACCTGTAAGCATTGAAAACCTGCCCTTTTATTTCCTTTTCCACTATTTGACCAACTGTTCAACCCCAAATAATGTTCAACTAACTCCATTCTTTAGTTATCCAATTTGTTATGAATGTAATTGGGAACAATGGAGACATTTTGTTCTCCGAAAAGTAGAACACCTCAATTAATTACAGCAGCTAGCTAAACTTGTCATTGGATGTCATTATAGACAGACAAGAAATCATTGATATGAACTAATAGGTGGACTAGTTTCACCTCAAATGTGTTATTGCAATCGCTTCAGCATAACCCCTACAATCAGCCTGGTACCACTCAAATCAGCTTACTAATCAGCACACCCAACGACAACAAAGACACACGACTCCAAGCAAGTGTCTCCATCTCAAACAACTATCGTCAATCAATCTTTTGCCCTTATCATTAATCATTGATCAGACCCGGTCATTCCATCCCATTGGACTAAGTACTGGTACCAATAGCACTTCATAACCGCCACCTGCACGTGACGCCACCTAACCTTGCCACCTTGTGTATCTGCATCACTACTGACTCTCTGAGACCCATCCAACACCACACTACACAATCACAAGATGGATATCGTTCTGGGACTGCGAATCAAGGGCGGAGTGCTGGTTGCCACTTCCAAGGCTGCCACCCGAGGTATTTCCGTCATCAAGGTCGGTGACGACAAGACCAGAGAACTCAACCCCAACACTCTGATGGCCTACACCGGAGAGGCAGGAGACACAGTCCAGTTTGCCGAGTACATCATGGCCAACACTCGACTGTACGGCATCCGACACGACATTGAGCTGTCTCCTTCTGCCGTCGCCTCCTTCACTCGAAACCAGCTGGCTAAGGCCCTGCGATCACGAAAGCCCTATCAGGTCAACGTCCTGATTGCCGGATTTGATCCCAAGACTGAAAAGCCCACCCTCAATCTCATCGATTACCTAGCCTCCAACGTGGAGTTGCCTTATGCCGCTCACGGCTACGCCGCTTATTACACAATGTCGCTACTGGACCGACACTGGAAGGAGGGTATGACCCAGGAGGAGGGAGTGGTCCTCATGAGAATGTGCATCAAGGAGCTGCAGACCCGTCTGCCCGTGGATTTCAAGGGCGTCTACGTCAAGGTCGTGGACAAGGATGGCATTCGAGACGTCTCTGCTCTGGTCTACCCCGACGAGTACCCAGAAGCTGAGGTGACTGAGGAGCTGGAGGTCCAGCAGGGAGAGATCGCTGCTTAATCAGTATTGTTGATTGAGCATAGCGGGATCAATGAGCGCATCTAAATGAATGGACGAGGTCATTGAGAAACTGGCGGTTTGTGCTGAGCATTGAGCTTCCTACAAGATCGCAATTGGTAGATTATAACTATTATATTTTTATGTTAAGACGGTAACAGCAGTAGAAACTGATGACGTGCACTATGTTACAAGTACAGGTACTGTACTGCAGTATGTGTCGGCGACAGTCTGGGCAGCTATGTATCTGTTAGTTAAGGCGTTCCAACCTCCGGAGGCCGCCGGAATTCCTTGGACATGAAGTATGGTCCATTGCATGCCTTCTGGTGTTCTTCGAGTTCCTCGCGGGTAAAAAATCTGTTATGGTGCTGGCAATAATATGGGTCAACAACGATCATGACGAGAGAAGTATGGTGTGTGGTTGCTGGTGGTTAGTAATGCTGATGATGCAGTGAACAATGATGGTGCAGTAACAACTACTGTATAGTTGTTTGTTTCCAGTTGTTCAATTGCGCATCCAAGTTCTTTGGTTATGCTAGTTGCTGTTGATTTGTGTGTCACGTTCTCCTCAGAGAGAGAGAATGCGATCTCGGTACTGACGGGGATTGCGATAGACTGGTCCAGGGCGTATATGAGGTTTGCTTGTGGCTCTGTGGTTGTAAATTTCAGCTCAGTTATTGAAATGGTGCTTTCGAGTATCGTATCGTACGTCTTACAGTCTCTTGCTATTATTATGTGCTTCCTTCTGGTGAGGCTCAAAGGGTGGTTACTGTGACTGCGTCCCAAAAGACTGAAACGGTAGTAATAACCAGGGCTGTTATAAATATATCATTAGTAGACAAAGAAGATGGGTGTGTGTCTGATCAGTCGCCTACAGCTGTGCACCGCGTCGCATCCAACAAGTATCATGAAAAGAGGGGTTGGCTGTGTATCAGCGAGAAGATGTGGGGATGACGAACTTGGTGTTTACTGTATTGTAGGTAGAGAGCAACAGCATGTGTTCTAGAGGATTCCATGGGGTTTTTCATGAGACAGATATGCGACAATGGAATTGAGTATCGTTGATGAGCCTCAGGTAATGTGTGATGTATTAATTACAGCTCTCAGTGACGACTCGTATGGAGATGAGTTCCCTTCACCCGAAGTACAAGTCTCACAATTTCACGTCATTTACTTGATTCTATACTTTAGCAATATAACTCGGTTTGGAGTGGAAGCTTATTTAAGGTTCTAGAAACATGCATGCAGTTCAACACTCTTCTTCATAATCGAAATCTACAATCAGCATACAACGACGACCATGGATGAGCTAGAGCAGCTCGAAATCATCGCCCTGGTTTCAACTCTAACCCAGGAAATCAATAATTACACCGGCATTAATGACAAGACGCTAGCTGAATTTGTTCTGGGTATGTACGAGGAATCCAAGGGAGACAGAGATGATTTTGCAACTAAACTAAAAGCTGTTGGTGGCGATTTCCCAGACTCGTTTGTGGATCGTATGCGCCAGCTTATCAGTGATCTGCATCCGAAATACAGAGGCAACTCCATGCCTGCCCCCGTCAAGGAGGAGCCCACAGTGAAGAAGGAGGAACCTTCTGAGAAGCTGTCTGTTCTGACCATGAAGGATACAGCCCCTATCAAGAGCGATATGGGACCTGAGGAGGTCACCAAACCAAGGAATGAAGAGCGAGACAGGGAGTACAGAGATAGATCAGATCGTCGAGACCGTTCGAAACGACGAAGTCTGAGTCCAGATCAAGGAGAGCTTGACTTGGAACCCATTATCAACAAGGTATACAAGGGACGTGTCAAGAACCTGACTTCTTTCGGTGCATTCGTGACTCTGTCTGGGTTGAAAAACAAAACCGACGGTCTGGTACACGTCTCTGTGTTGGCAGCGAATCGGGTGGATCATCCCTCAGACGTGGTCAGTGTGGGAGACGTTGTATACGTCAAGGTGTGCAAGATTGATGGAAGGAAAATCGGCCTGTCTCTCAATGACGTTGATCAACAGACAGGGCAGGTAATGGAGCGTGTCGAGCGTTCAAGAGGTAGAGATGGAGGAAGTGAAGAAAGGGGACGAAGATACCAGAAACAGGATGAACAACCAGTCAAGAAACGAACTCGTCTCACTTCTCCTGAGAGATGGGAGATTCGTCAGCTGATTGCATCGGGTGTGGTTAATGCAGCAGACTACCCTGATCTGGACGAGGATATTGAGTCGCTACAACAAGAAGCTACGGTTGGAGTGGAGGAGGATGTTGAGATTGAAGTCAAAGAAATCGAACCGCCCTTTCTTGCTGGACAAACCTTCCAAAGCTTGGAATTGTCACCTGTGCGTGTGGTTAAGGCGCCAGATGGATCTCTCAATAGAGCTGCCATCAACAGTGCAGTGAGTGCAAAGGAGCGAAGAGAGAAGAAACAGAAAGAGAAGGCCGAGGATCTGCTTAGTCAGGATGCTGCATCTGAGACTCGTGATAGCAGAAACTCTCTCGATGTCGCGTCAGATCCTCTTGCCCACCACAAGTATGGAGCTGCAGATCCGGAATGGAAGCAAGCCACTATTGGTACAAAAAATACAGCATATGGCAACCGACAGCGAGATAGCATGTCTATTGCCGAAGTTCGAAGGTCTCTTCCTGTCTATGAGTTCAGACAGGACCTGATTAATGCCATTCGAGATAACCAGATCATCATTGTGGTTGGAGAAACAGGATCCGGAAAGACCACACAAATCACCCAGTACCTCTATGAAGCCGGTTTCGCCAAAAACAAGCGAATTGGATGTACTCAGCCCCGTCGAGTTGCAGCTGTTTCTGTTGCAAAGCGTGTTGCTGAAGAGGTGGGGTGTAAGGTAGGAAAGGAAGTTGGATACCTGATCCGATTTGAAGATTGGACGTGCCCCCAGACAAAGATCAAGTATATGACGGATGGTATGCTTCAGCGAGAGGCTCTAGTTGACCCTGATATGGACCAGTACAGCGTTCTGATGTTGGATGAGGCCCATGAACGTACTATTGCGACAGATATTTTGTTTGCACTGCTCAAGAAGGCAGCAAAGCGGCGTCCCGACCTCAGACTAGTCATCACTTCTGCCACTCTTAATGCAGAGAAATTTTCTTCGTATTTTGATGGAGCACCTATCATCACTATCCCTGGAAGAACGTTCCCTGTTGAGGAGCACTTTGCCAAGGAGCCTGAAGCCGACTACCTGGAGGCCGCTATTGATACTGTGATGGATATTCACGTGACCCAAGACCCTGGAGACATTCTTGTCTTCCTTACTGGCCAAGAAGAGATTGACAGTGCATGTGAGATTCTCTATGAACGATCCAAGAAGATTGAGTCTGTCGCTGGCCCGTTGATCATTCTGCCAGTGTACTCGTCACTTCCCTCCGAAATGCAGTCTCGTATCTTCGATCCTGCTCCACCTGGATCTCGAAAGGTTGTTCTTGCTACAAATATCGCCGAAACCTCCATTACCATCGATGGAGTCTACTATGTGGTTGATCCTGGGTTCGTCAAGATTAACGCTTACGACTCAAAACTGGGCATGGACTCTCTTCAGATTGCACCCATTTCCCAAGCTCAGGCTACCCAGAGAGCTGGTCGAGCTGGTCGAACAGGTCCCGGTAAGTGCTACAGATTGTACACTGAGAACTCGTTCCACAATGAGATGCTTACCAACACTGTCCCTGAGATTCAGAGACAGAACCTGAGTCACACTATTCTCATGTTGAAGGCCATGGGTATCAACGATCTGTTGAATTTCGACTTTATGGACCCTCCTCCTCACAACACGCTGCTGTCTGCTCTCAACGATCTCCACCATCTTTCCGCTATTGACGGAGAAGGTCTGCTGACTAAGTTGGGTCGAAACATGGCCGACTTTCCTATGGAGCCTGCCATGGCGAAGGTTTTACTCAACTCTGTTGATCACAACTGTGCTGAGGAGATTCTGACCATTGTGGCTATGCTTTCTGTTCAGAGTGTCTTCTTCCGGCCCAAGAACATGGCCGAAAAGGCTGATGCTAAGCGGAAGAAGTTCATGGACCCCACAGGTGACCATCTGACGATGCTCAATGTCTACAATGCATGGAAACGAAACAACTGCTCCAAAATGTGGACCAATGAGAACTTCATTCAAGACAGATCCATGCGAAGAGCGCAGGATGTCCGTAACCAACTGGTGTCAATCATGGGACGATACAAGCACCGAATTTCATCATGTGGAGCGTCTACTGATATCGTTCGCAAGGTTCTATGTTCGGGATACTTCAAGAATTCTGCCGAGAAAGATCCCCAGCAGGGCTACAAGACGCTTATTGAACGAACACCTGTTTTTATGCATCCCTCTTCTGCGCTCTTTTCTAAACCTTCTCAGTATGTCATCTATCATACTCTATTGTTGACTTCCAAGGAGTATATGCATTGTGTGACTTCTATTGACGCCAAGTGGCTGCCCTGGGCTGCTCCCACATTCTTCAGCTTTGCAGACACTAGCAAGCTATCCAAAGAGAAAAAGTCCAAGAAGATTGTGCCCCTTTATGATCGGTACGCTCAGGATCAGGATTCTTGGAGACTGTCTTCCGCCCGAAGAATGCCAGAGAAGGATGCGAACATTTTCGGTTAGCGCATTGACATCTATAATTTGCATTATAATCATTTATTCTTCTAGAGAATTGTGTACAAGTAACACTCATCTTGCCCTATGTACTAGTATAACCACTCCATGTGTGGTTGGTTGCCTGTTGTGTCTTTCAAGCTGGTCTGTTTACGGCGACAGTCTAATGACTGGAATTCACCACCGTGATATCAAACTCAAGGTATAGACAGTGCCCACTCGTTCAGCTTCCTAGCAGAATCCTCCAGCTCAGGTACATTGTACGAGAATGTACTCATAATACGGCTCTTAGGCTCCATTGATCATCTGGCTCACAATTTAGGTACGATGCTTCATTTCCCGACTTGGAAGAGTGAGAGCTTCTGCCTCTACTGTAGCACGCATTTGCTGGATATTAACAGTAGATGGGCACTGTATAGCATCAGGGGCTCCATGTTTGTCTGACAGGGTATGGTCTGTAACATGTTGCCATCATCTGACTTGAGAAGGTCTTGTATGATCTTGATACGATGCCCAATCACGTTATTCTCTCAAGCACGCAATGAGGCGGGCTGTGTCCCAACAGACCCGATTGGGGCACGGTCAAAACAAATTGCTTGAGTATCCCAGAGTCCGTAGGGTATCTCCAAGTCCAGCAAGTCCCAACGTCAAGGTTCCTACAGTAACACGCGAAGGTTGGAGAGGTGCTTTAGGTTGGAGTTTGAGGAGCGTGAAGGGGTAAACAGAAGGGCCTCTGAAAGGTACCTGTAGGGTGGAGAGGCGGGGAAGTGGCGTTATCGATGATCTTCTGTGTCATATGAATGTGAAAATTAATTTTCTCCACTATTGCAAGCTTCCACCATGAGATTGGGGCGTGCTGTCCTCTGACGTCATACTCGTACTTAGATGAGCCCCGAACTTTACTTGCTTTTGTTACATTGCCCAAGGTGTCGCTCCTGTCTTTACATGAGATACATGCCCACCGCGGGCGCCAAAGGAGGGCCCTAGAATGATGAGTAAGGGTGGAGCGAACAAGGTGGAGGCGGGAGAGATATTTATTGCCCAGTTTTCTCGATCCCTCCAACGAATTTAATACTCGGCAATTCTTCTGATTTTCTATAAATTATTTCCCCTCCTGCAAAATTTTCCTATATTTCTCTGGTTACTCGCATATTTGACGTAGGGTCGAAGACTTGCCCACCTGTGTTGGGACGAAACGAACAGAAGGAAAAAATGGGCAAAAATGGGGAAGAAAACATGTCACAAATACCTTGCTGCCGCTGACTGGGAAACAGCAACCCTCATATGCGCCGCTACTGTGCCCCAGGTCGTTAAACTGCGACTCCGAAGATAGTCCGCATTAGCCAGGCACTCGTGTGAGCACTGAGCATATATTGCCTAATTCATGTATCACGATGCGGCTGTAGAGATTTGAACAATATCAGGAAATATCAGGAAATATCAGTGCTGTGCAAAACACGATGAGGGGACAAACTTACACTTGCGGCATGTGGTTGGCTGCTGGGGTCTTATGGATGCCTTCTGGGGCTTCATTCCGCTCTTGGACTTGCCATCTTACAATCTAAGTAAACATGCTTGTTGATTGACCCTTGGAAGCTAAACCGTGAGAATGCTCCGTACAGGGCGTGATATTGGCGATTATCTTGCCTATTATTGGTGCTAGAGATACAAGGATAATGTTGATCGAATTCCACCACCGAGGCAGATAGGTCAAACTAGTCCCGTACTTCAACGACCATTATTCATTTACCTGGACAAGTTCAAAAAAGGTGCTCCCAAACTGTAATGGCAAGTGGAAGTCGCGAAAATAATTATATGGAAGATTTTAGAACGAATTCCGAGTAGGAAGAAGTTGAAAGTTGAGAGATAAAAAGCATACCATCCTACTCCTCTCAGCTCGTGCAATACTTTAAAGCTACTTTCGTCATGATAGCACTACTATAGCCCTTCACAGCCACAGTTGAAACCGCAACCTGGGCTGTGTCTCACCCAACCGTGTAACAGCAAGGGCCACTCATATGGCTAATAGGACCTCAAAGCAAAATGGAGGTTGAGTTTGCTCTGGGAGGGCAATAAAAAAAATGATTGCAGATAGGGTTAGAGTTCTAAAAAGTGTCAGAGGGCGAGTCATACCCCAAATTGTACACATACAGCGCTGTCAGCAGTTTCTTTTCGCAACTTATCTTGACTTCACCCCAAAACACACTCACGCTTACCACTATAAGTACGAGTACCGTTGCCTCTATTTTTCTCAACAAAACAGAGTCTACGGCCACTGCGCTACGCACACAAAACAATCGTCATTTTGCGGTGATTTCCAAGACAGATTTGTCGGCTCTCGACAGGTCTATTTTACTTACCATAAGTAACCCCCTCAAGTTCTAACTTCCCCCAAGTTACGCAAACAGTGATGGCCCCTCACATCCTTGGCCCCGAGCCCGTCCAGGCCGACTCATCCTTTCTCGGCACACGACCGTGCCCCACTCTGAGCTACCCTGCTTCTTTTGTGGATGAGGTCTCTGCTTCTATTGACCAAGGCCTCTCTGAGTCCGAGAAGCTCATTGCTAACGCCATGAAGACCCGAATCGAGGCTATCGATCTCGAGACCTGCTCTCCTGGATCCGAAGACTCCTTCTTCGTGGCTGACCTCGGAATCGTCTACTCGCAGTTCATGCGATGGAGTAACTGCCTTCCCCGAGTCACCCCCTTCTACGCCATGAAGTGTAACGGTGACCCCAAGGTTCTCCAGCTTCTCGCAGCCCTCGGCACCGGTTTCGACTGCGCCTCCCGAAACGAGATCCAGACAATTCTGGACCTCGGTGTCTCCCAGGACCGAATCATCTACGCGCATCCCTGCAAGGTGGCGTCCTACATTCGATACGCCTCCTCTGTGGGCGTGGAGAAGATGGTGTTTGACAACGCCGAGGAGCTCTACAAGTGTGCAAAGTACCACCCTACCGCCAAGCTGTTCCTCCGAATTGTCACCGACGACTCCCAGTCTCTGTGTCAGTTTTCTGTCAAGTACGGCGCTGCTCTGGAGAACACCCAGTCGCTGCTCCAGCTTGCTAAGGATCTCGGTCTGAACGTGGCCGGTGTGTCTTTCCATGTGGGATCCGGCGCTGGAGACCCCAACGCCTTCCTGGACGCTGTGCGAAACGCTAAGCGGGTGTTTGACCAGGGAGCTGCCATTGGCATGCACCTCAACACTCTGGATGTCGGCGGAGGCTTCTCGGACGATTCCTTTGAGTCCTCTGCTGCCGTTCTGGGGGACGCTCTTGACAAGTACTTCCCAGAGGAGAGCGGAGTTAACCTCATGGCTGAGCCCGGCCGGTTCTTTGTGTCCGAGGCCTTCACCATTGCCTCTCATGTGATTGCTCGACGAATCATTGAGAACCAGAACAAGGCCATGCTCTACCTCAACGACGGTGTCTACGGAAACATGAACTGCATTCTGTTTGACCACCAGGAGCCCGTGCCCAAGGTTCTGACCTACCAGGGCAAGTTCATGTACGGTGAGCGATACCAGAAGCAGAAGTCCTCGCAAGACGTTTCTGTGTGGGGCCCCACCTGCGACGGTATCGACTGCATTTCTAAGTCGTGCCAGCTACCTGTTCTTCTCGATGTCGGTGACTGGATGTACTTCACTTCCTTTGGTGCCTACACCGTGGCAGCCTCCACCACCTTCAACGGTTTCAACAGCGATTGTGAGACCCTGTACGTTTGCTCTAAGAAGGAGGTTGAGCAGTACATCAAGTTGTAAGCTAGCAACTGCGATAGATAGATAGAGCTGAAGTGATAGCGACTACAGCATAATAAAAGTGTTTTTGTTTGTGGATTAATTGATTAAAAGTTGTGGGGTGAGAAGGCTGCCAATTGTGTGACTGTTTGGGAGCTCTACGTATTACAATACTGTGCGTTCATAGGTGTTGTATTCTTCAAAAGCATCAATAGCTACGGTGACAAGAGAACAAGTCACATTCATTCTGTTGCTTGAATTAGATCCAATTACTTGTACTGTTGATGCATAATGCATAGGAGACCACTGGGGGATGCAGAACTGTTAACTACTTCTACTGTACTGAGCATGCAAACACACATCCAGGTTCTCCTCCTTGCTGAGGAAGTCAGCACAGCTACAGTACCTGTGCACAGACACTTTAGCTACCACGAGTAGATCACTTCCATTGATTTGATTTTGGTGTAGTATACAATGCACAATACATGCTGTACATACCGGTACCCCATCAGATACCGCAACCTGCCACCGCCTCCTCTGGATAATGGATGGAAAATGCTGAATTAATTATCAAATGAGCGGCGGAACCTCTTACTTACCGATCTTGATGATCTTGATAGAAGAAGGCAGGGACTGGACAATCTTGTCGGCCTTGGTCCGATCATCAACGGTCAGAGTATAGAGCATTCGAGGGCATCGGATCTTGAATTTGGTGTCGTTAGCCGAGTACTTGACGGTGACGCTCTCGACGTCATCCCGGCTGCAGGTGGCCAGAAAGTCCTTGATGCTAGTGAGGGTTTGCTGGGTTAGTTTCCGCGTGTCGACACTGCTTTGTAGTGCTAATACTCACAGCCATTTTGGGGGAGTATTGTTGAAAACCAGAGCTCGTCTAATGATTAATACGAGCTTGCAGGTTTGATGCGCATAGAGTTCTGTGTGTAGGGTAACAAGCGAGAACGCTGAGTGGAGGTCGAGTTTGGCTACAAGTACATGTACGGTACATACAGTACTTACTTGTATTTCCTGTTTGATAATATTAATACTTTACAGACTCTGAAGCAACCTTACGGATTTTCCCATCATTTTTTTGGGTAATTGTTCTAAGTTGGTCACGCGTTCCAACGTCAGCTATGGGTGCCAGTGTGACTGTGACCATTGGCCTCTCATTCATCTCGGTGCCTCCATACATCACACAATCGCCCAGAACCCTGTACCTTTTCAAGTCGATGCTATAATAATGCATTAGTATAGTTATTTTGGGCAACACTTACATTTCCCATCCCTTCATGATAGAAATGAGCTTGGAGAGACCCTCGATGGAGTCCAGATCGGGACCTCTTCCAGGCGTAAGCGATGTGTGTGCAAAGTCTACAATCTTAGCCTGGTACAGAGGTCCAACCTCTTCCTCTCCTTGATTATTAAGCCGGTCATCAAACGCCTGCAAGTCAGACTCGTAGATGATTAGAACAGAAGCCGAATGCATTCGCATTTCAATGCGGCGGAAGACCCGTCGAATGTAAAGCAATTCCTGAATGATGACGGAGATAAGTGCCGAGGCACGGTCGTAGCCAAGATGGCTGACAGGGAACATGTTCTTGTTGAGACATGACGATATGTCCCCATCTGTCAATGACCGACCGTACTTTTTGCCATACTCAATGTATCCCGAGTCAGATGGCACAATGCCTCTTTCCGGATCTCCAGGCTCCTTAGCAGCCTCTTTTCCAGCATATATCTGCATTCCGGCCACTCTCATATGCAAAGACCCTGACGTTGTAGTTTCGCTGACTTTTCTCATTCGCTCCTGCTTCTCCGGGGTCGCCTCATCGTCCCACAGAATGGCTCCTAGCTTGATATCCACGACGGAGGGCTTAATGAACCCCTTGGTGAGGTTCTCCAGAACAATGGAGGCATTTGAGGGGTGTAGCGGAGCTTCCTGGCCCCGTCCAACGGAGTGGGTCTCTGGTTTCGATAACGATGCAAGTAGGTTGTGTTGAGTAGACGACTCCGTCACTAATTCAATCCCCTGTCCATTCTTGTTCAATCGCTGTTTGATATCCTCGTAACTCAAAGACGACCCGTCTCCTCCTGCATCGCCCGCCGCCGACTCATGCTCCATCAGTGTGCCCATGAAAACGGGAATCACGCCGGCAAGGTCAGCCGTAGGGGCGTCCGGATGCTGCTCGTAGGCCTCGTCATCCAGGCCCTCGGGAATGCGAGAGACGCCAGCCTGAACATGTTGGTAGAATGCAATTTCCTTGGGAAGCGCGCGCTTGACGAAAATGTCACGTGACTCGTCCTCTAACGCGCCCTCATGGCCTGCCGCTTGTCGTACCGGTTGCATTAGGTGTCGTTAGAGCGGAGGTGGTGGTGAGGTTTGGTGGTTCTGGTATATTGGCTATTATAGCTTGTAGCTATTTTGAGTACGTATACTGCAGCGCAGGGGACAAGCTGATGCATGTCAACTCTGTTGAGGGGTGGGGGCTTGTGCCGATGGATTGAGGATACAAGAAGACGATTTTGGGAAGTATTAGGAGATGGAGAGTTCACCAAAGATTAGTGCTTATTTGGAAGCCTTTAACGGCCTTTACATCTCCTGTTCAACCGCTCCAATACACACTTGTATGTTCAACTTTCAAGGCAAAGATGTACAAGGTCAACCCTATATTTCAGTGATCAGCGGGGAGCTTGTGGGACGAGGAGGTGATGGTGAAGTCGGTGATGATAAAACACGGTATTAACAGGGTGTCAAAATGAGTGTTGGGAGCTTTCATTTGCAATTTTCATATTTTAAACCTCGGCTGCCTCACTACCCAACGACTCTAGTCCTGTGCAGTATCTGTCACCTGTCATTTTCCTCCACTGGCCTATTCTTAGAACGAACTTTTGCAATACGTAATACATGTGGAGAAGACTGAACAGAAGTTCCAAGGAGTGTTTTAGCTCATGCGATTTTGTCTCAGACGAGAAAGAGATATTGGGAAAAGAAAAGCGGAGTAAAGAAGAGAAGCTGCCATATTGACAGCCGTGAGGTACAAGTACGAGACATTATATTGGTATTCAAGCGTGTACTGAATGTCCAAGAATTGGCCCCGTTTTGTCATCGTTTATCATAGCCAATTGGCATGATCTCAGATCCTAATTTTAGTACAGTATGAGGTTTACGGGCGGAGTTCAATATCCGTGTGGTTCGGCTTGTGGGCCCGCCACAAGGTTAATTGTCTGTCACAAGTGCGATACGATAATTCACGTACGTATGAGTATATCGTACTTACGAGTACATATCGTACTTACAAGTACATATCGTACTTACAAGTACATACGGTAACTTCACAATGGACTGGTTCGTTCAAAAAAAAAAAAAAGTATCATGTGACTCGACCCACCCGAACTGTCTTCGTGATAGCCTTAAAACAGGCAATTGAAACGCAGTGGACTGACTGAGCTTGTGAACAGAGCGGTTCAGTACATACGTACAGCGGTTCTTGTCTATGAGTATGTGTTGTGCTTCTCTTTGGAAAAAGTTCTTGCACAAGAACAAACCACACCACACGCAAGCACGTCATCGCAGACATGTCTAACGCGCCACCATACGCCACACTCTGCACGAGTCCCAACTCATGTGAATTTTCAAACGGGAAACTCTGTATATGTAGCCAATAACGACCATTTGAATTTGGTTACTAAGTACATTGATTAGTACATCGTCACTGTCGACCACCAACTGCCCCCGACACAAACCCACAAAATGAGCCGATCTAACATCTCACGAAACTTCTTCTACGTGTTTACTGCAGCCGTCGTCATTGCAGGAACCGCAGCCCTGTTTCTGCCCACAGCCTCCCTCGATAACAAGTCCACACCTAAGGTGACCAAGAAGCCCTCGAAAAAGGTCAAGGACGCAAAGATTGATACCTCCGAGGATCCCAAGGCTCCGCTGGAGGAGTGGTCGCGAGTCGACATCAACGTCTACCTCAACAAGGTGAGTATTGTGTCCAGAAAGATCCAATAGGATCCATACGTGACTGCGCAGCAATCGACACGATAACTAAAAGGCCATTGAAGTATATGACCAGATACTCAAGAATATTGTCAACTGCTCATTGGATACTACCGGTCACTATCTCACTCCTTGTTTCTGCTGGCCTGGCGCTTGTTGCTCGCTTACAGGTCATGCATCTAATATGAAACCTAACTAACACAGCGATATATCACTCCCTCTGAAGAGTCCACCGACGAGGAGCTCAAAGCGCTCATTGCCCAGCTCCAGAAAATCGCAGTCTAGATTTCCATCTCTTGACGCTGTACTTTTAGCCATAGACAGCTGTGGATTTGAGTTGGTCAGATCTGCATCTGGTTACGTATATTAAAATGAAAATATGATCCAAGAGGAGTGAACGGGAAGAAAGAACCGAAGATCACGAGGGGACAAGCACTGTGCTGTAGTAATCAAGGGTAATTATCTCTTAAAGGTCGTTGGGGTTACTTGCACTACAGACTGCACAATGAGTTGATCTGATCTGGACACACCAATTTCAGAGATATCAGCTATCACAACCAAATGAAATTTATTAATTGATTTAATCGCTACAAGTACATACTGTACAATGTATACGTTATGAATCACTATAAATATCTCTTGCCATCTTCCAATGCGTGCAACACTGGCAGACTGACTAACATGTCTCTATTTGTACCCAAGTGTCTAGTTATTATTGAGAAACAGGAGCAGGAGCAGCTCAACCACTGTCTCGAACTTCAGAACCACAGCAGGTCCATGAATAGGGACACAGTAAGTGGAGGTGGCTCCATAGTCGAAGTTGATACCGGAAATCTCGGCACTGACACCTGTAGCCTCCTCTTGGCGTTGACAAATCTCGTCCCATAGTTCGGTGGAGATTTCTGGATAGAACTTGAGGGGCTTCTGAGTCTCGACAAAGACAGGGTACTCTTCGTCCTCTTCAATTACACTGTAGGTTGCAAACTCAGACAGAGCAATGGTCTTGAGTTCGTTCTCGGGCAGGAACACCTTGTGGGCGTCATTGTGGAGTTCCTTCTTGAGTATTGCAACAACGCCAGTCATCGTCTCATTATTCTCCATTTCGTTGTAGTGGGTGTATCGCTCGGCGAAGTCTTCTGAGGACAGACCAGCGAAAAGGTTGGAGATGGGGCTGATAGAGAACATCTTGAGAAGTGAGGAGTTGAATTGACAAACGAGTACTAACTGAGGAAGGAATAAGAGCCCAAGCGCTTCATTATAAGAGTGTCTTTTTTGTAAGAGCATACATTTGTTGAGATGTGTTATCAGGTACCCACATTATGAAATGCATATGAAGAGTGACTGTTTGGGACGAGATTGAGGGGTCCATTATATTCCCAGACCCATAGTCTTATGAAATGCTTTCCCGTGTCATTTTTTCCGTGGAATCTCTGCTCACTAATGATGGTTCACTTGTAGTTTTCGCGTCATACAATAAAGTATACTTGTACAATGCAAGCAGACACGATATGGGCTGCCTATTTAGGCGATATTGGAGGGCGCATAGAATATGGGATCTTTGGAGTTGGATATGAAAGCAATAGACAGACGAAATTAATGAGTACAAGTACTTATGGTATGGCCCCAGTTTCTGCCAAGATTGACTGACAGAAATAGAAAGTACTCTTTTTAAACCCACCTTGTTCCCCGACAAGACATGTATGACCCCAAAATGCGCACGCTCGCCCTGTGTTAAGCCCAGAAAATACAGGTCCAAAGTCCGTGTCCAGAAATACAGATAATTTATGCACTTCCACCTCCCCAGCCACCCTCACCTCGACGAACATACAGTACACTCAACACATGTCTGCACCAAATGAACCTGCCAACCCTTAGGCTACAGTATGTACATCTCTTCCTCTGCAAGTTCTGCCACAAGCTGATCATGGACTGTGCCATAATGGACCATAATCATTAGAATAAAAAGAAAGAAACAACCATATTACAACTGCATGGCCAAAGCCGATGAAAGAAACCGTCCAATTTGACCGAGGCCCAAAAGAAGGAGCAACTCGCTCGCAAGTTTCATTTGAACAGATTACTACAAGTAGTACAAGTAGTGTCTGGCTACAGTGCTCGTAGCTACTTGAAACCTATTATGACATGCGATGTCATTGTTTCGTTACTGTACGTGCCAATAATATTATTGTTGCGCTCTTGACACCTACGTCAATCTCTTACTACAATGGCACCCTGCTTCTACAGTACAGGTACCGGTACTTGTACATAAGTCACTCGTTCATGATAATATAAATATGTTAGATGTTACATGGTGTTCGATACACTGTCTATATGTTAAGCCACGCAGGCGTAAGAATGGGCAGTCTCAAGCAATTTGACAGTGGCAGTGTAGTGGTAAAAGATGCCACCGAAAACAAAAATGTGCCAGAGGTTGTGGCTCATGCCAAAGTAGTCAAACACTCCGCCAGGACACCATCGTTCAGGAATGAGGAAAGAGTAGAAGATTACTCCAGCAGCGTACGAGGCCAGAGAAGGAACAACAGGCAGGTAGAAGGCCAGAGTGTTGGACACACCATGGAGCAGGGTGTTGTGGATGAACGAGGTAGCTCCAGCAACGGCAAAGGAGACGAAAAAGAGAATTCGCCAGTGCCGGTTCTTGGGGTCATCAAATTTGGGGTCCCAAGACAGGAAAACACCGGTGATGCCGAAGAAAGCAGTCAGAGTCATGTACACAGTCTGCATAGTTGGGTTGCAGTAGAAGGCGGTGTACTCGGTGGTAAGAATCGAAGCGCAAATGAGAACAGTGATGCCAGTGTAGTCCACACACGCAAACTTCTTTCTGTGCTCAATCCAGCAGATGGAGTTGAACGTGTGCCAGATAGATGAACAGACCAGGCACTTCATGGCAGCCACAAGGAAGACAATCATGCACATGTTGTCCATCAACGACGACTTCTCCCAGCTGACAGTCTTCGGGTAATGGAAGAAGGCGAGAAAGAGCATGACAAAGAAACCTCCGAGATGGGTCCAGATGTTGCACGTCTCGTTATGCAGAGTGACCACAGACTTTGCACAATCTGAGTACTTTCCATAGAACCGGTAGCCTCGGATGATGTATGGGTTGTCTCGATGAACCTCGGGGAGCTCGTTGATGGTAATAAGTCCCTTCTTAGCGGCTTCCAGAGCAGCCTGAGTGGCCTTGTGTAAAAGCTCGTCAGCTCCCTGCTTGACAGCCTCCTCGATTTCCACCAGCCGTTGTTCTAGATGCTTCTGGACCTCGCTGAATTGCGAAGTCCAGGACTCGGTGTCCCACGAGTCTGTGTCCCAGTCAGCAAAGTCGTTGAAGTTGTTTTCTATCACATGCATAAACTGCTCCATCTTCTTCTTCTGGTCGGTCGTCTTCGTCAACACCTTCTCCTTGATTTGTTCAAATGCAAGTACTGCGTTGTGGATGCTCTCGTCGATTTGAGAGGCCTTGTTAGCGGAAAAGTCCTCGAGCACATCCATGCGCGACTCCAGACCCTTGAGAAAGGTGTCGAACTTGAGCAGCAGGCTGGTCTCGAGTTTTTCGTCGAACAGTGCCTCCAAAGCTGTAGAGTCATCGGTAGAGATTTTAATGTCGAGATGTTCGGGCCGAGATTCAGGCGATCTAGAAACGCCAGAAGCCTTAGCAGCTCGAGACTCGTCTCCACGGACGAGGAAATCCTGGTCTCGAGCCACGCTTCTTCTTCTACTTGTAGGTGCTTTTGCCATAGTTGCAGTGGTGGTTTGTTAGGTGAGTTAATGTAGCTGTGTCGTGAATGTCTTTTTCAGGGGGTGATGCAAGAGTGACTGTGGGTCGTGAGTTGAGTGAGTAGAGAGCTGTTGTGGTTGTTGCACGCTTCGTTAAAATTGATGCTGTTTTTATTCCCACTCGTTTCAAACTGCCGAACCTCAAGAGCGAACATCCCGTCTTATGTATCTTTATGTACAAGTACAGAACCATAACCTACTGTAGATTAGAGTTTAAGAGATGTGATGTCTCATTAGAGAGCCGCGAGATATATGAAAAATATGGCGAATACAGATTCTGTCCCGGACCATACGGAAACAAGAGAATCAATACTACAGAATCATTTCGTAAAAAAAAACCAGCTCGAATAACAGGTCAAAGCCCCTTCCGTGAATCACTCTCAAGATGTACCATTAACTCCATTAAGTTAGGGTTCAGCTTGAGGAGATAAAAACGTGCACCGTAGCGAGAGCAGAAAGGCCAATCTACAAGTAGGGACGACTCAAATGAAAGACGAGATGGAGTGATCAAACTTGAAATTGGGTATCGATGGAAGGGACTAGAAAAAACAAACAGATAGCTACCAGATATCTTGATAAGGGGTAACCGCTAGACATAAACAAAAGGCACACTTTGCGGGGTAAAGCAAACATGGCTGTACATCCTGCTGTGTTGCCAAGCCCCCTGTCCAAACACGCATCTCCGAGTTAAGCCGAATCAAACTGAGGATACTGTTAGCGAGAGTTGAGTGTAGATCGGGTGTGGAATGGGATAAAAAGGAAATAAAAGAATTGCAAATGTCACGTGATATCTGAAAACGAGACAGTATTTGCCACAAATGCAATCCAACCGCTGTTGTGACTTGTGTTTCCCGTCCCTGCCGTTTTTCTGCGATAACCATTCGCCATCACTCGCTGCCGCCGTTTCTTTATGCACACAAACCATGTCTTATCATGGGCCATCTGGATGTGTGTTTCTGGCTTGCCTGACTGTTCGCAGCAAAAAAAGCAGTTATACAGCCAATTAATGCCTGCTTATCATACAGGTATCTTTCGCTCATTCCATCGACTTCTCAATCGCCCAGTTCACCTCCATCTCTCCAGCATCAGATAAACGGCTCGCTTTTGTCGTTCCTGAGCTGTGCCTTTCCTGAGCCTAACTTTTCGAGAGGTTTAAGCTGGGATCGAGTGTATGGGAGGGTACGGTATGCACCGTACTTGTAGATCCTCCAGTGGCTATCAGAACACGCTCAGGGTGTGTTACACCTGTAGGATGCTGGAAATATTTGCATCACGTACGTATGTGTTGTGAATGGAAGCTGTATTTTGGAAACACGTGCATTCCAATACAGTACAAATACGTACCCCATCTCCACTTTCTTCCTCCTCCAACCGAACGCATATTGACGTCAATCTTATTGCCCAAGAGAGGGAAGATGCTCATGATGTGAGACATTGATTCATACTGACAGACGCAGAAGCAGAAAACCAGGTGGACTGTGGACGTCTGGGTCTCTGTCAAAAGATGTTTCCGGACTCGACCAGCTCATCTACGCAGTGACCGGAAAGAGGACATGCGAAGAAGAAGCGAAGTTTTCAGTACCTGTAGCAAAAAGACTGTAGATACTGTAATACAGTACACAGACTTGAAGGAAGTTTCGCGGCCACCGGGGTAATAGTTAATTACACCAATTTCATACAAATTTCAGTACAACTACCGTATGTACATACCAGTACGATACCCCTTCGAGCACAGCACAATTTTTAGTGGGACAACGTCGCGAAAGTACATACAGTAAATATATGATTACTGTATCGACTGGAAGACAATGAGTGTTACCAGGTATATGTCTTTTGTATGGAGGGTGATTATATTACAGCCTGGGGCACGTGTCCAAACTGCACCAGCGCTCAAAAGAAATCAGAGAGATACTCAGAGTCGGTTAGAACGTGCACCAACTAACACAGTACAGTTCATGTCCAGCTTATGTCCCACCAAGCGAGACACCAACGAGATCAAACAGGCCGATCGACACGGACAAGATGGGAAACGACATCGGCTGGATTGCGTTCTGTTCCACACTATGAGACTGTCCCAAATACATTGAGTGTGGGCTCGTTTGAATTATGATCTGAACCATCATCTGGAAGACAGGTATGAGAGCTACAGTGCATCGAATTTGTGTTCGAGTTGCAAGAAGAGAACCAAAGGACGTTGCAGTAAGAGTGTGTACCCAAGTCAGCTGGTTGGGCGCCACACGTGATCGAAATGAAAGTTGTGATTGGCGAGTGAGTGCAGGTATGGTCTAAGGAAGTACATTGTAGTGGAGTAAATACACACTGTCGGTACTGTACTTGCACTGGTAAGAAACCACAGTATCACCTCCATCGAGTCAAATGCTATCACGTAGAGGTGAGACCAGGAAAACAAGCTTAAACAGTCCTATGTGCCGATACAAGTACAAGTACTGTACCGGTGCGAGTAATTGTTCCAACTTTCACATATTAAATTATCATATCAACAAAATAATGTGGATGTACTTACTGGAAGGTCACACAGAGCAACCAGTACAGACAGTAGTTGTGGGTTGCAAGCGTGAGTAGAGTCTGAGTATCTACAGTAAGATCATTGAAGCTCTGTTGTTTATTCTGTAGTCTTTTTTTTTTTCTCATTTTTTTTCTCATTTTTTTTCTCATTTTTTTCATTTTTTTTTCATCATTTTTTTCTTCATTTTTTTTCACATCATCGTAGCTAGAGTATAACCACAGGTTCCATTCATCAGGTATTGCATGTCACCTCCTAATCGACGCTTACTAAGTTACCCTGCACGCCTCATCTTGAGGCTCACATAAACTTTTTAGAGCCCACAGATACAGAAGACGAAGCCAGAGTTTTGGAACCGAAGCTACTACTTTAACAGTGTCACTTATACCACGTCGACTTCTTACGCACGCGCAACAAACAGTAGATACAGTACCTCCGCGATCACATCACCAGACATACACACACCCTCCAACACTCATTGTCTGTATCCACGAATCTCAACTACTCACCCACCACGACCTGGCATATCACCACTTGGGTCTAGTCAGATCAAGACCCTACACAACACACACACATCGGTCCTACACGACTATGCTCACACACCATGGCAGCAAACAAAGGTAAGGCCCAAGGAGGCAAGAAAAAGAAGACTGGTAAAAACAGTAAGGCCACAGGATCCACCCCAAAATCTGCCAAAAACCAAGCCAATGAAGCAGACAACACCCCGGAGTGTCTGAAGCAGCTCCAAACGGCCATGGCGGCTTTTATGGCTATTCTTGAACGCAAGCTGAAGAAGTCGCCCCAACAACGGACTCAAGCGGCTTCCCTCGCACACGTTTCACTGGTGGTCATTACAGGCTGCGAGGATGACCGTGCAGCGGAACACGTAGATTCGTTGATCCCTATTTTCAATGAGCTGTGCGAGCACGAAAACCCAATCTGGACGCCAACGGGCCAGACCACACTCATCTCCACGCTCTCCGACAAGTTCACAAAATGGGCATCGGCGCAGGGACTGCTCTATCAGTACACACGCTCTCTGGTTGAGGGCAGCACGAATCCCATCGAAGACGCGCCCCAGATAGTCGATAGCGCAACTCAAGACTACGGCAAGATTGCGCAGACCATTTTGGACTACTCAAACGGTAAAAATGGGAACGACAACACAAACGGAGAGAAAGAGGCTACAGGACCCTCGCTCGACAGCATGATCGAAGCCCTATCTGCATCTGGAGTGGAGGTTTTGGCTAAAGAAGCGTCTACACAACAGCAATCATCATCACCACAATTATCTGCACAGCCACAACCGAAAGACCCCAAACAGGTGGCCCAGGCATTTCTCATGTTCAAACCATACATGTCTCAAATGATTGAAGCACGTCGCTATGCTGAGCAGCAGTTGCATGCCCTGGAAGCAAATGTCTCTAGGTTATCGCTAAAGGTAGAGGAATTTGAGCGGAAACGAGGACCGCAACTACTGTCGAAGGACGTGGAGGCTGTCTATCAGCCCGATCCGAGGTTGACGTTGGAAAACAATACAAAGGAATTGTGAGTATAGAGGTTCTGGGAGAGAGGCTGACTCAATTGGGGAGATTTTGGCGATGTCAGGTATCAAACAATTTATTAACATAGCATGAGAGAGCATTTCAAGGCATTCTTATCGCAATACAAGCTGCGAGAGGAGCATTTCGAGAAACTGCTGAAGGCACGATCATCTGAAACTGCGGTTCAGATCATGAAGGTCAAAAAGTACCGAGAGTTGTCTCGAGCTGGATGGCGAATGGCCTCAGAGGCACTGGATAGCCTTTCCAAGGTTGATGAACGAATCCAGACCATCGAGTCCAACTTTACGGACTATAAAGCGCTTTCCAGTGCCACAATCGAATCTCTGGTTCAGGAGCACGAATCTTCCAAGCGTGACTTCAAGTACCTAGAATTGGAGCATGAACAGACGAAGAACAAGACGGAACTCATGAACGTTATGATGAGTGACGTTGTGGCGTATAATGCGGAGCTCAAGGAGACACTCAGCGAGTTCCAGGATCTAGCAGAGGCGTGGAGGGTGTGGGCAGAGGCTTCCAAGCCCATGATTGAGACTGCTCTTCCGGATCTTCAGATGCAGGCCATGGACGGCATTCTGACGAAGACCGAGGGGCTAATACCTCGCGAAGCAGATGATCCTCAGCCTCCTACTGACGAAGAAATTGAGGATATGCTGCGTAAGGGGCGTTTGGAGGGCAAGACGGTGGAACAGGTGAGCCAGGAAGTGATTTCAGCGACGGAGCATGCTCTGAAGCTGGCGCGAGAGCGTCGGGAGAAGCGGGCAAACAACAGCTCGGCTATGGCTGCTCGGGTCAACAAGCATGTGGATCATGTGTTGGCCTCGCAGATGAAGTCCGATGATGCGATTACCGAGAAGGCTGTCAAGCAGGTTGTCGAGGCTGCCAAGATTCTTGACCAGATTAAGCCTGCTAACTCGCCTGCCAAGGATATCGCCGAGATGCCTAAAGTTGACGAATCAGCTCCTCGATCCGTTCGTGAATCTGCCACACCACTGCCTGAAACTGAAAAATCTACGCCCCAGCCCCATAAGACATCTCCCAAGAAGGAATCTCCCAAACTCGACACTGATGGCTACGAGGCCGATGTGGACGATACTAAGGCTGGCAGAAAAGCCCAGAAGACCGAAGACAAGACCGTTCCCCCTATGGCTGAGCTACCTGAGCCACCAACCAACGCAGCATATTCTGCTGCACTAGGCCTCGCTCCAGATAGTCATTTGACAGTGTACTCTCCGGTTCATACTGATGACGAAGATGTGTCCCGTGAGGCTGCTCACGATGAGGCTGATGGCGAGGATGACGACGACTTCGGATTCAAGCGATACGTGGCGTACGAGGGAGACGTGTCTTCTGAGGAGGATGAGTACTTTTTGCGAGCCAAATTTGGTATCTGCTACCATGACCGGTACAACCGACGTGGCAAGGCTACAAACAAAGACGTCAACTCGTACATGGGGGTGTTTGGCGGTGCTCCTGACAAGTCTCATAACCTGTGTGCTCACGATATGGGTGCTGATTATGGACAGGCGCGATTCTCTGACCGCCGAGGTCATCTCTTCAGCGAGGTGCTGCTGCATGATTATGTCCAGTCTGATGACGACACTTCCATGCAGAATTGGACAGATGAGGTGGAGTGGGAAGAGGGGATCACTCCCGATGAAGATGAGGACGAAGACGAAGACTCTGGAAGCGACGTGGACCATGATGATGATACGAAGCGGGCAGCTGAAGAGAAGATCAAGGCTGTTCAGAATGCCATTGATGTTGCAACTGGAACCAAGACGGCGCCCCCCCCTGGAAGTGCCGCTGCCAAAGGAGTGGCAGACGAGCTGGAACAAATGCTCTTTGCCAAGGTTGACGAGAGATTCAACTCTGTGCAAATTCCTGAGTCTTTCTCCGAAGAGGAATGGAAAACTCTCAAGAGCGGCTCCTTGGGCGGCATTGTGCCTCTCATGTTGTCCTACATGATTTCCGCTTTCTCTGCTGGAAACACCCTGACCCTGGATCAGAAGTTTCCATCGTTTGTGGTGGCTTCCTGCAACTGGGCTGGCTCTATCGCGACTATCAACTTCCTGACCTGCTATTACAGCAACAGTAACGGTTATAAGGAAAGGTATAGATGGGATCCTATCGGACGAACCATCAAGTCTATTGGTGACATCTCCGGTCTTCTTGACGAGTCTCGAAACTTGTGCCCTGTTACTCTCGATCTCATTCCTTTCCTCCTGTTTGCTGCTCGAGCCCTGGCTGAAGTTGTTGTCCACCCTACCTGGGAGAGTGGCGATGCTCGCGATAATGCGCTTCAGACTGCTGTCAAGGACCATGAAAGTTTTCTATCAGTGGAAGATTTATACCGACTCGTTTTGGAGTTCCGACCTCCGTTGTGGGACCATCGCACTGGGGAGGTGTATACGACTCTTTTGGATGCCCTGATACGTTCGTTTGTGAGTCTCTACATGCGAGTGAGCCGGTTCCCATTTGAGCTCGACAAGCTTGCTGCTCTACCAGTAGCCAAGCCTGTTGAAGGGACTACCCCATCTAAGAACGTCCTTGATATTCTCACCAAGATCGAGGACCAGAAGTCCAAGTTCCTTGATCTTGAAGTCACAAAAATCGAGCAAGTTCTTCTGCATCAGGCCTCTGCGGCTCTGAGACGGTGTATCACTAAGAACGTGTATCCTGAAGACACGTCACTTGTTGTTGAAAGAAGCGTTCAAGACAAGGTGTTTGCTTTCCTGGCCGGCAGGGGAGGAGATGAGACGTACAACAAGGTTGTTGCTCACAACCAACCCATGCTGTTGCGGGCGTTGCATTCCAACCAGCTGGATGTTGAACGTATTGCCCAGCTACAAGATGCTTATGAGAAGCTGGATGGTCAAATTGCCTCTGTCGCTCAGACAGTTAACGGTACTGGCGAGGAAAGTGCAAATGGAAACGGAACCAATGGAGGAAACAACTGAATGTATAAGTTATTGCATGTTTAATATGGTATAGCTCATTGGTTTGATGTTTGTAGTGGGATGCGTACAGTTTATAGTGTGAAATCTTCAGCTGGAATCAGGATTCTTCAGAGTCCTGGTGACCTTTGCTGGAGCTCCCACCGCTACAGAGAAGGGGGGAATGTCTCTCGTGACCACAGACCCTGCTGATATAGTGCAACCCTTACCTATAGTGACTCCTGGCATGACCTGAACCGCTGATCCCAGCCAACAGTCGTCTCCGATAGTGATGGGAGAAGCATACTCTATCCCGTCCCTTCTAGTTTGTACTTCCACGTCGTGGGTTGCTGTAATGAGTTTCACACCGGGTCCCATCACGACACGGTCGCCGATAGTGATGAGAGCGCAGTCTAGAAACACACAGTTGTAGCTAGCAACGAAGTCTTGGCCACATGAAAAGTTGCAACCATAGTCAAAGTAGACGGGTGCTTCAATATGAGGGTTTTTGCCGACATGACCGACCATATTCTCCAACATGACAGCTCTGTCATTGCGCAATTGCTCAGGAGTAATATCCTCTGGAAAGTAGTCGTTGTATTTCTTTTGTGTCACGTGGATGTTGTGTCTAGCCTGGACTAGCTGCGGCTCGTACTCATGGTATCCCATGGCCGAAATCATCTTGTCGTAATGCTCATTGTGGGGCACATGATTCAGCTTCTTCGATTTTGCTATTTCTGCCTCGTTGAGCTCAAATTTCCGTCCACTGGGCATGTTGCACAAGTACAAATACCGGTACTGTACTCGTGGTTGTATGAAATCACGAGATACCGGGATGCGTGAACTCTGAATTGATGATGCATAATACGGAGAAGTTGCGCAGATCATACACCGAATGGGTGTACACTGTACATACGCAGACGACAAAAGAAAATATACACATTGATTCATTGAATCAGTTATGTGATGATTATACAGTCTATGCAGTAATTAAAACATCCGTTGGAATGTACCCCATTTGCAGCCACTCTGTAAGCAAACCCTGATTGTTTCAGTATGATTATATATACATATGTGAGAGCGTTTTCAACATGTTAATGCACTAATACTTCTTGAAGGGGAAGCCAGATCGAATATATGTGCCCTCGTGGGCCAGATAGAGCCCTGCTCTGGGGAGAACTTCGACCTGGTATGGCTCAATGGGAAAGCTCTCTCCGTCAATACTAATATAGTCCGACTTTCCAATAGGCGTGATTCGGAATGCCTCGATTTTCATGTATCCCGCAACGGGCAGGTCGATATGACGGCCAGTTTCCGAGGCAACCAGCAGATTGACAGCGTCACTTCGACCAACCTTGCCGTCCCATGTCATGACGTCGATAAGGCCATCATGAGGGATGGCAGCAGGGAATGCCAAAGAGTCCGCAGACACCCAGGGCATCTTACCGGTATAGAAGTTTGCCATTTCCTTGGATGTCGAGACTTCCCAGTCAGAAGGAATCGGGTCGTTGACAGAGCCATATTTGAGCGAAGCAAACACGTTGGGGTCGAGCTTGGCAATCTCCTCACTACTGAGAGGATCCACTCGGTCCACAATGTATTTTTGGTAGTGTTTGCTGAGCTCGCGTACATCTCGGGTGTGTACTTTGACTGCTATTTCACACGGGTAGGCTTTTCGGTTGATGATTCGTGCAATAGCTCCGACTGTGAACCGTGCTCCTCCCATCCATCGCAGATGCTCAGTTCCAAGGTCCAGGTCCGCCACCAGTCCCCACGCCTGCGAGAGGAACGAAACGACGCGCTTGTCGCCCTGGGTTACAGCCATATAGTCCACGGGAATGGCTCTTCCCTTGATCATTTTCAATGTTGCGATAGACGCAGAAGAAGTGCCATTTAGCGACCACGACAGCGAGTTTCCCGATCCACAGGGCAGCTGACAGATAGCCACGGATTGCAGCAGCTGGGCTCCGTCTTCGGGACGGGAGGCCATACCATTGATGACCTCGTGTGGGATACCGTCTCCAGAACAACACATGATAGCATCGTATTTGTCCATAGGAATTTCTGCACCAATCTCCTGGGCATGGTACCGGTGAGTAGTTTCCACAACGTTCAAGGAACAGTTTGCTGCCCGGAGAAGAGGTTCAGAGGCGTACTTGAACACTCTTGCTGCGTGTCCAGTTCCTCCATTGGGATTGACGAGGATCAGGAACCGTTTTTTCGGCTTGGCTGCTCCGTAGGCCTTCTGCATAATTTCATCGGCCACGGCAGCGGGGTCTCCTCCATCGAAAGCTGCTACGACGGTTTTCGGAATGCAAGAAGTTTTAGACACGTCTCCATAGCTGATTTTGATGGAGGTTTCGTCTTTTTCGGACGGCTCGGCGAACAAGATGTTCTCGTATGCGATTTCTATCTTTTCTGGGCGCGTTTCTGTGTCAGTATGGCTCTAAAGCGAGTGTTTTGTACAGTCATTGCACGTTAGTAGTTGTAAATGTCTTCCAATACCCACCAAAGAGAGAAGCGCAAGTCCGAGACTGTTTGAATTTGGTGGCTGCGGATTAGTATGTTGATGTCTTTTATTATCGTCATGTCGAGTCGAGGAAAACGTGTCGCAAGCTACTCACCAGGCACTATCAGTCCATTTGCCCCCAAGCTTGCCAACTGGGGCAAGAGATCGCGGTTTGACATGGGAGGAGGAGGGGTCTCCGGGGGTCTTTGAGTGGATGGGATGGCTGAAGTGGAAGTAGTGCGTGCTGGGATCGGCGGATGGGAGAGACTCAACTACTGTAGGGTTTAGTCAGCTGGTCCTTGTTCTTTTCTCCGTATTTTCCAATGGGTTGGGCGTGAATGTGTGTTTTGAGTGCGTTTCGCGTGATTGTCTCTATGCTGAAGTTAGTCCCCCCCACTAAGTCCGTGTGTACTGTAGTCAGGGTTATTAGGGTGTGCGAATATGCGCGTTTAAGTGCGAGAATAAAGATGTGCCGGAAACGGGGTCATCGAGGAGTGCAGTGAGGAAGGGGGGCGTATACACAGGCTTGTGACTTCCATAGGACCAAAATGATACCTGGAAAGCATAGTTTTTTTTGCCCGGATGCCGTTTCTGAAGTCCTTTTACTATCCATGTCTCTCTTGGTACCCCACTTAAAAATCACCAGTTTGGATTCAGTTTTTCAACTTTTTTGGGTCGGATTGGTTTCCGTCTAACCCACAGAGTTTGAGTCAAAACAGTTGGAAGCGGACGAGAAATGTGAAAAAGGAGGGTGGCTTTGGGAGCGGGTTTTTGCGGAACGTTCAATGGCAGCTTCCCAGGCGGGCCAGTCCAGGCGGGCCAGTGCTCTTGATCCGCCTCTTCAGCTCTTCGAGACCCGTTCGACTTAATATACTCCATCTGTCTACCATTGCACTCGTTGTTTGGCGTGCTCGGATATATGTATTATACGATTATACGATAGATGCCTTAGGGTGATTGTATTGTACGTATCGTACTGTAACGGTTCTAGATCATGGCTTTTGACTTCGCAAGCCGTGGCACAGGGTACATGCTGGGATACTACTACTGTACTTGTACTTGTACTTGTAGTGTGTTTTGACCTGTTTATGGTCCATGCATCAGCTAGTGCATATTACTCGGCGTTATGTTGCTGTCTTACGCACAGCTCAAGATACCTGGTATACCACATCCAGCCAAGACGCTACATATCCTGGCTCTGTTTACAGAAGGCGTTGACTTATTTTAACGAAGAGAAGTTCGATCACCTTACCCAACTGAAACCTATCAAAGTTGAAGTTACAGTACCGCGCCGGATTCTCTAAGCGAATTTGGATGTGGAAATTAGCCTTGTTTGGGAAAATCTGGAAGCATGGGTATTTTGTCGAGTGAAGTCGGGCCACTTCCTGAATGTTAGAGGCGAGATGTTCTTTATCAGAGCCTATCATTGAAATCAGTTGACCAAGGGGGCAGATTGATAGGAACAAAGTGCCCCAAAACTCCACACCCGTCGAGTTAAAGTGAAGACTACTCGTACTGTAACGGTGGTGGAAGTACAACTATGGAAACCGTAGAATCACCCTCTGAAAATTATGTCGAAAAAGAGTGTTCACAATAAAAGGCAAGCTTACGCCTCCATCAGTGCTTGTATAGTAGGCTCTACGACGTCAATGATAACTACTTGTGTGTGCAGGAGTATCAGATATCTTATGGTTGTTGTGAGAAAACATCCCTCGAGCTGAAAGATATGGTCGTTCATCGAAATTCTTAAAAGACACACAATGTAACGATCGGACGCTGTGCACTCTCGTCTTGTTGATGTCTCAATTACTACCGAAAGTAAGCTATATATTTCCAACCCATGCACACATTCTCAGTGGTGTACTCTCCATGATATCTTTGTTGCTCTAGCAAGACTACCTCCAGCACAGAACTCTCAATTTAGGCGTCTTAACGTTTCTATCTCATACATCATACTATTCACATTTTCCTGGTTACGCACCTACTGAGGGTACTCAACCTGAGAGTCCTCGGGTCGGTGAACAATTCGATAAGAAAAGGAAACGAGGTACTGGGGAACTGAGGTCTGGCTGGCACTAGGAGGCTGAGTCTCATCAGGTCTAACCATGCCGGTGAAGCTGAAGCCATGGGGATCCTTACCGCGCTCGTTAGTCATTCTAACTCGACCAGTAGCATTGATAATGGTTCCTCCATTGACGCCGTGGCAATCGAAACCGAACATATCGTGGGTTACAGTTGCGGGCATCTGAGCGTAGATGCCCAGAAAAGCGTCACGACCAGCAATTGGAGTTCCGTTCCAAACAATCGCCGTGTCGGGTCTGAGAAATTGTGGCAGGTTTTGTCTATGATCGTCGAGAGCCTTGAAAAACTGTCGCAGGAAGCTCTCTGTGTTGGTGACTGTGTGGGTTACCTGCTGTTGAGTTGGGCCGTTGCTGGTGTTCATGTTGTGTGGAATGAAATGCGATAAGTTCAGGGGTTCAGAAGTCGTTTATGCCAAGCGCCGTTGTGCAATGAAAACAATATTCCAATATAAGTAATCCCTTGACAGTGTCTATGCTGTTTGATGTTGTTCAAGGCAGTTGTTGTGAATCAAGAACATGTCTTGGTGAATCTAGAAATATCTAAAAATGATCCCAAATAGGAATATTACCCTAAACCTTAACACAGCAAACAACTGATCTTAGAATTTCAAACTGGCAAAAATTTAGCCTTCCGCCCGAGTAGCGCAATGGTTAACGCGTTGGACTTCTAATCCAAAGATTGTGGGTTCGAGTCCCACCCCGGGTGCTTGTATAAAACCTAAATTTTTTGCTCTCCATACTTCCAGTATAAACCCTGTGAAGTGGTCAATTCATTGTACCTACAGGTACAGTACAGTATTTACTTTTTTGTCTGCACAACTCTGTTTCTAAAGGCAGCTCTCAGGAAGCCAATGTAAATAGGGAGAAAGGGAGCCATCGCCGTGAAATTACTACAAGTAGTGCTTTTTTAGAGTCGGTCCTACGATGGATGTTTTATGTTTTATGTTTTATACATATATATATACTGATCTCAAACTACAGTAAGTGTGCCGCCGTATAAAGGAAGCACAAGTATGAGATTTACTTGCAGGCTGTGTTTGCCGCTGTATAACAGGCTTGTTGCATACGCACGCCGCTTAATTTCTTTGTTACAGTATACTCTAGACTAGTTAGGTGGATTGTAAGATGGGCTCATTCACAAAGATCTGCCGTAGCTACTTGCACGTACTGTCCTCGTACCCGTACTTGAACATACTACAAGTACGTGCTGTAAACTGAGCTCACTGCAGGATTAAGGCTGGGATGGAGCGTTGAGTAGTTGTATCATCTTATCACTGATAGAATTTGTGGGTGCAGAAGGGCGGTAATACCGTATGAACAGACTTTGTCGTCGGAGAAGAGAGAAAGGGAGTATTGGTTCGGTGTGAGCAGCGTGACCAGCCAGCGACAACACCATGAGCAACACGACGGGTTCCGACACTGTCCGAGAGGATGAACAGAGACCGCCGAAGAAACAGAAGAGGGACAACAACGACATCTTACAGAAGACGGAGAGCGGAGAAAGCAGCGAAGCCGTATTCGACGCGACAACCGAAGCTGAAGGAGGAGACATTGAAGACCAAGAGAAGGATCAAGAACTCATGAAGAGTTCTGATGAAGAGGTTGAGGAAGAGGAGGAAGAAGAAGATGAGGAGGACTCTGAAGAGGATCGAGGGCGAAGGAGGGATCGGCAGGCGTCCGCTTCCCGGACAAAGTCCCGGGAACATTCGCATTCCAAGTCTCGTTCTAGATCACACAAGGGAGAGGAGCATGAGCGTCGTACAGTGATCAAAATCGTCGATGGCAAGGAGGTTCGCCAACATATCTCACGGGACCGGTACCACAGCCGTTCGGTCAGCAACAATCAGCAGACGAAAAGTTCGACAGATCGTTCCGGAGCCACTTCAACAACAAAGGATGGAACCCAGCGGAAAGACGAGCAATCTCATTCTCGCGAGCGAGTAAGAGTATCCATGTCGCCAGATGGATGTTCGAATGACTCTAACACTCTCGAGTATGAGAAAGACAGTAACGGAAACGTTAAGAACCTGGACGGCTGTGACAAAGACATTACTCCTGAGGACGTGGACAATGGTAAAACCGTTGACGAATCCTCGTATGGATACGAGAGGTGCGACGAGCGAGAAGCATCGAGGTCTCGTTCCAGAAGTAGAGAAGGAAGTCGAGATCGCCAACGGAACAGATCTAGAGAGCGAAACCGAGGATATGAAGGATCTGTCGATATCAACGGAGAAGGCAAAGACGGGAGAAATAAAACGAAGTCTAGGTCTCGAGAACGTGGCGAGAACTCATCTACCACAACAGTGTCTGAATGGTCTCAGGATTCACATGGGAACAGGAGGAGTGTTAGCCGCACGGAGGTCAAACATAACTCTGGTGAAGAGTCTAGGACACATGATGGCAGCGAAGAGGAGGGGGAAGGAAAAGAATCCTGCAGCGTGATTGCTACAAACCTCCCTAATTCAGCAACTCATGCTCACGTCCGGGAAATTTTTGAAAGGATTGGAGCTGTTAGAAACGTCGATGCTATGGAGCTCAGTTACAGATTCCGACGACGAGCCAACCAGTACGAGAGATCTGACAAGGGTTCTGAGAATAACTTCATGGTCACTTTCTACAACAAGGATGACGCGAGTGAGGCCGTTTACAGGATGAACGGTAGCCAGATTGATCATGAGGTCATCAGTGTCACGCTTTACAAGAAGGAAAAGCGAGCAGACTTCAAACAATATCCCAGGGAAGAAACAAAGAAGAAGAGCTACGATACTGGGTGGGTTTCACGGGGCGAGAAGGGAGACAAGAGTGAAAAGAGCAGAAGTTTGCGCCGTGATACAAGTCGAGGCAGATCTTATAGCCGAGGGCGATCTTACAGTTGCGACAGATCATACAGCCGAAACAGCTACAGAGATGGAGACCGGTCATACGACCGCGACAGATCGTACAGTCGGTCGTACAGTCGTGATGGGTCGTACAGAGAGGGTAGTCGCGGACGATCTTACAGTCGAGACAGGTCTCACAGTCGATCTCGATCTCGAAGAGCTGCAAGATCCTACGGGGAGACTAACAGCTCTCATTCAAGTCCCAGACAAGCTCAGCATCGAAGAAGATACAGAAGCCGTTCGCGATCGCTTACCCCAAGGAGGTACAACCGGTCTCCCAAAAGATTGTCTAGATCTCAGTCTAGATAATACCATACTTACAAAAGGATCGTTACGAAACAGGTACATACGGGTACAGTACCTTAACTAATCGTTATATAATATATATATATATATATATATATATATTCAAATATGTACATGTGCTTAGCTGTTAAAACTAAGCTGATTGTTTCTGTTGCGATGGTTCTGATCCAGATGAGCTCTCAGAAGTACTTGTAGGGTCTGTAGAGTCAGACCTAGTCTGGGACTCAGATGTAGGGCCCGTAACGTTGGACAGTTCAGGCTTGGAGTCCATAGTGTCAGATGACTCAGATGCAATATCACCCCCTCCAACTCCACTCTCCTTGGCCTTGGCAGTAGCCTCTCTGGCAGCTTTCCTCTCTGCGATAGCAGCCTTTTTCTTACCCAACCTCTTGGGCTTCTTTGGTTCCTCCGATAGTTGTTTCTCCATCTTCTTGCCCTTCATATTCTCGGCAGCCCTGACAACTACGTCGGTCTCATCTAACTCAACGCCAGCCTTGGCAACAGTGTATGCAATTCTCTCAAGCAGCACCTCATCGTGGCTATCCTCGGAATCAAGAATGACGCTCATTTGCCCCCGTGCCGTGGCCTTGTACTCGTCGTCGTTACGAGCCTTGATACTTTCCTTGGTGTTGCACATGTTGGCAATCAATGCAAAATCAGACTCTTCCTCCAGAGACTCCCATCCAAGAACAATCACGTTACTTAGCCCAGGAAGCTGAATACCCTTGAACTGTCGCAGGTTGCAAACAATAGCCTCGGGCATATCCTGGGTAGCGTCGTTGGAAGGATCGATGGGAGTAGAAAAGAATGTCTGACAGAAATCGTCCATTCGAGAAGGATCCAGGTCAGCCACATGAGCTGCGTTGATTCCAACCTCAGCAAAGGCGTCCTTGTACTTGTCAGCCTTGAAAGACTGAGTAGTGAGAACCAAAGCACGCTCTTTGGGTCTGCTCCGAATAAGATCTGAAGCAGCTTCAAAATAAGACTTGTCCAAGAAAAGCTGCTTGTTGTAGAACCGCTTTCGCATCACTTGAGTATATCTATCGTTGTAAAAATCACGGATAGCAGCAAACTTCATCTTCAGGTACTCTCCTCGGTCTCTAGATATACTTAGAACATCCTGAAGTTCCTCCATAGCAAGCCCTAAGTTAATAGGAGGAAGGACGACGTTAGTGCAAGGAGATTTGCGTGTGGGTTTGGACACAATTCTAACATCCACATCAGGAGAAGTGACACTATAGGGAGCCTTGACCAGGTTGTGATGAGTAAGGCCAATGTCAACGACTGGTCTGCCTTCACTCCAGCCCAGAGATGTCAAGAGGCGTTTGTGAAACGATTTCAGAGTAGCACCAGCCCACACAATTTGTAGAGGTGGAAATTCTAGGAGCTCGGATCTCATGTATCCGTTTCTAAGAGATGCAATGTAATCGCCCAGTTCAATGATGGGCTTGGTATGATTGTTGATCTTTTGGGTCTTTGTCTTGAGAATGAATTTCTCCTGGGGCAAAAGCACGTCAGCGTCATCAACAAAGATGGAGGACAGTTGCTTGAGGTTCAGGCGGTCTCTGAAGTCCGACTGTAGAATATCCATGAGCCGCGTCGGAGTTGTAATGAGTACCTGGGGACTGGGAGCCTTCCTGAGCAACGCGAGCTGTTCTTTTTCAGCCTCTGGAGAAGCTCTATAAAGCAGCTGGGCCATGTAACCCTCAGTCTTGGCCTTATCCTCCCCGTTTCTTGTGTTTGCTTTGCTGATCTCTAGAAGTCTTTTAAGGTGTTGCTTTCCCGCGAGCTCTGAGGACACAATTAGCAGATGGTTGACTCCGTAGTCCCTGGGGTTTGTTGCGTTGCGCACGTTGATCCGTTCTGGTTTGGACAGCAGAGCAATGTCCAGGGCGGTAGACACTCCACATCCCGGCAGTGAATTCCAGACTAGCGAGATGTCTGAGTTGACGATCGACAGGAACTGCTTTTGCGCATATTCTGGCTCGACTGCGCTTTCAATGGCTTTGCTTATTTCACTAGCAATGTTGGTAGGCACCTTGAGATCGGACCATGTCTTGGCCTTGGTGTGGTCGACAGTGAGGTGGATTTCTGGTGTTTGGAGATTCAGTTTCAGAGGACCGTTCAACGGCAGCTTGGATCTCTGAGCTGTCTTGTCTTTTGACCGAGGGGAGTTTCTGGGCTTGGGCTGGGGACCCTTTGTGTGTTTGGATGGTCGATAGTCATTCTTGGGTCGAGAGGCGTTCTTAGGTCTCGATCCCGGCTTGAAAGAGCGCTGGGGACCGTTTGAAGGCGTCTGGTAGTGGCGTGTGAGTGTTAGCGGCGTCAACGACGTCCTTGTCGGTAATTTCGCTATTATTTGGCGGCTTTGGATGCTGGTTCGCCACATGTTGAGCGTGAGAGTTTAGGACTTCAATTTATTTTCTCTTCATGCAGGCTGGCCCAGTGGCGATGTACCGCGATCCCAAAGGAGATAAGCCAAATGGAGTTTAGTGTGGACAGGGAAAGATAATTGTGGGGACAACTGCGAGCTGTGGGTGGAGAGCGCAGCTTGTGGTTTCAAATAAGATGTTTCTATGACATTACATCTACAACTACGGAGTAGCTACTCTACAGTAAGTCTTCCTGGCAAGTCTACACATATAGCCGATATGCATTCTCACCGAAATCATGGAGTCCGGCATTTGAGAACATCCATACAGAAGACATAATCATCCCAAAAAATTGATAGTTGGAATGGAGTTTCCAATACTTGAGAGGCATTTATCCTGTACACTTTGTTGTTAATTACTATACCATCTTCAAAACTGAATATGGAGTGTGTACAGTACTCGTACAACCAACTACTACTTGTAGCTAGTTGATGTTTTTTTTCAATATAATTTATAATTTTTTTGATTTAGCGACAGTAAATTCTGTTGTTGACTACTGTAATACGTCAAGTATAAAACCGTGGTTTAGTTTACACGGCACTTGCACTTACATTAGTTTAAGTTTAATTTTGTTAAAATTCCTTGATTACGACATCTAGCATTAATCATCAACTCTTGAGCACATTGGAAGTACAGTACTGTACCGGTACTTGTACTAGTTCCCGTGTATATACCGCCTAACATCCAAAGATTGGTACTTGTACTTGTGCTCGTGTATTCAGACTTGATGTGCTTTTGCAGCTGTACTCCGAGGCTGTTGTTCGGCATAGACTTTTGGGCTCCTGCACATTTTATTGTGACCCAATTTAATTGTTGTGGATGTCATTGGCGCGGGCGGCGGCATTGTAATTAGATAGGCAAAAACGTTCTTATAAGGATATTAGAGTGAAAAATGCATCGTTTGAAGAGTAGTGAGTAGTTGTGCTTCGAGATATAGATCAACATGCAAGTTTTCAGCAACTAAATCGGGTCAACGCCCGTATTCTTGCTGCTGTTCTACAATGCACTCTTTTAACCCTTACATACATACACCAGCTGCGGCGCAGAAATATGACGAGGTAATGGTAAATGGCGTGAGAAGAGTACGATAGATCACAGTGTATTGGGAATTGGTTGAAGTATTCATACGTGCACTCTCTTACGTAATATATACATAAAGATCTGATGACTTCGCACTGCTCTCAGGCCATCCCTGCGGGACACTCACTTCTCACATGTACCCCATGATTAAGTTCCCTTGGATTAGCTACATGGTGTGCATTAAATAATAGCAACGCAACGACACTAAGCACTTCAGCACACGCCATTGCAACATCGTCAACTTCTCCAGCCGGTTCATCTCGTTTCTGCACTATGGACTCTTTGCATGTCTCTTCGACAAGTGTTCTGGTCGACGTCGTGGAAGCTGTGGAAACCGCTACCTCACTGGTAGTGGACACAGCTGAAGCCGTTGCAACAGAACAAGCTACTCCAACAGCAGTCATAAGCAATGCTCTAGCCCGAAGTGCCTATGCGGCACATACGTCATTGTCATATTTGGCATGGGCTTTTGGCTTGTGGTTTCTGCGACTTATTGGATGGGTCTGCTATGGTATTCCTACCTACGTTCTAGGGCTGCTAGGTAGAACCATCAACATTTCTCTTCAGTTTTCTTCTTTGTAAGTACTTCCAGATCATAGAAAACCTACGCCCTATTTACACAAGCCCTTGTTTTTCTCATACGAGCGGTTCACGTCGTTCAATGCGTTCTCTCATACTAACACAGACTACTCATTCTGATTGCCTTGGTCACCGTGGTGGTCGCGGTGGTACGATACAAGTATCTGACCGTGTACTCCCGTCTTCCCCAGGAACAGCCTCGACAGGAGCCCGAGATCGACATGTACGACGAGTCCGACAACGAGGACGAAAAGACGGGCTTCGCTAACTACTTTGACGAGTTTCTGTCAGCCGTTAAGATCTTTGGATACCTGGAAAGACCCGTGTTCCACGAGCTTACACGCCATATGCAGACGTGGAAACTCTCTGCCGACGAAATGGTGCCTCTAGATGATGAACAGGGCTTCTCAGTTGTGGTGGAAGGAACTGTACAGGTCTTTGCCAAACAATCCAGTTTTGTGCAAAACCCAACTAGCGTGCCTGACTCGAGAAAGGAAGACTCAATCATGTTCAACGGAGAACGATACACCCTGCTTTCCGAGATAAAAAATGGAGCTCCCCTTACTTCGCTGTTTAACATTCTTTCTCTGTTCACTGACGATCTGCAGCTTCATAAGAATTTCGACAGTGCTGTCAACTCGCCCATGACGTCCGCCTCCGATGTCCCCAACATGTCTTTGTCTTCTGACGGCTCTGACGATCTTCAGAAGGGAGAACCTCAGTTTGGAGAGCCCCGATTGTCTGAGAAGCCTGCTGCCAAACTATCAGTGACAGTCAGAGCAGCTACTGATTCAACCATCGCCATCATCCCAGCTGCTGCGTTCCGACGAATCACCAAAAAGTTTCCCCAGGCCACTGCTCATATTGTTCAGGTAATTCTAACTCGTTTCCAGCGAGTTACATTCCAGACTGGTCATCATTACTTTGGCTTGACCCCTGAAATCTTTCAAACCGAAGTGAATCTAAACAGTCATGCCCGAAATGAACTCCCTGGGTATCTCCGGGAAGGAGCTGTCAAGAAGCTGAACCAGGTGTACGATGCTTCTCAGATGGGTGGCCGTCCCAAAAAGTACACCGTTACTCTCAACAAGAAGAACAAGGGCAAAGGCAGCAGACGTCAGAGATTCTCTGTGCAGCTCAACAACCAGGGTCATCTCAACAGTCAGAGTCGAATGGTAAGTTTGGACTCGTTGGAAGCAGTTGGGGATCACATGAATCCCGGCGATCTGCTGACCAATGTGCCTTTGTCACGACAGGGACGGCCTGTGTTTGAACTATCCAGTGTGAAGCACAAGGCTAGTATTCAGAACCTGTCCTTCAGTGGAAACGATGATGAAAACGAGGACACTGCCTTGCGTACGGCCCTTGTGGAAGCTATTTTCAAGGTCCTTGGAATCGACCGTGATTCCATTCAGTCTTCCATCATGGCCGTGAAGACTATGTCCAATACAGCCTCCCCTATGTTCACGGGAGCCACCACTGGAGGAAGCAGTGGATCTCTAGGGGAGGAACTCCGAAGCCGACGAACTGGTCAAGATTCTCTGGGGGCATCTCACTTTGGCGTCGGTCTACCTTCTGAGCGGTCCCAGAATTCGTTCTACGCTCGATCTGAAACCTCTACTTCCAGTGTAGACGAAGACTCACTTATGGCTGCCCCCTTTGATACAATCCGAAACGATGTAGCCCAGTACATGGACGTTGTTTTGTTCAAGAAAGACTCTCTCCTCATCAAGCAGGATGACCCCACTCCTGGATTGTACTACCTGATTGATGGTGTTCTTGAGGTCGGATACACAGATCATCACAAGATTTACCATGATCTATACACTGTTCAGCCTGGTGGGGTTGGTGGATATATTGGCTCTATTCTCGGACACCGATCCTTCGCCGATCTGCGCGCCCGAACAGACGTCTATGCCGGCTTCCTTCCTCGAGCCGCAATCGAGCGCATGTCTGACAAGTACCCCATGGTCCATCTAACCATGGCAAAGTCTCTGACTAAGGTACTGTCTCGTCTTTTACTGCATCTTGATTTCGCTATGGAGTGGGTACAGGTTCGAGCTGGACAGAAAATCTACAAGGAGGGTCAGGAAGCGGATGCCATCTACATTGTCTTGAACGGCCGAGTGCGTTCTGTGGCTGAAACTAAGGGCGACTCCGGTATTGTGGGAGGTGAATCTGGTGATGCGAAGGATGGAAAGAGTCATCGAAAGAATCTCACCAGTATCGGAGAATATGGAAAGGGCGAGTCTGTTGGCGAGCTGGAGGTGTTAACACTTACCAGACGTCCCTCTACTCTCGTTGCCATTCGAGATGCTGAGCTGGCCAAAATTCCCAGAGCTCTGTTTGAGTCTTTGGCCCTCCACTACCCCAGTATCACCTTTGAGATCTCCCGAATTGTGGCTTCACGAGTCCGTACTCTAATGGAAGACTCCGCTCCGATTCCCCGACGAATGCACACCTTTGATATGGCTGCCCACCATGATAGTTACTTGACTATCGCTGTTGTTCCCATCTCTCAGGATGTTGATGTGAGTGAGTTTGGACGACGACTTTACAACGGTATGCAGGCGGTGGGACGAGAAGCGTGTCACTTGAACCATGCTTCTGTGCTTAACCATATGGGCAGACATGCTTTCAACCCTCTTGGTAAGTTGAAGCTGTCTGGTTTCCTTGATGACATTGAGGACCGGTACCAGACTGTTTTGTATGTTGCAGATACCCCTCCTGGTTCCTCATGGACCCATACTTGCATTTCTCAGGCTGATTGTGTTCTGCTTGTCGCTGACGCTCGTTCCGAGCCTGACATTGGTGAGTACGAACGTGTGCTGGTGAAGATGCGAACCACTGCCAGAACCGAGATGGTTCTCATTCACCCTGAACGATACGTTCCTCCTGGACTCACTAGTGCGTGGTTGAAGCCTCGAGTGTGGGTTCACACCCATCATCACGTTCAGATGGATCTTCCTCGTCATGAAGCTGATGTCCTGGCCAGTATCCGAAAGATGAAGCGAACAGGAACCCTCGCGAACCTCAAAAACAAGGTCCAAACGATCCAAGAAGAGTTCCGTTCCATGTACCGCCCCAAGGCTAACATCTATAGCACGTCTTCGGCCAACAAGGACGACTTCAATCGACTTGCCAGAATCCTCTCTGGACAAGCTATTGGACTTGTTCTTGGCGGAGGAGGAGCTCGAGGTATTTCCCATATTGGAATTATCAAGGCTCTCGAAGACTCTGGTATTCCTATTGATTTCGTGGGAGGTACTTCCATCGGTTCCTTCATAGGGGGGCTCTATGCCAAAGAATACGATCTGGTGCCCATCTATGGACGAGCCAAGAAGTTCTCTGGACGAGTATCTTCTCTTTGGCGTATGGCTTTGGATCTGACCTATCCTGCCACCTCATACACCACTGGTCACGAGTTCAACCGAGGAATCTGGAAAGCTTTTGGCGACTCCCGTATCGAAGACTTCTGGCTCCGATACTTCACTAACACGACAAACATTACTCATTCTAGAATGGAGATCCACACATCTGGATATGCGTGGAGATACATTCGAGCAAGTATGTCTCTTGCTGGTCTTCTTCCTCCTTTGACAGACAATGGATCTATGTTGTTGGATGGAGGTTATGTTGATAACCTGCCTGTTTCGGAGATGAAGGCTCAGGGAGCCTCCGTGGTATTTGCCGTAGATGTCGGATCTATCGACGATACCACTCCCATGAACTACGGTGACTCCTTGTCTGGTGCATGGGTCATGTGGAACCGATGGAATCCCTTTGGTCGACATCCTAATGTTCCCAACCTGGCAGAAATTCAGGCTCGGTTGGCATACGTATCATCAGTGGGTGCTCTTGAGAAGGCTAAGCACACCCCTGGCGTCATCTACATGCGTCCCCCCATTGACGATTTTGCTACTCTTGACTTCGCCAAATTCCTTGACATCTATAGGGTAGGTAACAAGTACGGCCACAAGTTCCTGACCGAGTTGCGAGAGGATGGCAAGTTTCCTGCTATCCCTGGAATGGAGAATGTTAAGACCAAACATAAGAGAACCATTGCCCGGCGAAATAGTATTTAGGGAGGTTCATCGTTCATCGTATATAAAATAGCTTGTATAAATAGATATACTGTCATAAATCGTGAGGTGAATGCTGGCGTAGTTGACATTTCTCCTATTTGTAATTGCAAGTAAAAGTATTTGTGATCCTGACTCTGTTAACCATTTTTGAAATTCTATAGACAACGGTAGCGACCTTGATGTTCTACTCAGAATAGGACGATCTATGCAGAACCTGTATATTGTCACAATCCTTACACCGCAATTTCATGCGAATACACCTAGGGGCGCCTGTTTCCAGACGTCCTCTAGCCAGGTTACGGCGCTCACAAGCTTGCACTATTCAAACCATCCATTACTATAATACATGCCCTAAGGTCGCTTCGGGGGGTTAGAGGTGACCAGAATGACCGAGTCTCCTCGAACAAAAAGCATTTCGCTCTTCTTCTTTCGGGCCTCCAGTTTTGGACTGCCCTCCACGTACTCGAAGACTGTTTCCTCTACGTTTCCAAGCACCATACTGCAGTGGATATCGTAGGCCTGGGTTAGTAACAGAATGGACTAGGACAGGTCATTAGCGGACAGCAACAGACATTACATTTACACATGTATCATGTTCAGTGGATATGTATCCGATTCATACCGATCTTGACTTGCCTGCCATCTTCTCATTGTCCTTCACATTGCTACTCACATGCAAAAGTCCATAAAGCTCTCGTCCTCCACGGAGCTTGACGAAAACGTTCTCGTTGAGAGAAAGACCAATGAGATCAAGGGGCTCAGAGCCGCCTGAAGTGTCGACGTCGGTCATTGTGATGTGTGGTGTGTCTGTCGATAGATGCTGATTAGTGTCTGAGATGGTGAGAGTATGGGGTTAGGGTAGGTTGGGAGGAGTGTAGAGGTGGCAGCTGGATGTGCAGAAGACGATGTGGTATTGGTATGATAGGAGGTAGTGGTTGCAACAGGGGATGTCGTTAGTGTAACTGATCTCTTAATAGGTGTCTAGTATGTCGCATGGTGGTCGGTCTATATAGCGTCAACACCGTTTCAGGTGACTGTAAGTATAGCACTAGTAGTGGGTAGAAATGTGAGTGGGTATAACTACATACTGTACCAGTAGAGAGAGAATATGGTGCCGAACATCACAAGGAAGAGGGACCATCATGTTTTGGAAGTCCTGACATTGAAAGAAGTCAGATGTTAAGGACTTGACATCTTTTTAATGAACAATTAGGTGCCCTGAAGACCATTTCTATTACTGATCCTCTCTACACGCGTCACATGACATGAAACCCTATTCTGCTAGCACCTACCGAGCGAAATTTGGGAGGTGAAATCCTGTGGGAGAATAAAGTTCCAGATTCCCAAGCGATTTTTTCAACTGACGACTGTATCCAACAGAACATACACAACCATGATCCGATCGCTACACACATCGGCTGTTCGACAGGGTCGTAAGAAGTGGCCCAAGCCGCTGCCCGGCTCCGTGACCGGCAACGAGTTTGTCAAAAAGCTGGAGCTCAAGGCCCCTATTGCGCCTGCTCTGGACAATATCGAGGTACCCGATTCGCATCCTCTGTGGCAGTTTTTTTGCAAGGACAAGAAAATTGTACGGGATCAGCGGAGCTTTGACAGCAGCACGCGACCCTGGAGTGTGGCCGAGCTGCGACGAAAGTCGTTTGAGGATCTCCATGCTCTGTGGTACGTGTGTCTCAAGGAGCGAAACATTCTTCTGAAGGAGGAACGAGTCACCACCCGAATGCACTTTGAGAACCAGAACGGTGGTTACAGAAGCGAGCATGACCGAGTCGGCGAAACCATGGTCAACATTCGACACGTACTGGCCGAGCGATACAGAGCGTTTGAGGAGGTCCAGCAGGTGCTTCCCGAGGTGCGAGCCCAGGCCAACGCCGAATTTGACGAAAAGTACGTCACTGCTGACGCCGTCTACGACAGCGAGCTGTCTCTGGAGCTCGAGCGACACCTTGTCGCCTACTACGGCTTCTCCACCGACCCCCGAGCCAACGCTGGCGTGCAGGTGGACGAGAAGATTATCGAGGCCGTCAAGTACGGTGCCAAGCTCAAGTACGAGCGATACAGCGGAGCCACCGACGAGAACGGCAATCCCATTGCCAACCACGGCTTTGTGCACCAGCCCAAGCGAGACATTTTTGAGCAGTACCTCATGTTCCTGGCTAATGACACCACCGAGGGAGTCGCCGAGGCCCTCAGCTACATCAAACAGTACCGAGAGTCCAACCCTCTGCCCGTGGCTCCCTGGAACGCCATCCGGGTGCTGCAACATCTTGTGGAGGAGAAGATGGGCGCCGCCGCCGTGTTTGAGGAGGCTCTGAAGAACAAAAAGTTGGATCTGTCCGAGCAGGACATTCTGGAGAACATTCCTGCCCAGTTCCTTAACAAGCTCCCCAAGGAGTGATGTATATAAGAGTCATGTATATAGTAACGATATGATAACAGATAGTGGGTAGTGTGTATGAGTGGGAGTAAATGTTGTATATGGGTACAACTGTACTACTGACGATAGTGTACAATTCATGAGTGTTACGGCTGATGAGAATGCTGTGTAGCCTGTCTGAGCGTACAAAGCCTTTCATGGAAGAGGATGTAACTACGGTTACCTCAACCTCCATTACAGTATGTACTTGTAGATCGAAACCATCTCCACTACGAGTACATTACAGTACATTACAGTATTGTCTGTCCAAAAGTACCCTACGCAAGTATTGGTTCATCATGACTTACTGAAATTAGTCATCAAATCGTCAAATGCAAATATATACAGTCTCTGAGTGGTAGAGGATTGCAATGGAGCTTGTCGCTTCTAACCACGGCTCGTTACGCTCTCCGCAGTTAGCCCTCAACAACATCATCAACATACCCCAACTTTTCCTTCCGGGCCTCTCGTCCTCCGTCAGGAATAGCTCCAAAACGGTTAAATGGCCACAGCACCTTGGGACACTTGCCATGCATGAGACCGAGTGACACTGGACCGAAGTTGTTGGAGTCGAACGAATGGATGTTGTCGCCCTCGACCCACACGTGGTTAAAGGGCACAAAGCACGTCTTTTGCGGGTACGGGTGGCGGGTCACAATCTCGTCGCCTCCCACTCCAAGAATCCGCTTGCACAAAAACTTATCCGGATCCATGGGGTTTCGCAGCAGCACCACGTCTCCGACCTTGAGGTAACCGGGCTGTTTGATTAGGAATTTCTGCAACAGCACAATGTCACGCTTGCCAAGATTTGAGTCGGGGTTCAGAGCAGGGGTCATGCTGTTGCCGCTGATATGGCCGAGAAAGTAGGCGTGGTCCAGAAAACATATTGCCACAGGGATCCATGTTGACCAGATGAACAATCTCATAGCCGGTTTCTGGCGCAGTGCCGCCCACTTGCGCGACTTTTGCGCAAACCAATCCTGAAAGCCCATGCTGTTGAAAGAATGTGTCGTTCGTGGGTCTGTGCAGTGTGGTGTGTTCAATGTTCCATATGCATGGCGATGGTTTAAAACTGGGAATGAAATTTCCTGGAGTGAGTGAATGCTGGCGGCCAGAGAGTGATACCGATGTTGTAGAGAAGACATGATAACGAGGAAAGATGGATAGAAATTATCACCTTCGGATGCTTACATTGCGCAGAAAGCCAGAACACGTATGTGCTGTGACATCCGAACAATGGGGTATGTTCTGGTAAAACACTCCCTAAACGGATCACTTGCCATAACTTTACAGTATGTACTTTCTTAGTACATCTGCAATTTGAGAAAGAATGAGTGTGCACTAATCTCGGGATCTTAGAGCTATAATCTGGAACTTGGTAATATTTAATGACTATAAAACGAATTCTACCTAGCCTGTTGGATTTTTCTTTGTCATATTCTTTATCAGTGCCGGGATAGAAGTTTTTTTTTTTTTCTGCATATTTTGAACCCCCACATTACTAGTATCTTTACTAGACTTTCAACTATGACTTTCTCATAGTTGGAAAGTTGCTTAAGAATACAACCAACATTCTTCAGCAAACTTTGAACAGTATTCCCGTGTCAAGATTTTGTCGGATATACTGTGCCCTCTGGCCATTTGCACCCCGTCAACCTCTCTTTCGTGAGAAGCGCAAATACTGTACCTGCCACCAACCTCGTATAAGGTGCCATTTATAGTGGGGGTACAGTTTGCACTTTAAACGAGAGCTCGCTGATGGAGGTGAGTGGTAGAGAATCACTCTCTCAATAAGGAGGTCACATAAGTTGTCAAGTTCTACAAGTAGTTTCTGCAAGTAGTTCGTCACAACCAAAGGTATGCACTACCGTCATAAAATGTCACTGTCTCTGTCGATGGCAGTCAGTCATCTCCTGGTAACGAGCCAAGGTTCAACCGCCAGTCTTAACTCCGTTGCGGCTTGCTCAAAGTTCAGGAGCCGTGTCGGCTGGGGTTTTACCCCGGCATTGATGCATAAGAAGTATTATAGCGAATTTGAGAACAGCTTATATGAGGAACAGAGTCGATACTGCGATATGTGACCTTGTAAGTTCATATAGTAACTTGGTTTCACTTCATCACACTTATTGCAACACATTTGCCTGGTCTCCCACACAGGCTAGTACAACTGTAGCGAATTTACATTTGCAGCATTTATGCACAACAGGCACAAAGCAGCATGACTATTAAAATGTAGATCCATCCGTTCGGTATGGTATAACTCTTGCAAGAACATACACGACTGCCCAGAGCTTTATTATTTCTATTTCAGAGACACACAGAGACACAGAAACACAGAAACACTGACGGCGGCTCTCCAACTACTTGCTCTTCAACTCTCTTCTACGCGCATACTCAACAAAACTCCGATACAAGGCCGACCGGAACAGAATGGGAAAACTTGTCGACAAGTTGATGAAGGTCATAAACTTCTTGATCTCACAGTGGTTCATTATAGGCATGGGAGTAGCGGTTGCCATCGCATATGCCGCCCCGAACTACGCGAGATCAGGAGGTATGATCCGGTCAGATATTACCATCGAGTATCTGGCAGTAGCCGCTATTTTCCTCATTTCGGGGCTCAGCATGCCCTCTAGAACCCTGCTCAAGGAGCTGGGCAACTGGCGAGCACACTTAATAACACAAGGGCTATCATTTCTGGTCACACCTGCTCTCATGTTTGGTTTCGTTAAGGCTATCTACGCGGCTGACGATCCACGAATCGATAAATACGTGCTTGTGGGCATGATTATTTGCGGTTGCACACCCACAACGGTGTCGTCTAACGTCGTCATGACTAGAAATGCCGGGGGAAACGACTCGCTGTCGTTGTTGGAAGTCACTATTGGAAATGTCATGGGTGCATTCGTTTCTCCTGCTCTTCTGCAGCTCTATCTTTCTGACTCGACGGGTTTCGGGTTTGGTAACCCCGCGAAGGACTCGTCTATGACGGAACTTTACCGACGAGTCATGAAACAGCTTGGTTTGTCGCTCTTCGTGCCTCTGTTCGTGGGACAGGTAGTACAGAACGTGTTCCCCACAAAGACCAAATGGGTAGTCACCAAGTTCAAACTGGCCAAGCTTGGAACTTTTTGTCTTCTGCTGCTCATATGGGCCACCTTCTCAACTTCCTTCTACGACAACGCGTTTGAGTCTGTGCCCAAAGCCACCATGATCATGGTTCCGTTCTTCAACATTGGCATCTACCTGTTGTTCACCGTCATTTGCTTTGCCTGTGCTAGATCACCAATTCCCAGACTTCTAGCACCCCATCCACCCACAGAGGTTTCCTCCAGACCCTACAAACTGCTTCATCGGTTCATTTCGGGTTTTTACTTCAACAAGAGAAACACCGTCGCTATCATGCTCTGCGGAGCAGCAAAGACAGTCGCTCTGGGTGTCCCCCTCATCAACGCACAATACGGATCAGGTAGTTCTCTTGTAGGTCGCGTCTCAATCCCTCTGACCCTCTTTCAGGGAGAGCAGATTCTCACTGCTCAGTTGCTGGTCCCCATTTTCAAACGGTGGATTGGAGACGAAGGAAAGGAGCCTGAAAACGAGTTTGATGACATAACAGTCAACTCCAAGTCTAGTAACGACCTCGAAAAAGCTATGCCGGCCATCACTGCTGCTCCAGTATCTTCACCTCCAGCAGGAAAGGACAAATCCGCCGTTACAAGTACCGCAGTAGATACTAACACGACAGGCACACATACAAGCGACTTTATTTTCGAGTCGGAATCTAATCCTGATAAAATCAGACAGGATGAAGAAGTAGAGGCTAAAATGTGATCTACTCCTCGCCAGCCCTTATTTATTTACACCATGCACATACAGTAATATGAATTCTACACGATAGTTATTACTGCGAAACAATCTGTGGTACAAGTACTTGTACTCGTATCAACCCTACCATTGTAGCTACTTGTATTATTCCTATCCAATTATTACTTTACATTCCTTCACTTTACATGACATCCGTTAGTGTTAAATATCCCACACGGACACGGGACCCACCTCATTATACTCTTGTCGCGAAATGTAGGCACCCTCGATGTTAGTGCCGAAAATCTGCTTGGCACCAATCTGGGCACCAAGGAATGCGGCTCGCTCCAGCTTGGAGCTCTTCCACTCGCTGAAATACTCAGACATCTTGGCCAGCCGCATGGACGTCGGTGCCTGGCCATGGCCAATCTGTGTCTGCAGCGCCTGGCTGTACAGAGGGTTGATGGGCGTTGCGCCGCCTGTGGTGGCTCCTCCGACCGTGGGGGTGTTTCGTCCACTGGTGTTGAAATTGGAGGGCAGCTCCGAATAGGTGGACTGTCGGGCAACCAGGAACTTGTTGGTCAGCGACGCCATGATGGCCTCCTTGAATCCGTGGATACCAGAAATGCCGCCAGCGATGATGATATTGTTCCAGATGGGCTGCCGCTTGGAGAATTCGTCCACAAACGAAATGGACAAGTCGGTCTCTTCGGTGATGGCCTCGATCAGCTCCTCAGTGCCGTGGAATCGCTCCTGGCCAACCGTGTGTTCCACTCCATCGTCGTCCACAAAGGTGTTTGTGTTCTTTTCCGAGTTGGGGATCTCTGTTTCCTTCTTCTTGTTCTTTTCCCGCTCGGCAAGGATCTCTCGTGTTTTTCCAGATGCCACAATGGCGGCCACGTCGATTGACGTCTCCTCGTCTCTATCAGGGGCGTCGGGCTGGTTCATGGCCGACCACAAGTTCTTGGCATCCTTGTGCAGCACCTCGTAGATATCAGACTTGAGCAGTGCTTCAATCTGGGCAGGTGTGAGTTCGGGCAGCTTGGCCGCAAGTTTCTTCTTGACGCTACTGGCACCCATGGGGATGACGATCTGGGCGGGTTCGACGATGGTGAAGTCCGTCATGGGCGTCAGAGTGGTCATGTCCTCTCCGACGTCAATGATAAATGCGTCGGGCGAGTTGTAAGCGTAGGTGAGACACACGGCCTCGGGGATGGCGGCGAACGCAGGGAAGTTCATCTCTTCAAACACGTACTGAGTCACGTGCTCCAGCTGCAGACGGGTCCACAAGGTAGACGACACCAGAAACAAAGCAGAGCCGGCCAGAGGAATTTCGGGCTTGGTCTTCTGCATCGTCTGGGTAATCAACTGCAGCAGGTACTCAAAGGCTGGCAGGTCGACAATCTTGCCCTCCTTGAGCGGCCAAACGGCGTTGGCTTCATCTCCAGTGCTCGAAAAGAACGGCTTGTTGGAGCCGTCAGGATTGGGCACTCTGTAGATAACAGAAGGAACCTTGGCCTGGGCCTGGGTCAAGCTCTCAGCCAGCCCAAACTGCGCCTGGGTAGTCTTGGACCCAATGCTCACCACCAGGATGTTTTCGTCTCTGTACTGGACCATTGATGTGTATGTCGTGGGTGGTGGAGACTCGACTGTAGATGGTGGTGTGCGCGTCTGGGACTTGTGAACTTTAATTGAGCATTACCGAAAAATGACACATTCGTGGGCTGTAGTGGTGGCGCTTTCATAATACTATTATAAGGAGCAAGTATCGATGGTCGATTGAGAAATGTTGCATCGGTGTCACATTTGAATCATTGTCATCAAACAGTTCAATTTATCACGTCCTCCACACATCTTACCATCCACCTCCTTCGTTCATCAGGACATGTGTGTCAGTGAGAGCTGCAGTTCGAGCCCCACCATTTCCATTTAATACCGCTTTTGGAAAATACGGAGTAATGGCCTATCAATCCCGGATCTGAGACTTTGGCGCTAATATCTGAGATTGGGAAATACTACAAGTAGCGAGTTAACTACTAAAGCTCTTAGTGACGAGAAAAGGTGTTAAATACTGTATTACAGTACATAAGTACAGTACATCCAGTACAGGTGCTTCTGTCTTTGGTCGCATTGATGTAGGACTTCAATATAATTTGTAGTCCGATTAGGTATGACGGCAGCTATAACCCCATATTGTCTCAACGTACATTCACCAACCAGCTCATAATCTCCTCTCGTTCAATAAATCACATATTATACTATACAACCTGCTGTCGTGCTATTGCGACAGAGTCTCTTTTTCCTTCTCCAGCTGAAGAATATACTCCTTGGTCTTCTGCACCTGCTGGTACACCGTTTCCAGACCCGCGGTGAGTCGGTCCAGCTCCTCGGCCTCTGTTTGCAACGAGTACGACTTACTGGGATCGTTGGGATCCGACTTTGCCGGCAGCAGAGCGCCAGGCCTAGATGTGAGCAGTTCGAACATCTGTTCTGACGGTTCGTTGAACACCAGCTCGTCGTACACGTATGAGTCAACTGGTTGCGGGACATTCGTGTTCTCCTCATCCTCATTGGCGTTAGGGGCTCCTCCTGGTGCTCCGATTTGAGCAGGAATATTGTCCTTCTTGTAGGGATGCAGCTTGAGATGGTGGTACAGTAGAATGTTCTTCTCTCCCATTTCCGTGGGGAAGAAGATCCGGATGCTGATTTCGAACTCTCCCCACCCTGTTTCCGTTACCTCAAAGGGAGGCTCTTCTATCGTTCGAGTGGAGTTGGCGTACGTGTCGTGGAGCTTGAAAACCACCTTTTTGATGAATCCAAGCTCGTGGTTGGTTTCGGGTGTTGGACTTGCCTCCTTCTTGTTAGTTGCAACTGCCAGTTTGTTTTTGACACGTGATATAGACGCCGCATCAGACTTCATATCCAGCACGGGTGACCGCACGAAGATCGTCCAGCTGTGCGTGTGATCGGGCGAGACAGCAGGATTTGCCTTCTCCTCCTCCGTCAGTGGCGTCGCCGTGTTTCCATAGAGAATGGGTCGCGAGATTGCAATGTTCTGGGTTAGCAAAAGCGGGCATGGGTAGAGGGGGTTCTCATGACGTGATGTTTCGACATTTTGCTGTCAATACTTACCTTGATCCGCTTCAGAGAGGCTCCTGCTGCCATCTTGCTTGAGTGTCGGGGTCGTGTTTTGGGCTGGTAAAAGTGATGATGGGTTTGAATCGATATTGAACTCTGTTGTGGTGGTGGGTGGGAGTGTGCATAAGAGAACGTTACAGTAATTGGGACATCTTCTAAACTTACTTCGAATTTTCTTTACCATAAGTGCAATAGTTGACACTAGTCAGAATAAATACTTAATGAATTGTTAATGGTCTAGCTGCCATGTACCTCATACCACCGCTCTGATAAAGAATATCCAGAGTCACCTCTGACACGCTCCTCCGTTTTAAAATACTCAGGACACTCGTATATGTATGGCTTCAGACTCATTTTGTCCTTCTCGGTCCGGAACAGTCCCATATCCGTTCCCACAGAGTGCACAACTGTTGCTCCACATTGCTGAGGCTGAAAGGTCTGCCAAGTGAAAGCCCCGCCCACAGATACTCCATGTAAATTATCAAGGCGTTCTCTAAGTGCAAGCCCATCGTCGGGACTGCTGATGAACATTGAAGCTGCCAAGGCATTGGACTTGGGATGCCACTGAACATCACGGATAAGAGAAGATAAAGAAGCACGCGCACCAATCAGGGCAGGATCAAGGTACCTGTCTGTAGCAGTCTTCAGAGATTGGTGACTATTCAAGCACGTTGCTAGGGTTCCATCGAGCTTCCAAACACGCACTATTCCATCTGCTGAACCACTAGCCACGTACCCTCCACAGGGGCTGAAACGAGACCGGACTAGACTCTTGACAACGAAGGCTCCGGAGTAAGTCACCACACTTTCATCAAGAGGATGATCTTCCATACTGGGTGGAAGGTAACTAAGTGTTTCTCTGTAATCGGATCTGATGCGGTACTGGTTGAACTCTGAACGGGAGACATACTCTCCGTTTCGCTGCAGAGATGCTTTTCGAACATCCCAAAGCTTGGATCTTCCATCTTTGGCCGTTGTCAGAACATGTACACCATCTGAATGCACATCACACGATGTAAGACCACTCAAATGACCCACAAATGATCGAATATGTGAGTCCTTGAGGCGTAGATCGAACTGGTCAAGCGTCCCGCTGTCCATTGCTCCAAAAAACACGTTATCGGACCCTGTTGCCCAAGTGGCTTCATTCATGTCGGATAAACTCTTTCTTCGATACATGTATTTTCCAGTTTCTGAATCAATGACGGTATATCCAAGCCGTGCGGACCTTCCAAGTAACATAAGTCGATCGTCAGAACTCCACTTAACCGAAAATGCGGCTGCGTGGCCATAAGTGTTCACTTCCTCAAAGTCGCAGTCTTCCTCATCTTCATCCATATCTCCTGAAATGTACAAACAGCCATCAAATGCTACTGCAGCCCATTTGTTGCATGTATTGGCAAATGCACAGTCAGTGATGGTCCAAGAGTTTGAATGAAGAGGAATGGTTGCCGAGAGATAAGAGGGGACGCCGTCCGTATCAACGTGATACAAAGTGGCTACCGAGTCTTGATTTATTGTGAGATACCGAGAACCATCCGATGAGTAAGCACCGCAGTATGTTCGAGATTCTTCACTCTGGATTACCTTACCAATGGGATTTGGCAGGAAAGAGGCTTTAAACAGACGATTGTGCTGATTACTTCCGGATAGCTCACGCCTGGCTATGTTCTCTCTAATAGACCCCTTTCCGAACAGCTGTTTCTGGGCATGCTTGACACCTCTCGTGTCTCTCAGTGGTTTTCCTTCTCTCGCCTTGAATCCTAACAGCTTCTGTAATCGAGGAGAGATGTATTGACCCCAACTTTTCATGTATTCCTGGCGATGACGGCGTGTCAAGTGACGATGGCCAAGCACAAAGTCGTCAAACTGTCCCTGGTAGACAGGATGATCATCAGGCAAAAGGTCAGGAGGGGTCTTAACACCGAAGAAGTAACCACTTCGTAGCTCGGTGAGAGTGACAAGTCCGTTGGCCAGTTCGGTTGCCGAAATCATTCTCCGTACTAGTGCGGCAGCCTTGTCGTTCTTGATAGCCGATTTGCGGTCTTGGAAGTTCACGTGCCACCAATTATCAGGGAACTCGTCATATCTCAGCAGAGCCTTCACATGAAGAAATAAAGGAGAGAGAGGGTTGTCCAGGAGGCGCAAGTACCACAGGTTCATGCAATTGTAGCCAATCTCCTCCTCAGGGAACTGCCCAGTGTGATTCTTCTGAATGAGCTCGAGGCTGCTGAAGTTCGGATACCCTTCTCCAAAGCTGTACTGATCGTTCTCCAGCGCCATTCCGTAGTCCTCCAACGTCAAATGGCGGCGTCCAAGCCACATGTGGTAAGGACCTAGTCCTCCTTCGGAGTCAAGACCGTTGCCGTTGTAAACATGAGGAATGAAGAGAGACTCGTTGGCATCAGAGAGTATCTCGTGACATTTCTTAACCATGCCTACTAATTCGTCTGTCACGCCGTCTTGAGAGCTCAAAAAAACATGCACATCCTTCCATTCCAGTAGCGGGGCAGCATAGTCGTAAGGTGTGTCTCTGATACGAGCAAGGTGAGGTGGCAGATCTTCTGATGGACACATTGAGAGCAGATAGGCCACGTTTCGGACCACAAATCTTGTGTGTGTGTCGGTTGGGCGCACGCCTAGGCAGGCTCGTTTTCTTTTAGCCATGGTCGATGGTGGCGTTGTATTACTGTATGCAAGAACGGTTATCTCGCTGTCTCACTGCATGTCTCATGTGAAGCTAATCGAGTAGCTAGGTTGATAAGTATTGAGTTAAGTAATTAGTCTACTGTGTAGGTTTTTCCTCAAATATGGATAAAGGGTGTAAAAAGCAGGAAAAAAAGTCGTTGGGTGATTTGTACTCTACTTGTCCCTGTAGCTATCAACGACAGGTGGCGTCACCATAGGAGGTGCAAAAGAGGTTGTTAAAAGATTACAGGCTGTTCCAGAGAATAAAAAGAAAAGCACGCGATGTGTACAAAAAGTGATTTCTGGCAGGATCGAACTGCCGACGTTCTGCGTGTTAAGCAGATGCCATGACCAACTAGACCAAGAAACCAGGAATTTGAAAAATTTAGAAAGATATATGATACTATGTGACTTCGTATTATGTAATCGCTAATGAATCTTTAGAAAAAAAATCCTCGCAGCGCACACCGCAATGATTCAGAAGTGTATGATTTATTGAACGCCAATAACCCGGCTTATTAATTGTAGGTATATAGCTGTAATGAATCATTAGAATAAAAACCAAAATAAATAATAAATAAATAAATAAATAATAAATAAAAAACAATAAAAAAATAATAAAAAACAATAAAAAACAATAAAAAAACAATAAAAAAAAACAATAAAAAAACCGCTTCCCCAGAATTAAATAAGAGCCAGAAAACAACTTAGTTATAAGTTTACTGTACATACTGGGTAATATTCTTGAAGAAATATCATTACTCGTTATATAAATTAGTATCTCTTGCGAGAACGTTTTGATTTTGGGGGTGTGAATCTCGTGATTACCAAGCGAAGGCCTCCTCAAAGTAGTCGACTCGCTTGTTGGTGAAATCAAGAGACAGAGCGACGGCCTTTCTAGTGTCGTCGTTCATGACGGGAGGGCCACAAACCATGACCGAGGTGGTTCCAGCCGCCTGGGACACAATATTGGGGATCTCAGCGCAGAGATCAGGTCGAGAGCCGTAGTTGACTTGAACGGAGCCCATGGAGGAAAGAGACTGAACATCGGAAGCCTTGTCGGAGGCCTCATCAGATGAAGAAGTGTTGATGATGGTCTCCTGGACTCCAACATTCTTCTCGGACATGGTGGTGGTTCCTCCGTTTCGAGAGTGTTGTCGAGTCAAGTACAATCGAACCTCAATGTTCTCGGCAGTCTGCAGGTAGGCAAGCTCTTGGGAGAACCACTTGAGGTACTCGTCATCAGAAACAACCCAGATGAAGACAATGTGCTGCTTGAGGCCTCGCTGGATGGAGTCCATGGCGTAGGCGTAGGTAGCAGTGATACCGATACCTCCAGCCACAAGGATGGAAGTGTCGTACTTGTGGACGGGATGCTGAGAGCCGTAGGGACCGTCCATGAGCACGGGAAGGGTGCACTTGCCATTTTTGTCAAGATAGTTGAAGAGAGAGTTGGTCATACCGTCGTAACACTTGATCAGGAAGGTGATCTTGTTGCCAGCCACAGCCTCGGGAGACTGGTAGATGGTGAAGGGGTGAGACTCCCAGGGCTTTCGGGTGCCCTTGAGACAGTGAAGGTAGACGTGGGCACCAGGGAAGAATTTCCATCGCTGGGAGTAGTCGACCTCGATTCGGACGATTCGAGCCTCTCGGCCAACAATCTGTGCCACTCCTGAGGACTTACCACTCCAAGCCATTCTGACAAGCCGCATAAGTCGGTCGAAGCACCACAGGGCAATGGAAGCGTAAACCCACTGCATCCATCCGAGGTCCTCACAGTGCCACCAGCAGCCTACCACGAACATGACGGCAAAGACAATGTGGATGAAGAGGAAGGCATCGTACCATCGGTGTCGCAGGAAGTAGATGGACTGGATGCAGATGAAAGAGCACAGGATGGTAGCGACAACACCCCATCGCCAGTAGGTTCGAGAGTAGTAGATCTTGAGGGCACCTCGTCGAGCACCAATGACGGTGTAACCGACAGAGTGGATGATTGCGTGGATAGTCATCATTCGAGACACCCATCGGTGGTAGACATTGAAGGTGTCAAAGGACCAGCCAGTGATCCACATCATGATGTTGTTTCGACCTGCGAACAAGAAAATGAGAGGCAGCTGGGTGAAGGCCATGATTCCAGATCGATCAGAAACATATCGGGCGAGCTGGTCGGACTTGGTCTTGAAAGAACTGTTGGGGGTGAAGAGATCGTAGCAGATGCACATGAAGATGATGTTCAAGGCGATATAGACAAAGACCACGAAAGACTGGACTCGAGTAGGAGTAGCCATCTGGATGATCTTAAAGTCCATGGGGGAGGAGTGCTTGTGTCCAAAGGTAGCGGGCAGAGAAAACCACTGTCGGAAAGTCTTGACGGGTCTCTGGGTCAGGCCAAAGATAGTCTGGGGGAAAGCCTTGTAGACAAAGTTGATGACGGCTCCAATGAGAATGACGAGGGCGAACCAGGCGACCAGACCGGCTCCAAAGTAGGTGCCGGAGTCCAGTTGCCATTTGAACTCCTTACCAGATCTGTAGGACAGACTGTAGGCGGAGTGGTTGAACTCCACAGGAGCTCTGTTGATGGCCGTGAAGTTAGCATCGTGGTTGATGTAGGGAGTGGCATTAGCAGCGAAGCCTCGCAAGTCCTCATGGGTAAAGTGAACATCGACATTGTCGCAGTTCTTGATGAGGAAATCAAAGGCCTGGTCTTGGACATGCTCGTGCTCCTCAAACTGCTCAACACAGTGGGTGTAGGTGCCGAGCCAAGGCTGGTACTTGCAGTACTTGATGTAGGTCATACCTCGGCCCGTCTTTCCCACATCCCAAGTGACCTGGTTGGTCAGACTGTTACAGGCAGAGTTGACATGGTAGCCAGCGTTGGCCAGAGTGTCTCTTGCTGCCTCAGTGGCCGCAGCCAGCAGAAGAAGAGATGTGAACTTCATTGATCGGCTTGATCTTGGATCTTGATTATCAGGACTCGGGGACTACGACGGTATTTATGCTACGCTCATGCCGATTGATTTTTCTGATTGATTATTTTGATTTTGCATTCCCACAATGAGAAAAATCAGACAACGATCGTCCTGATTTTTTTGATACAACAAGCTTGCAGCTTACCTCTACAGGTTAACCTTGTGCTGGTCTTTCTTTTGGAGAACAAGGGGGATTTATCTGATCAGAGAGAAGTGAGATATGGGCTAGCTTGGGGGTCCTGTTGAGATCCGCAACCTCTGGCCCTAGGACCTCCTGAATCTCGAAACCTGGCACCATCGCCAAAATGCTCTTATTTGAGCACATTTATCGCGGTCCCGGGTTTCTAATCTGCCCAAATTGACAGCAACTGCATCTCTCCTCAAGGGAGTCGCTGTGCATACTGTGCCTGTGCTGTACCTGGAGCCAATATTTTTCGGGGCTCACTCCCGACTCAGGGAGTCTTGGCGAAACCATGTGCCTGGAATATGTCGCTTGAGAATGTGTTTCTCAAGAGAGATGGAGAAGGTGGAACGATAATAGAAAGATATCGAAAAGATCTTCTGAGAGATACATATTCTACACTCCCCGAGCTCATTTCACGTCCAAACCATCGACTAGTCAAACGCCGAAACGCCGAAAGATGGAAACCCCAAATGATCTGATACTCATCATCTCTCCCAAAATTAACGCGGTGACGCAACTCATTAACCGAGTTCCTCCCCTATTGATTGGGACGCGCAAATTCAAAGAGCTAAGATCCAATTCTATTTTTCTTCTTGTCCCGCGTATTCCTTTTTTTTTCGTTTTCACTACACTTTTGATTTTTCGACACTCGGTCGCTGCCAATCATTGGCTCCTACTCGTATACCACCGCCGGGCTAGTTTCTCTCCGCCAAGACTAAGGGTGTATCAAAGTTTGGCTCCAATAGAGTTGTGCCGTTGTTCTCAGTTTGGGTTGCTTAGTCGAGAAATTTTTATCTGATCTTCCCTCGGGTTGATCAGACGAGGGCATTGGGGCGAATTTTGGTGTAGTCCGTGTCTTCCTTGGGCCCAATTTGATTGGATTTAGTTTTGAAATTTATTGTTAGGTTAAAAAAAAACCGGCAAATCACCAAATGAGCAAATAAGTCGGTCTATGAGACGTCCCCAGTCCCCTGTATCAGTGTGAAAAAAATCTGATCTTCACGCGACAAAGAAAGACGCTCTTCAATATGCACGGCTAAACACTGGCTACGACACACAAAGAAGAGCAAACAAAGACGGAAATGAGGACACAGCCAGCCGGCTTGAGCCGTGGGCATTGGACGGTCGGCTAAAGCACTGAGACTTGCCGGTCAGCGAGGATTTTCTTATCCAACTTGGCCCTCTTGGCTTGCTGAGAATCCCAAAGGTTGACCTGCTTGGCGGTCGTATTGCCTCCCGGCGGCGATGAAAAGTATCACAATTGGACTTAGATACAGATATAGTGCTCGTGCTGACGGCTGCTGGACCCTCGAACTCTAGATGCTGTAGACAGATAACCACACACGGCTGCCATGATGGCAAGGCATGTGGTAGGGTACGATAGTACGTGATCAGATAGAGCGATGGTATCCGGATTCCGCTTCTTTGGCTCTTTCCTGTCGTATACCATGAGTATATTGGATGCTAGGTTAGATTATCACGATAATCAATTTCGGGGATACATTGAAAGACGAATGCTGACGTGTTTTCCCCGACCTTAGCCCCGTTGAGTGTGATTATCACCACCACCGACCCGGACAAAACTCTCCGAAAGCAAAGCAGTCTCACTCGGACGAGATAATCTTCAGCAAAATTCCTTCTCATGCATGGGCTGTAGAAGGAGGGGCACCCGTCCACGCATTTGGTGCAGGTAGTCCCCGGTTGTACAGCGAGAGGAATTGCAACAAGAGTTCCTGTGATATCAATCGCCACAGACCAATTGAAGGCTGCTCCATTGCTCTCATCGTCTATTCACGACAGGGATCCACTTCTAGGCTAACACGACTACTGTACTTGTAGGTTCTGAGAATCAGAGCTTGATCCGAGCTGATTATTTTGATCACTTTAGCGCCATATATGAGTAAGACATGTATATAAAATTTTCAGACTCGAATAAGCTAGTTGCCAAGACGTGGCGTGTAGCGAAATGACTCTTAGCTGGGGTTGATGGCCTTCAGTATAAATCACGGTTAGAATTATCTGGCTAAAAAGGTGGAATGAAACGAGATCAACAGGTGCCATGGATTTAATTTGGGCAGTACACGGTCTCGTGCCAACGCACATGACCCAAAACCGCAGCAGCATGCGACACTGTTCGAAGATCATGTTCATCAGGGCTGTATGGTCACGTGAAGAGGTGTGTAGGGGAGCAATATTGGCTTCACTGCAGAAGTAAGTTGGAACGTAAAATAAACCTTGGTTTCCGGTTTTAGTTGTACAAGCGACTTTAATCTTAATGTTGGCTTGGTTTCTTACAGTCCCACGAGAACTAGAAAGAAAGGTGAGGCGCGCTTTGAACAAAAGAATCCCGATACAACGTCCTGTGTGAGACTGCGTGTGTCCAATATCTTGATTTTGTTGCTTTTTCACTTGCTTGATACCCTGCGTTTATTATCCAATCCAATGAGTCTCACCGTGTCAGCACAAGACGCTTCAGCTGCTCCATATGACGCCCAGTTGTACGTGGCAATAGACTGTGAATTTGTGGGAGTGGGTCCGGAGGGGGCCCACGACCAGCTTGCTCGAGTCTCACTAGTCGATTACTTTGGCTCCGTGCTGCTGGATGTGTTTGTGCAGGGACCACGGCCTGTTGTCGACTACCGAACTGAGGTGAGCGGTATTACCCCGGAGCTGGTTCAGGAGGGAGTTGAGTTCAATGCTGCCCGACTCGCCGTGGTCAAACTTATTGACGGTAAGGTCTTGGTTGGCCATTCCATCAAGCACGACCTGCTAGTTCTGCAGATCAACTGGAAGAAGTACTCGTTGCGAGACAGCCAGGATCACCGACCTTTTTTACGAAGAGATCGACCTCAGAAACTAAAGTATCTTGCTCGCGGAATTGGTTTGTCCATTCAGTCAGGAGAACACTCTTCTGTGGAAGACGCTCAGGCCGTTATGGCCGTGTACAGGGCACACAAAGATGAGATGGACCGTTGCTGTGATCATTACAATACCTGAGCTCAACAGCAACTCTGATGGCACTCGAGCGGCGGGAACTACATGCTACCTAAAGTGCAAATTACTTGAAACATTGCATATGTATGTACGTACGTTACACAGGTGTCATGTCCACATGTAGTGTACAAAGTACTGGTACGTGGTGGGGGGCTGGACGGTCCTGCATCGAGAACCCTTGTGGGGACAAAGAGCAATGGTCGAGAGATTAATGGTGCCATGCCAAGAGTCTTGGTCGGACTGAACGACCGCGGTTATCGGGTTCAGCGTTACTGGATGTTGTCAATGGTAGCCACCATCGGAGTTATGGAATCCATGGTGAAGCTGAATAGATGATATTTGTACATACACTACTCAAAGGCAAGGGTAGACTTATTTGCGATAGGTGGCATCTCAAGTACAAGTATTCGGCTTAGTTATTATAACTACAGTAGTAGATGTATCATTGTCCAGGGCATCTTGTTGGAAATGAGGGTATTATGGTGGTAGAAGATGTCAGAAAGAGAAAGACGTGATTGGTTACACTAAATGTACGTCTGTTCCGGACTCAACTAGTCCATCGCCTGCCGGAGTGGCTATGGCATGTCTTTGTACTCTTCTCTTTGAGACAGGCCAAATCTGGACCCCAAGGAAGGCAACACTTGTCAACACTTGTGCTGAAGCCGATGTGTCACCATGATAATCGATTTCTTCTAGCATTGAAGGAGCTAGCTGATGGGGCAGATCACCACAGACAGCATAAACAGCGTTGGCAACCATAACCTGTGACTCTTCGTTGTGGAAGCGACTGGAGCTGTGAAACCACACCATGGACTCTTGATAACTTCACTGTGTGCCAGGGTGTCCTTGATACACCATCAGGCATTTTTGTGGCTATCCACGTTGTCTGATGTGTTCATCACATGTTGTGATGTCATTTTTGTCATGACTCAGTGATCCATCGAAACAACCATCGCCTTGGGTTTTTCAGTCAACAACAGTGGGTGGGTTCGTTGTGCACTAAAGGAAATGACAACCAGGCTCAATGCCTAGAACGAGGCCGACAGGGTGTTTCACGCTTCGAAGTTCTTATAGCTGCTATTGCACCGCTCGTCAGGATATCACGACTTTCATTTGTCAGACTGCAAAGACATGTTGTCTGGATTAGCCGGACAGAAACGTCTGAGGTACTTGTAAGATAAAACGAACTTGTACAAGTGTATTCACAAACTGTTTTTCTACTTGTACTTCAGCAAGCACTTCATCAACTCGGTTCATAATCAAATCAATTTATCATCGGATGTCGGCCATCATGTCCTTCAGGTTTTGTAAAAGTCGAAATGGAATTCTTACGAAACAATTGAGACACTTGAACAGACTGCCTATAGGGGATCAACCAAAACACGCAAGTCCGAAAATACTTGTACAAGCACTCGCAAGTGACTGCTCACAGCACGCTTGTAGCAACTTATGACACAAACCCATATATATATCACACCATGAAGTTCCATCCTCATTGCCCAGTACAGCCCTCTTACCAAACACTCCGCTTAGAGTTGTGATGAAAATTCAAATAATATGGCACACGTGTCACGCACGTCGACCTCCTAGACAGTTACAGTTGAATGTACCCAGCTAGGGACGTAGGAACCTGAACACGAATATCACGTGACTGCACATTTTCATTCAAACAATACCAGGTATCACCCCCACTCCCCGCTCCCGTGCCACTGATAAACAATTTCAGGAGAAGCAGCCTAAACACAGCCTAAATCCGACTTAAAACCCACACTTACTTTTATCGTGTGGCCCACCAACGCATGAACGCGGCTGAGCCAAACCTAATCATGAGGGGGGCTGCTACTTGTAGTGACACCAAAACTTGACACATGCACTGCTTATACTGTTAACTTACCAAACCAACAACAATGGGAAACAACTTTTTACTATTTGTTCTGGTTCTACTGCTGTGTGCCTCGTTTGCACATGCCTTTGGAGCTGGAAACATCCCCTCCATCTCGAAAATCGAAGGCCAGAACTTCCGTCATGGAGACATCGAAGACACGCTGGCCATGCTGGCCATGACAGCTGGAGGCGGTCTGTTGTCCAAGTTGCGAGGCGGCAAGAAGTTCGATAAGATGGCCATCAAGCGGGTCTACTTTGGTAACTGGTTGCGAGACTACTCTCAGGCCATCGATATTGCTACTCTCAAGCAGGGTCTCACCTCCGAGCTGCTGACTGCTATTGTCTGGATCCTGGGTATCATGGAGTTTGGCTACGGAACCGGCGAGTTCCAGGTTACTGAAGAGCGTCTTGGTACCTACAGAGCCGACGAGCATATCGATAACCCCAAGGGCTACGGAGAAGGCGAAGATGCTCCACGTCTCGACCGGCGTCTCAGAGGCCCCGTGCAGCCCATCGAGCTGGAAATCGACCCCGAAACCGGCATGAAAAACTACATTTGCAACGAGCGAGGCAACTGGCCCACGTCTTCCGTCTACGTGCGAGACTCGATCCACAAGTGTATTGCTCTGGGACGACAGGGAGGCTCTGAGAACCAGTACGAGGCTCTGCGTTTGCTGGGACAGGCTCTGCACACCCTCGAAGACTTCCCCGCCCATTCCAACTACTGCGAGCTGGTGCTCATGGAGATGGGATTTAACGTCTTCCCCCATGTCGGACGAGACACCCAGATCAACCTTCATGGAAACCGGGTCTACCCTCTGATTACCGGAACCTTTGGCGGTCTCGATTTCGTTCACTCTCTGATTGGAGCTGCCAACGATTCTCTTTCCGAGGTTGAGATTGAAGATGTCAACAACCATGTGGCTGCAGCTGCTGACTCTAAGGTAACCGAGATGCTTAAGGGTTACCTTCGAAAGCTGCCCATCAAGCTGCCCAACATCCCCGACTTCTCCGGTGGCCAGCGTGAGATGTCTGGTGTCGAAATAGCCGACATGATCGACAACTACGAGCGAGATATGCAGACTGATACTCGAGATCTGTACGGCGGTTTTGAGGCCGGTCCTGACTACGCCAGCAGCTACACTGGTTCTTCTCGAGACTTCAGCGACGACCCCAACCAGCTGTCCGGCGACTTCCAGAAGCTCAACATGCAGAACAAGATGAAGATCTCGACCCCCGATCTTTCCAAGATTGACGTCAAGAAGATTGAGCGACGAATTCTGCCTCTGCTCAAGTTCCGAGACGCCATTATGTACGGTCTTGAGAAGGTATTCGACAGCATTCCCGGTCTGTCTTCCCTAACTGAGAAGATCTCCGAGACTATGTCTCTGTTTGTTTTCGGACTCATTTCGCCCATCGTCAAGCCCATGATCGCTGCCGTTACCAAGGGTCTTCATGCTGGTGCTGGAAAGGTTACTTCTGGTGATGATCAGATCGAGGTGTGGAAGAACCCTCGAGCTACCGATCCCACTCACTCTCAGCTCTCAAAGGACCATTTCTCCTTGTATCTTAACGAGCCTGCTGGAAAGGTTGCTGCTGTTATCGTCAAACACGTTGTTCCTCTTGTGGTTGACGCCTGGTCCGATAAATCCATCGACCCCAACTCGGTCACCAACACCATGATGGAGGTCATGCACCACCCATCCATGTGCCGAACTCCTCTGCAACAGCAGATGAAAGAGACTGTGAAGGAGTGGATCAACAACCTTGGCGCGAAGAAGCAAGTCGTTCTGAACGGCCTGTCCCCTGACGGTGTTCTAAACGGCGCCAACAACACTGGCGGTAAAAAGCACGACCAGGGTGATCACAGCGGCTGCTCTCATGCCTCTGGATCTGCCAACCTGTCTGCTTTCATGGCCGGCAAGTTTGGTAAGCAGTCCTACACCACTGGTCAAAGTGATTCCTGGCAGAGTGGAGGAGGAGGCTCCTATAACCAGGGTAGCCAGGGTAACCAGGGCAACCAGGGCAACCAGGGCAACCAAGGTTCTTACAACTCTGGAACTTCAAACCAGGGTGGGATGTACGGTGGCAACAACACCAACTCTGGATACGACAAGCATGACAACAAGCAATCCAAATACGGATCGAGCAGCCAGTCAAACTATGGTTCCAACCAGCAGAGCTCCAACTACGGTTCTGGAAGCAACCAGTCTCAGCACGGTCTCCACAATCAGGCTGACAACAAGTATGGATCTGGTCCCAACAATCGGCCCAACCAACACAGCTCTGATAACAAGTATGGATCCGACAATTACGGCAGCCAGTCTTCCAACAAGTACGGTTCTCAGTCGTCCAAATACGATGACAACAAGTACAGCAACCAGTCTAACTACGGTTCTTCCTCCAACCAGTACGGTTCTCAGTCGAACTCTGGAAAACACCATGGCCGAAAGAACTCCAATGAGTACGGATCTTCTCAGTCCAACCAGCACGGAGCGTCTCAGTCTAATTACGGTTCTTCCAACCAGTACGGTTCTCAGTCGAACTCAGGAAAACACCATGGCCGAAAGAACTCCAACGAGTACGACTCTCAGTCAAACTACGGTTCCAACCAACAGTCTTCAGGTCACAGCAACTTCAACCAGCAGTCTACCTACCAGCAGCCTTCTTACGGTGGATCCAACCAGCAGTCTTCATATGGTGGCTCTAACCAGCAGACCTCAAACTACGGCAGCGGCTCTCAACAGTCTTCTTACCCCGGAAGCCAGCAGCAGACTTACGGCGGAAACCAGGGCAGCCAGTACGAATCAAACCAGTCTTCCAACTACGGTTCCTCCAACCAGTACGGCAACCAAGCCAGTCACGGGCAGAGCCAGGGATACAACCAGGGACAGGGCTACGGACAGACCCAGCAGTACGGCCAGCGAGAGATGGGCCAGGACTACAACCAAGGCTACCAGGCCGACCAGGCCGACCAGGGCAGCCAGGGTGGCCAGGGTTACCAGGGTGGCCAGGGCTACTACAACCAGGGTAACCAGGGCTACGATAACCGATACTAGTTGTGTTATTCAGCGATGTATTCATGCAAGTAAACAAATAGGATTTAAATTTTTGACAGGGCTTGCAGTAGATGGAAGTGTACAACAGCGTGCGCCGGTATACATGTACCCATATTTCTTCTTAAGGCTACGAGTAGCGTGGACCAAGTTGCTTCTAGAATCATTGCTTCTAGAACCATTGCTTCTAGAACCAAAGATATTATCGCATGGGTCTACCACTTGTAGTTCGTGGATGGGCTACAGTGTACAAGATATCGAGGATTTATCGGGTGTTAGACGAAAGCAGGGGGTCTAATATCGTATTGATCAAAACAAATCTGAATGATAAGACTTAAGCATGGTTGCAAACCCCCCTATACAGCATTTCCTGTTCTTGATGAGAAGCTAAGATGGGGAAAGACTTACTCTAATAGTTATTACTGTGACAGACTAAGTGAAGAAGCACTTGATCCAGAGTGTACTGTATACTGGGCAATGTCGTAGAGATTCTGATTACCATCGTCACTGCTGTAAATACGATTTCACCGATGATCCGGTGTCTGTATGTGATAAGTACATACTATTAAGGCGAGGGTCTCGGCTCGAGCATCTATACCTGGCAATAGACCGAATGTGCTATTGCATCGTTATAGTGAGACTAGGCTATTGTTACTGTACTACTTGTAGCATCGCGAGCTCCAGAAGGCTACTACAAGTACTACTGTACTCATACCGGTACTTGTAGTTACATTGTTCTAATTGCTGCTCTAGACTGTCCTATGCCGAGATTTGGAAGGTCCATGATAGTTTACCAGTACGAAGGCTCTCGCCGTACAGCGAGGGCCAAGGAATATCTAGAACGGATCGACCTTACCTAATCGGCCGTGGCTATATATGGCAACGTGTTTACTCCACAGCATTAGTCGGACATCATACAGTACAGTGAGAAGAACAGCCTTGCGAAAAAAGCGTTTTTAAGCCGATTCATGTAGGGGCTGCGCATGTGGTTTGCACAGTGTGCAGGCCGAGTGCAGAGTGACGTATAGTGGGATGAGGATGACGAGATGAGAAGGGTGGTACATACTATTCGTCGGAGCGGAAGGTGAAGCTGGACGGTTTGATGGTCATATGGGCTATCGTGGGCTACTTCTGGCTGTCAGTCGTGTGCTTTCGCTCTATATACAGTATAAGGTACAAGTAGGAGTATTTATAGAACAAAACTCTCTTGTGCATATCCTTTGTAGCATTGATTTACTCTTTACTGTATACTATATACCCCATGGGAGGACGACACAGCTGGGTGCAACCGTTTACCAAGAGGGCAAGTACGAGTTTACGAGGCGAAGCGCATCAGGCAGGCAAAGTGGAGATATTTTTAGCCCGTTATCACGGGAGCTAGGGTTGGATGAGCCGGCCAATATCTATAGATGTTCTGATCCAATTAATATCCTGCTAGCATTTGCTTGTATCCCTGTTCCCATCCTATCCCTCTCTGTTGTGGACGTCAACCCACCCCTTGATCAGCCATGTGGCAGGGGCTGGCTCAATGGAACGATAGGAGACACGCATTGAACAAGACCTCCTGGCCTTTTTTTTAGCCCTCCCAAACAGGTGTATTAGAGTTCGGGCTTTGCCAGTGTTTGGGTTTAACTGTGTCGCTGCTAAGTACAAGCCAAAAAAGTTTGCTAAGCCAGGTCTTGTTTCCACAAGTACAAGACGTCTTCTTTGCCACAACCGCTTGCACACAACCACCAACATGTCCAATTACAACCAGTACGGGTGAGTATCCAACGACGAACTGAGGGGGGGTGCGTGGTAGGCGCTCCAGTCCCCGAACAAGTGCTCCAACACCTCGTCGCTCAGTCAGGGGTATGTCGGTCGCGACACAGACAGGGGCACATTGGTGGTGAAGGACCAATGAACATGCTTGGATGACAGTTCAGACGACTATTTCTTTAAGAGATGTGAATTCTGACGAGTCATCCATGTGCTACAGCCAGAATGCTATCAACTCCAGTATTGAGCTCCCGATCAGACGTGTCACAATACAGTGCACCGATAACCCAAGAAGTGACACGACACTTGTCTTAGAGACCCGACTAACGCAGCGACGCGCCAGGAAACAACCCCTACTCGAACCCCGCGGGCGCCAACTCGTACGAGATGGACGCGGTGGGGTCCAACCCCTACGGCATGGACTCCAAGACGTCCTTCAACCCCACCTCCACCAACGAACCCCCCGCATATGGCCGAACAAATGCCCCCCAGGGCGACATGATGGACTTTTTCGAGGAGGTAGATGAAATCAAGAAGAGCATTCTGCAATACGACCAGAACATTGACAGCATCGAGTCGCTGCACAAGCGGTCGCTCAACGAAATTAGCGAGGAGCAGGAAGCCTACACACGGGAGCAGATTGAGTCGCTGGTTGACGAGACCTCCTCTCTGTCGCAGTCTCTCAAGGACCGGATCAAGTCCCTGCAATCGCGATCCACCAGAGACTCTACCAAAAAGACACAGGCCGAGAACCTCAAGCGGCAATTCATGAACTCCATCCAGCGGTACCAGACCGTCGAGGCCACGTTCCGACAGCGATACCGAGAGCGGGCTGAGCGGCAATACCGAATTGTGCGCCCCGAGGCCACTGACGCCGAGGTGCGTTCCGCCATTGACGACGCCCAGGGCGAGCAGATTTTCTCCCAAGCATTGATGACGTCCAACCGACGAGGACAGGCTCAGACGGCCCTTTCCGAGGTTCAGAACCGACACAAGGAGATCCAGAAGATCGAGCAGACCATGTCGGAGCTGGCCCAGCTGTTCCACGACATGGAGTTGCTTGTGGCCGAGCAGGAGGCCCCTGTGCAGCACATTGACAACCAGACCCAGGGCGTGCAGACAGATATCGAGCAGGGTCTCGGGCACACCAACAAGGCCGTCATCAAGGCCCGAGCCTACCGAAAGAAGAAGTGGTGGTGTCTGCTCATTTGTTTCATCATTGTGGCTCTCGCCGTTGGTCTGGGTGTCGGTATCCCTGTAGCCAACGCTGCCAACAAGAACTAGTCTGGGTGTTATGTAATATTTAATCAGTAATAGGTGGATATCTATGGAGTGTACAGTATAATTAGATGAGTAATATACCAGTACATCCTTGTAGTAAGGTACGTACCGTAGAACGCACGAGTAGTAGAGTGGACTCGCTGTTGATAATAATCAGCACAAAACTTGTAGGGAGTCTTCGAGAACATCAGTATCACAGCTTTTTCACGTCCTCAGTCTACTAGGTCGCGCTTCCTGTTCCATGGACCTTTGATCTGGAAGTCAAAAAAACGCGAAGATCATCTTGATCATCTTCTTTGAATACGAAGATCAAGGGGTAAGTAAGTAGGCTGATCTCAGAAGACAGGCGCAGTGCTTTTTCTTTGGCCACACTACAAGTAGGAGTCTGCGTTTAGGTCTCTTTACCGTATTGTACATGTGCCTGCCTGTTGGCGGCCTTGTCTCGCGGTTGACATCTCAGACCCACGCTATAGCATGCATGAAACAGCGCAGTAAACGACCAAACAATAGAAAACAGGTGAAGAGGGACGCGTGGTCATATGATGATAACATCATGTGATTTTTGCAGTCACATGACACCATACGCAGGCGTAATTGTATCGCGTGATACACTTATTTACTCGGCTGTAACAGTATAAGTATAAGTAGTATGACTTGTACACTCGCACGCTTGGTTTCTTTTATCCTAAGGACAGCCGTGTCATAATACTGTAATTAGCAGCCGCATGTGGCAGCTCACGTTTTGAGCGTTAGCGTGGTTCAGTTGGGAGGGAGACACCAAGCTTTTTACATGACGCGTTGTTGCTGGGTTCCCTATTGGGAGGAGACCGTGTCCGATTGAGTGTTTGGGTTTGGGTTGGGAGGAGTGGTTGCCCCCGCAACGGGCAAGGGATGGGTGCATCAAAACCAAAACGTTTGCAACATGGCAAATTGTTAAGTGACGCAGCATTATCAGATACCCATGGTCGACTTAAATCATTACCAGAAGCTGGAGAAAGTGGGAGAGGGTGAGTATTTGGGTATCGGGAGCGGTTGCATGCTTGTTTGGGATCGCAGAGATGTACAACTGGAGCGGTTTGTTTACGGCCACTGCTGTCAGTATGATGTGTGGTTGGAGTGTTTGTTGACTTGTGAAGAGGCTGTGGAGGAACTTGGGTGTGATGATGAAGACCTTAGTTGTGTGGCACATGGTGTTGAGCGTTGATATGACTCTGGGACAGTACGGTGTATTCGTGTAGGTCTACATCATCCCGTTACCTCGAGCATCGCAAAAGCGCCTGTGAGCTCTACAAGACCCACACATGACGAGATACAAGGAAGAACTTCATGACACGTTACGGCGCGTGTCTACACGAGCAGTTCTGAAAAATCCACAGCACCGCATCTATTCGTACTAACTCAGGAACATACGGAGTGGTATACAAGGCACGAGATACTCTCAACAATAACCGTTTGGTGGCCTTGAAGAAGATCCGACTGGAAGCCGAGGACGAGGGAGTGCCTTCCACAGCCATTCGAGAAATCTCACTGCTCAAGGAAATGCGAAACGACAACATTGTGTCGCTCTACAACATTGTCCACTCCGACTCACACAAGCTCTACCTGGTGTTTGAGTTCCTCGACCTGGATCTCAAAAAGTACATGGAGAGCATTTCGCCCGGCGTAGGTCTCGGCGCCGACATGGTCAAGAAGTTCATGAACCAGCTCATTTTGGGAACCCGATACTGCCACGCACACAGAATCCTGCATCGGGATCTCAAGCCCCAGAACCTGCTCATCGACCGGGAGGGTAACCTCAAGCTGGCCGACTTTGGTCTGGCCCGGGCCTTTGGTGTGCCTCTCAGAACCTATACCCACGAGGTTGTCACACTTTGGTACCGAGCTCCTGAGATTCTTCTGGGAGGTCGACAATACTCCACTGGTGTGGACATGTGGTCCATTGGCTGTATCTTTGCCGAGATGGTGACCCGAAAGCCCCTGTTCCCCGGAGACTCGGAGATTGACGAGATCTTCAAGATTTTCAGACTGCTGGGCACCCCCACCGAGGAGACCTGGCCCGGCGTGACAGCTCTTCCCGACTACAAGCCCACATTCCCCCAGTGGAGCCGCAAAGACATTGGTCGAACAGTGACTCCATTGGATCACGAGGGTCTCGATCTGCTGGAGCATCTGCTGGCATACGATCCTGCATGCCGAATCTCGGCCAAGCGGGCTGCCGACCACGCCTACTTTGACGTGGGAACCAACATGAAGAGTGGATATAACGCTGCTGCAGGTCCGGGGCTCATGATGTCCACTAGAGCATAATTGGAGACGGAGGAGAAAGGTCTATGAACGAGATTGATATTACACTTGAGAAGGATTCTATAATGATTACATGGCATATTAGTGGTTGCGTGGAGTGTAGGCATGGCATGTACTGCAAATTGTATCGTCGATTGTAGTGGTGCCGATACGATTACTGGCCAAGCTTGTACGGTAGCCATTCTCCATGGTGTCTCGACAGCATGAGTACAACTAGTGCATGTGTCAGACGCGTGTCTTTACTTGGATACTTTTGTATAGAAGCTACAATGGGACAGTACAGTATCGTACCTTGAGACTGAGCTGACAGGCTTGTATTCTATTATGGATACAGCCGTGCGAGTATGAGTGAGTTGTATATACAGTAAGAAGCATAGCCGTGCGTAAGAGCATTTGTTTTACAGTTAAATTGTATGAGGGACATCCCTTCTTAGGATCATGATGAGGTGGGCAATTATAGATTGAGAAGGGCATGTTTGCAGCTCTACTAGCTACTTGTAAAGATAGTGTGAATATACCTGTACACGTAGGACGATATGGGTAGATAACCAAAATAAAACAACAAAAAAAACTTCAGGATGTTACTCTCGCTAATGCTTTCTTTTTGAGTGGGCTTCATCTTCCAACGTGGGTCAGAACTTTCCGTCATTGAAATGTCTCATTGTCATGTAACGGCCCTGAGTGTAATCAATGTAGGAACCCGTGAAGGAAGGGCTTAGAGAGCTGTCTGAAACGAACCAATGACAGTTCCACTAATAGCAACTCAGACAGTGCAAATATAAGCACAAGTATTGTACTGTAGTCATGATTTAGCGTCGATGGGTTTAGTCGAAAATTGTTTTTAGTCCCTAGTTATTCCGCCATACCCACCCCAACGGTTCACTTTATCCTTCTTTGACAACAGATTAAGCTAATGTAGTATTTTATTATCTACGATTGTCCCTGGGTGGGTAATAAAAGAATTGTATCTTGTAAGATAGCTATGAAAAAAGGGGTGTTGGAGATGCGACAATGACACCATTCTCAAGTGCATGCACGTGACTAGGGCCGTTTTACCCCTCCTTTATGCATTCCCAGGTTATACGAGGATAAAACACAAGCACGTTGGCTGAGGGCAATCTACGGTACGAGTACATACTGTACAAGGAAGAGCGTATCTCTCGCATCTTAGGTTGGGTGGGGAGCAAGGAGGGTAGTTTTGGTGCAATTGAGTGACTTGTATAGCTTCTAGCTGATGGGTTGGTTCCTTACCATCTGCCATCAAGTCTTGTTACCGAACCTCCCACATGAGTCATGCTTCCCCTCTATGCTCAACAGCGATGTGGCCTCACTAGCTCAATATCGTTGAGAAGCCCCGCAGACACGAGTCTGGCGAGCTAGACGAAAGTTACGACACGCATACTCTCCCGTCGAAGGTTCGTTGGGCCCAGCCTCAACAACTGTCACGGAAAAACTGAGGTGGTTATTGTTGCCAGACAAGGACCCGGTCTTCATCTCTCTCTATTTTGAGTGACATTGTCCCTGACCACTGTGTATAAGCTCAATGGGGCTACTTGTAGTGTGGTTAGCCCGTCACTAATGAGGCCGAAATGGAGGTGCATCAAACATCTCTGAAATGCTGCTTCCAACATAAAAAAGCAATGTCATGTGGACTACAGCAGTCTCGTCGCCTCAACCCCTCCTTCTCCTCACACAGCCCACATCCCAGGACTCCAAACAAACCGCCTCAACACAGCGTCCCCTAATCATCAACAGTCATCTACCCTCCACCCTACACGCCCACGTACTCTAATCAACCACTTAAACTTCAAGCCCAAACTTTGGGATCTGATACTGTCAAAACCCTGTGTGTTGTCCATTGGTGTATAAGGAAGTATATATACCGGACTCTCTCCCTGCACTCGCCATTTCCCTCTCCTCCGACACACTACGACTAACACAATGGGTGCTGCTAACCTCAACCAAGGCGAAATCCAGAAGAAGCCCGTCAGCTTCAGCAACATTCTGCTGGGAGCCGGTCTCAACATGTTTGAGTGAGTACTTAAATGAACATCATAGACACAGATGGTGGGAGGCAACATACTCGCTACAAGGCCGGAGTCACAAATACCGGCTTTGCGAAGGCCGCCGCTTTTCGTGGCATTGTTGGAATGCCGGCTTTGTGTGTGTTAACACCCCCCATCGAGCACAATGCGTCTGTCTTGGCATCGCAAGGTGTTTGTCGCGCTCTTTGCTCTTGTAGCTCAGGACGACGGGAGATGCACGCGCCCAGTAGTGGCATGGGAGGACCCACACTCGCGAGCATTGACGCTAGTGCGCTTCAACTTGCCCCAACCCCGCTATTCACATTTACTAACTCTAGGGTCACTACTTTAGGACAGCCTCTTGAGGTGGTCAAGGTGAGTATTACTACTATCGACACACAGAACCAACGGAGCAAACACACACCCTCTGACTCATGCCGAGGTAATTTGCTGCTGCACCACGATAATAATACCCCAGCTTTCGAGTGCGTCATCGCACACCCCCGAAGATGGGCTCTGCAGGAAGCATGCAAGCTGTCGGCCGAAATCGGCCGTCCCGGTGTTCAACTCATGCACACGAAACCGAACAATGGCCGATGATCGTCAAGAACTCGGGTCTGCGAACACCCGAAAACCGAGGTTCAATCCCACGTCAATGATTGCTAACACAGACCACAATGGCCGCCAACCGTGGCGACACCATGATGCAGGCCATCGGCCGAGTCTGGTCTCGAGGAGGAATCTTTGGATTCTACCAGGGTCTCATTCCTTGGGCATGGATCGAGGCCTCCACCAAGGGTGCTGTTCTGCTGTTTGTCTCTTCCGAGGCTGAGTATATCTCCAAGAAGAGCTTTGGCATGGGCAACTTTGCCGCCGGTATCACTGGAGGCATTTCCGGTGGTCTGGTCCAGGCTTACCTGACCATGGGTTTCTGCACCTGTATGAAGACCGTCGAGATCACGCGGTCCAAACAGGCTGCTTCTGGAGTCACTCCTCCTAGCTCCATCCAGGTGTTCAAGGAGATCTTCCGAAAGGAAGGTATCCGAGGTATCAACAAGGGTGTCAACGCCGTGGCCATCCGACAGATGACTAACTGGGGTTCTCGATTTGGTTTCTCCCGACTCGCCGAGGAGGGTATTCGAAAGATCACCAAGAACGACGACCGGCCTCTGAACGCCTTTGAGAAGATTGCTGCCTCCACCGTTGGTGGTGGTCTGTCCGCATGGAACCAGCCCATCGAGGTCATTCGAGTCGAGATGCAGTCCAAGACCGTGGATCCTAACCGGCCCAAGAACCTGTCGGTATGGACTGCGTTCAAGTATATCTACCAGCAGAACGGTATTAAGGGACTATATCGAGGTGTGACCCCCCGAATCGGTCTGGGTATCTGGCAGACCGTTTGCATGGTCGGTCTCGGAGACATTGCCAAGGATTGGGTTGCCAAGGTTACTGGTGAGCGACCTGTTGGTAAGCACTAGTCCGTGATTCCCCTTAGACAACGGCACAAAAAATGAAGCGTGGTGACGCTGAAAATTAACAACACGACTAGAGCGAGACATAGAGCTCAGCCGCTAATATATTTAAATGATAAAGAAACGTGTATGCGTTATGTACAGTATTAGTAAATCGCCACTTCATATACTATACAGCTATAATTAATACATCTATTAGATTTGAAGGTGCCATATGCAATTTGCGAATGCGCATAAATTTTGTACTTGGTCGTACTAATGTTACTTGGGCAGCTGGGCGTCCTTCTCGGTGCCGTCTACTGAACTGCCCTGTCCACCCTTCTTCTTATCTCCTCCACATCGGTCATAGAGGTAGAGACCGGTGAAAGTCAAGAAGATGCCGAAGCCCTGAATTCCAGACACGGACTGGCCGAACCAGATGATGGCCCAGACAATGACAACGATTCGCTTGAGTAGCGACGCCACAGAGTAGGTCACGGGCGATACCATGGAGAGAACCTGGAATGCAAGAAGGTTCTGGGCGAAATGCACTACTCCGTTGAGCAGCAGCTGGATCATAAGCACGAACAGAGACGAGTCGTCCTTGACGAGAGCCTCTCCTCGGAAGAAGAGCTTGAGGAGCGTCCAGCCCTCGGAGAAGAACCACAGAGGCGAGGTGAAGAGGAAGGCCAATGCGGTGCAGTAGCACAGGATGTTGAGTTTGTCAAGCTTCCGGGTGTGGGTAGCGGAAGCAGGACCTCCAGGGCCAGCAGTGGTTCCGGACGTAAGCAATTTCTTAGAAAACATGTTTTGCGAAACAAACACCAGAGCCGCCAGCAGAGCGTAGATAATGCCCATGAACTGAGCGCGGAAGGACGTTGAGCAGGTGAGAATGACTCCAGTCACCAGAGGAATCAGAGAAAGGTATGTGGAAGGCGAGTACTGGACGTTAAACAATAGTCTGTATGCAGCCACAGTGAAGAGAGGCGACAGAGCTTTGATGGTGTGGACCAAGGACACGGGGATCATGCCAGTAGCCATATGGCTAAGGATATGGCCCGAGAGCTGAAAACAGCCCATGGGCGCAGTGGTCTTGAGCATATCTCTTGTGGGAGGAAAAATGAGTCCCTGTGGTCCCACCATTCCGGGGGGAAGTGCCTGTCGGAATTTAGGGGACATTTGCGACAGCTGGATTGTAGTAGCTCCGCAGCACACTGCGACCAAAAACTGGATCTGTGATAGGGTGACGGGGTAACCGAATTTGGTGAGAATGGCTTTTCCCAGGGTGTTGCTCATGGCTGACGATAAGTACCACATGAGACAGCACACTACCAGGGGCACGGAGACCGGAGGTGCCAGGTGTTTGAGTGCTTCTTGCGATGACGCCGACAGAGAGCGCGCTCTGGCACTTCTGACGGAAAATGACGACGATCTGTTATGAAATCTCTGTGAGTATGACTGTCCTGAGTCGAACAGCGGCGTTCTTTTGGGCGTGGCAACTCTTGGAGGCTGGTACTGAGGGTTGTACTGGCTCTGTTGATGTTGGTGATTTTGGATCTGGTTTTGGTTCACAAGCAGTGGCGGCTTGGAGGTGCTTGCAGACCGACGGGCTCGCGTGCTGGGCTCCTCCTCCTGGATTGTGGACGACGAGCCTGTGCGCAAATGCTTCTCTTTACTGAGATTGTCCAGGTTGATGTAGGAACGTCCGTTCTCAAGCGTGGGACGAACAGGCGCGTCCTGGTGAGTGTTTGAAGGCTGAGAGGTGTGGCCATTGGTTAGGGGAGCTGGAGATGCGATGCCGGGGCCTTGCCCCGTGTTAGACGACATTTCTTCGACCGAAGGCATGCTGCGTTGTTGTTTGGAGCAGTGTTGCTGACATCTCTTCAACCTACAAGTAGCCAAAAACCTAATATCAACTTTTCTACAAGGACGCACTAAGCATATGCATATGACGTCTCTTCCATAGGATATATAGATGGTGACGTGTTGAAAAATGGCAGTTTCGATGGTGTGGAACCCTAGAAACCGTCTTGGATCCGAGCCACGTGCCCCTATGGCATACTCGTACTTACAGTGATCCACGACAAGTAGCCTATCTTCAGCTCAGCTCACGTCGAGCACAAGTACGTCTATTTTGTCTTCAATGTTCGTGAGACATTGAGACATTGAGACATTGGATGTTGACCGTTTGCGGACACGCCCTGGAGCGGCTGAAACTGGTCGTGAAGTCCAGGGACTACAAGTAGTTGGCCCAACTCACGTTTTATCGTTACATTTCTGTTATCGCTTCATTATTGGACGAAGGAAGACCGTCATTTGCCCGTTAGGGTCACGTCACGTAACACAAGGGCACATTTGACACGCACACTCAGCAGCAGCAGGAGAAAAAAAAAAAGTCAACATATGGTTCCAACAGTATCTTACCTGTCACTACAGTAAAACAAAAAAAATGGAAGTCCACGTACACACGCCCATGTGTGTGCCTGGCCCAACTGCAGGTACAGGCCAAACATACGTATTGTTGAAGTGCCGATCCTCCAGTGTAACATACATATATGCCATTATACCATGTAGAGTGATTGCCAAATCATACAGACTTCTCATAATTATCGAGTCTCGCTTGTTATTTTGCTATTAGCCCTCCTTCTATGGCGGTGCCTCTTCCCCCTATTACTGAAGCGCATGATTCTAAATCTGCTCTACTGTGTAAGTACGAGTACGAATACATGCGCACCACCACGCTACTTGTAGCCGGACAAAGAACCGTCTATTATTATACACACGTTGCATACGAATCTAAATATAAATATTCTGGCGGTCATACGAATAAATCATGAACGGAGTGGATTCTCTCTATTTAAGCAATTCGAGTACCAGCCGACGTTCTGTTGCTGTTGCTGGGCCCTTGGGTTCTTTCATGTGCCAATCGCTCCTGGTTACGAGCCTCCTCGGCCTTCTTGAGACTTCGCTCAACACTGCCCTTACCAGGTCCTTTTCCATGGAACTGGTGCGACAGATACTTGTAAGCACCCTTGCTGTCCAGCTTCTGGCCCATATCATCGTAGTATTGCAAATTGATTTCGGGCTCGTAGTTCTCGAACCGCTTCTGAGCTGCCTTGGCCTCCTCTTGAAGTCGAATGCGTTCTTCTTCGGACTCGATTTCCTCTCGCTCTTGCCGAGTAAGACCTTCGTAGACACCCTCCTCCTCCAACTGCTCTCGCTCCTCCCGAAGTCTGATCTCCCGCAACAGGTTCTCTCTCTCTTCACGCTTTCGCCATTCTCGCTGTTCTCGCAAAGCCTTCTGTTTTTCACGCTCTTCCTTGGACACATTCTTGATGATTCCTCGAGATCTGAGCATCTTCAGAACATCGCCAGCGCCTGTACCAATATCTTCCTCGTTCAGAGGATCGTCCACGGTATCTGGCTCCTTCATTTCTTCCTCCTCATCCTCCTTCGTTGCGGTCTCCACAGAAGCCTCTGTAGGCTCAGGCTTGACCTCAATCTCTTCAACCATCATACCTTCTTCCTCCTCTTCCTTGGCCTCCTGGGCCTTTCGCAGAGTAGTCAAAAAGTCAGTTGTCTCGTTAAGCACCAATCCTTGGTCGTCCTCTTCTTGCTTAACTTCCATTTCCTCGTCCCGATCTGCTGCAAGCTGCTCAGCCAGCTGTTCTGGAGTGAGCTTCTTTCTGTTTCTCTGAGATTTCATAAGATTCTTTCGCATGGCTAGCCGAAACTCCTCATCGTCGTCACGAAGCATATTGTCAATCTCCTGCTGACTGAGCTTCTTGCTCACGTTGTTAGTAAGGTGTCGCTTGTCATCCTCGGGCTCCTCGGACTCAAGCTTGACCCGTCGAGAACCCTCCCTGCTCTTCTTGCCCTTGCTTTTACTCTTCTTCACCTTCTTGTAATCAGACGTAGGAAGTTCATCTTCGTCCTCGTCGTTGAGAAACGAAAATGACACCTTTGTCCTCTCTTTCTCCTTGAGCTTGCTCTTCTTAATAGCGTCGGACTCTGTGGAGACACCCTTAATGACTCCTCCTTCCCCAAGAACAAAGAAGTCATCCTTCTGTTCCTCTCCAACTTTCCCACTCTCGTCGTAAGCGGTACGTTGCACTCCCTTTCGTAGCTGATCAGAAGCCTTTTGTTTCGAACCCTCATTCAACTGTGCGCTCTCCAAAATGTCCTCACCATCTTCGTCCAGCACATCGGTATCCTTGAGGGTAAGAATAATATCGTCGCCTCCTCCATTTTGAAACTCCTCCAGGGAATGGCCCACCTTCATACCTCCGAGATCCTTTGAAGTATAATCCACATCCTCCACATCGTCTTCAAGCTGGATCGCAATCTTGGGCTTCTTCTTAATATTCTTCAAGAATGACATGGTATCATCTCCATCTTCTCCAAGTCCACTCCCAGCCAGCCGTTTTCGTTTCGCTCGTCGCTCAGCAGCCGCCGCAAGCCGGGCCTCGATCTCACTCTGTCGATGGCTCTCTGTGATTTCCTTCTGCTTCTCCTGCCAGTTCTCGTACTCAACCTGGTCTCGACTTTTGGTTTCCTGGGCCAGACCAAGTGATTGTCGCAGACGAGTTCGTGCCTCCTCAGAAACCTCGCCTGAGGCTTCAGGGGCAGGCTGTCGCTTGATAGGAGCACCAGGGATCGGGATGGGCTTAAGTCCCAAAGAGATTCGGTGTCTGTTTGTCTCCTCCAACGATATCGATTCTTCCATGTTTTGTGAAGTGATGAAGATAATTGTTAGTGCGTCTGGAAGTTTATCCTTGAACATTTCGTGAAGGAGGTCGAAATGAGAGCACCGATACATGCTACACAGAAAATGAATTGAAAGGGGTTCCATAGGATGTAATTGAAGGACGTATAGACTTCTAATAGTATCTTTTTCTTTCCTTTTTCCTCCCATACTCACCCAGAATGTCAGTCCAAAATTCCCAAGATGATAGATTTTTGCATTATTTTTTGCATCACGTGACTTTGGTCACTATTGGACAAATTGAAAGTTTAGTTTTTTGAGTAAGCGTGAGCAGGGCTGTTGGTGTAGTGGTAACATATCTGCCTTCCATTCAGTTGTAAGCAGGTGCCAGGGGTTCAATTCCCCTACAGCTCAAAATTTTTCGGTTTCTGTATTAGCCTGACATTCAAATGACGAATACTCCCTCGTTACAGCAGTAATACTTTTTTTTTTTTTTATTAAATGTCTATCTACTTGTAGTTGTAGACAACCTGTGACCATGCTGCTGTTCCGATGAAAATACGAAGATATCTCATCAGGCTGGTGTCAAGGCTATCAGACTACAAGTTCTCATAGTTTACGGGCATCATATTGAACAAGCAAGAAGCCGACTGGTGTTTTTCTTCGACATCATACAATTAATTATTTGTAGATCCCGTTATTTACATACTGCGGAGCCACAAGTGGAACCCCTTTCACCATTATGGTCGGGATTCACATGGTGTTAGCGTTAGGCCTCCCGACGACACTTGTGCATGTCTAATCAGCGGACGTCTTTCATGAAGAGATAGTACTGTACTTGTAGTGTGAGTCCAATTAGCGGAGCCCGGGAGGGAGAAGTCCGTTATTGTAATTTGTGACATGTTGTTACCTGAGGTATGAATGACAGATGTGGTGGAAACCTCCATCGCGCTCACGGGGAGAAGGGGTATCCCATACCGATCCGGCCTTCAGTAAAAATCCAGCTCTCCGTCTTGAAAAGGTCTAGTTGCGAAACTCGGAGCTCTCCCCCTGGATCGCAAGCTAGCATCCAGATGTGCCGGTTTCTAAGCAAGAAACGACGTCCCCCACGACGACTAGGACAATGGATGGCGTGGCTCTTTGTCTGACATAGTTTGACAATCTTGCGTGTTTGGAAATCCCCGTAGAACAGTTCATTCACGCGATCTTCTGGCCCGCCTAGGTCCGTGACAAAGAAAACGATGTGCTCGCTTTCTGTGCTGCATTGCATGAGGGTCTCATAGCAGAAGATCGTACCACATGGTATTTGGGTGGCAGTTCGAGTGTGAATAAGTATTGATTCGCCTCTGATGACTCTCTTGTTGTTCGTGTTCAAGTTAAGGGTGCTTGCAGGGATGAGCCCATCCCACTGCACTTTCTTTATATGTATTTGAACTACCCAAGAGCCATCCTTGGTCTTACACACTTCTCCAGGCCAGTAGATGTGAAGGAACCCATCCACCAGTAGCGGTAATTTGAAGGACTCGTCCTCAAACTTATGAACCTCATAATCGCCCACTCTGGTGACGTCATGGCCATGGATATTGGTATCACTCCTCATGTCCTGTCTAAGCTGATCTGCGAGGAGCTCGGCTGCTTTCAACCTTTTGCGCTGGCGGGGTAACTCCGGGTCGGTAATATACCTCACTAGCGAAAGTAATGTGCTGTTCGTTGGAACTGTGAGCCATGGGTATAAGGAGAGGGCATCGGAGGTATTTAGATAGGAGTCTGCCACTCGACGAAATGTGTGGCAAACGGCGGCGAAATTCGCAACATCTTTCAGGGGTACGTGTTCAAGAACAATCAGAAGGATCTCGGGCGGCAGTATTGTCGACACTTTGCTGTTCATGTGCGGTCTCAATTGTGACACCAATATGGGAACCGTATGTTTACAAGTACTTATCAAGTGATGTGATCAGGAATAAGGTTTCAACCTATCTGAAGTTTGGGACGCAACGTACAAGTACATACTGTAGTATTTGTCGAAAAATCGACTTATGTTCACCATTCCACTGTTTACTTGTGCTGTGTTTACAGATACAATATATCGTTATGTTGTGTCACCGTATCCTATGACAAGAAAAAACGCGGGGCTATCGTCACGCGCGCTCTGGTGTGTTGAGAACCAAAATGCAGACAAAGACAACGTGCCTACTTGTAGGGTACCATGACGCAAGACTCCATCTCGCTTATGTGCCCCTCGCGCTGTACGCGCTCTAACGCATTTATTTCGCGTATCGGACCCCGAAAGCAGACCTCGGCCATTGTATTGTCGTAGTTCGATTTTTAGCTGCTTTTCAGCACAGTAAAACACTCGTTGGCTCAACAAAGCATAGGGCCAACATTCCCTGACTACAAGTAGCCTAGCTCAACGAGGTAGCTACATTCCCGAGTATCCACTGTTTGTCTCTCAGCATCTATTAATTCTTGAAGGAGAGGCACTATTATAGCTACAGTACTGAAAGATGGGTTCCACAAGTACAGTCCGATAGCCCAGTTCTTTACTGCGCCCACAATCGGCATATTGTGGACCTAGGATCTAAACACCTTCTACAAAGATTACAGTAGATAGATGGATACATGAGTGAACCATCAGGTCCCGTATATGTTACAGTACAGTATATTGAGAAATCGCACCACCGGAAAGCCTTTGTCTGCCCACCATTGTATTTTCAATGGGAAGAGCGGGGCGACTTGTTATTGCAATAGCTGTTGATAAAGAATGCTCTTTTATATCTATTACTTGTACTGGTATGTAATGTGGATGCACACATACAACATGAGGATTCTCTTCACCAGATCACCGGGGAATATTTATCTAAAGATGTTTCCTTTCAACCTATGGACGGCCTGGTTGTTATTCGATATCTTGACCTCCGTAGTGGCCATTTTCGTCGGAAGCTTAGGCCTCCTCGAGTCGGTGATAGTAGCCGACAGTACGTAAATAACAGAGTCCTCTTTGCACCATCTACGTACAAGGGAGGACAAAGCTTTTCTGGAGGCACTAAAAAAGGCTGTGGGGTATGTTTGGACTCACTCATACTCCAATAAATCTGTCCGAACGGCTCCAGACTGTTAAAGAGAGTGATCGGTTGTTATTCAAATGTCGCCGTGAACCAAGTTGGCCCCATGATTTACAAAGCCTTGTAGATTAAGCGTAGAGAAGGCTTTCACAACTTCATTATCTTTTGCGAACCCTCACCGCCAGTAGCGACTTTTAAAAAGCGATACATCATTAGGGGTACTCGTTCTTTATCTGCAACATGCCGCTCCTACATTTCTGTGACCAGCCACTAGCTAGCCACTAGATCATAATGAATGTCAATGTTTACATCACACGGTTTACATCATACGGTAATATATAAGAGTATCGAGTGTGCCCGGAAGGGAGGCAGACTGCCACGCTCGTTCAACAATGAAGCTATCATCAATTGCCATTTTCTCGGTCGCCTCCTCTACCCTGGCAACTGCCTACGTCCTCAGATGGGGTGCCCTGATCAATCCCATCAAGGATGCCATTATTTCGGGTGTGATTAATGGTCGACACCAAGATATCCCCGAGGCACAGGCAAGCTCGGAAATTAATGAATTTGTTCCTCTCATCATGAATGATGACCTGCTTCCTCTGTTCGACAATGCCGTTGATATTCTTCTTTCTCCCACATTTGAACAGAAGTTCCCTGACTGGATCAGCAGTGTTATTGCTGCCCTCGAAAAATATGAGCAAAGCCCCGACTTCACCTCTGCTACTTCACTTCTCTCAGAGTATCTGCCGCATTACGATTACCACGAAGCAGTAAACCAGGCCAGTATTACGCTAGCGAAGTCGGCCGACGGTTGGAACATCCTGAAGGCTGCGGTGCTTTCTATCTCAACCAACCCCGCCGCATCCAAGGCCATTGATGATGGACTCTTTGCTGTCACTGGTTTGATCTGTACGCTCCAGCTTACTGATGGATCTGTTTGCGACCCATACAAGACCGAGGATCCTGTTGTTCCTGCTTCAACCAGCGAGCCTGCTGTTTCTACTTCGAGCAGCGAGCCTGCTGTTTCTACTCCGAGCAGCGAACTTGTTGTTTCTACTCCGACCATCGAGTCTGAAGTCCCAGTTTCGACCAGTGAGCCCGTTGTGCCCGCGTCGACCAGCGAGTCTAATGCCCCCGTGGTGTCCTCTAAGGATGTTACTCCTGTCGAGTCCCCTACACCCATTACGACTACCAAGTCTGAAGACAACGTTGCATCGGGACTTGCCCCCGAAGAGCCCATTACTCCCATTGGGTCGTCTAAGCCCGTTACTACTGTCAAGTCTGAAGATCCCGTTGCATCTGGACTTGCCTCCGAAGAACCTATTACTGCCGAGTCCCCCCTGTCTAGTGCCTCTGGTCTGGCTTCCGGGGAGGCTTCTGTATCTTCTGACACACCTGTCTCTGCAAGCGCTAACACTGACGATACTAGCCCTCAGACCTCTGGTGTCTCCTCTTCCGGTACTCCGGAGACTGTCGCTCCCACCTCTGCACCTTCTTCAGCGTCCATCTCTAGTGCTGCTGGTGTTACGAACGGCACTGTTTTTGGGTCCTCTGAGCCGCCTACTCCCACAGTGACTAATAATACCAACAGCAGTGTAGAGAGTCCTGCTACCGCTCTTGTTAACTCTAGCCTCACATTGACCGTGACTCAATGTGACACCGAGGGACGGTGCATAACACCCACTCTGACAATCGTTACAGTTGTTCCCAAGAACGCCCCTTCCACTGTTATCAAGACTGTTTGTCCTAAGTGCGAGGGGAAGACCGTGGAAATCACCGTTCCTTGTGCTCGTGAGACCACTGACGCTTCACAGGACGAGAAGTCTTCCAAGCCTGACAAGGCGGACAAATCTGACAAGGCGGACAAGTCTGACAAGGCGGGCGAATCTGACAAGACAACGAAGACTGAGAAGACAGACAAAACCGGGAAGACAGAGGAGACAGAAGAGGCTGAGAAGGCCGATAAGACCCATGAGTCTGGTTCTTCTGATATGACTGACAAGACTGAGAAAACTGACAAGACTGAGAAAACTGACAAGACTGAGAAAACTGACAAGACCAAGAAAACTGACAAGACTGACAACTCTGAAACCCCTAAGAAGTCTGAAACCCCTAAGAAGTCTGATAACGATAGCTCTCCAAACAAGCCCGGATCATCAAACGACTCATCCAACAAGCCCACCAACACCGGCGCTGCTGATAAGCCTTCAAACGGAGGATCTGCTGAGCCCAAGCCAGTTGCCCAGGCCAACTCAGGCTCAAAGTTGGTCATCTCGGTCGGCGCACTACTTGCTGGAATTCTGGCTCTCGTTGCTTTATCGTAGCTCTAACTGTTTATAAACAATATATGTGAGATTAATGTATTCGTGCTGTGATGGTGTTGTCCATCACAAATATGGGTATCGTTGTACTTGTAGTTGTGAGTGTCTCTTGGAACCAAGCTGCTCAATTAGTTTCGGGAGGAGTACATAGTGGAAGGAGGGAATGAATGTCTTGCATACGTCATTTCCTCCTTCCGCATAGTGTATCAAGAAGTAGTAGTGTAAAGATAAGATATCGTTCAGTAGTACCGTACTTTTTCACCTTGAAAGAAGGCAAACAAAACAAAACATTATCAAGACAACCATTATATAACTGCTCGTACCGTACTGCTCCATTTACAAGAATGAAGACACAATAAAAAAACACTCCTGCGCCCATGTCTCAAGCAGTCCACTTCTGACATGCACAACTCAATGTCCAAATGACTCAAATAACCGAAAATGACTCGCATGACTCTCCTGCTTGAGTCACCACCTCTCAACAAATCAACAACAGGCACATCCGAAAGTCATTGGAAATGGATATCGCTACCTGGAAAGGCGTTGAGAATGGGAAAGTTCCCATTCCCGAACGAGTACCAGAGCATCCTAAGATGAAGAAGAAGCTCATCTTGAACGCACTGACCGCCAACGCGCCTACTAATGTGAATCAGGGACTATGGAGACACCCTGGACACAAGGGCAAGAATTTCAATGACATTGAGTACTGGGTCGAGCTTGCACAGGTCCTTGAAAGAGGTAAGTTCCATGCCCTGTTCATCGTCGACATTGGAGGCGTCTATGACGTCTACAAGGGAAGTAAGGACCCTGGAATCAAAGCTGGCACCCAATATCCCATCAACGATCCCCTTTACCTCGTGCCTGCGTTGACAATGGTCACCAAGTCTCTGGGGTTTGCTATTACCGCCTCCACTACTTATGATGTTCCATTTGCTCTGGCCCGAAGGTACTCCACTGTTGACCATATATCAAAAGGACGAGTTGGGTGGAACATTGTCACTTCTTTCCTGGAGAGTGGAGCAAAGAATCATGGTAATGATCTTCAAACTCCTCATGATGAACGATATGCCATTGCCAATGAATTCATGGACGTCTGCTACAAGCTGTGGGAGTCCTCCTGGAGGGAAGATGCCATCAAGGCTGACATTGAATCCAACACCTTTGCCGAGCCTACTCTTGTCCGATACATTGACCATAATGAAAAATACTTCAATGTTCCTGGACCTCATATCTGCTCACCATCAGTCCAGAGAACACCATTCCTGTACCAGGCAGGTATGTCCAAAGCTGGACGGGACTTTGCAGCCAAGCATGCCGAGGCCATCTTCTTGCAGGCTCCTTCACCCGAGTACGTCAGATCTTCTGTTGATGACATTAGAAAAACTGCTGCTAACTACGGCCGCGATCCCCAATCGTTGAAGTTCATTCCCTCCATGTTTGTGTGCGTAGCAGAGACTGACGAGGAAGCCAAGGCCAAGTATGACGAGTACTTCTCTTACATCGATCGTGAGGGAGCTCTTGTTTTATTTGGAGGGTGGTTCGGAATGGATCTTGGAATCTACGACGACGACGAGGATCTCAGGAAGGTGGACAATGTCGCCATCAGCAAAGCTATCTCTCAATGGGCCGATTCCAGTAAAACTCCCGATGCCCTGTGGAACAAGGCTCGTGTTGCTGAGGAACTGGCACTTGGTGGACGATCCGACATTGTCATTGGATCCCCTACCACTGTTGCTGACCGTATGGAAGAGTGGATTGAAGTTGGAGACATCGACGGCTTCAACATGCAGTCTGCTATTGTCCCTGGCACTTACATTGATATTGTGGACTTGCTTATTCCCGAATTACAGAAGCGAGGACGTTTCTGGAACGACTACGCCGTCCCCGGTGGTTCCCTCAGAGAGAACATGTATGCTACTCCTGGTGATTCACATCTGAGGTCCCACCATCCAGGTTCGAAATTCTCTTGGAACAAGGATGACCCCTTCCCTCTGGAGTCCCACAAGCGGGCCAAAAGATGATCGTACTTCAAGTTTATAATACATTAATATAAAGCTATGGCCGTCTAAATAATTAGGCGTCAGCATCAGTCTCTAGTTTGGCTTCAGGCTCGGCCGATTGCTCGGTATCAGGTTCCACGGACTCCTCCGACTTGCCCTCAGTTTCCGAAGACTTAGTTTTATCGCCATCCTCTCGCTTTCTCTTTCTGTTTCGCACCTGGGTGGCATTGACCTCCTCGTTAGGGAAAACTCGGGTTCCATGCACAAGGTATCCTCCTCCGCCTCTCGAGGTCATGCTGGGATGCATTCGGCCGAGAATTGTCTGGTACTTTCGAACTCGAGATTCCCAGATAGAGGGAGCAAGAACCCGCAGGTCCTTGAGCATGAGCTGTGACACCTCGGTGACCACCTCCTTGTACTCGGAGTAGACAACCACAGGTCGAGAGCCTCCGATTGCGTGCAATGTTCGGTCCACAATAGAGGCGGGATGCAAAGTAGAAGCCACAATGAGGCCGTCGAAGCCCTGGTTGGCCACCAGATCGTTGACATTCTGAAGCTCCAGCCACCGGTTTCGCTTTCGGAAATATGCTCCTCGGTTTCGAGGCTTCATGGACGCAATCTGTTCGGGGGTCTTCTCAGGCACCTCCTCCTCGCCCTCGGGCTCAAAGAATTGCAGCCAGTTTATGCTTTTGATCATTCGATCCTGGAGCTCTGTGGGCATGGACAGGTACTTGAGAGCGTCGAGGTTGGGGTGCTCGTTCTCGTGGGCAACGACAATAAGGCCCTCTCCAGCCATTCGCTCCATAAGCGCCGCGGTAAGAACACCAGTAGTCTCATCAACAACCAAATACTTGCCTCCAGGTCGAACATTAGCCATACTCAGCAGAAGGGCCAGCATCTCTTGGCTCATGTCCAGCACCTTCTTGTAATCCTTCTCGAGGTAGAAATCGAGCAGCAGGGACGAACACATAGGCTGGGGAGTGAACCGTCGCAGGTACTTTTGCTCTTTTCTTCGCAAATATTTCTCCTTGGAGAAGGCGGTCTTCTTGTGGAACTCGTTGTGGCCCTTGATAACATGGTCGATGATGTCCTTTCCTGACAGCGTTTTCTGTTTCTTCATCTCCTCAATCTCGGCCATTGACAGAGTCTGTGACTCAGAAGTGTCAATAAGCGTCTGGTTGGTCTCCTCGGGTTCCAGCAGCGCTCCCTTGGCTCCCACTACGTAGTCATGGTCGTCCACTCCCTCCTGGATGATCCGCAGTCGTTTGTCTTCCTGGATTTCAAACGTGTAACCGTAGGGCAGTCCTAGGATGTCGTTGACCTGAAACGAGCCGAATTTGCCAATAGAAATGGTCTGGTTGGGAATCAGCTTGACCACTCGGAAGTTTTCCGACGGCAACTTGACCATGCAGTAAGTGTTGGGCTGAATTCGAGGGTTGTCGAAGATGAAGGGTGGCGACTCGGGCTTGGAGCTCTTTCGGTGCACCTGTGTCTGTCTCGCAGAAACGGGCTCCTGCTGCTGAGCCGCGTCTTTCATTTCAACGTCCATGGTAGGCGTATTTTCAGTAAATGTAGGAAGGTGTGATATTGGCCCGTTAGATGTGCTGCAGGATTAGCTTTTTTAGTCGAAAAATTTGGGAGTAGAGTTTGAATTTTTTTAGGACTACATGCACCCAGAAATCAGAGCCCATCTAGCTCACTACTCACTACACACTACACTACACAATGGGTCGACGAGCCAAGAACAAGCAGGGAGTTCCACCTACTCTGGAGGAGCAGACCCAGGGACCCGCTCCCGTGCGAAAAGACAAGAAAAACAAGAAGGATTTCAAGGTAACTAAGCCCGATCGAAAGACTAAAAAGGTGAAGGAGATCCCTCAGCTGCCTGTTGAGGAGGCTGAAGAGGAGCTCCCCGAGGAGGAGGATGACGATGTTGTCCGGGAGAAGATGACTCTGTTCGATGACTCTGATGATGAGGAGATGGACAACGATGAGTTTGATATTGAGGATGGCTCTGATGATGAGGTGTACGACTCTGATGACGAGACCCACCACAAGCCTATGTTCTCTGATGACGAGGGTGATGAGGACGAGCTCAACGCCGCCAACATGGAGGCTATGTCTCGACGGCTAGACGACGAGGAAGAGTCCGACGAAGAGATGGCGGAGGAAGAGCTGATGGAGCTCATGAAGCAGCACCAGAACCCCCGAGCACAGATTCTGCCTACCGCAGAGGCTGCTGCCGCCGAGGCCCAACTGCCTCCGGATCTGCATGTTGTTCGAACCCGAATTCTGGAAATCGTCAAGGTTCTGGAGGACTTCAAGGGTCTGGCCGAGGAGGGCAAGTCCCGAAACGACTACACCACACAGCTGCTCAAGGATATCTGCTCCTACTACGGCTACAACGAGTACCTTGCCGAGAAGCTGTTCAATCTGTTCACTCCTTCTGAGGCTATCGAGTTCTTTGAGGCCAACGAGGTGCCCCGACCCGTCACCATTCGAGCAAACACCCTCAAGACTCGACGACGAGACCTTGCCCAGTCTTTGGTCAACCGAGGTGTCAACCTGCAGCCCATTGGAAAGTGGACCAAGGTTGGACTGCAGATTTTCGACTCTGCCGTGCCCATTGGAGCAACCCCTGAGTACCTGTGTGGTCACTACATTTTGCAGGCTGCCTCTTCTTTCCTGCCCGTCATGGCAATGGACCCCCAGGAGGGCGAGCGAGTGCTCGACATGGCAGCTTCTCCCGGAGGAAAGACCACCTACATCTCTGCTCTGATGAAGAACACAGGTATGGTTTTCGCCAACGATGTTTCCAAGCCCCGAATCAAGTCTCTGATTGCTAACATCCACCGTCTGGGTTGTAAGAACACCGTGGTCTGCAACTATGACGCCCGAGAGTTCCCCAAGGTGATTGGAGGCTTCGACCGAATCCTGCTGGATGCCCCCTGTTCTGGTACTGGAGTCATCTCAAAGGACCAGGCTGTTAAGACCAACCGATCCGAGAAGGACTTCATCCAACTCCCGCATCTGCAGAAGCAGCTTCTTCTTTCCGCTATTGACTCCGTCGACGCCAACTCCGCCACTGGCGGTGTCATTGTCTACTCGACGTGTTCCGTCATGGTGGAGGAAAACGAGGCTGTAGTTGATTACGCTCTTCGAAAGCGACCCAATGTGCGACTGGTGGAGACCGGTCTGGAGATTGGAAAGGAGGGGTTCACCTCATTCCGAGGAAAGACCTTCTCGCCCAAACTCAAGCTCACCAGACGATACTACCCTCACACTTACAACGTTGACGGCTTCTACGTGGCCAAGTTCCAGAAAATTGCACCATCGCCTCAGGACAAGACCAAGGCCGGTGCCCGAGAAAAGGAGGAGGCTGCCCGAGCCGAGGAGGAGGAGGAGCGTCTCATCAACGACGATTTCGCTGCCTTCGACAACGAGGAGGATTCCGCCATCATCGACTCTGCCCGACGATCCCAGCTCAGACGAAAGGGTATCAAGCCTCTGCCCGGCAAGCCCAAGGACAAGAAGGTGGCTACCAAGGACGAGTAAAGTATATAGAAATCATTATTTTAACGGTATATTAATTAAGAGTGTAGAGTGGCGTAAACTGCTCCCTGCGGACTGGGTGTTATATGTTTCCAAGTAGTAGCTACATCTACAAGTGCGGTATGTGCTCATATACAGTACTGTGTATTGTGTTCTGTCATAAATCATAAATTATAAAACTACAAATAGGAAGAGTTGCCAAAAGCATGCTCCTTGATATAATCTGGACCCATTTCCTCATACATGGCCCGCGTGACCCGAGAGTTCTTGTAGTCGTCCGTCTTGGACCACTTGGCCATACCCATCCATGCATCAGTCTCAGGATGAGCGGCACTTCGAACCTGTAGAGGAGAACCAGCTGGCAACAGAGAACGCAGCTCAGCAGTCAGACGAGCATCAAAGTTGGGCACCTGAGAGTATCCACCAGTGACAAACACGTCCTTGAGCATGACGGAGGCTGTTTCCGAAGGAAACCGCTTGGTCAAAATGTCTCCACACACCTCAGCAACACCAGCCTGATCAATACCGGCAATGGTGGGCTGGAACAGCACCTCAGGCACCCGGATTCGCTCCACATTAAGATGCAGCTGGTTCTGCTGTTCTTGGCTTTCGGGGTTGTACTCCGTGGGTCCGTGGAGGAACATGTGCAGCAATGACGACTTCCAGTCGGTCTGGCTCTCGAGAAGATTCTCCTCTGTGAACTCGTCGTCAAACTCGAGAAGATTGGCCTCAAGCTCAGCCAGAGCAGCTCGCTCGTTCTCCTCCTCTTCACTGTCGCTCTGGTTGGCAATATCATTGTAAATGGACCAGTCCTGATCATCCGCTCCAAAGGTATCATCGGGATCGTCATCGATACCAGCGCCGGGTCGTGCTCGTTTAGTAGCACGAGTATCTGCAGCCAAAGACGCAATGTTCTTCATTCGCATTTTGGAGGCCATGGATTTTCGGTTTCGAAGTTCCTTCTGCATCTTGGCCCGTTCCTTTTGGCGGGCCAGAATCGCGTTTCGCTTCTCTCGCTTGTCCTCAACCCATCCGGCCAGATCCGTGATTCGCCACTCTTCGTCCTTACGTTTCTCCTCCTCAATACGTGCCTTTTCAGCCTCCTTTTCTTCCTTGGCCCTGATTCGAGCCTCGTAATTGGCTCTCAGAAGCCGCTGATGTCGCTTTTCCTTGATTTGCAAGGGGGTGAGCTCTTCGTCGGGGACATCTGCGAGAGGAAACTCGGGAACGACCTCCTCTTCCTCCACATCCTGGTTGAGACTCTTTCGAATTGTTCTCTCCAGCTCGGCAATCTTCTTGTTCATGGACTTAACGTCCTTGAATCCCTCCGAGTCGAGGATTCTTCGCGCCTCCCGCTTGCCCTGTCTGTCGTCGCCCAGATCCTCCAGAATCTGCGCCTGCTGCCTATAATACTGCAGGTCATTTTCCCGTTCAGCCAGCTTCTCGGCTCTTTTCGCAGCAGCCTGCTCTTGCAGTCGTCGACCGCTCTCTTTGCGACGCTCTGCGATTCGTTCCAGCTCCTCGGCGCTCTTTTCGGCCTTGACGGTCTCAATGTACGGTGCCTGGATCACGCGTTCTCGTTTTTCCAAACCATCCATATCCAAAAAGCCATCCAGTTCCTCCTTGTATCCGTCTGACACGTAGCAGTGATTCTCGAGGATTTTGGTGGTCTGCGTCGCCGACAGCTTGAGCGGGAAAGTGGGGTACTTGAGCTGTAGAAGCTGGGCCAGAAAGGCCGAGGCTGTCCGTCCTCCCCAAGTGATTCGCTTTGTCAGTTCTCGCTGAGCAATACCATCAATGACAGGAATGATGTGAGTGGCCTCATTTCCGACTGACAAAACCAAGCCAGTCTTTCCGTCGTTGGCGTAGTACGAAAATAGAGCGTCGACCCCGAGAGCTACTGACCTCACTCCGTAGCCCTCAAACAGCACCTGCTGCAAATTTCGCCGCTGGGCAGCAGGTGAAGACATGAGCTCGTTCATGATAATGTGATTGTCCACACACCCGTCGCTGCCTACGCGCAGCTTGGCAAATGTGTAGTCCAGAACCTCCTCAGCCACTGTCCAATTAGACACCAGAGCTCCATCGTAGGGCGATCGGGCCGACAGCCGGGTCGACGGCTCAATGAAGTTGTCATATCCCACCGTGGTGGCGCCTGCCAGTCCAGGACCAGCGCTTTTTCGTTCTCGGTACTTTCCTGTCAACGTGGGAAACACGAGGTTGGGTCCGTTGGTGTCAGTGTATCCCGCTCGGGTCATGTGGGTTCCAAAATCGATGGCGATGGTGGATCCAGCGCTCCACTCGAATGGCACGTTCGGCTGTGGCCGCCATTCAATGTCTGTCAGTTTGTGCATTGTGATGTAGTAGTACTGTGGTGTTTTATCTTCAATACTACAGTATGTAGTAGATCGCTACATTACCATATGCACTGGAATTGTCTGCACAGTCCCAACATGCAGTGCAGTGCCATGTGCAGTTGTAGTTGGTGAGGTGTTGAGAAAGAGAGATGATGGAGTGTTAAAGGAGCTATGCAGGAGATGGACATGTAGAAGTCGGTTTGGACAATTTCCATACCCGATGAAAAAAAAAACACCCTCAATCGTATTCTGACTCTGGACATCAACTGTTTGACCACGCAGCACCTCTCGCACCCCTGACCCACACCCTTCACATCTAACCAATTACAGTAAGTAATCAAGTAACTCATCCAAGTAACCTTACCTACGCTACTCTAAACACACCACCACCGACAGAAATGCCTCATAGGGGCAATACATCCGATTGAACAGCTATTTCAACCCCAGACAAGAATGTGTAGACTTGAAAAACGTCATGAACGCTTGGACCACCTCCCCATTCATTCCCACACTCCCACAGCTGATACAATCCAACTCAATTACAGACACAGCCAAACTCAGTTACCTTCCAGCGAAGCACGTTTACAGTATCGTACAACCAGGAGCATCATCCCTCTGCACAACACACTACACAATGCCAGCAGACCCTCAGACCATCCAGGGCTACAATGTCGTGACGCTCTTGAAGCGGTGAGTCAATTGACACGAAATGAACCCTCCAAGTCACCCACTAACCCAGTCTCGAAGCCGCCACGTCTCGTCTTGAAGACCTGACCTCCGCTCAAAAGGCGCATGTTGACGAGCGAGGTCCCCAGAACGCTGCAGCGACCAAGGCTGGCGTTGATGCGCCCTCCCGATCCTCTGCTGCTCCCGCTGCTCCCGCTGCCGCCACTTCTTCTGCTGCAGCCGATGCCGACCTGCCCAAGTGGATCTCCGAGTTTGATGCTCTCATCAAGACCCACGTTGACCCCTTTGTCGCTACCTCCAAGCAGCTCGATGCCACCATTGGCGAGCAGGCCGAGGCTTTCAAGAAGGCCTTCGATGCCCAGCGAGACTTCTTGGCTGTCGCTGCTGTCGCCAAGAAGCCTGAACCCACCTCTTCCGCCTTTGCTGAGCTTGTCAAGCCCATCTCCTCCAACGTGGAGTCCATCATGAACATCCGTGAAAAGACCAGAGACCCCAAGGTGTCGTCTCATCTGGCCACCGTGGCCGAGGGAGCTCCCCTGGTCGGATGGGTCGCCTCAGACCTGCCTCTTCCTCTCATTGGCGACTTCAAGGACTCCGCTCAGTTCTACTCCAACCGGGTGCTCAAGGACTTCAAGAGCGTGGACCCCAAGCATGTGGAATGGGTCAAGGGTTTCAACGGCATCGCCGACGCTCTCCAAGCCTACGTCAAGGAGTTCCACACCACCGGTCCCACCTGGAAGGTTGGAGGTATCCCTGTTGAGGAGGCTCTAAAGACTCAATCCAAGTCTGTCGCTGCTCCCACTGCTGTCCCCGCTCCCGGTGGAGCTCCTGCCACAGGAGGAGGCCCTCCTCCTCCTCCTCCCCCTCCTCCTCCTCCTGCTAGCATCTACGAGACAGACTCTGCTGCTCCTGCTGCTCCTTCTGGTGGTATGGGTGCAGTGTTTGCTGACCTGTCCAAGGGCGAGGCTGTCACTGCTGGTCTGCGAAAGGTCGACAAGAGCGAAATGACCCACAAAAACCCCGATCTGCGAAAACAGGACCCTGTTGGCGCCTCCGGAAAGGCAGCTCGACCTCTTCCTCCCAAAAAGCCCGGATCTTTGTCTAAGGCCACTCCTGCTGCCCCTGCCCCCAAGCAGCGACCCGCCAAGACCGAGCTGCTTGACACGAAATGGTTTGTTGAGAACTACGAGGGCGACCAGAACATTGTCATCGAGGGCGAGATGAACCAGGGTGTCATGATCGAGAACTGCAACAACTCAACGGTGCAGATCAAGGGCAAGGTGTCGGCTGTGTCTCTCAACAACTGTAAGAAGCTTGGTCTTCTGGTGGAGAACCTGGTTTCTGGAGTTGACGTGATTCGATGCAAGGACTACGCCATCCAGGTGACTGGTGTTACCCCCATGGTCACTATTGACCAGAGTGACGGAGGACAGATCTATCTGTCCAAGGAGAGCATTGGTGCTGAGGTGTATACTTCGCAGACCACTTCCTTAAACATCAACATCCCCACCGACGATGGAGACTATGAGGAAGTGCCTGTTCCCGAGCAGCTCATCCACAAGATTGTCAACGGCAAGCTCGTCACCTCTGTTGTTGATCACAGCAGTGGTTAATATTTAATAACATTGATACGAAAGATGTAGGATACAGTATGTATACCAACAGTATCGCTACAAAAAGTACGGCACAAGTAACTGTCATATATATACTGTATTTCCGAAATCATATTTGTTACAACACAAGTACATACAGTACATACTACGAATGTCGTGGAATGTGATAAAGACGAATATGATGGACATTGACGTTACTATGCTTTCCGTATTCATCTATCCATATTAATACAAGTAGTGCTACAGTAATTGCACATTTTATACAAGTACATACTGTACATACTATAGTATGTACAACAGTTGAGACCGGTCTCTACAGTATTCAAATTTCGCTTTCAATGCTAATACAGTATATACAAACTACTTCTTAATGTAGTATAAGTTGGCAAACTCGTGGTTGATCAGAGGGAAGGGAGAAATGACCTCCGACATTCCGGGTCGGGCAACAGGGTCTCGCAGGTAGACGGCGGAGCAGGTAGTGAAGTCAACCTCAATGTGGTGGGGGTAGATAACCGAAGGAGAAATGAAGGGTCGGAATCTCCAGGGTGTAAAGTAGGGCTTAGAGATATCCTGTCGGCCGTACAGATGCTTCTTCTGCCAGGGGAACTCCTGGGCGACCTCGGCCTCGTTTTCAGCGGCTTCGGCAGCATCAATCTTCTCTCGCAGAGGTCCTAGCAGCTGCAGCCATCGGGGGTTGACCTCGGTGTCCTGGACAGAGGGATTCAGCAGCTTTTGCTGATGCTCATTGTAGCTGTCGTGGATAGAGTCAGCCACGTTGGTCTTCATTTCCTGGATGAGGCATCGGGCGGCGTAGACCACCTTTCGCTCCTCGACTCCGGCAAACTCGGCTTTTCGCGAAATTAGACAGCTGGACACAATGTTCTTCGTATGAGGGCTCTCGATGGACGAGACGTGGTTGATGTCCTTGGGATGGATAGCAAACTCCAGCTTCTTGGAGCCGATGCCCGCCATGTTCTTGTTTCGCTGCTCAATAAGATGATTGGCATTGGAGCGCACGGTCTCGGCCTTCTTTTGCTCAGCAGAGCCCTCTACCGCGGCCTCAGCCTTTGTCTCAGCCTCCTGGGCCAGCTTGGTGGATCGCTCGTTGAGAAGCTCAATGACGGCCTCGGGGGTTAGGAAACCCTCAGCAGTGGGAGCGACCGGGTCCGCACCGTTGGCAGGGAACTGCTGGTCAATTAGCTTGAGTAGCTTCTCACCCAGAACCTTGGTATCGTCAGTCTGGGTCTTAAGAAACTCGTCTCGGCCAGTGATGAGATCCTCGAAGATGGCAGCGGAGCACAGCTCTCGGAGACGGGCCAGCATGGCCTGGAAGGCCACCTCGTTGGCCTTCTGAAGCTGCATCTGCGTCTTGGGGTCCATCAGCTTTCCAGCCTCTCGCTTCTTGATCTTGTCGAGACGCACGTTCCACATCTTCTCAGGATCATCGTTGCACTTTTTGATGTACTGGTTGTACTTTTTGATCTGTCGGTTGTCGATCTTGACAGCCTCCTCAACGGAAGGCTTGGCCTTACCGGCAGCAAAGAGGACCTTCTCGGGCTTGACTGAGATGAGATCTCCGGGCTTGAGGGTGTAGGAGGCATGCTTGATCTTGACTCCATTGACAGTCACATTGCCCTGTCGAATAAACTGGCCGGCCTGTCGAATGGATGCGGCAAACATGGACCGGAACACGGCAAAGTCCAGTCGCTTCTCCAGATGCACAAACGTCTGCATGGCAAACGGCGTCTTGAGCTTTTTGTTGCCCTCGGCATCAAACTCCAGCATCTGATCGTCGAATCGGTTAGCCATGATTCCTTCGGAGGTCACGTCGTCTCCCAGAGGCAGAACCACACCCTGCAGCTTCTTGGGGATCTGAGTGGTCAAGGTACCCTCTCGAATGTGTTCTCCATGATAGGCTCGCAGCTCTCGCTTGGAGGCCCACTTCTTCTGGAAAAGCGTCTTTTCATCCCGCAGAAAGTCCGTCTTCTTGTACAAGTTGTACAGGTTGCGGGGGTTCCATGAGGCTCGCACCTTACCTCGAGCCAGAGAGAAGAGGTTTTTCGCTTTATGGGGCATTTTGGGGTGGTGATGTATATCTTGTGATTGAATTTTTCACTCAGATGCACGGTAGGGTAACTGAGGTGTAGGTGGGAGTAAATGAGAGGTGACAAAAGTCCCAATCTTAAGAGAGTTTGGTGATGTGTAAATGTTAGTTGGGGGTTAGTTGGAAGTTAGTTGAAAGTGCTACAGACAATGTAAACACTCGCTACACCACCAAGCACAAGGTCAACGTGCAGGAGGTTGAGAGGTAGCACACGAACCGTAGAGCCGGAGCACCATCTACAATCACAACTGTACCATACTAACGACATTGCATCATGAAGAAAAAAGAGGAAGATGAGACGGGGATGGTGAAAAGGGAAGATACAGACGACACATCGACACAAGCAGTGGACGGAGCAGAAGTTGAGAGTAACGGACAAGGTGATGCCGGAACAGACTCTTCTCCATGGTCCATAGAGAGCGAGACAGTGCTGTTCAACTCGCTGTGCAAGTTCAAGCCCGTGGGCATCCACAAACATTTCCGCATGATTTCTCTGTCGGCTTCGCTGAACTACTATTTTTCCGAATCGCCGAAGGACGCGCCTGTGTTCTCTCACCAGGACGTGTGGGACAAGCTGGGCACTCTGTACGACCTGGATGGACTAGACGAACTGGAGTACGTGGCCGACAACCAGGATTCGGACATGGACGAGGATGAGGATGACGAGGCTGCGATTGAAGGGATCGCAAAGCGGTCGCAGATGAAGGAGTTCGTGCTGCCGTTCCGCGATTATGGGTTTCTGCAGATTGAGCAGGCTACTGCGGTTGCCAGTGAACAGTCTAGTCCAGCCATGTCGCGCGAGCAGTCTGTCTTGGAAGACGGACCCACAGCTGGGGATGAAAAGAAGGGCCTTGCTGACGATGACGACGAGTCCAGTGATCTGGATGAACTGGACGACGAGGAGATGAAACTGGCGGAAACCAAGATCAAGGTGGAGGGAGAGCAGCAGGAACGGGAGGAGAACGGAGGAGAAGAAGAGCACGACACCATGGAGGGTAGTGCAGAGCCCGAGGAAGCTGAAAAATCGGAGGAGGAAGGAGAAGGAGAAGAATCTGGAGAATCGGAGAGTGAATCCGGTTCGGAATCACAGTCTGACTCGGACGCACAAACAGGCCGCCAACGAAGAACGCGAGCAGCCACTGCAGCAGCTGTTCGTGGCCGAGGGACCTCAAAGGGCAAGACTGTTCGCGACAAAAAGTCGTCGCCCAGCACCCGTGCTTCCTCCGCTCCGAGACGGTCGACGAGACGGAAGGCGACAACGGAACCCGAAGATACAGCTACAGAACGAGAAGAGACGCCGACGCCGAAAAAGTCGTCTGGTGGGGTGAAGAAACCTGCTCCTCGGCGCAGCACCAGGAGAAAGAAGTGATGAGGTGTGTTTGAGATTGAAGGGGGGGAGGAATGTACGAGTACAAGATACCATATATAATGCTTACTAATGACATAAACATGAGCTTGGATAGCTGGGCTAGCTGTAGAAGATCTGTACTTTTAGTAGTTGGGATGGTACAGAAGAGCTTCTACTGCTTTTACTCACGAAGAGAGACTTGGTATGTTTACCGTAACTGGTAAAGTAAACAAAATCGTAGTGTAATTGCGGTTACTGTATGTGTGTACATTCGTGTATACATGACACAGGACATCGGAAGCCAACCACCACAACATGCTGGTCCTAAAATACTGTAGCACACGCCCTTGATTTTTTCGACTAGCCAGAAGCAATTAGCCATCCTTAGCGACTGTCTAATTTCCTCGGGCTGACACCTGTCAAATCTCCGCGGTACTGGTACAGTGCCGGTAGCCGAGGAGGTGTCAGATTAAGATGGAGTAACTGTCTCGTTCCAGTACGAAATTACCGAACGCCAGCGAGTGCATTGTACTCATACATTACTAAGCCTAAGCAGTGTAATTACTCGGTACGGGGTTCAAGCATATAGCCCACAGAGCGGACGAACAAACCCGTTGCAGGCACCACAGCTACGCATCTTACAGCGCATCTCCTTGCCAGTATGGTCCCATAATAGCTGCCAATGTTTGAAATGAGTGCATGTTTTGGTACAAGTATGGTGCACGTTGACGTCATGTGGAGTCTAGCCTGTGTTTTTACAGTGGTGGGTGTCCGGGCAGTGCAATGGATGTTGAACGAAGGGTCTGTGTGGTCAATTGGAGCTAATGGTACCGTAACGGCACTTGCTGGCCATCTCCAAAGGTCGCTGGGTCACGTGACTCCTCATAGCTAATTACATCTGTTACTTTACATAGTGTGACACGACTGGGGATGGTCGTCCATCATTCATCATGGTCTGCCAATTTAGTTGATACCGAGGAGCTCAACGTCAAAGACAAGAGTGGCGTTGGGGGGGATGAGGCCGGGGAAACCTCGCTCGCCGTAGCCGTAGTCACCGGAGATGGTGAGCACGGATCGCTCGCCGAGAGAGAGCTTGGGGACACCCTCGTCCCATCCTCGGATGACATCGCCGACACCAATGGTGGTCTTGAAGGGCTCGCCTCGATCTCGAGAAGAGTCAAACTTCTGGCCGTTCTCCAGAGTGCCCACGTAGTGGATGGTGACGGCATCTCCCTTCTTGGGGTAGGTCTTGCCGTCGCCGGGCTGGAGCTGCTTAACTGTGACACCCATGTTTGTGATAGAGGCGTGGAAGGCGCGTGTGTTGGTGAGTAAGAGAGGGGACTTGAGAGGGCTAGATCGAAGGCTTCTAGCTGTAAGTGATAGGGTCCGGAACATTGCGTCTGGTTGTGGCGGGCCTAGAGTATATAAGGTCTGTGAGGCATGGGCGAAATTTGACTTTTTTTCCGACACTTCCGACAGCTTCTTTGCACTTCCAAATCTTGCGGTGGGGTCAGGGCGGATTGAACAATTGGGCATATGTGCTGCTATTTTCGGTAGTAGAAAAACCAATTGCTACATATAACACCCGTCTGTATCCGGCAAGTTGTTTACTGCCTTTTTGCCATCTATTCTGCTTCTGTTCAATCGAATTGTAGGTCCACCCACCGCTATTTCCCATCTCCTCTAATCGACCTAAACTCTCGACCATCTGGGCAAAAGAGGGCAAAAAAAGGGCACAAAAAAAGGCGACAATAGACTTTGGACACCTCTCATGTACTATGACGATTGCCAACGCTAGACCATATGTGGGGAGGTCTAGCCGTGTCGTCTAAAGGGGACAATGAAATGGAGCCCGCGGAGGAGCATCTTTTTGGCACGATTGTTTCATGATCCCTTTGCGCTATAACTATTGGAAGTGTCCACTTCGTGAATGCAGACCACCATTCGCCTTAACTACCTAAACAGGAAGTACACGTCTCTCTACAACTGTCTTCTCCACAGACTCCGTATTGGAGTTGACTTTGTTTTTTTAAGGGCACCACTCACATCACTGCAACTCTGCAACTCTAGCAAGCCACCTTGAGCAACGTGTGCATCACAGACAGACACCAGAACACGTGCCTGAGAGAGGGGGAGGGGGCCGGCGTGTTTAGCGACATTTAATCTGGATCACGTGACGCAAGTTCTGATTTTTTTTCTTCTCAACCGACGAGTTTCTGCAGCTCTGTTATCTGCTCTGATGCCTCCTATAAGTACCTACTGTACTTGCTTGTAGTTACAGTGCAATACACCTTGGCTAATTTATATATACTCTACTGGCCCAGAGACACAGTGTCTACACCCACCTACACAGCCAATAGCCGCACGCGGCTTCCCAAAGCGGTTTCCGTGGCTGCACTGCGATATTTGAATGCTGGAAGAACCCCATGGTTATGGTATATTCAGGGGTACAAGTGGAAATACGGGACCTTATGGATTGTACCTGTAATGCTGTGTGTGTTCTTCCAGCTTCATCATTGCGTGTCTGATGGTTGTCCGTATCTCTAACGTGCTTGTACTCTTCCATTAGCTCATCTCACTGAGTAGTTGTACTGTTGCTACTACAAGTAGTATCGCAAGAGTGGGCCATGCAGCGGCTTACATACTGGTAGACCAAGTGGCTCTCGCCTTATGGTCCCGTCACGTAATACACGCTGTCTCAGATGTCTTGGCTAGAGTCCCTGCTTTGCGAGCTACTGTGGAGCTTCGAGTAGGAGCTCGGGACGAATACGAAAACAACGCTCAAAGTTGTCTACTTGTAGACAGCCAGAAAAAGTAACTGCTTAATCTATTCTCGGACTTATCAACAAGTCCAGACATAGCCTCAGAACTTGTGATTATTCTGATTGCTATCGGCGGATAATCCATTTACAAATACTGTATTTACCAGTCGGGTAGATATGCCCTTCCGATCATTCAAGAAGATAAAAGATATAAGAATCAGGTGTATTGGCAACTGTTTCAAATCTGAACCAGTAAGACAACATATCGTCCAACGAGATTACATGGTTCCCTTTGAACAAACGCAAGCCCCAAGTGCGTTCTCGAACCGTTTAAAATCACTCCCATTCAATGCTCGATACTGTCGGACTCCTAAATCACGTTGATCTCTACTCTGAATAGAAGCATAGATAATGCATGCACCCAGCAGTGGAGGCCATAACACCCTGACTACTGAGTACAAGTACTCACTTGCACTTGTACTTGTGGTACACTCGCTCTAACCCGTTTGTAAACACCACCATAATCATCAATCGTTATTCATTTCTATAGCCTTAAACCCTCCTCCGTTCTCACATCCTCAGATACGTCTCATAGGTTCTGGCATCAGCCCGAATCTGACGATCCCCAGACAATACACTCAACGTCTTTCTATACACGGGGTCGTACACCTTGATATTGGGCAGTTTGAACCACGTCAGACCAAGACCAGCGTTGGGGTTCTCTTGATGCACCAGTTGGGCTGAAATGAGCCGTCGGGAGAACGGCAGTAGACGCAAGGAAAACTTGCGGGGACCGTCATATAGGAAATCCGCAGGCGTGTCCTTGGGAGGAATCATACCAGTGGCAGCCACTGGTGCAGTAGCGTCTCCCAAAGTCATCATGAAGGTCAGAACATGAGCAGTCGCATTCTCAATGTAGTAGTCCATCTGGAATGACTCTCCTCGAGAAACGGAGCCGTTGGGAAGATGGGCGATACATCGAGGTTCCAGAATAGGCAAGGTCAGACGAAGAGGGTTGGCGTCATACTCAAAGGACTCTTGCAGTTCGGCACCGTGTCGCTTCCATCGGATCTGAAGAACAGCCTCCACGGTGACACTTCGCACCTCCAGATCTTCTCGATATGTGTCAAACTGACAAGTGGACAAGAAAGAACCATGCCCTGAGTCGGAACGAGACACCAGGGCACCAGTCAGAGGGTCTCCTAGCTCAGAACAAGGTTCCTTCACAACTTCACACACAGAATGGTCGCTCTTGGACACAAACATGAGTTTGGCGGAGACAAGTTCCAGAGGAATCTCATCTGACTCAGCATGGCCCTGGGCATAATGTGTGATACGGGCATCCACTCTCCATCGCTTCTTGATGATTGGAGAGGGTGATTTCTCGTCACCTTCAGCAGGAACAAAGAAACTGGGCCAGTCGTCAGGATGAACAGCAGGTGACACAGAGAAGCCAACCACCAAGGGTCGGTGAAGCTGACGGGTGTACCCCTTGTTGAACCGGATCGGCGAGTCAGGATCACCTAGATTATATATGGAAGAGAACTGGAGGTTGACAACAGCAGCAGGGACAGAGCCTGCAGGACCGGAGATCTTGGAATTAGGAACTTTAAGAGAGAACTTAAAAGTGGCACTCTCCATTGATTCAATCTCCTTATCGCCCTCTTCATCCCAGGTAAGCACTGGAGAGTCTTCAGGAAGGTTCTTGTCTGTTCCATCTCTCACATTCCAGGCCACCTTGCAAGCGAGACTCATGGAAATAGGCCCAGACTCGTTGTTGGTGACAACTAGAGCTCCAGAAACAGTTTCTCCAAACAGCAGAGCAGTAGGAAGTTGCAACTCTGTCTTTAACTGAGCGGGCCGAGGCAGAGTACGAACCATATGATGGCTCTCAGTGGACACCAGGGCCCTGGATCGCACCACGCCGTCCTTCTTGAAGAACCATTCAACAGCCCGTGCAGACCGTTCAATCTGTAGCGGCACCTCGATTCGGAAACCGGCAAACGAAACAATGCATCCCGTGCAGTACGCCTCTCCAAGGGTCTCAGGTGAAATGGTCATCTGGAACCGCTTGGTAGCGCCAGTGAAGGTCAGATTTGCCTTGTAAACAATCACCTTGGAGCCGTTTCGAGTCTCTACTGAGGGGGTAGCAAGGTTGGCAATAGCTCCGTCGGCCAAGGAAGTCTCATCATGCTCGATACAGACAGGATGGAGAGTACCAGACAGCTGCAACCATAGAGTGGAGAGGGTCACCTGGGAAACGACTCGATGAAGCTGCGACGTAAAAGTCAGCTGACATCGCCCAGGAACCTTGAGATGGAACTCGGACTGCTCAAAGCAAAAATTAGCCTTGAAGGGTACGTAGCTGACAGCTCCAATACCCATGTTAGCTGCCGTGAAGTCAGTAGTGGCCACTCCGCTCAAACCCTTGCAAAGAGTATTGATATGGCAGTCGAAGGGCACTCGCTCAGAATCATTGCTGCCAAACTTGTCACTGGTGAGATACACAGCACAAGCAAGAGCAGCCTTGACATCCTGGGCTTCTCGGTACTGTTCACAGAGTGCAAGAAGACACTGTTTGAGCAACGAAGGCCATGATGACTTGGCTAGAATGGCACCAGCAGTCTGAAGCTCTTCAACAGAAGACAGCAATTGACCCAGACGAAGATGTGCAACTGCAAGGTTTCGTGTTCCTCCACCTCCTGTCTTTCGAGAGAAGTCGGCAATCACACGCTGGTATAGATCAGCAAGAACGGACGGCTCAGCCCGACGAGTCAACATGCCCCCTTCAGACTCAGTCGACTCCGGGGGATACGGGTCACGCGACGGGTCGTCGAACGCCTCATCCTCCAGCTTTTGGCGTCGCTCAATGTAGTCGATGGCCTCTAGATACAGAAAGCCGGCTCTAGGAAGAGTGGCAGCTGCTGTGGGGGTCAAGCCAGGTCCAGAAGTAGCAGCAAACGGCGAATCTGTTTTGAAAAAGGCTGATTTGGACACGATCTCTGCCATGCCTGCAGTCTGGAGAGCCATCCAGCCCAAATAGGCAGGTGTTTGTGCGTACTCAATCGCAGATTTGTAACCCAGTTTTTCCGCAGCCATGTTTTTGACTGTCTCAAGATGCAATCGAAACTTTCGAGTAGCAGTTGAAGGGTTTCCGTAGTACAAGTAGAGCTTGGCGATCTTGAAAGCGATAGTATCCAGCAGCCCACGAGCCTGTTCCCACCGTAGAGTACGTCCTAGGGGATCTCCCGAGGGAGTAATAGACACAGTAGCAGCCATTGAAGACGTAGATCCGTTCTGGACAGCTTCAGGTCGTGGCCAGATGTTGTCAAAGCACTCCACCAGGGCCTCGTATGCTGTTTCGTACGCCTTTGTAGCAGTTTCCACGTCCTGTCGGAACTCCGTCAGGCATGCTAGCTTGTACGAGTATCGCACCACCCATCCCATGTGTGTTAGGGGCAGTGTATCTGTGAGCTGGAGCAGTTGGTCGTCCAGCGACTGTCCTCCTGCTTGTTGAGACTTGAGTGAAGGAATGGAAGACGAGTTTCTGGTGAGCTTTCGTCGGATTCGCTTGGCCACATTGTTGTAGAATTCATTGGCGTTAGCCCAGGCCGTTTGGCACACTGTTTCACACAGGGTATCAAGTTCCTTCTGTGTAGCCCCAATCGAAACAGCAGTCAGAGTAGTCTTGTTAAGTCCCGTTTGTTTTCTCAGCTGGTTGATGGCCTCATTGACGGCTGTTTGAGCTGCTGGCGAGTAGTCGTCTACGACCATGACCACCACTGGTCGCAGGTCGCGTACACTGAGCTGGCTTTTGAGGGCCAGAATGTCCTGACTCAGAGCCTCCAGAGACATGTTTTTGACTGTATCTGGCGTCAGCGAATAAAAGGACACAACTGTCGATGGTAGATGCTGCGTATACTTCTTGAGCCACTCTGGCGAAATGATTCCGTCAGGGAACAGGTCCGAGTCCGAGTTCAAGGGAGACAAGGGCGAATGGCCATGCTGTTGGATGTTGATTTCAAAGCCCTCGGAGCCGATACTCGGCGTGTTGCTGGCACTGGCCAAATCTGTCTTGTTGGACTTACTTTTAGGCAAAATGAAGTCGTTGGCAATGGGCTTGAGATGCAGGAAGTGAGGGATCATCTTTCGAGAGGCACGAACAGCGTTATTACCATTCCAAATCAACGGGTACCCCTGCGACTTACTTTCAAAGCCGCCCAGGAGATTTTCGCACAACGCCTGAGCCTTGACATTGTCGCAAACTGGCGGCAGAAACCGATTGAGCACTTCTCCCTGAGTAGTGGCACTGTTGGGAGCTCCACTGTCGGAGGTGTCGATTTTCAAGGAGGCAAATTTGTCGGCTACGTCATCGGAGAACGGAGTCAGACCCAAAAGACCCACCAGCGGCGTTAAATGGGCCACATAGTCCTCGGGATAATTGTCCATGGTGAGGTGAGCGTATCTCAAGAGTGCTTGTAGATGATGATGTGTGTTTGGGAGTGACGTGCATAAGGTGTGAGAGTTGTATACGAACCAGGCCTACTGTTAGCTTAGCTGGCACGTACAATTTACACTGCAAATAGGGAGTACTAATGATCTAATTTGTTTGGATGGGTTGTGAAAAACGGCACCGAAAAATGTCTTCAATTCGACCCTCTACTGTACTTGTACTGTACGATTACACGGCCTATCAGTGAAACTTATCATGAGCTTGGATTACTCTAAACTGGACTGCACATTTTGTTAAGAAAGTGGTCTGGCGATGAAAACTAGGGCAGAAAAAAATAAAAATAGGGCTCCCTGAAACATGAAAGAGGAAACGGTGATATTAAATGTAGAGCACAACTGAAATACAATAACAAGATTTATGTACTGTACGAGAATGAGTGCGCGAGTGTCATTTATATATGCCACTTGAGATGTACAAGTATGTACAGCACCCACAGATCGATGCATGCACACTTTCTACTTGAGCTTACTGGGGAGAACTGTCACATTCCAAAGGCTGTTGCAATGTTGCAACAGAAGACTCATTAAAATTGAAGACCAACAGATCCACAGACTTTCGGTCCGTTCAGGTTATTCATTCAGCCCACGCTCAGTTTAAATCATTGTTCATCATTCATACTTGTACTATAACTTACTCGTTCTTGAAGTTGGGCTCTCGCTTCTCGGCAAAAGCAGCCATGCCCTCCTTCTGGTCGTGGGTGCCAAAGAGACCGTGGAATCGGACTCGCTCAAACTCGAGACCGGCTCGGAGACCGACCTCAGCGGACTGGTGGACAGAAGCCTTGGCGGCCTGGACAGCCAACTGGCCGTAAGAGGCGATCTGAGCAGCAGCCTTGACGGACTCGTCAACGAGCTGGGCGGGCTCGTAGACCTTGGCGGCCAGACCCCAGTCAGCAGCCTGCTGAGCAGTGAACATCTCTCCGGTAAGAATGTAGTGGTTAGCTCGGTAGAGGCCAATGGCTCGGGTGAGTCGCTGGGTTCCTCCAGCTCCGGGAATGACACCAAGCTTGATCTCGGGCTGGCCAAACTTGGCCTTGGCGCCGGCGTAGATGATGTCGGCCATCATGGCAAGCTCGCATCCACCACCGAGGGCAAAGCCGTTGACGGCAGCAATGATGGGTTTCTTGATGTTGGCCATGTTGCCCCACTCCTCGATGAAGTTCTCGTTGAGCACGGAAGTGACGGTCTTGTCCTTCATCTCCTTGATGTCGGCGCCGGCAGCAAAGGACTTCTCGGATCCGGTGAGAACGATGGCGCCAATGGTGGGGTCGGCATCAGCAGCCTGGAGAGCCTCGTTCAGCTCCTTAATGAGAGGAGTGCACAGGGCGTTGAGGGCCTTGGGCCGGTTGAGGGTGACGAGAGCGACCTTGGGGACGGGGGTGGAGGTCAGGATGTGCTCGTACTTCTTGTCACCAAAGGTCTGGGCGGGAGCAGAGGAAGAGAAAGGGGTGGTCTGCATTCGGAGGGTGGGGGCCTTGGTGACGACAGTGGGGACTCGGGTGTGGAAGCCAATCTGGGCAGCTCGTCGGGTGGCAGCGGTAGACATGGCTCGGACGCCAAGTCGAGAGGAAGATCGGATGGTTCGGAGCATCTGTGTTAGTAATGTATGTCGTTGTAGTGTGGGGTGCTTGTGGGGAAGTGGGGTATCCGACTCGGTCTCCGTCTGTGCGTGTGCATACAGCCTGTGTCTTCTTTCTGGCTTTGGGCCAATTCTTCGGGCTCAGATTTCTTGCTGCCTTAACTCTTCTTACCCCCCACAGCTAGGCCGCCAGTGTCGTGACCTGGACAGCTTGTGTTCTAAGACATTGGCGCTAAAGAGCACTAACGCCGTGGGGAAAAGCTCTGTGGGGGTGGAGCCGGTCGAATTGGAGGTGCATTCGCCTTGTGACACTGGTTTGGCACCAATTGACCCATCACCATACTCACTTCTGTTCTGTGGTGGACTGTTTCTCGTGCTAGAGAGGTGGAAGGAAAAAGACCCGGAACGTTTATATATAGGCTTCGCATATAGGCTTCCTGCTCTCCACACAGTGCTCACATAAGCTCCTTCCACTGCCGAACTTGGTCCGAGGTTTAGGTTGGCCGGGCGTTTAACGGGAGGGATTGGAAGCAAGACTGAGGGCAACGAAAAGTGGGTATTTGGGTCACGTGACCAGCTCACCCCCCACCCGACCCTGTGTCTACCTGGAACAGAATCCGCTTGTCTGGCGGCTAGTCATTTGTCTTTAAATTGCCAGCAATGTCTGATTGAGTTTGCTGGTCTTGGAGGACGAGCTACCAGTGCTGGACATGCACACTAAGCTTTGACCCTGCGAGTGGCCAAGATACGCTCTGTGAGAGGGAGGGAGGATTGAAGCCAGAAGGTGCGATTGTACCAAACAATTATGTTCAAGGATAGAAGCAAGTCGTTTTTGAAACTGCTGCGATCCGCTTCGGTGATGAGATATGGCTTCAATTAAAGCAATTGGGGAAGGGAGGTGATGGACATACATACGAATGCGAATACGAGGTCTGGTATCGTACTTGTATTGAACGGATGCAAATATCCATACTCGTATCGTACTGTACTTACCCATACTCGTATCGCATCTACTTATTCATACTCGTACCGCATCTACTTGTATTCATACTCGTACAGTATTTATTCATGGTCTTCAATGTGGACTTGCGATTTTAAAGAGAATAAAAAAGGGGGTGGAAAGGGAGTTAGAGAAGAGAGTGAAGTTCTCAAATCTCAAATCGCTGTCTCTGACGCTTTGGACCGGATGTTGCGATTGACGAAGCATCTCCTGGTGGCCTATTAGCAGGACGGTACCAAGTTTCAAATACTCAAGTAACTCACGGTGTAATTGTTCAACTAATCCCTCAAAGTAGATAGCTCCATTAAGTTTTTAAAATCATAAAAAGAATAATAAAAAAATAAAAAAAAAGTAGTGTCAGGGCTATAGACGGACCTCGAGGAATACATACATAAACGGTTCCAGAATTAAGGAGGAGCGCGAAAACCTGTCCAATGAAACGATACAATAAGAAAGATCCAACGGTGGAAAAATATCCACTTTCTTACATACAAATATATTAAAATTTCGAACGATTCAGTAACTGCGACTCGTGTTGCCCTATAACTCAATGGAGGCTGTCTTTTGTTCCGGTCTACGATGGATGTACGATGTACGTGCGACACGAGTGTCCTACAAGGGGTAATACATCTAGACTGGCAATATTTTACAATAGCTATAGGTACATGTTTTTTAACCTACTCTTGATATACAAGTAGCCACAAGGGAGAAAACATCCTGTAGAGGCTGTACTGTAGATACTGTTGATACTGTAGCCGCTGTAACCACTGTAGCCGCTGTACCACTGTAACCACTGTAACCACTGTAGCCACTGTAATATTAACCCGACACGTCTTGTTTGGCTGCGCCACTGTATCATATCATATCGTGCAAGTGCACCGTTCGGAGACGTTTATCTGTATTGTCTTGTATTGTAGATGTCTCTTCTGTCTGACTGCAGCGCTTCAGCTTCAAAAATTAGTCGTGATTATATATAAAAAAGCAGTCTATAGCAGTCTGTACTATGTCTCTTAGCACAACGCCACTACAAGTACATGTACAGTAGACGGAAGCTGTTGAAACGGGCAGTCTTTAGACCGAGATTGAGCGCTACCGTAGATCATTTTAAAAGTGGAAATAGTGCTAAGAAAGCTGCAAGCACCATTTGTGAGAGCGGTGCACACTGACTCCGTGCCCGGAGCGACCTGGACTGTCACTCATCTCTTGCAACCCTGATCTCTTATCTCAACAATCACACCTCCTCTCTGCAAGCCGGGGCTCTCCACATGACGCAGCCCTAAACTCTGTACGCGCCTCTTAGGTCAGGGACCCGGCAGATTGGAGGCATAGTTGTAGTCCTTGGCGGGCCACAAGCGCGGTCAGGTGCTTGCTATAGCTATCAAACGAGACGGTCTTGAGATCAGAGATGAGGCTCAACGAACGGTCATGTGACTTTTTTCAGATTGAACACGCTTGCGCCAGGTTTGGTCCTCCATCCCTGTCTCTGTTCGCTGTCCTTGTCTTGTCCAGGAACACCGCTTCCGTCACATTATACAACATCCAAAGTAATTAAACCTAACTCGCGATTTCCGTACCACTGGGATCAAGCTGACGAAACGAGTTCTGGACTAACATGAGCTGTGCGGAGCGCAAAGGAAAAGGTGTGGAAAGTCTTTCGAGAGCAACCGGTCGTCTGTAACGGACCGGGGCCTTTGACTTGACTGGTTTGGGGCTCGGTTTGTGGCTCCCCAAACCCTTCCATCAGTATGGCGTTTTGTCCCCTTGTGCGTCGCCACTTTTTCAGGCCCTTGTCTTGTCAATCATGCACGATATAATAATCTGCCGTCCGACGGGCAAAGTTGTCGTCGCGTAGGAAAAGACAAATTAGACAAATAAAACCGTCAAAGAGGTGGTATCCGCTTGTTTGACGTGCCAACCGCGGGAATCAGCGACTACAGTCGCACCAGGTACCCTCCCATCCTTCCCTACTCGCCAGTCAGCCCGCGCAGGCCCAGCACACTCGACATCCTCTTCAACTCGGCCCCCCCAGAAATCACCCGATATTAAACCGGGCCATCCGATTATTTTATTTCACGACTGGCATTTCACACCTACGCTGTCCAGGCTGTATAAAGCACCGACTGACAGGTGGGTCGAGCACACTTTCCCCCAGCTTCGTGCACGTCAAACCGATACAACACGATACACATTATTATAGTCAGTGGTTATACAGTGGTTATAAGAAGAGGTTGCACGGCACCGGAGAGACATTGAAACGACAGACACTCAGCGACAGACCCAAAGATCCTCTCAAGCTCTCATTTTCAACAGGCGTTCGACTCAGATCACACACCCGATACACACACGGTCAGCATACACCACTCATAGGTTACTGCTCATAAGTTACAAGTACAGTCTTGGCTTATAGCACTGTTATAATAGACAGCCTTGCAATCAACCGACTCAGTGCCAACTCTCTCACTGCTCACTAGTGTTAGCCATACCCTCAAAGCCAGCTTGCTGCGTTCACTGCTTTGATGGGCCACAGCTTTACATACAAAGCCCCCTCTGGGGAAGCCTATGCAGCCATCTCTCCGGAGGTTCTCAAACAATACAGGAACGCTGCACCCGCCAAAAGAGACCCAGATGTCAGTTATATAGGCCATGATCCCGATCTGGTACAGCCCATGAATCCAACCCACCATTCGCAAGTCCATTCTTCCCGCTTACCCCCATCTCCACTTTCTCCTACAGGAAGAATGTCTGTTCCTGTCTATGGATACGGATCTTCTTCTCACGGACCACCTCAAGGAGTACCCCAAGGAGCGTCTCAAGGAATACCTCAAGGATACCCTCCTCCTGGAACCTACTCTCCTCACCAAGCCGTTCCCCGGTCCTTTATAGGTTCCCCAAGTATGGCTCAAATGCAAAAGATGCAACAGATGCACCACATGTCGCAAGTACATAGTCAGATGGCACATACTCAATTGTCTCCGACTCAAATGCCTCTGTCTCCACAAGCAGAAGGATACTTTGACCCTCGATCAGGCCCCTTCCCTCAAGACTACGTTCCAGTGCAGATACAATCCACCGTTGAAGGCTCTTCGTTACGACGCAGAAACTCGAGTAAAAGTTCAAAGTCTTCCAAATCTGCTAAATCGGCGAGATCGGCGAAATCTGCAAAACCTGACCCGCCCAGGCGAGCCTCTACCACCCCCTCTCTCCGCCCTAGCTCCTTGTCGCAGACAGATATCGAGCTGTACGAAAGTCCGGCGGTGGGGAAGCTCATTTCTGTGTTGGAAGAGAGCGTGGCATTGAAGAAGGCTCAGCAGCAGGAGCGCACGAGCCGCTCATCTAGATCCACCTCTGTCAACTCCTCTGCTCCCACTACAGTCAGTTCGGCTGCTTCTTCTGAGTCCACAGACACAGCTCAGCGAAAGTACGAGGCGGAATTTCTGCGACGTGTACAGGCCAAGGTGGAGCTCCGCAACCAAAAGGTCAAGCAGGCAGCTCTTCTTGGCGAGCGAGGCATTCGTTTGGTTCCACCAAAGAAGCCTGAAACACCTGGAACGCCCAAACCAGCAGGATGGGGGGAGTACTTTCCTTGGGCCAAGAAAGCAGACGAACCTGCTGCTTCTGACATTCCCGTGGAGACAGAGCCAGCATTTGAGTCCCTGGCTGCCCAGTACTACCAGGATCTATTTCAGATGATGCGAGACCACGATGTTCCTGCTGTCGTTGGAGACGCTATTGTCAAGGGATACGAAGAGGCCATTAGGATTGAAAAGGAGATCAAAGACGAGACGATCAAACAAAAAAAGGCCAGGGAAGAGGCTGAAAGGAAGGCAGCTACTCCCGTTGCACCTCCTGTTGCCAACACGCCTGCTTTCCTCACCGTCATCATTCACGGTGCCGAAGAAGAAAAGGACTATGGCTACAAGATCCCCGTCGACAGTATCAAGACGTTCAAGGAGTTCAAGAATCTCATGATCTTGACTTTCCCGTACAAGGCCAAACATTGGCAAAAGGAGTGCTTCCAAGTATTTGATGAAACAAACAACTATTTCATCATGGGCCAGTTCTGGGACAAGCTCATCAAACGAGACACCATTCTGGCCGTTTCCCTGACTCCCTTGCCTCCGGAGAAGGAAAAGGAACCCAAAGACAAAGGTAAACCCGAATCTCCAGCCACCCCCATGCCGGGCAAGAAGAAAAAAGAACCGTCCAAGTTCTCCAAGGCCATTATGGCTGACTTTGATAAAAAGAAATTCAATCAGAACACCACCAAAATGTTCAAGAAGTTCGTGGAGGCCTCCACTCGACCGATTTAACTATTAATCAAGTACTGGCAGCTACATATTCAATAATTTATGACTAACATATACGGCGTATGTAGTGTGTGACACGACAGTACTGCACATACTGCAAGTCTGTGTAAGTGAGATACAATTCTCGTGACATTTTTGATGATTAGGAGTTGACCCACTAAACAAGTCGCGCCAGAGACCACGCTGTTACAGTATTACGATATCCCCATCACTTGTATTACACATTTGATTGTCAGTACAAATACTGTAGCCACCGTGACACAGTTTTGACTACCTACGCTCACTCTTTTGTTCCAATAGTCATACTCGTATTAGACAGGCCATTCGACCCATCTTTGCTATATACACTTTGTCTAAGCCTGAGGGGGAGTAATCTCCTTGAGCTTCTTGTAGACCACGGGGAGATCGGTCTGCAGGGTGGTCTGGATCTTGGAGGCCACCAGGAAGACGAGGTTCTGCACCAGCTCCTCCTCGCTTCGAGCGTACTCGGCGTTTTTCTTGAACATCTTCATGGCCTCGTCGTGCTTGCCGGCAGACAGGTACAGCTGGGCCAGGGTTCCGATGGCAACTTCGGATCGATCGTCGATCACGAGAGCCTGCTTACAGAGGTCGACGGAGGTGTCGAAGTCCTTCTGAGTCTGGAAGATAACCAGAGCCTTGGAGACCAGAGGCAGCACGCTCATGGAGGTGGGGTTCTGCTCCTTCTCGAGAGCAATGGCCTTGTCGAGGTATCGCAGCGACTCGGAGTACTTTTGGGTAGACAGAAGAGCCTCGGCGTAGTAGTTCCACAGATCAGCGTTCTTGGGGAACTTCTTAGCACCCTCCTCGAAGACCTCGAAGCAGGCGTCGACGAGGTGTCGGGTCTCGATGGGGTTGGACTGGCCCACTCGCTCACCCTTCTTAAGGTGGGAGTTGGCCTTGAAGATGAGCGACGGCACAAAAGTGTCGTCCAGCTCCAGAGACTTGTTGTAACACTCAATGGCCTTGTCAAACTCCTCGGACAGGAAGTACAGCTGGCCCTGGTGGTGGTAGCAGTCGGGGTCCTCAGCGTTGAGAGCCAGGGCAAGCTCAATGTCCTTCTGGGAGGCAGCCTTATCTCCGGTGTCGAGGTGGATGGAGGATCGAGTGATGTAGGCTTGAACAGTGGCAGACAGCTGCAGAGACAGGTCAATATCGGCCTTGGCCTCGTCAATCTTGTTCATAAGGAAGTTGAAGATGGCTCGGTACTCGAGAGCCAGAGCCTTTAGGGTGGGGAAAAGGTTCTGCAGATCGGTGCCGGCAATGGCCTTGTCGAGGTGCTCGAGGGCCTTTGTGTACGAGTCGTAAGTGCCCTTCTCAATCAGATCGAGGGCAAGAACCAGCTCCTGCTCGGCCTCGTGGTCAGTGTCCTTCTTGAGGTCCTTGGGCATCTTTCGGGGTCGGAAAGAGCCAAGGTAGGTCTTGACAAACTGCTGGGAGGGCAGTACCTTGGGTCGGTCCTTGTACTCCTCCTGGGCCACCTGGGCAGCGTTGAGTCGCATCAGTCGGTCGACCATGTCGTTCATGGAGGTGTCGCCAAAGTTCTCGAGCACGCAAGAGGCGGTGATGTCGACAGCTGCGTCGTAGTAATTCTCGAGCTTCTCCTGGGCGGTTCCTCGTCGTCGGAAACACTTGAAGTAGTCGGGTCGCAGCTTGATGGCGGCAGTTGTGTCGTCCACGACCTTCTGGTAGTCCTCCAGGGCAAAGTAGCAGGCGGATCGGTTGGAGTAGAAGATGGGGTCAATGTAGCAGTCCAGAGCCTTGGTGTAGAGCTCGGCGGCCTTGGTGTGCTCCTTCTTGGCGTACAGGGCGTTTCCGGCGGCCTTGAACGAGTTAGCGAGCTCCTTTCGCTCGGATTCGGACAGCTCCTTCACCTTCTCCCAGTCCTGGACATCGGGGTACTGAGGCTCGGATCGGGTCAGAGGAATGCCGGCAATGGACTTTTCGGGCAGATCAGCCTTCTTGGCGGAAGACTCCTCGGTAGAAGAGGCATCCTTCTTGGCCTTCTTAGCCTTCTTCTTTTTCTTGTTCTTGGAAGACGAGTCCTTCTTGGGGCTCATTTGCTGCTGGGAAACCACATAGAAGGATCCAGCGGTGGCAACGGCAGCAATGGCAGACGCCACAAGAATGGTCTTTCGGTTGTCAGCGGCCCACGAGACCAGTCGGTTCCAGCTGCTTTCACTCATTTTTTCTCTCAGTTGTGCTGTGTTGGTACAGTAGAACAAGACTGTGTTTGCTGTTGTCAAAAGAGAGAGCTTCTTCCAATTGTACGCAAGGCAAAAAGCTCTAAAAGTTGTACTGGTCTTGAAACTCTGTTTGGTCTAAAATTCACCCAGTTGAAAGATGGAAAACTTTAGAACATGGCAGATGGCCATTGCTTGGAACCGATATTGGATATAAAAGAGGCCACATTGGGGGCTGATAGTATAAAGCTGAGCCTGCAGATTCGATTCTCTTTTTCACGCCTCCAATATGTTGATTTCCCACCAACTTAGAGACACCCTAAAATTCGCACTACTACGTCACATGACCCGTTAAGTATTACAAGCTATTAGCGAGTCTAAGTCAAATGATCCGGCGCCGGGTTCATGGCAAACCAAGACGTCATAGTGCATTGTATATGGCTGACCAAGATGAACGTACACCTGTGGCGAGTAGGTCATGTGACTTTCACGTTGTGAACTGCTCAATCCGCTACACATGAGCGCTCAATTGGCCTTCACCACGCTCGTCCTGGCGCTGTACCTGCCTCCTTCCAATGAGCGATTTGCCGTACCCCGAAACCACTACAGTTCTAGATCTTCACCGTTGGCCGGCTGAATGCGTCCCCGGAAAAGAAAAGAAAAGAAGACAAGATAGTGGTCACGTGAAGATCACGTGAGTTTCAAACGCTCGCTCACCAAGGTGGAAATGTCAGTGTGTGCTGTGCCTGACTTTCTGCATACAGTGCTCGGCTAAACGGACTGCCAGTAATAATTTACACACCTGTAACCGCCCCGGTGGAACGGACGAATACGAGACAGCGTGAGACATAATATGGGAATGATAGATGGCTTGATATGTGGATGAAATCCAGCACATTTTGTTCAAAAAAGGTACATAAAATGGGCGTTTGAGCGTCCTTTCTTAGTCCTGTATAGGTACTCTACAATCACCCACCTCTTATCTTCATCATGGTTATACGGTTTGGTGTTTGAGGTTAACCCCGTAAATTACCATACCGAATCGCGAGCATCAGACATGGTACTGGTAAAAGGGTATTTCCACAATAATTTGACCGAGATTTTTCCATAAATCTATTCCGACTACCAGATACTTGTAATTCCAAGCACTAGTGGCTATTTTTTGCCTCTCCAAACGTCCATTATAGGTGTCCAATGCCCTCTTCATTGCCTCGTCCATTTCCCGCACTTTGAGTAGAGCACATGAAGCAATGGTCACCACCATAGTTACAAGCTACCGTGCTGTGCCTGGGGTCACTGGACCAACGAGTTCCAGGTTGGAGACTAAATCCTAAACAATCACGATGACGTTGGCAGCTGGGGATTTTAGCACGTTGATTACGACGCTCACTAACCAGTTTTTCCTTTTCAGCACGGGACCCTATCAGTCGCCCGGTAATTGACAGTGTTTGGCACAGCAACTGCGGGCACGTTAAACTCTGAAAATTCACATGGAACTCTGGGGAACCGAAAGCTTGTGCAGAATGAAGAGATCTGCAGTAACGGCCGTGATACAGACGCTGGGTCCCAGTTATATACCGAGGCATGCAATTTGATAGTGACATGCCCGCTGTAGCGGCATGTCCAACAATATACCACGCTTATACACCAGCTTATTCAGTACTTACCTGTGTATGTACATTGCCAGGTACCGGGACCTCCCCGTATTGTTTTCTGCACCCCGGAAAGTCCCGAAAGGTCGGACGTTGATCTGTTGAGCTCGGAGAGGTGTCGGTGGTTTGTCTTTATAAGACCCGAAGCCCGCGTACGAGCTCCGAAAGCTGCTGCAGCCGGTGCAAACGCGGGGTATCGGCACATATATCGTCTTTTGCCTGGGAAAGGCTGACTGCATTCGGAGCCACAGTCACCATCCTCGGTTTACCCCAGCTAAGGCTACTTTCAGCGAAGATTGTTTTTACCGTCCATTTTGGCTTTCGGTCTATAAGAAAAAGGGCTGTACTAATTTTCATGTGGGGACCGCGGCATTAGTCATGTCTAGATAGGTGGACAAATAAGAGCTGTGGAGACAACAAAAAGACGGAACAAGAGAGATGGATGGCGTAATTGCATATTGGCGGCTTAAAATCCGCCCATTGCGCGGCCGTTGACCCCCAAACACACGCCCCCATCTTCTCGGAGATAACATCGGTTTGAGGTGAAATACTATAATTCCAGCTGCAGATTGTTTGGATGCATGACGTGGAGTAGGTGCGCCAGAGGATGACGAGTTAAGTGGAGAGTCAGTGGGCAATCCGACTAAGAAGAGACAATTGTAGACAATTAAAAGCCCAGCAATTGGGTCCATTGAACCAATTCCCATACACGGCTTTTGCAGATAATTTATATCCCTCCAGCAACCACAACCACCGACTCAAATCCGAACCCTAATCCTAACCTCGGCTCCCCACACGTGCTACAGAAACACTATAAGAAGGAGAGTGCGTCCTTTCTCCTTTACACGTTAAACGTGAACATGCTCAGATCCGTCCGACTCATGTCCAACGCTCGACTCACGTCTACCCGCGCTTTCACCATGTCTGCCACCCGTTCCAACGCTCTCCCCGAGGGCTACGTTGAGGACAAGTCCAAGGGTCCTATGCTCCGATACCAGGAGTCTCTCCCCAAGCTCCCCGTCCCTACCCTCGAGGAGACTGCCGCCAAGTACCTCAAGTCTGTGCGACCCGTTGCCTCCCAGCAGGAGTTTGAGGCCACCGAGAAGGCCGTCCGAGAGTTTGTTGCTCCCGGAGGAGCTGGCCAGGAACTGCAGAAGCGACTGGAGGCCCGTGCTGCCGACCCCAAGGTCAAGAACTGGATCTACGAGTGGTGGAACGACGCCGCCTACCTCACTTACCGAGAGCCTGTCGTGCCCTACGTGTCCTACTTCTACTCTCACAAGGACGATCCTCGACGAAAGACCCCCGCCAAGCGAGCCGCTGCCATCGCCACTGCCACCCTCACCTTCAAGGCTCAGGTCGACAACGGCACCCTCGAGCCCGATTACATGAAGAAGCTCCCCATCTGCATGGACTCGCTTCAGTACATGTTCAACTGCACCCGAATTGCTGCCCGGCCTGCTGACTACCCCAAGAAGTGGGACGCCAAGGACCACAAGTACTTCATCGCCATGCGAAACAACCGATTCTACAAGGTCCACCACGAGGTCGACGGCAAGACCCTGACCACCGCCGAGCTCGAGCAGCAGCTGCAGAAGGTCATCGACACTGCTGACGCCGCCGGCAAGGCCCCCGCTGTCGGTGCCTTCACCTCCGAGAACCGAGACGTCTGGACCGACTATCGAGAGGTCCTCCTCAAGAACGGCAACGAGGCCGCTCTCACCGCCGTTGAGGCCTCTTCTTTCCTCATCTGTCTTGACAAGGCTGCCCCTGTCACTAACGAGGAGCGAGCCCATGCCTACTGGCACGGTGACGGCCAGAACCGATGGTACGATAAGCCCCTTCAGTTCATTGTCAACGACAACGCCACTTCCGGTTTCATGGGTGAGCACTCCATGATGGACGGTACCCCTACTCACCGACTCAACGATTACGTCTGCGACGTCATGTTCAACGACAAGGTCGAGTTCTCCACCTCCAACCGAGGAGGTCTGGCTGCCCCCGAGGAGGTCAAGTTTAACCTCAACTCCGAGATTGAGCAGGGCATCAAGAAGTCCGAGGCCGACTTTGCCAGCGTCATTGGTGAGCACGAGCTCGCCGTCTTCCAGTACCACGGCTACGGCAAGAACCTCATCAAGAAGTTCAAGGCCTCTCCCGATGCTTTCATGCAGATGATCATCCAGCTGGCTTACTTCAAGATGTTTGGTAAGAACAAGCCCACCTACGAGTCTGCCGCTGTTCGACGATTCCAGCAAGGCCGAACCGAGACTTGCCGATCCGTCTCCGACGAGGCTGTTGCCTTCTGCAAGGCTTTCACCTCTGACACCGCTACTAACGCTGAGAAGGTTGCTGCTGCCCGAGCTGCCTTCAACGCCCACGTCAAGTACATTGGCGACGCTTCTGCTGGTAAGGGTGTTGACCGACACCTGTTTGGCCTCAAGAAGTGCCTCAAGGAGGGCGAGAAGGTCCCCCAGATCTTCCAGGACAAGATGTACGGCTACTCTTGCAACTGGTACCTGTCCACTTCCCAGCTGTCTTCTGACTACTTCAACGGCTACGGCTGGTCCCAGGTCATTGATGACGGCTTTGGTCTTGCTTACATGATCAACTCCAACTCTCTGCAGGTTAACTGTGTCTCCAAGAAGCTTGGCTCTGAAAAGATGCGATACTTCCTGACCGAGGCTGCTGAGGACATGAAGATTGCTTTCGAGACCGAGCTTGCCGAGCCCAAGGCCAAGCTTTAGATGCGGTTAAAAGTTCAAGTAAAATAATGATGATGTTATGATTTAGTTTAGCGCGGTTCGCGAGCAAATTCACGAGAACCACACACGAACGCGACTGTAGTTAGTGATCTAAGCATGTTATATCAAGAACTGTCTGTACTGTGTGAGCATGTATAGGATCCATAGTCTCCCTTGTTCAGAGAGATTATGAGTGTCTCGTTTACTGCTCACTCTCAGTGTAATGAAAAACGGGTGAGTGTTAGCGTATAAATAGACAACCGGACAGTCTTCAAGAGAGCGGGCAGACACGCTGTTGTGCGGTCATGGAACGGACAAAGCGGGCTGTACTTGAAGACGCCACTCCATTGTCCTACGGTAGTACGAGTGGTAGCTACAATGGCAGTAAGCATCTAGAGCACATAGCAGATGTATAAGGAGATGGATTCTGAGAGAGCCCTGGTTGGGCGTTGTTCGTTCCAGATACCGCCATCACCCCGTTGTAGTATTTAAAGCTTTCACATTCTGAGGTAGTACAGTAGTTGCCATTGACAGACGATTGTAACCTCCGTTGTATCACGATAATCCCTACCATAACCATCATCTATTGTCTATATCTATGCGAGGCCCTTGATGTACGTATCCACGCCGTTGTTAAAGAGGTCGTTGTCGATGGGGTTTGTCGAGGAAAACTCCTGGGGCGAAAGGGCATTCTTAATAACGTACTCCACAAACAGATTGACGTAAATGTCATGGAGAGCGTCTCGCAAGCTCGGCCGTGAGGGATCCGTCAGCAGCACCATTTTCAGGTTAGTGGGTGTCTCAAAGTAGTGCAGCTTGTATTTGTTAGTCTTGAAGCTGACAAACGAGTCCGTGCCATTTTCGCCGGCCCACTTGGTTGCCATGTTTCTGAGCGAAAAGACAGCGCCGAAAATCAGTTTGGCGTCGTCCTCACGGTTCCGTTTTGCCACCGGGTGGATCGATGTGTTGACCGACGGAATGCCTTCGATTCGAGATGCTCGTCGAGAAGACCCCACGCTGCCCTGGGCCGATCCAAAGCTGTGGTTGGATGAGATGCTGGCGTTGTGAGAATGGTTGCTGGTCGGTCCATATGTCGGCTGTTCGCTCCATTCCTTGGTGTATATGCATTCACCTGTGTTAGTGCTGGTAGAGGGTAGGGCGGGTAGGTCATGTAGTTATCATTTCAGATACTCACTGTGTCTGTCGAAAATCCAAAAGGAGTAGATCATTGCTGTTATCTGTGCCGTGTATGTCTATGCTGTCTCTGTGTGGGGCTTGTTTCGTCCGTCTCGTTTTCCGTGCCGTCCGTTTCTACCGTCCTTAGTGTGGGTGTTGTATTGTTCAGGTATCGTCTAGGTGTCGTTTAGGGTGTGCAATTATCACCACTTACATGCTCCCATCCCACAACACACTATTATGAGTACAGTACAGTTTAAAGTTGCAGTGCAATACGCGTCGCGCTCACAACACAAATTATTTGGGAACCACAACCTGTTCTCCTACCCCTCGACTATGGCCACAGAACTGGAACAACTGGAACAGGCCATCACGCGGGCGCTCCAGGACATTGACCGCAACATCACGCGCTGCAACCGGGCCGTGGAACATGGCATTCTACCTGCTCTGGAGCAGTACAACCGAGGAAGCGGCAAGGTGTGGGATAAGGGAGGCCATTTCTGGATGGATTTTCTGGAAAAGGCGGCCTGTGTGAAGTTCACAACTCACGACGAAGACGTCGGAGATGAGGCTCATACTGTCGAGGATCCGTCCATGACAGAAAAGGTGCCTCTCAAACAGGATTCGTACGAAACAGAGGCGTCCATGTTGCAAAGCATCACCAACAATATGGACAGTGTGGTGGAACTAGGGGAGAGAGAGATCATCAAAGACAACGACAACAACAACAATAATCAGATGAATTACAGCAATCTCTTGTCGGAGCTGGATGACGAGAGTATGGACGTTTCCATGGACCGAAACACTCCTGACGCCAACAACAAAGACAAAATCACTCCTCGCAGACGCTCAGTGACATCAACGCCAAGAAAAGACCGTCATGCGTCGTCTGGAAAACGCTCAAAGATCCCCCAACCGGATTACAGCCTGGAAAAGACTCCCGAAAGAGCTACAGATCAGCCTGCATACTTGAAACATGCCCTGGAAAGCGCGTCTAAAAAGTACGACCATGAGTTGGCACGGGCGGCCAAAAGAGGTAACTTCCAACAGTCTGACAACGAAGAGGCGGGTCCTTCTTCCTCTTCCAAGACAGGTTTTAACTTCAAGCCATCCTTCATAACGAAATCAGCATATGCATCTACAGAAGCAGGAGGAGGCAGTAAGAGCGCTTCAAAGGCAACACCCTCTTCCTCGCAACCATGGTACATGAACGTGGATCTCGATGACTCTTTTGATCTCCCATCACCACCAAAGCTCTCTTCGATGAATTGGAAACCTGGAGGACCGTCTTCTTCTGCTCGTCACCACACACGATCTAAATCAGATACCCCTCCGACAGAAACACAATCAGTTATGCGCCAGAGAATCAATGACAAGGAGTACCATATTGAAATGAGTCCCGCCAAGGGTAAACAGCCACTTTCCGCTGTCACGAAGTCATCGGGATCGTACTCGCCGTTTCACCCAAAGAAAATGGACGCAGCATCAACACCAGCAAGAACCAAGCTCTTTACGCCAAAAAAGCCGTCAGCAGCCTCGCGCTACAAACTTGACCAGTTTAGTGATGACGATTCGGACATGCTGAGTCCCCCACAACTGACAACTCACATGATCCAATGGGACAACCAACAACACAATACTAACAAACCAACGGAAGCCGGGCAGAACCCTCCTTCGGCTACACGAGAGCGATCTCCGGAACGTGCTGCTCGCAAAGACAAGGAACGTGCCGACTCCCCAGCCCCGGCTGACTTCGACTACAAGTCCGGCCACACTCCGTTTGCAAAGACCCCTCTTGCTCTGAGAATGGACAGAGAACGACTACAGCAACGGACAGAGAATCTTGTGGGATTCGGCAGTCCCAATAAAGATATTTTTGGGGCTGCTGCTAAAAGTACAACTGCTCCCCCCTCTGCCAAATACGACATGCTTTCATTCAACGATTCCGGTGAATCGTTTCAGCCCCCGGATCTGTCGCCTCCAGTGACCATCAAATTCGACACTTCGCGGTTGCAGTTCACTCCGGCTAAAGATAGTGCACGACGGGTCGTTCAGGGAGCTCTTCGGGAAGCTGGGGGGGAGCTGGATAGCGATGATTCCATGGGAAGTTTCTAATCGCTAAGTCCAAAAACGGGGCTTAGAGTCTATGAAAGAATGGATATATTACGCAGTAAATGACTCGTATAGAAATATCCTTACAGTAATGGTTATATGTGATCTTCCTATGATCTGGGCAAGGGCCTGGGCTTTGTGCGGTATTACATCGAGAGACCCTTGTGAAGTTTAGCGGACACATGATATTCAATCTGAGCAGATGCGAGACGTGATTCTCTCTAATCCTGATCAAACATCATTTTCAACCATCCTGATCATCTCTCCACGTGGTAGATCATCCATCTACGTCCACCTACACCATGTACGCTTCATATGGTACACAGACATTCCACGTTAATAACAATATATACAGGTACTGGTCTACCAGAGGAAACCACTCTTCTTGTCCTTCCGTCGCTGCGCCAGCTGGGTTAGTTATATTCTCCGTTTCAAAAATTTCGCCACTTTGCTTTTTATTACTCACCCACATCTTCTTGCAGTCCCGGTAAATCTGAAAGTACTCCTCGCACATGGCCTTCTTGTAGTTGTTTCGCTCCAGGCAGTTGAGCGACATTTTGGAGGCCTCGGCACATGGATCGTAGTACTGTGAGTCGGCCTTGGCCAGAAACTGCACCCGGTTGGACATGGCAGTGGGGTCGTCGGGTCCGTACTTGAGTTTTCCGTCCCGACCCTCCTTGGTGAAGTCCACGCCGTACTTTTGACGCAGCTGTTCTTGGGTCATGGGAGTGCCATCCTCGTTCTTCATGAACTTGGGTTTGTTGTCTTCCGAATTGCTTTTGTCCGCCATTGTCTTGATATCGAGGGTATTGAGAGAGAATCCACTGTAGATAGCGGGCAAGGGTTGGTATGGAGGCAACAAACTCTGTTGTGCGTCTGGGATGCACAAGATGAAATTTCCCAATATGATTCCGAATCGTTGGATGAACCACACTTGAACCTCAAACCAACGTCAAAGTATTTATCATGTCCGCCGAGTCCACCTGCCGAAGATGCGACGGTCCAACGGCGATCAAAACGCGCCAGGCAAACTTTTGCCAGCCTTGTTTCATCACCTTTATTCAGCAGAAACAGAGAAAGGCCATGGAGGGATGCAAGGTGTTGTTTGCACGACCAGGCTGTGTACTTCCTCCAGCTATTAACATTCTGGTGCCAATCTCGTTTGGTCAGTCGTCACTGGCTTTGCTCGACATGGCGCACGCCCAGCTGGAAGAACAGGCCAAGACGTATGAAAACGCTGCAGGCTTCACTCTCAACGCCGTGTTCATCGACTGTTCTGAAGCTGATCCACTGGAAAAGGAGCCCAATCAGATCATCAGCGAGCTGGAGAAACGGTTCGCACATGCCAAATTTACCTGCATTCCGCTTTCAAAGGCTTTTGAGGGCGCTTCTTCTGTCACTCTTAAACACAACAGAGATTACACCTCGTTCGTGTCCGGTATATCCGAGGAACCCACCTCTGTGCAGCAGCTGCTTTCGTGTATCGGCACAAAATCTGCTCGAGAAGACATCATTTCTGTGCTCCAACGCCATCTCATCATTGAAGAAGCTAAGAAGCAAAATGAATCCCTTCCTACAACCGTAGCATGGGGACACAATGCTACCCGGTTGGCAGAACTAACTCTCAGTCTGACAATCAAGGGGCGAGGAAACCGAATTCACGCACAGGTGCTCGAACATAAGAACCCCAAGGACTCCATTTCTGGTCTCCCCGAAATCCATCCTCTTAACGATGTGCTTTCCTACGAGATTCCCTTTTACAACTCGTTCAGAAACGTGTCTGATCTCGCTGTCGACACCGTCTCAAAGCCCTCGCAGGTGACCAAGAACCTGTCGATAGATCAGCTCATGCACCAATACTTTGAAAATATCCAGACAAACTTCCCCTCTATTGCATCGACAGTCGTGAGAACCGCTGCCAAATTGGATGACCCTAATGCTGCCAAACAAGGACTCACTCCCTGCCTCATCTGTGCATCCCCAGTTGACCCTAACCAGTCGCTTGCATGGCTCACAAACATCACCGTCAATGAGCCTGCTGCCCCCGAAACAGAAGAAGAGGAGGAGCTAAGTAAAAAGGCGCATATGGAAAAATCCCAGGAAAAGACGGGTGATGCGGATAGACATCTGCCAGTACCCAACCTTTGTTACGGATGCATCATCACTATTAGAGACACTGACAGCTTCACTTTTCCTAAACGAGCTTCCAAACAGGATATTCTCGATGAGTTTACGCTCTAAGCCAGGAAGGGGCTTTCGTATCATAACTAATTTATTGTATATTGCACAAGACAGTAGAGGCTACCCGATTGGTGCAGTAATTACACATATTTCTGATACGTAGACGACTCTACAATACAGACGAGCCTTTGCTGTATTAGTTAATCGATGCCTGTAGCCTTACTAACAAGTTGAGTAGCTCTTCACAAGTATCGACAATAGAAATGTCCGCAGCATTGGTTGTGTTTGCTGAATATGGTGACTCGTTCCATCAGGTCCTCCAGCTAGATAATATACTCCCGCGCTCATTAGTTTGCTTGATCACAAGCTGTTCCATAATTATGTAATCCGTTATATAAATACAAGGACCTGCCTATACGCTACACACTGATCATAGCTAAAACAACTCCTTGAAATGCTCAATCATGAACAACGTTGAATCACTCTTGTGATGCACGTCGGCGATTTCCCGTTCGCCGGACGTGGCCCGTGCTAAAGTTGGGGCAAACACCATGGCCAGGTTCTTGTTGCTCATCAGATTGGTCTCGGCATGTTGAGTCACCCGGTTGAGATGTGTGCATAGTCGAGCCAGACATAGCGAATGAGCTGTAGGCAGCTTTTGTAACACCTCCCGCATCTTTTCCACCTTCACTTTGTTATCCTGATGAACACTAGACACCTGGATGAAGGCGTCATAGCTAGAGGCAGAAATGAGGGGATCAGGCAAATACCGCAGGTACTGCTTGAGAGCAGAAGCTACTCCATTGATGTCGCCGCTGAGAATCTCCTCGTAGTTGGCCCGCTCGTCGTAATGTTCGAACCGAGCTTCAATCTGCTCAATCTGTGTTCGGGCACCAGACTTCCTGTAGATACCCTCCTGAAGCATGCCTCGTCGCTCCACCTCCTCAATGCACTTGGTCACAATGGCTGGCACCTTGTTGCCCTCAATCTGACATCGTCGGGTGATGGACACCTTGAGCAGACTGCTGACTTCGGAGTCAGGAGGAGAACTTACCGCACCGGAGGCACTCTGTGCAATAGTAGCAGTGTTGGTGGTGTTGGAGCTGTTGTTTCCACTGCTTCCGCCCTTGAACCAGCCGTTTCTAGTTTTCGTTGGTTTGCCAGACGGAAACGAAATGTTCAGACCCGTGTTAACCGAGGTTGAGTGGGACAGGCCACCGCTCTCGTGCTGACCCGACGACGAGGGAGACAGAGCTGAGGGCTCCAGGTTGGTTACGGCAGGGTGCTCGCTGGTATGAGGCTGCTCAAACACCTTGGTGAAGCCCTTGACGGCACCCTTGGTAACGGCAGCCTTGGGTCGCTTCCAGAACCGTCGAGCCGTTTGTCGGTCTCGCTTCGTGTCCACCACTTGGCCAGCCTCAAGGACAGTCACAGTAGGCTCCTCGTGGTCGTCCAGATTTGTCACCGCAGGAGTATGTCCACCAGCAGGTAGGTGGTTTGAAGAAGAAGAAGCAGAACCAGACGTGACAGGAACCCGCTCCACAGAGCTGCCGGGAGGACCGTTGGTGTACTCATCAGGATGGTAAGCCTGCACAATGAGGTTGCCAATGTGGCTGAGTCCCCCTTCCTCTCGAGGAGCGGGAGCAGGAGCAGGAACAGGAGGAGTCGATCTGTTAGAATCCTTCTTGAATCCGAAAAGGTTTCCACCGGCAGACTTGCTCGCGCTGGTGCTGTTCATCATCGCGGAGCCATGCGTGGGATGGTACTTGTCAATGAGGTTGTTGGTGAGCTCATTATTGAGGTCAGTCAGCTGGGAATTCTTGACGTTGAGAATCGTCATCTCTTCACAAGCCTCCTTCTTTCGCCGGCTCAGATCCTCCACTTCCACAGCCAGTGCCTCCTTTGCCACAGACAGGGTGGCAATCTCGTCCTGCAGCTGCGTCTTTAGAATCGCCATTTGGGCGGTAAACTCCTCAATCATGGCCTGAGGGTCGTCATGGCCCTTGGCCTCCTTGAGAGACGCCAGCTCTCGTCGCGCAACTTCTCCCTGGGCGTGCAGAACCGCAATAGTCTTTCGCTTCTCCGACAAAGTAGAGTCGTCGTCAGCTGCAGAAGTTGCGGGCTGCGAAGGGCCTGATTGAAGCTGTCGTTCCAGCTCAGCAATGCGTTTTTGAGCAGCAACCAGCTCGTTTCGCAGTGCAGTGGTGACCGAAGCGTCGTCCGAAACACTAGGTCGTCGGTCAGCAGAGGGCGGGTACCGCGGCGACTGATGCGAATCTGAAATGCTTCTCTGGTGGCCCAGAGACGACGTAGGCGAAGTTATAGTTTTCTGCAGAGGCGAGTGCTGGCTCTGGTGGTGGCCCTGATTGAACGGCAGTGGGTTGGAGATCATGCCGGTCAGCTCGGAGTCAAAATCAATGGCAGAAGAAGCCTGCAGGATGGGCAGCGAAATGTCAGGCGTCTTGAGCCGGTCCTTGTTGGCTCCTCCATTGGAGTCCGTTCTTCGATGCCAGGGAGAGGATCGAGAGGGAGTCACCATGGAATGGTTAGGAGCAGCGTTTGCGGCAGTTCGACCGGGGGTTCCTGGAGTTGCATTGCCGACATTCTTGTGGAACACGCTGCCTGCCCGAGAATGTGTGCTCGACGAAGAGCCCAGACGATCTCGCTTCTGAGGGGTATGTGGCACCGGCGAGTCATAGTTGTTGTTAGCATAGAGCGCCGCGTCAATCTCCTCGCCGTCGTCCAGCACAATCTGCTGGGACCTGTTGGCCGAGTTTGTATGAGCGTCGTGTCGAGGAGACAAGGGAGAGAAGGGGGCAGCTACGCCGTGCTTGGAGGGTTCGGGAGTCAGGTTCTTGTTTGTGTTACCGCTGCTTCCCGAGTCAAGGCTGCCTCGAGTGTGCTCTCCGGAAGGTCGGGGAGACTGGCCTCGTCGATGAGACCGTTCAGGGACCTCTCCCTGCCACATCTGCGGCGTCTGCTGCTGATGCTGCTGCTGTGCAGTGGGCATAAGAGTGCCGTGCAGAGCGTGTGACAGAGCCCTATGGCGACTTCGCTCCTCCTCTTCAGGTTGCAGGTGCTGATTCTGGGGAGTGGCAGAAGCACCCTGGGGCGCCTTCGTGGGCGATATCTTGGGCGTGACGGTGATGCCCGAGTCGGTGGATCTGGTAGAAACGTTGCTCTCAACCTCGTCGCGCTGAGGAGACGGGGACGAGGCGACAGAGCTGGAGACGGTAGCTTCTGAAGACGTCTCTCGAGAAGGGTCGGTTGTCTCGGACTCCTCGTGTTGACATTCAACAACAGTTCCCTCCTTGGACTCCTTCTCTTTGCTATGAATACCCTCGGATCCAATACTGATGAATCCCTCGCCCTCACCAATGGGGGACTGGTTTTCCTTGTCGCTCTCGGTGGGTTGTTTAGCCACAGAAGACGACTTTTGTGTATGCATGTCGTCTCTGAGCGAGTGTCGGGGCGAGTAGTGGTGGGTCGAAGGAGGTGTGGAAACGGCAGAGGAGCTGTCCACCAGAGGTTCGTGACCAGGTTGGGCTCGAACTGCGTCCTCGAACTGTGGCGATTGGTCTTTGTCTGAGCCTCCAGAAGTGGGCGTCAAAAACGGCATAGTGGAGTTTGAGATGGCCGACAGTCGTTTCTCGGACTCCTCCAAGTCGCCCAGACCTAGAGGAATCTCCTGGATATATGACTGGTGCCGCATAGACTCTTGTGATGTGGTGTTTTTGAGATTGTGGAGGTTTTGAAGCGAATCCTGTCGCGGTTTTGGTGGTGGTCGAGTCTCCTCCTTCATGTTGTTATGAGATGTGTTTTCGAAAGGCGTCGAGTCGCGCGAAATGTTTGCGCCAGCAACGGTGGGAACAGGTGAAGAGGAATTGTCTTTGGGAGGCAGTTGAGGCAGGTCCTTGTCCTTGAACGACGAGTTGTTGCGCTGTATGGATGGTCGGAACGAGTGCCTGTGTGACCGCACAGACTCGTCGGTGCCTGTTCTGTGTAGCTGGGGCGCCGTGATGGGGATGGTGTAGTCCGAATGCTTTGAGTCGACCGAGTCGCGGTGGGAGGGGTTCATTAGGGCCTCTCGCTCGCGGGCTTCGCGTTCGCGACGGGCGGCCTTTTGTTTACGTTTCTTGGCCAGTAACGCCTCGTGGCAGGTCATACAGAAGATTCCCTGGGACGTGCGGGCGTAGCGCAGGTCTTCAATCTTCTTTTTGCAGTTGCGACAGCAGAAGCACGACGAGCAAAATGCCTGGTCGCCGGTGAGAATCGCCAGATCATCGATTTTTTTGCCGCAGCCGTAGCAGTGGTAGGAGCAATTGGCGCAGATCAGCGACCCGTTTCCGAGCACCAGCAAGTTGGTGTCTCCGTCAAGTAGCGAGTCACATGACGAACATCGGAAGCCTATGTTAGATGCCTTACTTTGGTGATGATGTCTCCGTTTGTTGTGGAATACTCACATTCAACATGCCATCTGTTTCCTCCTAGCTCGTAGGCTCTTCCTTCTTCTAGTATCTGTGTTAGCAGGCCGTTGGGCTCAGACGTGTGGAAATCCAGTGGTGACTCACCTTGGAGCACTTTTTGCAAAAGTGGACCTCGTTGTCTTCTGGGTCCAGAGAGGACACGATGGACTCGGGCGAATCCATGTTTGCAACTGCCTCTGAAAATGGTATGAAGAAGCTTTCGTGTGTGACCGAGCTCGAGTCGTTGCCGCTGTCGTTGTTGTTGCTGTTGTTTTTTTCGTTGCGATCAGATATCTGGCTGCTAGAAACCAGTCTCTTCACAGTCTGTTCGTCGCCTTGGTACTCCGTGTGGTGATGGTGATGTCTGTCGCTGCGAGTATGTTCGGAGATGCACACGTCGGATGTGCCTTTAGTGAGCAGGAGCCAAAGCGTAAAAATGGTGTACTGTGTAGCCCAAAGGCTTAACTGTAAATGTCAGAAGCCTAAGTGGAACCAATTGGAGTGAAGCCTAAAAAGACGCCTCTGTCTCAGACGCTTAGACCCGTAGCCCAGAACTGTTACGGGACGAACCAGGGGGGTGGGGGAGGATGAGGGGACGCGGGGCATGGAGAGGACCATGGACGCCATGGGGGGCCGGTTTCCAGCGCCATCTACAACCAACGACGCCTCGTCTCCACTTACACTCCTCCCTCTCAGACTCAGCCTCTCCTCTGGATATGCCATGATATGCGCGCGCTCCAACTGCACTGGAGAAACCGAAATAGACCGGACGCGTGCATAGCAATGTACAGCTGCTACTAAAGATCGTTTGGCACCGATAAGTGTCATTGTTCGACGCCTTTTTTTTTTTTTTTTTAATCTCTTGTAGAGGGTGATGCGGTGTTTGGTGCGAGCATAGTATCGTCCACACTGGCACTGATGCCACCACCATACACTACTGTACGAGTACTGTACATACTCGACTCGTATGTGATATAAGTACTCTATGCTGGGCCACCTAAGGCTCGTATCTCTTCCACTTTAAGTGATCTACAGACCAGTCCGGTTAACACCAAGGGGCCGCCAGCCGCTCACACAGTCGAATTCGGACCCTCCCACGCGTCAACAAGGTCCAAAAACGATAAACTCGAGGATCAGCGCCTTACCCCTTTCCCCTTAATTCCACCGTGTAGGCCCCTATTTGGAGTTTAAAGGACAAGCGAGAGAGTCTGGCGGCAGCACAGTGGGATAATATGGGGGCGCTACCGTAGTACTGTGGAGGTTTTATTTCGACGACGGGTCCGGCCACCTCCTACCGTGGATCCCAACTCTACCGATTCTATAGCTCCTTACGCTCAACGTTAGTCTCTGGCTGTACCAGCACGTACCAGAACGTCGTCCAAACTCGCACGTACATTACAGTGCTCCCAAAGTGGATGAATGGACAGCCTGAAGGGTGGACGCTGCAAATGAACACTACAAATGAACGTCAATGGTAAGTTGATTGTGAGCTCGTATACTTGCCCATACGAGGCCAACCGCGCGATGCAACCCGAAGTGTAGCACTCCAAGCACAAGTACTGTACTGGCGCTCGTACACACACGAATAAGTCACATCATAAAGGCACAAGTCCGTGCTGCTCACACCTGTTCATGCAGCCACTCACGCCCACCCACGGCTGCTATTTTAAGATGCTCGATGGACTACGTCATAGAACCGCCGCTGTATACATTTTACGATTTTACGAGCAGCACTTCCAGACAATGTACATAAAAGTACATGGTACCAATACACACGATAGTCCACGGAACCCCATCTAAAATGTCTAGATCCCGGTTTAAATCGCCCGATTCTCGTCCCCTCCTCGTCCACATCCGGTGACAGGTGTGTCTTTGTCTCAATGACGTGTTCCGTACGTCTTACAGCCGTCGTCCCCGTCACCACCAATAGCCCGATCTGCACTGTTGACGCGGGGTAGTACAAGCAATACAACCAATGGTTGATTAGGAGCTGGGTTGGTGGTACAATCACTCTTGGATGGTGTGTGACCTGGCAATTGTCTGTGGTGTCAACGCAACTATCGTACGTGTGCACTGATCCCCATTGTGTTGCTCCAGTAGGCGGTCCTGGTAGCGCTGTCTCTCCTTGGCTGTTTCATCGTGAGTCAAAAATAGCTGGCAAATGAAAGATGGGAAAAGTGGGCTCCGCGCAACAAGTACAAGTACAGTACAAGTACAATTGCAACGTGTTTCATGATATCCAACTCTATGCCGATTGTTTACAACCTATGTGTATCGTACGTACCAGAGCCACGTGAGCTGCCGCATTATGATAACGCTGCCAGCTGTATTCAGATGGTAACAGATCTGGCACCAGTACGTGGATGTGTATGAGTACCTACTCGTAGTTGCTTCTACTCATAACTGCTTGTACTCATACCTTCTTACTCATAACTGCTTGTACCCCCATGGCATGTCAACAACAGTAACAACAGCTCTCCACAACATTCAAAACATACTGTACGAAGACGTTGACTGTTGAATGTCTCACCCTGTATCATCTTCCAGACTTACAAGGGCGCGAATCACGCACAGGCACAATATTAGCCCTCCCCACAGTCTCCACAGAACAAGCAAGATCGTATCGTACAGTAGCCTACATACTGTAGCTCTTATTCCTACCCTTCCATAATTCCTTCCATCCTTTCCGACACTATAATTAGCTTGCACGGTCTACACCCACACCCCACCAAACGGAAACAGTAGCTGCAAACACGTCACGGATTCTCCACATTCCGTGTCGCCAAGACGTTTTGATTGGCGAATGGCAAAATCACAACCAGCTAGAGCCTTATGACGTCACCTACAAGTATCTCCCCCTTCGGCCAACCCCAACCCTAATCATGCATCGACGTGCAGAAAATTCAGGCAGAACAAAAAAAATTAGGCAGTCTGCATACCAAAAAATTCAGGCGTGAATCCACATACACAAGCCTGACCAAAATGAGCGAAACTGGATCGAATTTAGATCCCGCCAACGTGGACGCCACGACATTGCCTCCGATTGGCGTTCCTGAAGCTCCGGCGCAAGCGGCATCTCCGCATTTGGCTACTGAAGAGCCTTCTCCCGACACAGTCCAATTAGCAGCTGTTGATGAAGTTGATCATCAGCAGACTGCTTCTATCGCTACTTCTGCTGCCTCCCAGCTGCCTATAATGGAGCCTGCTGTGATGGATGCTGGCTCTGAAGCTGCTCAGGTGGATGTCATGGCTGTTGATGCTAATGAGCCTGCAAGTAATCTTGGTGATCCTGCTGCTGACAGCCGACCTATCGCCAATGGAGAGACGACCCAGACCAACATGGCTAATTTGGATCCTCCTCAGAACGAGGTCAGAACCATGGCCAACGGAGAGACCATGGCTGTGACCTATGCTGACTTGGGGGGTCCTTCTGATGAGATCAACTCAGAGCCTGCAAAAGACATCAAGACTGCTGCAGATGGAGAAACTATCGCTGCATCTTCTGCCAATCTTGGTCCTGAAGAATCTGCTCAGACCGTTGAGCCTGTCGCCGAGATCATGGTTGAACCCGCCCAGATTAAGACAGCAATTGATGGAGAAATTACTGCTGAGACGTCAGCTGATTTAGGTGGAGTTGCGGACTCTGCTGGTACGGTTAAGTCAGTCACTGATGGAGAGACGTTGGCTTCAACTTCTGCTGATCTCGGAGGACCTGCTGAAGGGAATCTTGAGCCTGCTAACGTGAATATAGCTACTGATGGAGAAACCATTGCCTCTACATCGGCTGATCTTGGAGGACCTGCGGCTGATGTGAACATGGCTGATGTGAAAACGGCTACCGACGGTGAAACGAAGGGCGAATCTGAAGGCAAGATTGATCCTGATACTGAGAGGAAGGAACAACCTGGAGACATAGTTGTTGACACTGGAGATGCTATTGATCGCGCTCTGGCTGAGGAGGCTGCTGAGGCTTCTGATTCGTCGTCAGACTCTTCGTCAGATGATTCTTCGTCAGATGACTCTGATTCCGAGTCGGATGGAGACCCTGAAGAGACCAATGTGGCTGGCGAGGAGGAGGAGGATTCTACTGGACCTCTCAAGACTGCCAACGAGCAGATTGATGAACCCATCCCCCAGCTCCCCGAGGGATTCGCCATCAGCGAAAAGACTGCCATTGAGCATGTGGGAACCCTCCAGTCGGTGACCAACAGAACAGCTGTGATCAAGGCCACCGTCTCTGGGGAGTTCCGGGTTCTTGGAGACGACACAATCTTCTGTTTCGAAGACAAGACCATTGTGGGAGTTCTGTTTGAGACCTTTGGACTTGTCAAGATGCCCTTTTACTCTGTGCGGGTCAGCTCGGATGAAGAGGCTGCTGCCCTGAAGGAAAAGGTCGGGTCTCCCATCTACTATGTTGCTGGACACGCCAACTTTCTGTATACAGATCGAATCAAGAGCATTAAGGGCTCAGATGCGTCCAATAACTACGACGAGGAGGTACCCGAGGAGGAGCAGGAGTTTTCCGATGACCAGGCCGAGATGGAGGTCAAGTCTGCTCGAAAGAAGAAGAAGAAGGCCAAGAAGCGAGCTGATGGAGGGGAGAACGAGGACGCTCCCAAGGAGGTCAAGAGACAGAGGAACGACCGGTACAAGGAACGAACGGATAACAGGCAGGGAGGAGGTAACAACTACAACAGCGACAGCCGATACCACAACAACAACCATGGCAGTGGATACAGTAACAGCAACAACCAGAACAATAACAATCAAATGTATCCACTAATGCCTGGAGGAATGAGTTTCCCGGGGATGGGCATGGGCATGGGCATGCCACCTATGCCTCCCATGCCCGGTATGTCTCCCTTGCCCGGTATGCCTCCAATGCCCGGCATGCCTATGATGCCACCTGGAATGCCGTTTATGGCCCCAGACCAGATGCTGCAGATGCAACAGCACTTTGCGCAGATGCAACAACAGCAGCAGCAGCAGGCCATGTCTCAGGGCATGTCTCAGCAGCAGATGCAACAGTGGCAGCTCCAGCAGCTCCAGATGCAGCAGGCAGCCATGTTCCCCCCTCCAAACAACAGCAACAACCGGCATAATGACCAGGGTCAAGGTCACCAGGATAGAAATAACCCCAGACCCTATTCCTAGGGATACTATTTAATTTAATGTATACTTTAGACCACTTGTAGTTCGTGAGGTCTAGCCGTTTCACTGGTACTCGTACTATACCATAGGACACTGCCACCCCTTTGAATCAATGAGATTGCTTGAAAAAACACACCAGAATCTTTCACCCCCTTCATTCTAGTCCACGCGCTAGTTGACAATGGTGCTTAAAGGATCATCGTGGTTGGTGAGGCCTGTATCTCGTTCGTATCGTACAAGTAGGCATTTGACGTTTAATTGTTCGACGCAAACAGTGAACCACACCATTCTTTCCGACTGTCATTGCAATTCTGCAACCCCTGGTGGTGTTTCCGCGTATCTCCCTACAGGCCTGATATAAAAAAGTGGACTAGTGTGCGCTAGCGTGCAGTTAGTGGTTTGTAGAAGAATAGTATCAACTGTGTCAATATAACGAATTTACTTTCATTGTAGCATTACCAATGAACGTGCCCCCACAATGGCTTAGTTGTTGGTATCAATATGTGTCATTCATGGCTCTTATCGGTGTTACAAGTACATACTTGTAGCTATAGGTTTTTATTGTGGAAATCCTTCTGCCGCACATTTTTACTGGACCATGACACTAAACGTGTTTAATTAGTAATATTCGTGTAAGCGTACATTCATTTCAAAGGTTATTCTTTCACGGCAAAGTTATAATTAAATGAATGTATATGCAGAAAAAAAAAAAAAAACAGGATCTAGGTATTTCGATAGATGTTTTCGAAGTAGGGGAACGGTTGCAACTGTTGGATTTGCTTGTCCTACTTGTACTTGTACAAATAACAAAGACGTTGCAATTTTCAGAATAATTTTGGCCAAATTTGGTCCAATGTTACATTCATTTGTGGGAGCTACTTTGGGTGGGCATGCAGAGTCCGAAGTTGAGCGAAGAATGCTGGTTTCTGAAGAATTTCCAGAAACGAGAAGAAAGATATGATTTCGAAGCGTCAAACTGCTGTCTTATTCGTTTTTACCTGCCAATTGTAGCTTTTGGTTATGTTTTTTTTCGTATCGTCATGTTGGAGCTGTCATACCCTTGTACAACTGATACAGAAAGTACAAGTAAATACAATGTCACGATACAATGTTCAAAGTACAAGTATGCAGCGTATCGCTGAATGCAGAAGCCCTTACCTATATATATCTCTTCCTACTTGGATTTGGCCACCACCTCCAATGCACTTTCCACGGCCTCCTTGGGAAACCCCGCAGCTTGGGCAATCTGGATTCCATGCGAGTCCTGGCTGATACCCGGTACAATTCGTCTGGTGAACTGCACTCCCTCTAGGGTCAGAGAGTACAGACTGTGAGCTGTCCGCTGGAAAGGGTCTACTGCTAGCAGATTCTTGCTGGAGTAGTCCTCCTTTTCAAGCACTTCAGACATGTAGTATGCAATTCCGGAAGTGTCGTAGTTGTCAGGGAACAAATTTGTGATCTCGTTAGCAAAATGGGTCGCAAACAGAACTCTGGACTTGGAAAAACGGTACAGGTAATCCAGCGTAGCGTATGCGACAGCAATACCATCTCTGAAGGATGTTCCTCGTCCTACTTCGTCCAGGATAACCATAGATTTGGGTCCTGCTTGACGCAAGATGACAGAAGTCTCAATCATCTCCACCATGAAGGACGACTTGTTTCGGAACAGGTCGTCGGCCACACCAGCTCGCACAAATAGTCGGTCCACCAAACCAATCTGAGCCGATTTCGCAGGCACAAACGAGCCCATTTGAGCCAGCAGCACGATTATGGCGTTCTGACGCAGAAAAGTCGATTTTCCGCCCATGTTGGGGCCACTGACAACCCACACATATTGATCTTCGGGGTCCAGGCGGCACGTATTGGACACAAACTGCGTTCCTCCTACCCTCAACGAATGTTGAACAGTCAAATGACGTCCGTCGACAATCTCAGTGGGCCCTGATTCGACAGTAGTCGGTCGAACCATGTTGAATTCATTTGCTAGATTAGCCAGGGAAATGACAGTGTCAATGTAGGCTAAAGACGCGCCTACAGCTCGGATATCCTGATGCTTGTCCTTGATATTCTCCATCAGCCCGTCCAATATCGTTTTGGCCTCCTGTCTGATCTTGACATGGACATCGTCCATATTCTGAGCCAGTTTGACCCACTCAGGAAACACAAACGAACACAAAGACTTTCGTTTGGTAACTTCACAGCCCATGAACTGGTCAGGCATGTTATTGGGACGTCCAGAGATTGATACCACCGGGCCCATAACATTCACCTTGAGCTCCACCTTGCGTCTGGATGACCGAAACTTAGGGAACAGCTTCGTCATCTCCTCCACAATGTCCTCCTGAAGCTGTGTCTTTTTGTTATGCAGTTTGTCCAGAGTCTTGCACAGCTTTGTCATCTTGGGGGATGCCTCAGGACGAATCTCACACTCCAGCTGTCCGAAAGAGAACTCAGAAGACTCAGATTCTTCTCCAGATCCAGAACTTTCCGACAATGACGTGTCCACATCTCTCCGTTCAATGGTAGAATAAATAGTCTCGACTAAATCCATAGGAACCTGTTTCAGACGTTCCATTTGCTCAAGTAGCGACTCTGGAAGAGCAGATTTCGCGTGTTCGGTTTGTAATCGATGATACATATCGTTTACAAGCAAACAGCTGTCTGCAAACTCGAGCAGCTGGTAAGGCTTACCTCTGTTAATGGCAAACATGTTGGCAATTCGAAGAATGTCTTTGACCTGGGCCATTTGAGCCGATAGTGACAACGACAGCGGATTACGTGTTTTGAATGTCTCCACTGAGTCCAGTCGTCTCTCAATCTCTTGCTTGTGGTTCAAAGGAGCTGATAGCCACTCTGTCAGACACCGTGTTCCAGCATCCGTTTTCGTTCCGTTGAGGGTAGACAGCAAGGAACCCTTGGTTCGAGCGTCTCTCATGGTCTTGAACAGCTCCAGAGCCTCGATACTTCTCGAGTCAATCTTCATAATATGTTCGGTCGACAGCTCGACATTGGGAGGATCGAAAGTGAGAGTTCCAAGCGGGAAATGCGATTTCGAGTACTCCAAAGCCATAGCAAGGGCCTTGAGAGCATGACTATCAATTTGGGTGAGAGTGTCATTAATGTAAGCTTTTGGAACCCGGAAAAACGGCTCGAACTCGAAATCGGTAGTAGAAGTAGCTGGCTGAGAGTATGACAGAGGAGCCGACCGCAACTCCACCAACTCGGGGTAAAACTCGCCGTTCTCAAGCTCCAGTTCCTTCATTCGTTTTTCCATGACAATCTCCTGGGGTTTGATGCGCGCAATATCAGATGCAAGATTTCCAAGACTAGATCGGGACACAGAACACGTTCCCAGCGAAACATCCAGCCAGCAGATTCCTACGGGAGTTTCAGCCACGTCTTTGGTCTCATCGGGGCGTCTTATCGACTCGGGAGCAATCCAAATGCTCATCAGGTAGTTGTATCTGTTTGTAGGTAGGAAGTCCTCATCAATAAGCGTTCCTGGGGTGTAGATACGAGTCACAGGTCTTGAAAACATCAAACTTGTGCTGGAATCATCTGTTTCAACCTGCTCACATATCACCACCTTCTGCTGGTACGTCTCAACCAGAATCTTCAGGTACTTGGCCAGCTGTGTCAGAGGGAACCCAGTCATGCTAGTGAGCTTGCCCTTGTTGTAGGTCTTCTTTCCCACCTTCAGATGCAGTTCCGAGCCCCATTTGTCCGCATGAGAGCCATAAAATTCGTAAAATGAGCCCACCTGTGTCAAAACAACGCTGTCCGGATACTGGCTCATCACCGAAAACACACCAGAAACCACATCCGACGGCGACACCTCACTGAGACCCTTTGAAGGCGGAAGACCAGTTACATTGTCATCTTCCAAAACCGTCGATTCGAGTTCTACCAACTCTATCGTCTCCGAGGTTGTCTGGAACTTCTTGCGAGCGGCCTTGCCAGTCTTGAAGGCCACAATCTCCGAACTCGTGGGCCAGGCCTGGTGAGGAGTGTACGGTTGCTGTCGAGAGGTCCGCGTCACGTGAATGCCACGTGATAACACGTTGACCCGTCTCAGAACCTTCTGAGAGACCCTTTTCATGGTGCTCAATGGTGTATAGTTGAAATTTCATGTCGCGTCATAAAACGCTAAATGGAATTCGTGTTTATATCATTAGAGTTTGGAGGGCGAAGAAGAGGGTCTCTGTTATGGGGTATATTAGTATGACGAGTGTTTGGTTTTTTTACATTGATATATTGAATATATTGGCGTAAATTGATTCCATATTTTTTCATCCCTTTACCCGTCCTATTTACTTTCTTTTTGAGAGGTCCTAAGCTACAATATGTACACACATGCATCTCACAGGCACCGTCTACTTGTAGCTACTGGTAGGAGATGGATTTTCAGGGGTGATAGGGCATTTGAAGTGTTATTATAGTATACTCAAACCTGACAGTCTTTAATGCATATCTATTGACCCCTATATTGTGATAAAGCTACATGTCAACACTAGTATCAACCCTCACAACGACTTTGCCGGTGGAATGACCACCCTCCACCTTCTCCATGGCCTGTCGGGCATTGCGAATATCAAACATGGTATCAATAACGGGCTTGATCTGGCCTTTCTCGATGTACTCCTTGATTTCAGCCAGATCGGCTCCGGAAGGTCGACCCGAGAAAGCATGATATTGCACTCCATATAGCCGTCGAATGGCGTATGCAGTAACATTCACTACCTTGAGCGCCTTGGCGAGCACAAACGGAACCTCATAGTTGAACGTGTCGTGAATAGCTTCAGGAGACGGAATACCTCTCAGAGCAACCACGTAGCCCCCTCGCTTCGTGATGGCGGCGTGGGCATAAGGCTCGTTGGACACGTCGAAGCTGAAGTCCACGTTCTTGACCACCTGGCGAAAATTCACCTTTGTGTAGTCAATCACAACGTCTGCGCCCAGGTCCCGCAGTAGCTGCGCCTTGTCCTCGGTGGCTGTTGTGATGACGTGGCAGCCATACACATGTTTGGCCAGCTGGATCGCAAAAGTGCCGACTCCACCAGCACCTTTTGAGATGAAGATGGTCTGGCCATTCTTCAGGTTGCCAGCTCGAAAAGCCTGTACCACAGCCAAACCCACCAGAGGGAAACTGCTGGCGTCGGAAAGAGACACGTTTGAAGGTGCAAGTGATACAAACTCTCCCTTGACACTCACATATTCCGCCACAGTACCTTGAGGGCCAAGTGGGATCCGACTGTAGACTCTGTCACCCACGCTGAACCCGTCTGCCTTAGGGCCCGCATCCTCAACAACGCCTGCCACGTCGTACCCGAAGATATGAGGGTGCTTGTCGGACACTAAGAACCGCAGATAGCCCCTGTTTCGAACACCGTCAATGGGATTCAGCGAGGCAGCTGCTACTTTGATCATGACGTGGTCTTCGTCGGCAAGCTGGGGTTTTGGCAGATCCTCAGCGTACTCGATCTTCTCAGGACCACCGTATCCTGTTGTGAAAGCTGCTTTCATCATGGTCGGATTGGTATCGGATTGGTATCGGGAATCGTAGTGCTAGTTGTTGAAAGTGGAGTATCACTAGCGTCTGAAACTGGCACCGCACGTTATCTTTCTGTATATATTTCGAGTCAGGTATCTCTGTGGATGTTGGAGCAGTTGATATGTAAAGACAAGGTTGAGTAACATAGGAGTATACAGAACAGACCTTAGTGGGACTTATAGTATGTACAAGTACAGGTACAAGTACAAGCAAGTACAAGTGCGAGTACTACTAGAGAACTGGAGTGACAAACAAGTAGCGGCACCAGTACCTATATAAATATACCAACCAAGCTGTATTGTACATGTACGTAGTATCTTTTCATGCCACGTATCTCAAAACGTACACCAGTGTGCAAATCTATACTAACCAACTATCATTTTTTTTTTTTTTTTTCCCTTTCGTTTCTACTTCTGCAAATTCACGCAAAAGAAATATGAATGATACCATTCCAACCGTCTCTTCAACGCGGACATTTGGGTTTCTATTTTGAGGCAGAAAACACTCAGCGCTCGCAAAATATCCACCAATCTCCTGTCTAGAACTCGCTGAAACAAGCCTGTACCATTCGGGCACAGTACGATTCGTGTCATCTCAACACAACCAAACAATTACCACCATGCATCCTTAGCTCGAGTCCAACTCGGTTAGTCCAACCAACGACTCTAAGTGCAACTCTAAAAGTGAGGGATATGGCCTCTGGTACCTTCATATCCGTTAAAGCCGTTAGACCGTTGGAGCACGGAAACGGACGGGAGAAGTTATGAGGCAAGTGCACGGACTGTTCCGTTCCTGTAGCGGGCGGTTGTTTCGGCGGCAGGCAGGCAGACCAAATCTCGGACCGCATGGTGACTGCATTGTCTGCTCATCGGCATCTTTTTCCCAACAACCACGTATAGGAGAGGAGCAAGGGTGATAGTCACGTGTTAGTGGCGTGCGATAGAGCGGTGACGATGGTGAAATAATAAGCGCGAAATCAATCGAATAATGACACAGGACTTGATTCAACTGCCTTGCTCTTGGACTTGCGCTGTTGTCACATGTTGCGAGCCTCCATCTCCTTTTTTTTAGGCTCGGGAAAAAGTTTTAACAGAGTTTGATCAGGTCCCCGCGATAACGAGAACGAAGTTTACTGTAAGTGGATGAAGGGAGGTGTAGTAGAGCGGAAGAGTGGACTCTGAGGGGTGTGACGAGAGACTGGGAGAGTGTGCGAGGACACTCGTACTATATATAGGAAGTGAGGAGCTGTATTTCCACCTGTTGCGTGGCTCCAACAGTCCCATATTCCTCCCCTCCCCAAACATCAGGAGCAATAACACATCATCTCATCCTCAGTTCATTTCACCCAACAAATGAGACACATGTTACAATGGGACCGTGCTTGTAACTATACAAGTATCAAGTTGCCCATTGTGTTGTATGTTCCAGAACCATTGTACCCGTACAAGTAGTTAAGCATAGCCCTTGTGCAAGAGTGTGTACGATCAATGTCTCAGATACGGCGGTGACTGCCGCTTCTGGCAGTCTTTCAACGCTGCGTTTCTTCGTCGATGGACCGGAAGAGCTCTCTTTACGAGCCAAAGGCTCCAAGAGTTTGGTTGTCTTGTACTCTCTATCTTTCCACACCGCCGCCCACAAGGTTCGGAACGACATCTCCCAACTCTAACTTTAAGCATGGCCTGTTGAGAAGCCATGCTATTCATCGGACACCTGTTCAACGAGTCAACAAGCGGACATAGTCGTCAAGTAGTGGCAGCACAGAGAGAGAGTCGTGCCAATGGGGGTCATGTAGTAGCACATGACGAAATAAGAGACGTTGGATTCATGTAGAACCGACGTAGTCACGTGAACACGTCCAAGGTCTTCCCCTCTTCACGTGCACGTGTAACTGGTTCTTTCACTCTCCCCCCCGCCATAAGTCGACCCATGTCACGGTTGAGACGTGGTCCCTCCACACTATCCACGCTGAGAGCAGCAGTATACCCCGGGCGGTTCCGTTCGGAGCTCTCTTGGCCAATCCGCACATGCGCATTATGCGTTTTTCAGGTGGTAACAGACGAGGAGTACGAGCGTGTTAAAGTGGCGGTTAGGAGAGGCGGGGCCCGTAGTTATATACAAGAGGTAGATGCGTGCTGGTGTTAGAGGGGCTCTCAGGATTAGGAGGAAAATTTGACATTGGCCCTCAACATATAACCTCGGGTGTGCCTCTGTTTACCCTCAGCTTTTGCTTGTCCCCAAGTCAGTCACGCCAGGCCAAAAAGGTTGGTGGATTGACAGGGAGAAAAAAAAAAGCCTAGTGGGTTTAAACTCGAGGTAAGACATTGAAATATATACCGGTCGGCATCCTGAGTCCCTTTCTCGTATTCCAACAGACCGACCATAGAAATGGATTCGACCACGCAGACCAACACCGGCACCGGCAAGGTGGCCGTGCAGCCCCCCACGGCCTTCATTAAGCCCATTGAGAAGGTGTCCGAGCCCGTCTACGACACCTTTGGCAACGAGTTCACTCCTCCAGACTACTCTATCAAGGATATTCTGGATGCCATTCCCCAGGAGTGCTACAAGCGGTCCTACGTTAAGTCCTACTCGTACGTGGCCCGAGACTGCTTCTTTATCGCCGTTTTTGCCTACATGGCCTACGCGTACCTGCCTCTTATTCCCTCGGCTTCCGGCCGAGCTGTGGCCTGGGCCATGTACTCCATTGTCCAGGGTCTGTTTGGCACCGGTCTGTGGGTTCTTGCCCACGAGTGTGGCCACTCTGCTTTCTCCGACTCTAACACCGTCAACAACGTCACCGGATGGGTTCTGCACTCCTCCATGCTGGTCCCTTACTACGCCTGGAAGCTGACCCACTCCATGCACCACAAGTCCACTGGTCACCTCACCCGTGATATGGTGTTTGTGCCCAAGGACCGAAAGGAGTTTATGGAGAACCGAGGCGCCCATGACTGGTCTGAGCTTGCTGAGGACGCTCCCCTCATGACCCTCTACGGCCTCATCACCCAGCAGGTGTTTGGATGGCCTCTGTATCTGCTGTCTAACGTTACCGGACAGAAGTACCCCAAGCTCAACAAATGGGCTGTCAACCACTTCAACCCCAACGCCCCGCTGTTTGAGAAGAAGGACTGGTTCAACATCTGGATCTCTAACGTCGGTATTGGTATCACCATGTCCGTCATCGCATACTCCATCAACCGATGGGGCCTGGCTTCCGTCACCCTCTACTACCTGATCCCCTACCTGTGGGTCAACCACTGGCTCGTGGCCATCACCTACCTGCAGCACACCGACCCCACTCTGCCCCACTACCACGCCGACCAGTGGAACTTCACCCGAGGAGCCGCCGCCACCATCGACCGAGAGTTTGGCTTCATCGGCTCCTTCTGCTTCCATGACATCATCGAGACCCACGTTCTGCACCACTACGTGTCTCGAATTCCCTTCTACAACGCCCGAATCGCCACTGAGAAGATCAAGAAGGTCATGGGCAAGCACTACCGACACGACGACACCAACTTCATCAAGTCTCTTTACACTGTCGCCCGAACCTGCCAGTTTGTTGAAGGTAAGGAAGGCATTCAGATGTTTAGAAACGTCAATGGAGTCGGAGTTGCTCCTGACGGCCTGCCTTCTAAAAAGTAGAGCTAGAAATGTTATTTGATTGTGTTTTAACTGAACAGCACCGAGCCCGAGGCTAAGCCAAGCGAAGCCGAGGGGTTGTGTAGTCCATGGACGTAACGAGTAGGCGATATCACCGCACTCGGCACTGCGTGTCTGCGTTCATGGGCGAAGTCACATTACGCTGACAACCGTTGTAGTTTCCCTTTAGTATCAATACTGTTACAAGTACCGGTACTCGTACTCGTACTGATACGAATCTGTGGGAAGAAGTCACCCTTATCAGACCTTCATACTGATGTTTCGGATATCAATAGAACTGGCATAGAGCCGTTAAAGAAGTTTCACTTAATCACTCCAACCCTCCTACTTGTAGATTCAAGCAGATCGATAAGATGGATTTGATGGTCAGTGCTAGCCTGGGCCCGAGCGTCACCATCAGTCATTCTTTACAAGTTGTTCCACTCTTCTCCCTACTTGAATCGATCTGTCTGGGCGCCTGATATTCGTTCGACTTGTACGATAGCGGGGTGTATTTCGAGCTCGCCGAAACCGGTTTTCCATGAATTTCCACCGATAATTCCATTGGCAATTCAATCGACCATAAGCGTATCCGGTAACGGTGAGACATTGAGACACCGATCGATTAGAGAGACTACTGTACGAGCAGTCTACTGTATATTAGAAGGAACAATAGGTAGTCCAACTGAGCTTTTAACTAGTGGGTGTTTTTTGAACGTGTTTGGAGATCTTATTAAGCAAAAAAAAAGCTGTGTTCACATTAACACCAACAAACCCTGCCGGTAGTTCCTTCAAAAACGCCACATGCATCAATCATCTTCAGCTTTGCCGATCTCCTCCTGCCGAGGTTACAACCAACTGGAGCCATCTTTATCGTGCCGTAGAGAAGCGCAGCCAGGGAGAGTTTGAGACCGGCAAAACGAGGGAATCGGTAGATTCTCAGAAATAATCCATATGGAGTCACGTGATCAGACTTCCCATGGACTTTTATATTGATATTTGTACTGTAGCTGGAGAGCAGAGTGCACATTGGCGATATGTAGAACAACCGACTTTTGAACTAGCCGATTTTTGACGAGTCGATTTTTAACGAGTCGATTTTTAACGAGTCGATTTTTGGCGAGTAGAATTTTGAATATTTAGCAGACTTGAAAAAGTGAAAAAGTCGAATAAATGAACTGAAATGTCGAAACAACGACATGAACAACAAACTGGCTACAGTGCCACAATTCATGCTGAGCTCACATTATCTGCACCTGGACGGAACATTTGAAACAAATGAAAAATGTAATATTCAAGTCCAAGTATTTCAATATCGGGATTATAAACGAATTTTCAACACCAGACTCTGTTCCAATACCTTCTTCCGAAACACCTTTTATTAGTTCAGACTAGGAGAGCACCTACAGATCAAACACGCTATCTACTGGGTGGTCCTCCACCGACAGATCCAGTCCAATTCATTACTGGTGTCGCATGCGACCTTGGACAGCTCACTTCTAAGTCATCTCTTCTCTATATGTTATGAAGTACATGTCCTTAAACCAGTGCATTTATACACGGCATTGGTCTCATCACTGTCTAGTCGGGGGTTGTTGGAGAGTGGTAGGGACCTACAGTCGTCAGTCTAATGCCATGATAATGACAACGCTGACAGTCTGATAAGTCCAGCGGAACTCGGGTTTGTCTTTGAAAAGGGGTTCCATACCATCCAAACATCCTTCGGAGTCCCCGTTTGGTTGAAGCATTACTCTCCCTGAACCTCGATCGCCTCCACATCCATAAAGCTCTGCATCTTCTCAAACCGCACGAGGCCCTCAGCACACTGACCTTCACTGAATCCAGTCATCTTGAACGCCTCGGAAGGAGGAATGGTCTTTCTCTTGTCCTTGACCACGTACTTGGTCAGCGCAGTGGCAGCCACGACCGGGCTCTTCTTGGATCCAATCTCAAACCGAGACTCCACAATCAGCCACTTCTGGTTCCAGCCCAGAACTCGCGACACAATTGTGTACCTTTGCAGCGGCTTGATCTCCTTCTTGAAGTTACAGTATACAGAGCCCACCGGAACATAGGCCCATCGTCCGTTGGCCTTGTGGGTGTCTCGCAGGAACTTGTTGAGCAGCCAGATCATGAGATCACTTCGAGCAATGTCCAGATCGGCAAAATAGGTCGAGTTGCTCTTGTGTACGTTGATGTCGCACTCCATCAGCGTGCACCGCGTGTCATATCGCCGCTCTGCAAACGGAGACGCGGGCTTATCCTTGACACCGTACCCCAGCCATTTGGGAAGCACACAGTACCGGTAAAAGTAGTAGAAGAAGCGAATGTGCCACGAAAAGGTGATGTTCTTGGCATTGACCACCAGAAACGCCGCCACGAGAGCCTTGACCACCAGATGCATTGTACTTGTCGGGGCGTAAGGTTACAATCCTTCCTTACACACACCCTTCGGATATTTATATACACATTGATATACACTCTGGTAAACTTTCACAGGTAAGCGAGAAACGCAAAATAACTCGCTTCGAACGTGTTAACCAATGGTGGGATTGTGGAAGATGGATGCAAGCATGTAGTAGTGAATGCCATTTGCGCATAGGTCATGTGATCAAAATGACCCCGACGGACCTTGTACACATGTCACACGCCACGCAATTGCAGGGTAGCGAACTTCAGTTCAACACGAACCCGAACACACGTACTAACTACTCGTACGGTGCTTGTAGACTTATGCATGGGCGGAGCAATAGCAAACAGCTATCGGCCGAGTTGGACAAAAGCAGGGGGCGCACTAAAGTCAACCGTAGCAAATGCCGCTTATCTGTTGCTGCCACACAGCATGAGTACAATGCTACTCTCCTTGGTGGTATCTCCCTCATGGCAGAAATTAAGTTGGATCTAACTCCTTTGAGACATTAACGGTCAAGTTCGGAAAAACAGGACGTGTCTAAACTCGGCTAGGGGACAGGTGGTGGTATATGGAGGATAGGGATGCGGTATTGACACATGGGACAGTTGATTTATTTAATCAGATAATGTGGTGTTCACACAACTATTCCGAGTTTGAGGTCCTCTTTCCTATAGCTTATGATTTAGGTGCAGATTATTGGCTACAATGAAGGAGAGAAAGGTCTCTGTAGTCTTTCAGCTGGAAAAATGGTTATTCCGGCATATCCATTTGATCAGAAAGATGGGGAGAATACACCGGTTGCAACACACAGGCTTTTTTCCTGCCAAATATGCCAGGTTGGACATATCCTTACAAGCCACATTGATCTGCATAACTCCAGGTCTATCGTCAACATGATGATCCCGCCAAAATACGGACAGGCAATATATACGAGTATCACATATTTAATAGCTGGAGAGTAAGTATTGTAATTCCCTCCAATAAATCAAGTACAAACACAAATACAAGCACGGGTACGTAACTACATCACCAATACTTGAAGATATACATGCCCTTTACCAATACTAACAAAATCGAATCCACAGGTATCAGTTGGCCATTTAATGCAGTTTGTATTTAATAAATCCTAGGTATCGTAAATTGGGAAGTGATTACTGTAGTCAGTGAATCACTTTAGAAGCGAATAGAGCAACGGCTCAGAGAACAGAGTGGATATGCTGATGTTTCACTCGATTAGTGTCTCAGAATCTCCACGATCTTGAGATGGTCGTCTCCGTCAGCATAAACAGAATACAGCTGGTCACCAATGGTCTCCAGGTGGAAGCCATCGTTGGTGTTGTACATCAACTTATCTCCGACTTTCATGAAACCGGTAGAAGCAGCTCCAATATCGTTAGGAGCAGTCAGAGTGAACTTTCCCTGGTCGTCGACCTTGACGAATCGACTGCTTCCAAGCTCCACCAGTTGACCATTGTAAGCCAGGTTCCATTTGGAGAAGTTTCCATGTTGCGCCTCGATACCATCATCTACCACAGCAAGCTGCAACATGTCCTGGCTCTCGAGAGCAAAGGGCCTTCGGTACGAGTATCCGGGCAGCTCGTTCACAAACAGAGGCTTGGCGATACCCTTGTCGTCTCCCTTTTCGTTCTTTGGACAGTTACTGCCGCAACCGTATCTGTAGATATCATAGGTGCCGTTGAAGCCAGGACATCCCCAGGCTACGGGGTAAGAGTCGAAGGCTAGGAGGTTCTTTCCAAAGGCGTCGTTGACAGAAAAGGGGGAAGAGTCGCTCTTGTTGTCAGGATTACCCTTTCCAGGCACCAGAACGGCCTTGTTGGTATGGTCGAATGCAATGTGGCCGCTGTAGACGTACTCCTTGTTGTTGTAGTTGAGGAACCCGTCGTCATCAATGTTGAACTCGTTTCCAGAGGCCGAAGTGTCCTTGCCGGTGTATCCCAGTGTCAGGCCACTCGAGTTGACGGTGACTTGCCCATCGTCGGAAATCAGATTGAAGTAGAAGTCGGACTCGGGGTACTTGTACTTGGGCTGTTTAGAGATATCTGCGGTTGAGTCTGCTGTCTGGGCAACAGGAGCAGCAACCGCCAGAGCTGCGAGGACGAGATTGGTGAAAAGCATGGTGTTGAAGAAGAGTTTCGGAGGATCTTCATCTATATATATACATCTATATATACTTATACCTGTACATCCACATGGTTGTACAATATTGCTGTGTGTGTGCTCGGATAAGCATGGTTCCTGCACTCTGTAGGGTTCAATGCATGTTTAAAAATGGCCTTGACGACGGGAAAAGGGGGAGGTTTGGACGGGGTAATAGAGATGATAGAGGGATGGAGTATTTGCGAATCAAATGTATGACACGAAATGTTTAAATTTCCCGGCAATCAGCTCTCAAACGCCTTTTTTCGTGGATTTAGGCACCTTTCAAAAATGCACTCAAAGACGACTAAGTTTGAAAGGGGTGTATAGTGGCAAGTGGACGAGTGCAAGTATCAACAAGGAAGTTTTATAGAGATTGAAATAGCAGGTGGAGCGACATTGTAGCTGCTGGAATGTAGGTAGGTTACGGGCATTCGAGCACATTTGGAAGTACTCCTCGAGTCCAATTCAGCTTCAGATCACGTCCACCATCCCCTCCAGTCACCCCATGTTTCACTCACCCCTCTGCTTAGAGTTGACATGACGTCAGAGGTACTTGAAACATGTAGCAGCTGACTTGTGCATGGAGATGGTTGGCGTGGGCGCAAGTAGGGAATGGTAAGTGGGTGGTTCGTATATCTGTATCGTGGTGCTGTAGTTTTATACCGGTTTCATACACACATCTGGTCGATAAATGTGGTTCAGAAAGGATTCAGAAAGTGTTGAGTGACTAGTTTAAAACTGTTATGGACAGATAACTGGCCAAGTAAGTTTCAACAAAAGAGAAGTCTGATGGGAAGTTGGGCATTGTCGAAATCGATTTCTGGTAAAGTCGAACAACTGAGGGGATATATCTGTATTTATTTGTTTTTCGCGGTGATTAATAGATCTTCAAGTACCGATTAAAGTGATAAAAATATGAAATATTACTATTTTAGGGAGACTTGTTAGCTCCACTTTCTTCAACTATTGTTCAACAAAATGCTTGTAGATACTGTAACTCGAAGTGGAGCCTCAGAACTGATACTTTCTTACACACCACTCACTAAAATATCATCAATAACAAAGGGATACCACCAAAGGACATGGGACATGATACTGAGTGATACAAATGACTACCCATACGTTCTAACCGTCTACTCATTCTTTCGTCAATGACAACTCTGCTACTACAAGGTAGCATCTATTCCAGTGCACTCCACACCCATTCTCCCTCCACCATCTCCTTCCACTTATCATACTACAAATCACATTAAACTAAAGGGGATAAAAACCGATATTGTTGTCACAGAAAAACTCCCAGGAATCGAAACATCAGAGTATTAATCTACTCGCACCAGATTACTCGTACTTGGCCACCAGTCGAACGGCGGTAGGAGCGCCTCCGGCACACACCACCTGGTCAATTTTGCCCCAGAAGAGCTTGAAGCCCTGGGCATCGGGGTTGGACAGACACACAAAAGCACGCTCGGAGTCGTTCATCATGAGCACGTTTCCAGAGTCGTTGGAAGTCACGCCAAACGCAACAGCGCCTTGGGCAACGTTATGGGCCTGACCCAGTCGCAGAGCCTGGTTATCGGGGTGAGCGTACATGAACTTGTTCTCGTTGACGTCGACCAGCTGACCGTGGAAAGCAATGTTGGCGGACAAAGCTCGTCTCTTGGCAGTGGAGGTGTTCTGGAGCCATGTCTGGCCATCTCGATCAACCGTGACAACCATGCCGTCGAGCTGAGAAGAAGATCGATCGGCAACAAGGCTAAAGGGGTTTCGAATTGAGTGGCCGGTCTGGTCCCGACCCTGGAGCTGGACGGTGATGGCTCGCTCGCCGTTGGGACAGGCAAATCGAGTATCGGGCGACATGTACAACTGGTACTCGGGGTCCACGGCTGGCCGAGTCTTGTACTCGTTGTTAGGAGGCGCAGAATACTGAGGAGGAGTGTATTTAGTGTCTGAGGGAGGAGAATCAACGTCCGTCTCCTTGTACCAGATCTGCTTCTTGTTGGTCTCTGTGTAGCTGAACTCCTTGGTGGCATCACCGACCTCGGCCTCAGATTCCTCAGACTGAATGTCCTCGTACTTCTGATCGTAGGTGGGGTTTCGGGCTGCCTGCCATCGCTGGTCGGGGCTTCGGTTGATGACACAGGCATAGGCAATGGCGTCCGACTGGTCCGTCTTGAAGTTACGTCGGGCAGTGGACATCTGGTTGAAGGTTCGATCCACACCCCAATGTCGGTCCGAAGTATGGCTGGGCGAGTCGCCAACGTTGATTCGCATCGCCGAGGTGGAGGGATCGATCGTGATGTGGTATTGCTCGGAATCATCGTCGTTCTCGGCGTTCAGGTTGCCCTGGGAGTCGATGAAAACCACGAACGGTCGGTTCTGGTTGGCAACCTTGAGATCCTTGTGGGCAGGGTTCCAGGGCCAGTCGGCGGGCTGACCATCCTCAGAGTACCCCTGGGGGTTACCTCCAACGTACAGATGGCCGTTTCGCTGGTAGATCTGTCGGTGGTGGAGAGTGGGGTGGTTCTCATTGGCAGCCTCCATGGAGTAGTGGTAGTCCGAGGAAGGGTAGGCGTAGTTGGAGTACCGAGACTCGGGGGACTCTACCTCCACGTCGACGGGAGCAGCAGACACCAGGGTGCCCAGAATGGCGATAAGGGTGGGGTTGGACAGTTTCATTAGTGACAGAAGTGGATGGTGAATGAAGACTCTGGAAGACGGCTCATTTATATAATGAAGGTGTGGTGGTCCCCCTAGGCAGTAACAGGATATCTTTCGGTAAGGTCCGCTTACCTCTTTGGTCAGAGAGGACTTGAAGGGATCTGGAAAGCTCGAAATGGAAGAAAGGGGGTATCTGCAATCGCCTTGTTGCAGGGTGATTGGAATGGTGTGCCTGTTCCTGTACTTTCTGTTTCCGGTAATTGAATGTGCAACAATAGTTGTCTCGGAGGGTCGTCCCTCGACCCCTTGCACCACCTTACACCCCCTGAAAATAGCTACGCAACATTCCCGTCGTACAACAACCCCATATCCTTACTCTTGCTGCTCTATCGTCGGAAGTAGTCGGACATAAGCAGGGGTCCCGTTGGACTTGCCTGAAGGGATGAGATGGGTAAGAAACAGTAAACCGATACACGGACAGCAACGGGTAACCGGAGCACCAAAAATCCCAAGTAGATCTCTGAATCGGCTTTGGAAGCGTGTAAATGGGGTGCGTTCAACGAGGTCGTCTGTGTTTCAGCTTGTCTCGGGCGTTGATAGACGAAGAGTGTTAGACACACGACAGAATGGTTTCATACTAGAACATCGATCGTGGCTGGTGTGTAAACTCCAGGGAATAACCTGTGTTTCATAGTATTGGAAACTCCAAGGGCAAGGTTGGTCGTCATCAGCTGTGTATGCTCTTGTAATTACCCATATTCAAAAATACGTAACTCTTCTACCTACAGCCATTCAATAAACATGCTCTATCAATTATATAATTTGTAACTGGACTTTTTGTTCGCTTCGATCACAGTTTCAGACTGTAACCATCCTTGGCTTTCTGATCCCTCTTCAGCTTTCCATCTAGTCCTCTCTTCTCGCCTCTCTTTCCAATCACCGTAACATTACCCTGCTTCAGAGTCTCCATGACCTGGGCCTTGGAGCCCTTGGCATCGCCCTCCTTGGAATGCACCGCAAGAGATCGCTGTCGCTCCTCCTTCTCTGCCAACTGCTTTCCTCGGGCAATCTTCTCCTTCTTCTTGGCTCGCTTTCGCTCTTCTCGGGTCATCTCAGCCTTGGTCTGAGGAAGGCCAGTCGAGCCAGCCAGTCGCTCTCTCTTATCGGCAACCTCGGGCTTGTAAACCTCCTGGGGAGCCAGCTGTTCCTCCTGGGCCAGAGCCTGGGGCTGGGCCTCCTCCATGGAGATGGCAGGAGCGTTGGTGACAATCTGGATGGATTTAGTGGGTTTGGGCTTGTAGGTCCAAGATGACAGAGAATCGAGGGTGTAGGCAACGTCGGCGTATAGGTCTTCGATTTCTCGATGGGCAGCGTCTCGCATTTCGTTAGGGGGCTCGTTCGTCGTCGATGGTTCGGTCTCTCCCATAGCCTCAGCCTCGTACAGATCAGCCAGAGACTTTTGCGACTTTTGCTCAGAGACCTCGATGAGCTTGCTCTTCTTGAACTGAGGCAGGTCGTCAAAGAAACGTCGCGGAAGGTCATCAAACTGGCCGCTCTTGATTCGGGCCTTGATCATGTCTTCCAGCGACTCGGTGACGGCCTGGGTCATGACCGGAACAGGTTTAGCTCCCCGCTCAAAGTCCAGATCCTCCTCCAGCAGCGAGTCCTTAGTTCGCTGGGCTGCTCGAGCCTCTCCCTTAAGGGTCCACTTCTTTTCGCCCACGTTTTCCTTCTCGTACTGGGCAATCTGCTTCATGATTTCCCGTTGCTGTTTCTCAAACGTCGACAGATGCTCGGGGGTGTCTTCGGCAATATCTTCCTCGAACAGATCCTTCTTAACAGAGTTGATCATGTCCTCGTATTCGTTTTCGTCCCCAGATCCCTCCATGTCGAAGTCAGCTTCGTTGTCGTCAGAACCGGCCTCGTTGTCAGACTCATCGTCAGACTCCTCATCCTTGTTCTCCAGAGCCTGTTCGGCAAGCTTTTGTCGCTTGGCAACCCGCTGCTCGTACTGCAGCTTCTTGTCAAACTTGGCCTTGCCGAAAAAGTCGTCGTACTTGATATCGTCGACCGAGTCGTCGCTCTGCTCGCCGAGCTCTTTGTTCCAATCAAAGTCGGGTCCGTCTTCTCCAAAGTTGTCAGCCTCCATGGCCATGATCTGCTTGTTGAACTTGTCGATATCGAAGAAGCCATCATTGAGACCGAATTTATCGGGCTTTTCTTCCCCTCCAGAATCGTCTTCCTCCTCCTCCTCCTCCTCCTCTTCCTCGTCGTCGTCTTCCTTTTCTTCCTCATCTTCATAATCATCAACAAGATTATCCATGTCCATATCAACATCGCTGCCTTCGTTGTCCTCCTCAGTATCGTCCTCGTCGTCCTCGTCGCCATCGTCAAAGACGTCAACTCCCTCATCCTCCTCCTCGCCAACAACCTCCTCTCCAGGAACCTCCTCCTGAGCGCTCTCATACTGGCTCTCGTCGTCACTCTCCTCTTCCTCATCTTCTTGCTCGCTGTCGGGCTGGATCTTGCCGTACTTGGGAAACACCTCGCCAATCATCTTATCACAAACGCCATCGATAACCATCTTGGCCTGAGCCCAGACCATCTCAGCATCCATATCCTGAACATGAATCTGATCAAGCACCGAGTACTGCTCTGAGAGAGGGTCCAGCGCCTCCTTGACCTTGGCAAGAGCCTGCTTCTTGAGCTCAGAATCGGGCACGGCCAACACGCTCAGCGGCTCGTCCAACGTCACAATCGTGGGAATTCCAGACATTGTGCTGTGCTTTTAGTGAATTGTGGTATAAAAAGTCCAAACTGAAAACTTGATCATGCACCCACAGGATTTTTTTCAAATAAACTCAGAGTTTAATCGGATGATTATGTAAGCGAAGGGCAATATGGGGAGAGGAATATGACATATATTTGTGGAATTATAGGGATACCGAATAGTTACAGGAAATTGAACTGGTTATAGAACTTATCATACGTTTACACCCGTCTAAGACTCTTTTACTTGCCACTTTTAGACCCAAGGCTCCCAGCTCACTAAAGTAGCTACTGCACTCACTACTTATAGTCACCCTCTTCGCACTCCACTTGTTTCATCGATTTGGTTACTCATGCTTGGACTTGAAAAAGACCTTTTTGTAGGACATGCAAAGGAGCCAGGTGGCCAACAGGTTGAATCCATGGTGGATCATGAATGCCTGCATCATTCCATAGAACAAACAGTGCAGACTGGTGTATGCCAACAAGAGAGAAGTGATGGAAGAACCACTGGGAATACGCCTGAAGGATAGGTTTTCCACAAACAGCAGTGTGGGGAGAATGGAAACGAGGTTGTGATGGGAAGAAAAGGTCATTGATCGCTGAACAACAATGCCCTGAATCCAGACTGCCAGCACAGGAGCATTTATGATACATGTCCAAGTCATGAGAACACAGATGGTGGAAATGTAGTTGTTGAATGATTGTTCCTGCGGAGCTTTGTTGGACTTGAAGTACGCAGTCATCACCAGAAGAGCCACAGTGGCCAGAGTAAAGGCCAGCTGGTAGGGAAAGAACAGCAGAACCAGAACAGAAATGACAGCCACAAAAACAGTTCTCTTGTGTAAAAGATCGCTGATAGGGTCGCCTGATTCTGACTCTGACTGGGCAGTTGTAGTGCTTTTGAAACAGAAGGACAGAAGAGAAGTCAATCCCATGACCAGTTCTGTGATCAAAACAACCATACCGGTGGAGAAGACAGTGAAGATAGGTGCCAGAACTGTCCCAGAGACTCCGCTGAGTCCTAAAAACAAGTCGTTCTTAGTGTATGAAGGGTCAACGGCAAAGGTCTTGGTAATAGGGATCTGAATGAGATGTAGAAAGTCTCTGACTTGTGAAAGTCCCGTCAAATAGGCAATACCAGACCCAGCCAAGCATGAAGTAAGTAGGTAACGGTTAATAAAGATACTTGTACTTTGTCGAAGAGACAGAAACCTGGCAGTACCTGCATGGAACTGTACCAAAAAGATTGCATACAAGATAGCAGAAGGAAGAGAAATGAAGAGAATGCGATACCGCATAAATAGGTTACCCAGAGAACCGATCCAGTCCACCCGGATAGTCACATGACCCCCTCCAAAGACCTGTAGATGAAGAGGAGATGACTGAAAATAAGGAACAAAGGGGACATCTCCATGGAACGATACGTCAACTACCCCGTTGTGAGGCACAAGGTACTTAGAGTCGTATACTCGACTAGAATTTTGTTGAACGTATTGTCGAACAAGCTGCACTCCCTTCGAGACACTGACCTTGTAAGAAACGAGTCCAGAAGTCAATTTGGGGAAGGAAATATCAGTGGAGATGGTATTGGAAGTGGAGATTGTAGCTCCGGTGACAAAGTCGAAGCTAGCGCTCTTCTGAGACACCTGATCGATGGAGATCCAGTCTGAAGAAGAAGAAACATCCAAAAGAAGGTAATGTTCAGTTTCAGCGAAGGCAATAACAGCGTCATTGCTTCCAGGGACAAGCAAAGGGAAGATCTTTCTGCATCCTTTGAACGAAGATCCAGACTTGGAGCGACATTCGAAAGCTCTGAGAAGAGATCCAGAAGACATTTCGTAGCTTTCAAAAGCAGACTCCTGGTTTACCGTATGTGTCGTCATAACCTGGACGTTTTCCCCATAATACCAGCCTGATTCTAGTTTCTGGTGTAGTCCATGTTTCACGGGAGTCACCTCCACATCCTCAAAGTCTTCCTCTGCATCTGAAAGTGTCTGCGTGCCACTAAACACCTTTCGAAACACCTCCATTCTACCATTCACATCCCGATCAATCACGTTCATAAGAGCAATGGCAATCTGGCGTCGCAGTTGATGACACCACATCATTGCATCGTGATCAATGCCTGTCCACACACGGTTGATCGAGTTGGAAAAAGTCGATAGTCCATGGGAAGAAGGTACAACGGAATCCAAGCTAATGTAGTCACTTGGCACCATGGTATCTCGTTTTCCGCCAGCGATGGAAAGCACAGTCATGTCACTCAGCGAGTTGTTGTCCGAATCAGCGTAGTTTGACCGCCAGAAGTCGTTCATTCGGTTGTACACTTTTTGAATGTCTCCATCAAAGGTAGCTGGGGGAACGAGATGGGGAGAAGCCAAGGTAAAAATGGTGGTGACAGTTCCAGGCTTGTAGTTGTCCAAACTGATGGCCAGTCTAGATACCACTCCTCCCATAGAGTGTCCTAGAAGCATCACAGAAGACACATCCTTTCCGTTATCTCTGTACATTTGCAAAATGTAGTTGATAGCGTCGTTCAGGTATTCTGCTTGGTCCAGAAGCGTGCGGCCATGCAGTGCCGAGTATGCCTCGTTGAAATCCAGCGCAAAAAAGTCGATTTCAGAGCCGCCATACTGTTCGTTCAGTTCTCGACAAGTGTCGGATATCGATCGAATCTGTCTATAACTGCCGGCGTTTCCCGGCACAAACAAAACAGGCACACCCGAGGGTCGAACCGGCAGCGGAATGTCGTAGGGCGTCGATTTCACCAGGTACAAGGAGTACTTTTCAGCCAGTCGAGAATGCTCAGTTGTAAGCCCCTCAATTGGAGAATAGGCCACCCACATTCGTGGCACCACACACGTGTCTACGTCCAGCTGATATCGCGCAAAAGACAACCATATCGCCAGCGACCCGAGGAGCGTGAAAAGAGCAATGCCGAAGTTGCTCGAGACAAGAGCCATGGTGGTGGAGTGCAGGACAACATATGCATAATTACTGAGCTAAAAATGAGATGAGGGAGACGACCATGTCAAAGTGCGAGTAGAGGTATGGGAGTGACTTGAGAAGAGAGAATAATGGTGCTAAATGACACAGAGTTGTCGCAACAAACCTCAATCCCACCAGTACATGTGCTTAAACTACGTCAAAACTGTTACACCAACATATTATGAGCTCAACATCTTCTTCAATAAAGAGCGACCAATCAAAGTCAGTTGTCTACAAGTACTTGTACAAACAATTATAAATAAATGCAATTATCTATACACCCCCAATGTGCGTCACCGTTTCCTCTTTTCTTACTCCTCCTTGACCTCCTCTTCCTCAACCACATGCTCCTCATCCATGTCCTCCAATTTGAGCTCGTCCAGCTTGACGTCCAGCTCATCATCGTAGTCTCCGTCATCCTCATCTCCATCCTCGTCTCCATCCTCATCTCCTTCTTCAGTACCGTTCTCAACATCCTTGGCGTACATGTCAATCTGGCCTCGGAGCTCGGGATCCTGCTCCAGCTCGTTGAGGAACTCCTCGTACTCGGCTCCTCCAGGTGCAGAAGGATGGGCGTTCTTCTGGTTGTCGTCGGCCTCGTTATACTCGGTGGCCATTCGTCGCAGCTTCCAGTTTCGGCTCTTCTTAGATTTCTTCTTCTCGCCGTAGTACTTCTTCACCAAGACAACATCGGGACGCTGCTCTTCGGGAATGCTCTCCCACTCATCGTGGTTGACGTTTGTGTTACCCATAAAGTATCCTAGAGCGGTGTCTCCAGGCTGCAGAATGGCGCCAATGTGTGTTCGAATGACATACTGCTGGTCGTTGACGCCGAGATCGGACTCTCGAGCCAACGTCACCTCTGCAAGCTTGTGCTTGGCAGAGACATGCGAAAAGGATTCGGTCACGTCCACGGAGGGATCCAGAATGATCTCACAGTCCAGAACCATGAACTTAGTCAACGACTTTCCTCCGCTAGTAGAGGTGACCACAGGAGTGAAGGGGTCCCGGAAGAATTGCTGCTGAGTGACATCAGCAGTTCGCAGCGAGTTGGGGTCGATCAAATGAATGGTCGATCCGATCTTGTAGCACAGAACCACTCGGGATTTGTACAGACCAATCTGAGTGGCCTGCTTTTTGCTCAACACAATCAGGTCTTCTCGACAGATGGGAACAATGTCGATGGAGAAAGTAAACTTGAAGGTGGAGTGGCCGGTATGAGTATCTGTACTCACCAGCTCTTCAGACTGCTTGATTCTGCAGGGCACCACTGAGCCGACAAACTCGGAAAACCGAGCAGCAGCATGCTTGGAGGCAAACAGAAAGTTGAGACCCTCTCTTGCCTCCTCGATGGAGATACACTCGTCGTCCATTCGTGACTTGAGAATGAGCTGTTCAAGGTAGAAAAAAGTCTTCTTATGGTCCACCTTTTGTCGCACCTGCACCTGTGCCGTCCACTTGTTGGCTGTGAAACTCTTGGCACAGTCGGGACACTGGCCACTTCCCTCTGTGAATTCCACGACACAATCCTGCTGGACAGTAATGTTGGGGAATTGAGGGGACTCGCCTCGAACAGTCACCTTGACCTTGTTACGCCTGCTGTGAGGCTCGGTCCACAGAAACTGTGCGTCCACAAGCCGTACCTCCGAAGATGTCAGACCCTTGATCTTCTTCAGACACAGAGCCAGACGTTCTCTGCTTTCCTGGGGCGCAATGATCCACGCCCGGCCAGGAGGACAGCTGACCTTGGCGCAATTCTTGCAAATGGTCAGAATGTTTTCGGCGGCGCTCTTGGGAATGTTTTCAGTAATGTCGATCTGGGCCATGATACAGTCGTCGCACAGAGCGGCTCCCGAGTTCTTGGCCACTCCCAGATTGATCTTACCAGCCTCTCCAGATGTGCTGTCGTTTCGCATCACCATGGCATTGCCACAGTGACAGCACAGAATCTTGGGAGCTGTGTGTTTGGGAATTAGCTTGGTAATGGTTCCGTCGTAGTCAGCCATGTTGATTTTTGTAGATTGAAGGCTTGGTGACGATTTGTCGATTTGTTATCGTATTGTTGTACCGTCTCTCTGGTGCTGCACAATCAAGAGTATATGTACTTGGAAATAATTTTGATTTGCTTCGATCTGCATATGCAGTAGGGTAACCCTTGGAGTTGGGGGTTTTGGCGTGGCTGAAAAGACAATAAGAAGCGGTAGAGGTGAATTAACCGCTGCAATCACATTTCAACGATATTTTCAGACTGTTTCCCCCCCTTATGGCCCTTTCAAATTTTCCAAAATCCCAAATAGAACATTCTGGAAATCAACAGCAAAAATAAGTTGAGTCAACCTTGCATAATCCATGTATAGCTTAGTCATTGGCGAGGCGCGGGATGCGAAAGAAGGTTGGTCACGTGACTTCACACGGCGACGGACCTTGACTCGGTGATTGTTGAGTCACGTGACGGGTGTGATGATAATATAAAGGCTCAGCTCGGGTTTGGGGTGTAGGGAGGTCGATTGGTTGTCTTCTTGATGGCTCCTGGTTGAAGAGTTATTCACTGTTGTGGTGGCGCGCTATTCTAGTGGATCGCATTGTAGTGTGTCGCAATTCCAGTGGTCTGCTATTGTGGGATGATGATTCTGCTGACTGGAGAGAACTTGTTCTGTTTCGTGGTGGTGATTCCACTCAGTAAGTGGATTTCCCTGGTCTGATATTGTGTTCTATCCTAATCTCCATTGATTGGGGTTACGGTGTCGAAACATCCCTAGCAAGTGATGCGGAAGTCGCTAATGTATTCGTTATATAAAATGTATCAGTTATTCAAAAGATTCTCATTTGGTGTCACAGATCTTCCGCTATACAATATTTGTATACTAGTTGTAACTGTCTGCTAGTCATCTAATCCTCCTCAAGTACTTATAGCCCATGATAAGACAGACTCACTATTCTGAAAATTGCTTTTGAGGCAGCTAAAGAAGTATTCACTGATACGCTGACAATCATCAGACGGGCAATTAATCTTACGACTGTGGTTAGTCATCTCGAGTTCCCTTATTGGTCAAGGTGAGAAGTACAAGTGGCTCTAGACTTACAGCAGGTGCACTGAACGAGGACCAGTGCTGGCGTAGTAGGACCGTGAAGCTCTTCTAGTTATATCACCAGTTCTCACCAGTAACTGTATGGCTCCATCTACCTCAATGGTTAGTCCAGCTCTTCCCAGGGTGGTTCCCCGGACACCAATCAGGAGGTCCAGAATGTTCTTGTTCGTGAGTGTAGAATCGAAATAGGAAGCAGCGATAAATGACATGTATGTACATGGAGTTCGTAGTGTCTACACGGCATGTACACTGAACCAGGCAGATATATCGCTGATACCTTACCGAAGACCCTCATCCATTGTGTATAAAGTCGTGAAAACAAGTTTCAATTGAGATTAATGTGGTGAAGGATCAGGTATGAACAAAAAATCGGCCCAGCCAAACAAAACAACTGGTATCTTTACTGTTATAGTACATACATAATGGATACATTTGGATAAACTGTAGGGGATCATGAAGTGCTTTAAGTACAATACTCCTACCATTGATACTCACAACGAATCCTTTCATTACCCTTTATCTGCTACTAAAGTAACATATACAGACGACTTCAAGATATATATGATTGTCAAGTTTTCCAACGTCTCTCTTCATCAACAATCAATTCGATGGAATCGTAGGAGCCCACAACAGCTCAAAAACCAATACTGGCGACCCCCAGCTGTTCACAATGGAATTCTTGGAATTCAATACCTGGTTATCCAGTAGAAAGTCCAATCGTTAACTTGTTTGAGACGCCCACGTCTACTACTCACCACCATCTTCGCCCGCACTCCCTCCCCAAAACCGTACAGTACTACCAACCTCGCAATTCCCTACTACCATCTCTGGTCGTTATTGTAGATTCCCTAAGCCGACCCCAGAGGTGCTAGTTTTCTCGTGGAGTTCTCATTGTACAATCTGGCATCAATACATACAGTACATACATATATACTAAGACATATATACTAAGCTATACACCCACACCGAGAGAGAGGGAAGTGAGTCAATAGAAGTACATACTATGATTTATTTGTTTTCAAAATCAGCCATACAAAACTAGTGTTCTCTTTGGTGATTGGTTCCCCATATCTGAGCTTTATCATGCTCTCCGACTTTACACAAGACCTACCAGTTCGTATTGAAGATCATAAGTATTATTGATTAGATATAGTTACTGTAGCTCAACAGCCAACTAACCCACGCAAGACACCTTACTAATTACTTGAAAATATCTCGTATACAGGTCAGTTTAGTTTGAAATCAGCTACTCACTCATCCAAACCAACACTTCTCCCATCACGTGATCGCACCACGTGACCACCCCTTACTACATTCCCGAGCCACCCTTCAAGTTCACACACTCAGTCATCAACAAAACCCAACAAAACCTAACCAAAAAAATATTTTTTCTCCTGTACAACTATTATGCGGCTTAGTAACACAAAGTTAATTAAAACCTTAACCTTCGAAACCCTGCTTCTAGACTCTGCTACGCATTCAGCCTGCCCTAACCCTAACCTAATCACCTGGACGTGACATTATGAAAAAAGTTTCTGGCATGTGCGGTTCACACAGGTTTGCTGCACGGCGCGGAAACCACATTTTGGGCCTGCCGCGATTTTCGGAGACGCCAAGATTATCCGGGGGGGTTAAAGTGAGCCATGCATCCCGCTTTTACGCGTTTTTTAGCCTCGTAAGCGGCGAAATATGCTTATTAAACAGAGCGATTGTGTATAAGGGGTATCTTTTGGCCACCCGCATCATAGTTGGGCTCTTGTGCTCATTATTCGATCGTCGATGATACAGTAAAGTTACAATTAGCAAGGAAGACGTTTAGACTTTTGGTAGGGTTCATGTCATGTACCACTGTTTTTAGAGTTTGGTCTGTAGGTTAAGTATATGTGGAGAAGTTAGTTAGATGATAGTTGGCCGTGTGATGGAGGCGATAGATAGGCACAAAGTTGAAACAAGAAATTATGGCGACGGATGTACGACGTAGATACTACAATGTCCGGACAGAGGTTGCTGTGGGAGATTAATGGGGACATGATGGAGACATGATGGGGATAGATAGATTGGAGGTGGACAAGTCTGCAGCCGGTGCGACCTTCCAGCCCTCTGAGACATTTTCATCAACGTAGAGCAGGAAGGTGTGGGGAAATGAGACATTTGAACTTGTACGAGTACTTGTAGCTCACATATGTGGTGTCCGAGACGCGACCGGGAATCACATGTATCGGATTAACACAGACTTTAGATGTTGCCGCTTCCAAAGCGCTTACATGTCGCTCAAGTAGCAAGACATGTCTCAGACACGCTCAAGGTGCATTCCGTAAAGTGGGGTCTGTGGGTCTGTGGGTCTGCGCAAGGTCGTTCTTTGGACTTGTGGTGGACAAGTCTTTACCGCCGACTGCTTATCAAGCGCATCACATCTTTGCTCTTAATAGCCGGGCTATAGATGATGCTAGCCGACCTATTGATAGTCCGTACCTAGGTCTATTTAGACATTCTGGGGTTGGAGTGTGAGGGTAGCAATCTAGGCTTTTATGAAGTGAAAAAGTTGCAAACATGTTCAGAGAGGTGCTAACTGTCACCAGAGTCCGTTGATAACTCCACATTGCGAGATAACTACTCGGCGTCTCTCACGTACCATCTCAGACACTCGTAAATCACTCGTATACTCTCGCACCCCTGGCGTACAGAAGACATTGGATGGCATTTCATTCCGGGGAAGGCATGTGAGACGCGAGCAATCTTGAGACAGAAATACCTTTGCCAAGTACAAAAAGTCGAGGTAGCGGTTACCATTCTGTGCCTCAAACTATACTCGAAGAGGTTCAAACCATACCACCCTCGGTAAGTCCGTGAAACAGCTCCTGAGGGCTGAAATAGGAAGTGCAGACTGGCTTGAATGGGTCAAATGAGGTGTTTTACGACGTGCAGCCAAGTCTCGGTTGGAATGGTAGCTTTTTGACACTCATAGCATTAATGTCCATATACAGGGAAAGAAACACTAGTTGAAGTTAACAGCTCGTTGCCGACGTAAAACGATGTAAAAATCGCGGTCTAAGACCTATCTATTGCTCTATATGTCATGGTACTGTATCATTCTTTTGAGCTAAAGCTAGCCATTCACCCAGTGGCATTCATTCATGATGGCACTATACACTAAGTATGTACAAGCTGACTTCCATTGTACAGAAGACACCGTGGGTTCGAACTAACATATATCTGTTCAACTACTTCTCTACTTCAAACTCCTTGGCCAACTCCTCCAGAGATTTCAACTCACTTCTCTCAACCACTCCATCTCCGCACCACATTGCCAAATAGTCTGTCTTCTGCTGCTTGGCAGCCTCAGCTCGTAGACCACTTGTCAAGTAATGCTGAATCGGATAAGGATAGTACTTGTTCTCCAGCTCGTCAAACACGCCGTTTCTGGCACCCTTGGCCATCTTGCCAGAGAAGGCGAAAGTGTTGGCGACCTGAGACGGCTGAGACAGCTCAACAAAATGCTTCTTGTGAGCCGCACAGAGAGGAGACTCGTGGGACATGAGCAGGGCGGTTCCTACAGTGACCGCAAGCACTCGGGGGTTCTGTTGAAGAACTTTGGCTCTCTGAATAGTAGCAACTCCTCCAGCAGGAATAATAGGAATGTCCACGTCCTTGGTGGCCTCAATCAACTCGTCCAGCTTGAACAAACTATCTTTTTCAGGCCCAATCCACGTTCCTCGATGACCACCAGCCTCTCGGCCCTGCAGAACAACGGCATCAGCCCCAGCCTGCTTCCAGGAAACAGCCTCTTCTCTGTTTGTAGCTGTGCCAATAACAATAATGTTTTTGGCATGCAACTGCTCCACCTGATCCGCAGAGATGATTCCAAAAGTAAAGGAGACAATGGGAGGCGGGTTTTGCAACACTGCCTCGAGCTGCTTGTCAAAAGGAGGAACACAGGACGGATACGAAGGAGCACTGAAAGACACATCTGCAGAAGCATAGACTGTCTCAATGGCCTTCAAAATGCTCTTGTCCGAGGAAACCACCGACTCATAGTCAGGAACCCCCTTTGTTACAAACAAATTGATTCCAAACGGCTTGCTTGTCTCCTTCTTGATCTCCTCAATGCCCTCACTGATCTTAGACGGCATCATGTATCCACACCCGAGATTGCCCACAAATCCCAGATTGCTGCTCTTGGCCACAAACGCAGGATTCGTCGCACCAGCCATTGGGGCCTGGAATATCTTGCCCTTCAAAATCTGGAGTCGATTCATGTCAAATTGGATGTGATTGTAGTGATGAGAATGACTGCATATATATGAGATGCACGCCAACAGTGGACTGCACAATCTCGGCCGACTCGCGAACCTTAATTTCTCAGTTCTACATCATACGATTCGACTGAAGGAGAGAAAAAGTGGGCTTTTTTTAGTAGATGATGAGACTCCAGCCTAGATTATGTCACTGGGATTAGTCATAGTTACCATATTTCCGAAACTGCCGCGTTGAGACTCACTCATCCACATTACGTAATCGACGAAAATCGTCCTAACACCTTCAATTTTGACCCCACGTGAATCAAAGAAACTCCATCATATTCTACACCGCTGAAATATCATTCTGATACCAATATCAATGCCATTCCAGCCAGTATTTCTCGTTCTGTGGCTGGCATCAGAGTTCGGATCTAGTCTACTCTTCTTGATATCTCTAAATTATACGAAACTTACAACCTGCAAAATATTTTCAACTAAACCTAACTAAATTAATGATAACAGCACTTGTACTGGATGCTACAGCTCTCGGAAGTTCAGGCAAACAATAAATACCTTACATCAGTGGAGCTTTCTATACTTCAACACCCTTGGCCCAGCCAACAGGCGAGGACGATTCCAGACAGCTGCCGGTGGGGCTGGAACCAAGAGTGGGGGTGGGAGAACGCAGGCTACCATCTAGCGTGGTGGGGCCGACGTACTCACCTCCGGTGGGAGTCGTGGCGGTGCTCGAGGCGCCACTCCCGTTGCCGTTCCAAGGCCAGGCAGAGCTCAGGGCCGAGGAAAAGGACGACATTTTGGATTGCACATAAGAGGGCTGCTGGGGCCGCATGCCTAAAATGGAGTCTTCAGACGAAGTCGACGAGGTGCTGCTGATGGAGCCACTGTGCGCGTGGCCGGGAACAAAGTAGTGTTCGGGCTCCTCCGTCTTGGGAGCAGAGCCAAAGAAACAGTACTTGTTAATCATCTCCTGGTAAGAGGGCGAGTCGACTTCAGGCTTGACTCCGCCAGTCATGACTGCAGCCAAGTTGCCAATGCTGGGCGCTTTCTTCATCTCCGCGCTCTCCATTTCACCAGCTCCACCAACACCGGTACCAGCCGTGGTGGGAGGGGAGCTGTTGGATGAAGACTGGTTAGAAGAGTCTTGGCTCGACTCGTCGGAAGAGCCGCTGGAAGAAGAGGCAGGCACAATTTTGGAGGGGGCCTCGGACGAGGCGTTGGCCTTGGGCTTGCTGTTGGCGGAGGAAGCAACCTTGGCAGAGGGTCGCTCGGGCGTCTTTTGTCGGAATGAGTTACCGAAATCGTAGCGAGAAAACAGGTTTCGCTGGTCTTCCGTGTTTCGTCGCTGAGGGGTCAGAAACTTGGACTTGGTCTTGGATTTGAGGGGAATGGAGTCGTCGACCGAAGACCGTCGGGCAGAAAATGCCTTGGGGGATGCCACCTTGTACTCAAAGTCGCCGAGGAAGGACTCGTTCGAGTTCTCCCTCTGCTCCTGCTCCTTGCTGGGCTTCGCGTTCTCATTCTTGTCGGCCTTTTCAGGTGAAGAGGAGGCCTTGGAGTACTTGGGTGTCCAGCCAACACCATACTCCGTCTTGGATCGGTTATGGAACCGGCCAGGGCCTCGTTGGGGCTTGGGCACCCGCTTGAAATCTAGTTGGAAGTTCTGGAACCCGTTGTTGTCCCAATACTCGGTGCCGTTGGCAGTGTACCGGACACACAGATGCATGGGCTTCTGGGTCAGAATGTGCTGAGGCAACAAGTTCATGTTGATAGAGAAGGTGAATCGGTCGTAGCCCATATCCTTGAGCTTCTTGCGGGCGTCATCGTTATAGGTCGCGTCCACCTGAGACACCGTCTGCCAGTAGTCCAGCGAGTACCGCACGTTCACCTGCTTCTCAAATGCAATATTCTTGACTGCCACATGGCCCACCAGGTTGTTCTTGTCGGCAGATAGAAATAGGTTTTCCAGGTACACCATGGGGTCCGGCTCACCAGAGTGGGGCTTGGGGCCAGGAACAGCAGGGAAGTTGGGGGTCGACAGCGACCACTCGGTCCGGGCAATGTACTTATCGTAGCCCTTTCGGAGGTCGTCCTCGTCCGAAGACGAGTCGTCATCTCGCCATTGGAAAGTACCCACACCGTTGTGGTTGTGGTGGTGGGGTCGAGGCTTCACAGAACCGTCGGCCACGGCCTGAGGACGGTCAGAGTTGAGGAAGTGTCGCACATGCTCCAGCTTCTGGTCGAAATGCACGTTTTTGATGGCCTGAGCCGCGGCGCTCTTCATGGACGACTCAGGCATAGACTTGTTTCGCACTAGCGACGACAGCTTAAGCGAAGACTTGACCAGCTCGCCAGACTTCTTTCGGATGATTGAGGGCGACACAGGCATCTGCAGCTGTGTGAGAATTGAGGACCGTCGCTCAGGCGAGGTGAGAGAGTCGGGGCAAGAGAAGACGGTCGAGGGCACGTCCTCAGAAGAGCCTGCACGTGTGAGAACCATGGTTTCGGTCACAGGAGAGTCGGGTGCGGGGGTCTCAGGAGCGGTGTTGATGGGAGGCACAAAGTCGCGTTTCTCCAAGCCTGGCGACGAAGTGGTTCGCGTCAGTGAGGGTCGTTCGGCTCGTCGAGACGCGGCTGACTTGGCCGAGGCGGCAGCAGTAGCAGCAGGGGTCTTGGCCTCCGAGTCCGAGTCGCTGAGGGCCGCTGAGTCGAACACAATGGGGCCTTCCTTGTCGAGGGAGGGTGCTGTGATGGTGGTCTTTGCGGCAGATGTGATGGTTTTGTTGCTGGGGACCTTTTCGTTAGTATGCTGGGGGGTGTTGTTAGAGGTAGATGTGGCTGTTGCGGTCGATGCGGGCTTTCTGAGCTGACTGAGGGTGGAGGAAATAGGGCCCGTACCGTTAGTGAGCGAGCTCAGAGAAGCCAGGGAGCTGAGCGACGACAGAGAGCCAAGTGAAGACGAGCTGGGAGACTTGGAGAGCCCCAGCCCGGTGTCCAGAGGATCGATCTCATCGGATGCGCGTTTAGCAGAGCCATTAATGTCGATAGCAGCCGTGTTTGTGTTTGTGGCACTGGATGTGGCAGGTTGTGTGGTGACGGTGGTTTTGTGCAACTGTGACGCAGGCTCGCCGGTGATGGTAGTGGATGTGAGAGCTACCATGTCGTTGTCCGGGCTGTTGGCGGAGCTATGCTTGTCGTGAGTTGTTGCAGACTTGTTGTCGTTTGAGAGTGGCGAACAAGAAGAGTTGGGATGAGATGAGACGGAAGGGTGCGAGGAATCCACTTGGTTTTGTGTCTTTTGCTCAGCACCTGTGTCTATTTCGTCTTTACCCAAATTAACTTTTCTTGCAATTAACTCTTGTGCTTGTTCAAACCTTGTCTTTGTTTGCGGTGCATGACCAGCATTTGGCCACGAAGTGCTGCATGAGTTGCTTTTATCTGGAGTTAGTGATCTAGTGATCGTGGCAAGGGGCGGAGACACGGAAAAACGCAAAGCTAGAAGAACGCAAAATGAAAAAGACAAGGATCATGAGAGCGAGAGAAGAGAGAAAAAAAAAATGCAGCAAAACGCAGGACGAGCGAAGAGATAGGAAAAGGACAAAATATTGGTGTAAAGATCAGAAGTTGTTGTGGACAAGAAATAAAAGTCCCACTGATGAAAAGTGAACAACTTCATTTCCCCTCACGCCTTCCTTCTCTAGACTGCTTATCTATCCAAACCTCATGCTCCCTCCGTATCCACTCTCGAGACTCCCTGTTTCATACGCGTTATCTTTGAGTCTTCCCCTCATGCTCAACAGTCAGGTTCAACTGTTGAAAATTTGTCCCAATATCCATCAAATCAGTGCCAAAATCCGGTCCCAAAAAAAATTGTCCGACGGAAAACTCACCAACTCTATTCCGGAAAAGACTCCGAAGTCGTCCCTCCATGATGGGGTGCGTTTCTGGTGAATCACGTGGCATGGCAGAGTCCTTGTCGCCATCGCCACCGAAATTATCGTGGGCCTGTCCCTCGGTAGCAACGGTGGTGTCGGTAGCTCCATTACCGCGGCCCAGCGCCGCACTTGCATCTTCACTTGCACCATCACTTGCACTGGGAGTGCACAGGGTCGCGTCACTCATGTCGGGGTTAGCGGCGCTAAGTAGGTTATCTGAATGGTCTGATGTAGAAGAAGACGAACATGACGAGACAGAGGCTGGGCCGGGGCTGTTGTCAGTGCTGTCGGCGTTGTCGGCACTCGACTCGCTTTTGTGTCGGCGGAACAGCGACGCCGCAAAACTGCGGGCGTTCTTGCGGGTATTTTCAGACTGTTGCTGCTCTCGTTCTTCCGCCTCGTCCATCGACAGCCACCGGGGGATGGCGTGCAAAAATGGCAGAGACGACGATCGCTGTCTTCCAGGAGGAATGTATGGCATGCTGGTGTTGTAGAGTGAGAGTACAGTAAGAGTACAGTAAGAGTACAGTACAAGTAGTTGTAGGTGATGTAGGAGTAAGGTGTGTTGGTGTTGGTGTTGGTGTATCGCACTGGTTATGTTGGTGCTGGTATTGGCGCGGGTATTGGTGCTGGTTGGTATGGACGTTGATGTCGGTGAAGTGATTTGGTGGTGGTCAATTAGGGTGGCGACTATCTACTCTACAATCAGTATCCATGGTCGTGAGCTAGTATATATCCTGCCTCCCAGGATCTGACGACTACAACGTAGTGCCTGATTGTTCCGTTTTGGAACCGGACTTAAGCGCACAATGGCCCGTTTGTGGAACAGTTGAAGGCAAGGCAATCGCAAAAGGGTACCGAGGCTGGCAAAGACTGGCAAAAACCGGAAAAATGCCCCCGGAATCACCATACGAGATATCGTTGTCGCCCCATCTTCTTAATTTCCACCTCTAACCCACTACCCAAATACGAGACACACTCCACACTAAACGTTGAACCGTACTTGTACCTCTACATGATACTGTACATGGGAAAATTGGCCCACCTTATCAGCCACGTGCCAATGGCGAACCGCGATGGGATGGTGACCTCTTGACGTAAAGAAAAAGAAAAAGGTACAACCAAGTGCGACTCTGCAATACGTCGGACATATCGGACCCTCCACAACCGTGCGCCTGCCGTCTTGGGCTTTTGAGAGCACTTTTTTTTTTTGCTCCCTGCCGTCGCACGCTCCATCCAAAGGTGGTGCCATTGCCCATGTGCAGGATACGAGCATTTTCAAAACCGTACAACCTTATTTTGTCTTAGTCAGTTGTCGGATATGAACATGTACGGTCGGAGCGTGCCGGTTGGGGCCAAAAGGGCGAAAAAAATGCCCACAAAACCGTTGCAGCGCCAATACGGTCCTCGAGGCACGCCTGCACAGCTGTGTGGAAATGCCCCAAGTGGCAAAACGCCTGTTTTTTGCAGCTCCCTACAATGATAGCTCTCATGTTCCACTGCACTGGCTTCCCCTCACCAAATCCAGCAACACCCAAATACATGTTGGAGTAGTCCACTTTAGGCCGTGCTTCCCACCACCCCCCCCTTCCGGCGCCCACCGAAAATACTCCCGCAAACACTAAGCTCGCTTTCGTGGGGACAACTTCCAACCCCACCGCTTCCCCCTTACATCTCAAGTACTGCTTAACTATCTCAGGATTGAGCCCTCTCTCGAAGTTTGTGAGGGTTCGGCCCTCCGCCGCCTTAGACTATTAGCCTTCATAAAATCCAAACCTACTTTTCGCTATCTGAACTCTAAATCACTCTGCATTAATTTGCATGTCTCAACACGCTAACCATGCATATTTGCTTCTAAAGTCGACGTCACAATAGAACGACGTATCGGGCCAGTTTGGAAGCAGCGCAAGATGGGGCGGTCCCCAGCCGTATCACGCGCAAAACATCAAGCCCCAAATTTTCTCTTTATTTTCAATCTTTTGCCAAGATCGCCAAGATCGCTTACCTCATAATTTATTTTTCCGCACAATTGACCACCGGACAAATTTAGGCTCCGGGGTTAGGGTTTTATCGCCCAAATAGGCCATTTCTGACGAAACCAACCGCAAAATGATACACGGCGGCCAGATCTGTAGCTGTCTACGAATACCAATGACTGCAAGTTGAACGAACGGAATCTGGAACAGGTCCATGTTCTTGGCTTTCATTTCAGAAAAGCTTCAATGTCGGGAGTTTCAAAGCAATCTGCTCATCTTCTGAGACAGTGGTACCTTTCTTTATTGTACTAGTGACAGGATATCGGATACGGAATGGCGCGGGCAAAATATTATCCGTCTACGTGCCAACAACATAGTGTGTGTCTACAGTGCTTTGTGTGTGGGTTTGAAAAAGTTGGAAATAGTGGTTACCTTACAGTGCGTTCTGTGCATGTCTTGCCACAGTATGCCACAGTATGCAGCTGGACGCACTTTTTTTTTCAAGTAGGTTTTTTCCACTGCATGGTCTATGCTCCACCCCCCAGTTGTTTATCCGAATTTAATCCGTAATCGGAGGACCTGAGTCGCCTTTCCAGGCCTCCATATATTGATGATAGCGGAGCGCTGTGTGGTTGTGGAGACGGAAAATAAAAGAGAGGGGTCTTTGGAAACAAACGCCGGCTAGTTCGGGATCAAACTACCGTGTATTATGGGGTAGAGCATGTACACGACCCCGTTTGGTTGTACAGGAACTTGTGAACGGAAAAAAAAGGTGGATTCCCGCATTGCAGAGCTCTACGACTGGAGTCTTGTTGATTTTCCCCATGGGATTTTTCCGAGCGCATTGCAGGTGGTTGCAGGCCGTCGCCGCTCGTGAGATGTGGTTGGCGAGGTGTGGAGCCTCGTGGGTCGTGCTATTGACGATAGAATGCATTAGCGCCTCCAAAAACGAGCTAACCAGACTCCTTGGTGGTACTGTTTACAGGCAGGGTCTGAGGGGGAGGGTACACAAAGCACTCAACAGATTCGGTGGCTCGGGGTGCGTGTTTTTTATCGACCCCAGAACCACTTGTGGGTTCCAGGCCTCGAGTTTGAGACATGAGTCGAGTCTCAGTTTGGAAAAGTCTCAGAGCCAGAAGGGAAACTGAACCGTCACTGCTGCGAGCTTTAGGGCTCGTGCTCTGCGACGTCGCACTACCGGCGCTTGAGCAGCGCAAAAAGAAACCATCGGCTTTCATCTGAAAGAGTCTGCAGACGTGACGGGCTTCTTTACCCTCGAGCTTTCCACTTTGTATTTTGAATTAGAGGTGGAAATATCGGAGGAAAATCCACCGCAAAAGACGACCGATTCTATACCCCTTCAGCACTGTGAAGAAATTGCTGTGCCCAGCATTTGTCGTATTATTTTCGGATTTTTTCCCTACGCCGCTCTTCACTTTTTTCCCGCACTAAATCTGACACTTTCTGACACCTTCTCACAGATAACCAAACCCTTGAAAAACTTTGCGTGACGTCAGTGGCGGCCGAAAGCGGGTTTGAAACGTACTTGTAGTCTGATGAGCTGTTGGGTCCATGGCTGCCACAAAAATAAATCCCAACCGCGTGCCTCGCTAGTGTATTATAGGGAAATCGGAGCTACCTGAAATCTGTCTATTGTAGATTGTCATGCAGGTGGAAACGACACTGACGAGACATTGTTCTGTCATCCCAGGTGCGGTATTGCGTCCATTTTTTTCACGCACCAAAGTTACACTCGACAGGAATGTATTGAATACGAGCCCGCAGTCTTTTCTTTTGCTAATTGCCGTTTTACTTTGCTATAGGTTGCTACCACATCACAGGACATGAATATCACTTGGGCTTGGCGATGACTCAGGGCCTGCGGAAACAAAATTATGCCGGAAAATCGTGGACATGGCGAAAAAATGCCAACTGAAAAAAATGCGAAATATGACACTAAGCCGACAAAGTCTGATGGTCTTAAACACAGGTTTCACCTCTGTTGAACCCAACGTCAAGGTGAGGCTCGTTTCTTAACCTCCTTTACCGAAAACGGCCGCTTCTATATTTTTCTATAGCAGTACAAACCGCACACGCCATTCCATCGGTTAAATGACGCAAGGAAGCTAGCCAAACAGCACAAAATAAAGGATTACAGAACGAGAGAAAATCACATAAATCCACAAGAAATCCACACCTGCTGTCAGACCGTATTCCGAGAACTTTGCACATTTACCCCTCCTCGTTCTATGCATCAATCCCTGTCATTAATTCATTTGAATTTTCGGACGCGTTTTTTTAAGGTCTGACACCCCTGGACGATCTTCCATGTGAGGAGGCTTGTGCGCCGGTCATAGGAACAGTCATGCGACACGAGACACGGAGATTGATAAATTCCGTGCCTTTCTATGTGCTTATGTAATCATACTCAATCTCCAACTGTCTACCACTACGCTCCACATTCTTGTAGCAACCTTTGTACCCCATTCGAGATCGGACTGTAGTACGAGCACCTGTAGATAGTGGCAGGCTAATAAAGGTGCCCATCATCACGCTCTATCACGTATCGTTAGGCGCTGTGGCTGTCGGAATCATGTGTCCATGGACAGGTAAGGGGACAGTTGAGATTGTAGGTGACCCGTTACTCATACAACCGCTTGTATGATTCTGATGAGCACTAACCTCATATTATCGGAGCTATTCGGAGGCAATCGTTTTTGGAAAAGGGAAGCAAATTCCTCAGTTTCCTCTTTGAACGACCCATGCCCAGCTGGTGGGCTGGATACGATCCTGTTTACTCCGAAGAAGCCCTGTCGTTCAGTAACGCCAGAGATGAGAAGTTTGTGTTTGAGATCAGCGGCTCGGAGAGATATCTTCTTTCTAAACTAGGTAGTGTACTTGCGCTTCTGAAGCGCCGCAATTACGTCACTAGTATCTTCTGCGCGAGTATCTGACTTTTGCTATAGCTCTGATACTTGGACATCTATGATTGCGGTTGCTGTTGAACAGGAGAACGGTATGAAAGGATTTGGGGACCCTCTTGTGGTCTCAGGCTTTTGGAACGTCTACAATGACGTTTTTGGAAACTATCTAGTACAATAATCAACCCCCCATTCTCACACAAAGCTCATCTGTCTATAAACACACACAGCAACTCTGCACTGAGAAATACGAGTTGACATAACAAAGCAGGGTCAATAAAATCCTGGATAGTAGAAAAATGGGACCTCAGTGACCGATACAACCACCTAATCAACTCCCCAATACCCCCTCTTTCTCACAATAAGCTCATTGTGGTTCTACATCTCATGATGACTAGGACGAAGGTTGGAGACAAAACATGAAAAGAACATACGGGACTGTAAAGAAAGAAAAAAAAATATCCGTAGAAGCAATGACAATTGCAGCACCCAGGATTCTCGTATGGTCTCCCACTACAATACTAACTGGGCTCTCTGGTGCTTGACTATGGCTGATCGGACGGGAAGCCGTATTTTCACCAGGATATGGCCGCAACTGGACGGAGCAGAGTGTGAGTTCTCTTCACCCGAGCTCTGAGTCTCATGATCCAAAAATCAAAGAATCAGCTTCTTGAACAGTAAGCGTCTTGTAGCTTTCCGTTCACCATAATCTCGTAGTGCTTCGTCGCCAACCCGGTGTGAAGTCCAGAGTTGTTGTATACAGACCTACATATGAAGCCTTATTGTAAAGGGCTTCTAGCAACTCCCTCTTTTGCCAATCCCATCTCTCTTGCCACTTCCTTCCTCACTTGTATCTCTCCCTTTTTGTTCTTATCCTTCTGAACAAACCAGGACCTCAAAAGTCATCGCCAGTAAGATCTAGAGCTATATCTAAGTCGCTATTCAGTTGGCGGATACTCTGAACTACCACTATTCAGCCACTGTTATACATGTCAGTATTTTCAGATACGCTTGCTACATATTCTTTGAAGATAGGCAGTCTTGAACTTCCATATCGATGATACAATAGATTCACGCAATGAAAGCCACGCCATCCTATAGCATTTGTACAGGCACCAGATACTTATATATCACTCGTGTCTGTAGAGTAATTATCCAACACACCTTTCGCCGTCACTGTTTCTACGTCCATGGCAACACAGCCATACAAATCAAGTCTACACCCTCGTCCACTGTCCACCGTCACAGAAGCTATGGAAGTGTTGAAGTTGCAATTGAAAGAGGCAAGAGACAAAGCCATAGTAGGACCCACCGCTTGCCCTGGCGTTTCTCAGTTCATGATTCCTACACAGGCATGTCACGTCACTATTGGTGCACTTCAATCAAGTTTTTTTTTTCAATTATCTCTATGGGGGTATTAATAAATAAGTCATCGTCGTTTCTCTGTTCTCAATCTCTGTCTCGATCTCTGTCTCGATCTCTGTCTCGATCCCTGCTCGACCTCTCTCTCGATCTCTGTCTCGCTCTCCTCTCATTTTTTTACGCTCTGGAAGGCATGTCAAAATTGTACAGACGGGCAACACCGTCCTCGCAGCCCATGACAAACTTGCAGTCGCTCATGGCCACACAGGTGACAGCCTCGCGGTAGCCACCAAACGTGTGCATGTACCTACCAGAATGCAGCTCCCAGACTTTGACAGTCTTGTCGTGCGACGCCGAAATCACTCGGAAATGATCTGCAGCAATCGACCACACTCCCTCAGCATGACCAAACAGAGTGCGAACGCACTTGCCGGTCTTGATGTCCCATAGCTTGATGGTGTTGTCGAGGGATCCCGTCAACATGTGTGTGGGGTAGTGCTTTCGAGCCAGGGGAGTCTTGGGCTCAGGGAAAATGTCGCATTGAGACACTTGGCCAACGGAGAAGGAGTTTCGCTGGACAGCAATCTCTCCATCAGCAATAGCAAGATCAGGACCATCGGTAGAGTCGTCAATTGCACTTTCGTGACCATTGTCGGCCTCATCAACAACACTGGCATCAGCGTCATCAATGGCACTCTCATCGGCATCCAAATGATCAACGTCCTCCAGATGGTCGAGAGTCAACGGAATGACGGACTGAATGTGGTGCACGTGTCCACCGGTGTTCTGGTGACCAAACACCCGCAGACACCGCTTGGTCTCCAAGTCCCACACTCGAACAGTGTTGTCGTCAGAGGCCGAAAAAAGCAGGCCCGACGCGCTGTGGATTTTAACGTCGTTGACGTAGTCAGTGTGGCCCCGCAGAGTGAAGCAGCTCTTGGTTTCAAAGTTCCACACCTTGACGGTCTTGTCTGCGGAACCAGAGACAATCAATGAATCGTTGAAATCAACCGCAAGAACCTTGTTCTCGTGACCTCGGAAGGTACACACACACTGACCTGTTCGGTAGTTCCAGATTCGAATAGTGTGGTCCAGAGATCCCGTGATGAGTTTGGTGTCGTCGAACATGAGAGCCCGGACTCCCAGACGATGACCCTCGAGGGTTCGGATCAGCCGACCAGTCTCAACACACCACACCTTGACAGTGGTGTCGTAGGAACCAGTAATGAGGAATTGGTGGTTGAACTGCAGGCACATGATGGCGAGCTTGTGGCCGGAAAATTTACGTACCGAGTACTTGCCGGTACGCCAGTTGCGCTCCACCATGTATCGTTCTCCATAGACCTCCTTCCAGGGTCGCGTCTTGGATGTTTTGGGTGCAGCCATGGCCACATTGTCGTCTTCTCTCTTTCGCTTGTGTCCGCATTGGACGTCTGACGAGGAAGATGGCTTTTCCCCTGTCAGGTCCTCCACCTTTTCTTGTGGGGTTTGGTCTTCCTTGTCCTCCACCTTTTGTCCTTGGGTGTCGACCTTGGGGTTGAAGTTCTTGGCCCGCAGTTCAATGGACCGTTTGCTCTGCTGCAGGCGCTTCTTGTCCAGCAGCGGCAGGCCCCAGCCGCACTTTGTGCATTTTTTGTCAATGTGTTGCTCACACATACGGTACCAGACCACGTCGTCGTCTGCGAGCATTTTCCATCGCTTGCTGACCTGCGCGGCTCGACAAAGAGATGCCGTGTCGAGGTAGCACAGAATTTTGAAGGCCACCTCTGTGGGGAGCGCCGAGATGAAGTCGATTCGAATGAGGTCCTTGAGAATCGAGCTTACCTGCGACAGCTGGGGGAAACAGCATTGTGTGAGAATGCCCTGCAGAATGAGCGAGCGCTGGCGAGGGTTGGACGCTGAGAAAATGCTCCAGCAGTGGCTGATGCCCTCTCTGTCCTTGACGGGCAGCTCGTCCATAGACCGTTGGATCTGGGCCATGCACTCTTCGTCGGACTCGCGGGAGCAACTGAGGTCCGGATGGTGCCGGTAGCAGTATCGTCGCATGTCCTTCATGTCGGGAGACAGGTTTCCCTGGAAGTTCTTCATGTACTGTGTCAGGATCGACGAAGGGTGTGCGGAGGGGGGCTGTGATGTTTTTGTGGGTGCGACACTGGCCGTGTCAGCGCCGTCGCCACTGCCGTTGGGGTGTGGCTCTCCACGCGCTTCGCTCTTCATCGGATCGGTCTGTGGCTTGGAGCGTTTGTGTTTGTGTTTGTCCTGTGCTGAATGAGACGGTGGAAGGACGAGTGAGGGGAGACTGCTTGTTGGGTGGGTAGCCTCACTTATGTAGTCTGTGGTTTCTGTTTGTGTCACTTGTCGCCACTCGGAACTGGGAACACAAAAAGAAATATCGTCTCGGAGGGTGCTCAAGAGGGTCGGTGGAACACTGTGGTGTGCTGTGAGTGTGTGCGATTAGTACACCACTTGACCTCCAAGGTTTGGCTTTGCGTCTAATCAGGGCGATTCGGGGCAAGCGGGTGGTAAAGAGGAATGAGTAGGAGGAATCATGAGGGCTTTGAGAGCAATAATTTGGGGAAATTAGTACCAGAACTCGTTAGAAAGGTCGTCTGTTTGTGTCCCAGATATCCCCTCCGCCACCGCCTGCCCGGTTGCCCTCGAACAAGACACCTCCACTATCTCCGCCCACCCAGGTCACATGACCCAACCACTTTGAATAGCCTCCCCCAAACCCTAACCAGCGCCGTTGAAAACGCCACAGTTCGCAATAGTGGTCGAGATGACGAATACTCAATGGATACACTCTATCGGGCAGCGATTCCGCGCCACCGTTGCTCTCCTGTGAGATAGGCCCCGATAGCGAACTTTGGTTCGGATGGGGATTATCGCGGTTTGATATAGTGGGCTGTTAACCAGTACGAGGCATCTGCGTACGTACAGTCCATACTATAACTTCACGGAATCTGATATGAACAAACAATACACGAATCAAGTGTGAAAAACTATCTGAACACATGATTCCACCTCCATCTTTCCAGTCCTTTTGACGGCCTCGGTGACACTTGTCTGCGCAATGATGAACATCAGTCTCACTCGCACAACACTATTACTCAGCGCTACACTGTGGAGAGAGAGCTGAGACTTCAACAGACTAGTGTGAGGGGTTTACAAGTGGCTTGATTAACAAGTGAGGTGAGGTGCAAGCTAGACCGTCCGCTATACGCCTGTGTAGTGTCGTATTTGAACGTGGCAAACCGGGTATAATTCCTTCTTACTCATGTCTTTGCATCCATGACTACAGCTGACTGTACAGTATCTACAGTAGGTACATAAGCTACTGTGCACTTGACAATGCGCACTAAAAACGTACCGGGAGTTCTAGAAGGGTCTATGAGGTGTCTTTAGTACAAGTAAGTGTCATGTCATCGTTTTCTTCATGGAGTCTTGGGTAGTTTTTTTTTTTGGTGGACAGGTTTTGTTTCTGTAGTGTGTTTGATCGTGTTATTCTTGAGTTTTCTCGATTATTGCGATTAATACACTATATTCCCAAACACAGGTAATATCCAAATGCTTCCTATGTTCTCCAATATTTCGCTTAAACTTTATATTCACAAGCAATTTGTAATATTCCAAATGTTACCAAATTTCTCCAATATTTCAATTAATGCATTATTTTTCCAATTACTCGCGCCAGTCTCTTTGTTACATAAAAGTGCTCAAATTCGGTCGCGCAAATACTGCATTATTTTCAACATTTCGAAATCAGTCGTTTAACTGGAGCCCTTGTTTATGCCTATTTATAGCTGCATATTTCAGGTCAGGTCCCGTCACCAATGCATGATGCCACCAAGTGCACGGAATACGAAATAATACGAAACAAATCGGGTAACCCCATTGAGTCCTGATTGAAACAGAAATCGAAAGAACGGTCTTCAGCCCACCACTGCCAGTTGTTTATGTCGAAATTGGACGTCTCGTCCTCAACTTCCAGTTTGATTAATGACCTGAGATTAGCGCCACTGTCAAGACTACAAGTAGGCCATAATACTAAAAACATAGTACGAGTACGAGTACGAGTACAGTATGAGCATACCACGTCGTACAAGACAATGTTTATATAGTCCATCTAGGAAGTGAGTTGGCCAGTCAGTCTTCAAATTGAGCAGACGCTCATCATCGCACCGCTTACTCATCATCAAGGACCTCTTCACCGTTTCACCGTTTCACTTGTACATTCTCAACTGCACGTGGAGTCTCGGGAGCATGTAAAAGAGGGGCCCTGCTTCCAGACACGTTGACAGGTGACAGAAATTGCATGCCAGGGCGTGCAAGACGTGGGTTTTGGAACGGCTGGCTGCTTCGCTCCGTCTAACCTGTTTCCACACGCTTTGGCTGTCTGATCGACATGGGTGAAACCCTCAAAACACACGGTGGTGTTACAGCAAGATGAGTTTCAGCAGCGTTCAGTCGAAAATAATAGGGGAGACTCCATGGCGAAGAAACGACATTCAGCGTTCAGGGGTTTGCATGTACTCGTACAGTATGTACACCGGCATGCAAAATAAAGGGATATTACAGCAGCGAGGCTCGGGCTGGCGAGTGTCAGCTCATGTTTGGGTGGGTGCCTTTCATTCTCTCGACCAGAAATGTCAACTATTATTACCACTAAACGCAGCTCCTGTTCCCAGGCTGAAACGAAGAAACATGCATGGCTACTCTAGTTCGGTGCATTACCCCATTGGCGGTCATATTATCGACCCCAGGTCGCCCGTGTATCGTACAAGTAGCACAGTAGCGGCGTGTCAAACCCTGCCGCTTGTCTCAGTGCAGTGGACATGATAATTTCAGTTTGATTGCAATACTATTGGCTGGGCCGGTTTGACGCTCTGGTGGATCGGGTGACCGGGTCCCCAATTGGAGAGAAAATCAAAGCAAAAACTCCTGGAAAAAGGAGGGAGATTTGTCAGACCCAAAACTCCCCTGCCGAACAAGCGGCATTCGCGACAAAAGCGTGCTTGTCTCTCATCTCTACCCCTATTAATTACCCTTGGTGGCAGCCGCGTCCTTCATGCGGTCTCAGATCTAACGGCGCGGAGGTTTGCACCTAAACCGAACTATTATGGGCGACAGACTCCTCTCTGGTTTGGGACGTGCTCCCCGCCTGTAGACGCGTACAAGTCATATAGACGTGGGTTTCTCGCTTGCATCGCCCGCCGTTTTGCAAAAAAGAAAGAAAGAAAGAACAGCGCACCATGGGCAGACTGATACGAAGAGTGGCCCGAGGCAAGCTCCTGGACCCAATACCCCAGGATGACTACAAGCAGCTGCAAACGTTAGTCTCCTCCAGACCCGACAATGCGTACTTCATTCGAGACATGTGCACTCGAGGGGTGGTTTTGACCTTTACCACCGCCAATTACGCCAGATGCTTCATCATCCTTCACATGCTCTTCAATGACGGACCCATCAACTTCATCAAGCAGGTGGACATTCAGAGAAAGACTGGAATGCTCGATCATACGCCCCTGGATCCCAAGAATGAAGACAAACCGCTAGCAATCTCCGATAAAACCACAGCCCAGCTGTTTGTGCCGTACTTTGCATACCTTCGAATGCGTCTGAGTCTCCAGGAGAGGTTTGGAACCGATTTTCTGAGGCAAAAACTCGACAATAAGAGCATCACGCTCGATACTCTCATGAATAAAAAGTCACCAGACGCCCTGCCGCCTAAATACGTTGAGATGTTGTCCACTTTACTGGACATGACCAACACGATTCTCAAGATCGCACCCTGTCCACAAGTGCTGTATCCCGTCTTGTCACGTGACTTGTCTGTCCTCTTTTCGCTCCTCAGCGATGGACTTGCCACCATTTTGTCTGTCTTCACGTCGCTATCCCTCCCAGAAGCTGCTCATGGGCTTCTGATATACAAAAACTTTGTGGCTCTCAATGTCACCTCTCAAACCTCGCGGTACCTCAATATGAGCGTTCCCCAGATTGACGAGACGCTGACAAAGACAATTGAGTCGTGGTTGAGGTCTGAGCAGCTCTCTAGAGCCGTACCCCTCCCCAATTCCCCTCCAGAGTCTCTTGCAGAGTCCGTGAACGGATCTCCCAAGTCCGCTAAATCGACCCAGATCATCTCCAACATCTCCCACCGACAGTTTCAGCGCAATCCAGCTTCTGTAGGTCTCCAGGAACCATCAAGTGTGTCTCTATCACCACCCAAGTCGGTGTATTCGGCGAGATCCAGCTCCCTGCTTTCTCATAGAAAGAATATCTCGTTTGATTTCTCGGAAACAGTGGCCCAAAACGTGTCCAGATTCATAGAGCAGTCCGACAGTGATGAGGAAGAAGCGCAGGCCTTCCCGATATTCAACGCCAAGCTGTCTGACCGAACTATTACTGGGTACCTGACCCAGGAGTCTGACGATACCAATAGCAACGGAACAGACCAAGATTCGAGCTCCGCAAGTTCTGCTACAACCACAACCGGAAGTCCAACGTTCGTCATCACTTCAACACCTCCAAAGTCGCCCAGAGACTCCGACGAATTGCTGGAGTGTTTTAATGACCCTGAATGCGAACCATCCCCCAAGGTGTCGCTTCGCAAAATGAGACCTCCCCAACTCAATCTGACGAGAGATGTAGACTACGACGATAATGTGGGCATTGCCTTTTTAAAGTCTGCTTCCTCAGACTCTTCAGACTGGTCTGAGATTTTCTCCCCGCTCGAAAATGATTCAAAGGTATGTCTCTCCTTCACTCCCTCTACCGTTCCTTCTTCTCCACATGCTTCCACTTCCTCCATGGGCCTGGCCGTCGGATACTCCGATACAGGCACTTCTGCGGGAAGTACGTACTCACAGAGACGGTGGAAGCGGTTCTTTAGTCGCAACTAACGAGTCTAGGCCCTGTCGACATCTTCTTGTAAAGACATCACAGTCTAGTCAAGACCCTATTTATCCATTCAGTAATTAATCGACGTGTGTATGAATTGAGCGCTGTACAAGAACTGTATCACAAGCCATCGGTGAAAATGACCAACCCGGAAGAGTACAGTACTATGCAGCTCTTGGAATACTCCTACATATTGTAGCTACAATTTGAAACACTACATACTGTTTGCGTGAGTGTCCTACAAGTAGTGAAATGGTAAGCTCAATTAGAACCTTTTTGTTGATGGAAGGACAACAGGTAGTCCTTCCATCAATTCTCTAGATGTTTTTTGTAAGCCGGGTTATTGGGGTTCAATAAATCATACACTTCTGAATCATCAGTTTATTTTTTATTCTAATGATTCATTACAGATGACGTAATCCGACGACGCTAACTAATGAGATCGCTCTCTAATATGCTAAATATCGGTGGCCCGATGGTTTAGTGGTATAATTCTCGCTTAGGGTGTCCTAGGCAATTTGCGAGAGGTCCCGGGTTCAATTCCCGGTTGGGCCCTACTTTTTTGTCTTTTAGAACTTTTAAATGTTTCTTTTTTTTTTTATTCTACACTCTCATTACTCCAGTATAAGCCAATAAATACAATTACTTTTTATAGAAGTCCTTCTTGAACCGGAAATGAAGTTGCAGAACACCATTATGGTAGCTGGAGTTGTATTTGCCGTCTCCTCGAGCAGCATAATCCCATGTTCGATCCACAACGCGAAATGTTAAGTCTGCATATGGAGCTGGAGCTGTGAATTTTAGCAGACAGGTCTCCCGCTGTTTTGTGATGTCTTCGTTCTTCATCTTGATGACCTGGTATGAAGGAGTCTTGCCTTCGGGTAGCTCGGGGTAGAAGATGTTGAACTTGTAACCCTGCACGGTTTTAGGAGGCAGGTTGTTGGAGTCGTAATGCGTCTGGTTGTACTTGTTCCAGTCGAATCCAAGAACAACTCGGTTGTGGAACCGGGGACGAGTCTTCTTGTCCACCTTGATCTCATCACTTTGTTGGTACAGCTCGGCCTCTTCAGTATCTCGCGAACTCTCATCAGTGATACCCTTGGAAAGGTCGATAACACCGTCGGCGTCTGTGATCTGGGGCAACAGACCGTCAGCCATTCCGTCGTCAACGGCGTTTTGGAAGTCAGGAGCAGCTGGAGTCTTCTCGGAAGCAGCAGACTTCTGTTGGGGCTTTCTCTTGTCCCATTCAACATTGTATTGCTCAACAGCCTTGACGTACAGCTCTTCGGTGAACGGAGTCTGCGGCGTGGTTCCAGCCTCCTTACACAGCTGCTTGTATCTGGTCTCAATTGCCTCGGATCGCTTCTCATCCAGCACCAACCGCATTCTTCGATCCTTAGAATGCGCCACAAGATCCTGGAAGAACTCCCGGTTGGGTGCGGCTCCCGAATCTATCATTTTTTGCATCCGAGCCTCCAGATCTGCCAACTGCTCTCTGTTCTTACCTCCCAGCACTTTTTCAATGTCGTCTCTCACCACACTCAGTTTACTAGAATCCTGAGAGTCTCTGTTGGACGCCGACTGGAGAGCTGATCCCCAGTACGACGCATTCTCGGGATCAATCTTGGCCATCTCGGACAACTGGGTCTGATCCGAGGTCTTCAAGCCGTCCAAAAGAGTCTCCACAGAAGGAATCTGGGCCTCCCGTCCCTCCATCATCTCCTGATCGTGAATGCTGTACGTAGGATAATTCCTATTTGCGGGACTGTCGCGCTCCAAAATCATGAGAATCAAATTGAACAGATCCACCGAAGATGCACGACCCTGGTTGATACGAAGAATGGATCCCATCCGCTTCTGTTTCAACAAAAATGCCCCCTCTCCTTCTATCCACTTGCGACTCTGGGCCTCGTCGCCGTACTCATGGTCTGGCTGCGAGTCTCGTCTCTGACCCCCTCGTTGCGGCTGTGTTTGTGTACGCTCGTTGTCTCGCGTGGACCGTTGCCGCTCTCGATCTTCAACTGCTGAAGGGTACCGACTCCGCCGATCCCGGTGTTGGTCGTACTCGCGGTTGTCATCACGTGACCGAAGCGACCCGCCCTCTCGTCGCTTGGGTGACCGACTTCGTCTTCTGTTCATGGTGTAAATATGTACCTGTTGTGTATATATCAATCCTGCCAAAAGTTAGGTGGTGCGAAGTGCACTGCAGTAATTAGAGTTTGATAAGTAAAAATTACTCTCTCTCTGGGAGCTCTCTATAAATTAGTTCAATCTCTGGGCTACAGTACATATGACTGTACTTTACTACCACATAGAATAATATCGGCGAAGTATACGAAGATACAGCTTCAGCTACAGTACAAGTACGTAGTACGTAAATACAAGTATTCGATTAACAACTAAAAGGTATCATAATATCCACACAGATGACTAGAAGCAGGCAGCAATGCCCACAAGACCAAGGAGACCGAAGGAAACGGTATAGGTGGTGGCAGTGTTGGCCTGAGCGACGCCAGATGCATTTGCGCCAGCTTGGTTAGGGTTTCTACCTGCATCAGATCCAGAGCCGGAGCCTGAACCTGAGCCTGATCCGCTAGATCCACTTGAAGAGCCTCCTGATCCGCCAGAGCCTGATCCGCCAGAGCCAAAGCCCGAGTCTGTGCCTGAGCCTGATCCGCCAGAGCCAGAACCACTAGAGCCGGAGCCTGAGCCTGATCCACCAGAGCCAGAACCACTAGAACCTGAGCCTGAGCCTGATCCACCAGAGCCGGAATCACTAGAGCCTGAGCCTGAGCCTGAGTCGCCAGAGCCAGATCCATTAGAGCCTGAGCCTGAGTCGCCTGATCCACCAGAGCCGGAATCACTAGAGCTCGAGCCTGAGCCTGATCCACCAGAGCCAGATCCACCAGAGCCAGAACCACTGGAGCCTGAGCCTGAGCCTGATCCACCAGAGCCGGAATCACTAGAGCCCGAGCCTGAGCCTGAGCCTGAGTCGCCAGAGCCAGATCCATTAGAGCCTGAGCCTGAGTCGCCTGAGCCAGAGCCTGAGCCTGAGCCTGATCCACCAGAGCCGGAATCACTAGAGCCCGAGCCTGAGCCTGAGCCTGAGTCGCCAGAGCCTGATCCATTAGAGCCTGAGCCTGAGTCGCCTGAGCCAGAGCCTGAGTCGCCTGAGCCTGATCCGTCTGAACCAGAACCACTAGAGCCTGAGCCTGAGCCTGATCCACCAGAGCCAGAATCACTAGAGCCCGAGCCTGAGCCTGAGCCTGAGCCTGAGTCGTCAGATCCTGTAGAGCCTCCAGAAGAATCACCGGAGCCATTGGAACCTCCCGTGGTGCCACCATTAGAATCATTGCCAGATCCATTGCCTCCTTCTTCGCCACCAGATCCTTGACCAGATCCACCATTGGTACCTCCGCTGGAGTCCCCGTTTGAACCGTCGCCGTTGGAGCCTCCATTGGTGCCGTCGCCGTTGGAACCGTCTCCGTTAGATCCGTTGGAACCGTCGCCGTTGGAACCGCCATTGGAATCATCTCCATTGGTGCCGTCGCTGTTGGAACCGTCGCCGTTAGATCCATTGGAATCGTCGCCGTTGGAACCGCCATTAGAACCGCCATTGGAATCATCTCCGTTCGATCCATCGCCATTGGAGCCTCCATTGGAACCGTCGTCGTTGGAACCGCCATTAGAACCGCCATCGGAACCTCCATTGGATCCATCATCGTTGGAGCCTCCTCCATTGGATCCATCGCCGCTAGATCCGTCGCCGCTAGATCCATCGCCGTTGGAGTCTCCATTGGAACCGTCGCCACTAGATCCTCCGTTAGATCCGTCGCCGCCTTCTTCGCCACCGGATCCTGCACCAGTGTCTCCGCTAGAGCCGTCTCCGTTGGAACCATCGCCGGTAGACCCTCCGTCAGATCCGCCACCATTAGAACCTCCATTGGATCCGTCGCTGTCGGATCCTCCGTCTGAACCACCGCTCGAACCGTCATCAGTGCCATTACCGTTGGATCCTCCGTTGGAGCTTCCGTCAGAGTTATCGCCGTTAGAACCTCCATTGGAACCATTATCAGATCCGCCATCGGCGCCTCCATCAGAGCCGTCGCCGTTGGAACCGTCGTTGGAACCATTATCAGATCCACCATCGGCGCCTCCATCAGAGCCATCGCCGTTAGAACCGTCGTTAGAACCATTATCAGATCCACCATCGGCACCTCCATCAGAGCCGTCGCCGTTGGAACCGTCGTTAGAACCATTATCAGATCCACCATCGGCGCCTCCACCAGAGCCATCGCCGTTAGAACCGTCGTTGGAACCACCGTTGGAACCTCCGTTGGAACCATTGTCGCCACCGTTTGAGCTGTCATTTTCATCTCCCGAGCCTGTTCCCTCATCATTGTCGGGAGTAAGGCTACTTGTAGTTTGAGAGTTGCCTTGGGTGGTGGTAGGGGAGCCATTGTCATTGTCCTCAGAAGAAACAGAAGTGGGTTTTCCACTGCCATTGTCGGTAGTATGGCTAGTTTCAGAGATACCCTGGGAGGTAGAAGGAGAGCCATTGTTATTGTCTTCAGAGGAAACAGAAGAAAGTGCTCCGGTTGAGCTCTCATCTTCATCTCCCGAGCCTGTTCCCTCATCATTGTCGGGAGTAAGGCTACTTGTAGTTTGAGAGTTGCCTTGGGTGGTGGTAGGGGAGCCATTGTCATTGTCCTCGGAAGAAACAGAAGTGGGTGTGCCACTGTCATTGTCGGTAGTATGGCTGGTTTCAGAGATACCCTGAGAGGTAGAAGGGGAGCCATTGTTGTTGTCTTCAGAAGAAACAGAAGTGGGTGTGCCACTGTCATTGTCGGTGGTATGGCTAGTTTCAGAGATACCCTGAGAGGTAGAAGGGGAGCCATTGTTGTTGTCTTCAGAAGAAACAGAAGTGGGTGTGCCACTGCCATTGTCGGTGGTATGGCTAGTTTCAGAGATACCCTGAGAGGTAGAAGGGGAGCCATTGTTGTTGTCTTCAGAAGAAACAGAAGTGGGTGTGCCACTGCCATTGTCGGTGGTATGGCTAGTTTCAGAGATACCCTGAGAGGTAGAAGGGGAGCCATTGTTGTTGTCTTCAGAAGAAACAGAAGTGGGTGTGCCACTGCCATTGTCGGTGGTATGGCTAGTTTCAGAGATACCCTGAGAGGTAGAAGGGGAGCCATTGTTGTTGTCTTCAGAAGAAACAGAAGTGGGTGTGCCACTGCCATTGTCGGTAGTATGGCTAGTTTCAGAGATACCCTGGGAGGTAGAAGGAGAGCCATTGTTATTGTCTTCAGAGGAAACAGAAGAAAGTGCTCCGGTTGAGCTCTCATCTTCATCTCCCGAGCCTGTTCCCTCATCGTTGTCTGGAATAGGGCTACTTGTAGTTTGAGAGTTGCCTTGAGTGGTAGAAGGGAAGCCATTGTCGTTGTCTTCAGAGGTAACAGGAGAGGGTGAAGGCTCGGCCGAAGAGACATCAGGGGATGGCTCGGGGACAGGAGGGTCCACGTGAACACACTCGCCGGGAACCTCTGCGTACTCGCATTGCTCCTGGCTGTCGACTGATCTTCCGCAGACATCCATTCGGTCATACAGTCGACGCTTCATCTCGGTGATTGGAGTACCCACTTCACTGCTGCTGTAATTGAAGAGGGCGTCGCAAAGCAAACAGTTTCTCAACTTGACCTCATTTCTGTTGAAGGCATTGCAAATGCAGCCAGAATCGCCGGTTGCGCACAAGTCGAGTTCAGCAATCACGTTCAGGCAAGGTTGCTGACACTGGACATTGTTCTGATTCTGGGGGTTGGGAATTCTGCAAGCAGTAGCTGTGGAGGTTGGCGGAGCACAGGAACTTTCGCTGTTGATTGTAGTCTGTCCACAAACGGATGATGCTGTCGTAGGTTTCATACAGTTCTGAAGAGGCAACTTGATGTTCTCGTAGACATTGAGGTAGTTCATATCAAACTGATCTGAGCAACCGAGACACAAGTTGACTCGCTCGGGAATCTTCAGCACTCGATCACAGATACAGGCTGCCCCCTCAAGACATAGACCAAAGTCTCTAATGACATCCTTACAGATGGCCTCACAGGCATCCTTGTCAGGAGTTGTGGGAACAGTGCAGTAGGCGAGAACCTGGGAAGTGGTAGGCGAGCCGTTGTCATTGCCATCAGAGGTAACAGGAGAGGGTGAAAGCTGGGCCGAAGAGACATCAGGGGATGGCTCGGGGGCAGGAGGGTCCACGTGAACACACTCGCCGGGAACCTCTGCGTACTCGCATTGCTCCTGGCTGTCGACTGATCTTCCGCAGACATCCATTCGGTCATACAGTCGACGCTTCATCTCGGTGATTGGCGTGCCCACTTCGCTGCTGCTGTAATTGAAGAGGGCGTCGCAAAGCAAACAGTTTCTCAACTTGACCTCATTTCTGTTGAAGGTATTGCAAATGCAGCCAGAATCGCCGGTTGCGCACAAGTCGAGTTCAGCAATCACGTTCAAGCAAGGTTGCTGACACTGGACATTGTTCTGATTCTGGGGGTTGGGAATTCTGCAAGCAGTAGCTGTGGAGGTTGGCGGAGCACAAGAACTTTCGCTGTTGATTGTAGTCTGTCCACAAACGGATGATGCTGTCGTAGGTTTCATACAGTTCTGAAGAGGCAACTTGATGTTCTCGTAGACATTGAGGTAGTTCATATCAAACTGATCTGAGCAACCGAGACACAAGTTGACTCGCTCGGGAATCTTCAGCACTCGATCGCAGATACAGGTTGCCCCGTCAAGACATAGACCAAAGTCCCGAATGACATCCTTGCAGATGGCTTCACAGGCATCCTTGTCAGGGGTTGTGGGAACAGCGCAGTAGACATTACCCTCTGAGATAGAAGGCGAACCGTTGTCATTGCCTTCAGAGGTAACAGGAGAGGGTGAAGGCTCGGCCGAAGAGACATCAGGGGATGGCTCGGGGACAGGAGGGTCCACGTGAACACACTCGCCGGGAACCTCTGCGTACTCGCATTGCTCCTGGCTGTCGACTGATCTTCCGCAGACATCCATTCGGTCATACAGTCGACGCTTCATCTCGGTGATTGGGGTACCCACTTCACTGCTGCTGTAATTGAAGAGGGCGTCGCAAAGCAAACAGTTTCTCAACTTGACCTCATTTCTGTTGAAGGCATTGCAAATGCAGCCAGAATCGCCGGTTGCGCACAAGTCGAGTTCAGCAATCACGTTCAAACAAGGTTGCTGACACTGGACATTGTTCTGATTCTGGGGGTTGGGAATTCTGCAAGCAGTTGCTGAGGCGGTGGGAGGGGCACAGGAGCTTTCGTTGTCGATCGTGGTCTGGCCACAAACGGATGATGCTGTCGTAGGTTTCATGCAGTTCTGAAGAGGCAACTTGATATTCTCGTAGACGTTAAGGTAGCTCATATCAAACTGATCTGAGCAACCGAGACATAAATTGACTCGTTCGGAAATCTTCAGCACTCGATCGCAGATACAGGCTGCCCCGTCAAGACATAGACCAAAGTCCCGAATGACATCCTTGCAGATGGCCTCACAGGCATCCTTGTCAGGAGTTGTGGGGACAGTGCAGTAGGCGGAAGTAGTGATAACTTCGCGCTTGTGGAGCTGGGCACGTAGGGGGCCAGCAGTGATGGTGGGCCTGGGTGCCCCACAGACGGGGACATTGGGAGCAAATGGTAGATGTCGGTGCTCGAGCGCAGCGTGGACCGCGTTTCGATTGTCAAGATCGAATACGGAGAGGCATTGCAGGCACTGTGTTAGTCGTGATAGCTGGGGTGTCATAAGGGATGTGTTTGTGTGACCTACATCTGTGTGGTTGGTGACATTGCGGTTTAGTCATACAGCACGCTGTTTGTGACACTGTTTGTGTCGTCAAAAGGTGTATGGACGCGCATTTGTGTTGTACAAGTATTGTGGTAGTGACGTGTGCAGTAAGTGGGAAGATCGCAAACACAAGTAGGTTAAGACATAGAGTGCACATAAGCTGCATGTCACTGAAAGCAATACGAGCTGCAAGCTTAAAATCTGCAATGATGTGCATGAGGACTTGGACGAAAACAGTAATACTCACTTCTTCGGGTGCGTCACCAAAGGACACGAAGTCGTCACAGATTTGAAAACAGGTGTCTCTAGAAAGAGTCGAAGAGGGAACACAGGCCATGGGCTGCTGTTGGGGCAAGGCACCCACCAGGGGTGCCAAAGCAAGCAGCAAAGACAATTGCATCTATGTTAGCGATGTCCAATATGTTTGCAGTAGGAGGAGGTGAAAGACCTGGGCTGGTCTGCCATGAGGAAGTACTTACTTTTAGAGTCAGTGTCGATGTTGACGTCGGAAGATGAGTCCGAGGTCACCCTGGGTGTTTATATATTTACCGAACCATTACATTGTTCGTGGCGGTGCAGATTAATTGGTTCTCTTTGCGTTTCCAAAAGCAGAATTTCACAAGCCTCGTGCCAAAATAAAAGACACAGGGGCCATACAAAGGACTGGTTGCTTCCACACTGGCCGATAAATTCAACGTATGGTTAAGCTGGACGTCGGAGAGTTGGGGGAAGGTCAGGCAGGATGGGTTTCCTTATGGTTCGACGGTAGCACGAAGGAGATCTAATGGTTATTAGTAGGACCATACAAGTAATGCAATTATATAAAGCTCAAATGGAAAGGATTGGAAATGTAGATGTTTTATTGCAAACATCTTACCTTTCGACAACAACAGAAGGCACTCAGGGTTACCAAAAAGTGGGAGGTGGGGTCCCGGATGTCACTAACTCATGATTCCGAGTCTGGTGACCGCATGTAGCATTTATTAGTTACAGTACTGTAGGTTTCCTTTAGTCCCTAGAGAGGTCGGAGCGAACAAGTGTCGCGTATTGTACCCTTGAGCTTTAGCCGATGTGCGTGTAGGAGTTCCCAGAGAGGAATATAGGGTACCGGTTTGGTATGGACTATTATCTGAGACAATATGGGGTTCTGAGGATCTCAACACACTCGGGTCTGGGCTTATTTTTGTCTCTTGAACTCCCTTTCTATTGTTTTGAACCCTGGCAGATCAAGCTACAAACTACAAGTACGGTACTCGTACTTCTACGTCTTACTGTGGTGTTCCCCAACGATGAACTAGATATCATATGTATTTACGGAACGAGCACTCGGACTTCTGTGAAATTTTGTTCTTGTTGTTGTTGTTGATACATTGATGACTTACAACATGAGGTCCAAGGCAGCAATTGCTACTTCTCTGCTTCCGGTATATAGATCCTCACGCTAAACTAGCTTAGGAACCAGAGAATGAACCATTCATCATGGTGCAAACGCGAGTGAAATAGCAGCCTGCTAACCCATTGTAATCTCGGAGCGCAGTTATGGGCTAAAGAACAAAGGAAAACGTGAATTAACGCGACCAAGCGGATTTGAAGGCGCCTTTTTTAACCAGGAACGCTTGCAAAATGTCCCATTTAAGAACCCCTTTATTGCGGGTGTTTCAGTTCATCTTCAAGCAATATTCTGACCCAGCCTTGTTTCGTTCGGATGTCGTAGATCAGCCGGTATAATATTCGCCTCTCCGTGCTCATGTCTCACTTGATGGCGACCCTATCGCTAAGTCCACGGGCTTATTGGAGAATACGAGCCCACTTTTAGGACCCTTTTCGGCATTCCCTGAGTTACCCCGGCCCAGTGGTCTAAAAGCGCGCTTGCCCACAATTATCTACTAGGGTTTTTTGGGGAATTGAAAAGGATTTTAATGCTCAATCGTGATGAGGAGAAATCACTAATGCTGTAAAAATAACCGAGCGTAGCATCAATAGCCAGGAACAAAAGTTGGGAATCGCAGAGCGGACGGGCAGAGCAAGCTGAAAAGACTGGATGCATGGATAAACGGCATCATCCCGGGGAGCTAAGGTGAGACATTAACTACCGATCCGTCATTCTCAAGATCTCCAAGCTCGTATTGTTCAACTAAGGTTGAAAAGTTGCAGGGGAGTCAACATGCGGTGTAACCTAGGTCCGGTCCATACCGCTTGGCTGTTTGTTTCTGCCGGACTATAGCTCACCTCCCCTCCAAACTATAGGTCTGAACACTATAGAAACACGGGCACGGCGGCTATTGAGACCCCGTGTGTCTTCACTGCAACATGCGGACCTCCATGTTTGTTTATGTCCGAATAGACAGACGGGCCAGATTCTACCGATGTTGACTTTGGATTGTGTCTCCTACTAGACAAATTTTAGTGTGCCCGAGATGCAAATTGTCGCTTCTGGAATGACGTAAGTAAAACTGGGCTAGTACAACTACTACTAAGACAGGTGTGCGGGAGACAGGGGTGGCCGCAGTTCTGGCAGGAGGGACGCGATCTGACATACCTGCTTACTCAATAAGTCTCCTCTACCGAATAACGAGCTTTGTAGCCTTGAAAACTCCCACTAGTTCGAACAATGCTTAGACTGTACACCAAGGACCCTTGATCCAAACAAAATGAGCTTATGGACCTTCCAAAATAGGATGACGTAGCTCGGCAAGTCGGGAAAATCAGGTTGCCTATTGGAGCCGTCCCCGGGTCAGTATGGAGCTGTAGAGACTTGGTATTGTCTGGGCTTGCAGGTGTAATTGAGACAGTATTTTCGGAGATCCGTGAGTGTGTACTTGAAAGGTAAGCGGAGTATCAGATCTCTTGTGCGAGTACAAGTACTTGTACTAGAAAAAGGCCAAATCTGGCACAATAAAACAAGTACAAATACCCGCATTTCAATGTCTATACGGTTAAAATCTCCCCCCTGAAGAATTCCGCGGAGTTTTTCAACTCTGAGAAGGGTATATGATCCTAAAGTAGCACTCTTAACTTGGGGAAGCAACTTGAACAAGTACAAGTACAAGCAGAGTGTCAAATATGGAATAAAAGATCACAGCCTTCAATAACTGTCTATCATAATTCGTTTTGGTGAAGCCACAATGTTCGTATTAGCCACCGGGTTCCAATATACGCTTCCTTTGTTTGGAAGGCTGGCAGTCACTCTCACTTTCTTGTCAAACTCGTAGAATAAAGGCAGGGGAAAAGTAGTCATCTCGAGGGATCCAATCATATTCGATTCCAGAAGTTTTTCGAGTTCCCCTTTGAGAAAAATGTTCTTCATGGCCCTTCCATCATCTTGTAGGACACTGGACAATACGAGAATCTGCCCTCAGGGATCCAGTAGGAAGGTATGCCAAAGGAAATGTAAGACAATTGGGTGACCTGGCTCTAATTATAATGGTATATTCCAAAGCTGAACTTCTGGATAGAGTACTACAGAGAGTGTTGTCGTTAATTGTGCTTGTGTCGATTTGAGCTACAAGTAGATGTCCTTCGTGTGATTGTTGTGGAGCTCGCATTGAGATGGGGGGTTCTCGATTTGGTAGATAATACGATATCAAGTTGTATTAAATAGTATTCAGGACTACAATGAGTTTTTGCGGTCACTCAAGTGGAGTGTCAAACTTCAGCAATGTTGGATAGGGAAGTGAAGATCAGGAATACTTGTAGTCCTCGTTATTGATATGGGAGGGATACTTGAGGAGAAAAATTGGGCAATGATTCTCAGTTTGTACTGCCAGTGCTTGTATTAGTCCGATAAACAGTGAATATAGTGTTATATATGATGCTCACACTAAGGACCGACCCAAAGTCCACATCTTGAGGCATTCGGCAGTAGCAAGGGTAGACATAATAGTATCATTTAATCAGCTTGCGATTTCGAATTGGTTTCTTGTATCATTTACCTCGAATTTTCGAAATAAAAGTGTCAGAGACAAGCGCTGTCGTTTCTCAGGGGCTATACATAGACATACTACCAGTACGTATGTCGGGAAGTCCCACAAGTGTGAATCAATTCCAGGCTACATAGGCCGATTTGGTGAGTTGATTCAACAAGCCTGATCTTTCCAAGCAACTCTTTAGCGGCAAAATCGTCGTTATTCTGCCGCAAGTTTTTCTTTTTTTTTTTTTTTTTTTTTCTTTTTCAAACTTTTCAAATTTTTATTTTTTCATATTGAGCAGTTGTCACACGCATGTAGATGTCACACAGCATGCACCAGTAACAGTGGAAGAACCTTGTAGCTACTCATTGGTCCACAGCTTCTTTGTTAAGTCTGTTCTATCATACTTGATCTTCTCCTTTGATCGGTGGTCCAGCTTGCTAATTTCTTCAATTCTTCAAGTCTCATTTTTTTAATTTTTTTTATAATAAATCATCAAATAAATCTCTTTCGACCCCCACTCCCAACAAGATGCTAGACCGGAAAATTAGTCGAGGGTTAGGGTGCGTTGTTTTTCCGTCCCAACAGAATGTCGAGACCAACGTCAGTTGTCCGAACGTAATAACGACACCTTTGAGGCACACAATGAACCGACTGTTGAGAGTTATTCCCCGGGCCCGACGTGAGTATTGCTGGCAGCGACGAGTCACATACAGATGGATGTTTTCCACATCGTGACTGCCGTTCAATTGCTCCCCTTGAGTGCATTATTAGTGACATGTGTGATGCTGGGCGGGAGTCGAAGAAGGAGACACAGAAGGAGGAGACGGAGATACAGAGTAGATTGTGGTTCACGTGGCCGTGTGATTGCGAGCAGGCCGTCTCGTTTCCAACAGCTTTCGTTTCTCTACTACACTGTTGCCATTTGTTGCTATTCGTTGCATACAGTACGCAGATATTGGACACTGAAGGAGATCAGCAATGCAGAATGGAGATGGGTGAGGACAAGAGAAAAGGGAGTGCGTTAGATGAGGTTGATTGATCGGTTTGGTTTGTTGTGGTGATTTTTGATTCTCTTGTCGGCAAGTGCATCTTCTTGGGGTTATGGGTATCCACATTCAATATCTGACGGGTTGAGTCTACATTGAGACATCTATGATGGTTGATACAGATGGTGTTATTATGAGGGTGATTTGAGGGTTGACATTTTGTGCCAGTGAATATCGACCGTTGCACAGGTTCCGTGTTTCTCGATGTCGTCACTCTCCGATCTGATCTCTGATCCACCCCTGATGACTTCCACTAATATGGAACAAATTACACCCATTCCACTTCTGTCCTCTTGTGAAATACTTGCAATTGAGTGGTACAAGTGACATTACTCTGCTCTCTTCGGTTTTTTCTTCTGGCTCTTGAATTTCGGCATTTAATCATATCTGAGACGCTGAACCGGGACTTTGCTGTGTGTTAAACTGTGAGGTTTACACATGCTATTATCCTTTCCTGACCTAGCTGCGGCTAGTCGTTTCCGTGTATTGGTTCCGTTGTTGTCCGATCGGACCCACAGCCGTCATTTTACTAACCCAGTGCTCCACACCACCCCTCGCCTCTATCAGGCCAGCAACTTTGCCATGCCAGCCATGAGTCCCACCATGACCGAGGGAGGCATTGTGTCGTGGAAGGTCAAGGAGGGCGACGAGTTTTCAGCTGGTGATGTCATCCTTGAGATCGAAACCGACAAGGCCCAGATCGACGTCGAGGCTGCTGACGATGGAGTCATGGCCAAGATCTACAAGAAGGACGGTGACAAGGACATTCAGGTCGGAGACACCATTGCTGTGATTGCTGAGCCCGGAGATGACATCAAAACCATTGATATTCCTGCTCCTGTCGAGTCGGACGGCAAGCCTGCTCCCAAGGAGGAGGCCAAGGAGGAGGTCAAGGAGGCCCCTAAGGAGGAGGCTAAGGCCCCTGCCCCTAAGGCTCCTTCTACCCCCAAGGAGGCTCCCAAGACCGAATCGTCTTCTGCTCCCTCATCATCCGGCTACTCTGCCCCCGCTAACCCCGCACAGACCCTTCTCCCTTCGGTGTCCTCGCTTCTTGTGGCCAATGGCATCTCCAAGGAGGACGCCTTTGCCAAGATCAAGGCCACCGGTCCCCACGGCCGGCTTCTCAAGGGCGACATTCTCGCCTACCTCGGAAAGGTCCCTGAGGGCTCTCCTGGCGCTGTTGCCGACGAGATTAACAAGCGATCCCATCTCGACTTGTCCAACATCAAGCCCGCCAAGAAGAGCGATGCTGCTGCTCCCACTGGGGCTGCCAAGGCTGGAGATGCTGCTGCTCCTGCTACCAAGGCTGCTCCCGAGCCTGTCATCTTCACCTCGTTCCTCGATGTGGCCCACTTTGAGCCCGAGGACCAGCTCGAGCTGCAGCGAATCGTCAAGCAGGCCATCAAGCTGGCCAAATACGACGCCGTGGAGCTCGCAAAGCCCCGCCGATCCGCCAACGTGGACCCCGACTTTGAGGCTATCATCGGCCCCGCCAAGGGCACCAAGTTCTACGACGTGAACGTCATCTACCCCAAGTCCACAAAGCGGGCTCTCTCCAATGGGGCCGACCTGTATGACATTCTGTCGGACCGAAAGCCCCGAAAGGCTGCTGTCCAGGTGCCTTCCAACACTGTGCAGGTCGATGTAACAGTCAACGACAAGGTCCCCGGTGCCGAGAAGCGAGCCAAGCTTTTCTTGAACAGACTGGAGTATCATTTGACTGTGGAGGAGTAGGAGAGACAATGTCGAGCATAAGATGATACAGCACATAGAGTGTGCTATACAGTATAACGAAGGATATATATAGGTAGGGTAAACATGTGAATGGTGGTGAAGAGCATTTGCTAAGGGGTGCTCTTATTGTAGCGTTCCTTGATGGTATGACTGTAACTCAGTAATTCAGGTCAACTACATATGTACAGTATGTATGTAGTATTGTTCTTACATGATACATTCGTAGTAAGGGTATTCGTTTTCAATTTTACAGAGCATTCCCTTAGCTCGTGCTACAAGTGCGTTGGGTAAGGATGATTTGCTACGCCTCATGATCTTCGCTCCCCTCGTGCTCTTCGGTTAATCAGTTACTATATACACAACAAGATTATTGCTTCTTCTTGTTCTTCAACTTCTGCTTATGCTTCTGTTGCCAGGTCAACTTTGTCTGGGGCTCTTCAAGCGCCTTCTTTTTGTCCTCCTTTCGCTTCTCCTTAATGTCCTCCACAAGCCCGACGGTGTTAGCCTTGAGGGTGTTGAAGTCGCGCTCAAAGCCGCGCTTGTACTCGTTGATATAGAAGGACTTGCCCTCCTTGAGCTTTCGCTCGGCCTTGGCGGCGTCCTGGATTCGCCAGTGCTGTTTGATCTTGTCGTCCTCAGACAGACCCTTTTCGGCCTCCTTGATGGATTTCTTTCCAAACAGTACATCCCATACTCGTCCGTCGCCCCAGAACCAGCCGGATCGATCGACCACCCAGGGAACCCAACTCTTGCCTTCCCAGATGAAGAAGAAGAAGGATGACTTGGAGGCGGTACCGTAGAAACCGTCCTTGGTGAAAATGGTTGTCCTCTCTCCACATCGCAGCTGGTTGAGGTTCACTGTGTAGACGGGAGAGGGTCTACCAGGAAGATAGGGGTGGGTCACAAACCGAATGTGATCCACGCCCTGCATGTGCTCGGGAACACCCTTCATGTAGGTGCCAGGAAGGTAGTACAGACGTCGGATCAGTCTGCCAGGGAAACGAGCAAGAACGTAGGACATGAAGAGGAAAATGGAGGTAAAGGCAATGGGCACAGCAGATCTCAGTCCAAACTTGAACATCTGGTGCACAAATGGCTCGTCGGTGGGGTTCATCTTCCAGTCCATGTAGGCAGCACTCAGCAGGTTCTCTCCAAACATGATTCCGTACAAAGCCAGCACAAACGAGCCACAGAAACAAATGACAAAGTAGAGACGGTGGGGCTCGGCTTCGTACAGCAACTCGGGCTCCTTTTTGTTTTTCAGGATCAGCATCATTTCAGTGAAAGAGAGCCGAGGGCCGACCACAGGAGTGTCGGGTTTGGGAATGATGGTCGGCTGGGCCTCCTTACCGAGAGGGAAAGATGGGATTCGAGATCGCAACGAGTTGCTTCGAGGGTCAATAGGATCGATATCTCGGGGCAGATCAGAGTCGGTCTTTTTGCCTCGAACAGCCATAAGAACAGGGACAGCTGGAGCTCGAGAAATGGGCCGATTCACAAGCATCGAAAGCGGTCGCAGATGCTGCTGAACCAGCGACTTGCCGGGCGAGGCCAAGAGACCCCGCCTCGCCGTGTTCAAAACGAGAAGCATGGTGGTTGTGATTTTGAGTAATAGCAGGCAGATATTTCTGGCGGTAGGAGGTGCATGTTGGTTTAGGGTTAGGGTATGGGGATATTTGACTGGTAAAAAAGTACTCCGCAACGGAGAATTGAACTCCGGTCCCCCGCGTGCTGGTGTAAACCTGACAGGCGGAAATTCTAGCCACTAAACTATTGCGGAAGATGGAGTAAAAAGTCGTTAAAATAATATGTTGCAAAAGATGTAAAAAAAGAGAAATTTGGCTGGTTTTAGGGGTTTTAGTGATAGTAAAACCCTTTTTGTCTATTAATTATTCAGAATCCGAAATATTCAGGCTTTTAAATCCAAATATGAGGGTGTTATGATGTCTATAAGTTTCCAGTGAAAACTCCATATACAGTAGATAGAAGTATGACTCGAGATAAAGGACTACTAGAAGATATATAAATGTACAGGAACATTTAATTATGTGAATAAAGCATATAAATGAACTACATGTTCAATAAAAATCATGTCTGAGCTGTGGAGGATCAAAATTCTAAACAACTAGCGCAAGTGAACGAGGTAAGACACATAAATGAGGTAATGGAGGCCTAAAAACTTCAATGAATAACGATTTGAGGTTTACCCAATTGGTTTGTTGACTATTCAATGACGATTCGTCTCATTATGCTCTTAAAAGGTCCCTTTCTTGTATCCACTGTTTGACCATAGGGATGTATACTCTTCAGCAGCAGAATCTTCTGTGTGTTGATGATGAGATCACGAGAGTGTATTTATCAGTTCAGAAACATCACACAAGCACAAGTACAAGTACCTCGTTTACAATTTAAAGACTCTTGTTCATAGCAAGTATTAGTACAAGTAGACAAGATGCCTCTGATTCATTCTTTTGAGCAAGTCAAATATGTGAAGTACGGGTCATCAGGAGTGCTCAATTCTAGCCGCAATGCGTTTTTAAGAGCCATTGACACCTCTCTAAATCTGCTCTCTATTTGTAGACTCCATAAGACGCTTTTCGATCAACTCGTTCGTTCCAAGCCGCCTTGTTCTTAGTAAGCGGTGAGCTTATAGCGGGACTGCATTTATTTGGATTTATTTGGATTAAATGAGATAAAATCCGATAAAATCCGATAAAAATCGACAAAATAGGCAAAACGGAAATTGACTGAGATTTATCACGTGGATATTTCAATGAGCATGTCACACTCATTGTACCTCTCATATACAACACATTATCCCTGTTCGCTTACTCTCGCCACAGACTTTGGACGTGCAGAATTTTCAAACTCAAATAAATATTTTTGACATAGAGTGCATGCGGAAGATTTCGTTCATCATCATACACAACCTCACAACCGCACAACCACAAAATGCGAGTGTACAACTGTCATTTCTGCTCGTCGCCAGTGTATCCCGGTAAGGGAATCATGTTCGTGCGTAACGACTCCAAGGAGTTTCGTTTCTGCCGATCCAAGTGCCACAAGAACTTCAAGATGAAGCGAAACCCCCGAAAGCTGCGATGGACCAAGGCGTTCCGAAAGGCTGCTGGCAAGGAGATGGTGGTGGATTCCACCCTGGCCTTCTCTGCCCGACGAGACGTGCCCGTGCGATACAACCGAGACCTCGTGGAGAAGACTCTGGAGGCCATGGAGAAGGTGGAGGAGATCCGGCTCAAGCGAGAGCGGGCCTTCTACAAGAACCGAATGCGGGGCAACAAGGCCGCCCAGCTGGAGGAGGACCGAAAACTGGTCGAGGCTCACCCCGAGCTGCTGCGAGAGCGAGAGGTGGAGCTCCGACGAATGCAGGAGGCCGGCGAGGACGACGACGACGAAGACATGTCCGAGATGGAGGTGTCCGAGGAGGAGGAGTCCGAGGAGGAGCGGGAGAAGGTCGAGATTGCGCTCAAGTCCAAGAGCAAGCGAAAGATGCGAGCTTGAAGAAAACGCACCAGAGAATATTAAGTTATTGCATGGGGATGTTGGCAAGCCGATGTGTCTTGTTATTATGACTAATAGATTATTTACCGAACGAACATCGGGTTTGAAGAACGACATGTGGTTCTATTGAGAGCGCACTTGTGAATCGACCTGAGAGGAGAGCGTGCAAACGCGGTACTAGTGTGCATTGAGCGAAGACCGAGTGTGTCTTCGTGAACTCACTGTTCCCTGCGGACGACTACCGTAGAACACAGCATGAACGAAGGGAAAATACTCCTTTTTGAAGCAAACATCGGAGCGTTTTATGTACTTGTAGTTTACAGTACATGTAGTCTTGTATAATGGTTAGGGAGACTTTGATGCTACTAATCGTGAGATGAGAGGATAGTAGAGGTGGTTCTGTTCACTGTCTATGTGTCTTTGGAGTCGATCAAGTCTTTATACCCCAATTGCCGTTTCTTCTGGGTCTCGGGACTCAAGAAAACCGGACTTACATCTCAACATCTCAACATTCATTATAGAGCCACAATAATAGGTTGCGCGTACCCATCTTGTCTTGGGCTATCATTCGATACCATTTTTACTCTTTTTCAAGTCTCATCATGCCATGATAGAAACCCCCCTTCTCTTCTACAGTACAGTACATACTGTAGTTTATGATACTTGTTAAGGTTGCAGTATATCTACATCATAGCTGTTCAATCTTGCTCAGTTTTCTTTCGATTTGAATATACTCACCTTCAACATGGTTGCGATTCCTGGAATATCCCCCCGTTGAAATTCCATCTTCCTCCCTCCTCTGCATGCCATTCTACCACCTCCCTCATCTTTTCAACATCGAACCTAATCCTCCACTCTTCTTCACCCCATGTCACAGACAACATCAGTGACCCGGCTGGCTCGTCTGGTGGCCGGGAAAACGACGGGCGACAGACGCGACATTTTCCGCGACTCGGTGCGCGTTTTCGGCGTTGTTCAGTCGCATGAATTCGACACTCTACGGCTCAAGGAGGTGCCAGAGCTGCACGCGTTGATGAAGGCCCAAAAGCTGCGCCAGGGCATCGAAGACAAACGTCCCGAGGCAGTGGTGACCCTGAGCATGGCTAAGAGCGGTCTGCACGAACATCTCATGGAAGGAACCATGATCATGGTGTACATTGTGATCCCTAGACACATGGTGGTGGACAATGAAGAGGACTACGGATTGCCACCCTCGTATGTCAACATTGATGTCGTGGCGGTGAACGTGCTGAGCCAAATGGGAATCTCGCCGCAGCAGGCAGATGTCATGCTCAAACTGGTTAGACAGGAGGCCCTCAGATTGGGACAGGAAAGTTGAGGGTCCCGATTTCCGGGTCTCACAACTCAACCTACGTGCGCGGTCAAATTGTCCATATTTTTCATGAACACGGGTTGTCTTAGCTAATTGAGCTATGTTCGAGACTCCGCAACTGCTACAGTGACCTAAAGTGACTGTGTCTTGTCCTCTCCATTCACTGAGCGACTCGAGCTACTGGGTGATCACGTCGCTCGGACAACTGACTGTGACTGCGTGATATGTCGCGTGAACGCAGTATTCTCACCATTTGATCCAGCACCCCAGTCGTGTCTGTCATTGTTCATTACAATCTCTGATACGATGAATCCCGACATTTACTAACTTGCATTGAATATATTTATTGTCATGAGCGTGTCAGCTCAAGTGAGTCGTTGTAGTTTGACCCATCTTTGTACTGTAGTCTCCTGTTGTCTCACACTCATCCTGTTGTTCGATTTTTGCAATCTGTATTGTCACCAATCTCGCAACTCACTTCTCCCAAGGTTTATCGTCATCTCACTCGTCCTTATACACACACTATGGATACCCCAGATGCCAGTGAAACCCGAGCTAACGTGTTGGATCTCATCTCTACTCTCGGAAGACACAGGGCCGAGCATGAAGAGCAGCTGCTCATTGACCTAATGGCAAGCATGGAGAAATTCAACAAGTCCATGAAGGGGCTGATCGCGGAGATTCCCTTCTGTCCAAGCGCTACGTATGCGGAATGCTGTGATCGGGCCCTTCAGCTCAGGACAGGCTACGATTACATACGGGACACAGAAAGGGCTAGTCGAAACGCCATGCTGGATAAACTGCAAGAGCATCTTTCCGTGCTGGATAAGATGAGCCAGGTACTTGCTGCCTACGGGGAAGAGACGGAGCTAGTTCAGGTCAAACTCAAGTGGGATCTCATTAACCAAAATGCAACAGGATTCGCCCAGCAGGAACAAATCATGTTGCAAACCGGTCTGTTGAAAATCATGCGCGGCTGTGAGAACGAAGCTGGTCGCCGGCAGTTTTGGGAAGACCATCTGGCACCATTTGGAAACCACGTGGTACTGGACAGAACGGTAAGGCCGATCTGCATGACCTCTTCAGATGCCACCAGACCTGAAAGCACCGCAAGCATCGGCTCCTATCTTCCCCAGGAAATCATGAGATTGATCTATGAAGCTGCCGACCTAGAAACATGTGTCAGTCTTCGGGAAGTCAGCTCAGCATGGTACACCGCGTTCCAAGAGGTCGATTTCCGAGCCCAGATGAAGGCTCGGAACCCGTGGACCGAACCCGTGGATGACTTCAACTCATGGACAGATTGTGTGTTGGTGTTTGTTGCTCGTCTCCGATCATGGCAGTCGGCAGAGTCCGTAGACGACATTGACGTGTCTGCAAAGAAGGAGGAACGCAGAACTGTCATAGGACTCGAAATCAAAGGTGATGAACCCCTGCCCAGCAACTTCACGGGCTTGACGGACAACTCGGGAGATATCTTAACCGAGTCCATAAAAGTGGGTGGCGATGAACATACCTATGTGAGGAGTCAATTGACGCTAGAGAGTCTCGAACACGAAGTGTTCCCTGTAGTGGTGGCTGAGGATCACGACAAAACAGTCATCAAGTGCAGGGATCTCGAGGTGACCCTTCCACCCTCCATCAAGTCCCAGGACTTTCTCGAATTCGAACCTCTGACCATTACCGAGTCGTTCGTGGCCCTGTACCTGAATACAGGTCAGGTTTACGCAGTTCCTCGAGACAAGCCTCACTTTGATCACGGTTTCTACTTTCACGGAACAAGTGAAGAGCCAAGAGAAATGGGTGGTGTTCTTGTAACAACAGAAACACTCCGGGAATGGAGACAGACTGATCGGCGCCAATTCTGGTTAGCCAACTTGGAAACACGGCAAATGGTAGATTATGCGGCAGTTTCACAAGACTCAAGCCCCGTCGCATCCTACAACGGTCTCATTTGGTGGAAGAAGGGAGTTCCTTCGAGACAGTTTGTAGTTCCTACCTTTGTGGACCTCGCGTCTCCGGACCGGGTGTACTATCGAGCCGACAGTGCCATCACCGGGCTGACCTCATTGCAAACTCGACAAGGCAGTGTATCGCGGAACTCCACCCAATTTGTCCTAGGAAAGACGGGCCTCATCTCAGGTCTGCACGTTATCGATTTGGCCTCTGGAATTGTGACCGATATTGTGACTCCCCGTGACTGGCAACGGCAGAACCACATTGAGGTCTTTGCCGGCTTCGTCGACTACAATTTCCAGGCGAGAATCATGGGCGCAGAGGAGATTAGGGACATGCATCACGAGGTGTTGCAACAGATGGAAGGACAAAGATGATATACTCGGTTGGTGCTATACTGTAGGAAATTCGAATCTCAGACACCTTGGGTGGAAGATGTTCGAAATAACCAGTAAATTACTCGTAACTGGGTAGCGCGTAGAACCTTCTGTTATGAGGTTCTGAAATGTGCATTGTTTGTACTTATATTTATAATAGATACAAAAACCCACCCAGTCTTCATTCACAATCGCTCGTGGACATTTGCTTAGCTCATGCTCGTTATAAATATTCTATACACTACCTAGGACCTCCTCCTGCGCCCTCCTTAAAATACTGATCCCAGATACTTCCCAGAGGAACCTCACTCATGAGCGAGTATAAGTCCTCCTGCTGTGGCGAGACTTCTCCCGAGTATGCATACGGCAGAGGCTCCTCCAGAGACGCCGTCATCTCCATATTGGGCGGGTTTTGAGCCTCCTTGAAAAAGTCGTCAAGGTCAGGCACAGGCACCTCCACAGGCTTTTGGTGTTTTTTCCTTCTATCGTCGTTCCAGTTGTCGGGAACCTGTTCCACCAGCGCTCCCAGGTGGCTGAACCGCTTGTCGTGGTTTTGGATCACTTCCACTAGTCCATCTTTGCTCACTTTGCGAAGCACACTGCCTCCCTTGAAGCACATTTTGAATACTGCTGCAGAGAGGAGCTCAAAGGTGTCATGGCACACCTGAGCAGCATTACATCGGCCAATCAGCGAATCCAGAACCACCACACACTGTTTAGACACCGTTTCGTAGTCTTCTCTGCTAATTAGCTGCTGGCCAGACACCAACGAGTTATACACGGCATAAAGAAAGCATGTACCGGCAATAAACAGGTTGTGAACAGCCACCCACGTGTAGTTGATAGACATGATCTGGTGTAGACTGTGGTACTTGGTCATGATGCCCTTGCTAGCCTCTAGCACACATTCCAGAGAGTAAGCTGAAGGAGAAGGGTTCTTGGGGCCCACTCCATACAACAGGAGACGCGATTGGTGGTAATTGAGTGCAAAAAACGTGGTGGTGAAACCGCAGTTGGTCTGCAAGTTTGTGTTTGGACACGAGTCCATCCACTCGTCCAGCCGGGTACACACGTCCTGAAACCAGTCTGCAAACGTCGCAAACCGTCGTGGAATCTCGGTGAACTCAAACATCATGCGTTGGATCTCGGCCTGGATCTGTCTGACCCTTGCAAAAGCCAGAGAAATGTACTTATACGACTTGATACCGCCTGGCGACGTCATAAGCGAGTAATCGACGTTGTTTCGAGGCACAATGAGCGAATCGTCGAGCTCGGAGAAGAAGGGCACTCGGATCGAGTCTTCGGGAATGCCAAAGGGGCGGCCTAGGTAGACACAGATTTGCCGATCAAGCATATACGTGCACCAAAAGAGCCGTCTTCGCATATCGAGGTCGAACCCGTCGGTCACTCGGTTGTTGGAAGTCTCAATGTGCAAGCCCAGATCTATGCACAGTCTCAGGGCCATACTAAGAGTGTACCAGACTCCTGGAACGGTGGGACGCATGATGGAGAAGAGACAGAGCACCAGCATGGCTTGTAGCGCTTCCAGACGATTAGCACTGGCAAACGCAGAGTCTATATGTTCCATGGCTGCTTGGTGGTACGATTCACTCACTCCCGCGGGGTACAGTTGTTGGTGCACGCTCGTTGCGCATCCAAACACGATGAACAGAAAGTAGAGTGGAATCTGGGGTGTATCTGACGTGATTATTGGCTGTTCTACTGGCTGAGCTTCACCAGCATCGACTTCAACAGTCGTATAGTCTGAAGCCAAACTGATTCCTGGACTGAAGGGGCCATAAATTGGCACAAAGTAGTTTTTGATGAACAGTTCGCGGTGGAAAATGGGAATCTGAGAATTGGCCTGGCAAAAGTACTGCGAGAGGCGTTTTTCGGCGTCCCTTTTGCTCGGCAACGTCTTACATGCCTCGTATTGGGTCTGGGTCGTTGTCGGCGTGGTTCTGTCGCTTTTTGTCTTTGCTCTGAGCTTGACGGCCGTCAACAGCAGTTTTGCAAACGACAGATCCTGTCCTGTGCTAGAGTGGCTGGCACGTGACGCCTTTTCAACATTTTCCATGAGATCTGCCACAGGCGCTGTGTTTTTGCCGTCTTCGTGGGTAGCTGTCGAAGACGTGGTTGGCGTGGTAGCTGTTCCTGTTGTTTGGATCGGCTTGGGGATGGGGACAGAAGCAGCAGGGGTATCTAGATCGGAGTAATCGATTCCGGCGTCGTCCAACTTGCCCTCCAGCGCCGCTATACGCGACTCCAAATGCGACACGTAGCTTCGAGGAATCTCGCGTTTGGTGGCCGCGTCCAGCCCCATACACACCACTCCCGCCGCCAGACACCGTGAACACGACGGGAACTTTTGGTCACATTTCGACTTTCGTTTTCTGCACCGAACACACGCCGACACCGAGCGCGCCATTGATTGTCGCGGCTGTTTGGCTGACGGTGGCTCGGTCGGCGTAGGTATATCTTCCTCCATTTTTCGTTTCATGGTGATCCAACCGTGCGTGACCTTTGGTAGCAGTCTTGTCTCTGTTGTTTGTGGTCGTCTGGGTGCTTGTGTTTGCGCAACTATTGTCTTTTGTCTGTGTCGTCGGTTGTGTAACTTGGGTACGTGTCGCCCGTCAATCCATCATCCTGTCATCCACCTCGCGATCACGTCTCGTTATCATCGGCGTCTCTTGTGACGTGCCGCTAGGACGCACGCAAGATAGCGTCCTACGGCCCTGCCGGAATTTCCAACTTGCCCGAAAGTCTAAAAGCGGCTTGGGCGAGCGCCAGAGAAGAGTGGAGGTGCTGGTTTTGTGGGGGGTTCGGGGGGGTTTGGGGGAGAAAAGTCCATAATCTGAGTGGTAAGGAACATGTCTGTAGCTGGAGACTTGAACGGCAAAAATCCAAGGTCATCAACAGATATTGAAGACTGCCATAGACCCCACTTATGAGTGGCTGAGTGTATTACTGTAGACAGTACGAGTACGAGTCATGAGCGACAGAAGTATGCGTCCCTTGTGGTGCTGAGACGAAGAGGTGTGGCTATAACAGCTTTACCTACCGGTACTAGTACCAGTGCCGGTGTCGTGCTTCAATGGAGCGAACTACTCGTACTGTACGGTGAACCCTCTAATGACCTATGAGTGGCTACTGATATGCCCATCTTGTAGCAATAGGAGTTGGCCGTTTCTATAGGAACACCCCGTTAGAAAGCTATAGATTGACGGAATACGGTTGGCTGCTTGAAACGTGGAGTCAGATAACCACCGAAGTGAGGGACAGACGTGAGGTGATGGATTTGCGAGTCTTTTTCTGACAATATTTCTGGAACTGAACCGTAGGTGCATGAGGGAGGCTGATAACTCCCGTCAAGTACGAGTAGGGATATCATGGGGTTGTTAGAGAGTGTTTTTAGGGGTATATGGCGTTGGGGAATGTTTCCACTTGTTGTTTTTTTTTTCTGCATTGTATATCTCTTTCTACTTGTATATCTCTGCTTTTTTATCGATCTTCAATGTATTGTACAGTGCGATTCTCGCTCTGCTTCTACTGAATGTCAACTAAAACCCTGAGTAAAATCCCAACTAAAATTGACTAGAAGGACAAAAGTGAAATATTGACCTCGTTTTTGAAAACATATAATCTTTCCGTACTTACTGTAGATCCCTGAAATATAGAATATAATCTCCCGTACTGTTGAAGGTAATACCCGGTGGGGTAATACCTGGCTAATTCCTCACATAATGATGAGATGTCACCACATAGTAATGAGAGGAATCAGCTGGGTCGTAGACGAGATGTCCATCCTGTAGATAGTTTTATCCACTGATCTAGAATCTCTTTTCTGGTGAATGAGCAAGCACACACCCTTCTGGTGTGTGCTACTATCGGAACGCCGTGTCCCTAGAAGTGGGTTGTAAGTTGTTAATTAACTATATCACATCAATAATACTTATGATCTTCAATAGAAACATCATGACTACAATATATCGATCTCGACTCAACCCTCATTATTATAAATCACCCGCAATTCACCGAAGTTGTATAATCATGGCATCATTCTACCTCCCTTGATCTCTTGAATCTTTTGATACTCTTTTAATTAGTTAGCATAATATATATATATATATATATTGTAGATTACAATATCGTATATATATATTCATATATACTTTCAAAATCTCTACTAAAAATCTCTTTTCTGACACTTAGCTGCATCCTGCGTGTTCAAGACTGCGTGAGTTGAAAGGAAAGAACAACTGTGAACAGTACATACACGTACAGTACTACAAGTAGTACAGTACCAGTAACTGTAGACCCTGGTCTTACTTATCACGTGACCATCACCAAACACACGTCCGACATCTCCTTGCATGACTACTTCTCACCATGCTACGATTCTCTTTCTCAACCACAATATGTACTCCTCAGTCGCAGTTCCACCACCATTATTGATTACATAATCCACACACCCCGTACAGCTCTCGATGCCTGTCTCGCTTACTTCCCCCGCCTCCCACCCCCATCGTACCAAGCCTCCCTGTCATAATATCGCCCCTTCACCCTGCGCGATTAACGTGCCTGAGAACGGTACCAACGTGATACGTCTGGGCAGTGCTATGTCCGGGAAAGGTGGTACCAAGGCGGTGGGATATCGACTACATTGTGGTGTAGTAAGCTGTGTGTAAAGGTGAGAGAGACGGCTGCAAACACCTATATATATACACCACTTTTGCCGTCACATCGGAGAAGTTGTACCAGCTTAAATAGTGGTCTTAAAAAAAAATGCGTACTTGCCTGCCTCATTGGTCGTACAGTAGCTACTTGTACTGTAGCTCCACAGAGAGCATGTTCCTGTACGTCCGTACATAGTGCCTCGTGATAGTAATACTACCAGTACGGAACGGTTGGAAGGGTGATATGGCAGAGCCCACTGGAACGGTAACCAAACGAATTTTGAACTGGAAAGAGCTGAAATAATATCGCTGCCGCCTGTGTATACGTCACGTGACCTTCCATTTTTCTAATCCCTTTCAACAGTTTCTTCTACGACTCCACTCTTTCTCACTTTCCCGGAATTCATTAGCCACCCACTTTGCATGTGAACTGTAACTCAACGTGTTTAGGAAGTTATTTTTTTTTTTTTTCAGGACGCAAAAACAGGACGCAAACACGACTGCCTGGAGTGGAGCTGGCATGAACACACTTTGAATCAAGTCTTCTTTCTCCCCTTTGCTTCTTGATCGCCTCTCGTTCGCTTCTCACGTGATCCAGCGCCTTCCCCAAGACACATGGACATCAAATCGATAGTCGTCTCGACAGCTACGGCAATAGCTACAGCCACGGCGACCGCTATAGCGTCGGCCTCCCCAACAACAAGTGACACATACGCATTACCAACTCACACACCAGCGCTCTCTTCAGCAACGTCGACAGCTGGCACTATCACAGGATGGATCTGTCTGGTGTGGTACTGTCTCATCATTTTTCTCAGCACGGTTGGAATCACGTTGGTGTACAAACGCAACACGGTGGCCGATGCTCCACGGTCCCCCTCAATGACCAATCCTCCGGGCGTGTCCATTTTGCGTCCGCTCAAGGGCATTGATCCCGAAATGGAAACGTGTCTGATGGCTGCGTTTGAGCAGGATTACCCTCTATTTGAGATCATCTTCGCCGTGGAGATGGCCGATGATCCAGCCATCCCCATTGTAGAACAGCTCATTGCGCGCTACCCCAATGTGGATGCCCGTCTTCTGGTCGGATCAGCCCACTATGGACCCAACCCCAAGGTCAACAATCTGGTCAAGGCGTACCAGCGGGCCAAGTACGACATTGTCTGGGTTCTAGACGCCAACGTGTGGGTCACCCGATCTGCCATGGCCCGATCCGTTGACAAATTCATCGAAAACCGCACCGTGGAACTCGTCCACCACCTGCCTGTCTGTGTGGCCATTGACGATGGCGTGGGAGCCGAGCTCGACGAAATGTTCATGCTCACAGCCCACTCCAAGTTCTACACGGCCATCAATTGGGCCGCTCTGGCTCCCTGCGTCATGGGCAAGTCCAACATGTACCGTCGAAGCTCGCTCAACAAGGCTGCCAAGAGCTTCAATCCCAGCACATTCAACCCCTTCACGCAATGGGCAGCCATGAGCGCTGCCAAGGTCGTGCAGCCGGCTGTGGGTGGCAATCCCGAATCGCTGGCAATCTCGCCTCCTACTGCCGAGTCTCAGACCATCTCGTCGTCGGCAGTGCACTCCACGACGCCTCATTCGCGGTCAAACTCGCCTACCCACGATACAGAAGAGAACACGGGTCTGCAGCAGTTTGCAAAGTATATTGCTGAAGACAATATGATCGCTGAGGCTCTGTGGGGAGAGGGTGGACGAACGGCCATGACCAGTGACTCGGTCGTGCAACCCCTGGCCAAAGTGACTCTGGCAGGCTATGTCCAGCGACGAGTTCGTTGGCTGCGAGTCAGAAAGTTCATGGTTCTGGCCGCCACTCTGCTGGAACCCACCACTGAGTCCATTCTTTGTGGAATCATCGGCTCAGTGGGCTACTCGCTCATCTTCAAGGGCGGCTATTTCTCCTGGCCCTTCTTCTTCATCCATATGGCTCTGTGGTGTCTGTCTGACTACTTCCATTTCCACAACCTGCTCAGTTTCAGCAACCTGGACCGCCCCAAGCCGAACCAGACCATTCCCTACTTTGCCAAGCGGTTCTACACCAACAAGCATCAGCTCAACACCCCTAGTCTGCTGGGCAAGGGCAAGAACGTAAATGGGCCCTTCGAGTCGCGTTTCGCGCTCCACTGGATCTCCGTCTGGCTACTCAGAGAGTCCTTAGCCCTGCCCATCTGGACCATGGCCATGCTTGGTCAGCAGGTTTTCTGGAGAAACAAGCCGTTCCGGATCAATGCAGACCTGTCTGCCGAAGAGATTGATCTCAATTGACAATCACAGGGTTGGGACGACGGCACTTACTGGGTTTGACCTCATAATGGGTCTATCAGAGTTCCTCTTCCAACTCTACATCCACGAAAACACAAAAACCACACCCCAAAGGAAACCCACAGCGAGATATCTGGTGATTACTGAGAGCTAAAACAACGTGGTGACCTTACTACAAGAACAAGCACTCGTGTTACAGTGTAGCCTTCCAGCACTGCTGGACAGCTGATATATCCCAAGACACCAGCTGATGTATAATAGATTATAGACATGTGTTGTTGTCGTTTGTAGTGGTGTAGCGTGGAACGGCCGTAGTTGGTGACTCAGGTGGCTGTTACGGGTCCGTCTTTCTCCTTTAGTTTCATCTTTCTTGTCTTCCCTTCTTCCTTTGTCCATCTCATCGTCCGCATGCATTCCGAGACAGATAAGGACCGGACCTATGACAAGCCGCGATAGGGTTAAACCCAACGCAATGGGGCCATCGAGAAGGGACCCTTGCGAATCAGAGCCATTGTTCATTGTCCATCTGCACTTGCACTCATCGCTCCTACAGCCTGCATATTACGTGTTGGAGAGATGTCTCATGGGTTATCCACCAATAGGGTTGCAGAGATAACATGTATCAACAGAGAGTAGGAGGATTGTACAAGTAGGTGTTTTGAGGGGGGTGGATTATTTTATATGACGGGGAGCAGCGGGATACGTCTCGTGATTGTATTTATGACCTTCAATCTCCATTATTCGCCGCTTTTCAGTCCGCTTCCACACACCATCTTAGACATCCCAAACAGCTACCATATAGAGCCTCATGGATCTTCGTTCTGATTCATCTTTCCGGTTCTCAACAACATCATCTCGCCGCAGAATTCCACTTGAACTTTCTTCGTTTCATCTCTTCTCTCTCCATTTTCCCTTTTTCACCACCAAATGCTTCTCTACCATTCTGCTGTCCCTTGTTTGCGGTATCTCATGTTTGATCGATGAGCAACTAAACTCTATCGTTATCGTCAAATCAGAGTGTACTTTAAGGTTCCAACACTAACCACCCATCAACACAGCCCACAATCGAAACCCTAAACAGCCTACTCGTAAAATCCAGGAAAACGAGATGACTGCAATATGACGATTTTAAGAAATGCCGCCTGTAATCAACCCCTAACCGTAACCTATTCTGCGTCGGGAAATCAACCCAAACCCTTCCCTAACCTGCAGAAGCCAAGCACACGCCGCCATTTACAAACACCCTAACCCTAAAACGCCTTGATCCACTTATAGTTCCATATCCTTCCTCGGGGATGAGCACTCGTAGTACTGCATGTATCGGGTTGTACTCGTACCTGTAGCTACAACTATCCAGATAATATCATTTTAAATCACATTGTGCTCTGCACGTTTAAATAACGCTGATTAATCAGACTTAAATAACCCATCTCCTTGTTCTTCTTCAACCTCTTAGTTGTAGTTGGAAGGGTAGAGGATGTTGTCGGTCTCTCGGAAGTTCTCCTTGATGTTTCGGATAGAAACAAATCGAGACAGAATGTTGCCGGAACCAGCCTTGTCGTTGGTTCCGGACTGTCGGCCTCCTCCGAACCACTGCTGGCCAACAACGGCACCAGTGCACTTGTCGTTGATGTAGAAGTTTCCAGCGGAGTATCGCAGTCGCTCGGAAGCCTGGGAGATGACGTATCGGTCGGAGGCGAAGATGGCGCCGGTGAGTCCGTACTTGGTGGTCTTGTCGACAACCTCGCAGGTCTCGAGGAACTTGACCTCGTCGTACAGGCAGACGGTGAGAATGGGGCCGAAGAACTCGGTCTTGAGGTTGGGGTGATCGGGATCCCGGGTCACGTAGATGGTGGGCTCGACGTAGAAGCCCTTGGAGTCGTCGTACTTGCCTCCGGCGACCAGCTCGAGAGAGTCGTCCTTCTTGGCAGCATCGATGACACCCTTGAGCTTGTCAAAGGACTGCTGATGAATGACGGGACCGGCAAAAGATGCAAAGCCCTCGGGGGTGGTGGCATCACCGACGGTCACGTTCTTGACTTCGGCCTGGATCTCCTTCTTGAAGTCCTCCCACATGTTCTCGGGGACGTAGGCTCGGGAGCAGGCAGAGCACTTCTGGCCCTGGTACTCAAAGGCACCTCGGACGGTGGACTTGACAGCGTGGGACAGGTCGGCAGTAGGGTGAATGAGATGGTAGTTCTTTCCTCCAGTCTCACCAACAATTCGGGGGTAGGAGTTGTACTCGGGCAGGTGGGCAGCAATCTCCTGGTTAAGAGTCTGGAAGACACCAGTAGAGCCGGTGAAGTGCAGAGAAGCAAAGTCCTCGGAGCCAAGAACGGTCTTGGTCACCTCCTGGGCGTTACCAGGCACAAAGGAGACGACTCCCTCGGGCAGACCGGCCTCAATCAGAATCTGGTAGAGGTAGTAGTTGGAGAGCACGGCGGCGGCAGAGGGCTTCCACACGACAGTGTTACCCATGAGGGCGGGGGCACCAACCAGGTTGGCAGCGATAGCGGTGAAGTTGAAGGGGGTGACGGCGTAGACGAAACCGTCGAGGGCTCGGTACTCAGCTCGGTTCCACACGCCGGGCGAGTTCTCGGCGGGTTGGACCTGGTAGAGCTCCTGGGCGTACTTAACGTTGAATCGCAGGAAGTCGGCCAGCTCGCAGGTGGTGTCGATCTCGGCCTGGTACACGTTCTTGCCCTGGCCAATCATGGTGGCAGCAAGCATGTCGTATCGATACTTGCCAGCGATGAGCTCAGCGGCCTTGAGGAAGACGGCGGCTCGGTCGGCGAAGGAGGCGTTGGCCCATTCCTTCTTGGCGCCCATGGCGGTCTCGATGGCGAAGGTCACGTCCTCGGGGGTGGCCTGGGACACCTTGGCGATCTCCTTCTTGTCGTAGGGGTTGTACTGGGATCCGGTCTTCTCGGACCAGTACTTTCGGCCGGCAATGACGACGGGGATCTCGTGCACAGACTCCTTGATTGTCTTCAGGGAGTTGAGGACGCCCTGGCGGTCCTTGGATCCCGGCTCAAAGTCTCGGACGGGCTCGTTCTTGATTTCAGGGATGGAGAAGGTACCGTTTCCTGGGGTACCAGGCACTCCAATGGTGGTGAAGGATCGACAAGATCGGGCGAGGGGAGCTCTGAATTTCGAAACGGATCGGAGCATCGTGGTGTGTTAGTTGTAAGTGGGTAAGAAAGGTTCAGTTTAGTTGCGGACAGGTGTCTTAAGAAGAAACAGGCGCCCGTCTTACTCCGCAATGCAAGGTGGTGCAATTGAGTTTGAGGGTGCAGCCCTGATTTCGATTTTTTTGGTCCCATCTAATGTGGTGCTGTCACCTTCCCTTTTCAACCCTCCCAACATGTCGTCCTCAGACGGCATGCATTAGCGACAAACTCTGGTTTCTCCCAAGCAGTTAAGGTTTCAAACAGAGTTTGGAAGTCAACGGCGATACCAAACAAGGTTTGCGAACCACCTCAGTAGGAGAAGACGATGTATACAAACCGACTGTGATTTAACGTCCGGTGCAGCAACTCGTGCAGAAAGGCTTTTAATACGCTGCACGCGACTCCGGGGTGCGTGTCAACGCGTCGCACCCGGCTGTGGGCACGATCTGTGGAGACAATTGTGGGGACATCCGATGGCTCTTGAGCCTTGCTTTTTCGCACTGCTCTCTTCCACTCTCGACATTGCGCCATACTCTGACTCAAGCTCAAGGGCTCTTTTTCAATAGGCTGTCTTTGGTGCCCGCTTTGCACAGCGCTCTTTGGCTGGTGCCCAGGTCAGAGTTATTCCGAGACACTCCGGGTGTCACATCAAAGTGTATCTGGTTTGCAAGTCGAGACATTCCACAGATGTTCTATACGACAAGACGAGCCATAGACATTGAGTGTTGGAGTTGTGGTCTAGGAGCGGTAACTGAAGATCCAATCAAGTTTGCGTATGTACGAACAGCAACCTACTCAACCACTCCATCTTCCGCCGGACGTACCTGAGCCAGCCTTGCCCTGTTCGCTGCACAAGTCCCTCAAAGAGCCGGATTTGCAAAGTCTCTATTGGAAGAGAGCAAGGGAGATATTGGGTCGACCTCGGGGCTGCGGTAGCAAGGCCGTGGCTCCCGACGCCCTCAATCGATGGCCTGTTATCCGTTAGCTACCTGTAGCCAACATGTATATGTCCGTCGACACTACGCTACATCTTGCCATGTTACACTCCATAGACTAGCTACAAGTAGGTGGTAGGTTAGGAATCGTTATTTTACGTCCTGCACGTCATGCAAGATGCTCGACATGTTCCTGATTTTCACCGTATGAGCACGACACTCATGGCTGTCGTTTTCTCTTACGATTTTCGTGCTTTTCTCCCTTCTCGTCGCTTGTCGTCTCGTCTTTGTCTTGCTCTGCGCTCCCGATAACGCCGGAAAGACGGCTTGTAACCTTCTAGGTTTGGCGAGGTGTGCGGCTACCAGGTGACTATCTGTGGAAGGAATGAGCGAACCTCCGTCAGGGTGTTACCCCGGAAAAAAACACAAGCTGAGACGGGCGCAAAAGAAAAAAAGTGCATATACAAAAGACACATGATTGGAAGGTGGTGCCTGGTCGTGTGCAGCTGCGTCAACCAGCGGATTGAAAAACTTGAGCCAGACAAAAGCGCAAGAGAGATTAGACCTTGTAGTCAAAGGTAGGTCAAATAAGGCTGTTTGCAAAAAGAGAAGAGTTGTATTTCTGAAACGCCTGACGGTCTATGTAAAGTTGTTGTTGGAGCTGGCCTGAACCACGTGAAAGCCCTTGACAGTGGAGCGGCCTGTAGAGCGCACTACACAGCCGCTTTACCGCGTTAAGACCGCTACCAACCGCGTCAAGTCCACTACAATAGCTGCGGCACCCAGCCCCAACATAACATCGCCATTTCATGCCTTTGGGGGGTACAGTACATACAGAGATACAGAGGTCAGGTGCCGTGCGGCCAAGCATAAAACTTTTGTTTTTCTCCCAACGGCGCGGCCGGTAAGTAAACCGCCAAGTGGAACGCGTGCTACTTGGGAGACTAGTTGGAAATCCGCACCGGATCTGACATCCGTCAAAAGCCGTATATACGACCCACCCACAGCGGATAATACAGGGAGTGGGAGGGAAATAGCACGCGGCACCATGCCATGTGGATGTGGGGATGGTTGGGTTCCGCAGCGGGTATAATGCTAACCGGTTTGACTCGCCTGCTGTTCTTGTCCTTGTCCTTGCCATGTCCGCGGTCTCTCGATCTCCACTGTGCTCTTCTCTGGGCTCTCTTGCTACTCGCCTTCTTGCTTGCTCGCCCCCCACGAAGACAGCTTCGCGTCTCTCTTCGCTTTCTTCTTTTTCCGCCGTCAGCCCAAACTCCGTCGCTATCAAACTTTTATCACAAAGTGGTCCCTCATGACCCATGCGTTAGGTTTCCGCCGTGAGTTTCCTCGCTGAGATAACTCAAGATAGCAGGAGCAGCCTTTGACTTTACCCAAAAATGGGAATACAACAGCGGCCTACTGACCTGCGGATTCCGACGTGCAAGAAGATAGCCAAAGCCGTGTGGAACCAGACAGATTATATATAGGAGCGCCCTCCTCCGGAAATCAAATCTCAACTCACACCCAACAACACCTACACAACACAACACAGATACAAGAGAGATAATAGTGCCTCTGGCCTGTCTCACTACCACATCTCATACCACCTCCCGCCCCTACCACTACTACAACTCCAGCTACTAAGCCACCCATCTCCAGCTACACTCGCAGCTCGAAGATACCACACAAGGAGCACAGACACACACACACACACACACAAGTCTTGCTCTTATCATTTCGACAGCGTCGTTATCTCTTGTTACACAAACTCTACTGACATGTTCCGACCTGCATACTTGCGCCGATTGCCAACCCTAAAGGCCTCCACCCGGCTTATTTCCACCTCGCTCAAGTCCAACCAGCCCCTGGCGACCAACAACCCTCCTGCTCCCCTGTCCAAGGCCGATGTGCCCCAGACCATGCAGCAGCTCGGAAACCTGCCTGGAGGCTCTCCCGTGACCGGTCCCGGCCATCACAACCTGTCCACCCTCTCGCCCTCCCCCTTTGGAGGCGATATTGCATCCGCCGAGGACCGATCTTCCGACTCCCACGAGGCCCGTCTGCTCCCCGAGAACCACCCTCCCATGTACCTCTCTTCCATGAAGACCTCGGACGTGGTTGCTCTCATGCTCACTTCGGCAGCAACTTCCCACCCCACTCTCATCAAGCTGTGCACCAAGCTCATGCCCTACACCCCCAACGCGCTCATCAAGGCCATTGTCTACTCGCTGTACTGCGGCGGCGCCAACCACGCTGAGGTCGTCGAGACCGGCAAGAAGCTGCTGGATCGAGGCTTTGGCAACATGATGCTGTCCTACTCCGTTGAGGACGCCGAGGGAGGAGACTCTGCCAACGCTCTGATGGACTCTGCCGTTGATTCCATCATCGAGTCCATTGACAATGTCCTGGTCAAGTACGCTCACGAGTCCGAGAAGAAGACCGGCAAGTCCATCACCGGCTTTGTGGCTCTCAAGCCCACCGGTCTGATGAAGAACGCCACCGCCATTCTCCGAAACCACGACAAGCCCGAGTACGCCGAGCAGTGGAAGCAGTACCTCGCCGTGTGCCGAAAGATCTGCCGACACGCTGCCGAGAACGGTGAGGGCAAGGTTGGAATTGTTTTTGACGCCGAGAAGAAGGTTCTCCAGCCCGGTGTCTACGCTGCCCAGCGAGCCATGATGCAGGAGTTCAACGTCAACGGAGCCGTCCCCGTGATTGGCACCATCCAGATGTACCTCCAGGACTCCATTATTCAGCTGCAGGACGACATTTCTCACGCCGCTGCCAACGGATACCAGATCGGCATGAAGCTGGTGCGAGGAGCCTACATCCACTCCGAGCCCGACCGATGGACCACTATTCACCGAACCAAGGAGGACTCTGACATTTCTTACAACCGAGGCGTGGCTCTGTGCCTCGACGGCATCATCCCCGATATCCAGTCCGGCACCCACCACTCTGCTGTTGGTAAGCTGATTGTCGCTTCCCACAACGAGTGCTCCATGGCTCTGGCTGCCCACAGACTGTCTGCTGACCTCACTCCCGAGCAGCTCGAGTCCCAGGACAAGGTCATCTTCGCCCAGCTCATGGGCATGGCTGAGGATCTGGGTGAGGAGCTCGCTCACCGAGGCTACAAGGTGCTCAAGTACGTGCCTTGGGGTCCCGTTAACGAGACCAAGGACTACCTGGTGCGACGAATGGAGGAGAACGGCGACACTCTTTCCGATGGCGGCATGACTGTTGCTTTCCAGTGTGCCACCGAGCTTGCCAAGCGACTGGTGAAGTAAACGCCTGGCCCTGCATTGCATTGGAATCTGTATATGAGAGAGGAGGAATCGTGGATACGTTCGCGACTTATTTATTAGCATTAGCATTAATGAAATTAGAATGATAAAGACGCAGAGAAGTAGAGCATGAGTAGTAGTACGAGTAGAAATAGAGAAGCATGGCGAGACTGTTCAATCAAGGGTCGAGGAAACCTAACTCGGGCATATTTATTGGAGTACTTGCAAGTATCGTGCCGGTATCTGTACAAATACTGGCGGAACTACAGTAGACACAATCTGACATGCGGTAGATGAAGATGCTGTAACCATTGTGCATCTGGTTTCACCCGATAACCTCAGGCATATGAAGATCTCATCAAGATGAATTCTAGAGAGGAGATGTAGATAATCCAACAGGTAACTATCGGTCACTGAAGGTGAAGACCTAGGCTTACATATCTAATAAGCCACATCCCCAGGCAGTAGCTTCCGATTACGACGATGGACATTGATATCGGGTCTTAGACGAGCAGATAGTTAGCAACCTACATGTAGTTATTCGATAACATTTGAAACCGTCCACAGTCGTCTTTGAATACCATCCAATCTCGAGAGTGTAACACTTTCTAGAGTAATCCCGCTTGCTACCACTCAACTGCTCTCTCAATTGAGGCATTTGGTCGCAGGGTCGAATCCACAATTCCGAACAAAGAAAATGGTCTAATCTGGGGTCAGTACCACCCCACAACCAGCCCAGACACATGACCTTTGCATGCATGCCATCATCTGATGTCCGCGGGGTTAATAGATCGTATGGTCCCAGAGTAGTTTTTCGGAGCCGGATAAATTCGAGATAGGGTTAATGCGTCATGTGACTGATAAGAAGTTTATAGCCGACAACCTTAATTACACCTTGAGAACTGGAGCCTAAATAATGCACTCAACGGTGCCGGGATTGAACAGAAAAATGCTACTCGAAGAGAAAAAAAAGAAAAAAAAAGAAAAAAAAACAAAAAAACCATCATGGCACGACAGGAGATATAAGTTGCCGTATGGAGGACTGCTAGACAAGTATTACTATGTGGAAAATGATAGTAATACTTGCTTGGTGAGGGGCAATGACGAGACCAAACGCGTCAACCAGTCAACCAGCATATTGTCGCTACAGTAATTGCTAGCACTACAATTACCAGCACTCGTACCGATATTATACACGTATAGCATATTGGTTAATACTATTACAAAGACTACATCGTCACTGCATTCGCTTTGCTGTCGCTTTGCTCATACAGCGCGGTCCACTCATCCTCTGTTCATACTTCATTACACCAGGTTGCTGGCTTGTTACTTCATAAACCATCATTAAAATCCTCCTCTAGCCTCATCTGTCTAGAAACCAAACTGTTGCTGCTGCTGCTGTTGCTGCTGGGCATGCTGGGTCTGAGGGAACACGGGGTTGGTCTGCAGCTGCTCCAGGCCACCAAACGAAGGGTTGTACATGGGCGTCTGAAACTGCTGCTGGGCCATGGACTTTCGGAAGGGGTTATATCCGGTAGTCTGTTGCGTCAGCTGCTGAACCAGAGGCTGCTGCTGCTGCTGGCCAAAACCGTTGTTCTGCTGCATCATGGGAGCCTGAGACACGGCCATGCCGCCAGATGCAAACGGGTTGGTGCCTGTGGTCTGCTGAATGAGATGACCGGCAGGCATGGAGGCCGAGGACGAAGCCACAGAGGCCGGAGAAGCAGCCACAGAGGCGTTAGGGGCAGTCATAGCAGGAGACGTCGGCGTCGTAGTGGGTTCAGAAATAGAGTAGAGAGTGGACGAGGTGGAGGGCGCTCTAGACAGCGATCCGAACGGGTTGTGGCCTCCAGTGTGCTGCTGCTGCATGTTCTGCTGCTGCATCGGTTGTTGCTGCATGGGCTGTTGATGCATGGGCTGTTGCTGCATGGGCTGTTGCTGCATGGGCTGCTGGAGCATGGACTTTCTGAAGGGGTTGGAACCAGTAGTCTGCTGTTGCAACAAGGGCTGCTGCTGCTGAACGGGGATGATTGTGTTCTGCTGTTGCTGCTGAGGCTGTTGCTGGAACATCTGCTGCTGAGGCTGCTGTGGAGGACCCCAGGGGTTGTGGCCAAACTGCTGCTGTTGCTGTTGTTGAGCCTGCTGCTGAGCCTGCTGCTGAGCCTGCTGCTGGGCTTGTTGCTGGGCCAGAGCCTGCTGTTGAGCCTGCTGCTGAGCCATAGCCTGTTGCTGAGCCTGCTGCTGAGCCTGCTGTTGAGCCATAGCCTGCTGCTGGGCTTGTTGTTGCTGGAGAGCGGCCTGTTGTTGGGCCTGCTGCTGCTGCTGCTGCAAAATCGCTGCCTGGGTGTCCATCTGTATACTGGTCTCCTGCATCTGGATTCCGGAAGGTCCAAACAGGTCCACCAAGGGCTGCTGCATCTGAGTGGGCTGCTGGAACTGCTGCTGCTGATACTGCTGTTGCTGCTGCTGTAGAGCCTGCTGTTGAATCTGCTGAGCAGCGGCGGCCTCTGAGGGAGAGGGCTGGGACACAGAACGTCGCTGGGAAGCAGTTCGGTCTACTCCGCTGCCACGAACAGTGGCATCAGACGACTTTCTGTAGCCATTTCCTCGCTTCTCGGTCTCCCGGGCCTCCTTCTCAGCCAGATACTGTCGTCGAATGAGATCAAAGTCGGGGTCGTTCAGATAGTCCTCCAACGAGTCTGCCAGCGAGGTAGGCGCGTGCTTGATGTTGGGTACATGGATCTTGGTAGCGTACTCCATCTGCTTGGCGGTCTTGAGGTATGACACCACCTGCGACGTGATTTTGACAAACTTTTGGTAGATTTTGAGCGCCTTTTCGGCATCGTATCGCGACATTTCAAAGTAGTGCTCCAGCACGTTGATGACGCCCTGGTTGAGCGTTTCGTAGAGCACGAGTACATCTTCCACCAGCAGACGGAACGCCGTCAGAAGAGTGTCTTCGTTCAGTTCCTCTTCGTAGTATCGGCACTTGAGCAGGGCCAGAAGCTGGTCGAGAATTGACTGGCACTCCTTGAGCAGGCCCTTCTCAACAGACAGAAATTTGAGATCGTCATCTCGGTGGAGATACTTGGGTCTTACGTAGTCGCCCTTTTGTTCGTCAAATCGCAACGCTCGCACTTGGAGATAGTTGTTGTAGCGAAGAAGACCCTCAACGGATGCCTCAGAGCCACCATCAAGCCCTCCGCCTCGTTGTCGTCGAATACCTTGGCAATCGAGCATGTTGGGGTGTCGTTTGAGGTACTTGAGTACCGAGTTGGGGGGACCTTCTCGGATCATAATGTGCAGCAGAATATGCGACTTGAACACCACCGAGTATGCGGAGTCGTCTAGTCGCCGCGAAATGCAGCTCATAATGGATCGCAAGTCATCCGTATGTCGGAGACCGGCTAGAAGCGGCTCCACGTATTTGGCTTTAGGGGGAGCCAACTGGGTTAGTAACGGTAGTAAGGAGCAGCGAACAGCATCAGCTGTGGACCTGGGAGCTACGGGACAATATCATCCTCAAGACGGAGGCAGAGCAATACCCCAAAGCAAGCTGGAGGCACGATAAGCTGCGGCGCAGCTGAACAAAGTGACATAGGGAAGCTGATACGAAGAACTCAGCATGAACAAGCTAATATGCACAGCAACAGGTAGCATGCACAGGTAACCACATTCAACTTCATTGAGCTGTCTCCATGTCATATGATATCAATGCATGTGGTTTGGACACGCCATATATCAGTGTTTCAGTCATGCCACATTCGTCTCGGGAAACTTGCTGGACTTCATTTCATTCCTCCTGATGAGACTTGCACAGCCCAGAACTGACGCAGTTCTTTGATTAAGTCACAGCTAATTGTCTCAACTGAGAGTATTGGAAACAATGCAAACTCGACTGGCCCGAATAGTCCACAGGAGAATTCAACGTCGCTGTAGAGAAGTATGAGCTCCTTGACAGATTGGTGAATTCTTTCTGTCTATTCAGCCAGCCACCCATGCTCACTAAGACAGTCGGCGTTGAAGTGAAAACACAGTCTGGTTTGTTGCGCTCAGTACGCCGAGACCACCGCAGTGGTTCATTCAGACGCCAGTCAGTTCTTCCATCTCCTCGTTGTATCTCTTTCATTCACTCACCTTTAGTTTAGTCGCTCCCTGAGTTAGTATTGTTCGTGGACGTCAGAAGGCATGTCCCACGGTAGAGTCGAATGCATCCTTCAACCACAATCACAACTACAGCATTCTCGACGAGATATAGCCATTCGCCGTGGTGGTGATAGTGCAAGGACACAAGCGGACAACTGTGAGGAAACCAAACGGTGGGTGTCATCCAAACGGTGGGTGCCGTCCAAAAGGCCAATGCCATCCAACCGTCCAACAATGCTTCCCCGTGCGTCGTCACAGCCGTCACAGTCCGTTTGCCACTGTCGGGGTCTCTAGTCCACCTCTATCTGTGTCACTCACCTTGACGAGCTTTTCGTAGTTTCTCGACATGTCGGGGTTGTGTGTGTATGAGTAGTTGTGTGTTGCTTGGTCTGCCAAAGTCGTCTGGGTCTGCCAAAGTCGTTATAAGGCCAGGGTCGATTTCGTCACTCGTCCACCTGCTATCTCCGCTGAAGACAATTCAAAAATACGCACGCACCAGCATGTGAGCTAGAGTAAAATAACCCTCTGCGCTGCGGAACAACACACCTTAAATCCCGCACTAGGAGACCTAAGGATGAGGGCAATAGGGGATGGACGACAAGACGAGCACAACAGGAGCCCGCAAATCTCTCCTACCCTGAAGTTGGGCTGTTGCTGGGCCCAGATATACACATCCCCAACCGCCCCCACCACACTGTACGCTCATGCGCACACACTGTATTTACCGGATGATACTTGTATACAGCAAGCAGCCGAACCAGCCACAGTCGAAGCCCCCCATTGATTATAAAAGCACTTGCACAACCGTGAACAAGCAATGGCCGAGTGACGACAAACCAAAATACGTTTACGTCCGCCGGAGCTCTTGCCCTCCTACATTCTGTCCTCTTATCCCCTCTTTTCCTGACTAACAAACCAAATCTAATCCAGCCACCTTTATCGGCTCGGAACGACGATCACGGAGGATTGCATCTGTATGGGGAGTGTCCATAGCAGTGCACACACCTGGAGCTGTTGGACGAAACGGCCGGTCATGTGACGAGACAGTCGTTGTTGTTTGGGCATTGTTGGCTCACGTGGCTCTTGTTCTGCACTGCCATACCACGTTGCTCTGCTCAGCCTCTCGGCAATGCAGCAGTGTGGGGTGCAGAACGACGTCATAGGTGGGATTAGTGGTGGTGATATTAGACGAGTCTGGAAGGGTGACAATAGATGATATTGATAAATATCAGTAGAATTTGGCAGTGGAATGGTGAGTACAAGTACAAATAACGGTACTTGTAGTTACTGCACTGGTACGAGTATCGTACCAGTGTACTATGTCACAGCCTCCTCTATACAGTTGTCTCAAAGTGGGTCCAGAACATTGCGATGATGTCAACTGTACAAGTACCAGCACTGACAGTTAATATAGCCAACTTATGGCTACTTATACTGGGGCACTTAAAATAACCAACATTGATTGGAATGTATGATAGATCCTTTATGGAGATTGACTGTTTGTGTGTTGGACGGAGAAGTCGTACGAGTGTCGCACCGGTACTATATATACCGTGCAAGTGCTAGCACTCCAATTGTGCATAACTGGAGCGGTTTTGTTTCAGATGGCGGTGAAACGGGAAGGAGTCGTCGATAACTTATGCATACATGAGTTGTATTTGGCGAGGCTGAATTAGTGTCATTTTAATGTACGGCGTTTGGGGAGGAAGGGGAGGTGCGAAGGGGGTTGGACATGTACTACCTGGAGGATATGGAGGGAATTAGAAGGCATGTATCTAGGATTCCAGGATTTATTTTTTTAAATTCCAATTTCAATTTTTTAATTTTTATTTAAAATTCGGCAAAATCGAAAAGATGGAGAAAAAAATAAAAATAAAAATAAAAAAAATAATAAATAAAAAAGAAATAAAAAAGAAATAAAAAAGAAATAAAAAATCTATAAAGAATCGCCAAAACGCTCAAAAACCCAACAAAAACCCATGGCGTCGTTCCAATCGAGAATCACTCAATAGGGAAGCTCAATAAACGTATTTGTGTGTCATTCAACGGCAATAATCTGCGGAAAATCTTTTATCCACTCAGTCTACTTGTACAGTATTTAGACCTTGCTCAGAAAAGCCAACTTTAAGCGGACGACAGAGGTGTTGGTGGGTCGCAGCAGAGAGAGGGCTTGACATAACTTCTATTGGATGATGGTTCATCCGAGAGTCTTGGTGTATGGTACCAAAAAGTTTGCAGGAATCTAAGGATTCGAATGGTAAGCTTGAAGTTTAGATAACTCAACTATTGGACGAGATATGACCAAAACGGAGTTTCTCTGAGATTTTTGGTAAGAACGAGAAACAAACACACACATAGGAGTTTCTACAAGCATCTGTGCCTCCCCCAATACGTATAGTCCATCTCCTGCCGTTACCACTCACTCTCGTCTGGCGTCTTCTGACTTCACTGGGACTGCTTAATTGGTGCAACCATGACATAATCTACGCAGGGAATGTTTCAGAATGGGGGAGAGGTGGAGGGTGCGTGGTTGCTTGTGCCAAACTCAGAGGAAGCGTTGCTGGATTAGGACGAGGGGCGTTTGTGTGTATCAAGAGGAGCCGGAGCGTTCCAATGCCGTCACATGGAGGTTTGAGGGGGGATTTTGGGGCGGTTCTTCAGGAATGTGCGTTAGGTGATTTTTGGGCATTGGAATGAGGAGATCCAAACAAGGGCGAGGAGTTCAGAGTCCGAAATGGGTGAGTCGGAGAGAGAAGGATTCGTTGGCCTTCATATTTGGGCTCCGTTCATGAGATAATTGAGCTATGGGAGACGCTCAAGATTTCCAGGGGTCGATTATGTTGGTCGGAAGCAGCGCTGACAGTATCGTACTTGTAAGAAGAATGTTTTCTCATCTTCATTGTAAGTAGTTACCCTAAATGCTCATGTTGGACTCCAGAGAATCATCAAGAATGACCATGAGGAACTATCTATCGTACTCGCACTTGCAAGTAAGTATTGTTCGCTTTACTGCCCACTTCAATTTCTAATGACACAAGCTGCTTCAACTCTCATATCATGTCGCGTGCACAGTGTCTGGTTCTGGTTGTAAACGGATATGGACAAGGAAAACTTGAATGAACATCCAACCGTAGAGAAGTGAATGGGTAAAGTAGATGCTCGTACGATAGCCGACTCATTCTTCCAGAGACAGTACCGGTACTTGTACTTGCAATTCAGCAGACTACTGTATAAGACCGTGCTCCCTTTCTCGTTATACCAACCAGTCCACCTCAATATCTCGTTAATAATAAATAAATTAATATACTACATGTTGTACACATCTTTCCTTTTCCGCTCAGGTCTCAGACAACCTCCTCAAAGGGGAAACATGTCTCAGACTGACGAGACTCTTGGTGGGTTTTGACAAAAGTATTGGCAACAACCCCGTAGACTCGCCCCCATCTTCCAAAGCAGATAGCAATCACCAAATCATTCAACCATCCAAGCTCTTTCACAGTAGCACATTGGGACCGAGGAAAGCCTGGAACCGAGCAAAGCTGGAACCGACGAAACATGGAACCGACGAAACATGGAACCGATGTACCTCGACATAATCAACAGCATTGTTCTAGACAGCGCACACTCGAGATTGCTGAATATCGCTGCAAAAAACCGTCGCTCGCTCCGCTCAATCCCGCTCCGCACCTAACAACCATGCGAATAGCACCCCAAACAATACAAATCCGTCCGGTAAATACTCGAGATGGAGCACCGTCGACACACAATGGACGAACACGAAATGCACGTGTAGTTGTCGTAATAATAGATGTCGTCCTGGGCAAGATCCTTGTCACACTGCTGGCAGTTGAGACCCTCCACAAGCCCCGCAGGAGAAGGAGTAAACCCGTTGGCAGCACAAGGCTCCTGTCGTGTACCCCGCTCAGCGGCATTTCGCAAATGCTGCATGGTCACAGCATGGGCATACCCATCCACAGGTTGCTGCTGGAACCGCTTGTTTCTGTTGGCACACTCGGGGGCAGGCGAGTGGGCAGGCGAGTGGGCAGGCGAAGTGAGCTCCATATCGCCCATGGACGTGTATCCACCGCTCATATCCACGTCCATCATCTGGTCGCCAAAATTAGAGTGTAAAGAGGCATTCGAGGTGGCATGGTTCAATGGAGGAGAGGTCACGGCACTCTGTGAATAGTGATCCTCTTCACTTCGTCGCTTTCGCGAGTTGTGCATCGAGCCATGGTTCATTGCGTACATGTTGGTGACTGACGAAGGGAGAGACCGATCGAATCTTGAGACGGCGACATGGCCGAGGAAAGACAGGGATATATATTAGTTTCGCGTTATACTTTTTTGGTGGAAAAAAAAACCACAAAAGGAAAATGCCGAATAGGTTTTGACGCATCGACAGAACATAGAGTATGCCATTAAAACCGACGAAAAAAGGCGTTATAGAGAATATGGACGTGTCATTGGAACAAAAAGACTTTAAAAAGAATTATCCAAATTTCATCCAATTTTTTCCGATTTTTTCCGGGATTTTTCCGCCCCCAACAATGTCAAAAAATCCTTCTCCATTTCTTTCCATGCAACACTATCCTTCCAGCCACCCAGCCAGCCCAAAACAGACAGACGCAGCCCTAACCCTGCCTAAATGGAATGGGCCACTTTTCTGGGCGCAACCCTAGCCCCCAAATGGCAGGCCAGCCCGGTCGCGTGGGCTCAACGAATGTTTGTTTTTTATTCTTTTTTTTTGTGTCCCTGGTCACGTGAAAAACGAACGAGAGGTCACGTGACACGGGATGGGATATATGCATCACGTGACCTACGCAAGATCCTCGCCCCCGGGGTATTTCCACGTGACTTATTTTCCAAAAAAAACAGAAAAAGGTCGGTGCTGATTTCGGTTAGGGCCGCCGTCGCAATTGTGTCAGCAAAGGGATATGCGAGGGGAAGCACTTTAGGGTTAGGGTAAAGACAGGGTAACTTGAGCGGCAAAAGAGCAACTTGGTGAGAGTGGGACTCGAATGTAGGGCCGACTCGGAGCTACTGTACTTGGAGTAAAGCGGGAAACTGGGTGGGAAACTGGGTGGGAAAAACACAAACTAGAATCGATCGCTGTGTATATATAAATGAGGCTGTTTGTGTTTGTCATGTTGACGGGACGTGGGATAGATAAGGAGGGTGTTACTTGTACTCGCTTGTACAGTATGGTATGTTCCCGTACCGTACCTTCCAGGATGTGTATATATACTCTTAGACTAATGGTGTGAAGCATATGACAAGTTGGATTGAGAGGATTGAACAAGGTGTGAGTGGTTAATTGTGGTGGTTGTGTGAGTGGTGGTTAATGGGCTCATGGTGATTCATGGAGCACTTTTGTGGTAGGTGTGGTATATCTGGAGTTCGAACCAAATGGGGAGATAACTGGGTCGTATGGAAGGAGAAGCTCTTGATGTTACCTTGATCTTCATTTCTTGATTGAGGGTACTTGATGAGAAGTCGTCTATAGATGTCTTTCAAATCATCTACTGTACTGCCAACTGTTATCAGTCTGAAACTTGAGATAATGGGGTAGTTGAATGAATTGGAAAGATTGTATACTAGTTCAGACGGCAGATGAAGCCGCAGTAGAAGCCATTCGAGTATAGAGCACGGCATTACACTGGTACTCTTCCTATACTTACGTAACACACTGTGGAGTGTTAGAACATGGACATACTGGTTTCATGATAAGAACAAAACTGCCAAAAGTAGCAGGTGGTTGAAGGTACTTGCACTTAGAGAACAACTCAGTTCCCCAGCTATAGAATACACACCGAAACCATGTCTTTGACAGAGAGCCCTGAAGCATACAACGATTGCCTCTTTATCATTAGATACTTGAGAGTCACGAGAAACGAATAAAAGTGCAATAAACAGACTCTTCAACAGATTCTCTACAGATTCACTCAGTCAAATCTACTTCATTTTCATTAGTCATCAATAACTAGTACTCATAGTCACCTGTAGCTGCTTTTTACAACCTCCACGCAAGACCTAATTCTGAGCACACCCGTATAATTATCTACAATACGACACTAGACATGATCTGCCCCACATTCACCATATATATATAATCCCTCTTTGCCACAGACACTGTGCTCATCACCACCAACCAGCACCAAATATCCCCTAACCCTACGCCCTCGGGTTCAAACCTTCATCACTTCCTGTCGTCACACTATCAACTTTTGCAGTCTATTGAACAATGGAGGACAAACGCAACGCTGAAAGCGCAAGTTTGGGCGCTTCTTCCGGCGGCGACAGCAAGCGGGCCCGTGTTGCGGCTCGCCCGGTGTCGCTGGAAGACGTGGCCGAGTTCCAGAAAGAGGCCATTTTCCGGGCCATGGAAACCTATCGACGTGAAAAAGAGACTCTGGAAAAGCAGCTGGAGACGCAAGGCGAAAAGGAGCGGGAGCTGGAGGAGCGCGTCGTTCGCCTGGGCACGTGGTGGGACAAGGTAGCCGATCGGTTGGCCTTGGTGGTGGGCAAATATGAGTTTGAGAAATCAAAGGTCAAGACTGAAGATGTGAAGAAGGAGGAAGACACAGAGAGAGACGCCGGTGATGAAGACGAAGTGGAGGTTGCACCTGGACCTACCGGATTGGCTACGGACCTGGAGCTGGAGGAAAAAAGTGCCTCTATCTCGAGTCACTTCTCCACCCTTCTTGATCTCATTGGGGACAAGATCTCCAAGCAGGACAAGACGGAAGTGTCGCGTCTCAGTGCGGGATACACGGATATGGCCGAGCAGCGTCATCTGCTGGTCCGGAAGATCCAAGATCTCGAACATGAGGCCCAGACCATGAAAAACCAGTACCTAGCAGCAGCCAAGAAGCTGGATAGGTACAAGTCGCCCACCGTGAAGTTGATTGAGGGCGAAGATGTCGAAGAGAAGGCGGAGGAGAATGGCGACCAAAAGACTGCACAAATGGAGGAAAAGAAGGAAACTGAAGATTCCCCAGATACCAAAGATACCGGAGATACTAAGGCCCTGAGAGAAACCATACAAGTCCAGGAGGAACAAATGAAAGAACTGGACGCGAAAATTGCTGCTCTGGAGCACGAGGCTAGTCTGTTCAATGCGAAAATGGCGGATCTGTCCGAATCCGACCTCCTGGATCACTCTGGAGCATTTAAGGCTGCAAAGGAGCAGCTGAGCGATAAAACAGGGCAGATTTTGGCGCTGGAAAAATCCCGTGACGCCATTTCAGCTGAAAAAATGGCCCTCGACGAAAACAGACAACAATACCGGTCGACTATCAAGCGGGAGTTTGAAAAACGCGAGTCTGAGCTCCGTTCGCAGCTGTCACGGGCCGAAACCGATCTTGTGCGAATCAGAACAGCCAGAGACGAGATTCTGGCAGACTTGAGCCAGAAAAAGGCCACTGAAGCGGACAAACTTAAGACGATTGAGTCACTGAAAGAATTAGGCGAGGTGTACAAGCTGCGAATTGGCACTTTGGAGTCTGAGGTTCAGCGGTGGAGAAAAGAGGGAAACGAAGGAGTTAACATGTCCAGCAATGTCGAGGGAAAGTCGCTGGAAGAGCTCAAGAAGGAGGTGACGGTCCTGACGCTGACTAATCAGAGTCTAATGGCCGAGATCCCCGGAATGGAGGCTGCGTTTGTGTCTGCGCAGAAGATGGCCGAAAACAAGGCTTTGGACGTGGCAGACCGTGAAAGCAGGTTAACTAAGTTGCTTGCAGAGAAGGCCAAGGCCGATGAAAAGTACTTTGCGGCCATGCGACACAAGGACGCGCTGGGTGCCGAGAACGCCAAGCTCAAGGCGCAGATGGTCAAGTCTAGTGAGCTAGTCAACCAGCTCCAGGAGGTGGATGCCAAGACGCGCGCCAAGATTGACGTGCTCGAGAAGACGTTATCGGAGTACGTTTCTCTTCATGCAAAGCAACAGGAAGCCGCCAAGCGTCTGACTAGCCAGGTGGCCGAAAAAACGCACATGTTGAACGGCGCTCAAAAGTACCTGACGACGCTCAAGGAGGAAATGAAGCAGCAGGGCACAAAGCTGTCGGTTGGAGAGCATAGAGCTCGAAAACTGGCTCTGGATAATGCCAAACTGACCAAGCAGATCGAGTTGTCTTCTTTTGGAGGCTCTTCTGATGAAATTGACGAGCTGCGGTCTATTGCAATGTGTTCCCTGTGTTCGAAAAACTGGAAAGACACTGCCCTCAAGGTCTGTGGACACGTCTTTTGTCACCAGTGTGCACAGGACCGGCTGGATGCGCGGTTGCGAAAGTGTCCCAACTGCAACAAGCCCTTTTCCCAAAATGATCTGTTGACCGTTCATTTGTAGAGCAAGAGGAGTGAGGGAGATAGAGGAAGGATAGTGTATTATATGGATGTATGGGTTTGTAAATATGAGTGAATGAATATGAGGATATGTACAGATGTGTACGTACACTGTAGTTCGAACACCCGACCTCTTCAAATCTCTAGCATCTCCAACGAACTTGGAGAGCCCTAGAATCGTAGTCATAACGCCTGGAACTCGTCTAATGTCAGTAGAATCACGTGATAGACATATATTAGACAGGGGTAATGGGTTGAAATGGCTTGTTTCGAAAACTGTACCTGTATTTGTATGAACATACTGTACATGCTGATATGTTGGCTTGTTTTGCCCGACGTTTTTTCGTAAGAAACCCTGAGAGTGTTTGACGAGGAAGTAACAAAGGGGCTCTAGATACTTGTCATACACTTCCTTTGAAGATCTAGAATATGTAATGGTTGTACTTGTAGTTCGTTCCTGGTGCGTAGTATTTGTAGAGTAGGAAGTATTTCTACTACCTTGCACTGAATAGTTGCGATAACTAGCTCATATTTATTGCTGTCAACAGCACAAGTTCAAAAACCCTTTCTATTGTCATTCTAGAATCTCCACCTCGCTATGTCATACTCCGTTGAGTACAGCGAAGCCCAGTAATCAGTTAGACACTAGCCACTAGTCTAGTCTACCTAGGAGGGTACCACTACGGTAGTTTTCGATGCGGGGAAGGCCAGAGAGAAAAACAAATATCAAATGTATACTGATTTGAGGTGTTACAAGTGAGCAGTGAAGTGGTTATCGCTGGGGCCTATAGCATGTTCCATTGTAGTTCGGAGGCTGAAAGCACAATGATAGTTTGGGGGTAAGTAAACAGTTGAAGATCAGTAGTGAGGCGGGGGAGGGGACGACTATAAAAGTGCTGGAATTCACCATATTGAGCATTAACAGTATCTGCCCTGGTTTCGACAGGAGACCTGAACTTGTATTAGTGTTCCTGGGTATAGTATCTTGAACTTGTACGGATGCCTGTATGTAATGATCATTTCAGAAGAAAACAAGGGGAAGAGGCTGTGTGGCTTCACTCATCTATATTCTTCAGGTCAACTTCTTGCACCTGCAACTCATGAAGTTGCACTCAATATCTATACTTCAAGCTCGGTTTCTAGTTCCACTTGGGGTAGCAGGGCTAAGACAGTAGGTAGCTGGTTTCAGTTCGGATAAGCTAGCATAAGTGACAGAGTAGGTCCATATTGACCATATTATCACATCCCATTGCGATGTAATCTGTATGCTGACACTAAGGGATGGCGTTGTGTAGACAATATCCATCTCAAATTTACCAAGAACCTGAATACCACACTCTCTCCGGTGTGACTTGCCAACGTCATCTCTAGACAAGTCCAACTTTCGACTATACCGAGCCGACCAAGAGATTCACCCGCAGACACTGGGCTTCGCTCGCTTGGCACCCGTTGTGAAACTGGGGAAACATGCTTGAGCTGAGCACAAATACCCCACAGCCATCGATTAGTGACATAAAAAGGAATTTGCGACGGTTACTTATGTCCATGGCTCTTGCGAGTTACATATTGAACATACCCTGGGCAAGTATCTTCGGAAGCCATGTCTCAGTTCAACCTAGAGGGCACGATACAAGCTTGACTTCACAGTCTAAAAACAAGAACAGAAGAGAGCCCTAAGCCACTTGCACGACTACAGGTATTGTCTCAAGCTTCCCCGCCTGAAATAGAATGAAGAAACTTGTTCTCTCTACCCCATGTTTTGTCTGGGAGGTGCATGGGGGACGCGTCTTTGTATGGCTCGAGGGTTACGGTTCATACTTTGCTTGCCTTTAGCACTCCCTTACGTCATTACCCCGGAGAGCCGTACATGAGCAAAAAACAAGGGCTGGAGAAGGAGCAGTCCGGAGCGAGTGTGTGCTACAAGTCATGTACGATAGCTGTCGTGTGTTGCACAGATAGAGTGCCACCAGGATCAAACTCAACAGGGTGTGTACATAGCGGGCACTCATAGACAGCAAGCCCGAGGGGGACAACGTTAAGGGTGTCGATCTAAACACTGGTGGTGAGAATGAACAACTATCAGGCATTGACAGAGGTCCATGTACTTGCAAAAATACGGTACCGGAGCCACGTGTAGACAATGATCCGTCCGAGCTAGTCGCTAAAGACCTGTGGGCGCTCCACTCTCATCCTCCTCTCTGTACCATTGGAGTTACCGTCAATGCTGCCTGTTCCGTCATGCCAACTCTTGCCACTCTATCGCCCTCGGTAGCGCCTACTGCATCGGAAGACACGGATACTACAGGCACAGGATGTGGCGTGGTGCAGGCGTTAACGTTGGGGGGATAATCGGCTGGAGTCTGTGCTCTGACTGAGCAACAAGTCGGAAGTCGGGATGGGGCCGGAGTCCTTGAAGACGGTCGTGGTTCAGGTTCAGCCGCCTTGACAGTCTTGTCGGGTGTGTCTTGTTATCGTGCCGGCTACGGGGTAAAGCTCTGCTCCTCGTATACGGATAAACTGTGGCTTCTAGAAGGTCAAGTGAAACAAAATACCTACAAGCCGGAGAGGAGGAAGTCGAACATACAGCCGTCTCATAGATGGTGGCACAATACAGCCTCTTACCCCACATCCCCAGATTCTGCTCTAAACTACAACCTCCGGGGTATCCAGCAGAGCCACCATTTGGCATCGCGTGCTCTTGCACGTCTTCAACTGCAGCCGGTCCACTTCTCCTGAAACTCTGTGTCGCCAGCTCTCCAGATTCGGGTGCACACAGCGAGAAAAGCAAGTTCGAGTTGGGCGAGTTTGAGCGGACTCTGGGGTTGCAATCTACAGTTTGGTGTATACATTTGTCATGAGACGTCTGGTATGGGTAACTCGTAGCTATCTCAACATCGGCGTGCAATCCTCCGGTATCTCACCTGGCAGGTACGAGTACTTGTACCAGCACTTGTTCGTAGCACCTCCAAGGTTACATTGACAGGTGTCACCGTGCACAGTCACACGAGATCCAGGCTAAGACCCGAAAAATCCTCACTAATGAGGCTTGGTATGCGTGCTTTAGACAAGACTTTTACTATCCGTTCCCTTCCGACCCAGCCCGACTGAACAACGCTCGTAGGCGTTCGGTCAGCCGCTTCACCACCAGGAACTCTAGCATAGCCGCGCACCTCGCACCACGTAGCACGCACCACGCATCTACCGTACCCCTTCTCTCCGTTTTCTCCCTCTCTGCTCATCGCCACCTCCTACCGCCGTTTGAAAGGTGCATCGGGGAGTCTTAGCTTGCATGAATTTTTCCGACCACTGGTGGCCCTTGTTCCGTAGCCCTTGTTGCAGGCATGCCACAGCGAGAGTCTAGATAGTGGGTATTATAGTGTGTGTCTGTCTTGTAGGCTGTGCTGATAAGCATGCTGTTAATTTGGACTCGGTGCCTGAAAAGACGGTTTGCCGTGGGTGACAACGAGTCAGACGGCTCAGCACTATCTTTCAGTGTTTATCTGGGTTTTATCATGAGCCCATTTGTGTTTGTTTTCGGGTGTCTCTCCTTTGGCCTCCTTTTGCAGTTTTTTTTTCGCATACAAATTCATCCTTTTTTAGTCTCTCTTTCACTTTCCATTTTGGAGAAGCGAATAAAGTGCAAACCTTGAGCTTGTATGGTTCGACTTTTGAGATGAGACGATGAAGCAATAAGAAGACAGTTGGGGTCTCAAGGAGTAGTCCAATCGATTTGTCCAGCCCGGTTTATTCGATTTTCCTTTTCTCCGCTCGAAAAATGCCCGCATTTCCCACTTTTTACCCGCTCATGCAAGCTGACGTTGCGGAAGGCCACCATGCCGAAAACTTTTTGAGACCCACCGATGTCCTACATACAAGCTGGGCGGTGAGCGCGAGAGACTGGGCAGCTAAGCAAGCCTCGCCAAGAGCAGGCCGGTAATTGGCGGTGAGGTGACAGAAAACGGGGCAGTTCTGGGGGAGCTCCAGATCTATCTACAAGTACTGTACTGGTAAAAAGGTGTATTGTAGCTCGATCGCTAATGGTTACTATAACCAATGAACTTGTTCACTGGCTATCAGGCTTTTGGTTTGGAGATATGGAACGTAGATAGCCCGTCTTAGTCATATGGAGGTAGGAAGGCTAACAATGACAAAATACGGGCGTTTGAACATGACGTATCCCTTCCTGCTGGCTGTCGGTGGACACCTGACCACTTGCCGTGGCGGCATTTGAAGCGACGCGGCCGTCGTTTGTTCCAGCTCGGGGATTTTGTGTTTTTTGCGCTTCAGCACACTCGCTTGCGCTTTGTCACCGTCCACTTTTCGATATTTTACCTCTCATAACATTTTCTTCTCCACAAAGTTAAACCTTTTGGCCTTTGGTCTCTGCATGTGGAGATAATCAAGTCGGTTCTTATATAAGAGGAAGACCGTCTAGAGGTCCCGATCTCTTCCCACCATCTCCATCTTCCACCATGGACAAGTCCACCATTGAAAAAACTGAATACAGCGGCTCAATCGTCGATCTGCCAAACGAGTCGCTCAGCTCCACTCAGAGCGCGTCGTTTGAGGATCACGAGGCCCAAAAGGAGGGAGGCCACACCACCAAACGAGCGCTCAAGTCGCGTCACGTGCAGCTAATTGCCCTCGGAGGATGTATTGGAACCGGTCTGTTTGTTGGTTCCGGAGCCATGCTCAGTAACTCGGGCCCTGCCTCCATCTTCATCGCCTACATTATCATGTCCTTTGTCATCTACGTTGTCATGAACGCTCTCGGAGAAATGACCACCTATCTGCCTCTGGCCGGCGCCGCTCCCCCCATGTACGTCAACCGGTTTGTCGACGACTCTCTGGCGTTTGCCTGTGGCTGGAACTACTGGTATGCTTATGCCATTCTGGTGGCCTCAGAAGTCACCGCAGCCTCCATTGTGGTTGAGTACTGGACAGACAAGGTGCCCGTGGCGGTGTGGATCACCATTTTCCTCGTGTCGATTGTCATTCTTAACATCATCGCCGTCTCCGTCTTCGGAGAATGTGAGTTCTGGTTTGCCAGTATCAAGATTCTCGGCATCATCGGTCTCATCATTGTTGGTATCGTCATCTTCTTTGGCGGAGCTCCCACCCACGACCGACTCGGCTTCCGATACTGGAAACACGACGCCTTCAAGGAGTACATTGTCAAGGGCGATTCTGGTCGATTCTGCGGGTTCTGGAACGCGCTGATCCGATCCGGATTCTCCTTCATTCTGTCTCCTGAGCTCGTCACAATCTCTGCCGGAGAAACCGAGGCTCCTCGTCGAAACATTCCCAAGGCCACCAAGCGATTCGCCTACCGACTCATTGCCTTCTACGTGCTGGGATCTCTGGTCATTGGTGTTATTGTGTCTGGAAACGACCCCCGACTTCTGGGAGCCGTCAACTCTGGAGGAGAAGACGCCGCAGCCTCTCCCTTCGTCATTGGTATCCAGAACGCCGGAATCCCCGTGCTCAACCATATCATCAACGCCGTGATTCTGACTTCGGCCTGGTCTGCCGGAAACTCCTTCCTCTATGCTGGCTCAAGAACCATGTACTCTCTGGCGTGCCACGGAGAGGCTCCGGCCGTCTTCAAGCGATGCACCCCCAACGGTGTCCCCTACCTGTGTGTGGCTGCCACTGCTGCCGTCGGCTGTCTGGCTTTCCTCAACGTTTCGTCTGGCTCGTCGGAGGCCTTCACCTGGCTGTCTAACATCTCCACCATCTCGGGTTTCCTCGCATGGCTGTGTGTGCTGACCGCCATGATCCGATTCCGAAAGGCCATCTGGTTCAACCATGGCACCTTTGACGTGCTGCCCTTCAAGACGCCCTTCCAGCCCTGGTCAACCTGGTTCGTACTGTGCCTCGTCGCGCTCATGTGTATCACTAACGGCTTCACCGTATTTGTGGGAGGCTCTTTCACCGGCTCTGACTTTGTTGCCGCCTACATCACCCTGCCTCTGTTTGCTGCCATCTACGTGGGACATCGATACATCTACAAGCGAGCTGGTTTCAAGACTCCCTTTGCTCGACCCATTGATGAGATTGATATCACCACCGGTCTCAAGGAGGCCCAGGAGGTCGAGGACATGTTCCCCGAGCGACTCCCCAGAAACTGGCTCGAAAAGGTCTGGTTTTGGATTGCCTAAGCGGAGTAACCGCTCAGGCTCCACAAAAGTACGTTTTAACGAGCACAAGTCTCAAACGTCTCATTTCATAAGTTATTTATTTATTGTTGGAATCACTGCCTGTAGATAGTGTGTAGATCTCGAGTCTGTGCTACTGTACAAGAACCGGTACAATCAACACAGTTTTCTATAAAATATTCGATCCAGGAAGAATCAGAGAAGAACATGGTGTCACTCGTCCAAAGCCCAACCGTCTTATCTAAGCATGTTCACCGTGCACCGAGGCAGATAAGCTTATATCGCCCATGACCCATGAGCAAGACGACAAAAAGGACTCAATCTATAGCTATAGGAAGACGCTAGGGGCCTATTTTTATGACGTCACCGGTAGTCGACGGATACAACAAGGTTGCCCATCAGCTTTGGTGTGTCCAAACGACTACTTTTCTGCTGCGTTAGTCTAACCTAGACTGTCGATCTTTGCCGAATAGCTGCCGAGGTACATTCCATAGTGAGACAGGAGAAGGTGATGAGTGATCGATGAAAGTCGGAGAACACCAACCGGGCCCCAAAAGAAGATACATGAACCCATCTTGGTGTGATCGTCAGCTTTTCAAGATTTATCTGAAGCCATTTGGTCACATCAACTTGTTCCCAAAAAAGATAAAAAAAAAAGACGGAAAACAACACTTGTAAAACAAACTACTTAGTTAGACTTCTTAGCTCAACTATAATTAAATAGCTGCAGAAGCGATTGTACATACATGCCAGACGCTGGTGCACAAATTTTAGTCAATACGACGTTTTTAATCATGTACTGTACTTGTAAGTAGCTACAGTAACGGAAACACAATGAGCACATAGCAAACGCACAATTAGTAATAACACCGTGATTACTAACACCACTACAAGAACCGCCCCTAACCCATGGTCAATCTCTCTGTTGAATAGGTTCAATGTAACCCCTAGACTCTACCTTTTAACTTATCATACGGCACTCCACCACACCTGTTTGGGTTTCATGTCCTGAAGCAGACTCTGCCTTTCGAGCCGGGTAACTGATAAGAAGATAACTTTATGGTGTTAGGGTATCACGTCCGGGTAACCCGAAAAGTTAGTTGGAGTCATCCCAAAACTCGTCGTCCGGGTAACTCAATCTTACATAAGCAGGCTGTGCGCAGTTACCCTACCGTCCCGATCGGGAGTGGTCGCGTGGCGTGCGTTAGTGAGACAATCTGATGGCCCTGGACTGGACTTGACAGCCATAGTGCGGGGTTCGCGTTTGATGGACGATTAGTCAGGCCCCCGGGCGGGCGGTCGGTGGGGCGGTGGTCATGTGACCGTATCAATGCGACCGTCCGCGAATATATTTCGATTTGCCTGTTTCCCGCATTTTTCCGGCCTATGTTTTTACTCGGTAAACTTCCCCAATCGTTATCATATGCAAAGCCATTTGGTTGGTTGACGGTGGGTTAGCCCAAGTAGTAGTGAGGCGGGGAGAAGGCGAGCAAAGATGGTAGCTCGAGACGATTATTGGACACAAACACGGTCAGTTTGTTGTCGTGTTTTATCCACAGGAAGCTTGCAATACTACCCTCCTCTCTAGACTGTATGTATGGCGTCCAAGTTCAACGTCTTCGGTCCATATTCATACTTGTATCTCACTAATTACTCGTACAAGTGAAGGTCCTGTAGCTAACTAAACTGTAACTTTGTAGATTGGGCGAGATGGTGGACCAGAGGGGTGTTTGGTTGGGTCTTGTGGGGAGAAAATAGCTGGGTTTCCACCTCGACTCTGATTGTCACGTGTTTTCTATATATTTCTCCATCTCAGAACCCCCCAGTTTCCCCCAACTTGTACCCCCCCTACAGTCCTCCACGTCACCTCGGTTCCACCCCTCCCAAACTCTGACGTCAAAGTGAAACTTGCGCACGCTTGACCAACACACTACTTGTACTTGCACGATACATCTTACTGTTCAGTATCAGTATCAACATCAGCATTTCCCTGCGATATCCAGGGAGGGTGACACAGATAGAAGCGACATAACAGAACGATAGTAGCGACACAAACCACTTGAGGTCACCATTCGAAACAAAGTACTATCTCTCTAGTCACTTTGACACGACGCAAGTGCATCACGACATTTGCACGCAACCAACACTACCACCACAAGCATAGCGACACCGAGCGTCCATATCCACACATGTCGCAACCAACATACCCAATGTTCCTTCCGGACGAGTCGCTGGAAATCCGATCGGACTCGGAAAACGAAGAAGACCTCTCAACGTCCTCCAACGTGCCGTCGTCAGCAACCTCGCTCGAAGACGAAGGCAAGCTCCTCACACACCACCACGTCATGCCCGAAGACACGGTCAATCCCCGTGACTTTGTGGACGTGCGACGAATCATCCACAAAATCTTCCCACAGTGTGTGTTTTCGGCCAACGACCCCCGTGTTGAAATCGCTCAGCTCAAGGGTGGTATCACAAACATGCTGTTGCTGGTGAGCTACCCGAACCCCAGCAAGGACGGCGGTCGAGATCACGTGCTTGTGCGGGCTTACGGCAACGGCACAAGCACCATAATCGACAGAGATCGAGAGCTGGCCACCCATCTTCATCTTCATTCCCATGGCCTAGCCCCCACGCTTTACGCTCGACTTTCTAACGCACTCATCTACGAGTACATTCCCGGAAAGGCCGTGGAATACACGGATCTGAGCCGTCCTGAAATTATGAGCGGAGTAGCTAGCCGACTGGCCGAATGGCACCACAAACTCGACAAGAAGGCCATCGAGAGCGAAATGACGCGCCTCAAGGCCCTGGAAAAGCCCAGCGAACAGAGCACGTCGTCACGGGACATCTACGAGCTGCTGGAGGAATGGATCAACGTTCTTCCTCGGGAGACCGATGCCCAGAAGAAGCGGGTTGAGGACGTGACCAACGAGTTGGCGTGGATCAAAAAGACCATCTCGAATCAGGGAGGCCCTATTGTCGTGGGTCATTGCGACTTGCTCAGCGGAAACATCATTGTTCCTGAGAACTGGACCCCAGCGGAACTCAAGGGCCATGGCAAGAGTCACCAGAAGCCTCTCACTGGGTCCCAAGCTGCGTTTACGGAGGAAAACATTGGTCACGTAAAGAGAGAAAAGATGACTGACCCTGCCAAGCCTGCGGTAGACGGATTTGCTCCATCCACTCTCACCTCCTTCATTGACTATGAGTACTCCATTCCCACTCCCCGAGCATTTGACCTCGCCAACCATTTCATGGAGTGGCAGGGCTTTGACTGTGTGGTTGAGCTCATTCCCGAGCCGTCCACCTCCAACCCCGTGATGCGAACATGGGCTGCTCAGTATCTCGAGTCTCTGGCGTACTTTGAGGGCAAGTCCGAGCCTACTAAGGTGACGGAGCAGGCCGTGGACTCACTCATCACCGAGATTGCAACCTGGTGGGGCATGCCTGGTTTCTACTGGGGCATCTGGGCCATTATCCAGGCCACTATTTCGGAGATTGACTTTGACTACGCAGAGTATGCTGAGAAGAGACTGTCTGAGTACTACAAGTGGAAGAAGGGAAGAGAGGCAAAGTAAATGGAAGGTGAAGATCGAGCCGTCAGCAAATGAATGGTTGAACCATTAGGGGCAGTGGTAGAAGCTGAGCACAAAGGGGACGTTTGAAAAGAAAGGAGGAAAAATAGACTAACTTGGATTGATTGGCGAATGTAGTGTGATATACGATTTTGCAATGAGCCTGTAATTTATTACGTTTGAAACAGTTACAATTCTACACCAATTCTACAAGTATCCATGCGATACTAGTCTTCATACGCGCACGTTGCTGTTGAATACGCATGTAAATACATGTCTCGATATTTGTAACAAATTACTTGATCACCTTAGACAGCATCAGTAGGATAGTCAATGTAACCCTTCGCTCCCGGAACGTAGAAGGTGTTTCGGTCATACTTGTTGAGTGGATAGTCGTTCTTGAACTTCTCAACGAGATCAGGATTGGCAAGGAAGTGTCGGCCAAACGAGATGAGAGTGTTATTGGCCTTGTCGGCGTCCTTGATGGCAGTTTCTCGTGTGTATCCACCGGCTCTGATGAGATTACCCTTCCAGATGTCTCGGAATTGCTCGTTATCCTGCCACTCGGGAAAGGTGTTGTCTCGGAAGTCTCCTCGGGCTTCAACCAGATGGAGGTAAGCGAGCTCTTTTCCGTTGTCGGCCCGCTTTTGGAGCTCTCCAATCAGATGAGTAAACTGTTCGGGGGTCTCGCTGCGGTCCACAAAGATGTCCTGGAAAGTGGACCAGGGAGAGAGTCGTAGAGCGGTTCGTTCAGGTCCCACGGCGGCCGAGACAGCATCAACTAGCTCCAGAATAAAACGAGATCGGTTCTCGACACTTCCTCCGTACCCGTCGGTTCGCAGGTTGGACTTGCTTCGAAGGAAAGAGTCCGGCAGATAGCCGGTAGCTCCATGGATCTCCCCTCCGTCAGCACCCGCCTCAATGGCGTTTTTGGCAGCCTGGGCGTACAGTTGGATCTTCTCTTTGATTTCGTCAGGAGTAAGAGCTCGCAGATGTCCCACTGCCTGCTCGTCTCCCTCCTGAGGCACAGCAGAGGGACCCAGGGGAACATAATCGCCCAGTTCCTTCAGTTTGGCAGCCCAGGCCACTCGGCCAATGTCCCAGAGCTGCAGGAATATCTTGGAGTCGTTGGCGTGCACTTTATCAAATACGCGCTTCCAGCCGACCTTCTGTTCTTCATTCCAGATACCGGGACAATACCATCTCCGGGAAGAGGAGCTCCAGCCGATCCGGGGGAAATGTAGGTGGCTTCGGTGGTGAGCAGAGTGCCTGGGGCAGCATATCGTTGGCTATAGTACTCCTCCTGGAGTTTGGAGGGGATATAGCCGGGGTCGGCTCGAACTCAAGTCAGGGGAGACAGTACGATTCTGTTCTGCAGCTGAAGAGCTCCGATTTTGATGGGTTTGAAGAGGTTGGCCATGGTGATGGTGGTTTGTTGGCCGTTAGTGACCGACAAGTTGACTATTTATATCATTCAGGATTCGTTGTATTCATTTGATTTGCGCTCACTTCCATATGTCAATTACAAATCGCGAATTGAGGGATCACTCGAAAATGCATCGTGATTGGGTTTGCAACATGCAGCCGTTTCTTTGTCTTGTGTAGAAGCCGTTTGAACGTTTAAACTGGAGATGGAAGGGAAGCAAAATACCAACCGAATGGATGCCTTTGCAACGCACAGTGGGCTAAGATAAAGTGGTATATTTTTTTTTTTTGGTACACATAGTTAGATGGAGTGATTCTATTGCCAAATTGATTTTTTCCCCTGCTTCAAACGTGACAGCAAGTACCATCTATCCGTCTCCCTGCTCGCTTATTTGTAAGCGATCAACATCATTGCAGCCTGTAGGCAGAGAAGCTTTCTGACAATACGTACAACCAAAAAAGTGGATTCGGACACCGACAGAGACATTGGAGGAATGGAAAAAAGTGCGGAATTTATCACAAGGGTACATCGGACAGGAAAAGTGATGCTCTATTTAGTCACTTTCACAGTTTTACGGAATGTAGCTACGGTGGAACAACCTACGTATGTATGTACAGTCAGTTGCTATAGATGATAGCTATATGGTGGCAATAGCATCAGCTGTGGCGACAATAGCACCAGATGTGGAGACAAAAACAGACAGAAATGCGCCAAACTGTTGTCTAAAGGACAAAAGGAATTGTTTTTGTTTGCTTGTGTCAAGTGTCAACCAAGAAATATTGTACAGGCTGAGTAGATGCACAAACCGTACACGAATTGAGGTGTATCCGAGAAGTGACAAACGAAGTTTACGAGTGCTGTTGTGTGTTACAGTATAAAATACTCGAGCTTGCTAGACTACCTCAAGGCAATCTCTTTTACAGACTGTTACAGAGGTGTCACAAGCTCTCAAATATGTCAAGAGGAAGTTGTGATTCGTCGACACAGGACTCGTACTGACGTCACTCTTGTATAGATCTGACCGTGAAGAGAAGCCACTAAGAGAAGAGTTTCATTTTGGAGCCTTAATCGTCTCAACATCGGCCCCTACTAGAGTCCATTACCGCAAGAGCTATCTAGGCCACGACAGTCATCATCATCTCCGGCTCTTCAAGCTACAAGTGTGTACATATACCTGAGTACAATAATCTCAGATCAGTAAAGATGTATTGAAGATCCGAAACTCACTCCATTAGGTCCAACTACTTCCCATCTCACTCTTACTACACCAACTATTCCAAAGTCGGTTCAGGCGTTTGGATCGCTCGCCTGGCTGGCTCAGTTGTCATATGTTCAGTTCAAGTATATACATTAGGCGTGCTCAGCGACCTTGGCGGCCTCCCGGTCAGCAGCGGCCTTGTCTGTGGCCTCCTTTTCGGCCTTGCCCTTGAGACCCTGCTTGGTGACCTGGTTGTAAATGCCCATGCCGGAGGCAATGAAGCCGCCCATATCGGACAGCTGGGCAGGGACAACCACGGTGTTACTCTCCTTGGCCAGCTTTCCAAAGGCGTCGACGTACTTCTCGGCCACAGACAGAGAAACGGCGTCAGCTCCGCCCTTGGTGTTGTTGATGGCCTCGGCAACAAACCGAATACCGTCAGCAGTTGCCTGAGCACGCATTCGGATGGCCTCGGACTCTCCCTCGGCGCGGTTGATCTGCTCCTGTCGCTTTCCCTCGGATTCGAGAATCTCGGCTCGTTTGGTTCGCTCGGCAGACACCTGTTTGTGCATGGCGTCAAGCACGGTTCGAGGAGGATGGATGTCTCGGATCTCGTACCGCAGGCAGGTGACGCCCCAGTCCTTGGCGGCCTCGTTGATGGCGGTGGTGATGTTGGTGTTGAGCGACTGTCGTTCTCGCAGAACATGATCCAGGGTCATCTGGCCAATCTCGGATCGCATGGTGGTCTGGGCCAGCTGTGTGATGGCATACTCGGCATCCTCCACACCGTATGACGCCTTGTATGCGTCGTACACTCGGATGTACAGAATGCCATCCATCTCCAGGGTCACGTTATCACTGGTGATTGCACTCTGGGAACCCACCTCCACGGCCGTCTCCTTCAGGCTCTGCACGTACTGGATCTTGTCCAGGAACGGAATGAGCACAGCGAGACCGGGGTCCAGAATCCGGTTGAACTTGCCCATTCGCTCCACGATCCACGCCTGTTGCTGGGGCACGAACCGCACAATTGTGTTCATGGGCAGCTGTTTCTGCTGGAAGAAGGAGAGCCGTGAGGAGTGTCGCAAAGCATTATGCGCGACGCGGACGCTGTGTCGCACCGCTCGATTCGAGGTGTTGGAGAGCATGTTGTGTTTGAGAAGATGCTGTTGTTGAAACGGGCTTTTGGACAATGTTATGTGCTGTGGTGATAGTTGCACTCATGCTGGGCGAACCTAATTTCCGTCACCTTAACGCTTATGGATCGAGTTAGACCTTGGCTAAAGTAAGACTCTCAAAAGAGGTATAAATGCAATTGCCTGGACTGTAGCCTCTTTGTCGACATTTCGACACTCTCTCCAGCTACTGTAATGGAACCAACAGTCCATAATTCCCATCGCCATCGCCCAAACAACCCATTGTGCGTTGTAGGAGTATGCACTCAACATAACTGTTGGGTGTGCTGTTCCTACGAAGAGAGCTCACACATGAAATGTATATCGCAGCAATGATTGGAGTAGTGGCTACAGACGAGTAATCTCAAGTACTCTCAAGTAATCTCATAAGAGTATATAAAAATCCCCGAGGAACCGCCAACTGTCACTCCGACTCGGAATTCTCTCTCCTTCACCTCGTCAACTACAGTTTTTGCCACTTTGCCACCGCCACTCAGATCGGATCAGATCAACCCTTCATGCATGATTTACTTGTACATACTGTAGGTACGAAACGATACTTTTTTTGGAACCACGAGTGCACGAGTAGACCCCAAACATACGATACTGGTGCTCGAAGTTGCCACTGGAGTCACGTGAACAAATGATCAGATAGATTCACCAACGAATATTGTAGGCTTGATTCTCTATTCCGTCGTTACGGTGTGTACTGTCATGGAGAGCTAAGATGTTACTGTGGAAACAAGGCGTTTCGGTTCAGTTTTAGAGTGGAAGAATACATACTGTATCAGTATATCAAATGATATCAAACCAGTAGCTGTAATCACAACTGAAGACATTTACTGGCTTATTTTGTTAGCAATTGGGGTGAATATCGTATGAGTCTGCGGAGATTTGTTCTTAGACCTGAATGGGATAATTATTTCTTCGCAAATATGTCTTCTACCGCCGGTACAGTATTGTACTTATGTGGTCTAGCTAGACATGCATCAGTTTATTTTAATTCATAATTGAGTACAAATAGTTGATAAATAGTTGATGCAGAATCGTAGTAGATCCTGAACTCTATACTTGATATTGCAAAAACCTCAGAGAAAATCAAATAAAATGGTGAAAATGCGGAAAAAGCCCTGCAAGCGTCAATATGACCCCTTTTCACTGATTTAAATCCTTCCTTTAACACAATTCAAACGTTTAAACCTACACCAGTAGATGTTCTCCTAACCCAACCCCCACCATTTCACACTCTACGCGTAATGTTAAAGAGGTATACGCGACTTATTCGTGAACCTACACCATCCACAAGTCCCCTCCAACATGTCGCGCATTCCCGTGGAGGGCAAAGTGGACGAGTACGTGGTTCTATACACCCCACAGGTGCGACAGAAGCAGAAAAAATGGCACGACGGCTCCGCCAAGTTCCACCACTTCAACAACTTGCTGGTGCTCTATGACGACTCAAATCACAAGATCGACAGCACGTTTCTGGGCCGTGGGAGGGTGCTGGAGATAGGAGAAGAGCTCCAGATTGACAACCATCTCATCAGTCTCGAGGATCTGACAAAGACGACTACAAGGGACATCTCAGGTATTTATACCCGCGAACAGAACACAGGTCTAGGCAGTAATGCACCCCCCACTCCGCGAGTGTTACAACAGACAATCTTGCCACATGTGACCGAGACGACCAAACAGCTGTCCAATGTGTCCAAGAGGCTCAAACTAAGTCTGGCAACTCCTGTGAAGACCACTACAAGGACCACAGGCACATTAGGACCCACGAGACTTGTTCTTGAGCAGGTTAACGAGGTTCCATTTAGGGCGCCTAGAACGGCAACTGAAGGCGCTGTAGCACAGGCAAGTCCTCCATTTAGCCAGTCAACTACACAAACCCGCACACCTCTACAAACAACGGTTTCACACCTCCGAAACCATAGCTCCCCCCACACGCCTACTCAATGCTACACGTCTGAGGATGACGGAAAAGTGGTTGAAACTACTCCCGTGCGATCCCCAACCTCGTCGCCCATCAGAGCGCGTATCCAGGCTCAGCCAGCTGCCGCTCCTCTCGTCTCGGCAGCTCCCAACCCTCTGGCTCCGTTCAAAAGACCCTACCAGTCTTCTGCCAGAGACACCTTCCTTAACACCGAGCCCGCTCCTCCAATTGAGTCCGTCATGGTCCGCGCACGACGAGCAGGTATGGCTCCTCCACCGAATGAAGCGGAATTGACAGTCAGAGAAGTTCTCACTTGTTCGGCCATTGATATCCAGAGGAGAAGTCCGTCTTTGGATGACTTGGACGACAACTTTCCAGAGCTCCAAGACTACTCGGAACTGAATCCGGAGCCTAGCCATGGCTGCACTTCTGTCAACGACTACCCTGACTTTGATGATATCGAAGTCAATGTCAAACCTGAACCCTTGTCACCCACGTTCCAAGTAAAAGACGAGCCTCTATCCCCCGTCTTTGTTGTCCCTCGAACTCGCAATTTCGATGCGGATATTGACATACTGTCCCAGCTGCACATAACCATCGACGACTCTGATGGATACGAAGGCATGGACTCGTTTGCAAGAACCACAGAAGTTATTGATTTGGTTTCTGACGAGGAGGAGGAGTGGAACACGGAAGCTGGCCTTATGTCTCCTTTCAAAGACAGACATATGAGATCACCCGTCGTTTCTCATTTCAATGACAGAGACATGAGTTCTCCTATTTTATCTCCTGTTTTATCACCCATTGCGTCTCGTCATAGATATCAAGACAACGACATCATGAGTTCCCCTGTCCTATCTCCAATTCAGTCTTCCTCCTTATATCCGTCGGTTAGCTCTCCCAACGATACTACTCGTGTTGATAGTGATAAACTGGACAGTGACAAGGTGGCAGATGCTCAACACTTCAGTGCCTGGAGTGATTTAGGAAACCTGGACAATGATGAGGAAGATGGCATCAGGAAGGTGGCACCTGTTGAAGAAGTGCAAACGCACACACTTCACGATAGCGACATCGAGAGCCCTACGAAGGTGCTTGACACACAGAGCCACACTACCACGAAAGCGACACATTCCCAAAGCCCCACAAAAGAGAGTGCTACAAACAAAAGTCATACCCAGGGCCAAGCAAAGAGGCACAATGATAGCCAGGCAACCACAGATTACAAATCCATTGGCACTACATCCATGATCAAGGAGGCCTCAGACGAGCCTCAGGCCCAACCCCCATCCAAATGTTCAAGTTTCTTGGACAAACCTTTCTCGGTCCCTTTTGCTAAACGAGGCTCGATCAATACAGCTTCAAGAGCCGCCTCACGAACAACTACTAGACAAACTTCCACTGCATCCACGCCTTCTTCAAAGCTCACCATCTCCGAGAACGGTCCCTGGACCAAAGAGACTCTCGAGTTGTTTGCATGGAGAGGATGATTATTTATAGCTATTTATTGGTACGTGTAGTGCCCGTTGAAATACCAGTATTGTAGATGCTGAAGATCTTATGAGTTGGTCGTTCTATTATTTATTGAATCAGTAAACTATTTACATATGTACAGGGTTTATTTTGGGGTGACGTCGTTCTCACGTTCCTCAACATCGAGCTTGACATTGCGGATGTTTCGCTTTCGATTCTTGTTGGACACGTGATCTCTGAAGACGATGGAAAGCAGTTGCGGTTCTTTGGGAGAGGATTGCTGAGGCAAGTCAGAGTCGGGAGTGTCCCCAGGCTTGGTGGGAATCAAGTGTCCCATCTTACTTTTGATCTTTTTATTCTTGTTCACCCGCTTGGGCCTCAGGCCTTTGGCTGTGTCTGAAGTGATGAACTTGTCCGAGGAACTGGCCATTTCTCCAGCAAAGTACATGTAGGAACAGAAAGTCTTGATTGCGTTGATGTAATGGACTTCATCAAAGTTCTCGTAGACTGTTCGAGGCTGGTCACTGGGTTTTCCGATAGGCAGGCAGAGGACGTTTGTTCTCAGGTGTTTCTCAAACAGTGCAGCAGCAGGTGAAGTTCCTCCTTCCCGAGTCAAGTCGGGTTTCACTTTCCACACAGACTTTAGCGCCTTTTGGGCAGTGTCGTAGTTCCAATGGTCACGAGTAGACAGCCACCAGGGATACCGTGACAGACATCTGATGGACAGTTCTGTGTGTGTGTTCATGGACTTGTGCAGGGTAGCAAAGTAGTGCTCCACCAGAATATCCATTGACGTCATGTCCATGTTGGGCACAGTTCTGATGGAGAAACGGGCAGTGGCGTGCTTGGGGATTGTTGTCTGATACTCCTCTTCCGGCTCAAAGCCGCTCTTGATGCTGGTGATGGATATAGACGGTTCTCTCCAGATCTGCTGAATGGCTTTGATTTTGTCGTTGGTGTTGAGTCCAGAAACACCAAGCATCTGCTTGAGATGGTCTGTGGTCACGTCCAGGTCGCTAATCAGCTTTGCTTCTTCTTCGCAAACGTCGGCAACATGTCGGACTCCTCTGGAGTCTGCTACTCGAGGAAGCAGTTCAGTTTGATCCAGAGCGGTAAGGTTGGACATGAGATGCATGAGCTCAATCATGGGTTCACGCACAAGTCCGCCGTAGTGGCCGGCATCTAGCCGTTTCTCTCCCCCCTTGATGTTCAGGTAGTAGTTGTGCACTCCTCGTTGTCCATAGACAATGTTGGGCTGTTTGTCAGTCATCCACTGGCCTTGACAAACAACAACAGCCGAGATATTCGTAAAGAAACCCGTGTTTTCCTTGGTGAGACACGCATCGAGCGATCCACTGCCCAGCTCGCCCATGGGATCAAAACAGAATTTGACATTGACGCTGCTGGGGATGTTAGCACGTGCCATATTGGTCAAAGCAGCTATCCATGCAGCAACGACACTTTTGGTCGCGACTCCTCGGCCCGTGAGAATACCATCCTTCCGGCCCATCTGGTGGGGCGCATGCGCCCAGCCAGACTCACTGACACCAACAGTATCGTAATGAGCGTGAACCAGGACTGTGGGTTTTCTAGGATCGGTATTCTTAGGCTGGGCAAGAATAAAAGGAGGATGCTTCTTGTACTCGGGCATGGCGGGATGCTTGAACTCGGGGGTTCGAACCACGTAGCCTAAATCCGCCAGCGCGACTCTAAGCAAATTCATGGTGTTGAAGAAGGTAACGGTCTGTCCATCATTCACATAGTGTTTGGCCACCGTAGCCTGAGCTACCAGGTCTCTCAGAACCGAAACGTAGTCGTCCGCATGCTTCTCGGCCTCCAGATGGAGCTGAGTCATCTCCTCAACGTCGCGAAGTATACTGCATGCTCGGGGATGTTCTTCTCCTCCGAAGGGAAGATATACCTGCTTCGTCAACTTCTCTTCAGGAGTCATCTGAGCAATTCTATCCTTAAACATGGCCCCCTTGTCATCAGGAGCTGGCTTATATAGCTTAGCACGCTTCATTGCCAAGTTCTTTCCCTGAATACCCTCCTTTTTCTGCTGTCGAACTTCCTCCGTTGCCGCCTTCATATCTTGTTCAGGAGAGTACAGAAAGTGGTCTCCGCCCTCTGCCGCACTCTTCTCCAGGTACTGCTTCTGCCCCTGGCGATTCTTCTTCATCCCAGGCGCATTCTTGTCTTGACTCTTTCTCTTGCCCTTGTTACTCGAGGAAGATCCTCTGCCTCGAAACCCCAGTGCCGTCGAAGTGACACAGAAGCCCCTGCTGAAGTTGAACATCAACGGCCTCGTAGGCACAGCCAATACTCGTATTGGAGCCGCTCGTAACATGCTCCGGTTAGTAAAAGAACGTACTGATAAAGCAGAGTATAGTAAGATAGTAAGTCAGATCAGATGCAAGTTCATGCACCATCATTTCTCCAGCCCTAACCCTGTCAGAATTAGATGAGCTCTGTAGCCATAATTGATTGCTAAATTGATCCAAAAAGCTCATGATGTTAGAATAAAGAACCCGAATCACCCAGGATACGTTTATAATTGGTATATTGGACTAAAACCTGCATTTAGATATCTTCATAATTAACTTTTTTCTTGATCACGTGACCCCAACTCCAGCTCTTAAAGATTCTCTACATTTTTTTGGAACGCTGGCCGAATAGTCGAGCGGTTAACATCCGATATAGTGTAGGGGTTATCACTTCCGCCTTTCACGCGGAGAACCCGGGTTCGATTCCCGGTATCGGAGGATTTATTTTTTTGCTACTGCGAGTGCTGAGGTTTGATTTTTGATGCGACTTCTGTGAGTCTGATGGATCGTCTTCGGTTTTCCTTGGTCGTATCATCGACTCTTGGTTGTGCTGTATTACCTTTTCTAACTGTACGTGATTCAGTGAGATGTCGCAAGATGAACAGTGTAGACTACCAGTACTACATATTAAACAGCGGGAACAGTAAGTATCTACATTTACAGCACACTGTACAATATTACATCCTTTGCATCAACAAAACATACAATTAATCAATTAAACAATAATCCTCCTTTCTTTACTTCCTTCAGTGTTGTCCTCCAAAGTCCACCTAATTCCTCCTGAACGAAGATCGTCTCAGTGTCTTCACCTGGGGTATGGCTCTCAACGACGAATCCCTTCTGGGGTATGCCGCCGTGACCGTCTTGTGTCTTTCCATGTCCAGCCGTGCGTCTGCAGTCAACTCATCCCCCGACGCAGAATTGGCCTCTCCGTCGTCCAGCAGAAAGTCAGGCGACCGGGTCAACAGGTATCTCAGCGAAGAGTACCAGATGTTATGTCGCTGACGGGTGGGGCACGTGACCTTGATGACTCTGTCAGGAGTTCCAATCAATAGGCTCTTGTGGAACAGCCCGGGAGGCAGGGGGTTATCGTCTTCCTCGGACACGACCGACGTGATGGGCACAGACTTGACCTTTCCAGCCTTGACGTCGGCTGACGGGTTCTCCACAGACCAGTACAACGTCAGGGTGTACGGATGGACCCAGAAGTAGCGCTGGTGTCTGTTTTCAGAGATACCCGACACAGAGCCAAACCGCCGCGTATACTTGAACAGGTACTCGCCAATCATGGTCTGGGTGACCACCGCAATCATGTTCTTGTCGTTGAACGACGCGTTGGACGCGATGGTAGCGTTCGACATGAGCAGAGACGACGGGGACTCCGTCATGCCTCTCTGGGGAGTCTGTGGCTGCTGGGTGGCGTGTTGGCTTTGAGGAGACTCGTAGACAGCTCTTCGGAACGAGCTGGATGCGGGTACCGACTGCCGAGTGAAACTGGAAGTCATTGCGGGGGGTCCCATCAGCCCAGGAGCTGTAGGTTGAGCGGTCTGAGCAGGTACAACTACATGCGCCGTTTGGGCGGTCTGTATATGGCTCTGCGCATCGGAGTACCGCGACAAATGGGACGCCACTGACGAGTCTCGAGACATGGAGCCTCGAGGAGAATGCATCTCAATGGCCTCCTTTGCAGCAGCGATGGGGAGAGAGCTGTAGACAGACGATCGAGTAGACGAGCTCTCGGGCACCGGTCGAGGAGAAGTAGCGTGAGAAGCAACCGACTGATAGCTCTGAGCAACGGGTTGAGTCTCTCGCTGCTGCTGCAGACGAGCCATCTCATTGGACGTCAGCACAACCAATCCGTATCTCGCAGCCAAATCCCTCACTTGGTTGGCTGAGGGGTTCTGGCCAGCCACGAGCTTGGTGTAGGTCGCTGAGGGTAGCGTAACCAGTCCGTGCGTCTTGGCATGGCTCTCAATGTCCTGTTTGGACAGATCGGGTTTCACGACAACAGGCTCGGGTCGCTGGGCAGCCAGACGCTCCAGCTCCTTGTACTTATCAACGGAGAGAGTGACCAGGCCGAGAGTGGAAGCCTTGTGCTCGATTTCGGCTGCGGTGAGGGGAATACTCGAGTCACGTGCAGAGTTGGGCGACACTGTCTCGCCACGCTGCAAATCACGTGATTCACCCGCCTCGTCATGCACAGACTGCCGATGAGCCTTGATCTGCAGCTCCGAGTACTGTCCGAACGGAACAGCAACAAAACCGCGCGCCTTGGCCCGTTCGCGGATCTCCTCGTCTGAAGGATTGGCCAAGGAATGATACTCAGCGTGCGGCACAGGCGTGAATCCGAGTTGTTTGGCCTGAGTATGGAAGTCGACAGAAGGAGTAGCTTCCTGGAACGTAGTAGGGAGGTCTCTAGACACTTCGACTTCTCGCACCACTTCCACGGGGACCTCCTTGACCACCTCCTTGATGACTTCAACGGGGACCTCCTTGATCACCTCCTTGATGACTTCAACGGGAACTTCGACTTCTCGAATGACCTCGACTTCTCTGATGACTTCAACAGGCACCTCCTTAACCACTTCCACTTCCCGGACAACCTCCACAGGCACCTCCTTGATGACCTCAACCTCCTTGGTCACAGGCACCTCTCGGACCACCTCCTTCTCCACAGGAACCTCCTTCACTCTATCCTTATGAGCAAACGGCACAACAGCCAGTCCCAGACCAGCTGCAATGGCGCCGAGAGACTCAAGAGAGTGCTTCTCCTTGGGCACTTCCCTCGGCTTGGCGTCCTCCTCTTGCTTGGCTGTCACAAACGCCGACATTTGCTCAAACTCGCTCTTGTTGACGGTGACACAGCCGTGGGCAGCTGCCAGAACAGCTACCTGTTGGAGATCAGGCGATCGAGCCATAGCCAAGGATTTCTCGTGGCTCTGGGCGAGGGCCTGAGTCTCTGACAACGAGTGTCTAGCCTCAGACAACTCGTTCTGAGCCTCTAGGGCTGCCTGCTGGGCAGCAGACAGCTCCTTTTGGACTGTATTGGCCCTCTTGACCTCTTCCTCACTCATCACCACAAGACCACATTTGGATGCCATCTCCCGCACATCTTCTTCCTCAGGAGCTTCGGCAATGCGCTTGAGTTGCGTGATGTACGTCACAGGAACGGCCTCCAGCCCAAGCTCGGCAGCCTGAGCTGCCACCTCCTCCTTGGTAGCCACGTGAGGCACGTTCTCGAGGGAGACGGATGTTCTGCTGCCTCGTCTAGCGCCAGAAACATCCTTCTTACTCTCTTCAGACACAACCAGTCCCAACGAAGCAGCATCAGCAACAACACGCTCCTTGGTCAACGGAGCGGCCTTCTTCAGAATACCCTTGTACTCTTCCTGAGGAATAGCCACCAGTCCAAACTCCTTCGCGGACTTGAACACATCGCCCTTGGTAGGGGCATATTCCTTCTGGTTGTCCACGAGCCGCTTGTACTCCTCAGAAGACACAGGAATGAAGCCCAGCGTCTTAACCGAGTCCATGATCTTCTCCCGCTGCTTTTGCGACTTCTCTTCCTTGATAAGATCCTCGAAATGGTTTCGCTTTTCGAGTACGGAGGAAAGGCGCTTTGACGACGTGATGGAGGAGACAGAGGTGTTTCCGACATCGCCAGAATCCGAAAGCACATCATTCTCAGATAAAATCTGGTTGTACTCGTCCTTGGTCAGAGGAACAAGACCCACACTCTTGGCTGAGGTTTGGACTTCGGCCACAGTCGGGTGATACACCTTTCGACGCAGCTGTTCGAGTTCCCCAACTGCAATGAGAGATAAGCCAGAGGCAGAAGCGAATGCAGCCACAGTGTCCTTGTTGATCTGTGATGACTTGAGAGTAGCAAGCTCGTCAGCTGAAACCACATGATGGCCATGCTTCTCGGCATGCTTACTCACCTCCTCAATAGAAGGAGCCAACAACTTCTGATGTTCTTCTTCTGACAACGCAACAAGGCCGGCATTCCCAACATGCTGCTGCAAAAGCTCACGGGACGGGTTATCTGCACGTGATTGCAGCTCAGCAAGCTCGCCGGCATTGACAAGAGACAACCCGTTCTTTTTGGTGTACTCCTCGACAGAATTGGCCTTGAGATCATCCAGAGTCTTAGACGGAACCATCACGTGACCATGGCTCTTGGCATGAGTCTCAAGAGTGTCAAATGGCACGTTCTCGAAGTTTCGCAGCGAAAAGAGTTCCTTGGAAGGCACCATAACGAGATCCTTGCTCTTGGCGTAAGTCTCGTAGTGACTGTTCTTGAGCTCAGACAACTCTTCTCCTGGAACCATCACAAGACCCTTATTAGAAGTGTAAGTCTCGTGGTGGTTGTCCTTTAACTCATTCAACTCCACCTGGGGAACAAAGACCAGTCCGTTTGTCTTGGCATAAGTCTCATACTGATTCTCCTTCAACTCAGCAAGTTCCGCATCCTTCACCAATGTCATCTGATGGGCCTTAGCATAGACATCATATTGTGCCTGTCTGAGCTGCGCCAGATCATCGTCGGGCACCAGAGTCACTCCCAGAGTCTTGGCACGTGCCTCGAGCTCGGCCTCGCTGGGGTACTCGGCCTGCCGCTTGAGCTCATCATAATCGGACTGGACAACAGCCACCAGGCCGAGATTTCGAGCACGTGACTCGATGTCCTCGGTTGTTAGTGGAGCTGACAGCTTGACGTGCTCAGATTCCGGGATCATCACATGACCATGACCATTGGCACCCTCCTTGAGCTCAGCCAACGTAGGCTCAGCACCCCTTCGCACGAGATCCTTATGGGTCTTCTTCTCGACCACAACCAGACCCAGGCTCTTCGCCGTTTTTTCTAACGTATCTCTAGAAGGCTCCTCGGCCGACTTTCTGAGCTCTCCAAGTTCGGACTCGGGGATTACCGCCAGAGAGAGGACAGCAGCTGAGGCAGTGACTTCAGCAATTGAGGGCTGTGTCACCTTTCTCTCCAGAGCCTCCAACTCCTCAGAAGAAATCACAGACAGACCGAGGTTGGATGCAGCATCGATGACTTCATCCTTAGATGGCTCCGACGCCTTTCGGACCAGGACATTGTAATCCTTCTGATCCGTTGCTACTAGGCCGTGTTTCGAGGCATGCTCAATCACGTGCTCTTTGCTAGGCGAGTTGGCCTTGGAATTGAGAGCTGCAAGGTCAGCCAAGGCGAGAACTCCCAGACCATGCGACACAGCATGACGTCGCACGTCTTTCTCTGCCGGTCGAGTGAGGGCTTCGTGCTCGTCAGGAGTGAGGAGCACCATGTTGGCAGCCTTGGAGTGGGTGTGTAGGTCGTCCAGAGAGGGGGTGAACTCTGTGGGCCGGGAAACAAGTTCCTTATGCTCGTCCTCGGGCACCAGCACATGACCGTGCTTCTCAGCGAACTTCGACAGTTGTTCCTTGTTTGGAGCCTTCAACAGCTCATACTCCTTCTCAGTGACGGTGACCAAACCAAGTCTAGCAGCCTGAGTAAGAAGCTGCTGCTCAGAAGGAGTTACAAGAGACTCATATTCGGCTGAATCAACCACAGAAAAGCCCTTGGAAGATGCCTCGGCCTTGAGAACATCAATGGAAGGGTGCTCCAATTTCTCAAGGTCAGTTTTAGACAACACAACCGAATCCAGGGCTCTAGCACGGGCCGAAAGTGTGTCCAAATCGGGCTCCTTCAACTCAGTTAACTCCTTCTTAGACAACACAGCCAAACCTAAGCCTGGAGCAACAGACTCAACAAACTCCCGGTTGATAGGCTTGTTGGCTTCAGCAGACATGCTGTGATACTCCTCGGAGGGCACAGTAACGTGACCAAGACGAGTGGCATGCTGCTTGACAGAGTCCAGCGTAGGAGCAGCCAGAAGCTCGTGCTCTAGATGTGTGATAGCCACCAGATCTAGCTTCTTGGCGTGGCTATGGAGTTCATCTGCAGTCAAATCTCGTTTGGATTCGACCTCAGCAGCAACCAAAGCCTTATGAGTGTCAACTGGAATAATCACATGACCATGTGATTTGGCGTGAGTTTCTAGGTCCGCAACCGATGGCTTGGCCAACTTATCAAACTCGCTCTGGGCCACGAAGATGTGACCCAATTCCTTAGCACGCGACGCAATATCCTCAACTGAGGGCTTACTCAGCCTCTCAAACTCATCACCAACCACAAAATGTCCACCTCTGGCTTCGGCAAATTTGAGGGGATCCTCCAATAACGTCTTGTCCTGTTTGCTGACCACCTCCAGGCCCTTGGCACGTGCAAATCCTGAGACCTCCTCTTCTGTGGGCTTGGAGCTCTTCCTCAGCAACTCCTTATACTCCTGCTTCGGTACCGCTGCAAGTCCTAGGCCAGAAGCAAGCTCAGTCACGTGGTCAGCGTCTTCAAGGTTCTTCCATTCCTTTTTATCCACCGTGACGAGACCAGCACCAGCTGCCAGGGCAGCAATTTCAGCAGCTGTGGGCTTGGTGGTCTGTCGCACAAGCTCAGCGTGATCGTCGCGATCAATAGCAACCAAGCCGAGGTCCTTGGCCTTTGAGGTCACATGATCACGACTAGGGTTGTTCGCCAGCGCTGTTAGTGATGCCAGAGCTGCTGCTCCGATCGCCGAAAAGCCCAGCGTCTTGGCATGCGAGTGGAGTTCGTCTTCCGATGGTTTCTGGCTCTTTCGTACCAGTTCAGCGTGAGACTTTGAGTCCAGAACAACCAGATCATGTGACTTGGCGTGCTGGGCGATAAAATCACGGGATGGCTCACCCACAGTTTCCAACAGGCTGTCGTACTCGTCCTGAGCAACCAAAGTCATGCCAGAAGCTGCAGCCTGCTTGGTAAGGAAGTCGACCGACGGGGATGACACAGTAGACGACAGAGACTCGTACTCCTTCTGGTCGACCACCACGTGACCACTTTCCTTGGCGTAGTCACCAAGCTGCTCGTAAGTAGGAGGCTCAGCAGCTCGTTTAAGAGCCTCGAACTCAGTGAACGGAACAGCCACGAGACCGAGAGTCTTAGCACGCATCGATAGCTCCTCGGGGGTCGGTTTGGAGCTCTTTCGGGTGAGTTCAACGAGCTCAGAGGTGGGAACAATCTTGGAATCGTGTCTTTCCGCGTGCTGACTCAGCTGATCGAGGGTGGGAGCCTTAAGAGCAGCGTGGTCGTCCTCGGAAATGACAACGTGACTGTGAGCACCAACCTTCTCCTTAATATGTTCGAGAGACGGGCTGGTGGCGGCAGTGGTGAGCTTGGAGAACGCCTCCTTGGGGATGATCACATGATTGTGCTCCGCAGCGCGAGCCTTGACGTCCTCGACAGAGGGCTTAGTCAGCTTAGAAAACTCGTCCTCAGGCACAACCACGTGACCAAGGGCACTGGCCTTACCCTTAATGTGTAACAGGGAAGGCTCGGTGGCAGTCTTGCTCAATTGATCAAATTCATCCTTTGCGATTAACACATGACCAAGAGCAACGCTCTTCTCCCTCATGTCCTCTACAGTCGGCTTCATCAACCGCTCAAATTCCTCCTCCTCCACAATCACATGTCCATGGGATCCAACCTTCTCCTTGAGCAGAGAAAGGTCAGGGGACGAGAGCTTGACAAACTCGTCCTGGTGCAGAACCACGTGGTCGTGTTTTCCAATCTGCTGCTTGATGAGATCCAAAGTAGGCGACTCGGCCGACTGGGTCAGAATGGTGTACTCTGACTGGGGGACAATCACATGATCATGGGAAGAAGCATGTGATTTAAGCACGTCGATAGTGGGCTGACAGAGGCTGGAATACTCCTTCTCGTCGACAACCACGTGACCGTGGCTCACCACTTTCTCCTTAATGTGCTCGAGAGAAGGAGACTCTGCAGATGCAACCAGCGATTCGTAATCGGCAGCAGGAATCGCGTGGTAGTTGTAGTTTCCAACGTGCGATTTGATTGTGTCGAGGGAAGGGGTCACGAGACTGCTATGAGTTTCCTTGGTGATAATTACGTGGTCAGGGAGCTTCTTCTGAACGTCTTCCACAGACGGTTCTACCAACTCTTGGTGCTCCTCCTTAGACAGTATCACGTGACCAGGTAGCTTCTCAGCGACATCCTCCACAGTGGGCTGCTCCAAAGCGGCGTGGGCCTCCTTGGTTAGGATCACATGACCTGTAAGTTTGCTCTGAACCTGTTCAATGGTGGGCTCAGCGAGAGCAGAGTGCTCCTCCTTCGAAATGATCACGTGATTAGGGAGCTTCTTGGCCACATATTCAACAGAAGGCTGCTCCAAAGCGACGTGTTCCTCCTTTGTCAATAGAACATGCGTATTAGGAACGTGTTTCTTGACTTCCTCCAGACCAGGCTTGGTAAGGGTATCGTGGTCAGCCTTGGACAGAAGTACGTGATCAGGGAACTTGGCGCGCACGTGCTCCTCGTTAGGATTGGTCAGCTCATCATGTGCTTCCTTTGTCAAAAGAACGTGAGACGTGGGGATCTTCTTCTCGAGAGAAGCGACAGAAGGGGTCGAGAGTTCCTCGTGCACATCCTTCGTAAGCAACACGTGATCGGGGAACTTGGTCTGAACGTATTCCTTGGTAGGGTTGAGCAATTCCTTATGGGTATCCTTCGATAGCAATACGTGACTATCAGGCAACTTCTTCTCGATGTCTTCCACCGAAGGAATCAACAAGGCATCATGTTCATCCTTGGACAGCAGGACGTGACTGCTAGGCACCTTCTCCTTGATGTATTCGAGGCCAGGGGCATTGACGCACTCGGTGAGATGGGCGTACTCGTCCGTGGGAAGCACTGTACACTGCACCTCCTTACCCTGCAGCTGGAGAGACTCCAGAGTAGGAGGAGCTTGTAGAGCAGCGAGTTTGTCCGCAGAGATGACAGCGAGTCCAAATGTGGCAGCAGCAGCAGCGATAGAGTCCTCAGAAACGGTTTCCTCTTTCTCGGCCCTTTCAACCAGACTGTCGTACTCCTCTTGAGCCACCACCACCAATCCATACATCTCCGCGTACTTCTCCACGTCTTCTTCAGACATGAATTCTTGCGCCAGAGAAGACGAAGGGGCTCGTCGGGCTGTGTTCGCGCCCACAACTGTGCCCACAGAGGCAGTAGATCGAGTCTTTTTGAGGAAAGTGGAGTTTCCAGCATCGTCACCGTCAAAGTCTGAATCAGACTCCTCCCCAGCAAGCTCAGACTCCATGGAAAGCATTCGGGGATTGAGATCCTGCACAACGTCTTCCGTCTCAGTATCTTCGGCTCCACTATCGCCGTCCAGCGTCTCCACACCCGTCATGTAGTCGTCTTCGGTCGATTGGGCCGTGTCCAGTGCTGACACGTATTCAGAAGTAATTCCTGCGTCCAGATCCTCCCACTCGTCGTTCTCCTCCAGAACTCGCGACGTGGGGCGTCGGCCCGCGCCAAAGGCAGGCCGCTTGTGGCTCGTCAGCTTCTCGACCTTCTCTGCGCTCTTCAGAGCCTCTGCAAGGTCGCGCTTGAGGCCGGCAGAAACGTGTTTCTCCTTGAAAATGTTGTTTTTGGCTGTTTGCAGCTGTTTCATGAGATGAGTGAACGATACTCGCAAGGTTTCAGCCTCCAAAGCAGCGTTTCGAGAAGTGCTTCGAGTCATTCCTCGAGTAGGAGACACAGAAGGAGATCTATCAGAGTCGCTGGAAAGCTCATCTTCAGGGGAGGGAGTCATGGGCACGGGCACATGGGATTCTCGTCCTCGGGTCTTCTCTGCCTCTTCAAACTCAGCCACCCGTCGCTGGTACTGTTGCAGATCTTCATGGAGAGACTCGCTCTGACGTTCCCAGTCGGACCGCTCAGACTCGAACCGAGCCTTGGACTGCTCCAGTTCGCTTTTGAGTTCCTGCTCCCGGTACTGCAGCTCCTCAATGGTGTCTGTGTCGGTGGCTCGGGCGTCGGCCACTCGGCCGGACTCCACAGCCTGCTTCTTGACCCGCTCGGTCGTGTTGGACAGCTGCGACTTAAGCTCGGTGACCTTGAGCTCCAGGTTCCAGTTTTCCTCCTTGAAGCGGTCCTCAGATTGAGACAACTTGGCGAGTTTGGCCTCGATGGCTTTCTGCTGGGTTTTCGCCCGGTCCAGCTCTTCGGACTGCGCGTTAAGGGCCTCCTCCTTTTCGTTTAGCTTGCCTTGCAGTTTTCGGCATTCGACGAGGAGATGCTCGCCGAGTCCGGTGGCGAACTGCATGTGTTCTGATTTGATGGCTTTTTTCTGTGTTAGCAACGGAATGGAAAAGACAGGCCGAAGGTTTGGAATTGACCCGACGAGTGTATGATGTATTCGGTAACGATTGATAGATGGGGTGGACAACACGCTGTAGCAATCACGACAAGTTGTAAAGCAACAGTATGCTGGACACTTCAAACCGTAATAACAAGTATGGCTCATTGTGATAGTAATCGAAATGAACTTCACAATAACTGACAACAGCACTCAGGCATGGGAGCACTCCACCACAATTGACGATGTAAACGAACGATAGGTCCCAATATGCCATAACGGCATATGACAGTGAAAGATGATCCCTTGCAATTGCTGTAGAAGTGCAGACACTGCTGTACTGTGAATGTTGTGCCATCGTTCTCTGTGATACCTCGCATAGTGGAGTAATAGGAGGTAGTTCGAGACTACCATCCCAACAGCCTGCTGATGAGAGACATGTGCACCTTGATCCACATCTCGGTAGCCTGCAGTTGGTCCTTCTCCTTGAATCCTCTCTCCGACAAACCACACACGACAACTGCGTTGTAGTTCGTTGCAGATCCATCCACTCCTTCTCTACTCACCTGAACTCCACTGGCTACCACCTGGGTCTGGCCAGTCTCCTCCACGAGCTTTGCATAGTGCTGGAGACGTTCCTCCTGCTCGGGGGTCAGCTTGTTGCCACTGTCCTGGAGCTCTGTTCGCATCTGTTTCATGGACTCCAGCGTGGCCGACAAGGACTGGCCGTCTGAATAGAAGGTCCGCAGTTTCCTGCTTCCCTCATTCAGTATTGATTCCACAAAGGATGTTGGGTCGTCCCTGGGTTAGTACGGTAGAGAGCCAAGCACGCAGTGCGGCGTGGGTTATCCGATAGATTGATTGCTAGGGCCACGGGGTCCAATTTTTGAGCCGACTTGTATCTGGCTGCTTCAGTCTGGATTTTACTAAGGTCATGTTCTGATCACACCAACCAGACAGATGAATAGACCAGAAAACAGGCCCTATCCAGTCCGAAGAGCCGGGGTCAGAACTGCTGCGGGTAGTGAGTCTGTTTTGGGATTGACTTGTCGCAATGGAATCAATGCCGAACTTCACAACAGGACCTACTACTTCGACCCAGGCCCCATCAAGCCCCTCCACACAACCGCGTTTCAGTCCGGTTTTCGCTCAAAATCCCGATCCAATTCCTCCACCAGCCCCTGCACACCCAAATTCCCGCCGATACTCACATCCTAGTGCTCTCAAGTCGTTGTATACTTCCGCTGTTGTAGTGTGGTGATGTTTGAAAGAGTGCAGCAGTCTCACGCGTTTTGGCGTAACAAGCTTTCAGGAGAAATCAGGAGAGATTTGGGTTGGGCTAACGAGCCCGGATATAAGTACACCCAGAGCAACTACCGGTACAAGTAGCGAGAGGCGGGCAACACCTACAAGAAATCGACATATATATGCTCATTTGGAGTTACACAAAAGGAACTAATCGACTAAAGACTACCTTTCCCCTCCCTCCCTACTTGCAACGACACCCCCTAAACACCTTGCTATGCTACAGTATTTTTTTTTTTTTTTTCTGCATATACATTCATTTAATTATAACTTTGCCGTGAAAGAATAACCTTTGAAATGAATGTACGCTTACACGAATATTACTAATTAAACACGTTTAGTGTCATGGTCCAACTTGGCACGTACCTATTTCCAGTAAAAAAATCATAAAAAAACCTGGTTCAGTCCGTGTTGTATGTTGGTCCACATAGCTTCGCGTGTTTGTTCGTTCATCGGGAAAACGCCACTCCAGTCTCCAGTTCTCTAATCTCAATCCTTCCATTGCCCTCTTCATTTGCATTGCCTTTGAAAACTTCTCCTTGTGGTTCTTCTTCGTCATTGGTTTGGTTCTGCGTCCCCTGTGGTGACTACGCGCCCTGCTACGCTGTTCTCTCGGTGGCCTCGGCCGCCTTTTACGCTTGCTACTGTGTCTACTCTCGCTCATCGTGAAGTGCTGGCGGTTGTCCATCGTAGAATGTATTATAGTCTCTCGCCTATAGAGGTTAAGAAATAGGTACTACCAACTAAACGCAGAGGTTAACTTGGAACTGCGGGTGAAATACGACAAGCGAAATGAACAGCAGAAACTAATGGCTACGTGGTGCAAAATGATTGGCTGATCAAATTGAGGACATATGTTGCCCAGTAACATTGATCCGGGTGTCTCATCTAGCCCCTTTCTGCCCCATTAAAACACGTTCAGTCACGTGAAAATAACGCCCTCAAAAGTCCACCTTCATAACCCTGAGTTTGTTGGGAGACAAATGCGGACGTAGGGTTAGGAGGTTGCCCCAGTAACGACGACAGATGGATGGAACCTCCAAAGTGGACTGACTCTACAAGTACAAGATTCAGACATGTGGAAGAAATTTGGTACAAGTAGTCACGCAATTACAAGAGACTGTAGGAGTGCTAGATGGTCACGTGTTTTACTCTATACTATATACCAATGATGGCTTCTGTAGTGTGTTGTTGGAAGGTGCAATCGCTCCCAACTAACATGTCAACTGAAAAGAAAAAAAAATTACATGGTGCATCCCAACTATTCGGCCAGTTTTCAAGATACGTTCTCAAACTGGGTAGTTTTGGGTGGAAATGTTGACATTTTTGGTAGCATTCAGAAGCTCCCAGTTTTCTGAATCGGAATTTGTACTTATTTTGCCTGCTAGACTAACATGACATCTATAGTATGGATAGCTTCTGATATTACAGTCTGCCCTGGAGGCATAACTCGAGGTGGAATAATATCTCGACTTCTCGTGAGGAGAAAACACATCAACCTCTTCGAGCCCAACAGTCCTCCAATCCCAACAGTCCTCCAAGCCCAACAACCCTCCAAGCCCAACATTTGTCAGTCTCATTAGTCGGGAAATGAACTCAGTCATGAGTTGTATGATGAAGGTTGTACTCTATAGCCGTCTGTTATATTCGTTAGATATATTAATATACAATTACAGCTAGATAATAGTAAAGTGACGACTACAAGTAGTTAGTTGTTGAGTAGTGCAGGCATGTCAACTCGTTCAGTTCTCAACTTGTGGGGTGGATAGCTCCAAGCCCAACTTCTTAAAGTCCTCCTCAGATCGATGACCATAGTAATAAGGACCAGTGTAATGTTCCTGATCGGCAAGCTCTCGTCGACCAATGTTCAGAGCGCAGTATCCAATGTAATCAATGTAAGCCAGGTGGTTTTGGAGCAGATTGATCTGGGACAGCAGGCTGAACGAGGATCGGTAGCACTTCGAGTTTTCGCCTCCAGCACAAGAGATGACATCCTTGAGAGGAGGGTTGATGAACCGGTTGTTGATGTATACTTCACCGTTAGAGTGGGTGTATCCCTCCCAGTTGGGCAGGCCAACAAAGATGTCGTTCCAGTGGGTCATTCGGTACAGCTTTCTCTCGGGGGTGATTTCCAGACCGTTGCCTTCTCCAAACCACAACTTGTTAATGAACTCAGCGAAGGGCTTGTTTCCGACTCGGGGCTGTCCGTAGTTGATGAGAATGGGATCGTAGCCCTTGAGCTTGATGGAAGTAGCTCCAAGAAGGGCCATAGCAGCTCCCAGAGAATGGCCAGTCACGTACAGCTGGTAGTCCGGGTTAGCGTCCAGGTGTTTCTGCAGATCCTCACCAATGTTACCCCAGGTCTCGGTAAAGGCCTTGGAGAAGCCGTCGTGAATTTTGCAGCCCTCACAGTGCGTCTGGGCCTCTGCGGTGGTGTCATTAGCTGAGAAAGTGTTCAGGGCAGGCACATCGACCAGGAAAGGAGACAGCTGGAACTGCATGTCCGTGATCGCGTCTGCCAGCGAAAAGGTTCCTCGGAAGACAACGTACTTCTCCTTCTTGACATGATCGACAGCCAGGTAGCCCGTAATGGAGGTCTTGAAGAAGTTGCCTCCAAATGTCTTCACAAGCTCAATTTCCGGAAAGTGCTTGCACGAGTTGCCACAGGTGAAGTCCGGGTTCAGTGGAGTGATGGGAGCATTGACACAGTAGGCAATGTTGGACAGATGGGCAAAGTCCCGAGCAAAATCATAGAACCCTTGAGACACGCCTGCGGTCTGTGTGGAGGGAGTGATGGTTGCAGCTCCGAGGAGGAGGACCGAAAAAAAGTCTTTGATTCGAGCAGAGAGGGATACCATTGGGAGAGAGAAGGGTGGAAAGCTGCTGCTTGATGATGACCCAGAGGGCAAGAATAGTCCCTCTTATAGAAGTCGTTCTCTTTGTGTATCTACCGCCACAGCCGTCATGCTTGTTCAACTGGTAATCCCCTCAATATACCAATAAACAGGTATACCTGACATGACCCGAACAGATCTAAACGTGCATGACTGTGCTAGAGAGGCGCTAGCGCGACTTTAGCTACTAGTTAGATGATAATATCTGCACGCGGGAGCCAACAGAAAGTGTTCCTGATCTGCAATGAGTAGATAATCCAGCCATGTGGTTGTAGCGATTTGAAACAGACCCTGGGAGGCCCTGCCAGCATCATAATCACCGCACTTTGGGTATCTTCACATTCTCGAAACTGTCACGCAGACAAAGAATGTAGGTCCAGTCAATATATCCACCTGTGAACCTTGGCATGTGGGCTGGAGCTTGTGCCATGCTTCAACTTGTGCTTGAGTCTTTTGTCTTGATATTCCTTAGGTGGAGGTTGCATCTCTGCGGGGGGGGGGTTGCAAACTAGCGTGAACCATGACCGGTGAATCAACGGTATCCTGTCTTATACCAATGAGACCCCCGGCAACGGCTGCTTGTTTCAGATGTCAACTTTTTTAAAGCGTCAATGTCAGGCCTTTTGGAGGAAAGGGGCTCCCAGAAGACTGGTGGACGTTACTCGCTCGCGATCACACGCGTTTACACAGCGGCGTCAGGTGTACGTGTGTATGTGGATGCATAAATTGCATTTATGATCGGAGCCTTGTCGGAGAATAAAGGCAGATGGTGTTTGCATGACTGAGTTCTTGTACTCGAGCCCGGGTCCGCACTTGTACGGTGTGTTTGTAGTGTGTAGTTGTGCATGAATGTGCCGTCTTGCGTCTCCGGCTAAAGATGCACTTTCCATGGGTTAACTACAAGTAGCTAGTGTGGATCTCCGCCGTCTGACACATGTCGAAACCCCCATTGGCCTTGTGGCATCGAGCCCGAAAGCCATTCATAACACCACAGTATCGTACTTTGCATGTAAATCCATGTGGATCCAGTCAAGAGTCGAGGCAGGGTGGGGGATGGTGCATGGTGGTACTGCGGGAGGGAGTAGGTGGGCAATAATGCATGGCGGAGGTAAATGTACGAGATGCGAGTCTTTGTCTGGAGTCGACCATTGAGCTTCTTTTCGTCTACCCGACCCGCTTGTTCTGAGCCGTTTCTCGTCTCCTTTTTGCTCCGTATTATCTGGACAAGGGCTGCTAAACAAGTAGGCTAACTATGAGCCTGTCCTCCCCATGCGTAAGCCGTTACCCCTTGTTCCTGAATGGCGCCGTTGATGGAGGGGTAGACCCATGGAAAGGCGAGAATAGAGACCGTGGTAGGTCACCTGTCAAATGATATCAGATCTGCACTGTCACACTAGTGCCAAACAGGCCAAAGTGTGGGGTACCAAGGTTCCAGCATGAAGCCACTTGAAGCAAATTCTGTGTTTGTAGGGCCGGGTATGAACAGAGAGATGCACTCGGTGGAGGGGGGAAACGTTGGAGATTAGCTTTGTGGGGTATGAGTTAGTACGTGAGGTAAAAAAGATGGTTACTGTAGATTTAGTTCACTCTTTGTCACTACTCTATCACTATCGACAGGGTGGTTGACCGTCTTCTTATTGGTGCTTGGTGACTTTGATTAGATGGTCCGTTCAAGGACATGGCTGGTCCAGACTATGTCTGCGCTGTCCGGATGACGACCTCCGACGACCCAGCTGTTACCCTCGCAAGCGGCTGTCACTGTCGCTGTCGACTGTCACTCCTGCCCGTCCCTTGTCACTCGTGCTCGTGCTCGTCTTGCCATTCTACGCTCCTGTCAGCCATACCTCGTCTATGCATTGTCTGCCAAGAAGACCCAGCTCCACGGATACTTCCAACGGTCTATAAAAGTGGGCACTTGTGAGGGGAACCGTACCTGAGTGGGGGATGCTTGTGTTTAGTCGGTCAATGTCGACTGTTTGGAGAGTGTAGACTGACCAGTAAGCCACTTGACTTGTATTGCACACACATCTCTACGAGTACGTGTGCTCTCTGACAGAATACACCAGTTGACTTTTCCTTCTGGAACACGCTAATGAGCTCTCAACGCCGGATGCAGACATTATCGGACAAAAGTGTCGGACTTGACCGTGTAAGCGGCTAGGATCAACGACATCCGTGAACCTACATTCTCCAGTACGAGTACAGCACGAGTACAGTACAGGTACCTACTCGTGCTAAAGCACTAAACTGGTGATGCATCTAATTGTTTGTCTATAGCTCGTTACCAATACAAACAGTCCTTGTCTGAACCAAGTGTGGTATGTAGTACATATTGTACCGTACCGAACGTACTGATAACAAACTATCCAATGGAATGCAAAGCTCCTCGAAACGTGCCAGAGACTACAAGACAGGGATGTCATCTATCGTTTCGGTTGTCCGCGTTGCTACATACTCGAATGTACGCAACAGAGCCGAGTCGCTCACGCTCGGGGCGTTGGTGCTCATCCTTAAGCCATTGATATCATTCATTCAAGTATATCGTCAATGGATTGTACTGGGCCTGACGAACATGGGCCTTCACAAGTTGCTGCCTTCACTAGCCCCACGTAGACTCCTTACACAGACCATTGCTGAAAGACTAGAGTTCGGTTAGACAGATAGACCAAATAGACCACTGCTACGCGCTGGTTCATTTGTCCTCCTCCTTCTTGGCAGCCTTTCTGGCACTCTCCAGATACCCCTCAACGCCCTCTCCAAGATACTCCTGGCCTAGTTCTCTGGCAATAATACTAGCAGCGCCCTCTCTTAGAGCCGAATCAAAGGTGTTCATGCCCTGAGCAAACTGGGGCGACTGAACCACGCCGATGAGCGACTCTCGGGTCTTGGGAATCACGTCGGGTAGCAACAAGCACAGGCGATCCACTTCCTGGTCGTCCAGCGATCTGATGTGCTCGGCCATCATGTTCTGACTCACTACAGAGCCAATGTTCATGACCGGCACGGCCTGGTGGCTCTGGGACTGGCTCTGGGGCACCTGGATGTTTCTCATCATAGAAGCCAGATCCGGCACAGTGGGGTTGACTGCAGGGGCAGATTTGGGTTCGGCGTCCCTGGGTTAGTACAAACGAAACGACTCGGTTTATGATGGAAACCAAGGCCAAACGTCCGGGTGAACCCAATCATTGCAGGACGAGCGAATAGATTGTTGCTCATCTCGTGTATTGGAGACACAAAACTGCTCAAAAATCATCCAAAATTGATCTGTATTGTTGGAACCATGTCAATCGTTTTCCTTGCTCTCGCGGTCCTCCTTCTGTACTACCATTCATCCATATATTATACTACTCACTGCATATCCACGTCTTCCGCGTTCTCCTCAGCGTCATCAGCCTGCTCCTCCAGAATTGCCTGCATTGTGTTGAGAACCCGCTTGTCCTCCTTGCTCAGCTCCCACACGTTTTCGCTGTCGGTGGGGTTCTGGGCCCAGTAGAAGAGTTTCTCGCCAGACGACTCAAACTGCAGCTTGAACACTCGGCCAGTCTTGCATGCAGGGACATGCTGGAAGGTGGCGTCTCCAGCAAATGGGTACACCTCGACCTTCTCGCCACCGGCCGTGCCTCGAGGCTCCCACACAAACGATATTAACTCCTCGCTGTCACTGGGCTGTGTCACGACAATCCGACCCTGGCCCCGTCGGGGGGTCACAATTGAAGTTTCCTCGTCAAAGTCCGCCTGGCCGGCCTTGAAAAAAAGAATGTCGGTGGTAGTCGCCATTGTGTGTGATGTGTAAATGTGTGGATGTGTGGATTAGTGTCTCGTGTCGTGAGCTTGTGAGGTGGTGGAAAATAGGGTTTGGCGGGAGTGGCGAATGTTTGGGGGGGGTTGGAATTGACGGCGTTGTAGGAGTCTGGCGGGTTAATATTGTGTGAGGAAGTTGGTTAGATTTTTGCTGTGAATAGAGCAAAGTTTTCAGATACTCGCTAGCATGTCTAAAGGATGACATAATCACACACTTCCTCCTCCGTATCAGGAAAGCCTAACTACAAGTACGGTACTTCTAGCTGAAGTAATGGAGTGAATAACCCTAACTAAATGTTTAGAGAAGTAGCAGAAAATAATTAAATGAATGTATATGCAGAAAAAAAAAAAAAAGGAGTGGTACCAAGCCCATAGCTCCGATGGTATGCATTATTCTGATCTAAAGGCCAAATACCCCTAAATATCTGCTTTTAAAACATGTTGCACTCTTTAGAATCTCCGTAGCCGCCCTCCAACACCTTCCAGGAGACACCCTCATCTTCCACCAGCCTTACAAATCATCATGCACAGCACTCGCCAACTTTATCACACCACGATATTTCAATGTTCATTTCCGAACGGGTACAACTTTTGCTGGACGAGATTTCGGCGCTGCTGACCGAAAAGGGACACACCTTGGCGGTCTCAGAGGCGGTGAGTGGAATAAACGGCTCAATAACCGACTTCAAACGACACAATCAACCGGCTCTTTCTTACTAACACAGGCATGTGGAGGACTCATCTCGTCCTATCTGGTGGCTATCCCTGGAGCCTCCAAGTACTTCACAGGAGGAACTCTGGTGTACTCGCTCAAGTCGCGACTCAAGCTTTCAGGCTGGTCCCAGACCGACATTGATCAGTACACGGGCCCCAGTGAAAGTGTGGCTTTGAGACTGGCGCGAAACCTCAAGATTGAGCTGGGCTCCACCTATGCTCTTTCCGAGACCGGATGGGCCGGCCCGACTGGAGACGCCGTGGGAACCGGGTTTGTGGCTGTGGTCGGACCCAGTGGATCCAAGAGCATGACTTTTTCGACAGGCAGTAACGACCGAGCTCAGAACATGGAGGAGTTTGCGTTCCGAGCGCTGCAGTTTTTGCTCGACCAATTGAAGTAGCAACCAGACGAGTGGAGGGTGTGTTAGCCATGGGAGTGTATAGCACGACTGTGGCTATTCCGAACGCCGAGGCCGTATTGCTACGAGAGCTACCCACTGTGAGTTACATCCTGTCACTATCTACAATGGCACCATTGATGTGATAGACATTAATACGATTTATGACTTGTACTGTACTCGGCACGGCTATCAGTAGGTCCCCATTCGACCCTGTGGTGTTCTTGTAAAACCGCACACTATTCTGGTGCAATTCTTGTGATTGTAGTTGGTGAAATACTTCACACACAACACCAACTGCGATAAATGTATATTAACATGATACAGTGCAATAAATAACTTTTCCCTTAGAAGGGATCTTCATAAGGATCTTCTTCGTCGTAATCATCGTCCTTTTCGTACTGGTAAACAATGGCTCCTCCTTGGACTCCTCCATCTCCGTACTTTTGACTCTCCAGAAACGGCAGTTCCACCTTATCCTTGGCCTGCTGGTTTCGAGTGGAAGTTGTCAGGTTAAACGTGGTCAGATCCTTGAGCAGATCTGCCTCGTTTTCTTGCTGCTGCGCCTTGTTAGGGGCAATGGCTACTGCATGAGACGAGTTGTCTACAGTGTATGTAGCAATGACCGAGCGTCCCGATTTGCGTCTGTAATCCAGCTGCACCTCAAATTTCGGCGAATTGCAGCCCATAGGGATGTCCCAGGCCGAAATCCGGTTACTGTGTTGTTCCAAAACATGAGGCATGACGTCTGGTCTGCTCAGAGGACCAACAGTAAGAATACTGGTGGCAAAGTAGTTGAGAAGCGACAGAGTCGAGGGGTAACAGGAGCTCGAAGAGTCACTTTTCGACCGGATATCGCCGTGGTAGACGCAAACGACTGTTGTATGCTTGCTGATCAAACTGAAGAGCAGCTGGAACAGCTCTTGTTCTGGAATGAAAGCCAGGGTGTCGAAGATGATGAGAGTCTGGGACGTCCCCGTCAGCTGGACAATCTTTTGCTTGAGCTCGGCGACCTTTTCGTGTCCCGAAATCTCGTGGTTGACCCGTTTATCAACCGTCAATGTCTCGTAGTTGACGTACAGAACATTGGTTGATTCAGGTGCGTGGTGGAGGAATTCGCTGATCAAGCGAGATGCTGACTGTTCCACGCTATCAATAATCACCGTGAACGCCGAGCTGTCCTTCAACGCGAGAATCCGGGGCAGGAGTAGCGAAGGGTGCATTTTTGGTGAGAATACACTTTCAAAAAAAAACGGTCTTGATATGCATGGTGCAACTTTATCGTGGTGTATAGTGGTGGTCAAAGATGGAACGGAGAAGGTAAAGGTAGTGGATTGGTTAGTGTTTCATAAGTTCAAGGGGGTTAGAATTTTGATCCAAGTGAATTGATGTAATTAATTCTTCCATACCTTGAGTATATACTCATATTGACTCGATAGCCCAGTTCTTTAAATTACTTGAAATTAGTTGAACTCTTAAGATTATAGTTAAAGTAAAGCTAAGTAAAAGGAGTCAATATTATAATAGCTAGAATGCGCTACAGAAGAGGTATTTGAAATCCGAGAGCTCTGAAACGGTCCCCAATGTCACTAAATATATCATTCATGTTACACAATATCTTGTCAGAGTCTAGTAGTCACAGTCTAGTCTTGCATCTTCTCAGACTCCAAGGCGAAATCATAACCTTACCTGTAGAAGCCAGTCATCACGGACATTGTTATACCATTGAATCACATTCCTGGTTCGGACAGCTAATACAAGGGACTTCAAAAATGAGTCCATTTGCGAATGCTCCAGGCTCATTAAGTATAATGTCTATTACTTCACTGCGTAATTTACATAGAGGCATTCCTGTCCTCTTACATATCCGAGGGATAGTAGAAGAAGGCAATGGCGGCAATAAAGTAGGTGCCGAGCAACATGACTCCCTCAAGCCAGTTGGACTCTCCGTCCTGCAGCAGGTAGTTGCAGACAAAGACTCCGACGAAGAGGACGGCAGTCTCAAAGGTGGAGAAGTACAGAGACATGGGCTGGTCGATGATCCAGCCGAGAATGACCAGGAAGGGGGTGAGGAAAAGGGCAATCTGCAGAGAGGAGCCGATAGCCACTCCGATAGCCAGATCCATCTTATCCTTGATAGCCACAACCACGGCAGTCACGTGCTCGGCGGCGTTACCGACAATGGGCAGCAGAATCAGACCGATGAAGGTCTTGGAGAGTCCGGAAGAAGCCACAATGTCGTCGATGGACTCGACGAGGTAGTCGGCGCAGAAAGAGACCATTACGGTGATGACAACCAGGGCAAAGATTGACTCCCAGGGAGTCAGGGTGGAGCCCTCGTGCTCGTCCTCTCCCTCGGTAGCGTCAACGGCCTCGCTCTCAGCGTCCTCAAACAGACCGCTGTGGGATCCGAGCTGAAAGTAGAGGAAAAGAGTGTAGATGGAGAGAATGACGATGGAGGTTCCTCGAGACACAGCTAGGGTGGGGTCGACAACCGAAGGGTCGGTATCCTCTCCGGGCTTTCCAGAGTTGGGCAGAGAGGCGTGGAAGGCAGCGGGGATAAGCAGCGAGGTGACTCCGAGGGCGAGAAGAGAGGACATGGTCTGGGCCACGGTCATGTTGAACTTCTGCTGGACTCGTCCCCATCCTCCGGCAACGAAGCAGCATCCCAGCACCAGCAGCATGTTGGACAGAATGGATCCAAGCATGGAGGCCTGGACAATTCGGATCTGGCCCTGGTAGAGGGCGATCACGGATACAATGAGCTCGACGGCGTTTCCAAAGGTGGCATTGAGCAGACCTCCGAGAGTCTGGCCGACCTTGGCAGACAGCTCTTCAGTAGCAAACGACAGCAGGGCGGCAAGGGGGACAATGGCGAGGAAGTTGAGAGAGAAGGTCCAGGTGGCGCCCCATCCGAGAATTCCGGAGAGCAGGCCGAGGGGCACGAAAATCAGCAGAATATTGACATATGACGAGCCCAGCACGATGCGCACCTTTTGCACGTAGGTGTGGTCCGAGGGCTGGAGCCGTCGGCCAATGAGAGGGGTGGATTCGGAAGGCATTGCGATGAAAACTGGCGCGGAGTTTGGTTCAAAGGCAAAAAAAAGAGGCCAAAAAACGGTTCGTTCAGTTGTCGTCGAGGTTTGAAATCCAATCGCAGATAATATCACAAATAAAACCCGCTTAGAATTAAGCTTATATCCCGCGCGTTAGGCATGTGGAGGATATTAATAGGGGAGGACGAGGAGGGGGGGATTTGGTGAGCAAGGTGAGCAGAGAAAAGTACCAGCTTTGGCAGGTGCCTTTTCAGAGCCTGTGTTTACGCCTGTGCGGGTTTTCAGCTCTCTACCGGCTCTATATCGCTGGTTATATGGATTACCCCTGATTTCGGCAGTGCAGCTAGACCCCACTAGTGCTATGATATAATGCGTCTAATGAAGCATCTAAACCGGTCAAGTGACAGATGTTTTGTTTTAACCTGGTAGTACAGACGTAAGATAGCGGGCGTCGACGATTGTCCAATGTCAGGCCCCCCTCATCTTCTTTTACGGGCTAGTCCAGCTGTCAAACGGGGTGGGAGGGGCGGTGCAGAGAGTTTGAGGGAGATGAGGACATAGAAGCCGCTGGGGTTGGTGAAAAAGGTCGGAAAGAGAGTAATGTTATGTAATCTGGGTGGTAGAACCTATCAATGGCCTTCTTTTTCCGCCATCTCTACTCCCCAGCGCGTTACATTCACTTGTATACCTCCGTCATCATAACCTCAGAGTTTGTTTATTGTTGCTGCAGCCATGGTCCCAAACAGGCAAGGGTCGAAGAGTCAGAACTCGGATAGACATTGTTATTGATGCTGCAACTGCATGATAAGCGATGGTAGATGGAGCAACATGACGACCGACCAGATTGTGTTTCAAATCTCCAATTTCCGGGATTTTCCACCGACTTACATCTCCATTCCGAAGTCTACAAAAATCCGTCCCCACAAATTTTTAGCTGCAGCCGGTTTCGTACTGCTGCACCGACTGCATCTGGCACTGCGGCTGGTCTTGGTCTGGTCTTGGCGAGACACCATTGTGGAGACGTGTGCCACCAGAGGTCTCCAAACACTGGTTGCTGTATGGATGTGCACTTTTCGGCGTGTGTACAATTGCTACGCCAAAATCGCCCTCTGCCAATTGCTGCGTGGACCCGATCAAGCGCGTATCAAATCGCGTTATTAACTTGAAACCCGGGCTTACTGTCTCCAAGTCAATTGATAGGAGTCCGAATTTGGAGAAAGTACCGTAGTACGACAGTTGCAAGAATGACAATCTCGGCGTGAAAGAGACAATGTGGAAGGAGCTGCGGTGATTGTAACAGGGTAACTGCTCTATGGACGGTAATTTTTCACTCCAAATACTCCGTCCATTCACTCATTGACCCTATAGGCCTTCCCGACATGATATCCGCAGAGAAAAGAGGCAGTGCAAACTCTGCCGAGCTCTGACTTTCATTTGTTGCCAGAAAAGTCAATTGTGATGAATGAGATGGTAGAGAGAAATAGAAACTGCCGATACAGGTTATGAGTCAGTTTATGGGTTCAACTAAAGTCACGTGTTGATTTGGTGTTTTTTCTTTTTTGTAGTTTTTTTTTTCCCAATTCTGGGCTCTATATTGTCCTATGGGGTGCTCAATACTGGCCAAACAAGCAAACATCAAAAGAGCCCAAAAAGTGGATCAAAAGTGACACAAGGTCCATCTTCTCATCGGATGGATTTAAGCATGTATTGCAGTTAGTTGCGAGGGTTACTTTTCCGGCTGGAACTATGTTTCTGCTTGTGTGCAGCATTGCCATGGATGTGCCTGGTTGCGAGAGTACCGTGCCCTTTTTGAGCAAACGTCTCCCACTATCACCATTCTTGTTGGTCTTAGTTGATGTCGCTACTTGACCTTGATAGAAAACTTACTTAGCTTTACTTAGCTTTACCAAGCCCTACTCCATGAGCGATTTCACCACAGTACTGTCCCACTGTCACATTCAACACCGTCATCCGACTCAGTCATTTCCTCCACTACTTCAAGAGCTGAAATAAGAGGCCCCACCTTGATGTCTCAGTCTCAATGGGCGCTTCCCAAGAGGTGTTGTATCGTATTCCTTCCTCCATGAAGTAGGTTAAACCGCAACATGTCCTTCCACTTCTACACATGTCACCAAGGAGGGAATCCCACAAGTACGGAAGCCCACAAACAGCCAGAGAAACGGCATCTCCCTGTCAGCCACGTGTTGCCAACCCAACTTCTCCTCCTTCTGCGGGGAAGAGGCTTCCTACTGTACATAGTAGTGTAGCTAGTGCCTGCTGAGTTATAATGGAAACGACCACCAATTGCCATATCTGGTAGTCGATGCAAGTGGGGCAGTGAGAGGAAGGGAAAGAAAGAAAGTGAAGACAGTGTCTCTTATATATACATATTGATGCGATGTGCCCATTATGCTAGTACCTTGGCCATTCAATATCACCCACTCACCCCAATATGCCCAGTCGCTTTGCACGTTGAACTAGACGCTCTAGATGTAGACAGTACAGGCTATAAAAGACAAACAAGACATGTGGCAGCTCCATAAGTGACTCCGAGTAGGACGCCTTCAACTCTTCTTGGATTCCACTCCTTCTATTCCGTTGGTACCCTACTACATGAGTCTACGATACAAAAACTCGCAAGTGTTGTACAGTGTATATCCCATATGAGGGTGTCAATCATCATATATATCTATATCAGATGTCAAATGTACAGTCACAGGAAAACAAGACTAAAAAACCTCACACTGTAGCCACGACCTGAACCTCACTGGGTGGTGACCTTTAGCGTGGTCTTAGCACCGTGTGGAAGCGGGGGTTAGTGCCGGCGACACAAGGGAGCTTTAAACGACTGAGAGGGAAAGTTCTGGGCGTTTTATTGACTACTGGAGAAGAATGAGAAAGTCTGTATCCCTGTGGGCATCTTTGCTCCGTTCTTTATAAGCAGGTTCTACAACATCTGTATACACCATATCATTCCACAGTGACAATATGTATCTACAGTCGATATCCAGTCTAATTGTACCTATACAGGTATTTCAAACCCGACTCAAGCACACTACATATCCCCTAAGGCGATATTCTAGCCCGACGTGAAATTGGGATGTGCAGAGAAGACGTGAAAAGGAAACTTCGGGAGAGAGACAAACGCCCGCTCTGAATCAAGATCCCCTCCCCCTTGTTCTCTCTACCTGCTCCCTGTCCAATAATCACCATATCCATCATAAATCGACTATTGCAAACCCCACCTCGCTGCACTAGCCACTAGTGTAAGCGAGTTGGACATGGGTGAACACACGGCTGGATATATGATAATATATATGGCTGTAGACCCGTCCATGGCGTCAGAAAACTCAACAAAATGGTGATTCCAGATATCTCGTATCAGGATGGAATTCTAGCGGCTTTGCCAATTCCAAAAGGAGCAGCGACCGGCACAGGACTACGACCACTGCTGAAAATGGTTACAGAACTGCTTGGAAACATTCGAATTGGCCAGTATCTGATTGACATGGTGATTGGATCGCAAATGGCCATTTTTGGCGGAGTTCCCAACCCAGATCAAGACAGAGCCCCTTGCATTCTCTTCATTGTGCTCCACTGCGTCTTCTGTGTGTGCAATGGACTCATCTTCCTCTACAATCTATACCATCGCCATCTGTTTCTGTTGACTGGGTGCAACGCCTGTTACAATCTCGTGTGTGCTATTGGTTTTGGTCTTCGTCTCAAATGGTGTGACTACACCATCCAGTATTTGGTAGCAGTCTTCTCCGTCTGTCTGCCTATAGGCACGTCCTTCTACCTCAATTTCTGCAACACAGTTCTGGGCCATCGAGTCTTCACCAAACGGCACCCGGAGACGGGCAACTCGTCCTGGTTCCATGTGGTTATGACAGTCTTCTACTGTCTGATCATTGGAGTGGTAGTGGGCGCCATTCTGGGTCAAGCTCTGCCATACCTGTACTTTATGGGACCCAAGCACTACCAAATGTGTCGCAATGTGGCTAAGGCCATGGGAATCATTTGTATTCTGTGGGCTCTAGGAGGTTTGGCGATGGTTCTGGCAGCTTATATAATTCCTGTGGGGGCTGTTGGTCATGAGTTTCCTGGATTCAAGGCGAAACGGGCCAAGAATCTAAGACAGACTACCTCTCCGTTCTGGATCACCAGTTTCGGAATCTTTTATTACCCCGAAAAGCCCAAGTACAAGACGTTCACGAAACGGTCTCTGGAGGAAGACGAGAGGCATGGAGCCTCCAACAACAACACTTTGTTTGCCCGTTTTGTCGATTCCGAAAGACGAAATCCAGTCCGAGTCATCTCAGACCTCAACAACAACCCCACCGTGTGTGCGCTTTTGATTTGTTTCACTTCTTGCGTTCTTACAACTATCACCGTGTGCAGAACCGTGTCTCTTTTCACAGACGAGTTTTTCAAGGTCAGACAAGTTGGCAACTCGCCCGTGTTCCAGAACTACACTCTGTACGCCACCTTTGGGGCCCTCGAGTGCATTGTGAACGCTCTGTTTTTGCTGTTCCGAATCGACCTGAGATTCTATATTCCCGACAGAGAAGACTTTTGGGACTGGCTGGACAAGTATCCGCTGTTCCGAAGCGGCAAGCTTGGTCATATCTACGATAAGAGCAAGGAAATTGACGCTGTCGGTCTGGCCCACAACGTCCATCAGCCGCAAGACTTGTCTTCGTCAGCAGAGAAAACCCGACAGTCCATCGACTCCCTTTCCTCACATAATAGCAGCGGTGGTAGAAGAAGCACTAGTTAATAGGATACCGAAGTATTTGAGTGTGAGAAGTGCTTTATCATCGTGATGTATCATTGGCTGATACTATTAGACAAGGGCAACAACAGAACCATAGTTGGTCAGAAAAGGCGTAGCACCAGTGAACTTGTAAGGTAAGAGGCACAGAAAAGGAAAAGACGGAGCCATGAACTGAGCCTCGCATGTACTTTCCAGAGAAACAGCTCATTTACTCGCGAGCTATCTGTTCCCTGTTTTTCGCCTTCCATAGAAGCCATCTCCATCTCTGCAGAAGATCACATCACCAGCCGCCGTCCAAGATGATGCTGCACCAGCTGCCTTTAGTAGAGAATAGACTGGATTGTTCGCATGGAGAGCTCTTGCTTCAGAGCTGCTCGGAGAAGGACTGACGCCCGCACAAAGTGAGAGATACCAAGATGAAGACAGAAGTCCGGCAAGTTTCAAAAGACTGGATCGTGAGATGGTTTAGAATTCCACAACGTTACCGTCCAGACAGACTTGCCAAGCTCCACCATTTCAGGACCAGTATAACTTTCGACTGCAGCATTTCCATCATCCCTTCATCATCCTTCTACTATCCGCTCCGAACCCACCAATCAAACGTCCAAGAAATATTCTAGAGTCACTTTTTCTCTTGTCTGCTGTAGATGCTGTACCCCTCATGAACCACCAACCTAAATTTGTCGCACAGTGCCAAGGGGACATTAGTCTGGTGCACTTCAGGGTAAACCCAAAGAGTTGAAATCCCTCCGTGTCTCAGACCCAACCAACTCCACACTCCACAAGCCCCGTGTCCTCCCCACGATGATCACGCGCCTCAGTAAGCCTGTTTGTTTCCCCACCGTCTCGTATCTTCGCACAAGGTTTGTCGATCCCTATTATCACGGCCCATGTTGCGAAGTTTGATGCCGGAGAGACAGAGAGAGAGAGAGTGACCAGAGTCGTGTGGGGCAGCACGCCACCCGGCAGGAGACGCACATACAGTAGCTAAAAGTAATGTGACCCCGGCAACGTGGTGAAAAGAAAGAGAGTATGCGATTGGGAGAGAAAAGAGGAAGCAGGAGGAGGAGCTGGACGAGCATATATATATCCCAACCTGCTTTCAGTGTCACATGTCACGTGTGGGGCTGGTGGCCACCATCGCCAGACTGACAGCTGTCTCACCGGCCAAAGGTCGGAAATGACCCGAGACACTTAACGTCCGTGGTGCGTGTTTCTTTGTTCGCGATAAGAGCACTACCGAAGTCACGGTACGAGTCGGTGCTGGGATGTGGTAGATGTCATACAGTTGAAGGACACGGTCTAATTTCAGTGCCAGACATGCCATGTTTCACGGCTTTGTATGGTTTGCATTTGGGCATTGCGTATAGATACGAGAGTGGATGGAGCCTTCTAGAAAGACCCACAATGGAGATGCAGACAGGCCATGCATATAATTGGAAAGCTCCAGTCGAGGCGGTTCCAATGGGCTTGTCGGTATCCAAATCAGACCCCTGTTTGGGCTTCTGGCTTGTACCGTTGCAATCTCCCCAGACCCACGCACGCCTTATCTAAATTGCGTTTGGAGACACCAAAATTCGGACAATGAACTGAGAACCCGAAATGAACTATGCACAAGCGACACCTGTACCTCATTATGCGAGAGTTGTGCGTGCGTGCGTGGCCCGGGATTACGTCATAGGGGACCTTTTGGCGCTACGGGAGTATCAATGTGCGACTGACTACTGACGATCTACCCAGTGGTACACTTTGTCAACCCTCTGGTATGGCTAAGCTTATAGCAAGATCGGACGGGACAAGGGATGCGACGCTAACGGGAGATGGCAAAGAGATAGGGGCATGGAGTAAGCGGCGGTGGTCTCAATTACCTGTGAAAAATGCACTTGTCCAGCCAAAATCCAGTTGCCTCATCTAAACCACCACCTAAACACACACTCCTCGTTACATTAGACTCCGCCCATACCTAGGCTAATAAACTCTGTTGGGCGACTTAGCTGCAGCTTCCTGGAGTCCAGTTGCTCTGGTATTGCTCATTACGTCATGCGTTGTGGAGGTGGATTCGAGGCGGAATTTTTGGACATTGTAGCGCATCTGGGGGGAGATGTGTTACTTGGCGCGTGTTGTGACCTCTCTCACGGCAGTTGTGGCTATAAATACCCGTGGTCTTCCCCACTCGCCGGAACAACTTTTTTTGCCCACAGCTCAGACGTAGACCGCTCAGACGTTGCTGGTTGCGGTGTGTCCAACTCTATTCATACCACACCTTCATCGTCGGGGATATTTAAAGTCGTGGATTCCCACACCACCCTTCTTTTGTATTCTGTATTCCTACTGATCCTCCCACGCAATGTCTCTCTCCGACAAGATTGAAAAAGCACACATCCCCGAGCAGCGGCCCCTCGCCATCTTCTCCGACTTTGACGGCACCATTTTCCTCCAGGATACCGGCCACGTGCTATTTGACAAGTTTGGATGCGGCCCCGAGCGACGAGCCGAGCTGGACGAGTCCATCTTCACGGGCGAGCGAACCTTCAAGGGCGCCTCGGAGCTGCTGTGGGGCTCGCTCAAGGATGTGACCCTCGAGCAGGGCTTCAAGCAGCTCGAAAAAGACCTCACCATGGACCCCGGCTTCACAGAGTTCCTCAAATACGTCCAGCGACACCACATTCCGTTTTCCGTCATCTCCGCCGGCATCAGACCCCTTCTGCGAGTGGCGCTCGACGAAAGCATAGGCAAGGAAAAGTCCGCCGAAATCAACATTGTCTCCAATGACGCCATCATTGCCGCCGACGGCTCCAAGTGGACCCCTCTGTGGAGACACCCCGATTCCGATCTCGGCCACGACAAGTCCGTGTCGCTGCAGGAGTTCAAGGACGCCACAGAAGAGGTCAACCCCATCATCATCTTCATTGGTGATGGAGTGTCTGATCTGCCTGCCGCTAAGCACTCTGACGTGCTGTTCGCCCGACGAGGCCTCAAGCTCGAGCAGTACTGCCAAACTAACAAAATCCCTTACATTCCCTATGACGACTTCAACGATATTCGACGGGAGCTGCGAAAATACGTCAAGGGTAACCGACATCATGATCTCAAGTACGGAGCCTCTGATGACACCGAGCTGGTGCGATCGGCCGCCTCCTCCATGGAGACCTCGCCCTCGGCCTCTCCCGGCCTCAAGCCTCTTACCAACCTGAAGATGACCAAGACCGAGAAGGAGCTGGATAAGCTGGACGGACTGAAGCTTGACAAATAGATAGAGTGACGAAAATGCATGGCAGCCCGGTCATGAATGGACAAGAATGAATGAATGAAATGCGTACAGTACGGAAAAAAGTGAGTGGCTGAATGGCCAACACTGGACAGCAACTGGCCTGTTTGCGAGTGATCTGTAGCTCTACGGTACGTACAGTTTAAGAAATAGATTAATTGAAAAGCCACAATACTGCGATATAAATTTACTGTACAGGCAAGTACAGTAGTGGGAAACTTAGGGTGCGTTGATAACGTTGCTCCTATGGTACAGATCTGGCGCATCATACACTGTATGAGCAACTCACCTCACCTCAACAATGCAACTAAGGAGAATGGTGAATACGACACTGTCGGAAAGCCATTATTTGGTCTAGTGCCATGGGCACCGTTAGTCGTGTTTTTCTCTTGTTATGTAGATGTGCAGTATTGAGCTCAAGGGCTTATAATGTTTTAGTTAAAGTACCGTAGTTCAGTTTTAGCTGATTCCGCTTCCTATCAAGCATGACATCCCTTCGACTCAAAGTGAACCCATTCTTAGGGGAAACGCTCAGTTGTTTAACCGTTCATGTTTCAATCTATGGTCTCATTGAACCCGCTCATTTGTCATTCCTATCCTGGGATAATCAGCTGATCTGACTCCGTCATACACACTACGCTTCGCAACTTTGTGGGAGGCTCACAACTGCAACAGTTGGGGTCCGATCAGTCTTAAGTCGGGTGTCTGTACATCAAATGGACCTGAATTTACTTCACTGTAGTTATTTTCACAACATTCGCGTTTTTTATTTATTTTTATTCTATTCATTCGCGTTATTGTAAGTCAAACCTCGTGAGGAATAGGAATTCTCAATTTTTCAGAAAAAAACTCATCCGCAATAGTTTAGTGGCTAGAATTTCCGCCTGTCAGGTATAATACCAGCACGCGGGGGACCGGAGTTCAATTCTCCGTTGCGGAGTATCTTTTTTTGTCCAGTTTGAAGGGGAATGTTAGAACTTTTCAGTCACATGACTTTGCTGTATGATGATACTTCTAGACGAGAAGGTTGATTTTTTGTAGTTTTTTTTGTGGTTCATAACTACGCTGAGCATTTTACGTCCTGACTGTAGCTGTTACTGTATGTTTTCATGATGTACAGATTCCCTTCTCAATCGAGTCCAGTTCTAAAAAAACATACCTCCGCTGGAATCGAACCCCCAACCACTCTAACCCTAATGCAGTCCCTATTATACACCAGTTACCCTGTCGAACTTGTCGCAGTATATAACCATGGACAAGTCCGATCCAAGTCTTTTTCCTCACATTCGTAAGCCTTCTATTCACTGCACTGCCCACAAAATGGGTAACTGGAGGGGAAAAGAACGGCGAGAGAAAAGTGAGAGGCCACCTCATACGACGTCGACGCTATACACCGAAGTTCGATGTTGTAACTGGGCTCCTTCGACATTCTATTATATTGTATTTTGGTTGAAAATTTTCCGAATTGGTTCTTTCCGAAATATCCCAAGCTTGTTAGCATGGTTACTTTGGTTTTGTTGACATGGTTGGTTGAATTCTGATGATCGATCGTTTTAAGTTAGTTGGCATTTGTTAGCTCCATCAGTTGACTTGAAATATCAACTTGGTGTCGCACTCACCCCATCCCATTTGGTCCACCATTGCCCAGAGCCACGTTAGCTCTTGGAAGCAGCTCTTGGAAGGGACTCGGATCAGCCTTGGAGACAGCTTGGTCTGCGCCAGACGCGACCTGTGACGTCTCTTGGCTGTGTCATGCTTCTGTCTGCGACGTCACGAGTGGACAAGTTCAGGCTATTATCATTGTTGGGCTTATTACATCACTTGCACTATGGACCGGTAAAACTGACGATCATTTAATGCCTCGGTCAATCAGTCTCAGAGTGTCGCCAAATGTACACCAAATGAGACTTACTACCGTACAAGTTACGTGCTTCTAGAACAGAGTTGCAGTATGGTCATGTTCAAGACATGGACATCACAGTATGGCTTGTAGAACGACAAACCAATGATAGCACATTTCCCATAAGATAGAACATTTCCCATAGATAGAACATTGCCCTTATTATAGCACAGCATGGCACGCTCTGCACGCTCGTGGCGGAACCAGCGTAACATTGCGCGTGCTAGACCCGACTTTTCCTTTCCAGCCCGTTTTGGCGCAAGTGCTTGTTGTCTAGACTGCATCCTCCGCAGACTATCGCAACTTTGTTGGTGAATGCGAAATACGAGAGAAGACACGAACGACTGATCTCCCCGAAGTGTTGGGATCGAACAATGACAGGATATATACCATGCGTCGTGAGACACTGGAGTGTAGTCGCCCATCGTCGGTCAGAGACAGCTGGGGTCCCTTTTTTTGGGCCTGTCATATCCGTTTGTCGTCTGCTTGTTTGTCTATATTCTTCCTCATGTAGGTTCAAAACCCGACTGTAGGCGACCAACTCAAAAGAGCCATGTTTTGAATGAGAAACACGTTTTGGCTTGAGCGGGGCACAGTTGGTGGTTGGCTACGTACTATACAGGTACTTCACGGGTACTCGTACAATTACCGTAGCACTCAGGACCGGGACCTATTGTTAGCATGTGCTTCGTATTCGTTTGCACCATGGATGTATTGGTAGACGTACCGGTACGAGTACGAGCTCCGTCCAAGTGCCTGTACCTCCATCTCAGGCACGTCAATCGCTGTGTGCGGATCTGAAACACTTGACGCCACGCGTAGTGCGTTGATCTACCGCCTGACGCTCTGATTAACCCCTTTTGTCGTTTCTGGCCCACGTTTCGTCCTCTATAAAACTCCGCTTTGCCCTGGAAGCTCCGCCAAGAGAAACGTGTCCTGCCAAGCGTCTCGGTATTGGTGGGTGCATGCCAGACGAAGATGCGACTTTGAGAAGCGAAACGAGCGAGGCGAAAACAAACCAACCCCGGATGAGGCGAGTTGGAGAACCAAATCGAAATTGAAAACGTTCGCACCCAGTACTCTCCCAAACTCACGTCTGCGACGTCAGCCTCGCGTGTTGGTCCTCCCAACTTTTAATCTTGTGCCCTTCATTTAGAGCTAACTCTGCCCTCTACAGCCTTTGGACTAACAAACCATCCCCCCAACCTAAGAGACATGCCAAGAAGGGTTATGTGGTGAATATCTGGAGGCTGGCCAATGATGTCAGGGCAATTACACGAAACGTGGTGTCCAGCGTACTAATTTCGACACGCGGCTCTACCCAGACCTTTGACTCTGTCTCTCCCCACAAGTAGCCCGTCGTATAAAGATACCCTCGGTACCCTATGATGATACCTCGTTAAAGCGATCTCCTCAAGTCCCTACAGTATCTATTCTCTTGATGCAGCTCACACTCGTTATTGCCGCTCTGGCCTCCCTGGTCACCGCCCAGTCTCCCTCCCTGGATACCCAGGCCCTGTACGGAAACCGACCCACCTGGTCCAAGTACGACCCTCCTCTTGCGACCATCGTTGCTGATGCCGCAAAGGCCCCCACCAACTCCTTTGCTGGCAAGCAGGTGGTTCCCGGCAAGGCCTTTGACAAGTTCTACCAGATCTGGCTGGAGAACACCGACTACGACAAGGCCTCTGAGCAGGCTGACATGCAGTGGTTCATGACCCAGGGCATCACTCTGACCAACTACTGGGCCCAGACCCATCCCTCATCCCCCAACTACGTGGCTGCTGTCGGTGGTTCTTACTTTGGATCCTACGACAACTCCTACCGACTCCTCCCCGAGTCTGTCCCCACCGTGGCCGATCTGCTGGAGACCAAGGACATCTCCTGGGGTGAATACCAGGAGGACCAGCCTTACACCGGCTTCACCGGCTACAACTTCTCGCGACAGTCCGACTACGCTGACGCCTACGTGCGAAAGCACAATCCCCTGGTCTTCTACGAGACCGTCACCAACTACCCCAACCGTCTGGCCAACATCAAGAACTTCACCGAGTTCGACAAGGACGTGGCTGCTAACGCCCTTCCCCAGTGGGCCTTCATCACTCCTAACATGACCAACGATGCCCATGATACTGATATCGAGTTTGCCGGCAAGTGGGCCCGAGGCTGGCTCGAGCCCCTCCTCAACAACGAGGAGTTCATGAAGAACAACCTCATCATCCTTACCTTTGACGAGAACGACACCTACTCCAAGAAGAACACCATTCTGGCCATTCTTCTTGGAGGCGCCATCCCCGAGCACCTCAAGGGCACCACCGACCACACCTACTACAACCACTACTCCAACATTGCCACCTGCGAGGCCAACTGGGAGCTTCCCCATCTCGGCCGAGGAGATGTCGACGCTAACGTCTTCAAGTTCATTGCCGATGACCTCAACATCCCCGTCGCCGAGTTCGACACCACCAACCAGTACAACAACTTCTCTGCCCCTGGCTTCTTCTCCGACAAGTCTCTTGGTGTTGGCCGACCCCAGCTCAATGCTACTGGTGCTGGTGGTGCCCGAATTCTGCCTGCTCTGCTCGAGGTCTTTGCCGATGCTTCCGACGTGAACGGAACCGGCTCTGCTGCTACTTTCTTCAACCGAGCTGCCAACAACAACTCCACCGGTGGTAACAGCACTGTTGTCTCCCCCTCCATTACTGGCTCTGCTGCTCCTTCCGCCTCCGCCACTGTCTCCTCTGGCCAGGCCAACGGTGCCGCTGCCGCTGGTGTTTCTCTGGGAGCTGCTGTTGTCGGAGCTGTGGCTCTCTTCATCTAATCGGACTGCGTCATTTCTTGAAGACATGCTCTACTTATAAAGATGCGACTAACTGCTACGACTCCCGTCGTTTGTTTAACATATTGATTAGAAACTTATCGGATGTAACTGTAGTTGTGTATATTGATTCAGTACGGTAGTTAGTGGGTTCGTCGTAAGGTGAATTACTTATACTGGATCGGAGAAATATCAATTTTTAACGAAAAAGGGCACCTATGTTGTATGTTCAGATGCTCTATGACTTCCCTGGAGATCTAGTATGGCCCAACCTAGAAGGACCATAATGGATCTTTTTGTATGACAGAGTCTCGATATTTTTACATATTCTTGATTCTTGGAGATTAGTGGATCCAAAAATAGCATCCATTTGAACACCCACTTGTCTATATTACGCACGTCTATACCTATTGTAAGTATTCTGGTTTACATCTTAGGCAACACCTTCCAGCATGATAAACACTTGAACTCCGCCAGTACATCACCAAGATCACACACAAACATACCCTGGACTAAAAACCTACAATACTTTAGTCCATGGAGCAGTATTGTGTTTTTCATTTTCTCTATCGCGCGCTATTATCTCACATAGCCCCCATATACTTCCCTTATTGTTCATGGGTCTAGACCTTCAACCTACACTCCCCTACATCACTTACTCGTACTCACTGTACACAGGCTGTAGTAATTTGATAGCATTTTTTTATTCCATTTTACACCAAAAACTTATATTGCATCTCTATATTGACCACGCCCCAATTTTCCCTGTTTATCCGGTACTTTCAAGGGTCTACAGCTCTTCCCGTTTACGTCTTACACTCCCCCACATAACATTCTTGCAGATCTATCTGCACATGGCCCATCGTATTCTGCTTCTGACAACGGGGAAAAGTCTGAAAGCGGCCTGTAGATCGGAGCAGGGAAGAATCGAAGATGGGGAGCGGAGTGTTGCTGGCGAGATGTAGACCCTTGACCCGAAGAAAAACATGCCTTTTTTCGTAGTCCAAAAATCACCCCGTGCTCCAAAATCAAGGGTCCCCTTGGTTATTTTCTTGTCCTTTCACCCCAGCCACCCCATATCCCATAATCTTGCCTACAGTACTGTACAGTAATAATGCACTTTTGACGCCAGCAGTATTTTTGCCATTTTGGAGGAGCTTAAAAAGAGTGACTGGGAAGGGTCCAAGACGACATGTAGTGGTCTGAAACAAGTAGAACAAGTTGTAACCGAATCTCCGTTGCAAACCAAACATTTCTGTCTCTTCAGAAATTCTCCAACACGCCAGAACGGCCCCTACTCTGCCCCTCTATATCGCTCCTAACTAACCTACAAGTAGTCTTGCATCACTCTACTGCACCTGTCTCACACATAACATCCCAACATCTCTTGACACTCTCGACTCTCGACACACAGCATGGGTCTCCCTATATGTGCCCTAGACGGTCCCGAGCGCAAACGACGGCGGCTGGACGGCGAAACAGACCTGGAGATGTCCGACACGGACGACATGGCGTTCAAGGACGATGTGGCGTCCTCGTCCGCGGCTCCCCCAGTGCCCTCAGCCCCCAGACTTGCCTTGTGGGCCACAGACATGAGCAGCGATAGCGAGACGAGCGAGGAGGACGACGTGCGACCGTTTGCAGCTTCTCTGCAGTCGTTTACACGCGCCCTTCCTCGTCTGGACGAATCTTCGGGCGATAACCTGTTTACACCATCTTCCGTACTTCAACCATGGAGAATGTGGGACAATGAGGAAGACGAAGACGACCAACAACAATACTCGCAGCAGATGCCGCGGCCGCGACGACGAACACTGCTGACTCTGCCGCTGCGGCGCAGAAACGCCTTCAGAGTGTCCTCGACGTCGTCGTCCCGAGAACTGGACTCGGAAATCGACAATAACAGATCGACGGCGGCTGAGCTGCTCAGACGCATCAACGTGAGCTCACACAGGTCGCCGCCGCCGCTGCCACAAATCTCTGAAACACACCTCATGTCAGAACTGTCCGAGTTTGTGCCTGGAGGGACTCTCTCGGCCGAGGTGGCGGACATGTACAGGCAGGGCATGGTGAGCGCGCAGGAAGCCGCTTACCTGAGCCGGTCAGGCAGCGAGGAGCAGCAGGTGAGCGATCACTTGAGCGAACAGGGCCATCTGACTCACGTTAGCGACTCACGAGCTACCACTCCGCTCAGAAGCAGCACTCCTTTGGATACACTCGAAGACCCTGCCAACCTTAGCAGCAGCTCACGGCTGGCCCGTTTGGAAGCCGACTTTGAGCGTCTCGAAACTGAACGCCGAATGCGCGACTTTGACGCTCAAGATTCGCATTATGGACCTGTTTCAAGCACACTCCCCACCCCTTCGTTTCTCGACCATCCTCCAGACGCCCACTTGGGGGATCTCACATCGCCAAGAGTGACTATAAGCGAACAACAGGTACCTGCCCTGATGCCAGAGACCGTTCCTTTACTTAGTCAACAACTGGCTGACACCGCAACCCGACAAACTGTCCACTTTGAGTTCCCAGACGATGCAACTCCTAGTGTTGCAGCTGCAGAAGAACGAGCCACTGAGTTCCACAGCAGCGCTTCAATAGACAGCGACTCGAACCGTTCGTTGCCATCGGAGGAATCACCCTCTGGTCACGTGAGTTTCGGATCAGTATCGTTTGCAGCCGACACTGTCGACTCTCAATCTTCCTCCGAGCCGGGAGAGTCGCCTGAGTCGCCCCAGGTGCTGCCGATCGAAGACACGCTTGTGATTCCGTTCACGCGGTCGCCGTCTCCCTACGAGTATCCCGTGTCACCAGCCTCGTCCATCGACTACGAGCGACGGGACTACAACCGGCGAAGAAGCCGCTCTCTTGAATGTCTAGAGGAGGGGGGAAGGCGTGGACGGTCACGTGGGGGACGAGCTGCTGCTGATAGAGCTGCTTATGTTTCTGACCCCGAACCTGACGTGGCTATGTTCCCTCAGTCGGGTGAAATCGCACATCGACGGTCCAATTCGCTGCCGTTCTCTTCTCGGCGACAATCGGTGGGCTCGCAGTCCGAGCCCGAGAGTAGTATGCGACGAAGCCGGTCTCAGAGCGCCGGCAGTGATAGACGCGTGCGGTTTCGCTTAGCTGTGAGGTTTCAGTAGAGCCCGAAGAGGGAATTACCAGAAGGATTATTTATTGCATTATTTATAGTAATATCGTATGAAGATAGAGTGGTAAAGGTGGTCGTGGGGTGGTACTTGTAGGATGTTTGGTGTGTGTACAGGATAGGAACGAGGGGAGTTTACGCCAGTACAGCACAGACACAGGTGCTTACTGTACAAGTACAAGTACAAGTATGATACGAGGACATCAACCTCTGTTGTACATACTTGTACATGGACAAGATGAACGGGATGTGTATAGACGAACTGTGGAGACGATTTTTTAGAAAAACCTTCGAAAAAGAGTGCAGCCAAACCAATGGCAGCTTTGAAACAAGTCTGAAATGATTCCTTTCCCCATAAATACAGACAAGTGTTTTGTTTTTTCTCCTGTTCGTCTGGCACTGTATCATGCTCACAGCTCTATACAGCTATCAGAGTCTAACAAGCGTTTAATGAGATGTCTTATCAGCACGAGAAACTGTGGATAGGGAAGTCATCCTGGGAATTTTGGGACATATTTTTTCACCCGTACAAATAAAACGAGTGGATAAGTTTGCGCGCAAAAATCCAGTCGCGTCAGTCACCAACTACGCCATCTATATTTCCCCATCTCACTCGCCGCCACTGCATGCACGCGGAGCTTATAAAAATATTTCAGCATTGCATTTCCCAAGGTCTAGTTATACATCCACAGCACACCATGGACAGCGATAGCGACTTTGAATTCGACAGCGATTACGAAACAAGCACATATCTGGGGTTCGTGGACGAGCCCGACTCGGACGACATCCCCGCGTCTCCTCTGGACACCCGGCTCGGTGGTCAACCCATCTGGTTGCATCCCGAATCGCCCGCTCCTCAGGAGCTCATGAAGTGTCTCAGCTGCCACAAACAAATGCCCATGCTACTGCAGGCGTACTCAACTCTGGAAGACAAGTACTACGACCGTGTCATGTACGTGTTCAGCTGCCCCGAGCCTGGATGTCGAAGAAAGCCCGGATCGGTGCGTGCTCTGCGGTCCATTCGACGGGACCCTGAGCGGGAGGTTCGAGAGAAGAAACGGGACGCGGAGCTCAAGAAAATCGAGGAGCAACAGCAGAAGGAGAAGGACGAGGCGCGGGCCAAAAAGAAGGAGGCCATGAGCAATATCGGCAGCAATCTGGTTGGCGAAAAGGGCAGCAATCCATTTGCCAGTGCAAACCCTTTTGCCGCCAAGGGTGACAATCCCTTTGCAAAGGCCGACAATCCCTTTGCCAAGAAGGCGGAGAACCAGGCGGTTACTGGTGCTGAAGAGGTTCAGAAGCTATCTGAAGAAGCCCAGGAGGTATCCCCATCTCCCCCTTCTCCCACCGACGAACTCATTTCTTCGCTACAAAAGACACAACTGGCGGAATTTGACTACAAGCGGGACGTGAGTTGCCCCAAGTTCCAGCACGGACACTATTTATACACCGAACAGGAGTACCTGACTCCCGAGTCGCAACGAGAGCTGCCCCAGGGCATCAAGATTGAAACGGAGGCTGACGACGGCGAAACCACTGACGAAACCGCCGAGGCCGTCATCGACAAGGAATACGAGAAGCTTGTCAACGTGGACAAGCACTTCCACCGGTTCTCGGACATTGTGGAACACAACCCCGAGCAGGTGGTGCGGTACGAATTCAAGGGCCAGCCCCTGTACTACGCCGACGACGAGGTGTCCAAGGAGGTGACAGAGCTCATCAAGTCTGACAAGAAGGCATTTGAGTTCCAGGTCATGCCCAACGCCATTTCCCAGGTCTCCGACGACATTATCAACGGTATGGAGTGGGGAACCATCATGGTGTGTGTGGATCCTGAAGACAATCTGCCCGAGTTGGACAAGAACAATGTGGGATACGCCGAGGAGTTTGTCGGTGTTCAGTGGGAAAAGGAGCATAAGGAGTAGGTAGATTAGTATAGATAGATGTATTTTAGAAGACAGACTGGTACTTGCAGGGTCTAGCAGACAGAAGTCTAGAGCACATCCAAGTTGTAGCGTTGAGGAAAGACAGAGTAAACATCCTCCTTACATCGCGGAAAAAACTACAGCCAACGTACGTACGTTCGCGGACAAAAAGATTGCAGCACCCAGGATTCTCGTATGGTCTCCCACTACAATACTAACTGGGCTCTCTGGTGCTTGACTATGGCTGATCGGACGGGAAGCCGTATTTTCACCAGGATATGGCCGTTGAGTTCGGGGGTGCGTTGAGCTACTACAACTGGCCATATGTTTTTGAAAGCAATAGATGGGTATTTTAGGACAGATAAAAGATAAATGCGTTCAATTGAGCGTGTATAACACAATGGTGAAGTCAGTTTGTTTGTGGGAAGTTTGGAAAGAGATATTTGCGGATATGTAGTCTTGATGGTGTTCACTGAGTCTAGTATGTACGTAGTCCGGCTTTAGCCTGAGTCTGTTGACAATTTACAGTAGTCTTGGAGATGAGATGAGGGCTGGGGAATTGTACAGTAGAGACTTGGTAAAAAGAGTATGTACGAGTTCTCATGATTCTCCGTTGTTTTAATGACAACCCCAGATGTATCCATACCTTCAGGTCTTTAAGTGCCCGCGAACTATTCAACAACCACGTCCAAGCAAAAAAAGAGCTACAAGTAATGATAGAAAAATTATGAATGTCCCGAGGAAGCCGGTTCAGACTAAGGCAATGCTGTATCTTCCACGAGGGCAAGCTGGAAGAGTGTTCCTGTGTAATACTGTCCATCGTGGCGGGATAGAAAAAAAATTTGCCTTCGACCAGATTTGAACTGATGATCTCAGCATTACTAGTGCTGCGCCTTACCACTTGGCCACGAAGGCAGGTTTTTTGGAAGAAAGAAAAAGTGGACTGGCAAAGGTGATATATGATGACTAATAGATGTTGAACGCCAATATTAGCTGTAGAAGTGCCGAGCGGTAGTGGGATCGTTGTGTTGGATCACTGCGATGGTCACTGATGGACACTGCTGAAAAAAAAGAGGAGGGATCCAGCTTCGGTATTGTTACACACAGATTTAACAGCAAATTCCCATCATTATGACGTTTAGACACCTAGTATTTCATTCAGTGAGAAGGGGTTATTATTGGGCAAGAAACAACGAAGACATTCCCATGTTTGTTCGCTTACGACTGGACAATATCTTTAAGAGGCTCTTGATACATTTGCCAGATTGATTCATTGTTTAGTATCGACTGTGAATGACTTGAGCTGTAACTGTCTCAAGAGACTGTCACAAGACAGCAGACTGACTCTTGTAACGTACAATATAGTAGGTACAGTACTCAAAGATTATCGTCCTTTGACACTGTCGGAAACAGCAGAAAACATTTGCAAGATATTCTTATGACGGTATGTTACTTTTCTGTAAAGTACAAGTGCATAAGGAGGGGGAGATACTACAAGTGAAGTGGATGGATTAACTTAACGTAGCAGCTTCAAGAGTGTAACTGCACCATCAGATCTGCAACATCCTATCAATTATCACCCGAGTTGTATTTCTCTTTGTTACTCAGCCGCCTGAGGACTACAATACTTCCACCTTTCATAGGACTACTCAATCATATTCGAAGCGGATTAGCTCTTTTGTTCCAGTAACTGGCTATCTAATCAGTTTTATGAAAATTCAGACTCACTTATCTCTCTAATGAATAGCTCGCTCGCACTTGTACAGCACAGGCTGTATAACAGCTTCAACAGGGCAATCTAACAAGTCTAGAATGGTATGTGTACCCAGTCGCACTGGATCGACAGAACAACCACAGTCAATTCAGTGTACATCTACAGTACTTTATCATCATCAAATACAACGATCCTCTCTTACACTCTGTCGCGTGACTCGTCACTAAGCAGCGCGTACACTACTTTGCACATTTCGTTCGTTCCCTCGTGCCTTCGTTAAATGATCATAAATTGCGCCTGGCGCTACTATATACACTCCTCTATGTACAGGGGTTTTTTTTTCTCCTTCTCTAAGCGTCGTTGTACCAATACGCCTTTCGCTTCTCTCTCTCCAGTCGAGCGTCTGCTCGTCGCTGGCTCCAGTTAGTCTTGATCTTGGCCAGCTCGTTGTTCATGGACTTGACTCGCTGAGCCGAGGCCTGCACAATCGATCCGGCAAAGTAGCCGCTCACGCCAAACTTCTCCATGAGAGCAGCTCGGGTCCACACCTCGGGATCGCTCTCGTGCAGTCGTCGCATCTCCTTGATGTCGGCCTCGGTGATGTGGTACTGGGCCTTGCCCTTGCGGAAGGTCGGCATGTTGGTGGTATCGACTGATGCAGATTTGGCCAGCAGGGCCTTTCGGGGGTCCGAATCGGGCAGAAACACATAGGGAGTGTGGATGGCCGAAGGGGCGGCTGGAGCGGGGTGATGGTGGACTCCGGGAGGGATAATGTAGGGGTTCTTGTAGGCCGAAGCGGGCGAAGAGTATTTTGTGGGGAAGGGAGTGATTGGCCGGGGGGTCTTGGCCGCCAGTCGTCGAGCCGAGGTGGAGAAATGTCGGATCATTTTGTGTATGTGGTGTGGTGGTATGTTGAACGAGTGAGTTGTATTTTCACCTTTTGCATGAGACTGAAATTTTCACCATACAAGAGTCCATTGGGAGGTCTCAATGAGGCAATGGGGTTAGGGTGGAGAGAGAGAAGGGACCTGATTATGTGTGGACTGTGGGGAGCAAGAGGAGAAGCGAGGATCAGAATCAATTATTCCAGGTCAGTGGTGATAATTATCTCTTTTTTCTTGTCTCTGATATCACTCCAAGCACCTCTTTTTGACACCTCCCGCTGTCTCGTCACGTGCTTCAGTCGTGTGTCTATATACCTAACAAAAGTGTGAATAAAGTTTTGAGTACTGTACTCGTACATGTATATGAGACCACTATAGATGATGTTGAGTAAGTGTTTGAGGTGGTTTTTTTTGGGGGGGTGGGGGTAACTCGTGTGATAAACGGACAAATATCTCCTGGAAGGTCACATGACTGAAAAATCTCGCTCTCAGCATGTGTATCAATGGTGTTCTGTTGGTGCAGCATGAACCGTGTGTCTTGTTGATACGATGTTGTCACGAGTTTCCGCAATTTTGGATATAATTAATTTCTGAAAAGTGAAATCAATTACTATTTGTTTGTTTGGTTGATGCCGCGAAATCCTTCCTCTTGTCGTCACTACTCATGACTATGACAATCTCTTCGTTCCATCATTCACCTCTTCCCGTCGCTTACTAACTTAATACAAGGTACAGGATTCATGCAGTGTGGAAATATTCCAGACATAGTTCAAGGTACTATCCTACAGCTACTCATCACTTGAGGAGGAGGGCAGGCGGTGTGAAAACTGTGAAAAACGATCAAGTCTCGACATCTAACCGCAACCATCTACCACTCACTCCAAATTCAATTCCCAGACCGCACCAATGGACACGTACAAGAGCACACTGTCTCTTCGTCTGTCGGATGAGCTGGGCAAGTCTGCCAACGAAAAAATGACAAATATCGTCTTCAAACTGGCAGAGACGCAATCGCAGGATGCCTTTGTGTCTTCGTGCTCCGCCTTTGGCAAGTTTCGGCCCGAGTTCCTCGTCAAAATCTGGTCTGAGGTGGAGGAGCTGAAGAAGCGTCCGACCAGCATACCTGTGCCTTCAGCGGCCCCCGTCACAGCTCCGCAGCCTGTCAAGCGGGCTCGAATCGAGCTGGAGGTGGAGGAAGATGAGAAATTGGGGTCCACCAAGTCTAAGAAGATCTCCAGTGCTGCCCAGAAGAAGCTGGATGAGATCAGGGCCAGAAGGAGGCAAAAGGGAGATAAAGAAGTCTTTAAACGGAGTCGACTGGAAGACGGCAACGACGAGGTTGTTGTGGAGCGCGAGAAGCGCGTGGACACGAAACCTGAGGTGTCTCAGTCGATTTACAATGTGGATGGTTCCTTGCGGGAGAGTGATATAACACCAAAAGATATCAAGCGGAGAGATACCAGAGGAGGAGACTCAAGAGGCGCAAAGGGCGATTCTGGTCGCCGCTACCAATCCCAAGAAGAAATCGAACTTGACCGAGAATGGTACATGAATGACGAAATGGGACATCAGGAGGATGACTGGAACGACCAAGTTGCCCTCGAAGAACGTACAGAATCGAAACTCAAGAGCGTGCTTTCGCGCAAGGGTAACAAGATGCGCGAGAACGACTTGTGGGAACAAAATCAGATGTCTGGAGGAGGTGTCATGTCTGGAGAAGCTCAGCAGTATGATGCGATGGATGAAGTTGACAATGCTATCCACATCAGTGTTAACAATCTGATCCCGCCGTTTCTGGATGGCCAGCAAGTGTTTACGCGCCAGAAAGATCCCGTTTCTGCAGTCAGAGATGTGCAATCTGATCTGGCTATTCTTGCGAAACGAGGTAGCCAGCTGGTGAAGGACAGGAGACAGTTGAGAGAACGAGCCAAACAGGTCAAAGACGCGTCGTCTACGCAAGGAACGGTGTTGGGTTTGGTGGATGAGAAGAAGGCGGAGGAGACGAAAGCTGAGGTGAAGAAAGAAAAGTTGATTGAAGTAAAAACTGAAGTCAAAGAAGACCCTGAGGTTGAAAGCAAACCCCTGACACCCAAGGAAGCTCGAACCCTGCTACCAGCATTTGCAGTGCGAGACCCCCTCCTCCAGGTCATCCAATCAAACCAGGTAACTATCGTCATTGGAGAAACGGGCTCCGGAAAAACAACCCAGCTCACCCAGTACCTCTACGAAGCCGGGTACGCCGAACGAGGCATGATCGGATGTACACAACCGCGTCGAGTTGCTGCAATGAGTGTGGCTCAGCGTGTGAGTCAAGAAATGGAGGTGCGAGTGGGCCAGGAAGTCGGATACGCCATTCGTTTCGAAGACCACACGTCTCCAGCTACAAAGATCAAGTATTTGACGGATGGTATTCTGCTAAGAGAGACTCTAACTGATCCTACGTTGGATAACTACTCGTGTGTCATTATGGATGAAGCCCACGAACGTGCTCTGAACACGGATATTCTTCTGGGTCTGTTTCGAACCATTCTGGCCAAAAGAAGAGATCTCAAGTTGATTGTCACCTCGGCTACCATGAACTCGAAACGCTTTTCCGACTTCTTTGGAGGCGCTCCTACCTTCACCATTCCCGGACGAACTTATCCAGTGTCTGTTCACCACGAGCGAGCTCCTGTGGATGACTATGTGGCTGCCGCAGTCAAAAAGGTGCTCTCTATCCATGTGTCTTCAGAAGTATCTACAGGCGACATTCTTGTCTTCATGACCGGTCAGGAGGATATCACTGTGACCTGCGAGGTTCTGGAGGAGCGACTTCAAAAGGATCTCGATAACCCTGCCCCTCTCATGATTCTGCCTATCTTCTCTCAAATGCCTGCGGACTTGCAAAACAAAATCTTCAACAAGGCTCCTCCAGGCGTGAGGAAGTGCATTGTTGCTACGAATATTGCCGAAACATCCCTCACAGTCGATGGAATCACGTTTGTGGTGGATGCAGGATACTCGAAACTCAAGGTGTACTCACCCAAAACTGGCATGGACTCGCTGCAAGTCGCTCCCATCTCTGTAGCTCAAGCCGTGCAGAGAAGTGGACGAGCAGGCCGAACAGCCAAGGGAACCGCTTACAGATTATACACGGAGCACGCCGAGAGGGAGGAAATGTATCCCACGGCAATCCCCGAGATCCAAAGAACTAATCTCGCCAACACTCTGCTACTTCTCAAGTCTGTGGGTGTTACCGATCTCATGAAGTTTGCCTTCATGGACCCTCCTCCAAAGGATACAATCATGGCGTCTCTTTACGAGCTGTGGTCGCTGGGAGCAGTCGACAACCTTGGAAACATCACCCAGCTCGGTATGAAGATGTCCCAATTCCCCATGGACCCTTGTCTGGGAAAGATTCTCATCAAGTCTGTCGACTACGGCTGTTCCAAAGAGATGCTCTCAGTTGTGGCCATGCTGTGTGTTCCCACAGTCTTCTACCGCCCTCCCGAGCGTCAACAGGAGGCTGATTCTGCCCGTGAAAAGTTTTTTGTGCCTGAATCGGACCACCTGACGCTTCTTCACGTCTACACACAGTGGCTGCACAACAAGAAAAGCCCCGTGTGGTGTGCCAAGCACTTTTTACACGCTAAAGCGCTCGAGAAGGCTCACGAGGTACGGGAACAGTTGGAACAGATCATGACCACCAACAAGATGCACATTGACAGCTGTGGCACCGATTGGGATCTACTCAGGAAGTGCATCTGCGCAGGGTTCTTCCACCAGGCTGCCAGAGTGCACGGACTAGGCAGTTACCGTAACTTACGAACGCTCGTTAGCACCCAGTTGCATCCTACTTCGGCGCTGTACGGCCTGGGCTACTTGCCTGCGTTTGTCGTCTACCACGAGCTGATTCTCACATCCAAAGAGTACATGTCGTGCGTGACGTCTGTGGATCCGGCGTGGTTGGCCGAGTTTGGATCGTGCTTTTACGTGCTTAAAGACCGAACTGGAAAGGTGGACTTTTCGAGAAAGAGAGCGGGACTGGAGAGACTACTGGAGGTGGATAGTAAGAGACAGGAAGAGAAGGAGGTGAAAAAGGAGGTGAAAAAGGAGGAGAAGAAGGGACCAGGGATGTTTAGGAAGCGGAAGGGGTTCTGAGTGCAACAGTTGCTGCGGTGCTTTGATTTTTGGACTTTTTTTCTACACTGACAAGCCCTAAACGAATCTACACACCGCTTCATGTATACAGTAGCAACTGCATCCATATTTAAACATGTCAAAGAAAATTCGGCTCTCATTGAAGTACATCATATACTCTCGCACCACTCGTAGGTATAAAAAAATGCAGATATTATGTAAAAGAATGTTAGTATGAGCGAGTGCAAAAACGATGGTCACGCGAGGAAACACGTGTTTTGGGTCACGTGACAAGTCCAAGAGTCTGTCCATGGCTGTTTCCAGCCCAGCAACAGGGAATCAATGTCGAATGTCTGATCCACCATTCGACCAAGCTTGGTGACACAATTGGCCCACTCCTGGTCGTTACTAAACTCGTCGGGCGACACCCGGAACACGTGGTATTGGGCTGCTGATCGCCAGTCGTCTCCAAACACCAATTCCATCACAATGTTATAGGGAACGTTTCCGTACTCCTTGAGATCGAGCGATTCTCCGTCCGATTCCGTGAATACTGCTTGTTTTGAGACAGGCGCATAGTCCGCCCGTTCTCGGAGCGTCTCCTCGCGGAACTGGGCCCATTTTTTTAGCACAGAAAACGAGTACTCCATGCCTATGACCTTGATGATGAAGTCGGCCACTGCTTCTGCGCATGTGGGTTGGTACGGACTGAGGGCCAGGTCGACCGCATAGGACCACTCGGCTGCGCGGGCGTATTTAACCTGGATGGGGTCCGTTTTCTTGACGAAGAGCGGCAGTCGCAGGTGTTGGAACCGAGAGTAGTCGGGTTCGAGTTTCCATATGCTGGATATGGTTGGTGTAAGAGAGAAGAGGTCGACTGGGGGGAGCATTGGGGCGACGACAGTTTACAAGATAGTTGAACCGGTTTTGCAGTGAAAGAATAGTTGGACCAATTCAACAGCGGGAAGAATAGGGAAACCAAGGTGTCTGGAACGTCGGTTTGGGAACTGCAGTATACGATATAGCTGTGGGTTGTTTGCAGTTGTGCGACAGGGTTGGTGAATGACTTGTACAAGGTCGTTTGACCGGCTGCTTGCGGTGGTAGAACTGCCTGTGTTGTGATCAGCTGGGTGGTCTGACTAGATCTGCTGACCCAAGGTTGTAAGAGACGATGTTGAGAGGCGGTATTGACAAGAGGTCAGGCCAACAAGCGGACGAGTCTCGTTGTTATGTCTGTTGAAGTCTGTGAAGAAGGAAGAAACTGTGCATGCTCTCTTAAGCTGGAGCCAGTCTCACCATCAACACACATCTCCATACTCCCTGTAAACTTAACGCAGACTCTAAGTGAGAGTATAATAACAGTCTGCGGGTGAGACATGGGTTTAGCGAGCGGGGAGGTGGGGGAGTAGAGGGGAAGTGGGGGTCGGAAACCTGATCCAGGTGACTAGATGACTCCATTGCCCCACGAGCACCAAATAGCTGCCAAAAGCCGCACGAATCCGCTCCCATTGTTCGCATTGGAATGCAGAACTGACGCGGTCTGCAAATCCAGCGCGCATCACACTTGCCAGAAGTAGCCCCGCCAGAAGCGGTCCACTTTCAAAAAGCAAATCTCTGCATTCCTTGTGGGGCTTTTAGCTTCGGGTAGGCACAGCACATGGATTGGGTAAATCGGTATACGACAGAGCAAGGTGGGACGAATATGTACTGCACAGTACCTGCTAAATACTGGTATAGAGGAGACGATAGGTTTTCATCTACGGACATGTGTCATCAGCAGATGTCATAATGCTCATAATCTGATATTCGTTGCTCACAGCTCCATTCGACCTCTTGCGTGATGCTATCGATACCATTCTCGTACAAGTACTTGTGCAGTCCTCTTCCGGTGCTCGTACCGGTATCGTAGTTGCACCATTGTGTCAACGTCAAAGTGTACGATTAGCTCCATCCGTCAATTACTGTACTGTACCCTGACACTGACAGGGGGCTCTTGTTGAGGACGGATAAACGTCATGGTGAGACATGAAAGTGGGATGGCGAGGACAACTACAACTACATATTGTACCTACAATACTGTACCGTAGTTGAACCGGTACTTGTGGAATGTCTGGTGATTCCACATTGACACTTCAAAGAAAAACGCTTCGGTAGACTTGGATACTGTCACGTCTGACCCATTATTATCGACGTTGGCGGCTTTATCTACCCCTATTATCTACACCCTGCAGTATGGTTCATGGCGGTCTGTTGTGTATTCCTGAGTCCTGGGAGTAATGTGTAACCCCGGCAACACAGTTATAACGAGCTTGTACCGTACTCCGAGTGTCTCAATGGAATAATAATCAAAGACATGGAAATTCGCTTCACCAACGTCCTGTCACCGGGCCGAAGGAGATGAGCAGTCACAAAAGTTTTAGTGTACTGCATGACCATCAATCTGATCGACATTGGTGCGCACGACGACGGAGAGACTCAGTGACAAGCAAGTAGCTACTCAGTAACATACAAGTAAATCCGACACCGTAGAGCAAGAGAAAAAAACTAATCAAACAGGTAAAAATATATGATATGAGAAGAGATGACATATTGTTGTGTGCTACCACCGACTTGAATACATTCTACCCACTGCAGTATCCACCAGAACGACACTCACTCTCCGTCTATGAGTAATCGTCTTAGGCATAATGTGAGGCGGGCGTGATTGTGCTGTGACGTCATAAATCAGTGTCCACCTTGCAATTCACAGTTCCTTCTAGAGTTCCATATTCCTTCTACATTCCACTTCCCTTCTGCAATTCCAGTTTCCTTCTAAGACTGCTTCACACCCTCTCATGTCTTTTCTAATGATAAATAATTAATGCTATAAATACAAAGGTCACATAAACTGTCGCTCGTGAGTGACCGAGCCTCGGTTAATGTCTTGTTCCCACGAAAAGCCCTCGTCGTCCTGTCTGTCTTCAAGGAACGAAAAGTCGTCGACCAGCGAGGTATCGTGATGTCCATGATGAGGAGCATGGGGCACGGGAACGGCGGGTGGAGCCGTGGTAAAGCGTCCTGCAGATCCGGGAGTGATAGTAATGTCTGCTGCGGGATCCAACTCCGAGTCTTCACCGCTGAGAGGCCGTCCAAAGACCGCAGGGTCGTCCAGAAGTCGCGAGTGGTGCGAGCCAGCCTGAGAGCCCAGGTCAGAGGGCACGTCGGACGACCGACCAGAGTTGCGGTAGTCGGAGGTGGTTGTTGAGAACCTCAAATCCGAGTACCGCTTGTTGGACGGCAGAGAGTAGTCTTGGAAGTCGTCGTGAGTATCAAAAAAGTTGTCCGACATGGAAGACTTGCCTCGAGAATGTCCAGGAGGAGGGCCCACGGGAGTGCCGTCGACTCTAGACACTCCTGAAAAGCCAGAGAGCGTCGATAGGCGTGACTTGGGTCGATCAGAAACGCCAGAGTAGCCAGAAGAAGGGGCTCGAGGAGTGGCGCCAGCATAACCGCCAAACTGGGCGTTTTCGGGGGTGTCGGGGGTCAGAGGAGCACCTGTGGAAGCACCCCGCGAGACAAACTGGTTCTTGGTAGTCAGAGGTGCCACATACCGGCCCAGTCCCCGTCCTTCGTCGCTATCGTCACTGTCGTTAAGTGCCTCTGTGAATCGAGACACGTGCTGAGAACCTGAGGAACTGAAAGACGTCTGGGAATTTGAGTATCGAGGGTCAGCAAACAGAGGACCTCGATGAACGTTGTACGAGTCGGCAATCGCGTCTCCTCCAAACACTCCAGCTCCAGTTCCAGCAACTCCAGTCATCTGTTGGTGGTGATCCAGGGCATTGGAAGGAGTAGTGCTTCTGTCCTTGTAGAACTCAGTCTCCCCATGAGCAGAAGAAAGCTGTGACAGTCTGGACAGACGGGACAGCGTAGTAGAGTGTCTCTCAACGTTGCCGTTACTGTTGTAGCTCTCTCGCTGCTGCGAGTCTCGGCTACCAGGCTGTACAATCTCAAAATTGGTGCCGTCTTCGTACGACGACTCAATATCCCGATGGTACAGCCGCTCGTCCTCGTTGGACACACTCGTATCGTAGGCGTCGTAGGGATGCTTCTCGTCCACCTGTCGCGTGCCAGAAAGACTGTCTGTTCCAGAACCGTGCAGGGAATGGTCCAGACCCAGATCAATCTCGTTGGCGCCTCGCTCTCGCTCCAGAGCCGCAGCCATCTCCAGCTTTTTCTTCTTCTTCAGCTTTCTGGTGATGACAAAGCCGTAGATAAAGTTGGCAAAGATGAGAATCGTGAGGGAACAGAAAAGAATTGCCTGAACAATAATCAGCGCGAGTCCTGTGCCGGTGGTAGATATTTTTGTCAGATTCAACTCCACGGTAAACGTCAGAATGAGAACCATGGAGATGATTCGAATCACGGCAATGGCAATGTTGATCCAGTTGCCCATCTTGGTATTGAACGGTTTCACCCAGCACACAAAGATAAAGACGATACAGTCAATCACCAGCTGGCCGACCACCTGCACCATGCCGTGGCCGTATCCAAGAGCCAGGAAGGCGTTTCTGCCAAAACTGGCGGCAATAAATACCACAAAACACCACCAGTACTTGACTTGAAACTGGTCGTAAAAGAGACCGTATTTTCTGATCCAGGGCTTGTGTGAGAACAAGTACTCAAGTCCACCCTTTTCACGTGACGCGTAAAGTGCCAGGAAGAAGATACGCGCTGTTAACGCAAGCAAAGTGAGGGTCATGAGTGCTAGAGTGATGGCAGCAAGAACAGTAGCAGCCCAAGAATCGTTCTGTTTGAACTGGAAGCAACAATAGAGCACTCCCAGGCCGTACAAAACAAGCACGACTCGCACAATGGTTGAGCCCAGATGAATCCAGTACCGTCGTCGGAAGTTTTCGAGATCCTTGCCCAATGGCTTGTACCATCGACAGTAGACTTCCAGAGCCAGCTTGACGGTCATAATGAGCGTGATAGCGGCAGCCATAATGATGCAGAACCAGACGAGAACTGTCATGAAGGTGTTTGTGGACGGAATGGACAACTCCTCGACGTATGCCTTCAAGCCCTGAACCAGAGAAACGCCAGTTTTTTGAGGTTCTCCATTAGATGTTGGCGTGTGTCCTCCTCCTCCCATGCCCATGGAAAAAGTTGCGGTGCCGTTTGTATCTGTGCCGTTAGTGTCCTCTCGGGTGAACAGCTGCACCATTCGTTCGGTGATGGTCTCGTTGTTCATCAGACTGCCTCCATACATGGCTCCATTGGTCTGGTTCTGTCGGATGAGCGTAGCCTGTTTGAGCTGAGTTAGCGAGCTCTTTTTGAGGTTTCCACCTGTACTATTTCGGAACTCGTCAATCTGGTGTTGCAGTCCGTCCCACGAAATGATGCCCACGCTCCATCCGACGTTTTGCGAGAAGGACGAGTACACGGACGGGTAGTTCACAGACATCATTCCCGCCGTGGCGATTCCCTGGACGGAATTGAACAGTTCCACGAACCCTGGCGCGTGGAATCCACCTGCAGGGCCCTGTGCGGCGGCCGGGGCAGCTCCGTGTGCACCTGCGGCAGCGCCGGTTCCTCCTCCCGCTCCTCCGCCTCCAGAACCGGCTCCTCCAGCTCCTCCTCCTCCTCCGGCAGAAGATGCTGCTGCGGCTGCCAAAGCTGCGGCAATGATTCCCATGGTCACGTATTTGACTGAATCTGTTTGCGTACTGTTTCCGTTTGAGATTTCAGTCCGGAAACAGCCCAGGTTCTCGCCCGTGTCGGCGTTATACAGCTGGATGGTAATGAGTCCCTCCAGATCGGGGATTTTGTATGCAATGGTGGCGATTCCTCGCGTGTATTTTTCGGGCACGGCATACATGGCTGAGGCCTGGACCGGTCCTGGTCGGATAGGACACAGTTCGGTCACTCCCTCCTCGCACAGGTTGACCGACTGGTCCAGAACCTGCTGGCCGTATGCCACCACGGTGATGTGTGCCTCCAGCGAGACCTCTATGTTGGAATGGCCCGACACGTTGTAGGTCACGTTGCCGCTGTTACGGTCGAAGATGAATGAGAAGTTGGAGACACTGAGCGGGCTGTCTTGATCGGAGCAGGGGTAGGCTCCTGTGGAATGGAGATTGTCGTCTGCCTGGACGAACGAGCACACGCACGCCAGCAGCGTGAGTAGCGCCATCCAGAGCCGCTGTGTCGTCATAGTGTGGTGTATGAGGTAGAGAGACTGTCTTGTATCCCAACTGTTTTACTACTACCACAAGGCCCTGTCAGGTCTTTTTTCACTATTACACTTTGGACTGTTGCATGTATGGTCATAGTAGGTTTTGGCAGGCCGGCTAGAGTTTAGAGTCAAAGTTTGGTCTTAGGTTCCAACGTTCCTGAGATGGAGTATCATGTCAGATTGAAGGTGTTTGAACGGACCAGGCGCGGATTTGAAGACGGCGATTTGTTTGTGAACATGTGGAGAGTTGATCCCCGCTTTCTGTTTTTGGATATCTCCACTCGTCGTCGTTATATCTGCCCCCAGCCCAAAACCTAAACTTCGACTTGCCATTAAGGGCTGGTCCAATGGACGAGATGCAGAAGGCAATATTTGGCGGTTAGTGTGGACCAGGGCGATAATAAGGAGGATATTATGGGTAGCGACAACATGTCGGGCAGGCCGGATGTGTTTTTTTTGCTGTCGTTTATGCCACTTGCGTGCGTGTGTACACACTATGTATGTGGCAAGGTCATTTGTCCTCTCCTCCCCGTCCATCTCCATCCATTCCTATACTGGCACGGCGGCATGTTTTGATTCAGGGGTTAAAATAATAGGGGCTAAGTGCGGGACATAAGTAAGAGCCACGGTAATATGGAGGTGTCGGGAGCGTGGAGTGTGTGCTACTGTCCCACTACTGTAGTACTATTCAGTCGATCCCCCTATTTTGCGGGAAGCCCTGGTTTTTCCAGCATTTACGGTCGAAAAAAAAAAAAAAAAAAAAAAAAAACCTTCGTTTTTCGTTTCGCAGATCGCTCCAGCCATGCTGATCTGAAAGGCTGGGGGGAGCTCCTGCAACTGAGACACTGAGCACTGGTGTTCGGCGACGCAAGCAGATGGCCTGGCACGTGTCCACACCGTGTGATTGGCCGCATCTTGGGCCATGTCTCGGGTTTGGACGTGTACCAGGCGTTAGACCAAGACGCCCTTCGGCCCTGAAAAAATGGCCCTTGGCGTTTTGGGCTCCGGCTCGCTAAATTTTCACGCTCGCGGCAACTCTAAGCCTCCCCTCCAAGTTGGGTCAAGCGCTCTGGCGGCGGCTGAGCAGAGAGCTTATTGGGGGAGCGTTGGGGGTTGCAGGAGGCCGAAAGACGGCTATCACGGGCGTGCAGGATTGGGAGCGGGTTGGCGTGGCCGATAATCGCCTTCTCCCGCAATCTCCCCACGCAATTTCCCACCAATTCACGCGCCACGGAACTCCTGGGCTAGTGTGCTTGTCCTTTCTTTTTCGAGCTAGTCTGTTCTGGGTTAGGTGAGCCGTGCGAGTGAGTGACTGACTAGAGAAGGCAAAGATGAGTTCAGAGTGTGAGCGCAAAAGTGTCCACCTGCGACGCATGCTGCGACCAAGAATGAGGGTTTCATCATGTCGTCAGAACAACGGTCACATCGTCCGTCAGTCTGGCACGGTACGATACTGTAGTCTGAGTCTTTCCACTACTTTAACATCAATCTACAAGTAGTTGGATCGCACAATCAGGCACCTGCTATTCGTAACAAGATCGGCTCTTAGTCTGCTACGAGTGCCAGTACAAATCGCCGACTTCGGTCTAAGACTCGCAGCTCATCTTCCTGGCAAGTCGTCATGCACCGTGACATGTGGTCCTGCAGGAGACAGAGTAAGACCGCCATCGCACCAGGTCTGATATTGACCGCGACACCTACTAGTGTTTGCCAACTCGCGCTCAACTACCACACCACCCTTGCACATTGACACACGTGGACGTGGAATGACACGTATGATAGCCTCCGCTCGCATTAATACCTTCAAACCAAGACTGTCGCATCATGGCTGGCTGGCTGGAACCGTCGGTTATGGTTAGCAAGAGTTTTCTAGACCAACTCTATATACTTGCTCGACGACATGCTCAACGGACTATAGTAGGTTGAGTCTGGAGGACAAACTGGGTAGTAAGAGTCCGTGGACGGCAAGGGTACACGTTTTGTGGGCTGATTGTCCAAGGTACACGGCCACTGGTGAAACAGCTAGCGTTAGTGAGAGCTATAAAAGGGCTAAAAACGAGCTACAACCAGAGCTACTTTAGGTCCAACCAGCAGCCGCTCTCCCCTCTCACTCAATTCTCGCTGCATCTTCTCTTTTCGTACGCACCGTAGATCAGTTTCAGCCGACAAACCCAGTTTCAGCCGACACAATTCGGACCCGTCCGTCTACAGTATCGTCTCGTATCGGACACGCTTGCTCTGATGCTCCCCACCTCGCTTATCTCCAACGAAACGAAAAAGAAACGGAGACCCGCAAAAAAGAAACCCTGTCATCTACTTGAATTATCAGATAGCTAACATTCCCATCCACCGTTTCTTTTTTCCGACCAAAAGCTCGGATCTGCGGCTGCCACAATGGTGGAGCTGATCTACACGTAGTGAATGAATGACCAGCAGCCAGACTACCAGGCAACCAGGCAATCGGTCGGCGAAAACCCCGCCCAATCGGTACAAACATCACCTTAGCTGTTCAACACGTCTTCAGTACAGTACATACTCTATCGGATTGAGTCTCCGGCAAAAACTCACTGGACAAACTCACACGCCAACCCTCGTCTCGACAGACTCAAACTCGGACTGTCTCAGAAGGAAAGATGCAGCGAAAGCGCGAAAGATGGGCCGTATGTACCTGCTCCTCGCCTGCCAGGCGTCGGTGAGCGAGTTCAGGCACATACACTACCGATACGTGCTTAGTCATGAGCGAGTGTAGATGGAGTCTCCCTCCGCAACAGCTCATGAACATACCGTCCTGTACATACAGGAAGCCTAGGGCTGTCTCAACAAGCCACTGTTTCTCCTGAACAAAGCCCATTGATGCACAATGCTCGCTCTGCCTCACCTGTGTCTTGGAACTTGTGTGTTGGCAGTAATGCCGCCCAGCCTGCTACCCTAGAAGTAACTGTTTCACAGCCCTCGTGTCTTAGAATGATACTAGACTGGAAATTGCTGGCTGTGGCCCTTGTACGCGATATAATACCGGCTACAGTTGATTAACTGACCAAACATAGTCATATTATGTCACGGGCACCGGCCGTATTCCCTATCTACAAGTAGCTCGCTCGATGCTGGTTGTTCATCTGTGCTGTGCAGGGTCGGCGGAGTACACCAACGATTGTGGACGCACGTGATCCATGTGTCAATCGCACCTGACCCGTGTCAGTCCGCGTGATCCATGTCTGTCGCACGTCGCCCCTTATGAGTTCAGCTTTCATTGTCTTCTGATCTGATTAGTGACCGAACATCGTGATCTCTAGTTAACTTCATAGCGTTCAACCATGGAATTTTGGGCTGGTCTGGATAGCCATATTCATTCTGCTTGATCTCATTGTTAAACACATTGCACCAACTCAGCCCTCACCCATCTGACTTCTCAGACCAACTCATCGCACCGTTCCCATTAATCCGTATCATAATATTATGCTATATACCTCTTGTCAGCATTTGTAGAGAGATCGGGACTGAGAAGAGTCTGAGAGGAGACTGACACTGACACTGAGAAAGTCCAAGAGACTGAGAACAGACACTGAAATGATGATGATCAGAATTGGTGTTCATGATTTGGCTTCCGTATCCCACTACCCTCCTCAACTCTGGTCCAATCACTTGAAATCTTTCCTCACAAACTGATTCACCGATACTTCACACTAGTTCATTCCCCATTGTCCACCCCCTCACTCACGTTGTGAAAACTCGCTCTGCTCGTTTGTCCAAAGTTTGGACTGTTTGTTCGTTCAGCTAGCCGCTACCTTATGACTCTCCTCCACAGGCTCATCCACAAACTGAGGTACCTGTTCCTCTAAATAACTAGGCACAGACTCGCCCTCGTTGGCCTCAAACTCGAGCTCCTCGCCCAGAGCCTCCAGCTCCGCGTCCAGCTCACTCTCAGACACGTCATCCGGAACATTATAATTCCTGGACATGGTCTCCTGGATCTCGGAAGAAATGTCCAACAAGTCCGCCATTTCATCCTGCAGATCTTCAATCTTGTCAATGTTGATCTTGCCGTACTGCTTCTTTAGATCCTTGTTGGTCTGTTTCATGACATCCACGGTAACCATGACGTTCTTGAGGTTCTCGGTCGTCATCTGCGCCTGCTGCATGTTCCAGCTTTGTGACTGCAACTGGTCCTTCTGCGCCTCGATCTGCTTGCGCTGTTTGAGCACCTTGAGCGCCTTTTGCTTCATGGCGTTCTTTCCGGGGCCGTCTCGCATTTTGGACATTTTCTGTTGGTAGGCCGACAGCTCCGAGTTGAGCTTGGACAGAGACACGTCCAGCGACGCCATCCGGCCGTCGATCGAGTCCACGGCGTCGTTGAGAGTGGGCTTGGGTGCCTTGCTGCCGCCTCCAAATAGTCTGTTCATGCTCGAAAAGTTGTGTGATCAAGTCTGCGATGTATCGAACCTGTTTGTTGAAGTTGGGGGTGCATAATCAGTGGCAACTTAATTCAGGTTATGACCAAACTATAGAGACGGATATAATTTGGCACGGCCAGAAAAAGGTGGGTTACCTTCGAACCACTGCTCCCGTCTTTTTCCCATCTTCCGCTCCACACTCGGGATAACATGGTTCGATTACCGACCTACATGATCCGAACATGGAACGGATGTACATAGACAAGGGGGCACCAAAGCAGCCATGCAAGTGTGGTCTGATGATTCACCCCAATGTGATCATGTGATTAGTCCGGGGTTGGGTCACGTGACTTCCTCAACCGCAGTTCTGAGAGCCGTCATGTGTAAGGGGCATATTTTTTTGTAGCTAATTACAGTATGTAGTTGTACTCACACAGTGGTTGTAGAGTGTACCCGTTTCAGAAGGAAAGGGGCCGAGGCAGCAGACGAACAACAGCGCTGCTCTTGGTCACGTGACCATTGGTCTCATCTCACGTGATCGTCCTCTCTCACTTCGCTCGTTTCCTTTCAGTCATCTTTTTCTACTCCTCTGGGGTCTTCTTAGTCACGAGGGCGACTAACTTTCGGTAACCGTTAGTCACTGCTTACCATGAGTGCCAGTCCAGAGCGAGCGATCCGTGATTATGCGGAGTGGAGTGGAATATGCTGGAATTACAAGGGGGAAATTTGGCCAAAATTCCGAGAAAATGGCCACAACACCCGACGAATTGATGATAGAATGGGCCTCAATGGGGGGTTGGCATTTTGGTAAATAGTTCACCTCGTCTATCGTGACTATGGCTTGAGACAGAGCCACATTCAATTTCCCTGATCCTCCAACTTGACTCACTCATAAGCGGCGACTAAAAACTCTCTTTCACAACGTCTTTCGGGGTGTCAATTTATCCGCCGTGACAAGAGTCTAACAGGATGGAAAATAGGGATTTTCGGACAAAAAAACCTGGAGAATACCCATATTTCTCTGGCGATTGCGTTCGAGTAACATTCACCGTCCTATCCTCTTTCGCAGTTCTGCTTTGGGGCCCTCCTCCACCCCTCCGCTCCAAGTACGGGGATTATAAACAAGGTTTGGGTGGTGAAATGGCACATGGGAACCTGATCTGAGGTATATAAGAGGATGAGCTTCCGGGCAAATCCGACCGTCCAAAAAGTTGAAACGTACAAACATCGACTTGTACTCCTGACACAGAAGCCAGCTACCGGTTCAAACGCTCACAAACAGCAGATATCGCCGTTTCCACCACAAACCTAATTCTGAAAAGTGCATACATTCATTCACTCCCAGAATATCTGAATCACGATCTCCTGCTGCAGCTCGACAGCTCGACACCACCTCCACACACACACACACACACACCACAATGAGCCAGTTTTCCGCCATTCCCGAAGCCCTCGAGGCGTTTAGTGAGTATTGAGCGAGGACGAGAAGATTTGTTGCTCATGTGAGCTGGCGCTGACACAGAAAACGGCGAATTCCTCGTTGTGATGGACGATGAGTCCCGAGAAAACGAAGGTGATCTGATTATTGCCGCTGCCCAGACCACGACTGAGAAGATGGCGTTTCTGATCCGCCACTCGTCCGGCTTTGTGTGCGTGCCTCTGTCCAACGAGCTCGCAAACAAGTACGAGCTCCCCTACATGGTGGAGAACCGGACAGATCGACATGGAACTGCCTACACGGTCACCTGTGACGCTATTGAGGGCACCACGACCGGAATCAGTGCCCATGACCGGGCTCTGACCGCTCGATGTCTTGCCGACAAGAACACAACTGCCGCCTCATTCATGCGACCTGGTCATGTGGTTCCTCTGAGAGCCGTGGACGGAGGAGTTCTTGCCCGACGAGGACACACCGAGGCTGCGGTTGATCTGTGCAAGTTGACCGGCCAGCCTGCCGCCGGAGTGATTTGTGAGATTGTCCGGGACGAGGACGGGCTCATGGCTCGAACCGATGATTGTTTGGAGTTTGCAAAGACTCATGGAATTAAGGCAATCACTATTGATGCTCTGGTGAAGTACATCGAGCAGCAGTAAACTCGAGGATTCCGAGTGTTTAGATGTGAGAAATACCAAGACGACGATCACCTCTTGTCTGAGTTTGTCTGAGCGTGTTACAGTCTCCTAGTATGACGGTTTGGAGACGGGGAGGCCCTGAACGGGAGAATGTACATTTAAAAAATGCATGATTAATGATTTGGATCGACTGTTAGGCAGTTGGTGTGAGGTGGCTGTGTGTTACTCTATGATGGAGCTGAAGTGTAACAGCGCCGGTCTCGGTGAGTAACCAGTACTTATCATGATCTTGATCTGACAATAGTGCGAGCATGAGGTTGCCTTTCTCCCTGATCTAACGTGGAGCAGTGTACGAAGGCAGTCTATCAGTGCAGGTACCTCTTCATACAGAGAGAGGGGGATATGAAGACAGTCTCAGAGGTGACTATCTAGAGTGGATACCTTGGTTGATTGTCTGAGCCGTAACTTGACTAGTATACAGGTTGTATATTCTAGACATGGTAAGTGGTTGGGGAGATCATGGTGTCAGACGACTGATCTGGACTGTTGTTAAGTTGGTGAACGAGTCGGCGAACTACTCTTGAGTCGGTGAACAGATACACTTCTATTGTCTCAGCTGCCCCCTTTCAAAATAACTGATTCCCTCAAGTGTCGTTCTTGGGAGGCTTGAAGAGTCGATAAGTGGTATAACTTGGGTCTGACTGTACCACCGAACATCTCACTGACAGAACCAATCTCCGTGTAGATGTTGTTTTCGGCTGTGTCGAAGTGGACTCATCGGTGGCCATCTCCTTTTCGTTCGGTGAATGGTCCCTTCTTTGTTTTACACCTTTTCGCATCACCTTTTCCGAGTCTCAAAGGATCAAATCCATCGTTGTGGGTATCGTGTGAAAGTCCTGGTTGCGCTGATTCCAGCCAGTCTCTTTTATCCATAAATATGTTTTCAAACGGGTTCCACTGACAGTATTGGTTTTTTTCTCTCACACTTTCGCGTAGAATAAAAAGTCGTCAACTCTCCAGACGACCCCATTGAGTACGGGTGCGAGTACGAGTACTCTTCTACACAGTCTTACACTGACTCAAACTTGCACGAATCCACACAATATCGCCCTTTCTACACATTATTCAATCCATATTATTATACTATCAAAATGCCAAAAAACGCAAGCAAATCGTAGGTGCAGCAACATCTACTCATCGTGCGCTTGATCAACACTCGCATTATTTGGTCTCCTTCTTCTCCTTAACAACCTCCTTCACAGGCACCCGTCGCTCCACCTCGCCCCACTTGAACTCCCGGTTGGGGTTCATGAACTCCTTGACAACCTCGTCGGTAGCCTTGGCCCGGTTGGCCTGGAACTCGGCCACAAAGCCCTGCAGCACTTCAATGCACCGCTTCTTAAGATCGCCAGTCATCAGAGCTCCGCTCTTGTAGTCGGCATACAGCTTCTCGAGCTCGGAGTCGTCCTCCAGGAAGAAGGTGAGGTACTGGTAGGCAACATCCACGTCGGGGTCGCCTCCAAACTCCTGCTGCTCGGCCAGGGTGGTTCGACCGCCGGAAAATGCGTACTTGTTGATCTTCTTCTTGATCTGGTTGGCCGTGTCGGTCATGAAGATGGCCGATGTGTCGTCGGAGGCCGACATCTTGGTGGTGGATCCCTGCAGAGCTGGGAAGAACTTGGCGTGGATCAGCGATGGCTTGGGGTACTTGAGCTTGGACGCCACATCTCGACATACTCGGAAGTAAGGATCCTGGTCGATGGCACAGGGGATCAGACAGGGGATGTCCTTTTTGTCACCAAAAATCGTGGGGAAGGAGTTGGAGAAAGCCGTGGCAATCTGGATGGAGGCGAAATGCACCTTTCCGATGCAATCCGAGTCCTGGAAGCCGAACACGGCCTTGGCGGTGGATGTGGTGATCTGACGAGACACCCGCACGACATTCTCGTAGAAGGGACCTCCCATGTACTGCAGATCCGAGAAGATGAAGGTCTTGTTCATGTCGAACCCGCAGGCGATAATGTCCTTGGCGTTCTCAACGGCAAACTTCTTGACGTCCTCAATCTTGAGTTTGGGCTTGAACAGAAACTTTTCGTCGTCCGTCAGCTCAATCACCAGGGGCACATCAAACACGTCCTGCAGCCACTTGGTGAAGACGAACGGGGTCATGTGGCCCAAATGCATACTGTCCGACGAGGGGCCTCGGCCCGTGTACAGAAAGAAGGGCTTGCCCTGCTCGTATCGGTCCAGAATCTTGGTGAGATCTCGCTCGGAGAAAAACACGCCTCGCTTGAGAAAAATATGGGGTTCGTGGCCCGTCACCTCCTTGAACCGAGCCAGAGTCTCTTCGGTGATCTTGCGCGTGCCAAACTGCTGGATCAACTTGTCGTAGTCGATGGCCTGCTGTTTGCCCGACTCGTCCACGGCTCCTTCCACGTCCCAGGGAGTGATGTTCTGCTCCACGGCCTTGGAGGCGGCGGAGGGGGCGATGGAAGTGTCCTGGAGCTGTTCAGCAACGTTTTCAACGGGGTCAGACATGCTTGCACTGTATCGTACTTGTGGTTGTGGTGTAACGTGCACTTTTTCAGATATCATCAACTTTATGCACCTGAACTTAGTGCGGTGCGAGAGTGGAGATCGGCTGAACAGTATGAGTCAGTCGGCAATGACTCCACTCCAAGTATGGAATAAAGAGGGGGTGGAGATAAGTAGCCATGTGACTCCTTATGTGTCATTTGTCCATGACGAAAACAGGTCCGTTATCGCAAGACAAAGGGCTCATATTGTAGGATGCACGCAAACCCCACCTTGTACGACATATTGATCTGGAAAAAATGTTGATGGAGATGATTTGGAGGTAAAAAATGTCACTACTATGGGTCTCAAACACCACTCAGACTGAATTCCAGCTCCAAGTAACGCCCTGGTGACATGATCGGCCCGCTATAGCGCCATCAAAGTGCCGTCAAAGTGTTCATAGTGTGTCAAGATCTAAACTAATCTTCCAACTAAAAACTAACAACCCTATGACTAATACTGAACCATGATCAGCGAGTCAAAGAGTCTATCAGATTCTCATTCTGAGCCAACGGGATTGAATAAAGCTCGTAAATCGTCATCAACCCACTCCCAAATCATACGAAATACTCCAAATCATTCCCATCTCCAAATGACGTCCCATCTCCGACTAGCTGCCGAAACTAGTCCGCGAAACTAGTCCCTATTAGCACATTTCGATTGAGGGGACTCGGGCAGACTAATGGCAAATATCACGGGTTAGTATATGTCTAATGGAAGGCTTTTTTCAAGTGTCCGTCTTGATTTGGTCACTCTGAGCATTTGTACGGGGACAATCCAGGCCTTGAGAACGGAGTAGTGGGCATAACGCACCCAGAATCAAAGTACTCAGAACCATACCGAGATCCCTGAGTCACCCAAATTATCAGATATCAGTAATTATTCCAGACTCTGAATCATCTGTTAACTTTCAACCTCTGTCTGACTCATTGTTGACGTTGTGCGTTGTAGCACTCATTGTATATATTGTGGGTGAAATGCTGTACATCTCACCCACCCTTTTCTTTAACGGTTGTTTCCTTGAACATGGACCTAGATCAACAGCTGAAGGAATGTTTTCTTTAATTCCTTGACAGTATATCTAATCTACTATTCTACTATTCTATAATGTATGTATTGTGCCAGATTGCAGCATCACGAGGATAGCTGAAGAGTAGAAGAGCTAAGCAGTCAAACTAAGAACCAAAGGGACATTAAGACGTGGATTTATTTAGTCACACTGGTTAATTATAGCCCTTCATCTACTCATCCAAGTACTTGAAAGAATATAATATCTCCTCATGTTATTGGTTGTCACGACGCCAACCTCCAATATCTCACCATTAGTTGAAATTTTGTTGAAAGAAGTTTCATCTAGAAACACGAAATCAAACAGTACATAAATACCAAAAACATACCGATTTATATCAGGAGAATACAATTCTGTGTTAAATAATATATCTCACCATACACTTTTTCTATAATAATATACACAAATCCCCTGTTGGTGTCATTCTTATGAGTTACTACTACAGTAAATATTACTTAACTTTACTTGGGTTGGCGTTAGTATCTATAACATCATGTGTAACAGCGCCAGAACTTCAGTAGACCTCTCCGTAATACTTCTCCCAGTCCGTAACACGTGAACCAAGTCTACGCCGCACTCACTCAACTCAACCACAGCCAGTTTCTATTACTAAGCAACATCATCTACTGTGTCGTTCCGAAATCTTGCCGAGCCAAATGAGACATTATAAATGACTCTATGACAAAAAGAAATGTCGTACTTACTCAATTGAGTCAGTTAAGTAGTTACAGTGCTACAATCTACAATTACAAGCCTTGTTACTCGTTTCGGACACGAAAGAAGACCTACGGAGCTCAATCACTCGTATATCTGTTCAAGCGACGACCATCTTAGAGGGTCGTCTGTAAATATCATTGAATTTACTGGCCGTTGACAAACTTGGCCTCACCGAGGAATCGCTTCTCAGCCTCCTGCCAGTTGATGACGTTCCAGATGGCCTTGAAGTAGTCAGCCTTGACGTTCTTGTACTGGAGGTAGTAGGCGTGCTCCCAGGCGTCGATACCGACGAGAGGGATGTGGTTGCCGGCCACGGGGTCCTGGTTCTGCTTGGTGATGACCTCGATGTCACCGGTGAGCTTGTTCTTGACGATCCAGGCCCATCCGGAGCCCTGGACACCGGCGAGAGCAGCGTTGGTGGTTTCGATCAGCTTGTTGGCGTCTCCCCACTGCTCCTTGATGGCCTTGCCGAGAGGCGAGTCGGGAGAAGGCAGCTCGCCTCCACCCTGGCCCTTGGGAGCCAGGTTCTTCCACCACAGAGAGTGGTTGATGTGTCCTCCGCCGTGGAAGTTGATCAGGTTCTGCAGCTCGACAATCTTCTTGAGGTCTCCGTCCTTCTCGGCGGAGGCCAGCTGCTCGGAGGCGGCGTTGAACGAGTTGACGTAGGTCTGGTGGTGCTTGGTGTAGTGGATCTCGTTGATCTGGCCGGCCACAAAGGGCTCCAGGGCGCCAAAGTCGTAGTCCAGCTTGGGCAGAACGGCGGTGGTCAGGGTTCGGCCGGCCATGGGCTGGGCCTTTCGAATGGTCTGTCGAAGAGTGTTTCGGGCGAGCATTGTGTGTGAGAGGTGAATACAAATGTCGGTACAAATGTGAGTCTGAGTCTGGCGAACGGGGAGCAGTGGCTTGCTTCTTATAAACTCCCAGCCAATTGAGTTTGAGTGTGGGGGATAGAAGAGGGCAGGAGAAGGGCAGGCTCTGGGGCGTGTTTGGGTGGAGATATTGGGCAACATAAAGGCACTTACGTTATGGTCTCGTTATTTCTTGTTGATTGCAACTTTCGCCGTTTCCATGTCTCGTCAATTGCGCAAGCTGGGCTCGTTCTCCTGTCCCCGCCACTCCCAGAAACGTGCAAACCCAATTACACTTGCTCCGAAGACTGTCGACAAGAGGCTCAAGTTCGGCAGCAGAGGTCCGGCGGCTAAGCTCGACAGCAAAGGAACTCTGTCGCTATCGTGCTTGGGTCATGTCAAGGCGTATTTCGAGTTTGCGGACGATGTGGATTTGTGGCGAATCCGAAGGAAACAATTGCTGTCTAATTCGAGTGGGTAGAAGCTGGTGGTGCTTAGTGCGGTAGACGGTATGCACGAGCAATTAGTAATTAATAATTGCAGAGCCAACAGTTATTACTATTGAGAAAGAAGAAAAAGAAAGAGAAAAAAAAGAAAGAAAAAAAAAATACGATAAAATATCATCCAAACACAGCCATTGCTAAGAACACAGATGTGGCCTGAAATAGAAACGTCAAGGTGACCACCGGTGATCGCTAAAATCTCTGCGACACCAGTTGCTAATGTCATCACTGTGACAAATAACTACCCAAAAATGTGGCTTGTATGAAAATTTAGACCTGGAGCGCACGATTCAGACTGACCGAATCAGGTGACACGGTTTTATTGGTTTTTCTTCCAAATTTCCCTCCCTTTGGAGCTCAATCTTGTCAAACCCCCTTTTCCTTCCCCTTGGAAATCCCTCCCCTTCCAAATCCATCCTCTTACAATCCCGCATTGCTCATCCGATCTCACCTCAATGTCTCAAAGATGCATGATCAAGGCAGAAGAGACGATACGAAATGTGGCCGGAGATGCGAGTGAGTATGGACTACGGTCCTAAAACCAATTTCAATGGGCCAAATGTCGTCTCTGTTCACACCAATTGAGCCACATGTCTTCATTTCAATGTACTTGACTGTTCTAACAGCCACGTCCACCCACCGCTGTCCCACCCTATAACTTCCACTTATGATTGCTGATGCCTGTGTCTGAGGCGGAATAGTAGGACATATATCGGGTTCATGAGAGTGCTTCGACTGATTTCAATTCAACCCAATCGCCTAAAACGATTCAGTTGCTCTGGTTTGGCCTAATTTGGTCCGATCCAACTTCCCGTGATTGCAGTCAGAAATTGAATTAATGAACTAAATACGGAAGGTATAAAAACTGACCCGTTGCTCGGAGAAGAGAAAAAAAAAAAAAAAAAAAAAAAAAAAAGACCATTCACACAATCACTCTCATCGCCCGTAGGGTAGTCAGTAGGAATATTGAAAATCAACTTTGAGAAGCAGACTTGTCGATCAACGATATGCCGAGAATTCTGAATCCAATGGTCTGTTCTCCTTTAAAAAACTAAATAACATGTTCGTAAATTCTGATCCAAGGATGAACTCATGTCAACCTCTACTATTACTGTAAGATGTTGGGTCTGTTTGTTAGTTCGACTTTTAAGAGAGTTGAGTTCATATAATTCTTGTACGTAAAATATAGCTGATGTTACTGTAATTCGACTCGGAGTGTTGAAGAAGAAATGACGTTTTGTTGTTGCTCCACTCGCATTTATGAGCTCCACCAAACCACATTAGTTTGAAGTTTGTTAAGGGACTAAGTAATCTGAGAATCCGAACGTGGGTTCCTGTACGGTTAGAGAAAGGGTATTAATAACTTCGTTTTGATACGAAATCAATACTCGTGGCCAATCTCACTTATTCTCGGAGCTACTCTACACTTTTTGTAGTTGGTTGAGTCTCTCTCTGCAAGTACTATATCTTTATCACTTTATTATCCCCGCCCAGCTCAAATATGCTGTACTGTACTGCACTCGTACTTGAACATGAAACTCCAAAAATACCCTCAACCCTTCGGTCCACTATCTCAGCTCCACCTGTGCAAATATGACTAAGCACAATCAGATAATTCGATTCTCTTTGTTCACATGCACGTCGGGTACCAGTATTCGTACAACTTATTTTTTGCCACTGGACCCAGAACCACTGTTGTTCCGCCAGTATCTTTTATGAAGACTAGAAAAAAAATCGTTTTTTTCTCTCGTCTCAATTGAGTCACTAACACAATTTTCGCCTTTATATCAATTTTATTTCCCTTTTTTCCTCCACCATTTCTTTCAAGCCCCCGCCTCCGCAACAGAGTTTGAGTCAACATAATCGTGGTACCATATTCTCACTTCTTGTCTCTGTACTCACCCACACTCACACGCATTATTCCGCCGTCATGGTCGCATCAATTCTCGCCACAGTCGCACCTTACCATCTCTGGACCTACTCGCTGCTCTTCGGAGCCACGGCCTACCAGTCCTTCTACAATGGCATAATGGCCTACCGAGCTCTGCCCCATGAGCACTTTTCCAATCTCCAGGCCAAGTTGTTCCCGGGCTACTTTGCGTTCCAGGCGCTGGCCTCAGGCATTCTGCTATTGACGCCACCATTTGTGGCTGGCCCCGCCTTCTACTGGCCGCTGGGCATCTGTCTGGTGGGCGGTCTGCTCAACACGCTGATTCTGGGCCCCGCTAACCGACGGGTCATGGCCCAGCGAAAGGCCCAGCTCGACAAGGAGGGGTTGTCCCACCACAAGGACCCCAAGGCGTCGGCCGAGCTCAAGGCCATCAACAAGGAGTTTGCCAAGGTCCATGGAGCCTCGGTGCTGGTCAACCTGATCGCTTTCGGAGCCATGACCTTTTACGGAGCTACTCTTACCGGAGGGCTGCTCAAGACCATTCCCAAGTGAATGCAGTAGTCTACCTAACGCTCTTCCCGAATGACTTCGACCGAACGCTGTTTCCCCGAGTGACTGCCACCGAACGACTTCTTCCCAACCATAACGTATATAACCCTCTGAATAAACACCACTGAATGACTGAGTGGTTGACTGTAGACGGCTCGGCACGGTAAGTACTGGTCACAGGTGCCATTTGACTGACCTCTTGGTGTGCTCTGTCTACATCGTCCGAGTTTTATACTATCTCCCTGCTGTGTGACCAGCGATAAAAATGGGAAAAGCAGTTCCGTATCCGCCGTCTTTGCCTAAGTCCGTCGACATATTTTATATCCACCACATAAATATCCACCACTTGTAGTACAAACATCTGGAGATATGGACTACTCTCCATGACGACACTTGAGCAAATACCATGACAGAGTGAATCAAAACCAAACTCCACTTAGACAAGTTGTGGTGGGATCAAACTGGACAGAATTTTCGTTTCTTTCGAATGGTGAAACAATCCCCGTCTAAAAGTGGGACTGTCGTTTCTCACCTTTTACTTGAAGGGCTTCGTTTATGATAATTACAAGACCCAATGCACTACCTACTGTACAAGTAGTGGGACTGAAACGTTGTATAGTGCCATTGAGACCTCGTAGACTTGTCGATTATAATATAATACCTCCAAATGTGGAATATTTCAACTCCCCATTTGATTCTGACACTTTTGTGGCTTTTTCGGTGCTTTTTATAACGTCGTATACATGCTCTATTCATGGAACATAACTGGAGGCACTAGATGAAGAGATGGAAATAAAGATATGGAGATGAAAATATGGAGATGAAGCGAGGCAGAATCAAAAGAAAACCTTTGATTCTGGTCAGATTTGCAAGTACTGTAGTTTACGAGCGGTACGGTACATACAAGTACTTGTAGGGGATCCAATGATACTCGTACGTGTACAGGTACTTGCACTGTACTACGACTTCAGCCAAGAACTATAGACAAATGTGAATCGAGTTTTCTATTTGATGTGGATCTACTGGCACATCCACCACAGGCGTAGACAGCTCAAGAGTTCCGACCATACTGGAAACCAGCACTAGAGGTCTAATGTACTTGTACTTGGTGTCAGCACTCTCTGCAAGTCTGTACATTCTTCCTACGCCATTGGACTCGCTATTTCAAATATGGTATGCTTAAATATACATTTTTTATGTTGATCTTGTTCAAAGTCCAATTGCTTAGACCTTGAAACCTCGAGATCGTCTTCGACCTCGAGCTCGCTCGAACTTTCGGCCCTTGGACAGAACTCGGGGAGCCTTGTTCTTGTGGGGACCGAAGCCAAAGTGTCGAACAGCCTGTCGGGCGTTTCGGGAGCCTCGCAGCATCAGAGTGTTCTCGCCGGTAGGGGCTCGGACAGCAAGCTGATCAAGAGTGAGGGCCTCACCGCCAGCCTTGACGATTCGAGCTCGGGCAGTGCCGGTGAATCGGAGGGCAGCGACGGTGGTCTTGGGGAACTCGACGAGTCGGGGATCGTCAGTCACGGTGCCGACAACAACAACGATCTTGTCAGCATTGCCCTTGACCTTGAGGTTCTCGACAATCTTGCCAGTGGAGACGGGGGGTCGGTTGACCTTGGAGAGGAAAAGACCCTTGAGAACCCGCTTGTTGAACTTGGAGTCAGTTCGTCCTGAGTTAGTAAAAAGAAAACGAAATAAAAGGCCGAATGTCAAAATTCGACTGTGATGCCGTATCAATAGAATCCCAAAACAAGATGGGTCTTGATTCTGGCACCACTCTACGTGGCATGTCGAGGGAGTTCGGGCAACGCAACTGTGCCATACACAAGTACCATACTTGTAATAGTACGGTAGATGCCACCGCACAGCACATGCATAGACCCACTCTCAACCTCTCCGTAGTGCTCACGCTCCGCACATTTCTGTGCTTGGACAATGTCATTAATAACACGTCCTCACTCGCACTCACGGGCCAGGAATCGGTACAGCTTGACCAGGAGGGTCAGGTAGACGTTCTCGGACTTGGGAGCAGTTCGGTTAGAATGCTTCTGGTGCTTCTTGGTGAAAGAGTCTTTTCCCATGGTGAATGATTTGTCGAAGATGAAGAGACTGCAGAGAGAAATTAAGATACTTGGGAGGAGTCCCAACTGAAAATTTGAAAGAGCAGTCACGTCACGTGAATTACAAATTGGGACAAACCTTAACCAGATTGGCGAAATTGGGACCCTCCTCCAACATGTTGTGAAAGTCATGTGAGAATGGGCGTAGAGGGGATGTTGTGGGTTATTTGAGGGTCTAGGAATATCGCAGAGAAATTGGTTATATCACTCTGGGTCTCGATATGCCATAATATCGTTTACTGTCATTGTTCCTTTTTACCCTAAAAAAAATGACAAAATTAATAATCAAAACCTTATTTGAGTTTGTTAATCACCGTCGGTTCGATTCGAAGTGGTGCATCTATTTGCTGCACTCACTTTGGCTAAACTGACGGCTATTCGGAAATCCCAATTTGGCAAGGTGTTTATTTTTAGGGTTTAGACTAACATAAAAAAAAATTGGGCAAGCTCCAAAGTCATCTCGAAGAGGTAGCAAGGGGTAAAAGACGGATTAGGAAAAGCAATGGGGTTTTTGGTGGTTTTGTGTTATATGATTTTGTGATTTGAGGATTTATTTTCTCCGTTTCGGATTTGGTTGTCAGGTCAAGTAATTTGTTGGGGTGGCTGGAATGATTCTGATTAACAAAAAGATTGAGATCGTTAGGATATTGGTTGAGGTGTAGTTGGAATGGAGACATGTCTACAAGTGGCTGAAGAGACACGGTGGAGAGAAGTGAAAGAAGATAATTGCGGTTAAAACCCTCTGCTGAGTTCATCCAGGGATTTCTCTTCCTCTTTCCGAGCCCAATTTCGGATTCTATCTTGGAGTTTTCACTTTGAAGTGACAACTACACACACCACTTCTATCACCACGGGTAATCACCCGATCAGAGATTTTGAATAATAACCATTCCATCCGTCACGTGGCAACTAACAAATGTCTCCTTACAATCTATTTTGCTGGAGGACTCCATCTAACTTGAATGTATACTTTAGTCAGCAAATGATGTTTACTCCATGAAGTCCTCGTGGTTCTTTATCAAAAAAACAACCAATGTTGATCCGATAGTAAATGAACTCACCAACAATTTGTTAACTGAGCAATCTCAACGGGTTTCTGGCAAAGTCCTTCTTTGGTGTCTTCTTTGGTGTCTTCTTTGGTGTCTTTTCAACACTCAGCGCGTCTGCACTGAGGAACGAGCGGATCCAAATATCGCAATATTGGGGGAGTGCATGGATATTAATCACAGATTTTTTTATAGGTTGCAATTATATGAGTAAATTAACTGTTTCTGATTCAGTTATCTTCTCAGTTGGACAGGTTTTGACGGTTTGATTTATTGTACTGGTGCAGAACAGAAGAGATTGAAATTCTCACATTACTTGATTGGATTTTTTTCAGGTCAATGAAAAACAGTTTTCTTTTCTGGTTTTCTTTGATCTTTTGGTATTTTCCAGTCACCATAGAACGCTTGAGGATGTGGGTAATGTCGTCGTAACGTCTAACTAAGTATCTTAACTAAGTTCAAGTAAAGGTATACACACTTAGTACATGAGTTAGGGCGGTGCTTTGTTGTCCTCTATGGTTGTTTTCGCAAGAAAAATGTTGTGGAACATGTATCTTTCCATCAGTAAATTTGCAGCTATTCCAATGGTGTAATAATCATAGCCCATTTTCATACAAAATTGTGACTTGTGGAACTACTCTTCAAACTGACTGCACCAACTCCCTAAACTTCCGCCTGCAGATCACCACATCACAGATCGCACACTACAGATCACTCCAGTTACACAATCACTCACACACAATGTCTGCGTCCTCTGAACCTGACACAAACCCCCGCGGCATTCCCCGGGCCCCCTTCGTCGACAATGTGGCCGAGTTTGTGAGCAAGTCGGGCGTCAAGGAATCGCTCGACAAATTCCAGGAAATGCTGCAAAAGTACAAGTATATGGAAATGACGACTTTACAGCGGCAGGCCGGGCTCAAGGAGAAGATTCCGGACATCCAAAAGTCGCTGGAGATGGTGGAGTTTCTGCAGCTCAAGGGTTCGGCCGGCGAAGACGTGGTGACCAACTACGAGCTCAACGACACGCTGTACACAGAAGCCAAGATCGAGGCGAGCGGCATTCAGTCTGTCTATCTGTGGCTGGGCGCCAACGTGATGCTGGAGTACGATGTTGCCGAGGCCAAGCAGCTGCTGAGTGAGCGGTTGGAGGGTGCCAAGAGAGGCTACGACACCGCCGAGGAAGATGTGCTGTTTCTGAGAGAAAACATCACCACCGTTGAGGTGAACATTGCCCGTGTGCACAACTGGGACGTAAACCGACGTAAGAAGGAGCGTGAGGAGGCGGAGCGAGCGGAAAACAAGTAGGTGATGGTATGAAATGAATGTCAATCTTGAGAATGGGTGGAATTTTTTTGGGGGGTGAACAAAATCGGAAGATATCAGCGGAATGTCTGGGCTGGGGCGAATATCACTGCGGCATCCGTTTTTGTTTTGGACAAGAAATCATCGACTTGTGTTGTAGGTACACTTGTCTCTGACTTCCACGTTTGTATAACCTGATAGGGTGCTACTTGTATGTACTCAAGAGTAGATATCTCCAAAGATTGTACGTGTATCATCAAAGCTGGTTTGAAACCGCAATTGGGATCTCTGTTTGATTCTGAGCCGATGGATCTACTTGTTTTCCAATTGTAACTTGTCATGACAGTTCCTGTAGATTGTCTATAGCTCCGCGTACAGCTAAAGAAGTGAAGGCCTGAGAACTCTTCTGGATCAATTGAGATCAATCGTTAATGATAGCAATTCTTGTGTCTTTCATAGGTCGATTATTACTTGTCTTGAAGCTTCTGTACATCTCAGGAACATGTAGTCTTCTCTTCCATGTATACATGCCCGAACTCCTCAGCAAAATCGAAGAGAACAACGTATCACCTGCTCTTCAGAAAGATGTGGGCGCACCGTAAAAACGATACCATCCACCTTGTCTGTCTGCTGGATATAATGTGGAGAAAACCCCCGACCTTTGTGAGGAAAAAAAGGAGAGTTGGAGAAACTGCTAGTTTTGCCTGTTCTAAACTAACCCCCAACTAGTTCCCAACTAACACTTGATCTATAGCCTACAACATACCACATCAGATCGTCCCCAGAAAGGCTCCAATTGCTCCAAAAATTGGGAACCGGTTATTTTGTTCTCCTTCTGAATACTTGGTTCATTTCTCAGCTCAATCAGCCTCTGGTAACCTGTTGTCGTGATAAGCCAAACACAGGAACAAAATCTACCAAATTTAACTCTCAATAGTTGACATATTACTCGACATTCTAAGGGGTGAGGCCTAGATCTTGCACACAAGTACGAGTGCAATTGCGAGTAGGCCAGCTTCCTATTACTCTACTCGGTGGTCAGCTGTAATGAGCTCATCCATATCTGCCCAACTACATCTGATTAGTAATCTCAAACGCTCAGGAGACCTTCTAGAATTAAGAAGCAAACGTTAGCGATAATAAAAAGAGATATTAATTTCGACAAGCGATAATAAAGGGTCTTTCCATAAGAGGCAAATCTGTTTCAGTCTTTGTTCTGAAAGTGGGCCTCTGTTTCACATCTGTACAGGCAGCACATGGGAGATACTGCCACCAGCATGAAGAAGAAGCGACGAGAGACGGGGACAAAAGAACATGTTGCCACCATTTCTTGATTACAGCACAAAAAGCTCATCATAAGACTGCCGTCTTCTACATCTAAAGTATAAATATAATGCTTATGGATCATGATGCTCTTAGGCCACGCTAGAGAACCACGCTTATAGACGCTTATAGTATGTCTCAGTCTCGAGTCAGCACCTAGTCCGGTTAGCTTGTTAGTAATCGTAATCAAAACGTAATCATGATGACTGATGGCAAATACCGCCCAACCACCTAACCAGATCGGTTACCTTCTCGGAGAGCTGAAATACATCAACGACTCTGCAGCATCGTCATCGACCTCTCTCTGGCCCGGTGAATGAGGCGCGGGAGAGGGAAGATGCGCTCGGGGACTCGTAACGTCCCCATACGGCATCACCGGCTCGTAGATAGCACGCATGGGCGGCAGGGTGACTCTGTCAGGCGCAGACGTTGGCGAGTTGATGGACGTGGATATCGGCGGCAGCGACACGTGTAGAGGCGCCAGCGTGGGTCTGGTTCCCGATGCTGACGTGGGATTGGACGTCGGAGGCGTCTGTGGCGGTCCATGCAGCGGTGACGGGCGTGTTGGCGAGTGCGACTGGTGACTGTATTGAGGTGGCGATCCGTAGGGCGGGGCGTGGGTGTAATTGTACTGTCTTTGATGTTGGGGGGACGGCTGTGGAGGCTGGGGTTGGAAGGCCTGGCCCAAGGCGTGCGGTGGGGAGTGGTGCACCATGCCTGAAGGTGTGACTGTAGGAGATCCGTGATCTTGTGGCGGGGGAGGCGGCGGAGGAGGAGGAGGGTAGTGCTGTGGAGGGTAGTGGATACCACTATGCTGTTGTGGTGGGGGAGGAGGGGGGTAGTAAGTGTTCTGAGGGTAGGTGTTTGGCGGGTAAGAGTTGGGCGGGTAGCTGTGCTGAATCTGGGCGTGGTACTTCTGGGGTGACTGCTTTGGCTGCGCCGGAGTGCCCCACGCCCTCTCCTGGGGCTTGTCGACCTTGAAGACGCCGGACACTCCACCAGTGGAGTTGTGTAGAATGTCCGAGGTCGAGCGTCGGTGTCCCCGCTTGGAGGGCCGCCTTCGTGGCGTCGGAGAGGTCGGTATTGACAGTCCCAGGCCGGTACTGGCCGTCTGCGGCACTGCAAATGAGGCCTGTGAGACCCTTGGAGACGAGTCTGCCGAACGCACTCCAGCAGAAGATGAAGCCGCCTGCTCCTTGACCGGACTTGTGCCCCCCACCGTGCGACCTATTGCTGCGGCGGAGATGTCGCTGCGTGCGTGGGTCTTGCGGGGGGGTTGTGTGTGTGCGCCCTTCTTGTCTGTCTGTGTCTGTGACTGCGTCTGTGACTGTGTCTGTGACTGTGTCTGTATCTGTGCGCCCTTCTTGTCTGTGTGTGTGTGTATCTTGTCCTTGGCCTGGTCCTGGTGGTTAGTCGCCTCCTCTATCTGGTCAATGGACCGGTCCTCCCAGCCCTTCTGGACCTTGACCATGGCGAAGTTGAGGCGCGTGCGCATCGCCGCGGCCAGCTTCTCGTTGTCGGACATGCAATTTTTGACGGGGAAACGAGGTCAAAGACGTATCTGGTCTTGTCCCGATATCTAGCCTGTTGCAGATTCCTGTAGTGTCATGCCGAAGGTTAGCCTTTTTGCCTCCACAGTTTAGAATTGGCGCAAATGCAGGTGAGCCTTATTGGGTACGCGATCAAAGGGCGCAAGCGCGAAACCAACCAACAAGCTACTGACAAGTACAGGTGAGCAAGTGGGCGAGTGACTGAGGCAACGACACACACACACACACACACACACCACTACTGTACCGCCACCACACCTAATGTGCGAAACGTCACCCTTATATATTCTCCGGACACTGCTTCCAAACGTCGTCTTTGTGTAGCACAACCCGGGGCCCTCTCTCCACACTCCCACGCCCTCCATTTTCTTCACTGGAGGTGACACAAATGCAAATACCAAAAAGGTATACAATCGTCCTATTGTGGACGTTGCAGGCACCCCCAAACGGTATGTATGTGGGCGTGTGGTGTGGACTAACGGATTTGATTGTCTTCGTGCTCGTTAACAGGGCTATTGATTTAATGTTGCACTGTCGACATCTGAACGCCCTAGTTTCCTCACCTCCCCTCAAAAAAAAACAGCTTTGCACTTACCCAAAGTGGATATATTGTCTCAGCGCGTGATGCGCGAGTGGACAGGAGGCTTGGTCGGACGTTAGTGGCGAGTCACGTGAGGAGGGTCCCAAGGGGGGCGTGGGTGGTTTGTTTGTTTTTTTAACAGAATTGGCCTCGTTTGATTGTTGCCAACTCCGTTCGAATTGCTTCTTAGCAAGCTCTCTCTCCGCGGTCCTGGCCGCTCATGCAAATATATGTATCTCCATGTATCCCATCTCGCCTGTTCCTGATGCAGGTGAAGGTGCAGGTGCATGACAGTGAGTGTATGACATTGACATGATTACTACGAATACAGTATGTACCTAACGATACTTGTACGGTAATTAATTGGTATCTGATCTACAAGTAGCCGGTCTCATTACTGGAGTGATTTGGCCGCAATCAATGGTTTGCGTCGATCAACAATTGCACGTTTCCGTGTATCTCCTGTCTACAAGTCCTTGTACAAGTACTGTAGCTACATAGTAAGATGGTTGGTAGTCTGAAGAGGTGCTATCTACTTGTTTTGTTTTTTTATTATTTTCGTTTTGGCCCTTTATTGCCTTGTCATTGCGCAATGCTATAGATTCACTTTTGAATTACCCCTTGACAGCTTCCCTTTCGGCCCAGATTGGTCCCGTTCTGGCAGCACGTTTTGCGCCTGTGGGAGGCAACTGCGCCGATCCACCGGTCCTTGTAGCAAGATATCGCCTGTAATAGAGCACCATTTATTGGACTTTCCGCGATCTGAGTCTGTGGCAGTGTAGCAATCGAGTTCGAGGGTACTGTATGTTCCACGATACGTAGGGAAGAATTGCTACTGTACTTTATGTACTACAGCTACAGTACGAACAGTATTCACATGTTCTGCCTTCCCTCCTGATCTGCTAACTCCATTTGGAAACTGCAGTTTGAAGCTCCGGGTCGACAAGTAGGAGTACATATCAGTAAATTACGAGTACAGTACCGGTACTACTCCATCTCGCATCGTTAGTAGAGCGTATTGAATCGTTAAGGAACCAAGCCCCCATCTCCGCCAAATCAGGCTTGGAAAAAAGGCTTTTGGAGTCCAGGCTTTCGGAGTCCAGGCTTTGGAGAAACTCCGCTTTGCGGACAATTGGACAAAAAAAAACACCATGAAGCGTCCTTCACAGCATCATCAGAATCAGACGAGAATTCTGAATCGCGTGGTATGTTTTTTATCGCCCTTCATCGACCCTAGACCGGGAAACTCCATTGCCATTACGCTCTACTGACTGTCAGTTTTAGGAGCATGGACAGCAAGAAAGAGTATCTCTGCTCGTACCTTGGTCGTATCTACTCGCCCCCAGTCGCACCTACTCGTACTGGTAGCAAGAGCACCAGAAACTGATCTTCCAATGAGCCAATCAAGTTTCGGAAAACCAAACTACCCCTGTATAGCCATTGTGCGCTACAGTATGTACTTACACACGCTAACTGAAGTCAACCCATAACCACTCCTCGGGCTAAGCTTCTGCACTGTCATCATACTGTCAGAGACTGTAGTCGGGGTATAGCTGACAGCAAACCCTGGAAAACGGTTGAAAACGGTTGAGAACGGTTGTGGGAGACAATGGGAACGCATCTGCTGGCACGAATCGACTGAAAAAATCCATAACACGCGTCTCTGTCCAGACCCCACACCCTTGTTACAGTAGCCGAGGCTTTAGTGTGACCATGGCTACGGCGCGAGTACAAGTCTCGTAGTAGCTACTTGTAGTTACAGTATGGATCAGGTAGCTGGCACACCATGTCCTGGTAAGACAGGGTCGGAATGACGAGGGTACGCTCCGTCTGGCTCAGTGGTTTGAATCAGTGTCACTTGTCGACACGTGTCCGTTGATTCGGCTCGGAGTCTCTACGTGTAGTGTATGGATTTCTCGCCACCTTTTGCCACTGCACTTGCCACCTCTTGACCCACCTTCGGTAGAGACCGATAGGTAATTAGGTTGTGGTTTAGCAGTAGTGAGGTGTGGTGGTGATCGGAGGGTGGGTTGATCCAGAGTGTCCATTGCGAGAATTGTCACGATTCGCGATAGACCTTTGGATACATCTCGGGAAAGAGATCATTTCTGTGCAACCCGCTAGTCTCTGCGATATCCGCTGCCCCTGCTACAAACCACCCCGCCTCTCGCACCCACACCCTCCCCCAACTCTAAAGATAGGCTACGTGTCGCGGGCGTACTTTGCGCACCTCTTCACACATCACACTCTTCCTCCTCACCATCACGACAAACAATGAAAGTCGCCCACATCATCCAGCTGGCGGCCATGGTCGCCACGGCCCTCGCGGCGGTGCTGGCCATCGACTACGGCCAGGAGTACACAAAAGCAGCCCTGCTGTCGCCCGGAATCAACTTTGAGATTGTGCTGACCCAGGACTCGAAACGAAAGCAGCCCTCTGCGATCGGCTTCAAGGGCAAGGCCGACTCCAAGTTTGGACTCGAGCGGGTCTACGGCTCGCCCGCGGTGCTGATGGAGCCCCGGTTCCCTAGCGACGTGGTTCTCTACCACAAGCGACTGCTGGGCGGACGGCCCAAGCTCGACAACCCCAACTACAAGGAGTACACACAGATGCGACCCGCGTGCATGGCCGTTCCATCCAACTCGTCGCGGTCGGCCATTGCGTTCCAGGTCAAGGACTCAGAGTGGTCCGCAGAGGAGCTGCTGGCCATGCAGATCAGTGATATCAAGTCTCGAGCTGACGACATGCTCAAGACCCAATCCAAGTCCAACACTGACACCGTCAAGGACGTGGTCATGACCGTTCCTCCCCATTTCACCCACTCCCAGCGTCTCGCCCTTGCTGATGCCGTCGATCTCGCCGGCCTCAAGCTCATTGCTCTCGTCTCTGATGGAACCGCCACCGCCGTCAACTACGTGTCCACCCGAAAATTCACCGACGAAAAGGAGTACCACGTGGTCTACGACATGGGTGCTGGCTCCGCCTCCGCCACCCTCTTCTCCGTCCAGGACGTTAACGGAACCCCCGTCATCGACATTGAGGGTGTGGGATACGACGAGGCTCTCGCCGGCCAAGACATGACCAACATGATGGTCAAGATTCTCGCCGCCTCTTTCATGGAACAGAACAAGGACAAGGTGCAGTTGCAGACCTTCATTCGAGACGTCAAGGCCGCTGCCAAGCTGTGGAAGGAGGCCGAGCGGGCCAAGGCCATTCTGTCGGCCAACCAGGAGGTGTCTGTGTCCATTGAGGCCGTGCACAACGGTATTGACTTCAAGACCACTGTCACCCGAGATGACTATGTCAGGAGCATTGAGAAGATTTCGACCCGACTCAACGGACCCCTCGAGAAGGCGCTCGCTGGCTTTGCCGACTCCCCCGTGGCTCTCAAGGACGTGAAGTCTGTGATCCTGACCGGTGGTGTCACCAGAACCCCCGTCATCCAGGAGAAGCTCAAGGAGCTGCTTGGCGACGTACCCATTTCCAAGAATGTCAACACTGATGAGTCCATTGTGCTCGGTTCTCTGCTTCGAGGTGTCGGTATCTCCTCCATCTTCAAGTCGCGAGACATCAAGGTGATTGACAGAACCCCCCACGAGTTTGATCTGCGGCTCGACGTTCTTGGCGCCAAGGACGAGATTCTGCGGTCCGAAAAGGCCAACGTCTTCTCCAAGGGCGCTGCCCAGGGCGAGAGTGTGGTGTCCAAGCTCGACATCTCCGAGATTGGCAACGCCAACCTGTACCTGCTTGAGGACGGTGATTCGTTTGTGCGACTTGATGTGCGGGATATGGACGCCATCAAGAAGGAGCTCAATTGCGAGAAGTCCGCTGAGTTGCACGTGCCCTTTGACCTGACTCTTTCTGGCACCATCAAGGTCGGTAAGGCCAAGGTTGTGTGCAAGGGCGGCGATGCCGAGGCTGATGCTGAGGTCACCGTGGATGACCCCGTGGAGGATGTCGTTGTTGAAGAGGAGGTTGTCGAGGGTGAGACAGTTGAGGGCGACGCTAAGGCTGCCAAGGACTCCAAGGACTCCAAGGACTCCAAGAAGGCCTCCAAGAAGGTCGATACCTCCCGGTACGTCCCCCACAAGACTCGGTTCGTCGGCACCAAGCCTCTAACCTCTGCTGCTAAGCTCAAGATTTCCGGACACCTGCGATCGCTCGCTCGAAAGGACGCCGAGCGACTCGCTACCTCCGACGCCGCCAACAAGCTTGAGTCCACCATTTATCACATCAAGCATCTGATTGAGGACGCCGTTGACCAGGACAAGGTTGCCGACATCAAGAAGAAGATTGAGGACGCTGCTGCGTGGTTCGAGGAAGACGGTCTCACTGCAGGCATCCAGGAGCTCACTGAGAAGCTCTCTGTGGTGCAGCCCCTGGAGGACTTTTTCAAGACTGCCGGTGAGGCTATTGCCGATAAGGCTACTGCTGCTGCTTCTGCTGCCGGCGAGTTTGTGGACCAGGCTGCTGCTGCTGCCGGTGTCAAGGCCGGCGAGGCCGCAGATGCTGCCAAGGGAGCTGCTGATGCTGCTGGCAAGAAGGCCAAGAAGGCCAAGAAGGCTGCCGGCAAGGCTGCTAGCCAGGCCGAGGAGGACGTGCTTGATCAGCTTAAGGATGCCAACGATCTTATCAAGAACATTGCCCAGCTCGCCCGGGAGAGTGGCAACGATGTGCCCAGTGAGGAGGATATTGAGCGGGAGATGAAGCGAGCTGCTGAAGGCGGCGACTCTTCCGACTCTGCTGATCTTTCCGGCCACCTCGAGACCCTCATGGGCCTGCAGGACATGCTCAACGAGCTTAACGGCGGCGAGGCTCCCTCTGCTCCCGGTCTGGACGTTACTGCGATTGCCGGAATCACCCGAACCATCCAGCGGCTGTCCGACAAGCTGACCGAGCTCGGAACTCCTCCCAAGGATGAGGACGACATGTTCCGAATGCTTGGCATCGACCCCCAGACCTTCCACAAGTTCTCCGAGGAGGCGTTTGAGGACCAGGCTTCTCCTGCCGACCAGCTGATGGACTCTATTGGTTTCCTGCAGCAGGTTCTGGCCCAGGACGAGTCTCCCGATCCTGCCGCCCTTGAGAAGATGAGGGCCAACATTGCCGAGCGACAGGAGCGGATTGCCAAGGTGGCCGAGGTGGCTGAGCGAAACCAGAAGCGGCAGATTGCTGCGCTGGAGAACATGCTCAAGAACGCCGAGAAGACCATTGACATCAGCATCTACAACCTCAAGCAGCAGGCCCCCAAGACTGCGTCGGTTGAGGACAAGAAGGCTGAGCATGATGAGTTGTAGAGAAAGATGTTTGGATGAAAATGTATAGATAATAACTGCAATTGAACAAAGGTATAACTACTGGTAGCGAGTACGTGAAAAACAATTGCTCCGACAGGCGTGAGTGGAGCGCTGTTTCTCTCGAATGTGTATTGGGTATTCATACTGTTGTTTGTTTGTTTTTTGGTTTGTTTTTTTTTTACTACTGGTAATTTGCAATCAACCTTCATTAAATTTAGTTGGAAATTAGTTATGCCAGAAGTTGTACTGGGGCTCAATCCACAACTTCCAGGCATGCCAGAGACATGAGAAGAACACTGGTGGGTATAAAATCAGTACTAGATTACTTTTTGTGTCCTGAATCCCTTTCTTGAGTCGAGAACATGGCCAAATGTGACATTTTTTTGACATTTTCTGAAAACCCAACCATGGTTTTTTACTTGGGTGATTGTACTTGAACAATCCAGCTTTCAGAGTACTGACTGGGTGTAAAGATGGTTGTGCTCATCTTGAAAAACTCCATAAATCACCCCATGAAAACTACCCTTCATCCTATCTCTATCCCTCTACCAGGGCATGTACCTGAATGCTACAGTGCTGAGTGTGCAGTAGTGGCCGTTCAACTCTCTACGAGCAACTGGACTGCTAATTGAACTGTTAATGCATTTAATAATTGTCTACTCCAACTCTCTGGCAACCTTTGGCCACACTCTCTTGTATAGAGCCATAGCGACGGTGTCCATTCCGTTAAGATGCTGGTCGAAAGTAGCCTTCATGTATCCATGAGTACCTAGAGACATTTTGATAAAGCCCGATCGGCCCATCTTGGTAAAGAGCGGCACGGCCTTGAACCAGTTGATGTCTTCGGGGTTGAAAAACATGTATCTGATGGTGACGAGCTTCTTGTGGATCTTGAAGGGATGGCCGGTGAGCACGGCCCGTTTGATGAGCATCTTGCGGGGGTCGGTGGAATCGAACGAGCCGGTTCCAACTAGCTCCATCGCGCCGTTTTCCGACTTTCGGAACCACAGGGCAGGAACATTGCCAAAGGTGGCAGGTCCAATGTATGTGGCCATACAGGGCCGGGTCAAGAACCGGTCAAACTTGGCAATGGTAGACTCGGTTCCGTAGAGAGGGTTTACAACCAGTCGTCGAGGTCCAAGCTGCAAAATGAGCTCGTCCTTAGACTTGATGGGAGCTGTCTCTTCCTGGTCAAAACAGGGGTTCATAGTCACATGACACACGGCCTGGTCCGACTCGTACTTGTGCAGTCCGTAGACAACAAACGGCGAGTCTGCGTGTTCCTGGGCCTCGGACACAATGCTGACGGGAGCCTCAATGTAAAGCTTGACGTATTGTCCTGGCTGCAGGTCTGTGGAGTCCTTGAGAACCCGGTTCTTCATGGCGTTGTAGTTGAAGGTGACGCAATTCTTGTACTCCTCGGGGTAGTCATCCTGAGAGGCATCCCAGTTTCGAAGCGACTTCATTCCTCGGTACTTTGCGAATCTCTCCTTGGCTGACTCGCCAGGCTTGAGTTCGACTTCATCAGGGAAATCGAGCTCTTCTCGGAGGCTCTTGTATTCCTCCAACTGACGTGTTTCCTCGTCCATGTCAAATTCAACGTGAGCGCCATCTTCAGCATCCATATCAACTTCATCTTCCTCCATCTGCTCATCCTCAAACTCGTCGTCAGAGTTGATGAGAGTCTCGTCAATGAGCCACTTGGCCTGCTGCTCAGACGTGCCCTTGGGGACTCGGCGCTTGGCGTACTTTTCCTGCATGGCTTCTCGCGCCGTGTCAGGGAAGTAATGATGCCCGTCGACTTTTACGCCCAGTTGCTGGTCTTGGATTTCTTCTTCTTCTTCCATGACGTCATCCTCCTCCATGTCCATATCTTCATCGTCACCGTCATTCTTGGCCAAAACGTCCTCACCGGGAATGACCAACTCGGCCTGTCCATGCTTCAACACCTCAGCTTTGGCGATCTTGAAATCGCCGTATCCGGGAAGATGAACAGTTCTCAGAAGATTGAAACCCTTGCCTCGAACAACGCCTGAAACGCACACCTGGCCGTCAACCTCCTGGACGTTATCAGCCAGCACAAAAGCACGCTGATCACGCCAGTTGACACCCTTGGGGAATTTCTGCGCAATGTTTCGCACCAGGTTGGCACAGTCGGTGGCGTTCTCAATATCGAAAATCTTGTCCTGGGGGAAAAAGTAGTCGGAAAAGGTCTTGATCTCGTCGATTCGCTCGACGCGCTTCTTGTCGGTGAGCATTCCGGTCTCTGTGACTACAGAGATGACATTACTCACTCCCTGCTCAGCAACACACTTGAGAATGTACTCCGAGTCGTTAAAGGCAGCGACAGGAGAGAAGGCCAGGATGACAAAATCGGCGATTCGGGCAGCGTCCAAAACCTCCAGAAAGTTGTCCAACGACGGGGTGATCACCGTGAACTTCTGCTTGAATCGCTCGACTTCGTGTGTGCTGATTTTGGACTGCAGAGATTCAAGACCCATCATCTTGCACACCAGCCCATTCACGTCAACGTCCTCGCTCATGCCCACAACAGTGACAATCTTGGGGGCACCGCTCTTGCCGTCAAACAGCTTACGGTCCGTTGCCAGTTCGACCATTTTGGCAGCCCGAATCTGGTCCTTCTGATTCCGCCGGTCCCATTTGCCCATAGTCTTGACTGCCTTGTTTCCGGCAGACGCCTTTTCGATCTTGCCCTTGTTCAACGCCTTGATCGAGCCCTTGGACGCATGCTTGGACTTGAATGGCTTCTGCGACTTTTTACTGGATCGATGTGAGTGCATTTCGTTATCCAATGTCGTCGTATGTGAAGAATAGAGGGTCGAAATTTTGGCTGCACATGCACGAATATTTTTAAGCTTTAGAAGTTTATTTTATGGCAGTTTTGACGGTGCCTGGAATCGAACTGACGACAATGGCCACCGTTGGGAATCGAACCCACAACTTCTCAATTAACCCTACTTTTTTAAACCCTAGTCACGTGAATTTCCCAACGCAGAGTTTGCAGTCCTGCTGGGAGCATTTATCGATTTTCTGAAACTTCTCTTTGACACCAAAACCACGACAGATATTCAAGGTGGGTACTGAAAGCGATAGGGATTGAGGGAACGCGAGGTGAAAACCGACGAAACGACGATGAACGAGCGTTCGGGAATTTGCTGCCGGAACGACGAGGTCAACACGGGCATGGCTGGTGGGATTGTGTGAATTTTGTCGTTGGTCGTGAACAGCATCATGACATGATTCGTGTGTGTGTCCCCCACCAATGTCTGAGTCCCGCATTTGCCACCATTTGCCACCGGAACTCTGACTGCAAAAATCTGCCGGTTCCTTCTCTATATGAAGGTGGTTGATTTCCGATCCGCTGGCTTCATCGTAAAACACCAGATTCAAACACACACATTTACTAACTAAGATGGCTCACGAAAACATTTGGTTCTCCCACCCCCGACACTACGGTAAGGGCGGTCGAAAGTGTCGAATCACCAACAACCAGAACGCTGTTATCCGAAAGTACGGCCTCAACCTCTGCCGACAGTCCTTCCGAGAGAAGGCTGCTGACATTGGTTTCACCAAGTTCCGATAAGTCTCTCATGAGTATTTATCAATAAAAATGAATTATTCTTCGACTAGTCGACGAGCGTAGTAGATCTATGTCACTGAGCGAATCCTGAGCGTAGCCGACGATGACTGTAGACTGTAGACCGACTGTAGAAAGGTGCTTCATGTGGCAACTTGATGCTACTTGTACTTGTACCTTTCTGTGTATATACAAGCCCAGTACAAGAGATGTACATACTCGTATTCGTATCCTAGTCTGCATCACGGGATCTCCTGCTGTACGTACATTACTAGTACTTCTTTCGAAGCGGCAGGACCACTGGGGAAGTGCTGGGGGTTTGACGGTGACGGAGATGATGGAGAGACGGACATCATACCGGGCAGTTGTCAGACTACTTGCACATTTGTAGCCGGTGCTTGAGGCGGGATTTTGGCTGGGCGGACTGGTACAAGTATTATCTCGACTTAAGACTGGCGTGAAGAAGCGTACAAGTACATACTCCGTACATAGGAGCTTTAGCATCTCCAAGACCTTTAAACGGAGTGTTTCTTTCTTGAATAGAGTGCTTCATTCTTGGTAAAAAGTCCGTGTTTCCTTCTTGTTCCATCTGGAAGCTCTGTTCGTCCGAGTAGTGGTGGAGGGATCTACAAGTAGTGGATAGAGAAGCAATGGAGAGGATAGAAACTGTAGAACAGAATACCGGTAGACACTGTAAATGATTTGGCGGTTGCCTGATAGGTCAAAGGGTCATTATCGCTTGAAATCTTTTGATTTCCGTTGATATCACGGACTTGGATTCGGGCTAGAATGTTTTCTACAAGTACATATCGGTATTTGCGCATACAAAAAGCAGACAGCGAAACTACATACAGCCTTTATACTGTAGCATCTGGCTGTAGATCTTCAGAGTGGACAGTAGCAGGAGTAAACGCTCAGATAGCCAACACCTCGCTCCCCCTCCCTCCCTCCACTGTATCCCACCTTCCAGCCGTGCATATGGGATGTTTCAGCCACACTCCGTTTGAAATACTAGTATCAACAACTCTATCGATCCCATAGAGTCCATTCGGAACTCACCATGGACTTCAGCCGTCTCCGATGCTCTTTTCTAGTCACACTTGCAGTTTCTATGCTGTTAGGAATCATCTAGAAGATGGGTGAGACGTAGATCAAGGCGGAGAGAGTGGCTCAGGTACATTTCGGTGTGTGGGGAAGCTAAGAACAATCTGAAACCACCGATCGACTCGGAGAGGCGAGACGGTCACTCTGGTATCACTCTTGTGTTGACAAGTCCGCGCTATCCCCCTCATATCTTGGTTGCTCCAGAATCACACTTGCGATCATACTTGCATAAGGTTTGCAACTAGGTTTAGATACTCTGAATTTTTTGCATGGTATCTCTTATATAGACTTGGCTATCTTCTCATGACTTAGCAGTGTTCCACCAACACAATTTTTTTACGACAAGACAGAAATACTTCAACGACCATGTCAACAACATACACATGCAACACGTGTGTTCAGCAGTTTCCCAACTCGGAAACGCAGCGTGAACACATGAAGACGGACTGGCACAGATACAATCTCAAGCGAAAGGTGGCCGGTCTGCTGCCCATCGCTGCCAACGTGTTTGCGTCCAAGGTGCTCCAGCAGTCCGAGGCTGTTCCCGAGCGACGACAGAAGCAGATCACAAAGAAGGAGATGAAGTACCAGGAGCGGATGGCCCGACGAGTCGTGCGACCCTCATCCCCCACCGAGTCCCAGGCGTCTGAGTTTTCTCTGGGCTACGGCTCGGGCGTTGATACTCCCACTGAGGGCGATGCCATCCACGAGACTGCCACAAACGGAGACGAGTCTTCGGATGTGTCTTCTTCCCTATCTGAAGACCTCAACACAAAGCTCAAGCACCTTAATCTCGATGAAGAGACCCTGCAGAGCGTCAAGCATCTCGACACAGATACCATCAACAAGCTGGCACTGCGACGAGCCATCCCCAACACGGACTGTGTGGTGTGCGGCGTGCATAACGACTCCGTGGAAGCCAACGTTGAGCACATGACCAAAAAGTACTCTCTGTACATTCCCGAGCAGAAGTATCTTACCGATCTCGCCGGGCTCATGTCCTACCTGGGCCAGAAGGTCGGTCTCGGCTTTGAGTGTCTGTCGTGCTCTTTTGTGGGCCGATCGCTCGAGTCTGTGAGACAGCACATGCTCATGAAGGGCCACGTGCGAATTCCCTATGAGTCTGAGGACGAGAAGCTCGAGCTGGGAGATTTTTACGACTTCACCTCGTCCTATGATAAGAAGTTGCCTGTTTCTGATGCCGTGGCCAACGACGATGAGGACTGGGAGGATGACGATGAGGAGATCAACTCCGACGACGAGTACGACGACGGAATGCTCTATACCGACGAGACCGGCACCCAGCTGGCTCTGCCCTCCGGTGCACGAATCGGACACAGATCCATGGCCCGGTACTACAAACAGTCTCTCAAGCCCGAGCCTCGAGACGGCCAAGCCACTGTCAATGCTGTGGACATTCGACGGCCCGATGTCAGAGACCCTGCTGCTTTCAGAGAGCAGAAGAAGATTTGGAAGGAGGAGAAGCGGGTTGCCAACAGGAAGGATGCATGGGAGTTGCGACGAAACAACTTCCAGAAGCATTACCGAGACGAGTTGCTGCAGTAAGCGAACGAGCCGCAGAGTACGCGCGAAGCGAGTGCTTACGAGTTCGAGCTGGAGCATAGGATACATACAGAGTATGTACGAGTCTTTCATGGTGTTGGTTGCAGCCGTTTGCAACGGTTCGCACAGTTTGCGAGGGATTGGCATAGACGTCTTGATGACCTTATAGCATTGTAATAGCATTTTTATTGATGACAGAACGAACAGTGGGACGTAGTGGCGTAATGAGTCCGATATGGGAGCGACCGCCGGGTATTTGTATGTGTGTGAGGCGGTTGAGCGTTGTTTCAGTTACCTGTGATGTTGTGACGATACATCTGAAGGTGATCTCTTTGAAGACAATGGGGTATCTCATGGAAGGTGGCCACTCGGGACTAGTGGCGACGGTACGGTACAATAATTGTGTTATTGCCAATCTCATTGAAAATAGACCTACTGCTTGTGTTCTGATGTCAGTGGAATCTGTGGAATCTTCAAAGATCGAATGGGGTGACGTGGTGCATATCTTGTAATTTACTTGACATTATAGTTTGATTTTGTTAAAGATTTAACAAGGGGAACGTGGGAGGTCTTGGACCGGCTGGTGTCTTATTGTTGGGGTATGTGACGCCTCTTGACCCCCGTGTGCTGTATGGTGGCGTCCGTCTTTACTTGAGCTTTCTTTACCTACTACAAGTAATGCACCATATGTGGTATTCTTCCTATCTCTCCTCCATTTAGCATGTCCATATAGACGCCATATTGGGGAGTTGAGTTTCGCCAAAACTCACGTGACGGTACCGAATCATGGAAGATGAGATCACATGACCTGGTGCAACCCCGCGGTTCTCCCGAAATAGCGCTCACTGGCTCGCTTATTGTGTTGTAGCAACCTCGTATGGTGGACCAATTTCGGCAGCACGAATTTCTTTTTCTGTCTCAGCGGGGGTGCGAGGGTTTAATTATTCCAGTTCGGGGCGATGAGGTGGATCGGGTTCCGATCCGACATTCATACTGTACGATACAGTGCGATGAAGTGCTGTATGGGCACGAGCACAGTACAAGTATGTACTGTACTTGAAAGATGGCCGGTACTGTACGAATACACCATCCACGGTTTACCAATATCGGTCTCGTACTGCATCGACATACGAAACATTGAATACCCCCGTCTCAGATCCACCTCATCGATACGGCCTGGGCTATGCCGGCAGACGGTGTCCCCAACGTCTTATCGGCTGCCCCCTGATCGGCGGTGGTGATACGCGGTGGGTCCTTGAGAGTAGGTGCAAGACTCGGCAGTGTAACGTTGGAGGAGGTAGTGTTGGATGAGATACGAGGGATGACGTTAAAAGAAGGGTGTAGTATAGCAGCTATTGCTTCTGCGACAAGACCAGATCAGGACAAACCAGAACCGCGACAAACCAGAACCGCGACAAACCAGAACCGCGACAAGACACGTGATCTGTCAGTTGTCATTCTTTTGTATCTCGGAGGCCGACTCGCTGACCGGCCGGAAAGGGGGCGGGAGCCGACATCAGACTTTCCGACGGAGTATGCTATGCATTCCAAATTTTTTTTTTTCTTTCTTTTGGGAATGTTGAGTGAGAAGTAAAGTGGGAGAAGCACCGTACGAGTACAAGTTGGGTGGATGGGAGAGGGAGTTTGAGTGGCTTGGACAGCTCCTTGTGGGTCTTGGACGGCCGTAACATGTTCAAAATGGGCTAGATCGGCTCTGAAAGCGACGCTGGAGCTTACCCTGCCGGCTCCACCTGCTCCACAATGGCAACCTTGGGGTGGTCACTGCAGTAATTGCCGTGAACCCTACCATATTGTAGGTACAATTCTGCCGGTCTAACAATGATGACAATTCTAACAATGATGACAATGGCGCAGAGGAGATATGTACGGCACATTCCGCACACATTGGCGGAGACGAAGAAACGTGTCTGCAACGCATCTGTACCTCGGGTGGCATTCTGGCATTGGGGCTTGGTGGCTCGGTGGCATTGTGGCTCGGTGGCATCTTAGTCAGTGGACTCGGTTGGTGAAGTCTCCTAAATTAGACCCACCGAGAGAGACAGAATACGCTTTATACGAGAGCATGGAAACCCAAGCGAATGAGACAGGGAGGGGAGGGAGAGCAACAAGGAGAGTTATTTTGGATGAGTTATTTTGGATAAGTTACTTGTGGCCAGAGGAAGCGGCGTAAATGGAGTGTGCGGTGTGCGGACTGAGCTGGGCTAACCAGGTGCCAGGTCTCGGCTATTTGACGGCAGTCGTACTACTGTATCGCTCTCAGGGCAGGCCGTTCGGAACAGCCGCGCAATGACGTATGACAGCGGACCAATGTCGATGCCTTCTGCACCACGGTGGGCAAGGCCGGAGTCAGCCCATGGCGATTGATCTTGGCGTACTGGTATTGTACAAGCAGTTGGTGTAGAGGTTGCGTTGCCTACAGTTGCTCCCAACAGTGGCCACAGTTGCCAACAATGCGTAGCCACAATGCGTAGCCACAATGCGTTGCCAACAGTGCGTTGCCAACAGTGCGTTGCCAACAGTTGCTCCATGTCGCCTCGCAGTTGCTCATGATGTCACTTTGCTGTGCTTTGCTGTACTTGGCTGTCACTGTCTTTTGTCACTTTTCCACTATCTCCTTGCCTGTCTGGTCACTTCCAGTGAACGTTGGAAAAAAATAAAATTAGTGCTTTTTTTATAACATAATGCTGTGCATGGGACAATGGATATCCGAACCTTGTGTGGAATGCTAGACAAACATTTGCACAATAGACACTACGACACGACACTACAATACAACACATCTTTCAGGCACGGGAATACGATTCTAGGTACGACATGCCCAGGCAGGCTTCTGCGGTCGCATCTTTGGCATTTCCCCAAAATCCACGCCCCAAACCGCCAAACCTCCAAACCGCCAAACCTCCAAACCGCCAAACCACCAAACCACCAAAGTCGGCTTATCAAAAACATCCAATAATCTCCACTCTTTCTAGCGTCTGGAGGCTTGGCAGCACACGACAAACGTGCTGCTGATCGTCGTTGGAGTGTATCTGAGAGGCGGAGAGGGAAGAGAGTCTTCGTTATCGTCGTTGTCGTCGTCACCGTTGTCGTTGGCGTATTATCGGGGACCGGGCTCACCCAGTTAGTAACCAAACTAGTCCAAGTAGCCCACTAACGGCCGCAGTAGCTCTACACCATCCCTTGCTTGCAACGTTAACATTGCCCCGTGTTTATTGACCGTAGAGTTGGCCGTTAGGGAGGACCGGGGCCCGATGGGGAGGACCGGGGCCCGATGGAGAGGACCGGACGCAGATTTAGACAGACGGAGATACTCGCCAGGCCCCCGCCAGTTGAGTGCAAGTTGCCCCCTTCCAACCCAAGCCCCCCGCTACGCGCTACCCGCTGCAGTTTTCGACCGCTGTCATCCCTCTCCACCCTCAACCTAAAGAGACTATTATTTTGAGCTTGCCTATTGCAGAGCCGGCAAAAGTGGTGACCCAAAAAGCCTACGTAAAACCGCACATCTGGGGCAACTAGAGTTCGGAGCGACTCAGCCGGGTGGAGCCAAATGGGGAAATGGAGTAAATATAGCTTGCCATTTTTGATATTGGTGATACACATTGTCCATCTGGTTGTGACACCCATATCGACCACCACCAACGCGTAGCCCCTGGATGCGCGCGTACTATTGTAGCCGCAGATAAAAGTCTCCACCCCCCTTTTGGTGCCTTGTCTGGGCTATTTTTGACGTCTTTCTACCGCTCCCTTGTTGTCACCTCAAATGCATTCACGCACCACAAGTCTGGTTTTTTTTTTTTTTTTTTGTTTCTTGTGAGTGTGCAAAATCTGCCGTGCAGCAGTTGGACAGTTGGACATCTAGACAGGCAATGGGGCAGACAAATATCTACAATCGATCTATTTTCGCAGGTTTGAAACAGCTCGAATCACCACCGCCAAAACCTGCCCAAAACCTGCCCAAAACCTGCCCAAAACCTGCCCAAAACTTGCCCAACTCACCTGCCCAAAACCTCCTTCAATTTTCATTTCTCGCGTGATGGCATTAAGCTCCACCAGCATATAGCCTAAACTATCCCTCCGACTGTTTCACCACAAGAAAGCATGGCAGCTGCAGCGCCAAGTGCCCTTTTCTCAACATCACCAAACACAACCACTTTCGCCCTCCCTCTTTCTCTCTCCCTCACGCTTCTCGCTCCTAGCACATCTCCCGTCTGGCAGCGCTCCACCGACATCACACCCACCTCCAACTTCCCCGGCTTATCACTAGCACCAATCTTGTCTTATCAGTCACGCAACCAAGTGCAAGTATCATACAAGGACAGCATCACCAGTCAACAAGTCATTCGTTAACCTGAAGGATATCACACCAGTCCAACACGTCATCTTACACGACACAACACCAGAAACATTGCGGACACCCCTGACGACAACCGTGACGACAACCGTGACGACAATCCTGACGACATAACCCATCACCACACAAGGACACCCAACCATGACAGAAACACTGCGAACACAATGCACCTGGCTGGGGCTCTACTTTTTCTTCAACCTGGCCCTCACGCTCTTCAACAAGGCGGTCCTCGGATCCTTCCCCTTCCCGTACACCCTCACCGGCATCCACACCCTGTGTGGCACTCTGGGTTGCGCGCTCTTACACTGGAGAGGCGTCTTTAAACTGACCCGGCTATCCGATCAGGAGAACACCACCCTCATTCTCTTCTCCATCCTCTACACCATCAACATTGCCATCTCCAACGTGTCGCTGCAGATGGTCACCGTGCCCTTCCACCAGGTGGTCCGGGCAACCACCCCCTTCTTCGCCATGCTCATCAACGTGGTCTTCCTGCGACACTCGTACACGGTACTCACCTACCTGTCTCTGGTTCTCGTGTGTGCCGGCGTCGGATTCGCCACTGCAGGAGATTACTACTTCACCGCCATGGGCTTCATTCTCACCATTCTGGGCGCCGTTCTCGCGGCCGTCAAGACCGTGGTCACTAACCGTATCCAGACCGGCCGGTTCAGACTCTCCCCTCTCGAGCTGCTCTACCGTATGTCACCTCTTGCATTTGTCCAGACCCTCGTCTACGCCTACCTGGCCGGCGAGCTGGACGTGCTGGGTCTTCGGCTCTCGAGCCCCGAGGACGTGGTTGGTGCCACTGCCTCTGCCACCTCGGGCCCGCTGTCGTTCCTCGGAGGCATCGACTACACGGAGATTGAGTTTGAGTACAGCCAGAAGCTGATGCTGCATCTGCTGCTCAACGGCATCATTGCGTTTGGCCTGAACATTGTCTCCTTCACCACCAACAAGAAGACGGGCGCGCTGACCATGACCGTGGCCGCCAACGTGAAGCAGATCCTCACCATTGTGCTGGCCATCTTTTTCTTCAACCTCACCGTCACCCCGCTCAACATGATGGGCATTCTTGTGACGCTGCTGGGAGGAGCCTGGTACGCCAAGCTGGAGCTCGACCGAAAGAGCGACAACTCTGGCGCCGAATCTGCGCTCCCCGTCAAGGAGGCCAACAGATCGCAGGCGTAAAAGTAGGAAGAAGGAAAAGGAGGAAAAAACGACCTTCTTAAGAGGAAAGGCACGGTTCCGGCGTACATATACCCAGCCTAACACGAACCTACGCGCCGCCAATCATAGCATTTGAGCTTTTGGGTGGGCCAGATAGAGTGACACGCACGGAAGAGAGATAAACGAGATGATGTTCTCACTCTAATGCAGCCTCTCCATCTGAGTCAGACGCCCCCTGTCGCTTGCTCGCATCATCGTATTCACATTTCTTCTAATGACGACTTGGCATTCTTCTTTATTTGTACCTGTTCCAGCACCACCTCCACCTTGGCTGTCTTACGCACTCTATTCTAGAAACGGTCGACCAGTGGCACATTTGGCGCGCAAACATGGTTATACATATTCTTTGCATATATACAGCGAATAGATTTGATTGATTGTTGTTCGCTGGTTCCGGCGACAACCGCCTGAGCGGTTATCTTTTCATAGTCTTCTGTCAGACTACAGACATGGTGTGAAATACAACTAAATGCAAGCAACCGCCGGCTTGCTTTATAGAAAGGGAATCACAGTCTCATCTACTCACAGCTACAAGTGTATGTACTACTTGTAGTGCCTGATCGCAAGTGACGTAAATAACTCAGAGAGGTGTAACGTTGAGATTGGAGAATGGGGAGCAGGAATAGAAATAGCATTTGTAGTGTGTGGATGGTTTTTACCAGTGGGCATGGTTGAAGATGGTGTGGATTTTATGGGGGTTCGAATATATAATAGTACTCTGGAGCTCGCAGCGATCAAAACGATACCATGAAGACATGGTTTGGACCATCTCAAGCGCCAGGTCTTGGAATGGGCGTCCTGTCTTGTGTTTCTGCACTTGTATTTGTAATTATCAGTCTGGCAGTTTCTATACTATACTTTCGACTGAAGGTTCACTGTGCCTTGCGGTTCTATATTTAAACGATGACCTGAAATACCACGAGTAATAGAGATGGGGAGTTGGGGGTTTGCAGGGAGGTAGATATGGCGTCTACGAGTACCATATCCAAATACCGCGTTTCTAGGACCGAAAAGGGTGTTTTAACCGTGTTTTGGAGGCGTAGGCCCAGAAGGGCATTGCAGTTGAAATTATCAGACAGGACACCCAGATAACCATCAACCATCAACCATCAGACACCATCGACAACCTCTACATCACTCGTAAACACCCTCATGTTCTGATCTCATGATCACCCCACAACCTAATTAATCTTCGGGCTGGTTTTGGTCGGGCTACAAGGCTGTGTACAAGTCGGGGTGTAATGTATTTACAGTGTTGAGAATGAGCTTGAGAACGGGAGTAAGACCACGGCTGAGTGCCACGCGATTCCATCCACCGAGTGAAGCTCAGTGTTAGTGTGGGGGTGCAGTAGCTGTGGTGCTACGGTATTACTCCTGGAGACCGTTAGTCACTGTACAAGGCCGTCAGTGTACATCGTGTATACCGTCTTTCGGCAATCATGTGATCCACCAACGGCTTTCATTTCCGACTTTCGAGATTCTTTGCCCGGATTCCGGGTATTATTTCCGAGCCGTTAAAGGTTGGCAGCGACAAACTCTCCAAACTCTCGCTGTTGATGTCGGCCAGATTTCGTCACAGATGAGGCTCGGTGGGGAGCCTGTAGGAAGACTGACTGTAGCGTAGCAAGAGACTCAAAGGGGCTACTTGGAATGTACTATAAGTGAATGTCGAAGCTCCATTCACCGCTCATGCATCTACAGAGTCGGAATCGGTGCTATGAAGCCCGTCAAATAGTCCGAAAAGGCCCGTCGCGTATAGCTCCCGGTCTTGGCTGGTATGTGAGCGTGAGCTGTGCCTCTGTACCGCACACTGGCACACTTTTTGGTGCATGGCCAAGGCCCGTAAAGTGCTGGTCTCCTCTGGGCCTCCTCGGTTTGGCTCCGAGACTAATCTTGGCAGAGCTTAGTATCATTTCTCGGAAAAGTTTACCCTGGCCAACAGAGGTTGGTCGTAGCCCCTGTGGGGTTGCGAGGAGCGGGGTAACCACCTCATCAGCAAGAACTTCATTCCACCAGTTGATTTCACCGGATTCTGTCCTTCTTTCGGCCATCCATGTCTCTGATATCCACTCAATATACCTCACTCTGAGCTTCCCAAGAAAAAAAATAAAAATACAGCATCTGCATCCTGTCTCGCACCCTAACTGTAATGGGCCGTCTTCGCCTCCGAGGTATAGCGGGTTAGCCTTGAGGGCGACTAGTACTAAAGCGCAGCGTCTGCAGTTGTCTTCTTTTTCGAACCTCAGCGTCTGTCGTTCATACTACAAGTAGGTCAACTTCGTTCACCATTGCCCCCCCCCCACTCACTCACTCACTATGACCTCAATCCTGGGCAAGATCCAGAACCAGCTGGAGTACCGAAAGGTCACCTCCAAGTACATCAAGCGACGCCCCTCCGCCGTCAAGCTCCATAACGACGAATACAACCACTCGGCCACCTCTCTGGATGACGACTATGGCTACCACGACCGAACCACTACACCCAAGTCCCCCTCCAAGTCCCCCTCCAGTCCCAAGAGATCACCTCTTAAGCCGCCTTCCACCTCGTACTTTCTGGAATACGAGCCAGGCTTTGATCGAGCACGGGAAGGCAACGGACGAACCGCTTCCAAGGCTTCCAAGGCTTCCAAGCCGGCCATGAAGAGAGCAGATACCTACAGCTCGTCTCACTACGACAACTCCAGAAGTTCCTCCGTCTACTCCATCAATAATAGCGCTCCCGCTTACGACCCCCCCAAAACCAGATCCCATAGCACCGGCTCCTTCAACTTCACGCCTTCCACCCGCCACAGATCGGGCACCAACGCGTCCAGAAACTCCAATAACCCCTGGGCCGACTCGCTACCTGAAGAAAAGCCCGAAACCAGCCACTCGGAACACATGAGCCAACAGGAGCTCTTCGACCCCAACTACCTGGACTTTTTGGCCACCAAGAAGGCTCCTCCTCCCCCCCCAGTGTCCCATCACCACAGCTACGGTGACAATCCTTTGGCCGACGACACAGACAACCTGACCACATACCACTCGCGAGAAGAAGACCGGGGAAGATATAACACGGAGGGCGTCACGGACCGATACGACGCCTTTGACGAGGACGGATACGGCCAGTTCTCGAGAGTCAAGACCAGACAGAGCCAGGGTAACTTGAAGAAGTTAGGACGACGACTGTCGCTGTTCCGCAACTAAAGACTCACCTCTAACCATTGAAAGTTCTCTCATTAACTCACTCACACTGTTTAGCACCATTTAACAATATATTTATGTCATGATTAGCCGAATGTTTGTAGATTTAATAGTCTCTAGTGGATTCATCTTTGCCTGTTGGCTTGGAGTAGGGCATCCTAACATGACCAATAATGATCAGATCTCAATTCTGAAAAGTACAAATAGATCTGAAGAGGGTCGATTGGTATAAATATCAAATTTCAAGTCAATATTACAAGTCTTCACCGACTTTGCCTATGTACTATGTCCTCTTCTAGCACTACCCTCATTACTTACACCACAGAGTCACGAATACTCTTATAACGACTCTGAAAGTCGCACGATAACAAGAACATACCTCTGACAACTGCTGCCATCTTCTCAAACCTCCATATCCGAAAATTAAGAACAGTTCTCAAAGTTCCGATTACATAAATCATCACAACTTTTGAAGATATGTGGTTAGCAACACAGCAAAAAGAATACGTCTAGACGACACTATACACTCCGATACGGGGAATCGAACCCCGGTCTCCACGGTTCTCAACTTGAGAGCGTGATGTGATAGCCCCTACACTATATCGGATTGGATGAAGTTCCGATTTTGACAGGGACTACTGGTTTAGAAAGGTGCTGACAAAAGACCGGAGTAACCAGGCTAGAAAGGTATCGTTCTGGCACCTTTGATACGATTCTTGCATGTTTTATACCTGTGTTGCCCTTCTATTACTTTCCAGACTTGTTCTGGTACAAGTATCGATTTGCCTTTTCATCTACTGTTTACTGTACCATGCACTTTTCATTATTATCAACTCGTCTGTATCATTCAGACCAATGCATCCCCTATAATACCCATCCAAACTACTTCAGCGTCTTGAGAGCGGTCTCAATGACCTTCTTCTCAGTACCTCGAATGACAATGGCAGCCTTCTTGGTTCCCTCTACCTTGGGCAGCACCTTTTTGTACTCCTCCGAAGTCATACCTCCATCCTCGTACCTTTTGAGTCGAGCATTTAACAACAGCTTCTTGGCCTTGTTGATATCCTTGTCCAGACGTCGAGAACACACCTTCTTCTTGTACTCCTGGTCGGTCATGAGCAGCAGAGTGAGCATGGCGTTGACACAAGGTCCCCACTCAATTTTGTTCACATCGCCGTCCGAGTAGGCCACAAACACCTTTTCCGACAGCTCGGGGTCCCGTTTCCGCAGCATCTTGAGCCGGTCCATTCGTCCAGCCTTCTTGGCGTAGGCCATGGCTTCTTTCCACAGAGAAATGACTTCCTGCGAGTTGTTCCAGATGGCAAAACCGTACCGGGCCAGCAACATGGAGTTTGGCAGGTCTCCATACGTGTTGAAGATTTCCTTTCCGGCCTTGATATCATTCTGCAGCTGCATGTCACAGATTTCAGAGTCTTCCTCCTCCTCATCTTCATCATGCTCGTCTCCTTCCTCCTCATCCTCCTCGGTTTCGCCGTCCTCCATCTCCTCGTCTTCATCACCACTTTCAACCTCTTCCATCTCCTCTTCTCTCTCCTCGTCGTCATCTCCATCTACCGACTCGTCAGACCAATCGTCTTCCTCGTCGTCATGCCCATGATGGTGGTCTCCGCCGGAACAGCAGCTTCCGCTGTGCTCATGCTCTTGCTCTTCAACGTCGTGGTCGCAGTAGACATCTCCACAAACAGGACAGACGCCAAAGTCGGTCTGGAAATGCAGATCGGGGTCGTCCGAGTGGTTGAAGAGACAGGCGCCAGGCACCAGACACAGCTCGCGGAACTGGTCAACCTCAAAGGCCCGCGATGCAATAACCACCACGAGCTTCTTGAACTCGTCAAACGAGGGGCACTCCAAGTTGATGAGCTTACCATTGTCTTCAAAGAAAGGCACAATCAACTCCTGGTACACCTCCTCGTCTTCCCCGGTCTCCAGGCCGCCAATCTCCTCAACCTCCGTGCCGCTCAGAAGAGCCCGGTCCTCGTCGTTGGACCAGAACTTGGGGATCTCAGGCACATCGGCAATCACGGGCTTGAGAGACTCAAAGAACTCGTGCCATGGACTCTGGTCACCTAGAGACCGCTCGTAGAGGAAAGCCACAAGAAGACCGGCAATATTATCCAGATCGTGCTCGTCCAAAAGATTGGCAATGCCACAGGTTCGAGGAGACAGGCAGGCGCTCTTGGGCACCTTGAGAACAATGTCGCCGGCGTCGAGATCCTTCTTGGCAAACACTCCTGTGCCTCCAAGCTTGGAGGTGCGAATCTCGACCTCGGGGTGGATCCAGCACTCGTTGTCGTCAAAGAATTTCAGCAGCGATTTCGAAGCCTCGTCGCTCATTTTTGGTGCGTTGTGATGATCGGTTGATCTGAAAAAAAATCACTGATAAAAATTCTGTATACATGACACATGCATCTGAAGCTTATCTGCGGACGACGAAAATGAAAGGTCCATGGAATGAGCCGAATAGAGGTGGTAAGAAGGAGAGGACTTGTTTGATTGATTACAGAATGCAATTGAAATGCAGATTCAAAGTCCCCGATCTTTTGCAACCGGTTTTCGTGTTGATGGAATGGATCGACTCACTTTGATCCTACTTGGAAGATCAGAGGAGATATAGGAGGGTGGATGTAAGATTGTATATGGGTGTTGGTGTAAATATATTACTTTTGAATACCCCCAATATCATTTTGTTGGTACATATCTCTTCAGTATAGTCTTACGTACACCCTAACTAGGTCTTCTTGATGTTGACAAATTAGTCTGAGATCTCATATAGCAACACTCTTCATGACAGACTAAGGTGACCATTCAAGTGATAATATCGGTATTTTTCAATGCGAGTCCAGTCTGAACCACCCTCTGTTCAAATTATCTCCTCCTCATCGATGTCACACAACCTGAATCACGCTCCAACATCGGAGATGCGTTAAAGTACGAGTACGAGTACATACAGTACAGTATGTACCGTTCTTGTGGCATGGGAATGGTATGTACCAAGATGTACATCTATTTACAAGAGTGGGATCTCATTAGCCTAACACCTATCCCGGAATACATGTGTCGAAAACAGTTGATAGAGTAGTAGATGGATCTAGGACATACCGGTACAGTACAAGTACTGTGGTACACCGTAAGTAGATCGAGGATCAGACCGAGGATATTTTTTTGTTTTTTTTATTCTAATGATTCATTTTCAGGACGAAGCTTACTAAACCATCTGCCCAATCTCTATCCATCTCTTTGCCCTAGGCACACCTGTCCCAGTGGCCGAGTGGTTAAGGCGTTGCCCTGCTATTCTAATAGCTGTCAGGCAGTGGGTTTTGCCCGCGCAGGTTCGAATCCTGTCTGTGACGGTTTATTTTTGAGCTTTTTGCCGCTCCGAAAGCTCACCAGTTCCAAATGTCTCGGACAACCAAAACAGGTCGACATTCCGGTGGTATGCACAGCATGTTGACATGTGGGATTGGGTTTAGGAGGTGACTCCCAACAGAAAGAAGGTTGAAATTACAGTTAGATCTGCCCCTGCACGAGTGAGGGGCACGGGAGTCTCGAACCAGTGACCTGAACAGCCACCATAACAAGCACCATTAGTAAGACGAAATGTCTAGATAGGGACACAGATACAGTCATGGAAGTGCTCGGCGTTCGCGTGTGTGCGGGCGCATTTTGGGTACAAGTACGGGTATTAGCCACAGGCTTAGTGTCCGCAGTTAGTAAAGTAGCTGTGATGGTGCTGCTCCCAATGACGCCCAGGTGTGACGTAACTGCAGTAGCTGCCATGTCTCTGGTCTGGGGTGAACGTGAAACAAGTAGCTCGTGAATCTGATACAAGACAGCTCCGGTCCCGCTACACGACAGCCGCCCACTATACAGCTGTCTCAGTGTCCCTGCCTAAGTGTGATTGTGTTTGTTTGGAGCACAGAGACCGGGCTACCCCTGTCAGATGCCACCTCGGGGACGCTGACTACGTTTGCACCGTTCATGTCTCAAGTCTAACTCTCGGGACCGGCCACTGACACTCATTTGTCTCACTTGTCTCACTGTGGTTGCATCCTTCTCGTTTAGATTATTTCCCCGGCAACAGGCCACTTTTTTCACACCCCGAAGAGAAGCGGGGGATTGGCGAGCTTACAGCGTGGACATGTGAAGCTGTGACATCATGGGATCCGTACAGCGTGCCACCATGACTTGTAACAGGGCCATGTGGAACATATGGATGGGCATCCATACGACGAGCTACGGGACATGTTTCAGAGTCGGCGCGACTCACGTCTCGGCGTGCGGGAGATGGAGGCATGACATGAGGAGGGAGATGGACGATGGACAGGGAGGAGGTACAAGTAGGTGGATAGGAGGGAAGAGCGTAGCATTGTTGGGAAAAACGTGCTTGTACTCGAGATTGATACTTGCACAATGCATGAATAACGGTCTTCGGTAACAGTACGAGTACTGTGCGTACCCTACCGGCCCTACCGGTATGATCATAGCGCATCACGTACCGAACAAGACAGAGACGACCCAAGACACCAATAAGAGAGCCGTTTGATACCCCTCCACTCCATCGCACACCCTCGTCTCCCCGGAGTTGCAAATTTTTCCCACTAGCCAAAGGTAGACGAGAAATGACTTTGGCCAACCACGAGTAGAGTCTCCCGTACGGTTCCGAGTATATCCCATCTTGGGACATGCGATACGGCGTTCGGAATGAGTCCTAAAGACGATTTAATATTGCCAGAGTCGTCGATTGTGGTCGTATTGCGTATTCCGGGATATTCGGGAATTAATTTCTCACCGTGTGTCTCTTTATTTTGACCAGGATCCGAGACTCTAGAGTGCTTGTACTGCTGTACAGTATGTACGTACCGGTTCTTGTTCGATAAGATCGGCATATATCGGTCTCCTTAATACGATACGACAAGGTGTGGAAGTCTCTTGTTGGACGAGGCCCACTATTCCACCGATCGATGGAGCTAACGGCTCGTAAAGAGTAGCAAGCCATGAGCCGAGATGGACTCCTACTATCGTTCAAGTACAGATATCGTCCGCTACTGCCTCGTTCATACGGTTAGTCATTATCATTATCTATAAATATGTACATTAGCTGATTTGTTAGTAGAGCATTTTGGGTGGGGGGATATGCAATTAGTTGGTCCGTTGGTTTAGGCGAACAGTCGGGCTCGGGGGTCGCTCATGCCAAAGTCGAACCGGTCCACGTCGCTGGTATGGTTGAGCGAAAAGTGGAACGGCTCGTTCTCCTCGCTGCGTCGACGCTTGACGCCTCGATCCGACACGGCCGTTGGGGATACGTCGGGAGTGTAGGGCGTCGAGAAGATGGACGACGTGTGGCTGAGAGGCGATACACTGGAGGTGTGACTGAGAGGTGACAGGTTTGATTTGAGAGAAGGAGCAGGGAGCAGAGACACGGGAGACGTGGGAGGAATAGGCGCCTTGGTGTATGTAGGAATGGCAGAGGTTGCAGGCCTCTCCTCAGTGTCCTGTCCAAGTACAAACATGTCGCAGTTCTTGATCTGTTCTCGGAGCTGGGTGAGGCTGATTCTCGACTTGACATCGGCGGTGAAGATGCGGTTGAGAATGCCGGCAAACTCATCGCTAACAGGCAGGATCTGCTGCAGGAACGACGGGTCCTTGAGGTACTGGCGGTAGGCCTCGTCCGAGACGTGGGCCCGTTTCCAGGGGTTTCTGCCACAAAAGAGATTGATGGCAATAACTCCCAGGCTCCAGATATCGGCGGCAGCGTTTCCGGCATTGATCTGCTGCACGGACAAGGAGCTGTGGCGCTTGGTCTGTCGCTCGGGAGACATGTAGAAGGACGAACCGCACTGGGACACCTGTTGTCCGGATCGTGAGGCCAGGCCAAAGTCTGCCAGCCGAATGCAAGTGCCTCCCTCGGCCACGAGAATATTTTCTGGCTTAAGATCGCAGTGGAAGACGCCCTTGTTGTGGGTGTAGAGGACGGCCTCGAGCAGTTGGAGCAGGATGATCTTGGCACTGGGGGCGTAGGTCTGGAACATGCCCCGGTCGACAATAGCGGTGAAGAGGTCGTCCTCGCAGTGCTCCAGAACAATGTAGAGACAGTCGCTGGCCTCGTAGACGGCGTACAGCGACAGAATGTAGGGGTGGACCTGGACATGGTTATGGAGGGCGATTTCTCGGTAGATGTGGGATGCGTTGTGGTTGAGGGCCGCCAGAGAAACCTGTTGGAGAGACAGCTTGTGGGCGTTGATGACCTGGCCGCGGCAGTCGTTCAGTTGCGAGCGCTTGCCAACCACCTTGACTGCGTATCGTTTGCTCGAGTAAATGTCAGTGGCTCTGTAGACGGTGCCATAGGCTCCAGTTCCGATCACCTCTTCCAGCCGGAGGTTTCCGAGTCGGGCGTTGAGTTTGTGCATGCTGAGAGAGGGTCTGTGTCGATTCGGGTCGAGGTATCTGTTGCACGCACTCTTCCGACCGGTCGTCTCCATATATATGACCAAAAAGAAGGTGGTAGTCGCCCCCCATGGGTCTTGCACCCGAAAACGCTAATCGGCGCTAAGTCTAGGGGGTATGACAAGGGCCTTTCAAAAAAGCGAGAAGTCTAACTCAGATTCCCCGTGTACAGTGGACCAGAGTGCATGGTACATGGAGAGACGACCGTTGGGATGTGAAACCGGTCTTGAGCAGCACGCTAGACCTTTAGGCCGGGTGTGGAAGGGCTAGGGGCCCGGGGAAACGGGACCACGGGAGATCACCAAGGGGGTTCGAGTGTCCCCGAATTGATTCCGCCTGTTTCCTGCCGTTTTTTGTCGGTCTCTCGTCTATGTACAAGAGCCCTCCCCCCGTTGATATTGTCATTTCCTTGTGCGTATCGACGGGCCTTCTCCCCCTTTTTTTTTTTTGGCTCAATTTTTTTTTTTTTTTGCCATTTCAGGGCCTTTTGTTCGCCCGCTTGTCTTTTTCCTTTTTTGCCAATCTCCCACCGTCAATTTAACACTGACGGCAGCACTCTGCAGATCGTCATGGCCAAATAATATCGGCTCCCTGAGGCTCGAGTAAGAAAAAAATAAAAAATATTTCACCGGTGAATGTACAAAATACCAAAATACGCAAAAAGAGACGAATATGGGCAAAAATAGGCAAACACCCAGCACCACAAGGACCAAAACAATGCACCGGGACGGCCTGGAGCACGTATCCCGCGCAGCGAGATTCGCCTTGTGGCTGCATCGTGTTTTGGCGGTCTCTTTACCCCGGGGGAAATGTGCCGTAACGAGGGTTTTGAGCCATGCACATCCACGTTGATAGTCGGTCTTGAATCTGACATTTTGCCACACTATAAGCCATTAGCCCCTCTCGTGTGCCTCACCCAGGTACCTGAAAGCACACTGTATATATGTATATATGCCCAAACAACGCCACCGCAAAGAACTGTACCTGAGCTGGTACACGACGGCTCGTACAGGTCGTCCGCCAACTGGAGATTTGCTGCTTCCCGATGCTCACTTATCCAACATCATGCGATTTTCGCATTCCGTAATAATATTATCTGGGAGAGTGCAGCGACAAGCCCCCTAAAATGCACATGTAATTAAAGGGGGTTACGGGCCAGAGGGAAAAGAAAAAGCGGGAAACCGAAAAATTGAGAGAGCCTAATTTGGCAAACCTACTTTAAAGTGCCCAACCTAACTGGCACCGTACACACGCCCATCAGTCCCGCAGTCTCTCTTCTCACCTACATACAGTCTCAGTCACTGGATCAAGGTCTCACTTTTGAGTGTTCCCCCGAGCGTTTGAGCTTGAGAATGTGAGTCTGTAGAGCTCATCGGCGGCGTCGGAATGCGAGCGTTTCTCCCAGCGGATACGAGACCCAGAATGCAGCTGCTCGCTCGGGCGAATCACAGCCCTTAGGCACGTCATCTCCTTCAGCCCTACCTGCCTGTCACAGACTCGACAGACACATGACACACAAAGCTTCGGTCATTCAGTCACTTTATCACACGTCCGCGAGATGCATATACTTGTGCTTGCGCTTGCACTTGCACGCTACTTGCGTAGAGCGGGGGAGGAGCGGGGAGACGCTCAACAGTGCTCAACAAACATGTGATAGTAGGCCGTTGGCCGTTTGGGTGTGACCGGCGCCTTGTTAATGTCACATTGTGTTCTTGACGACATGCCCTGTCTCAATCCTATCACTATAATAGAGGTGGAATCCATTACATCTATTGTATGTACTGTAACTACGGTTTGCAGCCCCAACTTGGGAGGCCCAGTGCAACCTTCAGTATCGTACTCTAGCTAAAGCACTGAACGGCTTGAATGCAGGCTTCAGGCGTGCTAGATAAGGCGTATTGGGTTGTTGCCGTTGCGTGGCAATTGTCCTACAACCTGCTATTACAAGCTGATCTTTTGCGACGAGTCATTTATCGACAGCTCAACGTCTACCCATCATCCACCTTCCAAAAGGAGTAATAGTGCCATCTATAGATGGTGGGCTATGATCGTGGCCACTACAATGTAGTAGCTCCTAATCATCAACTGTGGATCGTGTGCCATGCACCTAATTACTGTAATTAGACAACTGCCCGGCGGTGTTATCAGACAGCACGACGATCTTATATAATCAGCCAGCCCATGATGCCTGCCACAAAAAACAGCCAAGAGACAGCCATGGTCCACTAACCCTCATTCAAACTCTCGTCGTACCCTCTTTTCATCCTCCACCTGGCTCAAGTCGTTTCTTTTTGCGACCACGGCCCATGTAGATGCGACCGCTGATCCATGCATCCCCGCGAAGCGGGCCAGCCCAAGGTGACAGAGATGGAACTAGCACATGCCACATGACCCAGCCGTCACGGGGCGTTGGCGGGGGTTCCAGGGTCTATGGTGTAGAATAAAGTCGTTTGCTTGGTGCAATCTGGGGGGTCATTGTATGTACCGACGTGCCAGTGCAAGCGGTGACGTCACAGTGGAGCCATAAAATCCGGAAAACAGGTCATGAGACAGAAGGGGAAGAGTAATCAGTCGATTTTCGACGCGTATTGTCGATATTATTGCCCGTTCAAGCAAGGGATCGTTTTTCTGGCCCGCCAGCGTATTTTTCTGGAGTATTTTCCGCCGTATTTTCCAATTAATTTCAGTCCTGCATGCACTCCACCTTTGAAGAAGTTACAAGCCATATTGGCGATCAACCAGCAGCTGGGAGGCGCGGTGATGGTCCGGCAAAGCACCCAACACACTATCGCAGCTTAGCGCGCCTGTCCACGTCGCGCTAACCACCCTTGAATGTCTCTCGCGGACAAAGTAACACCTACAAGTTCTGTAGCACAACAGACCCTGCCTATTTGGCGGAGACTATTCGAATGACACTGACAGAAGGGCTCCCGCTACTGAACAACCCTGACACTGACAGCTGTAACACAAGTACAGTATGACGATGGATATGAGCAGATAGAAGCTGGATTCTTCCCGCGATCAGCCCAGAATCACACATGCCTCCGGCTATCTAATCAAACACTGATTGAGTCTCTCTGTTGTCTATCTCGTCAAAAGTATTATTCCGCTGCTGCTGTACCGCCAATACGAGTAGCCGGCACTGTACAGTATTCGACGGAAGAATGTACGGGACAATAGCCTGTGACCACTGTCATAATATATTATCGGCCATGCCAGGGTGAACCTCAGCATGTATTCATGGTGTGGTGCATGGTAAAGTTGTAGGAGGTAATTATTGGCAGCGCGGTACGAGTACGTACTGTAGGGTAGGAGACAGTGGATGTGCGAATACCGACTTGGACAAGTTGAACCAATAAAACTAGTGGTAAATCAATCAACATCTACACTTTGAACAAAGACTGATTCATCAGCCAAGTCAGTATCAGTATGCCGACCCCCACAGACAGACCAACTGATTAATCAAACTAAGATCACAAAAAATGCCAATATATAATTTTTGGCCAATTTCCTGTTGATATAATTTGTTTCTAATCAACCAACAACCCCCCATCCAAGGTTCAGACTATACAGTGATGCATGCACGGCCATCCACATGAGAAACCATCGTTGCAGGACAGGGATAAAAGGTCTTGTTTCTGAGAGTTGACGGCTCTCAGAAATAATTATAATTATTGGTGCGGTCGGCCCGGGCTCCCGCAGGCCCGCGATGATGTAATATCTCCGTTTTCAGGGCCCAGATATGGCGTCATTTGTGCCCTCCCAGGAAGCACGTACGCAACATAAAGATACTCTCGAAAACCCCCCCCAAAAAACAAAAAAAAACATATCTCCAGATAGACTCTCAGATTCCCAGGAGTGAATCTGTATAGCATCGGCTATCGTCTCGGGGTTGGGGTTAGTCACAGCTGGAGACAAAGAGCAAACAAAGAAAGCGGGCCTAGGGCACTTGTGGACATACGGGTATGACTCGATGGCCAAACAAGGACCTGAAAAGTTTAAGGGGCGAGGAAAATAATTGGACCAAAAATAGGGGTCTAAAAGAGGGCTAAAACCTGGGTAAAGCTGCTAAAAACTGGACGGAGCTGCTAAATCCTGGACGGAGCTGCTATATCCTGCACAGAGCTGCTAAATCCTTGATGAAGCTGCTAAAAGTCTTGGCCAAAGCTGTTGAAAGTTGGGCAGAACAGCTAAATCCTGCTTAGTCGTGCTAAAAACATTTGGTAAAGCTGGGCTGTTGGCTAGTGGTCCAGGAGGTTGAATTTACTCTGTACGAGTAGAGCTCCAGACTGGGTGTGAATACTTGCTGCTATGCACCGTTAGGCCGATGTTTGCATCTCGATGCTCTCACAACACGTCTCTTAGGTGCGTACAGACAGGGGTAAATCTTGAGAAGCGTCATACAGCGTTTTAGCAGGAGCATGTCGCATGTCTCAGGTTAAAACGGGTCATCAAAACAAATGCTCATAGGTACCATCTATGTTTTGGCCCTGGGCAAACGGTCTAGGAACAGGGGTCATCCGTGCCGCACAAGAAGCTGTTTCCCAAAGCAGCAGGTTCACACCTTTCACATGGTGCAAGTCTGCGGCGACATCAAACGGCTCTGAAACACGCTATCTACTCTGTCGAGCAGGTGGAATGACGATCATTTAGCCCTGTGCCGATCGTGTCGATCCAGCAGTAGATCGATTGGCTTCGACTTGGAGGGGTGGTGGAATATGGAGCTGGAAATAATAATAATGAGCTCCAGAAAATAGAGGCGCTGGCTGCAGAGAATGTGTCAGTGGAAGAAGCAACGATAGCAGTGAGTACCAACCAGCAGCAGCAGTGGTAAGAGCCCAACTCCGAGGTCTGTCCCACAGACAGAACACGGCTGAAGCCGTACGTACATACAGCCAACCATCGATGCATCTACCCCCTTACCACTCCTAACTCCTGACTCTACCAGCCTCCCACAGCCCCGTCTGCAGGCCGTGACGAATACGACTCTCGAGCCAATCGAATAATATACGAGAGAGCTAAACCCGCCGTGAGTGTGCGTCTCCAACGTAGGATCACCAAGGCTGGCTCCCGAATCGGGCATATATTATCTCCAGCACATGCCTCACGTAGAACCACATTGTCGTCAAGTAAGGGGAACAGGGGCACCATGTAGGGGCCAACGGATGCGGCAGACTGAAATAAATGACGAGAATTAGAGCGGCACATCACCACATATCCTAGAACCATGATGTGCGGACTATTGTACCCTCTGTTGGCCCATCTCAAACTGCTCGTATTGGAGCTACAGTACACTCACTTCCACTGTAGATGTACACAACCACATCGTACCAGCCCAAATACAAACGGCAGATGGCCATAGAAGCCGATCAAGACCGTTGATCATAATCTCGACATGTGACAGTACAAGATCCTCTATGACGATGACTATAGGTGAAACTTACGACCATCCCTAGGGCTACCCGACCCTGTCGACCCTGTCAGCCCTGGTCTAACGAAAAACGGGCCTCGCAGACACTGTAGACATACAATGGAGACAGAGACAACCCCTTACATATACAATATCCCTACTGACACTGTACATGGCCTCGCGCTGTAAAAATACTGGCTCTCGCTCCAACATGGCCCGCAGTGTACATGCCCAAGGTAGAACACATGGTGACTGCATACAAGACGATACTGCAAGGCGATGAGTAATCAGACTAGACTCTACCTGAAAGAAAGCTGTCACATTCGCCTCCACTAAGGATACGCCCGCTCCCTTCATCTACACCCACACTCCACCACTCCCTCACCCCCATTTCACATGATCGATCAAACTATATACATGGGTCCACAGGTGTACAATGGAGCACTTCGACGAAGCCATTATGAAAGACGTCTGCATCTGTCAGCAAAACCATCATTTTTCCTCTTGCACTATCCTAATCAAAGCATAGGCTTCTCAACCTGCTTCCCCACGTCCTAACACTTCTCAACAATGATAGAGGAAGCGCCACCACCACCGTTGCAGATGGCAGCACATCCGTACTTGCCGCCTTCCTGGTGCAGAACAGAGTTGAGAGTGACAATGACTCGGGCACCAGAGCAGCCCAGAGGGTGACCAATGGCAACAGCACCTCCGTAGACGTTGACCTTGCTGGAGTCCAGACCAAGCAGCTTGGTGTTGGCGATACCAACAACAGAGAAGGCCTCGTTGAACTCGTAAAAGTCAATGTCCTTGGCCTCGAGACCAGCTCGCTTGAGGGCAACGGGGACGGCCAGAGCGGGAGCAGTGGTGAACTTGACGGGCTCGTTGGCAGCCTCGCCCCAAGAGACAATCTTGAGCAGGGGCTTAAGACCAAGCTCCTTGACCTTGGCAGCAGAGGCCAGAATGACGGCAGCTCCACCGTCGTTGATAGGGGAGGCGTTGGGGGCAGTCACGGTACCGTCCTTCTTAAAAACAGTTCGGGCAGACTTGAGCTTGTCCTCGTTGAGGTTCTTGTACTCCTCGTCCTCGGAGACAACGACACCAGGCTTGCCTCGGAAGCCGGGCAGCTCAATGGGGGCAATCTCGTCCTTAAACTTGCCGGCGGCATAGGCAGCCTGGGTCTTCTTGTAAGAGCCAATGGCAAACTCGTCCTGCTCCTCTCGGGAGATGGAGTGGGTGTCAGCACAGACCTCAGCGGCCACACCCATGGCCTGGCCATCGTAGGCGTCAAACAGACCGTCTCGCTGGATACCGTCGACCAGAGAGCCGTTGCCGTACTTGTTAGCGACACGGGCCTGCACGTAGTGGGGCACGTTGGACATGGACTCGGCACCGCCAGCAATGACAATGTCGGCAGATCCGGTCATGATGGCCTGGGCACCCTGGATGATGGCCTTCATACCGGAGGCACAGACCTTGTTGACGGTGGTAGCGACAATGGTGTCAGGGAGACCAGCCTTGAGGGCAACCTGTCGAGCAGGGGCCTGTCCGACGCCGGCGGAGAGAACGTTACCGAAGATGATCTCGTCGACCTGGTCGGGCTTGATGTCGGTCTTGGCGAGTGCGGCTGGGTTAGTAATGGGAGCGAGGGACGCAAGTGTCCAAGGCACGGGTGTCACGAGCGGACGACTTGATCACATTGGCTAGCAGATGGGGAGTGACTGCCTATGCCGCGATGAATCATCAACACTAGCGAATTCGCGATCGGTCGATACAAATACACTACAACGACAGCCGCAACATGGCCATTGGGATCAGTCGACCAACGACATCACCAGTGGTCTTGGTCGCGATTGTGCCAAGTAGCACATCTGTCATCTTATCACAGCCATCAGCCGTTTCGGTGAAGTCACAGTATCGTGAAGCAAGTTGAGCAACAGTTGTTCGTCGCGCTGTGTTTGTACTGCTCGTTCGGTGCCGTTCCTGTGTCACTCGTTCGGAGTCACTGTTCAGAGTCGTGTTTCATCATGTGCATCCTGTGGTACTCACCCTTCACGGCATGGGCTCCCAGATCCACGTAGGTCTGGCCGCTCAGCGAGCTCAGAAAAGAACCAATGGGGGTTCGAGCAGTAGAAACAATGTAGACGGGCTCCATCTTGTTGGTGTTGTGTTGGTGAAGAGGATGCGTGTGCAAAGTGAGTTTAACGGTATAAGTATTCGTGGTGTGTGACGTGAGTGAGAGAGAGGGAACACGACGATGATCGGCTTTGTGGTGGGTGAAGCTGTGGTGGGATAAAGACACAAAAGAGACAGAGTCCAGGTATATATAGACGTACCCTCCCCCGCTCCTCCTCTGAATTAAGCCTACATCATCACAGCACAAAGCACACTGCCTCCCCAACAGCTCCAGCAGAATGATGCGATCTCGTTAAAGTTTGAGCCGATGGGAACGAGCTACCCGGAGAAAGCGAGGAGCGACCAGCCTCAGCGACGGCGACGTGTACCAATAGTGTTTGGCTGTTTTTTTTTTTTTTGTTTGTTGGTGGAATAAATGTCGGATCATGGATCAATGAGAGAAAAAAGCGGAACAATTACGAAAAAACAGAAGAATCAAGGAAACACTGCCAAGTAGACGGAATAACCAGGAGAAAATTCGTCAACAAACGGAATAATCAGGTAGGCGGCCGTACCTGTACATCCTTGGAACTCTCAACTACCCTCTACAGGGTAACATCGATTGGTAATAGAATTACTTGCATGGACATTTGATGGACAGCTGTTGAGGTGCGATGACGAGTGTGAATGCGATTTGAACGAACGGAGCGAGCATGAGACACTGTACAGTAATTGTACATGATGAACCCGAAAGGTGTGAGCGTGAGAGTGAGTGTGATACAAGTATGAGTGAGAGTACCTTGTACGGTCTCGTACTATATTCATGTCTACAACCACTCTAGAATCGCTCTTTTCTAATGTTTTTGTGCTTGCTAAGAGTCTCACTAAGCATAGAAAGACCCATGATATCGTACTCTGACCTGTCTCCTTCAACGATACCTACTTATAGTCTGGTCGTTCACTCCGTCTCAGAGGCTCCTTCATTGCTTAAGCTCGAGATCATGAAAAGTTGGAGGCGAGTCCTGGGAGTGAAATTCTTTTTTTTATTTTTATTTTTTATTTTTTATTTATCCTTCTTTTTTTGGAAAGGCCGTTTTTAATCGAGAAAAATCATTATAAATCGAATGAGCCGAAATCGACCCTCAGATGGTATTATCTTGGTATAAATAAAATCGTGATAAACACCAGAAACCAAACGAACTGCCGACTTTCTTGCTGCCCGCATAAACCCAAATATTTTTGTTCACTCCGATCCTCACACACCATGATTTCAATCAACGACAGAAAATTCCTGACGGAGGCGCTCAAGGTCAGCAAGCGACTCGACGGACGCAGCATGGAGGAGCAGCGCCCCATGGAGGTGACATTCGGGTCGCAGTTTGGCCATGTGGAACTCACCATGGGAAAAACCAAGGTGGTGGTTCGTATCTCGGCAGAAATCACAAAGCCGAACGAGCGACGGCCCTTCGAGGGCATCTTTGTCGTGCACACGGATATCGGGTCGATGGCATCCCCGATATTCGAAAACAACCACCAGAGCGAGCAGGAGATCATGATTTCGCAGGTGGTGGAGAAGGCTGTGCGTCGAAGCGGAGCTCTGGATCTCGAGTCCCTGTGTATTGTGGCAGGCAAGAAGTGCTGGGAGATTCGGGCGGACGTGCACTACCTGGACTTTGATGGCGGACTTGTAGACGCCACTTGTGCCGCTGTTATGGCAGGTCTGTACCATTTCAAGAAGCCCGACGTGGATGTGGATGGCGGAGCTGTGACCGTGTGTGACATGGAGGAACGCCATCCCGTGGCTCTGAGTGTGCTTCATCTACCTGTTTCTGTAACCTACGGCCTGTTTGAGCTCAAGAACGACGAGACCAACGAAGTTGAAAAGGTGGAGTGTGTTTTGGACTGCACTGCCATCGAGAGACAGGTTCAGAATGCCGAAATCACAATCACAATCAACAAAAACAGAGACATTTGCCAGATTAGCAAACCCAGTGGAGTGTCGATCGAGGGCTACCGAATAGTCGAGCTGTGTGAAAAGGCATTCCAGGAGGCGCTCAAGGTGACTGAGATGATTGACAAGGCGCTGAAGGAGGACGAGGAGATGCGAAACAAGGGAAATTGGAAGGCCTTGTTGAGTGCTGAGAACGACCGATACGAGAAGTAATCTAAGAGCCCAAGAGTCCAAGAGCACAGTGAAGTGATCATTCCCTGTACCAATCATGGTTTTGGATCTGGTTTTGGATCTGAGAACCAGCGCCTTCATATTGGATACACACCCTCACAGAGAGCATTCCTGACAGAGTGCTGACAATGATAACAAGGATAGGAGCTAGCAAAGGTTACTCCCCCTGCTGGTCTGCTCTACTTGTGCTAGAACGACATCCTCATCTAAAAGATAACTTCTAATAGGTAACGTATAGATAGATGCATTATGGATATTTACGGTAGACGGTGTGAAGCGCGAAGATGTAATTGAAGAATAGGTGCTACTAGCGAGTGTTAAGTGCTATGGGTACAAGCACCAGTTCGAGTGGCCAAAGGTATAGGAACATGCTCCTTGCAGAGTCCCAGTGAAAGGTGGAAGAGAGAGGTCGAGACCGTTTCGAGTGGCAGGGAGTGTGTAGATATAACATCATAGCACCTACAATGTGTTGTAGTAAGAGTTTGCCTGACAAATACTCTTTTGTACACAGTAAAAAGTACAATAAAAGCTCAGCGACTCGGTTGGTAGCTCGTTCATGCCATTATCTGCTCTATTGACGGTATAACCACCTCTTGAACGATGGTGAGAAGGCCTACTACAGTACAGTAATACTTGTGACTTCATTGCCTCGTTTTTCTTTGAATAAATATTATAAATATCGTCCTCCACTCCTAGAGCTTTTTCTTACCGTTACCGTTACCATTGCTCTTCTTCTCCTTCATCTTCTCCAACTTCTCCAGCTTCCTCTCTCTCCTCCTCTCCTCCTTTAGAACAGACAGTCTACTTGCTATCGCGAGCGCAGACATTCCAGGTTTCATTCCTTCGGCTGCATGTTGCCTATAAACAGTGAACGAGCATCGTATCGCTCTAATATGGCCCGTGAGATAGTCTGTGAACTCAGACAATCTTCTCCATACAGGTCGATCATTCTGAGCTGCTTCCTGGAGACTGTGGGAGATGACGTTGGCGGTTCTGACCAGCTGATGGGCACTCTCGTTGCTGCTCTCGGAAAGCAGATCCAGGTACATTCCGAAATGTTTTGTATCGTCTTCATCATACCACTGCCGGTGTTCCTTGTACTGAGCCTTCAGTTGCTCCAAATCGTCCGTTGAAAAGGCGTCTCGATCCACGGTCACAAAGAAACACTCTCGTGCTACCAAAACCATGATTGAGCGGCTCTCGGCTCTTACAGTGGCCATGATCTTGTCTGGATCAGAGACTGCCAGGTGAGGAGCTGCGTCCAACCAATACTCCAGCTGTAGCGCCATACCCTTGAGAATTGCATCAATGTCGTTAATGTAGCCTTGAAACCTCGTACTGCGGTCCGCACTTAACAAATTGCGCGTGATAAGACAGAATCGAAGCACATTGATCCCGGCCTTGTGGTACCCCCCTATCGATCTTAGGTGTTGTTCCACCAGTGGTCTGAGGCCCCGCAGCGACTTTTCATCGGGACGAATCAAGTACCGCTCGCAGTAGTGTTCCAGAATCCAGTCGATAGCGAAATCTTTGCGTTCGATTCCTCTTCCCATGTGTTGTAATTATGAGAGACGCGACTTCGCGATAATGAACTTAATGCATGGTGGTGGATTTTTTGCAAGAATGCCATAAGAGCATCTAGGGGATGATTGAGTATGTTTCTGGTGATTAGGGGGATAATTTGAAGCGAGAAAAGTGGTTTTTGGGTTCCCGAGAGGTGCAAGGGTGTATGACAGGGTAGAGTGTTACCAACAAAGGGTCAAGTATAATAGTCAATATCTTAACAAACTAAACTAAACAAAGCAAGAACGCCAACTAAAACGTTCATTTTCCCAAGTAATTCTCATGAATCTTGAAGTAATCCAAAGTAATTCCAAGTATTTATAACTAATAACTGTCTTCACTGGAACTGACATACTTGTCTTACAGTAGCCCATGCTCTCTCCAAAAGGCCCAAAACCTCACACTCGGTACAACTCCAGCCGCATGCTCAACTCTGCCCACAAGGCTGCTTCACCGTTAGTTTTTCTGTCAATCTCAGCTGCCCAAAGTGCATGTCCTACCAGCCCTCATTTATTAAATTTCCACACGCAAATTAATAAGGAACATGTTTGGGTGATGAAGGATGGGGTATCAAAATGGCAATAATTAAGGGATTTAAACACTAAAAAGTCGTCTTAGGGCCCAAATGGCGATTTAAAACACTTCTGTCTCTTCAAAATCGCCGAAAATCACCTCCTATACCACCTTTGGCTTACTTTCCTCCGTCAGTTACCCTACCGAAATTGCCGTCCAAACAAATAAATAAACTTTCCGGTTGGAATGTAGTCTTACAACCAGCCCCCCCAAAATTACCCGCCTCTTTCTTCTGCCAGACTAACCACACAACCACCTCTTGTCCTCATCACCATTAGTCCCTATCTCGTCCTTCGACACCGACGCAGACTCACCGCCAGCCGCCAACACAGACTGACCGAAAACAGGATTCGCCACCGGTATTTATACAGCGCAACCAAGACACACGCTCTCCGTGACATCCTAGACGCACACACTACACGCGACACGAAACGCGCCTACAAGTTTGCACTCGCTTGGACCCTCAAGTTACACAAACACTCACACGTCGCACAAGCGCAAAAACCCCACGACACACACATCTATACACAATGTTCTTTTCCGAACAATTGCTCACCGATAGAGGTCCCCTGGCCCAGGTCTGGCTTGCTGCCAACCTCGAAAAGAAGCTGAAGCGAAGCGACCTGCTCAACACAGACATCCCCAAGTCTGTCAAGGCTATTGTCGACAGCGAAAAAAAGGTGCCCATGGCGCTGCGGCTGTCAGGCCAGCTTCTTCTGGGAGTCGTTCGAATCTACGGCCGACAGACTGGATACCTTCTTGACGACTGTTCCCACACCGTCACCAAGATCAAAATGACCTTCAAGCCAGGCAACGTCGATTTGCCCACCGTCTCTAGCGGTGGCAAAAACACCTCCAAGGCCTCCGCGGCGCTCACTCTCGGTAATGCTATCACCGACCTGGATCTCGCGCTGCCCCCTGCACCTGTTATCCCTGGCCTCAATCTCCCCGGATTGAACCTCGGCCTCGACGAGTTTATGCCCGTCAGTAACGCCAACCTCGTGTCAAACGCCACCGATATTACTCTACCGCAGCATGACATGTCGATCGAAATCGGTCGAGCCGACGAGGAGGATGAACTGGCCGATCTGGGTGACGACCTGGACCTCGATCTGGGACTCGACCTGGACGGCGAGCTGAACCTGGACGAGCCCGCTGGCGAGGAGGCTGCCAACCAGTCGATCGAGATTCCTCGAGGTGACGACGATGAACTTGCCAACCTCGATGACGGCCTGGACCTGGGTCTGGACCTCGGCGCCGATAACCTGGAGGAGGAGCTGGCGGCGCAGCAGGCATCCGAGCAGCTCGATTTGCCCATGTCGCCGATCGAACCCGCTGACGACGTGCTGCTCGAAGAGGAGGACGGCCTCACTCTAGAGGAGCCTACTATTAACATGGCTGATGCGCTGGCCGGCAACATTCCCGAGCCCTCTGTGCCTGCCCCTCGAAAGCGACGGGCCGCCCGAGGCAAGCGAGCCAAGTTTGACGACGAGACCCAGCTTGATCAGGACTTTGTGCAGCAGCAGCGTCGAAACCGGGACGGTATCATCTACGAGCACCCCCAACTTGAGGCGTTTGAGAAGGAAGTCAACTTGTTCAACGACCTGAGCGCCGACATTATGGCCCTGGTGGACCCCGAGACTATCCGAAAGACTCTCTCTAGCCGAGAGGTGCGAGACGGCGACGACGAGGAGCAGGTCATGACTCCCGCCGCTTCTCCCAATGGAAAGCGAGGCTTTGAGGAAGTGGAGCAGGAGGTTGCTGACCAGCATGCCGATCTACCCATGGATTTTGATATTCCCGACGATATTGTCATGGACAACACCGAGACTGTGGATGAGATTGCGGCAGCTGCTGCTGACGAAGAGGAGGATCTGCTTGTGACTGGTACCGTGGACGGTATTGCCAAGAGCACAATTGCCACCGCGCAGACTCTGCGGCGACAAATGTCCGGCGACAATGACAAGGTGCAATTCTCGGAGATGATTGCCGGCAAGGGCCGAAAGGCTGCGGTGCAGAGCTTTTTCGAGGTTCTGGTTCTTGCTACCAAGGACACCATTTCCATCAACCAGCCGCAGCCCTATGCCGACTTTTCCGTGTCGGCCAAGGACAATCTGTTTGATGACATGTGGAGCGAGACCAACACGGAGATTGCCGCTTAGATGGATGGCGACGGCTTAGAATGCTACAGTACTGACTCTGCTTGACTGCACCTATTTATTTAATGAATTGTATAACTAGTAATTATGACGGAGACAATCGTAGGGATTGTATCCACCAGGGTCTGATTAGTCAGTACAGTACCCAGTCAAGTATGAACAATATCTGCTCTACCCTATGTCTCAAGAGCTAACGCAATCTACATTATAGAGCGAGATGATACTCTAGTGAGAGGTAGCTACTACTTGTACTACTGTACTCGGATGATACTGTCGTATGTACTGTGCACTGAGACGTATATATAGTGCTCATGAGCTGCCAGTACTCAGACCATGCAAACTTCTTCGGCACAGCAAGTACTCGTGCTCGAACCACTTTGCTCTACAAGTATCCAATTGAGACATTCCATACATATGGCCGTCTCTCTCAGCCACTCTATTCTGCACCCAATCTGCTCAGTGGCTCCGTGGCTCCTGGTGGGCGGAGGCTAAAGAGTGTATAGGTGGTGGCGGTGGCTGTAGATGTTCACGATGAGTCTGTAAACTGTTTGATAATGTCTTTTTCGAGTCTGCTTGATATCTAGATGGATTACTGTGAATACTGCCGGCGCCATTTCGCCAATTGCCGGTTCCAGCTACGCCCACTTGTTCTCACTATGGACTCACTCTCCGAACTGTGGCTTGGTTGTAGCGCCATGAAGAGTTTTTAAGCAGCAGATGCCGTGGTCGCTTTCTCTTACAGCCTGAGGCGTAAGTGGGCGTAGCGGGCGTAGCGCTCAGTTACAAGCCACAGTGCACGGTGGGTGGCCGTGAGGGAATAACAGAAAGGGATGTATCTAGCAATCATCGAGAGCTGGTTGTACAGCGGAGGGTCACGTCGATGTAAGGCTGAATCGGCTCCGAAGGGGGGTAACAACACTTGAAAACAACCAGGACACGGCTACTGAGAGGACTTGTCTCATCCACAATCGAAGAACATAGGGTTTCGGATTCCGCGAAGAATCATGCTACTTGTACCGTAGTTACGACGGACACGTACTTGTGGATGTGGCGTTCAGAGCACCCCTTGTCATGCAGGCCTATCTCCGTACAAGGGCGATTCATTTCGCCGGGTGTCTATCTTACATTACATTAGGATACATTGGCAAAGTCGATTGTTTGGGGGTCGCTTAGGAAACACCTTCCTCATTGGGTAGGGTTGGGGGATATGGTTTTGGGGGCTGATTTTGAGCGGACTAAACTGGCGGAAGGATGGTTCTGAGAGGAGTGTCGACTTGAAAAATTCGAACATATCACCCATTTAATCTGATTTCTGTCTTTACAGCGCCAAATTATGTCCGATTTACTGCCTTTCATACCATCGTCGACCCCACCATGGTCTCTTATCATGCAGCCGCACTTTAACTATATGCATGCGGCCGGATTCCCAAAAAAGAGGCTCGTGTTGGTTGCTAATGGGGATTTTGCAAGTCACACGGGTTCTTGGGAGCTTTATAATTCCTTTTGTGAACTTCCCGCGAAGAAATATGTGATATTTGCCCCCAAAATACCGTGTGTCGGATCCCCTATCTCCCTGCCTTCCTCGTCGCTATCTCTTCGCCATTAAACCTAATCGTCGTTCTCTCAGAGCGAGCCGGATGAAAAGATTGTCTGGATAGTCTTTGGGATCGTCTTTATCCTTGTCTCACGTAGGACGTCCGTATCGGTATATAAAGAAGCTCTTGCACTGGAAGGGGAGAGTCACGGTCAACTGGAGATACTGGATCCCATCTAGAACAGCATCAGCGGCTGAGAACCGACTTCAAACGGCTAATCAAGAGCTCTACACGCCTCCAACAGCGATCAACAGACCAACTTGGTTCTTCAGCAGACTGAAACTTTTCAACTACAAGTAACTCTTTGTCCGCTACTTATCGCAATGCTCGACTACGAAGCCATTCCAGGCACCATTCCTCTCGTGGACAGCTCGCAATCTGACATTGTTCTCCACCCTACTCCCTCATGTCACCCCGATGATCCTCTCAACTGGTCCTACAGACGTAAACTACTCAGCATGTTCTGCATGGTCACGTATACCGTTGCTGTGGCTGTCCCCTCTGCCTCCATCTACTCGGTTCTCACCCCCATCTCTCATAGCACAGGCCTCCCTCTGGCGACTCTCAACCAGGGAACAGGCTACATGTTTTTGTTCTTTGGCCTTGGTTGTATTATCTCGCAACCTCTTTCTCAGCAGTTTGGCAAACGACCCGTATACCTGGTTTCAGTGCTAGGAACCGCTCTCATTCAGCTGTGGGCTCCCAATGTGACTTCTTCAGGCCAGTGGATCGGCTCCAAAATCGTCCAGGGGTTTTTGGGAGCCTCTGTCGAGTCGCTGGGTGAAGTCACGGTGGCTGACGTGTGGTTTGAACACGAGCGAGGCCGCTGGATGGGCGTCTATGGCTTTGCCCTCATGTTTGCATCAAATATTGCTCCTGTAGTGGCAGGTTTCATCACCCAGGGAATGAACTGGAAATGGGTGCTGTACTGGGGAGTTATTTTTGACGGCGTGGCATTTGTTTTCCTCTTCTTCTTCTTTGAAGAGACCAACTTCCCCAGAGCAAAGTACATGCCTAGTGTGGAGGAGACATCTGAAACCGAGCAAGCCTCCTTTACTGAAAAGTCCCCAGCTTACGACGACGAGAACGAGCCCACCTTTGAGAATGATTCACATTCATCTATGCCACGGGACTCCGACAAACCACGTGACATGGATCTGGAAAACACAGCTCCTTCCGGAATTGTGTATGAAAAGAAAACCTTTGTGCAGAAACTGGCGCTTTTGGACGAACCGAAACCCATGATGCTATGGACCATGATCAAACGACCGTTCATTATTTTTGTGCGATTCCCCGTCATCGTCTACTCTGGGTTTCTCTGCGGAACAGGTCTCATTTGCTTCAACATTTGCAACGCTACCACCTCGTATGTGCTCTCCAACCCTCCCTACAACTTCAAGGCGTCCATGGTCGGCCTATGTTACATTTCGCCGTGTGTGATTGTGTTTCTGGCCTCCTTTTACGGAGGATACATGTCTGATCTGCTGCGAATGAAACTCGCCAAGCGAAACGGCGGTATTTCCGAACCCGAACATCGACTGTGGGTGCTGTTGGCCTACCTCATTCTGTGTCCTCCAGCTCTCATTCTGTGGGGAATTGGAGCGGCAGAAGGTATCCACTGGTTCCCCATTGTGCTAGGAATGGGGCTAGTCAAAGGTCTGGGAACTCTCACCTCCATTTGCGCCCTCAACTATGCCGTGGACAGTTATCGAGAGATTGCCTCCGATTCCATGGTGGTGGTCATTCTCATCCGAAACCTCATGAGTTTCGGTCTGTCGTACGGAATCACGCCGTGGTTCATGAACGAGGGTCTCAAAAAGTGTTTCGGAGAGGCCGCTGGAGTCTCCTTTGGCTGCTGTGTCACCATGTTCATTTTCATCAAGTGGGGCAAACAGATGCGAAACTCCTCCAAGAAGATCTACTGGAGGTTTGTGCAGGAGAGCATCGACAACGGAGCGAGTCATTAGGGAGAAGGATAGATTCTTGTGTATTTATTGTATTATTAGTTAGTACGGAATGGTATGAGTGAGACCAGTGTCCCCCTGTCGTTTATCCAAACATTAGGCCAAGTAATATGCTAACAATCCTTTCCATATACTTAACAGGGACCTCATCCTCATCAATACCTGGAGGCCCAACACGCTCACCATTGATACTCTCACAAACTCAAGGAGTTGCTCATAACGAAATACGATCTGTACCCGTTCATCTGGGTGGTCAAACCGTCAGTGAACTCTCGACCTCCTACCGTGTGTCAGTTCAACAGTGTCAAGTACAACGAGTATCGAAAAAAGGTGTTTCTGCCGGTGTCAGTAGCAGGGGAGCGAACCGAGTCCTGGATGTACCACCACAGCCGTGAATAGGAGGTCAGTGACACGTCTGACCCGACCAACGGCCTTTTCCCCTAAGTTTGAGTCTCTGATTGCCTGAACTAAGTGAGAGGGACTCTTGACGGGTATACACCCGTTACTGTGGTTCTTCTAGCTCTGATTTGGCTACTTTGGAGGTTTCGAGACTCTGATAGTGAGCCATATGGACAACATTGCCAAGACCGCGATTCGTTACAAAACAACGAACGTTGATATCCACTTGGTGTGTCCTGAAAGAAGTCTTGACATTCTGTCTTAATGAAGTCTATGTGATACAACAGGTCCATCATTACCCGCCCACAAAAGACATCTGCAGCCTTCTATCATTGATATACAGAGGGCCAATCGCTGCCATAAGGAGCAAGTTACATGGAGATGGGTTTTAATTGTCAATTATGGCTTGCCCCAATGGTGATATCTCGGTACCTACTGTAGCTGTAGCTACTGTAGTCACCTAAAAGTAGTGCCTATTGAGGTATATCAATAACACTTTGGAGCTCTAAGAGGCACCACGAACAGTAGATTTTGACTACCGTATACAAAAACTACTGCAGCCCGCTTGTTTCAGCCCAACTGAACAGCACATTCCTCATGGAAGATCCCGATGTATTTTTTTGATGACATCACAATGCGCCAATACGAAATAAAGTGCGTCTATGCTGCACTCTAAATGCTATACGGCGCACAAGGTGCAGACAACGGGCACCCCGACACACCTCTCTGCAAATGACAGAACCTCTGGTAATCAACATTTCGGAGCTCCGAAAGTACAAGGATATCGACGCCAAGAGCATGCTCATGCGGGTGGGCCGCTGGTACTTCTACCAGCTCGGCGAGCTCCAGAAAACCCAACATGACCTCGAGCTCTTCCAGCAGCTCGTGTACCGGTTCAAGTTCATTTCGGCCGCCCAGGAGAAGGCCCTGAGAAAAGTCAACTTGGAGAGTTATCCCAACAAGCACCTTTTTGGAATCTCGGTGCATCTGGACGGAACCGAGACGTTGCGGTTCTACGAGTCTGAGGGTACCCCGGGAGGCATTATCCACGCCAAGGACCAACGACTGGATAATGAGCCCATAATCTCGCCGGACTCTCGGAACTACCCCCGAGTTGGAGACACGGACTTTGAGGTGCCCAGCCAGCAGTTCCCCTACTTGAGCTACGGCGCCATGTTGGTAATCGCGGTGTTTTTGGTAGCGTTCATCACGAAAAAGCTCAGGCATGTGGACAAGCGGAGGGATTAAGACTTGACGAGGTAATTGATTAAATACGATAGTTGGAGTTATGGACGTTGAAAGAGATGTGATAACGCCCACAACAAGTCTAGCTGACGACTAGAAGCTATATAAATGAATCAATAGACATCTGCTCTTCGTCGAGTTTCCATCGCCGAGTTTCCATCGCCGAGTTTCCATCGCCGAGTTTCCATTGTTTCCTCGTCGCCATCGTAACTTACAACTCAACAACGTCCCCACCAAGAATCTTGCCAATCTGGGACTTTCGGGTCCGCTCGTTCTCGTAAACGAGCTTCTGACCAGCCAGAATTCCGTCTCTGTACAGCTGAAAACCCTCAGCCACCTGATCGAGACCTCCGAGAATCAGAGTCACATTGGGAACCAACTTTCCCTCCCTCAGCCACTCTCCTACCTTTGGAGCATACTCCTGGCAAACCTCCAAGTCTGGAGAACCGGGCTTGTAGATGTCAAAGGCATTAATGGAAGACACAGACATGTTCTTGGGGAACCCCTCGCCAGTGCAACTGGCCCTGACGGTCGTATATTGCGTCTGGCCGTCTCCAGCAGCTTCAATGCACTGTTGCTCCGTCTCCTTGGACCCAATGCAGTCGAAAATGAGCTCCAATTCGCCATTTTCGTCGCGAATCTGGTTGATGACGTCGGTCTCCTGATAAAAGTACGTCCGTTTGGCCCCCAGACTTCGCAGCTCCTTTGCTGGGCTCATGGAAGAGGTTGTGATGACATCGTAGCCAGCCAGAGTAGCCAGTTGGATAGTATATCTTCCCACAGACGTGTTCCCGCCCCACACGAGCACAATCGGCGCCTTTCCTCTACATGCTCCTGAGCGCTTAGAAGACAAGTTGTCAGTGTCGTTCGGTCCCGAGTCCCGAAACACGAGGTTGAGCTTCAAGAACAAGCCCAGAACCGCGGTGATGCACCCCACGCCCAACGTGGACGCCTCGTCGGGTCGCACGTTGGCCGGAATGTCGAAATAGTACCCGTCAACAGCAATAGTCCAGTCCGAAAAGCTGCCATGACCCTTCTTCACCACTCCTGCTATTCGTTTGCCAACCAGCTCGCGATCCCGGACGCTGTCGCCAATCTCGTAAACGATGCCGGTGAAGTCGATGCCTGTTTGTGCTCCTCCAGGCAGAGCTCCGGAATCGAACAGTTTCACGTCAACCGGGTTCTGAGCCGAGTGATCCACCTTGACCAGAATGTCTGAGGGAGCCGTAATCGCGGTGGTGACATCCGAGAGCAACAGCCGGCCGTCCTGAACGACCACCGCCGGGCCCGTTTCTTTGTCTGTAGCTGCCGTCAGAGTCATGGTGATGTAAGTTGTCAGGCACCATTGTGTAGGGTTATTTATTTACTGTAACTAAATTTGTTGTGAAAGATTGTGGGAGGGACGAAAGGGTCTGTACAGAAAACGCTACAGAGATGGAGAAGCGATGGTGATAGATTCGTTTTGAAGCTGCCAACAAGAATATAGACAATCCGTCTACACCGTTTGTCTATATCCCTTTTGGAACGTTCTAGAAACGATCCCGAACAGTTGCGTGTCTAGAAACGATCCCGAACAGTTGCTTGACTAGACCAACCCTCCGAACCCGCTTTCATCATAGCTTAGAGCATTTCGACAAAGTAAACCAAATCCAACCCCAAGTACCCCAATCCGGTCCCAATTTGCTACAAACGGACCTCCATATGGCATTATCTGGTCTCTCTTCGGCCTCGCTACCCACCGCCAGTGCAGATCAGATGCACATGCATGCATGTCGTGCATGTTTGAACATTACATTTGCACTGACAATTTTTTTTTCCATTTTTCCCCCTTTTTTTTCCTCTCCTTCGCGCCCGACTCTCCAATGCCTCTCAATTTCGACTCCTACGTGTCTGCCGAGCGACACGACGACCCCAGCCAGCCCGAGCTCAAGGATGCGCGCAAAGTCACCAAAAAGTTCCTCGAGGACAACTCGCTAGTGCACTTTGACAAGTCCACGCTGGTGTATGGCAATTGCATTTCTGAAACCTACGCCGATATGGAGGACTGGAAACTGGTGGCGGAGAACTTCGCCAAGGAGCTGGCGGTGTTTATGCCCACGGCGAAGTTCGACCCCGAAAACGACGCCCGCATGCAGAAGACAGGGTTCTCCGAAGACATGTTTGTGTGGTTTGTGGTTCGGGGCGTGCCTCTCAATGCCACTGGAGGCATTGCCCAGGATATTTTTGTGCCGTGTCAGAAGCTGGACGACTTTCCGGCCCTAGTGTTGGTGGATGAGGTTGAGTAGAGCAGTCTTAGTTGATAATATCGGCCCTTTATATCCGACCCTCGAACAAGGAACCAAATCATACGACAGAATCACGACGGAATTACGACGGAGTCAGGTAAGATAAGCGAAATTGTGACATGACTGAAGCTGTGGCTGCAGATCTGTTGTCTGATCTCTCGACTTTTCTTTTATCTCAATTCTCCCTCTGGCCACCGAAACACTCGCTCCTCTACTGTGCCCTCAAGCTAGCCCAAGCACTACAGTAGCTCACTAGTTGAACATGTTTGCAAGCTGGAGATTGACGATTGACGGACAGCAGCAGTCGTGTCTAGGAATACATTTCAGACCTGAAGTACACACCCTGAAGTGTAGGTGTTGGTACCCCCGTTTTGTATACCGTAGAACAGGACATGACTACCGGTTATCTCTTAGACAAGCTAGACTCTGCTCTTCCAGCCCACCTCGTGATATCACGCCAACTCTCTCCTAGCTTGTCTCTATCAACATGTTTTCCAGTGACGACGAAAACGACAACGAAACGCCCCAGAGTATGGCCATAACCAACACCAGCATGGCGCTGTTGCTCGGCCTCGACTTCACACAGCTCGAATTGCTCCGCTTCTACTACTTGGAAAGCGTTCCTGTTCTGTGTGAAGCCAGTGGAAAAGACGTGAGCCAGTGGCTGAAAAACACACCCGGACTCATCTCTCAGAGCCCGGCACTCAAACAGGCATGCCTGGTCTTTGCCAGTGTACATCTCCGTCACGTGCGCAAATCCACAGACTACATTTCGACAAACAGTACTGTCCACAAGCCCAAGCCAAACATGCTGTCAGACCGCGCCATGACCCAATTGCTGTCGGAGTTCATCTTGCTGCTTATACAGCACAAAAAGGAGCTCCTGAACCTCTCGCCTCCCACCTACCCCGGTGTTCTGACCACCTCAGTCATAATATACATTATAGCCATCAGTATGGGACCTCTGATGCCGCTGGTGAATTTTGACGGCGGTGCAGACCTCTTCCAAGTGACCAGAAACATGATGGCAATCTCCGCAGACCCCATTCTGGGGATTGTACAGCCAGTACAGGCCCCCTTCTTTCCTCCGTCCGATGCGGGGAGAATTTTGCTGCCCCGAGAAGAAGACCTGTGGGGGATAGTCAAGCTCGTGGACCAGTCGACCGCGTACTCTGAATTCGACAAGCGCACCCTCAAGTTCACGCTCTCCTGCGAAATCTACTCGCTTTTGCATCTGTTCCATCTTGACACAAAACTGCACTCTGTGGGCCATACGGGGGCGTGGTGCAGCTACTGGCGCGACGGATTTCTCCAATTGAGACGTGAATTGAACCCCTATGCACTTTTACTCATCTCCTACTACTGCGCCTACACGCATCTGTTCCACCAGATGTTTTGGTGGGCAGATCGAACTGTGGATACGGTATACGAGATTGTGGACTATTTGCCGGAGGAGTTGAAAAAATACGCCGAATGGCCGTTGCAGATGGTCCGACGGTTCGACTACGGAGTCGACGAGTTTCTCACCGGCAAGCTGAGGAAGTTGAGCATTTATACGAGGCGAAGTGTGTTCAACCAAAGGAGAGGTGTAAGGACCAACACTAGAAACCATAGGAGAAGGGTGTAAATAGCGATCAGATGCATTGTAATTGAAATATTATCGAAGACAGAAACTAAACTCGTGATGCAAAGATGAGACAAGAGATATGGACAGATGTTATGTAGCTGATGAGACTGCTGATGAAGGAGATGGGTGGAGAGATAGCCAGGACGTTCAAATTGTGTTTTTAAACGGTATACACAAGACGCCGACTCGAATGAACTCGGTCGTTGGTACCCATTTCAATCCACAGCTCCCCCAAGGTGCGGCTAAGAGGGGGTGCATAAGTCAACCGCACTAGTGGCGTCTGTTAGCGCTATTTGCTGTTATCTTGCACATGATCGGAGAGTTTGTTGGACTTGAAAGAGAAATGAGAACCACTGGTTTCTTTTCGGGCCAGTATATACCCTTGTGTTGGTTCTGGAAGACTTCAAACCCACGTTCAAGATACCAACAGGACATATCTCTAGCCAAAATGCAGCTTTATCTTCGCCAAATACCCCTGGAACCCTGTCAGAAGTGCTCTTCATGTGTCGGAGAAATTATACAGGGGTGGGGATCGTTTTAGACCCGTGGAAGCGTCGTCTTAGAAGCCAATACGGTGCTAGGGATACGGTCCTGAGGCATTGACAGTGGATATTTGACAGTGAGAAAGTCGAGCGGGTGATTAATCTGTGTCTTTGGAATGCTCGGATCAAGTCCCACTGCCGATATTGACAAGAATGGTACTTCTACACATGTCTATTTATGACTTGACCGTACTGCTATTCGCTCCACGGGTACACTCGCTCCAGAGGCACTAGCCTGGTGCGATTAAGTGACAAAACTAAACGACAGGACGAATAAAACACCTAGAGTTGGAACATTGACTCCATTGTTCACAAATCTTCCCTACAAATACAGCTCGTAGTCCGTGGAGAGTGATGGAGACAAAGACTCGTTATGGGCAGTTATGACCAACTTGGGGATTGGAGAAGGAGTGTAAGGTGATTGTAGCAAGACATTAAAGCTGTTCACAACTGTTGTTCAGGGTTATGAGACTTTTAGAAGATCAATTGTACCGCAAAGTAGCCCTTTGTTTATAGGTACATCTTACGATGCCAAACTAGACCATAAATGGAGGTAAAAGGAAAAGTAACGGCAGATTTGTAATGTAGAGCGGATGAGGGGAGTCTATTGCAAGTCTTGGAATCTTTATAGTGTCATTGGAAGGGGGTTAGGAGGGACAATGCAGAATCTAGTTTTACCGCGAAATCGTCAACAAAAGTGTAACTAAAACTAAGAGAATTTAACAAATATAAGCAAATGTCTATCTGAACGGTACGTCCGCTACAGATATGAAATTTCAACAAAAGTGAGCTCATGTGATTCTTGGTGACGACATATTCAGACAACAGAGCTTTCTTTCTGCCCAAAGCCAGTTTTTTATGAGATTCGGTTGTCCATATTATCACCATGAACGATGGACCTAACAGATACCTTCAACTAGACTGAGAAAAGAACAAAAATATAGAGAAGAATGGTGTAACGATACTTGGAGAAGAATGGTGTAACGAAATTACGCACAATGGCGTACCAGGTCACAAAAGAGCACGGCTCTCGACACTTCTTACGCCTACGAGTGGAGCAAAAAGATTGCGGCACCCAGGATTCTCGTATGGTCTCCCACTACAATACTAACTGGGCTCTCTGGTGCTTGACTATGGCTGATCGGACGGGAAGCCGTATTTTCACCAGGATATGGCCGCAACCGTTGGGCTGGGGTTGTGTTGGACCGTTATATCGGACCAAAAATGTCATGTGAAGAAATGTTTAATCGAGTTCCCCAGAGGCGACAGAGAGGGATTTTTTGGTGGGAAAGAGAGAAGAAGGGAGAAATAAATGGACTAGAATGCGATGATGAACTGTGTCTATTTGTGGGAAGTCTTCAATGGGGTGTATTGATAGTGTTGTAGCGAGAGCATTTGTAAGAGTTAGTGTGAAGTGTATTGGGTGGTATTCAGCAGATTAATATGGGATTACTGACCCAGGAAGATCAGAGATACCAGGAGATTGTGATGGAGGACTTTGATATCAAGTCTCTGATTTCTTGAGGGTGTGATTGAGGGTATTATTGTCTCACCAGTATCACTATTTGGACAATCAACTACATACATACAACCAAATCATTGTATAGTGAAACAGCCGTCTGTTATTGCTCCAATTAAGACAATGGTGTGTCGCGTCGAATTAACCAACAAGAAATTGGTGCTCCAAAGTACCTGGGATATACTGCGTTCTCCAAGTAGCTGTCAATCCCGTCACTAGCTGAAAAAAGTGAGCCCAACTGGAGGTTCAACCGTGTTTGAGGACATTATAAAGAGACAAAAAGAAGTAAAAAGTATCAATTTCCTATAAATATTCGTCCTATGTAGTCAGCGTATCTGGACGTTATATCATGTGAATTTGTTTGCTTCTTCTCCCTTCTTTTTCTCAATACATTCGACCTGACTATAACATTTTACAGTGCTGCGAATCATTACTTGGGATTAGTTGAAGAGAAAAGCCAGCTGGGGGTTCTAACTGGATGTTACTGACATGCTGTAATAAAATGCTATATACCAAGCTGTAGAGGACAGCTAAATAAGTAAATCAATATGTCAAAAATCCCTACCTCTCTCACAAAATCTCAACATATCACGATTATCGTCAAAACATAGTGATATCAATTACTTGACTTTACTTGACAAACTTCCAAGCCTTGGAAAAAAACAAAAACAAAAAAAAACAAAAAAACAAAAAACAAAAACTCATCACGTGACCAAACTCTAATCTATTTCCGAGCCGCACCGCTGGGGGTTCAGTTTTGGGGGGTCTTCAAATGGGGATATTTGATGTATTTTCGTCTCTTTTTTTCACCAGTCTTTTTAGATTGTCATTTGGAACAGGAATATCAAGTTTTATTTTCGAAAAACCTACTATTAATGGAGTTGTGGAAACTTTTCTCCTAGTACTTGATATCTTAACTAAATATACTGTGAATACTTATTCAATTTCATGCGTTTATAAACACGATCAGTAATGGTCCAGAATATGACAGAATAACTTCCAAAATCTTTCGGGGACTCGAGGGAGATTTCTCCAGACCAAAAGAGTTGTATGTGATGTGTAATATGAATGCCAAGTACGTATCTCATTTCTTTTACTACTTGTTGTGCAGAAGATCAACTAGGAGTCTCTCGATTCTAACTAGCGGTAAATGCCGTGTTAGACTTCAACAAAATCTCCACTAGCACCAACCACCATAATTCTCTACAACCACACACTATTAAATTGACATAATTAATAATTAATTCATACACAATTAACATCCTTCTCATAAATCCTCCTCTATGCTCCTCCTATGGTCCTCGCTCTTCGGTTAACTCATCTCCGCAACCTCCGAGTAAAACTGTCTGAGAACAGAAGACAGCACTGAAGGCAACTCCTTAATGTCTCTGACAATGACGTAGAACTCGAAAGGGAACGTGTCGAGGTACTTCTCCATCTTGAGCACCATTTGGCCGTCATCTTGAGAAATGTACTTGGCCTGTTTGATGTCAGTGATGGACGAAGATCCCGAGGCTGCCGCCAGCGCGTCAATCACCACAAACACAAGCATGATCTTGAGTTCTCGGGCGTGGCGCACCAGCTGCCGCAGCACCTCGTGGTTCTCGCAGATACCATCGGAAATGATAATCTGCAGCTGCCACAGCTCGGCACCTCCCAGCTTCTGCTGCTGGAAGATATCGATCGAATTCTGCACCAGTTTCTGCACGTTGGTCTGGTCCTGGGCAAAGGAAAACTTGCTCACCAGCTCGCCGCCAGACTCGTCGGAAAAGGTCTTTTCAAACGGATGCACGAGCTGGGCGTCCTGGCCAAACTTCATCACCGCCAACTGGCCCGACTCGAGCTGGGTCAGCGCCTTGGAGATGAGTGCAATCGACTGGAAAGCCAGCTCCACACACTGGGGCGACTCGTTCATGGACTTGGAGTCGTCGACCGAAATCATAATCTGGTACTGACGCTTGGAGGGCTTGGTTCGACGCATCCAAATCTTGTCCTTCTTGAACGACGAAGCAATGTACGGGATGATCCGCTTCATGTTGAGCCGCTTTCCGGTCTTGAAATCACCCCGCATCTTGGTAGCGAGAGTAGGCTCAAGAATCAGACGCAGCTGCTCACAGAGAGTGGTGGCCAAGTCCGCAACGGACGACTGGTACGTCTTCCACTTGTCACGAGACTCAGAGAGAGACATGGCACTCTCGTCAATCGACAGGTCCTCAATATCCTCCTCCACTTCCTCCAGCTCCTCCTCATCAGAGTCAACCTCCATCATCTCGCCCTGAACCTTGCTCTCGGCCTCCTCATCGTCGGATTCAGCCTCGCCTTCAACTGCTGTCTTGCTAGCAGCTCCCTCGGGCGCACCTCCATCCTCATCAGCCTCCTCAGCGTCCTCCTCAGGCTCCTCTCCCTCCTCCTGTTTCACCTCATTTCTTCTCTCAGGCTTGACCTCCTCCTGCTCATCTTCCATGGCCATGTCGTCGTCAATGTCCTGCTTGACGTCTCGGTCAGCAGCACCCATGGCCTGCGTGTCGTGCTTGGAGTCGGGGCCGTCGACATGCTCAAACTCCTGAGGATCCACGTTGGCCGAATCCACATCATCCTGGGCGGAGTCGTTGTTAGAGTTTTTGATCTCCTCCTTCTTCTTGTGAAACTCCTTGAGCGCGTCGCCAAGTTGCTTCATTTGGTCAACTCGGCTGTCTTCAGCGTCGTCCTCCTGGCCTTCTTTGGTCTTGTCGTCCTGGTCCTCGTCCTGGTCCTCGTCCTGGTCCTCCTCCTTGGCTCCAGCCTCTCCACCCCCTCCAACATCCTCCTCCTCCTCCTTGGAGTCGGCATCCTGACCGGACCCCTTCTCGCCAGTCTCTTGCTTCACAGCACTCTCGTCGTTCTCCTCCTGGTCTCCAGCGTCATCTTGGCCATGGAGACCCTCCATCTCAAGCTCAGGAGCATCCTCGTTTTGTTTACCAGTCTCGTTGTCATCCTGGTCCACATCCATCTTCTCCTCCTCCATGGCGTCCTCCTTGACATTGTCCATCTCCTCGGGATTCTTCTCGTCGGCGTCCTCCACGTCCTCATTGACCTCTCCAGCGCCTTCATCAACTTCCTCCTCGTCGGCGCCTTCCTCGGGCTCCTCCTCACCAGCATTCAGGTCTTCATCCTCCATCTCAACGTCCTCGTCACCATCACCCTCCTCATCAGACATGTCCTTGTCAAGACCATCGTCAAACTCATCTTCTCCCTCCTCCTTGTCTTCATCCATGCCGTCCAGATTCATGTCCTCGGGCAACTCAAGCACTTCCGACTCGTCCAGATGAGGGTCCAATTCGTCGCCTTCTTGCTTGTTTCGGACGTCGTCCTCCTGCGCATCCACAGACTCACCATCAGAGTCGTCCTCCTCCTTCTCCTGCTCTCCCTCATCTCCATCGCCTTCATTCTCCTCCTGCTCTCCCTCATCTTCACCCTCACCCTCCTTGGTCTCAGCCTCTCCCTCTTCGCCTTGCTGCTTTCCGTCATCTTGCTTGCCCTCTTCTCCTCCATCATCCTTATCGTCACCATCCACGTCTCCATCCTTCTCCTTCTCATCTTGAACCTCCTCGTCGTCGTTCCACATCTTATCGTCCATGGCGTTCGGATCTAAATCGTCCAAGTTGCCGGTCTCATCGTCAATCTCCTCCTCCTCCTCCTCCTCCTCGCCATCCTTGTCCTCTCCCTCTTCCTCATCCTTGGCATTCTCACTCTTGCCAGCCATGTCACCCTCAACAGACACGGCATCGTCGTCCTCATCGTCATCCTTGTCCTCCTGGTCCTCGTTCTCCTGCTCCATGTAATCATCCAGGTTCTCGTCTTCACCCACATCGCCGGAATGATCCTGGGCGCCAGAACCGTCTCCAAGACCAGTGCCAGAAGCCGTAGCGTTGCTGTCCTGCTCCTGATCCTGCTCCTCTTCGGGAGAGCAGAAGCCGTTGGTGGCCAGGTTGTACAGAGCCTTGCACAGCAAAAAGCCTCCCTTGGTCAGATCGGCAAACTGAGCAGAGGCCTTGGAACACACAAGCTCGCACATGTACACGTACTGCTGAATATACGCTCGCAGCACGCCGAGAGCAGCGGATCCAGCCGCCGTGTGGGACACAGAGGCAATCGTGTCACGCGTCTGAGAGAGAATTCGGTCAGAATGCAGCAACTGGGCCAGATTCATAAGCAGCTGGTAGTCACGCGCGAACGAAATGACTTCAGACTCGTCATCTTCGCCCACATCTTCAGCAACCCGCTTGATGACTCCCTGGACAGAGACCAGAATGGTTTTGCACAGTCGGTCGACGGCAGCAAAGGATTCCGAGTCATCGGCAGTGAGTTGGTCTCCAGTCACATACTCAAGGTTGACAAACGACCTGACCAGCGTGGAGGCAAATTGGAAACAGCCGTTCACGCCAGTCACCTTCTCCAACTTGCTCTGGAACACCTGCACAGTGTTATGCATCTCCTCGACCAGCTTCGTAGTCTCGCTGGTGGGCTTCTTCCAGTCCATCAAGTGCTTGACGGCGTTGAAAGAGTGCAGTAGAGTCACAAACTTGGCCTCAAAGTCATTGCACAGAGTGGTGATCTGAGCAACTCCAGAGCCGAGCTTGGAGTCGAGACGGAGCATGTTGCTAGCAGAGTCGATGATGACATTGATGACCGACTTGAGATTGGTCAGGAATCTCACCACCGAGTCACCGTCAACAAACGACAGAGAAACGTCCGAAGAAACTGTCTTCAGCTGCTTGCCAACGTCAGACATGTCCTTGGCATTGTTTTCCACTTCGCCAATCACATTGTTCTCCTTAATGCACATTCGCAAAATGTTCTCGGCCATGGCAGCTCCCACAAAAATGTCCTGCAGAGGCACATCTCCCGAGGGGTTGGCACAGGCGGACCGGAGCTTGGAAAAGGAGTCAATCAGTCGCATAAAGTACGACTGGTCACGCTTGGAGCTCACCACAAGGTTTCCAAGCACCGAAGAAAGCGACGCCTGAGACTCCAGGGTCTCCTGTGTGATTCGGCCCTTGAAGCCATGGGCTCGAAGCTCCTTGAGAGTTTCAGACAGGAAACGCTGCTTCTCCACCCGCAACGCACCAATCTCTTTCTTGTTGTCCTCGGTCACGTGATTGGGTGTGGCCTTCTTGAGTCGAGCGGATTCGTCCAGAATGTCAGACACAATGTCCATGAGACTCACAGACTCAATCTGGTCCAGGTTGGAGATTCGCTTGGACAGAATAGACAGAGTCTTCTGAACGTCAGGGACAAATGTAGGCGTGTACAGACCCAGAAGATGAGACAAGTCCGCTACAGAAGGAGCAGAAACAGCCACAACAGAGCTGGTCACACCGTCATCCTGCATACCGCCCTCAAGAACAGACTTGACAGGCTCGCAAAGAAGAGTTCGGTACTTCTTGACCACCTTGAACAGCTTTCTGTGCGACTTTCGGGCACTCTCCTTGAGAGCATGCACGTTGGTGTCCTTCCAGGAGGCCAGCAAAATCACCTCTTGGATGTCCTTCTGCAGACTCTTCTTTCGGGCAGCAACATGGGCAGTAATGGACGGAACAAACATCTTGTAGTACACCAGGAAGGCCTTGAGAGCGACCGTTACCTGGTTGACAGACGTGGAGGGCTCCATGGAGCCAATGTGCTTCAGAACAGCGTCCAGAAGCTCCAGTCGGAAACTGTACTGCCCAATGGTGGACTGAGACAGGAACAGATTCAGAGTCTGGACCAGCTGAGTGATATCGTCACGTGATAACTCAGAGTTGTCTCTGCACACAACAACCACGGCCTCGTAGACATTGAACCACCACTGTCCAAGTCCGTCCTTCTGAGCCTCCTCCTCAAAGTCAAACAGCTTGGGCCACATGGCAAGCTCCAAACGTCGCCAAGAGACAATCAGAGTGGTGAAAATGTCAATGTACTCGCGCACAGACACGTCACGTGACGCCAGCTTCTCCCACTCGTGCAAAAACGTGTAGATCTGCTCAACCTTGGCCAATAGCCGGGCCACGGGAGTCACCACCGAGAACGACAGCAGTTCGTTGCATTGGAAAGCAATCTGCTGGAGAGTGTCATGCTCGGGCCACTTGGCCAGCAGGCCGTTGACGAACTTGAGCAGTTTGGTGGCGACATTGACGCACTTTTGCGTCTCCGCAGCCGAATGTTGTCGGTAAAAGTCGAAACTGGGGGAAGCCTCTGCAACATCGATGCAGTCCGTCTCCAGAACAGTCACGTGCGCCTGCAGCAGCGAAGGCATCACGTGACCGACCTTACCGTGCGTAGCGAGGGCGGCACCCTTGAGAATAACATGGGACATGGGCTCCTCGACGCCGCCAAACACCCGCTCGTACGACTTGAGCCAGTGCGAATAATCCACGTCCTGCTTAGTCACCTTGGGTTTGATCACGTTGCCGGCGTCGTCGAGCTTGATCTCGTAGTCGGGGAACAGCTTGGCAAACTCCTCCTCGGCTGTTTCGTCCAGGTTGGTCGAGAAACCAGACGATTCAATGGCCGCCTGTTCCTCCATTCGCAGCCGTCTGAGAGTCCATCTAGCAAAGACTGTGGTACAACAGTAGGCCACAAGGGCGGTGTCGCTGTTGCCCTGCTTGGAGACCACGTCCATGACAAACGACAGCGTCTTCTCCACGCTCAAATCCTCCACAGACTTGTCCTTGCAGTACTTGACGAGATTGTCGAGGGTGGAGGAGAGAGCCACGGAGGAAGAGAGAGTCAGAGCATCGGTAGTCCACTCGGCAACAGGGTCCGAGTCCAGAGCACTCTGCATCATGTACACTCCGAGTCTGAAACCGGAAACAAAGCGGTCCAGAATGGAGCATAGGTCGGTGTACCGGGGATAAGACGCCTTGAGACGAACCAGAAACTGCTGGGTGTTCTTCTGGAACAGATCCAGCTCCTGGAGCAAGGTGTCACGTGACTCTGCCGTCGCATGGCTCACCTTTTCCACCGTCTGGTCCAGCACCACCATGAACTGGTTCCACTCTCTGATCATGAGGTCGATCGAGGTGGACGAGTCTCTGTAGACCCGGGGCTTGAACAAGGCTGTTTCGGAGGAATATTCTTCGACATCGGTGCCAAAGAAGATCTGCTTCATCTTCTGGTCGACATTGTGGCTGGCTCGGTGCAGGTTATCGACTCGGGTTTGCATATCGTAGTCCACGTACTCCTTGATAGCAGGATCATAAGGCAGGTTGGGCACGTACATGTCCAGAGCGGCCTTGAAGACGGCAATGTAGGCAGTTCCGACAGAGGAGACGGTTCTCTCGGATAGCAAGGCCGGCACGTGCTTCATCCCACTCATACACTGTTCCAGAGCACCCTCGGCAACTCCAGATACGGCGTTACCTACCTCCTCTAAGTCGCTGAGAGTTGCAGTGAGCACAGAAACAAAGTTCGGCAGCTTTTCAGCCAGAATGGCAGTGTTGTCTGCTGCCAGGAGCTTGCCGACGTAGGCGTAGTCCGTTCTAGACTGCTCCACCGCGCCGTTCTTGGTGTTTCCAAAGCTCTGGGCGGCAGAAATGTACTCTCCAGCAAGATGGTCAGGAGAAGTGAGCTCGTAGCCATTGCCGTGCTTGGTGAGTTTTTCGAGCAGAGACTCTTCCTGGGTGGGGAGACAGGCGTAGAACGAAATGTTGGCGTGGGAAATGCCGGACAGCTCGAAAGCGGTCGCCAGATCGGAGAAAAGAGCAATGTAGGCATGGTTCCGGGTCTTGGTAACCTGCTCCACCTCGTCTTCTCCCTCAGCCTTTACCTCAGTCGCATCCATGGAGTCCACAGTCTTCACCAGAGTGTCGAAGAACTCTTCGGTGATATCGTCGTCTCCAACGGCAGCCAAGAAGCCCGCAAACTGAGACTTGACCGTGAGAACCGTCTCCAGCGAGGACACAGGCATCTGAGCACAAATGCGGTCGAACCGCTCGCACAGAGCAGCCACCTTCTCGAACTTCAACCATCCAGGCAGAGTGGAGGGAACAGAAGGACATAGAATTTCCCAAATGTGCCGCATGACCAGTCCTCGAGAAAGAGAGATTTGCGAATCAAACAGAGCCAGGGCCCTTGTGAGGGGCGTCAGTTCGATTCCACGCGACTCCCGAATCCACTCCTCAAACCAGTCGGCATACACGTGGAACTGCGACTCCACGGGAGACTGCACACTGGTGTTGATGTAGATTTGGTCGGTGAGAGTGAGGAGAGACAAAAGGTGGGTGAAAACGCCATCCTCAACGTTGGCTCCTGCCAAAACACCCTCCAGCACCTTCTCGACAACTTCCACCGCTCCAACAAGCAACTGGTACAGACCAGGAGCAGCAGCGTCCTTCATACGCCGTCCAGCAACAGCAGCCGCGGACTTTTCAAGATAGGTCAGCGAGCTGGCCTTGTTGTTTTCGCCGTTGGAAGAGGCAGTAGACAGCTTGTTGGTTGTGTTCGAAAACCGGACCATGAGAGCCAAAATGGGCGACAACTCACCAAGCTTGACAAGATCAGGATCCAAACAAGGGTCCAGGAAGGCGTCCACGGGGGTCACGTGATCGTAGTCGGGCGTCTGCTTGAGTAGAGACACGAATCGATCGACTCCGATTTCAGCGCAGAGGCTCATCACGTGACTGGCGACTTGCTTGGCCTTAGCGGGCGCATCCGACGACGAAACCAACCCGGCAAAGTCAGACAAGGCCAGTGGCCACGACAGGTACTTGAGAGCCGTCGCGGCGACCACGTAATCTTCGGGTTCGGTCACGTTGTTGCCAACCACGCCGCTCACGGCCTGTCTCCATGTCAGGACATGGGACTGCTGCACGGGGGCTCCATCGGCCGTCTCTGCGATTCGCACGCGGTCGAATTCGGACATTCTCACGTCCAGCTCGTCGACAAAGATTTCCACCGCTCGGTTTCGCATCGCTCGAGACAGTTCTCCATACTTGGGGTTCACGGTCAGGAAGATTCGGAAGTTCTTGTGAGGAGTGATGACTCGAGGGGAACCGTCTTCTAGCGCGCTCTCGTTGAGAATAAGGGTTCCATTGGGCTCCAGCAGCGAGTTGAGTCGGTCCAGAACTGAGGCTGAACACAGGTTTGCGTTGTCCAGCACCAGCCAATGACCCCGAGCCACAGCATTGACAAGAATACCATCGATCCACTGGAACGACACGGCGTCAGAGGCGCTCTTGGACTTGCTCAGGGCGTCAAGCTCGTCATAAAGATGACTAATCTGAGTCTGGAGATCCTGGTCCATGGAAGTATCGGCCTTTTGGGCCAGAGCCTTGGTCAGGCCCTCCTCGTTGTCACGCGACAGCTCCCGTCGGGCCCACTCGGCAAACACGTGACCTATCTTCTTGTCAATCTGTTCGCGCTTCTGCCGGTTGTCCACCTGCTCGTAGCCTCCCACCAAGTCGACAGAGTCCACGTCGGCGTTGAGAGCAATCTCATCAAGAGTAGCTCCGGCAACACAGGCCATGAGCCGGATCAACGAGGTCTTTCCGGAACAAGAAGGTCCCGCCAGAATCACGGGCCACGAATGGTTGATGGCCCGAATCAGAGTCTCTGAGGGGGACGAGTTGCAGTGCAAGAAGGACAGCGGAGAAGAGGAGTACGACGGCTGAATGAGTTGGTCACGGGCGAGAGAGGCACGTCCGCAACGGATTTCAGACGAAGACTGCACAGTCACGCAGTAGTCACGTGCCTGCGAGTCTCGGCCATCAAACACGGTCTTGTACAGCTCCTCCAGCTGCTGTCTGTCAGTCACGGTTCTGAATCGATCTCCAGCAATGAGATTCAGAAACGCGCCAGGGTTGGCGTTTTGGTCACGTGACACAAGAGACATCCACCGCATCGTGTCTCTCATGTTGAATTCCCAGGGTGCTCCCTTGGCTCCGAATTTACCCGACTGCACGTCCTTGTCCAGCTGACTAATGAACTGGATCATGCGTTCCGAGTCGTTTACCTTGGGGTAGAGGTATTGGGCAATCTGGAACAAGTCTTCTTTGTCCAGCGCGTCCACATAGACGACGGTGAATCGGTTGAGGAACGACTTTGGCAGACCCTTTCGTCCTCCGCCCTGGTGCTGGGGGTTCTGAGCCGCGAACACGGTGAATCCCGGAGCACAGGTGAAGAACTTGTCCAGCTCGGGAATGTAAGTCTGTCCTCGGTGATCTAGACAGGCGTTGAGACCTTCCAAAACCGACTGGGATGCCAGATTCATTTCGTCCAGCAGCACCCATTCTCCGGCCTGCATGGCTCGCAGGAACGGGGCGTCTCTCCAGACAAAGGTGCCGGCTTCGGAGTCCTCCGCAGGCGCGTCAGAGCCGAACAGATCGATCAAATCGGTCTGTTCAGACAAATTGATTCGAGTGAGCGGCTTTCCAAGTAACTGAGCGATGGACGTGATGAGAGAGGTCTTTCCAACACCAGGCGAGCCCTCCAGAAGGATGGGCTTGGGGACTTGTAGAGAACGAAGGACTCTCATTGCGTTCAGCCGAGTAGTAGGGGCACTCAAGTTGAACGTTGCCTTCTCAACAGCGGTGGAGGAGCCGTCAGACTCCTTCTCCACGCCAAAATGGCCAATCTTCAACTCGTCACAAGTGTCCTCAATCTCAGGAACCTGGTCGTAGATGGCCAGGAGTTGAGGCTTCTTTTTTATAGAGATCAACGACTGCAGCTTTCCAATACACTCTCTCTTCTCGGCCTCCAAATTGGTCAAATACGAAGTCTGACCAGTACCAAGAGCATCGACGAAGACCATAAGAGCTCCATGCAGCAGAGCCACTTCATGGGAACCTTCAAACTTGTTGATGAACTCGGTCCAAGCAAGCAGGTTTCGCAGAGAGATGATTCCCGAGGTTGTGGAGCCGCTGTATTTGATGGCAAACCACTTGGAGAACTCGGTGACCACCTTGGACAGATACTTTTTGTCGTCGCCGAGTCTCGAGCCGACAATCGTCTCCACGTCGGAAAAGTCCTCCATAGAGGGTACCCAGATCTCTGTGAATCGGTTTCGCAGAGCCAGAGACAGCTCCTTCTTACCGTAGTCTCCACCAGGGTTCATGGTAGCGAAGAATTGGAAATCGGGGAGCGCAGTGACGGACGCCTCAGACGCGTCGGAGCCCTTTTCAGCAAGCAGTAGGGTTCGCTCAGGCTCAAGGACTGAGTTGAGACGTTCCAGAACCGAGTCGTCGGCCAGAGAAATCTCATCGAGAAGGAAGAAGTCGCCCTGCTTGAGAGCCTGAATAAGAGAACCGTCCGACCACGTGAAGAGCGTCTTTTGGGCCGCCCGCGAAGTGACGACAGCCTGCTTGATCTCCTCGGGGAAAGATTCGGGATCCTTCTTGAGTAAACTGAGATACTTGACGTCAAGTTCGGAGTTAGAAAGACCCGCGGTGTCTTCGTCTCCCAGAGCCTCCAACAAGGCATCTCTGAAACGGCTCTCCAGATCAGACCGATTTCGAACAGGTCGGAAAGAACCAATAATGTCGCCAGTCTCCATGTTCTGATGAGCGTTGACAATGTGCAGCTCCTTGTCACGTGCCTCGGCAAGCAGCTGACAAACGGTGGTCTTACCACATCCAGTCTCACCCACCAGAAGAATGGGCTCCTTGTGCTTGATAGCTTCCTGGACAAGATAGACCAGCCGTCGCAGACCATTGGTCATCACCACAGAAGAATTGGCGTCCACTCCAGGAACAGTCACGTGGTCGTACAGCTGTCGCTCGTCGAGTTTCACCTTCATGACCTTTTCGATGGCCCGTTTGACCACCTCTCTCTCCTCTGGGTTTCGCACTCGTTCACCAAGTAGCAAGAATCCGTTCATGGCCAGCTCCTCGTTGTTGTCGCAGTTTCGGCCAGCCCATCGGAACAGGTCTCGAAGAGTCGCAAACGCATTCTGTTCAAAGACTCGCGAAGCCTGTCGCACCAGCGAAAGCTCCCGGTAAACGTTGACAATCTTGGCAGCCTGGGACGGAGCAATGAGCGCTCGTTTATGCAGAATGTGCTCCAGCTCGGTCTCGGGAATATCGCCGAAATGAAGCTCCAAGAAACGGTTTCGGAAAGCTCGAGACAACTGTTTTCGACCACCATACAGTCCGGGAGGGTTCTGGGTAGCAAACAGCCGAAACTGGGGATGGGGACGGACCACCTCCTGAGTCTCGGGAATGAGAAGCTCCCGGTTGTCGTCCAGAAGTCGGTTGAGGGCCTCCAGCACGTCGGTGGGCGCCAAATTCAGCTCGTCAAGAACAATCCAAGCTCCTCGTCGCAGAGCCTGCACCAGAACTCCCTCCTTGAACTTGAGCTTGCCCTCGGAATCAGCCACGTATGTGCCCAGGTATTCCTGCAAGTCCGTGTGTTCGTGGTTGTTGATACGCACAAACTCGTGACCGGTTTTCTGAGCAAGGTACCGGATCATGGACGTTTTTCCAGCAGAAGTGGGACCCTGGATAAGCACAGAGGACTTTCCGGACGTGGCTCGGACCAGATTGAGCAGGTTCTTGGTCACAAACGGCGTCATAACGTACTTCTCGTCGTCGTAGGGAGTCAGCGGTCCCGGCTCCAGCCAGTAATGCTCGAAAGCAACATGTTTGTCGCTGGGGGCCTTGGTTTTCTGTGTCATGATCGACTTTTGGTCCTTGAGCTTGTTGACAGTGTACTTCTTGATGACTTCATGGAGAGTAGCCTCGGAGTCGGCATCCAGCAGAGTCAGGAAAGACATGCAGAAGCCCTCGTACAGCGACCGACGCAACCCTCGGGGTCCAAACAGATGCGCAATCTGCGACACGTAGACCAGTGTTCTGGACAGCGTTCGAATGGAGAAATGGGGCTTCTGGCCCGCTCCGTCCACAATCTTGTTCTCGGCAGACAGTTTCTTGGCTGTTAAGTACAAGTCCGCCACGTCGTTGTGGATGCCAATAGTGGAGTCCGACACACATAAGTGGCCAATGTACCGGTCGATGATCTTGAGCAAGTCATCAAAGTTCTCGTCGGGAGAAGACACGTAGAGCTCTGTGAACCGCGACCGGAGACCCAGAGGCAGGTCTCGTTTACCGACATCGGTAGCCGGATTCATGCATGCAAACATTCTGAAGTCTGGATGAGCCACAATGGTCTCTGCGTCTCCCTTTTCGGACAAGAGAAGTGTTCGGGGCTCGGACAGAAGATCAGAAATGGCCTCCAGAGTGTCGGGAGACGCCAGGTTGATCTCATCGAGCAACACCCACTCGCCCTTTCGCACGGCCTGGACAATGGATCCCTCGATGAACTGGAACACAAACGACGACTGGATCTGCTTGTACTGGATCTCGAACGCCAGGAGATTGCTCTGGAACTGGTCCCACTGAGCCTGCAGTGACACGGTTTCCTTGTCGGTCAGCTTGCGCCGCTTACCGCTCTCGGATTCCTTCAGCCGTCCAGCAGACAGCTTGACCGCCTCCTTCCACAGCCGAATGCAGTTCTTCCAGTGGCGGATGTTAAAGGCCCGGGTCAACAGCTTCATGAACTCCACGTTCTTCTTTGCAGAAAAGGTGGCCGAAAACACCTCCTGGAACTCATCCATCAACGGAACCGCAATCATAGACACGTCGACGGGCTTAAATCCACCCAGAAGATCGCCGGCCTCAGTCTGCTGAGACACGTTGACAACGGTGAGTTTCTTGTTCATCAGAGAAGCCACGTTCTGAACCACAGTGGTCTTACCGGTACCAGTTTCTCCAACCAAAAGAAGCGGCTCGGTGGAAGAAATGGCCACGCAAATCTGCTCCATCAGCTTGGACGCGTGGTTGGTGTTGGCAAACAGACTGTTGCTCTTCTTCTTCTGGCCAGTGACTTGTTTAGTCAGCAGGCTTCGTCCCACCTCCAGGCTGTCGCTGCTATCCTGGTAGGCAGGAACTCGGCCAAGGAGAACATCTACCTTGGGAGCAGACATGCCCAGACACTCTCCAATCACATGGGCAGCCTTGTTTCGGGCGTCCGAGTTGCTCAGAAAGCCGGCAAAGCAATCCAGAGCCTCCAGAAAGATGAACTCGTACACGTGGTTGGGCAGAGGGTCATTTGGAGACGTGTATCCGAGTCTCAAGATCATGGCACTCACTCGGTTGCACAGTTTGATTAGGTCGTTCAGGGAAACCACTCGAGAAACGGCAGATTTCGTCAGAGAAACAAAACTGGATGAGCCGTACAGAGCGACAATGGCCGCAAACGTGTCTTGGAAGGACTCGGCCATGGCGGAAATCACGTGGTATCGCTCCTTGATGATGGTGACAATCTCCTCGGGCTGCAGCTCCGGGAGCTCCACCTGCTGCCATAGTCGCAAGCCGATAATCTCGTTTGTGTGAGCCCCGATCTTCTTTCGCATGGTTCCCACCAGTCGGAAGCCAGCGTGGGCCTTGATCACCTCGTCTCTCGAGGGAATGACGAGTTCTCGCTTCTCCAGTAGAGACAATAGAACCGAAACCACATCGGTGGGGGCTCGGTCAATGTCCTCCACAAGTACCCATCGTCCTTCCTTGATGGCTGTAGTCAGTACACCGTCTCTCCACTCGAAAGACCCCGGTTTGGAGCCGGTGGTGTACGCTCCAATCAGCAGCTTGGAGTCTGTCTGATCGCCGAGATGGATTCGCACCATGTTGTCCAGCTTGGACAGGTTGCGGGCAATCTCGTTCACATAGAAGGTCTTTCCCGAGCCCGAGGGGCCGCTCAGAAGAATGGGCGCACTGGTGGAGAGCGCCTGGCCCAGCTCATTCATGATTTCAACACTCGTGTCGGTCTCCACGTAGTCAGAAGCCACGGGAGAGGGTCCTCCAAGTCGAGGAATCAAAGAAGAACCAATAGGAGTGTTGAGAGAGTTGAGCTCCGAAACGGGGATGTGAATGTGTGTGGTAGGCAGCAGGTCACGTGCCAGAGCCAGCACGCGCTCGCTCTCTCTGTACTCGAGCTCTGCGTCGCATTTGGTCATTTCAAACACCTTGTACAGCAGCTGCTTGGCCATGTCAAAGGACATTAGTCCGCTCACCACCTCCTTGTCCACCAGACCGCCGTACGTCTCTCTATCAAACGAGACGAGGCGGTAGAAGGCGAGCAGAATGGCCTCTGTCTGTGTCTCACTCTGGGGCACCTTGAGCATCTCCATGAAGCCCATCTTTGAGACGAAATGAGAGCAGAGGGTCTGGATACCCGGGCACACAGCAACATCACGCGCGAGAGCAGTGAGCACGAGAACGGCGTCATCGCCACTACTGGCGCTTGTGATCCACCGCGCCACCAGATCGGGGGCGATTTGGGGGCATGAGGGCAGAATTGGTGTGGTTAAAGCGGTGGTGGATAATTGCGTGAGGGTGTGGTTTTGGTAATCAGTAGGGATTGATGTGGTGACTGGGTTAGTAACGCAACGGTAGTGGGGATCGGGCAACAGGAGAGTCACCTCCGCCGGGATCAAGTGGCACATGTTGTTGACAGACACGATGGCACCAGTTTGGACAAGTAAATCAATACTCAATGCTTCAAATGACCTTTCATCCATCTCCAAGTGTCACACTTGAAACATGGCTGACATGGTCCATGCTCACCGTCACAACACAACATAGTAACACGGCCAACTGACAACCTGGTGTCGTTTGCATTTATTCAGTTGTTTGTAAGTTGTGTTTGCCTCTTTCTCCCTTCCTCTCCCTACTTGCTCCTCCTCTCTCTCGATACTCACTCTTGTCACCGGATGCAACCATTTTGTATCGTTTATCGTATGTATGAACCTGTAGTCGTAGGGCAATGTCGTAATCGCAATCTGTGTTAGAATCGCTCCAATATCTAATCTCCAATCTCCAATCTCAAATATCCAAGATCCAAGATCCCGCTCGCCACCATACTCACTTGAAGCGTAATGTCGCTGCTAGGTCTCCGTCTTGCAAGACAGGTAAATCGAATGAAGCTGGCGGGTCTGTATGTATGTGTCAGATTCTGGGTTAGTTTTGTCCGCCGGATAATCTCCAGTCGCTGCTCTCGACGTCTCGCCCCACTCACAATTCCAAAAGCTCCAAAATCAACAATATCAAGATCTGCTGAAAAGTCGTTACACGATCAAGCACTGGTCTGCAAAAAAATATAAGTTCATGCACCAATATTTTTTTCCATCGCAATGCACCCCGAGCTTATTTTTTATTTTTTATTTTTTATTTTTTATTTTTTATTTTTTATTTCAAAATCTGGAGAAAAAATACAACAGATTTGAGGGTGTAGAAACAGTAGTAACGGTGTCTTTGGCACCAATTGGCCTGGTGATATTTATTGTTTTCTGCTGACAAAAAAAAAACAGCCATATTGATCGACTTTACCACACTTCAAGAATGTCCAACTATAGGGAGAGTAATTGTGGATATTACTTATAGCTACAGTAAGTACTGCACATTCAATTTCCGTGACTCACTTCATCTACAAGTGCTGACACTCGATAACCCCCTTGAACCATCTGTTTCTCGAGACTATCCCCTGATCATCGCTTACTAAGCAAAAAACGTGCCTATTTGCCACCGGATCAACGTCTTGACACGCCTTAGATGCAGCTTCTTTTACTGCGCGTTTACTCACCATTTACTTGGGGTTTCAACTAATTCATTACCTTATTCAACCCAACTGTGGACGTCAGAAAAAAAAGTGAAGACGTGTTAAGATGAAAGCACCTGTAGGTCCGTGCCAAGCAGCATGTCGATAGCTTTTTCTCGCTGGTGTCTGCTCAGAAGAGCTGCTGGGCTACTCTTCGCTTTCTATGCCTCTCCCTTATTCCACTTGTCCACCACCTTGGCCATCTCCTTTCTAAACCCCTGACTATCAATGCTAGTCTCGGTCTCATCGTAGAATGGATTGCTCTTGTACGCCACCAGCACCTTGAGCACCTGCTTGGCAAACTGCTCAATGCTCTCGGAGCCCTCCTGGGCCTCGCAGCCAATCACAATCTTATTGGCCGTGTTGGTGAGCATACCGTACACCGCCAGCTTGTGCACGTATAGAAGAGACACGGTGCCGGCGTTTTCGTTCTGCTGCTGGCCCAGATAGTCCAGAGCCATGTATGCTAGTGACGAGTAGTCGTACTCGAGCTGTGTGGTGGTTTCGCCTTCACCGGGATAGATTCCGATGAACAGAGGGGTGTTCTGTGTTAGAAGAAGAAAGGAGCTTGTACGACAGCATCGCGACAGTCCATCACCAAACATGACTTGGACACCTTGTCTCTTCGACGTCAGACAATGCTCTTTCAGCGACAGACGTTGAATGAGATAGCAGCTTGCTTGATACACGAACCACGCTGTTTCTCCAGAATTCACGCGAGGGTGTGTGACAGCCAGTCCAAATTCACGATAGGGTGTGTAGCAGCTATGATAGATTCCAAATTGAAATTGAAAGAAGAGTCAAGGACGCGCCGGAAGGAAAGGAACACAGGTAGTGAGTCCAACGAACCATCTCTGTCTAGCCGTAGGACTATAATGGGATGACTCCAGTGATGCATTCAGGCAATCTCAACACACACCGACCTATGTGGCACCACTTGAGCTTCCCGCCCCTCAGTCTTCTTATCCTATCCTCAGTTGCCACATAAATTGTAGTCATGTGGATGGTTTGACATTCTCCAGCGTAAATTGCCAATAATCCGGCGCATTTCAAACCAATCCAGTCACTTCACAAACCATGTAATACCCGGGACCGTCCCTTACCCGTGGATCATCTCATACTGTGTCGCTGTCGTTGGTTGTTCTGTTGTCTCTCTTTCAGAACATTCTGTTTGCGGGAGGCATTACCCTACCGTCGAGCCGCCCCTCGTCCCTCCTCCTCCTCCTCCTCCTCCTCCTCCTCCTCCACACTTACCTCCCTGCTGATTATCGACACCAGTTTCACCTGAGCCATTGTATCTTGTAGAGTCCTTTGGTGTTGTACTGTCCACGATGTGCGTGCTGTACGTGTATGCAGGTTGAGCTTGGGTGAATGAAAATCGAAAATGAATTATTAAAACACGGGTAAAATAGAAGAATTTCTTTTGAGCCTCTTTCGGGATCACTACCGGCTTCTTCTATTGAACAAAATTACAATAAACAAAATATGATCAATATGGACTCCGCCAACTTCGGGGTCCATTCTGTATCGTAAAATCTGGGTGAAACGACCGGAAGCCATGGAAACTGAAACTTTGGGTGAGAAAGTAACCATCGGCAAAAGGTCTCTCAAACGGGGTGAAATGTCGTTCTTGTGCAAGTAAAAGCCACATGAAGGTCGTCAGCGGATCGCTCTGAATCATTAAATACAACTCTTGTCCAAATCGGGTATCATTTGACCAAAATAAACTGATTCCTCATTTCTTATACAGGCCAATCTGAGTGCACATGACCTACAGTACAAGGTACTTGAACTTGAACTTGAACTTGAACTTGAACTTGCACTCACACCATCTTTAGCACCATCCAGAATTGTCCGAGAACGACAAAAAAAACCCCCATCAAAAGCATCAAATCCACCCTCAAACACCATCCACACCTCCACTCCCCTCCTTACTCAGCGCTCAACTCGCCCTATTCCGCCATCTCCCTTGCTCATCGATCGCATCGCACATGCAGGTGGATCTTGTTGATCGACTTTTTTGACATCTACTTCGGCATTTTGGATCGAACTTTCTACAAGAACTTGCACCGTTGTCCCTTTGTCGCCACTGACAGTTCTAGACCATCAACTGACGATTTCGCAATTCGCAATCTCTACTTGTATCCACTACTGGTAGTAGCAACACTCATCTCACTCTTGTACAGCTGCAACCCCAGACCCATGAGAAACGCCACTGACACCTCCTCCATCGATCTTGAGTCGCTGGAGTACCCCGACGCGGTGGTGTTCGACCTGGACTACACGCTGTGGCCCTGCTGGTGCGACACGCATCTCAGTCCTCCCATCAAACGGGGAACCAGCGACCTTCAGGTGGAAGATCGCAGCGGTTACGTGCTGAGTCTGTACAGAGACGTGCCCGAGATTCTGAAACATCTGCGCGAGAAGAATGTCAAGATTCTGGCTGCGTCGCGAACGGCCACCCCCGACGTGGCCAAGAGCATTCTCAAGACGATCAAAATCGACGGAGAGCCGGTGCTCAACTACTTTGACGCACTGGAATGGGGCCAGGGAACGAAAATCAACCATTTCAAAAAGCTCAACAAGAAAACCAAGGTGGATTTCAACAAGATGATCTTTTTCGACGACGAACGACGGAATAAAGACGTGGAGAGAAGCCTGGGGGTCATGTTCAACCTGGTCGACGAGAGCTACGGTGTCAACTGGAGCGAGTTCAAAAGAGCCATCAAAGGCTACAATGAGAGATTGAAGAGTGGACTGTGAGAAGAACCCAAGGGCAAACTGAGTACCTGTATTACGGCCTGACCCCTGGAAGCCAACCAACCACAGTACCATCGAACTTGTGCTAGGATCCAGCCACTCACGAGAGTTCTACACACCTACAAGCTCCCAAACCACTCCCACGACTAACTGCTGTCGTTCACTAGAATGAGATACCTGTACTTCTCTCGCACTTTGCCATATAGATAATGTAACAATAATGAACTACATTGAAAGACTCGCAATGAGCTTACGAAGGAACACTACATTCGTAGTCTCCAGCAAGTCCAACCCTTTACAGCAACTACTACCACTAGAAATCTATCACCAGAAATACCGCCCGAAAGGCTATTAATGACTACGTAACATGATTAAACAAAATACAACTCTCCCTCGGGAGATTCTTAGTGAGTGTCCCAACGTGATGGTAACATGGAGGCACTATTGCAAGATCCGTTTCGATTTCCTTGCTTTGTGCAATTAAAACTGGCCAGGGCCAGGAGTGCCAGGAAGCGAACCCTGGACAGCGTCGGTGGAAAGAGCAGGAGAACCAACTCGACCGGGATCCAGATGCGAGCCACCCTCAAGAGGAGCAGAAGCTCCGGGAGCCAGAGGAGCACGGCCGGGGTCCAATGAAGAATGCTGCAGACCCTGGGTGACGTCCTCAACGTCGCCGTATTTGCCCTGCAGAGCTCCATGGTCAGTCACCTGGCCATCCTGGAGCTGCGCAGAGCCGCCAGCGGGGGCGTTGAAGCCGGGATCAACGGGCTCAGGCGTGTACTCAGCCCGGTGGGTGCCGTCGAATCCGGCTCCGGCATCCTCCTCCTCGGGAATGGTGTGCACTCCAGAAGACACAGGGGCAATACCAGCAGCAGCAGCACCGCCAGAGGCGGCACCGGCAGCAGCAGCACCACCGGGCACGGAAGAGCCAGCGGTGGGCTCGTACTGAGGCTCATATGACTGCTGAGAGGGCTCAAACTGCTGAGTGGGCTCATACTGCTGAGCAGCAGGAGCAGCAGAGGTAGCGGGCTCAGCGTATTGGGCAGCGGAAGCAGGAACGGCACCAGCAGCACCGGTAGCAGGCTCAGCGTACTGAGCGGCAGAAGCACCGGGCTGTTCAGCGTATTGACCGGCAGCTCCAGCGGCTCCAGCCCCAGCGCCAGCCCCGGCACCTGCGGCACCTGCAGCGCCAGCAGCTCCGAGACCAGCAGCGTGCTCCTCAGGCTCGTCCTCAAAGTCGGCAGAGGAAAAGTTGGTCTTTCCTCCGCTGACCTTGAGGAAGGCGTCGTACCACAGCTGCAGCTCCTGGTAGGTGGCAGCCTTGAGAGTAATGGTCTTCTTGGTGGGAATGGTGGAAGACGTGTCCTTGCCCTTGATTTTGAGCTTGAGGTCTCCTCCTCGAGGAGGAAGAGGACCAATGGTAGAGTCAGGAACGTAGAGCGAGAAGTTGGGGTTAGGCTCAATCAGAGGATCCTCAGAGGCATAGCCGTGCAGGAAACCCGATCGGGTAAGCACGTAGAAGCCCGAGGTGTAGTTCTTGACAATGTGGCCCTCCTTTCGCTGCAAGATACCAGACACCAGAGGTTGGGCGGCGGGGTTGTCCGAGTTGGGGAAAGTGACCGAGTCCAACGACCGCTTGGCCTTCTGGGGGTCGACCAGCTGGTGCTTCTCCCGCTGGGCAAACTCGTCCCACTCAAAGTCCTCGGGAATAGCGGCAAACCGCTCGGAAAAGGACACGTATGAGTCGTGGGCGTTGGCAAAGTAGCCAGAGAGGATCTCCGACGACAGCTGGACGGCACGCTGGATCACCTGCACAATGTGTCGCTCGAACGACTTGATGTTGTTCTGCACAGACAGCAGCGAGTCGGACAGAGCGTTCTCACGGTTGAGCTGGTCACCGACCTGGGCCAGAGTGGCTCGCTTGAGCACGTAAGGGTCGTGCTTGGCCGACTGCTGCAGGCCTGTGAAGCCGGCGGTCGACTGACCCAAGGTCTCGATGGAACGGTGGGTCTTGCTTCGCACCTTTTCGACCTCTTGTGACTGCTTGAGGGTCGAGTGCTTGAGAGTCTTGATGTGCTTCTCAATCTCGTCCTCGAGCTCCTCCAACGACGGCAGCACGGAAGTCTTGAGGTTCTGCTCAGACTGTGTGGCGAGGTTAATGAGGGTGTCCAGTCGGGTGGCTATGTTGGATAGCGCGGGAGTCACGCCAATGGCCTCGGGATTGGCCTGGTGCACGCCGGTGGGGGTGGGATTGTTTTTGGCGGTCTGGGCGTTGCTTCGGTTGGGGAGGCCGCCTCGGAGCGACTGCTGGAAGCCGTGCTGCTGGGTAGGGGTCGAGGGGGTTCCAGGCTCGGAGGAGACTCCGCCGTCGAAGCGGGGCACCTCAGAAAGGGCCTTGCGGGTCTTCTCGAGGTAGCCGACCTGGTGCTTCTGCTGCGACGAGGCAATGTTAATGTACTCGATCAAGAATGCCACGGTGGCTCTCCAGTTGTCGAGACGGGCGATGAGGAGCTGAGTGGGGTCTGTGGGGGCGTCCAGAGCATGAGTGGGCTGAGCCGATCGAGAACCCGCGCCGGCGGCAGCGCCTGCTCCAGCGCCGGCTCCAGCTCCAGAAGACAGACCTCCTGCGGTGGGTCCAGAGGAGCCAGCCAAGCCAGAGGGACCGGCTCCAGCGCCAGCTCCAGCTCCAGCTCCAGCTCCAGCGCCAGCTCCAGTGGAAGAGCTTGGCACGGCGGACGGCCCGCCATCGGAGTAAATGTACTCGTCGCCCTTAAAGTCGGGCTGCTGGGACGACGAAGTGAGAGTGGCGCCCTCGAGGTTGTTGCCTCTCTGGGCGGGCGCAAAGTCGCGGTGGATGTCGCCAACGGTCTGGGACATGGTGTTGGTGGCGCCGGGAGACACGGACGGCGAAATGGGCTCGGGAACGTTCAATTGGGGGGCCTGCGATGGAAGAGCGGGAACGTCGTCGACTGCGGCGGCGGTCGTGGTAGCTGGTATAGGGGATGTGGCAGTGGGGGTGGCGGGCTGTGCGGTGGGAAGCTCGCTCTTGCGTTTGAAGAACTTTTGACGGAAGCCGCTCATGGTTATATATTGATATATATATACGCCGGGAGCCGATGTGTGCCTGTGGTGTGCAATGTGGGGTGAGAGAGAGATGTGAGCCAAGTTTGACACCAAATAGGTTTGGTTGCTGTTTGGGAGACGGGAAAAGAAATGCGCCTTTGTTTGTTTGTGTGTGAGTGACGATAGGGTAAGTCAGGGGTTGTGTGTGGGGGACCGCGCAACGGCGCTGTTTGTGTCACCTCACCACTCGTGTATAAATACGCGGTCTTTTCCCCCTGATTGTTGGAGGCTCCGGGGAGCTCTGACAGGCGCTGTTTACAAGCTCACTGCACTTTAAGTTATATATATCGCAACATGCATGCATCCTGCACTGCGATATGGGGACTGGAGGGGAGGATGACTAAGGAGCGAGCTGGGGTCTGGTCGTCAAGTCACGTGCTGGGAGAGAGGGTGGAGGGGGGAGGAGGTGTTACGGAAGAAGAAACGCCGCCAATTTTCGGTCTAGTCACGTGCCCTTGTGGGTGGTGGCACGGTGGGTTGAAGGGGGGAGGTTCTGTTGTCTCTTTAAAAAAAAGAGTGGTGGAGAATTACGCATGAAGTCTGAGTGACCTTTCAGTGATGACGCAAGAGCAACCTTGACGGCCTATCTACAGTTGCTGTCTACAGCACATTTGGTGGGCAAAAGAGGCAACCGAGTTGCCGTTTTGGAGCTGATCGTCGGTCATGTGATGAGTGAAGGATGGATGAAGGATGGGTGGAGGGTGTGAAATGGCGTTTTCGACGGTGAAAGACTGGAGATGATGATAAGACTGAGGTCTTTTCGAGACGAGATACCTTCGAGACGAGACACTTCCGGGACGAGACACTTTCGAGACTCGAGATAGGGCTGTGAAACAAGTCTCAGCAAGGGACTGACTCAAGAAGGAACGCTGGAATGACGCCTGAGGTCTCGTATTGGTGCATCCAGAACTTGCACGGTATGCTGAATCCCAGGTGCGATTCTGGGCTTCTCCAGACCGCCAGACCTGTTCAGACTGCTCCAAACTGCCCAATCAAGTATCTAGAGCACCCTGTCATCTGGTGAGCTCTGACCATCTGACTGACACTAGCAGCACGAGTTGAGTACTGCATCCGCAAGCCAGCCCAGATGGCGCACTTTCCCTTACAGATGTCAAGCCCAAGGCCAACACTGCTAAACCCGAGTCCTACTACACAACTACTGCACCCCACCAACTACACTATTGGACCTGGGGTCTTGCTAAACTCTGGGGTACAAGGAAGACCACCAGGAGTTATATTGACGCTGCTCCATGGTGCTCCAAAGTGGTCTTGTTTGACTCTGTTTGACGCATTGGATCCACACTAATCCGCTAAGAACAAACTACTGCGGCGCTGGTAGCGAGTGTAGACCCACACCAAATCGCTATAGCTCGCTATAGCTCGCACTAGAGACAACCAAGTGGCTATCGCTCATTCCAAGTGGCTATAATGCACACTACAGAGCCTACATGTCTCCTTGTAGCCCGTGTGTTTGTTCCATAGCCAAGCTCGTGTCTCACGACCCTTAAACTGCTAAAACATTTCTCGGGGAAACGATAGTCGGGTATTTGGGCCTGTCTTAAAGCGCGTTAGCGGCTTCTTGGGCGTCTGAAATGTATCTTTTTGATCGCAACTTGGCCAACCTGACATATTGAACTTGTAGCAGACAGAGCTATAAGTGAAACAGTGGCTTGGTCCAGAGTCGGTCGGTTGTGTTGCTGTATAGGAGCACAAGGGAACCCTTGGTTGATGTTAGAATGGCTGTAGTTGGTCCCGGGACTCGGAGTAAACAACGTGACTTCAAGTTGGACCCACATCTGTTGACATACTGTTCCAAAAATGTCCGTCAGTTGTCTGCAGTGGGGACTGTCTCATCAATAGATTGAAACGCCAGTCAAGTGGGTGACAGAGTGGAGTAGTTGAATACAACCACGGCCTGGAATCCAGAAACATGGTACTGTAAGTCTTCTGGGGGTTTGAGCGACTCGCGGACTCCACTAGGTAAAAACTGTCGCATGTCTAGGTATAATGGACAGTTTTAACGAAATAGTTCAATAATAGTATTGTAAGAGATAGCAAACAGTTGACCCATCTGTTCAGAATCTTGCCCTGATTCCTTTTATACCATTATCGCACCCTCTCACCACACAAAATTCCCACCTATAGGTGCATTTGTCAATGGAAACAGAAGGAACGTACAACCAAGGAGAGACGCTTTCCAGATAAAAATAACATATCAATGTGTTCAGAATCGCCTCCTGATTCCATTGGTGTCATTAATTCAACGTTTTGTGGTACAAAAGCTCCCGCTATGACCCGAATTCATGTTGGCCTGGGACATGAAGGGTCATCAAGAAGTACAGCACCTTACTTGTCTGAAACTGCTGAACGTGACCCTGGATGCCTCCAGCCATGGCCTATTCTACTCTACACAGATCCATCTGATAACAGTAACCTCCTAAAACAGTAACATTCATTACTAACACAATTTTTACATTCTTCCTTATTGGACCGCTGGCACGAAAAACCTACGGGCAGCGGCGGCTCGTCACGCTCGCAGATGAGCTGCTTACAACAGCTTGGTAACTCGACCAATGGCGATACTCTGACCCTGGTCTCGCAGAGTGAACCGACCCAGCTGGGGAGTCTTGCTAAACTCGTCCATACAGACGGGGTTCTGGGTCTCGAGCCGGGCAATGATCTTCATGCCCTTCTTGGCAAAAGCCGGGGGCTTCTTGGACTTTCGGTTGGTACCCTTCTCCAGCTTGTGCAGCAGAGCAGTAAAGGTGACCTCCTCAGCAGCGGTATGGATGTGCATCACACAAGAGAAACCGGTCGACAGAATCGATTTGAGCTCGGTGATGGCAATCTGGGCCTCAAAGACGGTGACGGCAGCAACGGGTTGGGCGGCAGAACAGAGAACCTGTCCAATCTGAACCTCCTCCTCTTCAATGCCCTTGACCTTGAGTCGGATCTGCTCTCCAACAGACGCGCCGCCAACCTCCTGCTCGGTCTCCTTGTAAAGGGTGGTGACCTCGACGGGGACCTTAGAGGGCATGACGACCAGGTTGTCGCCCTTCTTGACGGTGCCAACCTCGATCTTACCCTCCACAATGGTACCCAGGTTCTTCTCCTTGTTGGAAATGGGGAGCATGAAGGGGCCGGTGAGGTTCCGCTCGAGCTCAAACGAGTCAAGCAGCTCCAGCAGAGAGGGGCCGTCGTACCAGGGGCACACCTCCTTGGAGACTCGCTCCTTGACGTTAGCGCCGGTGAAACCGGACACGGGCATAAAGGTGATCTCCGTCTTGTCCGAGTAGCCCAGACCCTTGAGGTAGAGCTTCAGCTTGCTGATACACTCGTCGTATCGCTCCTTGGACCAGTTGACGGTCGAGTCGTCCATCTTGTTAATGGCAATCACCAGCTTGTTGATACCCTGGGTCTTGGCCAGCATGGCGTGCTCTCGGGTCTGACCGTCTCGCTCGAAGCCGGTCTCGTACTCTCCCTTTCGGGCAGAGATGACGAGAATACCGGCATCGGCCTGAGCGGCTCCTCCAATCATGGAGGGCACGTACATCTTGTGGCCGGGGGCGTCGAGCAGAGTGTATCGTCGCTTGTCGGTCTCAAAGTACGACCGGCCCACCTCGACGGTCTTTCCCTCGGCTCGCTCCTCCTTGTTGATGTCCATAACCCAAGACAGGTACCAGCCGGGTCGTCCGGCGTCGGCAGCCTCCTTCTCCATCTTCTCAATAGTTCGCTTGTTGACGGTGCCGGTGAGGTAGAGGATCTGGCCTCCCAGAGTGGATTTGCCGACATCGACGTGGCCCATGAAAATGATGGACATGTGGTCCTTGGTCTCGCCAAACATTTCCTTGATGGTTTCCTGGTCGATCTCGGCGTTCTGGGCGGCGATCAGGGCGTCAGCAGAGGCAGCGTTGGCGGCAGAGTCGTCCTTAGCGGGAGTGGACTCCTTCTTCTCAGGGGCCGGAGTAGACTCCTTAGAGGCAGGAGCGGGGGTAGCCTCCTTCTTCTCGGCAACAGGAGTGGACTCCTTCTTCTCGGCAGCAGGGGCAGGGGACTCTTCCTTCTTGTCCTTGTCTCCGCCAATCTTGAGAACTCCTCCGGTCTTCTTCTCGGCGGGCTTGTCTCCTCCAATCTTGAGAGCGCCGCCCGAAGTCTTGGGCTTGTCTCCTCCAATCTTGAGGGCTCCTCCGGAAGACTTGGGTTTGTCGCCTCCAATCTTGAGGGCTCCGCCAGACTTGGCAGCGGGCTTCTTGAGCTTGTTGAGAGCCTCCTGTTTCTGCTTCTGGTACTCCTCCAGCGTGAGAGTCTTCTCCTGGGGCTCCTCAGGCTGGTCATAGCCCCCTCCGTACTGGTTGTCGTAGCCGCCGTAGTTGCCGTACTGATTGTCGTACTGGTTGTAGTTGTTGTAGCCACCCTGGTATCCTCCTCGGTAGCCGCCCCGACCTCGACCGGAATAGCCGCCTCGGCCCTGGTAGCCCTGGTAGCCCTGGTTGTAGTTGTTGCCCTGGTAGCCACCCTGGTAGCCGCCCTGGTAGCCGCCCTGCTGGCCGCCGTACTGGTCGTAGCCGCCCTGGGGAGCAAAAGACTGGCCGGGAACAAACGCCTGGCCGGGCACAAACGACTGACCGGGCACAAACTGCTGAGGAGCGTAGCCCTGGCCCTGGCCCTGACCCTGGCCCTGGCCCTCGTTGATGTTGGCCTTGTTGGCAAAGTCCTGGTTGAATTGATCACTCATTGTGTGTGTCGTGGTGAGTGTTGCGTGGTGATTCTCAAAATTATGCTGGGTGGTTTTTCAAAGTGCAAACCTTAACTCAGGGTGAAAATTTTAACCCTAGCCCTGGGGAGTGTGGGGGAGAAGATGGAGGTAGGTGGAGGGTCGATGGGGAAGCGGACGCGGTTTGTTTTTTTGGGTCGGGTCCGTTGACACGTGACAATTGACACGGTGTGACATTCGTGGTGTCCTTTTGGGTGCATTACGTAAGTAACTGCCGTGTGTACTGTGCTGTGCTGTGCTGTGCTGTAGCTGTGCTACCTGGACACACTGATTTGGTGTGTTTTCAAAGGGAGATATATGTTGGTTTTGAGTGAGGAACCAGGGTGAAGATGGGCGAGAATTGTATGACAAATTCAGTTCTGTTTTGCGATTTGTTGTGGGATTTTTACAGGAAAAGTCGGGAAGATGTTTTGTTTTGAATGATGATGGCGATGAGTCAGCGATTTGTGGGCTTTTGAGAAATGATAGGGGACTGGCAAGTTGAATAAATGAGTAATTTTAGTATAGGGATTCGAGTTATTGTTCCAGATTTGTCAAGGGTCATCCACAGGAGAAGCTAGGGTGGTTTTGTAGTCATTTTTGAGGAGGGTTGGATTTGGGGTGATTTGGAGTGATTTGAGAGATTCTATGGAATAAAAAGATAGCAGTTGAGAGAATGAGGCCCTGAGACTCGAATGGTACTGTTTGGATACTCTCTGGGTATCTCTGGTGGGTGATAGAGACATGTATGTTGTTTATCCCTCTGAGTATTGTAATGGAACTCATTTACATACCCCAAGGGGGATTATGAGAGCTGGTATTGTGAGTGAATGACGAAGTAAGAATCGATTCAAGGTCTCGGTTTCAATATAGATTGGATTTTGAGCGAGCTGGGGAAGATGTGGTCTGATTTCTGTACTGGGGTGAATTTTTGGCAACTTATAATTTATGACAGAGAAAAGCTGGAGGGTTGGGGAGTTGAAAGATAGATCAAATGACTGACGGGGAATTGATTGGAAGTTTCTGAATTCCCATATCTTTTCCGGTTAAAAAGATGGACATTTCATATTATTGTCTACGTTCCATGTTTTACAGAAATGAGGAGTGGGATCACGTGAACGATAGGGGAGTGAGCACTCGTGAATAAGAAGTGAATTTAGATCATAGATGTAACACATTTGCACATATGGGTGTAGTAATTGTGCAGTTGGATTGGATCTTGTGCATTGTGATTGTTTAGTTGGGCATTTGTTAGACCTTGTTCAAACTTTGTTGAATTGTAAAGTAATATATTCTGAAAGGATCAGTGGAGATATCACTGAAGAAATTATATAATATGGCTTGAAAGTGAAGGGGATAGCCTGGACCATAAGAAATATGTGCAACCAATAACTACTATCCTGTTTTATATGATCTGAATCAGACAACGCGGGGACTTCCTGTTAGTTTTTAGTTGGGGAATACTTACGTGAAGTGGAAGGGAGTTGGGTACAATTTTTTCACCCAAGTAATGGCAGAAACAGCTTGAAAGGTTTTATTTCAGATATCTATCAACTCGGTGACTTTATATATCTATTAAATCCCGACTTTTCGATACATGAACCTCGCCTGATCCACAGTAGTAGGCTGAAACGCATAAGATGGAGTTCAGAGTACACCCATCACTTTTGCCAGGGTTTTAATGGATCCGATTTGGCCTAAACTTGCAATTACTCCAGAATATGGACCGTGGGAGACCCTCATTGTACGGAAACCATGTCCTGGACCTCTACTCCTCCAGTTCGGAATGATTCACGTCCAGCTCAGGCCGAGACTTGTCGATATTAACGAGTAGAGTGAAATTATCAATTCTCACTATTCTCTTGAGTCCACCTTTGCTGATACAATGCCATTACTTGTTCCCCATCCTCTGGTACTACTGGTTCTACTGGTATTGCTGTATTGTTGGTTCCGGAGTAGGAATACCCTTGGTAGAAGGGTCAGAGAACTGAATTGTGGACAATCCACAAACCAGCCTCTGATATACACATCTGTGTCAGTTTGAAAACTCGTCGAGCTGTACTCTTGGCTTTGCTTGAAGTTCGAGTGTTTAGCATACTAGAGTGGACTTGTGTGGTCGCAACTGTCTCATTACTAAGAAAAGTAGGAAACGGGGCTAATAAACGAGTTGTAGCTGTTGTTTCTAAAGTCCAAACGTCTCCTTCCGGCTCCTTTTCTGTCATTCAGCGTTTTGTCGGTTCCATTAGTCACTGGACAGACGAGACAAAACTACTCCCGAATAGCTCTCAATGTCTGTCGTGAATCGTATACTATTAGACGGATTTTGGACAGTTGTAGACGGTTGTAGACGGTGGTGGACGGTTGTAGACGTTGGTGGACGGTTGTGGACGTCTTGAAGAATCCTCTGGCTCCACAGAGCTCATGGCTCCGCTGAGACCTATGGTCTCCATTGTCAGTCGATAGTTAGACACGACCAGAGCAATTTGAGATTCATTCTCAGCTCTATCAAGACCCTTTAACAGGAAAATTCACTTTAAAACACACATCGACTCTTCGGAAGCTGTTCCAAGAAAACAGCAACATTCTTTATTGACGCACTACCGGGATTCGAACCCGCAACCTTCCCTGTCTTAACTAAAGTGCCAACTAATAGTTGATATATGCCGAGTAAATAGTTGAGAAAAAACGCGACCATTCTGAAGCCATTAACAAAGCACTGTAGAAGGAACCAAAACACCACGGGCACATTTGCCCTCCTCCCACCATCCTCGCGGACTAGTCCTCAATCTCCGACGCCACCAATGTAGCCCTGTGTTATGACATCACTTCCCGGAGAAGATTGGCCATGCTTCGTGATAATGTTTGTCCATCATGTGGCTGTGTCGTTCTAGTGAAAATAACCACGGACTAGAGATAATACAGGATCCACCACTCCCATTATGCCAAAGAAACACTCCATTTTCGGTCTAGTGCGAAATGAATCTCTGTTTCTGTTTGAATTCACTTTCTTGGTTGTGTGTGTGTCCCCCCGAGGGTGGACGGAGGAGTATACATTGTCCAGGAACCGCTGGGGCCGCCACTGTCCAAAACCAACTCCTTCATTCTGGGCTTGTTTCAGTCTCGATATGTTGCATCGGCTAAGTACTACAGATATCGCCCAAGTACCTAGCCCACCTCGCTTCATAATGAGACCTATGACGATCTTGATCGAGACACAGCTATAGACCACGGACTTGACCAAAGAGCACACAAGCCCAGTTTGCTTCATTAGCACCTGCAATAGCTAGAGATTTGGCGTCGTCTAATGTCCACAGTCCCTCCTAAGGTCCAAGTTCCTACAAGTTCCCCTCGGCATCCAGTACACTACATAGAGTACTCACAAAAGACCGTATCAAAAAGCAAGACTGGGCAAAATGGCCAATGTTTGGGGGCAATGCGGGAGCTGGCGTATTATTCCCGATCTGGAGCGCCAAACTCTGCCGTAGAACCGTGTCCAACCTCGCTTATAGAGTTGGCAGGGGAGACACCATAGATGGAGTAGCGTTTGGGGGTGTTTGAGAAAAGGTGTATACAAGAAACACACACGATAGAGTTGCTCGCAGTAGAGATCCGACGTGGGATGGTGGCTCAGCCAACAGGCGACTTTGTCAACCTAACATTTTTTTCATTGTCACACGCCGTCAGAGTTCTTGGTATTGTTCTTGTCCCATATTGGCATGCTGGGTACAGTGCAATTCCTTTTTGCAGTCGGAAGAAGCAAATCCACCACCGAAACATCAGCCAAACCAATATCCGATCTTCCCACTAGCTATCTCCGAGCAACCCAGTGGACTGACGGATCCGCCGCCAAGCCCCACACTCATCTCTCAGGACGGCTTGTAGCCATTTAAACCACGGGTTCTGCCAAGAGGCCCGGGGGCTTGGCTTCCTCCGCCGTCGCACAGTATGGGACGTGTGACGATACCGTGATCGGCGCCCGCTCCAACCCTAACCGTCTGGTTCCTCACCCTGTGTACGGCTCTGCCACTACTGTCTCCGTGGTTCGGAGATATCGGGAATAGGCTTTCTGTATACTTATGGTTTACTTGGCAGTTTAGTCAAGGTTAGCGTTTCGCTAAAATATAGTTGGTGCAAGTCTAATTAACTGGCTTTTGTCTACTGACGTTTGGTCAGAGTTCCGGTCCAGTCGTACAGTAGGTTGAATGATGTGTCTGAGCTTGGTGGGAGGGTGAGAGGATGCCGGGGAGCCCTGGCAGGGCTGTCTGGGCTGATTAGAGGCGTTTTTCCGGGCTCATTTGCCACTTTTTCGCCGCTCCGAACCGACCACCCCTACAGTTGACCATACCGTGGTCCCCAGAACCGTCTCCCCGTCATACACTTGTCAGAACATGATCTGATCACCAAAAACGTGCCGCCATTAACCTTGCAATCACGTATTATGTCTGAACAAAGAATGACAAATATCTTGATAAGATTTTTAATGAAACGGAGACACGCATACAGACAGACACAAGACGCACACACAAGACGCTGCCACTGGACATGATTACCACTTACAAGGAACAAGTCCGATCGCACTAGTATACCAAGGCTATTGGAATCGTCGTACAACCAGCAACCTCGCTTGTGTGTAGTGGTAGAAGGCTATCCACACAGTGGAGTTCGTTGTGGGGTGAGGTGGGTACAGCACTAGTAGATCGCTGTTCCGCGAACTTGGGGTCGTTAGAGATCTTGTTCAGCAGTAGGGCCCTGTTCCGCCATGTGAACCCCTATTAACCCCAATTAACCCCAATTAACCCCAATCAACCGTATCAACTGCCACTCACCACACTTACATTACCCCACTCATATCGTACCACTATCATACTACCTCTCAAGCCGTACCGTCGTATTAACCATCACGCCTAACCGTATAACCGCATAGTCAGGCGGTATGAAGGTGAACGACAGTTGCTCGCTACCCTTGTGCACGTGAGCAAGACAAGATCGGAGTTGATAGACCCAATTGGGTCGTCCAGCATAGGCTCAGTTGATCTGAAAGTCCATCTACTTGCACGGCCCCGATACGTTACCAGGGGTCATATATGAGCGCTCCGACTTGAATACAACGGGTCATTGTATCTCACGAGGACGTTGATGTCTCTTTTTTTGCAAATATAGAGCAATTCGGGGCAAGTGGTGCAATTAACTGATACTCTTGCATTCTGGAAAGCTACTCTGAAGCTCGGGTTGCTTTTCCGCGGCTCATGTGGTACGAGATTGGTGTAGCGACAAGATATGGAGACGGGGACTACACCATTCGAAAGCCCCATGTCAGAGGACCTCATCAGTACCATTTTTATTCCATTCAGATGATTTCTGCACTTCCCACGGACCCGACCTTAAGAGTACGTAATCAGAAAACAGAGAGTTAACTCGTGTCATACCCGTGCCACGTGATTGCGAGTAAAACAGCCGAGTTTGGAATGATTTTATCATCACTTTGGTGACAATTATCATGTGGTTTAGTCAATAGTGTGACAATCAGCGGGGGTTTGGGACAGGAAAAAGAAATGGCGCACCAGTGGAGACGTGGTACAGTAGGAGTAGGGTACGAGCGGTGGAATAATACAGAGAAGTGGTGATTTGAGCGAGATTTATCTTCTGTCATTTGCCCCAACAGCTGATATACGGAGTAGTAGGAGATGCCAGGGCACGATAAATGCTCAGAGCGAGTGGGGGAAGTACTTCGAGTCCTTTTATCCAGCACGAGAGTCGTTCCTGAACCGGTACAGGCTTCGGGGCTGTTGTCGGCAGGAGTAATTAGGCTGAGAATAATGTAAAAGTGTTGTAGGCGTAAACAACAGCCAGAATCTGTCCAGACCCACCGATCCTAACGTTCTCAGGACGTTCCCAGGACGCCAGAACGTCCATACATCACAGTACGAACAGCTGACTAAGACTATCGCCACCAACGAGAGCCAATTAGTCATCCAAACCCCTCCTAAAACTCGTATTGTCAAGTTTGATCCAAGTAGAGTTGAGTTGAGGAGATTCCACGACTCCCGCTCGTGTCTTATGAAAATGCTTCGATTCGGGCCGACCAACAGGTGGACACTATAGATGACTTGTATAGTGCTGAGACCGCCAAGTGTCTATAGCAATAATAGCAAAAGAGCAAGTGGTGTTAGTTTCTTGTTTTCCAACTGTTTTTGCGACAAAAACTGAACGCCAGACTTCCTCTATCATGGTAGGAAGTGCAAGGGTAAGTCCAAATCCAGGGTTCATCTTTTGCGCCTCTCTTGGCTGTCTCAAGTGCAAGTACACTGTACAGAATTGGTGTCCACACGGGAAATCCCAGACAGGGAACATTGCTAGGATCCCACACGCGCAGTAGATGATCCGTGCTGGTCCCAGACTCGATTGGATCATGTCTGACGTGCCAGTTTTCGCTGTAGATCGATCTGGCGATCAATTGTTGCACTGGGGGTTGCGCAGTTGCGCGTCTGGCACGGGCACAAAAAAAGGCACTGTACCCCATTTAGCCCTTTTTCCACTCCACCGATGTTTGTTCCTGCCCACAAGTTGTTGCCTCCAAACTTAGCCAAGACATTGCTAGGACAATAGAGTTTTAGTGGAGACTTGGCATCGACATTGCTCGGAGATTGAATTTTACTGCCAGTGGGGCGACTAACATGTCGGCTCTAGCGGTGGTCGGGGAGCGCCAAATGGCGGCGTTTATGGTACCGGCGGAATCGTGGCAAAGTGGGCTTTCGATTAAGCCAGCTCTGGCATCAGAATATTTTCCCGGACGTGCTCTAGCGCGGTCTTGACAACTCCCTGTCTCACATGCACATGAACGTTTATCCCCAGTAGAGTGCTCCCGGTAGGGCCATTAGTGTGACACATATGTCACTTTTGACAGGTCCAGGGGGTTCCTGAAGGCAGGGAGAACAAGTGTTAGAATAATACAGAAACCAGGGGGCTTTTCGCCTTGTCCTTTGCCCTTTTCCCGGACATGGTGGTGGTGGTCTGGCCCTTGGCAGTCAGTCCCCCATCTATACATGCTCGTTCCAGAAAACTTTGACATGCACGGAAAAGCTGGTACATAACCGTGGCAACTTAGAATAGCCAAGATGAATTTTTTGTACCGGCCAGGAATTGTATCCAGCTTTTGGTTCGGAGACTATCCCGCTTGGCTGGCGTGTAATCTATTGCTGGAATCGTCGTTTTCGGTTCGGTTGCTATGCAGGGTTTAACGGGATGCTCGTAAAGTCAACTTATACGCCGTTACTGTCGTAGCCGGGTTGTTATGATACATGTGGGGCCAACGTTGAGACAAGTTGTTGTAGTTGATTGCAGACAGTGTAGGTCCAAGTGGAGCAACGGGTGGGGGAAAAGATGGAGCAGCTCAGAGAGCAGCAGCTTTGAGAGAGCTCCAACTTGCACTTGTCCAAGATACCGCATTGATCTGCTCCATGCTCGTCCATGCACTCAAGACTCCTCCTGTCTCACAATCCAACGGTTAAGATATTACTGCAGATAAGACTGCAGAGGACCGCCGATATGACTGCATACCTAGCTTGAGTCGGATAAGACTATTGCCTGATTCTTTTCTCTTGTCTCCACAGGTAGGTGGCCCATCTATTTCTTTGTCTGCTGCTATTATCCGGGTCTTGGTCGTGCTTGGCTGAACCGGTTGAAAAAAGGAATGTTCACCAGGTGTATTGAACATAGAGCTCGTGTAAATCTTGCTGTTTGATGTTTGATTGCGTGCCAAGGAAGCCCAAGCCGTGGCCAAGAGTCAAACAAGCCGGCAGCTGGACTCTGTCTGTGGACTTTGTTCTCTGGTGCCGAGCAATGAACACGGCGCCATCTCTATGAACAACAAGCTGAAACCTGTTGATAGTTTCAGGCGGTTGGAGGTTTAGTTGTTCTGTCAGAGACATGGAGCAAACCAAGCACTTCAATTGGCACTATCTGGAGTAGTCAGCAAGTGTAAGTCTTGGACGTGATAGAGGATCCCAGATAAGTGGATGTGATAGAAGAGAAGAGAAAATTCAGGCCAAATGACCATTGACAGGAACTCACCAACAACTCACCAACTCAGCGGCTCTCAGACTCAGAAACCTCATTCGTTCAAACCCGGTGAGAGTCGTTTATGTTCTGATGGGAGCATACTCAAGCACATGGCCACGTCTCTAAAAACCTTTCCAACTTTTGTTAAAATCCAAATGACGATACTTGGGAATGTTACTAAAAACCAACTAAACATGAAGAGACCAACGTTTGGATTCGAAGCTACAAGTAGGTCAAGTCAACTCATATGGATGTTTGACAAGAAGAAATACTTTCTGGAGTAGATATAGAAACGTGGGAATCAAAATACTCTTTTGTGACTAGAGCTGATATTCTGATATGAATATCCCGAGTCATTCCAGGCTACAATGCACATCTCCTCTCGAAAACTCGATTATCTCGATTAATAGAACAGCTAAAACAATTCTGAAAACTCCAATGAGTTTACCAGAGGAGTTATTATAGCTTGCGATATCTTTTCAACACATAAAAGTACTGACAACCTCCATTATGGGGGCCAAAATCAGCACCAGAATCTGCACCAAACATTTCAAAAACTCTAAACTTCATATTTCGAATTTTCGGCGATACCATGAACCTTGGTATTTGGTTTTTAGCACGACGAGTAGCAAAACAGGACGTCCTAATGGACCTCAAATTACCGGAAAACCGACAGTGGACGATTTTAATCAACTCAATTGTTGTCGTTGAAAAAAACTGCGACTTTCTTACACAAAAACCATGTCCAGACGCGCCCTTTTTTATGATTTTTTCAATTTTTTTTTATAAATCTATTTTTTTCAATATTTTTTCTTTATACTTTTTATACTTTTTTAATATATATTTTAATATATATATTTTTTATAACTTTTTTTATTTTATATAACATAATACTCCTCCCAACAACATTGAACAAACGTCAACTAAGTATTTCAACTGGTACTTCAGAACACCAAAGGCTCGCGTAAACACGGTACATTTTAGAGCGCGTTATAATGCTTGAAAAAACAAGGGGAAAACACTACTGCGATTCTTGACTTCTGGAGAGCATTTTTATTTCTCCAAATCCCAATTGCACCGCCCAAAACACCCATTATCGTACCCTTCCATCTTCCCCTATTCCCCTGATAACAACCTAATATTACTTTGCCTCACACCAAAAACACACAGAACCTCTCCCAGTACTGTTCGTTTGGTACTTGTTCCGCCACCTGCGATTTTCATTCACAACATGGAATGGCTACTTGCTCAGGCGGGCGCCACGGCAGTCTCGTTTGCCACCCGTGGCGGCTACTCGCTGGCCACCCATTACGCCGTGAAGACGGTCAAAAAGTTTATGGAAAAAGTTCCGCCAGAGGACCGCAAGGGACTGGAAAAGACACGACAGCGGCTGGAAACCAAGATTCTCATCATCTCGCCGGCAATTGATCTGATCCAGCTGATCTCAGCCCGAGGAAATACCTCGTTGAGCACTACGGTGGCGCTGACCCGCGAGCTCAAGAACGACATTGTGGAGTTCCAACAAGACATGGACCAGAGCATGGAGGACGCTTCTGTGTCGGTGGCGAGGGTCACGGAAGCGATGGATCTGCTGCTGAAACGGGTCGAAGAGGCAATTCCGCTGATTCAGCTCGCCTTGACCACCTCCGGCGCCTGTCTGAGCTCAGACCTGCCCAGTAACGTGTCTCCAGCGAGACTATTGCAGGCAATGGATTACGTCAGACAAGCCGAAAGAGAATGGGACACCCGGAGAGATGTATCACGTGCCGCAAATTCCAGCGCCCTGGGATCCATTCCTACTTTGAAACCGGATTTAAATAACACTGAACCAGCCCAGACCGGTCGCTCAAATACCGCAGACCTGTCTCACCACGACATCCAAATAGGACCCACCTTCTCAATTACCACATACACAACCTTCTCCTCGTCGACACAAATAGCATGGAAAGAAGACATGGCCAGAGCAACACTGTCGCTCTTCCAGACCAACAAAAAGTACTCCTACTACCTGAAACTAGAGGAAAACTTCAACGACGGCCGTTACCACGATGACCAGCCGCGAGTCAGCACCATTGATGTGTCCAAAATCACCCGTTTGTTTTTCTCAGCCTCTGGAAAGCTGTTGGAAATCGAAGACTCCAAAAGTCCAGTCCTGGTAGTCAAAATTAACGAGGCCGATTTGGAAAAGGAAGAAGAGGAAGATGGGCACAAGGATGAGGAAGACCCGGAGGAAAAAGTCACGTGGCTGGCAATCGAGAGCTGGTCACGTGACGTGGAGGAAGAGGAGGAGTCCGAGGAGTTTGAGGAGTATGATGTTGACAACTCGTTTGATATGAGCGTCACCGAGGACACCCCCGGCAAGTCACGTGTATTTGAGTCGCCTGTGAAACGGGAGGGCGGTGGTCCGCCACGTGACTATGACAATCCTCGAGACTTTCTGCGGTCGCGCGACTTTTCCAAGTACGAGGGCGCACGTGACCACCACCACGTGACGTCGCTCTCGCAGCAGCTGGACGGCTTGTCCATCGACTCAGAGTCACGGGTCTCCATTTCTCTGCTGGAGTATCTCATTCGTCTTCTGGCTCTCCAGTCCAATGACCAAAAGTCCGCCCTTGAAATCACAGATGAGCGTCTTAATCTGTATCTCCGAGACGAGTCACGTGCTTCAGATTATGAGCAGTCTGTCCCGGCGGTGGAGTCTCAGCGTACAATGTCCAGACCCATAGCGCCCGATACTCCTGTGGTTCTTGGCGGTAGGAGAGGCGGACGGGTTGGGGTCCCTGTGTCTAGCAGTATAGGCCGAGGTCACGTGCTGCATCACAATGTTGGTCAGGGTCATCTGACTGGTCCCGGGCCGTCTTTTGGTCACGTGTCAGCCTCGGTTTCGCGGCCCTCGTCTTCTGCTGCTCCTCAGACTCCCATGAGGAACAATCAGTTTTCGTCGTTCCACACGCCGAATACCAAGAGTGCATGGGAGGTGGATCGGGTCATGCGACCGAGTCCGTTGAAGAGGCAGTAAGTTGGCTATTCTCGTGGATGAGTCGATGGATGGTCTACGGGTACACAGGACCTCAATGTTGTGTTCCTGTGGATTACTGAGGCATCTTGGGCATACTGAGGAACTCGACTATATCGAGGAGTTCAGGAACTCGTACATAGTATTAAGTGTATGAGATTAAGTCTTTTTTGCTACTGTAAGTGTCTACAACAGTCTCCAGTATGGTTCAGGTACAAGTACACTGTACGGCTGATTAGTGTTGCGTTATTACTTTAGCTTGCGGGGAGGATATGACGATAGAATGGTGGCTAGAGGAGGTGGGGCGGGTGTAAGTTGGTGTGGTGGACACTATAGTGGCTCAAAATGACAGGTTCAATATTCAGCTTGATGGGTCCACAGGTGCGGAGGTTACGGGTCCAGAGATGTTTCAGTTGTAGGGCTTCAATGCATGTGAGGTTTTAGAGTGATTAAAGCGAGCAGAGATAAGGGTTGAATTTCGGTGGAGTGTTGATCAGGGGGAGTGAGGGGTGTGTGTAGACATTGACTGAGAGTCACCGATGTTTCTGGTGCGTCTGTTCGTTGACTCGTTGACGTTGGTTGCTCAGATGGATGACAGCACTACTTTTAGAGAGTTGTAGAGAGTTGTAGAGGAGCTATTGGAATGTGGAGTACACGAATGGGTTTGGAGCGTTTGGCTGCTATCATTGGTGGTAATTTCGTCTTCATTGCGCTTCTGTATCAGAAGTTGGACCGAGATGTCAGCCCAGACCCTGGTTTTTGGGCTGCATATTATCGAAATTGGAAGAGTGTCGGCATATCTTTCTCTTTGGCCCTCCCTGGCTCAAGTTCATGTTCATTCTTGAAGTCTGCTTGGGCTTAGCTTAGGAGAAAGGTCTCATAACAGGATCCAGTATCGTATCTGGGCGAGGCTGATACAAGCAGGGCTCTGGTTTGGCGGTGAGATGTGTCTCGGTCAATGGAAACTCACCAGACGGCTCTCTAGTCAAACAGAGACATTCATTACCTCTTCCGGGTCAGAGAGGCATCTGCGGCCCAGCCTGGTGTCTCTCTATCTCCGTCAGAGTCGCTCTACAACTCCATTGCGCTTTGGAAGTTGACTCTCGCAGGTCTGACTCGGTCTGTAGCTCTTCGAGGGCAAGTAGCAAGATCTAGGAGCAGACATCGATAATAACGGACAAAAGATCCCCTGTAAACCGCCAATGGACCGCCGATTGGGTGTGTCTCGCAACCTTCAGTCTAGCAACAGATTGCCTTAGCGAGGCTGTCCGAGCTTGTGTGGCGGTAATGTAGGCAAACTGTAGCGAGCAACGGTATATTTGAACGTCATTTATGGATTTTATGACCATCATCATAACACCTCGGCTACCGTAGTGCTGTATTGACTGCGCGCTTGGAGGTTATAAATGGAAACAGGTCCAGAATTCATAGTATTAGTGATGAGAAGAACCATTGAAGGTTGGAAAATCAGGGGGGAAGGTCCATTAAAGTGTTTTGATCAACACCAGGTGGTTGGAATGTGTTCGTACACGCCTGAAATGGCAACTATGGAGGTTGCACATCAGCAGACCAACAGAGACATCAACAGACGTATGGAGAGAGCCGTTGACAAGTGGGAAACGTTGGAGTACTCGCCGTCGTCGGTATAATCCGATTATAAACTCGAAATTAGTGTATATAGCCATAAAACTCTTCTGACGTACTTTGATTTCGTTGACCATAGATACTTGGCTATACTTGAAACAGGCAGAATTACTTGACAATGTTATTATAAAAAATACAAAAAAAGGTAACATCCAACTAAAGTACCAAGTACCACCAAACTATCAAGAACCACCAAACTACCAAGAACCACCAAACTACCAAGAACCACCAAACTACCTCCAGACTCGATTAATTCACCCCAAAAACTCCACACACACTCCCCACTGATCCCCGTCACGTGACCTAACCCCGTTGGCCAATGCCCATCTCACTAGCACCAATTCTAATGTCATCAGTTGACACTGGCGAACACAATCCAAACACAATAATAATTACTTCCATCCCTTAATGCATCTCCATGCACATCGGGCAAATCATACACACACACTACTGCATGCTGTGAGTTACTGAGAGAGAGACGGAGAAAAGGGCAATGAATTTTTGCAAACTCCGGGAAAATGCGGAACAATTCCAGTCACGTAACTGGATGTTTTCCGTGGTTTTTCCAGATTTTACAAAATTCTCCTCCGCCATCTGTGTATTTTCCCCCACTTTTTCAAACTTGGTAAATAAACGACAAACCAGTTGAACCCTGGAGCTTGTCCTTTTTTGGGGGGTCAAAAATAAAATAAAAAATCTTCCAAATGCCCAGAAATGGACCAACAAGTCCTAGACCCGGGAAATTCAAATACGGGCCTCTTGTCGCCCCTTTTGTATGGGACACGTGACCCAAACACCCTTCCCTCCCCCCCCTGAGGGACTCGAGTTGGGCTTTCGTGGAACACCAAAACTCCAACATCCCCGGGATCGTCCTCCGCGCCGCTACTAGCACAATGAGTAAACAGAAAATAGAGTGCAAAACGAGCCCACACGACCCGCACGAGGCGCCAAAGATTGCTGGTCTTTAGTTTCTCGTTTATTTGAGCTGTGCAGACACAGTATATCGGGCTTAGAGTGTCAGCCAGAGGGGAAGATAATGGGCTGAGTTTTAGTGGAGGAGGAAGGGGGGACAGGTGGTGTGTCCGTGTGTGTGTGTGTGTGTGTGTGTGTCACGTGACCTTTAGAACCCCGTGGAGAAGTTCGTATAGCTGAGGGGGTACTTCTGATGGTGTCTTGTTCAGATTACTGGTCTGATACCAGTGCAGTACTTGTACAAGGGTCGGCAAAAGAACCAAAACGACGGTATTGAACCCACCCGTTTAGAAACAGCAAGGTCAACCATTCACAGACCCCCAAACTTGATCTCTTGTTAATTACGGGACGTATTGGAGATTCTAGAAACCCTTCTGTCCCCTATGCGTCTACCAGGCACACGGAATATCAGGGAGAGCCCCAGCTCGTTTCACGGACTTGGAAAAGACACTGAAAAATGGCCAGATGCCTCTTTGACCGCTGGCCAGGCCGCCTATCGCAGCTCTCACTGTCTCTGATGCAGCGATAAAAAGTTCACATCCACTGGTTGGTTGTACAGTTTGGTCTGCTGTCGATAACAAAAACAAGACATCTTCAATCATCGCATCGGCTGTTAAATCTTGCTTGTCGGCCATGTTCCGGGTCACGTGATCGGCCCTAAGGGCCAAACGGCGCGCCTCGAGTCTAGCCGGGCCAGAATTTGCCTGTTTCAGACGATCCCTTGTACAGTACGTGGTGTACGGTTATTTGAATACGGGTCAGTGTCGGAGTTTCGGGCAGTCGGGCGGTTGGGGGGTCCGGTCGGGGTGGTGTTGGTCACATGACTAGTCACGTGCGCTCGGAGGTCTTTCCATGACTCAGTTGGTGGAGATGGAGCCAGCTTTTGGTACTATTCGAGTCGCACCAGACTACAAGTAGCTAGTGCCATTTCAGTACAAGCCGTGCGGTTGTAAAAGCCGGCCAGCGCTGTAGAGAGTGCGCCATCAGCTGGCAGAGCTGAACCATGTTTTTATTGTCAAGTCAGACGGCTCGAAGAGTAAGAGTGAGAGTGAGGCAAGTGCATGAGTAAGAGTAGCGAAGCTCGAAGCTAGACCAGTGAACCAAGCGCGGAGTGTGAAGCGCGGAGTGTGAACCAAGCGGCGAGTTCGACAGGTGAACCAAGCGGTGAATCAGCAGGTGAACCAAGCGGTGAATCGGCAGGTGAACCAAGCGGCTCAGCGGCTAGAAATACTAGAGTAGGTGGGGTTTAATGTGAGTGAGGGTGAGAGTGGGTGAGAGAGTGAGTAAGAGTATCACTCCAACAGTCACCACAGAACAGCCCAGCGCTCCAACAGTCACCACTCCAACAGTCCACCGCTCCAACAGCCCAACAGTCCAGACCGAGACGAGATCTCTGACACTGACTCTGACTCTGACTCTGACTCTGACTCTGACTCTGACTCAGACTTCTGGCTCAGACTTTGGTCCGACCGACCTCTGACCTCCGATCTCTACCTCCAGTCCTGCAAGGGGCTCATGACACTCCTGGCGGCAGTGGCTTGTCTGACTCTGTGCAGGCCAAACCGCAATTGAATTCGATAGACAGAGCCGGTAGTATGTCAACAGCCGGAAGTTTGACTCTCTCCGACAAGGCAACTAAGTGCACTAAACAGTAGGTAGCGATTAGTAACCAACTAACACAGCACCAATTGGAGATAGCGGAACACGGAGATAACCAAACACGTTCAACCGATAAATCAACCCCAATCTCAGCCCGAATCTCATCCCCTCCCCATCCCTTCGACTCCTGCAGGCATGACGCACGGTGACCGGCTCTGACTGTGCTGGAAACACAAAATAAGTCTCCGAGCAGGTAGTCTCTCAGCGGATACTCTCCGACAGTGTACGAGCGACCATGCTCCACAGCCGTCCGTCATCATCTTCTCCGATTGCCTCTCTCTTTTGTTTTTTTGTGCTTTGTCCTGACACAACTGGATCATGTATCTTGGACTGCATTTTGGCCTTTGGGTTTGCTTTGTCCGCCAACGGTTGGGCTAATAAGGGATATGAGTTTTTGTCTAATGTTGTCGCCAACTGGACGAATAGCGGTCCGATCGCGCGCGGAAGACTCGGAAAATGCGCCGCAGGCCTCGGAGAACAGCCTGGCGCTTTCGCAGTCCGTTTCCACCCACAAAATCGCCCCCAGGAGCCCCAAAACAAAATCCCGTAAACCCGAAAAAATCGTGCATGGACTGACGCTTGACCCAAAATCGACACCCGCATCGGAACAGAAAGATGGTGGTTGTGCGGCGCGCCTACTGCCACTGTCACAGGACCCAACTCGCTGACTAAACGTCAGATTGGAAATCCGACACCGCAGAAATGCTCCTCGCAATCACGTGATACCCCCCAATCTTTCAAAATCCGAAATCGACCTGCTCCTGCCGCCCCCAGCCGCCCCTGCCGCCCCCTGGCCCCCTCGGATTATATCTCCGATCCGTATCCGCTGGAACCTAGTGCCAAACCCAAACAGTGTGGAGTCGGGCGTACCAGTGGGTCACAAAGACGGACTACCACTGGTCACCATGCACAGCTGTATCTAACGTCCGTGTGTGAGCTCCACGGCTACGTCAGGGTACAGATTTTGCTGAATGACAGAAAAAACAAAATAAAATTGGGGTTATTTGGGGGACCGGACATAGCGGCCGTTAGAGGAAGATGTGGTCGGTTTGATGGGAAAATAAGACCACCTTTGAACTCATGGCGTGCCAGGCTTCAGATTGACCTTCTCCGCTCGAAAATCTAACCTCTACAGCCCAAATGAGCGTCATGTTTCGACCTCTGAGGGCCTCGTTTGTCTGACCCTACTGTCTCCTCTCGCTGCACCAAGCACGTGGACAGCTGTAGAGAGCTGTAGAGCCGACCGGACGCTGAAAAACGCACCCGCAAGAAATCCGGACACGGCGGATCCATCGGTGACATCGGATCGTGTGGAGAGGGGCTGGATCACGTGATCCAGACGATTCCTTCCGTCGCTGGCGGAAAATTAAGCTATATCCGCTGAGTAGGCGGTGGTAGTGAGGGTGAGAGTGATCGGACATGATGTCCGTAGTTCCTCCGGCCAGCCGTCGCTGGAGTGGTAATACGGCTAGAGAACCACCACCAACCCAGCCAGCCTCGGCCCAGCCCAGGGTCACATCGACCGTTGAATCTCTTGCTATGTATCTCTCTACAGTGCCGATACAGTAGTCTCAGATGGTGCAACGGTTACATTGACAAGGCAGACATGCCGAGGTGGGACTTGTAGGACGTGGGGGCGGCGCTAGACCGTTAAAATCGGCACCGCAAGATTCGCACAAGCATCACGAGCGCAGTCGTCAAACCGGTGTCTGATTTGGAGCTCGCGATCCAGAGTTGGGGTAAGATCCAACCAAACATGACACTTGATGGACAAGTTTTTTGCTCCAAACAAACGATGACAAATCCCACTGCTGCCGCCTGTAACGGAGCAATCTGCTACCGTGTGTCTCCATGCACTCCTTCTTTGTGTAGACAGACGCTCCGTGTCTCGGCACATACCCACATACTTGTACATACTCAGGCGGGTCTGCAACCTGCATAATTTTTTCCATTTAAAAATTTTAAAAAAATAAAAAAAAAGTATGATTAAAGGAATCGGATTTTTTTGATAGAAAAAAAAATTAAAAAAATTAAAAAATTAAAAAAATTAAAAAAGAAAATGATTCTGATTTGAAAGTCGTTTATTGGCACAAAATTATCGCCGCTTTTGTTGGACCTATATAGAAGAGAAGAAAAGACCCGAAATCGAACGTCTCGGGGTCACAATTACGTAAGCCATTGTACACTACAGAGCAGACGACGGTGGTGGAATCACAGATGCAAAAATAAATAAGACAAACAGTACAGTAGAAGATGCTGAGATGATGAACCGAGTAAAATGAAATATGCACAAAAAAAAAGAAAAAAGAGAATAAAAAAGGGGAAAACCAAAAGAAAACTAAATTATGAATAATGAGAAAAAAAAAAAAAAAAAAAAAAAAAAAAAAAAAAGAGAAACCGACATCTGTAATCCAAATACCGTCTTTCAAAGAAATCAAGCATCAGATTCTAGATCACGGAAACGTGACAAGAACAAAAATGAGGTGGGGTTAAAAACAAATCATTGAATGTATGTATAAATAATGCAGAAGCTAGCTAGACAGGAGAGCTGGGTGAGTGCGGGTGCAGGTGTTAGTGGCGAAATTGGCGGTTGGTATCTCTCTAGTTGTTCTAAAGATACAACGGCTCCGTCAAAAACACGCTCTCCTGATCATCCCTCTTGAAAGGCAGCATGACGTCTGCCGGGGACACCGAGCAAGGCTGTTGCTGGCCCTGGACCCACTCCGGCGTGGCGTTGCTGCTGGGAGGGGTCTGGATGCTGGAGGCCGATGCCGATGCCGACGGGTTGGCAGCCACGCTCATCTCGGGCGCATCACTGCCACCGACACCACCCCAAAGGTTCCACGACGACAGAATCGACGACGGCGAGGTGGACTCGAACCGGTCAAAGTTAATGTCTGTAGATGCGAGGGCACGAGAGCCGCCGGTAGGGATGCCTCCGTGGTTGTTGTTGGAATGCGCCACGGGCTCCATGTCAAGCGACGAGAACACGTCCGAGTCCAGCAGCGGCGACGAAAGGTCATCGTTGAGGATCTGGAGGTACGAGGCGTCGAGGGCACCGGTAGGCACCAGGGTGGGGGAGTCGACCCAGGCGGGTGGCGTCACGGCGTAGAACGGCGATGACGGCGAGTTGGCCAGCTGGGAGGCGGCACTCAGCGAGTTATGCGAAGGTCGCACCTTTTCGATCCGGTTCTTGTTTCGGCCCGAGTGCAACGACGACAGGGATGACGACGAGTTTGTTCGGCCCAAGAAGTTGACCGACTTGAGGGCGCTCTCCGGTGAGTGGGGCGATTGTGGTTGAGGAGATAACGATGGTGTGGTCGACAGGGCCCGGTGCGAGTGTGTCGGCGTGGCCACGGGAGGTGTGGTCACGTTAGTAGTGTGCACGGGTGTGGGCATCTGGGGCTGTTGCAGGATGGGAGAAGCCTGGGGCTGGGGCTGCTGCTGCTGCTGCTGGGCCTGCTGAGACTGCGACTGCTGCTGAGCCTGCTGGGCCTGCTGCTGGGAGCCCTCGTCGAGGACGGCCTTGTTGATAACGATGCAGCCGTTGGCGCCAGTGGTGGTGGAGTTGGGAGGCAGCACCTGGGGGTGTTTGTTGGTGCAGATGCAGCCTCCGCCCGAGTAGCAGGGGCAGGTGGCGGCGTGTTTACTGGACGAGGAGCCACATTTGCACTTGACGTGGAGTGCCTTGTTTTTGCGGGCCTCTCGACAATGCAGACACTGGGTAGCGGGTCGTCCCTTGGGCTTGATCCGGATCAACGGCTGTTGGGTGTGTGTGCACGACGACACTCGGTGGCCGCGGATGCATCGTTCGCATGCGTATTTGATTCCTTCGATGACTACCATTGTGAGTAAGATTAGTCGAAGACGAGTTGAGACGAAGAGTCTTGTTGTGGTGGTTGTGGTGGTTGTGGTGGTTGTGGCGGAGGTGTTAGTGGAGTGCTGCGATGGGTGTCTGGTTGTCCACTTGTCACAAACAATGTAATCAGAATGTCGCAATCGGTGGCAAATCGAAGCTATGCCTTTGGAGAAGTTGATGGTGAACTATTCAAACAGTAGTGTCAATGGAGCGATGGTGTAACTGTCTGTATCACTGTAGCTGTCACTGTAACTGAAACTGTCACTGTCAATGTCACTGTCAATGTTGTTGCTGGTGGTCTGGGCTGTTGGCTGACACTGCTGCTGGTCTGACGCTGCTGCTGGGTGCACTCAATGACGTACTGACTGATCGTTGACGGTGTGGTTCGCTGGCGCAGGTATATATACTGGGTGAGCGGGCTAAGTTGGGAACGAATGCTTCTGAACTTGACACAAAGGCCAAATGCACATAAGCTCGAAATGAAAAAGGGAGCCTGCACTCCCACTCTAACCTTAGGGCGAGTCCAACCATTTATATAGGCTTTGGAAAAGTGCAAAACGAAAAATGGGCAAAACGAAAAGTGCAAAAAGAATCCAACAAAAGTTTTCAACCTAAGAGCGAGCAAAGCGAGCTCGGAGTTAACGTTGAGGTTTTGGAGTGGTGAATGAAGTTGGTGAATGGCGTTTCGTCAGAGGATGAGCGGGTGAATGGGTTTTTTGCCAGTGCCTTGAATTCAGACAGTAACTGGCACCAACTCGTACCATAGACACTCACATTTATATTCGCACTCACCATCTCACTTGATGACCACATCCTTTGTGATTCTCCGTAGTTGTCGTTATTTACTGTTTTTTGCTGTCTTTATGGTCTTTTTTCTCCTTTTTATTGTCTTTTTCTCCTTTTTATTGTCTTTTTCTCCTTTTTATTGTTTTTTTCTCCCTTTTTCTCCTAATTTCACATCCCATCATCTCCAATCACCTCCAATCATGTCCTACTTCCGCTTTCCACCTTTTCACACAAAGTCCAGAACTCGACCTCCCGACCTCCCGACCACTCTCCCATCCCCTCGACTTTGTATTAATTAATTACTGCCACTGTCTAGACACCACAACGTGCATACAGTCCATGCACCGAAGCAATCTGTCAGGGTCCGATAACTCCGTATCTCCGGAATATAAAATTGAAAAATCAGAAATCAAAATAGAAATAGAAATCACAGTATAACAAGCAGAAAATAAAAAATAATTAAATAAAAATAAAAACAAAAACAAAAATAAAAACAAAAACAAAGATAAAAGTAAAATAAAAATAAAAAAATAAAAAATAAAAAAATAAAAAAAATCCGACCCTAGAGAATGCATCCTGCACGGGATCGAAATGTCAGCTACTTAGACCCCTCGAATAACGGCTCAGATGCGTCTCTACAGGACATTTCAAACATAATCGATGGCCGTATTCGCCCCGATTTTTTTTCGGCGGGTGTCTCGCTCCCACAACTTGCCCTAACCCCCCGCTTAGAACTGGGTGGTATTTTTCTCCCACGTAGGTTCTCGCTTATGCAAAGCCGTACCATCTAGAATACGTGTGTGTCAGAGCTTGGAGATAGGAGAGTGACGACGAAAAATGGAGAGCGCAAATGTTAAAGAAGGGGAAATAAAGAAAGAAAATGAAAATCAAAAATAAATCAAAAATAGTAGGAAAATAGTAGGAAAATCAAATAAATGGAAAATCAAAAACCAAAAACCAAAAACAACAAAACCACAAAACCACAAAACCACAAAACCACAAAACTGTGGCCCAACCAACGCCTCTTCGCTTTCGGACTTGTCGTCTCGCTCTCGTCCTCCAAGTCTATCGCTCTTTACTCTTGTGACCCCCACAGCCGTATCGTGTCCGGCGCTAAACCCCCGAATCGCACGCTACGGAGCGTCTGGCCACCCAAGCTCTACACACGGTCTCTTGGCGGGGGCTGTTGGAGGCGGGAGAGCACGACCACGTCTGCGAGCTCACGTTGACGGTGAGAGACGTCCATCCATTTCATTGTTTCGACGCGTGGAAAAGACAGCCGAGAGCTTATACGATAAGCGAGCCTTCAAAAAGAAATCTGATAATACACAAAGATGATAGGCGACGGCGTGGAGGGATGATGAACAAGCGTTTCATTTGGGGTTGAGCAAGCGTCTGATGGAGACAAACAAGGGCCTCATGTAGGACGAGCAATCGGCGTTTATTTCAACTCCACTACTGGGATTTGGTCCCCTTTTGTTTGTTTTCACCCTCTTTTCTTCACCCTCTAAATTCCAATAAAACCCACCTTATTCACCATTGGCAATGTTTACTTATCGTCGTCGAACGGTCCGTCTCATCACCCCTCTCTAAACTTCAAGAGCAAAAGCCGTCTTAGGGTTGTTCGGGTGGTGTGCGGAAACGGGGTCTGAGTGTACGTCTACAGCATGACCCGAGAGACTCCAAGTGGCTGCTCCCACGCGGCGTAAAAACCAATGTCTCGAGAGAGACTGAACCAAACCGCCCCAAAACTGCAGCACTGCCCCTGCCGGCGGTCGCTGGGCCTTCCCCCGATCTCCTTATCGTACCTGCTCGGCTGCAATACGACAAAAGAAAAGATTTAATACCGTCATGGAAAGGTGGTGCACGGTGCTGGTACCTAAAACGATGAAATGAAAATCCAAAGACGAATCCGCAACGAAAAGTATGGCACAACTCTTGGCACCGATCCCAGACATTTAATCACAATAGTACGACACTGGTCCTTGTACTGATATGAAATTCAAATAAGCAATCCTGTGTGATCCATCGTGCAGAGGGGTTGCTCTCGAGGTGGTTGTTGTCAGTTGTCAATCTGAAACGGTGTGGGCGGTGGAGAGCGGTTTGTTGAAATAATAATCGATTTATTAATTATTGAATTATTATTAGTGAATTATCGAATTATCAATTGTCGAATTATCATTTATTCGAATTTAATTAATCCAATTACCAATTATTCGAATTTAATTAATCCAATTATCAATTATTCGAATTTAATTAATCCAAAAAAATGGTATCAACTTCCCAAACAAATCCGGTTAACCACCCCCACCCTGAAAAAGTCTGTTTGAAAATCACAAAACTGCATACTGTGGCTTGCTCGAAATATGGGAATTGCCACTCTGGGCGGTAGGGTTGGGATATGAGACGCAATAGGCAGTCACGACGCACAGATTATGATACGGTTTCTGTTTGCCAGGGTTAGGTTTGCCCATCTGCTTCCTTTTGCCCATCTCGTCTCTCGTGCAGACCCTCGGAAAGTAAGATTCAGACATAAGTGACTATCTCTTGGGCGTGCGTAGATGGGTTGGACATGTTGTGGGTTAGGGTCGTCTCGAGGTTGGCTTGGGCTTTAAAACGAGCGAATATCAGGCGAGGTTGCTCTTGCTGTGGACGTGGGTCTTCCACTCTTGATCTTGGACCTTGCTCACGTGGTTGTGAGATTGGCAGTTGGAGGTGTGTTCAAACGACTGGGCTCAGTGCAACTACTTGTAGATCAAACTGTCTCGACCCAGAAGCTGCTTCGTTCGTAGTCAGATGTCCATAGGTCTGAGCAGAGACTTCCTTTGAAATGAAACAAGCACTCCAGAAGCTGCTGTCGAATCAAATTTCCCACGATATTGGAGCAGGCTCGATGCAGAAAGGCCTAGGACGCAGTTCAGAAGGGTCATACTTCATTGATCTTGTCGAGTAGCTCGGGGAAGGGCGTAGCGAACATTTGGTCGACTTTGACGGATCTTGACGATGATGTCGCGTTCATCTAGTCAGAAGACAATGCATCTCCAATTCCGTCGCCTCTGAGACATGGAGACAGATACAGGTCATTAGACGACCGAGCTGTTCATGACGAACGGTCCTAGGACGCCTGGATCAGTGTCCATGGCTACATGTAGATCATCTTGCAGGATTCACCTGAACAAGACACTCTGACACTCAGTGAGAGGGACTGGCTGGAGAACGTTGTCCATCAGAGCACAGTAGTGGTATCACTACCACTGATACGACGCTACCCCGGGGTAACAGAGATTGACGGTATGATCGAGATGGTTGAACCCGTTTAATGATATCGACTTCCGACTCTTTTAGCCATGCTCTCGAAAACAGTATGCATTGTTCCCTCTCAGTGTTTTTGGAATGTGCATTCTTGGAGGGGCTTTCTACTAACATCTGGTGATATCCCTCGACACCAAGTGTCTCAACATCCATACCTAGTTCCTCAATATTGGAGCAAACGACTCGAAAACAGCGCCGTTGGAAACCCCGAGGCCGTGCGACTCCGGCAGTCTACACTTGGAGTCTGTGGCATATCTGTAGCAAAAGCTGGATATCACCGAGACACCATCCGATCTGCCACCCCGATTCCGACACCACCAGCTCAGAAGTGGACTGTCCGAAAAGAAGTGGACTGTCCGAAAAGAAATGGACTGTCCGAAAAGAAATGGATTCTGTATGCGTTATCATTGAAGTTTCAGAGAGTCGTTTGGAGCCACCTTCGGCTGGTGCCGGCCAACTTCTGTATCTAGTGAATGTGAGTCTGATGATTCTGTCAGATTTCGAACTAACCAAGATATGAGGTCGATAGTACGCATTGAAGGAGTACTGGAGCGACTGTATCGTCTTGCTGAGTCTAGACGGGGTTTCGGTTTGTTCAGCTCTTCCCATACACCGAGCTGAAGCTGTTTACAGCCCGATGTTTCCGCTTTGATTGTCTGACTGACGGTTGGAGTCGATTTTCAGACTTTGGCCGTTGGAGACTTGACTCTTGACGGGATTTCTGACTCTTGACGGGATTTCTGACTCTTGACGGGATTCCTGACTCTTGACGGGATTCCTGACTCTGAGGGGATTCCTGACTCTAGACGGAACTTTGTCAGACTTTTCAACTCCTGCCACCGTCAAGGACTCGGATCGACGCAATTGACTGCTGACTGGCGATATCGGCGTTTCTTGGTCAAGTTGATTCGACTCTCAGGACATTGGGTACCGCCAACGACCATCTGTTGCTCTGCCAGCGATTTATTGTTCTCGGTAATGGTCCAATCAGACTGGCGTTGTCGGATCCTTACTCCTTCGGGCTCGGAACTTCGAATGCGAGGGCTTTTTGTCCCTCCTCGAGCCCTTGGACTCCTCCTCCGATCTTTCCGGAACCATCGGAGGTTCAGGTTCTGTCGTTAAAGCCTCCCCTTCACGACAGGAAATGCTCCAGAGTCTCAAGAGTGTTTCCCGTTCGCCAGACGAGTCATCAAAGCATCTTCCTGTGGTTCCTCGAGCTTCAAGTATCCCTCTCGTGCTAGGAATCAAGTTCTGAATCACTCCAGCCAATGTGGACACGGCACCAAAACACCCACAGCCAACAGCAACTGCAGGTCCTGTTTCCTGTTGGCTTGGGGTTCTCGTTCTGAGCCGAGAGTCAGTATTTATGACGGCCGGATCCCTACATACTGGCTTTCGGCCGAACCATGCATCATATCAAAACTGTGTGAGATCTAGCTGCTTTTTCCTTCTCTTTGCAAGCAGCCAAGACGGTCCATTCCTTACCATCTTCTTTCATATTCAGTACTTGCACACTGGTGGTTCCAAGGGGTTAATTGACTTGAACTAACATCTCTTCTCATCAGGAATCAACTACTCCTTTCACTCAGACTCGAGATCCGAACTTTTTTCGATGTATATGTCTCAAACGTTGAGATTCAAAAAACATGTTTACTACGACGGCAGAATCGACAGAGAGATCGGAAGTTACCCATATTATCCCTTCAGCAAGTTGGTTACAACACGTACTGCTCTTCTCCTCTGGTACGTCTACCCACTTCTACAAAATATCAATGTGGACCTACTGCGGTTGCAGTACCTCTTTATTGAACTCTCAGAAGAGCTGGAAGAACCATAAAGTTGACAAAACCGCATCAACGACCCTGTAGAACACACTTGTCAACTCCGCAGAATCTTGAGATATCTCTGGAGCTCTATAGAGCGGTATAGATCCTGGCAGACTGATTGAGATAGAATGACATCTAGAGGTATAGAGATAGAGGACGTGCTGTGGATTAAAATGGAGCTAATAAATTGAGTCCCCAGCACATTCTGAGTTCCCATATATAGTTTTTTTGAATCCTGAATGTGTCTACATCGATTTTCATTCCATGGTACTTCCTAACTACTTAGTTCAGCTATACTTTGTAATTCCAAGTAAAGTCAAGTAGAAGTAGAAGATACAGGGCCATAAATACGCACTCAATTGGACTGAAATTCAGAAAGAAGACTTGTTATAACATCTTCTGATCACCATTATCATCCCCAACCAACTCCCATGTCTACAAAATCAGTATTGGCCGAGATAAGGGACCCTTCCCTGCATATGAACCGAGGTACAACCAGCTCTACTTACACCAGAGCCACAGACATACCAGCGAACATATACCAAACTCGAAGGCCCTTTATAAGTCTTGTGGGGTACAGTACCAAAAGAACCACCTCGCGCGCCCTCCCGAACACTCTCGTACTTGTAGTTTGTTTCTGCGACGTCTTCTCGAATATCAGCAATCCCATTACACAGCCGAACCGAAAAAAAGCTCTTCTCCACCTTCCATTCTCGAGCCAGCCACAATTTTAGTCAGAATTCTCTCCTTCTCGCCATTCTAGACCCTCTTTTATGTCTTCTACACCTCCCAAGCCACGAATCTGCCTTTCCCCAGAAAGTCAAAATTTCATTTCCGAATGGACCTAATTTCCCCACAGAAGTCGCTCCAACAGGGTCAATTTTTGTCAGATTTTCATTATTGAACGTTTAATCAACTCCTGTTGTTCCCCTCTGTCGTCTCCAATTCTCCCTATCGCATTCTGCCTCCGGGAACCCCCAAAAACCCCCGTCTTAGTTTTTCCACCCCAGCCCAACTCTATAAATCCCTGAGTCACATCTGTGAGGAGCCCCTGGCGTCACTGTCGACTGTGCCGGCATTTCTGATGGTATTTCCAGCCCCGCAGTTCTCGAGACCCCCGAACAAATGTGCCACACCCTTGCCAAAATGACGAATACACGGCGTCGCGGCCGGGAATCGAACTCTTGGCACCGCCACAGGAGTGAAATTTGAAATTTGAAATTTGAAAAATAATTCACATTTTGAGTTTCAATAATATATCGATGACCCTCCCAAAAGACCCAAGTCGAGACGCAAAAAAACACCCAGACGACATGGATGCGGTCACGTGACCGCAAAAACCGCCCCGGAAATCCGTTTGTGACGTGTTCAATTCCATCTCTATGTTTTTCTGCGGTTTCTACGATGCCGCAATGGTGGCCAATGTGCGTTTCACTGCCGTAGTGGCTGGAACAAGCCACAGGGGGTCGTCGGGCCAATCAGACGGTCCCTGACATGGTTCTGCGCCCTAACCCGGGAACTCTAACCCCCGTGGTGGCGCAATCGCTGTCTTCATGTGCTTTATCTCACGTGACGGCTGGAATCTGGCAGAAGACGGAGTATGTACATTTTGTCGTTGGTCACGTTATCCCTAAAACGTGGTGTTTAAACTGGTCGAATGCTTGGCCCAGAACACAAGAAGAAAAAAACGAGACAACTTGATCAGTTTCAACGCCACAGCAAGCTTGTCTTCACTGTGGTTGGTCTTCTCCACGCCACAAGCAACACGTACATGTCAATTACGTCAGGGTCTTTTAAGTTCTGTGGCTTTTGAACCAGTTATAAAGAACCAACCACCCTTTTTTCAAAGCTAATCAAGACGGGGAAATTTTTTTTTTGATATTTTTCGACAATGGCAAACACTCCTCATGGCGGTGTCCTCAAGGACCTTTTATCTCGAGATCAGCCCATTCGGGGCGAGCTTCTCAAGGAGTCGGAGACTCTTGCCTCCATTCTGCTGTCGGAGCGTCAGCTCTGTGATCTGGAGCTGATTCTCTCCGGCGGCTTCTCTCCTCTGGAGGGCTTCATGAACGAGAAGGATTACAATGGCGTTGTCAACGATCTGCGTCTGGCCGACGGCGCTCTGTTCTCCATGCCCATCACTCTGGATGTGTCCCAGGAGGACATTGACGAGCTCAAGCTCAAGGCTGGGGGCCGATACACTCTGCGGGACTTCCGAGACGACTCTCCTCTTGCAATCATCACTGTCGACGACATCTACCGTCCCGACAAGGCTGTGGAGGCCAAGAAAGTCTTCCGAGGCGACCCCGAGCACCCTGCCGTCAAGTACCTGTACAACACCGCCAAGGAGTTCTACGTGGGCGGTAAGATCCAGGCTATCAACAAGCTTAACCACTACGACTACGTCGGTCTGCGGTACACTCCCGCAGAGCTGCGTCAGGAGTTTGGCAAGCTGGGCTGGAACAAGGTGGTGGCTTTCCAGACCCGTAACCCCATGCATCGAGCCCACCGAGAGCTGACGGTGCGGGCTGCTCGATCGCGACAGGCCAACGTGCTGATCCACCCCGTGGTTGGTCTCACCAAGCCCGGAGACATTGACCACTTTACCCGAGTGCGAGTCTACCAGGCCCTGCTGCCCCGGTACCCCAACGGAATGGCTCTGCTGGGTCTGCTGCCCCTGGCCATGCGAATGGGAGGTGACCGAGAGGCCATGTGGCACGCCATTATCCGAAAGAACTACGGAGCCACTCACTTCATTGTGGGCCGAGACCATGCTGGTCCCGGCAAAAACTCCAAGGGCGAGGAGTTCTACGGCCCTTACGATGCCCAGAAGCTCGTGGAGAAGTACAAGGACGAGCTGGGAATCGAGGTGGTGCCTTTCCAGATGATGACCTACCTGCCCGACTCGGACGAGTACATGCCCAAGGATGAAGTTCCCGAGGGAACCAAGACCCTGGACATTTCCGGAACCGAGCTGCGAAAGCGACTCAAGTTTGGTCTGCCCATCCCCGAGTGGTTCTCCTACCCCGAGGTTGTCAAGGTGCTGCGAGAGTCCCATCCTCCTCGAGCCAAGCAGGGCTTCACCATTTTCCTCACTGGCCACTACAACTCCGGCAAGGACGCCATTGCCCGAGCGCTGCAGGTGTCTCTGAACCAGCAGGCCGGCCGAACCACCACCCTGCTTCTTGGCGAGACGGTGCGATCTGAGCTGTCTGCTGAGCTCGGATTCTCGCGAGAAGACCGACACAAGAACGTGCAGCGAATTGCCTTTGTGGCTGCCGAGCTCACCCGAGCCGGATCCGCCGTCATTGCCGCTCCCATTGCTCCCCATGAGGCTGGCCGAAAGGAGGCCCGAGAGACTGTTGAGCAGGGCGGCAACTTCTTCCTGGTCCATGTCAACACTCCTCTGGAGTACTGCGAGGCTACCGACCGAAAGGGTCGGTTTGCTGCCGCCAAGCGGGGTGAGATCAAGGGCTTCACCGGTGTCGATGACGAGTACGAGGTGCCCAGCAATGCTGATCTGGTCGTGGATGCTTCCCAGACACAGGTCCGAACCATTGTTCACCAGATCATTCTCCTGCTGGAGTCCCAGGGCTTCTTCGGCAACTAAACGTAACCACAACCAATACATAAAAGGTCTGTTAGACAGACGGATATAAATATATTCTTGATGATGAATCCAGCCCGTTGTATCGAATGGTGTTGCAACTCTCCTCCGGCATCTAAATTGCACCTTGTGGAGCTGCTTGTAGGAATTTACGGATTCCAATCGGCACACTTGGTAAACTGGCCATTCTGAATCGAATGACACTCCTGTGTTCTCTCTAATATTTCTCTATCGTCGCCCAACCTCATCTTTCAATCCCGATAAAATGACGAAAATATATATTAATTAGAGTTTCTTATTTTTCATCACTTTTTGGAACTTTTCTTGACACTCTCTCAAAGGGAAGTACGGGGTCAGAAATGAACCAAGTTGGTTTTATTCACTTCTCACGGTTCTTTTGAGACTCTGCTCGAGTTTCATCTCTCTAGCGTCATTTCTAGCGTCATTATTGCTGTGCTGGGGTCATCACTTTTAGCACGACGCTAGAGGTAGGGGGAATGGTGCCTAAAAAACGGTCTAAACACACTGAAATGACCCCAAACTTCGCATACACGGTAATGTGAGTACGGAGAATAACTTGACGTTTTCAGATCCAATCTAGCGTTTATGTATCGCCGGTTATCTGCGTCTCCTCAGTTTGGTGATCCCAACTCAATGCAGGACCAATCCCTCCCCTCCCCCATGATGACAATTGGGGAGACCTCTAGGACGTCTTTGGGGGGGGTTTCTATTGGTTTGAACTGCTACATTTTATTCTTTCACCTTTTAACTGTTTCTGGTTCAATTTTCACTTCAATATGTTCATAATTGCCGCCCCTACAGACATATTCAATTACTTGACCTTCGCCAACTAACTTCTCTCAGCTAGTTGGCACGGTAAACAAAATGAAATCAGAACTCCTTCGAAAACACCGATAAATCAAGTCGTAGCCGAACAATGTGGTTTTTCAATGTCTCATCGGCTCTCATCATCTCACCCGAAATCGTCAATGTCGATTTCATCAACTTTTCCAATTTATAACACCACTCTTTATATGCCACCTATTCTTCTTCTACAACCCGACAGATTCTCACTCAACGGAAACACATCTTTCACAAACAACAAATCCGAAGCCACCGACATATTCTCCGAACCAACATTACCCTGCAGCCTTCCTCGCATGGTTCTTTTGTCCTTTTATTACACCACACTAGTTGTCCTTCCGCTACTGGTTGCCACGAACAAGAATCAACACAACTTTCACAATGTTCCGTCTATCACAAAACAAATGCCACCTCCACATTCCCCCTATCGAGCCAATCGCAGCGATACCTCTCCCATGTCCCCCAGCACTCTGTGAGTTCCCCCTAACCCGCTTGGCCCCGTTGCCACAGAAACCACTTTTCAGGGTTACACAAACGGGTTCCGAGGAGCGTATTTGGCTCTGCGGGTGAGACTTTGATACCTGTTTCGCCCTCTTGCATGCTCGACAGACGATTGGCTTTCATTCTCTGCATGTTTGATCGTTCTGGTAGGTGGAGTCGCCCCGGTTCGTGGGGGTCACCTAGGTCGGGGTGAATAGTTGTTGGATCGCGCTGCTGAGCTCACCATTCGACGCAGAATGGTCTGGGGAATGCAACGAGCCAACAAAGATATTTCCGGAGCCACTGCTCGATACCCTGGGCGTTTCTCTCCGTCACTACGACCCCAAACTCTCATCTCCTCCAGACCACGTATAGCTCAGCGAGGAACGGCGTTGGGCGCGTCTACGACGTGCGGCATCACCAAGACAGATCGATTAGGTTGCCGCTGGTGCTCCGTACAGAGACAAAAAGCAAACGCCGCTGCCGACATGTATATGCGAAATGTTCTTAGCGAGGTTTGGGCAGCCACAGGAAAAAAAGGGGGGGGTGACGGCGATCACTGCAAGAGACCGCGCGTGACAGTGCCCGAGCATCACTGCTTTTTTATTTTTCACCTTAATGGGCATTTCAAGGCCATTTCCAGGATGTTTGAGGACCAACGGTGGCAAATGCCCCAAAAGCGACGATTTAGGAAGGCACAGAATCACTCCTGACACTCGTGGAAACTCCAAGTCCATTTCTGCAACTCCCTACGACCACCTCCTCGTCGACATGGACCGGAAACGTTTAGGTTAGGAGCCCTGGATGGCGTCTCCAGGCTCCGCTGGCAAAAGTAATGAGTACGATGAGCTGAGACAGTCGTGCCGCACCTTTATACGTGGCTTCGACGGCCTCCGTGAATTCTAGACTCTGGAATGGACATACGGCGGTCAAGCTTGGTCACGTGAGTGGCCCGACGGTTGGTCGAGGGTCTGTTGGTCTGTTGGGTGTGTCGGTGTCTGAAACCATGCTAAACCGCTTTATTCACCATAAGCCCCGGGATATATGTATTCCGCGTTTCCGCGTTTCAGCGGTTTTGAATGCCAGGTCAGGAACAAAGAAACAGCGCGCCATGAGCGCAGAATTTACCACCGGTGAACTCCATCATCTGACTATATTGGCCACGGCGAACTCGGTGGTGGTCCCAGATTCCCCGGCACGTGACTGCTTCCTACTATTCAAGCAACTCAACATGTTCCTCCGGAGGTGCCGTATACTGCAGACCCCATCAGCTCACTTGGAAACGGCCCATTCCCCTCCTCCGTGTCCTGGCGATCGGACATTTGTGAACACTTTGGTGAGACGATATCTCAAACCCAAAAACGCCCACAACAACAACTTGTGGGCGACGACTGGCGAATATTTTCTTTTCATCTTGTGGAGTCAAAGCCGACGATGCTTCCGATGTGAAATTCAACAGGAAATTCTTCTCTCAGCGCCAACAGTCCGTCGAACAAGATTCCAGTATACGCCCGGAGCTGTGGGGTGTCGTTTACGACAAAGTATCACGGCGCCAAAGAGCCCGGATCCAGGAGATTCACATGATCCACATTGTTTGTCCCTGTCCCCCCAGCTATTGATAACACCGTCATAAATGGCTGCCCGGTGAATCCCCACTCACTCTGGTTTCGGAAAAGGTGTGTCTACAGCGCGCCTATCAATCGCTTGAAGCAGCCAAACTTCAGAAGCCGTATCCGACTCATTTGACTCTCGGGGTTTCAAATGCGGCTCTAGAACACTCGACCCAGACGAGGCTGGGTCCGACCGACTCTACTGTAGTCGGAGGTTGCAGTAACAGTTCAGTTGAACCTAGCCGATCTTATGATAAGTATTGGTGAAGTAGTGGCTTTAATTAGTTGGAGAGTTGGTTGGGGGTCGAAACAAGCTGAGAAGATGGTTTGGAGTGTCTGAAGCTTTCGATCATTGGTAATTTCGATGAGTCGATGATTCGATGTTTCCATTGTTTTCTTTCGACGAATATCTCACTCCAATAGTCCGATTATCTACCGCCAAACAAGTCCATTTCCGTGGTAGAAATATCCCGCAATACTGAATGGCGGAACGAAAATAAGGTTCAACTATTACCCCAGTGACCTCGAGACAAGAAGTTTTTCACATGGACCCGGAGGATCGGGTGGAGGCGCAAAAAGCTCGCTAACGACAGAATAGTAACTGCCTAACCCAGGGCTTTCTAACGGTGCCAATTACCCCCTGACCTTCTGCAAAGTTAGAATGTGGGGCATCAAAGTGAGACAAGATCAGTAAGCAGCCAGACGGATTGGGGGTATGGGGTGGAGTGGATGCAGGTAAGAGTTCTATACGGGAGTCATTGATCTCGTATTAGTCATCGAGGTACGGTCGAGTCCCTAGTCCTAGTCAAGTCTCTGATCCAGTCACATGACAGTCTCTGGTCCGCACATGACAGTCTCTGGTCCGCACAGCAGTATCTGGTCCGCACATGACAGTATCTGGTCCGCACATGACAGTATCTGCTCCAGTCTCATGACAATCTCTACTCCAGTCACATGACACTATGCTCCAGTCACATGACAATCTCTGCTCCAGTCACAAAACAGTCCTGCTACAAGTCTCTCCCCGCCCAGTCACATGACGTGACGCCTTGCGAGACGCATCGACGACGCAATGGATCGAATCCCAATCCGGTGATGGACATGGTGCGAGTCTCTATAGTGTCCAGGACATTGATAGATACAGGCTTTGGAGTATTGTGCATGCACAAACAAGATGCGCAGACAAGGCGACTATCAATGTATCACTATACAAGGGCCGGCCTATGTTCGACAAACAAGAGGGTATTCTTGACAAACAGTGCATTGCAGTGCAGAGCAGAGTGGTGGTGGGTTATTTGGTGAAGGACGAAGCGAACTGATTGAGAGGGCTTAAAGGTGATCGGAACAGAATGGGGACTTTGAAATCGCATTCTAGACATGTAGAGCTTTCGATTGAATACCCCATTGCCAATGTTCGGGTTCTGGAAAGGTCTTTTCCGGTCATTTTTCACACCTCTCCTCACTCTGCTCCACACCCTGACTCAACCTGACCGATTGTGACACACTGATAAGCTGCTCTGGAGAACACCCAGTCGCTGCTCCAGCTTGCTAAGGATCTCGGTCTGAACGTGGCCGGTGTGTCTTTCCATGTGGGATCCGGCGCTGGAGACCCCAACGCCTTCCTGGACGCTGTGCGAAACGCTAAGCGGGTGTTTGACCAGGGAGCTGCCATTGGCATGCACCTCAACACTCTGGATGTCGGCGGAGGCTTCTCGGACGATTCCTTTGAGTCCTCTGCTGCCGTTCTGGGGGACGCTCTTGACAAGTACTTCCCAGAGGAGAGCGGAGTTAACCTCATGGCTGAGCCCGGCCGGTTCTTTGTGTCCGAGGCCTTCACCATTGCCTCTCATGTGATTGCTCGACGAATCATTGAGAACCAGAACAAGGCCATGCTCTACCTCAACGACGGTGTCTACGGAAACATGAACTGCATTCTGTTTGACCACCAGGAGCCCGTGCCCAAGGTTCTGACCTACCAGGGCAAGTTCATGTACGGTGAGCGATACCAGAAGCAGAAGTCCTCGCAAGACGTTTCTGTGTGGGGCCCCA